GGAATTTCAGATTAAAATCCTAAAATTTCGAAGAAAACACCCTAGAACCTAGGTTTGAAGCCTGAAATTCGAGAAAAAGCTCAAATTTCAGACCTGAAGCCTGAGAAGTCTCAGATTTCAAGCCTGAAGCCTGAGAAATCTCCGATTTCAAGCCTGAAATTTTGAGAAAAAGCTCAGATTTCAAGCCTGAAGCCTGAGAAATCCCAGGTTTCAGGTTTGGAATCTGAAAATTCTGGAAAAACCCCCAAATTTCGACAAAAATGTGCATTTTCGACCAAATTTCGATAAAAATATGAATTTTCGACCAAATTTTGAGAAAAATCTGAATTTTGGGCCGAATCAGGTCAAATTTCGAGAAAAATCTAAATTTCTGGGCCCGAATTAGGCCTGAAGCCCGAAAAACCTCAGATTGTGTCTGAAGCCTGAAATTTACTAAAAAAAGCCCAAAATTCAAGTAAAAAGCCAAAACTTTAAGAAACATTCAAATTTCTAGGCCGTGAGCCCAAATTTTGAGAAAAATCGAAATGTTCAGGCCCGAATCGGGCCAAATTTCGATAAAAAGCCCAAAAAATTCTTAAAATTTAGGAATTCAGCTAAATTTTCAAAAATAATTTTAAAACTTCCAAAATTTTTCAAATTTCAACTTTTTTTTTTCAGAAATTGGCAGTTTTCGAAGAAAAACAACAAAAATGGACAAATCGAGGATTAAAAGGTCAGTTTTTTGAAATTTTCTTAAAAAATACCAAGCTCGCGGAATTTTCCGCGTGTTGTCCGCGCGGCATTTCAAGTTAAGAAAAGTTTCCTAATTTTAAGGCTTAGGCTTAGTTAACGCCTAGTAAAAACTGCGGATTTTCGAGAAATTCACGCGAATTGTGTCGCAGAAATTCAATTTTTACGATTTTCCGCGAGCTTTCCGCGCGGAAACCGGATCTTTGAGAAAATTCAAATAATTCCTGATTTTAAGGCTTAGGCTTAGTTAGTTACCACAAAAAACTGGGAAATTTAGAGAAATTTGCTATTTTGCGCTGTAAATTCCCGATTTTCCGCGAGCTTTCCGCGCGGAAAGCTGTTCTCCGGTAAAACATTATTTCTCCTGATATTTAGGCTTAGGCTTAGTTATCGCCTAGAGAAAACTGCAAAATTTATAAGAAATTCGCGTGAACCGTGCTGCAGAATTTCAATTTTTGGGATTTTCCGCGTTCTTTCCGCGCGGAAACCGGATTTTTGAGAACACTTGATTGTTTCATAATTTTTAGGCTTAGGCTTAGTTAGTTCCTAGAGAAAACCACGAAATTTTCAAGAAATTCGCAGAATTCCATTTTTTTTAACGGCTTTCCGCGTGTTTCCGCGCGGAAACCGGATCTTTGAGAAAACTTGATTGTTTCCTGATTTTAAGGCTTAGGCTTAGTCATCGCCTAGTAAAAACTGCAAAATTTTAAGAAATTCGCGTGAACCGTGCTGCAGAATTTCAATTTTTGGGATTTTCCGCATTCTTTCCGCGCGGAAGCCTGATATTTGAGAAAACATGAGAAATTCCTAATTTTGAAGCTTAGGCTTAGTTATCGCCTAGAAAAAACTGCAAATTTTCGAGAAATTTGCGATTTTGCGCGGAAAATTACCCGATGTTCCGCGTCCTTTCCGCGCGGACACCTTATTTTAGCTGATGTTTCTGTTTTTTCAATTTTGTGCAAAAAATGTATTTTTTGCAGATTTGCTGAGTCGCCAACACACAAAAATCGACGGAATCTTGTTAAAAAATGTTGAATTTTTGTAATAAATTGTTTTTTTTTCAGTCTGAGTACTGTAGTCAATTAGAACTTGATTTTCTGCAGTTCGGATTACTGTAAATTTGACCATCAAAAACTTTATATCACCAAAACTTTGTTCTAAACTCTTCAGGTACAAAATCACACAAATCTTCCGAACATCTCGAGAATCGAATCGTATTTTCACCAGTTCCACCACCAAATTCCACAACACACGCCTGATTTTCGTTGGGCAAAAAATCGGAGAGTTGTGTGAGAACTTGAGAGATCAGTCGAATTGCGGCTCCACCGTACCATTGTGATTGTTTTTGGAGTTGGGCGGTTTGGATTGAGGAGACCTGCGAATTGAGATTTCTTGTGTAAAAGCGGAGTATCGTAGTTTGTTTTTCTAGCTACTCACCCTCGTCACAATTCCCCGATCATCTCGATGTCCGACCACTAAATAATCGATAGCCACCAGAAAACTCTGCAACCACCACTTCAAACTTTTTGCACCCGCCGTCCAAAACCATCCACGTAAATCGCCTTTGTTGGTTTTGAGTTCCACATATTTGCCATCTCGATCCAAACAATCGATTTCGGCTGAGTAGAAGAGTTCGAGAGGTTGACGACGATTGGGTTGAGAACTTTCCAGGGTGGTTCGGATGACGGTGGCGAATTCTTCGCGTGTTGAAACTGGTTGAGTTGTATCGGGAAGGTCCTGGAAAATGTGAGCGTAAAAGCGGAGCATCGTAGTTTCCATCAAAATCACTCAAAAATCACCGCGTAAACGCGGAGCGTCGTAGTTTTCGCTCACCATTCCATCATCCAACGTCATATACTGCTCAAATTTGTGTCCCCAATACGTCATATGTTTTTCCCTGTCCGTCTGCGCCTCCATTTTCCGCGTCTTGTCCTCCGTCTCCTCTTCGCACATAAAAACGACGCCATGAATGCGGAACGCGCGGAAACGCCACGTGTCACCGCTTCCCGCGTAGACGGCGGCACCGATTTTGGTGAGCAATCCGCGCCACGTGAAAAACTCGGCACCGTGGAGAAGTTTCCGCAACCTTCCGCCTGCCGGCGCCATTTTTTCACACCATTTTTGGAGGATTTCGAGACGTTCACCCGGGTCTTTGGGGTCGAATGCGGAATAGCCGGCGTCGAGATCGAAATTGGGCGCGGAAGTGCCGCGCGGATTCCGCAGCGGAGTGTCGTTGAGATTTTTTGCCGCCATTCGACCGATTTGAATTGATCTGCGAGATGAAAATTTGAATTTTGAAATTTTTCAGAAAAAATTGCTCATATTAAACTCAAAAATTCAGAATTTCTTCAGAAAATCCAAGCATTGCTCATATTAAACTCAAAAATTCAAATTTCAGGTTAAAAACCTTGAAATTTCCAACTTTTCCATCAGAAAATCATGAATTTTTCAAATTTTGCCACGTGGCAAAATATTTCATAAGCTCACCTATCTTTGTTCACAAAATACTCGCCAATTATTTGGGGTTTCGAAAAATAGGGAAATTTTTGCGCGGTCAAAAATTGTTTGTCGATTTTCAGCTCAATTGTGCTCATCTGGAAAAAATTTCAGATTTTTTTTTGACAAAAAAAAATCTCAAAAATCAAACGGTCCAATTTTCAACCAAATTTTCAAAATCCAAAAAGTTTCAGAAAATCTTGAAAATTCATTTCACAAAAAAAATCGATAAAAAAATTTTTGAAAGCAAATAAAATTGGGAAAATTCGTGGGGGGGAGGCTCTGATTTTAACATGAGCAATACCCGGAAAAAAATCAATAATATTTATAGGAGAGGAGAAAAAAAGAAGAAATAGGTGCATAAAACAGGTTTAAAAAATATTTTGGGCTAGAAAGGGGCTTAGGCTTAGGCTTAAGGCCTAGTTGAAAGTTTAGGCTTAGCCTTATCTAAGGCCAAATTTAGGGCCTTAAAAATAGGGTAAAAAATTAATGCATACAGGAAAGATTGGGGGTATTTTGTGATAAGAAGGCTTTTAGGCCTAAAGCCCAAAAAAGCCTAAATCTGGGCCTAGAAAAAAAATTTTTGAGAACATGGATTTTAGTCTCGTTGGAATCAGGAGAATGCGAGGAATCGATTGCACTATATATCGGCTGATTTGGTTGAGTTTGAAGGGTAGAAAGGGTTAGTCAAAGTTAAGATACCATTTTCAAAGGCGGTAGGGTTGTAAAAGTCGGTGAGAGTGGCATCGTAAAAGGAAGGTGTGAAAATAGATGAGAGAGTGTGTAGGATAGAGAGACGCAGAGATAGAGAGAGTGGAATATGGGAAGATGGGACGGAAACGGGGGAAGGGAGAGAGAGAGAGAGAGACGCAGACAGACATAGAAAAAGGGGGAAGGGGGAAGGGGGAATATGGTGAGAGTGGGGTGGTTGTAAATGACAGGTGTTCATGTATCGGATACAGTCCACTTTTTTTTATCTTTACTTTATAATTTTTATTTAATTAAATTCATTTCTGATTGTTTTTGTGTATTAATTTCTGGAAATTCTGGAATTTCTCTAATATTTTTGAAAAATTCACAAAATTTCTGATTTTTTGGTATATTTTTCATAAAATTTGGAAAATGTTGAAAATTTTCCAAATACAGTACCCTTTGCAGTCTGGCTACAGTATACCTTGCAGTTCGGGAGCTACAGTAACCCTCGGGCTACCGTAATCTTTGCAGTGTGAAAGTCAAAAATCAGAATGTTCAAATTTTATCCTAACACATTCCCCCCTTCCGAGAAATAGTATGTAAAAAAGAGAGACACATACACCATAAAACAGTCTTTTGACACCTTGGCTCAAAAAACGAGATAGTATGTGAAAATAGGAGAGTATGGTTGTAAACTGTCATGTCTAAACATGATATTTTACCTAATTTTTGAGAAAAACGAAAAAAATAAAAATAAAAGTTCGCATGTGGAATTGAACCCGCCACCTTCAGATTCAAAAACCGTACGCTTACCCCTGAACTATGTGTCTTTTTATTTGCAGACCACAAAATGTCTAATAAATAATTTTGAACAAGCAGACCATATGGTCTGCTGCATGCCAATGTAAAAATAAAAAGCAGCAGACCATATGGTCTGCTGATTAATTTAAAAGCTGATTTGCTTTTAAATTGATTTTTGTTCTTTTTCAATGATTTTTATATGTAAATCTTTATATTTTCAAGTTGTTCTGTTGATTTTCATAATTCACAACTAGGTCAAAGGTTGTAAAACACTTTTCAATATGACAAGTTCACGTGACTACCTGCCATGTCATAAATCGGTTGTAAATCTAAATAACCAATGTGTCTGTCTTGTTGTTTTTGTCTATTTTCTTGTCAAAATATGACAATCTGTCGGTTGTAAATCAAGTTTGACCCTGTTCCAACATCATCCTATTTTTGCACAAAACACTTGATTTACAACCTACCTGTCATCCGGTTTTTGATAGGTCAACTCTTATTCAACACTTTTTATTTACTTTAACTTTTATTAATTCAATTTCTTTATCTTTTCCTTTTCAAAACCCTCGTTTTAATGCAAAAATTGCAAACAAAAATAAATATTTTCAAAATGCCACGTTTTTCCAGTCCGCAATTGTGCGTCATTTCACGTGTGTCGCCTGCGTGCCAACAATTATTTTTCATTTTCGTTTTTTATGTGCCGCCCAACTCGTAAATGGTGCCAAATTGTGGCGATTTCGATGAAATCCGGTCAGTTTTTTTGGGTTTTCATGAAGTTTGAGTGAAATTTCACTAGATTTTATTGATTTTACATGAAAATATCGATTTTTTCAGGTTATATCCATCAAAAATCAATTTTTTGATGGAAAATCAACGATTGGATGGTGAAAGGAGCAATTTGATGTGAATTAAAGTGAGTTGATATGATTTGAAAGTAGAAGAATATTGAATTCCAATGAAAATTATTGATTTTTCCAGGTTTTTCCACCAAAAATCGATTTTTTGGTGGAAATCGATGATTTCTGGATATTCGACTTGAATTCCAATTATACAAGTAAGTTGAAATAAAAACAAAAATAGGAAGAAGAAGAAAAGTGGGAGATGACCTAGGTCAATAACTTCCCAAAAACCCGACTTGTCACATGTCAATTTTTGATAGTTAGGTCATCTCTCTAAGCCACGCCCCCTTTTCCCCCATCCCCCATTTTCTAGTCATTCTATTCATATTTACCTTTTCACTATTCACTTTTCTATTTATTTTTTTTTGCAGTTCAATCAATTGCATCAACATAATTGGGACAAATATGCAAATGTAAGTTTATTTTTTGAAATTTAATTCAAAATTTAGAAGAAACATGAACTTTTGCAGATTTCGGTGGACAAAACAACAATTGGATGGATTGGACACGGGCTTTTGAGGGAAATGTAAGTATTTTGGGGTGGTTTTGGGAAAAAATTAAATAATATGGAGAAGTTTCAGTTTTTCCTGAACCCAAAACCTTGAAATTTGAAAATTCAAGGTTTTGGGAGAGGGAAAAGCTGAAATTTCAGCTAAAACCTAAAATTTTGAAGAAAACACCATAGAACCTAGGTTTCAAGCCTGAAATTTGAGAAAAATCTCAAATTTCAGACCTGAAGCCTGAGAAATCTCAGATTTCTAGACTGAAGCCTGAGAAATCTCAGATTTCTAGACTGAAGCCTGAGAAATCTCAGGTTTCAGGGCTTGAAGCCTGGAAAATCTAAAATTTCAAGCCTGGAATTTGAGAAAAAGCTCAGATTTCAAGCTTGAAGCCTGAAAATTCTGGAAGAAACCACAAATTTCTAGAAAAATCCAAATTTTCGACCAAATTTCGAGAAAAATCTAAATTTTTGGGCCCGAATTTGGCCTGAAGCCTGAAAAACCTCAAATTTCAAGTTTGAAGCCTGAGAAATCTCAGATTTTAGGCCTGAAATTAAAATTTAGTAGAAACATTTTAGTAAAATTTAGTAGAAACATGAATTTTTTCAGATTTCGGTGGACAAAACAACAATTGGATGATTGGACACGGGATTTGGAGTGAAATGTGAGTATTTTGGGGTGGTTTAGGGGAAAAATTAAATAATATGGAGAAGTTTCAGTTTTTCCTGAACCCAAAACCTTGAAATTTGAAAATTCAAGGTTTTGGGAGAGGGAAAAGCTGAAATTTCAGCTAAAACCTAAAATTTTGAAGAAAACACCATAGAACCTAGGTTTCAAGCCTGAAATTTGAGAAAAATCTCAAATTTCAGACCTGAAGCCTGAGAAATCTCAGATTTCTAGACTGAAGCCTGAGAAATCTCAGATTTCTAGACTGAAGCCTGAGAAATCTCAGGTTTCAGGGCTTGAAGCCTGGAAAATCTAAAATTTCAAGCCTGGAATTTGAGAAAAAGCTCAGATTTCAAGCTTGAAGCCTGAAAATTCTGGAAGAAACCACAAATTTCTAGAAAAATCCAAATTTTCGACCAAATTTCGAGAAAAATCTAAATTTTTGGGCCCGAATTTGGCCTGAAGCCTGAAAAACCTCAAATTTCAAGTTTGAAGCCTGAGAAATCTCAGATTTTAGGCCTGAAATTAAAATTTTAGTAGAAACATGAATTTTTGCAGATTTCGGTGGACAAAACAACAATTGGATGAGTTGGACACGGGATTTGGAGTGAAATGTGAGTATTTAGGGGTGGTTTTGGGCAAAAATTAAATAATATGGAGAAGTTTCAGCTTTTCCTGAACCCAAAACCTTGAAATTTGAAAATTCAAGGTTTTGGGAGAGGGAAACGCTGAAATTTCAGCTAAAACCTAAAATTTTGAAGAAAACACCATAGAACCTAGGTTTCAAGCCTGAAATTTGAGAAAAAGCTCAGATTTCGAGGTTGAAGCCTGAAAATTCTGGAAAAACCCCAAATTTCGACAAAAATCTAAATTTTCAACCAAATTTCGAGAATAATCCTAAAATTCAAGTAAAAAGCCCAAACTTTAAGAAACATTCAAATTTCTAGGCCGTGAGCCTCAAATTTCTGAAAAAAACCCCAAATTTCTAGAAAAATGTGAATTTTCGACCAAATTTCTAGAAAAATGTGAATTTTCCACCAAATTTCGAGAAAAATCTGAATTTTGGGCCGAATCAGGCCGAATTTCGAGAAAAATCTAAATTTTTGGGCCCGAATTAGGCCTGAAGCCCGAAAAACCTCAGATTGTGTCTGAAGCCTGAAATTTACTAAAAAAAGCCCAAAATTCAAGTAAAAAGCCCAAACTTTAAGAAACATTCAAATTTCTAGGCCGTGAGCCCAAATTTTGAGAAAAATCGAAATGTTCAGGCCCGAAGCCTGAAATTTCTGAAAAAAACCCCGATTTTCTAGAAAAATGTGAATTTTCGACCAAATTTCGAGAAAAATCTGAATTTCTGGTCCGAATCGGGCCAAATTTCGATAAAAAGCCCAAAAATTCTTAAAATTTAGGAATTCAGCTAAATTTTCAAAAATAATTTTAAAACTCCCAAAATTTTTCAAATTTCAACTTTTTTTTTTCAGAAATTGGCAGTTTTCGAACGAAAACAACAAAAATGGACAAATCGAGGATTAAAAAGTCAGTTTTTTGAAATTTTCTTAAAAAATACCAAGCTCGCGGAATTTTCCGCGTGTTGTCCGCGCGGCATTTCAAGTTAAGAAAAGTTTCCTGATTTTTAGGCTTAGGCTTAGTTATCGCCTAGAGAAAATCGCGAAATTCTGAGAAATTTGCGATTTTGCGCTGAAAATTACCAGATTTTCCGCGAGCTTTCCGCGCGGAAAGCTGTTCTCCGGTAAAACATTATTTTTCCTGATGTTTAGGCTTAGGCTTAGTTATCGCCTAGAGAAAACTGCAAAATTTATAAGAAATTCGCGTGAACCGTGCTGCAGAATTTCAATTTTTGGGATTTTCCGCGTTCGTTCCGCGTGGACACCTTATTTTAGCTGATGTTCCTGTTTTTTCGATTTTGTGCAAAAAAATGTATTTTTTCAGATTTGCTGAGTCGCCAACACACAAAAATCGACGGAATCCTTGATTTTTGTAAATGTTGAATTTTTGTAATAAATTGTTTTTTTTTCAGTCTGAGTACTGTAGTCAATTGATTTTTTGATTTTTTGCAGTTCGGATAACTGTAAATCCAAATTTCGGATTTCTAGGCCATGAGGTTCTGTTTTTCTCTGAATCCCTAGGAAATGGCCTAGAAAATCAAAACCATTTTGTTTTTGGATTTCTAGGCCATTTTCTAAAGTGTCTCAATGATATTTGCAAATGCCACGTCATAGCGTTTTTTGCCGGTGTCAACGCGGAGTGTCGTAGTTCGAAGAGCGACCGAAATTGCCACGTCAAAGCTTACAAATTTCTTTCGAAACTACGACACTCCGCTTTGACAAGGCACACTCTGCGCTCTTCTAGCTTGTAACTACGACACTCCACGTTGACACCCGTCAAATTGTTTCCAGTAATTGGTTTGTGCCGATCAGTGTGTTCTACATGTGCACAGGTTTGGCGATTTCCACAATTGTACTTGACATCGGATCAATCTACGTGCGAAAATTGCACTTCATCGGAAAAAAGATCAAAAATATTGCGAATATTCGAATTTGGTTTGGCGCCAGGAAGTGAGTTTTTTTTGTCGGGTGTAAACGCGGAGCATCGTTGTTTCTTCTTCATTACACTTTGAAACGTAAAAAATCCCTGATCCTCCAGCTAGGATTTCAAATAAACAACGATGCTCCGCGTTTACACATTAACCCCTGATCTTTTCAGCTTGGAAGTTCGAGAGCTGATCACAGCCGTCGGTCAAAACATCGGTATCGATCAGAATGTGATAGCCGACATTGATATCGATACATTGGTCAAGACTGCGATTCAAGTGAAATTGGGAAGATTGTCACGAGTTCCGCAAACTCATATGATTGTTGAGGGAATTTGGCCGCCTGAATTGGTGCCGTTGTTTATGAAGGTAGGGGTGGAATTGCGGAGCATCGTTGTAGTTCTCAATTTTTTCCCCAGGACGGACAATTTCCGCTGTTCGTCGATTCGGAAGATGATCTTCGAGATCTCAAACAACCTCCGCCACCCAAAAAAGGCACACAATTCGTAGGGGCTCAAGATTGACGCAATTTTTGTAGATCCCATTTTTTTTGCTGGCACACAATTTGTAGCCGCGAATGCGTCAGTCAACAAAAATATTTTGAATTTTTTGAACAAAATTCCACGCGTAAAAGCGGAGTGTCGTAGTTTTTGCGAAGTTCGGATTACTGTAGAAACTTCATCTCACAAAAATGATATATATCACCAAAACTTTGTTCTAAACTCTTCAGGCACAAAATCACACAAATCTTCCGAACATCTTGAGAATCGAATCGTATTTTCACCATCACCACCAAATTCCACAACACACGCCTGATTTTCGTTGGGCAAAAAATCGGAGAGTTGTGTGAGAACTTGAGAGATCAGTCGAATTGCGGCTCCACCGTACCATTGTGATTGTTTTTGGAGTTGGGCGGTTTGGATTGAGGAGACCTGCGAATTTTGAAATTCCCGCCAAAAACACACACAAAAATCCACGTGTAAAAGCGGAGTATCGTTGTATTCGCTCACCCTCGTCACAATTCCCCGATCATCTCGATGTCCGATCACTAAATAATCGATAGCCACCAGAAAACTCTGCAACCACCACTTCAGACTTTTTGCACCCGCCGTCCAAAACCATCCACGTAAATCGCCTTTGTTGGTTTTGAGTTCCACATATTTGCCATCTCGATCCAAACAATCGATTTCGGCTGAGTAGAAGAGTTCGAGAGGTTGACGACGATTGGCTTGAGAACTTTCCAGGGTGGTTCGGATGACGGTGGCGAATTCTTCGCGTGTTGAAACTGGTTGATTTGTGTCGGGAAGGTCCTGGAAAATTGGGGGTGTAAAGGCGGATCATCGTAGTTTCCATCAAAATCACTCAAAAATCACCGCGTAAACGCGGAGCGTCGTAGTTTTCGCTCACCATTCCATCATCCAACGTCATATACTGCTCAAATTTGTGTCCCCAATACGTCATATGTTTTTCCCTGTCCGTCTGCGCCTCCATTTTCCGCGTCTTCTCTTCCGTCTCCTCTTCGCACATAAAAACGACGCCATGAATGCGGAACGCGCGGAAACGCCACGTGTCACCGCTTCCCGCGTAGACGGCGGCACCGATTTTGGTGAGCAATCCGCGCCACGTGAAAAATTCCGCACCGTGGAGAAGTTTCCGCAACCTTCCGCCTGCCGGCGCCATTTTTTCACACCATTTCTGAAGGATTTCGAGACGTTCCCCTGGATCTTTGGGGTCGAATGCGGAATAGCCGGCGTCGAGAAAATTCGAAATTTCTTCAGAAAATCCAAGCATTGCTCATATTACTCCAAAAATCTTGATTTTCAGGTTAAAAACCTTGAAATTTCCAACTTTTTCATCAGAAAATCATGAATTTTTCAAATTTTGGCGCCAAATTTTGCCACGTGGCACAATTTTCTCATAAGCTTCTCCTCACCTATCTTTGTTCACAAAATACTCTCCAATAATTTGGGGTTTCGAAAAATACGGAAATTTTTGCGCGGTCAAAAATTGTTTGTCGATTTTCAGCTCAATTGTGCTCATCTGGAAAAAATGCTGAAATTTTCAGATTTTTTTTTTGAAAAAAAAATCCTCTGAAATTTCAGGCCCCAAAAAAAACCACAAAAATCAAACGGTCCAATTTTCAACCAAATTTTCAAAATCCAAAAAGTTTCAGAAAATCTTGAAAATTCATTTCACAAAAAAAATCAATAAAAAAATTTTTGAAAGAAAAAAAATTGGGAAAAATCGTGGGGGGGGAGGCTCTGATTTTAACATGAGCAATACCCGGAAAAAATCAATAATATTTATAGGAGAGGAGAAAAAAGAAAAAATAGGTGCATAAAACAGGTTGAGAAAAAATATTCGGGCTAGAAATAGGGGCTTTTTAGGCCTGGGCTTAGGCTTAAGGCCTAGCTGAAAGCTTAAGCTTAGCCAAGACCTTAGGCTTAGCCAAGACCTTAGGCTTAGCCAAGGCCTTAGGCTTAGGCTTAGCCCTATATAAGCTTTAGGCTTAGGCTTATCTAAGGCCAAATTTAGGGCCTTAAAAATAGGGTAAAAATTAATGCATACAGGAAAGAAATAGGGGTATTTTGTGATAAGAAGGCTTTTAGGATAAAGCCCAAAAAAGCCTGAATCTGGGCCTAGAAAAACATATTTGTGAGAACATTGTAAAAAGGGAAAGAAATAGGGGTATTCAAAGAATAAAACGAAAAATTGGATAAATTAGGCGTTCGGGCTTCGGGCTTCGGGCCGATGGTCCAGAATAATTTATGGGCTTCGGTTCGATGGTCCAGGCCTCTCATCCCACGCCTTCATTTGTTCTAAAAAGCGGTTAAGTGGTGTGAGATAATGCACGGGATTTTTCTCATCGATGAACATGAGTTGGAGGTGTTTCAGATAGATTTCAGCCAGGTTTTGGCTGAAAATTTTGGTGTGATAGGTGGAGATGAATTGGGTCATCATTGAGGATTTGCGAGTGGCTGAGGCTGGATTTGTGCGGTGACCGGCGTCGGCGTAGAAGCTGCAAGAAAAACTACGATGTTCCGCGTTTACAGGGTGATTTTTGAGTGATTTTGGAGAAAACTACGATGCTCCGCGTTTACAGGGTGATTTTTAGCTTTAATTCTTTAAAAATCCAAGTTTTGAATAAGAAATTGCACCTTTTTGGGTGGTTTACTAAGCCTAAGCCTAATGAAAATGTTCCAAATTCCAAAAATGCACATTTTCAGCCTAATTTCCAAAAATCTGTCACTTATAATTTGCTAAAAAATTTGTAATTTCAAAAAAAACGGCTAAAAAATCCCGAAAATCCACCTTTCTAGGGGGTTTACTAAGCCTAAGCCTAAATATCTGTAAATATTTAGCTTTTTTCAATTTTTCCACAACTTTTCCAGCTTTTCTCGAATTTTCCCAAAATCTAAGCTCCGCCTTTTTTTCGCACCTTGACTTTGGCGGCGCCTTTGATGCAAAAAATTTCGGGTTTTGATCTGATTTTAGTCTCGTTGAAATCAGGAGAATGCGAGGAATCGATTGCACTATATATCGGCTGATTTGGTTGAGTTTGAAGGGTAGAAGTGGGGGTCCGAAGTTATAGGTTCCTTTTCAAAGGCGGTAGGGTTGTAAAAGTCGGTGAGAGTGGCATCGTAAAAAGAAGGTGTGAAAATAGATGAGAGAGTGTGTAGAATAGAGAGACGCAGAGATAGAGAGAGTGGAATATGGGAAAGGGGGAAGGACTGTGTGAGTGGAATGAAAAAGAGAGAGAGAGAGAGAGACGCAGACAGACATAGAAAAAGGAGAAGGGGGAATATGGTGAGAGTGGGGTGGTTGTAAATGACAGGTGTTAGGAGGAGAATATAGTTCCGATTTTCTATTTAACTTCTTTTTATTTTTTATTTATTTATTTTGTTGTAGGATTTGTGTTGAAGTTCTTAAAGATTTTGAAATAATATTAGAATTTTTGAAAAATTCACAAAATTTCTGATTTTTTGGTATATTTTTCATAAAATTTGGAAAATTTTGAAAATTTGCCAAATACAGTACCCTTTGCAGTCTGGCTACAGTATACCTTGCAGTTCGGGAGCTACAGTAACCCTCGGGCTACCGTAATCCTTGCAGTCTGGGAATTACAGTATCCCCTAGACTACAGTACACATTGCAGTCCAAAATAGCCTCGAGCTACCGTAACCCTAATGTTACAGTATCCTTTGTAGTCTGGGGCTGTCAACTACAGTATCCCTTGCAGTCTGGGGTTGTCAACTACAGTATTCCTTTGAGTTTGAGGTACAGTAATCCTTGCAGCCCAGACTCTACAGTAAGCCTGAGGATACAGTAAACTTGTAGATACAGTAATCCTTGTAGTTTGAAATAGCCCCAGGCTACCGTAATCCTTGTAGTTTTGAGGTACAGTAACCCTGTGGCTACCGTAATCCTTACAGTCTCAAATCTGAAAGTTAAAAAATCACAAGTTTGTTGTCAAAATATCCGATCCTCCTAACACATTCCCCCTTCCGAGAAATAGTATATAAAAATGAGAGAGACATACACCATAAAACAGTCTTTTGACACGTTGGCTCAAAAAACGAGATAGTATGTGAAAATAGGAGAGTATGGTTGTAAACTGTCATCTCTCGACTTGATATTTTACCTAATTTTTGAGAAAAAACAAAAAAATAAAAATAAAAGTTCGCATGTTGAATTGAACTTGTCACCTTGTGATTCGAAAACCGTACGCTTACCACTGAACTATTTGTCTGTATATGAGCAGACCACAAAATGTCTAATAAATAATTTTGAACAAGCAGACCATATGGTCTGCTGCATGCCAGTGTTAAAATAAAAAACAGCAGACCATATGGTCTGCTGCAAATTAAAAGCTGATTTGCTTTTAAATTGTTTTTTTCTTTTTTTCAATCATTTTTATATGTAAATCGTTATATTTTCAAATTTGTTCTGTTGATTTTCATAATTCACAACTAGGTCAAAGGTTGTAAAACACTTTTCAATATGACAAGTTCACGTGACTACCTGCCATGTCATAAATCGGTTGTAAATCTAAATAACCAATGTGTCTGTCTTGTTGTTTTTATCTATTTTCTTTTCAAAATATGACAATCTGTCGGTTGTAAATCAAGTTTGACCCTGTTCCAACATCATCCTATTTTTGCACAAACCATTTGATTTACAACCTACTTGTCATCCGGTTTTTGATAGGTCAACTCTTATTCAACACTTTTTATTTACTTCAACTTTTATTAATTCAATTTCTTTATCTTTTCCTTTTCAAAACCCTCGTTTTAATGCAAAAATTGCAAACAAAAATAAATATTTTCAAACACCCACGTTTTTCCAGTCCGCAATTGTGCGTCATATCACGTGTGTCGCCTGCCTGCCAACAATTATTTTTTCATTTTCGTTTTTTATGCGCCGCCCAACTCGTAAATGGTGCCAAATTGTGGCGATTTCGATGAAATCCGGTCAGTTTTTTAGGGTTTTCATGAAGTTTGAGTGAAATTTCACTAGATTTTATTGATTTTTCATGAAAATATCGATTTTTTCAGGTTATTTCCATCAAAAATCAATTTTTTGATGGAAAATCAACAATTCGATGGTGAAAGGAGCAATTTGATGTGAATAAAAGTAAGTTGAGATTATTTGAAAATAGAATATTGAATTCCAATGAAAGTTATTGATTTTTCCAGGTTTTTCCACCAAAAATCGATTTTTTGGTGGAAATCGATGATTTCTGGATATTCGACTTGAATTCCAATTATACAAGTAAGTTGAAATAAAAACAAAAATAGGAAGAAGAAGAAAAGTGAGAGATGACCTAGGTCAATAACTTCCCAAAAACCCGACTTGTCACATGTCAATTTTTGATAGTTAGGTCATCTCTCTAAGCCACGCCCCCTTTTCCCCCATCCCCCATTTTCTAGTCATTCTATTCATATTTACCTTTTCACTATTCACTTTTCTATTTATTTTTTTGCAGTTCAATCAATTGCATCAACATAATTGGGACAAATATGCAAATGTAAGTTCATTTTTCGAAATTTTTATTTAAAATTTAGAAGAAACATGAACTTTTGCAGATTTCGGTGGACAAAACAACAATTGGACACGGGATTTTGAGGGAAATGTAAGTATTTTGGGGTGGTTTAGGGGAAAAATCAAAAAATATGGAGAAAATCTGAAAGTTTCAGCTTTTCCTGAACCCAAAACCTTGAAATTTGAAAATTCAAGGTTTTGGGGGGAGGGAAAAGCTGGAATTTCAGCTTAAAACCTACAATTTTAAAGGAAACACCCTAGAACCTAATCTCAGATTTCAGGCCTGAAGCCTGAGAAATCTCAGATTTCAAGCCTGAAATTTTGAGAAAAAGCTCAGATTTCAAGCCTGGAATTTGAGAAAAATCTCAAATTTCAGGCCTGAAGCCTGAAAATTCTAAAAGAAACCCCAAATTTCTAGAAAAATCCAAATTTTCGACCAAATTTCGAGAAAAAATTTAGAAAAATCTAAATTTTTGGGCCCGAATTTGGCCTGAAGCCTGAAAAACCTCAAATTTCAAGTTTAAAACCTGAGAAATCTCAGATTTAAGGCCTGAAATTAAAATTTTAGTAGAAACATGAATTTTTGCAGATTTCGGTGGACAAAACAACAATTGGATGAGTTGGACACGGGATTTGGAGTGAAATGTAAGTATTTTGGGGTGGTTTAGGGCAAAAATCAAAAAATATGGAGAAAATCTGAAAGTTTCAGCTTTTCCTGAACCCAAATCCTTGAAATTTGAAAATTCAAGGTTTTGGAGGAGGGAAAAGCTGAAATTTCAGCTAAAAACCTAAAATTTTGAAGAAAACACCATAGAACCTAGGTTTCAAGGCTGAAATTTGAGAAAAATCTCAAATTTCAGGCCTGAAGCCTGAGAAATCTTAAATTTGAGAAAAAGCTCAGATTTCAGGCCTGAAGCCTGAGAAATCTCAGATTTCGAGGTTGAAGCCTGAAAATTCTGGAAAAACCCCAAATTTCGACAAAAATCTAAATTTTCTACCAAATTTCGAGAAAAATCTAAATTTTCAACCAAATTTCGAGAAAAATCTAAATTTTCTACCAAATTTCGAGAAAAATCTAAATTTCTGGGCCCGAATTAGGCCTGAAGCCCGAAAAACCTCAGATTGTAAGCCTAAGCCCAAATTTCAAGTAAAAAGCCCAAATTTCAAGTAAAAGCCCAAATTTCAAGTGAAAAGCCCAAGATTCAAGTAAAAAGCCCAAATTTCAAGTGAAAAGCTCACAATTCAAGTAAAAAGCCCAAACTTTAAGAAACATTCAAATTTCTAGGCCGTGAGCCCAAATTTTGAGAAAATCCGAAATGTTCAGGCCCGAAGCCTGAAATTTCTGAAAAAAAACCCCAAATTTCTAGAAAAATGTGAATTTTCGACCAAATTTCGAGAAAAATCTGAATTTCTGGTCCGAATCGGGCCAAATTTCGATAAAAAGCCCAAAAATTCTTAAAATTTAGGAATTCAGCTAAATTTTCAAAAATAATTTTAAAACTCCCAAAATTTTTCAAATTTCAACTTTTTTTTCAGAAATTGGCAGTTTTCGAAGAAAAACAACAAAAATGGACAAATCGAGGATTAAAAGGTCAGTTTTTTGAAATTTTCTTAAAAAATACCAAGCTCGCGGAATTTTCCGCGTGTTGTCCGCGCGGCATTTCAAGTTAAGAAAAGTTTCCTGATTTTAAGGCTTAGGCTTAGTTAGTTACCACAAAAAACTGCGAAATTCTGAGAAATTTGCGATTTTGCGTTGAAAATTACCAGATTTTCCGCGAGCTTTCCGCGCGGAAAGCTGTTCTCCGGTAAAACATTATTTTTCCTGATATTTAGGCTTAGGCTTAGTTATCGCCTAGAGAAAACTGCAAAATTTATAAGAAATTCGCGTGAACCGTGCTGCAGAATTTCAATTTTTGGGATTTTCCGCGTTCGTTCCGCGCGGAAACCGGATTTTTGAGAAAACTTGAGTAATTCCTAATTTTTAGGCTTAGGCTTAGTTAACGCATAGAAAAAACATCAAAAATTTGAGAAATTTGCGATTTTGCGCGAGAAATTACCCGATTTTCCGCGTCCTTTCCGCGCGGACACTTTATTTTAGCTGATGTTCCTGTTTTTTCGATTTTGTGCAAAAAAAATGTATTTTTTCAGATTTGCTGAGTCGCCAACACACAAAAATCGACGGAATCCTTGATTTTTGTAAATGTTGAATTTTTGTAATAAATTGTTTTTTTTTCAGTCTGAGTACTGTAGTCAATTTAGATTTTTTGCAGTTCGGATTACTGTAAATCCAAATTTCGGATTTCTAGGCCATGGGGTTCTGTTTTTCTCTGAATCCCTAGGAAATGGCCTAGAAAACCAAAACCATTTTGTTTTTGGATTTCTAGGCCATTTTCTAAAGTGTCTCAATTATATTTGCAAATGCCACGTGTCAACGCGGAGTGTCGTAGTTTTTCATATATTTTTCTTGGAACCGAAATTGCCACGTCATATAGCTCCACAAATTTCTTTCAAAACTACGACACTCCGCTTTTACACTATGAGATTGACTAGATTAGCTATGACGTGGCAGACTCGGCGTTCTTACGACACTCCACCTTGACACCCGTCAAATTGTTTCCAGCAATTGGTTTGTGCCGATCAGTGTGTTCTACATGTGCACAGGTTTGGCGATTTCCACAATTGCACTTGACATCGGATCAATCTACGTGCGAAAATTGCACTTCATCGGAAAAAAGATCAAGAATATTGCGAATATTCGAATTTGGTTTGGCGCCAGGAAGTGAGTTGTTTTTTGGCGGGTGTAAACGCGGAGAATCGTAGTTTCTTCTTCTTTACACTTTGAAACGTAAAAAATCCCTGATCCTCCAGCTAGGATTTCAAATAAACAACGATGCTCCGCGTTTACACTTTAACCCCGGATCTTTTCAGCTTGGAAGTTCGAGAGCTGATCACAGCCGTCGGTCAAAACATCGGTATCGATCAGAATGTGATAGCCGACATTGATATCGATACATTGGTCAAGACTGCGATTCAAGTGAAATTGGGAAGATTGTCACGAGTTCCGCAAACTCATATGATTGTTGAGGGAATTTGGCCGCCTGAATTGGTTCCGTTGTTTATGAAGGTAGGCGTGGAATTGCGGAGCATCGTTGTAAATAGTATCCCTTTTGCAGGACGGACAATTCCCACTGTTCGTCGATTCGGAAGATGATCTTCGAGATCTCAAACAACCTCCGCCACCCAAAAAGTTTTCGGTTCGATTTGAAGATGAAGATGAATATTCGGATGATCAAGAAGATCAGCGGAAACATCAAGAAGAAGATGAATGTCCGACGGAATCCGAAATGGTCACAAATTCCCGAATTTCCAGCTGCAAGGAGGAGGATTTTTAAAATTTTTCAATCAATAAATTTTATGACTGGCACACAATTCGTAGGGGCTCAAGATTGACGCAATTTTTGTAGATCTCATTTTTTGCTGACACACAATTTGTAGCCGCAAATGCGTCAGTCAACAAAAATATTTTGAATTTTTTGAATTTCAACAAAATTCCACGTGTAAAAGCGGAGTGTCGTAGTTTTCTTTTTCGAACTTGATTTTCTGCAGATCGGATTACTGTAAAAACTTCATCTCACAAAAATGATATATATCACCAAAACTTTCTTCTAAACTCTTCAGGCACAAAATCACACAAATCTTCCGAACATCTCGAGAATCGAATCGTATTTTCACCATCACCACCACCAAATTCCACAACACATGCCTGATTTTCGTTGGGCAAAAAATCGGAGAGTTGTGTGAGAACTTGAGAGATCAGTCGAATTGCGGCTCCACCGTACCATTGTGATTGTTTTTGGAGTTGGGCGGTTTGAATTGAGGAGACCTGCGAATTGAGATTTCTTGTGTAAAAGCGGAGTGTCGTAGTTTCTGCTCACCCTCGTCACAATTCCCCGATCATCTCGATGTCCGACCACTAAATAATCGATAGCCACCAGAAAACTCTGCAACCACCACTTCAAACTTTTTGCACCAGCCGTCCAAAACCATCCACGTAAATCGCCTTTGTTGGTTTTGAGTTCCACATATTTGCCATCTCGATCCAAACAATCGATTTCGGCTGAGTAGAAGAGTTCGAGAGGTTGACGACGATTGGATTGAGAACTTTCCAGGGTGGTTCGAATGACGGTGGCGAATTCTTCGCGTGTTGAAACTGGTTGATTTGTGTCGGGAAGGTCCTGGAAAATTGGGAGTGTAAAGGCGGAGCGTCGTAGTTTTCGCCCCAAAATCACTCAAAAATCACCGCGTAAACGCGGAGCATCGTAGTTTTCGCTCACCATTCCATCATCCAACGTCATATACTGCTCAAATTTGTGTCCCCAATACGTCATATGTTTTTCCCTGTCCGTTTGCGCCTCCATTTTCCGCGTCTTGTCTTCCGTCTCCTCTTCGCACATAAAAACGACGCCATGAATGCGGAACGCGCGGAAACGCCACGTGTCATTTGCCGCGTAGACGGTCGCACCGATTTTAGTGAGCAATCCGCGCCACGTGAAAAATTCCGCACCGTGGAGAAGTTTCCGCAACCTTCCGCCTGCCGGCGCCATTTTTTCACACCATTTTTGAAGGATCTCGAGACGTTCACCCGGGTCTTTTGGGTCGAATGCGGAAAATCCCGCGTCGAGATCGAAATCAGGCGCGGAAGTGCCGCGCGGATTCCGCAGCGGAGTGTCGTTGAGATTTTTTGCAGCCATTCGACCGATTTGAATTGATCTGGAATGAAAATTTTGAATTTTCTGACTTAGTCATGTCAGGGCTCGGAAAATTCCGGGAATTTCAGATTTTCTAGAAAATTCTGCAATTTTTGAGCCCAAACATGACCTAGTTTCAACTGAATATTCTGAATTTTTTCAGAATTTTTGAAATTAATTTTGAATCTGAAACTAGTCATGTTTGATCTCAAAATGCTCGAAAAATTCCAGAAATTTCAGATTTTTGAGATAATTTAGAGCATTTTGACATCAAACATGATCATATTTAATTTCAAAAAAATCCCAGAAAAAATACGTTTCAAAAAATATTCGAATTTTTCAATGCAAAAATTGTTCTTGATATGTTTTTCACAAAGGAACCTCAAATCTTGAAATTTGTGTCTATGGACAGTTTTTGGAGTCATAAGAACACTCTAAAAATTCTAGAACCTCTGAGCCAAGTTCTGGGCTCTAAAAAGTTCAAAAAAGGCCTAAAATAGGTCCTTAAAATATTTTTTGTAAGTATCTGAAACTTTATTTCTTACAAGAATTATTTTAAGGACCTATTTTAGGCCTTTTTTGAACTTTTGAGAGCCCAGAACTTGGCTCAGAGGTCCAAAATTTTTTCGAGTGTTCTTATGACTCCAAAAACTGTCCATGGACAATTTTCATCAAGATTTGAAAAAAAAATGCCACGTGGCACAATTTTCTCCTCGCTCACCTATCTTTGTTCACAAAATACTCGCCAATAATTTGGGGTTTCGAAAAATAGGGAAATTTTTGAGACGTCAAAAATTGTTTATCGATTTTCAGCTCAATTGTGCTCATCTGGAAAAAAAAGCTGAAATTTTCAGATTTTTTTTCGACAAAAAAAAATCCACTGAAATTTCAGACTGAAAAAAATCTCAAAAATCAAACGGTCCAATTTTCAACCAAATTTTCAAAATCCAAAAAGTTTCAGAAAATCTTGAAAATTCATTTCACAAAAAAAATCGATAAAAAAATTTTTGAAAGCAAAAAAATTGGGAAAATTCGTGGGAAGGGAGGCTCTGATTTTAACATGAGCAATACCCGGCAAAAAATCAATAATATTTATAGGAGAGGAGAAAAAAAGAAAAAATAGATGCATAGGGCTAGAAATAGGGGGCTTTTTAGGCCTGGGCTTAAGGCCTAGTTGAAAGATTAGGCTTAGGCTTATCTAAGGCCAAATTTAGGGCCTTAAAAATAGGGTAAAAAATTAATGCATACAGGAAAGAAATAAGGGTATTTTTTGATAAGAAGGCTTTTAGGCCTAAAGCCCAAAAAAGCCTGAATCTGGGCCTAGAAAAACATATTTGTGAGAACATTGTATAAAAGGAAAGAAATAGGGGTATTCAAAGAATAAAACGAAAAATTGGATAAATTAGGCCATCGGGCTTCGGGCCGGGCCGATGGTCCAGGATAATTTATGGGCTTCGGTTCGATGGTCCAGGCCTCTCATCCCACGCCTTCATTTGTTCTAAAAAGCGGTTAAGTGGTGTGAGATAATGCACGGGATTTTTCTCATCGATGAACATGAGTTGGAGGTGTTTCAGATAGATTTCAGCGAGATTTTGGCTGAAAATTTTGGTGTGATAGGTGGAGATGAATTGGGTCATCATTGAGGATTTTCGAGTGGCTGAGGCTGGATTTGAGCGGTGACCGACGTCGGCGTAGAAGCTGCAAGAAAAACTACGATGCTCCGCGTTTACGGGGTGATTTTTGAGTGATTTTGGAGAAAACTACGATGCTCCGGGTTTACAGGGTGATTTTTAGCTTTAATTCGTTAAAAATTCAGGTTTTGAATAAGAAATTGCACCTTTCTGGGTGGTTTACTAAGCCTAAGCCTAATAAAAATGTTCCAAATTTCAAAAATGCACATTTTCAGCCTAATTTCCAAAAATCTGTCACTTATAATTTGCTAAAAATTTGTAATTTCAAAAAAAAAGGCTCAAAAATCCCGAAATGTCACCTTTCTAGGGGGTTTACTAAGCCTAAGCCTAGTATTTGTGAATATTTAGCTTTTTCCAACTTTTCCAGCTTTTCTCGAATTTTCCCAAAATCTAAGCTCCGCCTTTTTTTCGCACCTTGACTTTGGCGGTGCCTTTGATGCAAAAAATTTCGGGTTTTGACTTGATTTTAGTCTCGTTGGAATCAGGAGAATGCGAGGAATCGATTGCACTATATATCGGCTGATTTGGTTAAGTTTGAAGGGTAGAAAGGGTTGGTCAAAGTTAAGATACCATTTTCAAAGGCGGTAGGGTTGTAAAAGTCGGTGAGAGTGGCATCGTAAAAGGAAGGTGTGAAAATAGATGAGAGAGTGTGTAGGATAGAGAGACGCAGAGATAGAGAGAGTGGAATATGGGAAGATGGGACGGAAACGGGGGAAGGGAGAGAGAGAGAGAGAGACGCAGACAGACATAGAAAAAGGGGAAGGGGGAAGGGGGAATATGGTGAGAGTGGGGTGGTTGTAAATGACAGGTGTTAGGAGGAGAATATAGTTCCGATTTTCTATTTAACTTCTTTTTTATTTTTTATTTATTTATTTTGTAGTTGAAATTGTGTTGAAGTTCTTAAAGATTTTGAAATAATATTAGAATTTTTGAAAAATTCACAAAATTTCTGATTTTTTGGTATATTTTTGATAAAATTTGGAAAATGTTGAAAATTTGCCAAATACAGTACCCTTTGCAGTCTGGCTACAGTATACCTTGCAGTTCTGGAGCTACAGTAACCCTCGGGCTACCGTAATCTTTGCAGTCTGGGAATTACAGTATCCCCTAGACTACAGTACACATTGCAGTCCAAAATAGCCTCGAGCTACCGTAACCCTAATGTTACAGTATCCTTTGTAGTCTGGGGCTGTCAACTACAGTAATCATTGCAGGCGGAGGTTGTCAACTACAGTATTCCTTTGAGTTTGAGGTACAGTAATCCTTGCAGCCCAGACTCTACAGTAAGCCTTAGGCTACAATAAACTTGTAGATACAGTAATCCTTGTAGTTTGAAATAGCCCCAGGCTACCGTAATCCTTGTAATTTTGAGGTACAGTAACCCTGTGGCTACCGTAATCCTTACAGTCTCAAATCTGAAAGTTAAAAAATCACAAGTTTGTTGCCAAAATATCCGATCCTCCTAACACATTCCCCCTTCCGAGAAATAGTATGTAAAAATGAGAGACACATACACCATAAAACAGTCTTTTGACACCTTGGCTCAAAAAACGAGATAGTATATGAAAATAGGAGAGTATGGTTGTAAACTGTCATCTCTCGACTTGATATTTTACCTAATTTTTGAGAAAAAACAAAAAAATAAAAATTAATGTTCGCATGTGGAATTGAACTTGTCACCTTGAGATTCAAAAACCGTACGCTTACCACTGAACTATGTGTCTTTTTATTTGCAGACCACAAAATGTCTAATAAATAATTTTGAACAAGCAGACCATATGGTCTGCTGCATGCCAATGTAAAAATAAAAAGCAGCAGACCATTTGGTCTGCTGATTAATTTAAAAGCTGATTTGCTTTTAAATTGTTTTTTCTTTTTTTTCAATCATTTTTATATGTAAATCGTTATATTTTCAATTTGTTCTGTTGATTTTCATAATTCACAACTAGGTTGTAAAACACTTTTCAATATGACAAGTTCACGTGACTACCTGCCATGTCATAAATCGGTTGTAAATCTAAATAACCAATGTGTCTGTCTTGTTGTTTTTGTCTATTTTCTCTTCAAAATATGACAATCTGTCGGTTGTAAATCAAGTTTGACCCTGTTCCAACATCATCCTATTTTTGCACAAAATACATGATTTACAACCTACCTGTCATCCGGTTTTTGATAGGTCAACTCTTATTCAACACTTTTTATTTACTTCAACTTTTATTAATTCACTTAATTCATCTTTTTCCTTTTCAAAACCCTCGTTTTAATGCAAAAATTGCAAACAAAAATAAATATTTTCAAACACCCACGTTTTTCCAGTCCGCAATTGTGCGTCATATCACGTGTGTCGCCTGCCTGCCAACAATTATTTTTTCATTTTCGTTTTTTATGCGCCGCCCAACTCGTAAATGGTGCCAAATTGTGGCGATTTCGATGAAATCCGGTCAGTTTTTTAGGGTTTTCATGAAGTTTGAGTGAAATTTCACTAGATTTTATTGATTTTTCATGAAAATATCGATTTTTTCAGGTTATTTCCATCAAAAATCAATTTTTTGATGGAAAATCAACAATTCGATGGTGAAAGGAGCAATTTGATGTGAATAAAAGTAAGTTGAGATTATTTGAAAATAGAATATTGAATTCCAATGAAAGTTATTGATTTTTCCAGGTTTTTCCACCAAAAACCGATTTTTTTTGGTGGAAATCGATGATTTCTGGATATTCGACTTGAATTCCAATCATTAAAGTGAGTTAAAATAAAACAAAAAAATAGGAAGAAGAAGAAAAAGGGGGAGATGACCTAGGTCAATAACTTCCCAAAAACCCGACTTGTCACATGTCAATTTTTGGTAGTTAGGTCATCTCTCTAAACCACGCCCCCCTCTTCCCCCTTCCTCCCATTTTCTAGTCATTCTATTAATATTTCCCTTTTCACTATTCACTTTTCTATTTATTTTTTTTGCAGTTCAATCAATTGCATCAACATGATTGGGACAAATATGCAAATGTAAGTTCATTTTTCGAAATTTTTATTTAAAATTTAGAAGAAAACATGAATTTTTGCAGATTTCGATGGACAAAACAACAATTGGACACGGTATTTTGAGGGAAATGTAAGTATTTTGGGGTGGTTTAGGGGAAAAATCAAATAATATTATGAAAATCTGAAAGTTTCAGCTTTTCCTGAACCCGAAACCTTGAAATTTGAAAATTCAAGGTTTTGGGGGAGGGAAAAGGGTGAAATTTCAGCTAAAAATCTAAAATTTTAAAGAAAACAAAACCTAGAACCTAGGTTTCAAGCCTGAATTTTGAGAAAAAGCTCAAATTTCAGGCCTGAAGCCTGAGAAATCTCAGATTTCAAGCCTGAAGCCTGAAAAACCTCAGGTTTCAGGTCTGGAATCTGGAAAATCTCAGAGATCAAGCCTGGAATTTGAGAAAAATCTCAAATTTCAGGCCTGAAGCCTGAAAATTCTGGAAGAAGCCCCAAATTTCTAGAAAAATCTAAATTTTTGGGCCCGAATTTGGCCTGAAGCCTGAAAAACCTCAAATTTCAAGTTTGAAGCCTGAGAAATCTCAGATTTTAGGCCTGAAATTAAAATTTTAGTAAAATTTAGTAGAAACATGAATTTTTGCAGATTTTCGGTGGACAAAACAACAATCGAATGAATTGGACACGGGATTTGGAGTGAAATGTAAGTATTTTGGGGTGGTTTTGGGCAAAAATTAAATAATATGGAGAAGTTTCAGCTTTTCCTGAACCCGAAACCTTGAAATTTGAAAATTCAAGGTTTTGGGCGAGGGAAAAGCTGGAATTTCAGATTAAAATCCTAAAATTTCGAAGAAAACACCCTAGAACCTAGGTTTGAAGCCTGAAATTCGAGAAAAAGCTCAAATTTCAGACCTGAAGCCTGAGAAGTCTCAGATTTCAAGCCTGAAGCCTGAGAAATCTCCGATTTCAAGCCTGAAATTTTGAGAAAAAGCTCAGATTTCAAGCCTGAAGCCTGAGAAATCCCAGGTTTCAGGTTTGGAATCTGAAAATTCTGGAAAAACCCCCAAATTTCGACAAAAATGTGCATTTTCGACCAAATTTCGATAAAAATATGAATTTTCGACCAAATTTTGAGAAAAATCTGAATTTTGGGCCGAATCAGGTCAAATTTCGAGAAAAATCTAAATTTCTGGGCCCGAATTAGGCCTGAAGCCCGAAAAACCTCAGATTGTGTCTGAAGCCTGAAATTTACTAAAAAAAGCCCAAAATTCAAGTAAAAAGCCAAAACTTTAAGAAACATTCAAATTTCTAGGCCGTGAGCCCAAATTTTGAGAAAAATCGAAATGTTCAGGCCCGAATCGGGCCAAATTTCGATAAAAAGCCCAAAAATTCTTAAAATTTAGGAATTCAGCTAAATTTTCAAAAATAATTTTAAAACTTCCAAAATTTTTCAAATTTCAACTTTTTTTTTTCAGAAATTGGCAGTTTTCGAAGAAAAACAACAAAAATGGACAAATCGAGGATTAAAAGGTCAGTTTTTTGAAATTTTCTTAAAAAATACCAAGCTCGCGGAATTTTCCGCGTGTTGTCCGCGCGGCATTTCAAGTTAAGAAAAGTTTCCTAATTTTAAGGCTTAGGCTTAGTTAACGCCTAGTAAAAACTGCGGATTTTCGAGAAATTCACGCGAATTGTGTCGCAGAAATTCAATTTTTACGATTTTCCGCGAGCTTTCCGCGCGGAAACCGGATCTTTGAGAAAATTCAAATAATTCCTGATTTTAAGGCTTAGGCTTAGTTAGTTACCACAAAAAACTGGGAAATTTAGAGAAATTTGCTATTTTGCGCTGTAAATTCCCGATTTTCCGCGAGCTTTCCGCGCGGAAAGCTGTTCTCCGGTAAAACATTATTTCTCCTGATATTTAGGCTTAGGCTTAGTTATCGCCTAGAGAAAACTGCAAAATTTATAAGAAATTCGCGTGAACCGTGCTGCAGAATTTCAATTTTTGGGATTTTCCGCGTTCTTTCCGCGCGGAAACCGGATTTTTGAGAACACTTGATTGTTTCATAATTTTTAGGCTTAGGCTTAGTTAGTTCCTAGAGAAAACCACGAAATTTTCAAGAAATTCGCAGAATTCCATTTTTTTTAACGGCTTTCCGCGTGTTTCCGCGCGGAAACCGGATCTTTGAGAAAACTTGATTGTTTCCTGATTTTAAGGCTTAGGCTTAGTCATCGCCTAGTAAAAACTGCAAAATTTTAAGAAATTCGCGTGAACCGTGCTGCAGAATTTCAATTTTTGGGATTTTCCGCATTCTTTCCGCGCGGAAGCCTGATATTTGAGAAAACATGAGAAATTCCTAATTTTGAAGCTTAGGCTTAGTTATCGCCTAGAAAAAACTGCAAATTTTCGAGAAATTTGCGATTTTGCGCGGAAAATTACCCGATGTTCCGCGTCCTTTCCGCGCGGACACCTTATTTTAGCTGATGTTTCTGTTTTTTCAATTTTGTGCAAAAAATGTATTTTTTGCAGATTTGCTGAGTCGCCAACACACAAAAATCGACGGAATCTTGTTAAAAAATGTTGAATTTTTGTAATAAATTGTTTTTTCAGTCTGAGTACTGTAGTCAATTAGAACTTGATTTTCTGCAGTTCGGATTACTGTAAATTTGACCATCAAAAACTTTATATCACCAAAACTTTGTTCTAAACTCTTCAGGTACAAAATCACACAAATCTTCCGAACATCTCGAGAATCGAATCGTATTTTCACCAGTTCCACCACCAAATTCCACAACACACGCCTGATTTTCGTTGGGCAAAAAATCGGAGAGTTGTGTGAGAACTTGAGAGATCAGTCGAATTGCGGCTCCACCGTACCATTGTGATTGTTTTTGGAGTTGGGCGGTTTGGATTGAGGAGACCTGCGAATTGAGATTTCTTGTGTAAAAGCGGAGTATCGTAGTTTGTTTTTCTAGCTACTCACCCTCGTCACAATTCCCCGATCATCTCGATGTCCGACCACTAAATAATCGATAGCCACCAGAAAACTCTGCAACCACCACTTCAAACTTTTTGCACCCGCCGTCCAAAACCATCCACGTAAATCGCCTTTGTTGGTTTTGAGTTCCACATATTTGCCATCTCGATCCAAACAATCGATTTCGGCTGAGTAGAAGAGTTCGAGAGGTTGACGACGATTGGGTTGAGAACTTTCCAGGGTGGTTCGGATGACGGTGGCGAATTCTTCGCGTGTTGAAACTGGTTGAGTTGTATCGGGAAGGTCCTGGAAAATGTGAGCGTAAAAGCGGAGCATCGTAGTTTCCATCAAAATCACTCAAAAATCACCGCGTAAACGCGGAGCGTCGTAGTTTTCGCTCACCATTCCATCATCCAACGTCATATACTGCTCAAATTTGTGTCCCCAATACGTCATATGTTTTTCCCTGTCCGTCTGCGCCTCCATTTTCCGCGTCTTGTCCTCCGTCTCCTCTTCGCACATAAAAACGACGCCATGAATGCGGAACGCGCGGAAACGCCACGTGTCACCGCTTCCCGCGTAGACGGCGGCACCGATTTTGGTGAGCAATCCGCGCCACGTGAAAAACTCGGCACCGTGGAGAAGTTTCCGCAACCTTCCGCCTGCCGGCGCCATTTTTTCACACCATTTTTGGAGGATTTCGAGACGTTCACCCGGGTCTTTGGGGTCGAATGCGGAATAGCCGGCGTCGAGATCGAAATTGGGCGCGGAAGTGCCGCGCGGATTCCGCAGCGGAGTGTCGTTGAGATTTTTTGCCGCCATTCGACCGATTTGAATTGATCTGCGAGATGAAAATTTGAATTTTGAAATTTTTCAGAAAAAATTGCTCATATTAAACTCAAAAATTCAGAATTTCTTCAGAAAATCCAAGCATTGCTCATATTAAACTCAAAAATTCAAATTTCAGGTTAAAAACCTTGAAATTTCCAACTTTTCCATCAGAAAATCATGAATTTTTCAAATTTTGCCACGTGGCAAAATATTTCATAAGCTCACCTATCTTTGTTCACAAAATACTCGCCAATTATTTGGGGTTTCGAAAAATAGGGAAATTTTTGCGCGGTCAAAAATTGTTTGTCGATTTTCAGCTCAATTGTGCTCATCTGGAAAAAATTTCAGATTTTTTCAGGCCGCAAATAAAAACCACAAAAATCAAACGGTCCAATTTTCAACCAAATTTTCAAAATCCAACAAAAAAATTTCAGAAAAAATTCATTTTTTCACACAAAAAAAATCATTAAAAAATTTTTGAAAGCAAAAAAAAATTGGGAAAAATTCGTGGGAAGGGAGGCTCTGATTTTAACATGAGCAATACCCGGAAAAAAATCAATAATATTTATAGGAGAGGAGAAAAAAAGGAAAAAATAGGTGCATAAAACAGGTTTCAAAAATATTTCGGGCTAGAATTTGGGGGCCTTTTTAGGCCTGAGCTTAGGCTTAAGGCCTAGTTGAAAGATTAGGCTTAGGCTTATCTCAGGCCAAATTTAGGGCCTTAAAAATAGGGTAAAAAATTCATGAATACAGGAAAGAAATAGGGGTATTTTGTGATAAGAAGGCTTTTAGGCCTAAAGCCCAAAAAAGCCTGAATTTGGGCCTAGAAAAACATATTTGTGAGAACATTGTATAAAATGAAAGAAATAGGGGTATTCAAAGAATAAAACACAAAAATTGGATAAATTAGGCCATCGGGCTTCGGGCCGTGGGTCCAGGATAATTTATGGGCTTCGGTTCGATGGTCCAGGCCTCTCATCCCACGCCTTCATTTGTTCTAAAAAGCGGTTAAGTGGTGTGAGATAATGCACGGGATTTTTCTCATCGATGAACATGAGTTGGAGGTGTTTCAGATAGATTTCAGCCAGGTTTTGGCTGAAAATTTTGGTGTGGTAGGTGGAGATGAATTGGGTCATCATTGAGGATTTGCGAGTGGCTGAGGCTGGATTTGTGCGGTGACCGGCGTCGGCGTAGAAGCTGCAAGAAAAACTACGATGTTACGCGTTTACGGGGTGATTTTTGAACTTTAATTCTTTAAAAATCCAAGTTTTGAATAAGAAATTGCACCTTTCTGGGTGGTTTACTAAGCTTTTTGATGGAAACTACGATGCTCCAGGTTTACAGGGTGGTTTTTGAGTGATTTTGGAGAAAACTACGATGCTCCAGGTTTACAGGGTGATTTTTGATGAAAACTACGATGCTCCAGGTTTACAGGGTGATTTTTGGAGAAAACTACGATGCTCCGGGTTTACAGGGTTATTTTTAGCTTTAATTCTTTAAAAATTCAAGTTTTTGGATGGGAATTGCATCTTTCTAGGGGGTTTACTAAGCCTAAGCCTAATGAAAATGTTGAAATTTCAAAAATGCACATTTTCAGCCTAATTTCCAAAAATCTGGCACTAAAAGTTTGCTAAAATAGGAAAATTTCAAAAAATCGCTCAAAAATCCCGAAAATCCACCTTTCTAGGGGGTTTACTAAGCCTAAGCCTAATGAAAATGTTGAAATTTCAAAAATGCACATTTTCAGCCTAATTTCCAAAAAATCTGGCACTAAAAGTTTGCTAAAATAGGAAAATTTCAAAAAATCGCTCAAAAATCCCGAAAATCCACCTTTCTAGGGGGTTTACTAAGCCTAAGCCTAATGAAAATGTTGAAATTTCAAAAATGCACATTTTCAGCCTAATTTCCAAAAATCTGGCACTAATAATTTTCTAAAATAGGAAAATTTCAAAAAATCGCTCAAAAAATCCCGAAAATCCACCTTTCTAGGGGGTTTACTAAGCCTAAGCCTAGAATTTGTGAATATTTTTGGTTTTAAAAAATTTCACAACTTTTCCAGCTTTTCTCGAATTTTCCCAAAATCTAAGCTCCGCCTTTTTTTCGCACCTTGACTTTGGCGGCGCCTTTGATGCAAAAAATTTCGGGTTTTTACTGGATTTTAGTCTCGTTGAAATCAGAAGAATGCGAGGAATCGATTGAACTATATATCGGCTGATTTGGTTGAGTTTGAAGGGTAGAAAGGGTTAGTCAAAGTTAAGATACCCTTTTCAAAGGCGGTAGGGTTGTAAAAGTCGGTGAGAGTGGCATCGTAAAAGGAAGGTGTGAAAATAGATGAGAGAGTGTGTAGGATAGAGAGACGCAGAGATAGAGAGAGTGGAATATGGGAAGATGGGACGGAAACGGGGGAAGGGAGAGAGAGAGAGAGACGCAGACAGACATAGAAAAAGGGGAAGGGGGAATATGGTGAGAGTAGGGTGGTTGTAAATGACAGGTGTTAGGAGGAGAATATAGTTCCGATTTTCTATTTAACTTCTTTTTATTTTTTATTTATTTATTTTGTAGTTGAATTTGTGTTGAAGTTCTTAAAGATTTTGAAATAATATTAGAATTTTTGAAAAATTCACGAAATTTCTGATTTTTTGGTATATTTTTCATAAAATTTGGAAAATGTTGAAAATTTGCCAAATACAGTACCCTTTGCAGTCTGGCTACAGTATACCTTGCAGTTCGGGACCTACAGTAACCCTCGGGCTACCGTAATCTTTGCAGTCTGGGAATTACAGTATCCCCTAGACTACAGTACACATTGCAGTCCAAAATAGCCTCGAGCTACCGTAACCCTAATGTTACAGTATCCTTTGTAGTCTGGGGCTGTCAACTACAGTATCCCTTGCAGTCTGGGGTTGTCAACTACAGTATTCCTTTGAGTTTGAGGTACAGTAATCCTTGCAGCCCAGACTCTACAGTAAGCCTGAGGATACAGTAAACTTGTAGATACAGTAATCCTTGTAGTTTGAAATAGCCCCAGGCTACCGTAATCCTTGTAGTTTTGAGGTACAGTAACCCTGTGGCTACCGTAATCCTTACAGTCTCAAATCTGAAAGTTAAAAAATCACAAGTTTGTTGTCAAAATATCCGATCCTCCTAACACATTCCCCCTTCCGAGAAATAGTATATAAAAATGAGAGAGACATACACCATAAAACAGTCTTTTGACACGTTGGCTCAAAAAACGAGATAGTATGTGAAAATAGGAGAGTATGGTTGTAAACTGTCATCTCTCGACTTGATATTTTACCTAATTTTTGAGAAAAAACAAAAAAATAAAAATAAAAGTTCGCATGTTGAATTGAACTTGTCACCTTGTGATTCGAAAACCGTACGCTTACCACTGAACTATTTGTCTGTATATGAGCAGACCACAAAATGTCTAATAAATAATTTTGAACAAGCAGACCATATGGTCTGCTGCATGCCAGTGTTAAAATAAAAAACAGCAGACCATATGGTCTGCTGCAAATTAAAATCTTTTATTTTTTTCAATTCTTCTAACTTTTTAATTGATTTTATTTAAATTTTTAAAGTGATTTTCATAATTCACAACTAGGTCAAAGGTTGTAAAACACTTTTCAATATGACAAGTTCACGTGACTACCTGCCATGTCATAAATCGGTTGTAAATCTAAATAACCAATGTGTCTGTCTTGTTGTTTTTATCTATTTTCTTTTCAAAATATGACAATCTGTCGGTTGTAAATCAAGTTTGACCCTGTTCCAACATCATCCTATTTTTGCACAAACCATTTGATTTACAACCTACTTGTCATCCGGTTTTTGATAGGTCAACTCTTATTCAACACTTTTTATTTACTTCAACTTTTATTAATTCAATTTCTTTATCTTTTCCTTTTCAAAACCCTCGTTTTAATGCAAAAATTGCAAACAAAAATAAATATTTTCAAACACCCACGTTTTTCCAGTCCGCAATTGTGCGTCATATCACGTGTGTCGCCTGCCTGCCAACAATTATTTTTTCATTTTCGTTTTTTATGCGCCGCCCAACTCGTAAATGGTGCCAAATTGTGGCGATTTCGATGAAATCCGGTCAGTTTTTTAGGGTTTTCATGAAGTTTGAGTGAAATTTCACTAGATTTTATTGATTTTTCATGAAAATATCGATTTTTTCAGGTTATTTCCATCAAAAATCAATTTTTTGATGGAAAATCAACAATTCGATGGTGAAAGGAGCAATTTGATGTGAATAAAAGTAAGTTGAGATTATTTGAAAATAGAATATTGAATTCCAATGAAAGTTATTGATTTTTCCAGGTTTTTCCACCAAAAACCGATTTTTTTGGTGGAAATCGATGATTTCTGGATGTTCGACTTGAATTCCAATCATTAAAGTGAGTTAAAATAAAAACAAAAAAATAGGAAGAAGAAGAAAAAGGGGGAGATGACCTAGGTCAATAACTTCCCAAAAACCCGACTTGTCACATGTCAATTTTTGGTAGTTAGGTCATCTCTCTAAACCACGCCCCCCTCTTCCCCCTTCCTCCCATTTTCTAGTCATTCTATTAATATTTCCCTTTTCACTATTCACTTTTCTATTTATTTTTTTTGCAGTTCAATCAATTGCATCAACATGATTGGGACAAATATGCAAATGTAAGTTCATTTTTCGAAATTTTTATTTAAAATTTAGAAGAAAACATGAATTTTTGCAGATTTCGATGGACAAAACAACAATTGGACACGGTATTTTGAGGGAAATGTAAGTATTTTGGGGTGGTTTAGGGGAAAAATCAAATAATATTATGAAAATCTGAAAGTTTCAGCTTTTCCTGAACCCGAAACCTTGAAATTTGAAAAATTCAAGGTTTTGGGGGAGGGAAAAGGGTGAAATTTCAGCTAAAAATCTAAAATTTTAAAGAAAACAAAACCTAGAACCTAGGTTTCAAGCCTGAATTTTGAGAAAAAGCTCAAATTTCAGGCCTGAAGCCTGAGAAATCTCAGATTTCAAGCCTGAAGCCTGAAAAACCTCAGGTTTCAGGTCTGGAATCTGGAAAATCTCAGAGATCAAGCCTGGAATTTGAGAAAAATCTCAAATTTCAGGCCTGAAACTTCCCTGAAAATTCTGGAAGAAGCCCCAAATTTCTAGAAAAATCCAAATTTTCGACCAAATTTCGAGAAAAATCTAAATTTTTGGGCCCGAATTTGGCCTGAAGCCTGAAAAACCTCAAATTTCAAGTTTGAAGCCTGAGAAATCTCAGATTTTAGGCCTGAAATTAAAATTTTAGTAAAATTTATTAGAAACATGAATTTTTGCAGATTTCGGCGGACAAAACAACAATCGAATGATTGGACACGGGATTTGGAGTGAAATGTAAGTATTTTGGGGTGGTTTAGGGCAAAAATCAAAAAATATGGAGAAAATCTGAAAGTTTCAGCTTTTCCTGAACCCAAATCCTTGAAATTTGAAAATTCAAGGTTTTGGAGGAGGGAAAAGCTGAAATTTCAGCTAAAAACCTAAAATTTTGAAGAAAACACCATAGAACCTAGGTTTCAAGGCTGAAATTTGAGAAAAATCTCAAATTTCAGGCCTGAAGCCTGAGAAATCTTAAATTTGAGAAAAAGCTCAGATTTCAGGCCTGAAGCCTGAGAAATCTCAGATTTCGAGGTTGAAGCCTGAAAATTCTGGAAAAACCCCAAATTTCGAGAAAAATCTAAATTTTCTACCAAATTTCGAGAAAAATCTAAATTTTCAACCAAATTTCGAGAAAAATCTAAATTTTCTACCAAATTTCGAGAAAAATCTAAATTTCTGGGCCCGAATTAGGCCTGAAGCCCGAAAAACCTCAGATTGTAAGCCTAAGCCCAAATTTCAAGTAAAAAGCCCAAATTTCAAGTAAAAGCCCAAATTTCAAGTGAAAAGCCCAAGATTCAAGTAAAAAGCCCAAATTTCAAGTGAAAAGCTCACAATTCAAGTAAAAAGCCCAAACTTTAAGAAACATTCAAATTTCTAGGCCGTGAGCCCAAATTTTGAGAAAATCCGAAATGTTCAGGCCCGAAGCCTGAAATTTCTGAAAAAAAACCCCAAATTTCTAGAAAAATGTGAATTTTCGACCAAATTTCGAGAAAAATCTGAATTTCTGGTCCGAATCGGGCCAAATTTCGATAAAAAGCCCAAAAATTCTTAAAATTTAGGAATTCAGCTAAATTTTCAAAAATAATTTTAAAACTCCCAAAATTTTTCAAATTTCAACTTTTTTTTTTCAGAAATTGGCAGTTTTCGAAGAAAAACAACAAAAATGGACAAATCGAGGATTAAAGGTCAGTTTTTTGAAATTTTCTTAAAAAATACCAAGCTCGCGGAATTTTCCGCGTGTTGTCCGCGCGGCATTTCAAGTTAAGAAAAGTTTCCTGATTTTAAGGCTTAGGCTTAGTTAGTTACCACAAAAAACTGCGAAATTCTGAGAAATTTGCGATTTTGCGTTGAAAATTACCAGATTTTCCGCGAGCTTTCCGCGCGGAAAGCTGTTCTCCGGTAAAACATTATTTTTCCTGATATTTAGGCTTAGGCTTAGTTATCGCCTAGAGAAAACTGCAAAATTTATAAGAAATTCGCGTGAACCGTGCTGCAGAATTTCAATTTTTGGGATTTTCCGCGTTCGTTCCGCGCGGAAACCGGATTTTTGAGAAAACTTGAGTAATTCCTAATTTTTAGGCTTAGGCTTAGTTAACGCATAGAAAAAACATCAAAAATTTGAGAAATTTGCGATTTTGCGCGAGAAATTACCCGATTTTCCGCGTCCTTTCCGCGCGGACACTTTATTTTAGCTGATGTTCCTGTTTTTTCGATTTTGTGCAAAAAAAATGTATTTTTTCAGATTTGCTGAGTCGCCAACACACAAAAATCGACGGAATCCTTGATTTTTGTTGAAAAATGTTGAATTTTTGTAATAAATTGTTTTTTTTTTCAGTCTGAGTACTGTAGTCAATTGATTTTTTGCAGTTCGGATTACTGTAAATCCAAATTTCGGATTTCTAGGCCATGAGGTTCTGTTTTTCTCTGAATCCCTAGGAAATGGCCTAGAAAACCAAAACCATTTTGTTTTTGGATTTCTAGGCCATTTTCTAAAGTGTCTCAATTATATTTGCAAATGCCACGTGTCAACGCGGAGTGTCGTAGTTTTTCATATATTTTTCTTGGAACCGAAATTGCCACGTCATATAGCTCCACAAATTTCTTTCAAAACTACGACACTCCGCTTTGACAAGGCAGACTCCGCGTTTCGTTTTTTTGCTTGTAACTACGACACTCCACCTTGACACCCGTCAAATTTTTGCAGCAATTGGTTTGTGCCGATCAGTGTTTTCTACATGTGCACAGGTTTGGCGATTTCCACAATTGCACTTGACATCGGATCAATCTACGTTCGAAAATTGCACTTCATCGGAAAAAAGATCAAGAATATTGCGAATATTCGAATTTGGTTTGGCGCCAGGAAGTGAGTTGTTTTTTGGCGGGTGTAAACGCGGAGCATCGTAGTTTCTTCTTCATTACACTTTGAAACGTAAAAAATCCCTGATCCTCCAGCTAGGATTTCAAATAAACAACGATGCTCCGCGTTTACACATTAACCCCTGATCTTTTCAGCTTGGAAGTTCGAGAGCTGATCACAGCCGTCGGTCAAAACATCGGTATCGATCAGAATGTGATAGCCGACATTGATATCGATACATTGGTCAAGACTGCGATTCAAGTGAAATTGGGAAGATTGTCACGAGTTCCGCAAACTCATATGATTGTTGAGGAATTTGGCCGCCTGAATTGGTGCCGTTGTTTATGAAGGTAGGGGTGGAATTGCGGAGCATCGTTGTAGTTCTCAATTTTTTTCCCCAGGACGGACAATTTCCGCTGTTCGTCGATTCGGAAGATGATCTTCGAGATCTCAAACAACCTCCGCCACCCAAAAAAGGCACACAATTCGTAGGGGCTCAAGATTGACGCAATTTTTGTAGATCCCATTTTTTTTGCTGGCACACAATTTGTAGCCGCGAATGCGTCAGTCAACAAAAATATTTTGAATTTTTTGAACAAAATTCCACGCGTAAAAGCGGAGTGTCGTAGTTTTTGCGAAGTTCGGATTACTGTAGAAACTTCATCTCACAAAAATGATATATATCACCAAAACTTTGTTCTAAACTCTTCAGGCACAAAATCACACAAATCTTCCGAACATCTTGAGAATCGAATCGTATTTTCACCATCACCACCAAATTCCACAACACACGCCTGATTTTCGTTGGGCAAAAAATCGGAGAGTTGTGTGAGAACTTGAGAGATCAGTCGAATTGCGGCTCCACCGTACCATTGTGATTGTTTTTGGAGTTGGGCGGTTTGGATTGAGGAGACCTGCGAATTTTGAAATTCCCGCCAAAAACACACACAAAAATCCACGTGTAAAAGCGGAGTATCGTTGTATTCGCTCACCCTCGTCACAATTCCCCGATCATCTCGATGTCCGATCACTAAATAATCGATAGCCACCAGAAAACTCTGCAACCACCACTTCAAACTTTTTGCACCAGCCGTCCAAAACCATCCACGCAAATCGCCTTTGTTGGTTTTGAGTTCCACATATTTTCCATCTCGATCCAAACAATCGATTTCGGCTGAGTAGAAGAGTTCGAGAGGTTGACGATTTGGTTGAGAACTTTCCAGGGTGGTTCGGATGACGGTGGCGAATTCTTCGCGTGTTGAAACTGGTTGAGTTGTGTTGGGAAGATCCTGGAAAATTGGGGGTGTAAACGCGGATCATCGTAGTTTTCATCAAAATCACTCAAAAATCACCGCGTAAACACGGAGCATCGTAGTTTTCATCAAAATCACTCAAAAATCACCGCGTAAACGCGGAGCATCGTAGTTTTCGCTCACCATTCCATCATCCAACGTCATATACTGCTCAAATTTGTGTCCCCAATACGTCATATGTTTTTCCCTATCCGTTTGCGCCTCCATTTTCCGCGTCTTGTCTTCCGTCTCCTCTTCGCACATAAAAACGACGCCATGAATGCGGAACGCGCGGAAACGCCACGTGTCATTTGCCGCGTAGACGGCGGCACCGATTTTGGTGAGCAATCCGCGCCACGTGAAAAATTCCGCACCGTGGAGAAGTTTCCGCAACCTTCCGCCTGCCGGCGCCATTTTTTCACACCATTTTTGAAGGATTTCGAGACGTTCACCCGGGTCTTTTGGGTCGAATTCGGAAAATCCCGCGTCGAGATCGAAATTGGGCGCGGAAGTGCCGCGCGGATTCCGCAGCGGAGTGTCGTTGAGATTCTTTGCCGCCATTCGACCGATTTGAATTGATCTGGAATGAAAATTTGTTTTTTCTTCAGAAAATCCAAGCATTGCTCATATTAAACTCAAAAATCCAAATTTTCAGGTTAAAAACCTTGAAATTTCCAGTTTTTTCATCAGAAAATCATGAATTTTTCAAATTTTGGCGCCAAATTTTGCCACGTGGCACTATTTTCGCAGAAGTTCCTCACTCACCTATCTTTGTTCACAAAATACTCTCCAATAATTTGGGGTTTCGAAAAATAGGGAAATTTTTGCGCGGTCAAAAATTGTTTGTCGATTTTCAGCTCAATTGTGCTCATCTGGAACAAAAAATTTGAATTTCAAATTTTTTCAGGCCGCAAAAAATTCTCTGAAATTTCAGGCCGCAAAAAAAACCACAAAAATCAAACGGTCCAATTTTCAACCAAATTTTCAAAAAATAAAAAATCAACAAAAAAAATTTCAGAAAAAATTCATTTTTTCACACAAAAAAAATCAATAAAAAATTTTGAAAGCAAAAAAATTGGGAAAATTCGTGTGGGAAGGGAGGCTCTGATTTTAACATGAGCAATACCCGGAAAAAATCAATAATATTTATGGGAGAGGAGAAAAAAAAGAAAAAATAGGTGCATAAAACAGCCTAAAAAAATTTCGGGCTACAATTGGGGGCTTTTTAGGCCTGGGCTTAGGCTTAAGGCCTAGTTGAAAGATTAGGCTTAGGCTTATCTAAGGCCAAATTTAGGGCCTTAAAATAGGGTAAAAATTCATGAATACAGGAAAGAAATAAGGGTATTTTGTGATAAGAAGGCTTTTTGGATAAAGCCCAAAAAAGCCTGAATCTGGGCCTAGAAAAAAAAATTTTGAGAACATTGTAAAAAAGGAAAGAAATAGGGGTATTCAAAGAATAAAACGAAAAATTGGATAAATTAGGCGTTCGGGCTTCGGGCCGATGGTCCAGGATAATTTATGGGCTTCGGTTCGATGGTCCAGGCCTCTCATCCCACGCCTTCATTTGTTCTAAAAAGCGGTTAAGTGGTGTGAGATAATGGATGGGATTTTTCTCATCGATGAACATGAGTTGGAGGTGTTTCAGATAGATTTCAGCCAGATTTTGGCTGAAAATTTTGGTGTGATAGGTGGAGATGAATTGGGTCATCATTGAAGATTTGCGAGTGGCTGAGGCTGGATTTGTGCGGTGACCGGCGTCGGCGTAGAAGCTGCAAGAAAAACTACGATGCTCCTCGTTTACGCGGTGATTTTTGAATGATTTTTGGAGAAAGCTACGATGCTCCACGTTTACGCGGTGATTTTTGGAGAAAACTACGATGCTCCACGTTTACGCGGTGATTTTTGAGTGATTTTGGAGAAAACTACGATGCTCCGCGTTTACAGGGTGGTTTTTGGAGAAAACTACGATGTTCCGGGTTTACGCGGTGATTTTTGAGTGATTTTGGAGAAAACTACGATGCTCCAGGTTTACAGGGTGATTTTTGGAGAAAACTACGATGCTCCAGGTTTACAGGGTGGTTTTTGGAGAAAACTACGATGCTCCAGGTTTACAGGGTGGTTTTTGGAGAAAACTACGATGCTCCAGGTTTACAGGGTGGTTTTTGGAGAAAACTACGATGCTCCAGGTTTACAGGGTGATTTTTGGAGAAAACTACGATGCTCCAGGTTTACAGGGTGGTTTTTGGAGAAAACTACGATGCTCCAGGTTTACAGGGTGATTTTTGGAGAAAACTACGATTATCCAGGTTTACAGGGTGATTTTTGGAGAAAACTACGATTATCCAGGTTTACAGGGTGATTTTTGGAGAAAACTACGATGCTCCACGCTTACGTGGCAAAAAATTGGCGGCAAAATTCAAATTTTCGAAATTTGAACATTTCCGCGTGCAAAAATTGCAAAAAAACCGAATTTTTCGGTTAAAAATTGCAAAAAACTCAAATTTCCCGCCCAAAAAAACCCACCATCTCAACAAAAAATCATATTTGATTTGGACAATCGGATCAAAATGCAAACATCCTTCGACGGGAATCGCAAATCCTTCAATATCCAAATCGATTCCACCATTTTCAGCGGGCACGGCAAGTTGATTCAGATTTTTGTCGGCTTTCGGCTCATTTCCAGTTGGTTGCGGCTGCAAAAACGGTCATTTTTGATGAAAAATTCACGAAAAACACAGTATTGCTCATATTAAACTCTGAAATTTAGCGAAAAAACCTAAATTTCTTCAGAAAATCCAAGCATTGCTCATATTAAACTCAAAAAATCCTAAATTTCTTCAGAAAATCCAAGCATTGCTCATATTAAACTCAAAAATTCCAAATTTCTTCAGGAAATCCAAGAATTGCTCATATTAAACTCAAAAATCCCAAATTTCTTCAGGAAATCCAAGCATTGCTCATATTAAACTCAAAAATTCAGAATTTCTTCAGAAAATCCAAGCATTGCTCATATTAAACTCAAAAATTCAGAATTTCTTCAGGAAATCCACGCATTTCTCATATTAAACTCAAAAATTCAGAATTTCTTCAGGAAATCCAAGCATTGCTCATATTAAACTCAAAAATTCAGAATTTCTTCAGAAAATCCAAGCATTGCTCATATTAAACTCAAAAATTCAGAATTTCTTCAGGAAATCCAAGCATTGCTCATATTAAACTCTGGATTTTTCTAGATTGCTCATATTACTAAAAATCTCAATTTTCAGGTTAAAAACCTTGAAATTTCCCGTTTTTTCATCAGAAAATCATGAATTTTTCAAATTTTTCACTTAAAAACTCACTTTTCTCACAACTCCCGCCCGTTTTGCTCCCTTTTTTCGTCGTTTTCGACTTTCCTCTTTTCGAACTTCCTCAATTGCTTCGATTTGTTTTTGACGATATAGGATAACTTGTTCTTTATCGAGTTGGAAATTTTCGACTTTGAATTCCGAATTTTCTGGATCATGTGATTCGAAATTGGAGAGAAACTGGAAAAAATTGAGAAATTTGGGGGATTTTTGAGCGAAAAATCGCGAATTTTCATGATCTACAACATTAGATACTCAGTTAACGCTCAAATTGGCTGCGTACCACATTAGATACTCAGCCAAATTTAAACATCAAAATATGGCTTGTTTAGTATCAAAATTCTGCATTTTTCATGATCTACAACATTAGATACTCAGTTAACGTTTGAAAATTGGCTGCGTACCCCACAACTCACCTCCTCTCTCAAAAAAATCCCATTCAACACTGCCGAATTCTCTCTGGGCATGCTCGTCTCAAAAACTCGCTGTTCCGCTTCCGCTTCCGCTTCTTTCCGCGACAGTGACGCCCCCAAAAACTTCTCACACAACACCTTCAATCGATTGTCTTTTTGTGGCTCCTCCTCCTCCTCTTCCGCTTCCGCTTGTGTTCCGCGCGGCGTCGGCTTCTTTTCCGGCGAGACATGCGCACGTTTCCGCAAGCTCGGACCATCCGCAGACATTTTCGGCAAAGGTTGCGGCGCAGGCGCGGCAGGTTTCCGCGACTTTCGCTTGGGAAGCGGCAACGCGAATTCCGCATCTTTCCGCGTCGCGTAGCGGAACGGGCAACTCGGGAATACTTCCTCACGGCATGCGCTCATCGTCGCCAAATGTACAACCTCCTCCTCATCTTCCGAATCGTCAGACTCTTTCGCCGCCGCGGCGGCAGAAGCGGCGGCGATTTTTGGACGCTGGGCGGCGCCTTTTTTGAACACAAATCCCTCGAATTTCGTCGTCTTCGCAGTTTTTGTAAAATACTCCAAATTCCGCGAAATTTTGCCACGTCGCAAATCAAACGTGAAACACGGGAAGCGGAAGCGGAGATATTCCGCAAAGCTTTCCGCGTCCGCAAATCGCCGCAACGAAATCGGACAAATGTTGCGCTCCAGCAACGGATGTCGCTCGCAGTTCAGCTGCCAATTTGTGGGGATTTTGGTGGTGGTGGTGGTGGCCGATCTTCTGGGTGGTCTAGAAGATCTTGGCATCGGAATCTGATTCGGATTCCGAATCTCCTTGTATTTTGCTTGACCAAAAGTCGAGATGATCAGACCGGGTTGATTTGGTGGCGGATTTTTGTTGGTGGAATTCAGGGCGCGTAGATTCTCCACCTCCAATTTTTGATCGCGGAATTCGTGAAGTGAGACACGCGAGATACCTTCGATGGTGCAGTTGAGTTGATTTTTGGCGTCGGATTTGTAGATTAGGGTGCAGCCAAAGGTTTTGATCTGGAAAAATCATGTTGTCAAGCAGCCGAGCTTAGAGAACCTAGCTGTCAAGCAGCTGAGCCTAGAGAACCTAGATGTCTAGGAGCCACGCCTAGAGAACCTTGTTGGCAAGCAGTTGAGCCTAGCTGTCTAGGAGCCGAGCCTTGAGAATCTAGCTGTCAAGCAGCTGAGCCTAGAGAACCTAGCTGTCTAGGAGCCACGCCTATACATCCTACTTTCCAAGCAGCCGAGCCTAGAGAATCTAGCTGTCTAGTAGCCGAGCCTAGAGAACCTAGCTGTCTAGGAGCCACGCCTAGAGAACCTTTCTGTCAAGCAGCTGAGCCTAGAGACCCTTCTTCTCAAGCAGCTGAGTCTAGAGAACCTTTCTGTCAAGCAGCCGAGCCTAGAGAACCTTGATTTCAAGCAGCTGAGCCTAGAGAACCTAGTTGTCTAGGAGCCGAGCCTAGAGAGAATATTTGTCAAGCAGCTGAGCCTAGAGAATCTAGCTGTCTAGGAGCAGCGCCTTGAGCTCAAAAATTCCCGAAAAATCTAGATTTCGAGTCCTCACCTCAACATAATCCTTCAAATCCATCGACAAATTTTTGGGTTTCAGATCCTTGGATTTGGTGGCAGTTGAGCGAATTCTTTCTGGAAATTTTGTGGATTTTCAGAATTTTCAGCGCCAAAAACTCACTTCCTTCTCCCAAAATCTTCTCGCATTCCTTGTTCATCATTCGACTCGCCTCAACCAACAAATAAATCTCGTGCGATTCGTTGACCAATTTTTGCGGGCACGAGAATTGTCGCAATTTCAGCGTCGACGATTTCATGCGATCTTCTTCGCTGAAGTTTTCCTCGATGTGTTTGAAGAGGGGAACAATGGCAAAACCGGCGGGAAACTGGAAATATTTCGAAAATTAATTTTTTTCAGCATTTTCAGCTTGAAAATTCTTAAAATTTGAAACATTTTCCATTTTTTTGGGAAATTTCAGACAGTTTTTAATGTTTTCTACTTGAATATTAATTTTTTCCCCGATTTTCAGCATTTTCAGCTTGAAAATTCTTAAAATTTGAAAAACCAAAAAATTATACGTTTCAAAATTTTTATGAGATTTTTTCTAAAATTTTAAGAATTAATTTTTTCCCTGATTTTCAGCTTGAAAATTTTCCATTTTTTTTGGGAAATTTCAGTTTTTTTTTAAATTTCTATTTAAAAATTAATTTTCGCCTTGATTTTCAGCATTTTCAGCTTGAAAATTGTTAAAATTTTCCATTTTTTACCCAATTTTTTTCTATTTGAAAATTATTTTTTTTCTATTTGAAAATTAATTTTTTCCTTGATTTTCAGCATTTTCAGCTGGAAAATTCTTAAAATTTAAAAAACCAAAAAATCATACGTTTCAAATATTTTATGAGATTTTTTTCTAAAATTTTTAAAAATCGATTTTTCTCAGAATTCTTTTAGAAATTTCGAAAATTAATTTTTTTCCCTAATTTTCAGCATTTTCAGCTTGAAAATTCTAATAATTTAAAAAACCAAAAAATTATACGTTTCAAAGATTTTATGAGATTCTTTCTAAAATTTTGAAAAATCGATGTTTTTCTGAATTCAGTTAGAAATTTCGAAAATTAATTTTTTAACCTGATTTTCAGCATTTTCAGCTGGAAAATTCTTAAAATTTAAAAAACCAAAAAATCATACGTTTCAAATATTTTATGAGATTTTTTTCTAAAATTTTTAAAAATCGATTTTTCTCAGAATTCTTTTAGAAATTTCGAAAATTAATTTTTTTCCCTAATTTTCAGCATTTTCAGCTTGAAAATTCTAATAATTTAAAAAACCAAAAAATTATACGTTTCAAAGATTTTATGAGATTTTTTCTAAAATTTTGAAAAATCGATTTTTCTCAGAATTCTTTTAGAAATTTTAAAAATTAATTTTTTAACCTGATTTTCAGCATTTTCAGCTTGAAAATTCTTAAAATTTGAAACATTTTTCATTTTTTTTTTGGGAAATTTCAGACATTTTTTTTATATTTCTATTTTAAAAATTAATTTTGTCCCCGATTTTCAGCATTTTCAGCTTGAAAATTCTTAAAATTTCAAAAAATTTCCCCAAAAAAACCCACCATCTTCACATTTTTCTGCTCATCAACCAATAAAACTGAAAATTTCACAGTAGAAGTCGCTGTGATGTCTGAAAATCAAAAAAAATAAATATTTTCAGCACAATTTTCCACTAACCATTACAGTACTCCAATTCCAAAGTATCTGGCCAATTCAAAATTTTATCAAATTCCATTGTGAAAATCGGCCGATCTCCATTTTGTTTCATCATTTGACTTCTCATTTTTTTCAGCAAATCATATCCGATTTTCGCATTAAATTTTGGTTTTTCCCCGGATTTTTTCTCCAAATTTTTCCTAATATTTCGGCATAAAAAAGTGTTTGTTGTGAGTTGAGAAGCATTATTTTGAAATGACAGAAATTCGGTGAGAAGTTGGTCTGAAAAAATGAAAAATTCAAAATTTACCAGATTTTTTACGTTTCAAAAATTCCAGAAATTTTGAAAATTTTTTAAGCTGAAAATGCTGAAAATCAAGGCAAAAATTAATTTTTAAAATTTCTAAAAGATCGATTTTTCAAAATTTTAGAAAAAAATCTCATAAAATCTTTGAAACGTATAATTTTTTGGTTTTTCAAAATTTTTAGAATTTTCAAGCTGAAAATGCTTAATTTTCAAAATTTCTAAAGGATGTCAGCAAAATATCGATTTTTCAAAATTTTAGAAAAAATCTCATGAAAACTTTGAAACGTATATTTTTTTGGTTTTTCAAATCAAGCTGAAAATGCTGAAAATCAAGGCAAAAATTAATTTTTAAATAGAAAAAAAAATTAATTTTCAAATAGAAAAAATTTGGGTAAAAAATGGAAAATTGTTCAAATTTTCAAGCTGAAAATGCTGAAAATCAGAGCAAAAATTAATTTTTAAAATTTCTAACGAAATTCAGAGAAATATCGATTTTTCAAAATTTTAGAAAAAATCTCATAAAATCTTTGAAACGTATAATTTTTTGGTTTTTCAAATTTTAAGAATTTTCGAGCTGAAAATGCTGAAAATTGGGGCAAAAAATTAATTTCTAAAGGAATTCAGCAAAACATCGAATTTTTCAAAATCTCAAAAAACTCACCAGCATTCAAACGATCCTTTCCGCTTTCCGCGTCGCGTTTCAAATCCTCCAATTTCCGCGGCGCCGCATTTTTGCGTCTCGAAACCGCTTTTTGTTGTTGTTGCGCGTGCGAAACGCGTCGCTGCGACTTTTTTCGCGGCGAATTCGCCGCCGGCGACGTCGACTTCGAATTCGATTTGCGTCGTTTTTCCAGCAACAAATTCTCCTTTTCCTCGTCGCGTGACGTGGATTTTTTGGCGCTGTTGTTGTTGGCGCCAAGTGTTCCGCGATGCGCCGCCGCCGTGCTCAAATCCAATTCGCCTGCCGCTTTCCGCTTACGGCGCACTGGCGACAATGTTGTCAGATTTGACGCATCTTTGGTATTACCCATTTTCACCTGAAAAATGCTTGTTTTTCATGTGAAATCGAGGAAAAACGAAAAAAATCGAGTTTTCCGAGAGAAATACACGAGAAATGCACGGTGTGCGATGGAGCACTTTTGCAACGCCACGTGGAAAACGTGGCCACGCGTGGAAGAAAAGAAAATTTTAAAATCAAAGCTCATCCGGGAGAAGTACACGAAAAACGTTGTGCGCTGGAGCGCACTTGCTCGCCGACTGCCGGGAATTTTTGAAAATTTATATTTTCTGAGCAATCTCACGTGATTTCTAGCTTGTTAGAATCAAGAAATGAGCAAAAATTGGAGAAAAATGCAATTTTGAGGAGAAAACTTGAGCTCGAGGTTGGAAAAAGTGCAAAATAGAGCAAAATAGAGCTTTTCTCGCTCAGTAAGTAAACTATTTGTCAATTTAGCGCAAATTCAGAAGAAATCTCTCAAAAATAGCCGAAATTTCGCTTCTAAATATAGTTGGACATCGAAATTTTCAGTTTTTTTAAGCAAATGAGTTGAAATATTGGGTTTTAATGTTATTCATATGATAGAATAGTCTAAGACGAAAAGAATGATATAAATTTTGATGACTTTACGTTATGCATAAGTGATTTAGCGACGTTATCGACTAAACGTCGCTAAATCACTTATGGCTAAGGTAAAATCATCAAAATTTATATAATTCTATTCGTCTTAGACCATTCTACCCTATGAATAACCTTAAAACCCAATATTTTAACTCAATTGCTTAAAAAACATGAAAATTTCATTTAGTCGATGTCCAACTATATTTAGAAGCGAAATTTCGGCTATTTTTGAGAGATTTCTCCTGAATTTGTGCTAAAATGACAAATAGTTTACTTACTGCACGAGAAAAGCTCAAGTTTTCTCCTTAAAATTGCATTTTTCTTTAATTTTTGGTCATTTCTTGATTCGATCCCAATCCTAACAAGCTAAATAACAAGCCGGAAAAGATCAAAGATCAATTTTGCAAAATAAAAAAAAAACAAAAAGTTTTACTATACGAAAATCAATAAATTATCCCTACACCTTTCAACAAAAAACCCAAAAATGTTATAAAGTGCAAAAACCACCACCCGACAAAACCATATGTTTTGTCTCCAAGCACATACACATCAAAAAATCAAACCCGTCCCACCCCGTCCGAAAAAAGGCGCGCGCAAAAAAAGACAACTTCTATACGGGGAGACGCAGTGCCGGCCTATAGTGACAGAACGACGAGAGAGTGTGGGAAATGGGGGAGGGTGGGTGAGAGATGGAGAGAAATTGGGAAGGGATGCAGTGTAGGCTAGCTGCTTTCTTCTTCTAATAAACTAACTATATGATGATGAAGGAAATAAAATATATGGAGACAAAAACTACGCACAGGGTAATTTCCTAGCCGAAAAAATTCGTGCGACCTGACACAATCTTAAAAATGGGACTGAAAATCGACGAAAAAATGAGATTTGAGAAAAATTATATTCGATCTACCCCAAAAACTATTGAAAAATTTGCGGTCTAGCGATTTGTGGTAGTAAATTACACACTGTGAACATCGACCTAATGACATTTTCAGGTTTTTTAAGCAAATGATTTGAAATATCGGGTTCTAATGTTATTCATATGATAGAATGGTCTAAGACGAATAGAATGATATAAATTTTGATGACTTAAGGTTATATATAAGTGATTTAGCGAGGTTTAGTCAATAAGTCGCTAAATCACTTATGGATAAGGTAAAGTCATCAAAATTTATATCATTCTGTTCGTCTTAGACCATTCTACCCTATGAATAACCTTAAAACCCAATATTTCAACTCATTTGCTTAAAAAACTGTGTGAAAATGACATTTAGTCGAGAAAAATACAAAAAAATGATGGAAAACGTGGATTTCTAGAAGGATGACGTGGCAGTTTCATTGAAAAGAGGAGAAATCGCTGCGAGACCAATACTATGCGCCTTTAATCTAATGAACTTGCGACGTTTGATGACGTGGCAAGTTTACGTGAAAACTGGGACGTGGCAAACTTGATGACCCGCAAAATCGCTGCGGGACCCACAACAGTAAGAAACCGAATGCGCCTTTAAACATTCAACACTTGTTTTCTTCAAATTTTCAACAAAAAATCGATAATTTCATAGAGAAAATTCAATAAAGCACAATTTTCCCGCACAAATTCATCAAAAACAAAGCGAAAAACATGTTTTTTTTCAAATTTTCAACAAAAAATCGATAAATCACCCAGAGAAATGGCGCGAAACATACATTTTCAAAAAAAAACTTTTCTCTATCAAAAAAGGCGGGAAAACAACAAGAAAAACATGTTTTATTTTCCAACAACACTCCGCGATGACGCCTGCTAAAAAACATGCAATTTCCATTGTTTTTTGAAAATTCAAAATTTTTTTGAAATTTTCTTTTTTTTCCCTTTCAGTTCTCAATGGAGCGCATTTTCTCTACTTTTAGAGTCCTCATTTTTTCACATAGTTACGCTAAGTTACCATAGCAACCTTCTCCAATTTTCTATACAAACTTGTTTGTGGATTTTTTTTGTCCTCCTGGTTTTTTTGAAAAATAAATGAACAGTGTTATGAATATCAAAGATGGCGAATATACGGCTACCGTATACGGATTGGTGAGTTGCGATTTTTTCCACGTGGCAAAAAAAATCCACGTCATAACTCATGTCATTCACAGATCAAAGATCAAAAATTCATCGAAGCCACCCGCATCCTACAATATCAAAACGAACGAGATCCCAAAAATCGGGCGGCCCTATCCCTTTTGGCCTACTGCTATTATCACACCCAGGATTTTTCAAGTGCAGCCGATTGCTATTCGCAACTCTCCTACAATTTTCCCGGCACATCAACAATATCAGATTTTTCACGCGCAGGCACTTTATAATGCCTTCAGGATGACTGATGCGCTGGCGGTGATTGCTACGGTAGGTTTTGGCGCCAAAAAAATTGTTGGCGGCGCGAATCTGATCATTTTGAAATCGAATATGATCAGGAAAATTTACAGGAATTTTTGAAACGTAAAAAATCGAGGAAAATCTCCCTGAATTCTGAATTTGTCTGAAAAATCTGAAATTTCAGATCGACGATGAGAATCTGCTAAACGAGTGTATAAAACTGGAAGCGGCGATAAAATATCGTGAAGAAGACGTGGCGAATAGTCGAATTTTGGTCGAACAATTGCCCCAAGATGATGCGGATTTGGATATTAATGTGGCTTGTATTGAGTATAAGGTGAGCTGGAAATGATGTCTGGAAAATTGGATTTTGACGCTGAAATCTTCGAAAATTTGATTTTTGAGTGAAAAATTTTCATTTTTCAGTATTTTCATCCAGAAAAAACGGTTTTTTACCATCGAAAATCGAAAAATTCATTGAAAGATCAAAAAATGTCAAAAAAACATCAGATTTTTCGAGTTTTTCAGCCAAAAATGATGAAAAATCGATATTTTTGAAGCTTCTGGAGGAATTTCTGATGAAAATTGACCTTGGAATTCACTCTCCAGAAGGTTTTGCTGGTTTTTGTAGAATAAAAAAATTTAAATTTTTTTATTTTACGAAAAATCGACAAAATCTTCTGGAAAGTGAATCTCCAAGGTCAATTTTCATCAGAAATTACTCCAGAAGCTTGAAAAATATCGATTTGTCATCATTTTTGGCTGAAAAACTCGAAAAACTAATGTTTTTTCGACATTTTTTGACTTTTCGTGAATTTCGAAATTAAAAAAACATTTTTAAACATGTTTTTTTCGTTCGTGAATCAGCCCCAGTGAAAAATCCTCATTTTTGAAATTTTTTTTTTGTTTTAAAATTAAAATTTTCATTTTTCAGTATTTTTATCCAGAAAAAGCTGTTTTTAATGGGGTGATTCAGGTCAAAAAAAAATGAAAAAAATTTTTTTTTATTCATTTTTGTGTGGAAAAAATAGGAAAAATAGGAAAAAATATAGTTTTTTGAGATTTTCTGAATCGAAATTTTTTTTTTGAAAAAATTAAAAAAAATTTTTTTTTCAAAAAATTAACACAGGGGTTTTTTCACTACCGAGTCAATGCAAAATTGTAATCGAGCAAATAGGCTCCGCCCATCTTTTTCCGCACAGACATGTGGGCGGAGCTTAGGTTTTCAGATTTTCAAAAAGAAAATTGAAAACCCTTTGGCTCAAAAGACACACAAATAAAAAGAAAAAAGTCGGGCTATATGTGTGTATGCACGTGATTAATTCTCGGTAGTAATAAAACCCCTGTGATTAAAAAAAAAATTTTTTCAAAAAAAAAAAAAAAAAAATTTTTCAACCCCATAAAAAACATGTTCCTAGACCAAAAAAAAACTGAAAAATCCAAAAATTCCCCTCAAAAATTCCCAGGAAGGAAACTACGACACAGCTCTATCAAAATTCGAACAAGCCAGTCAATATTCTGGATATCAACCCGATCTCGCCTACTCCATCGCTCTCTGTCATTATCGAAAACACGATTATCAGAGTGCGCTGAAATTTTTGACGGAGATCATAAATGAGGGTGTGCGGAAGCATCCGGAATTTAATATTGGCATGGTTTCCGAGGGAATTGATGTGGTTTTTGTGCCGAATTCGCTGGCTTTACATGAATCGGCGTTGATTGAGGCGTTTAATTTGAAATTTGCTATTGAATATAAGTCCAAGGATGGTGAGTTTTGAAAAATTCATGTTTTAGGAACAATTTTTCTTAATTTTTCTTGATTTTCTTGAAATTTTGAACTTTCCACGTGGATTTTTCTAGAAAAATTCATGTTTTAGGAACAAATTTTCCTGATTTTTTTTTAGAATTTCAACTTTCCACGTGGATTTTTCTAGAAAAATTAATGTTCTAGGAACAATTTTTCTTGATTTCCTTAAAATTCCAATTTTCCACGTGGATTTTTGAATAAAATCAGCGAAATTTCAGATTTTTAAGTATGAAATTTTCAATGCCACGTGGATTTTTCTAGAAAAATTTAAAGCTAGGAACAATTTTTCAGTAATTTTTCTTGAAATTTCAATTTTCCACGTGGATTTTTGGAGAAATTTCAGATTTTTAAAAAAAGTTTTCAATGCCACGTGGATTTTTCCAGAAAAATTAATTTCCTTGATTTTCTTGAAATTTCAAAACTTTCCACGTGGATTTTTTTGGTAAAATCAGAGAAATTTTCAGATTTTTCTAGAAAAATTAAAGCTAGGAACTATTTTTCTAGTAATTTTTCTTGATTTTTTTGAAATTTCAATTTTCCACGTGGATTTTTGGATCAAATCAGAATGAAATTTTCAATGCCACGTGGATTTAATTTTCAAGTCTCAAAAAATTGCCAAAAAATTTTCGGATTCAGAAAATTTTTGAATAAAAAAAAATGAAAATCCGAAATTTTGTACATAGAAATTTGATTGATTTTTTAAAAATTTTGAAAATTTCTGGCTGAAAATTGATTTTTGGCTGAAAAACTATAAATTTGAATTTCAAATCTGAATTTTTCCGTAGTGAAAATTCGTCAAACTTTCCCAAATCTCCCCGGCCTATGACGTGGCAAAAATCTCGAAACTTCTTCCAGTAAAAGCAGCGAACGAGAGTCTGACTGATATGCCGCCTCGAAACGAACACGATCTGGATCCGGTCACACTTCACAATCAGGCTCTGACCAGCGTCGAAACATCCGACGGTTTCGCAAAACTCCAGTTCCTGCTGAGCCAAAATCCATTTCCTCCCGAGACTTTTGCTAACTTGCTGTTTTTGTACTGCAAACACGAGTATTATGATTTGGCGGCGGATGTTTTGGCCGAAAATGCACATTTCACTTATAAATATTTGACGCCGGTGAGTAGATCATCAAAAAGTGGGCGGAGCTTGCAGTTTTGCCGCATGGTTTTTTTTTTGCTGGAAAAAAATCGAGTTTGTTGAGTGCAGAACAAAATTAAGCCACGCCCTTTTTTGCAATTTTGCGGCATGATTTTTCTGGAAAAATAGACTTCATGATGGTAAAATTGCAATTTTGCGGCACAGTTTTTTGAATGTTGTTTTCCTAGAAAATTTAAGGACAAAATCAAGCCACGCCCCTTTTTCTGCAATTTTGAGGCACAGTTTTCAAACGATGTTTTCTTTCAAAATAGGTTTTGAAGGCGAAATTAATCCACGCCCCCTTTTCTGCAATTTTGCGGCACAGTTTTTCAATGTTTTTCGTTCATAGTTCTCCCGGATAAGCTGTATTTTTACACGCACCTTTTCAAAATTTTCTATTTTTCCACGCATTTTTTCTAGAATGTAACAAATCTCTCGGACAACTCGATTTTTTTCGCACTTTTACTGCACACTTTCTTGAAATTAACCGATTTTCGTCATTACAAAAGCCACAAATCGAATAGAAAAATGGAAAAAATTTGCCAGCCCCTTTTCACTGCAATTTTGCGGCACACTTTCCAGTACCAATTCGATTTCATCGACGCGCTCATAAATCTCCAAACCTCACCCGATGACGCAATCGCCAAGCTCGAAGTAATGGAAACCGAGCAACTGAACGCGTTGCGTCAAGTCGCCAAAGAGATTCAAAAGAAGCGCGACGCGGAAGGCGGCGGAGGCGGTGCGGACGATGACGCGGAAATGCGCGGACTCATCGAGAAGTACGACAATCGGTTGGAATACTATTTGCCAACGTTGATGGCTCATGCCAAGGTTTATTGGGAGAAACGGAATTATTCGGCGGTCGAGAGACTTTTCAGGTGAGTTAGGGTAACTTGGGGTATTTATGGACATTTTCAGTCAAAAATTTGCAGAAACTCTGTGGATTACTGTCGTGAGCATGACACGTGGAAACTCAACGTGGCACACACGATTTTCATGCAGGAACAGAAATATAAAGAGGCTGCCGGGTTCTACGAACCGATTGTGAACAAGAATTATGATAATGTGAGAGTTAGGGGAACTTCCTTGAAAAATTCCTGGAAATTTGAGATTTTCTAGAAATTGGTCATGTTTAGACTCTTAAAATCTGAAATTCCTGGAATTTCCGAGCATTTTGAGATCAAACATGACTAGTTTCAGATTCAAAATTAATTTTATAAATTCTGAAAAAATTCTGAATTGTCAGCCAAAACTGGGTCATGTTTGGGCTCAAAAATTGCAGAATTTTCTAGAAAATCTGAAAATCCCGGATTTTCTGAGCATTTTGAGACCAAAAATGAGCAAGTTTAGGTTCCAAAAAATGTTGAAAATTCTGAAAAAATTCAGAATTTTCAGTTGAAGCTAGGTCATGTTTGATGTCAAAAATTGCAGAATTTTCCAGAGAATCTGGAAATTCTGGATTTTCTGAGCACTTTGAGATCAAACATGACTAGTTTTAGGTTCAAAATTAATTTTGAAAATTCTGAAAAAAAATCTGAATTTTCAGCTGAAGCTAGGCCATGTTTGGGCTCAAAAATTGCAGAATTTTCTAGAAAATCTGAAATTCCTGGAATTTCTGAGCATTTTGAGATCAAACATGAGCAAGTTTAGGCTCAAAAAATCCCAAAAAAATTAATTTTGAAAATTCGCAATTTCCTGGAACTTCTGAGCTCAAACATGACTCAGGAGCCCAAAAATAGTCATATTTGATCTCAAAATGCTCCAAATCTCCTGCTCCATCCAAAAATGTTCCCTCTACAGATTCTCGAAGTTCCCGCAATAATCCTGGCCAACCTCTGCGTCTGTTACATAATGACAAATCAAAACGAAGAAGCCGAAGAGATGATGCGAAAAGTTGAGAGGGAAGAAGAAGAGGCTCGTGAGAATAACCCCGGCGAAAAATATTATCATATCTCAATTATCAACCTGGTTATTGGCAGTTTGTATTGTAGCAAAGGGAATTTTGAATTTGGCCTAACTCGGGTGATAAAAGCACTTGAACCGCAGGAGAAGAAGTTGGGAGTTGATACTTGGTATTATGCGAAAAGGTGTATTGTGGCGGCGTTGGGTAAGGAGTTTTTGAGCACAATTTTGCTCAGATTTTCAAATTCTCTAGAAATTTCGGAATTTTTTTGAGCACAGGTTTGCTCATGTTTGGTCTCAAAATGTGCAGAAAAATCTGAGATTTTCAGATTTTCTAGAAAATTCTGCAATTTTTGAGCCCAAACATGACCTAGTTTCAGCTGAAAATTCTGAATTTTTCCAGAATTTATAAAATTAATTTTGAATCTGAAACTAGTCATGTTTGGTACCAAAATGTGCAGAAAAATCTAGATTTTCAGATTCTCTAGAAATTTTAGGATTTTGTGAATCTAAACACGACTATTTAAGTTCTTAAAATTTATAGAAAATCTAGGAAATCTCTGGGATTTTTTGAGCCTAAACTTGCTCATGTTTGGTACCAAAATGTTCAGAAAATTTGGGATTTTCAGATTCTCTAGAAATTTTAGGATTTTTTGAGTCTAAACATGACTGGCATTAAAATTTTAAAGATTTTTTGAGTCTAAACTTGCTCATGTTTGCTCTCGAAATGTGCAGAAAAATCTGGATTTTCAGATTCTCTAGAAATTTTGGAATTTTTTGAGTCTAAACATGACTATCCCAAAATTCCAATGAAAATTCATTAAAAATTCAAATTTTCACACCAATTTTGCCACGTCATCAATTTTCTTCTCCTCAAAAAAAAAAGGAAAAGAAACTTGGTAACCTAGTAACCCATCAAACTACACACATTTTTCCGGGGGCTCAAAAATCGTGCCACGTCATAGCACACACCCAAAATTCTTCCAGAAATCATGGCCAAACATTTGCTGGTAATTCGAGATTCAGTCATCCACGAACTTATCGAATTTTTGGAAAAATGTGAGATGGCGGGACGAAACATCTATACATTTCCGGAGGAACTTTTGGAGGGAACAGCTGAATCCAAGGTCAAATCTACAGTAACCTATGAGGCACGGATGATTAAGGCGACTTTGTTGAATGTTTCTGGATTTTGATTTTGATTTTGAGATTTGTTTGAAATGAAACCATTTAATATGAGCAATCCTTTGGTTTTTGGGGAATTTTTAGCGTAATTTTCAGATTTTCAGCTTCTCCCACTCCAAAAATCCCCCGAAATTCCACTATTTATTCATATATATTTTTTTTAATGTTCAAAAATTCGCTCAAAATGTTGCTAGGCGTGTAGCCAGGATACGGTAGCTAGGCAAGCAAAAACAACAAACAAAATAAAGTCGCAAAACGTATTTTTTCCCGGAAATTCTCGAATTTTTCCCGGGAAAAATGGGATCAAGCCCATCGAAAAAGGGCTCCAGTATTGATAAAGTCGAGGATATTTCAAAGGTAGGTGTTTAGGAGTACTGTATGCGCCTTTAAAAATCGCGTCGGGACCCAAAACGATTTCTGAAAATGACAAAAAGTAGAAAATTTGTTCCTTGTATTTCTACAGTAGTAAAATGCTTGGAGGAAAATGAAATTACTGTATGTCCCTTTAAAAATCGCGGCGGGACCCAAATTCAACGATTACTGTATGACAAAAATAAAGGAACATGTACAATTACTGTATGTCCCTTTAAAAATCATTGAAATCTTCAAAATCAACAGGATTACTGTATGCCCCTTTGAAAATCGCGGCGGGACCCAAAAATTTCTGAAAATGACAAAAAGGTGTGCACCTTGTATTTCTACAGTAGGAAAATCCTCGGAGGAAAATGGGATTACTGTATGCTCCTTTGAAAATCGCTTCAGGACCCAAATTCAACGATTACTGTATGACAAAAACTAGAAAATGTGTTCCTTTAATATTTCTACAGTAGGAAAATCCTTCGAGGGAGATGAGATTACTGTATGCTCCTTTAAAAATCGCGTCGGGACCCAAATTCAACGATTACTGTATGACAAAAATAGAAAACGTGTTCCTTTAATATTTCTACAGTAGGAAACATTTTAAAGGAACATGTACAATTACTCTATGTCCCTTTAAAAATCGCGTCAGGACCCAAAGTTAAACGATTACTGTATGACAAAAACTAGAAAATGTGTTCCTTTAATATTTCTACAGTAGGAAAATCCTTAGAGAAAAATGAGATTACTATATGTCCCTTTGAAAATCGCGTCGGGACCCAAATTCCACGATTACTGTATGAGAAAAATAAAGGAACATGTACAATTACTGTGTGTCCCTTTAAAAATCATTAGGAAAATCTTCAGGAAATCAACAGGATTACTGTATGTCCCTTGAAAAATCGCGTCAGGACCCAAATTCAACGATTACTGTATGATAAAAATTAGAAAATGTGTTCCTTTAATATTTCTACAGTAGGAAAATCCTTGGAGGAAAATGAGAGTACTGTATGAGACAATTAAAGGGACATACTGTAAGCGCCTTCACATGCATTCTAAAGGAACATGTAGAATTACTGTATGTGCCTCCAAAAAATCAACAGGATTACTGTATGTCCCTTTAAAATCTTCCCCAAATTTCTAGGATTCCGACAAGCCGCCTGCCGAAAAATGGGCAGAACGCAAAGATCCTCCAGGCATCGACGAAATCCCCAAAAAACCATCCACCAAAAAGCCAAGCACTGGAAAACACAGTGCAAAAGTTGCGCCAAAAGCCCCCGGCTCCAAAATCCGGCTCACCGAAGGTGTGGTTCAAGACTACATCAACTTGGAAAAATCGATAAATCGATTGGAGCGTAAAAATGTGCTGAAGAAGTACGAGTCGCAGACGATTTATGCGGATAATTTGAAGAATACTGTAGAGCAATTGGAGGCGGTGCTCAAAGAGCTCCGAAAGCAAACAGATCGTGAAAAATCGGATTTGAGGAACATCGAACAGCCGTCGGTGAAGGATTTTTTGAAGCAACAAGGACAATGGGATGATCGATATGTGAAGGAGAAAAAAGAGTATGAGGAGGCTTGTGGTAGACAGGAGACTGTGCAGAAGGAGCTCAACATTGCTCGAGTGAATTACGATAACTCGGTGAAAATTCAAGAGATCTACAAGCAACAAACCGACAATCTTAATGCACTTTATGATGAGCAAGACAAAATGTTGGAGGGGATTTTTGGCACCGAATATGCGTCGGAGAAGGAAAATGTTCTAGAGGGAGAGGTACGGGGTGGGGAATTTTGAAAAATTCTGAATTTTAACCTGAATTTAATTCTAGGTCGATTATTTTCTGAAATCCTAACTGAAATTCAAAAAATTTCAAAATTTCCCAAGCATGAAAAAATACGTTTCAAAAAAATGTGAAATTTTTTCGAATTTTTCAAAAATTCGCTTTTAGCACGACTATCAATGGCCAAAATGCAGAAAATTTTTTGAATTTTGGCAATTGATAGTAATGCTAAAAGCGAAATTTGAAAAATGCGAAAAAATTTCACATTTTTTTGAAACGTATTTTTTCGGGTCCCCAGATTTTTTTTTGAAATTTAATTCTAGGTTGATTAATTTTTGAAGTCCTGACTGAAATTCAAAAAATTTCCCAAACATGAAAAAATACGTTTCAAAAAAATGTGAAATTTTTTCGAATTTTTCAAAAAATTCGCTACTTTATTTGGCTTGTGCTTTCCAAAAATTCAGAAAATTTAAATTTCAGACTAGAATCAGCTGAAATTTCTGAATTTTAACCTGAATTTAATTCTAGGTTGATTATTTTCTGAAATCCTAACTGAAATTCAGAAAATTTCAAAATTTCCCAAACATGAAAAAATACGTTTCAAGAAAATGTGAAATTTTTTTCGAATTTTTCAAATTTCGCTACTCTTTTTCCTGGTGATGGCCAAAATTTTCGTAAATTCTGAATTTCAACCTGAATTTAATTCTAGGTCGATGATATGGTTGATTGGCAACAACGAGTTTCATTGGCCATGTTTAAATGGGCAAATGGGCGGGTTTTATTGGTGCATGCTTTGACTCAAATGACTTTTGGGATAAATCGATGGCAGGATATTCAGAAGATCGAGAAGGAGTGAGTTAGGGTAACTTATTTTGCCACTTGTAAAAAAATTCTTACAGCAATCAACGTGGCCGATATTTCGCGGCGGCCGAAGCTCGCAACAACTTCGTAGCCGCCGCTCAAAACGTACAATCGTGTCGAATGTACCTGAACAAGGTCGATTTCCCGTACGGCACTGAAAAAGAGATCGCATTACTCGAAGATACGGTAAGTTCGGCGTTTCGCAACGTGGAAAACGACGGGGAATGCAAGAAAGCGCTGAAAATCTACCAAGATACTCAACAAAAAATCGCGAGTTTGATACAGTGGTTTGATAAAGTGATAAATGAGACGATTCGAAAGGATTTGGATCAGGCGAATAATGAATTGATCAAAAAACAGAAGGCATTGAGAGAGGAGAGATTGGTTTTGATGAAAAAGTTGGCGAAACAGCGAGTTGAATTATGAGATAAATATAAATTATGATGATGAACCAGATGATGATGAATTAGAAAAGGAATTGAAAATGTTGGAGAAACAGGCGTTGGAAGATGTGGAGAAGTTGAAATCGGTTAAAGGTCAGAAAATTTCGGATATTTATCGATTTGCCCGCTGCCGTCCTTTTAGATTACAGTAGTAGATAACTTGAGGCTACAGTACTTTGAAGGAACATACACTCGCTTCGCTCGAACCGCTTACGCGGAATTTTGATCTATACTCGCGCTAAAAGCGCTCGGGATACTGTATGTTCCTTGAAATGGTCTACAATGGTCTACCGAGCGCTTTTAGCGCGAGTGTAGATCAAATTTCCGCGCAAGTGGTTCGAGTGTATGTCCCTTTAGATTACAGTAGTAGACTCAAGGTACTGTAGATCACCTAAAATCCATACACTACTACAGTCTTGTTAAAAAGTAATGTAAATCATTTAAGATGAGGCAAATTACAGTTTCCTATAGCTACAGTAGTTTAAAGGGACATACACTCGCTCCGCTCGAATTCAGGAACGATAAAAAAATGTTTTTTTAACATTTTCCAAAATCTCAATTCACGAAAAGTCAAAAAATGCCAAAAAACATTAGTTTTTCAGCCAAAAATGATGAAAAATCGATATTTTTTAAGCTTCTGGTGTGATTTCTGATGAAAATTGACCTTCAGAAGGTTTTGCTGATTTTTCGTAAAATAAAAAAATTTTTAAATTTTGATGAATTTCGAAAAAATTCATAAAATGAGGTAAAATAGGGTTCTCGAAGCTTATTTTCATCAGAAATTACTCCAGAAGCTTGAAAAATATCGATTTGTCATCATTTTTGGCTGAAAAACTTGACAAAACTAATGTTTTTTCGACATTTTTTGACTTAAAGAACATTTTTAAACGATTTTTTTCGTTCGTGAATCAGCCCTACACAAAAATTTCAAAAAATATAGTTTTTGGACATTTGCTAAATCGAAATTTTTTGTAAAAAAATGTTTTTTTTTACCCCATAAGCTTTAAAATTGAAATTTCACGAGCAAAAAACATCAAGTTTTTTGACAAAAAATTCAATGATATAGTCGATGTTTTAAAATAAGGTGAACGAATGCCAAAAAAAACATTATTCCGTCAGACGCGTGCGGCTATGCGTCGCGGTCGGCCGGGAAACAATCAATAATTCAGTTTTGGGAAATTCTGAAGTGTCAGTCCAGCAAAATTCGTAATTTTCAGCTAGAAAACTTCCAGAATTTTCCAATTTTCACCCGAAAATTCTCCAATTTTCTAGGCATGAATCTAATCGACGGCAACAATCAAGTTCAAAACGTCATCCCATTGAGTAAACTGGCTCCGCTTCCCTCGAAAGACGCGCTTTTCGGCGATGTCAAACAGAAGTTGGACGAGTACGATGAGACGCGAAAACAATTCGAGAGGCGGAATAATATGCAGAGGGAGAAGCAGGCGATGGCATTGCAGGAGAAGTTGAAATTGCGACAGCAGAAGGGGCGAAGGAATCGGAAGGAGAGGAGGGATTCGATTGGAGCTGGAGCATAATTGAGGGCGGGAGAAAATTTCTGTGAGAGGCTAATGAATGATTTTTGTTGAAAAATTTGGGATGATCTAAAGTTTCAGAACTGAAAATTCGAGTTACAGTACTCTGTGACAGTATTCCTAGCAATTCAAAATTATAAGCTACAGTATCTCTTCCATTTTGAGCCTACAGTACACTTCACATAGTTCTCAAGATACGTTTATATTTGTACTACAGCAACCTTGAAATACAGTACCTCTTGCAGTTTGAACCTACAGTACACTTTACATAGTTCTCAAGATACGTTTATATTTGTAGTACAGCAACCTTGAGATACAGTACCTCTTGCAGTTTGAACCTACAGTACACTTCACATAGTTCCTAAGATACTTTGTAGTACAGTAAAACTTCGAAGTACAGTACCTCTTTCAGTTTGAATCCAAAAATCAATAAGTTTCAAGCAAGAACTGCAAAGGATACTGTATTCGAACTACAAAAATTACGGTATCTTTGGGATACAGTACCTCATGCAGTTCTAAAGCTTCAAAAATTCAAATTTTCGAAAATTTCTCACGTGACCTTTTGGAGAAAAAAAAAAAAATAGAAAACCGGCCGAAATGCTCCTCATTTTTTGTATTGAATCCGTTAAGAAATGAAGTGAGTTTGAAAAATTTTCAGACAAAAATCTGGAAATTCCTCTTTACAGCTTTGAAAATGTGCGATTTATTTCATCCATATTATCTATTGTATCGCAAGGAACGATAATTAATCTAATTGCCTCACTATTTCGAAACTACCGTATACCGCCGTGCGTGGCGGGACTCCTCCTATTTGCCACCTATTTTTTGGCATCGTGGTTCCGCCTGTATGGCTCGTGGATATCGCGAGCTCGCCGAGCAGTTTTCAACGAGCGCAACGTAATGATGACCTATCAACCAAGAGCACTAACCCACGGGCATTTGTTTTGTGTGAGTTTTTTGGGGTAAATTTTAGCATTTTTCACAGATTTTCACAGATTTTTGAAGTTTTTTAACAATTTTCACATCGATTTTCAGTCAAAAACTGCAAAACTCAACTCCTAACATGAGTTATGACGTGGCAAAATCAAAAAATGTCGAGAAATTAGTTTTTTTTGAGTTTTAGAGGCAAAAATGATGACAAATCGGGATTTTTGAAGCTTTTGGAGTAATTTCTGATGAAAATAAGCTTCGAGAACCCTATTCTGCATTATTTTATGTTTTTTTTCGAAATTTTCAGCAAAACCTTCTGGAAAATGAATTCCAAGGTGAATTTTCATCAGAAATTACTGCAGAAGCTTGAAAAATATCGATTTGTCATCATTTTTGGCTGAAAAACTCGAAAAACTAATGTTTTTTCGACATTTTTTGACATTTCGTTTAGATTTTCACTGATTATTGAAATTTTTGAACAATTTTCTAATTTTCACATCGATTTTCAGTCAAAAATCACAAAACTCAACTCCTAACATGAGTTATGACGTGGCAAAATAAAAAATTGTGAATTTCCAATGTTATAGCCAGCTTCAGAACTACTTTTCATGAAAGCTAGTTGTAAAATTGGAAATTCACAATTTTTCACTTTGTCACGTCATAACTCATATTAGGAGTTGAGTTTTGCGATTTTTGACAACAAAATCATGTCGAAATTGTTATTTTTTTGATTTTTCCCCAAACTTCCCCCAAAAAACTCACATTTTTCCACTTTTTCTGCAGCCCGAACCTCCAACTCCAGTTCCAAACGCATCGGATGCGGATTCCTCGTCTTCTACGCTGTCAGCGACTTCAGCTTTTGCCAAAGCTCGAGACGAACACTATAAAAACGAATTTATGATCGCCGAACAAATGGAAAAGGAACGAAATCTGGCGAAAAAAGAGCAGAACCCGCCAACAACTTTGGACAACTCGAAAAAACCGCCCGAAACTTTGAGAATCGAATTTTCCGATGACGAAGCCACGTCATCATCGGATACTCGTTCGCCAAGCAATAGCGATACAAAGATTTATAGAATTTAGACGTTTTTCTTCGAAAAATATGAATTTTTATGAAAAATTTGTGGTTTTTTGGGGTCTCGAAGCGATTTTTCTGAAAATTTCAGACAAAATACAGTGAAAATTCACGCTCAGCACGATTTTTTAGCTGGGAAACCGGGATTTCCGGCGAAATGCGGTGAAAAATAATCGATTGTTCGCTGGCCTAGAAAACCAAACGTTTTCTAGTCCTCGGTCATTTTTTCTCGAGAAAAAACCAGGTTTTTAGATTTTTAAACCTGAAAATGGAGATTTCGGGTAAAACGCGGTGTAAAATAATTATTTCGCATAGAAAACCAAACGCGCTCCACTGAAATATCGAATTTTAATTTAAAAAAAAAACCCTTTATTCAACAAAAAATCAATAAATCTCCAAATTTTTCTGATTCACCGCCACACTCAAACTTCGCACATGCATATTTTTATTCATAGTTTGCCCGCCGCCAAAAAATCTTCCTTTCGCCAACAAAACAAAACCAAACCGCGTAGAAATAGGCGGGTAATATGAGCAATAGGTAGAGTAGAAAAGTGAGGCAGACGGGCGGTTTGAAGCCGTTGCATTTGAGGAGAACTGCCAGGGGCTAAACAAGGAAATTTGAAACTTGAAATTTCGAAAAAAAGTTTTCGCGCTCACCGGAAAAACCACCAAAAATATGGCGATTATCAATCGATCATTGTCAGTTTCAAAACGTGGATCAATATATTTTTGCATTAAAAAAAAGTTTTTTTTTTGAAAATTTAGAGTTGAAATGAAATTGAGTCTGTTAGTTTACTCAAATATTTGCTCGAAAAATCAACTTTTTGGCATTTATTTTTATATTCAAAAAAAAAAAAAAAAAAAAATTTTTCAAAAATCTTTTTGAAGATCGTCAATAATAAAAATATTTCTGGATCGATCGTATCTGTAGTCAAATCTCGGTGAGTCATCTGAGCTCCTGAAAAAAAAACATGTTTTTGACGCGCTTCACCGAAATAAACACGCAACGCAGACCGCGCCGCGGAGGGAATTTGAATCGTTCCCTTATTTGTGTGTGTTGTGGCGCGGCGCGGTCTGCGTTGCGTGTTTATTTCGGTGTGCTTCACAAAAACAAACCATAATTTTTCCAACAGAAGTTCTTCAAGTTCAAAATATTCATAAAAGTTAGTGAGTTCGAATTTCTTGTTTTTCACCAATAGAAAAAATTGATCATTGGTTAGCTGTAGATCTATATTAATCGTATCGAATCTCCCAAGAACATCAATCAATCTTGCATCGAATTCCCGGCCATTGATAGAAAATTTCAAGCATGCAGAACTTGATGAATGTATTATATCAAGAATTTCCAATGCAACATCAGCTGCATTACAATTTAAATCCACTGATTCAATTTTTGACCATTCAAAATTGTTTTTTGAAATTACATCTTCAAATCTCTCGGCCTCTTCAAAAAACTTCACAACTAATTTTGTGAGATTCCTGGATTCCGATAGAATATGATACAAGTGAATTTTATTATTGGTAATGATTTCTAATTCTTCAATATTTGAAAAATCTTGGAATATAGTGAAGTCAACCTGTAATTTATTTTTTTTATTTTTTTAAACAAAAATTCAAGAACTCACATCAGCTATCTTCAATTTCCTAACAGTTTTCCTATGCTCCAGTAAAATATTCTCGAAAAACTTGTAGACAGTATTTTCGATCTTGCCGAAACCTCTTGCAAGAACATAATCATCATACTTGATTTCACACATATTTGCGATTTGTTCGAATCGGATTACTGAACCATCAACTGAAACTATAAAATATGGCCTGATTGTTCCAACTTCTGTGATCTTCTCCAGTTCAACACTTGTGACATCTTTTTCATCGTGGAAAATTTCTCGAAAACATTGGAAATTGCAGCTAGCGAATCGGAATCTGCAAAAAAATGTTTTTTTTTCTTTTTTTTTTGAAAAGTTTCTACTTAACTCACCGATCATTTTTATTCAAATATTTGAAAACTTCGCATTTCATCTCATACGGCAAATTGCTCCAATGAGTCATAGTTGAAAAAAAAGAAACGGAATTTTTTCAACAAAAAAGAAGAAGTGTTATCAATAAATTTTATCAAAGATTGCGAAATATTGTCCATTTGGAAATTGGCTCGAGGAGACGCAGACAGCGAGAGAGAGTGCGCTGGCAAACAGCCAACTGGGGTTTTGTATATGAGAAAGCGACCGCAACGCACACGCATCGCACACGTAGGGGGCAAATTATAGTCTTGGCTCCTTAAATAGTGTTCCTTCATCTCGGTGGAACCTCCATGTGAAGGTAAATGATCTCCCAATCATCGTCTACATCCAGGCTCATTCATAGGTACATGTAAGATCTTTATTGTACATAAATATGCCGAAGGGTCGATGTCTATGGTAGAATGTGGAATATAGTTCCTTTCTTGCTAGCGGAATTCTTGTTATAGGTCTTGTAGTTCTGGATGAGTGGTATCTTGTGGGTCTCGTTTCCCCTATATCTTCCTATCACTCCTGTTGCATCTAGAAATGCTTCTTTCTTCGCCTTGGTTGCAGAGATCTTCTATCTTTTTGGCGAATTCTGCTGGTGTCGAAGTCGACTGTTTTACATTTGTCAACTCGTCTCTAGCTTCGTCTCTATCTGTTGGCAGATTATGCAATTCTATTAATTCTTTTACTACCTCTTTTCATTCCTTTTTGACTTTTGCCGGACCTTGCAGGAAAAGTGGTAACCTGTCTTGTTAGGTATTCCTATAATGTTTCAGCATATTCCGTCAGCCATTTCCTAATTGAGCTTCCACAGCTAAATTTGTTGACTAATGATGTCATTGTTCTTAGCACTTTGTGAACTGCTTCTCTTGTGCCACTAATCCAGGAGGCACCACATCCCCCTCCCTGTATAAGCCAGCGTCCTCGCGGCTGTATTATACCGAGACGGATCTGTTAAAAATTACATAAATAATAAACAATCCTAATCATAAACAAATTAATTATACATGGATTCACGATTAGTTTTCTTATTAGGGAGCAGGAAACCTAATAATTACATAAAATATGAAAACATACTAGGTACAAACATAACATTTGCCTAAAAAGATATAACAAAACATCACTTTTCTTTTGAAAATCCTTCTTCCTCTTCGTTAATTCCCTCGACAGCTCCTTCTTCGACCAGATGGCGCATATTGTTGGCCTGCAGATCGATAATGTTGTGGAGAAAAATTTCTTCCCTCCTGTGGGAACCTCCATGTAATGATAGATGACCTCCCAGTCATCTCCATTCCGATCATAGACGCAGTACAAGATTTACATGTATAATATTTATTACAAGCAAAATAAAATGTTAAGGGCAGATGTGTGTGGCCAAGAGAGGCGAGGAGACAGATGGTCATCTCAATAGAGCACATTTGCCCCCCCTTTTTTTCAAAAACATATGTTTTCTCTGGCCTCTCTCTCTCTCTCTCTACCTCGCTCTTGCGCGAAGGCATTCCCTCTCTATCTCTATGCTCTCCTCACTTCTCACACCTTCTTTTTTTAACAACGCTATAACTTATTAATCGGCAGCTTTTCATGTAAAAAAATGACAAACTGGAAGAATTTGCCGTTTGAGATGAAATGCGAGGTTTTCAAATTGTTAGACAAAGAAAATCGGTAAGGTTTTTTCCCTGAATTTAAAAAAAATTTTTTTTTAAAGTTTTTTTTTGCAGATTAAAATTCGCTAGCTGCAATTTCCAGTGCTTCAGAGAAATTGTGCACGAGGAGAAAGATGTGAAATCAGTTGAATTGGAGAAGATCACAGAAGTTGGAACAATCAGGCCATATTTTGTTGTGTCAGTTGATGGTTCGGAAATTCGATTTGAACAAATCGCAAATATGTGTGAAATCAAGTATGATGATTATATTCTTGGAAGAGGTTTTGGCAAGATCGAAAATACTGTGTACAAATTCTTCAAGAATATTTGGCTGAAACATCGGAACACTATTGAGAAATTAAAGCTCGCTGATGTGAGTTCTTTTTGTTTAGAAAAAATAAAAGAAAAAAAATAAATTATAGGTTGACTTCACTATAATTCAAGATTTTTCAAATATCAAGGAATTAGATATCACTACCAATAATAAAATTCATTTATATCATATACTTTCGGGGGCAGCGAATCTAACGAAATTGGTTGTGAAGTTTGAAGAAGGCGAGAGATTTAAGGAGGTACTTTTACTCAAAAGCGTTGATTTTTCTGAAACCTTTAAAACCTTTCCAGGTACATCTTCCGAAAATTGCGAAATGTTCAAAAATCGATTCTGTGGATTTAAATTGTAATGCAGCTGATGTTGCATCGGAAATTCTTGCTAAAATGTATCCAGCAAATTCAGCGATTTCACGTTTAAACACCTCAAATTTGAAATTATCTATCAATGGTGGCGATTATTCTGAACCCGATTCAAGATTGCTCGAATCACTGGGAAGATTTGCTAACATTGAGACTGATCTCCGGTTAACCGATGATCAATTCGTTCAATTGACATCATACCCAATGATCAGAAATCTCAAATTCGATGCGACAGATATCAACACATCGGTAATCATCGAATGTCTATCCACTTATGTTTTGAAGTCTCGGAAATATTTCAAGTTCAATAACTTTCGAGAATGGACTCAATTCAAAGAACTTATGAAGGAAAAATATGGGTAATTTTTAGAGAAATCGTTATAATTTTTACTTAAAAATTGGTTTTTCAGGGATCCTTGTAAACAAAATTTCGAGGTCGGTTTTCATCCTTTTATTTTGTCTATTGACAATCTTCGGCCACATCATCACTGGAAAACTTCTTAATTCTCTGGGAATTGTACTAACTTTTAATTTTTTATTTTGAATCATCTCTTTTCCCTGATCTCATAATCAGTATAAAAATAAAAATCTACAAATTGAAAAAAAAAACCTTGCGAATTGAAGCGAAACTCTCTAGTAGAACTGTTATACAAGCCATAGACAAATTCATTTTGAATACTGCTGAAAAATATTTAAAAATTTCATGAGAACACCAAAAATTGACTCACTAATTATATGAAATAGATCGATATATCGAAAATCGTGGAACCAACTTCAAAGAATTCAAAATTTCAACATCAACATTTCTCAGCGACAATTCTAAGCGAACATGTGATCTCATTGACTCCAGAACAATTTGAGCAAGTATTGATGGATCGATATTTCTAGCATCACATTCAATTGATTTAAGATGTTGGGTTAATTTGATGAATTGATTGTTATTGAATATTAGATTGATGCGGAGAACATCTAACTTCTCAAATACCTCCTCCATAAGATCGTAATCTAGATCCCAATAATCAGGTATTTCCAGGTTTACATATAGATTTTTCAAAGATTTCATCCCAATACAAGAATATAATTGATCTTTGGAACTGGTAGTGATATCCAAAGTATTGAGACGTGGGTAGGATTCAAGTGAATAATAAAAAGGAACCCTACAAAGCCTCAAATTCCATAGATTATTTCCTGAGTTAACCATAATATCTGCTAAAAAGCCTCCGAGTCATATTTTCACTTTCTCCAATTGTTCTATATTTAAACTCGCCATGGGTGCTCAATTTCGCAAGAATTACCAATTTGTTTGAATGTTATTACGAAACTTTGATCGATTTTGATGATGAAAATTGTGATTTTGCCCTCAACGTCCAATGATTCGATGTATTTTTCTTGGCCAACAACTTCTTGAAAACACGTGAATGAGCATTTTGCGAATTTCCATCTGCAAAAGTTGTCGTCAACGCGGAGTCTCGTTGTTTTTTTTATTTACCGATCATTTTTATTCAAGTATTTGAAAACTTCGAGTTTCATTTCAAATGGCATATCATCCCAGCAAGTCATTGATAGTTTCGAAAAAAAAAAAATTTATGGAAAAATTCTGGTTGAGCAAAACTGTTATCATGTTCCATGAGAGCAAACAAAATTTAAAAAAAAATTTTTATTTATTGATTTTTTTTGATAAAAAATTTTTTCAAAGGCACACATAGTTTCTCAAAAATATCTCGAAGCGATGTCTTTCTCTCTGTCTCAGATGACGTCATCAGACACGCCTTTTTAAATTGCAAATTTGAAGAGAAACAGAGAAAAAGATAAATCGAACTGCAAATTTTTTTCGCGCTGCAATACCAGTCAAAAATTTATTCATTTTCCATTTTTTAAAACTTTTTCTTACGGTTTTTCTTCTCGAATTCCGTATTTTTGATCTATTATTAGGCGCGACAAGCAGAAAAAGGCGAGAGAACCAGCCGAAAACGTGAAAAAAATTGAAAATGAATAAATTTTTGACTGGTATTGCAGCGCGAAAAAATTTTGCAGTTCGATTTGTCTTTTTCTCAGTTTCTCTTCAAATTTGCAAATTTTCCTTGTTTCAAAAAGGCGTGCAGACTCCCGTCGTGTTTAGACGAAAATGATCTTCAATAGATAAAATGTGATGTTCATCATTGTAGGAGTATTGAAATGACGATCTTACATGGCTGAAAAAAATACAATAGGTTTTTGTGTTTTCTCTATAACTTACCGGTATTTTTGCCTGATAAGCTCTTCAAAATGGAAATATTCGTGAAAATTTCTGAGCGTGAATGATTTCTTTGTGGCCACTTCGAATGCCAGGAGACAATCGATAATGTCTGATGGTTCAATATTGCTTCCATCAAATTTCAGAACCCTGACAGTCGGCGATGTTGTCAGTTCTGTCCAAGCCTGCCAAGATTGCTTTCAGGTCCAAAGATTCCCATTAGAACTAACTCACAGTCTTTTCGTATTCGGAATCACTCATTATTCTGTGAAACTGAACGATCAAAACTTTGGTTATACCAACCCAAAGTTTTTTTCGTATGATTCCGAATTCTCACAGTAAGTATCATTGGAAAACAACTGAACTCAACCAAACAATTCCAACTTCAATTTCCAACTCCAGAAACCAAATGATCAATCATCGGAAACTATCCCAATACTCTCAAATTTGGCACAATCTTCAAGCTATACTATAGACTTTCTATGTTTTTCTCTCACAAAAAACACACTCAAAACTGTCTGGAAAGAAGTCCATGCTACTTCCACACCTGTCCATTTGTACAAAACTTTACCAAAACCGAAACTTTGAAATCTGCTATATCAAAACTTGTTAAACTAAACAATAACACGCGTTTATACGTTCTCAAAAACTGAAAATCTTGCAAACTTCTTGCTAACACTGCAAATTTATATGAAACTCTACAACATTTCGCACTTATTTCTTGCTTTTTCCAGTATACACGTATACACAACTCGAAACTGATCAACGAACTCATCTTGAACCAAAGATCTATCTGATTACTGAATTCTCTCGAAACTAAACTCGAATCCATCTATGGATCAAAAACAATTCATTCTCAGTTATCCACTCAATCTGGAGTGAGACTCAAGTCAAAAGACACTAGTCACAAAAACTAGTCCCTTATGTCCTAGTGTAAGATTGGAGAAGATTCGTCATAATCACTCTCTGAAATTACCTAGGAAATTAGTAGTGACAAAAGAAGGGAAAACTTCAACTTTCCAAGGCGACTTCTTTGTCTAGGAGTGAACCTACCCCCTAGGGAGATATTAATCGATGACTATCTCTTGTGCTGTGCAGATCTATTGTATAGCAATCGTACTCATGTAGAAAAAGGTAGTCGCGGCACCTGATTTTACAACAATCTTACTGTACCTGAACCTAGGGCTACTACTGGCCGGTAGGTGGCCAGCTGTCTCGAGCACAGCTTCGGCACCAGTGTATTATTGGAAACACCACTTGTTTGACACTAGCTCCGTCGATACTGAAATTGACGTCAATATACACAAACCGTGACTCCGAAATGCTAATCACATCCACAGTTCCGTATTAACACATAGGCAGATATTCGCCAATATCTGCATTACTTCGATCTCTCTCCTCAGCGATCATCCGTTCGCTATCGAAGAGCCCGAATCCCAACTCATCTTCAAACTGTTTCTGAATCGAAAATTCCAGTAAACTTTAGCTTTTAGTACTTTTCTGTACAAAAATCCCCTTTTTCCCGAAGTATTTTGAGAAATTTTATGTCGATTCAAGAAAGTCCCAAAATTCCTTTGGGAAAAATGCGCCTTTTCAAATCAATCGAAAAAAGTCGCATTTTTCCCAAAGTATTTTTGAGAATTTTTTGATCTTTTCGAGAAAAGTCGCATTTTTCCCGAAATATTTTCGAGACTTTTTGTGTCGATCCGAAAGTCTCAAAAGTCTTTTGGGAAAAATGTGACTTTTTCTGAACCAATCGAAAAAGGCGCATTTTTCCCGAAGAATTTTCGAGTATTTTTTGTATCGATTCAAGAAAGTCTCAAAATACCTTGGGAAAAAAATGCGACTTTTTCGATTGATTCGAAGAAAATACGCTTTTTTCCCAAAATAATTTGAGTAATTTCCTTGATCAATGAAGAAGGTATCAATAATATTTTGGGAAAATGTGGACTTTTATTCTCAGAAATTGATCCTATATTTTCTTATACTCTTTTTACCCCAATTTATTCCTTATTCGGTTTTTTTTTGGTCAAAATAAATATTTTTTGCTCTTTTACCTGTGATTTTTTTTTATCGACAAAATTTTTTGAATGTTGTAAAAATCAGAGTAGTTTGAGATTTTTTAAATATAGTTTGAGTTCAGAGTGGATGGAGTGATTTTGTTACCTAATTTGTTGATTCCTAGCTATACAGACGGTGTTTGCAATGAGAAGTTGGTAGAGGAGGTGCGGAACGGACGGAGTGAGTGGAACAACGGTTTCATACTAATAATTTATTCATAAAAACCAATTGTACGTACAGCATCGCAGTTGGGCACACAAAAAGCAACGGGTTGAAGGGCAACGGAAGAGTGCAAAAGTAGGATCGAGTGAAAATTCAAAGAATTTAGGAGAGAGAAAAATTAATTTGTAGGCGAGTAGGAGCTGTTTGTGTCTCGAGTGGAAGATGCGGCTACGCGGCAATTCAAACGAGGCGGCGGTTTGAATGTGTTTTCTCTGTTTCTCTGCTCTCTCTTCATTTCGTCTTGTCTTTCTTTTCTTCCTTTCGCTTTCCTCATGAATTTAGGAGAAATTGGGCGCATTTGGAGACAAGTGGGAAGATTTGAAGGGAATGAGTTGCTTCTGGATGTGGTTTCGGCTAGCGTTTGCTGGTTCGGGATGTGTTTGGCAATTTGATGGCAAAATGGGAGGAGAAATCGATCAAATCAGTAAAAATTAGTCAAAGACACAGTTCTGTCTTTGACATTGGGGGCCAATCAAAAAGAAGTATTCCCTTTTTGAAAGGAGAATGTTGGCGTGTATAATTTACAGTAAGAAGTGATTAGAAGTTTTGTTGAACCTTTCTAAGAATGATTTGCTCAGAAGAGTCATAGATTTACTCATGAGAGTTTAGAGAGAGTACTTGTGCTATCTTGGTTGAAAAGTGTTCCCGATGGATTGGAATATGATGAGGTGTCAAGAAATCGCCAGACGATTCTGCCTAGAATTTTGACTAGTAGAGTTGCAATTTGATGGCGCACAATAGCTCATCGGTGAGTACTGTAGCATTTCTAGTTTGAATTTGGTAGATCAACGAATGGAAGTTTTACGATTCTAGTTGGGATTTCACAACAAGTGAATAGTACTGTAGCACTTCTAGTTTGAATTTGGTAGATCAAGGAATGGAAGTTTTAGTTTGAATTTGGTAGATCAAGGAATGGAAGTTTTAGTTTGAATTTGGTAGATCAACGAATGGAAGTTTTACGATTCTAGTCGGGATTTCACAACAAGTGAATCTCCCCGCTTTCTGAAAGTCATATGGCGTCCGAAGTGGACTACAGCAGAGATTTGAAGTGTTTATAGAGGCAACGATGCTAAAGTTTACTGGAATTTTCGATTCAGAAACAGTTTGAAGATGAGTTGGGATTCGGGCTCTTCGATAGCGAACGGATGATCGCTGAGGAGAGAGATCGAAGTAATGCAGATATTGGCGAATATCTGCCTATGTGTTAATACGGAACTGTGGATGTGATTAGCATTTCGGAGTCACGGTTTGTGTATATTGACGTCAATTTCAGTATCGACGGAGCTAGTGTCAAACAAGTGGTGTTTCCAATAATACACTGGTGCCGAAGCTGTGCTCGAGACAGCTGGCCACCTACCGGCCAGTAGTAGCCCTAGGTTCAGGTACAGTAAGATTGTTGTAAAATCAGGTGCCGCGACTACCTTTTTCTACATGAGTACGATTGCTATACAATAGATCTGCACAGCACAAGAGATAGTCATCGATTAATATCTCCCTAGGGGTAGGTTCACTCCTAGACAAAGAAGTCGCCTTGGAAAGTTGAAGTTTTCCTTCTTTTGTCACTACTAATTTCCTAGGTAATTTCAGAGAGTGATTATGACGAATCTTCTCCAATCTTACACTAGGACATAAGGGACTAGTTTTTGTGACTAGTGTCTTTGACTTGAGTCTCACTCCAGATTGAGTGGATAACTGAGAATGAATTGTTTTTGATCCATAGATGGATTCGAGTTTAGTTTCGAGAGAATTCAGTAATCAGATAGATCTTTGGTTCAAGATGAGTTCGTTGATCAGTTTCGAGTTGTGTATACGTGTATACTGGAAAAAGCAAGAAATAAGTGCGAAATGTTGTAGAGTTTCATATAAATTTGCAGTGTTAGCAAGAAGTTTGCAAGATTTTCAGTTTTTGAGAACGTATAAACGCGTGTTGTTGTTTAGTTTAACAAGTTTTGATATAGCAGATTTCAAAGTTTCGGTTTTGGTAAAGTTTTGTACAAATGGACAGGTGTGGAAGTAGCATGGACTTCTTTCCAGACAGTTTTGAGTGTGTTTTTTGTGAGAGAAAACATAGAAAGTCTATAGTATAGCTTGAAGATTGTGCCAAATTTGAGAGTATTGGGATAGTTTCCGATGATTGATCATTTGGTTTCTGGAGTTGGAAATTGAAGTTGGAATTGTTTGGTTGAGTTCAGTTGTTTTCCAATGATACTTACTGTGAGAATTCGGAATCATACGAAAAAAAACTTTGGGTTGGTATAACCAAAGTTTTGATCGTTCAGTTTCACAGAATAATGAGTGATTCCGAATACGAAAAGACTGTGAGTTAGTTCTAATGGGAATCTTTTGGACCTGAAAGCAATCTTGGCAGGCTTGGACAGATTCTCAGGAAGTTCCCATCAGAAACCTTTAGTGAAGTCTGAAAGTTTTCAGAAAGTTGGGCCTAATGGATTGGGAGTTTGGACATTTAGAGAAGATTGCTTTAAAGCAGATAAGTTACAGATTTGCTTTGAGATTCCAGTTTGAGTTCACTGAAAATCATTTTCATGAGCCAAAAAATTTGAGCTCAAGAGCCAGTTTCTGTTATAGGTGCCGTTCCACATTCAAAGTAGAGTAAAAAGTTGCTCAAAGAAATAGTTGGATTGGAAGTGTAATTAGTTCCGAAACCTTTAGAAGTTTGAAACTTATACAAAGTTGAGGAAGTTCCAAGTTTGGTTCAAATGTTGAAAGAGTTGCGCAAGAGTTGGCAGATTCAAGCAAAGCATTTTGAAAGTTAGAAGTTTTGCATTAGTCTCAGAAGATCAAACTAATATTGAAGTATTTCGGAGAAATCGGGAAACTTTCGAATTGTTTCGAGAAATCCATGTGACCTTGAGAAGCAAGGGAATTATTTGATAAGTTTCGAAGTTGATGCAAGTGTAGAAAACCAGAATTTGACTTTTCGAAATTGTTCGAGAAAATCACTGAAGTTTCAAAGTTTTAAAAGTTCGGTGCGTTTTCGAGAAGAAAGTAGTGTACTTCAAATGAATTCTAAGTTTTATTGATTATTCAAGTGCTCGGCGAAAATCGAAAAATCGATATTTCGAAAATATTCGAAAAAAACTCGATAAATTTCGAAAATCTTGGAAGTCTCTTTGAAAGATAACTAAAACTCTTGAGTAAAGTGCCAAGGAGTTGCAAATTGAAGCAATAGTTCTCATTTGTGAAATTTGAGACAACATCTGAAGAATCCATGAAAGAATTATCAAATTTTATCTCAAAATTTGAGTTCTGTCGCGGAATTAGTAGAAATTCGCGAAAATTTGAGTTCAGTGGTAGTTTTTTGAAGTGTTTTGACCAATTCCCGGTCGATGCACCATGTAAAAATCAGAGTAGTTTGAGATTTTTTAAATATAGTTTGAGTTCAGAGTGGATGGAGTGATTTTGTTACCTAATTTGTTGATTCCTAGCTATACAGACGGTGTTTGCAATGAGAAGTTGGTAGAGGAGGTGCGGAACGGACGGAGTGAGTGGAACAACGGTTTCATACTAATAATTTATTCATAAAAACCAATTGTACGTACAGCATCGCAGTTGGGCACACAAAAAGCAACGGGTTGAAGGGCAACGGAAGAGTGCAAAAGTAGGATCGAGTGAAAATTCAAAGAATTTAGGAGAGAGAAAAATTAATTTGTAGGCGAGTAGGAGCTGTTTGTGTCTCGAGTGGAAGATGCGGCTACGCGGCAATTCAAACGAGGCGGCGGTTTGAATGTGTTTTCTCTGTTTCTCTGCTCTCTCTTCATTTCGTCTTGTCTTTCTTTTCTTCCTTTCGCTTTCCTCATGAATTTAGGAGAAATTGGGCGCATTTGGAGACAAGTGGGAAGATTTGAAGGGAATGAGTTGCTTCTGGATGTGGTTTCGGCTAGCGTTTGCTGGTTCGGGATGTGTTTGGCAATTTGATGGCAAAATGGGAGGAGAAATCGATCAAATCAGTAAAAATTAGTCAAAGACACAGTTCTGTCTTTGACAAATGTCTCAAAAAATCAGCGAATCAGACTAAACTGGAGGAAAAAAATGTAGATTTGAATTCTGCCTGTATATATATCTAACTCACCGATCTTTTTTATTCAAATATTTGAAAATTTCGCATTTCATCTCATACGGCAATTTGCTCCATTCCGTCATTTTTTTATACCTTTCAATCGTGAAAAGCGAAATCACTGAAAATTTGGCGTTTTTTACAACGACACTCCGCGGAGTGCGCTTGCCCCTTGTTTAGCGCAACACGAGAATATTTTCATTTTTCGTTTTTTTTCGCCGGGTTTTCAGGTTTCCGGGGAAAATCAGTGGATTTCAATTGAAAAATTTGACATTTTTAGATGTTCTACAAGGTTGGAATCATTGAAAATCCGAGGATTATCGAAGAAATGTGGGTTTTTTCAAGAGAAACACTGTTTCGATTGAAATTTTTGAGTTTTCAGGGTCAAAAATGACTTTTGGTTGAATTTGAAACATCGTTTTTCATAAAAACATGAATTTTTTACTCAAAAATCGATGGAAAATGGGGTTTGGGTAAGATTTTTCTGAAAAATAGCTGGAAAATTGTTGAGAGACGCAGAAAGCCCTCAGAAACAGAAATCGAGTTAGCAGAACTCAAAAAAATTCAAATTTTCTGATTTTCAGCTCGAAATATTGATGGAACGTGGAAAACTTGGAGGATTTCGGATTTTGATTGGGATTCTCGAATTTTCGATGATTTTTGTGTGAATTGAGAAATAGAAGCGATTGGTGAGTTTTTTGGGGAGGGATTTGGGGAAAAATTGAAAAAAGTTAGACTAACTCGTAAACATCTAAACTGAAAATGATATGAAGATTGCGAAACGGGGAGATAGCGTGGCGGGAGAGGAGAGGGAAAAGAAACAACATTTCGAATTTGGTGAGAGAGTGAGAGGTTTTGATGATAAAGAAAAAGAACACCACATTCTGATAAATGAATAATTTATTTTTAAAATTGACACATTGCGATTCAAAAGGGTTCAAATTGAACAGATACACTATTTGTCCTGGTGTTGTATAATCCTTGAGTATTTGGCAAGTAGAACATACTGCAAAAGAACAATTCGCATTTCTCAACAAAACAAAAACCTACTAGTTCTCGGATCCCTCTTGAAAATAATCCTGATACAATCCCAACCGCTCTCCATGTTCCATGAGATCTCCAACAACATTTTTGAAACACAATCGCTTCCTGTATTTTTCCGCAGAACACTTCAGAATGACATCAGCGATTGTTGAAGTTGCCATGTTTTTGAATTTTATTGCGTTGATTTTTGGGGTCGCGAGGAGCTCGTAGATTTGCTCGATGGAGATTTTTAGGTCGAGGTTTAGCGCTTGCGATTTTTTGAATACTTCTAGCAAATTCTCATCGGGTCCATCGAATTTTTCATCGGAAATTGAAATGTGAAACTCTTCAAAAACTTCAGCATCGCTAATTCGAGAAATGATAGCTAGCATGACTTCAGCATCGTTTGATTTCAACTCAACTTCAGAAATCATCAAAATTTTGAATTCCGGTGGATTGAATAGTAGCTCAGTATCACTTTCCTCTTCCATTTCTTTAAAATTCACATTCAAATTCACAATATTCAAACTTCTCGACAAAAACCAATAAATCTGTTGCCTATTTTCACTGCAAATTTCGAGACTCATCAGTTTTGGAAATAGATCGACTCTTAGATTGGCGGTTGAGAAATCTGACTGTAACAAGAATATTTTTTTCTCAGAAAGTCAGAATCTAGGAAAAACCGACCGCATGAATCTTGATAAACGCAACACTATTCCTACAATTCGATAAAATCTTCGCGAACAAATCGAAAACCAAAACTTTCGCATCAATCTCCCATTTCGCGAATAACTTGGAATCCTTTCGAACTATAACTTGAAGGCCATATTGCTCGAAACTTAGCGAAACTCCATTGACACCCAACATGAAATATGTGTCAATTTCATTTTGATAAACTGATAAATGTTGAATATCTCGCTCGACTTGCAACATTTGTACAAAACACGTGCAGGAACATTGTGCAAAGCTTGCGCTAAAAAATAAAGTTAATTAAGAAAAATTAGTTAATTAATTAATTACCGATCTTCTTTTTCCATATACCGACAAACTTCAAGCTTCATCTCCATAGGTAAATCATCCCAATTTGCAGACATTTTCTACAATTTATCGATTGTGAACACTGTTATCGGGAAACAAAAATAAAAAATGATAAATTGCGGTTGTAAAAAATTGATTTTATTTATTCAGAACAAAAATTGGAGGCATTTTGATAAGAGAAAAGAAGATTAGAAAAAAATAAGCCGCGAAAAAAGTGTTAGCGAGAAAACGCGCTCCAATGCAAAAATTTGAAAAAAAATTCTAAATATTGCGAAATACTTTTTGGAATAACTCAATTTTAAAATTCCTCAGCCGATTCTTCGAGTACAATCTCAGGCAAATCTCCTCCAACATCTCTAACATTGTCATAGAAATCTTCAGCTTCAAGTTTAAAGCCCCTCTCGATATCATACTCAGAGAAATAAATCGAATTGAAAACAAGAATCCTAGTTGAACTATTATAAAAACCGTGCAATGTTGAATTAGAATCGTTGTTGACTTGTGGTCGAATTTCGAAAATAGATTTGTTGTTTCTCCGATTGAACTTTGAGTGTGAATCAGAGTTGTTGCTGAAATTATCACATTGTTTGATAGAATCGTATTAACAAGATAACCTACTTATTGTTTGAGCGAACCCTGCTCGAATTGTTTCTGGGAATAAAATTCAACTTATCACTGAATTGCAAAATATCAATAGGAACGTTTTTCAATCGAATACGTAAAAATTCACGATAACTAATAGAGTGCAGAGCCAGATTGACAAAATTTGATAGATCTATTTTAAAAGCATCCAGTTCCAAATCGTTGTCTGATTCGCCTAACTCCGCAATCTGCTCGGTTTTAAAACTCAAATTTGTTCGCAAACAATTTGCTTTTATGAGAATTCTCATCATTCTCCGATCAACTTCTATACAATTTCGGTCGGATATGGTAAACGTGATTCCCCTGAATCTCTGTACTATTGATGTTTCCATTTTATATAGAATATCCAGCGCTACATGTACATTGCAAGACTTCAAGCGTAATCTTTCTATGAACGGCCATCTAAAGTCGTCTGGGAATCGAATATGCTCCGTATTTTCAGTACTATTAGGTTCATCGATATCCACAAATAAAGTGTCAACATTTTCTGCTTTTGAAAGAAATGAATATAATTGTTCAATTCTATTTGTAGACACAATCAATGTTTTGACACGTGGAAATTTTTTAATCAATCTATTCTGAATCATATATCCAACCTGCAAAACTACTATTATCAACGTCAAAGTGGCTGGCTGCAAAATGAGAAAATAAATTCAAAAACCCGTTTTCGCGGGGATACCGTACACACAAGCACGCCCCTCTTTTCGCTGCGAGATATCGCAGTTGGGTAAATCGGTGCGCCTTTATTTCAATCGATTTTTTTTGTTTTTTACGCAAAACCGGCGTTTAACTTGGATACGTCGAGTATTACTAGCTATTTATCGATGATTTAGGCAGCATACGACATCTGGAGAAAGAACGTAAGACTTTTCAGTCGAATTTCCATTGAAAAATCATGATTTTCAGGATTTCCGCCAAAATCAACCGGTTCTTCGCCAATTTCGCCGAATATCAACCGGATTCCACCGAACACATGCCGAAGTTCATTGGCATGCTTTTCAACTTCGGTTGTTGTTGTTAAACCTGAAAATTTTCACATTTTCATGAAAATTCAAATGAACATTCTCACCTGAACCTGGAAGAGTTTGCTCTTGCAGCTTTTGTTGAACATATCGATGAAATCCGGTTGATATTCGGCGAAATTGGCGAAGATCCGGTTGATTTTGGCGGAAATCCTGAAAATCATGATTTTTCAATGGAAGTTCGACTGAAAAGTCTTACCTTTTTTCTCCGGATGTCGTATGCTGTCTAAATCATCGATAAATAGCTAGTAATACTCGACGTATCCAAGTTATACGCCGGTTTTGCGTAAAAAACAAAAAAAAATCGATTGAAATAAAGGCGCACCGATTTACCCAACTGCGATATCTCGCAGCGAAAAGAGGGGCGTGCTTGTGTGTACGGTATCCCCGCGAAAACGGGTTTTTGAATTTATTTTCTCATTTTGCAGCCAGCCACTTTGACGTTGATAATATTTCTTTTGAAAAAACGAAAGCCTCCTACACTGCAAATATTTAAATCCTCTAGATTATCTTTCGAATTGACCAAAATGTTTTCGAGAATCTCGTAAGCAATATTCTCAATGTTCCCAAAAGTTTCTTCAATGAATTCACGAAAATATTCAATTTCGCAGATGTTTCCAATCTGCTTGAATGTAATGTCGCAATCGCGGTTTATTGTCAAATCCAAAGTTTTGTATTTGCGAAATGTACTACTTCTAATCGCAACACGTTTAATATTTTTCGTTTCTTGAAAAACTTCTTTGAAACAGCGAAACGAACATTTTGCGAATTTCAATCTGAAAACATTAATTGTTTTTTTTTTCAAATCTATTTTCGAAATGTTACCGTTCTTCTGTATTCAAGTACTCAAAAACTTTGCACTTCGTTTCTTTCGGTAGATTATTCCAGCCAGTAACTTTATCGAAGGTTCCTCTGCAAACATCCAAAGCTTTCAGACCCGGAAATTTATTGATCACTTCATCTCTACTCATATCAACCTGCAAAACAAGATATTGCATTCGAATTAAGAATCCTCACAATTACTCCGGAAATATCTAGATGTTTTATATTTTTCTCTGATTTCAACAAAATGCTCTCAAAAATCTCGTAAGCGATATTTTCACTTTTTCCGATTTTCTTCGATATGAATTCATCACGATGTTGAATTTCGCAAACATCCCCAACTTGCTTGAATGTCACTTTGAAGTCACGATTTATTGATAAGACAAGAAGTGTGCCGACAGTATTGAGTTCCAATCTTTCAATGTTTTTCTCTACGCGTAGCACTTCTTCAAAACACCGATGAGAACATTTAGCGAATTTCAATCTGCAAAAAATGTTTTTTTTAAATCTATGTATTTTCTATATCAATATTACCGTTGTTCTGTATTCAAATACTCAAAAATTTGAAACTTGATTCTATCTGGTAAATCATTCCAGCCAGTCATAATTTTGAGAGATTCTCTAAAATGAATGAAAAGTAAATTTCAAAGAATGGAATAACTAACTCACTGACTACTCGAAGATTCATCATTATGGCTTTTGTTATTCGAGTCTTCACCTGAAATGTCATCCGGATAATTTCTGGTCACCCTGTATGCTCTAACCTTGCATAAAAAGTGAAGGTACAAGTCTTGCCGTAATAACATAGTTTTTTATTCTATTTTTTCTTGCATGAATTTCCCGGAAAATCTCGTCAGCAATTTTCACACTGTCTCCAACAATTTCCTCAAAAAAATGGCCACGATATTCGACTTCGCATTTATCCCCAATCTGCTGGAATGTGACTTCAATATCACGGTTTATTGACAATTAGATCACTTCGCCTTTATAAGTTATCGCCATTTCAATCGACAATCTTTCGAGAATTTTTTCTTGGGAAAACACATCTCTAAGAAATCCGAGCGAACATTTTGCGAGTTCAAATCTGTTAAAAATGCTCATACGTTTTTTCGTCGATTTTCTGAATCTTACCGTTCTTCTTGATTCAAGTATTTGAAAACTTCGTTTTTCATGGAAATTCAAAGTCATCTTGTTGAAGTTGAACATGCTTTTGAGAATGGGGATTATGAAGTGGCTGAAGAAATGATCGCTGGAATTATCGAGCATCAAAAATGGAATGCGGAATTGTTCAGGAAGCGGGCGAAATGTGCGGAGAAGGCTGGCGATTTCAAAAAAGCTGTCAGAAATCTCAAGCAACTTATCAAATTGTCGCCAGATAGTACAGATGTGATGCATGAAGTTTCGCAAATTTCATATAAAATTGGGGATTTTGACGATTCTTTGAAAATGATTCGCGAGTGCTTGAAATTGAATCCCGATCACAAACAATGCTTCGCATTTCATAAAACTATCAAAAAACTTGTGAAAGGAGTTGGTGAGTATTTATAAAATACGAAAATTTCCCTAAGAACAATTATTTTTCCAGACTCTGTCAAATCCTCAATCGAATCGCAAAACTGGGAAGATTGCTTGAAAACCGCTGCCAAAACTGTCAAATCTTTTGAGAGCGCAAAATCTGCCATGCAAATCCTCACTCTGAAGTGTCATAGAGAATCTGGAAATAATCAACAAGCAATTCTCGACGCCACCGAACTTCTCACTTCTGAAAAACCTTCGGAAGTTGAGATTGAAATTCTCCATCATCGCGCATTGGCTTATCTCGAAGAATCTGAATTCGATGATGCGATTCAAGATGTGAAGAAGATGCTAGAAAGTGATCCAGACAATCAAGAATTCAAGGAACTTTTGAGAAAAGCTGAAAGAGCCAAAGCTCAAGCTGGAAAACGAGATTATTATAAGATTTTGGGTGTGAAAAGAAATGCGCAGAAGAAAGAGATTGTGAAGGCGTATAGACAATTGGCGCAAAAATGGCATCCGGATAATTTCAAGAGTGAGGATGAGAAGAAGAAGGCGGAAAAGAAGTTTATCGATATTGCGGCGGCGAAAGAAGTTTTGACTGATAAAGGTGGGTTAGTTTGCGAGCTTGGATAAACTTGAGACAAACTTTTTTGCAGAGAAACGTGAACAATTCGACAACGGAATCGATCCATTGGACCCTGAGGCTCAAAATCAACAACATCATGGTCATCATGGCGGATTTCCTCACGGTTTCAATCCATTTGGTGGAGGTGGCGGTGGAAATTTCCATTTTTTCTACAACTAGTCTGTTTTTTTGTTTCATAATAATTATAATTATAAATTTTTATCTTTTCTTTTTTTGTGGATTCTGTGGAAAGGTTTCATGAGCCAGATATCTGATATTTTGATTTGATGTGAGAATTTATAGCGAAAATCTGAAATACTCAGGCAAATCGTCCCACCGGTGGGAAACCGGTGGGAAAAATGAGAAAAAACACCGGTGGAACACCTCTTTTTGGTGTTCAGACGGTGTTCAAACGGTGTTAAGCCAGTGTTATGCGGGTGGTCCACCGGTGTTATCGTCAAATTTGTGACCACCGGTTTCCCACCGGTGGGACCACCGGTGGGATTATTGAAGAGAAGGTGTTGAGTGAGTGGAGATCTGCTGTTACACCGGTGGGACTATTTGCCTGAGTACCGTGTAAAATATTCTGAGCATTGATTTTCAGAATATTTTACAGGGATTTCAGCGGAGATGCGGAAGCTATGCCCAAAATTTGATTTTTTCCGCAAGCTTCCGCGTAAGCTGCACTATCTACCGCGCAGCGGCAAAGGCATCCTAACTTTCTAGATTCAATAGTATAGCCATAGCTTTTTTACTTGAATAACCGAAAAATGCAGAAGACGGTCGTGAAAGCGCGTATGTCAAAGCTCATAGATAGCTTGATAATTTTTCGAATCCGAGTTGATTGCTTCATGAAAATGAGAGAGCGCATCAGAAAGTTGATTCTAAAATCCAATTTTTGATTCAAAACCTCGATTAAATAGTTCTTGTGAACAAACAACCATCGTAAAAATTTAGAAAATTGTGAAATTGCCTCTAACATGTTGAAAACGCGCTGGAACCATCATTCAGATTGTAAACACCGCGACGCACAAATAGCAGCATACCGTATACTAAACGAGAATTTTTTGTTTGTGGAAAATCGAAGCGCGAATTCTTGAAAGTTTTCTCTGCGCCTCCCAAAATGTGTATATTTTGCAAGTTTGAGAAAAGTGTTTTGTTACAGCATTTGGTTAAAAATTATGCGTAGTTCTGCAATTACTTCAAACGAAAAGCAACCAGATGACACCGATCAGATGAAGAGATTAGTTTCGGCGAAGTCGATTATTTGTGAGATGATAAATTCGTTAGAGTCGATTAGACTTCAATTGAAAACCGAAAGGTTTTCAGCAGTTGAACAACCTTTATCCCAATCAATTTCGTCGCTCAGAAAATGTGAATATGTCATTGAAGCGATTCAATTGAAAAATACCAAAATTGATCAAAATAGAAAGAAAATCGTTGAGTGCGCTGTATGCGAGAAACGTGTGTCAGAAGATGAAACAAGTTGTCTTTTCAAAAAAACCAACATTTTCCAATCGTATATTCAACTTTTTGGGGCGAAATTTGAAGAGAAATCAAGAAACAGAACCAGATTATGGGTTTGTATTTGTCATTTGCCTACGAAAACACCGTTAGAACTCTGCGAAAATCTAGGAGAAATTCGAGACGATGAATTTACACTGTCCGATTTTCAAAAACATCCAACACCACTGAATTTGAATTATATTGAGCATCGAAATGCGCCAGCTGTTGAGCCACCCAATATCCAGCCGCCCAATGTTCAACCAAATGGATTGATTCGTGGACATGATGTTGGAGAATGGCCATTTTCTCATGCTCAATCAAATGTTGAAGTCTGGAATTCAACACAGGTTAATTTTTGGGTGAATTGGAGGTTTTCGAGATTTTGGGGAAATAATTTCTCAAATTTTTGATTTAAAAAATCTAGCAATTTCCAAATGTTCAATTTGCTCCCCTGAAAAATCCAAATTTCCCCGTTTTCCCCTTTTAATTTCAGTTCGATGTTTTTCTCTCAAAGTCCTCAATTTTGTTTCCAGAACCCATCAGCTGTCGAGCCACCCAATATCCAGCCGCCCAATGTTCAACCAAATGGATTGATTCGTGGACATGATGTTGGAGAATGGCCATTTTCTCATGCTCAATCAAATGTTGAAGTCTGGAATTCAACACAGGTTAATTTTTGGGTGAATTGGAGGTTTTCGAGATTTTGGGAAAAATATTGAAAAAGCGAAAATTACTTGAAAAAAACATTAATAAAGCTCACAATACTGATTTTTGAGTGAATTTTCACTAAATTTTGAGAAACAGGGTTCTAGGTAGCGTAGAAAATCAAGTTTCTGGATTTCTAGGCCATCTGAAACCCCGGATATTCGAAGTTAGAGAAAATGACCTAGGAAATTAGATTTTTGGATTTCTAAGCCACCTCGAACTTCAAGATTTTGAGTTCAATGTTTTTTTTCTAGAATTCTAGATGGCTTAGAAATATTTGTTGGTTTTCTTGACCAGCTCAAACTTGAAAATCTTGTTGGCAAAATTACCAAATTTTTGCTCAAAACAATGCTGGAACTTCCGATTTTCCGATTCAAGAAAAAACCTAGTGTTAAATTTTCAAAAAACCGACAAACAGGCTTATGCGCTCTACTATAGAACCACCATATAAGACTCACGATCATCAGAAAATCTTACAGTTGTCATAAAGTAGGCAAACCGCTGAAAAATGAACGTTTCGACGAACAAGGTCGGGCCATAACACATTGAAAAAAATGGCAAGAAAATTTCATAGATCTTTGAATAATATACAAGTTTTCAGAACAAAACGGCGCCAAAACAACAGCAACAACTTGACGAACCACAGCGCCAACCACATCGCCGACCACGCCATCAATAAGGCCGCCAAAACCACACAAGCTCCAAATCACTGAAATCTTCTACACAAGCTCAAAATTGTAATTTTTTGTTTTATTTTTGCAGATAAACTATTTCTATGTCTAAGATGTGTGGAATATGTGAAACCCTAGGATCCTGCGAACAAACCACTAAAGCCACTAAAATTGTCATGTGTATATAATAAGGTTCACGTTTTTAACAAAAACACAGGTTTGATCATTTTTCTAATTTCTGAACATTTTTCACCGTGCTCCTGCAAACTCCCACGTCATAGAAATAACAAACACACACATTTTTTTGTTCTCCAAATTTTGTTCAACTAGCGTCAGTACTTGTATACATATAATATCTCTCTACTTTTTTGTACATATTTTCCTTGCCAAACTCCAATTGACCCCCTATAAATTGTTCCCAAGCCAAAAAATGGGCGGAGCTTGAAGGGTGTAAAAAAAGGAAAGAAAAAACAACGCCCCTAAATACGTTATTAATCATAAAATAGTTAGATCCTGCTATTTTTGTTCTGTTTCTTGTTATTTTTGTTGCTGGAAAAATGGTGCTACTCAAGTTTAAAAATGAAAGCGATTATGAATCTCTCCATGAAAAGGTTGGCAAGATATTTTTCTTTGATTGGAAGGAAATCGAAAATCCGGTGAGTTTACATTTGAACATTTATTTGAGAGTGAAAGTTTCTAATGTTTTTGAAGACCCCTTCAGAATTTTCAAAGAAATTTACTTAAGACAAAATTAGAAACCTTTTCAGTGTCTATCTGAAAATGATAAATTTTTCGTGCCACGTGGTTTTTTAGGGTATTTTTAAAAGTTGAATGATTTCTGTATTTTTTTGAATTTTACTTGATAAATAGGCCAAAAGTGGATCGTTGAAAAAAAAGCTAAACATGCCAAATGCCAAGTTGAAAACATTTTGGGATAAAATTTGATTTTGTCGTAAAAAAAGAGATATCAATTTTCTGAAAGTTCTGGAGCAAATTTGGAAAATTGTGATCTTAAAGGGGCTTTTCTTCTACGGTAACAAGCACACAGACAAAAAAATGAAACAAAAAGACACACTGTTATTGTGAAAATAAAAATAGATGGCAGAAAATAAATAAAGAAACGTGAACATTTTCAGAGAACCCATGTCGTTGGGAGCGTTGCGGTCACGCGCTGCGTGCTCCATTTTCAGAATTTTATTAATTTTTCCCATTTTTTGAGCAAATTTTCGAAAATGAAACACGCATCGCGTGACCGCAACGCCCCCAACGACATGGGTTCTCTGAAAATGTTCACGTTTCTTTATTTATTTTCTGCCATCTATTTTTATTTTCACAATATCATTGCGGACTAGGCAGAAAAATGGGTATATTCTTTTTCTTTTTCTTTCATATTCTTTTTATTGTCAATCCGAAAAAAAAGAAACCTTCTGTTTGAATTGGCGCTCACGTACAGTAGACTAAAATGACGTGACACATGCACATCAAACTGGTTGGCAAATAGCCAACGTGTAAATTTTGCATTTTATTTTTCAAATAGACTCCAAAATTTTGCGAAGTCTACTGTAGCCTTGGTTTCTTAGGCCATTTCGGTTCTCTTCCAAGGTTCTTATTTTTTCGGATTGACAATAGCTACGTGAAATTGCGTGATTGGCTGGGATGAGTGAAATCGGGCTTTTTTTCGAAATGAGTACCACGTTTTACTGACGTGGCAACGGTTCGCAATCACAAAATTTGCTTCTTTTTTTCTCCTGTAAAGCAAAACCGCAGTAGTGCGTCAATATTTTGAACTAACTATAAACAAGCCTAAAATAACGGGATTTTTCAGAATAGTTGTCTTCATAAGTTAATTTCATTTTCTAATTGAAACTTTATTTATAAAATCTTTCAGTTTTTTCGAAAAAAAATTTCGGAAGATTGAAATCTGAAAATTGAGCAGAAATAATTTTTCAAATCGTATTTTTTCGAGACTTTCAAGCTTTGCCACGTCATAGCTAATATTACTCACAACACAATCGTTTTATTTCTAAATTCCAGTCAAAACCTACTTTCTTGCAGTTCGATATTCTTCCAATGGAAATGAAAATGATGATTTTCATATATTTGGATCCGGAAGATATAACTCAATTTGGAAAATGCTCAAAAAGTTGTCAAAAATTATTCAAATTATTTCGACCAAAAATCAAAAGTGTATATTATCAAGGAAATATAATGAGCGCATTGGAACATTCTCAAGAATGTTTTCTACAAATCCAATTTCATAAATACCCGGGCAAAATATATGAAATAGTAATTGAAACATTGAAATCAATCAATTCGAAAAAAATATCGAGAAGAAATAAGATGATTGACAGTGAATTAATAATCGTGGAAACTATTGGATCGAAACAATTATCGACAAAAGATACTAAAGGAAGCAGATCCAGTATTTTTCTTACAAAGTTAGTTTTTTTTTGTTTGGCTGAAAAATTTAGTCACCGATCAATTTTGATCTAACACAAGATGCCAGTCCAATCACATGTCAGTCCGAAAAAATTGGCTATCGGTGAGAGTGAGGAAGATTCTGAACTTGTTCTGCACTTCGGTACACTTGAGTGCTTAAACCTTATGCACCTTCCTTGTTAGAGAAAAAATAGATCAAACGTTCAGTGAAAATTGTGAGTGTGAAATTCCATAATTTTTGAAATTTCGGTTTCTAAACATATTTTGCTTCTAAAAAAATTGAGGATAACTTATATTCGCTTGGCACAGTGAAAGTTCGAGAATGAATTCTCAAAAATGAAGCTGAAGGCTATTTCTAGGTTTCACAAATCCATGAACTTAAAGGTGGAGTCCGAGCAAAAAATAAGTTATGTTAATTTGAAAAAGCATATTCAAATTAGTAAATTTCTCGAAGGATTTTTTATAAAAATCTGTATTGAACAAGAAACACTGCGCCAAACTACTTGAAAATTTGCATTTTTGCATTTTCTCAAGCCATTTTACACGGTGTTTCACTGTTTTTATGAACTTTTAACTTGTTTTATTAATGTTTGAAACACTTTCATTAAAAATCCTTCGAGGATTCTACTAATTAGAACATGCTCTTTCAAATGAGCACAACTTATTTTTTGCTCGGACTCCACCTTTAAATAGCTGTAAATCACGCGGACGCAACGAAATTTGACTCTAGATATCACAGTTCAATTCCAGCGGCATTCATATTTTCAGATTCTCAACAACACCACAATCAACATATCAAGATGTGAAACTACTATTACAACGAACAAATCCAAAATGTCGTCAAATGATTGCCCTTGAAATGTTCAAAAATATTATTGAATTCAACAAATCATCGATTGATGAAATTACAATTGAAGCAAATATTATTGTAAGTTGAAAAAATGTTTTTTTTTCATCCACCTTTTTATTGCACAAAGAGGGTTTCATTATTAACTTAGAATTATTAACTTTGAAAAGTTTGAATTTATTTTTTTTTCTGCGAATTTTTCGAATTGAGTTTCGGTAAAAACGGGAAAGAAAAGCTCAAATTAAGACCTAATTAACTGTTAAAGACACAAGAGCAGCTAGAAATGAGCAGAAAATGAGTTTGTTATTCATTCATAACACCTTTCAAGTAATCAAAATTCATGAAAATCAAGAAAAAATTTTGAGTCTAGCAAAAGTGAAAAAATAAAATAATTGTTTTTGAAATCGCTCAGCGTAAATTTCGAAAGTGTTTGCACACAGTGTTCGCTGTTCGCTAGAGCGCACATGCTCGTTTTGTCATTTGAAAATAAATGCGGGAAATCTGTTTTTCCAGTGTTTCTTGTGTCTTTGAAAATATTTCATTGTGCAGAACTGCGGCGCCGTGTTCACATATCGGCACCATAACTTTTTGCCGCCTGAAGCTTCCATACTACGGTAAACACGAGGCTATGTAGCTTATTGTCGCCTATTCGTTTGCATAATACAACGATAAAAGTGGCAATGAATAGCAACATAGCTGAATGTTTGGAAACATCGCCCCTGTGTTGCTATTTTTGGTGACGTGAAAGGGTGTGATTTTAGAATTCTAGCTAATTTTTTTTAGCCGAGATCGTCCTTAGCTTTGAACCTAAATACCTTTATTAATTTTAGGAATCATTTTACATGAGATCAATCGATATTTATTCGGAAAACTTGAAATTATTGCGAATCGATGGAAATTTCACAAATCATCCACAATTGAATCAATTTCTCTCGATTGAATTTGTTAGGATGAAAAATTTCAAAATTAGCTCGCAACATCTTCCAATGATAAAATCAAAGTATCTTGAGTTGCACAGAACAGTTATGGACCAAAGATTGTATGAACTATTTTTGAAAAATTGGAGAGATGGATTGATGGAAAATTTGAGAGGAGTTTCGATGGTTGGAGATGAACATGATTGGTTTCGTTGTTTGTTTGGTGATAATACGATGCTTAGATTTGTGATGGGAGAAAATGGGCAGATATTGGAAAAGTGAGTTGATAAAAATTATTTACAATGTGCTTATCACATTCAAAGATGATCTTCGCACCGAGCATGCGGTATAAACTGTCAACGTCACTTTCAAAATCTAGATTTCATTATGCGGCTATTCAACATCTTTTTTCAATGCTGAATTGGTTTAGAAATCTTATTCAGGACAGCTGCGAAAATAGGAAAACGATTGAGAAAATTGTTTATCAGCATTTTTCCCGAAAATGTGGAGGAACGAAATGAATTTGTTAAGTGGAGGGCTGTAATGCGTTGGGTGGAGGAGGGGGGCTATTCTCAGTTTATGCCAAACTTCTGAAGTGCTCGAGCCACTTTTTCAAAAACACCGTAAGATTCAAAAAAAATATTCATATTTTTGCAGCGGTAATCATGCAATAAGATGTGAAGTTGTTGGTTCGCCATCAGTTGATATCAATATCCAAGGAGTTTTGATTGATCATATTCATCGTTGGCCTGTTCGAATGAATTTGAGACGAGAGGATTTTTAACAATTTTCTGTTCTTATTGTTTTCTTCGTCTGTTCTATAGAATTCGGGACAATGGTTGCTGAAAATGCGACACTTTGGCGCAGATTTGCGACCAACGAGTCGCACACAAAAATAAATAGCAGCAACCAGTGTCGCGAATCTGCGCCGCAGTAAGCGAACCGTGTCGCGAATTTGCGCCGTTATGAACGACCGCTGTCGCGAATTTGCACAATAATGTGCTACAGTTTGTTGTTTTGACTGATAAATAATAGGGTTGTTCAAAATTAATGCTTTATTTTACATCTGTATTCGTTAACATTCACATATGGAATGCCTCTTAGATAAAAACATAAAAATTCTACAAAAAATTGAGAACTTTATATATTGGTTTTTTTGGAGTTTTCAATCATGATGAATTTTTGATGATGTTGACTTGTTTTCTTTTTTTTTTTGCCTATCGTTCTTTCTCTGAAATTTAAGCTATTTTTATTGAACATTGAACTGTTTGGACCTAGAAATTCCCAATTCTTGATGAATTTATAGCTGAATTTTAGAGATTGAAAAACTGTGCTATAAAGTCAGATGCTAATAATTCTCAAACTTTTGAAAGATGCTCAAAGCGTTTCATCCTTCTAATGTTGAGATAATAAAGTTGAAATATAGCCTTGTTTTTATATCAAACATTGAAAAATTCAACGGAAACACAGGTTAGTCTCATCCAAATTAAGTTCTTTGTTCATCAACGGAAAAACATTCATGACAATGTAATTTTTAAATTACATATTAAATTAAATTAAAATTAATTTAGTTTTAAATTACGTTTTAAAAAACATATTTTTTGCAAATTTTCAGACAAGAAATTCTGGAGTACTGTAGAGTACAATTTTGGCGCCAAAAACTAACCTCCACATTTCGCAATGATGAAATAAATGCGGTGCAAATCAGAGCGCGTGCATGTTTTCGAATTTCTCGAACCTTCCTATCCTGCTCCATATTTTCTGTTTGACTAGGAGCTGTTAGCTCCCAGGCGTAACGGTCTCCTTTGAATTGGGAACATTCTTATAAAAATCCTCAAAAAATTCTGTACAATATGATGTTAATTACAGCACAAATTAGCAAAAAAATACCTTATCCCAATCTCTTTTCCGTTTTTCTCTGCCTTCAATCTTTCTCTGCGCCCTCTCTCTTTTCAACAGAAATGTTGACACTTTTTTGGGACATTTTCGAATGAAGATTTTCGATCGAAAATTACATTAGAGGATATAGGAACGAAAACAGCTTGTGGTGGGACTCGAACCCACCAAAATGACCACACACATTGCTTGGCAGTCCATCCCCTACCCGGCTGCGCTAAGGATGCAGACATAAAACAATGCGCGTATTGTCAGGATATGAAAGGAGGAGGCAGAGAAAAGGGGGAGAGGAGTGAATATCGGGAGAAATGTGTTGCATTGTGGGATTTTTAGAAAAAGTTGAAAAATAAAATTTTTGAAAAAGTGACAAAAAATATTTTATTTTGCAGCCCTCATAAATTCATTGAACCCAATTTCCGTTTTTTTTCACCCCCAGACATTTTTTTGTTATTACTTTTTTCTGGAATTCCACAAAATGCAAAAATGCAATTTTCACGTGACCCAACGTGAAATTCGAAAAAAAATTCCGAAAATTTCCAAAATCCCGCCATTTTTATTGATTTTTTGTTGAAAAATGACGACTAGACCGAAAATTAAGGTGGCATCGATTATAAACGGAAAATATTTGGTGAGGCGCTAAAATTCCGAATTCTACAGTAATCCACGAGTACTGTAGAGCTCAGTAAGAAATTTTGTTGATGGCCAGGGTTACTGTAGTGGGTATGAAAATTGGAGCTCTACAGTAATCCAGGAGAATTTTTTAAAGGCTACTGTACCTTCATCAGAATCCACGAAGGTTACTGTATTTCTCTGGAACTCTTATCAATTCAAAAACTAATCAACTACTGTAGGTGATGTTCCTTGATCTACAGTACTTCAAAAACCTAACCAAGTCTACAGTAGTCCAAAACAAAGTTGATCTTCTACCGTACCTCACTTACAGTACTCCAAATTTTGCAGGCGTTCCGAAAACTTGGTGAAGGTGGCTGTGGATCGATCTACGAAGTCGCCCTAGTCAAATGCCCCCAAAAACGATTCGCGTGCAAAGCCGAAACTACAGTACCTGATGAAGATCCAACTCTACCAATGGAGCACAAAGTTATTCAGCTCTTAAATGAGCGAAATTCTCAACATTCCGTGGAGCTTTTGGAGAAGGGGAAGGGCGAAAATTATCAATTTCTGGTGATGACATTGTTGGGACCATCTTTGGATGCGATTCGATCGACTTTGCCGCTCAAGAAATTCTCGACGTTTTCGACGCTCGTTGTGATTATTCAGGCGTTGGATTCGTTGAAGGAATTGCATGATATTGGGTGGGTTTGCAAACGACACTCCGCTTGATGACGCTGCATTTTTCATACAGTTCTACTAGGTTTTCTACATTTTAAAACTCACTCAGATAGTGTAAACGACACTCCGCTTGATGACGCTGCATAGGTACTGAATTGTTCTTCATCCACAATTTTGAATAGAAAACGCGAGCTGCAAACGACACTCCGCTTGATGACACTTCATTTTTCATACAGTTCTACTCACAACATTTTAGGCTAATGATAAAACGCAATAGGGTGAGAGGAAGAGATTTAGAGAAAAACATAAAAGAATTCACGTTTATTTGATTATTCGCGTGAACTCTTGTCGCCTCGCTTCATTTTTCAAAAAAATAAAGAAAAATAGGACATGTTATGTATAGCGCTTGGCCATTTGTTTGAAATGTCGGCAATACGTTTGAACGACCTCTCAGAAAATGTTCGAAAAAGTAGAATTCTGGTTATCATTTGAGCACATTTGCCCACTAAAAACGTATGCTTTCTCTAGAATCTCTCTCCTCTCACCCAATTGCGTTTCGGAACGTTGTATACTAGGTTTTCTACATTTCACAACGCAGATAGTGTAAACTATTTAGTTTTCTTTTAGTTTCGGTTGTAAACGACACTCCGCTTTATGTCACTGCATTTTTCAAAAACTGAAAGTATCGCTTAAACTTTTAGCTTCAAAATTCACGTCAGCAAAATTTTGTTTGCGTTTTTTTTTCAAATCTGAAACTTAACAACGTCACTCCGCTGGATAACACTGCGTTCCAAAATTCAGACAGTGTAAACGACACTCCGCTAAATTACGTTATTCTCAGAAATCTATTTATTTCACCTAAATCCCCAAACGCGCTCCACCGAACTTATCCGATTTTTTCCAGCTTCATTCATCGTGACGTCAAACCGGCCAACTTTGCCATCGGAACCCTCGGAACTCCCAAACAGCGACTTCTACACGTTTTGGATTTCGGAATCGCTCGACAATATGTGGTAAGTTTTTTGCGCCAACAAATTCTTTGCTGACGCATTTTTTTTGCACACAGACAAAAACCGAAGATGGGCGTCAGAAAATGAGAAGACAACGTAAAATTGTGCCGTTTCGTGGAACTTTGCGATATTGTTCGGTGGCGACGCAGGAGCGCAAAGAGCAAGGAAGACATGATGATTTGTGGAGCCTGTTTTATATGTTGGTCGAGTTTTCTAAAGGTGGGATTATCAAATTTCAAACTGCCACGTGGCCCTCTCAAAACATCTGAAAATTTCCAGGCTCTCTTCCATGGGAAGGTCTAACCGACGAAGAAGAGTTGCGAAAACTCAAAAGTGACATGCAAGAACTCACCAACGGTCTCGATGAAGAATATGTCAGATTTTCGCAACACTTGCAAATTTTGGTCTATTCCAGCAAACCCGATTATGAGATTTTGCGAAGATTGTTGTTGAACGTGTTCATTCGCCGCAAATTCAAGGCAAATATGAAGGTTGATTGGGAGCACGGCGGGAGATATGAGCACTATTTTGAGAAGAAAACGGCGACGCTGTGAGTGCAACAAAAAGAAAAAGAAAAGATGGGCCGAACCGGGCTGTTGTGCACAGACATTTTTTGTGCAAACACGCTGATGTGCAAACAATGCACCACACACGTAGGGGTTCGCACCGTAGTTTTTTCAGCGATTTCCGCGAATAAAAATACGTGGAGATAAACGAAAAAAAAAGGACGCGCATTTCTTCGGAGAGGATAACACACACATCTCTTCGCTGCGAGACCATTCTGCATAATTGTGGGCGCCTTTGATTTTGGTGTTGGCGCATCAAATTATCAGGCTTTGGTGAAAAGTAATACACACCATTCGACTCAGAATTTCACGCTGAACAAAATGATCATAAATTCATCATGTTTTTTCCTTGATTTCCGGAAAACTCTAACCAGAAAAACTGACAAGGGAACCTTTTCAAGTCGCCATCGAGTTTTGAGCTGAAAATTTGTTTAGGGGTACTTTGAGATGCGTTAATGAACATATAAAAAATCCAGCTGCGGAAGAGCACTCTGAGCACAAGAAATTGAGCTCCAAAGTTTGAGCATTTTTGAGAGCGCACGCACCAGTTTTATTGTCTTTGAAATTCTAGCTGGTTAAAAAACAACTAGCAGAGCGCAGCAGGGAAGCGGATAGCCTTCGAAGGAAACGCTTTGGGGTTCGACCCCTGCTCGCTGCAACATTTTTTTAATTTTTTTTCGTTTTTCAAGAAAATGGCTTTGGAGTACTGTAACTTGTTTAAAAATCGATTTTTTGAAAATCTGATGATACAGGGTTGTTCTAGAGGGTCAATTGTATGAAAAAATGAGTTTATATCATTTTTCGAGAAATTGAATTTTTCTTCAAAATCATACCACGCCCAGGTCCGTGCATATGAAAAATAAAAATTGGCGGGGTGGTTTTTGAAAAATTATTGGCGGTGTGAAAACAAGGTGTTTTTTTGGAAAATTCTCAAAAATTTACTTGAGCAGATTGGCGCGGTGAAAACAAGCTTATATAGACCCAAAACATCAAAAGGATCAATTTGGAAGATGAAAATTACTGACAGTTTTTAATATTACCCAGGAAGATCATGGGAAAAGTGAATTAATTTATTTATGGAATGATTTTTGTATTCTAATGTGTTGTTTGCATGCTTTCATTTGTGATATTTTTTCGTTTGAAATGCACGATTTTGCTTTTGTCTCTATTTTGCTTATTGTATATCTCACCTCAACGTTCTCACAATTTGAAATCAATAACTGATCGATAAATTTGCACAAACTTCTGGATGATTTTTTTTTACAGATTTCGACACCTCCCAATTTTTCCTTTCATGTGTGTTTTTATCCCAAAAACTTCAAGACAAAAATTTTAAAAAATAAATAAAAAATTTCGCTGGAAGTCGAACTCGAACTTTGGTCGTCAGACTGAAAGTCAAAAGATTAACCAATAGACCACACACACACACCTGCTAACCGCCTTGTTTGTTTGCCTTGATAAGTTCGATGTTTTTGTGTGTACAACAGCGACGTTGTTGTTGCATGGGATATCAGTTTTTGGAGAATAACTTCAGAATCAAAGGTCCAATTCAATCACATATTGTTCTTGGAGATTCTCCAGTGCCATAACCAGGTGGAAACATCAGAAAATGGATGAATAAAGAAGACAATTTCTGTTCAAATCAACTTTAAATTATTTATTTTTCAAAACTGAAAAGAACATGTCCTACGACATCAAATCTTCTGTTTCAACAGTGAATACATATCAGAATGAGCAGAACTTTCAAATTGACCAAAAATTTCAGACTGAAACCTTCTCAAACTCAAATTATCCTCGACCGTGCAAATCGAGATTTCTCAAAATCAGTTTTTCGACCATAAAAACCTTATTTTGGCTCTAAAATTGGAAGTTAAAAAACGAATTCGTATTATTTTTTGCTCGTGCACGTTTTGCGACCGAGAACGAAGCGATTGGTGCAGTCTGTGTAGGCCTATTTAAAAATGTGCGAAAAAACATGCACGGTCGGGGTTTATTCTTCAATGTGCACATAAAACTGTCCAGTTTTTTGTTTCCACCTGGTATAGGCCATTTAGAACCTTATCTCATCAAAAAAAATCAGTCAGAATGTCGAAAATATACCAAACTCTGAAATTCAGACAATTCAAGAGCAAAATAAAAAATTCCGCAGGAGACGGGGGTTGATCTGGGGCCTCCGGAACAAAACCAGAGCGCGCCTAACCGACTGAGCTACCACACATTTTGTTGAAGAAGGTGCGATTGCCAAGATATATTTTATGTTTTCGGCACTGTAGAAAACAGATGATGGCTTTGAGTTTGATAATGTAAATGTCTTGAAAATATAGTTTGTTTCCGTTTTCTGAAATTTTTCTGAGAAAAAAAGACAATAATTGAACGATTTTTTCAAATTTATAAGTTTTATTAGTGGTAATTGAAATAAATAAATAATAATTTTTGATTAAAATTCACTTGAGATTGGAACTTGAAGTTGAAATGGGCCGTAGTCGTTTGAATCTGTAAAAATTAATTTGTTCTAGAGCTAATAAAAAAATCCCTCACTTAGAAAAAAATTTTGGCGTCGTGGATTTCATCAAAATTTTGAAAAAAATATTGGCGCCGTGCATTTGTTAACCCCTGGGCGTGGTATGTTCAAAATTCATGATCATCTGGATGGATGAAATTTTTTTTTCAATTTTTTTTCTCGAAATAAATCCAGTTTTCATGAAATTTACCATTGTGAACAACCCTGTGACATCAGATTCTTATCAAAACGGTTTATAAAGAAGTTATAGAAAGTAAAGTTACTTTTTCGAAAAGGAACAGAGTATATAACTGAAGACAGATTTAAAAATTTTTGGGTTGGATTTTCATATAGATAATTTTGAGATTCTGGACCGCAATGGCGGAAGAAAAACAAACAAACTATAACTAAGTTGGCTTTTTGAGTTTTCATGAAATAATGTCAAGAAACCATCCACAAAATTGAAACAATGATATTTTTTTGCACTTTGTTTCTGAAAGTGAACATTTTCAACAAGATAGTATCATAGAAAATATTACTGTAGAATACGGAAGTACTGTAGCACAGAAATATAATTAAAAACAAAAGCGGATTTTAAAATCTGGGAGAATTTTCCGCTTTTTGTGATACAATTTAATTTGCGGAAAAATCTCCCCGGGAAAATTTTGCACATTTCAAAAAACAGAAAATTTTTGCTTGTTTTTTTTTACACGTGACCTATTTTTTTTCTTCATCATTTTTCCGTTTTTTAATGATAAAATTTGCAAGACCACACTGATTTTTCAATACCAAGCATATACAATATGAGGATAAATATATCAACAATAAATACAATGTTTTATGCGAATACGAAAAACATATAAACTCGGCCTGTATTCAAAGCTTCCAACTGCTCAATCTATGTATGTATTGACCATGATGAAAATTTCTCCAGCCTTTGTTGTCTGAGTACAAGCTTCTGTAATAAACACAACTATGAGAGAAAACAAAGAAAATATCACCCACCAACTCAATCCTAAAATATCAGCGATACATGCTGAATAGACCATGTCTAGTTCCAAGAAAACAAAAATCAGAAATGAATGAATGAAAATTGTTTCAACGTGTAATAAAACCAACTGCGTGAAAAATTTATTTTTTCAAATCATTTCGATATTTCAGTAATTTTGTTTCAGTCTTCTGTTTGATGTGTTTTTGACGAATTCTTCGAGAAATGGAAGTGTGAGTGGAATTTAAATGTTTTAAGAAAATCTCTCATGGTTGTGTTTATTACAGAAGCTTGTACTCAGAAAACAAACGGCTGGAGAAATTTTTATCATCGTCAGTGCATAGTGCGCAGTTGGAAGTTCAAAGAGTTCATATGTTTTTCGTATTCGCATAAAACCTTGTATTTATTGTTGATATATCTTCGTCTTAAACATGCTTGCAATTGCGAATTTACTGTGGTCTCGCAAATTCTGTCATTAAAAACGAGAAAATGATGAAGAAAAATAGGTCACGTGTAAAAAAAACAAATAAATAATTATGTTTTTAGAAATGTGCAAAATTTTCCCGGGGAGATTTTTCCGCAAATCAAATGGTATCCCAAAAAGCGGAAAATTTTCCCAGATTTTAAAATCCGCTTTTATTTTTTGGTTATATTTTTCGCTACAGTGCCTCTGCCGCATCCTACAGTAACAACTAAATCAAGTCCATATTACTATCTTGATGAAAAAATTCACTTTGAGAAACAAAGTACGGAAAAATTTCATTGTTTTGATTTTCATTGTTCAACCTAACAAGGAATAGTTCCCAAAATTCCCCCGGGAAAATGGGATTTAATGGGCGGAAGTTTTAGCATTTGGGTAGGTATGAAAAACCCCAAAGGGATTTGGCATGCAAAAATTTTGTTCCCGGATTACCTGGGGGTGGACCTTTTTCGAGAATTTTTTGGGTTCTGAACTTTGAAAAATCGTAATTCCACTTACAATGGACGAAAAAAGTCGATCAAAACAGTTAAACAAAGCTTACATACTGCTCTATAGACTGAAAAATAGAGTTGTAAAAAAATATTTTTTTTGACCCAGAAAAATAAAAAATTTCAAAAAAAGTCAAAAAATTTTTTTTCCAAAATTTTTTTTAGAGGAAGTTTCAAGTGTTCTAGTGTTGATTTTCGAACTCTACGCACAAAGTTACGTACAGTAACATGTTGAAATCGATATGTCTCCGGGTCCCCAGAAGTTCTAGAAATCGATTTTATGTCTTTCTGTTGCAAAAATCAACAAAAATAGTGTTTTATGCAGGCTACACTTTTGAGTAAAGTTGAAAACGTAGGAATTTCCAAGCAAAAGGTCACTGGATCGATTCCTCACGTCGGAAAAAATATTTATTGGAAAAATATTTTTTTGGGAAAAGTGTCAAGGGTCTGAACATGTAGTTTAGCGAAAATACTGAAATTCTGAAGAAAATTTGGTCAGGCTAACAGAACATTTTTGAATTTGTCAAAAACTATCACGCTGTCAACTAGTTACGCCAGAAGAGCCACTTTAGCTGGCAGACCAGTTTGGAAAACCACTTAAACTCGGGACGGCGCCTTGAGAGCATTTATGTCAAGTCGTTGCGCCTGCAGAGACCACTAGACAAGGCACAGCGCCTAGACAAAGCAAAGGCTGACAAGGAGCCGCGACTAGAGAGCAAGTCTTGCAAGGAGCCACGTCTAGAGATCAAGTCTCACAAGGAAACACGTCTAGAGAGCAAATCTGACAAGGATCCGTGACTAGAGATCAAGTCTAGCAAGGAGCCACGTCTAGAAAACAAGTCTTACAAGGAGCCACGTCTAGAGATCAAGTCTCACAAGGAACCACGCCTAGAGAGCAAGTCTTGCAAGGAGCCACGTCTAGAGAGCAAGTCTTGCAAGGAGCCACGCCTAGAGATCAAGTCTCACAAGGAACCACGCCTAGAGAGCAAGTCTTGCAAGGAGCCACGTCTAGAGAGCAAGTCTTGCAAGGAGCCACGCCTAGAGAGCAAGTCTTACAAGGAACCACGCCTAGGGAACTTGAATGACAAGGAGCCATGCCTAGAGATCAAGTCTGACAAGGAACCACGCCTAGAGAGCAAGTCTTGCAAGGAGCCACGTCTAGAGAGCAAGTCTGACAAGGAGCCATGCCTAGAGAGCAAGTCTTGCAAGGAGCCACGTCTAGAGAGCAAGTCTGACAAGGAGCCATGCCTAGAGAGCAAGTCTTGCAAGGAACCACGTCTAGAGAGCAAGTCTGACAAGGAGCCATGCCTAGAGAGCAAGTCTGGCAAGGAGCCACGTCTAGAGAGAAAGTCTGGCAAGGAGCCACGTCTAGAAAACAAGTCTCACAAGGAGCCACGCCTAGAGAGAAAGTCTGGCAAGGAGCCACGCCTAGAGAGCAAGTCTGACAAGGAGCCATGCCTAGAGAGCAAGTCTTGCAAGGAACCACGTCTAGAGAGCAAGTCTGACAAGGAGCCATGCCTAGAGAGCAAGTCTGGCAAGGAGCCACGTCTAGAGAGAAAGTCTGGCAAGGAGCCACGTCTAGAAAACAAGTCTCACAAGGAGCCACGTCTAGAGAGCAAGTCTGACAAGGAGCCATGCCTAGAGAGCAAGTCTTGCAAGGAGCCACGTCTAGAGAGCAAGTCTGACAAGGAGCCATGCCTAGAGAGCAAGTCTGGCAAGGAGCCACGTCTAGAGAGAAAGTCTGGCAAGGAGCCACGTCTAGAAAACAAGTCTCACAAGGAGCCACGCCTAGAGAGAAAGTCTGGCAAGGAGCCACGCCTAGAGAGCAAGTCTTACAAAGAGCCACGTCTAGAATTCAAGTCTCAAAAGGAAACACGCCTAGAGAGTAAATCTGACAAGAAACGACGCCTAGGGAACTTGAATGACAAGGAGCCACGCCTAGCGAGCAAGTCTTGCAAGGAGCCGCGCCTAGAGATTGAACCTGACAAGCGGCCGCGCCTAGAAAACTAGTCTCCTTGTCATTCAAGTTCCCTAGATGTGGCTCCTTGTCAGATTTGTTTTCTAGGCGTGGCTCCTTGTCAGATTTGCTCTCTAGACGTGGCTCCTTGTCAGGTTCAATCTCTAGGCGCGGCTCCTTTACAGACTTGATCTCTAGTCACGGATCCTTGTGAGACTTGATCTCTAGACGTGGCTCCTTGCAAGACTTGCTCTCTAGGCGTGGCTCCTTGTCAGACTTGATCTCTAGGCATGGCTCCTTGTCATTCAAGTTCCCTAGGCGTGGTTCCTTGTAAGACTTGCTCTCTAGGCGTGGCTCCTTGCAAGACTTGCTCTCTAGGCGTGGCTCCTTGCAAGACTTGCTCTCTAGGCATGGCTCCTTGTCAGACTTGCTCTCTAGACGTGGCTCCTTGCAAGACTTGCTCTCTAGGCGTGGTTCCTTGTGAGACTTGATCTCTAGACGTGGCTCCTTGTAAGACTTGTTTTCTAGACGTGGCTCCTTGCTAGACTTGATCTCTAGTCACGGATCCTTGTCAGATTTGCTCTCTAGACGTGTTTCCTTGTGAGACTTGATCTCTAGACGTGGCTCCTTGCAAGACTTGCTCTCTAGTCGCGGCTCCTTGTCAGCCTTTGCTTTGTCTAGGCGCTGTGCCTTGTCTAGTGGTCTCTGCAGGCGCAACGACTTGACATAAATGCTCTCAAGGCGCCGTCCCGAGTTTAAGTGGTTTTCCAAACTGGTCTGCCAGCTAAAGTGGCTCTTCTGGCGTAACTAGTTGACAGCGTGATAGTTTTTGACAAATTCAAAAATGTTCTGTTAGCCTGACCAAATTTTCTTCAGAATTTCAGTATTTTCGCTAAACTACATGTTCAGACCCTTGACACTTTTCCCAAAAAAATATTTTTCCAATAAATATTTTTTTCCGACGTGAGGAATCGATCCAGTGACCTTTTGCTTGGAAATTCCTACGTTTTCAACTTTACTCAAAAGTGTAGCCTGCATAAAACACTACTTTTGTTGATTTTTGCAACAGAAAGACATAAAATCGATTTCTAGAACTTCTGGGGACCCGGAGACATATCGATTTCAACATGTTACTATACGTAACTTTGTGCGTAGAGTTCGAAAAATCAACACTAGAACACTTGAAACTTCCTCTAAAAAAAAATTTTGGAAAAAAAATTTTTTGACTTTTTTTGAAATTTTTTATTTTTCTGGGTCAAAAAAAATATTTTTTTACAACTCTATTTTTCAGTCTATAGAGCAGTATGTAAGCTTTGTTTAACTGTTTTGATCGACTTTTTCGTCCATTGTAAGTGGAATTACGATTTTTCAAAGTTCAGAACCCAAAAAATTCTCGAAAAAAGGTCCACCCCCAGGTAATCCGGGAACAAAATTTTTGCATGCCAAATCCCTTTGGGGTTTTTCATACCTACCCAAATGCTAAAACTTCCGCCCATTAAATCCCATTTTCCCGGGGGAATTTTGGGAACTATTCCTTGTAAGAAAGCGGCTATTTTTCTCCAAATTTTTGAATGGAAATAGCAACCCAAAAATTTTTAATTTTATGCTCAGTTATATCAATTGGAGATTTTCTCGGATTGGGCTTTTTTTGAGAATCATAGTTTGAAAATTCTATAATTTCTAACAAAATTGATTTTTTAAATTAGAAACATTAGTGGAATATTAACTTTTCTTGCACGATTTTTGATTTCATATTCACTGGAAATGTAGCCGTTATTTGGACCTTATGATTTCGAAGTTCTTGTAATTGTCGGCAGTTGATACAATATGTGAAACTTTCAACATACTTTATTATCGCTAACATTCTGTAGAACGTAGCAAACCACTTTGAATTTCTTATGTATGCCAAAAAAACTTTTTTCCAACTAATTACTTCTTTATAAACCGTTTTGATAAGAATCTGATGTCACAGGGTTGTTCACAATGGTAAATTTCATGAAAACTGGATTTATTTCGAGAAAAAAAATTTAAAAAAAATTTCATCCATCCAGATGATCATGAATTTTGAAGAAAAATTCAATTTCTCGAAAAATGATATAAACTCATTTTTTCATACAATTGACCCTCTAGAACAACCCTGTATCATCAGATTTTCAAAAAATCGATTTTTAAACAAGTTACAGTACTCCAAAGCCATTTTCTTGAAAAACGAAAAAAAATTAAAAAAATGTTGCAGCGAGCAGGGGTCGAACCCCAAAGCGTTTCCTTCGAAGGCTATCCGCTTCCCTGCTGCGCTCTGCTAGTTGTTTTTTAACCAGCTAGAATTTCAAAGACAATAAAACTGGTGCGTGCGCTCTCAAAAATGCTCAAACTTTGGAGCTCAATTTCTTGTGCTCAGAGTGCTTCCGCAGCTGGATTTTTTATATGTTCATCAGGGCACCTCAAAGTACCCCCACAAAAAATTTGAAACAAAAACTCGGTGGCGACTTGAAAAGGTTCCCTTGTGAGTATGTTATTTTGATTTGTGACATCTTCGGAGTCTATTTTAGCAATACTAATGATATCCCAGACTTGGGAATGCCTAATTTCAAATTTGTAAGACAGAAAAGACATATAACAAAATCATTTCTTTTTCCCAAGAGGCACTACTTTCTCATTACTAAACCGCTACTACTGTCAAAAATCGAAATCACAAAACTTTGCGAAACCATAATATTTTTCAACCAAAATTGTCGACCCAATGTTTTGAAGCATTCTGAATTCAATAAGCCTTGTGACACTGTGTTCGGCCGCACATTTTTGTGTGGCGAAAATTGTCATGATAATAGTGATAGCGTTTTGCAGACCGACTGTGACGGAGAAAGATATGACAAATGTGGAATTGGAGAAATTATTGGCAGTTCCGGAGAAGGTGGTGAAAGTGACATTAGAGGTGAGTTGGCAAACACGCAGCGCATGACCGCAACGCGTCTAACGACATTTGTGCTGCGATTTCGAATATTTAACTTTCAGGAAGTCCTATCGCGCGATAAAATGGAAGTGAGCCCCGACAACTCATGCAACGATGATACGCTTTCCGGTGACGAGGCACAAAAAATAGCCAGAAAGCTAAAATCCGTAAAAAGTGTCAAGAATTGCGACAACACCTCAAAATCCACCAAAAAATATCGCGGCTACAAACCAACGGTGCCATTGCCCATCGTCAAAAGTGTGACAACTGCGCAAAAAGTCGCACAACAAGAAAGTCGCTGGAAACAAAAGGCTGAAGTGGAGAAGAAGGAGCGATTGGCGAAGAAAATCGAGGCGCAAAGAAGAGCCAAACAGGATGTTGTGGTGCCGGAAGAAATTGCGACGGAGAGGAAGAAAAGAACATGAAGTTTTTTTTGGTGGATTTTCGGCTCAGAAATCCACGTGGAAAATTCAATTTTGACGTTGAAAATCCACGTGGAAATACTTTTTTGTCTAGTTTTCTATAGTTTTTCACAAGGGAACTGTTTCAACTTGCAATCAAGATTTTTAATGAGATTCATGTTTTCTAGTAGTTTTCGATCCGCTGATCACGATTCCGTCATCTAAAATAGCAGAACTCAACTCCTAATATGAGTTATGACGTGTCAAAGTTCGACAATTTCGAAAAATTGCCACAGAAATCGCTTCCAAAATGGTTCTCATGCTAATCTAATAGCATAGGAGGCTCGATATTTTTTCCGCGTTGAAAAATTGAATTTCTGATGATTACAGTAGGCAGCTAGAAAACTTATTGTTCGATTTTTGATCTTTTTTTTTCGTTGGGAATCCGGAAATAGGGATTTTGGGGACCCGGATTGACTTTTCCTAATCTAAACAATAAGTATTTTGTTAATTCCTTGGAAGCGCAGGCATTTGAAGTAGGTTCGTTTTATATGGAATTTTAGCTCGGGAACCGTTGAAATTTCTCTCGATAAAAGTAAATTCATCAGATTCGAAGGGACACGCTTAATTACATTTTCTGCGCAGGGTCCACTAGTTTTGTAAAAAAAAAAATCTATTGTGAAAATAAAAATAGATGGCAGAAAAAAAATAAAGAAACGTGAACATTTTCAGAGAACCCATGTCGTTGGGGGCGTTGCGGTCACGCGCTGCGTGCTCCATTTTCAGAATTTTATTAATTTTTCCCATTTTTTGAGCAAATTTTCGAAAATGAAACACACATCGCGTGACCGCAACGCCCCCAACGACATGGGTTCTCTGAAAATGTTTATTTTTATTTTCTGTTTTTTTTTTTTTTTCTGCCATCTATTTTTATTTTCACAATAGTTGTTGAATTTCATTTAATTTATGAATTTCAACCCACTGAACTGAAAATCGATTTTACGGTTTGTCCCAGCTCTGACAAACAAAATGATTTTCCAAAAATGGTACAAGCGATTGTCGTTCACCTCCTTTTATATCGATTTTCAGAAAATCGACATGTTTTTTGGGCGATTCGTCGAGAAGTTTAGCAATCGGATATACTCCACCGATTTTTCGGTCAATTATTGTTCGCATGAGTTTTTTTCGTATGAGTAATTTTTCGCAAGACTTACTATTTTTCGCATGAGTTTTTTCATTCAAATTTCAATATACATATGTAGGGACACCCGTATTCTTAACAAGACATTATTGCAACTTACTGTTAGATATGTATTCAAGGAGACTATGCTAATAAACACAAAACTTGCATCCATTTTAGTGTAGCTGCAATACAAGTTAAACAATTTTATTAGAAAATAAAATATGCTTGTTTTAGGGGGGGTAAGACGACAAAAAAGTTCATGTAATATTTTTTTCGGACCTTTTTAGGCCTTTCGAGAGAAAAATCCCCTGACTTTTACTATTCAAAGGGACCCGATCTTTTGAGAAAATAAAATTTTGTCGTCTCACCCCGGCCTCTTTAATTAATAATTCTCGAGCCGAATTGTCGGCGATTATACCTCGGCGACGTCGAGCGATCTTCGCGATGTTGATCCGCTGTGACCTGAAGAAAGAAAATTATTGATGGTATGAAAAATGCGTATGCACTGAATAAAATGAAGTGATAATGGAAGATTTTTCAAACTTCAACGTGCGCGTCGGAGAAACCCTTATGTTTTCGAGTGTGTAATAACAAACTTGGTGATTTGGAATTGATAATTTGTTTTGAGAAGCTAACTTTGTAATTTTTAAATTTTATTACTATAAAATGTGAAGATTTATCAAGCACTTGACTTAACTTCATTTGCGAAGAAAAAAAAAACGTAAAAAAACGTGTTTCGAAACATAAAAATACAATGCACGAAATTGCTTTGAAACATGTAAAACTGCACATGTTTCTGAAAAATGCGATTTTTTCTGGCACATGTTCGGATCTGACCCATGCGATCTGACAAATATTTGATGGAATTAATGAATATTGTTTGTCGAACCATGTGATAACTATAAAACTGGTCAGATTGAGAATTTTTTCAAAAAATCGAAGATGGAATGATTAATTCGTGATGATCCTAATGATTTTGAGACCCGACATCTCTGGGCCGATTTATTTATTTTTCTCAAATTTTCAAAAATTAAGAACTTATGTGATAATTGAAAATAACTCGAAAGCTTTTCATCGCAAGAAAAAATGACTATTGAAAAATCATACTTTGTTAGATTAATTAAACATTTGTCAGTTCGCATGGGTCAGATCCAAAAATATGCCAGAAAAAATAGCATGTTTCAGAAACATGTGTAGTTTCACATGTTTCGGCGCTTTGACCGATTGTTTTCGTAGAAAAAACATATCAGGGATTGAAAAAGGATAACAATTCACGAAAACGGGTAGTAAAAACTTCTGAAAAGGAATCTTCGTGAAAATTTGTCCAACGAAACTGAAAATTAATCAATTGACAAAAATAACAGTTAATAATTTATCCTATGACACTTTTCACAAAAATTCATCACATGACTGAATTTGAAGTTACAGATTCTTGAAAAGGGAGAAATCTGACATTTTTGAATTCAAAATCATAGAAATGTATTCTTAATCTGATTTTTAGGCATGTGATTAAAATAGGAAATGTGCCATGGTAGAAACTGGCTTTTACGAAAATACTCACTAATCTTCTGCATCGTCCATTGGATAGCTTTTGACACGCACCTAACGCGTGGAAAACGAAAATAAATGAAAATAAAAAATCAAGGCACACACATTTTCCGGGTGCGGGTCTCGCCGCGACGTGTACTTCTCTCGGAATATTTTTCATTTATTTTTTGAAAAGAGTCAATTTTCAACATTTTTCGCATTCTGATGTGAGTTACAGGAACTTATGATGTTTTCGCGTCGGGGACCGAATTTCGGTCTGCTGTATTTTAAAAACCTGTTGATTGCTATTGCTTATTTACACCTGAATAATTATGTACATCGTGATATCAAACTGTTCAGTTTTTTGTATTCACCGCAGAGGAATTGGTGGGTTTTTTGGGGGTTTTGGTGGGGACAAAGAAAAAATTCATGTGCATTGGATTCTGGAGCTAGAGAATTCAAGTTTTCTGAGTTCAGGTGCTAAAAATTCATGGTTTTCCGACCCTGGAGCTGAAAATGTGAGATTTTTTGAGTTCATCTGTTGAAAAATCGTGTTTTTTGGCCTCGCTGAAAAATTAGATTTTCCTTCGTTATGAGTTGGAAATTCATGCATTTTCCTTCGTTATGAGTTGGAAATTCATGCATTTTCCTTCGTTATGAGTTGGAAATTCATGCATTTCAGGTCCCGAAACGGAATACTGAGATTTTTCACTTCCGAGGCTGAAATTTCGTAATATTTCGCTTCAGGACCACGAAATTTCCTGGGTCCAGGAGCGAAAATTTCATGATTTCCTTGGCCCTGGAGCGAAATTTTATGATTTTTAGTGTCCTCGAACGAAAAATCAAGATTTTCAGCCTCGGAAGTAAAAAATCATGATTTTAAAGGTCCTGGGGCTAAAAATTTAAAACTTCATGGTTTCGAAGCGAAAATTCGGGTTTTTTAGGTTCTTAAGCAAAAAATCACGATTGTCTGGGTCCTGGAATGAAATTTCATAATTTTTGAAGTCCTGGAACGAAAAAACATGAATTTTCAATCTCGGAAGCGAAAAATCATGATTCTCAGTGTCCTGGAGCGAAAAACCACGATTTTCTGGGTCCCGGAACGAAATTTCTTGAATTTTCAGCGTAGAAAGCAGAAAATCGTATATTTTCACCTTATAATGCGAAAAATCATGATTTTCAACCTCGGAACTCACTCGGAAGCGAAAAATTTCCCCATCACAATCTAGTTTTGAACACATTTATTTCGGTTAAACAATTAGGAAAAAGTACAAATTAAACAGAAGCCGCATTGTTCAAGGAACGTTTGTTTTTGAATTGGCGCCGATCCACACTCCATCAAGCAACATCTTCTTCATTGTCTAGTTCTTCTCTACTTGCTTCAACTGTTCCTAGAAGAGCAACCATTTCTCTGCGTCTACAAAACTTCAATTAGTTATACAAACTTAGGGATGTTTTCAGAAACACTCACATTCTTATTTCAAATTTCATTACTTCCCTTTGTTTTTCCATCTGCGCTACTTGACTCTTTAAACTAGCAGCATCAATGTTTTTCTTCTTCAATGATGTCACTATAAATCCATTCATTGCATTTTCAAAGAATTCTCCAAATCGATCATACATCACACCAAAATCTTCTTCATTTTGCAGGTTTCGTTCCTTTCTTATCAATATGTTCAGAAGAACCATCATTTCTAGACGTCTACAAATTCAATTAATGATACAAATCAAAGGGTTTTTTCGAAAACACTCACATTTTCAATTCAAATTCCATTGCTTCTATTTCTTTTTCCATTTTGTTTTGTTCTTTTTCGAACTGTTCCTTCGTTGGATTTGATGCCATAATTTCTGAAAAACTCATATATATATCACGTATGAATGAAAAAAAGCGTCAGTAATTTGGGATATAATGGATTTTGGCTTTAAAAAAATAAAAAACACGCTGGCTCAGCAAGCACATCTGCACTCCGCATACTGTAATTAATTAAATGTAGTAGACATAAGTGGACGCTGCAAAAACGAGAGAGCGTGTAGAATGAAGAGAGAGAAAAGAGAAGGACCAATAACACCAACGCCAAGGTCAGGGTCAACAGATGTCACCTGATTCTGTACATGCCTCTTGCGACAACCCCTTTCCAAACTGAAAACTGAAAACTTGTCATTAAACTTTAGATTATGAAAAATTAAGGCGTATCAAATATTTATTGCTGAGAAAAGTATAATGCTGCGATTCAGTGTCATTTCAGCGCGCGTAGTTCATAAATTATCTGGAAAATATCATTATCTCATCAAAAATATAATTTTTCTTCAAGCTACAGTAATCCGAGCTGCAAATTATTGTTGAAAAATACGATTCTTGCAGTTTGGGTTCCTGTAGTTCATAAATTATCTGTAAAATATCATTATCGCATCAAAAATACCATTTTCTTCAAGCTACAGTAATCCGAGCTGCAAATTATTGTTGAAGAATACGATTCTTGCAGTTTGGGTTCCTGTAGTTCATAAATTATCTGTAAAATATCATTATCGCATCAAAAATACCATTTTCTTCAAGCTACAGTAATCCGAGCTGCAAATTATTGTTGAAGAATACGATTCTTGCAGTTTGGGTTACTGTAGTTCATAAATTATCTGTAAAATATCATTATCGCATCAAAAATACCATTTTCTTCAAGCTACAGTAATCCGAGCTGCAAATTATTGTTGAAGAATACGATTCTTGCAGTTTGGGTTCCTGTAGTTCATAAATTATCTGTAAAATATCATTATCGTATCAAAAATACCATTTTCTTCAGCTTACTATTGTTCAATGGTCCTTGAAATCCAAAACAACGTGAACTTTCAAAAACATAAACATCAACACAAAACAATCTGAAAATCATTTTCAAAACACAAAAACAAATTCGCCATAATTTCCATCACTGTCACTATGAACTTCTCAGAATCACTTGTTTTTTTGCCATTTACAAGTCTATGTCCCTGACTCTTTAATCCAATATCCATGCCAAAATGTGACCATTTTCAAGGAAATTGGTTCAGACTTTGGGTTAGGAATAATGGGCTATAGTTTGTCTATAACTTTGACTCCGGGCTTTTTTTAACCTTGGATTGAGACAGTTGGATAGATCGAGGATTTTCACTTCTGGCGTTTTAATCTAGAAAATCATTGGATATAGTTAGTGGTTTGTGAAAACACATAGTTAGTGGTTTGTGAATGGTTGAGCGACAAAGCGGATGAGCAAACACAATGGATAGCGATTCCACCAAATCCTTCGACTTCGAGTTGAATTGCAAATTTCGGGAAAACATTTTTGATATTTGAGTGGTTTTGACGAGCACATTTGAACGCAACATCAACGACAAAAGTACAATCTCCTTGAGCAAATCGGATGTTTCCATACTTGACTTTTCCTTGATTTGTGTCAGAATAAACCTCAGAAACAAATGCACGGCGGTGGAATGGAGCAGCGAAAGCTGAACCGATTGATGCTGAAAATATTCAGAAATATGAAAAATAGAAGGGAAAATTGTTATTTATTGTGACACACAATTTTTAGAAATGCCAGAAATGAAAAACGTGTAAAACAAATTGTATTGCATATATTTTACACGTTTTTCAAAAATTGGCATTTTTTAAAAATGCTGCTACCAGAACCAAACATTTTTCATTTTTTCCAGCCCGAATAAAAAAGTGAAAACTCACCACCAAATATCCAATTCACGAATTCCTCTTTTTCTTTTCGAAAAATTTCAGGATTGTTTTTACAGGAATCATTGAGGGACTTATGTAACTGTTCACGCCGTCACTGCCACTCAAAAAACTGTTGACGGACCCTCAGGAAAATTGTGGCGCGATGGCCGTGGAGCCGCGCAAAACATTATTCCTGCCGAAACTGGAGCCGTCAAAGCTGTCGGAAAAGTCATTCCGGAACTCAACGGAAAATTGATCGGAATGGCATTCCGTGTTCCAACACCTGATGTTTCGGTGGTTGATTTGACAGCGAGACTTGAGAAGGAGGAAATAAAGAGAGTTGTGAAAGAGGCTGCTGAAGGACCATTGAAGGGAATTTTGGGATATACTGAAGATCAAGTTGTCTCGTCCGATTTTGTCACAGATTCGCATTCGAGCATTTTCGACGCTGACGCTTCGATTCCTCTCAACGCCAACTTCGTCAAATTGATCTCATGGTAATTTTTCTTTCTAAAATAATTGACAGAACTTTTCAATTATTGTCAGTTCGAAATTTTGTGACCCTTGGAAGAGAACCCTTTTTCAATAGCGAAAAGACGCTGCGGAAATAGAAAAACACGCTGCTCTCTTATTGTACTTTTTGGGGATTTTTTGACACGGGAACCTGGATTTTTAAGGGGCGGGCATTTTTTTTCAAGGCCCGCTCGGGCCTGTTTTTTCGCCCGGCCCGTGACGGCCCGGGCTTTTGCTCCAAGTTTATATTAATCAAAAAATCTCTCAAATTCCAGCAAAACATATTTTCCCTTTCTGAAATTTCCCACTTTTCAGCACAATTTATCGGATCTTCTCAAAATGTTTGCCAATGAATCGATGGCTGAACAATTGCTGTCAGAGGTTGGTTTTTCTCATTTTTTGCCTGAAAATCTGAAATTTTTGCTTAGAAATTGCTCATTTTAAGCCGAACATCTCGCATTTTCCAGGTGATGAATGCGATTCAAACAAATCTCTCAAAACACGAGAATTCGATGCAAAAAGTTGTGAAAATGTTTGTGAAAAGAGCTCAAGGATTTGGTGGAGATTTGGAGAAGATTCGAGAATGTGATTCAGAATTTGCGTGAGTTTTTTCTCGAATTTTTGACTGAAAATTTGAAAAAATTGCGATTTTTTGAGCCGGGAGACTTGTTTTTGCCTGCAAATTCTACATTTTGTTAGCTGAAAATTTAGTTGCAAATGAAAAAAAACCTCGAAAATTCACTGTTTCAAAAAGTTGTTATAAAAGTTTTGATCGGTGAAATTTTCTAATATACAAAATAGTAACAAAATATTAATAATAGGAGAAAATTCCACAGTTTCAAAAATTATTTTCCAAAAATTTTCTGGCTCACAAAATCTGTTTCAATATCGTTCTTCACTTGTTGTGCCAAAAATCCATTGAAATTTCAAAGATTAGGTTTTTTCCGGCATGTCGCAAAAGCCCGGGCCGTCACAGGCCGGCCGAAAAAAGCAGGCTCGTTTGGGCCAAGGCTTGCACGGGCCTTGACAAAAAGCTTTCTGGCTCGCCTTTTCCATTGTTGACAATAAATTAAGACCTCATCCTCTTCCTAAAAAAGGACCGGCCCGGATCGGCCCGTTTTTCGAAAACCCGAGGGCCGGCCCCGTTTTTTTGTTCCGAAAAAATGCACTGTTTGAATAAATTTATTTTGAAAAATCTTTTTGTCTCTTCCTGTGAAAATTCGGTAGCTTGCTTAATTTTCACAACTCACCTCAATCTATGTATCTCTTCCTGTGAAAACCTTGAAATTTGAGCCAAAAATCGATTTTTGGTTGAAATTTTCGGGTAAGCAAATTTTCAACAAGCCTGAGTTATGACGTGACAAAACCTGGTGACTTCAAAAGGCTATACAGCTTCAAAAACAGTATTAGTGGTGAAAATTCTCAACTTCAAGTAAAAAATTCAATTCAAAATCACCTATATCCAAAAAATTCCAAAGTTCAAGAGAATCATGCCTGAACCTTGAAATTTCATCCAAAAATCGATTTTTGGTTGTAAATTTTCGGGTTCTCGCGCAGGGAAATCTATCGCCATTTTCTTTTTGAAACAAAATCCCATAGTTATAATCTGAGTTATGACGTGGCAAACCTTCAATTTCTAATTTTCAGATACAATCAAATCACAGCCAATGATCTCTCTTTCATCCGCTATGACAAATTTCAAAGAATGATTGCCGATTTACGAGAGCATGTTCCAAAAGCTCGCGCATTTATCAGCGAACTTGCCGAAGAACCGCGTGACGTCATTGCCCCAGGTGTTGATTGCTTCCTAGTTCCCTTTGCAAGATTGGCTCCTCGCGCATTGAATGCTGCTCTCCTAGGATATCGTGATGTGCTCATCGAACTGCCCACCAGCGATTTCGAGGTGCAAAAATTCAAACTTCCGGCGGCTGACGTGGCGAATAAATGTTGCGCTGAATTGGTTGCACTGCATTTCACATGCGGAGAATTTGGAGAGGCGAAAAAGATGATGGCGAAATTGGTGAAACCTGGCATTGCTCATCCTATAGTCAATATTGATGAGAAGAATGCGAAACTTCAGCGTGCTCCGAAAATTAATAACATCTCCATTGTTGTGGTAATTTCAATCATTTTTTTCGACGCTGTTTCTATTTCTACGCGCGCTGAAATGACTCTGAATCACAGCATTATACTTTTCTCACAAGGAAACGTTTTTAATGTTTCCCCCTGAAAAGAAGTGATACTATGCGGAAAGTGTAGTACGCCAGTGGGTGTGAAAAAGCCCAAAGGGAATTTGGAAACAATAATTGATTTTTATGGGAAAGTTATCACGGAAGATTTTTTAAGATGTCATTTTCAAAAAATCATAAAACCTGTCAAACTCAACGAAAAGTTTCGATCAACACAGGATTCTGTAGCTAAAATTGTTTGTGAAGCGAAAAAAAAATTGTTTTGAAAAAAATTTGTGAAGCGAGCGTATTGCAGACCTTCTGCAGAATGCAGCTCGGTCGTATTTTGTTAGTATCTGTTTCCATTACTCAAGAAGATATGCTCCAATTTGGATTTTCTAGTAAAACTTCTCTAAAAAAGACATTTTGAAAGCTTTGCTCGTAGCAGGGATTGAACCTGAGTATCAAAACTTCATAATTAATGCGTTTAACGACTCGACCACATGCGCAAACATTTCTAACACAGGCAATTCGTGTGGGGACTCTACGAGTACAAGAACATCTAACACACAACACAACACAACACGCCCAAGGGGAAAAGATATAAATGTCTATCTCTTATTTCATTCTTGGTTTTAGTTGCTTTGCTCATAAACCGCTTCATAGTATTTTAGACTTATTTCCCTAAGGCTGGGGGACAGTCCATCTTGTCATACCCCACATTCGCAAAATGTCAAAAACTGGTCTGAAACGGGTATTTGAGCAGTTTTGGACCAGTTTCATGCCAGTTCAATTTTGAACTGGTCAGAAACTTATGAAAAACGGTTATCGGAAAATGATGTTTCATAACTAATTCGGATAAGAAAAACAAAGCTGTTAATAAAAAAAGCGGTTTCGCTACATTTGGAATCAAATTTTCTGAAAATTTGAGTAGATGAAAATTTTGAGGTTACCAGTTTGAAACCGGTCAAAAACTGGTATTTTATTTTACAAGGGAAGTGCACGAGGTCAAGTTCTGAAATTTTGATGAACCATATCGAAATATACCAAATCGACCATTCAGATCACGAATCCGAAGTCAAAAATTGCCACAATCTCCTGTGAGCACATTTCTGGAGCTCCAAAGTTGAAATTGAGTTTTGGTTTTCGCCCATTTTCACCTTGTTCGAGGGTGGAAAATCAACTTTCATATTTCAAATAAGGTTGTTCACCACATTTGAAAACCTATCAGCTTTTTAGTTTATCAAAACATATCAAAAAACAGCTGAAAACTGCAATTTTCAAAAATGCACAAAAAACTTTTAAAAACGTGTGTGTTTACGTGTATTTGTGAGTATTTTCAGAACTTTTCTGAAATTTGCAGTTTTCAGCTCGTTTTTCATATATTTTTTGAAAAACTAAATCGGATTTTTTTGAAATTTGGTGAATTTGAGTATTATTGTATGGTGTAGCTGGGGATGTCGTGGATTTTGGTCAATCACCAATTATTGCACCATTTTGGTGTCAAAAATTAAAATTTGAGATTTTTCTTCGAAAATTGGGGATTCTAGGTTTTGAATAGTGGTGAATTTCAAGGTGACGTGCATTTTTGGTCAATCACCAATTATTGCACCATTTTGGTGTCAAAAATTAAAATTTGAGATTTTTCTTCGAAAATTGGGGATTCTAGGTTTTGAATAGTGGTGAATTTCAAGGTGACGTGCATTTTTGGTCAATCACCAATTATTGCACCATTTTGGTGTCAAAAATTAAAATTTGAGATTTTTCTTCGAAAATTGGGGATTCTAGGTTTTGAATAGTGGTGAATTTCAAGGTGACGTGCATTTTTGGTCAATCACCAATTATTGCACCATTTTGGTGTCAAAAATTAAAATTTGAGATTTTTCTTCGAAAATTGGGGATTCTAGGTTTTGAATAGTGGTGAATTTCAAGGTGACGTGCATTTTTGGTCAATCACCAATTATTGCACCATTTTGGTGTCAAAAATTAAAATTTGAGATTTTTCTTCGAAAATTGGGGATTCTAGGTTTTGAATAGTGGTGAATTTCAAGGTGACGTGCATTTTTGGTCAATCACCAATTATTGCACCATTTTGGTGTCAAAAATTAAAATTTGAGATTTTTCTTCGAAAATTGGGGATTCTAGGTTTTGAATAGTGGTGAATTTCAAGGTGACGTGCATTTTTGGTCAATCACCAATTATTGCACCATTTTGGTGTCAAAAATTAAAATTTGAGATTTTTCTTCGAAAATTGGGGATTCTAGGTTTTGAATAGTGGTGAATTTTATGATGGGGTCCAAGTTTGATGTCTCCTCTTTTCTTGTGTTGTTTTGACGCCAAAATGGGAAATTTAAGTTTTTTCAACGAAAATTTCTGGATTTTTAATGATCATGAATCATTATTTTGTCATTAGAATAGGTCTGGCGTCTTTTGAGATTTTTGGCGTCACAAATCAAATTTTCATTTTACTCATCGAGTTGACAAGTGTTGGACAAAAATTGAGAAAACCTAATGGGGTGTCATTTTAAGGCAGAAACTGTGAAAAAAGTTGCTTTCGAACCCTTCATTTCTTGTTTTTTTTTTATCGTTTTTCTTCATGAAATGTGTGTGGATCTCGAGATTTTAGCTCATTTTGATTTCCAAGTATTTTTCATCACAATCAATTTTTATTATAAACAACTCACTTTCGAAATTTTTCTCCGATTTTTCAACCATCAAAGCAACTTGTTCATCTCTTCTTTCTTCTTGTTTTCCTAGTTCGATTGATTCAAGTTGAAACCTGTAAAATTTGAAAATGTTTAGGAAATAGTACTTAAAGGTGAGTTTTTCTTCCGTTTTAAATTTGGTAGGGCCCTCTATCATCATTTCAGAGATCTAAAGATACTATAAATCACATCAACAATGCAAATAGTGAAATACTCTGGAATTTTCCGTTCTAATTGTTTTCGAAGATCTTTCACCCCCAATTTGCAACATTTCTTTGTTTTCTGACCAAATTTCAACCAAAAAACAAATATAAAATTAACATACCTCCATTTTGATTGATTTGTACACCATCCGTCGCCAATTTGTTCATAATCCATGTTTTCTTCGTTTTTTACGAGAACTGAAAGTAATAACAATATTTTACGTGAATACAATAGTTGAAGACTTACCTTTCACACTCAAACAGCCATCGCAATCGACGATTCTCAAATTTAGCTCGTTTTCGCAACCAAATCAGTGGTTTAAAAAAAAATTCGAAACGAAAAAAAACGTCATCTTCCGAGAGAAATACACAGCTACCGTATATGTTTCAAGGAACACACACAAAATTGTTTTTCCGTGACAAGACCCTTGTGTATTTCTCTTGGAGGATGACGTTTTTTTTGTTTCGAAATTTTTGAAAAGACGGCTAGCCGGCTTTTGCTGCGAAAACGAGATATTTTCGAGGATCGTCGATTGCGATGGTTGTTTGAGTGTAAAAGGTAAGTCTTTAACTCCTTTATTCGCGTTTAATATCTTTATTACTTTCAGTTTGAATAGAAATCGAAGAAAAACAAGGATTATTAGCAAATTGGCGAGTGAGGATGTAAAAATCAATAAAAATGGAGGTATGTAAAGTTTATATTTGTTTTTTGATTGTAATTAGGTCAGAAAACAAAGAAAATGTTGCAAATTTGGGATGAAAGATTATCAATAACAAATATAATCAAAAACATTCAAGTATTTCGATATTTGCAATAGACATGTGATCGATGACCTGTCTAAATCTATAAAATGATAACAGAGGTCCCTACCAAATTTAAAACGGAAGAAAAACTAACCTTTAAGTACTATTTCCTAAACATTTTCAAATTTTACAGGTTCCAACTTGAATCAATCGAACTAGGAAAACAAGAAGAAAGAAGAGATGAACAAGTTGCTTTGATGGTTGAAAAATCGGAGAAAAATTTGAACAGTGAGTTGTTTATAATAAAAATTGATTGTGATGAAAAATACACATCTAAATCAGACTGCAATAAAATCTCTAATTTTCGTGAAAAAAAATCTCTAAAAAAAAAAAAATCTCTAATTTTCGTTCCCCATCATAAAATTCACCACTATTCAAAACCTAGAATCCCCAATTTTCGAAGAAAAATCTCAAATTTTAATTTTTGACACCAAAATGGTGCAATAATTGGTGATTGACCAAAAATGCACGTCACCTTGAAATTCACCACTATTCAAAACCTAGAATCCCCAATTTTCGAAGAAAAATCTCAAATTTTAATTTTTGACACCAAAATGGTGCAATAATTGGTGATTGACCAAAAATGCACGTCACCTTGAAATTCACCACTATTCAAAACCTAGAATCCCCAATTTTCGAAGAAAAATCTCAAATTTTAATTTTTGACACCAAAATGGTGCAATAATTGGTGATTGACCAAAAATGCACGTCACCTTGAAATTCACCACTATTCAAAACCTAGAATCCCCAATTTTCGAAGAAAAATCTCAAATTTTAATTTTTGACACCAAAATGGTGCAATAATTGGTGATTGACCAAAAATGCACGTCACCTTGAAATTCACCACTATTCAAAACCTAGAATCCCCAATTTTCGAAGAAAAATCTCAAATTTTAATTTTTGACACCAAAATGGTGCAATAATTGGTGATTGACCAAAAATGCACGTCACCTTGAAATTCACCACTATTCAAAACCTAGAATCCCCAATTTTCGAAGAAAAATCTCAAATTTTAATTTTTGACACCAAAATGGTGCAATAATTGGTGATTGACCAAAAATGCACGTCACCTTGAAATTCACCACTATTCAAAACCTAGAATCCCCAATTTTCGAAGAAAAATCTCAAATTTTAATTTTTGACACCAAAATGGTGCAATAATTGGTGATTGACCAAAAATGCACGTCACCTTGAAATTCACCACTATTCAAAACCTAGAATCCCCAATTTTCGAAGAAAAATCTCAAATTTTAATTTTTGACACCAAAATGGTGCAATAATTGGTGATTGACCAAAAATGCACGTCACCTTGAAATTCACCACTATTCAAAACCTAGAATCCCCAATTTTCGAAGAAAAATCTCAAATTTTAATTTTTGACACCAAAATGGTGCAATAATTGGTGATTGACCAAAAATGCACGTCACCTTGAAATTCACCACTATTCAAAACCTAGAATCCCCAATTTTCGAAGAAAAATCTCAAATTTTAATTTTTGACACCAAAATGGTGCAATAATTGGTGATTGACCAAAAATGCACGTCACCTTGAAATTCACCACTATTCAAAACCTAGAATCCCCAATTTTCGAAGAAAAATCTCAAATTTTAATTTTTGACACCAAAATGGTGCAATAATTGGTGATTGACCAAAAATGCACGTCACCTTGAAATTCACCACTATTCAAAACCTAGAATCCCCAATTTTCGAAGAAAAATCTCAAATTTTAATTTTTGACACCAAAATGGTGCAATAATTGGTGATTGACCAAAATCCACGACATCCCCAGCTACACCATACAATAATACTCAAATTCACCAAATTTCAAAAAAATCCGATCAAAATTGATTTTCAATAAAAAATTTGAAAAAATGTACGAATTTTTGTAAATCTCAAAATTCGTACATTTTTTTTGTGAACGAAATTTTTCTGTGAAAAGAGAAAAAAATGTACGAATTTTTGGCAGATCGAAAATTCGTACATTTTTTTGTTTTCTTCATTAAATTCATTCAAAATTAGTTGAAATATTAGAATTTTTTAGTGATAAATATTTGAAATTAATTAATTAATTACACCTAATTATTTTCAGATCCAACTTGCACCATCCGCCAATCCACCCGCCACCAATCAACGTCTTTTCCGCCACAAATCATCATTTTTTTTTGATAATTTTCATTTTTTTGTGTGATTTTTCTGAATAATAAATATTTTTCTTCAAATAAAACTGTTTTCATAGTTCATGAAAAACAAATAAAAATAATGTAAAACAATCAAAAATATGTAAGAAATAATTGGAAAAAAACATTGAAAATAAGGGAAACTTCGAACAAAAATTTTCGACGAAAATTTTGAAAAAAATTGTATTAATTTTTTACTTTTTTCATTGTTCATGGAATTCATGAGTGGTTTTATTAAATCACATGCTCATATATTTTCACTTTTCCCGATTTTCTTCGATATGAATTCATCACGATGTTGAATTTCGCAAACATCCCCAACTTGCTTGAATGTCACTTTGAAATCACGATTTATTGATAAGACAAGAAGTGTGCCGACAGTATTGAGTTCCAATCTTTCAATGTTTTTCTCTACGCGTAGCACTTCTTCAAAACACCGATGAGAACATTTAGCGAATTTCAATCTGCAAAAAATGTTTTTTTTTTTAAATCTATGTATTTTCTATATCAATATTACCGTTGTTCTGTATTCAAATACTCAAAAATTTGAAACTTGATTCTATCTGGTAAATCATTCCAGCCAGTCATAATTTTGAGAGATTCTCTAAAATGAATGAAAAGTAAATTTCAAAGAATGGAATAACTATAACAATAACTCACTGACTACTCGAAGATTCATCATTATGGCTTTTGTTATTCGAGTCTTCACCTGAAATGTCATCCGGATAATTTCTGGTCACCCTGTATGCTCTAACCTTGCATAAAAAGTGAAGGTACAAGTCTTGCCGTAATAACATAGTTTTTTATTCTATTTTTTCTTGCATGAATTTCCCGGAAAATCTCGTCAGCAATTTTCACACTGTCTCCAACAATTTCCTCAAAAAAATGGCCACGATATTCGATTTCGCATTTATCCCCAATCTGCTGGAATGTGACTTCAATATCACGGTTTATTGACAATAAGATCACTTCGCCTTTATAAGTTATCGCCATTTCAATCGACAATCTTTCGAGAATTTTTTCTTGGGAAAAAACATCTCTAAGAAATCCGAGCGAACATTTTGCGAGTTCAAATCTGTTAAAAATGCTCATAATTTTTTCGTCTATTTTTCGAATCTTACCGTTCTTCTTGATTCAAGTATTTGAGAACTTTGTTTTTCATTTCGCCTGGCAAATCATCCCAAGTCGTCATTTTTTTAAAGAAATGTTTTGCCTATAACAAGACTATAGTTACAAAGAAGAAGAAGAAGAAGCTAACAAGCAGTAAAACAAAATAAAACTGTTATCAAATCGAAAATGATTTTTGCCACGAACATCATATATATACAGGCAGAATTCAAATCTACACTTTTTTCTTGATCGAGTATAGAAATAACCAAAATATAGGGTCTTTTGTCGCTTGTTTCCCGTGTGTTTCGCATTGTTCAAAAAATTGTATACATTTTCAAAATGTTGTCCACTTTTTTTCTTGATTTGTTGATTTTACAAGAATCGGGACTTTTGGTCCCTTTTTTCCCGTTCACTTTCCCACCAATCCGATTTATGCTTTTGTTGTTTTATTGTTTGAAATACTCTTGTTACCTTCTTCATTTATCAAGGAAATTACTCAAATTATTTTGGGAAAAAAGCGTCTTTTCTTCAAATCAATCGAAAAAGTCGCATTTTTCCCAAGGTATTTTGAGACTTTCTTGAATCGATACAAAAAATACTCGAAATTTCTTCGGGAAAAGTGCGCCTTTTTCGATTGATTCAGAAAAAGTCACATTTTTCCCGAAAGATTTTTGAGAATTTCGGATCGACACAAAAAAGTCTCAAAAATGTTTCGGGAAAAATGCGACTTTTTCGAAAAGATCCAAAAATCTCAAAAATACTTTGGGAAAAATGCGACTTTTTTCCGATCGATTTGAAAAGGCGCATTTTTCCCAAAAGAACTTTGGGAAATTCACGAATCTCAAGAAAAAACTATAAATATCAAGCTTTTGCGGTGATATTGAGAAAAGCGTTATAAAATAAACTATTTTGAGATAAATTAGACGAAGAAAACATCAAATCAAGAAAAAATGAACTGAAAAAAATTTTTCGTTCAAAACAAAGGAATATTCCCGATTTTCTCATGCAATTTCACCAGCAAAATGTCAATCAAGTAGTCTTTCATCTATTTACCACAGAAAACTTATTTTCAATGTGTTATTAAACGTGTTTTCTCTTGAAAAATACGTGAAAACACAAACAGTTTGAATAAAATTGAAAAGTGCTGACAAATGTGTGGCCGTGGACTAGGAAACCAAACACATTTGTATTTCTCTCGGAGAAACTTTTATTTTTTTCTTTTTTTTTGCAAAACGTTTTTTACTGTTTTTTTGAAGAAAAACATGTTCTATATTAATTTTTTTGTTACAGATGAACAAAAAATGGACAATTAATGGATTTGCGATGATGGAATGATGATGAAATGTTGTAAGTGTTTATATTTTTGTAAAAATAGTCATTCATGTATTTTTCGATAAAATATGAGAATTCTGTTCAATTTTCCATGAAGGATGAATTGAATAGAACAGACCTGTAGTTTTGGACGGTTTTCAGGAAGCTCGAGCCGGTCTTTTAAAAGGCCGTGCGTAAATGGAGCGAATAAGTCGGCTAATATCGGATCAATCGAAAAAATTCCTTATAAATTTAAATTTTGTTCAAAATCAAAATTATTACTTTTCTAGGACATCTGCTCAATTCGTCGGTGCTCAATTCAAAGGATGTGACAACGTCTACAACTCGAGACAAATCAAACGAAGGAGGAAATTATGGTAATTTTCCCCATACCACTCTTCTAATTATTATTAATTTTTGTTTTTTTTTGTGATAGTACTTTTCTGTACAAAAATCCCCTTTTTCCCGAAGTATTTTGAGAAATTTTATGTCGATTCAAGAAAGTCCCAAAATTCCTTTGGGAAAAATGCGCCTTTTCAAATCAATCGAAAAAAGTCGCATTTTTCCCAAAGTATTTTTGAGAATTTTTTGATCTTTTCGAGAAAAGTCGCATTTTTCCCGAAATATTTTCGAGACTTTTTGTGTCGATCCGAAAGTCTCAAAAGTCTTTTGGGAAAAATGTGACTTTTTCTGAACCAATCGAAAAAGGCGCATTTTTCCCGAAGAATTTTCGAGTATTTTTTGTATCGATTCAAGAAAGTCTCAAAATACCTTGGGAAAAATGCGACTTTTTCGATTGATTTGAAGAAAAGACGCTTTTTTCCCAAAATAATTTGAGTAATTTCCTTGATCAATGAAGAAGGTATCAATAATATTTTGGGAAAATGTGGACTTTTTATTCTCAGAAATTGATCCTATATTTTCTTATACTCTTTTACCCCAATTTATTCCTTATTCGGTTTTTTTTTGGTCAAAATAAATATTTTTTGCTCTTTTACCTGTGATTTTTTTTTATCGACAAAATTTTTTGAATGTCTCAAAAAATCAGCGAATCAGACTAAACTGGAGGAAAAAAATGTAGATTTGAATTCTGCCTGTATATATATGACAAGTAATAGAATAAGAAATTCTTTTTCCAAAAAAAAACAATTTATGTACATAACAAAAATCTAATTTACGTTAACCATCCAAGGCACTACGCGAGTTGAAGCGGAAAAATTTATTATTCCTATAATAAATACAACGCAATTCTGGCCTTCGATACCAAATGTTGCTGAAAATTCAAAAAAAAATTGATATATAAAAATCCAGAAAAAAAGCTTACCTATCCTTCCAATGTTCAAATCTCGAATTGGTCTCCGGATAGAAGTATAATCGATCTTCGAACTCTAGAATCCCCTCATCAACATTTGTCAATTCCAAGTCTAGACTATTATATGTCCATGCCATTGTATCCAAAACAATGTCGACAATTGTGGACGGCTCAAAATATCTACCGTCACTTCTGAGATTGTCAACATGTGATCGATATACCAATTCAATAAATTGATCATTAGTGAAACGAAATGAAGTTTCCAAGCATTTCGCTTTTTTAAAAAAGCTCATCAGGTTCTCATCAACATTTAGTGATCTAGTACCACGTGTATAACAGCGTACCGAATGAAGAAACTTGGTTTCTGGTGTGTTTAGTATCGTTATAATATCATAGGCAACTTTCGCATTATACGAAGAAAGTATTAATGATGCAAGTTCCAAAAATTTCAAATCTTCAGGAATGCTGACCTAGAATAGAGAGATTTTGTGATTACAAAACATTTCGCAGCTCTAACCTGTTCCATGTTCCCAGAAGACTTATAAATATGTACATCTAGGTGAGATATCGTTTGCGATTTCGCCAAAAATGAATATGCTTGATCTAGGCTATCAGTAAGGATATACAACATATCAAGACATGGAAATTTATCAACCAATCCATCTTTGATCATGTAATCAACCTGCAAAAATTATTTAAAAATATTTTTTTTTGAAAAATTTTATATACCGTAGTCTTCGTCGCAACGAGACCCTGTGTGTGTTTCAACTGTAGCGCCTTTCAAAATCTACGGTATTTTTTGTTTTTTCGGATTTTCGAGGTTTTTGTTTCTGCATGAAAAACATGAAGAAATCACAGGCTAACCCTGTTTAAAGCAAGAAACAATATGAAGAAACGATTTTTAAGTGTTTTTTTCGAAGAAAAACCTATTTTTCATCTCTAAATTAGTTCTAATTCACTTTTCTAATCACACCTCGGCCTAGCCGTGGCTGGCCAGAGTACAATTTTCGGAAAAATCTGAATTTCAGTTTTTAGAGGTCAAAAATTGAAAAATCACAATTTTTAAAGGACAAAAACGGAAAAATTCACAATTTTTGTACTGTAAAAAGTTAGCGTACAATTTTTTTTATTGTGGAAACCACGATTTCGGCCGAGGTGTGTTTCTAATGTAAATAATTTTTTTTTCAAAAAAATATTTTTCGCGTTTCCATTTTTCAACGTTTTTCAAAATAACTCACATCATGAACGCGTATCTCTTTCAAAAAATTCTTCGATTTCACCAAGATGGTTTCAAAAATCTGATACGCAATATGTTTATGATCCCCAACAATTTTGAAAATCGTTTCGCCACAATGTTCGATCACACAAAATTCGCCCCTCTGCTTGCATATCAATTTCAGATGACTCAAATCAATTCTCAAAACGATGTCAGAATTTTCCAATGCATCAATTCCGACCATTTTGATGGCTTTGGAATATCGCAAAATTTCTTGCAAGCAGTCGAATGAACATACTGCGTATTTATAGCTGAAAGTATCGAATATTCAGAATCTGCTTCTGAAGAATCTATAGAAACCCACAGATCTTTTTTCTCCAAATAGTCGAAAACTTCGAATTTCATCTCGTCCGGTAAATCGTCCCAAGTCGTCATTTTTCTTCAAAATCGATTATTCCACTACTATATGTATAGTACTAATATTAATTTGAGAATGGGAACGCATCTCTAATCTCCCACCAAGTGAGAGAGATGAGAGACGCAGACGTGCAAAAATTCCCATATGTTGACCTCTCCTGTTGTTTATACATAGTAATGTCTCATAAAGAGACCGTGGGAGAGTGAGAGAGTGCAGAGAAGATCACAGCTGACCGTGTTTTGTAAAAATGGCAAGCGGCCAATTTTTCTAGAGTGATGGAGACGCAGAGAAAAATATTTATTAAAAAAAATGAAAAATTACGCCACACCCCATGCAACATAATAATGAGGATTACAAGTTGAGCTGAAATGAAGCCTTGCGATATTTTTCTCGTATAGACCGTGCATGTGACGAGGATTGGTGATGCTGCAAAAAATTCAGGTCAACAAAAAAAAAATTTCGAAAAATTAAAAAAATTTTTTTTTTCAACTTGAATTTTAGTTTAAAATCTGGATCCATTAATTAAAACATACCAATTTTTGCGAATTTCAAATCGGTTCTCATTAACCGCAAAAAACGCCAATCGATCACTAAACTTCAAAACATCCTCATGAACATTTTCCAAAGTGATTGTGAATTGCCGATCAACCATGTTCATTCCTCTCGCAACAATATCGACAATCGCAGATGCTTCAATCTCACTAGCATCACATTTGATTAATGCAAGGTTTTCCGAATTTTCCAATCGAACAAATTGCTCATTTGAAAACTTCAGATTCGTTTTCAAATTCACTAAATTCTCGAAAAACCCCATTACTCTTTGAGATACATCGAATTCGTTAGCATCGTATATGAAACATTTAACCTTCCATAATTCTGGTGTTTGTATCGCTTCCAATCTGGTTATGATATCCCAAGCAATATCCGCTTTATAGAAAATCAAATTCATGTCTTCAAGTTTTGAACATTTGAAGCCTTCAGGTAAACGGGTCTAGAAGAATTTAAATATTTAAAAGGGGGATTTTGATAATAGAATTTATTTAACCTGTTCTTTCTTTATATTGAAACGAGGCACACATAGTGAAAGACTTTTAATTGATTCCGATTTTAAAAGAAACGAATAAAATTGATGAATTCTAGTTGTAATAACATCCAAAGATTCAAGACGTCCAAACTTATCAATCAAACCATCGTGCAACATGAAATCAACCTAAAAAAAATTTTTTGTTATTAAAATTTTTTTGTAAAAAAAAATTTACTTACTCGATGAATCGTTAAATACTTTAAACTATTTTTCGATTTAACCAAAAGATTTTCGAAGATGTTGTAGGCTAGAACTTTACAATTTGCCGAGGCTTTTGAAAAATTTTGGTCATGATAATCAATCACACAAAAATCCTCATATTTTCTGAACGTTACTTTGAAAGCGGAATGATTGATTTTCAATTTATAATATGTCCAGCCTGGGAACTCGACACCTTCAATAGCCAACGCATGAATATTTTTCTCATATCGTAGAACTTCTAGTAAACAATTGAAACAGCATTTTGCGAATTTGAAGCTGGAAATATTGGATTTTAAAAATCCGCAAAGTCCACAAACACTTACCGATCTTTTTCCTGTAGATATGAAAAAACTTCGAATTTCATCTCAGCTGGTAAATCATTCCAACCTGTCACTTCTTCTTCCATTTTTGGAGCTCTAGAAAGAATATTATAATCTGAATGCTAGTGCGCAAGATGACCTAATGAAGATTATGTACATATATTCTAAAATTGTATACCATCAATTAGAGACGCAGAGTGTGAAAGACAGACCACCGTAAAAAGGGCGGCGTCCAGCAGCCAAGAGCACGCGGTGAGAGTGATGGAGACGCAGAGAAATTCTCCGCGCGGAGTTTTTCAAAAAATTTAAAAACTTTTATGAAAAAAAATGAACTTTTTGCTCCAAATGTAAAATTTGGACTCATGATTTTTGACAGCCATTAGTTTTGCCAAAAATAATCGAAAACTTGTCTCCAATTTGTCTCAAAGCAGCATAAGTTGATGAATCAACCACTTCATTTTGCGCCACATCAAATTCAGTCACAAAACTGTGATGTCTTATATAAGCAACTTGATAATCCGTATATTTCAACCTCATTTTCATCGAATCCGCTGGATTTGCAATTAATTGAATCATGAATTCATCTCTCGTTATATTCACAATACAATCTTGAAATACGAAATTCGGATGAATATAGGTTTTCAAAGCACTTCTGTCTTTATCGCTGATTGCTGTGTTGATATTTTCTATCAATTTTTCCACGTCACCTTCTGACACATAGGCGAAAATTGGGAGAATTAGAGAGAAAATGAAAAAATAGAACACTTTCATGTTTATCGAATTTCTCCTGGTTTGCAGATTCGTTTTTATATAGTGAAACCATTTTCTCATAGTCTAGACATTCAGGTAAATTAGACACGTCTCATCTTCAAAGCTTTGAAACGGGATCATTCTGAAAAATAATTTAAATATTCCTCCGAAGCCTAAAAATCTAACCTCCTACTCTTCTTGCACTTCAAACTTTGTCAATCTTCAATTTTCCTCAAAAATCACAAAATCCCTTGACTCCTCGAACCCAAGATCCTGAAAAATCAAGTGAAAACGGTGAAAAACAGGTGAAAAAGAAAAGAAAAAACGAAAAAGGTTTACGGTCGATTTGTTCAAAGGAACATTGCAAACAAGAGTTGGGTCTCGACGCGATGCACAAACATTTATTTTTTTTATTTTTTTTTGTGAAAAAAAATTATTTTTTTTCTTTTTTTCTCGAAAGAAACGTGTGTTTTTGTTTTTCAGGGGGAAATTCGCAATTAGAAAATTTTATTAATTATTAAAAATTTACATATCCTGTTTCTGGGTAACCCTATGCGTATACACATTTCGAATCACCGCCAAAACTCGTCTCCTCATCTCCGCCACATATTCCCCATCCAACTCTTCCCTCTCCAAAATCGTCGAATTCTTCAGCCATTTCTCATCGGCTATTCGATAGTGTCTAATATGAGCAATGTGTCGTGAAAAGAAATAAACCCGGCATTCGGGATCTCGCAAAAATGCGAAATGGAAAAATAGGGCGTGCACTTTCAGCGGGTCAAAGAAGCCTTTCTGGGTGTTCCATGAGAAATTGGTGCGATTTCGGTAGCGTAGAAAATGAAGCTCGCGGAGCATTTGCTCCGGGTTAACATAGGTTTGCGGATTGCTTTGGTATTTGACGGTGCGGGAGACCGGAACGGTGATTTCGCCAAAACTTGGGCCAAGGGTCCGCAGGAATTTCAAAACTGATATGTTTTTGTTATTGAAAACGAAACGCTCATCTTGATCGATGTTGAGAACCCATTTTGAGTGATGGCGAGAGCGATAGTAGCATTCCTGAAAAAATTTATTGGGTTTTCCGCGAGCTTCCGGACACGCGGAAAACTTACATTCATCTGAATCTCATGAAACCTCGCACTCGGATCGAATTCCAGCAAAACATCGGTGGTCTCAGAGAGACCTAGCCCGTTATAATATGTGAAAATTCGCCGATCGTATTCGGAAGCCTCGAGAATTGTGAAGTAGAATTGGGTGGCACCCTGGAGAAAATTTGGCTGCGTACTTAGGGACATTAGATACTCAGCTAACTGAATTTGGTTAAATACGTTTTATACTCAGTTAACCCTTCCTCCTATTGTTCAATTTGACTGCGTACCTGAACATTAGATACTCAGCCAAGATAACACGGCTAGAAAACAGAAACCCAGATACTATCTTTCTTATATGACATATATTCTTCCCGGGAAATTTGGCTGCGTACGTTAGATACTCAGTGAACTCACCAACATCCGATGATGCTCCACATGCTCAATAACTTCCATCCACTTCGGTTCCCGCCCATAAAATTGCCCGCTACAAACTCCCAACTCATGGGGAATCTGGGGAAATTCCCGGGAGATTAGGGGAATCGGAGTTAGGCCAAGTTCTTCTGGAGAATCAGCAGAAGCTTCAGGAGTTAGGCTAAGTGATACGAATTTAGCTCCGCCTGCGATTTTTGGACATCGAACTGCGGCGATGGGAAAAATCACAGATTTGAAGCGAGTTCGCGGAAGTTCGATGCGATTTTCATCGAAAAATCGGCAGAAAATTGGAGCGCCCACGTGTTTTGCGCGGGTTAGAGTTGTGGTAACTGCGATGAAGTCGGGGTAGGCAAAAGCTGAGATTAGGCTGAGACGATTTTGAGGTACTGGCTTCTGAAAATTGCGGATTTTTGGCTGAAAATTCTGAAATTTTCAGCTCCTAACATATAATTTTGGCTGCGTATTTTTTGAAAACTTTTTTTTTAATCTTCCAAATATTTTAGCTGCGTACCTTGAAACATTAGATACTCAGTTAACTAATTTAACTCCTAACATTTAACTGCGTTTCACGTTTGATACTCAGCCAACTCACCACAAGTTGCATATGCTTCCTGGCCGCCCATTTTTCATAAGCACTTTGATTCAGATAATTTTCGCCAGATTTTAAAGGCGCATCAGATTTTGGTTGAAAAATTGTAATTAAAATAATAATTAGGAGAAATACTAAAATTAAATTTAGGAATTTTTTGGGCATTTTTATTTTGAAACGCATTTTATCCAGGAGGAAAATCAGATTTTTATATGACAAAATCATAATTTTGTAGATTAGAATCTCCGAAATTTTGAAACATTGCCTTTGTGACTTGAGTTGACTGAGTATCTAATGTCCAGGTACGCAGTCAAATTGAACAATAGGAGGAAGGGTTGATTGAATATCAAATGTATGGTCAAATTTATTTTGTACTTAAAAATCTGGTTCTTAACTGAGTATCTAATGTGAATCAGTTCATAAGGTACGCAGTCAAATTCAGTTAGCTGAGTATCAAATGCACAATGTATGCAGCCAAATTGAACAATAGGAGGAAGGGTTAACTGAGTAACAAATGTATGTAGATCACAAGGTACGCAGCTAAATTTATTCTAATATATTTTTTGTATCCCTTGTTTGTTAGCTGAGTATCAAATGCACAAGGTACGCAGCCAAATTAACCAAATTCATTTAGCTGAGTATCTAATGTCTCCAAGGTACGCAGTCAAATTTTTCCTGACTTCTTTCTGATCAGATAAAAATGCATGTTGTTGTTGTTTGTGTGTTGTTTTTCACAAACTTGACTGAGTATCTAATGTCATCAGGTACGCAGCCAATTTTTTCTTGATGTTTTTTCGCTGGCTGAGTATCAAACGTACGCAGTCAAATTTGTTTTATGGGAAAAAAAGTCTAATCAACAGGTTTTAACACAACACAACACAAAAAGCGTGTGATAAGAAGGAAAATTGATTTTTTTGTACAAAAAAATAATTGAAATTTTTTTGGCGCGCAAAAAATTTTACACATTTGATACTCAGTCAAGTTGAACGGTTCTGCGAAATTGGCTGCGTATCTAGACGTTTGATACTCAGCTAAGGAAATTGGAAGTGATTTAGCTGCGTACCTAGAAGCATTAGATACTCAGTCAACATTAACCCTAGAAGACATTTGGCTGCGTACGTTTGATACTCAGCCAACATCAATCCCCCGGAGATCCAATTACTGAAATGAGCAAAACAAAAGAAAAGCAAAAAATTTTGCGGTAACCATGGAAATTTTGACTGCGTACCTGATAATTTAATACTCAGCTAAGTATTGAATTGAAATTGAATTTGGCTGCGTACTTGGAGACATTAGATACTCAGCTAACTTGTAATTTCACTGCGTACCATTAGATACTCAGCTAAGGTCTAAAAGACCTTTCGATTAATTTAGCTGCGTACCTATAGCATTAGATACTCAGCTATAAACTTTTGTAATTTCACTGCGTACGTTAGATACTCAGCCAACCTTGTGCTCCTCATATTTTGTTCATTTCTATTTCTATAAAAAATAATTGAGCCTTTTGCAATATGTCTCTGCCTCTCTCTCTCGCACCCTCCTCATCTCTCACACTCTCTCCTCCCCCTTTCGCCCATTTCTCTGCATCTCTCACCGCACTCTCTCCATTTCACACACTCTCTCGTCGCCTCACTTTTCATCAAGCGACACACACAAAAATTCCTCTTCTTTTCGTTTTGTTGTTTTTTTTTTTTTCAAAAAAAAATTGGAACCTTGCCAAATTTGGCTGCTACTTAGCTGAGTATCTAATGTGATTTGGCTGCGTACCTTATGTTAATTATTTCATTTGATACTCAGTCAACTGAAATCGAAAAAAAAACAAAATTTTTTGTTTTTTTATTATTTTTCCCATGAAAAATTGCAATAACACAGCTGTTTTTCTCATGTTTTTCTTTTCGCGCCAAATTTTTTGTGTTGGCTGAGTATCTAACGTACGCAGCCAAATTTTTAAAGTTGAAACTTTGTAAAAGATGAAAAAGAAAACATTGTTTACTTTGTGACACATGGGTTTTTAGTTGCGCTTTAAAAAAATTTCGGAAGGGGGAAATTCGTTTTTGCCTGCGTATCTAATGAGGTACGCAGCCAAATTTTGATCTACCTCTTTCTAACGTACGCAGTCAAAATAATTCCCTCGCTGAGTATCAAATGTAGATCATAAGGTACGCAGTCAAATTCATGATCTATTCGTGTTCCTTTCTTAAACTGAGTACTCAACGTATGTACGCAGCCAAATTCGGTCTCATTTTGAAGCCCTTCTTCTCCTCTTTGACTGAGTATCTAACGTACGCAGTCAAAATAATTCCCTGGCTGAGTATCAAATGTAGATCATAAGGTACGCAGTCGAATTCCTTTCTTAAACTGAGTACTCAACGTATGTACGCAGCCAAATTTGGTCTCATTTTGAAGCGCTTTTTCTCCTCTTTCACTGAGTATCTAACGTACGCAGCCAATTTTCATTTTTGCAGGTAAAAAACCCGCCAAAAACACAAAAATGGACGACTTGGTTCCGGAAGGCGAAAAAGTCACCATGGAGAATTTCGCCCTTTTAAGGGTTCTAGGAAAAGGAGGTGAGTTTGGGGCCTGAAAGGCCTGAAAATGGCCCGGAAAGGGCCTGAAAAGGGCCCGGAAAGGGCCTGAAAAGGGCCGTTTAGGCCTAAAAACAGCCCGAAAAAGCCTAAAAAAGCCCGAAAAAAGCCCAATTCCCATTGCAGCTTATGGCAAAGTGTTTTTGGTGCGAAAAATCGGCGGAAAAGATCACAACACAATCTACGCGATGAAGGTTTTGCGAAAAACGCGAGTTCTGACGAAACAAAAAACTTTGGAGCACACAATGGCTGAGAGACAAGTTCTGGAGCGACTTCGTGGTGTTCCATTCTTGGTCAACCTTTTCTACGCCTTCCAAACTGACACAAAATTGCATATTGTTATGGGTAGGTCAAATTTTCATGAGTTTCGCGCGCGATTTTCGAGTTCCCCGTGAAATTTGGAGCTTTTTGATATCCATATGTCCAGGGTTTCTTTCGATTTTGATTTTGGCCACGCCCACTTTTCCATGCCGCAGATGGAAAATGGGCGGAGCTTAATTTCTATCGGAAAATTTTAGATGGGTGATTTGACGATTTTTGACACCCATATTGCCTAGGTTTCGATCAATTTTGGATTTTCGAAAAACCGTGCCGCACATAGAAGTGGGCGTGGCCTAAATTTAGAATTTGAGAAAACCTAGGCAATATGGGTATCAAAATGTTCGTAATAACTTTCTGAGGTCAAATACAGTCGTTAAAAATCTCAAGCTCCGCCCCTTTTTGCGGCATGGAAAAGTGGGCGGAGCCTAAATTTTTTTTTTAACCTTGACAATATGGGTATCAAAAGACGCGTTTTCTCACGAGGAACTCAAAAATCACCAAATTTTTTGCAGAATACGTGCGAGGCGGTGAGCTCTTCACACATCTATGCTCGCGCGGTAATTTCGAAGTTGCGGCCGCCCGTTTCGTCATCGCCGAACTCATCGTCGCCATCGACAATCTACATCAACGCAAGGTGATCTACCGCGATTTGAAACTCGAAAATATTCTACTCGACGAGGAGGGACACGTGAAGCTGACCGATTTTGGGCTCAGCAAATTGTTTTTGCCTGGGGAATTGGATCGAGCGAATTCCTATTGTGGAACTATTGAATATATGTGAGTCTCGGGGAAATTTGGAGCATTTTGATACCCATATTGACTAGGCCACGCCCACAAAACTGTGCGCGGCTTGCATAAATAGGCCACGCCCCTAAAACCATGCCGCAAAGAAAACCCTGCCTTGTTTGGTATCAAATTGAAGCTCTGCTTAAGCCACGCCCCTAAAACCATGCCGCAAAGAAAACTATACCTTATTTGGTATCAAATTGAAGCTTTAGTCCTCCTCTATATGAAAATTAGGCTCCGCCCCTAAAACCATGCCTTGTTTGGTATCAAAGTGTAGCTCTTCTTAGGCCACGCCCTTAAAACCATGCCGCAAAGAAAACTATACCTTGTTTGGTATCAAAATAAAGCTTTAGTCCTCCTGTATATGAAAATTAGGCTCCGCCCACAAAACCCTGCCTTATTTGGTATCAAAATGAAGCATTTTCTGAATTTCAGGTCGCCCGAAGTGATAAATCGTCCCGAAGGCGGCTACACAGATGTTGTCGACTGGTGGTCGCTGGGTGTGATCTCGTTCGAACTTCTCACCGGCTGCTCGCCGTTCACAGTCGACGGTGGACAAAATTCGAGTAAAGATATTGCAAAGTACAGTTTTTTGCTGAAAATCCCGAATTTTTTGCTGAAAATCCCCAATTTTCAGACGAATTTTGACGAAACGCGTGCCTTTTCCGAAAAACATGGATGCCGAAGCCAAAGAGTTCATCACGGCATTATTGGAGAAGAAATTAGAGAAGCGACTGGGTTTTAATGGAGTTCAGGAGATCAAGAGGTGGGCTCGGGAGAATTTACATGGTCCCACAGGGTTCCTCAAGAGATTCTGAGCATTTTGAGACCAAACATGACTAGGCTCCGCCCACAAAACCGTGCCGCAGATGAAAAAGAGCTTCCTCAAGTGATTCTGGGCATTTTGAGACCAAACATGACTAGTTTTCGAGCTAAGCTCCGCCCACAAAACCGTGCCCTAACCTACCAATTTTTTGCAGTCACCGCTTCTTGTCAAATATCGATTGGGAGGCAGCGGAGAAGCGGAAAATGGCTCCGGTGATTGTTCCGCGCATCGGACACGCTCTCGACACACAATTCTTCTCGGCCGAGTTCACCTCACAACCACCGCTCTATTCACCAGCGGAATCGCCGCTCAATGCGCAGACTTTGTTCCGGGTAAGCCACGCCCAATTTTTTAGATGAGCTAACTAGCTTCCAGAGGTGATTTGGAGCATTTTGAGATCAAACATGTAGAGGATTGCTCATGTTAATAGGATTGCTCAGATTAAAGCTAGAGAATAAGATTGCTCATTTTAGAGCTGGGAATAAAATTGCTCATATTAAGCTAATAATTAATATTGCTCATATTAAACTAGAATATAGGATTGCTCATGTTAATAGGATTGCTCAGGTTAAGCTAAGAAATAATATTGCTCATAATAGGATTGCTCATTTTAGAGTTGGGAATTAAATTGCTCATATTAGGCTAGGAAACAATATTACCCATTTTAGAGCTGGAAAAATACGATTGCTCATGTTAATAGGATTGCTCATGTTAAACCTAGAAATGAGGATTGCTCATGTTAAACTATAAAAATAGGATTGCTCATAATAATAGGATTGCTCATGTTAATAGAATTGCTCATATTACGCTAGGAAATAGGATGGCTCAGGTCAATCTAGAAAAATAGGATTGCTCAGGTTAATAGGATTGCTAAGGTAAATGCTAGAAAAATAGGATTGCTCAGATTAGATCTAGAAAATAGGATTGCTCATGTTAAAACTGGAAAAATAGGATTGCTCATGTTAGTAGGATTGCTCATAGTAAGCTAGGAAATAATATTGCTCATTTAAGAACTAGAAAATAGGATTGCTCATGTTAAAACTAGAAAATAGGGTTGCTAGGCTAGAAAGTAGGATTGCTAATGTTAGAGATGGAAATTAAATTGCTCATATTAAGTTAGGAAACAAAATTACCCATTTTAGAGCGAGAAAAATAGGATTGCTCAGATTAAACCTCAATTTCCTGCAGGGTTATTCCTACGTCTCACCATCCGTCATTTTCGCCACCGACAATGTGATCGGCGAAGAAATCATGGGTGAAGATGTGCAAAATCTGCTCTCCAGCTCCCCGTTCTTCTCCAAATATCGACTAGATCGCACCGAAACTGGACTTCTCGGAAAAGGCTCGTTTTCGGTGGTCAGGTAGGCCTTTTCAGCTCAAAATTTAAGCCTAGACCAAAAAAATTTCCAGAAAATGCGAGCGAATCGAGGATGGCGTGCCGTTTGCCGTGAAAATTGTGTCGCAAAAATTTTCGCTGCAAGCGCAGCGAGAGTCCCGCATTTTGGAGATGGTTCAAGGTGGGTGGGATTTTTGGGCTCCCGGGGGAGTGGGGAGCATTTTGAGACCAAACATGACTGGGTTTGGAGCTAGATTAAGCCCCGCCCACAAAACTGTGCCCCATTTTGCAAGCCTAAAATTGCAGGCCACCCAAACATCGTACGCTTGGTCGATGTGCAATCCGATCGTCTTCACATCTACCTCGTCATGGAACTTCTGTCCGGCGCCGAACTTTTGGACAGAATCAGACAGCTGACTAGATTCACCGAGATGGAAGCGGCTGATATTATGAGGCAGCTGGTGTCGGCTGTACAATATTTGCACGACAAGAAAATTGTGCACCGTGATTTGAAACCTGAGGTTAGTTGAGTTAGGGGAACTCGGGGGACAATTTTGACCTAAAAAATTATAGTTTTTGGGGTCCTAAAGGCTAATATGAGCAATCTAACGGAATTTGATCATTTTTGAACCCATTTTGACCAAAAAATCATGAAAAATCCAAGTTTTTGGGTCCTACAGCGATAAAATGTACAAATTTGATAGCATTGCTCATATTAGACCATTTTTTCATCCATCTTAACCCAAAATTGATGAAAAATTCGATTTTCCGCGTCCCAACACAATCTCTCTACAGTAACCTACAGTAACCCTCTGTTTTCCAGAACATTCTCTTCGAAAATTCCGACTCGAATGCGCGTCTCAGATTGGTCGACTTCGGATTCGCCCGTTTGCTTCCCAACTCAATGGAACAACAATTGAAGTCTGTGTACCGAAAGATGTACGAGTTAGCCAAAGTCACCACCACACACACACAGTATCTACAGTAACCTAGGACGGGGCGGGGGAGTACTGTGGAGTACGGTACTCGACGGGGCTTCAGAGTTCTCCTTTGGGGAAGGCTGTAGACTACGGTATCGGTGGGTACAGTATACCTACAGATGTCCTACAGTATCCCGGGATTATCCTTCTAAAATAGAGAACACAGTAATCCTGTGAGCTACAGTACTACCATACATTACTCCTATAGGTTGTATAACACTATACAGTACCTCACAGAGCTCTACAGTTACTCTCTGGACTTCTCACTGTATCTACAGTATCCTACTCTGCCCCGCTCGGATACCGTACTCCTACAGTACCCCTTGGTTACTGTAGATCAACAATTTTATCATTTTTTGTAGATAGGCGAATGCTTCTCTATATTTATTTTTTCATATTTTTTTGATTAGTATAGTTAGTGGTGTCTTGAACTCTCGTACTTCTTTCCTTTTTCTCCTAGTTAGTCTAACTAACCGCATGCTTTCATCTATCCCAAGGAGATTTTGGCGCAAATTTTTAACCCCACCAATTTCTAGGACACCCTGCTTCACCCTACAGTATGCCGCTCCGGAAGTGTTGGATGTCGGCGACACGCAGCCCGAATACAATGAGCAATGCGATTTGTGGTCGTTGGGTGTGGTGATGTTCACCATGTTGTCGGGGCAGGTAGGCAGCAGCAGGGCTTATGCCGGCAGGGCTTACGCCGGCAGGGTTTATGCCGGCAGGGCTTATCCCGGCAGGGCTTATCCCGACAGGGCTTATCCCGGCAGAGCTTATCCCGACAGGGTTTATCCCGGAAGGGTTTATCCCGACAGGGTTTATCCCGGAAGGGTTTATCCCGGCAGGGCTTATCCCGGCAGGGCTTATTCCGGCAGGGTTTAGCCGGCCCAACCCTCATACTCTACTCACACTCTCACTCTCTCTCTGCAGGTCCCATTCCGTGCTCGTTCACTCCAAGAATCCGCCACCGAAATCATGCAACGCATCCGACGCGCCGAATTCTCGTTCGAAGGTGACGCGTGGAAAAACGTGTCGCAAGACGCGAAAGATCTCATCACCGGTCTGTTGACGGTGGATCCCAAGAAGCGATTGTCGATGCGCGAATTGAGCTCGCACAAGTGGTTGAAGTCGCCGAGTTTGGACACACCTTTGCAGACACCAAGTGTGCTACCAACGTCGGCTGGTGAGTTTTTGGGGTAGATTAGCTGTAGAGCGCTATTGCATCATTATCATTAGAGCGCACTTTCATGTGTTTCTGTTTTGCAGACGTTACATTCAACGAGACCCTCCAAGCGTTCCTCAACGCCACTCGCGACGGTTTCAAACTTCTTGACGTCGACGCCGCTCCGCTTCTGAAACGAAGAGGAATCAAAAGGCAGAGCAACGATAAGGACAATTCGTCGACACAGAAAAAGTGAGCATTTTGGTATATGAATCACATTTGTTGGTTAGAAGAGCAGCGTGAAAGGGCCTTGGGCCCTTTTTGGGAGGGCCTGAAGACTGGGGGGAACTGTAAAATACTGTGTAAAACCTGTATGAGCTGTACAGAGACCATAAAATCCTTCATGAAGTGTACAAAAAGTATATGAGCTGTACAAAAACTGTACAGAGACTATAAGAGCCTTCATGAACTGTACAAAAACGGTATGAACTTCGTTTGGGTTGAGCCCAGGGTTGGCCCATGAATTTGGGCTGGGTTGGGTTAGGGTTCGGGTTGGGCTTTAACCGAAAGATGTTTTTGGTTACTGGTTCGGGCCGGTTTGGGCAGTTTTTTTCGGCCCAACCTGGACCAAACCCAAGTATATTGGACCGGTTTGGAACCCTGGTATGAAGTGTACAAACGCTATATGAGCTGTACAAAAACATTCTGCAAAACTTTCCATTTCTGCAAATTTTCCTAATCGAATTAACGTCTCCTGTATAAAAGCCATCATGCTCCAATCACATTCCTCATATCGAAAATAATTTCTCATGAAGCTTCTGATTCTCCTCTTCACCATCTTCTCAATGGCGGCTGCTGTTTGTCAACGTGCTTGTCCACGCTATTATGTCTGCGAAGGCAGGAGATGCAAACCTACTCCCGGATAAACCTGGTCTAGGATCACAGAGATTGACCTATTTTCAGTATCTTTGTCAAAAAATAAAGTGTTGTGAAGTTAGAATAAGCTTTTTTTACATTTTCCTTTGAATTTTCTACAAAATGATACTAATTAAGGATACTTTTGTAGCCCAGAGTTGTCCTATATTTTTCTGCAAAAAAAATTCTGCAAACTTGCCTTTTAATCGAATCAAAGCCTCGTGACCCATAGGGCTTCCGAAAATTCCCCTTATCTAATCATTCGAATCAAAATTTCCGCATAAAAGCCCAGCTCCAATCGCATTTCTCATATCACAACTTCGCTATGAAGTTCTTGATCGTTCTCCTCTTCACAATCTTCGCATCGGTGGCTGCCTGATGTGAAATTTGTCCACCTGGGACTCACTGTGAAGGTGTACACTGCGTGGCTGATCCTGTGAGCAAACCCGAACCAATACCGTGTTGGCCTCTAAATTGCGATCCTAGCGGTTATTGCTGTCATGGAGTATGCATTCAAAGCGGCGAGTTCTGTCCTGACTTCTAATTTTATTGATTTTCGAAATGAAGTTTCTTATCTGCAGCTATTCCATTTGATGAACAAATTTTCTGAATTCATCGAAATATTGAATAAAGTTTGAATGTTCCTCAAAGATTCAGCTAATCGAATCAACACATTAAACTTCCACATAAAAGCCCTGCTTTTTAAAACATCTCAAATTATCATTCTGTATCATGAAGCTTCTGATTCTGCTCTTCACAATCTTCTCATCAATTTCTGCTCGATGTAATGTGATTTGTCCAAGCCGATTTGTTTGCAAAGGCGATAGATGTGTGCTGGCTTCTGGATAAGATTCGCTTGTTATTTGAAAATGAAGTTTATTCAGAATCTTGTTCGTTATAGCTAAATGCAAAAACTTCCTCATTCCCCCTGGAATCATCGAAAGATTGATCAAATTATAGATGTTCCACATAAAAACCCAGCTCCAATGTCGTTCCTCATATCAAAACAAAATTCTCATGAAGCTTCTGATTCTCCTCTTCACCATTTTCTCCGCTGCGGCTGCCGCTGCCGCTAACTGTACCAAATGTCCAGTTGACAAATGTCATTACTGTGATAATGGAGTATGTGTTTTATACGAAGAATATGACTGGCCGTGGAATGATTGTTAATGAAGTTTTGTTCATTTGCAAAATTGTCCATAGAGCGCATTTGCTTATCTCATTAAAATTTTTTAACGTTAAAGTTTCCCAAGTTTCGTCTTTCAAGCCTGCCAGATTTACTTCATCCTAGAGCTTTATCAGGTGCTTAACTAGATTCTAGTTGTTTTCAAAATGCAAAAAACTTCCTCATTCCCCCCTGGAATCATCGAATCAGATGATCCAATCAAAATGTCAATATAAAAGCCCACCTCCAATCACATTCCTCATATCAAAAACAATTTCTCCATGAAGTTCTTGATCGTCCTCTTCACAATCTTCTCGATGGTGGCTGCCTGGTGTGAACTATGTCCACCTGACACTTATTGTCATAATGGAATGTGCTTGCCTGGCGAGAAACCAGTTCCACGGCAGTGTTTGCCTGATTGTCCTATTGGATTCTGTTTTGATGGACATTGCGCGATACATATCGATTGAGATGGAGAAATTCAGATCTTGTTGAGAATAAACCTTTGATTTTGCACATTTATTTTTTTTCTGGGTTGTTAGATCTTATTATCAAGAACCTTCCGAACTCGCATCGATTTTTGAATTCCTGAAGGACTTTGAGTTATCCTATGTTCTTCAGCGGAATCTCGAATGCTTCTTGCAGAATGATTTTGCAAATTTGTCTTTTAATCGAATCAAGGCCTCGTGGTCCAAAGGGCCCCCGAAAATTCCCCTTATCGAATCATTCGAATCAAAATTCCCACATAAAAGCCCAGCTCCAATCACATTCCTCATATCAAAAACAACTTCGCTATGAAGTTCTTGATCGTCCTCTTCACCGTCTTCTCATTGGTGGCTGCTTTTTGCGAATGTCCACGTGGACAGCATTGCACCAGAGGAGGAAAATGCGAGCGGGATATAGGTGTCAATGGGTGTCCGTTTTATGGTGGTCGTGAATGTCCGTATGACATGAAATGTTGTCATGGAAAATGTATTGGATGGAGACGAGAATGTCCAGAGGACAACAACTTGTTCTAATGGTTTTGAAATAAAGTTTCTCATTTGCAGTCTCATGTCAGAAATTCTAGTGTTATTTCAATAGAACCAGAGTTACCTTGGAGCGCGTTTGCTTTCGGATTTTCATCTGTTGTGCCCACTAAAGTGTTTGCACACAGTGTGTCGCTAGAGCGCACATGCTGATTTTGTCGTTTGAAAATAAATATGGGAAATCTGTTTTTCCAGTGTTTCTTGTGTCTTTAAGGTCCATTTCAAAAGAATATGCAAAATTAAAGCTTTATTCTCAACAAGCTCTGAAAATGGATGAAACAATTAAACGCCGACGTCACCGTAGACACATTGACCAGATTTACAAAATTTGAACCATCCACAATCAGAATTGCTTTGGCATGACTGAGCAGCCACCGATGCGAAGATTGTGAAGAAGGAGGACGATCAAGAACTTCATAGCAAAGTTGATTGTTGATATGAGAAGTGAACTTGAAGCTGGGCTTTTATGTGGTAAGTTTTGATTCGATTTGAGAAATCGATGATTTCTCAAATCAGATAAGCGGAATTTTCGAAGGCACAGGGGCCTTGATTCGATTCAAGAAGTTTGCAGAAACTCAAAGTATCAAAAATATTTGAATTCAGAATTCAAAACCACTGCACACAAAACGCGCCCAGCCTCACAGGATTGACGTGTTTGTGTGAAGGCGCGTTTTGTGTTTTATTTTCGAAATTGGTTTTTTTGTTTTGTGAGAAGAACTGAGATTCTTGATGGATTTTTGATTTTGTAACTATTTGAGCAAATCCCAAATATTTTTCATACTTTGTGCCTCCGAAAATTCCGCTTATTCGATTTGAGAAATCATCGATTTCCCAAATCGAATCAAAACTTCCACATAAAAGCCCTGCTCAAAGTTCATTTCTCATATCACAACTTCGCTATGAAGTTCTTGATCGTCCTCCTCTTCACAATCTTCGCATCGGTAGCTGCTCAGCCATGCAAACGCGATTCAGATTGTGGAGCTTTTCAATATTGTAGTTTTGGTGGATATTGTGTCTTGGAAGACGCCGCCGGATAATTGTTTCACTCATTTTCAAAGCTTGTTGAGAATAAAGCTTTAACTTTGCATATTTGTTTAAATCCTGTTATTGCGGTGTCCAAAGCAGAAAAAAACGCACTGTCTGTTGCTCTTGTCTACACACACTATTTTTCTGTTCGTTGCGAGACCCGTTTGCATGGCCTTCAATATAAAAATGAAGAAGAAACCCCGAGTTTTAGACGTTTTTTTTCTGCTTTGGGCACCGCATATCAAAATGTGCATCATAGGAACTGCAAAATGATTCTGCAAACTTGTTGAATCATCAAGTCTCATGTGCCCACGAAATTTCTCTCCTTATCGAATCATTCGAATCAAAACTTTCCACATAAAAGCCCAGCTCAAATTACATTCCTCATATCAAAAACAACTTCGCCATGAAGTTCTTGATCGTCCTTCTCTTCACAATCTTCGCATGTGTTAATGCTTTTGGCTTCTTGCCGGAATATGATGATTCCGAAGTTGTTGCTGAGTTCATCTCAAACAATCAATTCAACTCGTATCCTTACTGTTCTCCTGATTGTGATCTTACGTCCCACTGTTGTAATGGAGCCTGTGTCGATGAAGATATTCCATGTAAACCTAAATAAGTGTTTTTCTGTGAGCTCGTGAGAATGAAGATTGCATTTTTGTGGGAGATTTCTGATGTTCTTGCACAGAGTTCAACAAAAAATATTTGCAAAATGCAAAAAATCTCGCGATTCCCTGCAAATTGATTGATCGAATCATAGATTCCATATAAAAGCCTCAACATCTCATTGTCAGCATTAAATTCTGCATCATGAAGCTTCTGATTCTCCTCTTCACAATCTTCTCATTGATCTCTGCCTATTGTGGATTTCGGAAATGTCGACGTGGAAGTCACTGTGAAGGTTCCCGCTGTGTGCCTAATGTCAAAGAAGAGCCGCAGTGTGATCACAGACGGAATTGTCCGTTTGAAACTCGATGTTGTCGTGGAAAATGTATTTCACCGTTTTTATGTCGTAAATATTGATTTTATTAAAGTTTAGAATAAAGTTTGTTTCTAACTGCAATTTGGTGTTTTGGATGCCGGGATTCGTTTTCAGCATAGTCGATTTAGTAAGATTCATCGGAAGTTAGGTCCATCTCGTTCTATAGGGGAAACCAAGAACTTTGGACATTGAACAATAAAAACAAGTGAACAGAAAACGCGCCAACGTCACAAGCACTGACGCGTTTTTGCAAAGAAAGGTTGTGTTGCAGCAGAGTTAATTCGGTTAGCCAAGTTTGCAAGAAAAACTCTGCCCAATTTTCCCGTATAAAATCCCTGCTCCCCAATCGCATTTCTCATACCAACAAAATATTTCGCTATGAAGTTCTTGATTGCTATTCTCTTCACAATTTTCTCAATGGCGGCTGCTCACATCTGCAACGCCAATACCTGTAATTATCCATATAGATATTGCGGAGATGGTGAATGCAAATTCCTTGGTTTCTGTTTGTGAAGTAAAATAAAATTAAAATGAGCACATTTTCTTGCACGAAAAAACCTAATTTCTGACAATACAAAGTAAGATTCATTGAACAAATTTTAAAAAATCTCAACACTTCATTCCGATTCATCCACACGACATTTATCACCATCACAACAAGTGAAATATAGTTGAAAATATTAGGGTGTCCGGCTTTAGAATGAACAGGGAACATACATGAACTAGTCGCTCCGGGGACCCTTGAGTTAACCCCCCTTCCAGGCGAAATTTTTCAAAAAGTTAATCCCCCTTAACCAATTTTTTGTGGGTTTTTGGCCTCTAAAGGCATAAAATTTCCCAAAATTTTCAGAAGTTAAGGGCCCTACCTCTAAAAATTCACCAGAAGTTAACCCCCCTCCCTCCGAGTTCGTAGTCGCCAGTGAAGGGTTTCCGGGATTCCTAACAAGCTGTTCAACAAGGCAACCTACCTCCCTGGTGGGCCGAAGCCCGTTCAATCTACCACGGCCCAAAGATTCAATTCGATTTTAAACTAAACTAGAGTTTGCACCAAACACCCTCCCCAAAGCCTATTTTCAAGACAAATCCGAAAAGCCAACACAACTTGGTGAGTTGTGCTATCTATAACCACCTAATTTCACATTTTCGAGTGTCTTTACCCCCTCCCCCCTCCTTTAAAAACCCTTTTTCTTGCAGAATCGCGCAATTCGACACCCTTCCCGAAGAATCCGAACTTCCCACATCTTCTTCTTCTTCTACAATCACAGACACATCGCGTCCAAGTAATTTAGGAATGATGAATTATCGCGAACCAATGTCGGGAACGATTCGCGAAACACGTGGATCCGATTCGTCTTGAATTAGCATTAGAGCGCACTTGTACTATTTTTCTCTTTCTGTTTTAGTATATTCTTGTATTTAGATATATAGATTCTCTCTGCATGACCCTATTTTGTGATAAATACCCTTTCTATTCTAATCAAAACACCTTTTCTACTTATTTTGACATGGCCGTGGCCTAGAAAACCAAATATCTTCCATTTATTTTTTCTTTTCTTTTTTTCTTCTTTTTTCCTCTTTTTCCACTAGTCCTTTTGTAAATACCCTAAATCCACATATTTTAGTTGATTTTTCGACATATCTTGCCAAAAAGAGTCTAATAAATCGTTCGAAACCCTGATTTCTAGCGACATTTTAAGGGAAAATTGGTGAAAACTCCGAATATTTTATGATTTTTAACAGGAAAACAACAAATTTTGCAAAATTTAGAGAACTTTTCGGGCGAGAAGCACTTGGTGAACACGGTGCAAAGGCAAACCGACGACATTTGGCTGACAGCCCTCGATTGAGCGAACGAAAACGGCGCCGAATTCGCCGATACCGTAGGAGCCGGCTTTTTTACTGCAAAAATCCGGTTGCGTAGGTGGTTTTTGGGTGGGGAAGCTTAAAATTTGTCTGAAAATCTTGAAATTTCACGTTTCAAATCAAATTATTCCAAATTTCACGTCTTATCAGAATTCAAGATCTAATAATTTTCTAGTTTCGAAAAAATCTAGTCATTTCTAGATAGATACTTGATTTCTAACTAACTAAACCGAAACAAAAACTAATATTTAAAAAAAAAAGTGAGTTTGAGCCCAAATTCCTGGTTTTCGTTGTAAAATTGATGCCGGATCTGAAATTCTCACTAGAAATCCTGATTTTCCAGTAAAAATCATCAGGTTTTTGCGGAAAATCGCGATTTCTAGCGAGAAATTGAGATCCCGCGCAGGGGAACCTATCGTCAATTTTTTTTTGGATTTTCAGCCAGTTAGGCTGAAATTTTGTGATGAAAAACATGCCGGATCTAAAATTCTCACTAGATATCCTGAATTCCCAGTAAAAATCTCCAGATTTTTGCTGAAAATCGAGATTTCTAGTGAGAATTTCAGCTCCCGCGCATGGGGAACCTATCGTCAATTTTTTTTCGGATTTTCAGCCAGTTAGGCTGAAATTTTGATATAGAAAACATGCCGGATCTGAAATTCTCACTAGAAATATTGAATTTCCAGTAAAAATCCCAAGGTTTTTGCTGAAAATCGAGATTTCTAGTGATAATTTCAGATCCCGCGCATGGCGAACCTATCGTCAATTTTTTTCGGATTTTCAGCCAATTAGGCTGAAATTTTGATATAGAAAACATGCCGGATCTGAAATTCTCACTAGAAATATTGAATTTCCAGTAAAAATCCCGAGGTTTTTGCTGAAAATCGAGATTTCTAGCGAGAATTTCAGCTCCCGCGCAGGGGAACCTATCGCCAATTTTTTTCTGGATTTTCAGCCAGTTAGGCTGAAATTTTGATATAGAAAACATGCCGGATCTGAAATTCTCACTAGAAATCTTGAATTTCCAGTAAAAATCTCCAGGTTTTTGCTGAAAATCAAGATTTCCAGTGAGAAATTGAGATCCCGCGCATGGGGAACCTATCGTCAATTTTTTTTCGGATTTTCAGCCGGTTAGGCTGAAATTTTCACTAGAAATCCTGAATTACCATTGAAAATTGAGTATTTTCTTTGGGAAATTCCAGATTTCTAGTGAGAATGGAGAACCTATCGTCAATTTTTCAAAAAATCTCACAGTGGCTCTCCGGAATCCACATATTGCTGAATAACTCGATCCGGAATATCGCCAAAATGAACCACACTTTTCTCCGAGAACATCTCAATCGTTCCATGTTCTTCGAAATAGATCGCAACTCCCGTGTAAACATTATGGGTCTCGTTGCGAAGTCTGAAAATTTTTTTTAAATTAAGGAATTTTAAGACAAGTTCCCCTAACTCACCGTTTTAGAGTCTCAACCGCGTTTTGCGCATTTTCCGGCTTCCCAATAATTTCGCCATTAAATTCGATTATTGTGTCAGCGGCGATCACAAATGTGAACTTTTCCTTTAAATTTAAATTTAGGTTTGAAATTTGAAATTTGAAAATAAAAATAAATTTCAAACCTCTTTCTCCAACAACTCATCCACAACTTTCTTCAACTTCCAATAGGCGGTTTGAGTCACAAATTCTTGTGGTGAAAGAGTTTTTGGAAGATCCTCTTCGTAGTTTGACACGTGCACTTTGATGTTTTTCAAACCCTGCGAAAACTTTCTTGAAATTTTGTGATGTAAAAAATGCCGGATCTGAAATTCTCACTAAAAATCTTGAATTTCCAGTAAAAATCTCCTGGTTTTTGCTGAAAATCGAGATTTCTAGTGAGAATTTGAGATTCCGCGCAGGGGAACCTATCGTCAATTTTTTTTGCCAGTTGGGCTGAAATTTTGATATAGAAAACATGCCGGATCTAAAATTCTCACTAAAAACCTTGAATTTCCAGCACAAATCCCAAGGTTTTTGCTGAAAATCGAGATTTCTAGTGAAAATTCCAGCTCCCGCGCAGGGGAACCTATCGCCAATTTTTTTTTTGGATTTTCAGCCACATAGGCTGAAATTTTGATATGGAAAACATGCCGGATCTGAAATTCTCACTAGAATTCTTGAATTTCCAGCAAGAACCTAGGATTTTTGCTGAAAATCGAGATTTCTAGTGAGAATTTCAGCTCCCGCGCAGGGGAACCTATCGTCAATTTTTTTTTTCGGATTTTCAGCCTCTAGACCTAAATTTCAAGATTTTCAGCGCTCAACTCACAATTTGCTGCAACAATTTCAATCGATTCGGCGATTGACTGGCCAAAACACAAATGATTCCATCGTCGTTCATCTCAACACTTTCCGGAGCGGTTTCTCAAGCGGCAATGGCGAAACAAGTCGATTTGCGATTTCGATCCGCGTTGATTTTGAGCAAATTGTTCACGAAGAGTTGGGGACACCCGGAGACACTTAAAAAGTGAGTGAATTTTGGGAGGGGGTTGAAAATATGTTGAAAATTGAAAAATTCATCAAATTTTGGGTAGAAAATATGGGTTTTATGCTATTTTTCAAAGAAAACGCGGAAAATTTCATCAAATTTGATCAAAAATCCAAAAATTCACCGTAAACCCCTATTTTCGCTTGCAAAACACATAATAAACAAAAATTATCACTGGAGCGCACTTTCTCCACTCGCCCCTGAGTTTGGATTTTTGAGCGGAAATCTCCTCAAAACCCGAGCTATGACGTGGCAGAAATATCTAACACTGAATGATGAAATATTGCTCATGTTATATGTACATTTGCGCCTTGAAAAAATGCGTCAATCTTGTACGTTTGCGCGTTTGGTGAAGGAAAGGGATAGATTTATTCAAAGAAAACATGAGAAACATAGGAAAATTAACGGTACTGAGTTAGGCTATCTCAGCTTGAAATCAGAGAATGAGAGAATCAAGGAGCTCCATTAGGAGCTGCTCCGAATACAGGTTGAGCCGGAGCCGGAATATATAAATTCTGCTGCTCAAAATACGGTCTCATTTCCGGTGATGAAAGTAGATTTCCAATAGATGAATTGACGGTTTTCTTGATCTCATTGACCATAAAATCTTGCTGATTTGGAAGAATCACTTGAATTTTGTTGTTACCAAAAAGCAAGCTCCGAAAATATTCAGAAATCAGCGGAAGCTCGGGCAAAGTGCAACCATATTCTTGAAAAGGAATGATTTTTGTTTCGGCGAGTCGTCTTGATTGCAATGTTCTCGCCAGAAAATTGTAGTAGTTTGCCGAGGCTTTCACCTCGATTGCCATAGTTACAACCGATGTTTCTTTGATTCTCAATCTTTGGAAAATGTCAGATGTCTCGGTTAATTCATCGAAAACCAGGTTTCGAATAATTTCGCTTCCTGGAAACATCACAGATGGTGTTGAGATCGAAAGTTTGCTTCTTGGTGGATGTCGACCTAGAACTTGTTGTTCAACTTGTTCAGCAATCTCACGCCAATCTTCGAATCGTTTGATATAAGTCATGAATTGTGGGCATATTGAGCAGAGTTTGATCGCGTGTTTTTTGTCAGCTTCGTTGAGATCTACGATTTGAGCGTAGATTCGGACCTCGTCGTTCGGGATGTTCAGACGATTGTTGATTGCTTTCTGAAGGCCGGCAAATGATTGGAGTGTGGAAGGTTGGAAATATGCATTGTTGTGGAGGATTGGCTGGAATATGCATGTTCCGCATCCGCAACGGCCGGGCCTGCAAAATTCGGATTTTCCAGATTTTCAGAAAAAATCTGAAAATCAAGTTTGAGCTCATTTTGAAGCCCTTGAAATTCTCTACAAAACGAACCTGAATTTGAACTTTGAAAATCCGAGAAGTTCTGAAATTTTCCAACTTCAAATTCAGGTTCGTTTTGTAGAGAATTTCAAAGGCTTCAAAATGAGCTCAATTTTGGTTTTGTCTGAAAATCTGGATTTTTAGCCGAAATTTGAGATTTTCGAAATTCAAATTTAGGTTAGTTTCGTAGCCCTCGAAATTCTGTACAAAACGAATCTAAATTTGAATTTTGAAAATTTCAGATTTCGGCTGAAAATCCAGATTTTCAGAAAATTCAAACTAAGGTTCGTTTTGTAAAGAATTTGAGCTCAAACTTGCGGTTGGCTCAGAAAATCTAGAGTTCGAATAACTCACATTTCTCGAAATCCAGCACCATTGAATTGGTTTTGTTGTCTTGGCAATTGAATTGGAGCCGGAGCCATAGCTGGAGCTATAAGCTGAGTTGGAGCAACTTGTTGTGGACTGCAAAAAATTTGTTCATAAACTTCAGTAGAAGTTTCTGGAGTTATCCTATCTAAAGTTGGATTTAGCTTATGTAAACTCACACTTCATCCAATCTTGGTCTTTTTGGCAATCCTTGATTTTGTGGGCGAGCTTGAGCTGGAGCCGGAGCTTGAGCTGGAGCTGGAGCTTGAGCCGGAGCTGGGGCTTGAGCCGGAGCTAGAGCTTGAGCCGGAGCTAGAGCTTGAGCCGGAGCTTGAGCCGGAGCTTGAGCTTGAGCTTGAGCCGGAGCTTGAGCATGAGCTTGAGGGACCTTCGGTCAGCAGTATAGCCAACATCCTATCTCTTTCTTCTTGTGAAGCTTGTCGAGAAGACATTTTACCTGAAGGAAGAGATTTAGGAGATTTAAGAGCTTAGGGGAATTAAGAATTTAGAAGCTTCAAAGAGCTTAGGAGCTTTAAAGAGCTTCAAGAGCTTTTAAGTCATTAAAGCTTTTAAAGTTCTTTTAATTAAAAAGCTTAGGAGCTTAAAAGAAAGCTCTAGAAGCTCTTAAAGCTCTTAAAGTTCTTTTAATTAAAGAGCTTTAAAGTCATTAAAGAGCTTCAAGAGCTTTAAAGTCATTAAAGCTCTTAAAGTTCTTATGCTCTTTTAATTAAAAAGCTTAAGAGCTTTAAGAGCTTAGAAGGAAAAATTCTAAAAAACTCGAAGAAAAATAGGAAAAGTACACACATAGGCTAAATTAAGTAAAAAAACATGAGAAAAAAGGACAACTGATGATGAAGATGTAAGAATTAGAGAGGAAAAGTGTGAAACACATTTGTGTCCCTCACCAAAAATGGACCACCCACGAAGCTTTAGAGCTTGGCTAAGTTTCTAGGCTTAACCGAAGCCTAGATTTGTTATAAAACGGAAAAAGGACCACCCACGAACGGAAATCAATAAATAAAAAATTGATAGGAAAAGTTGCACTTTGAATTATCAGCAAAATAATCTGGGGTGCACTTTTCGAAGAGCAAAAATGTTATGAGCAGCCAAATTAGAAAGGGGAGCTCGTTTTGCGGCTCACTCGGCAGATTTATGGCTAGAGATGAGAAACGGGGGCGCAAAAATGAAATAGGTATTACTCTTGTTGTCTGATGTGATTTGGCGCATGTTTTGAGAGATCAGAAGATCAGGTTTGGGCCGGAGAGGAAGATGAAGGGGCTGGGGTCCGAACCGACATTTTTGAAGGCCTATAGGCTTTTAGACACGATTTTTAGGCTCCAGAAGGGTTTTTGAGGGTCCGGAAAAGTATAAGGTGCCTTTTAATAAGGTCCGTAACAGTGTACTTCTGATAACTTACAGTTTTCACCCTTTAGGCTAGATTTTAGACGCGATTTTTAGGCTTCATAAGGGTTTTCCTACAAAAATGCATTTTGAGGGTCCGGAAAAGTATAAGGTGCCTTTCCGAAACAGTGTACTTCTGCTAACTTACAATTTTCACCTTTTAGGGTAGATTTCCGACACTCTATAGGATTTTAAACGCTATTTTTAGGCTTCATAAGGTTTCAGAAGGTAATTCCAACAAAATTAGGAGTTTAAGTGGTCCGAAAAATTATACCCTATTTACCTTTGATAAGAAAAAAAACATTTTTGAATACAAAAATGATTTATGAGAAACTGATTAATAAGTAGAACATCAAAGCAATTAACAAAAAAATGGTTTTCTACCACAACAAAGCTGCAAACATCTTCGAGGTCAAAGGAGATGAGGTGATATGAATCTTATCGTGAATTTTCAAACTCCCAATCAATCTCTCGATTTCTTCTCTATCCGAATCACTTGTATTTGCCATTGGAACTAATGTGATCGTTGTATCAGCAACATTTCTCTTCCTCAAAAGTTCCACCAATTTCTCGAAGAATTTTGGATAGTTTTTCGATTCGATAACAATGTGTACTTCAAGATCCTCTCGAATTCGGATTCTCTCCAATGCTTCTGGTAGTTCCTCATCGTAATATGGCGCTGGATTCGATTTAAAGATGTTTCCGTCGTATAACGCCATTATGATTAGTTTGCGCTCTTCTCCTAGTTGGTCTTTAACCATTTTTCGGAATTTTTCAAGGGCACTCGACCATTTTTCGAATTTCTCCACGATGTTTAACATGGTTGGGCAGAATGCGAAGGCTTTCAAAGCTTGGATCTTGTCTGACTCATCTGCATCGATTCGTTGCGCGTAGAAGAGGAGATTTGGCAGGGTGAAATTTGCTTGTTGTTTTTTCGCGTTCAAAATCCCGGCGAGAATTGTGATTGATTTGATGGTGATTTTCTGATTGTCGACTGTATATGTGACTGAACATTGGGTTGAACATCCACACGCATCTGGTCTGGAAGTTCTAGGGATTTTTCAGGGGTTTGAGAAAAGTGGAACTTACACCATTTTTGCCCTCTTTGGAGCTTGCTCATTTTGCTGAGCTGATCTTTTCCTAGAATCCTTGACCACTTCTCCAACAATCTTGATCTCTTCATCTTCATCTTCTTCTTTTTCCTCTTCCGGAACTTTTGTCAACTCTTCTCGAAGTCTTCTCAATTCTTCCTGAAGTTCTAGAATCTGAAAATGGATAATACATTTTGACTTCTAGATTTTTGCTTGAAGCCTACCTGTCTATCCTTGTCATCTTCTGGAATTTCCGGGGGGTTTTGCTGGAAATCAGCCATTTTACCTGCAAAATTGAATGGAATAGAATTTGGAGTTAGGCTAACTAATTTTTGGCAACTCTAGAAATATCTATTTTTAATTATAGGTTAACAGCTTGCTCCAAGAGCCAGCTCACACGCTAAAATTGGAATCACATGATTTAGACTAACTATTTCAGTATACTTTTAATTATAGGTTATCAAATAGGTTTTTTGCTCAAAAAGTTGCTCACGAGGAGCTAATGAATCACATGATTTAGACTAACTCCAGCTGCTCACAAGCTACAAAACAAAATGAAAATACAAACCGACGACAACACAAAATGTGCTTCTTTTTGAGTAATAAATCAATCTCCGAAGCGAAAAAGTTGCGCACATTAATTAATTTCGCACCAAAAGATGACAGGTTTTGGCGCTCACTAATAAATCACATGTGTTGAACCAAGTTGCTAACGAGGAAAGAAAGAAATTTTGTGCCAAAAATCGTGACTGACTTCTCTACAGTAGTAGCTTTTGATGGGTTTCTAGACCCAAATTTTGTTTTGATCTTGATTTCCAACATTAAAAAAATTTGTTCCTTGTTGTCGCAATTCAAATCAAATCATAGATTTTTCCCACATAATTGATTTGATCATAAACTTTTCATAAAAAGAGCCTCCTGATTCTTGGAATTCAGAAAATGATGATTTTCGCGATTTTCCTCGCTGTCTTCTTGATTTCTCCATCAATCCAAGCCGATGATCCAAAACAACTTGCTCAACATTTCCTGGACAACTTTCTAAAGGCTGCCAAAACCAATGATACCAAATTATTCCTTTCATTATTGGATACCTCATTCGTTATTCATATTTGTGGAATCTCGCTGACTTATGATCAATTGAAGACTCACGATGTTACTGAAATTGATCCGGTTAAAAAAGGAGAGACTGTTGAACTTGTCAAAGCTGTCATTGAAAAAGAGATTCTTGATTTTGTCGCCAGAATTCATCATGGGAAAATGGAATTTGATATGGAGTTTCAGAGCAAGAAATTTGGAAATGATTGGAAATTGATTGAAATGCATGTTCTTGGAGGCACCTGTCCTAAACCTAAATAAGTTGTTCCTTTTTTTTTGGTGAAAAAATAAAGTATTGACCGCAATCTTCCGCGAAACGGCGGCTGAGGATAGACTTAAAAGGAAATTTTTTCAATTTTTCAAACACACATGTTTCTGTACAGTTTTTCACTCTAAGAAAGATCCCGTTTTCAGTTTTTGCTGAACGACTCTCTGAAGAGCCCAAAAATGAGCCAAAGTTGAGACTTTCCTGAATTTTTGAGAGCCCATAACTCATGTTAGAAAATATTTTATCAAAAACAGAGTACAGGGCGATGTTTAGGAGGGTTTACCTAACGTAAGTCAAAAGTTTTGAAAAAAATTTTTCTGAAAAAGTATACCAAAAATTTGTGACTTTGGTAAATTGACCTTCCTGAACAACGTGATGCATGAGTTATGGGCTCTCAGAACCATGAAATTTTGAAAACTCTACTTTTGGCTCATTTTTGGGCTCTTCAGAGAGTCGCTCAGCAAAAACTGAAAACAGGATGTTTCCCAGCGTGAAAAACTGTACAGGGGACTCATAACACACTTTCCTTGTTAGCTTCGAGCGGCCTGGTTTTAGCCTAAGCGGCCTGTTTTTAGCCTGATCCTAACCTCGAGCGCATTTTGAGCGAGTTTAGACCGCAATCTTTCAAAACTTTATTCTTCCAACCATTCAGATCTAACAAATTTTATAAAAATGTTATGTTTCTCCTCACAATTCTCTTCACCAAAACGAGATTTCGTCAAATTCCAAGAATTCCCGAATTTCTTGCCCAAAAACTCGATGTCGAATTCAATTCCACTATGAAGTTTGACGACGAAATTCACAACTCCATTCTCATTGTCAATCACCGCATTTTTGAGAGCAATTGATTGGTTATTTTCGAGTTGAATAATAGTTTGGGTGATATTTACAGTAGTTTTCATCAGAATATTCTCACAAGTTATTTCGAATCCGTCAACCAAAATTGAACTCAACAAATCGCTATCATTAGTTTTGACGATTTTCTCAAAAGTGTCGAGAAAATATTTGGCAACTTGATTTGCATCATCGACTTGTTGAATTGATGAAGAAATTGTCAAGAAGAAAAAAATCGAGAAAATCATTGATTTTTGGTGAATTTATTGAATATTTGTGTTTTATAACATTCAGATTTTGGAAGAAAATTGAATTAGCGATAATAATTTTTTGCAAAAACATGGAAAAATGTTATATTGAAGCCTGAAATTAACGTAAAAAATGAAATAGACTTAAAATATTATCCCAAAACTCTCAAGCCCCCATTTCCAGAATGGCAAAATATCGTCGAGAAGTAATGTCGCAGCGATTAGTTGTGAACTATGTTGAAGACCTCAAACCACCCATTGAATACGCCAAAAAAATCACCAAAAATGACGTCACATTCATCGATGGCTACTTCACAAGTCCACACGCTTTGCTGTTTCCTGAATCCATGCCTGGACCTGTGGGAAGAGCGCATTTTAGAGCGTTTTTACCGGAAAAGAAGATGGGACCGATTTGTATTCATTTGGCTGGTACGGGAGATCATAGCTATTTTAGGTGAGTTACGAAACTTATTCTTGATTCCATTTTTGGAGCCCCGGAGCTCAAATATGTCTTAAACGATGTAAAATTTGAATACTCTATGGAGCCATCATATAGTGTATCTGAAAATCTGAAAGTTCTACCTGTAAAGCCAAATTTTGTTCATAACAGTTCTAAACGATATCAAAATATCAAAATCATTTATGAAATTCCTAAAAATCGTAAAATAAATCAATCAATAGGCATTCCACGTGTCGTAGATGCTAAAACTCCAACTCTTGATTTCCTCCGAAACACTTCTCTCAATCTTTGAAAATTAGCAATAGTATAAGTGAACGGCATAATAAAAATGATGTCAGATTTATAATAACAAATCAATGCTCCTTTGATTTCACGATATTTATCTGGTATAAAAAATATAATAATTGTTCGAACTATTGAAAATACGAAACATGGCACATTTTGCCGGATAATAACCATTTCGGCATTCCTTTTTGTTTCGGAAAAAATCATTGCGTTTTTTCGGATAAAATAGATGATAATAATATGAAAAAATAATGAGATGAATGGAATTGAAAAATCAAAATATGCGAATATTTTAAGAGAAATATGAGGTTTTCTACCTTCTTCGCACACTGAAAATCCTTCAAAAATCAACAAATGACGACAATTATTGACGTTTCCTATAAATGTGCACGTTGTGACATAGATAAAGTTTTTTGTAGTTGTAACAAAATACACTAGAAAGATCAGAAATTGAAGGGGTTTGCCCTCAACCAAGTTTTGTAGTTTGGAAATATTGAGCATAACTATGCTTTGCCTTTGAAGTGCAATTAGAAATATGAATAACATGCCGATGTCTTCGACGATTGGTTTTAGTAAAGCAATTACGAATGAGCTGAAAATGAACTGATGATTTTGTCTGAATTTGAAATAACGGCTCTATCGCAATATATGGGTCCCATGGAAATATATGGGTCCGTAAAAACATATAAGGGTCCCTCAGAAATTTAAAGGTCCGTTTTTTTTGAGGGTCCATTAAAAAAAAAGTATTTTTTCTAATTTCAATTATTCATTTTTGGTGATTTTTTGTAATTTTTTCACATTTTTTTAGCCAGTCAGTATTTTTCTAGGGGGTTTACTAAGCCTAAGCCTAAAAAAATAATAGAGAAATTTTTTTCGGCTTTTCAGCTTCATAATTAGGCTTAGGCTTAGTAAACGCCCCGAAAATACAAAGAATCGTCAAAAAATCAAGAAAAATACAACAAAACAATTGAAAATTAAAAAAAAAACATATTTTTTCCTCCAAAAATCAAAAAAAAATCAGACCTATGAAAAAAAATCACGGAGCCTTAAAAAAATTCACGGACCCTTATATTTCTGAGGGACCCTTATATGTTTTTACGGACCCCTGTATTTTTTACGGACCCATATATTTCCATGGGACCCATATATTGCGATAGAGCCGAAATAACTGACATTCCCACACCAACTGCAAAAAAGTATGTGAAGCTATGAGATTCGAGATACAATTTCAATGTTAGCATTACAAGACTGAAAGATACAAAATCAAAAATAACCGAATAGAAACAATGTTTTTGTAATGGATAAATGATAGTTTCTTTTTCGTCGCCTGGTGAAGTGTAGAAAAGTATTGAATAAGGAATAATGAATAAAATACTTATTATCTTTGGATAAGTTACAAGGTTATCTATTAGGTCTGGATCAATTGTTGAATTCATTGAGGAACTAGGATGTAGAATGAGTTAGGTTATGTCAAGGTATAATCACGAGTTGTAGAGAGTTGCTATTTAATTATAGGCTATGCATTTTGGTTTTTTGGAAAAGCCCTTAATTTTAATGATATTAGATCTTCTGAACTATGGTTTAATATCAAAATCACCTGTAAGATTGTTCTAAAACCTTGTAATTCTATAGAAACATACGAAAATTTGGTTTTTCACTATGTACTCTTTTTATAATTGAGCCCCGAAGTTGATCTTGCTTCTAATCGATATAAAAACATCAAAGCTATCGTTCCACACCAATATCTATCTGAAAATCTGAAATTCCAGTCTGGAAAATCTGAAATTCTATAGAAACGTACGAAAATTGGGTTTTTCACTATGTACTCTTGGTATAGTTGAGCCCCGAAGTTGGTCTTGCTTCTAATCGATGTAAAAACCTCAAAGCTATCGTTTGATACCCTAATCTTGACTATAAAATCTGAAATACCAGCTCTGAAAAATCTGAAATTCTATAGAAACGTACGAAAATTAGGTTTTTCACTATGTACTCTTGATATAGTTGAGCCCCGAAGTTGATCTTGGTCTTAAACGATGTAAAAAACTTGAAGGCTATCGTTTCACACTAATATCTAGCTGAAAATCTGAAATTCCAGATCTGGAAAATCTGAAATTGTTTCAGACGCGAATGGCTTCTGGTTGAGGATATGTTGAAAGATGGAATCGGCTCGATAATCATACAAAATCCATTTTACGGTGATCGAAAACCACCACAGCAGTTCAGGTGAGCCTGAAATTAGATGTTCAGCCTGAAAATCTTAAAAAAAATTCCAGATCCTCCCTTGAGAACGTCTCCGATCTCTTCGTGATGGGCGCCGCCATCATCGCCGAAACCAACTATCTGTTCTCGTGGGCCGCCGGCCTCGGCTACGGCCCATTCGCAATATCCGGAGTATCAATGGGCGGTTTTATGGCCCAATTATCGGGCTCGAATGCACATCGGCCTACTGTAATTGTGCCGATTCTGTCGTGGACCACTTCGTCGCCGAGTTATACTGATGGAGCTATTGCGCCGGCTATTCAGTGGCAGAATTTACAGGTGGGTGGCCTGAAAAGCCTGAAAGTAGGCCTAAAGAGAGTAGGCCCTTTAGAGTTAATATAAGGATCCATAGGGTTACCTTAAGCTCTTGTTTTAGACCTCTTTTAGGCCCGTTTCTAGGCCTAGTTCCCAGATTTCAGGCTCAACTGGAAGATCAGCATTATTTGGACAAAATCAAGCAAATTCCCGATGTTGATTGGTTGGATAGAATGGTAAGGGTGTTTTTCGGGCCCATAAATGGATTTAGGCCTGAAATTTGACCAAAAAACCGATTTTCAGCACGAAATGACAAGTGAAAATGGCGATTTGCCAGCTCGAAACATGATGCGAATATTGATGGACTATTTTGTGAGCCTTGAAAATTACCCCGTACCAATTGCTCCAAATTTGGCTCATATTTTTTTGGCCGACCAAGATATGTATGTGTTGAGAAATGGTGGCACCAAAAGTTATCAGGTTTGTACTTAGCTCTTTTTCCCCCCGTCATAATTTCAAAAATTCAAATTTTTCCCCAGGAAGTTTGGCCTGGTTGTCATGTGGAAATGATGGAAAACGTGGGACACGTCACCGCATATTTGACCAAACATCAAGTTTGGCGCCGGAAAATTGGACAACTTTTGAGGGAACTGTAGCCTATGTGCCTTTAAATATTACTTGTGATAGAAAATGAATAGTTTTTTGAATTGTTTTGTTCCCGCCGAAAATTTCAGATTTCCATTTTCAACTTTGAAAAAAATCGATAATTTTTCTTAAAAAATAGAAAAAATTGCGCATCGCGACGAGACCCAACTCTTGTTTGCAATGTTCCTTTGAACGAAACCACCGTAATCTTTTCGAAAATTCTTTTTTTTGCACTGAAAACCTTGTTTTTCACCGTTTTTCTTGCGAAATCAAGGGATTTCGCGATTTTTGGGCGAAATAGAAGCTTGAGGTTAGATTTTCTTGGTTTGAAGATGGAAAATTCAGCGAAATCAAGGGATTTTGCAATTTTTGAGGAACAATTGCATTGGATTTTTGTTAATTTTGTCAGATTTTCTTGAAGAATATGAGTTTGATTGCTATTTTTGTTTCCATGATTCAAGGGTTCAAAGATTCCCTATTTATTTCTTGCAGTTTTCTCTCCCAACAAAAATAAAATTCAATTTTACGTGCTCAAAATGACGTGGTCTTCACTAACACATTCATTTTCAAAATTATTGATTTTTCGCAGCTTCATTGCAAGCATGTTGATTTCTGATTTTTTGTCTAAAAATACAAAATATTCTCTCTCAATAACATATTTATTGAAACAAGTTGAAATAACGAGTTGAAACGAGTTTGTGGATTGGAGATGTTGCGCCGAGTGTTCGCTTCAATATTTGAGTTCAGCAGGCTTTTCACAATAAACATGTTGACCTGGATCTGAAAAATATCACAATAGGAAATTCGCTCACAGAGCTAAGTTGGCCTGATTGAAACATTTTAAAACTCACGCGTATTCTCATGGACTAATTTGAAAGTATGTTCCTTCTGATATTACCGCACGTCTTCCATCACTTGTTGATTCCATGCTTTGACACTGAAAATCGGTAATACAATATAAATAATATAATTAGTGGAAATAAATAAATGTTTAAACACAGTTTCAAAGTTCATTAGACCTTTTTGTAACAAATGTATTAATTCGGTCCAGGCCTGGTCGGAATCGGCACGCCGATTTGCCGAAATGCCGAGTTTCGCTGACGTCATTTTGTAAATCAAAATCTTACCCCGCTTCGATGGGCGCATTGAGTCCAACCACCATAACAATTCCTTTTGTGCATTGTCTCATACTCTTCTTCAGTCTCCCATCTTGCCAACCCCATCCCTTACTACGACAATAAGCTTCGGATTCAGAATATGATCTTACCTAAAATCAAAATATAAACAATGATAAATATTTCTGTTTTTTTAGAGATGATTACTCACTTGGTGATTAACCATGAGACAAACGGAACCAGTTTGACGCTCATGCTGAGTCCACCATTCACTTCCTGAACAAACTGGAACAGGATTCGCTTTATGAATATCCTTGTCATAGTGCAATCCGCAAAGCATTGGAGAATGAAGAGCATTTTTGATCGCTTCGAAAGTATATTTGTCAGTTTTTTCTGGATAATAGACGAATGAATAATTAGATGGTGTTAGTTTTCGCATCCAATTCGCATTATAGTCTTTTTCCAAGACATTCGCTTGATTTGGACAAGATTTTCCTTTCTGAAATCAAAGGGATATATTCAAGAAGAATTCAAAGTGAAATAATTATTTCAGCAGCAGCATCAATAAACTCACCACTTCCTTACTCGCAAAATAAATACGACGCTCAACATTTTCGCCCAAAGGATATTCACAATAAGCAAATGGTCCGAATGCGTAATTGAATGATTTTTTGACGTCATCATTCAACAATTTGGTATTTTCCGGTTTCAAATTAAGCAAGGTTCCATCACTGGTTCCAAGGATTGCTTTCATCGAAGCTTCGCAAACATCTTGATGGGAGTTTGGATAACCACGGATATTTCTAAAAATAAAATATATTATTTGTATTTCAAATCTCCAGAAATAACATACTTTGGTGTATAATGCGAAGCAGTTCTCCATACACCCATTGCACCAACCAATTGTGTCGGATGATAAAATTCTGCAAGTTTTCTGGCTTTCGCCCCAAAACTGAGAATTGTTTCACGTGGTTGGTACATACACATTGCAAATGCTTTGTGTGATTTATCCAATTTGATGATTGAATTCGGTCCAACATCATAATGAATACCATAGTCAAAAAGAACAACATAATTCTCGCCTTGACCTTCTTCGGTTTCATTCGAGGTTGATTTGATGATGGAATTAGCAAATCCAAGCGACTCTGGTCCAACAAACTGGGATGATAATTCGAGAGTTTCATCGGGTTGCACAAAATACATTTTCAAATCAGCAGGATAATAAGCTGAAAACGAAATTTTCATGAAATGTATATTTTTTTTGTAGGTTTTTTTCACAACAACAAGTGAAAGACTCAGGACTTGAGATTAACCCGAATCAACGTTTCTTAACCTGCCAGAAAATTACGTACCTTCAAGCAATTCTCCATGATGTTTCGATTGAATCTTCAAAATCTCGGCGTTCTCGTCTTTGCACTTCTTTTCGGCTTCCTCGTAGGTGTAGAGTTGAAAGAATTGGCGATAGCAGAGTCCGCGAATTTGTTGAAAATTGCGGCTGCATTCGTAGACATTTTCATAGGTGCAATGGACACGATCATCATTATCACGACCCCAATCAATCAATACGAATATTCCCCATCTTTCACAATACAATCGAGCTTCATCCTGCAAAAAAACAGATTTTTCTCCAGCCAGGCCTCTCCTTAACATACCTTATCTCTCGCATAAACTTTCAAATCCACTTTGCATTTATCACCAACTGGATTTGCCACCACTTTTCCATCCTTATCTTTTTCAATCGTTTGTGTTTGAAATTGACCGCCTGATCTTAGACAGTAGTTTTGGAAGCTCGGATCACTGATTCGTTGATGTGAGCATTTTATGAAAACCAATAAAATGAGCAATAGGATTTTGATAGAGAACTGCATTAGATACCAGTGTTCAATGGCTTAGACTGACTGTGCGAGGGTTTTTATAGCACATTACGCCACGTTGAATTGGTTTGAGAGGTCGGTACACGTTTCGGTCACCCTGGGGACACGCTGGGGCCGTTTAGAACACGTAGCGTGTTTTTACAGAGCACGTTTTTGAAATAAATTGTATTTTTTCGTGTTTCATTTTCGAAAATGATTATTCATGAAGTATTCTCCTACACAATTCTCTCTCAAATTTTTATTGGAAAAAAAAGTGGGGGAATTGCTCGATGATTGGAAGAAGGTTGAGAGAGATTGGTAGACGATTCGATGGTTGCTTCATAGTTCTTCAATCGGAACAGGATTCGTCTCACAAAATACATGAATATCACCAGCTGAAAACATCACTTTTTTAGATCGCACAAATTGTTGTTTTGGGTTCACTCACTTACTCTCTTTAGAGAGAGAGAGAACCGGGAGAACAGGAACTTTTATTATCTTAAATGTATTCACTTACCATTAGGGTAATCTGTTATTAAGTTCCCCCATTGTACAATTCCGCGCCTTCCATAGGAATCTGATTGTTCGGAAGAACACTGAAAAATAAAAAAATTTTAACTTTCTAGGTGTCTTAAAAACTTAAAAATATGCATAAATTCCTGTTTTTGGCCGCACAATTCATTTGTAATTTGAAAAATGTCTTACCCCATTTAGATAGATGCACGCAGTCCAACCACCGGAACAAGTATTACCAAATTTCTTAAACTCTGTACTGCTCGACCATGTTGCCAACTTCCCTCCGAGTGAACGACAGTAGTCACGAGCTTCATCATATGTCCTTGGCGGCTAAAATCAAAATGAACAATATAATAGATATTTCTGTTTGAGAAATGATTAAATACTCACGCTATGAACATTGAGATGACAGGAAAGTTCAGATGGACGCTGATAAGTAGACCATCCGCTAGGACAACTAACTGCCTTGAGAGGATTCGCTTTATGAAGATCTCTGTCATAATGCAATCCGCAAAGCATTGGAGAATGGAGAGCAATTTGGATCGCTTCGATACTTTTTCCATTGTGAGTGTTTTCGGGATAATAGACAAATGAATATTCAAATGGTCGCAGTTTTCGCATGAAATCCGCATTATAGTCTTTTTCCAAGATATTCGCCTGATTCGAACAAGATTTTCCTTTCCGAAATTAAATTCGTTCGTTTGACAAGGAGGTTATCATCAAACTTACCACTTCCTTACTTGCGAAATAGATTTCATGTCTCAGAATGTAATCATAAGTATGTTCGCAATAAGCAAATGGTCCAAATGCGCGATTGAATGATTTTTTGACGTCATCATTCAACAATTTGGTATTTTCCGGTTTCAAATTCAGCAAGGTTCCATCACTGGTTCCAAGAATTGCTTTCATTGAAGCTTCGCAAACATCTTGATGGGAGTTTGGATAACCAGGGATATTTCTGAAAAGGAAATGATTTTAATTGAAATTCAAATATCCAGAAATAACATACTTTGGTGTGTAATGCGAAGCACTTCTCCATACACCCATTGCACCAACCAATTGTGTCGGATGATAAAATTCGGCAAGTTTTCTGGCTTTCACCCCAAAACTGAGAATTGTTTCCGGTGGTTGGTACATACACATTGCAAATGCTTTTTTCGATTTGTCCAATTTGATGATTGAATTTGGTCCAACATCATAATGAATACCGTAATTATAAAGAAGAACATAATTCTTGTTTTGATCATCGGCTTCATCCGAGGCGACAAACTGGGAGGATAACTCGAGAGTTTTATCGGGTTGCACAAAATACATTGTTAAATCACCAGGATAATAAGTCTCAAGCAAAACTCCATGATGTTTCGATTGAATCTTCAAAATCTCAGCGCCCGCATGCGAATCTTTGCAAGTCTTCTCAGCTTCCTCGTAGGTGTTCAAGTCATAGAAGTGTTGATAGCACAATCCACGAATTTGTTCGAAATTGTTCTCGCATTCGTAGACATTTTCATAGGTGCAATGGACACGATCATCATTATCACGACCCCAATCAATCAATACGAATATTCCCCATCTTTCACAATACAACTGAGCTTCATCCTGAAAATAATCCAGATTTTTCTCTAGCCAGACCTCTCTCTAACATACCTTATCTTTCGCATAAAAATTCAAATCCACTTTGCATTTATCACCAACCGGTTTCTTCACCACATTTCCATCCTTATCTTTTTCAATCGTTTGTGTTTGAAATTGCCCTCCGAATCTGATACAGTAGTTTTGGAAGCTCGGATCACTGATTCGTTGATGTGAGCATTTTATGAAAACCAATAGAAATATGAGTAGGTTTTTGCTAAAAATCTGCATGATTCAATGAGAAACTGACTTATTGCGCAGGCTTTTTATGCGAGTTTTTGCCACGTCATTTGGGACAAACTAGAGTGTAGTTTTTGTTAGAACACGTGTGTTTTCAAAATTCAAAAATCTTCATTTCTCCCCATTTTTCGGTTTTCTTCTTCTTCTTCCTCGATAGAGCGCATTTTCATCCTCGGGATTTTTGCAAAAATCCCATTTTCCCGATTTTTTCGACTTGCAAATATTCTGTGTGATTTTGGGCTCTTTCACCGGCTCCAAAATCGATTCGCAATTTTGAAAACAGCTCTCAAAAATCACCAATTTCTCGTTTTTCTGCACAAAACAACCGGGTCCATTTTGGAAGACTTTTTCGAATTCTGTTTCGAAATCCAGCGAATTTTCAGGAGATGTTTCAGATCTTGTTTGATTCCACAGTTTCTGAAAATGTAGGGATTTACAGTAATTTAAAGGGACACTACAGTACTTTAAAGGGGCATACGTCCCTTTAAGAAACCACAGTAATCTAAAGGGACATGGCCCTTTAGATTACTGAGGATCATACAGTACCCTATATCTACAGTATTTTAAAGGGACATACACTCGCTTCGCTCGAACCGCTTGCGCGGAATTTTGATCTACACTCGCGCCACGGGCGCTCGGGGTACTGTAGACCTCTTCAATGAAGATACAGTACACCGAGCGCCCGTGGCGCGAGTGTAGATCAAAATTCCGCGTAAGCGGTTCGAGCGGAGCGAGTGCATGTCCCTTTAAAGTACTGTAGTTTCTCATGGGACCGTGTTTTATCCTATCTTAAAGGATCATACAGTACTTTAAAGGGACATACACTCGATTCGCTCGAACCGCTTTCGCATAATTTTGATCTACACTCGCGCCACGAGGTACTGTATGTTCCTTGAAGTGGTCTATAGTATCCCGAGCGCCTTCAGCGCGAGTGTAGATCAAAATTCCGCGAAAGCGGTTCGAGCGAAGCGAATGTATGCCCCTTTAAAGTACTGTAGCTTCTACAGTACCTGCATTTTCGCATGCGTCGAATTCGACTTCTTCCTGAAATTCATGCAAAAATTCTCGGTATTCAAAAATACGCGATTTTCCACAAAATAATTCTGCGGATCTCCGTCGAACAGCAAAAATCGATAAATTTCGTCGGTTTTGTTGTTCAAAATGAGGGCGGCCGATTTTGTCCAAGGCAGACAGGTTTCGAGGAATTTTGAGGTTTTTTTGGCGCCAAAATATGAGCTGTCTGTTTTTTTCCAGCATCTGAAAGAATTGCTCATATTATAGTCCTATTTGGTATCTCTAAGCTTCAAATTCCATCAAGACTTCAAAAAAAAATAGTATTGCTCATGTTATACTCTTTCTCCCATACAAAAAACCCACAATTTCGTATCATCCTGACACGCCGAAAAGCATTGTCTCCAAAAAGTGCAATCAGCCGCAGTTATCTCATCTTCCTGAATCGCTACACGGCGTTTTGTCACTTCGCTTTGCTCAATTCGAATTATCGGAGTTTTTTCGCGAATTTCCGGAGTGCACAATTCCCAGAGAGTTCTGCAAAATTGGAAATTTTCAGATTTTCAGCCCAGAATTTTCAGCCAAAATTTCATTTTTCCAACCTTCTGCCCGAATCCCTGATGAATTCTTGAGCTTTTCCATCCAGAACCGCAATCCAGGGTCCGAAATTTTCGGCAATTTTTCCCGAATTCACACAAGTTTTGGTTTGATATCGAAAAACCGGGAAATCCGAGAGCCGTCGGTTTTCGAATTGAAGTTGGACATTTTTGAAACTTCCCACGAGTTCCGGTAAATCCATTATATCTGTGAGGTCTGGAAATGCAAATTTTGGAACTTTAGGGGCTTTTTGAGAACCTTAGGAGCATTTTTGAGGCTTTTTGAGCTTTTTATATGCATTAGAAGCTTTTTGAGAACCTTAGGAGTATTTTAAGGCTTTAGGGGCATTTCTGAGGCTTTGGGAGCTTTTTATATGCATTAGAGGCTTTTTGAGAACCTTAGGGGCATTTTAAAGGCTTTGGGAGCTTTTTATAGGCATAAATAGCGCTTTTGAGAACCCTTAGGAGCATTTTAAAGGCTTTGAAAGCATTTTTAAGGCTTTGGAAGCTTTATATATGCATTAGAGGGTTTTTAAGAACCTTAAGAGCATTTTAAAGGGTTTAGGGGCATTTTTGAGGCTTTGGGAGCTTTATATATGCATCAGAGGGTTTTTAAGAACCTTAAGAGTATTTTAAAGGGTTTAAGAGCTTTTGAAAACCTTGGGAGCATTTAAAATGGCTTTAGAAGTTTTTAAAGCCCTTAGGAGGTTTTTAAAGGCTTCAGAAGCTCCTTAACAGCTTTAGAAGCTTTTTAAATACTCTAAGGACCTCTATTTTTTCCATTTCTTCTAAATTCCCCAAAAAACTCACCAAAATCCCCCATTTTATAGGGAAATCCCCACTTATTCAAGCAAATGAAAATTCCTTCGAAAAGTTTCGGGCTGCACGGTTGAAAACACGGTGTTTTCTGAAAATTTGGGTTTTTCATAAGGTTCCTAAGGTTTTTATTAAGGCGCAAACCTCTAGGGCTCCGCCATTCCTCGTCCAACACCACGGACCCAGCTCCCAATCATCCGGGTTTCGGCAGAAATTCTCGTATTCGTCCAGGAGAAATCGACGCATACTGTAGGAGCTGAAGCTTTTCGTCGGCTTCACATTTTGCTGGATGCTTGAGGTGTTCCAGAATTCGCAAGGTTTTTGGCTGAAAATCGGGATTTTCTGTGAAACAATGAAAAAAATGGAGAAAAAATTCAAATTTTGAATGCGCGGGTTTGGGTCTCGCAGCGATGCGCCGCGTCAACGCGGAGCCTTGTTGTTTTATTTTTATTTTTTCGTTTTTTTTTTGGGAAAAAAACGTTTTTTACTCTCTCAAACGCAACATTCCGCCTCCTGCGTCATAGTAAACCACGTGGCCGCTGGAGCGGAAGATGGCGCCGCTACGCGGAATCATCCGATCGCCGCGTCAACGCGGATTCTTGTTGTTTTATTTTAAATTTTTTCGTTTTTTTCGCGAAAAAAATGTGTTTTACTCACTCAAACGCCACATTCCGCCTTCCGCGATACCAATTCATTTCGCCCTTCGCACAGAGAAATCGAGGATCTGCGAAACTTCGCGAAGTCGATCCCAATTTCAAACTTCCGTCGTGTTGTTTTCGATAACAGAAAACATTTCCCATTTCGTCTCGATAGTATTTTTCGTTGTCTTTGAGAATTGTTGTTGGAGAAACCACACAATCCTCGATTAATGATAGTTTTTGAAATTGTTGTTGGAATTTTGAAATGCCAACGATTAGTGTTGGAAGAAAAACTAGAATTTCTAAGAAATTCTTCATTTTTGGCCGAAAAAATAATAAGAAATGCCGTTTTTTCTGTTTTTTGTGGTTTTTCACGTGAGTTTTCCACGCGGGAATATTTATTATTTCAAATTTTTGTGTTTTAATTTTTGATCCCTTTGAAAATGCTATTACACTGCACTGCATATCACTTTACTACATAAATACATAATATTATTTACTCGTCTAGTTTTCCCTGATTTTATTTTTCATTTTCCAAGATTTCCTGCACCTCCTTTTGAAAATCACCTACTAGAACAGATGTTTTTGGGGGGCAGGCAACAGATGTGAACTGTATTTGTGGCGAGAGAGTGTGGAGATCTGCAGAGACGCAGACAAGCTTTTCGCACACACATGGGGAGATCGTAATCCGTCTCTTTTCCCCTAATAAGGTGAAAAAATCCCATTTGGTTTTGTTTTGGTGAAGACCGACAAGATAATGGGATTTACGGGGTTTTTCTTTAGATATCGGTGTAGTTCTCTTGATGGATGACGTGGCAGAAAATCGGTGTGTAGTTCTTTTGGGCTAAATATCTCATTGTACTTCTCTCGGACAAGATGTTTTTGTATTAGAACGAAAGCAAGATTTTCAGTTATGCGAGCCAAAAAATCCGTGTACTTCTCTCGGACAAGTTTTGCGATTCTTTGAGCTGAAAGTCCACATGTTTTCGTGATTTTTGGCGCGTCCGAAAAAGCCGTGTACTTCTCTCGGACAAGTTTGTTCCGCTTTTCGAGCACAAAATTCCGTGTAGTTCTCTCGGACAAAAGTTTTCGATTTTTGAGCTTGAAAATCCACGTGGTTTTGGTGAGGTGGCGTCCGAAAAATCCGTGTACTTCTCTCGGACAAGTTTGTTCGGCTTTTCAAGCCCAAAATTCCGTGTACTTCTCTCGGACAAGTTTTGCGATTATTTGAGCTTGAAAATCCACATGTTTTCGTGATTTTTGGTATTTGTAAACCTTTTGTAGTTCTCTCGGACAAGATTTGTCCAAAGTCCATGTGGTTTTGGTGATTTTTGGCGCGTACGAAGCCGTGTACTTCTCTCGGACAATACATATATTTTTCAAATTGACTCATCAAACCTGATCTGCGTCTCTCCTATCTCTCTCTCTCTCTCTCTCACTCTTCGCTATTCAAAAGTTACACCAACTCGTTTCGCGGTTCTCACCAATTATTTTCCAATCAAAACTTTTTTGTGGCTATTCTATTTGCATCATTTATATTTCAAATTCGCCGCCGCCGCCAAAACTTTTTTTTTTGTCAAACAAAGATTGTTGGGAAGCGATAAAAATGGCGCATCGGTTCATTTGATTTTGATTCAATTATCTATCTGTCAAGACGAAGGCAAATTTCAAATGAGACGTTTTGGCGCCAAAAAATCTTGTTGAAAAATGAGTTATGACGTGGCAAAATTTGAAAATTTTGCCACGTCATAACTCACATTAGAAGTTGAGATTCGCTTGTCCAAAACATACATTTATTTATCTAATTTAAAAATCTCGTTTCCCAAAATGTGACATTTTTCAAGTGCTCTTCTCTTGTCAAAAAAGTGTACTATACTAAAATATTCACATTAGTTTCCCATACTGATAACAAGGTGGTTTTTCTCTGCGTCTCTAGAGCTCTAGAGCTCTCACCCTGTTTATTTTGGGTAATTTGATACACTCTTTGAAGTTTAAGTTGCAGAAACTCTAAGCTTGCGCAATTCTGCTCAATATCCCCCTTGACACTGTTCTCTTTCCGGCTCCTTGAGCTCCCAAAAAAAGTTCATAAATTTCGCGAAAAAAAGATATATGGATCAATAATCCTCCCCATTCCTTCTTTTTTTCGGCTTTTTTGTCCATCGGGTAAAAGATAAATGTACTCTTTTTTTTGAGCCGCCGTCATTGCAGAACAAAAAAAAGGAAGGCACATGTCGTTTTTTTTTCGTCCACGCATTTTACGATGCATTTTAGGGTTTACCGGTTTTTTTGTGATTTCGAGAGACGCAGAGATTTTAGGGTCGGTTATCAAAGAGAAGCTTGAAATTATGTAAATTTGTGAGAATTTTGTAGACCAAAAATATCCGTGTACTTCTCTCGGACAAGAATATTGCTTTCTATAGAGCCTATAGGCTTTTTCTCCGATTTTTACCTAAAAAAACATCCGTGTACTTCTCTCGGACTACAATTTGCTGTACTAGACCAAATCCTTCTCCGTTTCCAGTCGAAAAATATCCGTGTACTTCTCTCGGACAGAAATATTGTTTTCTACAGAGCCTATAGGCTTTTTCTTCAAAAATTCCCGGCCAAAAACCAGAAACCTATGTGACTCATAGCAATTTCCATTCGGCTCCTAATTAAAATTCAATTTCCCGCCCATCTCCTTCGAAAAATTTCGCAACACCCATTTTTTTCCTTCCCAAAATATTCTAGCTCAAAAAATTCCTCTCTCACTAATCCGCCAAAAAACAACCAAAAACCCCACACCATTTTGTTATTGTGGTGTTTTCTTTTCCTAGATAAATAGCCAGCCAAAAAATGTCTGCGTCTCTCACCCTCTCGCCCCCCACATATTTTCTCTGCGTCTCTCACCCGCTCTCTTGGTGAGTGCCGCTCACAATTAAAAAGATATGGGCGTGGTGTGGTGTATGTGTATGTGGTGTATTTTTTTTTGTTTTTGGTGAAGGCGGCTTTTTTTTCGGGGCGTTTTGGTGACTAATTTTTCATTTTTTGTTGTTTCACTCTGATTCATTTAATCATTTATTTTGAGTTTAGGTACTATTTTGACACGGTGTTTGGAGAATATTGTTGAGCATCATTTGGGTGTAGAGGTAGTAGTCGAAGTAGAGAGGAATGGGTTTTGGTAGATTTGATGGCGGTGCTGGAGGAGGAGGCAGCACGGTGTTTTGAGGCTGAAAATGCTCATTTTTAGGCTGAAAATGCTCATTTTTAGGCTGAAAATGGTATTTTTGGACTGAAAATGCTATTTTCACACTAGAAATGGTGTTTTGAGGCTGAAAATGCTCATTTTAGACTAGAAAGAGGGTTTTGAGGCTGGAAATGGTATTTTTGGGCTAGAAAAGCTAATTGGAAGCTGAAAATGATATTATTAGACTAGAAAGAGTATTTTTATGCTGAAAATGTGCTTAAAGGGTTGGTCCTCCGCCAAGGAATCTTGCTTGGTTTAGATAAGAATAAGGTGCTCCTGGAAGGTTCCAGTTTTAGAAAAAATTCTAGTATCAATTCAGCCCATGTTTTTCCTCAAAAACACAAGCGAATTAAAACCTACGAAATAAAGCATGTAAATGCGCTCTAGCGCACAACTTGTTTTTGAATTTTTGTGTGTGTGTTTGCACACAACTTTGAAAATAACACGGTGACGCCTTTTTGCAGACGATTTTTTCACCAGGAAAGCACCAACCTTTTAAAATGCTATTTTCAAGCTTCCTGGGCTATCTTTATGCTCAAAAGCCTAGTTTTTGACTGAAAATTCACATTTTAGGCTTAAACGCCGAAAATAATACTGAAAACCCTGGTTTTTAGACTGAAAATGCTTTTCTAGCGCTGTTTTTAGGCCTAAACCCCTATCTGCAGACTGAAAATATCATTTTCACGCTGAAAACTGAGTTATATGCTGAAATGCCTTAGTTTTTTGGCTGAAAAGACTGTTTTTTGGCTAGAGAAGCTACTTGTAAGCTGAAAACCCGGTTTTAATACTGAAAAGCCTATCTTCATCCCAAAAAGCCTGTTTTCAGGCTGAAATGCCTAGTTTTTAACTGTAAATGCTCATGTTAAGCCAATTTTTGTCACCAAAAACCCATTTGTACCAAAAAGTCTAATTTTTCCTCAAAAAAGACGTTTGAGTCCTAAAATCCTTCGCATCTCAATCGATCGAATTTAATATGTATTGAAAGATATATATTTTTTCTTTCTTTTTTCTAGTTACGCAACATTTGTTTCTTTTGTTCTCCTTTTTATCTAAAACATCTGCTCAGTTGACCCATTAATATTAGATTTATTTTTATTTTTGGGTTGGGTTTAGGATAAATATTAATTAATGGATTTAGGATTGGTTAGGTTAGGGGTTTTTCGAAATTTTCATTGTTATGTGACAAAATTTGTAAATTTTTGGTTCTAAACGACGTAATTCATCATTTTCTATCGTTTATCACTAATGTAAATTTAAGCCCAGGGCTTAAAAATGACCGTTTTGTGACCTTTTGTCTAATAGCTCTTTTTGCCACGTCATGACCCCCAACCCATGTACCTTTAAATCCACACAATATCTGCGCTTGAATCGATACAACCAATTCATATCGAAAAATTCGGCAACACCCACATCTTCCGGATAAATTTCCCCAGCTAATTTCCGCGCGAAGTCCAGAATCCAGGGATTCGTCAACCTTTCGCCAGCCACGTGGCGTCGCCGGATCTCTTCCGCGACCCGCGAATCTATCTCGCTGTATTCGCCGCGTCGCGGCTGTGTTGGGGCGGCGCGACGTTCGCGAATCGCCACTGGCTGCTCGCGGGGCCGCGGGGGCTCCGCGACAAAATGCCGGCGTCCGCTGAAATAGCGGATGTGATTCCGCTTGCGGAATTGTTTGATCCATCGATCCGAAACGTGGTATCCGCATATTTCGCGAATCTTCCGTCGCATCCATTCGTCTCCTGCAATTTTCGAAGCCCAATTACCTCCAAGTACTTAGGCTAAATCCCCACATGTGGTTTTTATTACCCTATAATAAATAACCCCCTAATTGCTCACCAATATGTTGTGTGCTCAAACCGTGCTCATCACAATTCGCCACCTCTTTCCGATATTCTTCGAGCAATCGCTTTTCCAGCTCCGCTTCCTCGATTTTCCGATTCCTGTTGCAAAAACTACTCATAGTTAGCAGAACATAGTAAATAGTAAATAAAAACCGATTAAACTAAACGAAGAAGACGAAATAAGAACAGTTTCTGCGTCTCTCATAATTTGCTATACTATTTCGTATGATCCGGTTTGACTGAATAAGTATAGATGTTCGATATATTGGTTAGTTAGGGTAGGTAACCTTGAATTTCGTTCGTTCGTTCGAATTCTTCGACCTTTTTGAATTGGAAAGGGAAAATATGTGTTTTTTTGAGTTAGCATATTTCCCCTGAATTTGTTCCAACCGGGCTAAAGCCCGAAAATCCAGTCCGAAGCCGAGAAATCCTTGTCCGAGAGAAGTACACGCCTAATTTAAATTTTTGGCGCGAAATCACGTGGCCTAGAAATTTCCAAATCTTTGGCATTTCTCATTTTTCTGACGCTAGAAATCCACCGCTTTGTCCGAGAGAACTACACGGCGAAAAATGTTGGTTCCAATCGGACTTTAGATCCTAGAAATCTAGTCCATGGCCTAGGAAACCAAATTCGTCTTTTCCGAGAGAACTACACGATTTTTTTTTGAAAAATGAACTTGAGACTCTAGAAATCTAGTCAATGGCCTAGAAAACCAAATTCGTCTTGTCCGAGAGAACTACACGATTTTTTTTTTTGAAAAATCGATTTGGCCTAGTAAACCAAATTCGTCTTGTCCGAGAGAACTACACGATTTTTTTTTTTGAAAAATCGATTTTAGACCCTAGAAATCTAGTCCATGGCCTAGTAAACCAAATCCGTCTTTTCCGAGAGAACTACACGACTCTAAGGCTCCTGTTCCAATCGGATTCTAGTCCATGGCCTAGAAAACCAAATTTGTCTTTTCCGAGAGAACTACACGATTTTTTTGAACATCGATTTTAGACCATAGAAATCTAGTCCATGGCCTAGGAAACCAAATTTGAAAATATTTTTTCTTATTCTCGAACTTCGTCACTCGCGTGCGGCTATGCGTCGCGGTCGGAAAATAAATGAACCGCGACGCACAGCCACTCTCTCTCTTTCTCTACCGCTCTCTCACCCTCTCCAATCTCTAACCATCCTGATTGTTTTCCAGAAGAAAAATGCACAGTTCTGGAAGATATCAATCAAAAGCCGGACCATCACATTCACAGGATTTTCTGGAAGACGAAGAAGAAGATGAGGAGGATGAACAACACTACACCCGATTCCACCACCCTCAACAACATCAGGAAAACATCTCGACAGACGACGCGATAACCATCCTACTGTCATCACTTCGCTTCGAGACCCATCGCCAACAGATTCCCGAAGATCGTGACGATGATCAACTTCGACGATGTCACGAGAAGATCTTCACACAAATCCAAAGAGAACCCGATGATCAGAAGAGAAGAAGGTTGAAAAAAGCGTTGCCGGCGGCGAATTGTGTTAGAGAACAGATTTATTACTTAAGGAGAAGGCCGGGGTCTCCAAGTCCCTCATATTTTCATCGACTTTCGGCGCAACTTGATGCGATTGTCAAGGATTCGTTTGAAGAGGAATATCGAAAAGTTGCGATTATTCTGGGACTTGTTGAAGCGTTGGCTGAAGTTTTGATATTGGAATTGGCGGTTTTTGGGGTTCCGCAAGTGAATTGTGATGAACATCGGACGATTCGAAAATTGATTGCGAATGCGTTGACAAATTTGACTTATGGACAGGTAAGAATTGCATTTTACATTTAAAAACCTGAAAAATGAGCTCATGGAGCTGAAAATTATGAAAATTGAGCTGAAAATCATGAAAATTGAGCTGTTTTAGCTGAAAATCATGAAAATTGAGCTTTTTGAGCTGAAAATTATGAAAAATGACTTTCTGAAGCTGAAAATTATGAAAATTGAGCTAAAAATCATGAAAAATGAACTATTTGAGCTGAAAATGATGAAAATTGAGATTTTTGAGCTCAAAAATCATGAAAATTGAGCTTTTTGAGCTGAAAACTATGAAAATTGAGCTTTTTGAGCTGAAAATTATGAAAATTGACTTTCTGAAAAGCTGAAATTTTTGAAAATGAGCTTTTTGAGCTGAAAAATCAAGTTTTTAGCTGCGTATCTAATGTACGCAGCCAAATTCCCTGGCTGAGTATCTAATGTGAATCAGATTCACTAGGTACGCAGTCAAATTCCCAATAAAATTCTGTAGGCTGAGTATCAAACTTCAGAGGTACGCAGCCAATTTCACAATGTCAAAAAGCAAGTCTAAAGGCTTCAGCCTGGAATTTCAGCTCAGATCTCTGGACTGAGTATCTAATGTAGATCATATCACAAAGTACGCAGCCAAAAGTGCCACGTGGATTTTCGACAGCTAAAAAATCATAATTTTTTAAATTTTTGAAGCAAAATTTTGTCAGGTTTCAAATTTCCTTGAAAAATTCAAATTTCCCGCCAAAATTGACCCTGGATTTTTGAAAGCTAAAAAATGAAATTTTCGGTCTAAAAATTACCGCGGAAACTTCAAAATTCAAATTTCCCGCCAAAATTGACCCGGGAAACTTTGAAAATTCAAATTTCCCGCCTGAAAATTACCGCGGAAACTTGAAAATTCAAATTTCCCACCGAAATTGACCCGGGAAACTTGAAAAATTCAAAATTTTCCCAAAATTGACTAGGGAAACTTGAAAAATTCAAATTTCCCGCTCTGGAAACTTTAAAAATTCAAATTTCCCGCCTTAAAATTATCCCGGAAACTTGAAAAATTCAAATTTCCCACCAAAAATAACCCGGAAAACTTCAAAAATTCAAAAATTTTCACTCCAGATTCACTCAAAACGTCGTCTCTGCTCCTATTCCGGTTTCGTGCCAACAATGATCCGAATCATCATCGAATCCACGAATCTCACTCAAGTCTACGCGGGCCTCGTCAGAAATCTCTCCTGGATGGCCGACGGCGAAATGAGCGAAGCCTTGCGACCCACAGTTCACGCCCTTTCAATCGCCGCTGTTCGAGCGGCGAATAAAAATCGCGAAGATTTTGGTTGTGTCAAGGCGACACTTTCTGCATTATGGAATTTGGCATCGCATTCAATTGAGAATAAAAAAACGATTTGTGAAACGCCGAATTGCCTGGCTATCCTGGCTAATTTATTGTCAACTGATGTTCGACAAACTGCGATTGTTGATAGTGCGACGGGAATTCTGAAATATGTCTCGCAACATTTGGCAAACACAAGTTCACATCTAGAACTTCGCCCAATTCTTCTCACAAGACTTGTAGCTCTTCTTGGATCATCCAGCTTTACAATTGTCACAAATACTCTTGGAGCGATAGCGAATCTGATCTCTAAAGATCCACATCTTCAAAATGCCCTGCGACACGATGTATCAGCGATTCAGCAGCTCAATATTCTTCGCAACTCGAATCGTGATGACATTAGAAGTGCTGTCAAGAATGTGCTGAATGCTGTAAACCAGCCGGGGAACTCGTATCCAGCTGCTTCTGCTGAAATGTCGTGTTCGCTGACAATATCCCCGAGGATGCTGCCGTTGCGAGCGACGATGGCGTCGCCTGGAAGATTTGCGGTGGCCGCGGGAGATTCGCGAAGTTGCAGCCTGCCCAGGGGTTTTGGGAAAATGCAGCAGAGTTTGGCGCCGAGTTATCAGGTAGGGGTTTTTGGGGGGTAAATCTAGATTCTGGGAGCATTTTGAGCTCGAACACAATGATATTTGTGCTCAAAATGCTCCGAATTCAACGCTGAAATTGAGATTTTCGAAATCCACGTGGAATTTGGAGCATATTGAGCCCAAACACAACGATATTTGTGCTCAAAATTTTTAGCTGAAAATTCAGGTTCTGGGAGATTTTTAGCTGAAAATTCAGGTTTTTCATGATTTTTAGCTGAAAATCCGGATTCTGGAAGGTTTTTGAGCTGAAAATCCAGGGTTTTCACGATTTTTAGCTGAAAATTCGGATTCTGAGAGATTTTTAGCTGAAAATCCAGCTCCTGTGAGATTTTTAGCTGAAAATTGAGCTCCTGGGAGATTTTTAGCTGAAAATCCAGATTTTTCATGATTTTTAGCTAAAAATCCGGGTCCTGGCTGATTTTTAGCTGAAAATTTGACAAAAATCAAATTTTTCACCTGAAAATGCTTTAAAAACCCGATTTTCAGCTAAAAATTGGAATTTTTGGTCAAAAATAGTGAAAAATAGGATTTTTTGCCGATATTTCAGTTTTGAACTCGAAAATTGAGTTTTTCCCAGGTTTTTGGCTCAAAATTGTTAATATGAGCAATCATTTTGAAACGTGGCAATTTTGGCGCGTGGATTTGCAGCGTGTTTTGACGCCACAAAAAACACGCTGCAAGAATTTCGAATTTTTCGCGCCAAAATGCGCTTTGAAATTTGAAAATTCCAAATTTTCCCGCCAAAAAACGTGGATTTTTTTTGCAGCATTCTCACCAACAACACTCCGCAATTCCGCCACCTCCTCCACTATCAAATGCTACAGTACCCCTTGATGATTCAATGCTTGACATCCAATCTTCAACAGCAATGGGAACTCGTTCGAATAGTATCAGATCTTTAGGATCTGTAGATCCTGGAAGTATTATAATGGATCGGAATTCGACGATTGACACAGCTGCCAATAGTTCAAGAGCTTTGAGTCCTGTTTCATTTTCTGATTTGCCAGCGTCGCCTACGATGTGTGCAGCGATTCTGGCGGAGCAGCAGACTCCAGTGTTCCAGAATAATTTGATTTTTGGACCTGGAGCTGGAGGTGGATCTACGACAGTTAGCGGAACTTCTACCGCGCAGAATACGATGACTACTTCTCTTGGAGCAGCCCACGGAGCACCTTCGGATAGCTCGCCTGATGAGGAATTGCCTGGGCCTAGTTTTCGGCCTGGACCGGGTCCCGAAGATGGAGATTTGCTGGAACGAAGTATTCAGAAGGAGATGCCCAAGATTGTGTCGCCGAGATTGAATGGATTCTTTTCGCCGAATCAGCAGAGGAGACAAGGTGGGAATTTGGGTGTTTGGTGCTGAAAATTATGAAAAATGAGCTGAAAATTATGAAAATTGAGGTTTTTGAGCTGAAAATTATGAAAAATGAGCTGAAAATCATGAAAATTGAGCTGAAAATCATGAAAATTGAGCTGAAAATCATGAAAATTGACTTTCTGAAGCTCAAAATTATGAAAAATGAGCTTTTTTAGCTGAAAATCATGAAAATTTACTTTCTGAAGCTGAAAATTATGAAAAATGAGATTTTTGAGCTGAAAATTGTGAAAAATGAGGTTTTTGAGCAAAAAAGTATGAAAATTGAGCTTTTCGAGTTGAAAATTGTGAAAAATATGATTTTTCGAGCCTGAAACGTCAAAAATGTGTTGTTACAATGATTTTTGACTTCTGAAGCTTCAGAAAATTACTCTGGAGCTGAAAAATGCTTAAAAATATGATTTTTCAACTCTAGAAGGTCCCAAGATTTATTATAACCCAGAAAATGCTCAAAAATACGGAAATTATGCTCTGGAAGCTTATAAACCACCCTAAACCCGTTAAAATCGATTTTCCAAAAAATCAATAAATTTTCAGTCAAAATCTTCAGCTTCATCCTCAAAAAAAAATTAATAATTTGCCTCCAGACTTCAAAAATCCAAAAATTTCAGCTAAAAGTGGTCCGAGACCTCATTTTTGACCTGAAATTCGATTTTGAGCTCAAAATTTGGCACCAGATGTTGTTTGTGGCCCCAAAATTGGCTCCAACTTCAAAAAATCCGAAAATTTCACCTAAAAGTGGTTCCAGAGCTCAAAATTTTGCTCCAGACGTCAAAAATCCAAAAAAAAATCAATAATCAATTTTCAGTCTCACCACATCTTCTAATGGAATCAATAATGTCTGAAATGCCAAAAAACGTCGAAGCCGATCACCAAGAAACTGAAAATGAGCAGCACAATGAGCCAACAGGTGAACAACAACTCGGCGAAAAAATGTTGGCTCAAAAAATTGGCTCACAAAGTTTGGAATCACAAGAATATACAACATCTGAAGAAGAAGATTCGGAAGAAGATGACGATTTTCAGCCCGAAAAGCCACGTCATAACCAGGATTCGCAAACTTTTCCGATTCCACAGGATTGTTATGATGAAGAAGAGGAGGATTTCTATGGAGAGGAGACGGATTTTGAAGAAGATTTGAATGCGACACAATTTGAGGGAGATGTTACTATTGATTGTCGCGAATTTAGGGAGACTTCCACCCCGAAGGGATCTGTGACACAGATTTTGAGAGGAGGAGCACAGAAGACTAGGTTACCGGTGCCGAGTAGAATTAATTTGAATCGCAGTGTTGTGGTGAGTGATTTTTGGGGGGACTGGTACAAATTTCATTGAAAATAATGGATTTTGAGCCTGGGAATGGAAATTTCCAGAGAAATCATGGTTTTTAAACGAAATTTTGTGAAATTTAAGCCTGGAACTAAATTTTGGTCCGAATTTCATGAATTTCCAGTTTAGATATGAAAAATTTGAGAAAAAACAAGATTTTTGATCCAAATCCCATCGAATTTCATAAATTTTAAGCCTGGTTACAGAATTTTTGAGAAAAAACAAGATTTTTGATCCAAATCCCATCAAATTTGATGAAATTTTTGAATTTTTATCCAAATTTCATTTAAAATGTGGAATTTTAAGCTTAGATATGAAAAATTTGAGAAAAACAAGATTTTTGTCCAAATTCCATCAAGTTTGATAAATTTTGAACTTAAATTCGAAAAGTTTTGAATTTTCATGATTTTTTGTCCAAATTTCATGAAATTTGATAAATTTTGAGCCCAGATTCAGAAAATTTTGAATTTTCATTATTTTTGGTTCAAATTTTATAAAATTTGATAAATTTTGAGCCCAGATTCAGAATTTTCAAAAGAATTCGAAAAATTTTGTTGAAAAATCTGAATTTCAGCTGAAAATTAGGAATTTTGACATTTTTCTTGAATTTTCTCGAAAAAAAAACCTTAAAATTCATGCCACGTGGCAATTTCTCAAAATTTTCAACAAAAATTTGAAATTTTGATGAAATTTGGTGCATTTTAGGCCTGGATACAGGATTTTCTGAAAAAATTGAATTTTGTGGAAAAATTTCAGAAATTTCCGAAAAAAACACCTTAAAATTCATGCCGCGTGGCAAAATTTCTCAAATTTTTCATCAAAATTTGAAATTTTGATGAAATTTGGTGCCTGGATACAGAATTTTTGAGAAAAAACTTGAATTTTCTGAAAAAAAGAGCCTTAAAATTCATGCCACGTGGCAAAATTTCTCAATTTTTTAACCCGAAAGTTTGAAATTTGCGTTTCAAAAAAGCTATTTTTCTATGCCACGTTGCAAATTTTACCATTTTTTCAGAAATCTCCGCAATTCATCACCCACTCAAAAATCGCCCGTCCCCGCCTTCCACCAAAACCCAAAACTCTACTTCTGACCTCAAAAGTTTCACCATTTTATCATGAAAATGCTGAAAATCAAGGAGAAGAAGAAGCTGAAAATGAAAATGATCAAACTATATACGTAAATGCACCAGAAAATATTGCTCATATTATGGAAAATGAACAGAAAATGGAAAAACAGAAGGAAAAACAAATGCTTGTCACTACTGTGTGATTTTTTTGGGAGATGTTCCTTTAAATTTTATTTTTTGAAATTATTTTTGAAATTTTTGTCTAGTCGCTTTTTTTTTTGTAAAATTTTAACCCTAAATATTTTTTGTACTACCGTATTTTTATTGATTTACGAGTTTTTGTGTGAAATTTCAGCGAAAATGAATTTATTTGAATTTATTCTTGTGCAAAATTTGAATTTTGCAGGTTTTCCCGCCAAAAAACTCGAAAAATTTTGGATTTTTCTCGTTTCTCTGCGCTCTCCACACACCACCTACAAAAAATGCGTCAGTCTTCATCAGGCTTGGCGCAAGAAATGTAGATTTTTGTTTATTTTTTGAACAAAAATCAAGAAATTCTTGGTTTTTAGCCAGTTTTGGGCTGAAATTGCGGGGTTTTCGTGATTTTCAGCAAGAAATTCAGAATTTCAAGCTGAAAATTGTGATTTTTAGTGAATTTTGAGCCAGGAATCTTGAAAAACTCGATTTTCCTGGTTTTTGAGGCAAAATTGAGGATTTTTTAGCGAAATTGTATATTTTTCAAGCAATTTCTCACCAAAAATATCGATTTTCTGTCAAACTTCAAGCTTTTCACCAAAAATCCACGTTTTTCAGCGAAAGTTGATTATTTACAGCACTTTTCGCTGAAAAAACGTGGATTTTTGGTGAAAAGCTTGAAATTTGACAGAAAATCTATATTTTTGGTGAAAAATTGCTTGAAAATATACAATTTGGCTGTAAATTCTCAATTTTATTCATTTTCAGTATTTTCAAGCTGCAAAACATAGAAATTACGTTAAGAATTCATTTTTCACGTTAAAATTCGAGATTTTCAGCGAAATTTCATTATTTACAGCATTTTTCAGGTGTTAAGCTGTGAAAAACACAATTTTTGATGAAAATTCTCAATTTTATTCATTTTCAGCATTTTCAAGCTTCAAAACATAAATTACGTTAAGAATTCATTTTTCACGTGAAAATTCGAGATTTTCAGCACTTTTCAGGTGTTTCAGCTGTGAAAATCACAATTTAAACCTTCAAGTGATGAAAAAATTGTGAGTACACCAGCCATATGATGAATTTAGACCAAAAATGCTGAAAATTATTCAAATTTCACTGAAAGCCCTATATTTCTCATTAGAGCGCATTTGCAACACAATTTTCTTCATTTTTCGAGATTTCCACATCATTTCGCACTATTTTCAGGCCGAAAAATGTCGGATCCACAATACGGTCCAATATCAGCGGGTATAATCCGTTCACTAACAGATAAAGTGTATGAGCGACGAAAAGCGGCTGCACTGGATGTTGAGAAATTGGTGCGAGATTTGTTCAACTCAAATCAATTGAGTCAATTGGATAAGTGTTTGACGGTTTTGGCGGAATTGATTGCGAGTGGAAATCCGAATCAGAGAAAAGGAGGGTTGATTGGAATGGCTGCGGCGGCTATTGCTTTAGGGAATAAGGTAGGACACTTACCTTAGAGCCCTTAAAATCACCCTAAAATATTCGAATTTCACTGAAAAACCTTTATTTCTCAATGGAGCGCATTTGCAACACTGCAAAATCAAGCAAATGCGCTCTAATTGCAATTTCCAATGGAGCGCACTTGCTATTCTGTTTGAAAATCACTTTTTCCCCCTAAAATCGAAGTTTTGCGGCGCAGAAAGTTCAAAGGAACATGCATTTTCAAAACACAGCGCTGCAAGACCCAAATAACCAAGTTGCACCTCCCGGTTCTCCTTTGCTTGATATTGCAAGGAGGTTGACTTCAAAGATGGCAGTGGATTTAAACCACTAGCAAGGCAAAACAACAAAACACGGATTTTAGGCCAAACTTTATGTTTTTGACCAAAATAAACAATAAAAATACAAATACAACTTCACGAGGAAGTGTATCAATAACAACAAATGATGAGTTAATTACTTAACACAGAGAATTCCGAGAATTCCCTGTGAAAACAACGAAAAACCTAGAAAAACACAAAAACGAAACTAAATATTTTGAAATGCACGTGGAGAGCGCACACACACACAAAACACGTCAATCTTTTACAAGATGGCGCATTTGTGGTGCACATCCTCTTGAGGATGACTTCCCCCCCTCAAGAGGTGCCGCCACGGTACCTATGACAAAATAACAATTAAAAACCTTGATCGATTGGATGTTGTTTGGAAGAAGCATATATGCCCAACTTGTTTCGCTTCAGCATTTGAATATGCTCAATATACTTTGGCGATATACAACCCTCATAATCTACACTTTTGACATACACCATATTGCAATTCTTCTTCATCTTTCTTTGTCCCTTTCCAGTTTTGGCTTCTTCCAACTCGATCATCTTCTTCTCCATTTCAATTCTTCGAATTTCGGCGAAATTTCTACGAAGGATCATTCCAACACTAACTTCCTCTTTTCCCAATTTTCGATCTTCATCACCATTTTGACTTTTTGTCATTTCATTTCCATTCAATTTTTGATCTTCAACTTTCTTCTTATCCGTCTCAACTTCAAACAAAGTGTCACAAAGGACCTTTCCCATCCAAACTTCATCTTTTTTCCAATTTTCCATTTCGATCATCATCATCAACTTTTGCCATTTCACTTTCTTCAACTTTTCCATCTTTTCTCTCTTCATTTTCAGATTTTTCGACTCGATCTTCATTTGCCGACGAACCGTTTCTGGAAAAATAATCTGATTTCACATAATTTCCCAATTTTCCCTTTTCTTTCAAATCTTTCGCTGCGCCTGTTTCACACTTTTCATCCAAATTTCCCAATTTTTCAACATTTTTCTCATTTTCTCCCATTTTCTTTTCACTATCAAATCTCAAATAAATTCCAAATGTTTCAAAACTTTCCAATCCAAGAATCAACATATCTTCCCAACTTTTAATAACATGAAATTTCACAACTTTCTTCATATTTCTGATCTCAATTTCAATACTCCAAATTCCAATAACATTCAATCTTTTTCCACTGCAATCATATATTGAACTTTTCGCATTTTCTTCTTTCAAAATGAATTTTTCCCAATTTTCAACATTTCTCTTCAATTTTTCCAACTTTCCCGTTGAAATCACATTAACCATCGCTCCACTATCAATCAAAATTGTCGCATATTTTCCAAAAATCTTCACATTTTCCTTCATATCTTCCCATTTTCTTCCTCTTATGGTGTTCACCTTCTTGGTTCCTGAACATTTTACAGCAATATGTCCCTCTTCACCACATATGAAGCATTTTCTCAAATCTCTTCCATTTTCTGATGCTGATTTTCCATCTTTTTTCTCTTCCGATTTCTTCTTTTCATCCTTGTACTTGTTTCTCTCCAAATCAAATTCGAATTGTAAAGCCGCAGCTTTCAACTTTTCATATTGGAATCCGTCCTTCTCATCGTTCTTCTTCACCGCCAAAAGTCCCAATAAAGTCGGATTTCGCTTCGCAGCTTGCAATAACTTCGCCGTTTTGAAAATATCCACTTCCTCTTTCGACGAAGCAAATGCTTCTCTCGCAAGCGAATCAACAACGATAAGGAAGTTTTGGAGCGATTGATCTTGACGAATTCTCAAATCTTGCCATTTTTCCACTGCTCTTCCTCTTTGACTTGTTCTTGATGCATTCATAGCTTTCTTGAACTTTTCAACAATTTCTTTCCATGTCATTTCTTCTTTCAATTCAATCGTCTCAAATAACTTTTTAGCTTCTCCACGCAAAAATTTTGCCTTCATAACAGCTGCCATTTCCATTGAACTTTCCATATTTTGCTTATATTTCATTTCGAACAAACTCAAAAAATCATCCAAATTTTCTTGCGGTTTTCCATAATAAATTTCAGGATCTGGCATTGTCGAGATCTTCATAAATCTTGCAACATTCATAAGTTCCTCTCGAACACTTTGTCTTGAACCTGAACTGCTCGATTTTCCCGATTTTTTGCCCCGACTACCCTCTTTTCCAACAATTTCCACTTTTTCATCTCTCAAATTCTCAATATTTCCCGCTTTTTGTTCTTTCACCCATTTTTCAACTCTTTTCTCTTTGACTTTTTCAGTATTCTCGCTGCGCAAACTTCCCAAACTTTCCGACTTACATATTTCCATACTCTTCGTTTCTCTCACAGTTTCCATCTTCAACAAATCTTCAACTTTTTTCATTGTCTCATCCATTTCATTTCCATCATCAACAATATCCAAATTCATCATTCGCACACTCGGCGTTGGTGACAATTCTCTTTTTCTCTTTTCCTCATTCTCCATTTTCAGTTTCATCATCAATTCATCTTTTTGTTCCATCAATACCATCATCTCTTCGAATTTCTGCTCATATCTCTTCAATTTTTCGTTTTTCTTCCAAATCTCTTCCTCATTATTCTTCAACTTTCCATTCAATTCTTCAACCTGCAAAATAAACTTTTGTCTTTCTTCATTGACCTTTTTCTCAATGTTTTCAAGCTTCTCACCATTTTCTCTTTCCCAAATAACCAATTCTGTTCCTTTCTCCATCAATTGTGCCAATTTCTTCACATTGGTCTTATTTCCTCTTCTCAAATATCGCAAACATCTCATTTCATCCCGATTTGGCATTTGCGCCCACTTTTCCTTGACCATCCCGCGCAAATCCTCTACTCGTTGTTCGACTTTCTTCATCAACGGATTCAATACGACATCCGCTTGTCTTTCACTCAATTTCAACTTCTTTGCATCTTCTCGAGCTTCTTGTGCAATCATAATCCAATCCGCTGCTTTCTCATCAAACATCATACCAATATCTTCTTCATGTCCCGTTGAATCCTCCAATCCACTGCTTACTGATCCAATGTGTTGCATAGTTTCACTTGCCGTAGCCATTTTCGATGTCGAATTCTCCACTAGTCCAAAATATCCAATATCCTTTTGACAATCGAACAATTCCTTAACTCCAGTCCTGAAACTAGGAAAGGATCACTAGGAACGTGTTCAAAAATCAAAGACAATCGACGAATAAACGAAGTTGAATAGATTTGGGGTTGTGGTTGGTTCGGCCCCCAAGTTGCACCTCCCGGTTCTCCTTTGCTTGATATTGCAAGGAGGTTGACTTCAAAGATGGCAGTGGATTTAAACCACTAGCAAGGCAAAACAACAAAACACGGATTTTAGGCCAAACTTTATGTTTTTGACCAAAATAAACAATAAAAATACAAATACAACTTCACGAGGAAGTGTATCAATAACAACAAATGATGAGTTAATTACTTAACACAGAGAATTCCGAGAATTCCCTGTGAAAACAACGAAAAACCTAGAAAAACACAAAAACGAAACTAAATATTTTGAAATGCACGTGGAGAGCGCACACACACACAAAACACGTCAATCTTTTACAAGATGGCGCATTTGTGGTGCACATCCTCTTGAGGATGACTACCAGTTTTTTCTCAAAAATCCCATTTTTCTACGTTTAAGGGTCCCGAAGCGATTCACCTATGTTTAAAGGTACATGCATTTTCAAAACACACCGCTGCAAGACCCAAATAACCAGTTTTTCCTCAAAAAATCCCATTTTTCCTACATTTAAAGGCGCATAAAAGGTCCCGAAGCGATTTACCTATGTTTAAAGGAACATACATTTCGAAAACACACCGCTGCAAGACCAATTTTCATTGAAAATACATGAAAATAGGCCTAAATTTCTTGAAATTGTCATTTAAAGGCTCATAAAAGGTCCCGAACCTCTCAATTTTTGCAGAATGCCGGTCCCTACACAGCGAAACTCGTCGAGCCAATAATTCCCTCATTTTTGGACGCCGACCTTCAAATTCGCTACTATTCCTGCGAATCTCTTTACAATATCGCAAAAATCTGTCGTGTCGATGTTCTTTCGCATTTCTCGGATATTTTCGATGTTTTATGGCGTGTCACTGCAGATACAGATCAAAATGTGAGAGGAGGTGCTGAACTATTGGACAGATTGATTATGGATATTGTGTTGTCCAAGGAGGATTTTGATATTTCGATTTTGATGACGTTGATTAGAGATAGGATTTATACACAAACTACTAGTAATCGACGATTTATTATGCAATGGGTTCGGAAAATTTCGAAGATTTTATGAAAATTGATGTTTTTAGAACTGAAAATGCTGATTTTTGAGCTTTGGAGCTTCAAAAATCGCAATTTTCAGGTCTAGAGACCTTCCTGAGCTCAAAATTCAGAATTTTGAGCATTTTTTCAGCTCCAGAACCATCTTTTGTCCTTCCAGAGCTCAAAAATCAACATTTTCAGGTCAAGAATGATTCTAAACCTGAAAATTGCGATTTTTGAGCTCTGGAAGCTTCAAAATATGATTCTAGACTTGAAAATTGCGATTTTTGAGCTCTGAATCTTCAAAATTGCGATTTTTGAGCTCTGGAGCTTCAAAATACGATTCCAGACCTGAAAAATCTGTAAATTTAGCTCTGGAGCTTCAAAAACCACAAAAATTGCCTGAAATCCCTAAAAATCAATAATTTGCATCATTTTTCAGCTCAACACCATCAACTCAACTCCCTATTTTTCCGTAATCCCATTTATTTCTGAAATCTCGGATGGGCTCTTCAAAATGCTCGGTGAAAATGCTCCAGCAGTTCGTGAGCTGTGCGAAACAGTGCTCGGCAATTTCTTGGTTGCTCTCAAAAAGAGCCCCGAAAAATTGGCGCCAATTGATCGAATTCAAATGGTTAATGTTCTCGTGGCTCATACCCACGAAAATGAGCCAATTTTGGCGCGAAAATTGTCGTTGATATGGTTGGAGGAGTTCGTGAAACTCTACAAATCCGAGCTTTTGCCTATGTTGAGCACTTTTCTCGTTGGCATTTTGCCATCGATTGATCAACACGAATTGAAGGCGGATTGTGTGAATCGATTGTTGATGGGATTGATTGGCGAGGGAGTGAGAGACGCAGAGAAATTGGAGCAGAAGGATTTGGATAATACTATTGGTGGGTGGAGAGACGCAGAGAAAAGGGCGCTGCTTATTTTTCTCTGCACCCTCTTCACTTTACACATAGGCGCTGCTTATTTTTCTGAGCTCCTCCCACTTTTTGAAAATAAGCAGCGCCTATGTTAAAAATCGAGAGAGCGCAGAGAAAAATAAGCAGCGCCCACATTTCTGCATTGAAAAGTGGGCGCTGCTTATTTTTCTCTGCGCTCTCTTGATTTAATGCATAGGCGCTGCTAAGCTCCGCCCACTTTTTGAAAATAAGCAGCGCCTATGTTAAAAATCGAGAGAGCGCAGAGAAAAATAAGCAGCGCCCACTTTTTATTGAATGAAATGTAGGCGCTGCTTATTTTTCTCTGCGTCTCTCTAAATAATGCATAGGCGCTGCTAAGCTCCGCCCACTTTTTGAAAATAAGCAGCGCCTATGCATTATCTTGAGAGAGTGCAGAGAAAAATAAGCAGCGCCCACTTTTTATTGAATGAAATGTAGGCGCTGCTTATTTTTCTCTGCGTCTCTCTAAATAATGCATAGGCGCTGCTAAGCTCCGCCCACTTTTTGAAAATAAGCAGCGCCTATGCATTATCTTGAGAGAGTGCAGAGAAAAATAAGCAGCGCCCACTTTTTATTGAATGAAGTGTAGGCGCTGCTTATTTTTCTCTGCCCTCTCTCAATTTAATACATAGGCGCTGCTTATTTTTCTGAGCTCCGCCCACTTTTTGAAAATAAGCAGCGCCTATGTTAAAAATCGAGAGAGCGCAGAGAAAAATAAGCAGCGCCCACATTTCTGCATTGAAAAGTGGGCGCTGCTTATTTTTCTCTGCACTCTCTCAATTTTATGCATAGGCGCTGCTTATTTTTTTTTCGAATAATTAAAAAATAAGCAGCGCCTATGTATTATTTGAAGAGACGCAGACAGTCAGGCGCTGCTCTCATCATTTTCCACTTCAAGACCCAAAATGTTTACAGAAATCCTGCTGAAAAACATCAATCATGAAAAAGTTGAAACCCGTGTCACAGTGCTCAATTGGATCCGTCATCTTCACACAACAATGCCCACCGAAATCTTCGCTCATCTCAATTCAATCTTCCCCCAACTTCTCAAAACTCTTTCCGATGATTCCGACGAAGTCCTCCTATTGGACCTATTCCTCATCTCAAACATTTGCCAATCCGATCAAGAATTTCTCAAAAAATTCTCCGAAAACCTACTGGAAATGTTCAGAAATGACGCGAATCTGCTAAATGAGCGCGGTGTTTTGATTATCCGCCAACTTTGTCTGCTTCTCCCACCATCGAGTATTTATCGAACAATTTGTGAATTGCTTGAAAAAGAGGAGAAACATTTATTTGCTCAGAATATGGTATCAACATTACACGGTGTTTTGCTAACTGCTACAGAGCTTTTTATCCTTCGAGATGAATTAAGGCATTTAGAAACGGAAGAATCCAAAGAATTATTTCAATGTATATTTCGAGTTTGGTCAAATCGACCAATTGCTTTGATTGGTCTATGTTTATTATCACAACATTATAAAGAATCAGCTGATATTTCACTTTTATTATCACAAGTTGATATAACTGTTGATGTTTTATTGGAAATTGATAAATTGGTAAATCTCATTGAAAGCCCCGTTTTGGCCTATGTTCGAATGGATTTGTTATCTGCCAATCATCGCCCGCCACTTTGCACAGTGTTATCTGCATTGCTCATGTTATTGCCACAATCGGATGCGTTTGTTACGCTTCATAAAAGGTTGCAAGCTGTTCCGGCGTTGGTTTCGATTGAGTGAGTTTTGAATAAGCATGAGAGACGCAGAGAAAAATAATGCATAGGCGCTGCTTGTTTTCGAAAAAGTGGGCGGAGCTTAGCAGCGCCTATGCATTATTTTGAGAGACGCAGAGAAAAAACATTTCTGCATTGAAAAGTGGGCGCTGCTTATTTTTCTCTGCGCTCTCTTCAAGTAATGCATAGGCGCTGCTTATTTTTTGAAGGTGGGCGGAGCTTAGCAGCGCCTATGTATAAATTTGTTTTCTTGCGTCAAAACACGCTGCGAAATGAAAAAGTGCGCGAAATTCAAAATTTTCAAAAAAAAACCTCATTTATTTCTCACGGATAACACTTAATCGCCACATTTTTCGTCTCGCCAAATCGATAAAAACATTTCCGTAAAAACAGTGCACAAGCTCCTAAAAACGCCGTGAAGCACACGAAACACGTTCCAATTATACACATTCTGCAAAAAATTTTAAATTTTGTGGCGTATTTTTAGCGTCAAAACACGCTGCAAAACAATTTTTAACGCAAAAAATAGAATTTTTTGACCTACTTCAAAATAATCTCCAATTTCTGATTCGGTCTTCCCTCATCCATCAAATCGTCTTGAAATTTTGACCACCACGAATTTTCTTCATTTTGAATTTCCATACTTGCCGCAATCGAATACAGTACCCCAATTAAATGCGATTTTCTCAAAATATACCTGGCAATGCCGAGATTTTCCATACAGAAAACTGAAGAAAAAATGACAGCGAAATTTTGTGTCAAAAATTTTTGGTGGCTCTGCGCGCGAATTTCTGTGTGAGCACTCGATTTCTGTTTGTTTGTTTATTTATATTTGAAACCGCAAACAATATGTATCCTTTTTGTGCTTTTTAAAGGGACAGGATCGGATTACTGTATTTTTACACGAGAATTTGAATTTTGCAGCGTGTTTTAACGCTAACACGCTGCAAAATACAAAACAAGCAGCGCCTATGTATTATTTTTAGAGACACAGAGAAAACGAGAAAAAAAAGCAGCGCCCACTTTGTTTTGAAAAATTTCAAGCGCTGCTTATTTTTCTCTGCGCTCTCTCAAAATAATGCATAGGCGCTGCTTATTTTTCAAAAAAGGGGCGGAGCTTGAAAATAAGCAGCGCCTATGCATTATTTTGAAAGAGCGCAGAGAAAAATAAGCAGCGCCTAAATTTTATGAGTCAGAAGGTCGGGGGATCGATTCTTCATGCGATCTACATTTTTTTTTCTGGAATTCTAGATCGATTTTTCGTGCTGAAAATGATGCGATTGCTCATTTTAAGCGAAAATCAATAAATAAATAATTTATAATTTAAAAATGGGTGCGAAAATTGGCAATCCGCGAGCTGTGACATGTGTCGGAGTTATGGGAAGTACTGCAGAATTCTCAATTTTCGAGCTCACTGGAGCAAAATCCTTGAAAACCCTTTCCACATTGGGAATTGGAAATTCATCATTGGAGTACTGTAGGGCTACTGTAGGCGGCTGGTACTGTAGTTTTTCGAGGAGGGGGAATTGAAGGTTTTGGAGAGCGGTGAGACGATTTGTGGAAGACGTGGAGATGATTGGAGAAATTGAGGGGGATGCGGCTGGAAAAAGAGAAAATGAGCAGCGCCTATGAGAGACGCAGAGAAAAATAATGCATGGGCGCTGCTATTATTTTCGAAAAAGTGGGCGGAGCTTAGCAGCGCCTATGTATCAAATTGAGAGAGCGCAGAGAAAAAGTAGGCGCTGCTTATTTTTCTCTGCGCTCTCTCAAAATAATACATAGGCGCTGCTTATTTTTTTTGAATAATAAAAAAAAATAAGCAGCGCCTCTGAGAGACGCAGAGAAAAAAAAGCGTTTTTTAAAACAAATTTTGAATATTTCGAAAATCTTCAACAAAAAAAAACCCTTACCACACTCTACACTCTCGCCATTCTCATCCACCAAATCCATCTCAGAAATCGCCACAAAATCCGCGTTTCCCGGATTTTCCATCGCAATTTCGATTTGAATTCCATTTTTTGCGCCAAAATTCGAATTTGAATTTGAATTTTTCAACGGAATTCGAATTCTCCTTCCTTCTCCTCCTCCCGCAACATCTCTCAAAACTCTCTCATTTTTCCACACTATCTCTTTTTTGGCGCCAAATTTCTTCTCCGACAAGGTTACTGTAGTTTGAGAGGCGGCGGAGTCGACAATTTGAAAATCGAGAAAAATAGGCTTGTCCGGGAGAACTACAAAATCCGAGGTGATCGTTGCGAGACCCGAATTTTCGTTGACGATTTTTTTCGGGAGATTTTGTGTGTTTACGGTGTGAAATTGACAAGAGGTGGAGAAAAATGAGCATTTTAGGGGGCATTTTGAAGAGGGAGCTGGAAAAAATTTGAATTTTCTGAGTTTGGCGCAGTTTGCAGCGTGTTTTGACGCCGAAAACACGCTGCAACAAAAGCAGCGCCCACATTTTCTTTTTTCTCTGCGCTCTCTCAATTTAATGCATAGGCGCTGCTTAATTTCAAAACGTGGGCGGAGCTTAGCAGCGCCTATGCATTATTTTGAGAGAGTGCAGAGAAAAATAAGCAGCGCCCAATTTTTCTCCTCCAACAAATTTAGCAGCGCCTAAATTTTATGAGTCAGAAGGTCAGGGGATCGGTTCCTCATGAGCCCTACCTACTTTTTTTGTTTCTAGATCAATTTTTCGCGCTGAAAACGACGACATTGCTCATTTTAACTTACATTTCCTCCTAATCTCCCTTTCAAGCACTTTTCGATTATTTGATGACGTGGCAATTTCCACGTCATCAATTGCAATCAAATCCGCGGAGGTGAAAATGTTGGAGCACTCGAAAACAATCTGGAAAAAATTCTGATTTTTTTCAAAGGCTCCTCAAATCGTACCTGTGTATCTTCTTCCAAAATTGGGGGCAAAACGACGCTCCGCCGTTGCCACGTGGCAGAATTTTGTGGTTCATCGATTATTGTATCAAGTAACATCTCGTGATTCTCAGTTTCAGCGAAATTTCCAGATTTTTTCAGATAAATCTGGAAAATTTGAATTTTGCTTTGAAAAAATTTCAAAAAAATAGAGTTACCCTAAGTCTAGCATCTCCTTTTCTCTGATATTTATAAGCGAAAATTCGAAGATTTTTGGATTTTGGAATCGGCGAAGAAATAGCGCGAGATTGTCGGATTCCTCCAAATTTGCCTTGAGCCAACAAAAATGGACCATCTGTTTAAAAAAAAAAGTGAGTAGGGCTCATGAGGAACCGATCCCCGGACCTTGTGATTCATACAATTTACCTAGACGTTGCTTATTTTCTTTGAAAAAAGTGGGCGCTGCTTATTTTTCTCTGCGTCTCTCTAAATAATACATAGGCGCTGCTAAGCTCCGCCCACTTTTTCGAAAATAAGCAGCGCCTATGTATAACATTGAGAGACGCAGAGAAAAATAAGCAGCGCCTGGATTTTATGAGCCAGAAGGTGCGGGGATCGGTTCTTGGTGGTCAACAAATTTTTTATTTTTTTTCATATTCAAATTTTCCCTCCCAAAAAAACCATACCACTTTTCAAAACCTCCGGCTTCCCGCCAAAAACAGCCATTCCAACGACATTCCACGGTTCCGCCAGATGCCATCCACAAATTCCACGCGAAAAGTCACAAAAATCCTCTTGGCATCGAGCCAAAATGTATAAAAATTGACCAAGCAACAAAAATCTCCACATTTTTTGACCTACTTTTTGTGTACCCAAAAATTGTTCCTGGTCAATTAAAAAATCCGGATTTTCCATGAAAAAAGTGGGGGGCGGAGTCAAAAATTTCATACATTTAAACAATTTCGCAAAAAAAAAATTGGAGAAAAAATACCCGACACACAAGCTTATATGGGCGCCAAAGAAAAAAAAACGAAATTTGAAAAATTTTAAAGGGGGAGGGGAGGGGTACTGTAGGAAGTGAGCTACAGTAGTCTTTAACAACATCCACCATTTCCGGTTTGACGTTGTCCTTGTCCAGGAACCACAGTCTCGTTTTTGTGCTCGTCTGATGATTCGGGCATCTGAAATTTGAAATTTTTCAATTTTCCACTAGAAAATTTGAATATTCAATACATAGGCGCTGCTTATTTTCAAAAAGTGGGCGGAGCTTAGCAGCGCCTATGCATTATTTCGAGAGACGCAGAGAAAAATAAGCAGCGCCCACATTTCTGCATTGAAAAGTGGGCGCTGCTTATTTTTCTCTGCGCTCTCTCAACTTAATACATAGGCGCTGCCTATTTTCAAAAAGTGGGCGGAGCTTAGCAGCGCCTATGCATTATTTCGAGAGACGCAGAGAAAAATAAGCAGCGCCCACATTTCTGCATTGAAAAGTGGGCGCTGCTTATTTTTCTCTGCGCTCTCTCAACTTAATACATAGGCGCTGCCTATTTTCAAAAAGTGGGCGGAGCTTAGCAGCGCCTATGCATTATTTTGAGAGAGCGCAGAGAAAAATAAGCAGCGCCTTAAATTCTTCAACAAAAAGTGGGCGCTGCTCATTTTTCTCTGCGCTCTCTCAATTTAATACATAGGCGCTGCTTATTTTCGAAAAAGTGGGCGGAGCTTAGCAGCGCCTATGTATTATTTTGAGAGAGCGCAGAGAAAAATAAGCAGCGCCCACTTTGAAGCGCATTTCCTCTGGCGTCAAAACACGCTGCAAACTCAAAAATTCAACTTTTTGGCGCCAAAAATCCAGTTTTCGTCTAATGTGTTCAATTTAATTGAGAGAATAAGTAACTTTTTCATAAATTTTCGCAATTATATGGGACAAAAGCTACTAAATGGATGATACAGGATAATTATAGGTTGAAAAAAGTGAGGAAAAGCTGGTTTTTTTGACAGGTAGGTCAAAAAAATCAGATTTGGGGATTTCTTGGCGCCAAAAATTTCCTGTGCTTCTTTTTTCTCAAAAATTTCACTCACCTTGGCCAAAATCGCCTCAGCCAAATCATAAAATGCGGTGTCAACGTGGACATTGAGTTTTGCCGATGTTTCGTGAAATCTGAAATTGAAATAATTGATTTTTGGCTGAAAATTCCAGATTTCCCCTCGAAAAACTCACTTAATCTGATGATCCTGTGCAATTTTTTCGCCTCTTTCTCTACTCACAACTCTTCGATCAGCCATATCACATTTATTTCCCAGCAACATTTTTACCACATCTTCAGAGGCGTGCTGAAAAAAATTATAGAGGGTTTTTGTGCTGAAAATTTCAGAAAATTCGGATTTTTGCGATCAGGAGCAAGATTTTGAGCCAAAATTCGACTTTTTTTTTAGGTAAAACATGAGCTCCGCCGCCCGTTTTTAGTGAAATTTTGAATTTTTGAGCTCTGGAGCTAAATTTTGATATCAAAATTTAATTTCAGGTCAAAAATAAGCCCCAGAACTAAAATTTGACTCAAAAACATGCTCCAGGGCTCATTTTCCACTCAAAAAATCGATTTCTAGCTCATTTTCTCGCATTTTTCTTTATTTTCTCCATCAAAAACCCGTAATTCTTACCTCATCAATATTTCTCAACCATTTCGCAATATTATCAAAACTCTTCGCATTCGTAATATCATAAACCAACATAATTCCCATCGCACCGCGATAATATGATGTTGTGATTGTGTGGAAACGCTCTTGTCCGGCTGTATCCCTGCAAAAACGTGGATTTTTAGGTGGAAATTTGAATTTTTCATGATTTTCACGCTAAAAATCAATATTCTTTCCAAAAACCCACCAAATTTGTAGCTTGATCTTCTTTCCTTTCAATTCAATCGTCTTGATTTTGAAATCGATTCCTGAAATGACAAAAAATCGATAATTCGTGGTGAGCAGAATGAGAGACGCAGAGTTTATACATAGGCGCTGCTATTTTAAAAGTGGGTGGAGCTTAGCAGCGCCTATGCAATATTTTGAGAGAGTGCAGAGAAAAATAAGCAGCGCCCACTTTTTCCCAAGCTAATTCTTGGGCGCTGCTTATTTTTCTCTGCGTCTCTCAAGTTTATACATAGGCGCTGCTAATTTTTCCTCAAATAACCAGCGCCTAGATAGATTTTTGACCAAAATCACTGAATTTCGGCTCAAAATCTTTTATTTTTCACCGGCAAAACCGAAAAACTCACCAATTGTTGAGATGAAAGTTGTGTTGAATGCGTCATCAGAAAATCGATATAGAATGCAAGTTTTTCCGACACCTGAATCTCCTATGAGCAATAATTTGAACAACATATCATATGGGCGGCGAGCCATGTTTTTGTCTGAAAATCGGAGAATTTGGGGGGTCAAGAGGGAGATTGACGCGTTTTTTGTAGGGAAAATACAAGAAAATGAGAAAAAATTCGAAAAAATCAAAAACAGGTCGAAAATTGTGAAATTTTCGCGCAAAATCTCAACAACTTTCGCAAATATTTCATAATTTTCTCAAATTTTTCTCGAGAAAAAAACGTGGCCAGAAAAGCCATTTCTCGAAAAAACACGCGAAAAAAAACCACATGTTGTACAGCTGCACTAGAGTAATTATAAGACACCTGGCGAAAAATTTGAAAATTCATCGATTTTTGTACGAAAAGTGGGGAAATTTATTGATTTTTCCGTATTTTTAAATAGCGAAAATGACTCATTGTGTGTGCCAAAAAGGGCAGAAAAACGAAAAGAAATAGACATTTTTTAATTTGACAGAAAGACGAGGCGAGAGATTGAGAGACGCAGAGAAAAATAGGGAGAAAATCGATAGGCGAGAGAGTGGGGGGTGCAGAGAAGCAGATACATTTTTACTCATAAATTTCAGAAAAGGGTTTCCTTGTGAATTGAAGAGTTTAAAAAAGTTTCCGTTTTGATGGGAAAATCAAGGAAAAATTGAATTTTAATTGAAAATCACTGAAAAATGAGATTTTTATCAATTTTTAGACATTTTTTCGGAAAAAAAACTTTGAGAAGATAACACAAAAATTGTTCGTTTTCTAAAAAAATGAAGAAATTTCTCGTTCTTCGCGAAAAACATCAATATTTGTTCGGAAATTGCGAAATTCGTGTTCTTCTCGAAAAATGAAAAAAACGGGGAAAAGCGTGCGGCGCGGTTGCAGAAAGTGTGTGCGAGGTGCGGCGAAAAGGGGCGTGGTCAATGAATTGGAGGTTTTTTTCGCGTTTTTAGTGGTTTTTCAGTTTTGCCAGGAATTTCAGCTATTTTCAGATGGCTACAACGATAAACTTGATCAAAAGTGAACCGCTTTCAAGTCAAAAACGATGGGTTGTGGTTTATCCGGCGTATATTGACAAAAAACTATCGACAAAACAGGGACGACGAATTTCCAAACTTTTGGTGAGTTTTTGGGGCTTTTTAGGTGAAAAATGAACATTTAAACAAAATACACGATTTCCAGGCCGTGGAGAATCCGACTTCTGTGGAAATTCACGATGTTTTGGCGGCGAATGGCATGAATCCACTTTTGGAGGTAATTATTGATTTTTGTGTGCGAAATGACATTTGGATGGAATTTTCTAGGATCTGAAGCTGAAAATCTTGAAAATCTCAATCCAGAACCAAGTTTTTTGTGAAAAATCAATTTTCCCATCCCAAACCCTCAAATTTTTCCAGCGCAACAAAATGTATCCACGTTGCGGTGATCGTGAGCCGGAAACGCAAGGAAGAGTTCGAGTTCAAATCAAAAACGACGATGGAAGTGCGAAAAATGCGCAATTTTCGTCAAGTTAGTGAAAATTCATCGAAAATACTGAATTTTTCATGAATTTTGGTGTATTTCTAGTCAAAAAACGTCAAATTCCATTCCAGGAGACTCAATCTACAAATCGATCGCTGAAATGATTCCAAAACTCAAAACTCGTCAACCCGGATATGTTGCTCCTTCGAATTCTGGAAATCCGTCTGGAAGTGGAGCGGCTGCAAAGAAGAATAAGAAGAAGAAGTAAAATTTGGGCTAACTTGTTGTGTTTTTATATTTATTCAGATTTTTATTATAAAAAATGTATTTATTTCAGGTGTGATTTTGGTGAAAAATCGATTTTTTCGCGGAAAAAATTGAGTTCGGGATACAATGTTTGGAGAGTTTAGCAGCGCCTATGCATTATTTTGAGAGACGCAGAGAAAAAAGTGGGCGCTGCTTATTTTTTCTGCGTCTCTCAATTTAATGCGTAGGCGCTGCTTATTTTCAAAAAAGTGGGCGGAGCTTAGCAGCGCCTATGCATTATTTTGAGAGACGCAGAGAAAAATAAGCAGCGCCCACATTTCTGCATTGAAAAGTGGGCGCTTCTTATTTTTCTCTGCGCTCTCTCATAGGCGCTGCCCATCTCTAATTTTTCATGCTCCACCCATTTTTGCTCAAAAACTACTACTAGTAAATACTTGTAGAAAACCCGGCGAAGAGAAAAAAATAACATAAGCAGCGCAAAAAATCTCAAGGGATCCAAAAATAAGCAAAAAGTGTTGAAGTGTCTCATTTTTTCCTCTTCTTCCACTTTTTTTCAAGTTTTCGCGAGTTTTCGTTTTTTTTTTGCTCCAGAAAAGAGCATGTGAAGAAAAAAGAGGATTTTTATTACTCCATCATTTTTTTTGCGCGCGAAAAACGCGCCGCCGCCCGCTTTTTTTTACGACCAGAAAACCTTTAATCCTTGCTTGGCTTTTTTTGGGTAGAAAAAAGAAAATGGCATTTTTTTTGGGTATACGTTTCGATTTTTTCAAAAAGTACAGCTGACGCAATTTTTGTACCCAAAGCACTTTTTTCAAACTTCTTATCAGAAAATGATAATTTTCTCGATTTTTATATAAAAAATTAATTTTCAGATGCTCAAAAATTGGCGCGAAGTCTAGAAAACGAGAGAAAAATGCGAGGAGAACGAGGTGAGTGCAAAAAATATCAACCTACAAATTTCGCGTCAGCAAACCCCACCTTGACGCATTTCTCGTGCCCCTTGGGCCAATTTGTCGAGTATTTTCGATTTATTATATATTTTTACAACTTTTTTCTCTCCTCGAAACATAACATTTGTTGTGTGTGTTCATTTCAATTTAGCCTAACTCACCTCCCGGTCAAATGAGAGAAAAAAGAGCACAAGACACTTATTACAACTCTTTCCCCGATTTTTTCGTGTTTTTTTTTGTTTTCTATCAGAGAAAATTACTATTTTTAATTTTGGAACTACAAAATATACGTCAACCTCACTCTTTACTGACGCATTTCTCGTTTTTGCAGCCAACTCATTTTCATACCATCTTCCATCTTCTCATTTTTCATCATCAAATGGCTCAGCTTTAACTACAACTTCAGAACGACATCCACTTTTGGCGCCAAATTCAAATTCAAACAATTTTTATATTGATTCAAGTAATTGTCGATATCATAGGAACAATAGTCAGCTACAGCTACAGTACCCACAATCAAATTATAGTACGGTAGGTCAAAGGGGAAATGTACTTCTAGTAGCCGACTACAGAAAATCCTTTTTTCTCTGCACTCTCTCAATTTAATACATAGGCGCTGCTTATTTAAAAAAAAAAGGGGCGGAGCTTAGCAGCGCCTATGCATTATTTGGAGAGACGCAGAGAAAAATAAGCAGCGCCCAAATTTCTCCATTGAAAAGTGGGCGCTGCTTATTTTTCTCTGCGCTCTCTCAATTTAATACATAGGCGCTGCTTATTTTCAAAAAGTGGGCGGAGCTTAGCAGCGCCTATGTATTATTTTGAGAGACGCAGAGAAAAATAAGCAGCGCCTAAAATTGCCTGTTTTTCTCTGCGTCTCTCATAGGCGCTGCTTACATCTACTGACGCATTTTATGTAGCTACCAAAATGGCGTCAGCAAACCCCTATGGCGCAATTTTTGTAGCTAAACCTGATTTTTTGGCGCCAAAATTCCCAAAAGAGTGATTTGTCTTTTTTTTTTTTTTTTTTTGAAAAAACCTAGATAAAAAAGTACCTGGGTATTTTCACTACTTTTTTGGCGTCAGCAAAATTCTATATAATTGCTGACGCATTTCTAGTAGCCTACCAAAAACACGTCAACCGCAAATGTTCCTCTCTTCCAGATGAATGGCTACGGTCCACGAAAACCCGCTCCACCTACAGTACCTCACCGTAACCCGTTTGCAGTCCAACAACAACAACCAAGAAGGTACAGTACAGTAACCCTACAGTAACCCCACAATTTTTGTAGGCCGCCCATTGAAGCAGATGAGGAGGATTCGATCAATTGCTCGCCTTGTTGTGATGACCCAAATGTCAGGTACGGTAGCTACAGTAACCCTAGAGTACTGTAGATTTCAAGGGCCCCGAATTTGATCTATCTACAGTAACCCTCCTAGAGTACTGTAGGTTCAAAAAGTTCAATTTTTGCTCACACATTTTCAAGTATTTAGCAGAGTTCATTTTTTCTCTGCTTCTCTAACCGCTCTCCTCTTTCTCTGCACTCTCTCACCGCTCTTTTCTCTCTCTTTTTTTTATCTTTGCAAAAAAAAAATTTTTTTTGGGCGAAAAAATTTCATTTCGAAAATTTCGTATGTTTTGAGAACACTGTGAAATTGATATATTTTTTTTTGGAAAAAAAAATTTTTTGATTAAAAAATATTTCTAGATATGAAATTCGAGGAGATACTGTAAGTTTTTTGAAAAAAAATGTGTGGAAAAAATTTTTAAGCCGATTTTCGGTGAGAATTACATGGGGGATTATTTTCTTATCAATTTTTCCCGGAAAAATTCAACTTTTTCCCGGGGAAAGTTGATTTTCCACGTGGAAATCGGGAATTTTTCCAAAATCTCAGAAATTCCCTGTGATTTTCGAGTTCCCCATGAAATTCCGGTCAGTTTGAGTATAAACATCACTATATTTGAAGAAATTTGAAAATCCACCTACAGTAGTGGGTCCCACCACGAAAATTTGCAAATCTACAGTAACCCCATCATGTTTAGACTCAAAATTCCCCAAATTTCACGGCGAATCCAAAAAAATCAATGAAAATTCCCGGGGACCCCTGGGAGACCTACAGTACTCTAGAAAATATTGATTTTTTCAGCCGCACCCTAAAAGCGCTGGTCCTGGGACAAGTTTTATCGTTGTGTTTGTGCGGGACGGGAGTTTCGAGTCAACTTTTGGCAGATCGTGGTGTAAAAGCGCCGGCAGGTCAGTTTTAGGTCAAAATTTCAGAATTTTGACAAAAAATCTGAAATTTTCAGCCAAAACTGTCCAAAAACAGTGATTTTCAGCCATTTTCAGCCGAAAAATGTCTGAAATTTTTTTTGCAGCTCAAAGTTTCACCAACTATTTCCTACTGTGCTTTGTGTACTGTGTCAGTTTGGCGTGTAAAACCGATGAGGATGGATTATTGGATGTTTTGAGGAAAAGAGGATGGAGGTATGCTCAAAAATCTACAGTACTCCGAGTTCTAGAAACTTTCAGATGTTTTACTTGTGATTTTTGGGCTCCCCGTGAAATTTGGGGAATTTTGAGTATAAACATGATGGGGTTACTGTAGATTTGCAGGTTTTCGTGGCAGGACCCACTACTGTAGGTGCTCCAAAAATAGTGATGTTTATACTCAAACTGACCGGAATTCCACGTGGAATCTCATGGCAACAGTGAAATTTCATGAAAAACCACCGTACTCCTACAGTATTGGGTCCTGCCACGAAAACCTCCAATTCTACAGTAACCCCCATCATGTTTATACTCAAAATTCCCCAAATTCCACGTGGATGCCAATGAGCTACAGTACTCTTCTTCCAGATACCTGGTTTTGGCAATAATCGACGTGGAAGCGAATTATATGATTGTGAAAGCGTATCAATACACAAATCTGACATCGATTCAATTATTGGATTGTGCCACAATACCTACAGTACTCTTTCTATCCTGGCTATTTTTATCGGTTCGATATTTGGCAACACATATTATTGGTGAGTGGGTTACTGTGGGTTACTGTGGGTTACTGTAGACCCGGCCGGAAATTTGGAGCATTTTGAGTGTAAATAAGGGGGGGGGGGTACTGTATGTTCCTTTAATTATTAATAGGTTGCTCTTCTTAGTTAATATGAGCAATGCTGCTTTAAAGGAACACGAAACTTTAAAAAATAGATTAACATGAGCAATTCGGAGCATTTTGAGTGTAAATAAGGGGGTACTGTATGATCCTTTAAGAATATGTTACTTTAAAAGTTGGAAATTGCATTGCTCATGTTAAACTGAATCTAATAGAGATTAATATGAGCAATGTTAAAGGCACACAAAGTATTTTGACTAATATGAGCAATGCAAAAATCTACAGTAACCCCATCTTGTTTATACTCAAAATGACCGGAATTCCACGTGGAGTCTCGTAAAAATCATTAAAACTTCTGAAATTTTCTAGAAATTCAGAAAAATCGAAGAATCTGGATTTTCAGAACCTAAACTTCGATCTTCTGAAAGTTCTAGAAGTTTTCAGAATTCCACGTGGCTTCCATTGGATTCCCCGTGAAATTTGTGGAATTTTGAGTATGAACATGATTGGGTTACTGTAGATTTGCGAATGGAATCTGAAACCACGTGGAATCTGAAAATGGCTGAAATTTTTTGCAGGTGTCACAATTTGCCTGGTCGGAATTGCGTGTGTGATTTGGGCCGATGCGTTGGGCGATAAGAATTCGCTGGATGGTAAGGAAATTCCAAATTTTCAGCTGGAAAATCGATTTTTGACCAATTTTAGGCTGAAAATTTCAGATTTTCGGCTCAAAAATCACCATTTTCAGCTATTTTCAGCTAAATTTTTTTTCAGACGATTCCAACAAAGTTCTGGGTGACTTCCTGTGCCTTGCCGCAGCTGTTCTATACGCGATTTGTAATGTGGCTGAAGAATTTCTAGTCAAACAATATTCACGAACCGAATATTTGGGAATGTTGGGACTTTTTGGTTGTATTGTGTCGGGTATTCAATTGTGAGTTTTTTCGCGGAAAAATTTGAAATCCACGTGGAATTTGGAGCATTTTGAGTATAAACATGATGGGGTTACTGTAGGGGTTTTCGTGGTGGGACCCAATACTGTAGGAGTACGGTGGATTTCCATCAAATTTGAATGTCACCATGAGATTCCACGTGGAATTCCGGGCAGTTTGAGTATAAACATTTTTTTATTTTTTTTTGGAGCACCTACAGTAGTGGGTCCCACCACGAAAATCTCCAATTCTACAGTAACCCTATCATGTTTATACTCAAAATTCCCCAAATTTCACGGGCAATCCAATGGAAGCCACGTGGCCTTCTGAAATCTTCTAGAACTTTCGAAAGATCGAAGTTTAGGTTCTGAAAATCCAGATTCTTCGATTTTCCTTGAGTTCTAGAATTTTACAGAAGTTTTGATGATTTTCACGAGAATCCACGTGGAATTCCGGTCAGTTTGAGTATAAACATCACTACTTTTGGACCACATAAATTTTCAATGGTCCCACCAGCAAAACCTACAGTACCCCTATCATGTTTATACTCAAAATGCTCCAAATTTCACGGCAAATCCGAAAATTCCATTTTCAGAGCAATTTTCGAGCCACAAAATCTGGAATCTGTAATCTGGGATGGTCCGACAATCGCCTACTTTGCTCTTTTCGCATTTTCCATGTTCATTTTCTACAGTTTTGTTACCGTAGTCCTTCAAAAAACCTCAGCTCTAATGTTCAATTTATCCACGTTGACAGCCGATTTTTATTCCCTTCTTTTTGGCATTTTTTTGTTCAAGGATACGGTAGGCTACAGTAATCAGACTGCAAAAATCGATAATTTATATGTTTTTGCAGTTCCATTATTTGTATTTTGTATCGTTTGTGATTTGCATCATTGGAATGATCATTTATTCGCTGCGAGATACACAGGTACGGTAGATTTGGGGGGTTTTCGTGGTGGGACCCACTACTGTAGCTGGAAAATGTTTGTAGTCCAAAAATAGTCATGTTTATACTCAAACTGACCGGAATTCCACGTGGAATTCGAATTTTGATACTAGAATTTCAGAACAATTCTAGAACTCTGGAAAAACACGAAAATCTACAGTAACCCCATCATATTTGGTCTCAAAATGACCCAAATTTCAAGTAGATTATGAAAATCCCTAAATCTACAGTAACCCTGTCATATTTATACTCAAAATGACCAGAATCACAAAATCAACCTTAATTTAGCCTAAGTCAACAGTAATCCTATCATATTTGGTCTCAAAATTATCCAAATTCCACGTAGATCATAGATCACCCACATTTTTTGCAGACACGCGACGCAGACGAGCCGCGTCGCGTCTGCCCGTGCCTCTTCTTCTGCTGCTGCTGTTGTTCGTGTTGTTTCGAGGATGGCGAAAGTGTCGAGGGTTCCATCGATGTTTCGCCAACTCCAAATGAGCGAATGCAAATGGGCCTGAACCCGAGATATTCGCTAAGTCCGTGTCCAGTTCATCATCATCAGAATCAGAATTCAAATCCGGATAATAATTTGACTAGACTCTAGTTTATCTAATTTTTTTCAAAAAAAGTGCTGGTTTTAAATTTAAATCACTTATTTTGTTAAAACGGGTGAATAATAAATTTTTGGAATTTTTTTTTATTAAACTAGACTCTAGTTTTGAAAATTTTTATTCGTTGGATGAAAACTTGAGAAAGATATTTGTTGGTAGAAGCCGTAAGCAAAGAATCAGGGGCGGGTTACTGTAGTAGCTACAGTACTCTCTCCAGGAGTACTGTAGGTACAGTAATCCAGGCTATTTACAATGGAATGTGAGATAAGTTAAGGTAAGTAGAAAGCACAGAGAAACAATTATTATGGCCAAAAAGTGTCAAAAATGGGGGTAGGCCTAAAAAAAGCCTAAAAATCCGGATTTTTCGGCCCGAAAAAGCCTAATTATCAGGCTTTTTCGATTTCAGCTCCATTTCTTCGAGGGTTTTTTGTAGATATTCGATTCGTTTGTCTTTCCAATCCATTTCGAATCGAAGACTATCAATGTCTTTCTGAAAATTCGAGAAAAATTGGAATTTTTGGGAGTTTTCAGGATTTTTGTGTGGAAAATCTGGAATTTTCAGAAAATTTGGAATTTTTTGAATATAAATTTTGAAAGGAAAAAAACATTGCTCATGTTAGGAAAAATTTGAGAAAACTAGAGTCTAGTTTTCAAAAACTTCACAACTGTTTACAAGCCTGAACTAGACTCTAGTCTGAAATTCAAACTAGACTCTAGTTTTGAAAAATTGCCAGAAAATTCATCGGAATTTAGAAATTCTGAAACTAGACTCTAGTTGACTATTTGAGATAACTAGAGTCTAGTTTTGTTCAATAGCTAAAAATTTTAATTTTCATGAATTTCAGCTCAAAAAATCGCAAATTTTCAGATTTTTCGCTAATTTTGAAGCAAAGTTCTGAAATTTTTTGAAAATTTTTAGAAAAAATTTTTTTTTTGAAAATTCTGAAAAATCGCCTGAAATTAAAATTTGATGAATTTCAGCTCAAAAAATCGCAAATTTTCTGAATTTTTCGAAATTTTCAGCCCTAACCTGCTGAAATTGACAAATCTTCTCCAATCTCGAACATTTCACATCCGATTTCCGCAACTGTTTTTGTAGTTGTAAAAGTGATTGTTGAAGGACTGCCTCATCAGAAGAGCACGGTGTTTTTTGGCTCAAAATTTCAGAATTTTCAGAATCTTCTTCATCCAGATTCTCATTTTCCAGCAGATTTTTCGAAGATCCAGCTTCATCTTCTTCTGATTTTCTCGATGTTTTTGAGCAACAATACGATAAAAGTGATAAGGATGTTGGTTTTGAGGAATTTTCGTTCCAGGCGCCAAAAACCATCTCTCGATCCTGGAAATTTTCAGATTTTTGAAGGAATTTGCTGAAAATATGGAAATTTTCAGTGAAAAAATGAGCTAAACTTCAAGATTTTCAGAAAAATCCCAAGTTTTCAGCTAAAATTCGAAAATTTGGGCATAGCTTCCGCATCTCTGCCAAAAATCCAAAATTTCACTGAAAAAATCAGAGTTTTCAGTGAGATTTCAGATTTTCAGCAAATTTTGCATTAGAACTATTGATTTTCAGAGTTACAACTGAAATTTATCTGAAAATCTCAAATTTTCATGTGAAAACACAAGTAAACCTGCATTTTCCTATGAAAAATTCGAGATTTTCAGATAAATTTCAGGCAAAGCTTTTAGCTGACGCATTTTGTGTAGTCTAGGCTACAGAAAATGCGTCAAGCCTTTATGATACCAAAAATGCGTCAGCAAAGCTTCTAAAAATACGCCAAGGCTTCTAGCTGACGCATTTTTCGTAGGCTATCAAAATTCATCCAAAAATCTCGAAATTTCATGTGAAAACACAAGTAAACCTGCATTTTCCTATGAAAAAATTCGAGATTTTCAGATAAATTTTGGGATTTTTGCGGGGAAAAATGCTCAAAATATCATAAAAATCAGATTTTCTTGTAAAAATAACTCAAAAACCTGATTTTTACTCATTTTTAGCTCAAAAATTTCCAAAATTTCAATTAAAAATCTCGCGCGGAGCCAAGAAAAATGCTCAAATTTCTCGGCTCATTCTGAAAAACAAGCTTTTCCCAATTTAATTGCATTTCACATTTTTGGCGCCAAAAAAAAGATCGAATTTCGTCGTGAAAATGGGGAAGAAAATAAGGAAAAGTGTTGCGTTTTTCGAAAAAATTTTGGTTTTTCGAAAAGAAAACAAAAAAATCTCCGGGGATTTTGGATTTTGTGACAAAAAGGACAATTTATGAGCAATAATTTTTGGCGGGACCAAAAATTGTGTTTTGGGTTAATAAGTGTGAGAAAAATAGCTGAAAATCGATTTTTGGCTGAAATTTCCGAATTTTTATCAATTTTGGCTCAATTTTCATGATTTCTAGCTCAAAATTCATCAAATTTTCCAATTTTTCGCTCAAAATCCCCCTAAATCCCTTACCAATTTAGTTATAAGCTCATTATCTTCTTGTTCTTCTTCATCTTCAGTTTCATCAATTGTATCCTCGTCCAAAGTCTCCAGAACAGCCTGATTTGGAAGGCCGAAACTTTCGGTCATTTTTCGAATTTCTTCTTCGAGCGGCGATGGATTTTCAGCAATTTCAGAGGCTTCTAGACTGAGTTTTGATGGTTTTTTGAGCTCTGGAGCAGAATTTTGAGCTTCTGGAGGTCCTGGAGCTGAAATTTCAGCCTGGGAAGCTCCTGGAGCAGAAATTTCAGCCTGGGAAGCTCCTGGAGCAGAAATTTCAGCCTGGGAAGCTCTAGGGGTGGTTTTCTGAGCTTCTGAAGATCCTGGAGCAGATTTCTGAGCTTCTGAATGTTCTGGAGCAGATTTTTCGGATTTTCCAGATTCTGGAGCACTTTTGGATGATTTTTCGACTTCTGAAGCACTTTTGGATGATTTTTTGACTTCTGGAGCACTTTTTTGAGTCTTCAAATCTTCTGGAGCAGGTTTTGAAGCTTCTGAAGATTCTGGAGCTGATTTTTGAGCTTGGATTGATTCTGGAGCAGATTTCTGAGCTTCTGGAGGTTCTGGAGCAGATTTTGAAGCTTCAGAAGGTTCTAGGGCACATTTCTGAGCTTCTGGAGGTTCTGGAGCACTTTTGGATGATTTTTCGTCTTCTGCAGCTGATTTTCCTGATCTTTCCGCTTCTGGAGCCAAATTTTCAGCGTTTCCAGCTTCTGGAGCCAAATTTTCAGCTTTTTCAGCTTCTTCCTCATTTTCAGCATCGGCTTTGATGGTTTTCAGCGATTCCGACATCACCAGAATCGGCTCTGATTTTCTGGAAAATTAGGGTTAATTATTTTCAGATTTTCAGCTGTTAGAAGCTGAAAATCACGATTTTCAGCTGGAAAATCGATATTTTCAGCGTTTTTCAGCCAAAATTCACGAATTTCAGCATTTTCAGCCCAAAAACCCCTTACACATCGTGTTCCTCTTCGTCATCCAAACAAAATTCCTCATCTTCTGGCGTCGCAATTGGCGCCGTGCCAGGATTACTGTAGATTCGTCGAATGGTTGATTGAATATGATGATTTTCTTCTACATCATCATCTACCGTACTCCTTTGATGTGTTGGCGAAGATTCGGTGGTGGTGGGGAGACTACGGTAGTCGGGTCGGGTTACCTGCAAAAATTTCCAGAATTTTGGCTGAAAATCTGGGATTTCGTGGATTTTCAGCTAGAAATTCGAAAATTTGGGCATAGCTTCCGCATGTCTACCAAAAATCCCAAATTTCACTGAAAAAATCGGGAGTTTTCAGTGAAATTTCAGATTTTCAGAGTTAGAACCAGAATTTATCTGAAAATCTCGAAATTTCATGTGAAAACACAAGTAAACCTGCATTTTCCTATGAAAAATTCGGGATTTTCAGATAAATTTCAGGCAGAGCTCTTTGCTGACGCATATTGTGTAGTCTAGGCTACAGAAAATGCGTCAGCAAAACTTTATGGAATAAAAATCGTTAAAAAACATTTTGCTGACGCAATTTTTGTAGGCTAAAGCGTCAGCAACCTAATTGACCTACAAAAACTACGCCAAGGCTCATAGCTGACGCGTTTTTTGTAGCCTACCAAAATTAATCCAAAAATCTCGAAATTTCATGTGAAAACACAAGTAAACCTGCATTTTCCTATGAAAATCCGGGATTTTCAGATAAATTTTGGAAATTTTCAGGGATTTTCAGCCAATTTACCTGTGTCAAAAACGCAAATTTCCTATCCTGTATACATTTTACACGTGACGTCATTTCGTTGTTTGTACAAAGTCGGGCGGCAGCCCGACTTTCTCCAAATGGTGATGGCACTATTCTGAAGATGGGCAAAATTTTGGAATTTAGGTCAATTTTAGGCGAAAAATTCGGGATTTTCAGCAATTTTCAGCCAAAAATCACAATTTTACACACAAAAAACGATGAAAACCACCTAAGATTTCCTAATAAAAAAAATCACATGATTTTATTTATAGCCCCATATAATACAAAAAAAATCCAGTTTTCTCTCAAGAGGAATAGATACTTGTGAGAAAAAGGTGAGAAAAGTGAAATTTTTTCGAGATTTTCAGTGGAAAATTTGAAATTGGCTGGAATTTTCAGATTTTTTTGGTATGAAGAATTTTGAGCTCTCAAAGTTGAAAATCCCAAAAAATTCAAAAAATTGGGCATAGCTTCCGCATCTCTGCCAAAAATCCCAAATTTCACTGAAAAAATCGGAGTTTTCAGTGAAATTTCAGATTTTCAGCAAATTTGCAGTGTGTGGGTCAAAATTTGTCTGAAAATCTCAAAATTTCATGTGAAAACACAAGTAAACCTGCATTTTCCTATGAAAAATCGAGATTTTGAGGCAAATTTTGAAATTTTAAGCTCTGGGCTCAATTTTCAGTCCCAAAATTCAAATTTTTCCAAAAAATTCAAAAATTTGGGCATAGCTTCCGCATCTCAGCCAAAAATCCCAAATTTCACTGAAAAAATCGCAGTTTTCAGTGAGATTTCAGATTTTCCGCAAACTTTTCATTGGATCTCGTGATTTTCAGTGTTAGAACCAAAATTTATCTGAAAATCTCAAAATTTCATGTGAAAACACAAGTAAACCTGCATTTTCCTATGAAAAATCGGGATTTTCAGGCAAATTTCGAAAATTTGGGCATAGCTTCCGCATCTCTGCCAATTTCCCATTGAAAACCCGCAACTTCACTGAAAATCCCCCAAATTTTCAGTGAAATTCCGGATTTTCAATGGGAAATCGACAAATTTTCATTTCACAAGGTAAGTTAGGTTAAGTCCCGCACCCAAAAATTAGATATTCACTCAAAAATGATTAGTAACATTTAAAGGAACATAAAAATACCATCGAAAATCGGCCAAAAACCTTATTAAAACACATTTATTTCCTTAAAGAAATTGAAAAATTATGAAAAATCAAAAAAAAAAATCGGATAAAATTAGAAAAAAAATGAAAATAATATGCTGAATCGGTGAAAAATGGGATCAAAAAGCCTTAAAACTAGGAAATTTTCACTGAAAATCTCGCGGGAAGAGGGAAAATACTAGGGGCAGTGAAGAAAAACGGGGAAAAATCTCGAAAAATCGGTGAAAAATGAATGAGCACAAAAATTTAAAAAATAAGTCTGAAATTTTCAGAAAAAAACGAAGGGGGCGGCATTTTTAAGCCAAATTTTGCTGTTTCGGGATGAAAATGGGTAAAAACTTAGAGAGAGAGGCACTTAAACACCTAAATTTTTGAAGAAAATCGAAAAAAAACAATGGAATGCGGGGAGATTTTGGCTGAAAATCGGGCGGGAATCTGGAAATCTGGGGCTGAAAATCTGATTTTCAGCTATAGATTTCGTAAACGGGGAAGAGGTTTCTAGCTGAAAATCATGAAATTCAAGCTGGGGAGCTCAAAATTTCAGATTTTCAGCTAAAAGTCGTCTGAAATTCTAAATCTCCATCTGAAAATCCAGGTCAAGCCTAGATTTTCCCATGGAAACCTCGAAAATCAGTTTTTCGGCTAAAAATCATGAAATTCAAGCTGGAGAGCTCAAAATTTCAGATTTTCAGCTAAAAATTGTCTGAAATTCTAAATCTCCATCTGAAAACCAAGGTCAAGCCTAGATTTTCCCATGGAAACCTCGAAAATCAGTTTTTCGGCTGAAAATCATGAAATTCAAGCTGGAGAGCTCGGAATTTCACAATTTTCAGCCAGGAATCTTCTAAATCTCCATCTGAAAATCCAAGTCAAGCCTGAATTTTCCCATGGAAACCTCGAAAATCCCCCCACCCAATTCCCAGCCATTTTTCTATATTTTGTGGTACATATATCAAATAAAATAGTCTAAATCTCTACAATTTCTGAAAATATATAACTGAAATCTCTACAGTTCCTTCTTAGTTTCCAGCGCTTTGTCTTCAACCATCAATTCGAAATAAACCATTCCTAGGCGAGTCGAAACATCGTGTTCGATGTTCAATGCATAAGCACGGCATTCTACGATCACCAATTTATTCTTGGGCAATTCGAGGAATTTGAGGAAGGCAATTGGTTGTTGGTATGACTGCAAAATATATTATTTTAGGAGAATTTTGGCTGAAAATCTGGGATTTTCAGCTAAAAAAATTGAAAATTTGGGCATAGCTTCCGCATCTCTGCCAAAAATCCCAAATTACACTGAAAAAATCGGGAGTTTTCAGTGAAATTTCAGATTTTCAGCAAGTTTTGCATTAGAACTATTGATTTAGAACCAAAATTCATCTGAAAATCGCGAAATTTCATGTGAAAACACAAGTAAACCTGCATTTTCCTATGAAAAATTCGAGATTTTCAGATAAATTTCAGGCAAAGCTCTTAGCTGACGCATATTGTGTAGTATAGGCTACAGAAAATGCGTCAGCAAAACTATATTGACCTACTATTTTGTTTTGGACGAAAATTCGTGAATTTTCACTTAAAAACACTGGTTTAGGCTTATTTTTGAATTAAAATGGTATTTTTTATGGTTCTAGGGGAAAATCCGATTTTCTGAGCGAAAATAGTCCAATTTTCGACCTGAAAACCGTGTTTCAGCTCATTTTCAGCCCAAAATCCCCTCAAAAAACTCACTGGTGTGAAGACGTATGGATAATAGCGTCCGTCGATTCCGTGATTTGGCATATATTTGATTTTTCCAATGTGTTCCTACAAAAATAGAGTTAGGATAAGTCAAATTCTATCAAAAATTGCTTCAAAAACCCGGGTTTAGCTCGTTTTTGACCAAATTTTGTGCTGAAAACCCCCAAAATTGCTCATTTTGCTCCAAATTTCTCACCTTATCAACATCATTTGCTCCTTGACAATTGATTGCAATACTTCCATCCTTATATCTCGATTTGATCTCTTCGGGAATCGATGATTTATCATAACTCACTGGTCGCCAGCCAATCAATCGATTTAATGAGATCGCGACGCATGGTTTACCCTCTTTGAAGCCGAAATCTGATTTTGCACCGCATCCTGCTTCGAATTGAGCCAAATCGAAACGACATGGTAGAACTCCCTGTAAAAATGGAGGATTTTTGGGCGGAAATTGTGAAAATTTGAAGAAAAATGATAAAAATTTGTCAAATTAGGCTGGAAATCCCCGATTTTCTGTGAAAAATCGAAATTTGGGCATAGCTTCCGCATCTCTGCCAAAAATCCAAAATTTCACCGGAAAAATCGCAGTTTTCAGTGAAATTCCAGATTTTCAGCAAAAACTTGAGATTTGTTATTTTCCGGGCAAAATTTATCCAAAAATATCGAAATTTCATATGAAAACACAAGTAAACCTGCATTTTCCTATGAAAAATTCGAGATTTTCAGATAAATTTCAGGCAAAGCTCTTTGCTGACGTATATTGTGTAGACTAGGCTACTAAAAATACGTCAAGCTTTTATGATACCAAAAATGCGTCAGCAAAGCTTCTAGCTGACGCATTTTTCGTAGGCTATCAAAATTTATCTGAAAATCTCGAAATTTCATGTGAAAACACAAGTAAACCTGCATTTTCCTATGAAAAATCGGGGTTTTCAGATAAATTTCAGGTTTTTCAGCACAAATCCTCTACCTCCTTATCCAATTCTCCATTATTATCATTCGGTCCACAATCTCGTGTCTCCGTCTCATTTTTCTCCTGATATTTCGTCAAATAGCGTGTTAATTGTTCGGTGTACGGTTTGTAGGTGGCGGCGTCTTTGATGTTGTATTTGATGAGCGTCGAATCGGGATTCTCTTTTAGCCATGGTTGATAACCGACTCCAGGGTTGACACCTGCAAAAATAGGGTGTTTTTAGTGTAAAATTCATGAATTTCGTGAAATTTTGAACAAAAACTGTATTTTTACAAAACTTTAGATCAAATTTTCATGAAAAATTCAATTTTCCGGTCAAAATCTCACCAATAATAGTTCCTTTTCCATAAAATCTCGGTGTTTTCGGATCCAATGTTCGAAGGAAAAGTGTGAGACAAGCGAGCCAGAAAGCGGCCAAAAGAATATAGAAAATGATGTAGAACACGATAATCTGCAAGAAATTTGGGCATTTTTGAGCTCCCTGGCTAATTTTTGGTCAAAAATCTGCTCACCTGGAACCACGATTTTCCATTTCTGCCCAAAACTGTTCCATTCTTCTTGTTGTACAAAAATTGTGCAAATGTTTGTGGTCCGTCGTCTTGATTCGAGCGTCCGGCCGGAATATTCTCGACACCGTTCATTAGTGTCGCATTTTCGTCGCCGCCTTTTGCCATCTGCAAGAAAATTGGGTAAATTTGGCTGAAAATGCGTGATTTTAAGTGAAAAATTCGAAAATTTGGGCATAGCTTCCGCATCTCTGCCAAAAATCCCAAATTTCACTGAAAAAATCAGAGTTTTCAGTGAAATTTCAGATTTTCAGCAATTTTTGTGATTTTTTTGCTTCCGGGCAAAATTTATCTGAAAATCTCGAAATTGCATGTGAAAACACAAGTAAACCTGCATTTTCCTATGAAAATTTCGAGATTTTCAGGCAAAGCTTTTAGCTGACGCATATTGTGTAGGCTAGGCTACAGAAAATGCGTCAACATACATGTTTTTCTCCCTGGATCGACCCCTACAGTTAGCGAGACCTCAAATAAAAATTTTCAAAGTTAGTAAGACCGTTAGTGTGGGGGCAAAAGCCTCCCACACTAAAAAAATTTTTTATTTTTTTTTCGAAAAAAATTGAAAAATTTTGCAACACGTTTCCAGTATGTGAACTCGAACCCTATGGTAGCTACCATTGGGTCCCTAACTCAGCGCTCTACCACTGCGCTATGTGTGCCCACATAACCCGCATGCTGTTTTTCTCATTTGAATAGGATGCGTTTGAGAGATAGAAAAAACACAAACAGTAAATTACATTTTTGTATTTTACATTCAATTATTCAAAAAAATATAGAAGACAATCATGGATTGAATTGTAAATTGAAATACGAATTCTTTAGACCTTATACAACAATATAAAAGCTTATCTTCAATGAATAAATACGATAAAATACTTTTTTCCATTCGAAAATGTTGAAAATTGGTTATTACCAGAAAACTCAAAACCTAGAAAAGTATGTCAAAATTAATATTTTCACTTGAAAATTTGCACAGTGTGTCTAGAGGTCCTATTGAGGTATATTGAACTATGAAATTGATAAATAATGCTGCATGGGGAAAATAGTTGAGACCACTGGATTTTATCCAGGGTTACCCTGGATTTTATCCAGAATTTTATATAAGTGCCCGGCGGTCTCAGTAGACCTTTCAGAAAGGGCATTTATTCTGGATAATAATTAAGAATAGACCTTGTGGCATAACCTAGAACGATTTTCAGATGCTAAAATCAATTTTGGTTTAACACTTTATGATGATAGAAGTGGTGTATTGATGAAAAAGTAGATTTTCGATAGTTTTTGGGCCGGCGGTCTCAGTAGACTTCTTAGAAAGGGGTTTTATTTTGCATAATACCTAAGAGGGGACCTTGTAACATAACCGAGAATGATTTTCAGATACAAAAACCAAATTTCGTTCAACACTTTATGATGATAAAAGTGGTGTATTGTTGAAAAAAGTAGATTTTCGATAGTTTTTGGGCCGGCGGTCTCAGTAGACCTTTCAGAAAGGGCATTTATTCTGGATAATAATTAAGAATATACCTTGTGGCATAACCTAGAACAATTTTCAGATGCTAAAATCAATTTTGGTTCAACACTTTATGATGATAAAAGTGGTGTATTGATGAAAAAAGTAGATTTTCGATAGTTTTTGGTTCGGTCTCATTAGATCTTTCAGAAAAAGCATTTATTTTGAATAATGAGTAAGAGTGGACCTTGTGACATAATCTAGAGCAATTTTGAAATCGAAAAATTATTTCATGTTCAAAACTTTATGATGATAACTAACTAAAAAAATTTTCAAAAAAATCGATTTTCAAAAAAAAAGTTAGTAGGACCTCAAATTTTTTTTCGGAGTTAGTAAGACCGCAACCCTGGATAAATCCAGGGGTAAAACATGTATGGCGTCAAGCCTTTATGATGGCGCAAATTTCACAGATTCTACCAAAAATGCGTTAGCAAGGCTTCTAAAAATGCGCCAAGACTGTTAGCTGACGCATTTTTCGTAGGCTATCAAAATTTATCCAAAAATCTCAAAATTTCATGTGAAAACACAAGTAAACCTGCATTTTCCTATGAAAAATCGAGATTTTCAGATAAATTTTGGAAATTTTCAGCCAAAATTTCAGATTTTTCTGCTGAAAATCAGCTTTTTCCCCACCTCTACTACTTTTTGTCGCTTCTTCCGATTGTTCCTCTTCTAATCTTCAGCAAGTAGCCCAGAACTGCAAAAATTCATCAAATTAGGGTTGAAAAAAATGTTTTTTTTTTGGAATTTTCAGATATTTCAAGGTCTAGAAACCTAGTAATGGGTAAAATAATGTGAAAAATGTGAAATTTTCAGATTTATATACAAAAAATTGTGAGATTCATCATGTTGAAGTCGAATTTAGCGAAACTTGAGGAATTGGTGAATCCGGTGGAGTGGGAACTTGTTTCAGGCGTTCCAAATATTCTCGAATCTGGAAAAAAAAGATTTTAGGATAGGTCTAAAAATTGGACCAGATTTTGGGCCTAGACTACTGTACTTTTAGGCCTTCCAGGCCTGAAATCACAAAAATAGTCTAATATTTAGGCCCTAAACTACTGTAGTATTCAGGCTTTAAAGAGACTGTAATTTTGTACCAAGATTACTAGATTCCAGAGGAATTTTAGGCCCTAAACTACTGTAGATTTCTGGGCCTAAACTACTCTAGATTCTGGGCCGAAAAATCTAAATTTTGGGCCTAAAAAAGCCTAGATTTGCAGACCAAGGCTAAGGCTAAATTAGACTATGTTTTAGGCCTAAAGTACTGTAATTTCAGGCCAAACTATAGTCTAGTTTCTGGGCCTAAAATCCTCCAAAATACAGTACATTTTTTTTGCAAAATCGAATTGATAAGAGAAAAAAAAAAGAATCATTTTCCAATGTGTAATAAATATAATATGAGCAATTGTTTTGTACAGTAGCAAAAAAGGGGAAAAATTGATAAGAAATTGATATTTTCATCAATTTTCGGGACAATTTTTGGCGCCCAAAAATGCTACAGTAACCTGATTGTAAGGTCAAAATTTCCCGCCCAAAATCCACCGTACCTCTTGATTTCCCTCGGTTTTCGCCACACTTCTCAAATACTTGTGATATTTGTCTCGAATCACTTTGAACGCATAGGCGGTGGAGTACGGTAGTTGTGTAATTGGGTCGAAATATCGGGCCGGGCGGCCTGTGACTGCGCAGACATTTCGTGGATTTGGACGGGTTGTTGAGAAGGTCTGGAAGAGCAAAATTGAGGAATTTTGGTAGGAAATTGGGAGGAAATCAAGGTTAGAGGAAGAAATTAGGGCTCTAAATCAAACAATTCCAGATTTTCTGGTCAAAAATAGGTTTTTTTTCGGATTTTTGACACAAAAAATGGCTCAAAAATTGATTTTCAGCAGGAGAAAATCTACTAAAAAGTAAAGCTTTTCAGATCACAAAATCAGCAAATACTGTGGATATTTTTGAACAAAAAAATCTGGAAAATCAAGATTTTCAGAAGAAATTAGGGCTGTAAATCAATTTTCAGTCAAAATTCCAGATTTTCTGGTCAAAAATGGGTTTTTTCGGCTGGAAACTTTCTGATTTCGAAAAAATTCAGTTTTTCAGTAGAATGAATCAATTTTCAGCCAAATTAGGCTTTTCGACTGGAAATAGGGTTTAAGATCAATTTTCAGTAGCTGGAACTCCTAAATAACAAGAAAATTTCAGAAAAATCCGATTTTCAACAAAAAATATAGTTCTAGATCAATTTTCAGTCAAAAATTCCAGATTTTCCGATAAAAATAGGTTTTTTCAGTAGAAAATAAGGGTTCCGGACCAATTTTCAGCCAAATTAGGCTTTTAGGCTGGAAATAGCGGTTCAGGAGCAATTTTGGTGCAAAAATAGGCTTCAGGGACGATTTTACGGCCAAATTTTCAGGAAAAATCCTACAGAAACCTTGAAAATGTCTCAACGAAAACAGAAAAATAGGCATTGTTTTTCGGTGGGCAAAGAAAAACACCATGATTCACCAAAAACAAGAAACAAAAACTTTTTGTTTACCTTTCCCATGGGGCTAGAGAAAAAGTGCAAAAATAACAAGGAGGAAGGGGATTTCAGAAATGAATTTCAAAATTTCAAAAATCTCAGACACAAAAAGTGGGCGGGGCTTAGGGAACCCCTATTTCAAAATTTTCAAAAAAAAAGTGGGCGGAGCCTGGGAAAAATGCTCAATTTTCGATCGGTCAATGAAATGGTCAAAAACACGAAAAACTTTCGGTTTCGTATTTATTAATAGGAAAAAGGAGAAGAAGAGAAGAAAAAGAGCAAAAAGACAATGTTGACATTTTGCTCATCTTTCTGACGTCATACGTTCAAAAATCACTCTTTTTTTTGGTGGAGGGAAAAAATCTCGAAATTTTCAGAGCTAAAAATCCAAAAATTTTGGGCATAGCTTCCGCATCTCTGCCGATTTCCTGTTGAAAATATGTTGGCTGAAATTCCAGCATATTTTCAACACGAAAACGACAATTTCAGATTTTCGAGTTCTGAAGCTCAAAATTGATCAATTTCGAGCTCCAAAACCATCTCAAGTTCAAAAATTCGAAAATTTGGGCATAGCTTACGCATCTCTGCCAAAAAATCTAAAATTTCACCGGTAAAATCGCAGTTTTTAGTGAAATTCCAGATTTTCAGACAAATTTTGAAATTTCTTGTTTTGAGAAAAGGTTTCAAAGAGTCTAAACAAGCCTATAATTTGTCCAAAGACAAATTTCGCCAGGAACAGAGAACGACCTAAAATTCGAAGAAAATTGTGGTCTAGACAAGCCTGAAAGGGGGCCTTAGGCCTTAGCGTGAATTCTATCCAAAAATCCTCAAATTCTAGCTGAAAAATGCGGGTTTTCTGATAAAAACTCTCCATTTCTCAGGTTAAGAACGAGCACATGACGAAATTTGCTCAAAAATCAACATTTTTTGTTTCCCACACGAAACAAAAAATATTCCTTATCAACAATTTCCGGAGCGACCAAAAAATGAGCCAAAAATGCGATTTATCAAAAATCAAATCACCAAAAACGAATTTTTTCCAAGAAAAACGGAAAAACGGGGGAAAATGACTCATATTTTCATGACATCAACATGTTTTTTTGATCTCAGAAAAATGAAAAAAAATTATCAGAGACAGAGAAAATGAGAAAAAAGTAGCGACTAATAAGCTTATGGCCACCACACAAAAATAAATAAATCGACTGAAGCAAAAAAAAATGGAAACCATGGTTACAAGAAAAAACTCTGGGGGAGAAGAAATAGAACTCGGCGAGCAATTACGCAAAAAATAGAAGAGAACGAAAAAAGATCGAAAAATGGATGGAATAGACTAGGAAAGGAAGAAACTTGTAATTGAGCGGAACGAAATCGAAATTTTCCGGAAGGAAATTGGGTTTGGGTGATTTTCAGATGAAAAATCGATGGGAAAACGAGAAATTTGACTCTAGATTCGAAACTCACAGCTAAAAAATAAGGTTTTGAGCGAAATTCGGACGAAAAATCATTCAAACTCGGAATTTTCAGACAGAAAATTGGAGCTCTAGGTCATTTTCAGCTTAGTTTCAGACCCTAAAAACGACTGGGAAACTTGTAAGAGAGCGGAAAAAATTGGAAAAATTTGATTTTGCAGTCCGAAACAAGTTTACAGCGCAAATATGAGATTTTCAGACAAATTACAGCAAAATTTTCGACCTAGGTGCTAGATTTTCAACTAACATCCCTAAAATCTCCCAGTAAACCCAAAATTTCTGCGAAAACCCATCTCGAACCTCAAAAATGCAACATAATATTCGAAAAATGTTCTCTCTTTCAAACTATTTAACTAAATGAATAGAGCAGGTGCCAAGAGAAAAGCAAGAGAGCAGGGAAAACAGAGAGACGCAGAGAAACGGGGTGCAATAATTTTTGGGTGAGAAAATAGGCGAAAAACTGACCGGTCATTGCACTTTTTGGCCATTGGTCACCAAAGAAAAATCGACTTTTTGAATAATTTTTTCATGTGAAAATTATTTTTATATGGAAAATTTTGGAAAAATGATACGAAATATTGGAAATCGATACATTTTTTATTGTTTTCTTGAGGAAAAGGAAATCAAATTTTTCCAATAAAATAAAACAAAAAATTCGCATTTGCATAATTTTTATGTGAAAGTCTCCAATTTTCACATAAAAAATTTCATTTTTGATGGAAAAAATGTGCATTTTTGGTATGGAAAATAGATAGGCTTTGGGGGGAAAAATCACAATTTTCCTCGAGAACTACACAGAAAAACTTTAATTTTTGGTTAAGAGACCAGATTTTCAACAAAAAATGGGTCCTCCAATAGAACTACACGGAAAATACGAATTCTTGTCAGGAATTCAAAGAAAAACGGATATTCCAGGAGAACTACACAGAATATACAGCTTCTGGAGAGAAAATCACAGAAAAATCCAATTTTCCTCGAGAACTACACAATAAATCTCAATTTTTCGCTACATGATCAGATTTTTGGTCAGAAAATCAGAAAAATCGGTTGCTCCAAGAGAACTACACGAAAAATCTCAAATTTTCGCTACAGGATCAGATTTTTGGTCAGAAAATCCGAAAAACATGATCCTTCAAGAGAACTACACGAAAAATCTCGAAATTTAGCCAAAAAAAACTTCCTTGCCTCCAAAAAACCAACACAAATTACAACGAAAATGTCATAATTTTGTTGTTTTTCCATCCATCTTCATCGTTAGCAACGATCAAAAAGAAAAAAAAAACATTTAATTCGATGTTTTTTTTCTCGGTCTGTTTTGTTGTGTAATTCAAATCAAATGAAATGAAGATGGACGAAAAATGAAGAAAAATGCGGCGAAAAAAAAGAAGACGACCAATTTTGTGTGGCGATGGGTAAACAAAGGTCGAAATCGAAACATTTTCAAAAGTTTCGAGAGAGAAAAAATAGAGAAGAAAAAGAAGAAGAGGAAAGTGAAATTGATCTGGAACAAGTTTTGGCTGGAAAAAATGGGAAAGGAAACGGAAATCATCAAAAATTAGTATCTATACGATTTCCGGCGCTAAAAACATCCGGAAAATGTGGATTTTCAGACAGAAAAATTCGAATTCTAGTTGAAAATCGATCTTCCGAGGTTCCAGCTTGGAAAAATCTCGAATTTTCAGCCTAAAATAGCTCAGGAGCTCAAAAATGTCGTAGGAAAGAGTAGAAAATCATGAATTTTAGGTTGCACAATCCGAAAGATCTCAAAATTCCTGTTTTTCGGTTCAAAATTAGTGTAGAGCTTCAAAACTTCGAGCCAAAAAATGCTCCAAAACTCTATAATTTCCAGTCTAAGCTTTAAGCTAGGTACAAACAAACAAATATCACTTTCCCTAAAGCAAACAGTGTAGGAGTTATTAAAAGTGGCTGGCTGAAAAAAACAGCAGCGAACTCTGCGCATTTTCCCATTCATAACATATATATGCATAAAACTGGGCGAAAAAAAGCATTTTTTCCCATCAATAATTAATTCTTGCTGTTTTTTTGGTGGGGCTGAATAGAGAAAAACTAGATCGAAAAATCACATTGAAAAATTGATTTTGACACAAAAAATTGGAAGAGTTTTTAATTGGCGAGAGGAAATAGCGAGAGACGCAGAGAAACACGAGAGGGAAACAACAATTTGAAAATCGGTGAAACGCAACATTTTCAAGGTTGGGTTGAAAGAATCGGAAGTGAAATGTATACCAAACAAAAATTTTCAGCGAAACAAATCGATATCGTATCGAATTACTAAAAATAAATCAAAAGCACTTCAGGGGCTGCAAAAATCGACGAAAAATCGTACGGAATCTTTCAAGACTAAAAAATCAGCTCCAGAAGTTTAAAGTTTTTAGAAACCTTGAAAAATCGTCAGATAATGGTCCTGGACCAAGAAAAGTGCTCCAGAAGCTGAAAAACCATCTAAAGCCGAGAAAAATGCTTAGAAGCTAAATATTCGTACGAAAAATGGTCCGGAACCTTTCTAGACTGAAAAATCAGCTTCAGAAGCTTACAACTAATCGGAAAATGCTCTAGGACTTGGAAATTGACCAAAATTCACCTCTAGATCCAAAAAAATCGTTCAAAAAATAGCCCAGAACTGCCTGGTACGGTCCTATGCACTATTTGTCTAGCTACTACGGTACTTCCAATTTTCACACATTATTCACCCTAAAAATTACAACAATACAAACGAGAAATTCAATCCTTCTATTCTTTTTTGCGCAAAAGCGCGCAAATAATAAAACAAAAAAAAAGCAAAGAAAAAAATTTGTTTAGAAATTTTCGAAATGGCAAACAACACGAGGAGAAAAAATTTCGGGGAAAAAAAGATCAGAACTTTTTTTTTTCTGGGTTTTTTTTCGGAAAAAAAAACGGAAAAAAGTTCGGGGCGGATAACAACATTTTTATTGAATTTCATCTTTTTCGCAGAAAAAAAGCTAGAAAAAATTGTTTATAGATACAAATGGGAAAATGTTATTTTGGAAAAAAGCTGGAAAAAATAATTTTTTGAGGAAAAAATTGGGCATAGCTTCCGCTTCCCAGACAAATCGACTAAAAATTTGGCGAGATTTTCAGACAAAAAAGAGCCCTAGATGAGTTCCAAGAGAAAATTTCAGCTTCAAGAAGCCTAGAAACTACAAAATCCCTAGAGAATTTCAAAAAAACGCATAAATCTCTCAAGAAAACATGTGTGGTATCTTCGTCCCAAAAAACCCTTCGAAATTTCAGAGATTTTCAGAGTCGTTCAAAAAACTAATAAAATGTTTCGGTCGGAAAAAGAAAAGCAGAAGAAATAGGCAGAGGAGAAGAAGGCTGTCCCAAACAGCTCCAATTCTAAACTCTTTTCTCTCTCCCCGAGAGAGTATGGTAGATGAGGAGAGTCGGCGAGACGGTTAGAGAAAGCAAGACAACGACGAGAGATGCGAAATTGGTGAAGAGAGCGAAAAGAGTGCAAAGGCGGCTGCTAGTAGAAGATGAAGCCTACTACTTTTTGCCAAAGGAATACTTTAGGCTTCTCTCTGCGGTTAGAGACGCAGAGAATCAATGCGCAAAAAAGTTTTTAGGACCACGCAAAACTCGGGAATTCAATTTTTCAACAACAACTATGTGTGTAAGCACTTTTGGCGGGAAAAATGACGGAATTTCTTGGTGTGAACGAGGAAGAAAAAGTGCACTTTTTACAACAATGATGAATGAGCAAAAAAAAACGGAGAAAATCAGATAACTTTTTTTTGCTAATGAATTTCTTAAGGAAAACGGCGCTGTGAATCTCGAATTTGGAAAAAAATCCCGATTTTTCGAACGAAAAAAAATTTTCGGCTGGAACAAATTAACCAGAAAAAACTGGAAAATTCAGGTTTCAAGCTAGAATTCCCTGATATTTCAATGAAAAATCGAATTTCTGAGATTTTCGGACGGAAAAATATAGAAAAACACGAATTTTCAGGGTAGAAATTGGAAATTCTGAAGAAAAACTCAAATTTCTGACATGCAAAAATGGACCCAAAGTGCTAAGACGAAATTTTAAGATGGAAAAAATTACAGCAAAAATTCTGCACAAAAATGCATAGAACTTCAAAATAATGAAAATCAAAATTTTTATGGAATTCGACGAAAAACTCTAATTCGTGAGCTAAAACTTCGAATCTGAGGGCAAAATCGGTATATACTGAATCTGAAGAATGAAATTCATACGATAGGTTGAAAATTCTAAAAATTTTCAGATAGGACGAAAAAGTCTAATGTTGAGAATCAAAAAAACCTAAAAATCAGCCCCTAGTCCAAAAATCGATATTTCACCGAAAAAAATGCAAAATTATCTATAGAAAGTCCGTGAAACTCGCAAAATTGCTTCCAAAAAATGTGCAAAAAACGGGCTGCTCTCACAAAATCGCAACAAAAAAGGCCAGACCAAAACCAAAAAGAAGAGGTCCATAGTGAAAGAAGAAGCTGAAGGGAAAAAATGTGCATTCGAAATGCACAACAAAAAAATGCGACGACGACGACTGACTAGTGGAAAAACGAAAGAAGAAGAAGAAGAAAACCAAAAGCAAAGGGAAAAAAAGAAGAGAAAATGTTTGGCCGCTCATATTTTTTTTGTTGGTCGTTTTTAGAAGAAGAAGAAGAAGAGAAGGGGAGGTCCTCAAAAAAAGAATTGGAGCATTTTTGAGGAGCAGAAAAGGATGAAAAGAGGGGGGACACGAAGTTTTGCTTCGAAAAAATATGTGTATGTATTTGGTTATTTGGTGGGAAAAAGAGCAAAAATTATATTTTGCAAGGGGAAAATTGGAAAATTTTCCGGAAAAATTCGAAAATTTGGGCATAGCTTTTGATCAATTGATCAATTTAGAGCTCCAAACCCATCTCAAGTTCAAAAATCCGAAATTTCACAGAAAAATCTTAGTTTTCAGTGAAATTCCAGATTTTCAGCAATTGTTATATTACAACTGGCCAAAATCTGTCTGAAAATCTCGAATTTTCATGTGAAAACACAAGTAAACCTGCATTTTCCTATGAAAATTCGAGATTTTCAGACAAATTCCAGATTTTCGAGTCCTGGAGCTTGAAAGTGCTCAATTTTCACCCAAGAAACCCATGAAATTCGAAAATTTGGGCATAGCTTCCGCATCTCTGCCAAAAATCTCAAATTTCACTGAAAAAATCGCAGTTTTCAGTGAGATTTCAGATTTTCAGCAATTTTTGCATTAGAACTATTGATTTTCAGAGTTAGGACCAAAATCTCGAAATTTCATGTGAAAACACAAGTAAACCTGCATTTTCCTATGAAAATTGGGATTTTCAGACAAATTTTGATATTTTCAACATCCCAAACCTGAAAATCACATTTTCATAGCTCAAATCAAATCAGAAATTATGAAAATCACTGATTTTTCACGTGAAAAATGACAAAAAAAAATAAAACAAAAAAAATCCGATCAAAAATTGTCAGATTTTCGATTTTCAACGATTTCTAGTCGAAAAAGCAGCATTTTTCACAAGATTTTCACACTTCAAGCATAGTTACCTTAACTTCAGCCATAGTAATACTAGTTCCCTCTCTAGTCATTTTAATTTTCTGCCTTGGACCCGGCGGGAAAACTCGAACACTATTCTTCTCCCGTTTCTTCTTCTTTTCCAACTCGAATTCCTCGTATCTGTAGAAAATTCATTTTTTTTCTGGTTTTTGGGCCAGGCTCACTTTTTCAAACTTTCAATATTGAGTTTTTCCGTTTTCTCGGCTTCTTTCAACATTTGAGCTTGGGTTTTTTCATCAACCGAATTTGCCTCAACAATATTTCCAGCTAATCGAGCCATCGCCCATTTTTTATTCTTTGCTAGAATATCATCAGCAGTTAGACCTCTTTTAGGTTCTTTGAACTTTCTCTTCCTGCGATTCGATTTCTCCTCATTTTCCTCGCCTCCAGAATTCCCTTGATCATTTCCATCATCTTCTGGTTTATCAAAATCCGAATCAACTTCATCATCTTCGTCTTCAGAATGCACTGGACTTTCGAATTCTTTATCCGCCTCATTATTCTCGTCAAAACCACCATAGGCGGTTTTATAAAATTCGTCTTCCTGGTCTGCAGATGCTAGAAGAGCTTGCATTTTATTGCCCGCAGTGCTTCTTTTTTCTCTTTCTTTAATCATTAAAACTGGAACTTCCACTTCTTCCTCTTCATCACTTGAAGATTGCACTTCTTCGCTGACTTCCCTTGATTTGCTGGAAAATTTGAGTTTTCTTGATTTTCCCAAAGATTCCTCACCTTTCACTTGGCGTCGCTGACACTTCTCTACTCTCATTTTGTTTCTGCGATCTTCCGCGTCTCGCACGCGTCGATTTTGGCGGCATTTTCAGTGAAAACGGGCCAAAAATGAATTTTCTGTGCGAAATAAAAGTAGAAATGGAAGTGCGCTCTATTGCAAAACGCCGCCGGGTCTCGCCGCGATTTCTCTGCACTCTCTCACATTGGCAAAGTGTTTCGAAATTTTTTGCATTTCTTTTTTTTCGCTTTTGTTGTTCTTTTGGGTTTTGCCGGGGGAAAACTGGGTTTCTGCTGGGAATTTTCAGATTTCTGATGATTTCAGAGGTTTCTTCAGGTGCTTAGGAGTATTTTGATATACAATTCATGTGAAAAATGGAGATTTTCAGAGGGGAAAAGGTGTGGAAGAATATTTCATAAGTTTTTTGATAAAATTGCTAATTTTATCGATTTTCAGGAGTTTAGAGCGCATATTTCATCATAATTTCCCATTATTCTTTGATTTTTCAAATATTTTCATTTTCCCAAACTCACACCTTCCCAAAATGTGCGAATTTCACACCAAAAAGACGCCAACACGCCCTTTTAGCTCCGCCCACAAACAATAACAACAACAAAATCAATCATTTGTTTATTCATTCCATTTTTATGGCTCCGGCTAAATGCTGTTCTACTTTTTCTTTATTTTTCAATATTTTGTTCTTTTATACCTCTTTTCTTTAGTAAATTGATATATTTTGCTGAAATTCCAGAAAATGAGCGACACAAATATGACAGAAGACGATTTGTTGAACGGCGGAGAAGATATCACAGAAGACGACGCCGATTTGTCAGCAATTGAAGGCGAAATGGCCGAAATCGAGGAGGAACAACGAAAATTGAAGGCGATTCAAAGTGAGCTCGTCGGACAAATGAGTTTGACACCAGGAACTCAGGGAAGCCACTCGACGACTAGTTTGACGGCTGAAGAACGAGCTGAAGCTGATTCGAAAAGTGTTTATGTTGGAAATGTGGGTTTTGATGGGATTTTTCATGAAGTTCCGGTTATTTTGAGCCAAAATTCATAATTTTCTCACAATTTGATCCAGAAAGTCAGAAATTTTTGAGTTTTTAGCCAAAAATGATCGAATTTTCTTGAGTTTTACCTTAGAATTAACCAAAAATCACAAAAAATCTTCTGATTTCAGGTAGATTATAGTGCAACAGCCGAAGATCTCGAACAACATTTCCATGGTTGCGGTTCGGTGTCTCGTGTCACAATTTTGTTCGATAAATTCAGTGGACATCCAAAAGGGTGAGTTTTTTTTTGGATGAAATTTGCTTAAAAATCGATAATTTTAACCCGCGAATCTTAAAAATCGCTGTTTTTAGGCTAAAAACCTTCAAAATGTCTGAAATTTTTCGAAAAACATATTTTCACTGTAAAATACGATAAAAAGCTAATTTTGAGCCCAAAAATCACAGTTTTTATCAAAACAGCGTTCCTAATTGCTCAAAATCAGCAGATAAGCCATATTTTAGCCTAGACTTCAGAAAAAAACCTAAATTGTCAACCTGAAGTGTTTTAAGGCCCTCAAATTTCACAAAAAATCAATTTTTCTCATCAAAAACCATTATTTACTGTAAAATTCGTATGGAAGTATAGCTTTCAACCCAAATTTCATTGAAAATCACATATTTGTTTATAAAAAGATCTGAAATTCCATATTTTTGGAAATTTAACGTAAAACATCATTTTTCTCATAAAAAATCATAATTTACTCTAAAATTCGTATGGAAACATAATTTTCAACCCAAATTTCATTAAAAATTACATTTTCTATCAATTAGATCTCAAAAATCAATATTTTCACTGTAAAATACTATAAAAAGCTAATTTTGAACCTAAAACCTTCAATCTTCTTTATTTCCCCCTAAAAACATCTCAGAAATGTAAATTCGAATATAACCTGAAATAAATCATTCAAACTTCAATCAAATACCAAAAATCCTCAAATTTAAGCTAAAAATGTCAATTTTAGACCAAAAAATTGCCAAAAACCCCTTCATTCTCACCCAATTTCCCATTTTTCAACCTGAAATTAATTTCAGATTCGCCTACGTTGAATTCACCGACAAAGATGGAATGCAAAATGCATTAGCAATGTCAGATAGTTTGTTGCGCGGCCGACAAATCAAAGTCGATCAAAAACGAACAAATATCCGCGGAATCTCGACAACAAATCGACCGCCTTATAGAGGAGCTGGAAGAGGTGGAAGAGGAGGAGCTGGTGGACGGGGAGGTGTTATTATTAAATATGTTTATGCTGGAGGATTTCGAGGAAGAGGACGAGGTGGAGCTGTTAGGTAAGACATTTTTTGGGAGGAAGATTCTGAAGATTTTGATGGAGAAACACACCTGACGAGACGTGTCCAAAATGGACACTGTACATTTTTTTCAAAAGTCACACTGTATTTTTTTTTCGAAAAAAATCACCTGTTTTCTTTTCACCAACATTTCCACAGGTGATTTCCAAAAGTGTGAAAAAATGTGCATGTGTCTCTATACGTTATATGCATGTTTTTTCATCCTCAACATACACATTTTTCATCCTTCACAGACACATTTTAGACATTTTTGAGGATCTAAAAAGGATGAAAAAAGTGTGAAAAATCAAAATTTCAGTGGAAGCCTCAAACTTTCAGACAAGGTGTGTGGACTTAAGTTAAGTATCTGAAAGTGTGATTTTAAGCTTCTGGGGTCACTTTCAGCTAGGAAAAGCTGAAAATAGACTGAAAATCGAAAATTTTGAAGTTAGGCTCAAACTTTCAGAATTGGTTGGGGGACCTCTGAAAAGTGTGTGACGAGATGAATTTCAGCATTTTCAGCCAGGAAAAGCTGAAAATAAGCTGAAAATCAAAAATTTTGAAGATAGGCCAATATTTTTGGATTTTGTTGGGGGACTTCTAAAAAGTGTGTGACGAGATGAATTTCAGCATTTTCAGCCAGGAAAAGCTGAAAATGAGCTGAAAACCAAAATTTTCGATGTTGAACTAAAACTTTTAGAAATGGTTAGATGACTTTTGAAAAGTGAGTGAGGCGATGATTTTTTTGATTTTCAGCCAGAAAAAGCTGCAAATGAACTAAAAAGGAAACTGGCGAATGTTCTCATATCATTGCTTTGGGCACAGTGTCTAATTGTAAATGAGACCATTTGAGGAGTATGATACGAAAACAAAAAATGTCGCGAAATTCATTTTTCTTCAAATGAATTGATCCATTATACACATTTTTCTGGCTCAAATTCAAAATAATCATCTCTTCATTCACTTTTCAGAGCTCGCGCAACCAATAATGAATGTTTGAATCCAACATCAAAAATTTCATTTTTCAGTTTTTTTCTGGCTGAAAATGCTGAAACTTCAATATTCAGATTCTTCTTCCAACACTCCAAATAAATTCTGAAAGTTTCAGTTCAACATCGAAAATTTTGGTTTTCAGCTCATTTTCAGCTTTTCCTGGCTGAAAATGCTGAAATTCATCTCGTCACACACTTTTCAGAAGTCCCCCAACAAAATCCAAAAATATTGGCCTAACTTCAAAATTTTCGATTTTTAGTCTATTTTCAGCTTTTCCTAGCTGAAAGTGACCCCAGAAGCTTAAAATCACACTTTCAGATACTTAACTTAAGTCCACACACCTTGTCTGAAAGTTTGAGGCTTCCACTGAAATTTTGATTTTTCACACTTTTTTCATCCTTTTTAGATCCTCAAAAATGTCTAAAATGTGTCTGTGAAGGATGAAAAATGTGTATGTTGAGGATGAAAAAACATGCATATAACGTATAGAGACACATGCACATTTTTTCACACTTTTGGAAATCACCTGTGTCTCTTCTCAATTAAAAACACACAATTGTCCGAGTGGCTAAGACGCTGCGCCCTCAATCACAAGGTCACGGGTTCGGTTTTGCTCAACGAAGCAATTTTTTATTTTTTTTTTCAATTTTTTCACACTATAACAAACAAGTTTATACCTCAATAAATCTTCATTTTTAAAATGAATATAGTTTCTAGACAATCTTTTATCTAATTGGAACTCCATGTGCAGTGTGGAAAGTGATTACTCGCCTAGAAAAACATAGTGTCCAGTAAAAAACTGTTTTTCATCAATTATGACTTTCAAAATCAAATTCCACACTGCACATGGGTAAATTCAAAAACTAGGCACAAAAATACCCCTACTTTGTGAAGAAACCGAACCCGGAGGTTGCCTTATTAAAAAATGCCCCGCGATTCTTTCCAGTGGCCAATTTTTCCATCAAAATGGACACTTCAAAATAACAGCGAAATAGGGCATTTCCACACTGCACTCATGGTGTTCCACACTGCCTATGACCTTAGCAATCTATCATAAAAAATTCAACCATGTTCGTCAAGTCTAAACTAAGTTTTCCTAACTTCAAATTTTGAGCAACGTTGCAACGCATTCGTTTGAAAACAGTTTCCTTTCCACCAACATTTTCCCCTCGGGAGAAAAGAGAGATGTGGCCGAGAGGATAGCAGTTTTGACTGGCGTGCATGAGACCAGGGTTCGAGTCCTATTGCCGGCGAGGTTTTTTTTTCGAAAACTTCTGATTTTCACGCTGCACAATTTTTTTTTTGAAAAAATTTCACACTGTACAAAAATTTTTGGACACTGTCTCTCCAGGTGTGTGGAGAAAACTTGAAATTTGGTCATTTTTAACCTAATTTCTATCAAAAATATGAAATTTTCATGAAAAATTAAGCCAGAAACCTTGAAATCCATGAAAATATTCGATTTTCTAGATTTTGGGGAAGATTTTGATGTAGAAAACTCGAAATTTGATCAATTTCAACTCAATTTCTGTCAAAGATATCAAAATTTCGCTGAAAATCCAGATTTTTAGCTAACTTTCAGCCTGGAGAAGCTTATTTCGAATCCTGATGCTCCCAGAGCTCTGAAATTTCACCTAAAAAATAATCCAGGGTCTAAAAATGCCCAAAAATGCTCCCAAAGCTCTACAATTGCTCAAAAGTGCTCCCAGAGCTCTAAAAATGCACAAAATCTACCAGAAATGCTCCCAGAGCTCAAAAAATGCTTCCAGAGCTCTAAAATTGCTCGAAAACGCTCCCAGAGCTTTAACATTGTTCAAAATCTATTAGAAATGCTCCCAGAGCTCTAAAATTGCACAAAATCTACCAGAAATGCTCTCAGAGCTCAAAAATGCTTCCAGAGCTCAAAAAATGCTCCCAGAGCTCCAAAACCCCCGAAAAATGCTCTTTTTTCCAGACGTCGCCCAGGATTTGCTCCATATTAATCACATTTTCTTCTTCATCTCCATTCTTCAAATTCTTCATTTTTTTGCTCTTTTTCCCCCCATTTTTGTCTTTGTCCCACAAGAAAACCCGTGCTTTTTAATTAAAAATTAAAATTTTTTTCATTTCATTTGTTGTTTTTATTTCCAAAAAATCTCCATTTTTCGCCGCCGAAAATTTTTGAAAAATGTAATAATTTATATACTTTTTGTCTCTTTTTTCCTATCTATTTACACTTGTTTTTTTCTTTTTTCTCCTTTTTTTGTCTTAAAAAATCTATTCATTTTCGACAATTTTGTTTTGGTTTTTAAAGGACGCTACAGTACTCCTTCATTGATTTTTTTTATTGGGGAAATTTGCAGGTTACAGGTTTTTTTTTCTAACAAAATTCTTGAAAATTTAAAGGACCCTACAGTACTCCTTCATTGATTTTTTTTATTCTGGAAAATTTTCCGTATCAATTTTTAATGCAAAATTCACTGAGCAGCAACTCAGCAAACAATGGATACTGTATGTACCTTTAAACTACTGTAGTCATATGGGATACTGTAGGATCCTTTAAAGATTACTGTAGCAGATAACTAGAGGCTATAGTATTTTGAAGGGACACACAATCGCTCCGCTCTAGCTTTAAAGGAACATACAGTATCCCGAGCGCCTTTGGCGCGAGTGTAGACCAAAATCCCGCGTGAGCGGCTCGAGCGAAGCGAGTGTATGTCCCTTTAAAATACTGTAGGTAGATTTAAAGGCGCCTACAGTATCCCAAGGCGCTCGGAATACTGTATGTTCCTTTAAAGCTCGAGCGAAGCGAGTGTATGTCCCTTTAGATCACTGTAGCAGATTGAAGCTGATAACTTGAAGCTACAGTAATCTAAAGGGACATACGCTCGAACCGCTTGCGCGGAATGTTGATCTACACTCGCGCCAAAGGCGCTCGGGGTACTGTAGACCACTTCAAGGAACATACAGTACCCCGAGCGCCTCTGGCGCGAGTGTAGATCAAAATTCCGCGTGAGCGGTTCGAGCGAAGCGAGTGTATGTCCCTTTAGATTACTGTAGCAGATAACTTGAGGCTACAGTATTTTAAAGGGACATTTCCTTTAACGAAAATAATTCATTTTTTTAAAGGTCTGAATTATCAGTAACATCATTTGTTCTAATCAAATTTATCAAAATATTCCATTTTTCTTTGTAATAATCCGCCTCCCGAATTTGAATTGCCACAACTTTCCAATTTTTTCCAATTTTTTTACTCAAAAACCTGATGTCGTATTCAATAACAGTTGAATTTCCAATTTTCTGATGACGAAGGCTAGTGACAAAAATCAAGTTTCCAATTCCATTTTCAGTTTCAATCCAAGCATTTTTAAGCACAATTATTGTCTGATTATTTTGAAATTCATAGATTTTCGATAAAATCGAAGGATCGGATAAAGGATCAGTGAATTCTTGGCAATAAATATTCATCGATTTGTTGAAAAGTGGATAGATTAATTGTGCATCATTGGTTTGATCGCCTTTTTCAAAATTTTCTAGAAATGATTTAGCAAGTTGAATTGGATCATAATCTTGAATTGATTGAGAAATCAAGAAGAAAAAGACAGCAGGGAATATTAACATTTTCAAAAAAAAAAAAAAGGAAGATGTGCCTTTTATAACAATCTCTAATCAAATCATAGATGCGAAATAGGCCGCCACAGTAATCTAAAGGGACATGCCTCTATGATCGTGTTCTACAGTACCTTGAGTCCTCTACAGTAATTTGAAGGGACATACACTCGCTCCGCTCGAACCGCTCACGCGGAATTTCGATCTACACTCGCGCCGAAGGCGCTCGGGGTACTGTATATCCTTTGAAGGAGCGTACAGTACTCCGAGCGCCCATGGCGCGAGTGTAGATCAAAATCCCGCGTGAGCGGTTCGAGCGAAGCGAGTGCATACATAAAATAGGTCCCCCGAGTCAGTTTTCAAAGTTAGGGTCCCTCCTTGAAAATTTTCCAAATTTAAACACCTTCCTCACATTTTTGAGCGAATTTTGGACAAATCTGGGAATTTTGGTAAATTATCAGCAGAAAATTGGCTAAGTTAGGCACCCTTCCCTTCAGATTTTTGAAAAAAGTTAAGCCCCTCACCCCGATTCTGGGGACCCATTTTATGTATGAGCGAGTGTATGTCCCTTTAAAGTACTGTAGATATGTATGATCCTTTAGGATAGGATAAAACACGGTACCATGGCTACAGTATTTCAAAGGGAAACACACTCGCTCCGCTCGAACCGCATGCGCGGAATTTTGATCTACACTCGCGCCCAAGGCGCTCGGGATACTGTATGTTCCTTTAAAGATCGAGCGGAGCGAGTGTATGTCCCTTTAAAGTACTGTAGCCTCGAGTTATCTGCTACAGTAACTTAAAGGGACATACACTCGCTCCGCTCGAACCGCTTACGCGGAATTTTGATCTACACTCGCGCCAAAGGCGCTCGGGATACTGTATGTTCCTTCGAGTGCCTGTGGCGCGAGTGTTTATCAAAATTCCGCGTAAGCGGCTCGAGCGGAGCGAGTGTATGCTCCTTTAAAATACTGTAGCCTCGAGTTATCTGCTACAGTACTTTAAAGGGACATACACTCGCTCCGCTCGAGCCGCTTGCGCGGAATTTTGATCTACACTCGCGCCCAAGGCGCTCGAGATTACTGTAGCCTCCTTTTCACTCAAAATAACCGAAGTTTTCCATAAACAAAAAAATGCCACGTGTTTCACGTGAAAACCTGATTTTTGCCGGGTTCCCCCCGCAAAAATCCACTATTTTTAGTTTTTTGAAATTCACAAAGTGCAAACGAATAAAAATATTTTATCTCAATTATGACATTATTAGAGAGTGACAGTGCATCGACTCGAAAAAAAGTGGGTTGGTACGCAGCCAATTTTGAGCGTTGGCTGAGTATCTAATGTTGTAGATCATAAAAAATGCGGAATTTTGATACCAAACATGGTATATTTGGCTGCGTACTTCAACTGAGTATCTAATCAAGGTACGCAGCCAATTGGATATCAAAATATCGCATTTTTCATGATCTACAACATTAGATACTCAGCTAACGCTCAAATTGGCTGCGTATCTTTGTTAGATGAAGTACGCAGCCAAATATACCTTGTTTGGTATCAAAATATCGCATTTTTCATGATTAGATACTCAGCCAAGCTTGAAATTGGCTGCGTACCTCCAAATTTTGCAGAGTAAAAAATCGAAAAAGAAAAAAGGCCTGTTATGTTTCTCACGAGAAGAGCCAAGTGTGCCAACAGCACTCAAAACCACCGAAAATTGCTCGATAGAAGAGAGTCCCGGATGCACGGGAAAACGGGCGAAAAAACGGGGAGCGGGAGCTGCGGGACCATCAACAGATACATCACAACGTGGAATGGACGATGAGATGATGGCGATTTGGTCGAAGAAGTTGATCGAAAGGGAATGGTATCACGGTGTGATGCCGAGGAATGAGTGCTGTGAATTGTTGGAGGCAAGGACCATTTTTTTTGAATTCGGGATGAGATTTGGGGCAGAATGATACCAAATATGAGTATAATATGAGCAATATTCAAATTTTCTCTTTTATTCGAGCGGAGCGAGTGTATGTCCCTTTGAATTACTGTAGCCTCAAGTTATCTGCTAAAGTATTTTAAAGGGACATACACTCGCTTCGCTCGAACCGCTTACGCGGAATTTTGATCTACACTCGCGCCACGGGCGCTCGGGGTACTGTAGACCGCTCAAAGGAACATACAGTATCCCGAGCGCCCGTGGCGCGAGTGTAGATCAAAATTCCGCGGAAGCGGCTCGAGCGAAGCGAGTGTATGTCCCTTTAGATTACTGTATGTACATTTAAAGGCTCCTACAGTATCCCAAAGCTACAGGGACATACACTCGCTCCGCTCGAGCCGCTTACGCGGAATTTCGAGTTACACTCGCGCCACGGGCGCTCGGGGTACTGTATGATCCTTTGAGCGGTCTACAGTAACCCGAGCGCCCGTGGCGCGAGTGTAGATCAAAATTCCGCGCACGCGGTTCGAGCGAAGCGAGTGTATGTCCCTTTAGATTACTGTAGAGGACTCAAGGTACTGTAAATCACTTAAATGATCATATAGGAGGCTACAGTAATCTAAAGGAACATGGGTTGAAATTTTGGTTTTAAAGACACCTCTCATGTTTATAATATGAGCAATCCTAAAAATCCCAGGGGCATTGCTCATATTATACTCACCCAATTTTTCCAGAACGACGGCGATTTTCTGGTGCGAAAAACGACAGAAAAATCGGTGCCCTTCTTCTGCCTTACCGTACTCTTCAAAGGACAAGCCCGCCATTTTCCGCTGTTTTTCGAGAATGGCGGATGGACGTTGAGAAGGGTGCGTTTTGATCTACCCGCGGGGGTACTGTAGTTGATTTTGGCGCGAAAATTCTGCGTTTTTTGACACCAAACAAGGCTGGGGTGGGTTACTGTAGATGATGACGATCTACAGTGACCCTGGGCTTATTTGGTATCAAAAAATGCAGAATTTTGACGCTAATAATCTACAGTAACCCTAGCCTAGACGACTTAAAGGAACATACAGTACCCCGAGCGCCTTTGGCGCGAGTGTAGATCAAAATTCCGCGCAAGCGGTTCGAGCGGAGCGAGTGTATGTCCCATTAGATTACTGTAACTTCTATCCTACAGTGTCTTGAGCCTGCTACAGTAATTTAAAGCGACATACAGTAACCCTAGGCTCATGATATCTCAAAAAATCCCGAATTTTTGCAGCTCGAAACGACTCGCAAATTCCCGCAACTCTTGGATTTGCTCAACTTCTTGGCCGCCGAAAAACGTCCCCTCAAACCAACCACCGCAACTCTAATTCGACCCGTCAAACAAGCCAAATACTACATTCAACACGACGAAATCGAACTAATCGATAAATTGGGAGCCGGTGCATTTGGCGAGGTTTGGCGGGGAAAATTTGAGAAAAAAGGCGAGGAACCGATTGATGTGGCGGTGAAAAAAATGAAGGGAGAAACACAGAAATCGAAGTTGAGGGGATTTTTGAAGGAGGCGAAATTGATGCGATTATTGACACATCGAAATATGGTGAGGGTTATTGGAGTTGCACCAATGGAAGAACCACTTATGATTGTTATTGAATTGGCCAAGAATGGATGTTTGAAGGTGGGTTAATATGAGCAATCAGTATTCCAAAGCTACCGGGACATACACTCGCTCCGCTCGAGGAATTTTGATCTACACTCGCGCCACGGGCGCTCGAAGGAACATACAGTACTCCGAGCGCTTTTAGCGCGAGTGTAGATCAAAATTCCGCGTAAGCGGTTCGAGCGGAGCGAGTGTGTGTCCCTTTAGATTACTGTAGAGGTCTCAAGGTACTGTAGATCACTTCAGAGGCTACAGTATTCTAAAGGGACACACACTCGCTTCGCTCGAACCGCTTGCGCGGAATCTTGATCTACACTCGCGCCACAGGCGCTCGAAGGAACATACAGTATCCCGAGCGCCTCTGGCGCGAGTGTAGATCAAAATTCCGCGTAAGCGGTTCGAGCGAAGCGAGTGTATGTACCTTTAGATTACTGTAGCATCAAGTTATCTTCTACAGTAATCTAAAGGGATATACACTCGCTTCGCTCGAACCGCTCACGCGGAATTTTGATCTACACTCGCGCCACGGGCGCTCGGGATACTGTATGTCCCTTTAAATCACTTTAAATCATTTCCAGAACCATTTGCGCAACAAAAAATGCTCAATCCAAAAATTGACGGGTTTTTGTCGAGACACGGCTCGCGGAATGGCCTATCTATCATCACAAACAATAATTCATCGCGATTTGGCGGCACGAAATTTGCTACTCGGCGCCAAAATGGAGGTCAAAATCAGTGATTTTGGCCTGTCGGAAAGTGGGCTGACGGAAATTAAAGCCACCAAAATTAAGGTGAATTTACAGTGGGATACTGTAGACGCCTTTAAATGTACCTACAGTAGTTTGAAGGGACATACACTCGCTTCGCTCGAGGAATTTTGATCTACACTCGCGCCAGAGGCGCTCGGGATACTGTAGACCGCTCAAAGGATCATACAGTATCCCGAGCGCCTTGGGCGCGAGTGTAGATCAAAATTCCGCGAAAGCGGTTCGAGCGAAGCGAGTGTATGTCCCTTTAGATTACTGTAGAAGACTCAAGGTACTGTAGATCATAGAGGCTACAGTAATTCAAAGGGACATACACTCGCTCCGCTCGAACCGCTTACGCGGAATCTTGATCTACACTCGCGCCACAGGCGCTCGGGGTACTGTATGTTTCTTTAACTCTCGAGCCGAGCGAGCCTATGCTCCTTTAAATTACTGTAGCCTCAAGTTATCTGCTGCCCCGAGCGCCTTTGGCGCGAGTGTAGATCAAAATTCCACGCAAGCGGTTCGAGCGAAGCGAGTGTATGTCCCTTTAAACTACTGTAGGTAAATTTAAAGGCGCCTACAGTATCCCAAGGAGCTCGAGATACTGTATGTTCCTTTAATTGTCAAATTTTCCAGGTTCCGATCCGCTGGTTGGCCCCCGAAACCATCGAACAACTGATCTTCACGCCAAAAACCGATGTTTGGTCATTTGCCGTGACAATGTGGGAAATCTTCACATTTTGTGCAACTGATCCATTTCCCGGTCTCACAAATGCCGAAGCAAAAGAGATTATCAAAACAAAACATCCGCCGATGGAAATTTCGACGAATAAAAAGATTCATGGTCTGATGTGCGAATGTTTTAGCCGGAATCCTGAAAAACGGCCGGATTTTGAAGGGATTTTGAAGAAATTATCGCCTGAGGAGAAGAATGGTGGGTTTTTGGGGTTTTTTAGACACCAAACAGACTATAATATGAGCAATGTTGGAATTTTGAAGCTAAAGATTGCTCATTTGACTATAATATGAGCAATGGGTATATGAGCAAAATCGCATATTGCTCAGATTATAGTAATTTTTGCAGGCGTCGATTGAAGACAAATTCTGAAGTTTTTCATAAATCTTAATTTTTGGTTGAATAAAGTTTGATCTCCAAATCTATAATTATTTTTTTTTCCATTTTTCTCGACATTTTCAACAGATTTTCTTCTGACTTCCTTCTAGGGCTGAAAATGTAGAAAAAACTTAGTTTTTCAGCCAAAAATGATGACAAATCGATATTTTTCAAGCTTCTGGAGTAATTTCTGATGAAAATAAGCTTCGAGCGGAGCGAGTGTGTGTCCCTTTAAAGTACTGTAGCTATAGGAAACTGTAATTTATTTCATCTTAAATGATTTACTGTACTTTGTAACAAGACTGTATGGATTTTAGGTGATCTACAGTACCTTGAGTCTACTACTGTAATCTAAAGGGACATACAGTATCCCGAGCGCCTTTAGCGCGAGTGTAGATCAAAATTCCGCGTAAGCGGTTCGAGCGAAGCGAGTGTATGTCCCTTTAGATTACTGTAGGGTTTAAATACGGTACCTTGAGAAACTACAGTACTTTAAAGTTACATACACTCGCTTCGCTCGAACCGCTTTCGCGGAATTTTGATCTACACCTGCGCTCGGGATACTGTATGATCCTTTGAACGGTCTACAGTATCCCGAGCGCTTTTAGCGCGAGTGTAGATCAAAATCCCGCGCAAGTGGTTCGAGCGAAGCGAGTGTGTGTCCCTTTACAATACTGTATCCTAAAGTTATCTGCTACAGTAATCTAAAGGGACATACAGTATCCCAGTTTAGAGCCCTTCTCCCAAAAATGTTCGAAGAAAGTCCGTTATACTACAGTCTTATATATATTCTCAAATTAATGTATATTCCTTATACAATATTATTTCTAACAACTCCAAAAGATGAAAAAACCACTGCAATTTATCCGATTTATTTGAACATTTTCGTCTGTATTCAAATGCATTCCCTGAGATTTTGGTTTGTAATTGGAATCGCATTATTTGATGATTATCCACAGTTTTTATTGATTATGTGAGAATTTTTTGTGTTGTTTTTGTATAAAACTTCAATTTTTCTAGAACTTTTATCCTTTTCATATTTTTCTACCCCGCAAAACTTTTCGGAATCGGCTTTATTTTACTTATATCAATTCAAAGATTTATAATAATTCTGAATGTTGAAAGATTCTTGAAATTAGTTGGAAGCAAAAAAATCATATTTTTTCTATATTTCTGTGAATTAATCGGTTTGTATCTTAAACATCAGAGATGTGATTTGAAAACTAATACATGTTATTTATTAATTTCACTAATGAAATCAGAACATCAAAAATTTGAATGTTTTTCAAATAAAAATGGAGCAAAAATCAATATAAATCTATATTTTTATGAAGAATTATCCGAATCAATAATCTATCTAATCTCAATGTTTTTAAATCTAGTTATCCTATATTCCGTGCACAAAAACCAACATATTCTATCATCAACAAAACGAAAATCAGAACTCTCGATAATCTATCAAAATTGCCCGATTTTCCTGATGTTTTCATTGAAAATCATCGGAATTCTGATGGTTTATTTGACAAATTGGATTGATTTGGAATTTGTTGGTCCGATTATTTGTATGGAATATATGTCACTTGGTGAAATATTTCCAATGACTTATACGGTTGCGAATTTTAGAAGAATTCGGGAATATTTATTGTGTTGTTGGAAATCGAAAATATCTATAAATCAAGTGGAACCAATGACAACTATTCCCAATTCATGAAATTTTTTTGACTTTTTTTTTTTGAAAAATAAATAATTTGAAGACCATACTCTCGAAAATGACATCTACAGTAATCTAAAAGAACATGGGATACTGTAGGCGCCTTTAGATGTACCTACAGTAATTTAAAGGGACATACACTCGCTCCGCTCGAACCGCTTACGCGGAATCTTGATCTACACTCGCGCCACAGGCGCTCGAGGTACTGTAGATTACTTTGAGGAGCATACAGTACCCCGAGCGCCTTTAGCGCGAGTGTAGATCAAAATTCCGCTCGAGCAAAGCGAGTGTGTGTCCCCTTTAAAATACTGTAGCCTCAAGTTATCTGCTACAGTATTGTAAAGGGACATACACTCGCTTCGCTCGAGCCGCTCGCGCGGAATTTTGATCTACACTCGCGCCACAGGCGCTCGGGGTACTGTATGATCCTTTGAGCGATCTACAGTATCCCGAGCGCCTGTGGCGCAAGTGTAGATCAAAATTCCGCGCAAGCGGCTCGAGCGGAGCAAGTGTATGTCCCTATAGCTTCGGGATACTGTAGGCGCCTTTGAATGTACTGCTACAGTAATCTAAAGGGACATACACTCGCTCTGCTCGGCCGCTTACGCGGAATCTTGATCTACACTCGCGCCAAAGGCGCTCGGGAATACTGTAGAATTTCTTAAAGGCTTCAGAAAACCATTTGTTTGCTCAAAATATTTGTTGATAAGAATGTTCTTATCAGTATTCAATTTTCTCCTTTTTCATTATTTTCACATTCAAAAATGGAAAATCTATACTTTTCCAATTAAAATACTATAATTTTTTAAAATTATTTATCTACTATTGTCAATTTTTTGAGTGAGTTCGGCTAACTTACAATTATTTCAGATTAATATTGATTTTTTTCCAGCTGTATCAAGATGATGAAAAATATCAGGAAAATGTGATTTTTGACGATCCGATGCCATTGGCTGAATTCACTGGGATACCTGGTAAGTTTTCTTCTCACATTATGTATTTTATATAATTTCAGGAAAAATTGAGACGAAGATTGAAATATGCTCAAATGGAACAATAATTACCTCACAAAACTGAATAAATATTTTTGTAACTATTATAAATGTTTACCTACAGTACATACATCTGGTACCGAAAAGTACACCTTCTACAGTAGTTTGAAGGACCAGTCATTAATTCTACAGTAATATAAAGGGACACACACTCGCTTCGCTCGAGCCGCTTTCGCGGAATCTTGATCTACACTCGCGCCACAGGCGCTCGGGGTACTGTATGATCCTTTGAGCGATCTACAGTATCCCGAGCGCCTGTGGCGCGAGTGTAGATCAAAATTTCGCGAAAGCGGCTCGAGCGAAGCGAGTGTGTGTCCCTTTAAAATACTGTGGCCTCAAGTTATCTGCTACAGTAAGCGAAGCGAGTGTATGAGTGTGTGCCTACAGTATCCCAAAGCTAAAGGGACATACACTCGCTTCGCTCGAACCGCTTGCGCGGAATCTTGATCTACACTCGCGCCCAAGGCGCTCGGGAATACTGTAGAATTTCTTAAAGGCTCACTACTATATTTGTACAGAAGATATTTGTTTGCTCAAAATATTTGTTGATAAGAATGTTCTTATCAGCAACTCCTCGTTTTCTGGCTTTTTATCATTATGTTTCACCAAAAAAAAATGGAAAATCTAAATTTTTCCAATTTTTTTTGGAAAAATCTAGATTTTCCTTCTGCAGTTCAAAACATTGAAAACAAAATCAGAGAAAAAAAATCGATCACTCTATTTCTCTGCACTCTCTCAATCTCTCGCCTTTACACAAAAAAACGAAAACGGCGTCCTTTTCCCATTTCTCTCATATTCAGATATTGCTCATGTTATTTTTCCAATGGAAAATCTAAACTTTTCCAATTGAACTAACACAAATTATGGGATAATTAGTGAGTTTCAGATTTTTTTGGGGGAAAAAATTTCAGACAATGTTTGTTTCAGATCCTAATAAAAAATGAGCCAAAAATCCACTGGAAAATCTACACTTTTCCAATTGAAATACACAATTTAATGCAATATTTTTGGTGAGTTAGCCTAACTTTTTTTGAATTTTCAAGCAAAATTCTGGATTTTTTCAGATCCAAAATTATCAGTTTACAAAAAACAATAGAAAATCAATGTTTTGAAGATCCAAAGTTAGTTAATATCAAGGTCCGAAGAATATAAAAAGATCGAAAATTCCCACTGGAAAATCTAAACTTTTCCAATTGAAATACACAATTTAATGCAATTTTTTTGGTGAGTTATCCTAACTTTTTTTGAATTTTCATCAGAATTCTGGATTTTTTCAGCTCAAAGAATTCCAATGTTTTGAAGATCAATAGTTAGTTAGTATCAAGATCCGAAGAATATAAAATGGCCTAAAAATCCACTGGAAAATCTACACTTTTCCAATTGAAATACACAATATTTTTGGTGAGTTATCCTAACTTTTTTTGAATTTTCATCAGAATTCTATAGTTTTTCAGCCCCAATCGTATTAGTAAGCAAGAACAATGGAAAAATCAATTTTAATGATCCATAGTTATTTGGCAGCAAGGTCCGAAGAAAATTTTAATAAATGATTTAAATTATACATTTTCCGTTGAATATCAGAAATTTGTTACAGAGAAATTTCAGCTCTTCAATGGTGCTCAAATAGAATTTTGAAGCTTATTTCACGAAATTTTACAGTTTTCAAAACAAAATTTCAAAAATTCAAGTTTATGATCAAAAAACAAGATCAAAGAAAAAACAAACGAGTTGGTTGTGTTTCGGAAAACCAAAAACAAACACATGTAGATTCGAGTAGGGTTTGGCGGATTCATTTGTTCACTGATACGCCTTCTTTTCGCATATTACACTTTGTTCATATGAGCCCAGCCAAAACATTTTATCGGATCGAAGATCAGGCCATTTAGTCTCTCTGTCCTTTATCGTTGTCTCTACGTCATTGCACTGTAATAAAACGTTTCCTCATTTTTTCGGTTGAAAAAAATTCTCACCCCATTATCATTAAAGCACTTCACCCAAGCATCAGATGGACCAGCACGCCAATCCGCAATTTGTAGTCGTTTAGGTCTTATTACAATTTGATACTCCGCATAACTCTCCCATCTTGACATATCACCGCCTTGACGTTGACAAAAAGCACGGGCTCTATGAAATTCTGTGCTTAAAGCAAAATATTTATGACAAACAGTTCCAGTTGAACGCTGATAAGGAGTCCAATCTTCCGGGCACATTCGAATTTCACGATTCACATCTTTTTCATAATGCAATCCACAAAGCATTGGAGAATGAAGAGCGTGAGGGAATGCGTCAAAACTCAAACCTTTTCTGCAAAAAAAACCATCATTTCTTGATCCCCGCTCAATTTCTGGAAAACTCACGCATTTTTTTCTGGATAATAACTGAAAGAATAACCATATGGTCCTAGATTTCGCATCCAATTTGCACTATAGTCACTTTCAAGTATATTGGATTGCTTGTCACAAGCGATTCCTTTCTGAAATCAACAAAAATCAATTCATTTTTGCACATTTTTTGATGGTCACTGGTGGTGGGAGCTTGACCAATTTTTGACCAAAAATGGCCAAATTCTGACCAATTTTTTGACCATTTTTTGACCAAAATCTGGCCAAAACAGTGATTTGATCAAAAAATTGGCCAAAATTTGACTAAAAAGTTTTTTGGCCAAAAATGGCCCAATTCGTTTTTTGGTCGAAAATTGACCAAAATTCGGTCGAATCGTGAATTTTGGTCAATTTTTGGCCAAATTCTGACCAATTTTTTGACCAAAATCTGGCCAAAACAGTGATTTGATCAAAAATTGGCCAAAATTTGACTAAAAAGTTTTTTGGCCAAAAATGCACCAATTTTTCAAATTTTGAATCGGACCCGATTTTGACGGTTTTCTGAATCGGACCAGGGTGACATTTTTCAATAGGAATCGGACCACGTTCGATTTTTTGAGAAAAATTCTGAATCGGACCACTTTTTTCAAAAAAGTCAATTTTTTTGTGCTAAAACCAGGAAATTTTGAAAAAGTGGTCCGATTCCGAATTTTTCTCAAAAAATCGGACCTGGTCCGATTCCTTTTTTGTGGTCCGATTCCTATGGTCCGATTCAAAAACTGCCATCAAAACTCACAACTCGTTTATTTGCAAAGTATATTTGACGACGCAAATTCTTCCTAGAATCAGTATATTGACAATATACAAATGGTCCGAATGCACGGTTGAATGATTGTTTGACTTCCGGACTGAATCGCTTGGTATTGGCCGGTTTCAAATTCAACAATGTTCCATCACTGGTTCCAAGAATCGCTTTCATCGAGGCTTCGCAAATATCCTCATGTGAATTGGGATAATTAAGGAGATTTCTGGAAAAATCGAATTGAACGGGGCTATTATCGAAAATCTCATGGGTACCACGCGCTCCACCGAAATAAACACGCAACGCAGACCGCGTCGCGCCACAACACACACAAAAAGGGAGGGAATTTGAATCGTGGCGCGGCGCGGTCTGCGTTGCGTGTTCATTTCGGTGGAGCGCGTGAGATTTTCGATAATAAACACTTACGATGGTGTATAATGCGAAGCAGTTCTCCAAACAGCCAAAGCACCAACCAATTGTGTTGGATGATATAGCAATCCAAGATTTTTGGCTTTCACCGCAAAACTGAGAATTGTTTCACGTGGTTGGTACATGCACATTGCAAATGCTTTTTTATTCGCATCCAATTTGATAATCGTATTTGGTCCAACATCATAATGAATACTGTAAGTATACAGAATCACATAATTCTTGGTTGCATTTGAATTTGGATCTTCTGGTTCACCACCAACAAATTGTGAAGATTGTTCGAGTGTTTTATCCGGTTGAATAAAATACATTGTTAGGGTGTCGCCGAAAACCGCTTCCAACAATTCCGATTGATGTTTTGAATGTAATTTCAAGATCTCTGCACCTGCATGCGATTTTTTGCAATCTTCCTCAGCTTCACTATAAGTTCGAAGTTCGTATTGCTTTTTATAGCACATGCCACGGATTTGATCGAAATTGTCTTCACATTCGTAAACATTCTCATATGTGCAAGAGACACGATCTCCATCAACTTTCCACGCAACCAACACAAATATTGCCCATCTTCTACAATAGATTTCAGCTTCTTTCTGAAAATTAATCAATTTTTGTACTTTATCTAAATAATGCAGTGATTCACGAAATAAAAAAACGTTTTTTAACATTAAAAAAACGAAAAAATTGATTCACGAACGGTATTTTTTTGTATTTTTTACCATTTTCTCAACACATTTGAACAAAGTGAAGCTAAAACGTATTTTAGTGTCCAGAAATGCTATTTCAAGCTCTTATGAGACAAATCAAGCCTTCAAAATCAAATTGTTGATTTTCGAAATCACCAATTTCATTTTTGGGAGATTTGAGGCTTTATTTGTCTTTTAGGCTGAATAGAACGTCTTGAAATAGCATTTCTGAACACTAAAATGCGTTTTAGTTTCACTCTATTGTCGAAATTGAAAAATGTGGCAGCCGTAAAACATGAAAAACAGTGCAGAGCTGAATGAATGACAAAGTCATTACTTCGTCAGTCGCGTGCGGCTGTGCGTCGCGGCCGAAAAACAAAGGAAAAAATAAATAATTGATTGTTTTTCGACCGCGACGCACAGCCGCACGCGACTGACGAAATAATGACTTTGTCATTCATTCAGCTCTGCACTGTTTTTCATTTTTTACGGCTGCCACATTTTTCAACTTTGACAATATTCAATGTGTTGAGAAAATGATTGAAAAAATGAATAAAAATACCGTTCGTGAATCACTTTTTTGGTTTTGTTAACGTTATTATCGAAAATCTCATCGGTACCACGCGCTCCACCGAAATAAACACGCAACGCAGACCGCGCCGCGCCACAACACACACAAATAAGGAAACGATTCAAATTCCCTCCCTTTTTTGTGTGTTGTGGCGCGACGCGGTCTGCGTTGCGTGTTTATTTCGGTGGAGCGCATGCTACCGATGAGATTTTCGATAATATCGCAGCAATTTACCTCATCTCTAGCCGGAAAATCCATTGAAACAGTGCATTTGTCACCATGAGGATTCGGAATTGCATCACCCTTTTCATCTGTTTCGATTGTGTGTTTGATAAGACCTTGATTGAAACGTTGACAATATCTTTGAAAGCTTGGATCCTCCACTTGATGCGAGCATTTAATGAAAACCAATAACAGCAGAAGATTTTGAATAAATTTCATGGCTGCGAAATCGTATGAATCTTCTCGGATTTTCAGCCCGTTTTATACCATTTTTTTCGAGGTCGCCAGCACATTTACGCCACGTCATTTGTTCCAACGAAACGGGGCCGGGTCAAGGGGTCTACGTCACAAATTCAACATTTTTCTGCAGAAAAATTAGAAGTTGAAGAATTTTGAAATAACAAGAAATTCTAGAAATGAGGTCACGTCAAACTCAAAAAGGCTTTTTATTTTTCTTTTTTTTTGAAACAAGAAAAATGTTTTTGAACTCAAAACCAAGAATTTCGGCCCGGAAAAGAAAAAAAAAGAAAGTCGACCGCCCAAGTTTTTCCTACTGTAGCTGTAGATGTGTGCAAACACTCAAGGCTTTACACACAACACATTTAACCTGACGCGCATTTATTTTCTTTTTTTCTTTTTCGGGCCGAAATTCTGTGGTTTTGAGTTGAAATAACAAATGGTTCCTAACAATAAGAAATTCTCAAATTTTTAAGAATTGTGTGGGAAAAACGTCGGAAAAATTGGAATTTCAACATTTTCAGACAGATTTTTTCGCTTTCAAATGCGTTTATTAAAAAGTTCAAGTCATGGAAGACCACAGGCGCAAATCAAAATCGAGGAAGCTGATGTCAAACCGGATGTTGAAAAATTATTGAAACAACAAATGCAAGTTGTTCCATTGGCCGAGGAGGAAAAACCACTTTTGATTGAACCACCACTGGAAATGCCAGGGAAACAAACTTCCGAGCAAGCAAAACCCGACACACTTCTTCCAACAATCGATGAATGCAAGCAAGCATTAGCAACAACCGAAGAAATTATTGATGATCGTGAATCCGTTCGAACTTTTGACGATGATGGAACTCATCGTTGGTGTTATGTTTGTAATGATTATAAGGAAGATAGAGCTGAAGAAGAAAAAGAAATTTGCACAACTTGCCCAAGAGTCTTCCACAAATCGTGCTCAATTCCACAAATCGCCTGGAGTGAAGAGTAAATTCTGAAATTTATTATCGAAAATCTCACGCGCTCCACCGAAATAAACACGCAACGCAGACCGCGTCGCGCCACAACACAAGGGAACGATTCAAATTCCCTCCCTTGTGGTTGTGGCGCGACGCGGTCTGCGTTGCGTGTTTATTTCGGTGGAGCGCGTGAGATTTTCGATAATAGTTCTATGAAAACCATACATATTTCAGGGAGAATTGGCAATGCGTTTTCTGCAAAACTGCGCCGATCAAAACCGAAGACGAATCAAAAATGACTCCTCGAAACAGATTCCTTTGTCAAACTGTGTTGATGAAATGTTTTGGCACCAGAAGAGCATTTTATCTCATGAGCTCTTATGCTGTAAGTTTTCACAAAAATACATATATTATCGAAAATCTCATCGTTTCCACGCGCTCCACCGAAATAAACACGCAACGCAGACCGCGCCGCGCCACAACACACAAAAAAGGGAGGGAATTTGAATAGTTCCCTTATTTGTGTGTGTTGTGGTGCGGCGCGGTTTGCGTTGCGTGTTTATTTCGGTGGAGCGCGATGAGATTTTCGATAATATTTTGAATAAAAAATGTTGTTTTTGTTTAGGATCCTGAAAAAACTTTGGAAGTCGTCGGTCATCGTTTAGAAGAAGATCATCCGATGTCATTCAAAATCGTTGATGAATTCATCGAAGCACTCAACAATGTTCTAATCAATGCGTCGATTTATAATTCGGCAGCGTCGGAGAAGGGTAAAGCAACTCGAAAAGTTTGGATGTTGTATCGAAAAGCGGTCAAGGATTATTTACCCGAATTTGTTGGAGTTGTTTGGATTTATATTTCACTTTATGGTTGTTCGTTGAAAAAGAGAGTGAGTTAGAAGAAAAATGTACATTTTAATATTGATCATAGTTTTTCCTTTTCAGAGATCTTCAAAAACATCGGTTTTCGATGAAGGAATTAAAAGGAGAAGATCAACATGATAATAAGCTCAGTACTCAGTATAATCTGAGCAATCTCGAAATCTACAAATAAACATTTTTTTTTCCTACTGTAGCTTCAGATGTGTGCAAACACTCAAGGCTTTACACACAGCGCATTTATTTTCTTTTTTTTCCAAAAAAACCCTTATTTTTCAGTTTAAAAACAAAACATATTTATCACAAAAATCAAGCAATACAGCACCTAAAATAACCTAAAACAATTACAGTAACCCGTTGAAAAAATCGATAAAAATCTAGCATTGTTTGCAAATAGCATGTTGTTGTGGCTGAAAATCGCGACATGGACAAATTCGACGAATTTCGTCTTCTTCTGGATAACTGGCACAACTAAAATGTGAGGGATTTGATTGAAGTTGACAATTTGATGGAGATGTATAAGAATCGGAAGATCGGGAGATTGTTTGGCATGAGGAATAGCTGGAAATTATTGATTTTTTGGAATTTGGGGTGAAATTTTGATCTAGAAATGGGGATTTTTGGCAGAAAATTGATGTAGGGACTAGAATTTGCAATTTGCAAAACCTAGTCCTCCCTAGTTTTTTCTAGACCAGAATTTTGTGCTGAAAATGATGAGAATGCTAAAAATCACAATTTTCTATAATTTTCAGCACAAAATTCAAGTCAAATAAAAATCGGGGGACTAGTTTTTTCAAAATGCAAATTCTAGTCCCTTTGTTTTTATACTGAAATTTTGCGCTGAAAACCATGGAATTCGAGATTTTCCTGGATTTTCAGGCATTCTATCATTTTCAGCACAAAATTTTGAAAATCCAATTTTTGAGGAAAAAAAACGGGGGGACTAGCTTTTTTGCAAATTCTAGTCCCTCGCTTGAAAACAAATTTTCTAGACTGAAATTTTGCGCTGAAAATCATGGAATTCAAGATTTGCCTGGATTTTCAAAGATTCTATTGTTTTCAGCACAAAATTTTGAAAATCCAATTTTTGAGGAAAAAAATCGGGGGACTAGTTTTTGTAAGATGCAAATTCTAGTCCCTCGCCTGTGTATAGCTTGATGAGTTAATTGAGAATGGACAATGTAACATAAAATGAAAGAAACGCTAGAAACAGACGAAAAACTATCAAAAATCAAGTGCTTTTTATAAGTCAAAATAAATCTCTCTGATAAAAATTACCAATAATAAATCATACATGAAAAAATTTCCCGCAAATTTCTCTACCGAATACATACTTACAAAATGAAAAACAATCCGAAATTAGGTAAAAAACAGATAAAAATAGAAAAATGCTCCTGCAAAGCAAACTGTGTCGATTTACGGTGGCATCTAGATGGGGCGCACATGTCGCACCGTGCACGGCGTGTGTTCTTCTCTATCTTACTCTCTCTCTCTCTCTTTTTCTCACACACACTCACTTTCCAACTAATATTCAACGTTTGTTCACCAAATAGCAATGCAATTTGTTTCTGTAAGTAAAACTCTAATTTTTTCTGTTTCAATCTGTTTGATTTTAGGCAACATCGCTAAATTTGAGAAGAAGAATTGAAGAAGTCAGACTATTTATCAACGAGCGGTGAGAATTGGGTTTCTAGTTATTTCAAACGGGGCTATATTATGTGTGCAAAAAAAATGAAAACGCAAAAAACCAAAAATTCAAAAAATAAAATGACCGTAGTTCTCTTCTCCCCCTTTGTCGTCGCGACGAGACACACATATTCAAAAAATCGATGTGCCTTTAATCTATATCGCAAAAAGGGCTTTTACGGGTCAAAATGTGAAATTTAAACTTGAAAAACACGAGGAAAGGGAGTTAGAACAGATTCAAAGATGAATTCACTTTATTTTTGCAATTTTGAAGAGGAAAATGGGTTTTTCTTCTATAAAGCACTTAAAAATCTCTTTTCATAGTATTTCCTGCTTCAAATAGAGTTAAACCATCTTCATTCTTCGTTTTATTATCAATTTGGTTGATTTCTGCCTTTTTTTCATGTAGAAACATCGAAAACCTCGAAAATCCGGAGAAAAATAAAAAACATCGTAGTTTTTGAAAGGCGCAACACCTAAAACACACAAATGGTCTCGTCGCGACGAGGGAAGAAGAACTACGGTGCATATTTTTTTCAAAATAATTATTTTTTTGCGTTTTCATTTTTTTTGCACAGACTAGTATACTCTTCGTGAAGTGTAGTTGGAGAGAATCTCAGGGTTCCCAACTGTTATACTTTAAATGTGATCTATTCTCAAAGTCAGAGTTAGAGGGGGGGGTTCCCGTTTTTAAGAAAACAATCCCCTGAAGTTAGAATAAGCGTGTTAGATGTTCTAAAAATTGCAGCGCTCAAACCCTCAAAAAAAGAAAAAAATAAATAAAAATTCACGAATACTTCTACCGTACTCCTCATCAAAGGTGCACACAATTTTTCTCCCGTGTCTCGCAATGCGCGTTGATTTTTCAAAAAAACGAAGCGGTGTTTGCACATTATTGATGGAAACATTTAATGTGACGCCAAATTTTCAGTGATTTCGTGTTTTATAAGGGGAGGATAATACCACCACTGGAAAGCCGACAACTTTTAGAACCGTATAGAGAGATAAAGAGGTCAAAAAAATGTTTCAGTTACGGCGATTATGATTTATCTACATGGATTGGCCTCAGCAATTCAATGTTGCTTTATGTTAGCGAGTTTGATGCATTGCTTCGACAAGATCAAGGTATGCGCGAAACCTCTTCATTTTTTGTGTAAGACGACAAAATGTTATTTGCTCAAAAGAGAGCGGCTCCCCCCTCTTTGAGTAGTAAAAGCCCCAGGGTTTTTTCTCGAAACGCCCGAAACGATCAACGAGCGTTTCCAGAAAAAATCCCTGAGGTTTTACTACTTTTGGGGAGCCTTTAACTTTGTTTTTTTTGTGGTCTTACACCCCCCTTTTTTTTAATAACAATTATTTTTTTAGTGAGAATACATCGAGACCGAACACATTTAACGCCTGAAGTGTATCAGGTACGTTTCCTATTTTTTTTAGCCCTTAAGCTCTCTCTCTCTCTCAATTTTTTTCCACATCAATTGTCTGAAATAGGTTATTTACTTATGTGATAACATCCCCTAACTCAGATTGAGCTTCTGCTTCGATCAAAGCTAAGTTAGAATATCTCTGGATTGTATTCAGGGCGTGTCGAAAAATGCGATCATTTCGCGACTGAATCGACAAGTACGATCTGCTGCCACTTTGGCCGATCTAATTTTCACGGGTATGTGTTTCTCGGGGGGTAAGATGGCCAAATATTTGTTACTATGATTTTGTTTTACAGGTGTCGACGGAAATCCAGCAGAATTAGCATTACTATCAAGAATGGAACTCGCAATAGAGGAACTTTATCAAATTGTCTACGCAGTGGATGTTGCTCTCCGGGAGAAAAAGCGTCAACTAACTAACAAAATGTCTCAACTTTCACTTTCCGATTCCGCCATTTAAAATTGTAAACATACTCGGTCAGAAAACGGCGGAGTCGCTACCGATCGGGGCGGAGTCGCTACACGTTTTTAGTTCCCCGAAACGTGTAGCGACTCCGCCCCGATCGGTAGCGACTCCGCCGTTTTCTGACCGAGTAAAAAATTCCATTAAAAATCGCAATAAATGAGAAAAATATGTTTTTTAAAGGGTTGGTGTTCTCCTGGTGAAAAAATTGTCTGCAAAAAGGCGTCACGAAAATTCAAAAAACGCGTTGTGCGTTAGAGCGCACTTTCTTGTTTTATTGCCTAGGTTTTAACTCGCTTGTGTTTTTGAGGAAAAAAATGGGCTCAGCTGCTACTAGATTTTTTCTAAAACTGGAACCTTCCAGAAGCAAGATTCCTTGGCGAAGCATCAACCCTTTAAATGTAATTTTTTAAATGAAAATTATTCATTTTTTGTCACATTTTTCATGAATTTTATATTTTTCAAAACACTCAGGCTTTGCAATAAACAATAAAACCATATCCATCTTCCCTTGAACTTGTTGATTAAGTTTTTTCCTACTGTAGCTGCAGATGTGTGCAAACACTGAAGGCTTTACACACAACGCATTTAACCCGACGCCCGTTTATTTTCTTCTTTTTTTTTCACACGATTTCTCTGAACTCATCTCTTTTTAGTGGATTCTCGATTTGTCCGTTCAAAGACAGCGTGATTTTTCAATTTGAAAACATTTTTATCACAAAAATCAAGCAATACAGCACCTAGAGAAACCCAAAACAAATACAGTAACCCGTCGAAAAAATCGATAAAAAAATCTAGCATTGTTTGCAAATAGCATGTTGTTGTGGTTGAAAATCGCGGCAAGGACAAATTCGGCGAATTTCGTCTTCTTCTGGATAACTGGCACAACTAAAATGTGAGGGATTTGATTGAAGTTGACAATTTGATGGAGATGTATAGGAATCGGAAGATCGGGAGATTGTTTGGCATGAGGAATAGCTGGAAATTATTGATTTTTTGGGGTTTGGCGCGAAAATTTGACCGAGGGACTAGAATTCCAAACATGCAAAACCTAGTCCCCGCTAATTTTTTCTAGACCAGAATTTTGAGCTGAAAATGATGCATGATTTTCAGCACAAAATACTAGCTTCAAATCTAGGGACTAGAAATCTAGGAAAAAACGGGGGACTAGTTTTTGCAAAATTCAAATTCTAGTCCCTCGCCTGAAAAAATAAATTTTCTAGACCAGAATTTTGTGCTGAAAATGATGAAGCAGCTGAAAATTGATGAAAATCACTGTTTTCCTCATTTTCAGCACAAAATTCTGAGCTAGAAAATTAATTTTTAGCCGAGGGACTAGAATTTGCAATTTGCAAAACCTAGTCCCCCAATTTATTTTTTTTTCGCAGAAAAATTGATCTACCCCGCTTTTTTCCACTAATTTTCGTTTTCAGAAAAAAAAATAAATTTCAAATTTCCCAATTTTCCACCAAAAATCATGGAACCTCCAAGAAAAAGGCTGAAATTTCAAGAAAAAGAGGAAAAATCAATATTCGATATACTTCCCGAAGAAATTCGACAAATTATAATTGGATTTATGGATTTTTGGACAATTTTAAATTTTGCGAAATGCTCAACAAAATGTCGAGAAGAAGCGAAAATGTTTGGAAATTCGATAAAATCGCTGGAAATTTGTGAAGTTTCGAATAGAAATGAGGCGGCAAAATTGAGTTTTGTGCTGAAAAATAATTGGAAAATGTCGATTTCATTTCAATGGCAAGAAAATACGAAAGCTTATGGACATTTTCATGTTTTTGAAGCTGAATATCGGAAATCATGGACAAAAATTGGTGAAAATGGAGAGAATCCGAAAATAATGGCTGCCAAATATTTGAATTTGATTTTGAAAATGGCGACGAATTCGGTTATTGAGATTTCGTGTAGAGATGTGAGTTTTTGCGGGGGAAATCATTTTTATCTGAAATTTTGCGCTGAAAATCATGGAATTCAAGATTTTCTTGGATTTTCAGAGATTCCATCATTTTCAGCACAAAATTTCGATTTAGAAAAAATTTTGAAAATCCAATTTTTGATGAAAAAAAAACGGGGACTAGTTTTTTTTTTGGTTGCAAATTCTAGTCCCTCGCCTGAAAAATTAAATTTTCTAGACTGAAATTTTGCGCTCAAAATCATGGAATTCAAGATTTTCCTAGATTTTCAGAGATTCCATCATTTTCAGCACAAAATTTCGATCTAGAAAAAATTTTGAAAATCCAATTTTTGAGGGAAAAAACGGGGGACTAGTTTTTGCAAGATGCAAATTCTAGTCCCTTTGTTTTGATACTGAAATTTTGCGCTGAAAATCATGGAATTCACGATTTTCCTAGATTTTCAGAGATTCTATAGTTTTCAGCACAAAATTTCGATCTAGAAAAAATTTTGAAAATCAAATTTTTGATGAAAAGACGGGGGACTAGTTTTTTTTTTCAAAATGCAAATTCTAGTCCCTCGCCTGAAAAATTAAATTTTCTAGGCTCAAATTTCGCGCTGAAAACCATTAAAATACTCATTTTTTTCAGGAAAACTTCCTCTATGACAAAGTCAACTTCAAAAATCTCAAAAAAATTGGAAAAATCGAAATATTATTCAAAAACGAGTTCAATTTCATCACAAAACAACAATTATTCAAAATAAAAAATGGAATTGATATTGATGGAATAAAATTGGGACTCGATGAAATAATTCAAGTCAAATCGAAAATTTTGAATTTGCCAGCAACAAAATTGAAAATTGAGGAAGTTAATCAATTTTTGAAATATTGGAAAAATGGAAAATTGACGAAAAATATGAGATTATGGAGTTTTGGAATTGCTGAAGAATTTGGAAAATTGGATCATGAAAAATTGCTGGAAGGCTTGGAAATTGAAAGATTTGAGAATGATAATCAGATGTTAATTGGTGTTTTAAATGAATCGATTGATTCGAAATTAAAAATATTTATTTATTATGCCCATTTATCGATTGATATTTTTATTCCTTTGCCTAAAACCCCAGCATTTTTTGAATAAAAAATAATTTTTAGTTTTCTTGTGAATAAATAGTCAGTTTATTTCTGATTTTGTTTACATATTTTGTGATTTTCAGAAATAGAATTTGCTGGAAAAGCTGAAAATCTATGAAAACTACAATTTCCATGATTTTCAGCCCAAAATTTGGGTCAAGCAAATTGTATTTTGCTGAGGGACTAGAATTTGCAATTTTCAAAACCTAGTCCCCGCATTTTTCTTTGAAAAATAAATTTTCTAGACCAGAATTTTGTGCTGAAAATCACAGTTTGCAATGATTTTCAGCGCAAAATTTCAGCTAATTTTTAGCCGAGGGACTAGAATTTGCAATTTGCAAAACCTAGTCCTCGCATTTTTAGGTCAATTTTGTGCTAAAAATGATGATTAATGTGATTTTAAAAATAGAGGGACTAGAATTTGCTGTTTGCAAAACCTAGTCCCCGCTAATTTTTTTCTAGACCAGAATTTTGAGCTGAAAATGATGGGAAAGCTTAAAATCACAGTTTTCTATAATTTTCAGCACAAAATTCAAGTGCAGAAAATTATTTTTAGCCGAGGGACTAGAATTTGCGATTTGCAAAACCTAGTCCCCCGTTTTTTTCATCTAGAAATCAACAGAATTTCGCAATTTTTCCGCCCTATTTTCGAGGGACTAGAATTCGCAATCATGCAAAACCTAGTCCCCGCACTCACTTTCTCAAAACCTCCTCTCGATTCACCAGCCCAAACATTGATCTCTCACAAAACCATCCATTCATGCGGCAAGCCTCCTCGCAATTTTGCCCACTTTCCGCGCGCGCAATCCGCAAGCTTTCCGCCGGCGGAAATTTCCGCCTTCCAACTTGTCCCACACAAAAATCCTGATTCTCCAGTAGAATCGCCAATCTTTCCAAGAATCCTTGCGCCGTGAATTCGTAGGGTACAAAACCTTCTTGTCTAGAGCCCAGGCCCAGGCCCAGGCCCAAAGCCTTCTCCAGGCCCACTCTGAGCTCCGTCTCATTATAAATATCCACCGTAATCACATGGGGCTCCCCAATAAACTGCTCCGCATACGGATTTTGACTCGAAAACCTGCGCAACGTCGGTTTATCACCCAAAAATTCCCAATTTTTGCGATTTTTCGCGTCGGCGAATCGCGGGTTCACAAAAATCGCGCCATTCGCGATTGCCTCTAGCGGCGCGGGACCTTCCAACGGAAAACCGAGCCCGAAAAACACATCAACTTGCTCGTAGAGCTTCTGAATGCCCTGCGCGCCTAAAAGGCCGTGATTTCTGATGTTTTTGAAGATTGGAGCGTCTTCGAGATCTGCGACAGTTGCGTGAACTTCGAAATATTGCTGGAGGATACTAATCGGGCCTTCGGCCCCTTTCCACATCATCTGGGCTTTTCCATAGACCAGGGCCTTTGGGCCCCTTCTAGGGGCCTGAAGGGAGTCCTTGGGGGGCCTCCTGGAGGCCCCCCTCGACACCACAAATCCAAGAAAAGTGTTATCATGAGTGTGTGGATAATAGGTCCAATGTTGTCCGAGGTCCAAATCCAGGCCGCCCCACGGATTCCTCTTCTTAATCCTCGGCCCCTGATACTTGCCGTAATTCGCGTTGAAATCGCGACGCACGGCAAATTCCGCATGCGTTCCGAATGAGTCGAGAATGCGGAAGCGGCACGCGTTGTCCTGGCGGAATTTGGCGGACATTTTGTTGCGGCCCATTATGTCGGTGAAGATTAGATGGGTTTTGAGAAGGGTGGCGGGTGGGGAGGTGGAGCAGGCATGGTGTAAGCCCAGTGAGGAGATTTGGCTGGAAATTTGGGGGGATTTTCAGTCGCGTGCGGCTGTGCGGCGCGGTCGGAAAACAACCGCGCCGCATAGCCGCACGCGACTGACGAAGTCCAGTTGTTTTCTCATCGGTAGCACGCGCTCCACCGAAATAAGCACGCAACGCAGACCGCGCCGCGCCACAACACACACAAAAAAGGGAGGGAATTTGAATCGTTCCCTTATTTGTGTGTTGTGACGCGACGCGGTCTGCGTTGCGTGTTTATTTCGGTGGAGCGCGTGCGGACACATTTTTCAATTTCGAAATAGTAGATTTTGACCCGCTGATCATGATCCCTTTGTCAAAAAATGCAAATTTCAACTCCTAATATGAGTTATGACGTGGCGAAATTGAAAAATTTGGGATTTTAGGAGTTTGTTGGTTGCAAGGCTCCTAAAGTAACGATTTTTTCGAAAAATTTCAATTTCGCCACGTCATAACTCATATTAGGAGTTGAGATTTGCAGTTTTTGACAAAGGGATCATGATCAGCAGGTCAAAATCTACTAGAAAAATATATTTTCCATCAAAAATCAGTGAATTCCTCATATTTACCTCATCAAACTCCTCTTATCATTCGCCAAAAACACGTCATGTCCCAAAATCACCATAGCTGCCAGCAAATCGGCCCATTGGACCATTTCACCCAATGGTCCACCTTTTCCACTTCCATCAGCCATTTTCACAGTCTTTTCGTTTGCCAAAAACCCGAAAAACACGAAAATCCTCAATTTTCTCCTTTTTCTATGCTTTTCCTCGTTGAAAATCCGATTTTTCGTCGAATTCACCCATTCTGGCCATAGATTTATTACTCGACTCTTTAAGAAATCAAAAATTAATTCTTAATTACCTTAGTTAATTTAATTACCTTCATAAAATCGTAGCTTTTATCATTGCCAAATTTGTTGAGAAGAACCTCTAGATTTGTGTTAATATGAGCAATGTCTTGTGGATCTTTGGGATTTGGGGGACAAGCATTTTCGACTTCCGATAAGTATTTTCTGATAGAACACGTGGAATTATTGATTTTCGTTGAGAGACAAGAATTCGATCTGAAAATGAAAAAATAAATTCAAGGAACATGGGGTGGTGTTTTGTGTTGGGTCTCGCAGCGCGTGTGTACTTCTCTCGGAGAACTGGCGAAGTTTTCGTTTTTTTGGGGCTTTTGCTTGAAAACCGTCTAGTTAGAGACTGCAGATTTATAAGAGGCATCAGACAGCTAGAGAAAACTGTTCTTAGCATTGCTCAGATTGGAAAAATTGATATTTTGGTTGAAAGTTTTGATTTTGCAGTGGAAAATCAGGGTAAAATCAAAATTTCTCTTTTTTTTTCACCCAAAAATCGACCTAAAACTCACTTCCAAGTTTCCTTAACTTCTCTAAATCGTTCCAAACATTTTGGCCAAAAATCCGAAAATTCCTCAATTTTCGAAAAATCACCGCATTCTTCTGAATCCTTGAGATTTTCCGAATTTTTTCGATATTTCACAGCTGGCGGGAAGTTTTCATTTTCCTTTAAAATCAGAATTTCAGATGAAAATTGCAATTTTCAGCATAAATCACCTGATTTTGATGCTCGTAGAGCTTGAAATATAGAAATCCAATTGGTGTTAAGGAAATAGTTAGAATAAATGTGATTAATATGAGCAATCCCCGTCTTTTTCGCATTCGTGGAATATTTACCTGCAAATTTTTAAACGTGCCACTTCATAGGTTAGAAAAAATGTGGAAATGATGAATTTTTGAAAATGTGTTACACGTCAAATTCACGCGAAAAAAATAGAATTGCAAATTTTTTAAAGTTTTTCATTCTGATTGTGAAACCGCTTAAAATTGTGAAAATCCTGGAATTTTCAGTCAAATTTAAGCGGTTTCAGAAAGACGCGGAAGCTATGCCCAAATTTTGAGAAAAAAAAGACAATTTGAGCTAGAAGCTCGGAAATGCTCCAAACTCTTAAAATAGAAGTCTGAAACCGCTTAAAATTGTGAAAATCCTCGAATTTTCAGTCAAATTTAAGCAGTTTCAGAAAGACGCAGAAGCTATGCCCAAATTTTGAGAAAAAAAAGACAATTTGAGCTAGAAGCTCGGAAATGCTCCAAACTCTTAAAATAGAAGTCTGAAACCGCTTAAAATTGTGAAAATCCTCGAATTTTCAGTCAAATTTAAGCAGTTTCAGAAAGACGCAGAAGCTATGCCCAAATTTTCATTTAAAAAAAGAAAATTTGAGCTAGAAGCTAAGAAATGTTCCAAATTCTTAAAATAAAGCTCTGAAACCGCTTAAAATTGTGAAAATCTCAAAATTTTCAGTCAAATTTAAGCGTTTTCAGAAAGACGCGGAAGCCATGCCCAAATTTTGAGCAAAAAAAGAAAATTTGAGCTAGAAGCTCAGAAATGCTTCGAAATCTGAAAATAAAGTTCTGAAACCACTTAAAATTGTGAAAATCCTCGAATTTTCAGTCAAATTTAAGCGGTTTCAGAAATACGCGGAAGCTATGCGCAAATTTTGAACGAAAATTTGGAAAAATCGAGCTCAGAGCTCAGAAAATGCTCCAAAATCTGAAAATAAAAAATAAAGCTCTGAAACCGCTTAAAATTGTGAAAATTCTGGAATTTTCAGTCAAATTTAAGCGGTTTCAGAAAGACGCGGAAGCTATGCCCAAATTTTGCTAAAAATATCCAAAAAACTTCAAAAAATCCATTTTTCTTGCCAAAAAAACAAAGAAAAGCGAGGAAATTTCCCCAGGGAGCCCAAAAAAGTATGGAAAATTTGTGCAATTTATTATTTACCAACTTTTCCTTTCGCCAAAATCCAATTTATCGATTTTTCCTGCTTGCTCATAATAATAATGCACAAAATAAACATACGAAATATTTTCGTTTTTTGGGGGAAAAAATTTTTGAATTTGTTTTTGAAAACTAAAAAAAATAGAAAATTAGCGAGAAAATCACCTTGGAAACCACAATTTTTCGAGATTTTCAAAGATTTTGTACGAAAATTTGGGAAATTCCGAATTTTTATATAAAAAATCCCAAAAAATGTCTGCTTTTGACCTCTCAATACAACTGCCAGATGTTTCTTTCGAGATAAATTATGCAGAACAAAAAAGAAATGAAAAGATATGGGATATTTTAGTGTAAAATGGGGGAAATGTGAGATTTTTAATCTAGAAAATGGATTTTTTGAATAAATAATGGGTTTTTCAAGCTCTGAAACCGCTTAAAATTGTGAAAATCTGGAAATTTTCAGTCAATTTTAAGCGGTTTCAGAAGGACGCGGAAGCTATGCCCAAATTTTGAACGAAAATTTGGAAAAATCGAGCTCTGAGCTCAAAAAATGCTCCGAATTCAAAAAAAGCTCTGAAACCGCTTAAAATTGTGAAAATCTCAAAATTTTCAGTCAATTTTAAGCAGTTTCAGAAGGACGCGGAAGCTATGCTCAAATTTTGAGCAAAAATTGGGAAAATAAGCTCTGAGCTCAAAAAATGCTCAAAATTCAAAACAAACGCTCTGAAACCGCTTAAAATTGTGAAAATTTCAAGATTCTCAGTCAATTTTAAGCGGTTTCAGAAAGACGCGGAAGCTATGCCCAAATTTTGAACGAAAATTTGGAAAAATCGAGCTCAGAGCTCAAAAAATGCTCCAAATTCAAAAAAAAGCTCTGAAACCGCTTAAAATTGTGAAAATCCTGGAATGTTCAGTCAATTTTAAGCAGTTTCAGAAGGACGCGGAAGCTATGCCCAAATTTCAGACGAAAATTAGGAAAATGAGCTCTGAGCTCAAAAAATGCTATGAATTGAGCCCAGGGGACTTTTATAAGTGCACAAAATGTTCCGAATTAGGAAAATAAGCTCTGAGCTCAAAAAATGCTCAAAATTCAAAATAAACGCTCTGAAACCGCTTAAAATTGTGAAAATCTGAAAATTTTCAGTCAATTTTAAGCAGTTTCAGAAAGACGCGGAAGCTATGCCCAAATTTTGAGCAAAAATTGTGCTCATGGCTCAAAAAATGCTCCAAACCCATTAAAATCTAGTCCATAAACGTTCTGTTCCATTCTTCTAAATAAAAAATGTCATTTTTTGTGCGGCTTCTCCTTTTTTTCTTGCTCCTGCTCTTTTCTTCTTCTAATCTCGTTTTTCGTGCTCACTTTTATCGATTTCAGCCATTTTCTTTCTTGAAGAAGAAGAAGATGGAGCACGAAAAATGTGTGCTCTTTTTGAGGAGCACAAAGGACATTTGGAGCATTTGCTGAAAATTTTGAAATTTAGAGCAGTTTTAAGCCATTTTTTGGGTCTTGGAGCATTTTTTGAGCAAAATGTCTGAAACCGCTTAAAATTGTGAAAATCCAGGAATTTTCAGTCAATTTTAAGCAGTTTCAGAAAGACGCGGAAGCTATGCCCAAATTTTCATTAAAAAAAAAAGAAAATTTGAGCTAGAAGCTCAGAAATGCTCTAAAATCTGAAAATAAAGCTCTGAAACCGCTTAAAATTGTGAAAATCTCAAAATTTTCAGTCAATTTTAAGCAGTTTCAGAAGGACGCGGAAGCTATGCCCAAATTTTGAGCAAAAAAAAGAAAAATTGAGCTAGAAGCTCAGAAATGCTCTAAAATCTGAAAGTAAAGCTCTGAAACCGCTTAAAATTGTGAAAATCCTGGAATTTTCAGTCAATTTCAAGCAGTTTCAGAAAGACGCGGAAGCTATGCTCAAATTTTGAGCTCAGAGCTTAGAAAATGCTCTTTTTCAGCCAAAAAATGATTTTTTCCAGACAAAAAAATGAAATTGTATCAAAAAACTAATAATAAAAAAAAAAGAAAAATTCGATTTTTTATTATTTTCCGCCAGAAAATAATAAACATTTTTTTGTTTTTTTTTTTTTTTGGAAAAAAATTTTTTTCACCAAAATTTGACCAGAATCATTGCTCGTGTTAACTTTTTTGTAGAAAAAATGAAAAATAAAAAAATTTTATCACATAATGAAAAAAAGTATCACAGAAAAATACAAAAAAATTAAGAATTACAGTAACCCTAGGCTTATTTAGTATCAAAAAATCACAAATTTTCGCGCCAAAAAACTACAGTACACCTACAGTAACCCCTATCTCTACTTAAACTCTCACAAAAATATTGGTAATAGCAGTGAGAAGACTAGTCACACAGGCTAAAGTGAGGGCAAAAAATGCGGTGATAAATTGAGGAGCCGACGACATTTTTCGAGTTAGGCCAAGTCGCGTGGATTTTTGGAATTTTGGAGGAGTTGAAGGAAGTCGAATGACTGGGAGCGAGACCAAACTAGATACAGAAAGTTTTCTGGAAAATGAAATTTTTGACACCAAACACGCCTGGGATTACTGTACCTACCGTACTCTTTGCTCCTCCTGTATAGTCCTCGATGTAATATCTCCATCCTCATTAAAAATCGCTTTCCTCATCGATTTCGCGTGGGTTACTGTAGTTTTGGCGGGGGGTACTGTAGTTGAGGCTGCTGCTGAAAATTATCGATTTTTGTTGAAATCCATTTTTCGAGCGGGAAAACTTGAATTTAAAAAAAATGAGAAGATGTTCCTTTAAACTACAGTATACCTAGATGAGAATCTGTTTTTTTTTTCAAAATTTACAATTTTGCGGTGATTTTGGGCGGGGCGTCACTTCGAGACCTTCTTCGATTCGTACTTTTCGGAATAGCTCCGACATTTTGACGAGTTTTCTGCAAAAAACAAATATTGCTCAGGTTAGCTCGAAAATTTGCGATTTTTTGAGACCAAATAAGCCTAGGATTACTGTATCTACAGTAACCCTAGGTTCAAAATTTCCCAATTTTTGAGACCAAATAAGCCTAGGGTTACTGTAACTCTTAGAATCACTGTAGATCAAACTTTTTGGAACCTACAGTAATCCTGAAAACTACAGTAACCCTAGGCTTGTTTGGTGTCAAAAAGTTGGAAATTTTTGACACCTAGGATTACCGTACCTCAAAAATGCATTGCTCAGATTAAGCCCCGCCCACTTACGTGTCATCAGTCTGCCTCGAAGTCCGTGCCGTCTCGAATTCCAAATCCACGTCATCCGGCTCCACCATGGGCTCATCATCTACAGTAATCGCCACGTGGCTGCTGCTGCTTTTCTGACGTGGCACCAAAGCGACACGTGGCACCGTCAACTGACTCTCACCATTCACCTTGATCTCGATTGGCGCCAAATCTGTGGCGGGTACGGTAACATTTGATGAGCTGTGTCGGCGGCGGGTGAAGTATTTGGTGCAACAGCAAAAAGAGGAGGAGGTGGATGTGGATGGCGCCATTTTTGGCGGGGGTACTGTAGATTACTGTAGATGGTTTCTGGCTGAAAACAATTACAGTATGCAAAAAAATTGGATTACTGTATGTAGATCAAAATTTGATCTAGCCATATATAAAATCGTAAAAAATGAGGAGCCTGATTTTTTTTTTGGCAAGTTAGGTTAAGTCACAACACCTTAGAGTGTTGCTCATGGCAACCGAGAGGCGAGAGAGTGCAGACAGCGAGAGAGAAAAGTGGCTAAGCAGGTAATTAGTGAGTAATTGAGAAAATGAGCGAGAGAGAGTGCAGAGACGCAGAGAAAAAGAGAGAAGAGAGATTTTTGATCTACAGAAAAAGGGGACGATTTGATGACGTGGAAAAATTGCGGAGATACTGTAGCTCAGATTTTTAAAATCAAAAAATACGGAATTCCACGTGGCAATTTTGGCGCGAAATTTTGATCTACATAGATTTTTTTTTGAATTTTTAATTAACCACACAAAATTAATATGTTTTGTGTCATTTTTATCGAAAAATCTTATCATTCAATTTTTTTTGTGCTGAAAAAAAATACAAATAAAAATTTTTTTCCCGCCAAAAAAATGTGTGCACTTTTTTCTTTTTTTCCCGCCAAAAAAATTTTTTTTTTTGAAAATCTCTAAAAATTTCTGGAATTTTGGATTTTGACCTGAAAAAAATGGAATTTTCTGGAATTTTCAGGTCAGAAATCATGAAATGATAATTTAAAAAAAAAATTGATAAAAAATTTTTTTCAGAAAAAAAATTGTGCCACGTGGCAGAAAATGTTAACTTTTGAAATGAATCTGAAAATTTATTCAAAAAAAAAAATTACATAAAAAATTTTCGATTTATTTTCCGACCCTTCGGCCTCCTTTCGATTTCTTGGCCGATTTTCGTTTCAGTCTTGGATTTGGGCCTGGATTTGGGCCTGGCGGGCTTTGAGGGGCCAAAAATGGCCATTGGAAGTTTGGAGCAGCAGTAGCTGGAGCTGGAGTTGGGATAACTACAGGAGCCGGTGAAATCGGAGCTGGAGCTGGAGCGACAGGAGCTCCGGGACCTGAAAAAATCGGATTTTCCGGACCGGAAGCTTCCGCGTGGCCGCGTTCGCGGAAGACAGTGCCGCTACGCGGAAGCTTGCGGTCTACACTCGCTCCGCTCGAAGCCCAACTCACCAACTCTTCGAATCACAGCCTCAGGCTTGGGCTGCGGGCCTGGAGCAGGCCCAGAAGGCCCCTGAGCCTCCGCCAAGCTCATTGTCAACAAAAAAATCAAGAAAATTCCACTATACAACATATTTTTGTTTGAAATGCTCAAAAATGAGCCAAAAACTTCACGTTTAGCCCTTTTTTTCAGGTGCCCCTGGTTTCCATTGTTCTTTTGACAATGGAAAAAAAGGCTCAAGCCACGCCCCACTTTTTTCTCAAAGAGCAACATCAAATGATCAGGGGCTCAAAAATGCTGAAAATCGGGATTTTCAGTGATTTTCAGCACAAAATTTGAGTTTAGAAAACTGCCGAGGGACTAGAATTCGCCATTTGCAAAACCTAGTCCCTGTTTTTTCATTTTTTGGGCTGAAAATCATAGAATCCTTCATTTTCAGCAAATTTCAGCTGTTCATTGATTTTCAGCACAAAATTTGAGTTTAGAAAACTGCCGAGGGACTAGAATTCGCCATTTGCAAAACCTAGTCCCTGTTTTTTCATTTTTTGTGCCTGAAAATCATGGAATCCTTTATTTTCAGCGAATTTTCACTGCAATTTCCACATGTTTCGCGCACGGTGCGTAAAATTGTTATTTCTCGCGAATTTGTGGTTTCTGCAGGTGCCCGGAGCATCAAGAATCTCGGATTTGCCAATTTTCCAGCCAAAAACACTCCGCGAGAACTACATGGCCGAGTCGGTTCCTCGGCCACGCCACCAAAAAAAACTTTTTTTTTTCGTTTTCAAGCATTTTCTAACCGGAATCTCGATAATTACAAACAAAATTCTTTATTTATTCAAAATTCGCACTCTTTTTTTTTCTTATTTTTCTTATGATGTGGATTCGGAATGAGGTGCTGGTGTTGGTTCTTCTGATGTCCACAGCTTGTCGATAAAGGACTCAAGTCTTTCTCTCCCTCTTTCTCTTTCTCTTTTTCCTCTAATATTGCGATTTCGAAATCGACCATTCTCAAAACTTCTTTTATTCCAGCTCGTTTTGTCGAATCCACAACATAAATCTTCTCATTGATAAACCGCCGCAGTTTATCCGGGCATGAATCTGGTAGATGCAAATACCTGCCAGATACAACATTCTTTTTGACTTCGGCGTTTGTCACATCATGCCATGGTTCTTCACCTTCCGAGAATATTTCGAAACACAATACGCCATAGCTATAAACATCAGTTTTGGGTGTGAAGATAAGTGTTGAAATTGTCTCAGCGGCTAACCATTTCACAGGTAGTTTTGCAATTGAAGTCAATTTATACGCCTTTCCGATTCTCGAAAGTCCGAAATTCGCAATATATGGTCGAGATCATTATGTGCACTGAAATAAATAGTAATTAATTGTTAATTAACTCTCTAGAAAACTCACTAAAATTCGAATTGTTGATTATTGTTAGCCATAATTGATATGCAATTTGTTAGATTGATATAAATATTCAGAAATGACACATAGACAACAAAAAACACGTGTTGAAAAATTAGGGCAACACGTTATAACCCAGGTGGCAGTGTATTGCCACGTACACAAAAAAAATTTAATTTTTCGTGGATTTTGATGACTTTTGAGATAAAGTCTGGTCCTAAAAATTAGTTTTAGCCTTTGAAATAGTTGCAAAAAAATTTAAAAAAAAAGTTTATCTGAAAAAATCAAAACTTCGTGGTAAATCAAACAAATTCATTGAATACATAATAAAAACTATTCGTCAGGACACACGTCAAACACTAAAGACCTAATTGCACGATTCATTTTTTTATTGTTAGGATTCATATGGTCAGAATATTCGTTCCAAATCGCATCAACAGTTTTTCGATCAATTGGATTTGCTCGATGAATATTATTAAATCGATGTTTAAAAATCTTTCGAATTGCAGGAAATCGTTTATCCAAAAATCTGATAACTGGTGGAAAATTCTTCTCCATAAAAAACTCGCTATCAAGACTAAACCAAGAATTGCTCTCCTCTTTAAATTCAAAGTATTCTTCTGGAGTTGCAGATGCAAATTCTTCTTTACTCCGCTCTATATAGTGTTTCCATGGTCCTGGAGGAGGTAATCCGAGAGCAGCGCGCATTTCACTATACGCAATTAAATGTACAGCGAACTTGATAAGAGTCTCAGTGAGCAATGCTGCGTGACTTGGTCCAATTGCATATTCTACCATTTCTAGGTTATCATTTTTAGTTAGGCATGAGCTGGCAATTTCGGCCAATTCTTTGTCGATATCGATGGATGAGGAAGATGAAATGACAGTCGGAGGTACAGAGATCGGAGAGTCAGGGCTGTCTGAAAACTAATTTTTTTTCTCAATGTTTCTGGGTGCGTTGCGTTCATGCGACGCGGTTGAATCCCTCCAATATTTCTGATCAAACTGAAAATACTTGTTTTCCAACCGCGTCGCATAAACGCAACGCATCCTGGGTATGTTCCTGGGAAGTGATGTTGCTATATTTAAAGGCACATACAGTACCCATAACGTTAAGGGTACATAATAAAATAATCATAAATACCTGAATTTGAATGTACTGCAACAAAGCATAGACAAATGATGATTATTTTCCACATTATTTCAGCGACTGAAAATACATATATTGTTGGTAAATAAAATGAATGGGACCCCAAAAGGGACCCCGAATGACTGAATGGGACCCCGGTGTTTAAATGATGAATGGGACCGAGAAGATAGAAGGGAAACGTGTTGATTAGTCGCATTGTTGATGTTAAGTTAATAAATTTTGAATTGGAGCCAAGTTATCAATTACAGGGACTCAAACTTGGGTTATAAAAAAAAAAATTTTTTCATTATCCAGGTTTCTAATAAGTTGCAATGTTTAGAGAGATGAAAAAAGATAATGTTTATCATGTACGTATTCTATCTAATCGTAAGAAATGTCAACTTAGAAATAATATTAACATAATAATATATATATATATATATAGGTCACCTTATTCTTTCAATCATCTTTTTTAAACATTGAAACCTATCAGAATTTTTGTCAAATACAGAGATATTATTCGAAGGTATTTTGTTTATTATAATAAGCCTAAAACCCTGACTAAGCCTAAGCCTGAAATCCTAACTAAGCCTAAGCCTACGCCTAACTAAGTTTAAGCCTACCTGTGATCCCTTTCTGAAAAAAATTTCAATGAGGTCCCTTTTTTTGCGGGGTCCCATTCAGACAATTCAAAAAAAAATGCTGTGGTCCCACATTTTATTATTTTGCGGTCCCATTCATCATTTAAACACCGGGGGACCATTCAATCATTCGGGGTCCCTTTTGGGGTCCCATCCCATATTTACCAACAATATACGTACTATTTTCAGTCGCTGAAATAATGTGGAAAATAATCATCATTTGTCTATGCTTTGTTGCAGTACATTCAAATTCAGGTATTTATGATTATTTTATTATGTACCCTTAACGTTGGGGTACTGTATGTGCCTTTAAATGTAGCAACATCGTATGTTCCTTCTACTGTAGCATAAAGGATCATACAGTACCACGAAACTAAAGTACGTAACGATAATTGAGAATGAAAAAAATATGGATTTTCTGAAATTTGTGAAAATAGATCATCGGTTCAGAAAACTTCATGAATCGAGATGTAACTTTTGGTTTCAGATGGCGAGGTTATGAATATTTTATCTGCTTCCGACACTTCATTGGACCCAGAAATCACTGAATTCAGGAAATCATGCATATCAAAAAGAGAATTCATAGAACTAAACGGAAATATAACAGGCTATATACTCACGCTTTCCTTTTCTGGTAATCTAGTGAATTCCGCTGTACATTTAATGGCTTTTAGTGAAATGCGCGCTGCTCTCGGATTACCTCCTCCAGGACCATGGAAACACTATAAAAAGCGGAGTAAAGAAGAATTTGCATCTGCAACTCCAGAAGAATATTTTGAATTTAAAGAGGAGAGAAAACGGCTGAGTTTGGATAGCGACGATTTTTTTGAGAAGAATCTTACACCAGTTATCACATTTTTGGATGAACGATTTCCAGCAATTCGAAAGATGTTCAAAGATAGATTTAATAATATTCATCGAGCAAATCCGATTGATCGAAAAACTGTTGATGCGATTACGAACGAATATTTTCAAAATATTCGTTCCGAAATGGATCTTTTTCAACCTATATTATTTCGTGGCATGTTCTGTTTAATCAGCGTCCAAGTGCCAAAAAAGCTAAGAAGCGATAACGCTCAGTAATTCACTTCAGAATGCCCTCGGCTCGTAATTTTTCAATTTGAACGCTTTTTTTTCACAATTTCTACATAAAAATTGACCATTTTCAATCAAAATTTGCTTTTTTGAATCGAGAGAAGATATTTAGCGGCTCACAGACTACGGTATCATACCTAGCTGGACAATCCAATTGAATAACCCAATCAATATGTTCAAAATTTGATTTTCCTTTTTTTTTCATGAACTGATGGGTCCTGAAAATAAGAAAAATCATTTTATGGGCTGGATTTTTGAACTTCAAAATTTGTTTCGACGTCAATTTTTTTTTATTTTTTACCGTTTCAAAATTGTCAGAGACTGAGCGATTCGATTTTGTAATGATCGAAATTTCTAAATTTTATTTTAATAAAATTCTGAAACGTAAATTTTTCAGGAAAAATATTCATTAGGTTATTTCTTATGTACTTAATCACGTTAGTAGCGTACAATAAATAAAATAAAAAATGAATATTTTTCTTGAAAAATTTACGTTTCAGAATTTTATTAAAATAAAATTTGGAGACGTTCCCCCACTTCAAAAAGTGCCGGATATTTTCCATCATCTGAAATTTGTTGATTTGGAACTTTTTTTTTGAGGATTACTGTAACTTCTCATCATTTTTATATGCGAGCGCCTGTGGCGCGAGTGTAGATCAAAATTCCGCGCACGCGGTTCGAGCGAAGCGAGTGTTTTTCGCATTTTGCAGATCTCACAGGTAACGAAATCGAAAAAATCTTCATTTCCTTTTCTTCATCTTCGTCGCAATTTCCTTCAATTCTTTTGGTCCTACTGTACTCTCTACAGTACTCCAGAAAATTCAGAAAATTTTTCAAAGATTTTCAATATTTAAATTTTAGCTAGGAAAAAAAACCAAAAAAAAAATAACAGTTTGTATGACAAAAATTGAGCCTAGAAAATTATTTTTCATTAAAAAAAGGGACTAGGTTTTGCAATGTTCAAATTCTAGTCCCTCGGCTAGGAAAACAGTTTTCTAGCTCAGAATTTTGTGCTGGAAATGGAGAAACAGCTGGAAATTTCTGAAAATGGAAGATTCCATGATTTTCAGCACAAAATTCTGATCTAGAATGATTTTTAATAAAAAAAATTCTGGAGTTAGCCTAAATTTCATAAAAAAAAACTTCTAGACCTGAATTTTGCGCTGAAAACCATAAAAATATTCATTTTTTCAGGAAAAAAAGACTACAGTTTAGTTTATTTATGAGTTTTCATATGTCTATGCAAATTTCCGCTTTGCGTAAATCGCATCATACAAAGCGGACACGCGTACGGCTTCTGTCCGGTATGCGTTCGAAGATGTTTGGTGAGAGTTGAGCTGTCGGTGAAGGCTTTATCGCATTGTGCACATGGATATGGACGTTCCCCGGTGTGAGTTCTGTGAAAATTCGAGATTTTCTACTGGAAATCAGGGGTTTTCAGCGGGATTTTTGGATTTTTCAGGTAATTTTGAACATTGCTCATGTTAAATAACAAAAAATAAAAAAACACCTGTAAATAAATATATCTGTGAATCCTATAATTAAAATAATTTTCCTAATCCTCTTTTTTCAAAACAGATGTTTTTTTAACAAAAAAATAAATTCTAGGAAAAAGGATTTTTAAAGGAGCATACAGTATTCCAAACTCTATCTAGAAATTGGTTTTTAAAGGGACATACAGTAACCCACTTATTTTTAAAGGAACATACCTTCGATGTGTGACCAGAGAGGAACTTTGTGAAAATGGTCGATGGCACACAGAGCACATGAAGGGTTTCTCGCCTGGAAGAATTTTTTTTTGGGTTTCTAGGCCACCAGAATCATGTTTTTGGGTTTCTAGGCCACCAGAATCATGTTTTTGGGTTTCTAGGCCACCAGAATCATGTTTTTGGGTTTCTAGGCCATCAAAAGCATAATTTGGGTTTCTAGGCCACCAGAATCATGTTTTTGGATTTCTAGGCCATCTAGACTATTTCTAGGCCACCAAAACTGTATTTTAGGGTTTCTAGGCCACCAGAATCATGTTTTTGGATTTCTAGGCCATCTAGACTATTTCTAGGCCACCAAAACTGTATTTTAGGGTTTCTAGGCCATCTAGACTATTTCTAGACCACAAAAACCGTATTTTTGGATTTCTAGGCCACCAGAATCATGTTATTGGATTTCTAGGCCATCTAGACTATTTCTAGACCACAAATACCGAATTTTTGGGTTTCTAGGCCACGAAACCCGAATTTTTGGGTTTCTAGACCACAAAAACCGAATTTTTGGGTTTCTAGGCCACCAGAATCATGTTTTTGGGTTTCTAGGCCACCAGAATCATGTTTTTGGGTTTCTAGGCCATCTAGACTATTTCTAGGCCACCAAAACCGTATATTTGGGTTTCTAGACCACCAGAATCATGTTTTTGGGTTTCTAGGCCGCCAAAACCGTATTTTTGGGTTTCTAGGCCATCTAGAGTGTTTCTAGGTCACGAAACCTGAATTTTTGGGTTTCTAGGCCATCTAGACTATTTCTAGACCACAAAAACCGAATTTTTGGGTTTCTAGGCCACCAGAATCATGTTTTTGGGTTTCTAGGCCGCCAAAATCGTATTTTTGGGTTTCTAGGCCACCAGAATCATGTTTTTGGGTTTCTAGGCCATCTAGACTATTTCTAGACCACAAAAACCGTATTTTTGGATTTCTAGGCCACCAAAACCGTATATTTGGGTTTCTAGGCCACCAGAATCATGGTTTTGGATTTCTAGGCCATCTAGACTATTTCTAGGCCACAAAAACCGTATTTTTGAGTTTCTAGGCCACCAGAATCGTATTTTTGGGTTTCTAGGCCATCTAGACTATTTCTAGGCCACCAGAATCATATTTTTGGGTTTCTAGGCCACCAGAATCATGTTTTTGGGTTTCTAGGCCACCAGAATCATGTTTTTGGCTTTCTAGGCCATTCAGGGTATTTCTAGACCACAAAAACCGAATTTTTGGGTTTCTAGGCCACCAGAATCATGTTTTTGGGTTTCTAGGCCATCCAGACTATTTCTAGGCCACAAAAACCGTATTTTTGAGTTTCTAGGCCACCAGAATCGTATTTTTGGGTTTCTAGGCCATCTAGACTATTTCTAGGCCACCAGAATCATATTTTTGGGTTTCTAGGCCACCAGAATCATGTTTTTGGGTTTCTAGGCCACCAGAATCATGTTTTTGGCTTTCTAGGCCACCAGAATCATGTTATTGGATTTCTAGGCCACCAGAATCATGTTTTTGGGTTTCTAGGCCATCTAGACTATTTCTAGGTCACGAAACCTTTTTTTTTGGGTTTCTAGACCACAAAAACCGAATTTTTGGGTTTCTAGGCCACCAAAACCGTATTTTTGGGTTTCTAGGCCATTTTTCATGATTTTTTCACCAAAAAACTTCCCCTAACTCACCTGTATGTATCCTTTTATGTGCAGTCAAATTTGCGGCCTGCGAAAAAGCCTTACAACAAATATGACACCTGAAAGGCTTGGGTGTAATGCGCATCATTGGCGCGCGAACAGCAATTTGGGGCTTTTTCTCCGGAATTGGGCCGCCCGGCCTTAGGCCCGAACCGGGCCCCTCCTCTTGTTGAATATATGGTGGATTTGGCGGCCCGAAATTTGAGCTCGAACTGCTGGGATTTGGATTCGAATTCAGGAACATCGAGGAGGATGAGGAAGAATTCCATGGTGCCGGATTTGAGTTCAGTAGATTATTTTGAGATGAGCAATGATGATCGGTTCGCCAGTAGGGAGAAGAAGAGGTAGAGGTGTTGGAGCTGCAAAAAAATCCGGTTTTAAAGACACCTCACACGAGTATAATATGAGCAATCTTGAAAATTGGGTGCAGAATCACCTAAGAGAAGCTACAGTAATCTAAAGGGACATACACTCGCTCCGCTCGAACCGCTTACGCGGAATTTTGATCTACACTCGCGCCACAGGCGCTCGGGGTACTGTAGATCACTTAAAGGAACATACAGTACCCCGAGCGCCTTTGGCGCGAGTGTAGATCAGAATTCCGCGTAAGCGGTTCGAGCGGAGCGAGTGTATGTTTCTTTAGATTACTGTAGGGTTGAAATACGGTACCTTGAGAAAATACAGTAATTCAAAGGTACATACACTCGCTTCGCTCGAACCGCGTGCGCGGAATTTTGATCTACACTCGCGCCAGAGGCGCTCGGGATACTGTATGCTCCTTTAAATAGCCTACAGTATCCCGAGCGCCTTTGGCGCGAGTGTAGATCAAGATTCCGCGCACGCGGTTCGAGCGAAGCGAGTGTATGCTCCTTTAGATTACTGTAGGGTTGAAATACGATACCTTGAGAAACTACAGTATTTTAAAGGGACATACACTCGCTCCGCTCGAGGAATTTTGATCTACACTCGTGCCAAAGGCGCTCGGGGTACTGTATGCTCCTTTAAATAGGCTACAGTATCCCGAGCGCCTGTGGCGCGAGTGTAGATCAAAATTCCGCGTAAGCGGCTCGAGCGAAGCGAGTGTATGTCCCTTTAAACTACTGTAGCCTCAAGCTTTCTGCTACAGTAATCTAAAGGAGCATACACTCGCTCCGCTCGAACCGCTTACGCGGAATCTTGATCTACACTCGCGCCAGAGGCGCTCGGGATACTGTATGCTCCTTTAAATAGCCTACAGTATCCCGAGCGCCCGTGGCGCGAGTGTAGATCAAGATTCCGCGTAAGCGGTTCGAGCGGAGCGAGTGTATGTCCCTTTAGATTACTGTAACTATGAAGTACTGTAGTTATTTCAAAGGGCCTTAATTTTCTATCAAGCCTAAGCCTAACATCAGACCTTAAGCCTAGGCTTAAGCCTAGGCTCAAGCCTAAATCTAGAATGTAAATGGGAACCCTGGAACTTGGACCTTTTCAAAAATTTTTGGTAGATCAAAAATATTGTAATGAAGAGCTCAAAACTAATTGTAAATGAATAAAAATTAAATTTAGGATTCTTGAAAAAAATGTGAAGCCTAAGCAAAAATCAAACCCTTCAAGTACACAAAATAGGAAACACTAAAAGAACCCCCAAAAATATTAATTTGTAAAAAAAATAGAAAATCAGCTTCTCCTCGAGAACTACACGGCCAACACAACTCACATTTCGGGCGGTGCCAATGGATAAAAATCATAGTGGCTCATCTGTGGAATATATCCACCATCGTGCCCGCCAAAAAACACATCCTGATTACTGTAGTACGTCATTTTGGCGCCAAAAATTTTTGAATTTCGCGCCAAAATTCCAGGATTTTCAGGAATTTTCACAGAAAAATTGGATGTTTTTATATGAATTTGGAAAAATAACAATTAGTAATAATATATGTGAGCTCCTCTTTTTTTCGCCCAAAAATTTTAATCCCCTACAGTAACCCGAGCAGACATAGCTCCTCTAAATTATAAGGTTTCTTTTTGGTTAGTGACACCTGCGGAGAGCGAAAAATATTATTTTTTTTTTGGACATTTCTCAGAAAGGGGGAACAATTTGAGATCAAACAAGCTTTGGGTTACTGTAGAATTTTTCGCGCCAAAAATGAGATTACTGTAGATTTCTAGCATCAAAGGGATTACTGTAGATTTTGTGATTGTTTGATGACGTCATAGCAAAGCTCATACGGTTTTTTGATCTAGGGGTACTGTAGTTTTTGGCGCCAAAAATTGATGGGTTACTGTAGAATGTTCCAAAAATTTTGTAGATCACAAAAAAGTGCCCGCTTTCTACAGTACCCCAAGCATATTTGTTGTCAAAAAACGTTGAATTTCCTACAGTACCTTTCAACTACAGTACCCTAAAAATCCCACGTTTTTTGAGACCAAACATGCTTGGGTTACTGTAGAAAATGCTCTCTTTTACAAGATTTTTGGAACTTTTCTCTACAGTAACCCAGTCATGTTGGGTGTCAAAAACGTGAAATTTCTTGGGTTACTGTAGATTGATGAGTACTGTAGAAAATTCCACGTTTTTTGAGACCAAACATGCTTGGGTTACTGTAGAAAATGCTCTCTTTTACAAGATTTTTGGAACTTTTCTCTACAGTAACCCAGTCATGTTGGGTGTCAAAAACGTGAAATTTCTTGGGTTACTGTAGATTGATGAGTACTGTAGAAAATTCCACGTTTTTTGAGACCAAACATGCTTGGGTTACTGTAGAAAATGCTCTCTTTTACAAGATTTTTGGAACTTTTCTCTACAGTAACCCAGGCAAATTTGGTGTCAAAAAACGTGGAATTTTCTACAGTACTCGAAAAACTACAGTACCCCCGGACTATTTTTGAATTTTGCAGTAAATATTGTCAATTTTCAAGTGTGTTTTTGGCCAGTTCAAATATTTACTTTGATGTTTTTTTTCTTTTTTTGCGCGAGAAAAACTACACTGTACTCATTTTTTCTTATCATTTTTTCTGAAAACACACAAAAAAAACAGAAATTTTGTGTTTTCTGATAAGATTTATTGATTTTGGCCAATTTTTGCACTAAAAAACATGATTTTTGGCCAATTTTTCAGGTCAAAAATGGGATTTCTGGCCCGAATTTTCGAGCAAATCTACACGGCCTATCGACAATATTTATACACTTTTTTGGCAATTTTGGGCCTGGTTTGGAAGCGGATAACTGAAAAAGAGGAGTATTTTCGGGAATTTATTTGGGCCAGGCCTGAAGTTTTGGATGATGGTTGGACACATAAAAATGTGCAATTAAAGGTGTGTTTTTTGACACCAAATATGCCTGGGGTACTGTAGATTTTCGTGATCTACAGGAATTTTTGAATTCATTTTCAAATTCTGATCATTTTGAGACCAAACATGCCTGGGGTACTGTAGAAATTGTGCACTTTTTTGTTGGAACTTTTTTCTACAGTAACCCAGGCTTGTTTGGTCTCAAAAAACGTGGATTTTCTGGGGTACTGTAGGATTACTGTAGAAAATTCCACGTTTTTTGCAGAACATCAAATTGCACTACGTGGAAGAAGGACCGGCAGATGGCGATGTTTTGGTGATGGTTCATGGATTTCCGGAATTCTGGTACTCCTGGAGATATCAGCTAAATTATTTCAAGAAGAATTACAGGTACTGTAGAAAATTCCACGTTTTTTGAGACCAAATAAGCCTGGGGTACTGTAGAAATCGAGCACTTTTTTGTGATCTACAAAATTTTTGGATTTTTTTGGAACTTTTTCTACAGTAACCCAGGCATGTTTGGTGTCAAAAAACGTGGCATTTTCTACAGTACTCATCAATCTACAGTAACCCAAGAAATTTCACGTTTTTTTGATACCAAATAAACCTGGATTACTGTAGAAATCGAGCACTTTTTTGTGATCTACAAAATTTTTGGATTTTTGGAACTTTTTTCTACAGTAACCCAGGCATGTTTGGTGTCAAAAAACGTGGAATTTTCTACAGTACCCTCAGGACTACAGTAATCTTCCAGATGTCTAGCCTTGGACATGCGCGGCTATTCTGAATCCGAAAAACCGCGCGCCGAATCGCAATACAATATGACGCATTTGGTCGAAGATATCCGGGAATTTATTGAGATTTTGGCAGCGGGCCAAAAAGTTGTGTTAGCTGCGCATGATTGGGGAGCAATTGTTTGTTGGCGGGTAAATTTTTGGCGCCAAAATTTGGCGCCAAATTTGAATTTCAGGTCGCTATAATGTATCCGGAATTGTTGAAAAAGTTGATTATTTTGAATGTTCCACATCCGTCGGCTTTTAGAGAGGTTTTGGCGAAGAGCCCGGAGCAAAGAGCAAAAAGTTGGTGAGTTTTCGGGGGGTACTGTAGAAAATTCCACGTTTTTTGACACCAAACATGCCTGGGGTACTGTAGAAAAAAGTTTATTGTAAAAAATATTGTAGATCACAAAAATGTACAGTAACCCATGCATGTTTGGTGTCAAAAAACGTGGAATTTCTTGGGTTACTGTAGATTGGTGAGTACTGTAGAAAATTCCACGTTTTTTGACACCAAACATGCCTGGGGTACTGTAGAAAAAAGTTCCAAGTTTTTTGTAGATCACAAAAATGTACAGTAACCCAGGCGTGTTTGGTGTCAAAAAACGTGGAATTTTCTACAGTACCTCAAAAACTACAGTACTCCCATTGCAGGTACATCTACTTCTTTCAATCTCCCTCAATTCCCGAACTCTACATGCGTCTCAACAAAATGGAAATGCTCGAAAAAATGTTGCGAAGCTCAAAACACGGTGTGCAGAATCGCGCGAATTTCACAGATCAAGATATGGAAGCCTGGAAATATACATTTTCTCAGGCCGGAAGCCTGACAGGCCCGATTAATTATTATCGACAGATTTTCAAGGCCCAATGGGATAATGTTAAGGATAAGACTGTTAAGGTAAGGTTAGGGATGAAGCTGAAGCCTAAAGCTGAAGCCTTTAGGCTAAGCCTAAAGGCAAAGCCTAAAAGCCTTTTTGGTAGATCAAAAATATTTTGAAATATGTATGCCTCTTTAAAGCCAAGGTACTGTACCCTATGGTACTTTAAAGGGACATACACTCGCTCCGCTCGAACCGCATGCGCGGAATTTTGATCTACACTCGCGCCAGAGGCGCTCGGGGTACTGTAGATCACTTGAAGGAGCTTACAGTATCCCGAGCGCCTTTGGCGCGAGTGTAGATAAAAATTCCGCGCACGCGGTTCGAGCGGAGCGAGTGTATGTCCCTTTAAATTACTGTAGCAGATAACTTGAGACTACAGTATTTTAAAGGGACATACACTCGCTCCGCTCGAACCGCTCGCGCGGAACTTTGAACTACACTCGCACCAAAGGCGCTCGGGATACTGTATGTTCCTTTGAGCGGTCTACAGTATCCCGAGCGCCTGTGGCGCGAGTGTAGATCAAAATTCCGCGCATGCGGTTCGAGCGGAGCGAGTGTGTGTCCCTTTAAATTACTGTAGCAGATAACTTGAGGCTACAGTACTTTAAAGGGACATACACTCGCTTCGCTCGAACCGCATGCGCGGAATATTGATCTACACTCGCGCCAGAGGCGCTCGGGGTACTGTAGATCACTTGAAGGTGCGTACAGTACCCCGAGCGCCTGTGGCGCGAGTGTAGATCAAAATTCCGCGCACGCGGTTCGAGCGGAGCGAGTGAATGTCCCTTTAAAGATTTAAAGCTGAAGCCTAAAGCTGAAGCCTAAACTCTAAGCCTAAAGGCTAAGCCTAAAGCTGAAGCCTAGAGGCTAAGCCTAAAGCTGAAGCCTAAGCCCCCCGACCTCAGGCCAAATCCAAATTTTTTCCAGATTCCAGTCATGATAATCTGGGGAGATCGTGACGCATTTTTGGAAGTTGAAGGTGCTGAAATCACCAAAAAGTACTGTATTTCATGCCGTGTTCAAATAATCGAAGGAGCTTCTCATTGGGTTCAACAAGATCAGCCGGAAAAAGTCAATAAATTCATGGAGCAATTTATGAGCCAAGAGATTTCTAGTAAATTGTAGATTTTGTTGGAAAATGATATGAAGATTTTGTAGCCTTAACATGAGCAATATTGCATATATAATTGCTCATATTAACATTGTTAGAGAAAGATTAACATGAGCAATCCTGATATTTTACATTGCTCATTTTGAAATTGCTCTTTGCAGATTTGAACATTCGGTAATCATGAGCACCAAAAAAATATTGAATTATCATATTGCTCATGTTAACTGCAAGGTTCAACGTGAGCAATATGAAATCTAGAATTCGAAACAATTCGATCTCCAATTGTCATTTAAATTATTTATAATATGAGCAACGTGATATTTTAGTATTGCTCATGTTAATCTTTCAGTTCAACTTCAAATTTCATTTCAAAATTTATCAAATTTCAAAAAAGTGCTCAAATAATATCATCAATAATCATATCCTTCTCACAACCTCCATTTCTTCTCACTTTTTCCTGTTTTCTGAATTTGGCTCTTCGATTCTGGAACCATACTTGAACTCGAGCCTCAGTCAAATCACATCTCATTGCAATATCTTCCCGTGTATAAATGTCTGAAAAAAGGCTTGTGAGTCACTACTCAGCGAAATTAGGTTGATACGGAGCGGGTGTCTTTCGATGCTAAACTTCGAGACAAATCCAAAAATCCAAAAATCCCAAAATCTAGGTCTCACCTGGATAATGTGTCTCACAAAATGCTCTTTCGAGTTCCTTTAACTGTCCAGATGTAAAAGTTGTTCGAATTCTTCTTTGTTTTCGACGTTCAGCCGGATTCAGATGATTTGAAGATGAAGTTGAAGATGAGCAAAGTGCTCCTGGAAAAGTTTGATCTGAGCAATCATATATAATATGAGCAATGAATGCTCGAAAAACCCACCAACAATCGAATTTCCCGAGTTTCTCGATGAATCTGACATTAATTGGGATTTTTGGTAGAGTTGATATTGGAGACCTGCAAAATCCAATATCTACAGTACTCCTTGCAGTTCTAAAATTATTCACAGTTCTTCTTGCGATTCTATGTATACCTACAGTACTCCTTGTAATTGTATCCAGAGTATATTTTGCAGTTCTATTTATATCTACAGTACTTTTTGCAGTTCTAAATTGAGACCTCTTGCAGTTCTAAATCTTCTACAGTACCTTTTGCAGTTCTGAAACTATTTACAGTATCCCTTGTCAATATCTACAGTACCTTTTGCAGTTCTAAAATTATTCACAGTATCTTTTGCAGTTCTAAATATATCTACAGTATTTCTTGCAGTTCTAAAACTACAGTACTCCCCCCCCCCAAAACTCACCAGTATTAAAAAAGGCTTGCAAATCTCCAGAAGCACTACCGTTTCCGCTTCCGCTTCCGCCTGCATTCCTTCCGCCTTGCGTCGTCGCAGCCGCCGCCGAACTCAAATACGGATTATTTGTCGTCGTCGACGCGGCATACGCAGCCTGATGATACGCGGCGGTTGCGGAATAGCCGAAAAACGGCAGAGCTGCCGCAGCCGCTGCGGATGCGGAAGCGTTTTCGTGAGCGGATTGTGCGGCGGCCGCCGAGAAATAACCCGAACATTGACCATAATCCATTTTGGGATTTGTTGATGTTGTAGAATGCGCGGCGCGAAATTTGATTTTGACTGCGATTTTTGGCGCAAAAAGGGGCGTGGCTTAGGTGGGAGGAGGGTGGAGTGAGCCAATTTTGAAGAGCTCTGAGAGGGATGGGGTACTGTAGAGATTTTTTCAGAAGAGAAAATATGGAATACTGTAAATCTACAGTAACCCAAACTCCCATTTCACTTTGAAATAGTCTTACTTGAACTCGAGTCGTGGTAGATCAAATTTTCGCTAGTCTAGGATTACTGTAGACATACAGTAATATTAAAATTGGGTTATTTTTTGATTTACGCTACAATTTTTCCCGCCCAAATTTCATACTGTAGGTCCAAAATTGTCTGAACATTTTTTCATCTCCAAATTTTTGCACCATATTTTCCATAACACATGTTTGTATGTTCCTTGAATTAATTTTGCACAAAATCCACTTGTTGTTAGAAGTGTTGTAATTGTAACCACTTGACTTTATAATCTGAGCAATCCTTCTCCCATTTTAGCTGGCAAAAAATATTTATTTTGGAAAAAGAGACGGGGAGGGGATTACGGTAAATTAGCACAAATTTGGGAAGGGGGGGGGAAGCAATTTATTTGATTAAAATGGATTTTTCGTTCGTTGGGGTGAGATTTTGGAGAATCAGATTTTTGGGGGGATTTTTGGCGCCTTTAGACTTTCAGGAACAATTACATGGAAGATCAAGCATTTTTTGATTTAATGAAGATTTTTGAGCATTTTTGCAATTTATCTGGGCGGAATTTGCAGGAAAAACAACCAAAAACAACCCAAAAAAAATGAAAATCGATTAAAGGCGCACACATTTTCCCCCGAAATATCTCGCAGCGATGCAGCGATTTGTGTACTTCTCCCGGACTTCTTTTTGTTTTTTTTTCGCGAAAAATGACGGAGCCCAAAAAACGACGAATAGAGGAGGAGAATGTGAGTTTTTTTGGAATTTTTTATTAAAACTAGATCTTTGGGCCTAGATTTTGATGAGTTAGGCAAAATTTTTTCAATTTTTCCGAAATCCCTCCCCAAAAAACTCACCAATCGCTTCTATTTCTCAAATCCCAATCAAAATCCGAAATCGTCCAAATTTTCCACATTGAATGCCGATTGTCCATCAATATTTCGAGCTGAAAATCGGAAAATTTGAATTTTTTGAGTTCTGCTAACTCCATTTCTGTTTCTACCAGATTTTTGAGGGCTTTCTGGGTCTCACAACAATTTTCCAGCTATAAACCCACTTTTCTTCGATAATCCTTGGATTTTCCTATGGAAGCGATGATTCCAGCCTTGTAGAACATCTAAAAATTCAATTTTTGACTGAAATTCACTTATTTTCCCCCGGAAACCTGAAAACCCGGCGAAAAAAAAAGAAATATGCTCGTGTTGCGCTAAACAGCGGGCAAGCCGGAGTGTCGTTGTAAAAACCGCCAGTGATTTCGTTTTTTTATAAGAGAGAGATTGATGATTTCAGGTTTCCCTCGAAAAAAATGCACCAAAAACAACTGGTTGGTTCGATATGCGATATTTGAATGAAATTTTGGAAAAATATCAGAAAACTATTGTATCTTTTGCATTGGAAGATGAAGATTTTCCAAAAAGAGGTTTTAATTTGAAAATGTTGGAAAACCTAAGTGATATCGAAGATAAAACTGACAAAGATCTTGGATTATTCGACGCTTCACAAATTATTGGATGTTGGCAGCTGAAAATACCAAGCTGACTTATCAACAAGTTCTTGAACTTGATCCATGGTTTGGTACAATTCGCTGTGATGAATTCAATCAATCTAAACTATTGGAATATATCGATTTGTTTAGACAAGGCAAAATTCGACAATCATTGGGAGTTCTTACGGTTTATACAAGAAATTTGAGCGATCGAATTGATATTGATGAAATTGTGGAATTTGTGGGTTGTACAGATGTTGACATTGAACATTTCGGGTATTTTTTTCTCGATTTTTTTCAGAAGATCCGTCATTTTTTTTCAGATGGACCCAGTTTTTCGTCAGAATGAATCTTGCCAATCGAAAAGTTCTTGTTGAATTCAATTTTTATCCCCATCATTTTTCAATCGATCCCTATCCATAATTGATTTCATTTGATGCTTTTCAATAATCAATAAATTTATCTTGTTGTTTTTTTTTTGTAAAATACGTAATATTTCTGAAATTCACGCCTCAAACAACCCCAAAATAGAAAAAATCAATCAAAGGCGCACACATTTTTGAGATACTTTTGGTTTAATGAAGATTTTTAAGCATTTTCGCAATTTTTCTGGGCGAAATTTGCAGGCAAAACAACCCAAAACAAAAAAAGAATGGAAATCGATTAAAGGCACACACATTTTCCGTGAAATATCTCGCCACGACGCAGCGATTCGTGTACTTCTCCCGGACTTCTAGTATTTTCGCTCATTTTTTCCTCATCTCTTCGCTGCGAGACCCAACAATTGATTACTGTATTGCTCATGCTAGTTTTTCGTCTCCTTCTCCCCCAAAAAAACGACATACATTGTCGTACAATATGAAATGGATCCCAAACGGTGAGTTCCAAAGATCTTTTGAATATTCGGAAAAACATTAAATTTCCAGACCAAATTCGTGTGGATGTGGTAAATGTTCAGTCGAACTCAATTTGTTTTCTGAAAAGTTCAAGACTGGCTCATTGCATGTTGTTGCAGGAGTGTATCTTGCCAAACGCAAATATTATGAACTGAATGCACACCTGACGAGACGTGTCCAAAATGGACACTGTACATTTTTTTCAAAAGTCACACTGCATTTTTTTTCGAAAAATAACTTTGTTTCCTTTTCACCAACATTTAACCTGAGGAAATAAATGCGCATTTAGTTCAGTGGTAGGCCATTTTGCTACACAGGAAAAGTCAGGCCTGCCTGCCGCAGGTGTGTGGCAGGTATCTCATGGTTGGCAGGACCGCAGCAGGCGTGCGGCAGGAGTTGATAAATTTTTCGTCGGCATGCCGCACGCCGACCAGAAATTTTTTCATCCGACATTTTTTTTTGAAAATGAAAAGGTGTAAGAATATGCGAAATGGTATTCCCAATTGTACTTCATAAGAATTCATCGAATTTTCGAACAGTGGAACTTCAAAACTTCCAATGGAAGGTCATTTAGGTTGTATGGTTGAATTTCTTGAAATAGAAGCGAAATTTCATAAAATACATGGGACAAATTTTTGAAAAATCGAATTTTTCATTTACACATTCAAGAATCGAACGGTTTTCAGTTCAAAGTTTGATCTCTAAGCTGGCCTATTTGTTTTTTCTCAACTAAATAGTATGAAATGCATATCATTTTGTTCGTAATGAAATTTCACATTCAATGGTGCAAATCATTTTTCACGAAAACTTATATTCGCCGCGCGCAAAAATCAAATAAAAACAAAGGCGCACACAATTATTTTCTTTGGTCCTACGCGGAAACGCGTTTGTGTGTACTTCTCACGGACAACTTGTGAAATTTTTTTCATTTTTTTTCGTTTCGTTTTGTTGTTGTGTTTTTTGAGAGATTTAAGCGTTTAATGAGTTTATAACAGCTGCATTTTAGTCTAAGGAGAATATTAATGAAAATGTACTTGGCGGCTATTAGAAATTTTCTTTGAAAACACCAAAATTCCTCAAACATACGTCTTCAAACATCTTTAAAAATTTTTTTGCATGAATGGCGTATGTTTTTTGGATGTGGAGACGAAATAGGTTTCTGGGACGACAACTCAGTCGGTGATTCGGAAGCCCAATATTCGTGAGGTATTTTTTCGTCTGCGCATCTTAGAACAAAATCTGTCTCGACGATAATTCGATAAATCGCCAAAGTTGTCTCGTTTTGCTTACAAATCTAGTAATTCTCACCTAGGAAATTTATGAAACCTATGAAAAATGATATTTATGTATGTTTTAGTGAAACTTCATTTGGTTAATTTAGAGATAAGTTTGCCACTAGGATATTGGCGTAACACTGGTTGATAGGTTACAGTATAAGATTTTTCTTTTTCAAATTCTCGTAATTCAATCGTTTTCTTTACATGCATCGAAAATAATATTGATTACAGACAATTTCGCCACGATGCATCTCGAAGAATTGGTGGAATGCGCCAATATGCAAGGGATCAGGGCTGGTCGGAATTGACCTTTCGGAATTTCGGAAGTCCCATTTTCACTCCCGATTTTATTTTCGGAATTTCGGCATTCCGACTTTTTATTCCGAATAATTTTTCGATAGTTCGGAATTCCGATTTTTTCTTCCGACTTTTTTTTCGGAATTTCGAAAGAAATTCGGAAGTCCTAATGCGCAGGAAAAAACTGGAAAACGACATTTTTCGATGAGTTATCAGAACAATTATAGTGAAAATAGTTGCGAAAAGTGAATCTTGTTCTTTAGTTTATGAAAGACAACAAATGTTTGTCTATTATCGATTATTAAGAAATTTTTCACCATCATTTCAGCCATAAAATAAAGTTTTCTTTAAAAAAGCATATATTCCGATATTTCGAAATTTTTCGAAAATGATTCCGACAAAAAAGTCGGAATGAATAAAAAAGTCGGAACGAGAGTCGGAATTCAAGCAATTCCGAGTTTTTCTTTCGGAAGTGCTTCCGACCAAACTACACTTCCGAAAAAACGTCGATTTTCGGAATTTCGGAATTCCGATATTCCGATTCCGACCAGCCCTGCAAGGGATTCCTTGTAAGTCTATCTTAGAAATGTTGTGAATTCGATAATTTCGATAATCTTACAGGTTTCCCATCGCTTGCTTGGACAAATGAGTGAAATGGAAGATGCGCCGAGTTTGAGCAAGGTAAATATTTATAATTTTTATCGAAAATAAATCATATTGATGATAAAAATCTTTATGCCCTTTTGTGAATTAGACAAAAAGTTGTCATCTAAAGATATCAAATTCTTACATTAATAACTTTTCGGTTGAAATCGTAGTTGAGTTTGGTGAAAAATTGGCCAAGCTTCTTCCACCTGCGTTCCTGGCTTCTATAAAGTCACCGGGATCTCAGACAGTTTCAGGATTTCATTAAAATTCCACTCCAGGTCCCATTATTACTTTCCCGAGTCGTCTACAGGTCTCACTCCTGAAAAATCCCCAAGTCTCTAAGTCCTTTATTACTACTAGCAGTCTTCCGAGTCACCAGGACTATTACCAGACTTCTAAAAATTTCATAGTACACTCAGAATTGTTTCTAAACATCTAAAAAACTGCATAAATCTTTTTCTAGGCTATGCATTCATTGAAGTTTTCTTTCAGAGTCAAATTCGCCTGGGATCACACATGTCACCATCAACGATCGCCTGGATTTTAAGTAAATATCAAATTATAAATGTTCAATAAATTTTTAATGAAAATTCTGTTGTTATATTTATTTCAGATTGAGCCTCCCAAAAAATTTCAGAAAAAAGCTTAGAGACCTGCCACACACCTGCCGCACGCATGCCAGGAAGTCATGCCGGCCAGTACTCCGACGGACAGCGGCAGAAATGACCTTGGCATGCCCCCGGCAGGTCCGCCGCAGGACTGCCAGATTTTACCTGTGTAGTGTTCAGTAGGCCTAGGTTCGAATCTTCATTCGAACTAAACTTTTTTTTATTTTTGCTCAACTTCAAAAACAACTTCAGCTTGCTAATTTTTCGAAGTTTCTCGGTGAAAATCAACTCAGCAGACTTCGTTTTAGTGTAGTAACACAATGTGCAGTGTGGAATTTACGTGACTGCTTAGCAAACCATAGTGTCACTGAAATTTCAGAAAAATTGACTTTCTATGGAAAAACTTCAAATTCCACACTGCACATGGGTAAATTCGAAAACTACGCTTAAAAATACACCAACTTTCTGAATATACCAACCCTTGATATGTGCTCGGAAAAAAATGCCGCCCGATTCTTTGTAATGTCCATATTTACCATTGAAATGGACACTCCAAAATAACAGCGGAAATAGGGCATTTCCACACTGCACTCATGGTGTTCCACACTGCCTATGACCTTACCAATCTATCGGAAAAAAATCAACCTTATCCGTTAAGCCTAACCTTAGTTATCCTAACTTCAAAATTTGAGCAACGTTGCAACGCATTCGTTTAAAAAAAGTTTCCTTTCCACCAACATTTTCCCCTCGGGAGAAAAGAGAGATGTGGCCGAGAGGTTAGCATTTTAGACTGTCGAGCATGAGATCAGGGTTCGAATCCTCCTGCCCGCGGAGTTTTTTTTTCCAAAAATTTAAAAATTTCACGCTGCACATTTTTTTTTGAAAAAAATTTTCACACTGCACAAAAAATTTGGGACACTCTCTCGTCAGGTGTGACTGAATGGTCGTCAAATGTTATTGTGGGCGCAAGAATGTCAGCCAGAATTGTCGGACAAAATTCAAGCAATCTATGATTTTTGCGAGTGCCCGAGAATTATCGAATATGCAGACAAATTCGGATATTGGCAAGAAGCTGTCATGGCTGTGAGACATACTTTGGCTACGGCTGCCAAAAATACAAATGCTGAAGTAAGTATTTTGAATTTAACACTTGTAAATAACTTTTTTATAGATTCAAGTTGAAGTCGTGGACACATATCATTGCTTAAAGAAAACTATCAAAGTTCGTCCAAATGACGATGTTCGAAAACTCAACAACATCACGGTGAGTTTTTACCGAATGGGAATTTTTGAAACTGGAATCATACCACGCCCAGCGTCTCAGGAATTTTTTTGTACGAGTTCTGCACCTTTTTTGTACCCGTTCAGCACTTTTTTGCATTTGTACGCGTTCAGTTCCTGATATAAGACAGCTAAAAAAGACTGATCGTGTACACGCATAAGTTTGAAAGCGTACTTAATAGGACTGAACGCGTACAAATGCACAAAACGTGCTGAACTCGTACAAAAAAATTCCTGAGGTTGTACCAATTTATTTTGAAAACCGGCGTTTTGAAAATTTTTGGCAAGGTGAAAAAAACCTTTTTGGCTAAAAAAAACTTTCAGAAACATAGGCAAAATAAGCTCCTTTCAGGTCAATTGTACAATACCTGGAGCACATGCCCTGGAACTGAATTTCCTGTAAAAATGTACAAACCCTGGATTTTTAAAGCAATACCTGGAAACGAGAAAAAGGTCTGAAATTTCTCGAATCAATTCCAGAACGTGATTTTTTTGTTCTAAGTAATGTTTTTTTCCGCTACTATAGACCTCTGCCAAAAAATGAAAAACCTGAAATTTAGAATATTTTGCACACTTTCATCTGTTCACCTTGGAACATCTTTTGAACCACAGATTTATCAATTTGAAAACGTTTTTTGTGAAATTTTCTGAATCTCTGAGCGAAAAAACGCCAAATTGTTATCAGGTACTGTTCAAAAATAATCCAGGGTTTGTACATTTTTACAGGAAATTCAGTTCCAGGGCATGTCTTCCAGGTATTGTACATTTGGCGATGTCAATTTTCGAAATTCCTCACCCTGGGCGTGGTATGGAATAATCTGAATGCAATAGTTTTTTTCAGAGTTCCTATCACGCCAAGATCACTTTCCGTCAACAGACATTGCTGCCTGATAGAACAATTGCAAGTTATGGAGTATGTTTTTTTGCAAATTCAACTTCAATAGTCTTTTTTAATTTTGCAGATTGTCGATGGTTCGCAGGTCCAGGTCGGCTCATAAAACTTGCATTAATTGTGTTGTTCTATTTTGAATAAACAATTTTGTTAACAACCGTCTTAAAATTTGAGCATTGATTTTGAGAGACGCCGAGAAACAGAAAATCTGGCAGATAGATCACGTCAAAGTTCCACGTATTTTCTTTTTTCACTATTGGAAACGTTCATTTTGAAATATAGAAGTTTTTTTTTGCAAAAAAATTCAATCAAAGGCACACACATTTTCCGTGAAATATCTCGCCACGATGCAGTATTTTGTGTACTTCTCCCGGACTTCTTTTTGTTTTTTTTTCCGCGAAGAATGATGGAGCCGAAAAAACGACGATTAGAAAAGGAAAATGTGAGTTTTTCTTTTGAAAAGTTTGTGTAAAATTAATGCTTTCAGGTTTCTCTCGAAGAAAATGATGCGGAAACAGCTCATCCAGTTTGTGAGCCCAAGTCTGCTCAAAAATCAGAAGCCAACAAATGGATGAAAATGGAGAAAGAGAAAGCGGAAGATGTGAGAATGCGATATTTGAAAGAGATTTTCGAGAAATATCAAAACATTATTGTGACTTTTGAATTAGAAGATCGTGAATTCAAAATCGATTGTGAATTCAATTTGAAACCCCTCAAGAATCTTCATGAAATCAGAGATTATACTGGAAAAGATTTTCTAGCGACAGGATTTCTGGAGTTATGTCAAATCCACAATGCAAAAATAGTGATGTTAGAAGAAACCAAATTGAATTTCGGGGAAATTCTGAAATTGACTGGAAATTTTTGTAAAGTTCGATGTGATGAATGGTGGATTTTTGATTGTTGTTTTGAAAGATTTTGGGACTCGTATTGATTTTAGACATTTTAATGTGGAAGAACAGGAATATGATGAGAATACTGGGTGAGATTTGATTTTAAGGCTAAATTTAAATTATATTCGGAAAACGGGAATTTTCAGGGAAAACTTGATCAGCGACGAATTTTTTTTCAAATTTTTTTCTTTATTTTTGGTTTTTCGCAACATTTTCAGTTTTTCCATTCTTTGTTTGTTTCTGGAAATATTACACAGTTCAGTTTAGCAGTACATATAAAAACCCACTCAATTTCCTTCAAATTCATATGAAAATGACCTTTCCAACCATATTTCTACTCACAATTCTATTATTCCTCATTCCAACCTCTTATTGTGGAACCCTAACTCAAATTGCGAAGATTGGAGAGCGTGTTGAAGTTCTGACATTCGAAACTGGACCATTGACCAAAGACGATAAGTATACTTTTAATTTCAGCGGACCTAATCGAGGATTTTTCACCGATGATAAGGTAAATCACATTTTTGTGAAATTGTGTAAATAAATTCGTTTCAGACCAAAAAACGATTATTGGGAAGCAATTTGCAAATCAAGGAAAATGGTTTGATAATTACAAAAGTGACCAAAAATGACGCTGGTTGGTATCAACGTGGTGCAACTGCTTTTACTTTGATCGTTGAATGAATAAACGGTAATAAATGTTTATAGTTTGATTTTTTTTCCAGAAAAAATTCAGATTTATGGCCGATGGTTATGTGTTTGTATAACTCAAATAAAGATAATCAGGTGAGGTATAAAATGCCAAGAATTTTCTGAAGAATCATGCAAAATGAAGTTTTTGATCGTTTTGGCGTTTTGTGTTGGAATTGTGCAAGCTGGCATGTTTTGCTCTGTTTGTATTCAATTGGTTGAGAAAGTTTTGGAAGCTGGGAGAGAGGATCTCGAACCTGTCTTAGAGGTATCTAATTAATATTTTTGATTATTGGTTCAATTCGAATTTTGCAGAAAGGAGTTAATGAAGTGTGCTCGGTTTTGGGAAGTTTCGCGTCGCTTTGTGAAAACTACTTGGATGGATATATTGATCAACTTGTTGATCAAATTGATTCATCTAAAGATGCTAATGAAGTTTGCTCAGCAGTAGATCTTTGCTGAACAATTTGAACTTACAATTAACATTTGACCTATCAATAAATGTTTTGTATCAACCATATTTTGCAAATCTTACGGTTCACAGAAATAATTTTTATTATAGCATTTTTTGTTTGTTTTGTTTTATTTGATAATTGCTTTTTCATTCCGATTTAATGTAATTCGGGATCGTAAAAGAAATGGTATTTAAGCTAACTATAATATCATGATTGTATGCTATTTCATAGTGGAATAGAATGGTTGAAGCCCCATCGAAAATGATTGGTTTAATCATTTTCTTGGTCGTTCTATTCATTTTCGAAGTTGATGCTGGAATGCTGTGCTCGTTTTGTGAGTCAGCCATTGATGAACTCGAAGAATATTTGAATCGCGAAGAAAAGGAAGTGGAAAACTGGGTAGATCAATTTTGTGACAAAGTGCCTATTGCTGGTTCGATTTGCAAAGATTTTTTGAACCAAAATATTGAATCGCTGATAGATCAAATTGAGAGCAATCATACATCTGAACAAATCTGTGAAGAATTGGCATTGTGCTGATTTTGCTAAAAACTTGTAATAAATAAATTGAAGATCTTAACTTCTGTACATACCACGCCCAGGGTGAGGCATTTGCACAGTGCCAATAAAAAAATACCGAAATTCACCTCGCCATTTTGAGATTTTCTTGAAAAACAACAAATTTTTGCTTCTTTTTCCGTTAAAAAGTCGCATTTTTCAGTCAAAAAGGTTGTTTTCACCTCGCCAAAAATTTCAAAACCCACACCGCCAATTTTCAAAGTTAATTTGCACGAAGCTGGGCTCCACCGAAATAAACACGCAACGCAGACCGCGCCGCGCCACAACACACACAAAAAAGGGAGGGAATTTGAATCGTTCCCCTATTTGTGTGTGTTGTGGCGCGACGCGGTCTGCGTTGCGTGTTTATTTCGGTGGAGCCCGTGAGATTTTCGATAATAAATGTTTTAAATCATTGTGTTATTTCCTAATATTGGTTATATGTCACGAAAACTCTCAATTAAAGGATATCTGAAGTAACAAATTCAAGACAGAACTCCAAGCAGAAAGAAAAAACTGAAGTCCGGAAATTTCCATAAAATCAAAAAATTGCCGAATAAGTTGCAACAAACAAAGATCCATTGTTTTTTATTTTTTTTTTTTGTGTCCAATTGATACATTTTATTGTTTTTTTTTTGCAGTGTCCATCTCATTTTCCAGACATCATTTATTTGTTCATCTGCCAAATTTGCACTATATAAAAGCTTCAGGGAAATTTGGGAGAATATATCAAACAAAACATGTTCAAGTTTCTCGTCCTCTCTTCTCTTGCTCTTATCAATGTGAATATTATTTTGGCTTGTGATTCTTCGGAATCTGAAGGACGTGAGTTAGGCTAAGTCTAGGCCTAGGCCTAAGCCCAACAAGCCTAGGCTCCTAGATAACCCTGTTTTCCAGCATGCGACGGGTCTACCTTAACATGTTCTACACAGGTTTGCGACACTGCTGCAGGACAATGTTGCCCGGTGACAAGTACCAGTAAGACTTCCCCAAATCGAGTTCCTCTAACTCCCCCTCTTCCAGGCACCTCCACAGTCACCTCAACAACAACTGCAACATGTGTAGATCTAACCAACCCTCGAACAGGAGTCTCCGATTGTCCAAGTCTCTCGTATCTCTGCAATGATTCGACCTATTATACAGTGATGACTACACAATGCCCAAAAACTTGTGGAAGATGTTCATCGAGTTCGAGTTCGACAAGTTGTTCGGATCTTTTGAATCCAGCAACTGGTGTTTCGGATTGTCCAAGCAGAGCGTATCTTTGCACAAATTCGGTATATTATGATGTGATGACTGTGCAATGTCCAAGCACTTGTGGAAGATGTAATAGTACTAGTGAGTTTTGAGAGAATTGCAATCTAGGTATTGCTCATGTTAAGCTAGATACCTGAACGTTCAGGTGGTGGGAGAAAGTTGAAAAATTGGTGCATTTTTGGTCAAAAAACTTTTTAGTCAAATTTTGGCCAATTTTCGACCAACTTTTGATCAAATCACTGTTTTGGCCATTTTTGGTCAAAAAATGGTCAAAAATTGGCCAAAAAACGAATTGGTGCATTTTTGGCCAAAAAACTTTTTAGTCAAATTTTGGCCAATTTTCGACCAACTTTTGATCAAATCACTGTTTTGGCCAGATTTTGACCAAAAAACGAATTGGTGCATTTTTGGCCAAAAAACTTTTTAGTCAAATTTTGGCCAATTTTCGACCAACTTTTGATCAAATCACTGTTTTGGCCATTTTTGGTCAAAAAATGGTCAAAAATTGGCCAAAAAACGAATTGGTGCATTTTTGGCCAAAAACTTTTTAGTCAAATTTTGGCCAATTTTCGACCAACTTTTGATCAAATCACTGTTTTGGCCAGATTTTGGTCAAAAAATGGTCAAGCTCCCACCACCAGTGGAACAAAGAAGAATACAACCAAATCTAGGTATTGCTCATGTTAAACTATAATATATCCCTCTAGGTTCCTCCACATCTTGTGTCGATCTTCTCAACCCATCAACCGGTGTTTCTGATTGTCCAAGCCGAGCCTATCTCTGCACAAACTCTGTCTACTATGACGTCATGACTGTTCAATGTCCTCGAACTTGTGGCAGATGTTCAACATCATCCACTTCCACCTCATCCACATCCACAACATCAGCCGGAACATGCGCTGATCTCACCAATGCCGCCACTGGTGTTTCCGATTGTGCCGCCCGTGTCGCCTATTGTACAAATGCGATCTATTTGCCATTGATGAGAGTTCAATGCCCAAAGACTTGTGGATTTTGTACTTAAGGAAAATTTCGGGACCATTATCATTAATTTATGTGTACTTATTTTGTTTGGAAATAAATTATTTTCTGGGATTTCTTCTAAAATTGCAGAAAAAAAAATTGGCGAGAGAGTTAGAGACGCAGAGAAATCTGCTTATCCAGAGATCATGAGAGTCCAGAGAAGCTAGAGCCCAGACAGCCAGAGAGTGCAGAATTTTGAGAGAAACTAGAGAAGCTAGAGAACATAGATAGTGGATAAGCTAGACAGTTAGAGACGCAGAGGAACACACTGGGGAGTTTAAAGGCAGCTAGACGGTTAGAGAAGCTAGAGAACATGGAGAGTTGGGAGAAGCTAGAGAGTGCAGAATTTTGAGAGAAACTAGAGAAGCTAGAGACAAGTGTGAATTGAGAGACGCAGAGAGAGGTCAGAGCGCAGACAACCAGAGACAGTAGACAGCTATGGAGCCCTGACCTTCCTAGATAGAGAGAGAACTGAGAGGTTAGAGACGCAGAGAAAATTTTAGAGGTCACAGAACTTTAAGAGACACCAGAGAAGCTAGAGCTCAGACATCTAGAGAGCACAAGATGGTGAGAGAAGGTCAGAGACGCAGAGAAAAAGTCTAGAGATCACACAACTCAAATATAGGTTAGAGAAGCTAGAGCGCAGACATCTAGAGAGCACAAGATGGTGAGAGAAGATTAGAGACGCAGAGAAAAAGTCTAGAGATCACACAACTCAAATATAGGTTAGAGAAGCTAGAGCGCAGACATCTAGAGAGCACAAGATGGTGAGAGAAGGTTAGAGACGCAGAGAAAAAGTCTAGAGATCACACAACTCAAATAGTAGAGGTTAGAGAAGCTAGAGCTCAGACATCTAGAGAGCACAAGATGGTGAGAGAAGGTTAGAGACGCAGAGAAAAAGTCTAGAGATCACACAACTCAAATAGAGGTTAGAGAAGCTAGAGCTCAGACATCTAGAGAGCACAAGATGGTGAGAGAAGGTTAGAGACGCAGAGAAAGAGTCTAGAGATCACACAACTCAAATAGAGGTTAGAGAAGCTAGAGCTCAGACATCTAGAGAGCACAAGATGATGAGAGAAGGTTAGAGACGCAGAGAAAAAGTCTAGAGATCACACAACTCAAATAGAGGTTAGAGAAGCTAGAGCGCAGACATCTAGAGAGCACAAGATGGTGAGAGAAGGTTAGAGACGCAGAGAAAAAGTCTAGAGATCACACAACTCAAATAGAGGTTAGAGAAGCTAGAGCTCAGACATCTAGAGAGCACAAGATGATGAGAGAAGGTTAGAGACGCAGAGAAAAAGTCTAGAGATCACACAACTCAAATAGAGGTTAGAGAAGCTAGAGCGCAGACATCTAGAGAGCACAAGATGGTGAGAGAAGGTTAGAGACGCAGAGAAAAAGTCTAGAGATCACACAACTCAAATAGAGGTTAGAGAAGCTAGAGCCCAGACAGCCAGACATCTAGAGAAGGTTAGAGACGCAGAGAATTCGCAAAGAATTCCAAGAATGTCATTGTTGTTATTATTTATCACTTCATTTCATTCATAATCAACATTTTGAAACACCCAATTCGACCCCGATTTCTCTCTCTTCTCTCTGCGTCTCTCGATTCTCTATTATCTCTAGACGAAAAATGGGCGGAGCCTGGGAGGGGGAAAACAACAACAAAAAAGGCTCCGCCCCTTTTTTTTTTTTTCATCTTTTTCTGTCCATTTTTGGGGTTGGGTTGGTACTATCTTTTTGATTTTCATTTTGTGTCCTTGGAATTTTTGTTAGATTTTCAGTTTCAGTTTCAGTTTCAGTTTTTCCAGTCTGAAACTGGTTTACTTTAATTTTAACTTTAAATTTCAAATTTCCAGAAGATGCAAAAAGTTTTGGTGATTTTATCGGCGGTTCTCCTCGTTGCGGCTTTTGCGCAAGACGCTCCAGTCTGCTCCGTAAATCAACTTTTCAACGGACAGATTTGCACGTGTGCTCCGGGGTGAGTGATTTTTTGTGCTCAGCACGTGATTTGGAGCATTTTGAGCTCAAGACCATGATTTTTGGTGGATTTTAAAGGAAGTTAAGGGATTTCAAAGTTGCCGCATAGAAAAATGGGCGTGGCCTGATTTTTCGCAAATTTTAGGCATAGTTTTTCATAGGTAGTTAAAAGAGGAAGGGATTTGGAGCATTTTGAGCTCAAGACCATGATTTTTGGTGGATTTTAAGGGAAGTTAAGGGATTTCAAAGTTGCCGCATAGAAAAATGGGCGTGGCCTAATTTTCTGCAATTTTTCCGCATAATGTTTATATGCAAAATGTTCGTTTTGAAATTCTGTTTTTTTCGAGCCCAAATTCTCCCAGATTTGCAAAATTAAGGCACAGAAAAATGGGCGTGGCACAAAAAAAAAGTTTTTTTTTTCAAAAAAAAAATCTCCCAAAACTTTTTGGGTGTGGTTTTTTTTGTTTGAAAGTTAATTAATCAAGTATTTACTTTCTAATTTGATTTTGATTGATTGCGGAATTTTTTTCAAAAAGAAAAAAAATGAGAAAAATTAGGCTCCGCCCATTTTTCTGTGCCCTAACTTTGCAAAACCATATCTCAGCTCCCAGAGCACCAAAAAAGCTTCCCAAAAAATCAAAATGCTCCAAATCTCAAGCTCCGCCCACTTATCCATGCCGCAAAATCATTCGAAACCAGAACATTTAGGCTCCGCCCCATTTTCTGTGCCCTAACTTCAAAAGCCTCTAACTTTACTTAAAATGGTCCAAATTTATTGATCTTGAGCTCAAAATGCTCCAAATCTCAAGCTCCGCCCATTTTTCCATGCCCCATATCACAAAAATCTGAAAATTTCAGATATTTCTCGTCTGCCAACGACGAATCCAAAGCAAGATGTGAAGATGAGTGTGAAGAAGTGTATTTCTCACTTTTCACCAGCGGAAAATGTGTCAACAATATTTTTGGAAATGTGCCAAAAGATCAACAACCTGCCTGTAATTTGAGATGCGGTGTACGTTTTTTTTTTGGCTTAAAATGAGCAATCTGACTGAAAATTGGCGAAAAACGGGGATTTTTGAGCTAAAATGAGCCATTTTGGCTCAAAAATGAGCTATTTTCAGTCAAAAATGAGCCAAATTTTTCTTGCAGTTGAGAATTCGCCTCTGGGCTACTGTAGCTCTCTTCACCGTAATCGCCGCCGCCGTCGCCACCCTGGTTTTGCTGTTGCCAATGTGCATCGCATCGTGTGCCAGTTGTTTGCACGCCAAAAAGGTGAGCAGGGCTTTTCGAGCCGAATTTTGGGCTGGGATTTTGTGCTCACCTTGTAGAGAATCTCAAGAGCTTCATTTTGAACCCCTAACTTGTATATTTTGGATAACTTTGACCTACAGTAATCCTGATTTTCGTGGTGGGACCTTGAAAAACATCTGATTTTTTTGGACCAGGATTTTTGGCGCCAAAAATTTTTCTGAGCTCCGGGATTTTGTGCTCACCCTGTAGAGAATCGCAGGAGCTTCATTTTGAACCCCTAACTTGTAAATTTTGAAAGAATATGAACTACAGTAACCCTGGTTTTCGTGGTGGGACCCAATTTTTTTTGAAAAAATTTTTCAGCATCAAAATTTCACCAAAGCATATTGATATGTACACCAAAAGATCGAGAAATTCAAGACGAACATTTTGAGCTACAGTAACCCTAGGTTACATCTACAGTACTCCCAGAAATCGCGTCGGGACCCAACCAAAAATTATCGGAATTTTTTCCAAAAAATTTTTTTTTGAAAAAATTTTTTTTGGGCCTTAAAATTTCACCAAAGCATATTGATATGTACACCAAAAGATAGAGAATTTCAAGAAGAACATTTTGAGCTACAGTAACCCTAGGTTACATCTACAGTACTCCCAGAAATCGTGTCGGGACCCTGCCAAAAATATCGGATTTTTTTCCAAAAAAACTTTTTTTGAAAAATTTTTTTTGGCCTCAAAATTTCACCAAAGCGAATTGATATGTACACCAAAAGATAGAGAATTTCAAGAGGGATTTTTCAGCTACAGTAACCCTAGGTTACATCTACAGTACTCCCAGAAATCGCGTCGAAACCCTGCCAAAAAATATCGGAATTTTTTCCAAAAAAATTTTTTTTGAAAACATTTTTTGGCATCAAAATTTCACCAAAGCATATTGATATGTACACCAAAAGATAGAGAATTTCGAGAGGGATTTTTCAGCTACAGTAACCCTAGGTTACATCTACAGTACTCCCAGAAATCGCGTCGGGACCCTGCCAAAAAATATCGGAATTTTTTCCAAAAAAATTTTTTTGAAAACATTTTTTGGCATCAAAATTTCACCAAAGCATATTGATATGTACACCAAAAGATAGAGAATTTCGAGAGGGATTTTTCAGCTACAGTAACCCTAGGTTACATCTACAGTACTCCCAGAAATCGCGTCGGGACCCAATAAAAAATAAAATTCCAAAAAAAAGGCGCAAAAAAGTGTTCAAGGTCATTTTTCCCCATTTTTTTTGTCGTGTCTCCATAAATATGTTTTTATATAACAAAAAACCGTTTTATTATATAATAACGGTCAGATTTTTATCAACATCAAGATAACCCTTTTTTTCCAAAAAAAAAAAAAAACCGAATCCAAAAATCTATCCAAGCTACAGTAGTAAAGGGGTACTGTACATAGGGTCCCACCACGAAAATACGGAAATTGGGGTTCAAAATGAAGCTCTTGAGATTTCCTACAACTTGAGATAAAAAAAATTATCTACAGTACTTCTACAGTACCCTTTTTCTCAAAAATTCTCGTTCCAAGACCCATTTTTTCTTGTTTTTTGCCAACAAAAACAACAAATACAAATAAAATCCCATTTTTGTGTGTTTCCAACGAGAAAAACCAGTTTTTTTATTCAATTTGACATTTTTTGTGTGAAAAAAAAAATGTTTTGGGTATAATTTCCCAACTTTTTTCTGCATTTTACATTATTTATTCATAAATAATGTTGAATTTGTACAAAAAAGTGAAAATTTTCGATTTTTGTATCAAAAATATATAGAAAATCCAAATTTCCCCAAAAAAACTTGATTTTCACTTTTTTTCGCCTCATAAGTACAACACAACAATTTTCCACTTATAATCTTTTCTGAAGGTTTTTTTTGGAGAAAAAAAGGGAATTTTGAGAGGAGTACTGTAGATTACTGTAGAATTTGAAAAATTATCTATTTTTTGAGCCCAAATTTGAGTACTGTAGAAATACTGTAGGCTTCAAAAAACGCTAACTTTTGAGCCTTACTGTAGCTCGGGTTACTGTAGATAAAGCTCCAGATAAAAAAATCCAGGAGTACTGTAGGAAAAGTTCCCAAATTACTGTACTCAAGGAATTCCGAAATTTTTTGTAGATCAAAAAATTATTCCGAATTTTCTAGAGGGTACTGTAGCTTCCAGATACTGTACAAAAGGTTCCAAATTTCTTCGTAGATCAAAAAATTATTCCAAATTTTCTAGAGGGTACTGTAGCTTCCAGATACTGTACAAAAAATTCCGAAATTTTTTGTAGATCAAAAAATCATTCCAAGTATTTTAGAGATTACTGTAGCTTCCAAATACTGTAGAAAAAAGTTCCTAGATCCGAATTTTCTCCCAGATTACTGTAGAAAATTTCCAAAATTTTTTGGTAGATCAAAAAATCATTCCAAATTTTCTAGAGGGTACTGTAGCTTCCAGATACTGTACAAAAGGTTCCAAATTTCTTCGTAGATCAAAAAATTATTCCAAATTTTCTAGAGGGTACTGTAGCTTCCAGATACTGTACAAAAAATTCCGAAATTTTTTGTAGATCAAAAAATCATTCCAAGTATTTTAGAGATTACTGTAGCTTCCAAATACTGTAGAAAAAAGTTCCTAGATCCGAATTTTCTCCCAGATTACTGTAGAAAATTTCCAAAATTTTTGGTAGATCAAAAAATCATTCCAAATTTTCTAGAGGGTACTGTAGCTTCCAGATACTGTACTTCAGGAAATCCAAAATTTTTTGTAGATCAAAAAAATAATTCCAAATTTTCTAGAGGGTACTGTAGCTTCCAGATACTGTAGAAAAATTCCAAAATTTTTTGGTAGATCAAAAGACTACTGTAGTGTCCATTTTTCCCCCTGAAAAGTATCAATAAACTGATAAAATGTAATTTTTCCCCGAAAATTTGTGTGTGATTAAATTTTTGTCCTTCGGATCTTCTTCTTCTTCTCATTTTTCCGTTTTCCCGTTTTGATGATAACCTATAAACCGGATGAGAGAGTGTGCGAAAATGAGAGAGTGCAGAGAAAAATGCGGGGATATTTTGAAGGACAAAAATGAAACCCCAAATGGAAAATGATAACACACAAACAACAATAATAATTTGACAATTTATGGCCGAAAACTGGAATTTTGGGGTTTTTGAACATGAAAACCAGGGACATAGGTCAAAAATCTGGCAAAATTACAGTAATTCTGGGGCATTTTTGATCTACCAAAAAAATTTTGGAATTTCCAAAGTACAGTAGTCCTGGGAAAAATTGGATTTGGCAACTTTTTTCTACAGTATTCCCTTGATCTACAAAAAATTTCGAATCTTTTTTGCACTACAGTAATATTCAAGAAAATCGTGGCAGCGTCTATTCTACAGTAATACTGGGAACTTCACTACAGTATCCCTCAAAAATCGTGTCAGGGCCTGAATTTTAGTCAATATAAGTTGTTTACAAAATTCCTGGACCATTATTTTCACCAAAAGAACTCAAATTTTCTACAGTACTCCTAACAAAATCGTTTCGGGACCAGAAAATTGTGAATTTTCCATTTTTCTCTACAGTAACACCCAGAAATCGTGCTGTGACCCAAAATTTCATTGAAAATGTTCACAAAAATCATGTCAGAACCTTAATTGCATCTTTTTTCTACAGTAACCCTTAGAAATCGTGCTGGGACCCAAAATTTCAGCCAAAAAAGTTCCTAGACCAATTTTAACCCAAAAATTCCAAATTTTCTACAGTATCCCCCTCAAAAATCGTGCTCTGGGACCCAAAATTTCAGCCGAAAAAGTTTCCAGACCAATTTTAACCCAAAAATTTCAAATTTTCTACAGTAACCCCCTCAAAAATCGTGTCAGGACCCAAAATTTCAGCCAAAAAAGTTCCTAGACCAATTTAAACCCAAAAATTCCAATTTTTCTACAGTATCCCCCTCAAAAATCGTGCCAGGACCCAAATTTACCCAAAAATCCCAATTTTCTCACCCCCAAAGCCCAAAAGCCCCAAAATCAAGCCCGAATTCTTTCAGGCCAACAAGAACTCGAAACGTGTCGCGTTGGAGACTCAATCAGTCGGCGGACCATCAAAAGATCAACAAGTCGCCACAATGGGCTACAATCCATACGCCTATTGGCCTTATTATGGACGGGCCTAAATTTGGGGCCTTTTCGGGCCAGGCTTAGGCCTAAAAGCCTAATCCAAACAAATTACCAAACTTTTATCATCGGGTCTTTTTCAGACTGCCTTTTCTTTCCTATTCCCTATATATTTTCAGCCTATTTTTTAAAAATAATTTCAGAGCATTTCTAGACAAAATTTCCTCCTAATAAAGAATTTTATCGATTTTCCACATTTTCTTTAAAAAAAACCAGTTTTTCAGGGTTCTTTTTATTGATAAAAAATGAACAAAACAAAAAAGGGTAACAAAACAATAAAATGTGTCAACAACTAACATTTTCTCGATTTTTTTTTGGAAATGAAATTTTTGGGAAGAAAATAGAGGAGAAATTTGGCTGAAAATCAGCAATTTTTCAGAAAAATCTAAAATTTTCAGCTGAAAATAGCACCTGGGACTGAAATTTCAAGATTTTTAAAGCCAAATAATGACTGAAAATTGAAAAATTCAAAATTTGGGCATAGCTTCCGCATCTCCGCCGATTTCCAATTAAAAATATGCAAAAATCCAGAAATTTCAGCATTTTCAGCCGGAAAATCGGGATTTTTGCATATTTTCAATCGGAAAACGACAATTTCAGATATTTAGAAATTTTGTCTGAAAATCTTCCTTTTTCATTTGAAACTACAAGTAAACCTGCATTTTCCGATGAAAAATTCGGATTTTCAGACAAAATTTCAGAGATTTGGAAGTAAAAAATTGATTTTCACACGAAAAATCGCATCTTCCATGTGAAAACGCAGATAAATCCGAATTTTCCTATGAAAAACTCGAAAATTCGTCTGAAAATCATGAAAACCCTTCAAATTTCGTCAAAATTTCCAGATTTTCAGCCAAAAAATCGCATCTTTCATGTGAAAACGCAGATAAATCCAAATTTTCCTATGAAAAACTCGAAGATTCGTCAAAATTTCCAGATTTTCAGCCAAAAACCCCCCTTTTCCCATTTCTATTGATTCAAAAACAATTTAAAAGCCAACAATACTTTAGCCGATCTATCTTGCGATGCCAAAAGACAAGCTTGTGCTTTTCGAAACTTGTCCAATTGTAGTCGATCGGGTCCCGGCAAATACATCTCTTCGACTTCTGCAATTTGTGCCAACTTCGATTCTTCGTCCAATTCTTCATTTCCTTTGATTCCTTCAACAATTGGTCCAACTGTCGCATCTTTGTCCAATAAATGTTTGTTTTCTTTGCGTTCGAATGAATTTCGGAGAATTAGATTTCGGATGAGCTGGAAAAAATGGGAATTTGGGGAAATTTTGAGTTCATACTTATGGTTAAGCCTAAGCCTAACATTTTGGTTAAGCCTAAGCCTAACATTTTAGTTAAGCTTAAGCATAACATTTTGGTTAAGCCTAAGCCTAACATTTTAGCTAAGCCTAAGCGTAACATTTTGGTTAAGCCTAAGCCTAACATTTTGGTTAAGCCTAAGAATAAGCCTATATTATTGGTTAAGCCTAAGCCTAACATTTTGGTTAAGCCTAAGCCTGAACATTTTGGTTAAGCCTAAGCGTAACATTTTGGTTAAGCCTAAGCCTAACATTTTGGTTAAGCCTAAGCCTAACATTTTGGTTAAGCCTAAGCCTAACATTTTGGTTAAGCCCAAGCCTAACATTTTGGTTAAGCCTAAGCCTGAACATTTTGGTTAAGCCTAAGCGTAACATTTTGGTTAAGCCTAAGAATAAGCCTATATTATTGGTTAAGCCTAAGCCTAACATTTTGGTTAAGCCTAAGCCTGAACATTTTGGTTAAGCCTAAGCGTAACATTTTGGTTAAGCCTAAGCCTAACATTTTGGTTAAGCCTAAGCCTAACATTTTGGTTAAGCCTAAGCCTAACATTTTGGTTAAGCCTAAGCCTAACATTTTGGTTAAGCCCAAGCCTAAAACATTTTGGTTAAGCCTAAGCCTAACATTTTGGTTAAGCCTAAGCCTAACATTTTGGTTAAGCCTAAGCCTAACCCTAATATTTTAGCTAAGCCTAAAGCTAAGCCTAATTTCAAGATTTTAATTATTTTTTTTTCTAGCCATACTATACTCTAGTTGTCTATTGTTTAGAAAAAAACCCAAAAAAATTCCAATGATTTCTGATTTCCATTCAATTTTTCCATAAAAAAAAAAACCGGTTTTTCAGAAAAGTTCTTAAATTAAATTACACCGTTTGTCAAATTTTCCAGGAATTTTTCGATCGATTTAAAAAAAAAAAAGTTTTTCAGAGAAAATTCAAAATTTGGGCATAGCTTCCGCATCTCCGCCGATTTCCGATTGAAAATATGCAAAGAATCCAGAAATTTCAGCATTTTCAGCTGGAAAATCGGGATTTTTGCATATTTTCAATTGGAAAACGACAATTTCAGACATTTGGAAATACTACAAGCACACCTGCATTTTCCGATGAGAAAAATTGAATTTTCAGACGAAAAATCCCATCTTTCATGTGAAAACGAAGATAAATCCAAATTTTCCTATGAAAAACTCGAAAATTTCGTCTGGAAATCAAAGAAAACCAGGAATTTTCAGCAAAAATTGATTTCCAGACGAAAAATCTCATCTTTCATGTGAAAACGCAGTTAAATCTCAATTTTCCTATGAAAAACTCGAAAATTTCGTCTGGAAATCAAAGAAAACCAGGAATTTTCAGCAAAAATTGATTTTCGGACAAAAATCTCATCTTTCATGTGAAAACGAAGATAAATCTCAATTTTCCTATGAAAACCTCGATTTTTTGTCTGGAAATCAAAGAAAACCTGGAATTTCCGGTCAAAACTTGATTTCCAGACGAAAAATCTCATCTTTCATGTGAAAACGCAGATAAATCCAAATGTTCCTATGAAAAACTCGAAAATTTCGCCTGGAAATCAAAGAAAACCTGGAATTTTCAACAAAAACTTGATTTCCAGACGAAAAATCCCATCTTTCATGTGAAAACGCAGATAAATCCGAATTTTCCTATGAAAAACTCGAAATTTCGTATGGAAATCAAAGAAAACCTGGAATTTTCAGCAAAAATTGATTTTCAGACAAAAAATCTCATCTTTCATGTGAAAACGCAGATAAATCCAAATTTTCCTATGAAAAACTCGATTTTTCGTCTGAAAATCCCCCGATTTTCTCTTACCTTACACGTATATTCAACCAATCCTTGCACAGTTTTCTTCAAATCCAAATAATATAAATAAATTGTTCTTGCTGGTTGAAAATCGCCACTTCTTCCAACCGCTTTTGTGAATACATAACCTTCTTCAACTAATGCATATAGCATTTCACGAGCTTCTTTTGCTGACATCATACTTTGTTTTTCCACTTGTTCTTCGTCTAAATAATGACGAACTTCCAGTAAATGCATTATTCTGGAAAGGAAAAAAAGGGTTTGGGAGTGATTTTAAAGTGGTTAGAGTGAATTTAGGGGTTCTAAGGCTATTTTTGAGTACCTTACTTGAACTTTTCAGTAATCCTAGGTAATTTTTGAACAATTCAGGTAAGTCTTTTCAGAACATTTTTTCAAAATTTGTGTAAAAACTTTCAGATATCTTTTTTGGTTCAAAAATTTTAAGATTGGCATCTAAAATTTGTCAAATTTCAGTTTTTCAGACAATTTTTCGAAGAAACTTGGAATTCCAGTTTTTTACAGCTAAAAATTGTCTGAAAAGTCCCCAATTCAAAATTTGGGCATAGCTTCCGCATCTCCGCCGATTTCCAATTAAAAATATGCAAAAACCCAGAAATTTCAGCATTTTCAGCTGGAAAATCGGGATTTTTGCATATTTTCAATTCGAAAACGACAATTTCAAAATAATTTTTTAGATTGGAAAGTGGAAAACTTCGAATTTTTCAGAAAAATTAAAATTTCAAGATTTTGTAGCTGAAAATAAGAGATCGAAAAAAATGTGAAATTTGGCTGAAACTTGAAGAAGATAATGAATATTGTTCAAATTTTCAGATTTTTCGAGATAGCCTAACATTGTTCCAGAGAAATTCAAAATTTGGGCATAGCTTCCGCATCTCCGTCAATTTCCAATTAAAAATATGCAAAAATCCAGAAATTTCAGCATTTTCAGCTGAAAAATCGCGACTTTTGCATATTTTCAATTGGAAAACGACAATTTCAGATAATTTTTGAACATTTCGAAATGTTGTCTGAAAATCTTCCTTTTTCATTTGAAACTCCAAGTAAACCTGCATTTTCCGATGAAAAATTTGGATTTTCAGACAAAATTTCAGAGATTTGGAAGTAAAAATGAAAATTCCAAGTTTTTTCTAAAACAAATTCAAAATTTGGGCATAGCTTCCGCATCTCCGCCGATTTTCAATTAAAATAATGCAAAAATCCCGAAATTTCAGCATTTTCAGCTGAAAAATCGGGATTTTTGCATATTTTCAATTGGAAAACGACAATTTTAGATAACATTTAATGAAAATTTTGAAAATTTGAATTTTCAGATATAATTTCAGGGGACTTTTTCAAGAATAACCGATTTTTCATGTGAAAAAATGGATAAATCCACATTTTCCTATGAAGAATTCAATTTTTCATGAAAAAATATCGTAAAAAATCCTATCTTTCATGTGAAAAAATGGATAAATCCACATTTTCCTATGAAAAACTCAGAAATTTCCCCAGGAAAAATCCCATCTTCCATGTGAAAACGCAGATAAATCTGAATTTTCCAATGGAAAACTCGAAATTTCCTTTCTCAAAAAACCCCTCCCCATATATGCGGTATACCTAATAGCTTTCTGATCCAATTGTTCTCGAATCAAACTTTCCAAATGTGCTCGGCAAATCAATCGAATCGCTCTTTTCACATCAATTTGATATAAACCACCAGAAGTGTCGCCAATTCTTCGCACAATTCCATCCGATTCATCACACAATATATGACAACTCAAATCGATATCCGCTTTTGATAATTGAATTGAGTTCTCTTTGGCCATTTTAACAATGTCGTAGGTCTACAAGAAAAGTCGTTTCTCTGCGTCTCTAACTCTATAGCTATCTCTGCACCTAGTAATACTAAATTTCAATGGGAAATGAAATTTAATGAGCCATATGTACAATTGAAAAATCCAATTTTCCTTGCTCATTCTCATAAAAATGCACGAAAATCACTTGCTCTACACTCTTTTTTATAACGAAACATACAATATCACCAGTTTTTCACTATCTGATGTTACAATTTTCCAATATCTCGGATTTGTTATCAGATTCCTCATATTTCTCCCAAATTTATTGATTTTATCAATCGTCAAAAAGCAAATAACAAGTTCATTTTATTATTTATTTGTCATAGTTGGTATTTTCAACATCATTTCATGGTACACTTATGAGATATCAACTATAATTGAGTTTTTAAATATCGCATATCTCTTCAATTTATTGGAACATTTCTACATCATCCATTTCATAACCTATTATTCTGTCATGTTTCTAAATATTGTTACAGTAATCAATCGATATTCCGCAACACTTGTGTATTATAAAAAGAATTTGGAAGAAAACTTATATTAATATTATAATACTTTTAATTTCAATCATCTCATTTTTCATAACTTTATTCAGTTTTGATCCATTAATTGAAATTTTTATACTTGATGAAGATGGCTGGTGGAATGGTCAAAAACCGAGCCCGACTAAATTAAGGGGCACTATTTTTGTGTTGAAAATTTCAACTGATTCCATATTTATAATTTTAACCTACTTAACTCACTTAAAAGTTAAGAAACTGAATATTTCGAAGGATACTGTGAGTTGTTTTCCTTATGGGGCTATTCAAGGAAAAAAAATTATGTTTTCTCAGCGACCTATTCAGGTCGGTTAAGAAAACATAAAAATAAAACACCACAAATCGCCACGAGATCCAACGTGTTCCTTTAAAATACTGTAGAATTTCGCAGCGGGACCAATTTACAGGACAAAGGAACATGTTGTTTTTCGTTGGGTCTCGTGGCAATTTGTGTGTTTTCTTCGCTTTTCTCCTGTTTTCTGAGAAAACATAATTTTTTTTCCTTGAAAAAGCCCCCAAAATTCAGAAAGCTTTAAAGTTGATTTTCTACCATATTCCGTTGTTAATTTTATTTGATTTTTGGGCATAGCTTCCGCATCTCCGCCGTTTTCCAATTAAAAATATGCAAAAATCCAGGAATTTCAGCATTTTCAGCTGGAAAATCGCGATTTTTGCATATTTTCAATTGGAAAACGACAATTTCAGATAACATTCAATGAATATTTGAATTTCCAGACACAATTTCAGGGGACTTTTTCAAGAATAACCGATTTTTCATGTGAAAACATGGATAAATCCACATTTTCCTATGAAGAATTCAATTTTTCATAAAAGAATATCGTAAAAAATTGATTTTCAGACAAAAAGTCTCATCTTTCATGTGAAAACGCAGATAAATCCAAATTTTCCTATGAAAAACTCGAAAATTTCGTCTAAAAACCAAATTATTCCCCAATTTCAGAAAACTTTAAAGCTGATCTTCTACCATATTCCGTTGTTAATTTTATTTGAAGTTTATCAAATTCAACATGTTCTAGAAGATAGATCAAACATCTTTTTGAATGTGGTTAGTCAACTTTTTGTTAAGAGGATCATCTCAAACTTTTTCAGGCACGAAAATTATCATTTTTGGAATATCTTGGTTATCCATATCTTATTCTAATTATCAATAAAAATATACGACAAGAGTTTTTTCATTTTTTGTTATTTTGGAGATCAAAAACCAATAAGATCTCACAAATTTCAGTCACAACTTGTTAGATTTTTTTAAATAAAGATTTTCCCTTACCGAAGCCGTAAAATTCTCGACATTCGCCGGTTTCAACGAGGAACATCTCAATTCATTAAGCTTGAAAATCAGATGACAAGTTTGCGATACAATTTGATGGGTTTTATCCTCTGAAGTTGAGGCCTAAAGAAAATCAGAGTTTTTTGATTTGAAAATTTCAGATTTTCAGGCTCACATTAGTTCCCCCAATCAAAAATTCGACAATAATTTCATCGCGAAGATAGGCGTCGAAACGGTTCCAATTCAGGCGCCAATATTCACCAACATCTCCGTCAACTGGAAAAAATTAGAGATTTTTGGCTGAAAATCTGGAATTTTCGGAAAATTTTGGCTGGCAAGCTGCCTAATTGCTCAAATTGCTCAAATTTACAGAAAAATCCAACTTTTTCAGTTATTATTAAAAAATTCGAGATTTCCCAGCTAAAAATTGTCTGAAAACTCAAAATCAAAATTTGGGCATAGCTTCCGCATCTCCGCCGATTTCCAATTGAAATTATGCAAAAATCCAGAAATTTCAGCATTTTCAGCTGGAAAATCGGGATTTTTGCATATTTTCAATTGGAAAACGACAATTTCAAAATAATTTACCCTCGAATTTAGAATTTTTCAGAAAAATTAAAATTTAAAGTTTTTCTAGCTGAAAATAAGAACATAATTGTTTTCAAGAAATCGAAAAAATGTGTATTTTGGCTGAAACTTGAAGAAAATAATGAATGTTGTTCAAATTTTCAGATTTTTTCGAGATAGCCTAACATTGTTCCAGAAAAATTCAAAATTTGGGCATAGCTTCCGCATCTCCGCCGATTTCCAATTGAAAATATGCAAAGAATCCAGAAATCAGCATTTTCAGCTGGAAAATCGGAATTTTTGCATATTTTCAATCAGAAATCGACAATTTCAGAATAATTTTTAATATGCATTTTTTTGGATTTTCAGACAACATTTCATGGTAATTTTTCAAGAAAAATCTAATTTTTCATGTGAAAACATGGATAAATCCACATTTTCCTATGAAAAATATCGTAGACAAAATTGATTTTCAGACAAAAAATCGCATCTTTTATGTGAAAACGCAGATAAATCCGAATTTTCCTATGAAAAACTCGAAATTTCGTCTAGAAAACACAATTTCTCGAATATTCACCTTTCTCCCCAATTTTTCTTTTTCTACTCCCTCCTTCTTCTGTTTCTTTTCTTTCACTCATATCCATAATTTCATTTGGCATAACAAATGCATCAAAAACCGTTTCAAATTGTGGAATTCCGTGTAATTCTCCTTCAACTTTCGGATTTCTGATGATAAATTGGCTATTTGCCAAATCCGTGAATGATTTTTTCAAATTCATCAGCGAAGCTTGTTCATCTCTTGCTTGAACTCGTCGAATCGCATTTGAACATGTTAATTTTCCTTGTGAAAATAGTTCTTCACAAATCGCTTCAGCATCCGGACCATAAAGGGTTTTGGCAATCAAACAGGCTCTGAAAATTCAGTTTTTGGCTGAAAATCTGGCTGAAAACAGTTTATTTTTAGTAAAAATTCAAAATTTGGGCATAGCTTCCGCATCTCCGCCGATTTCCGATTGAAAACATGTAAAAATACAGAAATTTCAGCATTTTCAGCTGGAAAATCGGGATTTTTGCATATTTTCAATTGGAAATCGACAATTTCAGATAATTTTTATAATATAGAAGTTTTGTCTGGAAATCGTTCTCTTTCATTTGAAACTACAAGTAAACCTGCATTTTCCGATGAAAAATTTGGATTTTCAGACAAAATTTCAGATTTTTAAAGTCCCTTGCTGATATTCAGGATTTTTCATTAGAAAATGTGTAATAAAAACATCTATTTTTAAAAAAACTATAAATCTATGATAATTTTGAAACCTATTTTTCCAGGCCTCTAAATTTTGGCGTGAAATTTAAAATTCAGATTAAAAATCAAATTTAGGTCAAAAACATCCATTTTTCCATTTTTACAACAATTTTCTTTCAAAAAAATGATTTTTAGACAAAAAATCGCATCTTCCATGTGAAAACGCAGATAAATCCGAATTTTCCTATGAAAAACTCGAAAATTCGTCTGAAAATCATGGATTTTCAGCCAACTCACCTTGGAGCAGAAAGTACATGTCTAATCGCATTCGGTTCAACAATATACAAACTTTTTCGATTCGAATCCATGAAAAATTTGACAAATCCAAAATTGATCAAAGTTGTCAGCGATTTTCTGATCAAAATTGGTGTGACCTGTCCTTTCAGCTTGAATTCCAACGTTTTCAGTTGACAACTTTCTTTGAGCAGAGTTTCAGCAACTTTTCCAACAATCTGAAAAGCAACTGATAAATTTTCGAGTTAAAATTCAAAATTTGGGCATAGCTTCCGCATCTCCGCCGATTTCCAATTGAAAATATGCAAAAATCCAGAAATTTCAGCATTTTCAGCTGAAAAATCGGGATTTTTGCATATTTTCAATTGGAAAACGACAATTTCAGAATAATTCAAATTTTGTCTGAAAATCTTTCCTTTTTCATGTGAAAACACAAGTAAACCTGCATTTTCCTATGAAAAATTCGGATTTTCAGACAGAATTTCAGCTTTTGCTAAAATTTTCAGCCAAAAACTCACTTTTCCATACAAATCCTCGATAATAGCAATACACATTTGTGTCTCATATTTTCCACCACCCAAAGTTCCCATTTTCGGCTGAAATTATACAGATTAAGCTGAAATTTCAGCATTTTCAGATAAAAATTGGCTGGAAGACCATAAATTTCAAAAAAATCAATAGAAATCGCTGAAAATCAACAAATTCTTAACAAAAAAATCAACAAAAACCACAAATTTGTGAAAAACCAAATTATTGACGTCGTCGAATGGCGCGCTTCTGAAAATTTCAAGATTTTCAGATTATTCAAAATTTTCAGCCAAAAAAACTTACTCTTCCTTCTTTCTTTCCTTTGGCCGCCTTTTTTCGCTCTTTTTGTGTCTTTTTCTTTTTCGGCGCACCGGAAGCAGTGGAACTAAGGCGTTTTCTGGAAAAATTCAAAATTTGAGCATAGCTTCCGCATCTCCGCCGATTTCCAATTGAAAATATGCAAAAATCCAGAAATTTCAGCATTTTCAGCTGGAAAATCGGGATTTTCGCATATTTTCAATTGGAAAACGACAATTTCAGAATAATTTTGAATATTTAGAAATTCGGTCTGAAAATCTTCCTTTTTCATTTGAAAATACAAGTAAACCTGCATTTTCCGATGAAAAATTCGGATTTTCAGACAGAATTTCATGGAATTTTTCCAGGAAGAAATGAAATCTTCATGTGAAAACGCAGATAAATCTGAATTTTCCTATGAAGAATCCAACTTTTTCATGGAAAAATTCTCAATTTTCAGCTCCAAATCTGCTTGCTACCTCTTCAAATTCAGCGCCGATTTTCCATCTTCCGATCTCATCATATAATCTCCAAAATTCAACAAATCATCCAAAGTTTCAGCTTTTCCCAATTTCTCGCTCTTCCTTTTTTGCTCTTTTGTCATTCGAACTCGTGTGAAATTGTCCTCTTCATATTGTTCTCTTTCTCGATCATATTGGAATTTTCGTTCACTTACTTCCTGAAACAAGGGGTTTAGGGTACTTAATTTCAGATAAAAATTCAGTTTTCTAGATAGTTTTGCTCACTCTGATCTCTTCTGGCGCATCAGAATATTGATTTTTCAATTCCAGAATCAAGCTGCTTTGCATGGCACGACGTTTTGCTTTTTCGACTTGTTTACTTGGAGCTTCTTCTTCGTCTGAAACAAATTTTGGCTGAAATTCAAAATTTGGGCATAGCTTCCGCATCTCTGCCAATTTCCAATTAAAAACATGTAAAAATCCAGAAATTTCAGCATTTTCAGCTGAAAAATCGGGATCTTTGCATATTTTCAATTGGAAATCGACAATTTCAGTTAATTTTTATAATATAGAAGTTTTGTCTGAAAATCTTCCTCTTTCATTTGAAACTACAAGTAAACCTGCATTTTCCAATGAAAAATTCGGATTTTCAGACAACTTCAAAGATTCCAACACAAGGAATCTCAAATTTTCAGCCAAACTTGAAATTCATACAAATAATCTCATCTTTCATGTGAAAACGCAGATAAATCTGAATTTTCCTATGAAAAACTCGAAATTTTGACTGAATTTCAGATTTTTCTTTGAAAATTGAAAACTCACGTCGTGAGCTTTTGAATTCAACAAAATTTAAAAATGAACGCTTCGAGAAAATATTTTTAAAAATAAATTTTTCCACGTCATAGGTCGCGTGAAATATCGATTTTTCCCGGGAAAAACGGTCCCAGGACCAAAATTTCATGAAAAATTCGATTTTCCAGCCCAAACCTCATATTTACCTTCATATCTAACCGCTCGAATCTTTGGCGCCACATATTTCTTAGCTTCTTTCGATTTTTCATCACCATTCTCATCCTCATCTTCCTCCTCATTTTCATCATCTCCAACCTGAAAATTCGAGATTTTCAGATATTTTTTCTGTTGTCAGCTTGTCAAACTCACATCCATATTCTCCAATCGCACTCGCAAATTCGCCGCCTTTTGCACACTTTTCTCGCCCGATTTTTTCGACAACAATTTCTCGATTTGCGGCCTCATTTTGTCCTCAATTGGCCGGATTTTTTCGAGAATCTATAACAATAATTCTAGAATTTCATCCTGAATTCAAAAAATCTTACAACACGATGTTTTAGTGCTCGTTTGGTGCAAGAATCGGTTTGTATTTGATCGCCTTTGAGCATTTTTGACATAAGGATGGAGATTTCGCTGAGATATGCAACCATTTCGGCATTTTTGACTTTTAGGAGCGAGAGACCCTGGAAATTTTACAATTTTTGGTCAAAAATTCATGGTTTCCTTTTAAAAATCACCTCTTTATCCCCCTTGGTCGCTTTCAAATTCGCCAAAAGCTTCTGCATCGCTGAAACTGCTTCGTCCGAACTTTCAGCACAACTAGCAGCCAAATCCGAGAATCTATCCTCCATAATTGACCTGAATGCCTATAAGATTCCTGAAAATATTTAAATAACATTTTAAAATAGAAAATTCGGTTGGAAACCAGGATTTTTCAGAGTTCAATTTAGCATAAGTAGGGTACAATTTCATTAAACAAATATACATGGAAGATAGTTCTTGATTATTTAGAAGTTCCTTCGCCATTCTTCTTTCCTTTTGCATATTGTACAAACATTTCCTTGAGAAACGACAACTCTTTTTGCAGTGAATCTACCTAAAATATGGGATTTTTGATTTTTTCTTCAAATTGTCTTAGTAAATACCTTTCGTTCCAATGTCTCATTCTCCTTTCTCAACTCATCAACTTTGGTCGCCGTTTCACTTTCCTCTTGTCGCTTTTTTTGACGAGTTCTGCAAATTTTCTTCATTTTTCACCAAAAATCTGCAAATCTCAAGAAATTTCACCTGTTAACAGCTTCATTGTTTCGTCGTCTTTTTTGTGAATAATCGTCCGGTTCATTAGTTCCACCACGTTTGCGATTTGAGCTCATTTTAGTTGCGAAAATGTGCGAAAAAATAAAAAAAAATATTTTTTGTTGCCCTTGCTAAACAGCAGGCAAGCGGAGTGTCGTTGTTTTACTTTTATTTTTGCATGCAATTTTGGGAGAGACGCAGAGAAAAACAGGAAATTGTGAAACATCAAGTTTTCAACAAGACAATCATAAGATCTTTATTCACGAGGCTCTTTATCTTTATCTTTGTCGTCCTTCGAAACTTGATCAAACGACAAATCTCCAGAACTAGCTTGTTTTCTATAGAACATTGCATGACTGCTCTTCTTTCGTTTTCTAGCTGTTATTATTTTGTTGCGCGATGAGACTTGGTGAAGTGGTGGATTCGGACGGCGACGGCTATCCTAAAAAACAATAATTTTTAATGATCACTCTCGGGAGTGCGAAACATTAATAAGTAAGTACCTTTTTTAGTCCTTTCTCTAGAATCTTCAATGTTTCCACTTTCAATTCTCGAAACATTGGTCTCTCTTTCGCATTTCGACGTGTACAATTTTCAACCAATGCAACAATACTTTTCGGCGGTTTCACATCAACAAACTTGTGTGGTTTTTCAATTTCTCGAATCGCTTGAATCGATTGTTTGATACTTTTCGGATACAAAGGATGACGTTTACAGTTGGTGAATATTTCCCAAACTGTCACTCCGTATGACCAAACATCAGTTTTCTCGTTGAACAATCCTGTTATGATGGTTTCGGGGCTTAACCATCGAATCGGCGCTTGTTTCAGATTTTTCACACGTATTTCTACAGCTCTCACAGATAACCCAAAATCCGATATTTTCGCGTTTAGTTTGTCATCAAGCAGACAATTTCGTGCAGCCAAATCACGATGAATAATCCGCAAACTTGACAAATGATCCATTCCTCTTGCAATATCATTGACTATTCCAATCAAAATCAATATATTCGGTTTATTATGCCTTAAATAACTTCGAACCACTCCACCAGCAGCCAATTCCATAACAGCCATTATTGGCGATAATAAAGTGCATTGACCATAGAATTTGATAACATTTTCATGATCGAGAAGTGACATTATGTTTGCCTCGTGAAAAAATGCAGAAATTTGAGCTCGTTTCACTTCCCCTTTGATTTTCTTAACAGCACAATCTTTCTCAACACCTTTGATCGTAATTGTTCCCTTCCAAACTTCACCAAATGCACCGGCTCCCAATATTTTGATCAATTTCACATCGTCGTGGTATATCACTATTTTGCTTCTTGAAACTGGTATCAGATTGGTTTTCAAGCTCCAAAAATCGAGCATTGAGTGAATATGTTGGAATCGTACGGTTGAATCCAAATCGGGTATAACTCTTGTGCAAGCCCAGAAATTATTCTCGAATTCAAATCCATAGTGACATATTCTGTTGTATTGTCGAAGTGCTAGACAAAATACTTCCTTTCCATTTACATCTTCTCGATGAACTAGGTATGAGTTTTCCCACTGAAAATTTAAAGTAGATTTATATATTTATTGATTTTTCTCATCCGACATTTTTGACAATATCGTGGCCGAGCTTTTGCAAAACCAGGGTTCCACCCCCACCCGGGGGGCCGTCCGTTAACTATTATCGAAAATCTCGTCGGTACCACGCGCTCCACCGAAATAAACACGCAACGCAGACCGCGCCGCGCCACAACATACACAAAAAGGGAGGGAATTTGAATCGTTCCCTTATTTGTGTGTGTTGTGGCGCGACGCAGTCTGCGTTGCGTGTTTATTTCGGTGGAGCGCGTGGTACCGATGAGATTTTTGATAATAAGTGCATCGTGGCCGAGCTTTTGCAAAACCAGAGTTCGACCCCCACCCGGGGGCCGTTTTTCCCCCGAAAAACCCACTTTGAGGAACTGTATAACGTGTGCACTTTGAAGTAAACCATGATACCAGGGAAAATGTCGGAGTGTTGTTTGAATATAGGTCAAATCCAAATCCACCAACCCCACATTATTTCCCTCGATCATTTCCTTCATCGTTCCACACCCCGAATCACTTTTTCCCAATTCAAGATCGAATCGATCGGAATTCGATTGATTTTGGTCATCACTCGATTCGCCACCTTCTATTGCACTGCGTCCTCTTGATCTTGCGTTGCTCATTTCTTTTTTATTTACTTCTATGTCTTAAATTTTTTAACCTATAACTTCATGGTTTTGTTTCTATTCGGATTATTTGAAAACTCACAACCAATTTCTAGCGTCTCTATAAAAAACAATGACTACTTACAAAAAAATCTTGTTTTTTTTTTGTTTTTTGTCTTTTCAGAGTTCACGTAAGAAATATTTATTTTTTTGAACATTTCAATATTTATTTTGCCAACCAATGTAAAAACGGGGGAACTGTTAACATATAACCATTATCATAGATATAAATACGCTTATCATAGGCGTTATAACTAATCATATTCGAATTCTTATACAAATTTATCCATTTAATGAGTGGCGAACTGTAGAGATTTCGATAGAAATCATAGGCTTGACTGATGTATGAAGATTGATCATTTGAACTTTCGACGAGGTAAATCGTTCCGCAAATTACGATGCCATTTGAGACTTGGGTGTGGTTTACTGATGTGAGATTGAAGGTTTCATAAATTGTCAGATTATTGATGTCTACCTGAAAAGAAACGATAAGGTTTTTAAAAAGCGTAAGGTAAAACCCTACCTTGGCAACCGATAAAAATTCTTGTTCCTGATAATGGAACATAACCCAGAGAGCATTTTCATCAATCGCCAGATCAAAATAATTCAACGAATTATTATGGAATAAATATTGATCGGCTCGATAGGCTGCGCCTTTAATCTCAATTTCCGCATAGGTTTTCGACGAGAAATCATATTTTGAGATGATTGGATGACCGGCACGTTGGTAGAAGAGGGTGGAATTGAAAATTACGTGATTTGTGCCGTCGAAAAGATAGGGAAGGTAGTGGCTGTAAAAAGGAGAAGAACGATTTTGGGACGATTGGGTATTTTCACTAAATTCGAGCTCCCAGGTAATATTTTTATGTGAAATTGGTATGTTTCAATAGAGAATTTAAAGGCGCATCGTTTGGTACACTATATCACGTTGGGGCACTTTAGGATATTCAGGAAACTAGGCTTCGACCTTATTGTTAAGGACGATAAGGTATTTTCCCTAAATCTAGGCTCCTAAGTCGTATTCTTAACTGATTCTTATAGCATTCGATAGAGAATTTAAAGGCGCATCGTTTATATCACTTTGGGGCACTTCAGGATTCTCCTGGAAACTAGGGCTTCGACCTTATGTTAGGGACGATAGGGTATTTTCACTAAATTTCAGCTCCCAGGTGATATTTTTATGTGAAATTGGTATGTTTCGACAGAGAATTTAAAGGCGCATCGTTTATATCACTTTGGGGCACTTTAGGATTTTCAGGAAATTAGGCTTCGACCTTATTGTTAAGGACGATAAGGTGTTTTCATTAAATCTCAGCTCCCAAGTCGTATTCTTAACTGATTCTTATAGCATTCGATAGAGAATTTAAAGGCGCATCGTAGGGTATGAATAACTTCTCCAGGGCGCTTTCGGTAGACAGTGTAATTCGAGAAAACCTTATTGTTAAGGACGATAAGGTATTTTCACTGAATCTCAGCAATCAGGTCACGGTTAAAGGTGATCTTCGTACTTTTCGATAGAGAATTCAAAGGCGCATCGTTTGTACCGTCTTTTTTTTTAGATATTTCCCCATCCTTGTAACTCACACTTTATTCACATAATCCCTCCTCAAATCCGCCTCATTTTTGTATTCCACCAATTGTTGACCGTGGAAATGATTCATCACATAGCGTTTTCTTCCATCCTAAATCAATTTCAGACTTGTCTAGACCTAAGTTAGCCTAACTCACATCTCCAGTCGGCGGGTACGAATCTCTCATCCAACTTCCATAATACGTTGTGGAATGCGAGTGGAACACGGGCTTCCCGACGTTTTGAAGGCGGCAATCTGAGGAAAGGAAGGATTGGGATGTGTAGAACCCTGGGGAGCCCTTCGTATCCCCATGTATATCTAATTGGCTGCGTAGCAACTCGTGTTGAGTATCACATTCAAAGTCTGCAGTCTCTCTAGAGCAGAGCTCAGTATCAAGTCTCTATAATGATTTGACTGCGTAGCAACCTAAGCATAGTCGTATGAGGTATCATTCGAACCGCAATTTCAACTAGGCTACGTATCCCCTCCCCGATTCCACTGCGCATCAACTCACGCGCTGTAACTCCCTCAATATACGGTGGCGGTGTTGTCATCCGGCTAGCCTCGTCCTCATCCGTATAGTTGGCCATACAAATTTTGACACAGCTTTCAACCTCGCTATGATTTGCCAAAAGCTGGAAATTGTTTGTGGGCTTAGGGGCTTAAGCCTAAAGGCTTAAGCCTAACGGCCTAAGCCTAAAGGCCTAAAGGCCTAAAGGCCTAAGCCTAAAGCCTACCTGTTCCACAATTATAGGTATAGGTTTATGGGTAATTTGTGGGTAGGGTGTTGTATCCTCGATTTTGATGTCTGGACAATCCAAATTCTGTACAGTGGGACATTGAAAATCGCGCTGAACCAGGAATTCCTCGCGAATCGGGCAACTCGAGCAATCCGCATCTTTTCCAAAAGCCCCCGGCGGCCCCGTCGGCCCCTGTATCCCAGGAATCCCCATAAGCCCTTGTCGACCTTGCGGGCCTGCGGGACCTCTTTGACCCATTGGCCCAGGTGGCCCGCGAGATCCGGGCTTTCCACGAATATCGTCCTTCTCGCTGCAGTACTCGTGGACTTCGAGGCATTTTTTCATGACATCGCCGATTTTGACGGAGGAGAGAGAGGAGAGCCAGAGAGAGTCGGATGAGTTGCGCAGGTGGACTGTTTGCGGAATGTCGCGTTTGATGCGGTGGAATGCGGAAGATTTCAGAGCGCATTCTTCCTCGAGAGACCAGATTCTGCAAAAAATCGTAGATTCGGGGCGGAATTTGGATTCTAAAGACACCCCACAAGCCTATAATCTGAGCAATTCAATTTTGAAGGTTGCTACGCAGCTAAATTGATACGTAGTGAGAATTCAAGTTATTTATAGGCTTCAAAATCCACAATTTCAGATTCCTCATAAAATTCCGGCTCGGAAGACACCCAACATCACTATAATCTGAGCAATCTGAAGTCTAGGTGTTGCTACGCAGCGAATTCAGATATGGTGAGGCTGATACGGAGTTTGTTTAATTCAAGAGCTAGGAATTTGAAAATTCTTGTTCTTGGATAACTTTTTGCGCTGAACACGATGAACTAGGTTTTGAAGCACACTATTAGATCATTTTTGGTTGCTACGCAGCCAATATATCAGGGGGATACGGAGTTTGTTCAATTTTCGTTATTTTTGCCCCAGGAAAAATGTCATGGCCTAAATTTTCATTTTGAAAACGATTATTCTATTCTCAAAGCCCGATTCTCACTCCGTATCCATTTCTCGCTGCTTTTTGGTTGCTACGCAGCCAATATATTTGGGGGATACGGAGTTTGCTCAATTTCACTCATTTTTCTTAGGAGAAAAGCCAATTTTTCATTCTGAAAACGAATATCCTACTCCGTATCCAATATTTCGCTGCGCATCGCCCCCGATTTACCTCAACTGAATATGAACAAAAGCTGAAATGCTGAAAATGGCCAAAAATAAATTGGAAAAATGTAGAAATTTTTGGCCATCGCCCATTTTTATCAAAAATAAACAAATTGAAAATTTCCAAAAAGTTTTTATTAAACATAAACAAAATATCAAATTTCATTATTTTTTTGGTTTCAAAATTGCAATAGCAATATGTGCTCTCAAAATATGCGAAAAATAGTCGAGCAAATTGACAGACAGTGCAAATTGTGCATTTTTATCAGGGCTCAAGTGCAAATTTGTCGCGAGAACTTGTGAAATACAATCGGGAATTGAGAGATACGCGAAATCCAGAATAAATAGTTGAATTCGATATGCATCTTTGAGCCGTGCCAATTTTTCTTCTGGAGGGTCCCGTGGATTTTCCAGAATTTCTCGAAGTTGCCGTGATGCTACTAAATTCCATTGGGGAATTGAATGTGTTCGCGATTCATCGAATTTCAGTTTGATCTCTCTTTCCAACCCGATTCTTAACTCCAGAATCCAATCTTCTGATAGTTTTTCATAGCGAGCTATTGAGGGTTGAATTGTTTCCAAGGATTCGTCGGATGGTCCAAGAAGAGGCTTCCAGTTCGCAGTTTTCTGCAAAAAAAATTGATTTTCAGCTTTTGAAAACAGTTGCACCGTTTTCAGCGCCTCAAATTACCCCCGGGTACTTTTTTCCGTCAAAATTGAGGAAACTCCGTATCCACCTCCCTATATACTTGAATTGGCTGCGTAGCAACTCAAATTTCACATTGCTCAGATTATATTGATGTTGGGTGTCTAACGAACCGGAATTTCATGGAGAATAAGATTAGCGCATTTTTAAAGGCTGAAACACGCTCCGTATCAACAATTTCGCTGCGTAGCAACTCAAATTTCGCATTGCTCAGATTATATTGATGTTGGGTGTCTAACGAACCGAAATTTCATGAAAATTCCGATTATCACAATTTCAACGTCAGAGATTCACTCCGTATCAACGTTCTATAGAAATTTCGCTGCGTAGCAACTCAAATTTCGCATTGCTCAGATTATATTGATGTTGGGTGTCTAACGAACCGGAATTTTACACTGATTTCAAAAAACGCATTCTCATCTTATCAAATTCACTCCGTATCAACTTTCTATAGAAATTTCGCTGCGTAACAACTCAAATTTCACATTGCTCAGATTATATTGATGTTGGGTGTCTAACGAACCGGAATTTTACACTGATTTCAAAAAACGCATTCTCATCTTATCAAATTCACTCCGTATCAACTTTCTATAGAAATTTCGCTGCGTAGCAACTCAAATTTCGCATTGCTCAGATTATAGTGATGTTGGGTGTCTAACGAACCGAAATTTCGCGCTGTTTTCGAAAATCAGGTTCTCAACAACTGAAATTCGCTCCGTATCAACAATTTCGCTGCGTAGCAACTCAAATTTCGCATTGCTCAGATTATATTGATGTTGGGTATCTATCAAACCGCAATTTCGCGCTGATTTCGAAAATCAGGTTCTCAACAACTGAAATTCACTCCGTATCAACAATTTCGCTGCGTAGCAACTCAAATTTCACATTGCTCAGATTATATTGATGTTTGGTGTCTAACGAACCGGAATTTCGCGCTGATTTCGAAAATCAGGTTCTCAAAAACTGAAATTCACTCCGTATCAACAATTTCGCTGCGTAGCAACTCAAATTTCGCATTGCTCAGATTATATTGATGTTGGGTGTCTAACGAACCGAAATTTCATGAAAATTGCGATTATAACATTTATAGAGTCTGAATCTCGTTCCGTATCAACAATTTCGCTGCGTAGCAACCCAAACTAACCGTAAAATTCAACGAAATCTGTTGAATATTATCATATTCCTGACAATTTGCATAATAATTCTTTTCATCAAAAGCTCCCCAAATTTTCTCGAAACCACAATTTGAATCATGCAAATTTTGAAAAATAAAACCATCATTTGGATCAATCAATATTTTTTGTTGAGAATTTTCGAGTTCCGCCACCACAAATCCACATTTTTCACCCAATTTTTCGCCCAACAAAATCCAAATTTTAATTTTGAAATGCATCAGCCAACAGGCCAACAATATCGATTTTTCCTCAATTCCTCCGCATATTCCAATTGTTGTTAGTTGATCTACAGTACTCCAAATATCGCTGTGAGACCCATTTGAATTAGAGATTATTGGAAGAGTTGAAATTATATTTGCGGATAATTGACAAATTTGAAGTTTTGAGGATTCTTGCATTATTATTGGAGGCGGATTTATTGGACGAAGATATCTGGAAAAAAAATGAGAAGTTACTGTAACTTTTGGCGCGAAAAATCCTGGATTTTTGAGACCAAACAAGCCTAGGGTTACTGTAACTTTTGGCGCGAAAAAATCCTGGATTTTTTAAGACCAAACAAGCCTAGGGTTACTGTAACTTTTGGCGCGAAAAATCCCGAATTTTTTGAGACCAAACAAGCCTAGGGTTACTGTAACTTTTGGCGCGAAAAATTCAGGAATTTTTCGAAACAAAACAAGGCCAGGGTTACTGTAGGACCGAAAGATTTTTTCGCGCCAAAATCTACAGTACCTCTAGGCTCAGTTAGACTGAAACAAATCTGGGTTACTGTAACTTTTGGCGCGAAAAATCCCGAATTTTTCGAAACAAAACAAGGCCAGGGTTACTGTAGGACCGAAAGATTTTTTCGCGCCAATATCTACAGTAACTCTAGGCTCAGATGGACTCAAAAAATCTGGGTTACTGTAACTTTTGGCGCGAAAAATTCAGAATTTTCAATAATAAAATAGGGTTACTGTAGATAAATTTGGGGATTTATGAGTACCGACTACGCCTAGGGTTACTGTAGTTTTCAGCATACAGTAATCCCAAGTTCGAAAAATCCCAGATTCTTTTCACAAAACCTACAGTACCTACAGGCTCATTTGGGGTCAAAAAATCTGGGTTACTGTAGATTTTGGCTGTTGAAAATTCAGAATTTTCAATAATAAAATAGGGTTACTGTAGATAAATTTGGAATTTTTGCATTCTAGAAGTACTGTAGATGTTGGCTCCAAAAAGGGTTACTGTAGTTTTTTCGCGCCAAGATCATTTTTCCCGCCCAAAACTACCGTACCTACAACAAATGACACTTTTCGCATGAATATCCACCACTAAAGGTCGATAAATTCTTTTTGGAAATTGGTCCCGCAACGATTGTTGCAATTCCCTGCATTTCTCCAAAATTTTCGCATTTTCAGTCGAATGTTGACTTTGTCTATAATCCAGATTATTATATTTCGAAGCAATTTGTGTTGAGAGCAAAAGTTTCAAAAAACTCGGCTCTGCGGACATTTTGTAGTTTGAAATGTAGTTTGGTAGCCATAATTTGACGGGGGAATTGATTTTTGATACGGTGGTCAGGGAATCGAAGCGGATTTTTGTGGAAGCTAAGAGACGGGAGGTTAATTGCTCATGAATCACATTGTGAAGACGATCATCTCTGTCGAGTTCTTCGATTATCTGAAAACTGGAGCGGTTGGGATAAAATTTTAAGCCAGGAGGACATTTTCCAGTTGGATCTACCAAATTTCACCATTTTTATCGGTTTCCTCGTGAAATTTTAGCCAGGGGGCCTGTTTTTTAAAAGGAAATGTTAGAAGTTTGAAAACCAGGTACCCCCCCCCCTCTATTACGTCAGGGGGGTCTATTTTTTCCAAAACTAGATTTTCAAGAGTTGAGACCCAGCGCATCGTTTTCAGCGTGAAAAATTACTCCTGAATCCCAAATTTCTTAACAATATCCTTAAAATTGAGCAAACTCCGTATCCCCTTCACTATACCTAAATTCGCTGCGTAGCAACCCAAAGTGCTCGGAGTATAGGCTTGTGGGGTGTCTTTCGAACCGGAATTTCACGAGGATTCTGAATTTTGAGCACATGAAGCTTGTAAGTCTCTACACTTCTCACTACGTATCAAAATTGACTGCGTAGCAACACCTAAAATTCCCATTGCTCAGATTATAGTGATGTTGTATGTCTTTCAAACCCAAATTTCACCAGGAATCTGAATTTTTTAGTTTTCAGATCCTAAAACATTCTAGAACTCTCACTACGTATCAAAAACAACGTGTTGCTACGCAGCGAATTTGGATACGGAGAAATTAAACGTGTGCGTTGTTAGGCGCATCGTGTTCACCGCAAAAAGTTACCCCGGAACCAGAATTTTCAGATTCCTAGCTCTTGAATTAATCAAACTCCGTATCCCCTTCACTATACTCGAATTCGCTGCGTAGCAACCTCCGATTTCAAATTGCTCAGATTATAGTGATGTTGTATGTCTTTCAAACCCAAATTTCACGAGGAATCCAAATTTTTAGTTTTCAGATCCAGAAACATTCTAGAACTCTCACTACGTATCAACTTTCGCTGCGTAGCAACCTAAAATAGCATTTTCTCATATTATATCAATGTGGGGTGTCGTTCGAAGCGGAATTTCGCGGGGATTTCGAAAATCTGGCTCTCCGCGCTCAAAAATGAAAAAAATCTCTCACCTGATCATAAATCTTGACTTCAATGAACTCATCTCTCGAATCTTCCTCATCTAATACAATTTTTGATGTAAATTGCCAATTTGGATGTCTTCCAATAGCAACTTCAGTTTTCACAGATTTCCCGCCAAAAATCACCAAAACAAATGGTTGAAGAGTTGCAGAATCAGTTCGAATTGGCAAATTTGTAGCCGATTGAATATTTATCACAATTGTATTATTCCAACCTTCTTCTCTTCCACGATCTACAAAAAAATAGATTACTGTAGGGTTACTGTAGATCTCTAGAAGTACTGTACCTTCTCTTCTCATTGGTTTGAGTCTTCTTGATTCATCTGCTGGTGCAAATAATTGTCCAAGAGCTACGGATAATGTTGGAATACTTTGTTCTCTCACCAATTCTTCGTACTTTTTTTCGACTTGGCGACGGCGATTTATGACGCGGCGTCTGAAAATTAACATTTTTTTTGGATTTTTCATGAAATTTGGGTTCTAATGAGACCCCACAAGACTATAGTGAGTTGCTACGCAACGAAATTGCTGTAGAAAGTGGATACGGAGTCGGTTTCAGACTCTAGAAATGTGATAATCGGAATTTCCGTAAAATTCCGGTTTGAAAGACATACAACATCACTATAATCTGAGCAATTTTACATTTGGGTTGCTACGCAGCGAAATTGCTGTAGAAAGTGGATACGGAGTCGGTTTAGAGAGACGATATTAAATTTTTTGAAATCCCCGTAAAATTCTGGTTCGAAAGACATACAACATAACTATAATCTGAGCAATGCGAAATTTCAGGGGTCGCTACGCAGCGAATTCAGACATAGTAAGGGTGATACGGAGTTTGCTCAATTCAAGAGCTAGGAATCTGAAAATTCTGGTTCCGGGGTAACTTTTTGCGCTGAACACGATGAACTAGGTTTCAAAGCCCAATATTGATAACTTCGTATCAATTTTCACTGCATAGCAACACATTTATTGATACGTAGTGAGAAACCTAGTCATTTTCATTGCACGGGACCTCGAAAATCGAAATCTACGTGAAATTTGGGTTCGAAAGACATACAACATCACTATAATCTGAGCAATGGGAGTTTTGGGGGTCGCTACGCAGCGAATTCAGATATAGTGAGGGTGATACGGAGTTTGATTAATTCAAGAGCTAGGAATCTGAAAATTCTGGTTCCCGGGTAACTTTTTGCGCTGAACACGATGAACTAGGTTGCTACGCAGCGAATATCCAGGGGATACGGAGTTTTCCTAATTTTTGAGCTAGGGTTCTTCTAAAAATCAACATCCCGGGGTAATTTTCTGCGCTGAGAACAATAAAACATGTCTGACCTCATCATTTCCGCAAATTCAATCGATGCTTGTCTTTTCGCATCAATCGCACTTCTTTGTGTATATTTTTTCTGTAATCGATCATCTTCTTCCAATTTCTTTTTTTCCTCCAATTCTTCATCAAAATCCAAATTTCCCAATAAAAGTTCAGCCGGAATTAATTCGAATTTCTGCCGTTTTTCCCCTTTTTTTCCACTGTTTTGTAGAATTTGACTGATTTTTCGCTCTTCCGAACTTTTCAATTCGCCATTTTCCATTATTGCTCGACACAGAATTCGACCATTTTCTTTGAGATTTGTGCTGGTTCCGAGGCTTTCACCGATTCTGAAAATGAAATTTTTGAAATCAGCATGAAATTTGGGCTCGAAAGACACCAAACAAGACTATAAACTGAGCAATTTGTAAAAATTGAGTTGCTACGCAGCGAATATTGATACGTAGTGGGAATTTTACAGCTTTAACCCTAGATTATTAAATTCAGGATGAAATTTGAGTTCGAAAGACACCCAACATCAATATAATCTGAGCAATGTGAACTCCAAGTTGCTACGCAGCGAATATTGATACGGAGTCTTCATTTTAACCCTTTTTAATTGCTTGCATCGTTTTCAGCGTCAAAAATTACCCGGAAGCCAATAATTTCAGAACCCTAGCTTGAAAATTAGCCAAACTCCGTATCAACTTCACTATACCCGAATTCGCTGCGTAGCAACCCAAGATGCTCGGAGTATAGGCTTGTGGGGTGTCTTTCAAACCGGAATTTCACGAGGATTCTGAATTTTGAGTTCTTGGAGCTTGATAGTCTCTACAATTCTCACTGCGTATCAACATTGTCTGCGTAGCAACCCAAAAATTTAATTTTTTCTCAGAATATAGGCTTGTGGGGTGTCTTTCAAACCGGAATTTCACGAGGATTCTGAATTTTGAGTTCTTAGAGCTTGATAGTCTCTACAATCCTCACTACGTATCAAAATTGACTGCGTAGCAACCCAAAAATTCAAATTTCTCAGAATATAGGCTTGTGGGATGTCTTTCGAACCGGAATTTCACGAGGATTTTGAATTTCGAGAACTCACGGTTTAAAAATCTGCTCACACTCAAAAACCGCTTCATGCAACGCAATTTCCAAATCATTTTCATTGGGAAGTGGAATATGAGCTTTTCCGATTTCTCTAATTCCTCCTCGTTTTCCTGATCTCTCCAAAACCACAAAATAAAGTGAATTACAAATTTTCGAATAAATTTCCATCTCAAATCTTCTCATAACAGGTATCAAAAATGGTTTAAAACTCATCCAATCAGTTCGTGCAACTTCAATTTCATTAAAAAATAAAATAAGTTGAATTTCAATTCGATTCAGTCGAGTTATTCGATCTTTTTCCATTTTCGGTTGAATTCTTCCAGCTTTCGGCCAATTTTCTTCGCATTTTCCGAATTTCATCCAATCTTCTTGATCTTCTTCTAAAATCGGGATATATTTCAATGTTGTGGCTGAAAATTGTTGATTTTTTCGGATTTCTTGTAAATCTTGCCACAATTTTTCGAGTTGATGGCGATTTTTGAGAATTTCTTCGTGGAGTTTCGATTTTTCTTCTGGTGAGATTTCTCTGAAAAATTAAAATTAGAATTTGACAGAAAACCATGCCGCAAATTTGCAAAAAAAAATGGGCGGAGCCTAAAAATCAAGACTCGCGGGTGTGCCGCTAGTCTTTCCGCAAGCTTGCGCGAAGCGCCCCGGTATCTTCCGCGAAGCGGCCTCGAGCGGAGCGAGTGTATGTTCCTCTGCGTCTCTAGCCGTGCTTTCTAGATGTCTGGCTGTCTGGGCTCTAGCTTCTCTACTATCTCTCTATGTTCCTCTGCGTCTCTACTCTCTTCTATTTCCTCATTCACTATAGCTGTCTAGGGTCTCTGTGCTCTCTAGCTCTCTGCATCTCTAGCCGTTCTCTCTAGATGTCTGTCTGTCTGGGCTCTAGCTTCTCTACTATCTCTCAACTCTCTATGTTCCTCTGCGTCCCTACTCTCACTATAGCTGTCTAGGGTCTCTCTATCTACCTGTGCTCTCTACCTCTCTGCGCCTCTAGTCTTCTGGTTTCTCTGTGCTCTCTCAATCCGTCATACTCTCTAGCCTTGCTCTCTCTCTCTCTCTCTCTCTCTCTCTATATATGTCTGTCTGTCTGGGCTCTAGCTTCTCTACTATCTCTTAACTCTCTATGTTCCTCTGCGTCTCTAGCCGTTCTCTCTAGATGTCTGGCTGCCTGGTGCTCTAGCTTCTCTACTATCGCTCTACTCTCTATGTCCCTCTACGTCTCTACCCTCACTATAGCTGTCAAGGGTCTCTGTGCTCTCTATGTTTCTCTGCGTCTCTAGCCTAGGCTCCGCCCCTTTTCTGCAATTTTGCGGCACACTTTCCCAAACTCACAAATGATGTTGTTCAATCTGTGCCATATGATGCACCTTCAACATTTGCTCAAAATACAAATTCCTGATTTTGGATACGGTAATCTCTTCGGGACCCCACAAATTGTGATGATCGAAATGAATCGAATCAACAAACACATCGAATTGTTGATAGATTCGGGATGCGGATTTTTCCGCTCCGGAAGAAATGAAGGGCGCGGAAGAGGCTTTGCCGTAGAAGACTTGGTCGGATTCTTCGGGGAATTCACGTTTGGGTGCAAAGATTTGGGTGGATAGGGCGGAGCGGTTGAGGAATTCACCACAGATTATGTTGCTGTAAGAAAATACGTTGCGGAATGCGGAAAGGCTTGCGGAACAGTTGCTAGCCATTCCGCAAGCTTGCGCGAAGCGCCCCGGTATCTTCCGCGAAGGGGCAGGAGACTTTCGCTTCAGCACACAGACGACTAGAGACGCAGAGGGACATAGACTCGCTCCGCTCGAGCCGCTTCGCGGAAGATTCCGCGGCCGTGCCGCTAGTCTCTCCGCAAGCTTGCGCGAAGCGCCCCGGAATCTTCCGCGTAGCGGCTCGAGCGGAGCGAGTGTATATCCGTCTGCGTCTCTACCCTCTCCTATTTTCTCAGTCATTTCAGCCGTCTAGCTCTCTGCGTCTCTAGCCGTCTAGCTTCTCTGTGTTCTCTCAATCTCTCATACTCTCTAGCTCGAGCGAAGCGAGTGTATGTTCCTCTGCGTCTCTACCCTCACTATAGCTGTCTAGGATCTCTGTGCTCTCTAGCCATCTAGCTTCTCTGTGTTCTCTCAATCCTCTATGCTCTCTAGCTCTCTAGCTCTCTCTAGCCGTCTAGATTTCACTAACCTATCTACAGTAGTATATTTGACCAAATTATCATGTTCATAAAAATGCTTCTGTTCAACTCTTCGATAATAAATCTTCCCATCATTTTCAATTTTTTTCCTCCTCATTTTTCCTCTCAAAAAACTCGTCATTTTTCCGATCAAAATCCTCAAAATTCCTTTTTTCCTTCATAAATTTCTCGCCAATTTTGATCGTTTTCTCAATTTGCTCATCAATTGCCTCAATATCATTTTGATCTACCAATTCTTCAATGACTACTGTAGGTCGACGTGCCAATCTTCGATTTAGTTGAACATTTCCACGTGTTCGCTCCACCGCTTTTTGCGCATTTTGACGGATTCTGTGACGCATTTGATCGCGAGATTCTTTGCGGAGAGAGGCGCCTTGTTGAGAAGAGGTTTCACTGGAAAATTTGGACCTTGATGAGCCTAGCCTTGGTTTTTAGGTTCCGAGAACTCAAAATTCAGAATCGTCGTGAAATTCCGGTTCGAAAGACATCCCACAAGCCTATATTCTGAGAAATTGGAAATTTTGGGTTGCTACGCAGTCAATTTTGATACGTAGCAAGAATTCTACAGCTTTTCAAAGCCTAGAACATCGAAAATCGGAATCCTCGTGAAATTCCGGTTCGTAAGACACCCCACAAGCCTATACTCCAAGCACTTTGGGTTGCTACGCAGCGAATTAGGGGGTATAGTGAAGTTGATACGGAGTTTGCCAAATTTTCAAACTAGGGTTCTGAAATTTTCGGCTTCCGGGTAATTTTCGACGCTGAAAACGATGCAAGCAATCAAAAAGGGTTAAAATTGAGACTCCGTATCAATATTCGCTGCGTAGCAACTCAAATTTCACAAATTGCTCAGATTATATTGATGTTGGGTGTCTTTCGAGCCCAAATTTTGTGCTGAATTCAAAAATCTAGGGTTAGAGCTATAAAATTCTCACTATGTATCAATATTCGCTGCGTAGCAACTCAAATTTTTCAAATTGCTCAGATTATATTGATGTTTAGTGTCATTCGACTCCAAATTTCACCAGGATTCCAAATTTCCTCCCAAAATTACCTAACAGCCTGCTCATCCACCACCAATTCCTCCCGCATTGTCTCCAATTCGGAACCTTGTGAAATGAACGAGTTGTTTCCATGAGAAGAGGCTTCCGGGTCGAGATTTTTCGAATTCTGAACTTCTTCCAATATTTTTTCAGCTTTTGCTTTGAATTTCAGCAAATGTCCTTTGATTGATTCACGACGATTTGGGGATTTTTGAGCTGAAGAAGAAGCGGAGGGACTTTGCTCATCTGGTCCTGGAGTTAGGCCAACTGAAGAGGAGCGAAGGAAGAGTTTTTCGGGTTTGTGCTTTTTTTCGAGCTTTGACGTGACGGCTGGAACAAAAATTGAGGGTTTTGACCATTTTCACGTTAAAATTAAGGTTTTTAAGAGCCTAGAGTCATTTTAGGGTAAAAATTGAGCTCTATAAGGTCCTAGGGTCATATTAAGGTTGAAATTAATGTTTTTAAAAGCCTAGAGTCATTTTAGGGTTAAAATTGAGCTTTTCAAAGTCCAGGGACCATTTTTTGCGTTAAAAATGGCTTTTTGAGGTCCTGGGATTATATTAGGGTAAAAATTAGGCTCTATAAGGTCCTAGGGTCATTTTAGGGTAAAAATTAGGCTCTACAAGGTCCTAGGACCATTTTTGCGTTGAAAAAAAATGGTTTTTTAAGGTTCTAGGGGCATTTTAAGGTAACAGGAACATTTTTTAACCTAAAAAAAGTCAATTTTTTGTTTCTAAGCCTATCCTGGAGTATTTTAGAGCAAAAATTGAGCTTGTTTGGCTCTAGGAGCATTTTCTAATCAAAATTCTCTCAACTCACAATTTCCCGCTTTTTTTCAGTTTTGAAATGAGCAAAATTTTCCACGAAAATCCTAGTTCACGTTTTTAAAAAAAAAAAAAAACAATTTTCAAAAAATACGGTACAAAATTAAAGGCGCATGTGTAAAAGAGTTGCACCGTTGCGAGACCAGAGCGCGCCAATTTTTTTTTTGAAAATCAGAAATTATAAAATAAAATTGAAAAAGTATAAAAAGGAAAAGAACAGTGGAGAAAAGAGAGCTTTTTTTACAACGACACTCCGCCGCTTGCCCGCTGTTTAGCGCAACACGAGAATATTCGTTTTTTTCGTTTTTTTTCGCCGGGTTTTCAGGTTTCCGGGGAAAATCAGTGAATTTCAGTCAAAAATTGAATTTTCAGATGTTCTACAAGGCTGAAATCATCGCTTCCAACAGAAAATCCGAAGATTATCGAAAAAAGGTGGGTTTTTTCTAGAGAAACATTGTTTTGATTGAAATTTTTGAGTTTTCAGGGTCAAAAATGATTTGAAGCGACTTTTTCACTCAAAAATCGATGGAAAATGGTTTTGGGTAAGATTTTTTGCTGGAAAATTGTTGTGAGACCCCCGAAAGCCTTCAGAAATCTAGTAGAAACCGAAATAGAGTTAGCAGAACTCAAAAAAATTCAAATTTTCTGATTTTCAGCTCGAAATATTGATGGACAATTGGATTTCAACGTGGAAAACTTGGAGGATTTCGGATTTTGATTGGGATTTGAGAAATAGAAGCGATTGGTGGGTTTTTTGGGGAGGGATTTGGGGAAAAATTGAAAAAAGTTAGGCTAACTCATCAAAATCTGGGCCCAAAAATCTAGTTTTAATTAAAAATTTCAAAAGAAAACATACATTTTCCTCCTCTATTCGTCGTTTTTTGGGCTCCCACATTTTTCGCGAAAAAAAAACAAAAAGAAGTCCGGGAGAAGTACACAAATCGCTGCGTCGCTGCGAGATATTTCACGAAAAATGTGTGCGCCTTTAATCGATTTTCATTCTTTTTTTTTTGTTTTGAGTTGTTTTTCCTGCAAATTTCGCCCAGATAAATTGCAAGAATGCTTTTAAAAAATTCTATAAATTTTGAAAAATATATGAAAAAAATCTTTAAAAATTGAAAAAAAGTTAAGCTAACTCATCAAAATCTAGGCAAAAAAAACTAGTTTATTTTGATCAAATAATTTTTAAAACAATTTTCAAAAACCCGACGAACATTTTCAAAAACCCGACGAACGCTCCACCGCACATGCTTCAAAAATGCGGGCACCGTGAGTTCTCATAAGAATAAAACTATACTCTAGTTTGACCCATAGCTAAATGAATGCCTTTTGGTTTGTTTATAGTTTGGTTTACTATGGAAAGTCAGATTTTTCCAATTTTTTCTGCTCAAAATCCCGATTTCCCCCCAAAATACTCACCAGTTTGCGCATCTTCAACAGTCACCGAATTTCTTCGTAACATTTTTTTTCAAAATAAAATCACTAGAAAATATTTATTTATTTTTCCTTGCAAAAGTGAAAAGGGAACGTTGTCATGGAAACCCAAAATAGAAATACACATAAATGAAGGGGCGGGGCTTAGAAAAGGGAAGAAGGGGGAAAACCCATGCGGCAATTTTGCAAATTGGCGAATTTGCAGTCTTGCGGCATGCTTTTTCAGCAGATTTTTTCAAGGTTAGGTAAGTTTAAGGGCTCAAAATGTATCCTTAAGCCTACTGGCTTAACCTAGCAAATAACATTTTCTTAAAAATATTTATTTATTCAATACAAAAAAAGCCCCCCATAGATTATTAAATACACCAAATATATAAATTAGAGAAGTTATCTCATCTCCATAATTATGTGGTAGATGTTGCTTCTTCGGTTGTAGCTGCAGTTGATGTTGTTGTCGAAGTCGATGTCGAAGTTGTGGTTGAAGATGGACATCTTCCACAAGTTTTTGGGCATTGAACAGTCATCAATGAATAATATTGAGAATTATTGCAAAGATAAGATTTGACTGGACAATCGGAAACTCCAGTGTAAGGATTCAAACGATCCGAGCATGTTGAAGTGCTTGATGAGCATCTTCCACAAGTTTTTGGGCATTGTGTAGTCATAACAGCATAATAAGTCGAATCATTGCATAGATATGAGAGTCTTGTGCAATCAGACACACCGGTTCGAGGGTTTGTGAGATCAGCGCAAGATGTTAAGCTGGAGCTGGAGCTGGAGCTCGAAGAAGTCGAATTCGAAGAAGTCGAGCCACATCTTCCACAAGTTGCTGGACATTGAACAGTCATCAATGCAGAATACGCCGCATTATTGCAGAGATAGGCTCTTCTCGAGCAATCCGATGTTCCATCTGCACCTGTCAGATCTGAGCAAGCCCAGGTACTGAGAATAAGAGTTGAGAAGACAAGGAAATTGAGAGCTGAAGACATTTTGATTGATGAGAAATGAGCAGATCTACACCATTTTATACTAGAAGTTTGCCTGGAGGCTGAGCAAATATTATAGTTTTTTTTATTGTTTCAAACATTTTTGCTTTTGTGCTAGAACTCTTTAATGGTTTCATCAAGAACCACTCTGAAGGATCTAACCATACTTTTTGAACCGAAACATAGATATCCAGGGTGATATCCTTAAGATAAGATTCATTTTCAACATACATTCCCTGTTTACACAGTATATTTACAAGAACTACAAGAACATTATGAAAAGTACCATTTTTCCACCAGGAAATCTGTTCAAATATAGTCTTCCTGGACTCACACTTACAGCAAAAACAATGAAACAATAATGGTTTGTTGATGCAATAAAAAACGTATTTGCGCAGCTTCTTCTTTTTCTCAAAATGTAACTTATAGTATAAATATGTGAGAATCCTCGCATTTTTCATCGTTCATTCGAAAAATGTCTTCTGTTTCTATCAAATTCCTTGTCTTCTCAGCAATTTTCATAAATCAGGCGTTGGCTTGTGATTCTTCGGTTTCGGAAGGACGTGAGTAGTTAGCCTATCTCTCTTTTTATCCTTGAAATTAATTATTTAGCATGTGACGGAAGTCTTCTAACATGTCAAACTCAAGTTTGTGATGTTTCTGCGGGACAATGTTGTCCGGCTACAAGTACTAGCACAGCTTCTACAACCACCAAATCCTCCTCATCATCTTGCGCAGATTTGTTAAACCCGAAAACTGGTGTTTCTGATTGTCCAAATCGTGCTTACCTTTGCAACGATTCAGTTTACTATGACGTCATGACAACTCAATGCCCAAAAACTTGTGGAAGATGTAATTCAACTTCATCATCCTCCTCCTCGTCCACAAACTGCACTGATAAGCTCAATCCATCCACAGGAACATCAGATTGCCCAAACCGCGCTTATCTCTGTAACAATTCTGCTTACTATGACGTCATGACTGTTCAATGTCCAAAAACTTGTGGAAGATGCTCAAGCTCATCATCCTCAACAACTTGCGCGGATCTTTTGAACCCATCAACCGGTGTTTCTGATTGTCCAAAGAGAGCCTATCTTTGCACAGATTCGACCTATTATGATGTGATGACTGTTCAATGTCCAAAGACTTGTGGAAGATGTCCATCGACATCAACATCCACTTCAACTTCGACTTCAACAACAACATCAACTGCAGCTACAACTGAGGAAGTAACAGCTAGCACTTAATTTGCATTTTGAATAATTAATTTATGGGTTGGGTTCTATGATTTAATAAATTATTGTTCTTTCATGGAGAAACACGGATAATGACGTTTTCTGTAAGAATATCGACAGTTTATAGAAGAAAATCTGTTTGAAAAGCTCACGAGGTCATCTAAACTTAAAGGGTTGGTTTCCTGGTGAAAAAATCGTCTGCAAAAAGGCGTCACCGTGTTATTTTCAAAGTTGTGTGCAAACACACACACAAAAATTCAAAAACAAGTTGTGCGCTAGAGCGCATTTACATGCTTTATTTCGTAGGTTTTAACTCGCTTGTGTTTGAATTTTGAATTTTTTATTTAGAATGTTATAAATTCACCGGCACATAAAAATAGTGAGATCAAAGGGAGAGAGAAAAAAGGGGTAATTCACATGAAATCGAAAAATAAATAGGGTGAATAAAATAACTTCCCAAATTTTTAAAAGACCTAAATCCCGCAAGAGACCTGGTCAGTTGGAGGTTTTGACAAAGAGATAAGAAAGAGTGTGCGAGAATCTGGCCGTAAGGGTTCATGATAAAAGCGATGCGTTCAAACCATTAATCAATATTCTGAACGATTGCACTGAAGAATTCATTTCAATGAGGTGCGATAAAGAGTTCCACTTGGGAACTGTATGTGAGAAAAAAGACTTGTGGCATTTTTGAGTTAAAACTAGGCGGGCTGGGTGACGTGGAAGTGTTGAGAAGCTGATGAAGTCAAATGTTTCTGGCTGGTGAGAAAATCCATTAAGGGCTTTGAAAAGATGAATAATATTGGCTCTGGATCTACGAGTATGGGTCGACACCATGTTGATCTGTTTGAGGCGATCCTCATAAGATTCAAATGGCATATTACAACGATTGAAGACTTTACGGGTGAATTGACGTAATGGATTTTCTAGGTTATTTGATAGATTTTTAGTTAGGAATGGGTCGTAAACTTCGCTACAATATTCTAGAATGGGGAGGACATACATTTTGAAGAGAAATGCGTAGGGTTTTATTGTGCTAAAATGGAAGTTACGGAGAATTTGATTTGATCTAAGATTGGCGATATTAACAATACTGGTAGTATTTTTCTCAAACGTTAGGTTATTGTCAATTATTACCCCGAGATCCCGAACATGTTCTTTGTGCGGTATTATGATGTTGTTAGCCACGTAATTTGCTCTCTTATTTTTCCTACCGAAGTACATGACAGAAGATTTTTCCGGTGCTAATTCCATGGAATTATCCTTAGCCCATGCACATATCTTATCAATTACACTTTGAACTCGCAAGGGATCTGAACCTATTATTTTGAGATCATCGGCAAAAGCTTGGATAGTTACATCATCATCTGCGAGTTCAAATACAGTATTGATAAATATGATGAAAAGTATTGGCCCAGAGACACTACCCTGAATAACCCCGGATGGTACTGAGGCGGATTCACTGGACATACAATTACCAACCTTGACAAAGAACTTTCTGCCTTCAAGAAAATTTTCGTACCATCTACATAAATATTCATCTAAACCAAATTCTCTCAATTTCTCAATAATCAAATTGTGATCGACACGGTCAAAAGCTTTTGCAAAATCAAAATACACAATATCAGTATTCTTCTTTTTATGAAAATTTTGTCGAATTTTGGTGATCATTGAAATTAGAGAGGATTTGCAACTACGCTTGTTGAGAAACCCATATTGGTGCTGTGATAATTTATGACTATGTTTGTATTTAATATAATCAACCACAATTCTTTCCATTACTCTACAAATTGGTGGGGTAAGTGAAATTGGTCTATAATTTTTTTTTTTTTTGGTGTTTTTGAGGAAAAACATGGGCTGAATTGATACTAGAATTTTTTCTAAAACTGGAACCTTCCAGGAGCACCTTATTCTTATCTAAACCAAGCAAGATTCCTTGGCGGAGGACCAACCCTTTAAACCAGAAAACATTCCAATTTTGAGAAGACCCACTACAGAACTTCTATGTGTGCCTATAAATTGTATACTTCTTTTCCCTCTCAACAATACACACACTATCCCGTTTTTTCTATTTTTTGAAGACTAAAAAATCTGCGTAAATTGCCCCATTATTTTATTCTGGAAGTTTTGTTTATTTGATTAAACATAATTATTTCGAGTTGCAATAAACATAGAAATAAAACATACAACTATATTATTGATGACTTCTTCCTCTCTTATTAACAGTGACTCTATTTCCGAAATATCTCTAAAAATTGAAAAGTTTGACAATTTTTTGGACGAGATATTTATTTTTCAAACAACGTTTCTAAGAATTATGGAAATTGTTTCTATGCTTATTCTCATACTTCATACATGCACTTTATTCCACAAGAAATTACGATCAAATTCGATTAATATCATACTGCTGATTCTGGCCATTTCTGATATTTTTTGGATCTTTTCGAACGCATGTGTTTACGCGTTAGAAAAATTAGACTGGATGTGTTTAACTCACAAATGTCCAATAATACTCTGGTTTATTACTTTACCAGTATCAGTTGGTACGATGTGTGAAAATTTTTCAATTTGGTTGACTGTTTCGATTGTAATCTGGAGAGTTGTAACACTGAACTCGGGAAATGTTCAAAAATATAGTTCTTCTGTATATGGTCTAATTTTAAGTGTTATATGTTTTTTCATAACTATACCTTGGAGTATTTTTAATTGGGGACATTTTACTATGACCAAAATCAACAATTTAGAAGAATATAGAGAACTGTAAGTCTATTGATATGTTATACTTCATATTAGTGTTGAATATTTCAGTTGCGTGTATTCTAAACCTCCCGACTTTCCAGTATATTATAGAGCATTTAAGGAAACAAGTATAGGATTCTCTCGCAGATTTCATGAAGACAGTACATATATAGTGTTTGGTTATCTTCCTCTGGTTCTTAATCTGATATTCACAGTAATTTTGATTTTGCAATTGAGATCAATTGGTCGACGAAGAAAGAAGTTTGTTCATTCATCAAGAAATTTTCAGACAACTCGAATTACAAAAGTTGTTCTTTATACGTCAATTAGTTTTTTAATTGTTCAAACTCCATATAGTATTTATTTACATAGTTCAGCTGAAGAGAAATTTGACGGAAATGATTACTTTATTGTTTTGATAACCCCACTTTTAAGCCTCTTGGTCAAATTTGAATTATTGCGAGCGATCAATTCCATTTCACATTTCTTCATTTGTTATCTGCTTAGTTTTCAATATCGGAATGTTGCTAATTTAAAGATTTCAAAAATTGTATTGTTTCTTAAAAATTTCGCAGAATTTTTTGGTTTTTATTTTGAATGAATAATTCATTGAATCAGAAATTTACAATACCCAACCCACATTATTGGTTTAAAAAATAAATTAAATTTTTTATTGTGTTGCTTCAGTTGATTTATTCATTTAAAAAAATGCGAAAAAAGCACCCCAAAGATTAAATACACCAAAGATAAATTAGAGAAGTTATCTAATCTCCATAATTATGTGGTAGATGTTGCTTCAGTTGTTGAAGTCGAAGTCGAAGTCGAAGTAGATGTTGAGGTCGATGGACATCTTCCACAAGTCTTTGGACATTGAACAGTCATCACATCATAATAAACCGAATCATTACAAAGATAAGCTCTGCTTGGACAATCAGAAACACCAGTTACTGGGTGCAAAAGATCCGCGCAAACTGTTGATTTAGTGGTGGACACACTAGAACATCTTCCACAAGTTTTTGGACATTGCACAGTCATGACGTCATAGTAGACAGTATCGTTACAGAGATAGGCTCTCTTTGGGCAATCAGAAACTCCGGTTGATGGGTTGAGGAGGTCTGAGCAAGATGTTGCGGTGGTTGTTGAAACTGTGGTAGTTGAAGCCGGACAACATTGGCCAGCAGCAGTATCACAAATTTGAGTTGGACAAAGTAAAACACTTCCGTCACATGCTAAATAATTATTTTCAAGGATAAAGAGATATAGGCTAACTACTCACGTCCTTCCGAAACCAAAGAATCACAAGCCAAAGCTTGATTGATGAAAAGTGCTGAGAAGACAAGGAATTTGATTGAAGCAGAAGACATTTTTCGAATGAATGGATGAATGATGAAAAATTGGAGGATTGTCACATATTTATACTATAAGCTTGCAAAAGCTGCGCAAATAATTACCAAAATTTTTAATAATTGTTTTTTGTTTCTCTTTTTTATTGTTTCAAAATCCCCCATTTTTTTGTTCTTTTGTTTTGTTTTTGTTGGAGAGGTGTGAGTCCGAAATGACCATATTTGTACAGGTTTTTAAAAATTTTCAAAAAAAAAAATTAATTTTTTTTGAGAGCATTGGCACTTTCAGGACCACAATACTGTGTAAATAGATGTTAAAAACATGGTTATTTTTGTGTACTTCTTTTGGACTACTTTTTCTTCTTGACTTATCCTAAGTAAAAGTAACTTTCACCCTAATTATGTTACTTTCCTTAATTAAGTAAATCTCACAACCAGTTTTTGTTACCCCAAGAAAAAACTATAAATATTTTCTCCTTATAAATTTTCACCGCCCAAAAAATGTCTCCCTACATTTTCTTCATAGCTTTCTCGATTTTCTCAATGAGCATTTTTCTGCACTTTGGGCTCCGCATTTTTCTAGAAATCCAGAGTTTGAAGCGCGATTTTGCGTGGGAGATGAAGGAGTTCACGGTGAGTACAGTATTCCCGGAATTTAAAGGAACATAGGTTTGTTACAGTACTCGGCGAATGAGGCGTGGCGGGAGATGAATTCGTTGCGAGACCATGTGAGGATAAGTCGATCGGTTAGGAAAGGCGGGAAGAATTTGAGGGAGAAGAAGCGATATGTTTTGCAAAGGGAGGATGCTTATGGTGAGTTATGACGTGGCAAATAGCTCCATAATGATTTCTGATATCATAGTGTTGTCCAGAAGGCTCGATTACAATAAAACCTTCTGGGGCAAATTCACAAAGTGCCTTGTTATACCTTACTTACCTAAATAACTGAGCTAAGTAAATAAGGTGTACCAAAAATTAATAATTGTTCATAAATTTTTTATTTAGTTATTTTTGGTACACCTTACTTACTTAGCTTAGTTAAGTAAGGTATAATAAGGAATTCGGCCCCAGAAGGCTTAATCAAGCTTAATCAAGACTTCTGAACACCGCTATGATATCAGAAATCATTATGAAGTTAGTTTTCACCTCCTAACTTTGCCACGTCATAACTCATGTTAGAACGGAATTGTGCTCAACCCTAGATTTGCAGACCTCCCCATTTACCCAATCGACAAAGATTCAGTTGCATCGAAAAACGGCGAGACAGCACGAAAAATGATAGAGACGCAGAGAAGCGAGAGAAAAGAGACGAAAAAGAAGCAGACAGCTGAGCAATGTCAGAAAGATTGCATGTCAAAATCGCAGTCTTGTCCAGCTGGCCCGCCTGGACGGCCTGGGAAAAAAGGCCGAAATGGGCTATCAGGTCATGCTGGGAAGGACGGTGAGCCTGGACATTCTGGATTGACTGTGGCGATTTCGGGAGGATGTATGAAGTGTCCGCCAGGTAAACCTGGTCCTCCGGGAGATGATGGTCCGGAAGGCCCCGGTGGGAAAAATGGGGTATCCGGAATATCGATCAAAGCTGTGGTGGGAAAGCCTGGAGCTCCCGGGCCACCTGGAGATTCTGGACATCCCGGACATCCTGGAGAACCGGGACCAATCGGACCACCTGGACGAACATCGAATCGCTATCGGAATCTGAAAGGCCCACCGGGTCCTCCAGGTCTACCTGGATATCAAGGAGCACAAGGGCCCGCTGGATTCAGCTACGCGACCGGGCGACCTGGGCCTGCGGGAGGCTCGGGAAAGCCCGGTGAAAATGGCCGAGTTGGAGCGAATGGGCCGAATGGGAAAAGAGGAAGACCTGGGAAAGATGGAAATTATTGTCCGTGTCCCGCGGCATCGAATGTTAGACATAGTTTTATTTTTATTTGAAATAAATTATAAAGATTTTTTCAGCTTAATCTGAGCAATCTTAAAGATTTTTAGCTAAAAAAACAGCTTCATCACAAAAACAAAAGCTACAAGCTATAAATCATAACCGAAAAATGATGTTGCTCATTATCTAACTCGAATTTCATCCTAAATTTGCTGAAAATCCCATTCCTTCAATAAAATTTAGCCTTAAAATCTAATCTCACCCAGTATTTATTCTCATCATTTTCATGTTCTTCCACATTAAAATGTCGAATAATCTCCTCAAAATCACAACGAGTTCCAAAATCTTTCGAAACAACCAGCAAAAATCCGATTCGAAATATTCATCAAACATCTGTTGATCAAAATCATCACATCGAACTTTACAAAAATGTCCAGTCAATCTCAGAATTTCCCCGAAATTCAATTTGATTTCTTCTAACATCACTATTTTTGCATTGTGGATTTGAGATAACTCCAGAAATCCCGTCGCTAGAAAATCATTTCCAGTATAATCCCTGATTTCATTTGATTTCGATTCTTGAGGGGTTTCAAATTGAATTCACCATCGATTTTGAATTCGCGATCTTGTAATTCAAAAGTCACAATATTTTTTGATCGAAAATCTCTTTCAAATATCGCATTCTCACATCTTCCGCTTTCTTATTCACAATTTTCCTCATTTCATAGGGAATATCGAACCAACCAGTTGTTTCTGCATCATTTTCTTCAAGAAAAACCTGAAAACTTCCATTTTCTTCAAAATTTAAAAAAAAAACTCACATTTCCATCCTCTAACCGTGCTTTTTTCGGCTTCGACATTTTTCCGCGAAAAAAAAACAAAAAGAAATCCGGGAGAAGTACACAGAACGCTGCGTCGCGACGAGACCATTTCGAACAATTCTATGCGCCTTTTTTGTTACTAGTATTCTCCAAGGGAAAAGCGACATTGGAGAGATTCTCAGGGTTCCCATATGTTATACTTTAAACGTGTCCATTTCTAAAATCCGGGGGGGGTTCCCAATTTTTAAAAATCCCCAGAAATTTCTTCGCGAAAACACACAGCGCGTATTTCGCGTCAAGGTTGCGCGTAGGATTTGGTGTTTGCGGGCAGTCGGTATTGACATACACTCTTATTTTTTCCGTTCTTTCTTTAGGTTTGGGATTTTGTGTTTTTTTCGCGCATTTTAAAAAAGACCAAAAAAAAGTAATTTCCTTTATTCTCATTCATCGAGTTATTCTATTGTGTCCTGTAGATGTGCTGGAATTCCAAATTGATAAAGGTGACGTTTGCCTTCAACATCTTTTCCGCCTACGATGACAATAGGTGGTTTCGCAAACTGAAAAATCGATAATATTGTTGGTTTCCAGTGAAGTGAAACAGATATTCACAAAAACAACAATTTTGTAAAATTATTCTCATTTTTCGATGATCTAAAGAAATAATCTTACCTCGGATTTTGCTGTCTTTTCACTTCTCGATTTTGATTTCGATTTTTGTCCATTTTTCGAGTTTGCTGGTTTTTTAGCGGTTTTTTTACTTCGGAGATACGCAATTTCTAGTTTTAGATCAGCAATTGTCTTGCGAAGTTCCTGGAAAAATTGGTTAAAGTTTTCTGTTAATTTTTCCTCCTTTTTCAAAATGATCTATGAAAAATAATCTTACTTTCTTCGATTTAGAAGATTTATCATTTTTCGAGTTGGCTGGTTTGTCATGATCAGCAGGTTTCGATTGATCAGGTCTTTCTTGAATTGGTGTCTGTCCTTCTACGCTTTCTTTCAAATTCGCAACTTCTAGTTTTAGAGTCTTAATTATGTTGAGAAGTTCCTAGAAAAATTGTTAAAATTACAAACAAATTTTGGAAAAAATTTCAAAAAATTCTCTTACATTTATCTCTTTTTCTTCTTCCTCTTTTCCCTGTTCCTCTTTCTTTTCCTTGATATCTTTATTGGGTCCATCAACCACAGCTGGAGCAATTTTTTGATCCTCTTTATTCGGCAGATTTTCGTTCTTTGGCTTTTCTTCTTTCTCCTCCATTTTTTCCTTTTTTCGAATAATTGATTTTGGAATCCAAATAAGCAATTTCGACAATACAACAATCAGAAAAATGATACCAAACATAATCCAATTGACAATCATAACATTGTTGAAATAAATGCTATATTCGTTACATAATCCGCCCGGAACTTCTTGATAACATTTGATATCAGTTTTATCAAATTGATCCTGAAATGTTAGACAATTTATTTTCCGTTTGAAATTGAAAATAATAAACTTACATTGATGGAATTCACTGCGTTATCTGTAACAGTTTTCAACGATTCAAATGATGCTGGTATAAATTGGTTGAAATCTGCCTTCAAATTTTTATCCGAAATCTCTTTAGAATACTGTTTCAACGCTTCCAATGATTTCAGGATAACTTCCACCTTGTTAAGCATATCATTCAGATAAACCAAAACATCTTTCATACAAGGCTTTTTTTTGTACTTCGAAAGTTCATCATGTTGCTGTTCCACTGGAATACTTAAATCACTGATTTCATAACTGTTGAATGGGGAGTCGAATTGCAGTTTATCAGTAAACGTGGTGACAACATTTTCCAAATTATCCAAATTTGTTCGGATGTTTTGAGCATTCAACTGTGGAGCCATTTTCGAATATACCGATTCGCCTTTTTTACAACCACTTGTAATTGATCTGAAAATAACATTCACATTTTATGTTTTCATCAAATGTAACAAACCCAATATCAATCACTTTTCCATCAAAATTCGTGAACTTCATGTCTGATGTTTGTTCCTCGAGTTTCAATTTGCAATCATAACCAAATGGTGAAATACCAATTGAACCAACTACTGCATAAATCAATAATGAAATTGCGAATATCACAGATACGAGCAAAAGAATATTTGAATATCGCTTGAGTTTGTCGAATGATATTTTCTGTTTTTGATATAAGATGAATAAAATCATGATAGTAACGAGCAATATACAAGTAATTGACAAACAAGTTATCGCCATCACCAAAACACCAATATCAGCAATTTTTCGTGCAGCTATTTGTTTTTCATATGACTGAATGATTGAATCATATCTAGCCACAGTTAATTTCTTGAATTCTTTCAGCATTTTTATAATACTTTTCGAATAGCCAACAAGTATTTTTTTGGACAATGCTCCTGATTTTTCAAATTCTCTTCTTAGCAATTCAACGAAAGTGGCTTCATAGATATTGATCGGATCATTGATCTTTTTCAATTTTTCTCTTTGTCCTTCGGCTGCTTTGTTCAACAATTTTATAAAAGGAACTTTTTCAAGTATCAAAGTCGGCGGTGGTCGTGGACAAGCAGCATTGTCTTTAATCTCTATATAAACTTCCTGAAATCCACTATTTCGGTGTTCCTCGAGCAATTCCGATTCTGTCTGTAAAGGTTGGAATTGAATTTCGAGGCTTCGGGAGGAATAATTCAAAAACATACCAAATTGGCGAGGCCAAGTTTTTCACGAATCAATTTGAACAATTTGGGCGAAATTTGTTCAGGAGACGAATTATCCAAAAGTCTCGGAAACCCTTCAACCACTTTGATTGCTTCATCAATAGCAGCAATTGTGTCTGCAAAAAATATTTGATTGAAAATGTGTTATTTTTTAGATTATCCTTACCCGCTTTTTGCTTTTCGATACTATTTTTTGGACCTTCGTCGATTTTCGATTGTGTGAAGAGAATTGTGAACATTGAAGCACCAGCAATAACCATCAAGACTACAACAATGATTCCAACAATAATAAATTGCTTTCCGCCAGTTGGTTCCTCTTTTTTCGGATTCTCAAGCTCCGTTTTTGGTGTTGCCGTTGTAGTTGTTGACATTTCTATCTCAATAAATAAGTCGGACCAGTAGATTATTAAATATTTTCTAAAACTGACGAGCACATCGCGGAGTCCGTTTAAATACCATTTTCCAAAGGGCCGCCACGTATCACTATCACTTAATTTTTTTCAAAAATATAAATTTATTGATTATTGAAAAGCATCAAATGAAATTAATTATGGATAGGGATCGATTGAAAAATGATCGTGATAGAAATTGAATTCAACAAGAACTTTTCGATTGGCAAGATTCATTCTGACGAAAAACTGTGTCCATCTGAAAAAACATGACGGGTCTTCTGAAGAAAATCGAGAAAAAAATACCCGAAATGTTCAATGTCAACATCTGTGCAACCCACGAATTCCGCAATTTCATCAATATCAATTCGATCGCTCAAATTTCTTGTATAAACCGTAAGAACTCCCAATGATTGTCGAATTTTGCCTTGTCGAAACAAATCGATATATTCCAATAGTTTAGATTGATTGAATTCATCACAGCGAATTGTACCAAACCATGGATCAAGTTCAAGAACTTGTTGATAAGTCAGCTTGGTATTTTCAGCTCTCAATTGCCAACATCCAATAATTTGTGAGGCATCGAATAATCCATTTCCAACAAGATCTTTGTCCGTTTTATCTTCGATGTCGCTTAGATTTTCCAACATTTTCAAATTAAAACCTCTTTTTGGAAAATCTTCATCTTCCAATGCAAAAGATACAATAGTTTTCTGATATTTTTCCAAAATTTCATTCAAATATCGCATTCGAACATCTTCAGCTTTCTCATTTTCAATGATTTTCATCCATTTCATCACTGTTTTATCAGAATAAGAATTTTCATCGTATTGGGTTCTATAAACAAGAAATTCGATATTTATCATAAATACATATGAATAGAACTCACGTTTTATAAACAACAAAAGATTTGACTTCAGTTAAATCGCTAATATCTATAAATTCCAAGCAATAATGATAACCAGATGCATCATGACCAATATATAATTCCGGATGAATTCCTCGACCAATTTTCAAACTCTGCAAGTATTTCTTCGACATTTTTGCCTCTTCTTCACATTTATTTGAACAAATTGTGAATCTACAGCGAGTTTTCGTGTCCATTTCATCTATCACAATTTTCCTCATTTCATACGGGATGTCGAACCAGCCAGTTGTTTTTGGTGCATTTTCTTCAAGGGAAACCTGAAAACTTCCGTTTTCTTCAAAATTTTCAAAAAAAAAAACTCACATTTCCATCCTCTAACCGTGCTTTTTTCGGCTTCGACATTTTTTGCGAAAAAAAACAAAAAGAAGTCCGGGAGAAGTACACAAATCGCTGCACCGCTGCGAGATATTTCGGGGGAAAATGTGTGTGCCTTTAATCGATTTTCATTTTTTTTTTGGGTTGTTTTTCTTGAAGTTTCGCTCACGCTATTTTAAAACAATAGAAAGAGGGACAAATCGAGAGTTTGAGAGAGGGAAAAGAAGCTAGAAACACAGCTGAAATAGTGCTACAGTACGCTGTTTTACCATTAGCTGGCGCACAGCCAAGTGTGGTCTTGGCGCGATTTCTCTGCGCTCTCTCTTTTTAGTGGATTCTCGATTTGTCCCATCAAAAATAGCGTGCGCTTGAATAAAGCATATGCAGAATTTCTCAAACATCTATATTAAATCAAAAAATGCTTGATCTTCCATGTAATTGTTCCTGAAAGTCTAAAGTAGATCATTTTAGGCGCCAAAAATACACATTTTCAGCCAATTTTGGTCCCGAAGCGATTTCTGTTTTGTGAATCAGTTTTCAAGAAAAAACAAGTTTTGTTCAAATGATTTATGAAAAAGTCGCAAAATATTCGGATTATTCATATTCATAGCAATTATTGATTGTTTTTTCCAGATGGTTCCTCATTTTTCCAATTTTCAAGCTCTGTTTTTGGTGTTGCCATTGTACTCAATAAATAAGACCAACCAGATAGTGAATAAATCTACTATATACTAATTGGGAAAATTTTTTTGGCAATAGTATGTCCGGGACCCGTTCTCAAAACTGTGCGCATAAAAATTGATGATCAAAAAAAGAAAAAGTTTCTAAATGTTGGCAGCTCGATGCGCATTCTATTCATTCTTACTCAAAATGTATGTGAGTGCGCGGAGAATCAAAAGTTTGAAAACTCCAATGTATTTTTCGATTTTAAAATGTGTCGCTCGACTTTTCTCAATTTCCAGAAGACCATTTTTGATGGGATCTTCACTATTCTATCCCAAATTCTTTCCCATCGAGGCGCTAATATTCGATTTTTCAAAAAATGCGCGAGTTTTCACGTGAAAAATCAAAACTTTTTTCATGTAAAAAAGAATGATCACGTTTTTATTCCAAAAAAATTAAAGGACACGTTTCTTATCTGATCTTTCTATTCTCTGAAAAAGTCAACAATTTTTGGGCATTTCTCAATTTTTCTCTTTCCCTAACCGGAAAATTAATCAGAAAAAGTAAGTCAAACTACTGTAGATGGCGTTAGCCAGCGAAGCCCTTCTAGTAAATATAAAAACTGAGAAGCTCACCGCGGAGCTTGTTTAAATACCATTTTCCAAGCCTTAAGGGGCCGCCACGTTTCTAACGTGTGGATTTTTTAAGGCGTTCCAGAAACATGTTCTATTTACAATACTATCTATTACATCATCATCTTTTTTTCTATTTGATAACATCAAAACCGTAACCGTTTTTTTTCCTAACATTTTCAAGATCAAAAACGTGCTATAAAAGAGAATGTCTCTCAAAATATTCTCATACATTTCCAAAAATGTCTTCTTCATCTTCCCTTGTTTTCCTAATTCTCGGTCTCGTTTTATCGATTGATTGTTTCCTCGGAGTTATTGAAGTCAAAGCTGGAACATCTGTAGATATCGAATTGGATGGATCTGGAGCCTTGGAGAAATATGTTGGAAGCAAGGTTTATACTTTCAATTTCAGCGGACCAAATCGTGGATTCTTTACTGATAATGCTGTGGGTTTTTTTTTTAATTTCTGAAACATCAAGAATCAATTTATTTTCAGACCAAAGCCAAAGTTGCAGCCAGCAATCTTCAGATCAAAGGAAACACTTTGGTGATCACAAAAGCTACCAAAGCTGATGCTGCAAAATATAGAAGAGGAAGTGATGGAATCGAACTTGTTGTTCTTTGAGATGTTTTGAAGAATAAAAGTTTTGAAGGAATATTTTTGTTTTGAACAAAATAAGAGTATGCTAGACACAATTTTCAGAAAATTTCAATTTTTCTAGAATTCTATAAGACAGCTCACGTATAGAAATCAGAGTCACCCCGCGAAAAAATAAATTTGAATTTTTCCCCCCTATACCCGCGATGCGTATGCGTTGCGGTCGCTTTTCAATACAAAATCCCCTCTGCATCTCTTCGAGAAAATTCAAATTTTTTTCGCGGGGTGACTCTGGACAATTCATACACATACACAAATATTATCGAAAATCTCATCAGTACCACGCGCTCCACCGAAATGAACACGCAACGCAGAACGCGTCGCGCCACAACACACAAATAGGGGAACGATTCAAATTCCCTCCCTTTTTTGTGTGTGTTGTGGCGCGGCGCGGTCTGCGTTGCGTGTTTATTTCGGTGGAGCGCGTGGTACCGATGAGATTTTCGATAATAAGCTACTTATCTGTGCAATAGAGCAAACTTGACTTTTGTTTTATTTTAGAGGAAAAAGTGGAACCTGAACATTTCAAAAAAATTCCAAATTCGACCTTTCTTCTCCAACAAAACAAAGGTCAAATTACACAGTGTTTCCAGGAAAACGTTCCGTTTATGTGTAACAAAGTTTTTTTTTTCGTCATGCTATCCTATAAAAATGGAAACTGACCTATCATTTTCACAAAAAACATGAAATTCTACATTACTTTTCTGATTTTTCTGGCGTTTTTCATAACTTCTACTTATTCGGCTACATTCATGTATCCAGTGAAAGTTGGAGACGAAGTTACACTTGTCGAAGGAAGTGGTCCTCTCAGATTCTTTTCAGAGGATCATAAGGAATATACTTTCAATTTTAGTGGACCGAATAGAGGATTCTTCACTGATAATAAGGTATTATTTTACAGACGAGGTACTTAGCCTAACTCTTGTTCATTTTCAGACCAAGAAACGATTGCCAGCTAATAATCTTCGAATCAAGGGAAATGATGTGATCATCACAAAAATCACCAAAGCTGATGCTGGTCATTATGAACGTGGAGGAAATATGGTTACTGTAATTGTTGAATAAATTTGTTTTTTCTTTAAAAATTATAATTCGGAACATTTTGCATGATTTCAGCAAAAAATTCCACACAGAACCCCAAATTTCCACGTCAAAAGTTGATTTTCATGAAATTCAAACAAATCGATTAAAGGCGCACACATTTTCCACCATGAAATATCTCGCGGCGACACAGCGATTTGTGTACTTCTCCCGGACTTCTTTTTGTTTTTTTTTGCGAAAAATGTCGGCGGAGCCCAAAAAACCACGATTAGACGATGAAAATGTGAGTTTTCTTTTGAAATTTTCAAATAAAATTGAAGTTTTCAGGTTTCCCTTGAAGAAAATAAGGCAGAAACAACTGGTTGGTTCGATATTCCCTATGAAATGAGAAAAATTGTGATCGATGAAATGGATATTGAAACTCGCTGTAGATTTTCCATTTGCTCCAAAAAATGTGAAGAAGAGGCGAAAATGTCGCAGGAGTACTTGAAAAGTTTGAAAATCTGTCGAGGGCCTCATCCGGAATTATATATTGGGCATGAAACATCTGGTTATCATTTTTGTATGGAATTTTTGGCTGTCAGTAAATTGACTGAGAATTCGACTATTGTAATTTATAAAACGTATGTTTAAATACTAAATAACATAATTTTCTATAAATTTATATAAAATTTTGCAGCACCGGCAACAGAAGAGTTATGAAGTGGTCAAAAATCTATGAAAATGAGAAAGCGGAAGATGTTAGAAATCGATATTTGCATGAAATATTGGAAAAACATCACAAATCTATTGTCAAACTTTCAATCGATGACACAAAATTTGTTTTAAAAGAAGAAATCAATTTAAAAACGTTGAAAAACCTGCGAAAAATCTTTGATAGAACTGGAAGAGATCTAATAAAATATGACATATTGGATGTATCACAAATTCTTCGAGCAAATATTGTGCGAGTTCAAAGAACTAATTTGACAAGAAAAGATTTGATGGGATTTCAAGGAACTTTGTGTGAAATTCGAGTTTATAATATGAGTCTGAAGAGTCTTGCGGAATTTGTGAAATCGTTGAAAACTGGAAAATCTCACAGGAATTTAAGACATCTTAAAGTCTATTGGAAAGAACATATTTGTGCAGAAGAAGTGGCAGATGAATTGAATATTCCCTATTTTTCAGAAGGTCAAGATAATAATGATGATGATGATGAAAAGTGAGTAATTTGTTACCTAACGATATCTCGAATCACATTTTTGTCATTTTTCAGTGGTTGCTGGTTCAATTTCGATGTTTGTTACGATGATAAGAAGTTCAAGGCAAAATTCAGTTCGCATGGTGATCATTTTGAAATTCGTGTTGAGCAAAGTTGAGAATAAAGATTTATTATTTACATATTTTTTGAAACAAATTCGCTCATAGCAACAGTGATGTTGAGAAATTTTCCAATCTGAAAATGATAAAGTTATTCAAGATTTTCAGAAAAGAATATTCACCCACCAATAATTCTTGAAGCAATCCTTTTCAAAGCAACAGTGTGAACGATCTGAAAAAACATAAATTTATATTTAAATACCAATTAAAAAAAAAACTCACCTTTTAAAATCAAATAATTGCACGCTTTCTGTTTCCACAGGAAGCAGGGTATGAACTTTTGAAAAGTTTAAAAATAATAGATAGATTTCGACAGTTTAGATGTCGATTTGACGAAAACTGAATGACTGATCAGTTTCTGTCTGCCCGGCCGCCCGAAAAACTTTGAATTTCAGAAAGAAAGTGATCTCGCGGGGTAGAACAAAATCATTTTTTTTTCTCGAAAAGTTTCAATTTTTGAAAAAAAAATGAGATATGCCAAATTTTAATAATTTTACTAACAAAAAATTGAATAACACTATTCTTTACAATTTTTGGGTAATGTGTACATATATTCCAAAAAAAAATGAGAAAAACTATAGATTTTTCAAAAAACCTTCTCATCAATAAAATAGGTCAATTTTTTTCCCAAGCTCTTTTTCCCAAAATTTTTTCACAAGTAAGTTTTTGTTTTTCCCAAGTTTTTTCCCAAATTTTCGTTTTTTCCCCAAATTCTTCAAGTTTTTTTCCGGTATTTTCTATCTTTCGAAACCAATTGAGCACTGATCCCACATATCAGTTTCTCCCGGTCATAAGCTGAAATTATTCAATTCGTAAATGCGAAAAAGCTAAAATTAGTTGAAAAAAGAAGTTTGTTTTTTGGAATGAAAATTGTGGTTTTTCACAATTTTGAGAGACTGACTGTAAAAAAATGTACCAACATTCACTTTTCTGGGCGTTTAACTAAACCTAAGGCTTATTCTGAAGTTGAGAAGCCAAAAATAAGATTTTTTTATTTTTCTATTATTGTTTCTAGGCTTAGGCTTAGTAAACCATCCTGGAAACATACAGACTCGCCGAAAATTGAAAAAAAAAACACACCACACTTTACACAAGAAAAACTCTTATTTTTCTGGTATTTAGATATTTTTGACGGACCCTTCTATTTTATAAAATTTCGGGATCCTCATATAGAGAATCAAAAACCCTGATGTTCTTAAAAAACGAACCAATTTCATGCGATCCGAAAATTTGGGAAAAAAACTAAAAATTGGGAAAAAAAACTTGGGAAAATGAAAAATCAACTTGGGAAAAATAGCTTGGGAAAAAAATTGGCCATAAAATATTAATTTTATTCTGTTTCAAAATTAATCCACGTAACATTTTAAAAACCATTGAAAAACCTTGTTTTTCGAAAAACAAAAATTAATTTAAACGTGTACCTGACATCATTTTTGACAACGAATTCGTGGCATTGCTAAGCTGACGTTGCTTTAGCACTATAAAAGTCGCCAGACTCGTCATTTCTCGCTCTTATTATTATTATTATTATTCTAATAAAGCTTTGTACTACTAGTAGCAGTCACCGTATCCAACACAAGGATACAACAATGATGAGTGCGGAAGACAAAGATGTAAGAATTCCAATTGAAGGAGATATTCTAACAACAAATACGGGAGAATCAATAACTCTTCATCAAAAATTAGGAAATGGAGCAATGGGACAAGTATTCTTGGGCAAATTAAACGAAAGGTACGGTAATCTATACAAGTATTATTTTTAAAATAATTTTTTTCAGACATGTTGCGGTCAAAACTGAAACAAAAGCTCTCGGTTTAATTCCATTGGAAGTTAAATTGCTTTTGACAGCGAAGAGGGAGAAATTCACTCATTTTTGCACAATCTATGGATATGTTAGTTTATTTTTTTCTATTTTCATTTCAATTCATTAAAAAAACTTATTTTTAGGGAAAAGTTTCAAGGGCATATAATTTCATGATTATGTCTCTTTTAAATTCGGATTTGTACCAACTCCGAATGGAACTTCCAAATACATAGAATATATTCAATGAATACAACAACAAAAATTGCAATTCAATCGTTGAAAGCAATGGAAGAATTACATTCAATTGGATATATTCATCGAGATATTAAAGCGAGCAACTTTGCACCAGGTCGCGGTCGAAGTTCAACTATTTTCATATTCGATTTCGGCTTGTCAAGGAGGTTTGTTGATGGATCAAATATGAAATTGAGTCCACGAAAAAATGTTGGATGGCGCGGAACTGTTAGATATGCGAGTTTAAATGCACATAAACAATTGGATCTCGCGCGCCGGGACAACATTGAGAGTTGGTTTTATATGTTATTAGAGATGAAAATTGGTTCACTTCCATGGTGTTTTTTACGAGAAAGGGATCAAGTTGGAAACAGCAAAATGCTTATCAAAAAAGATCGTGCCAATTTCTTCTCAAATTTGCCACAACAATTTCAGGAGATTATGGATATTATTGATAGTTATCATTTTGAAAGCTGTCCTAATTATCCCAAATTGAAGAAATACGAATTGATGATAATTGTGAATTATCGTATATTGGAACTGTTTCAGTTACATCTGTTGCGATTATGGCTGAACATGGAAGCAATAATATTAGTATTCCAGAATGAATCCAAATTTTCATGTGACAATTTTTGATGAATAAACTTTTTTTTTAAAGAATCATGTTTTGTTAAAATTATCATTCAGAGAATTGCTGCCAAAAAGGCGGAGAAGAAAAAGAAGAAGAATTAGCGAAATTTGAAGAAGCAAATATCTATTTTTTGTGTTTTGTTTTTAAATTAATTGTTTTTTACAAGTCTCGCAAAAAACATACATAAAATAGGTCCCCCGAGTCAGTTTTCAAAGTTAGGGTCCCTCTTTGAAAATTTTCCAAAGTTAAACACCTTCCTCACATTTTTGAGCGAATTTTGGACAAATCTGGGAATTTTGGTAAATTATCAGCAGAAAATTGGCCAAATTAGGAACCCTTCCCTTCAGATTTTTGAAAAAAGTTAAGCCCCTCACCCCGATTTTGGGGACCCATTTTATGTATGGCAAAAAGTTTTCTTGAGAATGAAGATTTATTTTTTACATATTTTTGAAACAAATTCGCTCATAGCAACAGTGATGTTGAGAAATTTTCCAATCTGAAAATGATAAAGTTATTCAAGATTTTCAGAAAAGAATATTTACCCACCTTTTAAAATCAATAATTTTTGAAGCAATCCTTTTCAAAGCAACAGTGTGAACGGCCTGAAAAAACATAAATTTATATTTAAATACCAATTTTTCAAAAAAAAAAACTCACCTTTTAAAATCAAATAATTGCACGCTTTCTGTCTCCATAGGAAGTAGGGTATGAACTTTTGAAAAGTTTAAAAATAATAGATAGATTTCGACAGTTTAGATGTCGATTTGACGAAAACTGAATGACTGATTGGTATCTGCGTGCTCGGCCGCCCGAAAAACTTTGAATTTCAGAAAGAAAGTGATCTCGCGGGCTAGGTCAAAATCATTTTTTTTCTCGAAAAATTTCAATTTTTGAAAAAAAAAATTAAGATATGCCAAATTTTATTAATTTTACTAACAAAAAATTGATAATAACACTATTCTTTAAGTACAATTTTTGGGTAATGTGTATGTATATTCAAAAAAAAATGAGAAAAACTATAGATTTTTCAAAAAACCTTCTCATCAATAAAATAGGTCAATTTTTTTCCCAAGCTCTTTTTCCCAAAATTTTTTCACAAGTAAGTTTTTGTTTTTCCCAAGTTTTTTCCCAATTTTTCTTTTTTCCCAAATTCTTCAAGTTTTTTTCCGGTATTTTTTTTTCTATCTTTCGAAACCAATTGAGCACTGATCCCACATATCAGTTTCTCCCGGTCATAAGCTGAAATTATGCAATTCCTAAATGCGAAAAAGCTAAAATTAGTTGAAAAAAAGAAGTTTGTTTTTGGAATGAAAATTGTGGTTTTTCACAATTTTGAGAGACTGACAGTAAAAAAATGTACCAACATTCACTTTTCTGGGCGTTTAACTAAACCTAAGGCTTATTCTGAAGTTGAGAAGCCAAAAATAAGATTTTTTAATTTTTCTATTATTGTTTCTAGGCTTAGGCTTAGTAAACCATCCTGAAAACATACAGACTCGCCGAAAATTGAAAAAAAAACACACCACACTTTACACAAGAAAAACTCTTATTTTTCTGGTATTTAGATATTTTTGACGGACCCTTCTATTTTATAAAATTTCGGGATCCTCATATAGAGAATCAAAAACCCTGATGTTCTTAAAAAAACGAATGCGATCCGAAAATTTGGGAAAAAAACTAAAAATTGGGAAAAAAAACTTGGGAAAATGAAAAATCAACTTGGGAAAAATAGCTTGGGAAAAAAATTGGCCATAAAATATTAATTTTATTCTGTTTCAAAATTAATCCACGTAACATTTTAAAAACCATTGAAAAACCTTGTTTTTCGAAAAACAAAAATTAATTTAAACGTGTACCTGACATCATTTTTGACAACGAATTCGTGGCATTGCTAAGCTGACGTTGCTTTAGCACTATAAAAGTCGCCAGACTCGTCATTTCTCACTCTTATTATTATTATTATTATTATTCTAATAAAGCTTTGTACTACTAGTAGCAGTCACCGTATCCAACACAAGGATACAACAATGATGAGTGCGGAAGACAAAGATGTAAGAATTCCAATTGAAGGAGATATTCTAGCAACAAATACGGGAGAATCTATAACTCTCCATCAAAAATTAGGAAATGGAGCAATGGGACAAGTATTCTTGGGCAAATTGAACGAAAGGTACGGTAATCTATACAATTATTATTTTTAAAATAATTTTTTTCAGACATGTTGCGGTCAAAACTGAAAAAAAAGCTCTCGGTTTAATTCCATTGGAAGTAAAATTGCTTTTGACAGCAAAAAGAGAGAAATTCACTCATTTTTGCACATTATATGGATATGTTAGTTTATTTTTTTCTATTTTCAATTCATTAAAAAAACTTATTTTTAGGGAAAAGTTTCAAGGGCATATAATTTCATGATTATGTCTCTTTTAAATTCGGATTTGTACCAACTCCGAATGGAACTTCCAAATAAAATATATTCAATGAATACAACAACAAAAATTGCAATTCAATCGTTGAAAGCAATGGAAGAATTACATTCAATTGGATATATTCATCGAGATATCAAATCAAGCAATTTTGCACCAGGTCGCGGTCGAAGTTCAACTATTTTCATATTCGATTTCGGCTTGTCAAGGAGGTTTGTTGATGGATCAAATATGAAATTGAGTCCACGAAAAAATGTTGGATGGCGCGGAACTGTTAGATATGCGAGTTTGAATGCACATAAACAATTGGATCTCGCGCGCCGGGACAACATTGAGAGTTGGTTTTATATGTTATTAGAGATGAAAATTGGTTCACTTCCATGGTGTTTTTTACGAGAAAGGGCTCAAGTTGGAAACAGCAAAATGATTATAAGAACAGATCGTGCCAATTTCTTCTCAAATTTGCCACAACTATTTCAGGAGATTATGGATATTATTGATAATTATCATTTTGAAAGCTGCCCTAATTATCCGAAATTGAAGAAATACGAATTGATGATAATTGTGAATTATCGTATACTGGAACTGTTTCAGTTACATCTGTTGCGATTATGGCTGAACAAGGAAGCAATAATATTAGTATTCCAGAATGAATCCAAATTTTCATGTGACAATTTTTGATGAATAAAATTTTTTTAAAGAATCATGTTTTGTTAAAATTATCATTCAGAGAATTGCTGCCAAAAAGGCGGAGAAGAAAAAGAAGAAGAATTAGCGAAATTTGAAGAAGCAAATATCTATTTTTTTGTGTTTTGTTTTTAAATAAATTGTTTTTTACAAGTCTCGCAAAAAACATACATAAAATAGGTCCCCCGAGTCAGTTTTCAAAGTTAGGGTCCCTCTTTGAAAATTTTCCAAAGTTAAACACCTTCCTCACATTTTTGAGCGAATTTTGGACAAATCTGGGAATTTTGGTAAATTATCAGCAGAAAATTGGCCAAATTAGGAACCCTTCCCTTCAGATTTTTGAAAAAAGTTAAGCCCCTCACCCCGATTTTGGGGACCCATTTTATGTATGGCAAAAAGTTTTCTTGAGAATGAAGATTTATTTTTTACATATTTTTGAAACAAATTCGCTCATAGCAACAGTGATGTTGAGAAGAAGTTGGTCGAAATATTCCAATCTGAAAATGATAAAGTTATTCAAGATTTTCAGAGAAGAATATTCACCCACCAATAATTTTTGAAGCAATCCTTTTCAAAGCAACAGTGTGAACGGCCTGAAAAAAATATAAATTTATATTTAAATACCAATTTTTTCAAAAAAAAAAAAAACTCACCTTTTAAAATCAAATAATTGCAAGCTTTTGTTTTCCACATTAGGTATTGAACTTTTGAAAAGTTTAAAAATAATACATAGATTTCGACAGTTTAGATGTCGATTTGACGAAAACTGAATGACTGATTGGTTTCTGCCTGCCCGGCCGCCCGAAAAACTTTGAATTTCAGAAAGAAAGTGATCTCGCGGGCTAGGTCAAAATCATTTTTTTTTTCTCGAAAAATTTCAATTTTTGAAAAAAAAAATTAGGATATGCCAAATTTCAATAATTTTACTAACAAAAAATTGATAATAACACTATTCTTTAAATACAATTTTTGGGTAATGTGTATGTATATTCCAAAAAAAAAGAGAAAAACTATAGATTTTTCAAAAAACCTTCTCATCAATAAAATATTAATTTTATTTTGTTTCGACATTAAATGGGTGAGTATCATAATTTCTATTCATATTATTTCAAAAAATTGATTTTTTTTCAGTTGGGACAACAAGTAAACTTCACAACAAATGCCATGACTGCTGTCAAATTATAAGTAATTTTGAAACATATCACGCCCAGGTTGAGGCATATGCACGGTGCCGATAAAAATTTACGGAAATTCACCTCGCCAATTTGAGATTTTCTTGGAAAATAGCAAATTTTTGCCTCTGACTTTAACCGGGCTAAACTTGAACCAAACAAAAGATAGAGATGAAATATTGTGAAAATATGAAACTTCAAATCTTCCTGTGCAAAAGTGCGTAGCGGTGTTTGCACACACACAAATCCGCTGGACGTGGGGGGGCAATTTGAAATTTTGAAAACACAAGATTTTCTCAACACCATCTGTTTTTTATAACTATTATCATTTAGAGAATTGTTGCCAAAAAGGCGGAGAAGAAAAAGAAGAAGAATTAGCGAAATTTGAAGAAGAAAATATCTATTTTATAATTTAAATGTGTTTTGTTTTTAAATGAATTGTTTTTTTACAAGTCTCGCAAAAAACCTACTGTTGCTGAGTTGGTCTTTCATGTCTTGGTTTCAGCAGTGAATATTTTCTTCGTCAAAAAAAATGCGTCAGAAATTTCCAAAAATTCATTCAAAATCGATCTGTACAATGATTTACACCGTAATCCGAAACAGGGCTGGTCGGAATTGACCTTTCGGAATTTCGGAAGTCCCGTTTTCACTCCCGATTTTATTTTCGGAATTTCGACATTCCGACTTTTTATTCCGAATGATTTTTCGATAGTTCGGAATTCCGATTTTTTCTTCCGATTTTTTTTTTCGGAATTTCGAAAGAAATTCGGAAGTCCAAATGCGCAGGAAAAAACTGGAAAACGACATTTTTCGATGAGTTATCAGAACAATTATAGTGAAAATAGTTGCGAAAAAGTGAATCTTGTTCTTTAGTTTATGAAAGACAACAAATTTTTGTCTATTATCGATTATCAAGAAATTTTTCACCATCATTTCAGCCTTAAGATAAAGTTTTTTTATAAAAGCATATATTCCGATATTCCGAAATTTTTCGAAAGTGATTTCGACAAAAAAGTCGGAATGAAAAAAAGTCGGAACGAGAGTCGGAATTCAAGCAATTCCGAGTTTGTCTTTCGGAAGTGCTTCCGACCAAACTACACTTCCGAAAAAAAGTCGATTTTCGGAATTTCAGAATTCCGATATTCCGATTCCGACCAGCCCTGATCCGAAACATGATGACCGAAATAGAAAAGATGGTCGAAAATGTCATAATATCGATCAGAATTGCTGGAAATTATAAAGTTAGGGTAACTTTGGAAGGTTACGATCAACTGAAACCCGCCGAATCTGAAATTTTCCTTAAAAATTCGTTTTTCATTGGAAAATCAAGGTTTTATGGAAAATTTCCAGATTTCGCACAAGGGAAACCGCAAGCTTCCTCGAATTGATGAATGACTTCAGATTTTCAGCTGTGAATATTTTCGTGGTCAAAAAATGCACCAAAATCGGCAAGATAAAAACAAAAGAGGAAAAAAGAATTGACTTTTTCCTTATAAAATAATAATTTCACGTGAACATTTGACGTGGTTTGTGAGACGAAGATATTATAAAATCATCAAAACCTCTCATTATTACAGTTCATCATTCAAAGAAAATGCCGAATCTGGATTTCAATTATAAAAAGTTGGAAAATTATATGGATGTGATCTTTCAATCCGGGAAATGCTGGTTAGTTTGAGAAAAATAATGATAATTCTACAAATGAATTGATTTTTAAGGGGCAAATGGAATATGGCTGAAAATGGAAAAATAATATTCGAAAAACTCGGATTCCAGGAAGATGAATGTTCTCCACAACATCTCACTTTATTTATAACACCATTCAATTCTTCAGAGAATTCACAAAGTTTGATGGCTATTTAATGGGTGAGTATCATAATTTCTATTCATATTATTTCAGAAAACTGATTTTTTTCAGTTAGGACAACAAGTCACTTTCACAACAAATGCCATGACTGCTGTCAAATTATAGTGAATAAAGTATCAACTAGTTTGTGAAATGTTCGAATCAATTGATGATACAAATACATCATTATCATTTATGTCGAACAAAAATCATCTTGAAACAATTCGCTAGAAACTGTAAGTTATATATCAACATATGTAAATAATTTTGGAATATTATTGCAGTTAGCTGATATTTCCGCTACTGTAAGAGAAAAACGACAGAATTCATATACATCTTCCTCGAGTTGTTCGTTAAACAATACTTCGAAAAATGATGGTCACAAATTGGTTGAACTGGAATCAGAAATCAATTTGATTTCACTCAAAACACATGAAGAAATTGAACCAAAAACTCCGAAATTAGATGAAGAATTGCCATTATTGACTGAAGATGAGGAAAAAGATGCGAAAACGGAGGAAATCATTGATCAACCAAATTTTTATAATGAATTGATGAATTCTGAGAAAAGTGTAGAATCAATGTTTATGCAGAAACACAAACAGTCTTAAAGTAAGTTTGAAACGTACCACGCCCAGGTTGAGGCATATGCACGGTGCCAATAAAAATTTACGGAAATTCACCTCGCCAATTTGAGCTTTTGTTGAAAAACAGCAAATTTTTGCTTTTTGCTTGTTTTTCCGTTAAAAGTGGTATTTTTCAGTCGAAAAGGTTGTTTTCACCTTGCCAAAAAATTTCAAAACCCACTCCGCCAATTTTAAAAGTTAATTTGCACGAAGCTGGGCGTGGTATAGTTTGAAACAACACCATCTGTTTTTTTATAATTATTATCATTCAGAGAATTGTTGCCAAAAAGGCGGAGAAGAAAAAGAAAAAGAATTAGCGAAATTTGAAGAAGAAAATATCTATTTTATGAATGTGTTTTGTTTTTAAATAAATTGTTTTTTTACAAGTCTCGCAAAAAACCTACATTTGCTGAGTATGTATTGGTTTCAGCAGTGAATATTTTCTTCGTTCAAAAAATGCGTCAGAAATTTCCAAAAATTCATTCAAAATCAACGGGATCTGTACAATTATTTACACCGTAATCCGAAACAAGATGGCCAAAATAGAAAAGATGGTCGAAAATATTTATAGAGAGAAATGAAGTTTTTTTTCCGAAAAAAATCATTTCGAAAATGAAAAAATTAATTTTTGAAATGACGAGGGTAAATCTGGAAATGCCGAGGGTTGTACAAAATGACGAGGGTTAAACATTCGAGGGTTTGTTGTGTAGATTAGAAACCCAGGTACTGTAGATTGACAACCCGACTACTGTAGATTAGCAACCCAGGGTCTACAGTGGACGGGTTGTCATTCTACAGTACCTGGGTTGCTAATCTACAGTATTCTGCTTTAATATCTTTTTCATATTCAATTGAGCTTGACCTAAAAAAATAAAAATCGTGACATTTAATCATTTGTTGGCACGTTTACGTAAAAATCCAACAAAAATGAAACATTTCAATTTTTATTAATTCGGAAAAATGGTTGGATTCCGAGTGATGTGAGTTCAATCGAAAAAAAATAAGTCCGCATTAGTCTAGATCATCCACAAATTATGTAAATGACTTCTGGGTAATGTAAATTAAACATCCAGTGATTTTCGAATCAGGGTTTCTATTCTACAGTACTTGGGTTGCTAATCTACAACAGTCGGGTTGTCAATCTACAGAATCTGGGTTGTCAATCTACAGTACTTGGGTTGCTAATCTACAGTAGTCAAGACCTCACATTATTATTACAGTTCATCATTCAAAGAAGATGCCGAATCTCGATTTTAACTATAAAGAGTTAGAAAATTATATGGATGTGATCTTTCAATCCGGGAAATGCTGGTTAGTTTGAGAAAAATAATTATAATTCTATAAATGAATTGATTTTTAAGGGGAAAATGGAATATGGCTGAAAATGGAACAATAATATTCGAAAAACTCGGATTCCAAGAAGGAAGATATCAAAAATGAATGTTCTCCAAGCCAACTTACTTTATTTATAACACCGTTCAATTCTTCAGAGAATTCACAAAGTTTATGGCTATTCAATGGGTGAGTATCATAATTTCTATTCATATTTTTTCAAAAAACTGATTTTTTTTCAGTTGGGACAACAAGTCAACTTCACAAAAAAAGCACATTTCCATGATTTCTGTCAAATTATTGTAAAAAGCTATCAACTAAATTGTGAAATGTTCGAATCAATTGATGATACAAATACATCATTATCATGTATGTCGAACAAGAATCATCTTGAAACAATTCGCTAGAAACTGTAAGTTATATATCAATATTTGTAAATAATTGTGGAATATTATTGCAGTTAGCTGATATTTCCGCAACTATAAGAGAAAAACGACAAAATTCATATACATCTTCCTCGAGTTGTTCGTTAAACAATACTTCGAAACATGATGGTCACAAATTGGTTGAACTGGAATCAGAAATCAATTCAATTTCACTCAAAACACATGAAGAAATTGAACCAAAAACTTCAACATTAGATGAAGAATTGCCATTATTGACTGAAAATAAGGAAAAAGATGCGGAAACGGAGGAAATGATTGATCAACCAAATTTTTATAATGAATTGATGAATCCCGAGATAAGTGTGGAAACAATGTTTATCGAGAAACACAAACAGTCAGAAAATGAAGAAGAATTCAGAAAATGCCAAAATCTACAATTAAAGAGAAGGTGAGTTGATATTGAACTGATTTTGTAATGAATTATCAACACATTTCCAGTTTACTGTCATATCAGAACTGAAAAAGGCAAATCAGGATCTTCTGTATTTGAACGACACGAAATTGAAGAAAAAATTAGGATCGAATCTCCACAACGTAAGTGTGATAAATGTTTTCTTTAATTGTCAGTCAATTTTATTTGTTCAGACTGTTTGTAACTTGTGGAAAATTGAAGAGGACGAGGAACTCAAAAAGGTCATGATAGAACTACCGCCCGAACACTTTATCTCTGTTCATTTGTGTCGAGAATTCTCGATTCTGTTTAATGCAGGAAAAAAGAAGGAGAAATTCAATTGGATCAACCAATTTGATGATCAAACAAAGAGTGAAGACATAAAGAAAGTAAGTTTGAAACAACACCATCTGTTTTTTTATAACTATTATCATTCAGATGATCGTGGCGGAGAAGGCGAAGAACAAAAGAAGAAGAATTAGCAAACTTTGAAAAAGAGAATCTATTTTTTTGTGTTTTTTTTTAAATGAATTGTTTTTTTAATGAAAAACAACGAGCGAAGACAATAAGAAAGTAAGTTTGAAACGTACCACGCCCAGGTTGAGGCATATGCACGGTGCCAATAAAAATTTACGGAAATTCACCTCGCCATTTTGAGATTTTCTTGAAAAACAGCAAATTTTTGCTTTTTTGCTTGTTTTTCCGTTAAAAAGTAGTATTTTTCAGTCGAAAAGGTTGTTTTCACCTTGCCAAAAAATTTCAAAACCCACTCCGCCAATTTTCAAAGTTAATTTGCACGAAGCTGGGCGTGGTATAGTTTGAAACAACACCATCTGTTTTTTTTTAAATATTATCATTCAGAGAATTGTTGCGAAAAAGGCGGAGAAGAAAAAGAAGAAGAATTAGCGAAATTTGAAGAAGGAGAATATATCTATTTTATGAATGTGTTTTGTTTTTAAATAAATTGTTTTTTTACAAGTCTCCCAAAAAAACCTACATTTGCTGAGTTGGTCTTTCATGTGTCAGAAATTTCCAAAAATTCATTCAAAATCAACGGGATCTGTACAATTATTTACACCGTAATCCGAAACATGATGACCAAAATAGAAAAGATAGTCGAAAATATTTATAGAGAGAAATGAAGTTTTTTTTTCCGAAAAAAATCATTTCGAAAATGAAAAAATCAATTTTTGAAATGACGAGGGTTAAACATTCGAGGGTTTGTTGTGCAGATTAGAAACCCAGGTACTGTAGATTGACAACCCAGGGTCTACAGTGGACGGGTTGCCATTCTACAGTACCTGGGTTGCTAATCTACAGTATTCTGCTTTAATATCTTTTTCAAATTTAATTGAGCTTGACCTAAAAAAATAAAAATCGTGACATTTAATCATTTGTTGGCACGTTTACGTAAAAAATCCAACAAAAATGAAACATTTCAAATTTTATTAATTCGGAAAAATGGTTGGATTCCGAGTGATGTGAGTTCAATCGAAAAAAAATAAGTCCGCATTAGTCTAGATCATCCACAAATTATGTAAATGACTTCTGGGTAATGTAAATTAAACATCCAGTGATTTTCGAATCAGGGTTTCTATTCTACAGTACTTGGGTTGCTAATCTACAACAGTCGGGTTGTCAATCTACAGAATCTGGGTTGTCAATCTACAGTACTTGGGTTGCTAATCTACAGTAGTCAAGACCTCACATTATTATTACAGTTCATCATTCAAAGAAGATGCCGAATCTCGATTTTAACTATAAAGAGTTAGAAAATTATATGGATGTGATCTTTCAATCCGGGAAATGCTGGTTAGTTTGAGAAAAATAATGATAATTCTACAAATGAATTGATTTTTAAGGGGAAAATGGAATATGGCTGAAAATGAAACAATAATATTCGAAAAACTCGGATTCCAAGAAGGAAGATATCAAAAATGAATGTTCTCCAAGCCAACTTACTTTATTTATAACACCGTTCAATTCTTCAGAGAATTCACAAAGTTTATGGCTATTCAATGGGTGAGTATCATAATTTCTATTCATATTTTTTCAAAAAATTGATTTTTTTTCAGTTAGGACAACAAGTCCTTTTCACAAAAAAAGCACATTTCCATGATTTCTGTCAAATTATTGTAAAAAGGTATCAACTCAATTGTGAAATGTTCGAATCAATTGATGATACAAATACATCATTATCATTTATGTCGAACAAAAAATTATCTCGAAACAATTCGCCAGAAACTGTAAGCTATATATCAACATATGTAAATAATTTTGGAATATTATTGGAGTTAGCTGATATTTCTGCAACTAAAAGAGGAAAACGACAAAATTCATATACATCTTCCTCGAGTTGTTCGTTAAACAATACTTCAAAACATGATGGTCACAAATTGGTTGAACTGGAATCAGAAATCAATTCAATTTCACTCAAAACACATGAAGAAATTGAACCAAAAACTTCAACATTAGATGAAGAATTGCCATTATTGACTGAAAATAAGGAAAACGATGGTAAAACGGAGGAAATGATTGATCAACCAAATTTTTATAATGAATTGATGAATCCCGAGATAAGTGTGGAAAGAATGTTTATCGAAAAACACAAAGAGCCTGAACATGTAGAGGATTTTCGAAAATTCTTAAAAATGCCAAAAGCTACAATTAAAGAGAAGGTGAGTTGATATTGAACTGATTTTGTAATGAATCAATCATCAACACATTTCCAGTTTATTGTCATATCAGAACTCAAAAAGGCAACGTAAAACAACGAGCGAAGACATTAAGATAGTAAGTTTGAAACGTACCACGCCCAGGTTGAGGCATATGCACAGTGCCAATAAAAATTTACGGAAATTCACCTCGTTTGAGATTATTTGAGATTTTCTTGAAAAACAGCAAATTTTTGCTTGTTTTTCCGTTAAAAAGTAGTATTTTTCAGTCGAAAAGGTTGTTTTCACCTCGCCAAAAAATTTCAAAACCCACTCCGCCAATTTTCAAAGTTAATTTGCACGAAGCTGGGCGTGGTATGGTTTGAAATAACACCATCTGTTTTTTATAAATATTATCATTCAGAGGATTGTTGCGGAAAAGGCGAAGAACAAAAAGAAGAAGAATTAGCGAAATTTGAAGAAGAGAATATCTATTTTTTTGTGTTTTGTTTTTTAATGAAGTTGTTTTTTTAATGAAAAACAACGAGCGAAGACATTAAGATAGTAAGTTTGAAACGTACCACGCCCAGGTTGAGGCATATGCACGGTGCCAATAAAAATTTGTGAAAAGGACGGAGAAGAAAAAGAATTAGCAAAATTTGAGAAAGAAAATATCTATTTTATAATTTAAATGTGTTCTGTTTTCAAATGAAGTTTTTTACAAGTCCCCCAAAAACCTACTTTTTCTGAGTATCATTGATAAGACGTCGAATTTTGATCGATAATTTTCCGCCAAAATTCTCTGTCGAATTGCAATATTCAAACTTTCGCTTCGAGATTCTCCATACATTTCATGAATTATTTGAAAAACGGCGTCCATAAGCAACACTGTCATACCTTGAATAACAAGTATTTCTCTCACAAAATTTGGTCATAAGTACAACCCTCGACAACAAACCCTCGAATGTTTAACCCTCGTCATTTAGTACAACCCTCGGCATTTCCAGATTTACCCTCGTCATTTCAAAAATTAATTTTTTCATTTTCGATATGGTTTTTTTTCGGAAAAAAAACTCCATTTCTCTCTATAAAGCTTAGGCTTAGTGAACGCCCAAGAAAAATGTTTTATTTTTTCCGAGGGTTGTACTTTTGACCAAAAATTTGGAAGTTTTCTAAATACCTTGCGCCGTCAGCAGATTTTCAGCTGTGAATATTTTCTTCGTCAAAAAAATGCGTCAGAAATTTCCAAAAATTCATTAAAAATCAACGGGATCTGTACAATTATTTACACCGTAATCCGAAACAAGATGGCAAAAATAGAAAAGATGGTCGAAAATATTTATAGAGAGAAATGAAGTTTTTTTTTCCGAAAAAAATCATTTCGAAAATGAAAAAAATTAATTTTTGAAATGACGAGGGTAAATCTGGAAATGCCGAGGGTTGTACAAAATGACGAGGGTTAAACATTCGAGGGTTTGTTGTGTAGATTAGAAACCCAGGTATTAGCCTTTCATACGTCGGTGCATCTCGCTAATATCACTTTCCAGCCAAATATCAACAATTTGAAGCTTGATTAAATGCAAACTCGTTCAGAAACAAACGAAAAACGTTTCGAAAAAAAGAAAAACAAAAACAAAAAGATGGCCGAGTGTGTCGGATCCTAGGACGCGAAAAAAAACTTTTCTCTTCCATGGCGAGTGCGATAGAGCGAGGTGCACCGATTGGTAAAAGGCTAATACTGTAGATTGACAACCTGACTACTGTAGATTGACAACCCAGGGTCTACAGTGGACGGGTTGCCATTCTACAGTACCTGGGTTGCCATTCTACAGTACCTGGGTTGCTAATCTACAGTATTCTGCTTTAATATCTTTTTCAAATTCAATTGAGCTTGACCTAAAAAAATAAAAATCGTGACATTTAATGATTTGTTGGCACCACGTTTAGTTTTCTGTTTTAGTGCGCGGGGAAACTTTTAACTGAAAAAAAACTCCTGAAACTCAATGTATTTTTGAAAATAAAAATGTGTAGCCGACCGTAACTCAACTTCTAGACAACTGTTTTGAATGAGACTTGAACCAACGTGTTCAAAATTCTTCGTAGATGATGCACGATATTCAAAATCTATCAAAAATTTTTACAAGAAGAAAAACAAAGACTTTGATGTGAATTTTTGATAGTTAGGCCCAAACAATTATTGTTAGTCCGAAAATTTATTTGTATTTTAATGATAGAAGAGGATTGTACAGAAACACAAGGGATTTCACAGTGTGTAATTTACTACCCTATATCGCTAGAGCTAATTTTCAATAACCTCTGGGGTAGATCAAAAATAATTTTTCTCTAAATCTTTCATCGATTTTCAGCCCCAATCGTTTCAAGTATCAAAAAATGCGAAAAATCTGAATGTCCGATTTTCCCCGAAAAAATTTTTGAAACATTTATTTCGTTTCAAAAAATTTTTGAGGAAAATGTCATATTTTTCCCCAAAAGAGGAAAAAAAGAATTGACTTTTTCCTTATTGAATAATAATTTCACGTGAACATTTGACGTGGTTTGTGAGATGAAGATATTATAAAATCATCAAAACCTCTCATTATTACAGTTCATCATTCAAAGAAGATACCGAATCTCGATTTTAATTATAAAGAATTAGAAAATTATATGGATGTTATCTTTCAATCCGGGAAATGCTGGTTAGTTTCAGAAAAAAATAATGATAATTCTACAAATGAATTGATTTTTAAGGGGAAAATGGAATATGGCTGAAAATGGAACAATTATATTCGAAAAACTCGGATTCCAAGAAAGAAGATATCAAAAATGAATGTTCTCCAAGCCATCTCATTTTATTCATAACACCGTTCAATTCTTCAGAGAATTCACAAAGTTTATGGCTATTGAATGGGTGAGTATCATAATTTATATTCATATTATTTCAAAAAACTTATTTTTTTTCAGTTGGGACAACAAGTCAACTTCACAAAAAAAGCACATTTCCATGATTTCTGTCAAATTATTGTAAAAAGGTATCAACTAGTTTGTGAAATGTTCGAATCAATTGATGATACAAAGATAGTAAGTTTGAAACGTACCACGCCCAGGTTGAGGCATATGCATTAAAAATCAACGGGATCTGTACAATTATTTACACCGTAATCTGAAACATGATGGCCAAAATAGAAAAGATGGTCGAAAATATCATAATATCGATCAGAATTGCTGAAAAATTCTCAATTTCAAACTATTCTTTCAAATAGAATTGAAGAAACCTGCACTGTATATCCTCATTTTTGGGAAAACCTCTACAAATTTGATAAGTGTCATCAGATGTCATATTTTGGGGAAACCAGATTTCGGTTCCACGATGATATGAGCCATGATTGTAGAATGGAATACAAGTAATTGGACGATGGACACTTTCAACACAAATTGGAATATGAGCAACCTAAAGAGAGAGAGAAGGGGAATATGAGAGAGTGCAGAGAAAAACAGCAGCAAAGTTACTCTAATTATTCAAAACGTTAGGGTAACTTTGGCAGGTTACGATCAACTGAAACCCGTCGAATCTGAAATTTTCGTTTTTCATTGAAAAATCGAGGTTTCATGGGAAATTTCCAGATTTCGCACAGGGGAAACCGCAAGCTTCCGCGAATTGATGGATGACTTCAGATTTTCAGCTGTGAATATTTTCGTGGTCAAAAAATTCACCAAATTCGGCAAGAAAAAAACAAAAGAGGAAAAAAGAATTGACTTTTTCCTTATTAAATAATAATAATTTCACGTGAACATTTGACGTGGTTTGTGAGACGAAGATATTATAAAATCATCAAGATCTCACATTATTACAGTTCATCATTCAAAGAAGATGCCGAATCTGGATTTCAATTATAAAGAATTAGAAAATTATATGGATGTAATCTTTCAATCCGGGAAATGCTGGTTAGTTTGAGAAAAATAATGATAATTCTACAAATGAATTGATTTTTAAGGGGAAAATGGAATATGGCTGAAAATGGAACAATTATATTCGAAAAACTTGGATTCCAGGAAGGAAGATATCAAAAATGAATGTTCTCCAAGCCAACTCACTTTATTCATAACACCGTTCAATTCTTCAGAGAATTCACAAAGTTTATGGCTGTTGAATGGGTGAGTATCATAATTTATATTCATATTATTTCAAAAAACTGATTTTTTTCAGTTAGGACAACAAGTCGCTTTCACAACAAATGCCATGACTGCTGTCAAATTATTGTAAAAAAGTATCAACTAAATTGCGAAATGTTCGAATCAATTGATACAAATACATCATTATCATGTATGTCGAACAAAAATCATCTTGAAATAATTCGCCAGAAACTGTAAGTTATATATCAACATATGTAAATAATTTTGGAATATTATTGCAGTTAGCTGATATTTCCGCTACTGTAAGAGAAAAACGACAAAATTCATATTCATCTTCCTCGAGTTGTTCGTTAAACAATACTTCAAAACATGATGGTCACAAATTGGTTGAACTGGAATCAGAAATCAATTCAATTTCACTCAAAACACATGAAGAAATTGAACCAAAAACTCCAACATTAGATGAAGAATTGCCATTATTGACTGAAGATAAGGAAGAAGATGCGAAAACAGAGGAAATCATTGATCAACCAAATTTTTATAATGAATTGATGAATCCCGAGATAAGTGTGGAAAGAATGTTTATCGAGAAACACAAACAGTCAGAAAATGAAGAAGAATTCAGAAAATGCCAAAATCTACAATTAAAGAGAAAGTGAGTTGATATTGAACTGATTTTGTAATGAATTATCAACACATTTCCAGTTTACTGTCATATCAGAGCTCAAAAAGGCAAATCCGGATCTTCAAAATTCGAGTTATACGAAGTTGAAAGAAACATTATGGTCGAATTTGTACAATGTAAGTGTGCTGAATGTTTTCTTTAATTGCCAGTCAATTTCATTTGTTCAGACAGTGAGCAATTTGTGGAAAATCGAAGGCGATGCGGAACTCAAAAGGGTCATGATAGAACTACCGCCCGAACACTTCATCTCTGTTCATTTATGCAGAGAATTCTCGATTATTTTTAATGCTGGAAAAAAGAAGGAGATCTTGTATTGGATCAACCAATTAGATGATCAAACAAAGAGTGAAGACATAAAGAAAGTAAGTTTGAAACAACACCATCTGTTTTTTTTATAACTATTATCATTCAGATGATTGTTGCGGAAAAGGCGAAGAACAAAAAGAAGAAGAATTAGCGAAATTTGAAGAAGAAGAATATATCTATTTTATAAATGTATTTTGTTTTTAGTCATTACATTCAAGAATAGGTCTCGCAAAAAACCTACATTTGATGAGTATCATTGATAAGACGTCAAATTTTGATCGATAATTTTCCAGCAAAAAATAATTTTCCGCCGAAATTCTCTTTCGAACTGCAATATTCAAACTTTCGCTTCGAGATTCTGCATACATTTCATGAGTTGATGAATTATTTGAAAAACGGCGTCCATAAGCAACACTGTCATACCTTGAATAACAATTATTTCTCTCACAAAATTTGGTCATAAGTACAACCCTCGTGTGTTCAACCCTCGGTATTTCCAGATTTACCCTCGTCAATTCAAAAATTAATTTTTTCATTTTCGATATGATTTTTTTCGGAAAAATAAAAAATAAAAATTTTTAACAAAAGATATCGATTCAGAAAATGTCAAAAAACTTGATTTTTTTCCTATTTTTGACATTTTTTTCATTGAAACATTTTCGCTGTGAGCTATTTTTTAGGAAAAAAAGTTTTTCAACATGTTTTTTTCTATCTGAGTCATTACATTCAAGAATAAAATATAAACACATAATATTGCAATACATAAAATTTTATTCAAAACTCAAAAAATGTTTCAAAGTTATTCGCAAATCTTTGCGGGAGGATATTTGTTCTTCAAACCAGCCACGATCACTTTAATGTCTGCTTCGACGAACACCTTCGCTTTCTCAGCTGTACCGAAAATAAAATAAGTCTAATTGTTAGAGAATTGGTTTCCAGTGATCATTTTTCTAGCAAAATGCATTCTATCACAATAAATTTTGAAAAATAGACTCGGTCAGAAAACGGCGGGGTCGCTACCAATCGGGGCGGAGTCGCTACACGTTTCGGGGAACAAAAAACGTGTAGCGACTCCGCCCCGATCGGTAGCGACCCCGCCGATTTCTGACCGAGGAACTATTTGTAGTTTTCAAAAATTTTTTCGCTAAATCCCACTTTTGAAGTTCACAGCCCCGTAAAAATTACATAAAGCCGAAGGCAATGCTTTAACTAATTTATCCGCCTCTCTTTGTATTTCTGGTTCGTCTAATTCGGCATAATCCTTTAGTTCTGATACGAGAAATTCGCAAACTGTCTTCTGAAAAATCATGCGTTTCAATTTCTCTGCACATATATTTTTGACTACTGAAAATAATCACTGAACTGAATTATCTTCCTGTCACAAAAACAGACACTACTTCGATTCTTCAATTAATTCCGTAGTCAAAAAAAGTAATATGGATAAAATTAAACTGACCGCAACCCCAAATTGATTTCCGATCAACTCGTTGCCATCTCTTTTTAACAAAACAGCTCCATCAACAAAAACCAAGAAGAGAACAATCGAAAAAATGAGAAACCCCTTCATTTTTCAATTGAATGAATTGTTTAACAAATTTCAGCTCTGCTATTTTATACACATCTGATAAGGCTGAAACTGCCAAGTAACTGTAATCTTTATTACTTTTTCAGAGCATCGAAATCTTAAAATGTGATGTTTGATTTTTGACCCACATACATTTTCAGAAAACCATTTCGATGCTCTGAAAATTGTATGATAAAAATGACAGGTAACAAAGATTACATTTAATTGGCAATTTCAGCATTATCAGATGTGAAACACATTGTAGAGCTGAAATTTTATTCAAAATCAACTGAATCTGTACATGATGGCCAAAATACAAAAAAAATTTACTATAATTATTTAAAAAGTTAGGGTAACTTTGGAAGCTTGCGGTCACCCGCCGAATCTTAAATTTTCCTTAAAAATTCGTTTTTCATTCGAGGTTTAATGGAAAATTTCCAGATTTCGCACAGGGAAACCGCAAGCTTCCGCGAATTGATGGATGACTGCAGATTTTCAGTTGTGAATATCTTCGTGATCAAAAAATCCACCGTCAGCAAGAAAAAAACAAAATTATTAAATAATAATAAATTAACGTGAACATTTGACGTGGTTTGTGAGAAAAAGATATTATAAAATCATCAAGATCTCACATTATTACAGTTCTGGATTTTAATTATAAAGAGTTTGAAAATTATATGGATGTGATTTCTCAATCCGGGAAATGCTGGTTAGTTTCAGAAAAATAATGATAATTCTACAAATGAATTGAATTTTAAGGGGAAAATGGAATATGGCTGAAAACGGGACAACAATATTCGAAAAACTCGGATTCCAGGAAGGAAGATATCAAAAATGAATGTTCCCCAACCAATCTCACTTTATTTATAACACCATTCAATTCTTCAGAGAATTTACAAAGTTTGATGGCTATTGAATGGGTGAGTATCATAATTTCTATTCATATTATTTCAAAAAATTGATTTTTTTTCAGTTGGGACAACAAGTAAACTTCACAACAAATGCCATGACTGCTGTCAAATTATAAGTAATTTTGAAACATATCACGCCCAGGTTGAGGCATATGCACGGTGCCAATAAAAATTTACGGAAATTCACCTCGCCAATTTGAGATTTTCTTGGAAAATAGCAAATTTTTGCCTCTGACTTTAACCGGGCTAAACTTGAACCAAACAAAAGATAGAGATGAAATATTGTGAAAATATGAAACTTCAAATCTTCCTGTGCAAAAGTGCGTAGCGGTGTTTGCACACACACAAATCCGCTGGACGTGGGGGGCAATTTGAAATTTTGAAAACACAAAATTTTCTCAACACCATCTGTTTTTTATAACTATTATCTTTCAGAGGATTGTTGCGGAAAAGGCGAAGAAGAAAAAGAAGAAGAATTAGCGAAATTTGAAGAAGAGAATATCTATTTTTTTGTGTTTTGTTTTTAAATAAATTGTTTTTTTACAAGTCTCGCAAAAAACCTACATTCGCTGAATTGGTCTTTCATGTCTTGGTTTCAGCAGTGAATATTTTCTTCGTCAAAAAAAAATGCGTCAGAAATTTCCAAAAATTCATTCAAAATCAACGGAATCTGTACAATTATTTACACCGTAATCCGAAACAAGATGGCAAAAATAGAAAAGATGGTCGAAAATGTCATAATATCGATCAGAATTGCTGAAAATTATAAAGTTAGGGTAACTTTGGAAGGTTACGATAAACTGAAACCCGCCGGATCTGAAATTTTCCTCAAAAATTCGTTTTTCATTGAAAAATCGAGGTTTTATGGAAAATTTCCAGATTTCGCACAAGGGAAACCGCAAGCTTCCGCGAATTGATGGATGACTTCAGATTTTCAGCTGTGAATATTTTCGTGGTCAAAAAATGCACCGTCGGAAAGAAAAAAACAAAAGAGGAAAAAAGCATTGACTTTTTCCTTATTGAATAATAATTTAACGTGAACATTTGACGTGGTTTGTGAGAAAGAAAATATTATAAAATCATCAAGACCTCACATTATTACAGTTCTGGATTTTAATTATAAAGAGTTTGAAAATTATATGGATGTGATTTCTCAATCCGGGAAATGCTGGTTAGTTTCAGAAAAATAATGATAATTCTACAAATGAATTGAATTTTAAGGGGAAAATGGAATATGGCTGAAAACGGGACATTAATATTCGAAAAACTCGGATTCCAGGAAGGAAGATATCAAAAATGAATGTTCTCCAAGCCAACTCACTTTATTTATAACACCGTTCAATTCTTCAGAGAATTCACAAAGTTTATGGCTATTCAATGGGTGAGTATCATAATTTATATTCATATTATTTCAAAAAATTGATTTTTTTTCAGTTGGGACAACAAGTCACTTTCACAAAAAAAGCACATTTCCATGATTTCTGTCAAATTATTGTGAAAAGGTATCAACTCAATTGTGAAATGTTCGAATCAATTGATACAAATACATCATTATCATTTATGTCGAACAAAAATCATCTTGAAACAATTCGCCAGAAACTGTAAGTTATATATCAACATATGTAAATAATTTTGGAATATTATTGCAGTTAGCTGATATTTCTGCAACTAAAAGAGGGAAACGACAGAATTCATATACATCTTCCTCGAGTTGTTCGTTAAACAATACTTCAAAACATGATGGTCACAAATTGGTTGAACTGGAATCACAACTCAATTCAATTTCACTCAAAACACATGAAGAAATTGAACCAAAAACTTCAACATTAGATGAAGAATTGCCATTATTGACTGAAGATAAGGAAAAAGATGCGGAAACGGAGGAAAACATTGATCAACCAAATTTTTATAATGAATTGATGAATCCTGAGATAAGTGTGGAAACAATGTTTATCGAAAAACACAAAGAGTCTGAAAATGAAGAAGAATTCAGAAAATGCCAAAATCTACAATTAAAGAGAAGGTGAGTTGATATTGAACTGATTTTGTAATGAATTATCAACACATTTCCAGTTTACTGTCATATCAGAGCTCAAAAAGGCAAATCCGGATCTTCTGTATTTGAATGACACGAAATTGAAGAAAAAATTGGGATCGAATCTTCATAACGTAAAACAACGAGCGAAGACATTAAGATAGTAAGCTTGAAACGTACCACGCCCAGGTTGAGGCATATGCACGGTGCCAATAAAAATTTACGGAAATTCACCTCGTTTGAGATTATTTGAGATTTTCTTGAAAAACAACAAATTTTTGCTTGTTTTTCCGTTAAAAAGTGGTATTTTTCAGTCGAAAAGATTGTTTTCACCTCGCCAAAAAATTTCAAAACCCACTCCGCCAATTTTCAAAATTAATTTGCACGAAGCTGGGCGTGGTATAGTTTGAAACAACACCATCTGTTTTTTTATAACTATTATCATTCAGAGAATTGTTGCGAAAAAGGCGGAGAAGAAAAAGAAGAAGAATTAGCGAAATTTGAGGAAGAAGAATATATCTATTTTATAAATGTGTTTTGTTTTTAAATGAATTGTTTTTTTACAAGTCTCGCAAAAAACCTACATTCGTCAGAAATTTCCGAAAATCCATTAAAAATCAACGGGATCTGTACAATTATTTACACCGTAATCCGAAACATGATGGCCAAAATAGAAAAGATGGTCGAAAATATCATAATATCGATCGGAATTGCTGAAAAATTCTCAATTTCAAACTATTCTTTCAAATAGAAGTAAAGAAACCTGCACTGTATATCCTCATTTTTGGGAAAACCTCTACAAATTTGATAAGTGTCATCAGATGTCATATTTTGGGGAAACCAGATTTCGGTTCCACGATGATATGAGCCATGATTGTAGAATGGAATACAAGTAATTGGACGATGGACACTTTCAACACAAATTGGAATATGAGCAACCTGTGAGAGAGAGAAGGGGAATATGAGAGAGTAGAGAGAAAAACAGCAGCAAAGTTACTTTAATTATTCAAAATGTTAGGGTAACTTTGGAAGCTTGCGGCCAACTGAAACCCGCCGAATCTAAAATTTTCCCTAAAAAGCAATGAATATCTTCGTGTCATTTTTGATTAAATGCACCCACCCATTATTATATATGACCACCTCTCACCAAAAAAAAAACTGTGGACGCGCAACCCGATTACCGTAGATCATCAATCCAGGTACTGTAGATTAGCAACCCAGTTACTGTAGATTGGCAACCCGACTACTATAGATTGATAACCCAGGGTCTACAGTGGACGGGTTGCCATTCTACAGTACCTGGGTTGCTCATCTACAGTATTCTGCTTTAATATCTTTTTAAAATTCAATTGAGCTTGACCTAAAAAAAAAATAAAAATTGTGACATTTAATCATTTGTTGGCACGTTTACGTAAAAAATCCAACAAAAATGAAACATTTCAATTTTTATTAATTCGGAAAAATGGTTGGATTCCGAGTGATGTGAGTTCAATCGAAAAAAATAAGTCAGCATTAGTCTAGATCATCCACAAATTATGTAAATGACTTCTGGGTAATGTAAATTAAACATCCAGTGATTTTCGAACCATGGTTGTCAATCTACAGTAGTCGGGTTTCCATTCTACAGTACCTAGGTTGCTAATCTAAAGTATTTTTTCCTTATTAAATAATAATAATAATTTCACGTGAGCATTTGACGTGGTTTGTGAGACGAAGATATTATAAAATCCTCAAGACCTCACATTATTATTACAGTTCATCATTCAAAGAAGATGCCGAATCTCGATTTTAACTATAAAGAGTTAGAAAATTATATGGATGTGATCTTTCAATCCGGGAAATGCTGGTTAGTTTGAGAAAAATAATGATAATTCTACAAATGAATTGATTTTTAAGGGGAAAATGGAATATGGCTGAAAATGGAACAATCATATTCGAAAAACTTGGATTCCAGGAAGGAAGATATCAAAAATGAATGTTCTCCAAGCCATCTCACTTTATTTATAACACCATTTAATTCTTCAGAGAATTCACAAAGTTTATGGCTATTCAATGGGTGAGTATCATAATTTCTATTCATATTTTTTCAAAAAACTGATTTTTTTTCAGTTAGGACAACAAGTCCTTTTCACAAAAAAAGCACATTTCCATGATTTCTGTCAAATTATTGTAAAAAGGTATCAACTCAATTGTGAAATGTTCGAATCAATTGATGATACAAATACATCATTATCATTTATGTCGAACAAAAATTATCTCGAAACAATTCGCCAGAAACTGTAAGTTATATATCAACATATGTAAATAATTTTGGAATATTATTGCAGTTAGCTGATATTTCTGCAACTAAAAGAGGGAAACGACAGAATTCATATACATCTTCCTCGAGTTGTTCGTTAAACAATACTTCAAAACATGATGGTCACAAATTGGTTGAACTGGAATCACAACTCAATTCAATTCCACTCAAAACACATGAAGAAATTGAACCAAAAATGCTCGAACATTAAGAAAGTAAGTTTGAAACGTACCACGCCCAGGTTGAGGCATATGCACAGTGCCAATAAAAATTTACGGAAATTAACCTCGTTTGAGATTATTTGAGATTTTCTTGAAAAACAGCGAATTTTTGCCTGTTTTTGCGTTAAAAAGTGGTACTTTCCAGTCGAAAAGATTGTTTTCACCTCGCCAAAAAATTTCAAAACCCACTCCGACAATTTTCAAAGTTAATTTGCACGAAGCTGGGCGTGGTATAGTTTGAAACAACACCATCTGTTTTTTATAACTATTATCATTCAGAGGATTGTTGCGAAAAAGGCGGAGAAGAAAAAGAAGAAGAATTAGCGAAATTTGAAGAAGAAGAATATATCTATTTTATGAATGTGTTTTGTTTTTAAATGAATTGTTTTTTACAAGTCTCGCAAAAAACCTACATTTGATGAGTATCATTGATAAGACGTCGAATTTTGATCGATAATTTTCCAGCAAAAAATAATTTTCCGCCGAAATTCTCTTTTGAATTTGCGAATTATTTGAAGAACGTCGTCCGTAAGCAACACTGTCATACCTTGAATAACAATTACAAGAATGAAACGACCGGCTAACGCCGGTCTTCATTCTTGTTGCTACTTGAAGTCCGTATCCTACAGTAAAATCTCATAAAGTTTCATAAAATTAGAATAGTGAAATCAAGGGTTATTTCTTGAAAAATGAATTCTGTCAGTTCATGGAACTTTTCCAAAATTTAAAAATTGAAAATTTTTTGTGAACATAATAATCAATCGCGTCGAAAATAACTATGGAACATCGAAGTTTTTGGCCTGTGAGAAAGAACTATCCTGGACATACATCATTCAGAAATCTCTTACTTCGAAATCCCTTACTTTTGGCAACATTTTGCGCGGAAAACTAGCTTGCCTATACAATATCATTATGTAGTTTTTGGATCTGAATGTAGCATGTTCATTGAATTTTAATTTATCACACACAAATCGCTTGTCAGCAACGGAAACCATTGGTCGAGCGACTTTTTATGATGAATTGATGAATCCCGAGATAAGTGTGGAAACAATGTTTATCGAGAAACACAAACAGTCTGAAAATGAAGAACAATTTTGAAAATGCCAAAATCTACAATTAAAGAGAAGGTGAGTTGATATTATACTGATTTTGTAATGAATCATCAACACATTTCCAGTTCAATGTCATATCAGAGCTGAAAAAGGCAAATCCGGATCTTCTGTATTTGAATGACACGAAATTGAATAAAAAATTGGGATCGAATCTTCATAACGTAAAACAACGAGCGAAGACATTAAGATAGTAAGCTTGAAACGTACCACGCCCAGGTTGAGGCATATGCACGGTGCCAATAGAAATTTACGGAAATTCACCTTGTTTGAGATTATTTGAGATTTTCTTGGAAAACAGCAAATTTTTGCTTATTTTTCCGTTAAAAAGTGGTATTTTTTAGTCGAAAAGGTTGTTTTCACCTCGCCAAAAAATTTCAAAACCCACTCCGCCAATTTTCAAAGTTAATTTGCACGAAGCTGGGCGTGGTATGGTTTGAAATAACACCATCTGTTTTTTTATAACTATTATCATTCAGAGAATTGTTGCGGAAAAGGCGGAGAAAAAAAAGAAGAAGAATTAGCGAAATTTGAAGAAGAGAATATCTATTTTTTTGTGTTTTGTTTTTAAATAAATTGTTTTTTTTACAAGTCTCGCAAAAAACCTACTGTTGCTGAGTTGGTCTTTCATGTCTTGGTTTCAGCAGTGAATATTTTCTTCGTCAAAAAAAATGCGTCAGAAATTTCCAAAAATTCATTAAAAATCAACGGGATCTGTACAATTATTTACACCGTAATCTGAAACATGATGGCAAAAATAGAAAAGATGGTCGAAAATATTTATAGAGAGAAATGAAGTTTTTTCCGAAAAAATCATTTCGAAATGGAAAAAAATTAATTTTTGAAATGACGAGGGTAAATCTGGAAATGCCGAGGGTTGTACAAAATGACGAGGGTTAAACATTCGAGGGTTTGTTGTGTAGATTAGAAACCCAGGTACTGTAGATTGACAACCCAGGGTCTACAGTGGACGGGTTGCCATTATACAGTACCTGGGTTGCTAATCTACAGTATTCTGCTTTAATATCTTTTTCAAATTCAATTGAGCTTGACCTAAAAAAATAAAAATCGTGACATTTAATCATTTGTTGGCACCACGTTTAGTTTTCTGTTTTAGTGCGCGGGGAAACTTTTAACTGAAAAAAAACTCCTGAAACTCAATGTATTTTTTGAAAATAAAAATGTGTAGCCGACCGTAACTCAACTTCTAGACAACTGTTTTGAATGAGACTTGAACCAACGTGTTCAAAATTCTTCGTAGATGATGCACGATATTCAAAATCTATCAAAAATTTTTACAAGAAGAAAAACAAAGACTTTGATGTGAATTTTTGATAGTTAAGCCCGAACAATTATTGTTAGTCCGAAAATTTATTTGTATTTTAATGATAGAAGAGGATTGTACAGAAACACAAGGGATTTCACAGTGTGTAATTTACTACCCTATATCGCTAGAGCTAATTTTCAATAACCTCTGGGGTAGATCAAAAATAATTTTTCTCTAAATCTTTCATCGATTTTCAGCCCCAATCGTTTCAGGTCTCAAAAAATGCGAAAAATCTGAATGTCCGATTTTCCCCGAAAAAATTTTTGAAACATTTATTTCGTTTCAAAAAATTTTTGAGGAAAAATCGGACATTTTTTGGAAAATGTCATATTTTTCCCCAAAAGAGGAAAAAAGAATTGACTTTTTCCTTATTGAATAATAATTTCACGTGAACATTTGACGTGGTTTGTGAGACGAAAATATTATTATAAAATCATCAAGACCTCACATTATTACAGTTCATCATTCAAAGAAGATGGCGAATCTCGATAAAGAATTAGAAAATTATATGGATGTGATTTTTCAATCCGGGAAATGCTGGTTAGTTTGAGAAAAAATAATGATAATTCTACAAATGAATTGATTTTTAAGGGGCAAATGGAATATGGCTGAAAATAAAACAATAATATTCGAAAAACTCGGATTCTAGGAAGATGAATGTTCTCCAACCAATCTCACTTTATTCATAACACCGTTCAATTCTTCAGAGAATTCACAAAGTTTATGGCTATTCAATGGGTGAGTATCATAATTTCTATTCATATTATTTCAAAAACTGATTTTTTTTCAGTTAGGACAAGTCAATTTCACAAAAAAAGCAGATTTCCATGATTTCTGTCAAATTATTATAAAAAGGTATCAACTAAATTGCGAAACGTTCGAATCAATTGATGATACAACAACATCATTATCATTTATGTCGAACAAAAATCATCTTAAAACAATTCGCCAGAAACTGTAAGTTATATATCAACATATGTAAATAATTTTGGAATATTATTGCAGTTAGCTGATATTTCCGCTACTATAAGAGAAAAACGACAAAATTCATATTCATCTTCCTCGAGTTGTTCGTTAAACAATACTTCAAAACATGATGGTCACAAATTGGTTGAACTGGAATCACAAATCAATTCAATTTCACTCAAAACACATGAAGAAATTGAACCAAATATGCTCGAACATTAAGAAAGTAAGTTTGAAACGTACCACACCCAGGGTGAGGCATATGCACGGTGCCAATAAAAATTTATGGATCAATTCATTTGACGAAAAAATGAATTTCGCGACATTTTTTGTCGCGAAATTGCAATTCGTGAAACGACACGAAATAAACACAAAAATAAAGGAGAAACATTAAAGGGACACGTAATCGCTGCGAGACCCAACACACGAAAAAGAATTTCCTCTTTTATTTTATTAATTTCGTGTCGTTTCGCGAATTGCAATTTCGCGACAAAAAATGTCGCGAAATTCATTTTTTCTTCAGATGAATTGATCCATTACGGAAATTCACCTTGTTTGAGATTATTTGAGATTTTCTTGAAAAACAGCAAATTTTTGCTTGTTTTTCCGTTAAAAAGTAGTATTTTTCAGTCGAAAAGGTTGTTTTCACCTCGCCAAAAAATTTCAAAACCCACTCCGACAATTTTCAAAGTTAATTTGCACGAAGCTGGGCGTGGTATAGTTTGAAACAACACCATCTGTTTTTTATAACTATTATCATTCAGAGAATTGTTGCGGAAAAGGCGGAGAAAAAAAAGAAGAAGAATTAGCGAAATTTGAAGAAGAAAATATCTATTTTATAAATGTGTTTTGTTTTTAAATGAATAGTTTTTTTACAAGTCTCGCAAAAAACCTACATTTGCTGAGTTGGTCTTTCATGTGTCAGAAATTTCCATAAATTCATTCAAAATCAACGGGATCTGTACAATTATTTACACCGTAATCCGAAACATGATGACCAAAATAGAAAAGATGGTCGAAAATGTCATAATATCGATCAGAATTGCTGAAAAATTCTCAATTTCAAACTATTCTCCCAAATAGAAGTAAAGAAACCTGCACTGTATATCCTCATTTTTGGGAAAACCTCTACAAATTTGATAAGTGTCATCAGATGTCATATTTTGGGGAAACCAGATTTCAGTTCCATGATGATATGAGCCATGATTGTAGAATGGAATACAAGTGATTGGACGATGGACACTTTCAACACAAATTGGAATATGAGCAACCTAAAGAGAGAGAGAAGGGAATATGAGAGAGTGCAGAGAAAAACAGCAGCAAAGTTACTCTAATTATTCAAAAAGTTAGGGTAACTTTGGAAGGTTACGATAAACTGAAACCCGCCGGATCTGAAATTTTCCTCAAAAATTCGTTTTTCATTGAAAAATCGAGGTTTTATGGAAAATTTCCAGATTTCGCACAGGAGAAACCACAAGCTTCCTCGAATTGATGAATGACTTCAGATTTTCAGCTGTGAATATTTTCGTGGTCAAAAAACCACAGTCGGCAAGATAAAAACAAAAGAGGAAAAAAGAATTGACTTTTTCCTTATTAAATAATAATAATTTCACGTGAACATTTGACGTGGTTTGTGACACGAAAATATTATAAAATCCTCAAGACCTCACATTATTACAGTTCATCATTCAAAGAAGATGTGCCGAATCTTGATTTTAATTATAAAGAATTGGAAAATTATATGGATGTAATCTTTCAATCCGGGAAATGCTGGTTAGTTTGAGAAAAATAATGATAATTCTACAAATGAATTGATTTTTAAGTGGAAAATGGAATATGGCTGAAAATGAAACAATCATATTCGAAAAACTCGGATTCTAGGAAGATGAATGTTCTCCACAGCATCTCACTTTATTTAAAAGACCGTTCAATTCTTCAGAGAATTTACAAAGTTGATGGCTATTTAATGGGTGAGTATCATAATTTCTATTCATATTATTTCAAAAAACTGATTTTTTTCAGTTAGGACAACAAGTCGCTTTCACAACAAATGCCATGACTGCTGTCAAATTATTGTAAAAAGGTATCAATTAAATTGTGAAATGTTCGAATCAATTGATACAAATACATCATTATCATTTATGTCGAACAAAAATCATCTTAAAACAATTCGTCAGAAACTGTAAGTTATATATCAACATATGTAAATAATTTTGGAATATTATTGCAGTTAGCTGATATTTCCGCTACTGTAAGAGAAAAACGACACAACTCATATTCATCTTCCTCGAGTTGTTCGTTAAACAATACTTCAAAACATGATGGTCACAAATTGGTTGAACTAGAATCACAACTCAATTTAATTTCACTCAAAACACATGAAGAAATTGAAACAAAAATGCTCGAACATTAAGATAGTAAGTTTGAAACGTACCACGCCCAGGGTGAGGCATATGCACGGTGCCAATAAAAATTTACGGAAATTCACCTTGTTTGAGATTATTTGAGATTTTCTTGAAAAACAGCAAATTTTTGCTTGTTTTTCCGTTAAAAAGTAGTATTTTTCAGTCGAAAAGGTTGTTTTCACCTCGCCAAAAATTTCCAAACCCACTCCGCCAATTTTCAAAGTTAATTTGCACGAAACTGGGCGTGGTATGTTTTTGGGAAAACCTCTACAAATTTGATAAGTGTCATCAGATGTCATATTTTGGGGAAACCAGATTTCGGTTCCATGATGATATGAGCCATGATTGTAGAATGGAATACAAGTAATTGGACGATGGACACTTTCAACACAAATTGGAATATGAGCAACCTAGAGAGAGAACGGGAATATGAGAGAGTGCAGAGAAAAACAGCAGCAAAGTTACTCTAATTATTCAAAAAGTTAGGGTGACTTTGGCAGGTTACGATCAACTGAAACCCGTCGAATCTGAAATTTTCGTTTTTCATTGAAAAATCGAGGTTTCATGGAAAATTTCCAGATTTCGCACAAGGGAAACCGCTAGCTTCTGCGAATTGTTGGATGACTTCAGATTTTCAGCTGTGAATATTTTCGTGGTCAAAAAATGCACCAAATTCGGCAAGAAAAAAACAAAAGAGGAAAAAAGAATTGACTTTTTCCTTATTAAATAATAATAATTTCACGTGAACATTTGACGTGGTTTGTGAGACGAAGATATTATAAAATCATCAAGATCTCACATTATTACAGTTCATCATTCAAAGAAGATGCCGAATCTGGATTTCAATTATAAAGAATTAGAAAATTATATGGATGTAATCTTTCAATCCGAAAAATGTTGGTTAGTTTGAGAAAAATAATGATAATTCTACAAATGAATTGATTTTTAAGGGGAAAATGGAATATGGCTGAAAATGAAACAATAATATTCGAAAAACTCGGATTCTAGGAAGATGAATGTTCTCCACAGCATCTCACTTTATTTAAAAGACCGTTCAATTCTTCAGAGAATTCACAAAGTTTATGGCTATTGAATGGGTGAGTATCATAATTTCTATTCATATTATTTCAAAAAATTGATTTTTTTTCAGTTAGGACAAGTCAATTTCACAAAAAAAAGCAGATTTCCATGACTGCTGTCAAATTATAGTAAAAAAAGTATCAACTCAATTGTGAAATGTTCGAATCAATTGATGATACAAATACATCATTATCATGTATGTCGAACAAAAATCATCTTGAAACAATTGTGCCAGAAACTGTAAGTTATATATCAACATATGTAAATAATTTTGGAATATTATTGCAGTTAGCTGATATTTCTGCAACTAAAAGAGGGAAACGACAAAATTCATATTCATCTTTGTCAAGTTGTTCGTTAAACAATACTTCAAAACATGATGGTCACAAATTGGTTGAACTCCAGTTCACATCACAACTCAATTCAATTTCACTCAAAACACATGAAGAAATTGAACCAAAAATGCTCGAACATTAAGATAGTAAGTTTGAAACGTACCACGCCCAGGGTGAGGCATATGCACGGTGCCAATAAAAATTTACGGAAATTCACCTCGTTTGAGATTATTTGAGATTTTCTTGGAAAACAGCAAATTTTTGCTTATTTTTCCGTTAAAAAGTGGTATTTTTTAGTCGAAAAGGTTGTTTTTACCTCGCCAAAAAATTTCAAAACCCACTCCGCCAATTTTCAAAGTTAATTTGCACGAAGCTGTGCGTGGTATGGTTTGAAACAACACCATCTGTTTTTTTATAACTATTATTATTCAGAGGATTGTTGCCAAAAAGGCGGAGAAGAAAAAGAAGAAGAATTAGACAAATTTGAGGAAGAATATATATATTTTATAAATATGTTTTGTTTTTAAATAAATTGTTTTTTTACAAGTCTCGCAAAAAACCTACATTTGCTGAGTTGGTCTTTCATGCGTCAGAAATTTCCAAAAATTCATTCAAAATCAACGGGATCTGTACAATTATTTACACCGTAATCCGAAACATGATGACCAAAATAGAAAAGATGGTCGAAAATATTTATAGAGAGAAATGAAGTTTTTTTTCCCGACTAGGGGCTGTTAGCCCCCAGGCGTAACACTCTTCTCATTTTTTTTCAGTTTCACTTTTTTTCTGTCATTATTTTCAATTTTCTGTGGAAAACAAATTCATGAAAAATTTCAAGTTTTTTGATCAAAAAATGACTCGTGGCAAAATCAGTAAGGCTTCCTAATTTTGCCATGGATGACGTCATCAAACTATTTTTTAAAAAAATTATTGAATCTCTTTTTTTATTTGCATAATTATAGACATGACCGTCTCCAAACAGAAATTCCGGTTTGGAGACATGACTTTTTCTCAATAATTTCATTTCTGGATGAAATTCTGAATTTTCTTGTTTTTTTAACAGTGTTGAAAATTTTCATTCAATTTTTTTTAGCTTCAAAATTGGTTCTGAGTGGCTTACTAAGTCTAAGCCTGAGAGGAAGTTTCATTTAGGTCGCAACTCATCGACTTCATTTTTACATTTTTGGATTATTCCAAATCTGTTACTTTTTTTGTTAACTGTATACACGAAAATAAAAATTTCAATTTTTGTCAGCTACCCGCTCAAATCGAAATTTTCATTTGGGCGGGTATTTTTGTCAAACAAAAAAAAACTCGGGCCGATTTTTTTTCATTTATTCAGACTGTTTGCAATTTGTGGAAAATTGAAGGCGATGCGGAACTCAAAAAGGGTTATGAGCGAACTGCCGACCAAACACTTCATCTCTGTTCATTTATGTCGAGAATTATCTATATATATATGCGAAGACATTAAGATAGTAAGTTTGAAACGTACCACGCCCAGTGTGAGGCATATGCACGGTGCCAATAAAAATTTACGGAAATTCACCTCGTTTGAGATTATTTGAGATTTTCTTGAAAAACAGCAAATTTTTTCTTATTTTTCCGTTAAAAAGTGGTATTTTTCAGTCGAAAAGGTTGTTTTCACCTCGCCAAAAAATTTCAAAACCCACATTTTCAAAGTTAATTTGCACGAAGCTGGGCGTGGTATGTTTTTGGGGAAACCTCTACAAATTTGATAAGTGTCATCAGATGTCATATTTTGGGGAAACCAGATTTCGGTTCCATGATGATATGAGCCATGATTGTAGAATGGAATACAAGTAATTGGACGATGGACACTTTCAACACAAATTGGAATATGAGCAACTTGTGAGAGAGAGAAGGGGAATATGAGAGAGTAGAGAGAAAAACAGCAGCAAAGTTACTCCAACTTATTCAAAAAGTTAGGGTAACTTTGGCAGGTTGCGGCCAACTGAAACCCGTCGAATCTGAAATTTTCGTTTTTCATTGAAAAATCGAGGTTTCATGGAAAATTTCCAGATTTCGCACAAGGGAAACCGCTAGCTTCTGCGAATTGTTGGATGACTTCAGATTTTCAGCTGTGAATATTTTCGTGGTCAAAAAATGCACCAAATTCAGCAAGAAAAAAACAAAAGAGGAAAAAAGAATTGACTTTTTCCTTATTAAATAATAATAATAATTTCACGTGAACATTTGACGTGGTTTGTGAGACGAAGATATCCTTTTCCCGAAGTTACGGATCTAGTTATTATAAAATCATCAAGACCTCACATTATTACAGTTCATCATTCAAAGAAGATACCGAATCTCGATTTTAATTATAAAGAATTAGAAAATTATATGGATGTAATCTTTCAATCCGGGAAATGCTGGTTAGTTTGAAAAAAAATAATGATAATTCTACAAATGAATTGATTTTTAAGGGGAAAATGGAATATGGCTGAAAATGGAACAATAATATTCGAAAAACTCGGATTCTAGGAAGATGAATGTTCTCCACAGCATCTCACTTTATTTAAAAGACCGTTCAATTCTTCAGAGAATTTACAAAGTTGATGGCTATTTAATGGGTGAGTATCATAATTTCTATTCATATTATTTCAAAAACTGATTTTTTTTCAGTTAGGACAACAAGTCACTTTCACAAAAAAAGCACATTTCCATGATTTCTGTCAAATTATAGTAAAAAAAGTATCAACTAAATTGTGAAATGTTCGAATCAATTGATACAAATACATCATTATCATTTATGTCGAACAAAAATCATCTTAAAACAATTCGCCAGAAACTGTAAGTTATATATCAACATATGTAAATAATTTTGGAATATTATTGCAGTTAGCTGATATTTCCGCTACTGTAAGAGAAAAACGACAGAATTCATATACATCTTCCTCGAGTTGTTCGTTAAACAATACTTCAAAACATGATGGTCACAAATTGGTTGAACTGGAATTACAACTCAATTCAATTTCACTCAAAACACATGAAGAAATTGAACCAAAAACTCCAACATTAGATGAAGAATTGCCATTATTGACTGAAGATAAGGAAGAAGATGCGAAAACAGAGGAAATCATTGCTCAACCAACTTTTTATGATGAATTGATGAATCCTGAGATAAGTGTAGAAACAATGTTTATCGAGAAACACAAAGAGTCTTAAAGTAAGTTTGAAACATACCACGCCCAGGTTGAGGCATATGCACAGTGCCAATAAAAATTTACGGAAATTCACCTCGTTTGAGATTATTTGAGATTTTTTTGAAAAACAGCAAATTTTTGCTTGTTTTTCCGTTAAAAAGTGGTATTTTTCAGTCGAAAAGGTTGTTTTCACCTCGCCAAAAAATTTCAAAACCCACTCCGCCAATTTTCAAAGTTAATTTGCACGAAGCTGGGCGTGGTATAGTTTGAAACAACACCATCTGTTTTTTTTTAAATATTATCTTTCAGAGGATTGTTGCCGAAAAGACGGAGAAGAAAAAGAAGAAGAATTAGCGAAATTCGAAGAAGAAGAAGAAGAATATATCTAGTTTATAAATGTGTTTTGTTTTTAAATGAATTGTTTTTTTACAAGTCTCGCAAAACACCTACATTTGATGAGTATCATTGATAAGACGTCGAATTTTGATCGATAATTTTCCAGCAAAAAATAATTTTCCGCCGAAATTCTCTGTCGAACTGCAATATTCAAACTTTCGCTTCGAGATTCTGCATACATTTCATGAGTTGATGAATTATTTGAAAAACGGCGTCCATAAGCAACACTGTCATACCTTGAATAACAATTATTTCTCTCAAAAAATTTGGTCATAAGTACAACCCTCGACAACAAACCCTCGAATGTTTAACCCTCGTCATTTCAAAAATTAATTTTTTCATTTTCGAAATGATTTTTTTCGGAAAAAAACTTCATTTCTCTCTATAAAGCTTAGGCTTAGTGAACGCCCAAGAAAAATGTTTTTTCAACAAAATTCGATGTTTTTTTTTATAATGAATTGATGAATCCCGAGATAAGTGTGGAATTTTTAAGATAGTAAGTTTGAAACGTACCACGCCCAGGTTGAGGCATATGCACGGTGCCAATAAAAATTTACGGAAATTCATCTCGCCAATTTGAGATTTTCTTGATCCGTTAAAAAGTAGTATTTTTCAGTCGAAAAGGTTGTTTTCACCTCGTCAAAAAATTTCAAAACCCACTCCGCCAATTTTCAAAGTTAATTTGCACTAAGCTGGGCGTGAAATAACACCATCTGTTTTTTTATAACTATTATCATTCAGAGGATTGTTGCCAAAAAGGCGGAGAAGAAAAAGAAGAATTAGCGAAATTTGAGGAAGAATATATCTATTTTATAAATGCCTACATTTTCTGAGTAGGTCTTTCATTTTTGTATTTCTGGTTCGTCTAATTCGGCATAATCCTTTAGTTCTGATACGAGAAATTCGCAAACTGTCATCTGAAAAATCATTCGTTTCAATTTCTCTGCACATATATTTGTGACTACTGAAAATAATCACTGAACTGAATTATCTTCCTGTCACAAAAACAGACACTACTTCGATTCTTCAATTAAATCCGTAGTCAAAAAAAGTAATATGGATAAAATTAAACTGACCGCAACCCCAAATTGATTTCCGATCAACTCGTTGCCATCTCTTTTCAACAAAACAGCTCCATCAACAAAAACCAAGAAGAGAACAATCGAAAAAATGAGAAACCCCTTCATTTTTCAATCGAATGAATTGTTTAACAAATTTCAGCTCTGCTATTTTATACACATCTGATAAGGCTGAAACTGCCAAGTAACTGTAATCTTTATTACTTTTTCAGAGCATCGAAATCTTAAAATGTGATGTTTGATTTTTGACCCACTTACATTTTCAGAAAACCATTTCGATGCTCTGAAAATTGTATGATAAAAATGACAGGTAACAAAGATTACATTTAATTGGCAATTTCAGCATTATCAGATGTGAAACACATTGTAGAGCTGAAATTTTATTCAAAATCAACTGAATCTGTACATGATGGCCAAAATACAAAAAAAATTTACTATAATTATTTAAAAAGTTAGGGTAACTTTGGAAGCTTGCGGTCACCCGCCGAATCTTAAATTTTCCTTAAAAATTCGTTTTTCATTCGAGGTTTAATGGAAAATTTCCAGATTTCGCACAGGGGAAACCGCAAGCTTCCGCGAATTGATGGATGACTGCAGATTTTCAGTTGTGAATATCTTCGTGATCAAAAAATCCACCGTCAGCAAGAAAAAAACAAAATTATTAAATAATAATAAATTAACGTGAACATTTGACGTGGTTTGTGAGAAAAAGATATTATAAAATCATCAAGATCTCACATTATTACAGTTCTGGATTTTAATTATAAAGAGTTTGAAAATTATATGGATGTGATTTCTCAATCCGGGAAATGCTGGTTAGTTTCAGAAAAATAATGATAATTCTACAAATGAATTGAATTTTAAGGGGAAAATGGAATATGGCTGAAAACGGGACAACAATATTCGAAAAACTCGGATTCCAGGAAGATGAATGTTCCCCAACCAATCTCACTTTATTTATAACACCATTCAATTCTTCAGAGAATTTACAAAGTTTGATGGCTATTGAATGGGTGAGTATCATAATTTATATTCATATTATTTCAAAAAATTGATTTTTTTTCAGTTGGGACAACAAGTAAACTTCACAACAAATGCCATGACTGCTGTCAAATTATAAGTAATTTTGAAACATATCACGCCCAGGTTGAGGCATATGCACGATGCCGATAAAAATTTACGGAAATTCACCTCGCCAATTTGAGATTTTCTTGGAAAATAGCAAATTTTTGCCTCTGACTTTAACCGGGCTAAACTTGAACCAAACAAAAGATAGAGATGAAATATTGTGAAAATATGAAAATTCAAATCTTCCTGTGCAAAAGTGCGTAGCGGTGTTTGCACACACACAAATCCGCTGGACGTGGGGGCAATTTGAAATTTTGAAAACACAAGATTTTCTCAACACCATCTGTTTTTTATAACTATTATCTTTCAGAGGATTGTTGCGGAAAAGGCGAAGAAGAAAAAGAAGAAGAATTAGCGAAATTTGAAGAAGAGAATATCTATTTTTTTGTGTTTTGTTTTTAAATAAATTGTTTTTTTTTACAAGTCTCGCAAAAAACCTACTGTTGCTGAGTTGGTCTTTCATGTCTTGGTTTCAATATTTTCTTCGTCAAAAAAATGCGTCAGAAATTTCCAAAAATTCATTCAAAATCAACGGGATCTGTACAATTATTTACACCGTAATCCGAAACAAGATGGCAAAAATAGAAAAGATGGTCGAAAATGTCATAATATCGATCAGAATTGCTGAAAATTATAAAGTTAGGGTAACTTTGGAAGGTTACGATAAACTGAAACCCGCCGGATCTGAAATTTTCCTTAAAAATTCGTTTTTCATTCGAGGTTTTATGGAAAATTTCCAGATTTCGCACAAGGGAAACCGCAAGCTTCCTCGAATTGATGAATGACTTCAGATTTTCAGCTGTGAATATTTTCGTGGTCAAAAAACCACAGTCGGCAAGATAAAAACAAAAGAGGAAAAAAGAATTGACTTTTTCCTTATTAAATAATAATAATTTCACGTGAACATTTGACGTGGTTTATGAGACGAAAATATTATAAAATCATCAAGATCTCACATTATTACAGTTCATCATTCAAAGAAGATGCCGAATCTGGATTTCAATTATAAAGAATTAGAAAATTATATGGATGTAATCTTTCAATCCGAAAAATGTTGGTTAGTTTGAGAAAAAATAATGATAATTCTACGAATGAATTGATTTTTAAGGGGAAAATGGAATATGGCTGAAAATGGAACAATAATATTCGAAAAACTCGGATTCCAGGAAGATGAATGTTCCCCAACCAATCTCACTTTATTTATAACACCGTTCAATTCTTCAGAGAATTCACAAAGTTTATGGCTATTGAATGGGTGAGTATCATAATTTCTATTCATATTATTTCAAAAAATTGATTTTTTTTCAGTTAGGACAACAAGTCACTTTTACAAAAAAAGCACATTTCCATGATTTCTGTCAAATTATTGTAAAAAGGTATCAACTAGTTTGTGAAATGTTCGAATCAATTGATGATACAAAGATAGTAAGTTTGAAACGTACCACGCCCAGGTTGAGGCATATGCACAGTGCTAATAAAAATTTACGGAAATTCACCTCGTTTGAGATTATTTGAGATTTTCTTGAAAAACAGCAAATTTTTGCTTGTTTTTCCGTTAAAAAGTAGTATTTTTCAGTCGAAAAGGTTGTTTTCACCTTGCCAAAAAATTTCAAAACCCACTCCGCCAATTTTCAAAGTTAATTTGCACGAAGCTGGGCGTGGTATGGTTTGAAACAACACCATCTGTTTTTTTTATAACTATTATCATTCAGATGATCGTGGCGGAGAAGGCGAAGAACAAAAGGAAGAAAAATTAGCAAACTTTGAGAAAGAGAATATCTATTTTTTTGTGTTTTGTTTTTTAATGAAGTTGTTTTTTAATGAAAAACAACGAGCAAAGATATTAAGATAGTAAGTTTGAAACGTACCACGCCCAGGTTGAGGCATATGCATTAAAAATCAACGGGATCTGTACAATTATTTACACCGTAATCCGAAACATGATGACCAAAGTAGAAAAGATGGTCGAAAATGTCATAATATCGATCGGAATTGCTGGAAAATTCTCAATTTCAAACTATTCTTTCAAATAGAAGTAAACAAACCTGCACTGTATATCCTCATTTTTGGGGAAACCTCTACAAATTTGATAAGTGTCATCAGATGTCATATTTTGGGGAAACCAGATTTCGGTTCCATGATGATATGAGCCATGATTGTAGAATGGAATACAAGTAATTGGACGATGGACACTTTCAACACAAATTGGAATATGAGCAACCTAAAGAGAGAGAGAAGGGGAATATGAGAGAGTGCAGAGAAAAACAGCAGCAAAGTTACTCTAACTTATTTAGAAAATCATAACTCACAATATCCCTCGCATGTATAATTCTCCAACTATTTCCCCTCAATAATTCATCATGTTTTTGTGCATATTCCAAATTTCCAACTCTTGGTTGTCCAAAAGTTATCAAACTCGTTCGATTTCCAATTTCGGGATGATTTCGAACGAAAGCCGTGGAAGCTATTGAAGCAATTGCTCCGCCCAATGAATGTCCAGTGAATATTAGCTCGTGGGTTGGATATTTCTGGAAAATGGGAGGTTTTTAGAGTTGTCCTAACTTCAATAGCAAATTTTTCGAGCGAAGCGAGTGTAGACCGCAAGCTTCCGCGTAAGCGGCACTATCTTCCGCGCAGCGGCCACGTGGATTATTATGATATGGTAAACGTCATTTCAATCCGTGTGGGTGCTGAAGAGGAAATTAGTGCCGCTAACGCGGAAGCTTGCGGTCTACACTCGCTCCGCTCGAATTTTCACCTGAAAATGCTTTGGAGCCCGCTGGATCTTAATCTTTCTCTAAAAATTGATTGAAAAATCGAGGTTTTATGGAAATTTTCAAGATTCCGCACAGGAGAACCTATATATCGTCAATTTTGTTTTCGAGCGGAGCGAGTGTAGACCGCAAGCTTCCGCGTAGGCGGTACTATCTTCCGCGCAGCGGCCACGTGGATTACGAAGCTTGCGGTCTAAAATGTAGATCGCAACCTTCCGCGCAGTGCATATTTAGTATCAAAATGAAGCCCCTAAATAGCTCACCTTAATAGCTTCCCTCAATAATCGATGCATCGGGTTCCACATCGATTTGAGAGCCGCGAAAAAAATAATAATGAACTGAGCCAGCATTGTGCAATTTGTGTTTCGGTTTTCCGATGCTCTCAATTAACTCAGTCACTAATTGCTCTTTTGATTTTGTTCCAGAAAATGCGACGAAAATGTGCGAGGAATCGACGGCGATTATACTGAGACACTGGAAGAATATGGGTGTTCCGCGGAATCTTCCGCATAAGCGGCACTATCTTCCGCGCAGCGGCAAGCTAAGGAAATCTATAAAGTTAACATATCCTCGCCGCTACGCGGAAGCTTGCGGAAGCCTACCTCATCTCTAATATAATCACATGGCACAATATTTGCATAGAAAAGGCTTCCGTTATTTTTCAAAACACATGGATTTGGAGTGGGTGAATATGAAGCGGCTGGAAATTTCAGAATTTTGGCTGAAAATCTGAAAATTTACATACATACCAGCATATTCCAGGGCAAGTTTGGCTTTTTCGAAATCAAATTCAAAGCTGAAAATGGGCGTGGCTAAGAAAAGCAAAAAATACCCGTACATCTGAAAATATCAAATTTCGAGTGATAATTAAAATTTTATTCAAAAATATCAGGATTTCAGACCTTTTTCAGGGAAAAAACATACAAAACTACATATGAAGAACCCGTTTATAGGCTGAAAATCTCAAATTTTCAGCCAGATTTTCAGCAACTTCAAAGGGTCATTCGATCAATATTGACAAAACTTCCAGAAGATGAGAAATAATTCGAAGATGTTCCTGGTTGATCTTTTGATTCTCTTGCTGATGGGTTGACAATTTCTAGACCTTGAATTGGGGTGAAATTGACTGAGGAAGCTGTTCCAGCAATCTGAAAAATTGGAATAAAAAATTGACGATAGGTTCCCCTGTGCGGAATCTTGAAATTTTCCATAAAACCTCGATTTTTTAATCAATTTTTATGGAAAATTTCAGATTCGGCGAATTCCAAAGCATTTTCAGGTGAAAATTCGAGCGGAGAGAGTGTAGACCGCAAGCTTCCGCGTTAGCACCCACGCGGATTGCTATGACGTTAACCATATCATAGTAATCCACGTGGTCGCTGCGCGGAAGATAGTACCGCTTACGCGGAAGCTTGCGGTCTACACTCGCTCCTCTCGAAAAAAATTGGAGATAGGCTCCCCTGTGCGGAATCTTGAAATTTTCCATAAAACCTCGATTTTTCAATCAATTTTTAGGGAAAATTTGCAGATTCGGCGGGTTTTCAAGCGATTTCTGGTGAATCCGCAAGCTTCCGCGCAGCGGCCACGCGGTTTATTATGACGTTTGCCATATCATAGTAATCCACGTGGCCGCTTACGCGGAAGCTTGCGGTCTACACTCGCTCCGCTCGAAAAAAAAATTGACGATAGATTTCCCTGTGCGGAATCTTGAAATTTTCCATAAAACCTCGATTTTTCATAGAAAAACCAAATTTTAGGGAAAATTTCAGATCCGGCGGGTTCCAAAGCATTTTCAGGTGAAACTTCGAGCAGAGCGAGTGTAGACTGCAAGCTTCCGCGTTAGCACCCACGCGGATTGCTATGACGTTAACCATATCATAGTAATCCACGTGGTCTCTGCGCGGAAGATAGTACCGCTTATGCGGAAGCTTGCGGTCTACACTCGCTCCGCTCGAAAAAAAAAAATTGACGATAGATTTTCCTGTGCGGAATCTTGAAATTTTCCATAAAACCTCGATTTTTCAATCAATTTTTATGGAAAATTTCAGATCCGGCGGGTTTTGAAGTGATTTCTGGTGAATCCGCAAGCTTCCGCGCAGCGGCCCACGCGGTTTATTATGACGTTTGCCATATCATAGTAATCCACGTGGTTGCTAACGCGGAAGCTTGCGGTCTACACTCAAGGAAAAGCTCATGTTTTCATGAAAAATTCTAGATTTTCAGCCAAAAAATTCCAGATTTTTCCAGCCTAAGCCTACCTTAGTTCTCAAACTAGTCATTCCACCAGCCGCTTTTTGTTTTTCCAATTGTCTCTGCATTTTTTGCGACATTCGGGCTCGCGTTTTTTGATCAATTACTGCTTGACGAATTCGACCACCTGACACATTTCCACTCTTGTTCTGAAAAAAAATGGGAAAAATAGTGGGGAAGGCTATTTTTGGGTCCAAAAATTCGAATTTTCACGATTTCTGGACCATTTTCGATGAATTTTACATCAAAAACCCAACCTGTCCAACATCCATTCCCATATGTTCTTGCATAACATCTTCTTGTAATTCTCCAAAATTCATACGATTTTGTGCTTTTCTCAAATCCGTCATTCCAAGTCTTTCTTTCATTTTTCGCATTCTTCGACCTCCTCGTTTTTTGCTTGCCTGAAATTGAGAAAAAAAGTGAATTTTCAGCCAAAAAACCTCCCGCCTACCTTATCCAATGGTTTTGGCAATGCTTTATTCGCTTTAACCGGTGGCGGTTCCAACATTTTCTCCATTTTCCGTCTCACATCCTCCAATAAATCTTTTCCCAAATCTCCAGTTGGTGATTCGTGTTGAGCATCGATTCGAGCAGCTAAAGTTGCTTTGGCTGCTAGGATTTTGGCAGTTTTTCTGGAAAAAAATTGACGATAGGTTTCCCTGTGCGGAATCTTGAAATTTTCCATAAAACCTCGATTTTCCGATAGAAAACCCAGGGCTGCCGTTGATATCTGGGTATACCCGGGCACCACCTGTAAATCCGAAAAATACCCGGGTATTGAGGCCCATCGACCTGAGTGTCAAATACCCGGGTTGGGTGTGGGCACCCTTAGGGCACCCTTGGGTATGATGCAAATTTTTGATTTTTTTGTTCTGTTTAGCTATTATCCATGTTATTGGACGAATTTAGCTAAAACATGAGTGATTTTTGATTGAAAAACTAATATGCAACAAAAACGATCGATAAAGTTCTATTTTATCGATTTGGTTGACTTCTAAAATAACTTAAAATGCATTATATTTTAGAAAAAAGAAAGAATATGTTTTTCTTCGACACCAAATTACATAAAAATGAAAGAGTTCGTGATAAAATCAACCTTTGAGAGAATATGTGCTCATACTCAACTTATAGAAAGTCTTTTGTGTGTTTACAACACGAAAAATAGTAAAATTTCGAGAAAAAAGCTGATTTTTTGAAAGTTTTCTACAGATTAGACCAATTTTTCATGTTACTGACCACTTTTCATGAAAAAAACACAATTTCCAAAAAAAATTCGAAAATAAATTAGTACGAAAAATCAAATACGAAGGCCCATTTTGGGTATCTGGGTGTGCCCGGGTATACCCACCCGTTCTGTCATTTTTCAATGAAAATACCCACCCGGGTGTACCCGCCGAACTGTGGGTATTAGGGTGCCCTGTGGGTGCCCAAACGGCACCCCCTGGAAAACCAATTTTTAGAGAAAATTTGCAGATTCGGCGGGTTTTTAAGCATTTTCAGGTGACAATTCGAGGGAAGCGAGTGTAATCCACAAGCTCACGTGAAGTGGCCACGCGGTTTATTATGACGTTTGCCATATCATAGTAATCCACGTGTCCGCTGCGCGGAAGATAGTACCGCCTACGCGGAAGCTTGCGGGTCTACACTCGCTCCGCTCGATAAAAATTAGCGATAGGTTACCCTGTGCGGAATCTTGAAATTTTTCATAAAACCTCGATTTTTCATAGAAAAACCAATTTTTAGGGAAAATTTCAGATTCGGCGGGTTTTTAAGTGATTTCTGGTGAAAAATCCAATGGGAAATTCTATCACTTTCATGGGAAAAATCGATATTTTCAGTCTAAAAATGGTTCCTCTAGGGTGAAAATATCGATTTTTGAATTCTGACCTATTGAAAATTCAAATTGCCACGTCATTTCACAACCTAAAAACTTACGATTTCCAATCTGGCGGCATCGATTGAACCAACGGATGAAAATAAACAAAACCATGATGTGGATTAACAGAAACACTCGAAAAATCCCACCAAATTCCTCTTTTGCTTCCCCAATACTTGTACATTACAAGCAGGCATTCTAGAAAGCGGTGCTAATCCACCAGCTTGTGAAACCAAAAGAGCTGTAGTTGAAGCACCCAAAAGATTCACCAAATTCGGAGCAATCAATGACATTCGAATCTCAACCAATCTATGCATACACAATCGATCCATATGCAATTTTTCAGCCAAATTACACGCCTCCATTACAGTTTCCAATTCTTCTTGCTCTAATTTTGTACCTTGGGTTGTCTAATCCGAGACAGTTACACTAACTACAATACAAGTTGCTGGTGCTAATATTCGCCCCAAAAGCTCTTTATTTTGCCCTTTTGTATTGATATCGTTCCCCAATAATTGGACAGTTGCCAGGTTTTTGAATCAAGAGCATTTGGGACAAGGGTTTCGAAGATGAGGAAGTTGCACCACATGTTTTTCGTATTTGTCGCTATGGTGAGACGAATTTGTTGAATCACATTGATTTCGTTATCGATATTTTTCTGCGGCTATCTGCAAAAATATTGAATTTTTGACTGAAAACAAATGCTCACTCACATGCGACAATTTTCGAACAATCAATTTATATTGTGGATCTGCAAATTTTCCCTAACGGCGCCGTTAAAATAACATCTTCAAGATTGGGTCGTTCTAAAGCGAGTTGTCAATTGTTCAACAAGTCTCACATATTCCTCTCCTTTTGCCAATTTCGCCACGTCAAAAACTGATTGATATTTTCCAACATCCATCGCTTCTTCCGTCGCTTCTTCAATTCCATCATCTTCTTCAATTATCTCCTCTTTTTCGGTACTTTAAATTCATTTTGTTGCTCAAGAAGTTCGTCTAACTCGTCATCATCATCATCATGGTAAACGTCAAAATCAGCCATAAGTTCTTCAGCCAACGACATCTTTGGGTTTTATATCCGCGCGAAAACGAAAAAAAGGAATAAAAATTTTCCATAAATGTATTTTCGAAAATTAATGGTATACGGTGGCCGGCGTTATGTGCAAAATTTCACTTGCACACATCTTGCATTTTAATCGACGCGCGCTTTTTTTCATTTCTCTCGCCTCTCACCTGTCATTTTATTGATTTGTTTTAAGATTTCAGCAGTTTCCCGAAATTTTTGATATTTTCAGAGTATTCTTGAGTGATGACATGTATAATCAATGAAAAAACGGGTCGAAAAACGGTTGAGGACGAGATAAACTCGTTGTTGAAGTTCTACGCCTACGATGACGCGATTTTTCTAGCCGAATTGAATTTCGAGAAAGGTTGGGGCTTTTAGAAGGTTCCTAGGAGAAAAATCAATATTTTTTGCAGAAAATTCGGATGAATCGCTTTATCTATTTGCTGATTGTCTAATCCGAAGCAACAAAAAATTTTGAGGAATGTTACGGTCTGCTGAAAACTCGTGTAGAAATGCCGCCAAAACTTCGCTACATTTTCGCCAAATGCTGTTTTGATTTGTCGAAAATGGAGGATTGTCAAAATGCACTTTTTGTGAACAAGAATCTGGTGAAATTCGCGCGGAACTATTGGAAGACGAGGAAGTTGCACCACATGCTCGTTTTTTGTATTCTGCGTTGCTATGGTGAGACTGAAAGTGCTGACAAATTGTAGTTTTATTGAGAAAATGATGATTTTTTTCAGAACCATCTGATTTTTGTTCAAAGTTCATCCCAAAACCCTAAAAAAAGTTCGCGAATTTCTGCAAAATTCGAAGAAGCTCATCGGCAGAAAGCTGCGATCCAGCGAAAACAGTGTCAGAATGCGAAACAATTCTACAAAATCGTATTTTGATGTGAGAGTGTGATTAGTAGTTATGTCAAATATGGCGGGAAGAATCTGGAATCTTTATAAGTGAACATCGAAAGAAGATTTATGAGAATTCGAAGATTTTGGTGACAAATGAAGAGGAATTGGTGAATAGTGAGTTTTTTTGAATTGACACCTCGAAAATTGGTCAGGGTCAATCCTCATGAAATTTCGCTTTGAAAGACACCCAACATGAATATAATCTGAGGAATTCCTGAAACTGATTATGGGTTGCTGCGGATCAGCTTATAGAGTAGTGGATACGGAGTTTCCTCAATTTGGGCTCTGAAATTACAGAAGCTCCTATCGTAATTTTTTGCGCCGAAAACGATGAAAATATAGGTTTTCCTCAATTTTCCCTTTCAGAACCATCTGCAAATCTTCTTCTTCAACTTCTCAAACAACAACTCTAAATCGATTTTTAGCCCGAAGAAAAAGTTCGCGAATTTCTGAGCAAAATCAAGCTCGAAACTGGAAAAGTATCGGCTAGACAAGCTGCGACTCCAGCGAAAACAGTTTTTCGACAAATGTCACTAGAACTACACAAAGTTCAAGAAATCGAAGGTGAGAGAGTGATTTTGGGATGAAAAATGGGAGAAGTCTGGAATTTTGAGCTATGGAGCTCCAGAAACTGATTTTTAGCTCGAAAATTGGTCCCAGCGGTCATTTTTGACATAAAATTCGAATTTGGGGTCAAAATTGAGCTCAGGAGCTCCTGAAAACGATTTTTTGCTCGAAAATTGACCTCAGAGCTCATTTTCAACCTCAAATTCAAATTTTCGCTCATAATCAAGCTCAAGGAGCTCCTGAAACTCAATTTTATTGTTAGCTTGAAAATTGGTCCCAGGGGTCATTTTTGACATAAAATTCAGAGTTTGGCTCAAAATTGAACTCATTTTAGGCTCCTGAAATCAGCCGGATTTTTAGCTCCAAACCCATTGGTCCCAGGATCAAGGTTTGATATAAACATGAAACTCGAATTTGGGGCTCGTCATCTTCAATCTTCAAGCTCCAAAACTACTTGAATTGATTTTTAGCTTAAAACTCCCATGACCCAAGAACTCATTTTGAGCCTGTTCCCCATTCAAATTCCACATCTTGCTCAAAATCTAGCTCCAAAAATATCGACAATTCTGAAATTGATTTGGCGTTAGCTCGAAAATTGGCCCCATGGGTCATTTCAATTGACATAAACCGATTCAGAGTTTGGCTCAAAATTGAACTCATTGGCTCCTGAAATCGATTTTTAGCTCCAAATTATTGGTCCCAGGATCAAGGTTTGATATAAATGGAAGTGTCGGAATTTGGGGCTCAAAATTGCTCCAAAACTACTGGAATTGATTTTTAGCTTAAAAACTGGGTGACCCAAGAACTCATTTTGAGCCTGTTATTCAAATTTTTGCTCAAAATCTAGCTCCAAAACTTCTGAAATTGATTTTTAGCTCGAAAATTGGTCCCGCAGGTCATTGATCTAAATCATAAAATTCAGAAGGTTTGGCTCAAAATTAAGCTCATTGGCTCCTGAAATCGAAGGTTTTTAGCTAAAAATAAAAAAAATCGATATTGACCTCAGAGCTCATTTTTGACAGAAAACTTGACTTTTTGCTCAAAATCAAGCTGAAAATTTGGAATTTCTAGAAAAATCCCAAAATTCTGACCTAAAATGTCAATTTTTCCAGCAAAAATGGAGGTTCTATCAAGTGATACTGAAAATGTGCACATGCCCAGGGAACTCGAGGATCCACAATTTCTTCAACAAATCGAGCAGCTGGAGCTATTCCAAAGGTGAGATTTTTGCTGAAAATCGGCTGAAAATCAGTTTTCTGATGATTTTTAGCCAAAAGCGGAAAAACCCTATTTTTCAGACACATCCAACTCGTTCTTCAACCCGAAATTCTGACGTGGCAAAAATGCTGAAATCTCCATCGCTGAGAAAAAGAGAGATGTTATCAAACAACCGCTGAGTTCGCGCAACTCGAATTTGGTTCGAAGTTTGTCCGGATCGACGAATTCGGTAAGGAATTCTGATCATTTTGAGACTAAATTCGATCTGGGATACTGTAGATTGAATTCTGCACATTTTGAATATAAATATGGCTTGGTATACTGTAGATTTTGGGTAATTTCAACTAGACTGTAGTTTTAGGAATTCATTTCAGCCGGATTTTAAGCCCAAACCCATATTTTTCCAGATTTCCTCGATTTCCGATGAAAAACAGGAAAGTCTTGAAATTCTTCAATTCTGCTCTTCGTCTTCAAGTTCTTCAACATCACAAAATCCATCAGAATCTGCTGAAAATGCTGCTGAAAATCCCATGGATCCATCTCAAGATTCAGCTTCTTCTTCATCTTCTTCCCATCAAATTCCGCATCTTCTTCAGAATATTCCAAAGAATATCGACAATTTTTCGAAATGTTTGCAAATTTGGCGTTGATCGAAGAATCTGTGGGACATTTCAATTGGAAAAAACCGATAAACTTTTCTCGAAAATGGATCGAAAAGTGATTGCGAATTCGTCGATGGCTAGATTATTATTGGGACGAACTTGTTTTGAACAAGGAGAATATGGAGAGTGTCGGACGATTTTAGATGAATTGCATAAGAGAAGGCCGTGGAGAGTTGAGGTAACTTTGAGGGTGAAAATGGGTGAAAAATGAAGGATTTTAGGCGAAAAATCATGGAAAAATTGAAATTTTCAAGTTTTTAACCTGAAATCCATGGTTCCAAGGTAGAAATCGATTTTTTGAAAATTGACCTGGAAATGATTAAAATGAAGGTTTTTGATGCTAAAATCATCAAAAATGATGGGGATTTTGGTCTTCTGAAAAAAAATCAGCTAAAATTTAGAGTAACCTAAAAATTTGAGAAAAATCGATATTTTCACCCTAAGGGAACCATTTTTAGGCTGAAAATATTGATTTTTTTTTTCATAAAATGCTGAAAATTTGGAATTTCTATCTGGATTTTCCAAATTTTCACCAGAAATTGCTCTGAAAATCGCCGAATCTGAAATTTCCCATAAAAATTGATTGAAAATCGAGGTTTTATGGAAAATTTCAAGATTCCGCACAGGGGAACCTATCGCCAATTTTTTTCGAGCAAAGCGAGTGTAGACCGCAAGATTCCGCGTAAACGGTACTATCTTCCGCGCAGCGGCCACGTGGATTACTATGGTATGGTAAACGTCATAGAAATCCGCGTGGGTGCTAAAGAGGAAGTTTCCGGTCTACACTCGCTCCGCTCGAATTTTCACCAGAAATTGCTCTGAAAATCGCCGGATCTGAAATTTCCCATAAAAATTGATTGAAAATCGAGGTTTTATGGAAAATTTCAAGATTCCGCACAGGGGAACCTATCGCCAATTTTTTTTCGAGTGTAAACCGCAAGCTTCCGCGAAGCGGCAAGTTATCCTATCTTCCCCAAAACCTTGCCCATAATCCCTAATTTTGCAGGGAACCGAACTGCTCTCAACATCATTATGGCATTTACAAGATACACATGGTCTATCAGCTTTGGCTCAAACTCTAACTTCTGAAAATCGAGAACGAGCTGAAAGTTGGTGTGCAGCTGGTAATTGTTTTTCCTCTCTCTCAAAGACAACATTCTCAAGCAATTGAATGTATGGAAAGAGCTATACAATTAGATAAAAGATTTGCGTATGCTTATACATTATTAGCACATGAATTGATTGTACAAGATGAGCTGGATAAAGCTGCGGGAGCTTTTAAGTGAGTTTTCGGGAAAATCCGATTTTCCATGAGATTTTTCATGAAAAATGGACTTAGGAGGTTTTTTTCCACCCCGTGATTATCGTTTTTAGGTTCTGAATGAGCTTTTCATGAACAAAAAACTTGATTTTTAGTCTATGAAGACATTTTTATTTGAAAAAAAGTGATTTTTAACTTCAAAGAATAAGTAAAATTCAATTTTTTTTGCTCAATATTGTGAAAAAGTTTGAAAATCTTAAGTTTTTGATGAAAAAATGGATTTCCCCCGAATTTTTCATAAAAAATCGAGCAAATTTTCGCTCTTCCAAAAGAAATTGCTCAAAAAATTATTTGAAAAAAGAGAAAAATCGATATTTTCACCCTAGAGGAACCATTTTTAGGCTGAAAATATTGATTTTTAAAAATAAAATGCTGAAAATTTGGAATTTCTATCTGGATTTACCAAATTTTCACCAGAATTTGCTCTGAAACCCGCCGAATCTGAAATTTTCCATAAAATTGATTGAAAAATCGAGGTTTTATGGAAAATTTCCAGATTCCTAAACAGGGAACCTATCGCCAATTTTTATTGAAAATTCGAGCTGGAGCGAGCTTCCAAAATTTGAATTAACATGAGCAATGTTTTCCAAAGAAAACATCTAGAATTTTCAAAGGAAATCCAGATTCAAAAAAATGCAGTAAAAAATTTTCAAAAACCCTTTTTCCTCTCTTGAAAAATTCCGATTTTTCTTTTCAAAAATAATTTTTTAAAAAGAAAAATCGATTTTTTACTGAATAAAGACTGAAAATGCAAGATTTTCCATATCATATTTTGTCTGTTTCAGATCAGCTCTCCTTCTATCACCCCGTGATTATCGTGCTTGGTATGGTTTGGGCTTGGTTCATCTGAAAAAAGAGCAAAATAGTGTGGCTCAAACGAATATCCAAAAAGCGATATCAATAAATCCAACAAATCGAGCAATGCTATGCACATTATCAAATTTGGAACAACAACGTGGAAAATCTGAAAAAGCGCTGAAATTAATCGATAAAGCGCTGGAATTGAATCCGACTGATTTGGCGTGTCGATTTAATCGAGCAAGATTATTATATGAAGCGAAAAGGAATGATGAATGTTTGGTTGAATTGAATCGATTGAAAGCTAGTTCGCCTGATGAAGCGGTGGTTTTCCATTTGTTGGGTAAGGGATTTTAGGGGAGAAAATTTGGGTCATTTTGAATATAAATATGATAAGATTCTGAAAAATGTGAATGTTTTGGAATCTAGAATTGATGAAAATCAATAATTTTTCAAAAATTTGGGTCATTTTGAACCTAAACATGATAGAGGATATAAAAAATTGAAAATTGTCGATTTTCAAGCCTGAATTTGGCTGAAATTCTGAGATCATTGAAATTCAGAATTTTTTAAACCTAAATTTCATACGAAAATTGTGAATTTGCAATTTTTGAACCTAAATTTGGCTGAAATTCGAATTTTCTCAGGAAATTTGATAAAATTTGAAAATTTATCGATTTTTTGAATCTAAATATGATAAAATTGGAGATTTGTAGAAATAATTGAAAATTTTCATGAAAAATTCGAAATTTCATAATTCCGGCAAAAAAAAGAGAAAATTCAGTTTTTCAAGCTTCCTAGTCAATTTTGACCGAAAAATTTGATTTTCCAGCTTAGAAACCATGCCGCAAAATTGCATAAAATATAAGCCACGCCTACTTTTTCATATTTAAAATTAGTAGAAAAACTATGCGGCAAAATTGCAACAGGCTACGCCCCCTTTTCAACCTCTCCCAAAAAATCAATCAATATTCTATATCCCTTCCAAATTCCTCTATTTTTGCAGCCCGTGTTCATCGCCGTATGGGAAGTTCTCATTTATCCCTACTAAACTATAGTTGGGCAGCTGAATTGGATCCGCGAAGTGATCAGAATTTGGGTGGAGGATCAAATGGTGGTGGAAATGGAAGTGGAACTGGTGGATCAGGTGCTGCAACATCTTCGGGAATCGGAAATTTTGGAGGATTGAGTCGAGATGATGAAGATGATGAAGAATATGACGATGATGATGATGATGGTCAATATAGCGCGTAGAATTATTTGGTTTTTGATTTGATCTCAATTTTGGGGGAGACGGGAGGTTTTGGAAGGAAAAATGATGAATTTTTGACCCAAAATTCAGTAGAAATCATGAAAAAAATGAATTTTTGACCTGAAATACACTAGAAATTTCAAAAATAGGGATTTTTTACCTAAAATTACCTAGAACCCTTGAGAATAGGATTTCTAGTGAATTTTAAGCTGAAATTCCAATTTTGCTCCAAAAATGCTCAATTTTCTCCCAAAACTCCCCGTTTCCCTAGCTAAATCAAAATTTTCTCTAACTTTTTTTTCAAAATTTCTCCCTTTTCAAATTTCCAAAAAATCTAAATTTTTACCGAATCTTCCCCTTTTTAGTATTATTTTCCTATATCATTTCATTTTCAAATCATATTTTTGTGTGTATTTATGAATATTTTTGGCTTGAAGAAGGTTTTTTTGAAATTAGCGTAATTTCAAGCATAATTAGCCTATAATTAATTAGGACGATTAATTAATTAATTATTTATAATTTAAAATCACAGTATTCCAATTAAAATTGACTAGGGTGTATTGGAAGTTGATGTTCTCAAAATCAACCTCGCTAATTGTGCATCAAAATGGCTGACTGATTCAACAACATCGGGAAAATTGGATCTGGCAGCATCGGCTTGGATTCGAAGTTGAGATGAGGGATTCGATTCGGCCAGATGTTGTATCCATTTTGATTCGATTTCCGAAGGATCGGATAGACCCATCTGGAAATATATTTATTTTATTCTAGTTTTATTTGTCAAATGATCATTGCTCACCTTAGCATAAACAATACTTTTCATCCACATTTTTTGTGATTGCAAAAATATTTACAAGCATCATTTCCGGCTCCAACCAGGAACAATAATTCGACACCATCTTCAATCAAATCACTTGCTATTAAATTTGTGGCAATTAATTTGATGAGTGATTTTGATTTTTCATCGTTTTGGGAGGAAACCAGGAGGGCAGCTGCAAAACAGGAGAATTTTGGAAAGGAAAAAAATCTGGAATTTCTATATCCGTGTTTTCACTGTTTCAAATTTTATTTCTAGAAAATCCTGAAATCGACAGCTAGAATTTCAGTAGAATTGAGATTTTCCCACTTTTCAGTTTTTTTTTCAAAAATTTAGAGGTTTTCAACTGTAAATTCAAAAAAAAGTGCAAATTCTTGAAATGTAAATGGTTTTAGTTTCATTTTTTATGGGGTGATTCAAGTCGAAAAAAATAATAAAAAACATTTTTTACAAAAAATTTCAATTCAGCAAATGTCAAAAAAATTATATTTTTTCAATTTTTTCATTGAAACATTTTCGCTGCGAGATATTTTTCATTTTAGGAAAAAATATAGTTTTTTGACATTTGCTAAATCGAAATTTTTTGCAAAAAAACGTTTTTTTAATTTTTTCGTTTTGAATCACACCGTAAAATCGACAGAAAAAATAGATTAAGCTAGAATTTCAGTAGAATTTTACTTTTCAGTTTCAACTCGAAAATTCAAGGAGGTTTTCAGCTGTAAATTCGTGAAAAATCCTTGAAAATTCACAGAAGTGGTATACCAAAAAATTGCTGAAGAAAAAATTTTGTTCAGCTATTTTTGGTATGCCACTTCTGTGAATTCGGCTCCAGGTTTCATCACAAAATTCTCCCAATTTCCGCCCAAAAATCAAATCACCCACCTTTAATCGATGAATATCTCAAATCCGGAGACACAATCAATCGATCAATAACACGATCTTTTGCCAATCCTCCTAATACAACACCTTGTTCAACTAATCGACGATCAATTACTGATTCATCTGATTTCGAGGCTATTGATATTACACGAGATTCTCGGAGCTGCAAAAATATACTCTGTGATCTCTAGCTCCTCTGCGTCTCTAGCTTTTCAGGTATTTTTAGATCATCTTCTTCTCTAACCTTTTCGAGAGTCTAGCTGTCTAACCTCTATATTTCTCCAACTTCTACATGCTCTCTAGCTTCTCTGCGTCTCTCATCTCTAGTTTCTCTAGCTCCGCTGCGTCTCTAACCCACCCTAAACTCCTCATTTCTCCAAAACATTTGCAAATTCGGTGCCAACATCATCTTTTCATTCTCCTTTGTGTTTTCCCAAATTCGATCAATACAAATATCCAATAAATCCGCTTCCAAAATGTTCTCCTCTCATTCTTCTTCGCATTTTTTCCAATTTCATGTCATTTTCCTTCTCATTTTCCTCATTTTTATACAAAACAGGCCATTCTTTTTCGGAAATTCCAATATTTTTCGAATTCGACACCACAAATCGTAATTGATTATCATTTGATAGAACAAGCGGGCTTAGGCCACACAAATCGGCATCCAAAAAAAGACGAGTTGAATCGGAGCGAATTGTTTGGATTCGAGACATGGCTTCGGTGTCCCATAGGGTTACTTCTCTGCAAAAAAGAGAAAAAGGTATTTGAGCAGGGCTTGCGGAGCACGCCCTGTACATAGCTGAAGTTTGGGTAACTTTGCCGCTTCGCGGAAGCTTGCGATCAACATTTGCTCCTTCAAAATTCGCTATGACGTTTACCATATCAAAGTAATCCACGTGGCCGCTGCGCGGAAGATAGTACCGCTTACGCGGAAGCTTGCGGTCTACACTCGCTTTCGCTCGAAAACAAAATTGGCGATAGATTTCCCTGTGCGGAATCTTGAAATTTTCCATAAAACCTCAATTTTTCAATCAATTTTTATAGAAAATTTCAGATTCGGCGGGTTTCAGATAATTGCTATTTTCAGGTGTAAATTCGAGTGTAGACCGCAAGCTCACGTGAAGTGACCACGCGGTTTATTTTTAATGACGTTTGTGTCCATATCGATGAGTAATCACGCGTGGCCGCTGCGCGCGAAGCTTGCGGTTACCTTGAATGTAGTACAGCCATAGTATGATCTCCAGCCAATCTCGAGAAAAGCATTCGATGAACTCTTGAATGGCTGATATCCCTCACTTGTCTCGATTGTCGTTTTCCCAAATCCCAAACAACAAGACTTCCTTCAACATCTCCAACTGCTAACATATCGTCTTTCCAGGCCATTGCACATATTTGGGCACTTGCACTTTTCCACTGCAAGAAAAAACTTTACACTCGCTTCACTCGAAAAAAAAAGAGACCGCAAGCTTCCGCGTTAGCAACCACGCGGATTGCTATGATGTTTACCATATCATAGTGATCCACGTGGCCGCTACGCGGAAGATAGTGCCGCTTACGCGGAAGCTTGCGGTCTACACTCGCTTCGCTCGAAAAAAAATTGACGATAGGTTCCCCTGTGCGGAATCTGGAAATTTTCCATAAAATCTCGATTTTTCAATCAATTTTTAGGGAAAATTTGCAGATTCGGCGGGTTTTCAAGCATTTTCAGGTGAAAAATCGAGCAGAGCAACTGTAGTCCGCAAGCTTCCGCGTTAGCAACCACGCGGATTGCTATGACGTTTACCATATCATAGTGATCCACGTGGCCGCTAGGCGGAAGATAGTGCCGCTTACGCGGAAGCTTGCGGTCTACACTCGCTTCGCTCGAAAAAAATTGACGATAGGTTCCCTGTGCGGAATCTGGAAATTTTCCATAAAACCTCGATTTTTCAATCAATTTTTAGGGAAAATTTGCAGATTCGGCGGGTTTTCAAGCATTTTCAGGTGAAAAATCGAGCAGAGCAACTGTAGTCCGCAAGCTTCCGCGTTAGCACCCACGCGGATTGCTATGACGTTTACCATATCATAGTGATCCAGGTGGCCGCTACGCGGAAGCTTGCGGTCTACACTCGTTCCGCTCGATAAAAAATTGACGATAGGTTCCCCTGTGCGGAATCTGGAAATTTTCCATAAAATCTCGATTTTTCAATCAATTTTTAGGGAAAATTTGCAGATTCGGCGATTTTTAGAGAAATTTCTGGTGAAAATTTGGAAAATCCAGATAGAAATTCCAAATTTTCAGCATTTTTGGAATAAAAATCAATATTTTCAGCCTAAAAATGGTTCCCTTAGGGTGAAAATATCGATTTTTCTCAAATGACCTTTCGAGCGAAGCGAGTGTAAACCGGAAGCTTCCGCGAAGCGGCAAGGTTAGGATAACTTCTTCGGACGTTAATCCAGATCATAGTTAGCCTAACTTTGCCGCTGCGCGGAAGCTTGCGGTCTAGACTCGCTCCGCTCGAATTCCGCTTTCCTGTCTGTTTCAAGTACCTGTGTATTAACCATTTTTCCATCTCTAACATGTAATCCTCTCAAAGTGATATGATAAATTCGATTTTCGGCATCTAATAATACCAAATTTTCTCGATAAACAGATTGTTGAGTTGATTCAGTTTGTTTGATGCTATGATGTTTATTTGACCATGCCATATCAACTATTAATGGACAACTTCGAGACATTCTTCGGAGAAGTCGCAGACCTTTTAGGTCCCAAATTTCAAGGGGTTCACGTTGGAAAGCAAGGGCCAAGTAGCAGCTGGAAAATAAGGAATTTGAGCAGGGCTTGCGGAGCACGCCCTGTAAACTCAGGACTTTTAAATTTAATTTAGCTTCTGACTAAGTTGGGATAACTTTTCCGGTTCATGGAAAAATTTCCACGTGTCAAAAGATTTCTTATATTAATTTTTCGAGCTGGGTTTCGCGTTAAAGATTGCTCATGTCAATATTTCGAGATTTTTTCGCTACAACAATTAATATGTCAAAAATATTGCTCATATTAAACTGAACATTTACTGGATCCACACATTTTTGAATTTTCAAATTTTGAAAATTTACGCAAAAAAGGAAGTTTTTAAAATATTGCTCATATTAATTTTAAATTTTTGGCACCAAAAATCCACGTGTCAAAAATATATATTGCTCATATTATATTTTTCCAAAAAAAATCTGAAAAACATATTTTTTCGTCTCGTTCTAACTCTCAAATTTCTCAAGAAATTCTGAAATGCGAGTGAGAAAATGCAGAATTTTCTGAAATTTTCAGAAAATAATTTGGCATCAAAAATCCACGTGTCAAAAACATTGCTCATATTATATTTTCCCAAATTTTTTTTGAAAAAATCAGAAAAAAATATTTTTTGGTCTCTAAATCATGGCAGGAAATTGGAAAATTCAGAATTTTCTGGAATTTTCAGGTTTCGAACTAATTTTGATCAAATTTTATGTGTTTTTTTTTCCCAAAATTCAAAAACCTACTGATAATAGCTGACTCTCAAAATAGAAATCGGCGATTCATCAACTTCTGGTCGAATTCTTCTCGCTAATCCAGTTCGAATATCTGTGATAAATATCTCATTTCGTACAATTTGAGAGGCACTCAAAGAATGATTGAAACCAGCTGTGACTAGAGAATATACACCACCCCATTCAAGACATCTGAAAAAAAACAATTAGGAATTTGGCTGGGCGAGCGCTGAAACGCGAGTGTAAACCGCAAGCTTCCGCGTTAGCGGCACTATCTACCGCTTTAGCGGCCACGCGGATTGCTATGACGTGACAACACCACAGTTCTATTATCCGCGTGGCCGCTGACGCGGAAGCTAGCGGTTTACACTCGCTCCGCTCGAGCTCAAAACCTACTTAATCGGGCTTGCTTGAACTGAAATATCTCTGTAGATTTGCGAAGTGAAAACATCAATCAAATGAACAGTTCCGGAATTTGTTCCAACTGCTGCTAAATGAAGACTTCCAAGAGATGTGTTGGCTGAAAATTTGAGAAATTTCCAGAAGAAAAAGGTGAGAGATTTTAGAGCTCTAAATTGGCTTTCGGAGCTTAAAAATGAGCTCTGGAGCTCAATTCTGACTTCTGGGGTTCAAAATTTGACTTCTAGAGCTCAAAAATGAGTCTCAGAGCTCATAATAGGCTTCCCAGTTTCCCTTCAAAAATCCTCACCAAACGGATCATTCTCGACTTTGGCTAACTCATCCATTGGTCTCATTCGAACACAAGTCACTCCAGCTGCCAAACTTCCAATAGTTTCCAATTGATAAATGCTCAAATCTCCAATCTTCTTCGTTTCCAAATTCGGCCTTTCAAAACTCAAAAAATCTTCAATCAGCGATTTTCGATAACTCAATTCAGTTTGTTCATTTTTTCAGCTGCCAAAATGCCAATTTTCCATTTTGATAAATGACACAAATTGTAGATTGTGTAGTTGGGCAAATTGAACAACACATTATTTTTTGAGACGATCCGTGGCGGATACATTCAGTTTGACAGATCTGGAATTAGGAGAATTTGAGCATACGAGGAAGTTAGCTTAACTTCGCCGCTGCGCGGAAGATAGTTCCGCTCACGCGGAAGCTTGCGGTCTACACTCGCTTCGCTCGAAAACTAACTTTCAATATTTTTCTACATATTTACCTTTTCCAATCCAAAACTCGATTTTTCCTTTTCTTTATCCTCATATGTTCCAATTCTCAAAGTAACAGCTCCATTCGAATGAATTCCAAATATCGAATCTCTTCTTGAACACGGTAAAATATCCAAAATATTCGACTCGACTCCAATTTTCGACAAACAACACATTAATTCGGGATTTACCAGGTAGATCTGCGAAAAATAAGGTTTTTGAGTGAAAAATCCTGTTTTTAGGGTTAGAATTCACCAAATTTCATCAATTTTCACCCTCAAAAAACTCACAAAATTCTGAATTCCAACAAAAACCACATTTCGATAGGCTTTGTGATATTTTAGAATATGAATATTTGTCGAATTAGTCGAAGTTGTCGAATTTTCGGATAAAACTTGAAAAATATGACCAGAAGATTGAGGTTCTGACAGTGAAACATCACAAGTTACCAGAACTTTATTGCCGGATGAGCTGACTGCAAAAAATAACAGGTTTTGGGGTGAAATTGGTTTTCTAGGCCACCAGAAGCATATTTTTGGGTTTCAAGGCCACCAGAAGCACATTTTTGGGTTTCTAGGCCATAACTTGGTTTTCTAGGCCATCTGGAGCAAATGTTTGGTTTTCTAGGCCACCAGAAGCACAATTTTGGGTTTCTAGGCCATCTGGAGCAAATGTTTGGTTTTCTAGGCCACCAGAAGCACAATTTTGGGTTTCTAGGCCACCAGAAGCACAATTTCGGGTTTCTAGGCCACCAGAAGCACCTTTTTGGGTTTCTAGGCCCCCAAAAAACTCACAAATCAAATTTTTGGAGCAAAACGGGTCCAGCGAAAAATCAAAGAGCGAAAAATGCGAAAATTGATGTGACCAAACTTTTTCGCCCGTCAAAACATTCCATAAAATCAGACAATTTTGCGAGTGTAAAACCAGGATGAAATCCCGTGCAATATCTTTCCAAGGATACCAATACATTTCTGAAATACATATAGTATAATATGCGCAATGCCCGATTTTTGCTCCTAACTTACGTTGAACTGCACTATTCCCATTGTGAAATTGATTGAGTTTTTGAGCTGTCAGCGGGTCACTGATGATAATTTGCCCAGAAATATCAGAAGACGCCAATTTTTTAGGTTCCGGACTCCATCTTATAATATTTATGGCTGCCGAATGCATATCCAATGCTTGAATTCTTTGCATTTTCGTCACATCAACCAGGAAAATCACATTATGTGCACTGTACGCGAGCAAACCCTTGTCGTCCCTGAAAAAACTTTCAAATTTCCCAAGGTTTCTATGATATTTTCTCACCAATCGACAGAATCCTTTGAATTGCTCGGATGCACACATCCCGGGATGGTATGTGGCATTTAAATATCGATTTTTCGACGGTTTGTTTGCTCGAGAAAAAAAATCGAAAAAAAATAAAATAAATTTGGGATGGCTGGGGGACTAGCAATTCCTCGGCCAGGCGATGCAATTGCGCTCCAGCTGACGAAATAATTTCTTTTTTTTTTCACTTTCGTTTCATGCATGTTGTTTTCGGGGGCGAAAAGTGGTTTCTTAGGCGGTGTTTAAAGTAGAAATGCGAAAAAATGAAAAAAAAATGTGTGTTGCGTAAAATGATTTTTCGCATTTTAGTTGTTTTTTTTCGGGTGAAAACGGCAGAGAAATTGTTGTAAATAATTTTCGAAATTTTCAGAGCTTTGAATGAGTCAAACATCACTGGACCCGCCAATCGATATCAAATTCCTGGCAGCAGAAAGTGTTATTTGCTCAGATCGAAGTGTCGCATATCTTGGGCCCTTCGGAAGAACCACCGGAAGAATCGTCGTCACCCGTTATCGCCTTGTTTTCATTGTCGATGATGCCTCCCAAAAATTCCATCGAATTTGGACAATCGATGTTCCATTAGGGCAGATCAGTAAAGTCGAAAAATACGGTGGAAAATCGACAAGTTCAAGGGAGGATGGTTATGGTTTTATTGTGTATTGCAAAGATTATCGCAGCTATAAATTCTCTTCTTCTCCCCTAGCAACTGGTAGAAAAACTATATGCGATGCTATAAATCGCTACGCATTTCCCCTAACAAATTCCCTCCCAATTTTTGCATTTATTCATGCTGCTGAATCACCTGCGCCTTTAAAAGATGGTTGGAAGATCTATAATCCTTTGAAAGAGTTTGAAAGACAAGGGGTTCGCGAATCGAAACAATGGGTTATCCTGGAGACTTTGAATCAAAATTACAAGTTTTCGGATACCTACCCGAAATTGGTAAGGTTTCCCCCATTATTTTGGGTCGGTTTTTCTCAAATAAAACAGGTTCCAGCTCGTGATTCCCAACAACTTCTGCTGATCGTGGCAATGGATTTCTGAGCAAAATCGCAGAGTTTCGAAGTCGCCAAAGAATTCCGGTTTTGAGTTGGTTGAATAAGCAAACTGGGGCGAGTATTACACGATGTTCGCAACCAATGACTGGGATGACTGGGAGAAGAAGCGCGGAGGATGAAAGGTAACAAAATATCTGAAAATTGAAATGAGAGCTCAAAATTTGTTCGAAAATCTCGATTTTCATAGGAAAATGCAGGTTTACTTGTAGTTTCACATGAAAGTTTGAAATTTTCAGTTAAATTTTGACTGAAACATGAATAATCATGCAAAATTTGCCGAAAATTTGAAATTTCACTGAAAACTGCGGTTTTCTCAGTGAAATTTCAGATTTTCAGCAGAAATGCGGAAGCTATGCCCAAATTTTCGATTTTTCAGCTTCCGATAGCTGAAAATTAACATGAGAGCTCAAAATTTATCCGAAAATCTCGATTTCATAGGAAAATGCAGGTTTACTTGCAGTTTCACATGAAAGTTCGAAATTTTCAGATAAATTTTGAAAATGGCGATTTATAATGTGAAATTTGCTGAAAATTTGAAATTTCACTGAAAACTGTGATTTTCTCCAGTGAAATTTCAGATTTTTGGCAGAGATGCGGAAGCTATGCCCAATTTTTTGATTCTTCTGCTTCTTAGAGCTCAAAATTTATCTGAAAATCTGAAATTTTCATAGGAAAATGCAGGTTTACTTGCAGTTTCACATGAAAGTTTGAAATTTTCAGATAAATTTTGACTGAAACATGAATAATCATGCAAAATTTGCCGAAAATTTGAAATTTCACTGAAAACTGCGGTTTTCTCAGTGAAATTTCAAATTTTTGGCAGAGATGCGGAAGCTATGCCCAAATTTCGAATTTTTTGGGAAAACTTGGTTGGAAATTTGGGGCTTTTGACATCTAGAGCTCGTGAATCTGAAATTTTCAGTTTATTTCAAAAATTTCACTCAAAATCCTCGTTTTTTCAGCCATTTGACCAACATAATGCTAGCAAATGCAAATTGTCACCAATTATTGATTTTTGATGCGAGACCAATTGTAAAATGCAAAAGTGAATCGAGCAAAAGGTGGAGGATATGAGGAAAATTATGAGAATGCTTCGTTGATTTTCCTGGATATTCATAATATTCATGTGATTCGAGAATCGCTCAAAAAACTTGTTTTGGCTCTGATTCCGAGGGTTGATGAGAAGAGTTATTATAAAACGTTGGATGAATCGAAATGGTTGAATCATATTCAGGTTTTTGATTTTTGGGCGATTTCTAGATTTTCAGACGGATTTTCTTTTGAAAAAGTTTGGTTGAATCGATAGAATATCGATTTTTACATCGTTCCAATACAATTTCGTTCTGAGATATTCAGAATTATCGATTTTTCTCGAGCTTCGTACGATATTTCGTACCAAAATTAGGATGAATCGATAGAATATCGATTTTTACATCGTTTCATACAAAATTCCTTCTCGGATTCACAAAATTATCGATTTTTCTCGAGCCGCGGACGATTTTTCGTACCAAAATTAGGTTCAAACGATAGGAAATCGTATTTTACATCGTTTCACATCAAATTTATTTCGGGGGCTAACAAATTCACAAATTTTCCTGGAGTTTCTAACGAAATTCCGTGCAATTTTCCCCCAATAATTCATTATTTCAGGCAATCCTCGAAGGAAGTGTAAAAATAGTGCACAACGTGGAAAATAGCAAACAATCAGTTTTGGTGCATTGTTCAGATGGTTGGGATCGAACTGCACAATTGACATCGTTGTCAATGTTACAAATTGATGAATATTATAGAACTCTAGAGGGTTTTATTGGTGAGTTCTACTAGAAAATATTATAAATTTAATTATTTTAAAAATACGTTTTTAGTGCTCATCGAAAAAGAATGGTGCAGTTTTGGCCACAAATTCGGACAACGAATTGGACATGGCGAAGATCGGCCAACTGACAGCGAGCGAGCTCCGATTTTTGTGCAATTCTTCGATTGCCTTTGGCAAATTATGCAGCAAAATGCGACGCGTTTCGAGTTCACCGAACAATTGCTCATAGTAATTATTGATGAGATGTATGCTTGTAAATATGGAACATTTTTGTATAATACGGAAAAGATTCGGCATGCTGATAATGTGGGTTTTTAGGGATGATTTGCGAACGAAAAAATGTTAAAAATCAATTCACGAAAAGTCAAAAAATGTCGAAAAAACATTAGTTTTTTGAGTTTTTCAACCAAAAATGATATTTTTCAAGCTTCTGCAGTAATTTCTGATGAAAATAAGCTTCGAGAACCCTATTTTGCTTTATTTTATGAATTTTTTCGAAATTCATCAAAATTAAAAAAAAAATTTATTTTACGAAAAATCAGCAAATACTTTTTTTTTTTCAATTTTCAATTGACCTTGGAATTCACTTTCCAGAAGGTTTTTGCTGATTTTTCGTAAAATTAAAATAATTTAAATTTTGATGAATTTCGAAAAATTCATAAAATAAAGCAAAATAGGGTTCTCAAAGCTTATTTACATCAGAAATTACTCCAGAAGCTTGAAAAATATTGATTTTTCATCATTTTTGGCTGAAAAACTCGAAAAACTAATGTTTTTTCGACATTTTTTTGACTTTTCGTGAATTAAAAACATTTTTTTCGTTCGTGAATCAGCCTTTTTAAGAACTTGGTCTTGAATTTAGCCTAAATTTCCAGAAATGCGCCGAAAAAACGTTTTCACTTTGGAGTTATGTTATGGAGAATAAGAAACGTTTTCTGAACCCGTTATATGATAAATGTGAGTTTTTTGGGAGTTAGACTAACTTTTCCTGCAAACCCCTAAATTTCCAGACTCGAGTAGCGGACCACTTCAAGTAAACCCGTCATTTTGTCGATTGCAAGTTTGGACGAATTATTATGCGAGATCAAATCCTCACGTTGTAACACCAAAAGATGAGGGAATTCAACAAATAAATAATCGCCAATCTGTCTGCAAATCGCAATTTTTGGAAGAAATCCAACAATTTGACGAGTTTTCCAAGAATTTGGCCGCATAATATTGTGATAATTTAGGTTTTGATGTTGTAAATAATAATTATATACTTAACATAACAATATTTTTATTTATTGCCTTTTTTAGATATCGATTCCTTGACATTTTTCTGAGTCTATCTGAAAATAAAGTTTTTCTTAATTTTTTACTTTTCTGAGATGTTTCGTACCTCGCGAGCTGTTTGAATATGCTCAGCACGAAGAGCAACACGAATTTCAAGGAATAAATCCGAAGAAACTGTGAAATCTGGCAATTCGGAGAGGGAAATGAAGTTCTGAACGAAAAATAAAAAGAAAAAACCGAAGATGCGTCAGGAGAACACTGACGTGTTTTGTGTGCGCGCTAGCCCGCGAATTGATTTTTTGAATTTCTATTTTTGTTTTTTTGTTTTTTCCAAAGTTACCTGAAATCCCATTGCACCATTTCGCAAACCAGTTGGTCTTTCATGTAAATCAAGCATTTCTGGATGTTCTGATGGATCGTAGCAGCGGGAAACTTAAAAATTATTGATTTTTAGTGGAAATCTTCAAAAATAAGGTTTACCCTTCTTTTTCTTGTCCTCTGAAGTGATTGTAAATGTGATTTTGCATTTGAAAGGCCATTCGAGAATTGCGTCAAAGTCGCTTTTCATCAAGCAAACGAAAACTGAGAAATATTCACGAAGCGCTGAAAATTTTCATGGGATTTCTGTTTCTAGGAGATTTTTGAGTCCAGAATTTTTAGAAATGATTCAGTTGCTAAGCGGTCCAGCGTTGCGTGTCGACCTAATTTTGTTTTTAAATTTCTAGTGGGAATATCAATGTCTCATTTCTGAAAATGTGCTAGCATTGTTCCGCAAGCTTCTGGCAAAGTTACCCTAACTTTAAAGTAGTTAAGGTAACCTTGCCGCTACGCGGAAGCTTGCGGAAATAACAAAAAACCATTTTGAAACCCGCCGGATCTGTTATTTTCCCTAAAAATTGATTGAAAAATCGAGGTTTTATGGAAAATTGGCTCTATCCCAATATAAGGGTCCCACGGATATATAAGGGACCCTTATTTTTTTTCGGACCCTTATATTGGGATAGAGCCGGAAAATTTCCAGATTCCGCGTAGGGAAACCTATCGCCAATTTTTTTTCGAGCGAAGCGAGTGTAGACCGCAAGCTTCCGCGCAGCGGCCACGTTGATTACTATGATATGGCAAACGTCATAGCAATCTGCATGGGTGCTAAAGCGGAAGCTTGCGGTCCGCTCGAATTTTCACCAGAAATCACTTCAAAACCCGCCGAATCTAGAAATTTTCCATAAAAATTGATTGAAAAATCGAGGTTTTATGGAAAATTTCAAGATTCCGCGCAGGGGAACCTATCGCCAATTTTTTTTCGAGCGGAGCGAGTGTAGACCGCAAGCTTCCGCGCAGCGGCCAAGTTACTCTATCTTCCTTAGAACATCTAGAAAGTTAGCCTAACTTTGCCGCTGCGCGGAAGCTTGCGGTCTACACTCGCTCCACTCGATTACCTGCTCCATCCCCATACGGTGCACAAATCGCCATCATTTTATAGCCATATCCATGCGAAAAGAAAGGTTGACTATAAATCGAGCGATTCGCTTTATTTTTACTAGCCTTGACGACGGTTAGCCCAATGTTTGGGATATGGAAAATGTGTTGACTTCTGGAACACGATTTTTAATAGTTCTAGGTAGAGTTCTAGATAGTAATTACCCGTATTTCTCGAAAACCGCCTCTGCCAGTTCCATATTTTGTGAAAGATCCACATATTTTTCGACATATGTTGATTGTTGGCGAATTGCATTGTTTCGAATTGGATTAAGAGATTGGCAGAGGAGAAGAAGATGAAGGTTTCTTGAGAAATGGGAAATAATTGGATTTTTTGTATTGAGATTGAGATGGAGGGAAACTGCTATTCTAGAATGTTTAGAAAATGAAAATTTCAGCTAAACCTTTCAGATTTTCACTGGAAATTTGAAGATTTTGCTTGAATTTCATAGAAAAAAATTTAATATATCCCATATGCCTGAACTCTAGAATTTCAGCAAAATTTGAAGGTTTTGCTGAAATTCCAGAGTTCTCGAGCAGGGAAATCTATCGTCAATTTTGTTTTGAAAATTTCGCTTTTAAATATGCCGGAACTCTGAAATTTGATCAAAATCTAGAATTTCAGCTGAAAATTTGAAGGTTTTGTTGAAATTCCAGAGTTCTCGAGCAGGGAAATCTATCGTCAATTTTTTTTTGAAATATTCGCTTTTTCTTCCCACTTATAAATCCGAATCTGCCTGAACTCTAGAATTTCAGCAAAATTTGAAGGTTTTGCTGAAATTCCAGAGTTCTCGAGCAGGGAAATCTATCGTCAATTTTTTTTTTGAGAATTTCGCTTTTTCTTCCCACTTATAAATCCGAATCTGCCTGACCTCTAGAATTTCAGCAAAATTTGAAGGTTTTGCTGAAATTCCAGAGTTCTCGCGCAGGGAAATCTATCGTCAATTTTTTTTTTTGAAAATTTCGCTTTTTCTTCCCACTTATAATTCCGAATCTGCCTGAACTCTAGAATTTCAGCAAAATTTGAAGGTTTTGCTGAAATTCCAGAGTTCTCGCGCAGGCAAATCTATCGTCAATTTTTCCTCCAGAATGCAAAAAGAAAACGTGCTAACAGAACACCAAAACAAACGACAAAAAGCCGCGCAAATCCTAAGTCTCGAAAGGCTGAAAATCGAAGAATTGGGCGGAATAAATCGAGATGAGCACAATTATCTGAACCAAGTCGCAAAAATCATTGAATTCGGGAGTTCGAGAGGAGATCGAACCGGAACTGGAACTATTAGCATTTTTGGAATGCAGAGTCGATATAGTTTGAGAGATGGTTAGTATATATTTAATTCTGAGAAATTTTGGCTGAAAATCTCAATTTTCATAGGAAAATGCAGGTTTACTTGTGTTTTCACATGAAAAATGGGATTTTGAGTCAAAATTTGAACTCTGTAGCTGAAAATCGAGTTTTCTATGGGAAAATTTGGATTTATCTGTATTTTCATATGAAAATCAAAATTTTGACTGAAATTCCATGATTTTCAGACACAATTCCACTTTTGACAACGAAACGAGTATATTGGAAAGGTGTGGTTGAGGAATTGTTGTGGTTTATTTCGGGAGAAACTGATGGTAAAAAATTGAGCGCCAAAAATGTGAAGGTTGGTGTTTTTCATCGAAAATAAGCTGAAAATCATGAAAAATCGATAATTTTGAGCCCAGAAACATCAAAACTTGAATTTTTCTTCCGAACAATAGCAAGTGCGCTCTATTGAGAATCTGGTGTTTTTGAAGAAGTCTTAAACTTTAAAACATCGTCTTATAAGCCGAAAATTGGCAAATGTGCTCCATTGAGAATCCCCCGTGAAAATTCTAAATTTCTATTTAGATCTGGGAACGAAATGGTGATCGAGAATTTTTGGATAAACTCGGTTTTACCGAGCGAGAAGAAGGCGATTTGGGACCGGTTTACGGTTTTCAATGGCGACATTTTGGAGCGAAATATATCGATTGTCATACAAATTATGAAGGACAAGGTGTTGATCAATTGGCTGAAGTTATTCGACAAATTAAAGAGGAACCAGATAGTCGAAGGATTATTTTGTCAGCTTGGAATCCGAAAGGTAAATAATATGAGCAATGCCATATTTATACTCAAAAAACCAGAAATTTCCCTACCTAGCATGAGCAATCTCATATTTATACCCAAAAACCCGATTTTTTCGGGTTTGCGGGGGAGACCCCCGCAGCCCCCCCCTTTTCTAGGCCTTCGGCCTATTTAGCCTAACTCATCTCTTATTTTTCTAGACCTCGATCAAATGGTTCTTCCACCGTGTCACACAATGTGCCAATTTTATGTGAATAATGGAGAATTGTCGTGTCAATTGTATCAAAGAAGTGGAGATATGGTAAGGACTTGAAATTTGACCGCAAGCTTCCGCGTAAGCGGCAAAGTTTGGCTAACTTCTTTGGAAAAACTTTCAAAAAAAGTTATCCTAACTTTGCAGAAGCTTGCGGTCTACAATCTGATTTGAAAATCGCCATTTTCAGCCCTAAACTAGTTCCCGAACTAATTTAGAGCTGAAAAATTAACTGAAAAACTTGCTGAAACCCGCCGGATCTGAAATTTTCCATAAAAATTGGTTTTTCACTGAAAAATCGAGGTTTTATGGAAAATTTCAAGATTCCGCACAGGGGAACCTATCGCCAATTTTTTTCCGAGCGAAGCGAGTGTAGACCGCAAGCTTCCGCGCAGCGGCCACGTGGATTACTATGATATGGTAAACGTCATAGCAATCCGCGTGGCTACTTCACGTGAGCTTGCGGATTACACTCGCTCCGCTCAGATTTTCACCGGAAAAAATTGCTTTAAAACCCGCCGGATCTGCAAATTTTCCATAAAAATTGATTTTTCTTCGAAAAATCGAGGTTTTATGGAAAATTTCAAGATTCCGCGCAGGAAATCTATCGCCAATTTTTTTTCAAGTGTAGACCGCAAGCCAAAGTTACCCTAACTTCTTCAACCTTTATTATCTTTCAGGGTCTCGGTGTGCCGTTCAATTTGGCCAGTTACGGTCTTCTCACCCACATGATTGCTCATATTACAAATCTAAAAGCTGGTGAATTGGTGCACACTTTGGGTGATGCTCATGTTTATTCGAATCACATTGATGCTCTTCAAATTCAATTGGAACGCGAACCTTTTGCATTCCCGAAAATTCGATTTTTGCGAAGAAAATTGAGAATATTGATGAGTTTACGAGTGAAATGATCGAATTGGATGGATATAAATGTCATGCGAAAATTCCGATGGATATGGCTGTTTAAATAGGCCACGCCCCTTTTTCTGTGCGGCGGTGAAATTGCTTTTTTTACTGTGCCCTTCCCCAATTATTGATTTTTCTTCCCATTTTGCTAACCACTTTTTTTGTACTATATGAAGTTTTCAATTACTTTTCTTTTTTGCAATTTTGCGGCATGGTTTTTACGAATTCCTGCTTTTTGATATTTGATTTTTGTTTCCGAAAATTTCAGGGAAATAACAAGCCCCGCCCATTTTTCCGTGCGGCAATTAGGCTCCGCCCCCTATCTCACCTGTCATCTCTCACATGTCTCTTCACATCCATCTCTCCACCTCTCTTATGACAACCATGAATTTTGAATGGGCAATCCACGTCACCACCTACAGTACTCTCTTTCTCGACTACCGTAATCGGCTCGAGATCTTTCGTCACAAGACCATCGGAATTTTCAATTGGTGTGAGATTTCCACCATTTGATGAGTTGCGAGAGATTGGTCTTGGCTGGAAATATTGAGTACTGTAGGAGTGGGCGTGGTCTAAATATGCACACAGTTTTTTTTGAGATTCTCGAAAATGTTAACCAAAGTTGTTTTGAGAACGCAAAAACTGTGCGCGGCAGTTGCATATTTAGGCCACGCCCCTTTACAAACTAACTTTATTTGGATTATGAGGTTCGACTAGAATAGTTATTGGAATATTCAGACTACTCTCATCGACTACTGTAGTTTGCATTGAGAATTTTTTTCGAATGTGAAATTTTTTACGGAATTGAAACCTTGGAGATGGATTTTTTATTTTTGATGTTGGCATGGAAAATGGGCGGAGCTTGGGATGTTTTTCGTGGAATAGAAGAAATTATTGATTTTTCCAAGATGAATCCACTTATATTATCAGTAAGAATAACAAAATCAGGTGGAAATTTGAAAAAGTGAAAAATTTAGATGGAAATGGAATGTATAGTGATTTGGGAAAAATGTTTCTCTCACAGTTTCTGAAGCTTTCCCCAACTCTCCCTAGCTATTCTGGAAATTTTTCATCCCATTTCCAGCTTTTTCCTGATTCATTTGGCTGAAAATCACAATTTAAGACAACTTTTTATAGCTGAAAAGTGTTGCAGCAATGTAGAGCTTGAAATTCTGAATAAGAATGAATAAGGGACCTGTAAAAACAGCAAATTTGAAATTGAAAAATTTTATGTGGCTCATGTTTGAGTCTGATCCATGCGAGCTGAAAATATTGATTGGATTGACGGCTGAAAAGGAAACATTGGAAAAACAAATTTATTGTCAATCATTTTTTATAAACTAACGACCTCCAACCGTAGCATGCAAGACACAGTCTTTTACAGTGAAAATCGAGAGAGACACAGAGAAAAATACAGATTTTGCAGTTTGACGTGAAAAAATGTCACGCAAAAATGTAATTTTCTATACATTTTGAACCGACATCTTTTTATTTTTATGTCATTTCTAATTTCAAAAAATTATATTTGAATTTCTTTTTCTCTGTCTCTCTCTCTCGATTCGCAAAATCTAACAGGGTGTGTAAGTGGAATAGGTTTGAAAAATTAAGGAATGTGGGAGGAAATTCCAGAAAAATGGGGAAAATGGATGGCAACTCGACCCAAAAAATAGAAAACAAACACACGAAATTGTGACAAATTTGAGATTTGGGATATATTTTTCGGAAAATGAAATCATTTTGGTCGAATCTGGGTGTTTCTAATAATTTTTAAAATTGTTGTGAAATCCGAATCTGACGGCTTCTGTTCCATACATTCTCCGGTTCCATACATTTCATGGGTTGCATCCATTAATTTTGGAAGGATTTTTTGGAGATATTCAGAAATAAACAAATCAATTGTTTTTCGATCGATTTCTCCCTTGTGATCACGCATAATTTTTTCGAAATTCTTTTTAAAAATCAAACGAATTCCTGGGAATTTTCTGTCCAAAAACTTGATAATTCGAGGGTAATCTTTTTCAGTATGCAAGATGCTTTCAAGACTTCGCTCAGCGCTTAAACTATAAGAAAAGGTCTTCAATTCGAAATATTCTTCTAATGTAGAGGCGGCTGCTAGTTTTTCTGTTGTTACATATTTATATTCTGTCCAAAGGGCCGGGAGGTTGTAATCCAAGAACTTTTCGCATTTTCTGTCAATCCGATAATATCTACAGCTACGTTGAAAAATGTATAATGATATACAACACGTGCTTCGTTCACTCGTTTGCCTGCTATTTCGTAGTGATCTTCAACAGTGAGACACAATTTCTTGATTTTGGCCAACTCTTCATCCATATCAAATTCTGTGATATTTTTCTGTAATTGAAGCAAAAAATAGGTTTAAAAAATTACCTGCGCTTATACCGGTAACATAATAACAAAGATAAATAATTAATATGGGCAACATTATTTCGAAAATGTTTTCTATTGTAAATTCACACAAAATTAGACAAGCGACCTAATTTTGCGAGAAAGGGAAAATATTTTCTATCCATAAACATATAAAACAAAATCTGATTAGGAGATAAAAGGAAACAACACAAAATCGAGAAATATACACACGGTGAGACCACACAAAAAACCCGTTGCGAAATTTAAAGTCGGTTAGACAGCTATTCATTCCGGTTGACCGAGACCACCCACGAAGAATCTGACTTGAACTGGCCTTAACTTGAACCAAACTAAAGATAGAAATGAACTATTTTGAAAATATAATAAGTTCGAATCTTACTGTACTCTTCGTCCAAAAAATGACATAGCTCAGGGCCAGTGGGCCAGCTACACATTTTTCGAGATTCGATTTACTGCGAGTCGCCCCAACCGCGCCTCAAAAGTAGCGAGTCTCCGGGCAACTCGCCACATGTTTTGCCCATTTTTTAAAGGTGGAGTCCGACATAAAAATAAGTTGGGCTCATTTGAGAGAGAGAATGATACAATTAATACATTCCTCGGAGGATTTTTAATGAAAATCTTTTGAAACATTTGTAAAACAAGCTCACAATCAAAGTTCATAAAAACAGTGACACACCGTGTAAAATGGCTTGAGAAAAGTAAAAATGCAAATTTTTCAAGTAGTTTGGCGCGGTGTTTTCTTGCATTCAATACAGATTTTCATTAAAAATCCTTCGAGGAATATGTACCTAATTGCAACATTCTCTTTCAAATAAGCCTAAATTATTTTTATGTCGGACTCCACCTTTAATTCACAATTTAATTTACTCAAACAAACATTGTTCTCCAACAGCTCTACAAGCCAATTCCGGAGTAAATCCATGTTTATCAATCAATGTCTTCTGCCTTTTTAATAATCACTGTTAGAGACTGTAAAATAGTTCACACGAACACACCACACACACGCGGCGAGGAAGCAGCAGCGTGTTTACTTTCACACCAAACACACGAATACACTAGACACCCGAAGACACTATACCCGAATACACACTGCACACGAAACACACTGTTTTTTCTGTGTGTGTTTGGTTGAAAACACACGCAAAAAAAGTAGTGTATTCAGGGTGTAGTATTCGTGTGCGTCAGTGTATTCGTGTGCTATGTATGTTCAGGGTGCAGTGTGTTTTGCCCTGTGGTGACCTTGTTCGTGCTGAATTTTACATAAATGTGTTTTTCGGCACACGAACACCACTTTTTTTACAGCTTCCTAATCACTGTACTAAAAACCTCGAAAATCCCTCTTGTAACCATTCCGTGAATATTCCCTCACAAATTCTTTCCAAAAAAGTTCCAAAAATTGTAATTAGGCTGTTCGGAGCACTAATTGTTCTGACACAAATTGACATTATATGAATTGTTGCTCTTCGAAATATGACAGTTCTCCGGAAATTCTGATAGGAAAGAAATTTAGGACCGAGATAAATATCAGAAAACAAGATTTCATGATTTTATTGCCCAAGCCAGAAACGTTTGGAGCCTGATTATAAATCAAATAAAAAAATGTCTGTTGGGAATTTTGTTCAACAAACAAAAAACAATTCGGATTTTTCAGCATTCACTTTTTATTTTAGAAAGTACTGTACACGCCTTCAAATGAAAAATGTGAAAAATCAATCGAATGTGTATTAAAACATGCTTATTAGGAGTGTCTAATAATAGACGAAAAAAGCCATCTTTCCCCGACTCAAATATTACACCCAATGGTTTGTAACATCTCAAAATACGGCGTCGTATACTTATCGGCCACCCTGTATAGCTACAGTAATCTAAAGGGACATTTTTGAAACTTTTTCGGAGGCTCAAAAAGAAGTCTATCATCTTTGTCTGACACTTCAAATGTTTTTTTTTTCTGAAAATCACATCTTGTCTGAAACGGATTCATTACTTCCCAAAACATTTTTCTAAAATTCCAGATTTTCTCAAATCTTTCTCCAGAAAAAGTTGAAATAAAAGTGAGTTTTTTCTAGAATTCAATTTTTTTTTTTCAAAATTGAATTTTCCATTTTCAGAATAATCTTTCTGATATTCTTGAGAATTTCTGAAATTTTCGGATAACCTATTTTTATTGAAAAACCAATTTTTATGGGGAAATTTCAGAATCCGGCAGGTTTTCAGTTCCAAATCTTCGACACATAAAATTTGGAAATTCATAAGTGTTAGCATTACCTAAATAAAACTCTCATAAAATTTCAGATAAATTTTTTCCTTGAGCACTTCGAACAATATTGTGAGAAATTGAGTGATTTCTCACCTAATTCTCAACGAATTTATCATGAAAACCCAACGCAAAACCCAAATCTGAAAGTGAATTTTATCTAAAAAATTCCTAAAGCTCTTTAAACATTAAGATAGGAACTCAAATGTCTCCCCTTAACTTGAAATCGACGACGTTGTTATAATTCTGACCATCTTGATCTCTCAATTTTTCATCATAATCAATTTCTAACTTTTTTCCCACCAAAATTATTTTAAATCGGGCTTGTGGCTATTCTTATGGCCAGCACAATAAGAATGTATATTGGGCTTGGAGATATTTTATAACCTGAACTCTAGACGAGAATAGAAATTCCAAGCTTGTCCAAATTTTAATTTTTGCTCAAATACCCGCGATTCGAAAACATAACTCTGATGCAGTTTATGAATTGAAAGGACTACAAAATTAATTTCTTGAATCGCGGGTATTTGAGCAAAAAATATAAAATTTGATGACTTGGGTTTCTATTCTCGTCTAGAGTTCAGGTTATAAAAATATCTCCAAGCCCAAATACATTCTATTATTGGCCATAAGGAATGTAGCCACAAGCCCGATTTAAAATAATTTTTGGGAAAAAAGATTAGAAATTGATTATGATGAAAAATTGAGAGATCAAGATGGTCAAGTATAACGGCGTCGTCGATTTCAGGATAAGAGACATTTTGAGTTCCCATCTTAATGTTTAAAAAGCTTTAGAAACCACATAAAATTTACTTTCAAATCTTCAGAGAATCTCAGTAAAAGTTCGGGACGATGAAAATAAAAAATGCATAGATTTTTATATGAAAATAATACTTTTCGAGTTATCTTATGGCAATTTCAAGAAGTTTTTTGAGACTAAAAATAATTAAATAATTTTTTCAGTAATACCTTCAGATTTCCGAAGGTCTTACTGAAGTTTCAGAACTCAAGAAAACCATAAAGAAAAATATGTTTCCAATGTAGTCTTTTTCTTATGATTTTTAACAAAAATTTGAGATTTTCAAAAAAATTCGATCTTTCCTGATGCTCCGAAGATCTTGCTGAAGTCCAGGATGATTAAAATCGAAAAATTCAATGATTTCTGTGTAAAAATGAAAAATTTCGAATTTTCAACAAGTTTTTGAGATTTTTTAAAAAAATCCCGATCTTTCCAGTGTCACCTTCTGATGCTTCGAAGATCTTACTAAAATCCAGAATGGACTGTAAACATCGGAAACTAACAAAAAAACATGTTTCCAAAACAGTCTCATCATTTTCCAAAACTTTCAAAAAAACTTGCACTCGGCAGGGGTCGAACTCGAGACTAACCAGTGTCAACGTTGCTCAACCTGCCAGATGGGACAAAGCCATGCGTTATGACAAACCTATTATTTCTTGATTGCGCAAAAGCTTGCGCGGCTGAAAATTTCTGTAAATTGAGCTTTTTCGACGCGGGAAAAAGATTTTCCGGTCTATTTTTCGATTCTGAAGACACTGGTTATATCAGAAACAACACTAGAAAATACCTTTTTGAAACGGACTTTTCTCGGCAATATAGATCTCAAAAAGAATCTACCTCGAATTCCAAAAAATCCAGTCGAACAATTTTTTTGTAACAGTGCCCTAAAGGGGGTATTTTTTAGGTGCTCTTTCATATTTTATTGTCAAAATAATAGGTTGCAGGCCTGGATTTTCTCGGAAAAGCCGATTTTTAAATTTCAAATTATCTTCCAGATGCCATATCATATCATAACTCATCTTAAAAGTGGATATGCGACTTCCTAGTATTTTTCGTTGATTTTCTACACGCGCCAAAACACTACATTTTTGAAAAAAAAATCATTTCGCTACGTTCATTTTGAACCAAATTACGGTTCCGTGGAGTTTCAAGTCAGAAAAAACTAAAATTAAAAATTTTCAGCTTCTCATCATCAATTTACAATGTCTTTTTTTTTTTGAAAAACGCGAAATTATGTGCTGCGTCTTACTAAATCAAGTGATTTTTCAAAATTAAGACAACCTAGAGTAGAAACTTGGGTTCAAAAATCGTCATTTTTTCAATGGTCCCGCATTCGACGCAAGATATCACAAATTGACGTAACTCCGAAAAACACCTCGAGGTATTCACATTATCTATCTTTTAAAAAAAAAAAAGAGCTTGAAATTTCATGAAGTACAAATTGCTTTACGGTGGTACATGCGAAGGGTCTTTTTTGACTTCTCGGCGGAGTTAGCGTAAAGTCAGAGGCAATTTCAGAAAAAATCCCATGATAGGTTTTTCCTCATTTGGGGTGTAGATCAAACTGGAAAAGCGTTGACCCGAACAAAAATTTCGAAAAACTATCCCAAGCCCAAATAGGCGCAGTCTGAAAGCCTGCACCTAATCCCAATTAATTTATCCTAAACCTTTCGACCTCAACTCAAACAGCAACCAAAAGCTGAAACAACCAGCGAAAACACGCTAAAAATCGAGGAAAAAAGAAGAAGAAAACCAAATCTAAACCAAAATTGGATTCACCAAAATCCACAAAATATCATCTTCTCCTTGATTAAAAATCTTCACATCTCGCTTCATTTCACAAATCCAAGTTTTATCGTTTTTATTTGGAGATTCATATCGCAAATAAACAGCGAGATATTTGAAATTGTTTTTATCCGTGAGTTTTATGTGCATCTTTCTGAAATTTGAATAATTTCAAAAATATTTTTTATGAAGAAAAAACTCACCAATCAATAGAATCGATTGTGAATTTATCACTTATATATTCCATCCCGCTGGTAATTCTTGAACTTTTTCGAATTTTTGTTGGAAAACGAAAAAAAGACAATATCTTATATCTTGCAGCGAAAAAAAAAGGGGCGTGTTTGTTTTCTGTGTACGATATCCCCGCGAAAACGCGGTTTTGAATTTATTCTCTCATTTCGGTGCCAGCCACTTTGACCGTTGATAATAATTTTTCCCGCACTTCAAACTAAAAATGTTCTCAAAAAAAACAGAGATTTTTCTCACCCTTTTGATTTGCTTCAAAATTTCTGCAGTTTCCCGAAATTTTTGATATTTTTCAGAGTATTCTTGAGTGATGACATGTATAATCAATGAAAAAACGGGTCGAAAAACGGTTGAGGACGAGATAAACTCGCTGTTGAAGTTCTACGCCTATGATGACGCACCGATTTTTCTAGCCGAATTGAATTTTCAAGAAGAAGGTATGGGAATACTTTAAGCGTTTTTCTGGTAAAAATCAATATTTTTGCAGAAAATTCGGATGAATCTCTTTATTTATTCGGCCGATTGTCTAATCCGAAGCAACAAAAAAGAGGAATGTTACGGTCTGCTGAAAACTCGTGTAAGAAATGCCGCCAAAACTTCGCTACATTTTCGCCAAATGCTGTTTTGATTTGTCGAAAATGGAAGGATTGTCAAAATTCACTTTTTGAACAAGAATCTGGTGAAATTCGCGCGGAATTGTTGGAAGACGAGGAAGTTGCACCACATGCTCGTTCTTTGTATTCTGCGTTGCCATGGTGAGACTGAAAATGCTGAAAAATTGTAGTTTTATTGAGAAAATGAGGGATTTTTCGGTCTAGGAAGAAAGGGATTTTTGCTGAAAAAAGTTTTCGATAGGAAAAATTGATTTGAAAATTGAAGCATACTAAAAAATTAATTAGTTTTGTTGAGAAAATGATGATTTTTTTGTCCGCAGAAAGTAATTTTGTATGAACAAAAATTGATTTTTTCAATAGAATTCACTCAAAAATATCCATTTTCATCCCAAAAACACGACTTTTACCCATTTTTTTCAAGGTTTTTGTTACGTTGTCCAAGTTTATCGAACTTGGATTTCGCTGGTTGACAAAGGATTCAAGTGGATAAAAACCACTCTTTACAAACAAGAAATAAGACAAGAGTTTGAATTACAATCGATTTATTGATCGCAATTCATTTTATAACAAGATGGGGACGGTTTAAGACCGTCCAGAGACAAACAAACTACAAAAACCTACAAAACAAGGAAAAACACCAAAACTCTCTTCGAAAACTTGAAAAAGAAAGTAAAAACCGAAGAGGCGCACCACAAACGCGTCAGTGCTTTGACGTTGGCGCGTTTGTGGCCTGCACTCGCGGCTATTTGAAAAAGGATTTTATTCACACAACTGTGACTTCCCCCTCCTTTAACAAAAAGCCGTCCCGGCTTTTGCCTTAAAACTGAAGAGTTGGTAAACATGGGCATGGGGATAACACAATCAAAAAAATTTTACTTATTTTTTGTCTTCTTGTTAGCCAGTCACCAAACATTTTTGATGCTGTGCTCCGTCCCATCCCATCTCAATCTCAATCCACTACACATCATATATCCACTTCCAACATCATATTTCCACTTTGAACATCTCAAATCCATCAATTATCAACCTCTCACATCATCCAGAATTTCTTCAAATATCCATCAAATACTCTTAACTTTCTATCCGCATCATATTTCCAGCGTCATAAGCATATGCGCCATTTTTTCTCTTAATTTTCACGTGCTCTGGTTCCCGATGCCTGGCTCGAACATCCACCTTCTTTTCGCGCGCTTTCCAGCCAGTTTCTTCTGCTACTTCTCTCAACTATCATAAATTTCCAACTCATCGAAACACCATCACCCAGTGTCCACTTTGGCGTCAAATACTCCTAACTTGACGTTCGAATCAATTTTTCATTCTTTCGGAGTCGCCTTTCTGGACCTTTTGTACGGGATTTCCTATCCCTCTACTCGCACTCATTCCTCGATCACTCTCGGCCAGCTTCTCCTTCTCTTCTTCCGACTTTCAACCTGAAATTCTCTAACAACCCATTTTTTCCTTGAATTTTTTCCACCCCAAAAGCATACCAATTACTTCCGACAATCTTATGACAACACTATAACGGCCCAAACAGAATCTCGGTCTTCTTTTGGTCTCATCATCTCTTTCTGGAATCACCAATAACCCATCGTGCCCTCATGACCATGCTTCATCGGATTCTCCATCTTCCACAATTTTTCAGCTTCGGATTTCCAGATTCCTTCATTTTGTCAGCTCTCATAACCAATCATTGTCACAAATATCAAGCCATATCTCCATCGTTTGCTTCCTGCCACCAATTTGTTGTTTCATATCCAAATCATCGTTCACTTATCTGCTTCTCAGCACCATCATTTCCCTATCCGGGGTGAGAAATACCACTAAAGGAAGACCGGAGACATAACTAAACGACAACCTGGACGAAAGAAAGGTCAGTTCAATCAGTTCAGAAGTACCCCCATGTTACGGTTGATCTGATTTTATCGAAGCTTGGACACCGCTCAGTTGACAAGGGATTCAAGTGGAATTAAAAACCACTCTTCTGAAGCAAGAAATAAGACAAGAGTTTGAATTACAATCAAGATTTAGTGATCGCAGTTCATTTATAACAAGATGGGGACGGTTTAAGACCATTAGAGACAAACAAACCCAAAAACCCTACAAAACAAAAGGAAAAACACCGCCAAAACTCTCTTCCAAAACTTGAAAAAGAAAGTAAAAACCGAAGAGGCGCACCACAAACGCGTCAGTGCTTTGACGTTAGCGCGTTTTGTGTGCACTCGCGGCTTATTTGAAAAAAAGGATTTTATTCACACAACTGTGACTTTTTTCTTAACAAATGCCCAATTTTCAGTTTCGAATCAACAACACAACATATATTTTCACGCAACGTAACACGCTCATCGCATACTATTGGTTTGATACAGGATTCAGATACAAACTTATTGCACTTATTTTCATTCTTCTCAGTATTTACGCGGGTGTTCAGGCTACAAAATCTCAAATGGAACCTATAATCGACAAGTCCAGCTGTCTTAGGGCTTCACCATTGGCAACAACAGTGAGTTGTTAAACTAATATTTGTGCATCACACATTGTATGTTGAAATATTTTTCAGTTATATTCAGCTGGTATATCACATCTCGGTGGTTTTCTGAGGGATACTTGCGAATCAAAACATTCCAATCCAATCCAAATGTCACACGTTGAGAAGTGTAATCATGATTGTATTGGATGTAGTTGGACATATATTGGTTCCGGTTAGCGAGGATCCTATTCTATGCGATCTTTTCGACGACAAATCGTAAGTTATTTTTAATCTCTCGAAAAATAACCGCTTTTTCGGAGCCGGCTTCAAAGAGGAATATAATATATTTTTTAATTGGTCCCGAAAGAAGCTTTTATTACCAGTTCTTATTTCGATGTACATTTCACCATTTCAGCGCGCTATTCCAAAATCGAACTATGCATTGTGAGGGGATTGTTTCAATTTGTTGGAAAAAAAGAAGCGCATAAAGTTAACTTTATTTTCTAAAATTATCATTTCTAGTAACTGACGTTTCATATTTCCAGAAGTTATCGAAACCAATTAGACAGTTGAACGCCATTACCTGAAAAAAGATGCTATGCGACGACAGAAGGAGTTGCAAAAAATCGATTCACCGCATATTTCACATCAACTCAATATTTGACAAAGAAGAAATAGATGATGTAAGTTTTTTTCTCAAAATTGCAGTTTTTTCTAATTCAACAAACGCACGAAAATAAAGACTGAACTAAAAAATATTCGTTTATAATCAACCATTGAACGTAAATCATTTCAGAGTGATATTGAGACAGTTTGCAAGACAATCCTGGAGTGCAGAACAAAGAAATGATTTTTTTATTATGTAAATTTTTTGGTGTTTTTTTCATTTCCTTTTTCTAAATTATTACCTCTCGTGTAATATGATATTTTATATGATATTTGTACATTGATATCTACATTTTGTCGCCGAAAAATACGACCTATGTTTTTTCCAGAATAAACGAATTCAATGAATCTTTCGGTTTTTAATTATTATACTTTTCAAAGCATGTGTTCTCCGAGAGAAGTACACGAACGAAAACGCGCTCCATTGCAAATAGGGTCTCGCAGCGAAGACGTTGCGGCAAATTTGGAATTCCAAAAATATTTTTCTTTTTTTTGCAGTGGTTCCAGCTTTTTGACGCTTTCCACGCCATACTGGTGTTGAAATGACGTAGCATTTGTGAATATCAATTTTCAGGACCTCCAGAAATGGCATCGGCAGCAAAGAAAATGAAATTCGACGAAAAAAACGAGCTGGTTCGATATGCCATACGAAATGAGAAATATGATAATCGATTTAATGGATATTCAAACAACAACACGATTTTCGCAATGTTCAATTGATTGTTATGAAGAAGTTGGGAAATCGCTGAATTTCATCGACGAAATCAAAATCGATCAGAAGGATAATTTCGGCTCGTGTGTGGTTTTTGATTTGAAAAAGAAGGATTCAATAGAGAAATTATCGATTTGTGATTGGAGCATCGGAGTTTTCTGCGAAAATGGCGCGTGATTTCAAAAGGAAGGCATAAATGTCACAATGCGGGAATTCGTATGACTGGTGGATTTTATCATGAGAGAATATATGAGCATACAATTCAATTTTTGAATGGTTTGATGAAAATTGCAAGGAAAAGCCTGAGAAAACTCCGAAATTGATGCGGTAAGTACTCAAATTTGGTTGTTTTCCTTGAAAAAAATACGTCGATTTTCAGGTGGATTTCCCATATAATCGATCAAAAATTGGATATTTGCCAAATCTTGAAGAACTTCGAAGATTATCTCCACATTTGAAAAAAAGAGATTGTTGTGAAATTATCGATCCGATTGATTGCAAATTCATTGAATTCAATCAAATTTGTAAAATTCGAAAATATTTGTCAATTCCAAGATTATCATTATCCTATGTTTTGCACTTGACAGCTGAGAAAATCTATATTGCTTATGTAACAAGTGCTCCCTTGATTTTTCGCGATTTCCTCCATTTTATTCCGAAATGCTGAAATTGATGAGAATATTCGAAATATCAGATTTGGAGTTGAACATGATTCTTCTTCCTGTTCTTACTCTTCTGGTTTTTTTTATGAAGATAGTCGTGAGGAAGCAGTTTTTTGATATAATCAAAAATGTTGAGGGAAAATTTGCGGAACGTGTGACTTGTGACAATCGAAGACACGAATTTATGCAGGCAGAGATATTTGAAGAATCCCGAAAAAATGCTGATTGTTGGCGAATTTTATAATACAATTGAAATTGAGGACGAAAATCGGGGGATTTGAGGAAAAGGATTGGACTATGCTTTAATAATGAAGTTTTTTTTGATGGTTTTAAGTGCATTTGGCGCGAGTGTAGATCAAAATTCCGCGGAAGCGGTTCGAGCCGGAGCGAGTGTGTGTCCCTTTAAACTACTATAGATTTATTGTACTGTATGAGTCCTTTATACAACAATATTATCCCAAAGATCATGTTTTTGCGCTCCATCGAAATAAACACGCAACGCAGACCGCGCCGCGCTATAACACACACACAAATAAAGGAACGATTCAAATTCCCTCCCTTTTTTGTGTGTTGTGGCGCGACGCGGTCTGCGTTGCGTGTTTATTTCCGGTGGAGCGCGTGGTACCGATGAGATTCACGATAATAATTTGAAGGGACATACACTCGCTTCGCTCAAACCGCTTACGCGGAATTTTGCCGATCTACACTCGCGCCAGAGGCGCTCGGATTATTTAACAATTAATTTATTCCGAGAATAAACTAGAGCAAAATTGAAAGCGACATTCAAAAATTCCAATTTTGTCGAATCCTGGAAATTTTTGAAGTTCTTGTCTTCCATCACGATTTTGAGATCTCTTCCGCGATCGATATTTTCGAGAATTGTTGCCTGAAAAAGAAATGTTATGCATTACTATTTTTTCTGCGACTTACAATTTTGGAAGTTTCTCCGGTTTTTCTCAGCATCTTTGATTTGTTGAATAATTTCGTCGCTTTCATTTGTTCTTGAAATAATCTTGGCATTTTTTTGGTCAATGAAGAAATTTCGAATCTTTGGAGACAATTCCAAAATAAACTCATAATTATAGGCTGAAAAATACGTTCAGGAATTTTTAAAAAAACTTTGAAAAATAACTCACTATCAATTTGAATTGGATCTGGCAACAAAGCTGCCAAAAATTGAACAAATTGCGAATTTTCGACACCTTCGATGATTATTGTTGTTTCATCTTTTTCGACGAATCTTTCGTATTGGAAAAACTTGGGAAAATATGCGGCAAAATACTGAAAAAAAAAATTATAAATTTTCAAGAAAAATGATGAGGAAAAACGAACTCTTTTTTGTTGACATGATATTCAACATTTCCAACTTGAAATAAACCATCAGTAAAGCATCCGGAATATTTTGAGAAATCGTAGACTTTATATGACAAGTCACATTGGATAATAATGTTCATTCGAGACGATCCAAAATGTTTTTCAAGATCGGACCATTTGATTGATGGACATGGATCATTGGAGTTATGCAAAACTTTTCCATTTGAATCGAATACTTTGAAAGTGTGGTCAGTTTCAGAATATTCATCCAATTTTTGGTAAGGTTTATCCTTATGATCTTGACACAAACAAATCTCAAGATATCTGATTTGATCTTTTGTATTGTAACCGGCATGAATGAACCTGCAAAAAAACTTTCCAAAGTATTTGAAAAAATATTTATTCTTACCATTTCACATCAGTCTTGATATGTTTACGACTGAGTCTTCCATTTTCTATTCATACGATCGACATCTTTGACTTCCCATTCGAGTGTTTCTTTTTTATTGATCACTGGTTCATTTTTTTCGGTATTCTTCTAAAAGAATTCCCTCAAAAAATGAGCGAAAATCGCTCCAAAAATTAAGATGAGGCAATGAAATCGTGAGGTGAGACCATTTATTGTGTGCATTTGTGCGTCACGGTGTTTGCGGACTGGGAGGTGGCTTTGGCGAGATTTCAGCATTTTAGAGAGGGTTTCTGAGAATGCTGAATATATCATCAGATTCGTCTCGTCGATGAAGAAGGAAAACTATTTCTTTTTTTCTGAATTGCATTTTTTCAAAAAATGTTGTTTTGCTGAAAAATGAAAAAAAAAGAAAAATAATAAATGAAAGGCGCACACATTTTTCAAAAAAGGAGGTCTTGACGCGATCACGGGATGTTTTTTTTTTAATTTTATTTTTTGTGGCGTCATTTCAATTTGAAAATGAACCCGATTGTCAGCAATTTCAACAAAATTCGATGGAAATTCGAAAAAATTCAAGAATTACCAGCGGATGGAATATATAGTGATAAATTCACATTCGATTCTATTGATTGGTGAGTTTTTTTCTTTTAAAATAGTGTTTTGGTATAAAAAAATTATTTGAAAATTTCAGGAAAATTCGCTTAAAACCCACAAATAAAAACAATTTCAAATATCTTGCTGTTTATTTTCATTACGATTCTCCAAATAAAAAAGATAAAACTTGGATTTGTGAAATGAAGCGAGATGTGAAGATTTTGAATCATGAAGGAGAAGATGATATTGTTCGAAGTGCTCAAGATTGTTATGATTGCGATTCGACAAATTGGGGATTCACTCATTTTGTGAGATTATCGAAATTGTTGTCTGGAGATTATATTATTGAAAATGATGCAATTGTTGTTGAAATCGATTTTAGCTTCAAATATTATGATTTTTCGAGAAATGTTCCGAATTATAGTGATTTTGAGATTATTGTTGATGGAACTGTGTTCAGAGTTAATAAAGGGGTATGTTTTTGTGAGCGCCTCTGGCGCGAGTGTATGTCCCTTTAGCTTTGGGGTACAATGTATGCACCTTTAATCATTGCTACAGTAATCTAAAGTGACATACACTCGCTCCACTCGAGCCTGCTTACGCGGATTTTTGATCTACACTCGCGCCAGAGGCGCTCGAGGTACTGTACTTGTTCCGAGCGTCTTTGGCGCGAGTGTAGATCAAAATTCCGCGAATGCGGTCTTCGAGTGTATGTCCCCTTTAGGTTTAGGGGTACAGTATGCACCTTTAATCATTGCTACAGTAATCTGAATGGACATGCACTCGCTTCGCTCGAGCCGCTTTACGCGGAATTTTCATCTGCTCGCGCCAGAGGCGCTCGAGTACTGTACTTGGTCCGAGCGCCTCTGGCGCGAGAGTTTAGATCAAAAATCCGCGTAAGCGGCTCGAGGCGAAGCGAGTGTATGTCCCTTTACATTACTGTATGAGCCTTTGAACTTAGCTACAGTAATCTAAAGGGACATACACTCGCTCCCGCTCGGGGGTACACGGTCTACGCACTTGCGCCAGAGGCGCTCGAGTGCTACTTTTGTTCCGAGCGCCTCTGGCGCGAGTGTAGATCAAAAATCCCGCGTAAGCGGCTCGAGCGAAGCGAGTGTATGTCCCTTTAGACCCACTGTAGGAATGATTAAAGGTGCATACAATACCCCTAGCTTCGCTCGAGGCCGCTTACGCGGATTTTTGATCTACACTCGCGCCAGAGGCACTCGAGGTACTGTACTTGGTCCGAGCGCCTCTGGCGCAGTGTATGAATCAAAAATCCGCGCAAGCGGCTAGCGAGCGAGGGGCGAAGGTGGCAATGCCCATGTGGCTTTAAGGGGTACTGTATGCACCTTTAAATATACCGAATGTTTTGCAGAATCTTTGCTCGCGAGTCGATTTTTTCTATGATTTATTCGTTGTCAAGAAATATGAAGGAGACTTCAATCACTCTTCAAAATAATATTGATCCATCAATAATTCGACAATTTTTAGCAACTTGTTATCCCTGGATTTACGAAAATTAAAACTGTAAAATTGGATGAACTTGTAATGTTTTCTGATGAATTTGGAGCGAGAGATTTGAAGCGGATTTGTGAGAAATATTTGATGAAATCGGAAAAATCGGATTTTGAGAAAATCGAATATGCGGATAAATATGGATTGTCGGAATTGTTGGATAATTGCTTGAAATCAATGACATCTTCAGGAGATATCAAAAAAAAACTACAGAAAAATCTGGGATTTTTGAGATTGAAGGATGCGACAAAATTGAGTATCATGGACAGATTATTGGAAATTGTATGAGAGTTCTATTTAGGGAATAAATGAATATGAATTTTAAATTTTAATTTATTGTGTCGAAAAATGCTGAAAATTTGGATTTTCCTATAGGATTTTTCAAATTTTTACCTGAAAATGAAAATGCTCTGAAACCCGCCGAATCTGAAATTTTCCCTAAAAATTGATTCGAGGTTTTATGGAAAATTTCACGATTCCGCACAGGGTAATCTATCGCCAATTCTTTTTTCGAGCGGAGCGAGTTTAGACCGCAAGCTTCCGCGTAAGCGGCCACTATCTTCCGCTTCAGCGGCCACGTGGAATTATGATACTGTGAGTTCGACACGTCATAGCAATCTACGTGGCCGCTTACGCGGAAGCTTGCGGTCTACACTCGCATTTTTACCTGAAAATGTTTTGAAACCCGCCGAATCTGAAATTTTCCCTAAAAAATTGATTGAAAAATCGAGGTTTTATGGAAAATTTCAAGAATTCACACAGGAGGAACCTATCGCCAATTTTTTTTCGAGCGGAGCGAGTGTAGACCGCAAAGCTTCCGCCACGCGCATTATATAGGTTTTTCCACGTCGGTTTTTAATATCGAAATTTAAAGGGACATAAAATATTCATTATTCAATCATCAAATGACCAATCATCAGTTTCTTGATTTCTAAACATTTCTTCTAATTTTTCGATATCATAATCGTATTCTGGCTCTGTGATACATGATTTCACCGGTTTTTCAACTGGTTTAATCATTTCTTCAAGAATATCACTCCCTTTTTTCGGCTTCACAGGTTCTTCAGTACTATATCCCTAATTTCATCATTTCTTTTATAAATTCATCAGGTGTATAATATATTATTTTTGGTTTTTCTAACTTATGTAGTCTCATATATTCATTACTCCATCTGTTTTTTGGCCAATTTGCTTCTTTCATTTGTTTTCTTGCAATCAATTTATATTTCTTCAAATTCTCCTCGAATTCTTCATATCTATCCCAGCTTTCAAGAGGTGTCAATTTTTCTTCCGCAACTTTTTCCATTTTGTCGATTTTCAGCTTCTTCAATGAATTTCATCATATTTTCATCAGGTTTTTCGATTGTTTCACCTTCAACTTTTTCCCACAAATAAGTTATTTTAACTGAATCTGGTTTTGAGGAATCATTGATAATATCTAGATTATAAAAGCACGAGATGCTGCCCAGAAAATATACCAAAATCAGGGAAGAAGAAGAAGATCTGCTGGAAGTTTATTATTGGGGGAAATCTTGAGGAAAAACTCACATTTCTGAGCATCTTCTTGAAAGTTTTCAGATATTTTTGAAGTGAATTTGAGATGGGTTTAAATAGTGACTGGACATATGATATGAGCAACTGTTTCAGACGAGAAAATCATAAGTTTCAGACGGAAATTTCTGATTTTGAGCTACAGCAACTAGCAGTTGCTAATTTTCTCTAATTTTTGAAATCAGGAAGTGATCAAGGTTCAGAAGCGTCAGGGGCGCTCGAGATGAGATGCGCGCCTTTAAATATAGCTACAGTAATCTAAAGGAACATAAACTCACGCTCCGCTCGAACCGCTTACGCGGAATTTTGATCTACGCTCGCGCTAAAGGCGCTACTCGGGACACTGTATACCACTTAAAGGAACACATACCTTATCCCGAGCGCCTTTGGCGCGAGTGTAGAATCAAGATTCCGCGCACGCGGTCGAGCGAAGCGAGTGTATGTCCCTTTGAATTACTGTAGAGGACTTAATGTGATCATAGATGCTACAGTAATCTAAAGGAACATACACTCGCGCCAAACGCGCTCGGGATACTGTATTAATAAATTTTTTGAATTCTTCTAGATTTTTCCGTAACTGTTTATTGCTAAAAAGTACATACATCTGGAAAATCATAATTTTTTATTTAATAAAATCTTTTTATTCACACATCTACTGACACATTGCATATAATTACGATCTTCATGACTTTCTCCCCAATTATATTGTTTTTGGTTCTGGTTTTGGTTTTGGTCAAGTTGTTCATATTTTCTTTCTTCTTCTTCAGAAGTCATCATTCTCCCATATTCTCGTCTACCATCATACCAGCCAAACTGTGTTGGCCACGAAAAACACCAAAAATATGAGGAAAACCAAGAAAACTTTGCTGAAAATTCGATAGTTTCAGAGAAAATGAAGGAAAAACTCACATTTCTGAGCATCTTCTTGAAAGTTTTCTGATATTTTTGAAGTGAATTTGAGATGGGTTTAAATAGTGACTGGAATTATGACATGAGCAGCTGTTTCAGAAAAATTGTGATTTTTTGAGCTACAGTATTTCTAGAAAAAAATTCCCATCAATCATATTTTAAAGAAGAAGCAGGTGCTGATTTTCTAGAACTCAGAAACTTTAAATCACAAGTTTTCAGAGAAATTTCTTCAATTCCCCAAGTTTTTTCCAGAAAATGTTCAAGGTAAGCCTGAATTAAAATATTTTTCTTTTGAAACAATTTCCAATTGTTCAGAATTTCCTTATTCTTCTGATTCTAATTTCAATCTTCTTTTTCGAAATCTGCGAATCTTATGAGAGTTATCGAATGTCATTCAATGTTGGAATTACAAAATGGTGGTTGAAAAATGAAGATAAGAATTAATTAATTAATAAATATTTGAAGCATGTCTGAGGGTACTGTATGTTTATTCGAGCGCGCTTTGGCGCGAGTGTAGATCAAAATTCCGCGTAAGCGGCTCGAGCGCAGCGAGTGTATGTCCCTTTAGCTTTGGGGTACTGTATGATCCTTTAAAAATGCCTTCAGTAATTTAAAGGGACATACACTCGCTTCGCTCGAACCGCTTACGCGGAATTTTGATCTACACTAGCGCCAAAGGCGCTCGAAGTACTGTATGTGCCTTTAAACGGTGTTTGAAACGAGAAAGATTTTATGAACTGATATTTATGAAACAATTTTTTTTCATCTCCAAACATCTGATTCTTCTGCAGCTTCATAGGATTCGATGAAGTTATACGATCGAATATTTCGCCATTTTCTGTGATTTTTATTGATCGGAAAATTGAAACTTTCAGAAATTCCGAAATTTTCCAAGAAAATCAATAAAAGAATTCAAATTATCTGGAAAAAATTTTTTTTTTTTGAAAAAAAAACTTGGGGAAAAACTCACCTTCATTTCCGCCGCTTCTTTAAAAAAATCTAGAATATTTCTGAAAATGTGTTGAGAAACAACTGTTTCTGACAAGATTTTCAGAAAATGTGATTTTCAGACAAAGATGATTGATAAGCTTGTGATTTTGAGCCAGGAAAAAAGTTTCGAAATTTTTTTGAAAGCTTTAAATTTTAAGCCTAAGCCTAACCACAAACTTTGATAAGAAAAATTTCGAAAAAAAAATGTATTGAAACCAAAATTAGAACTCAAATAAGCCCATGTGGCTTTAGGGGTACTGTATGGACCTTTAATTATTCCTACAGTAATCTAAAGGGACATACACTCGCTCCGCTCGAGAAATTTTGATCTACACTCGCGCCACAGGCGCTCGGGGTACTGTACTTCTTCCGAGCGCCCGTGGCGCGAGTGTAGATCAAAATTCCGCGTAAGCGGCTCGAGCGGAGCGAGTGTATGTCCCTTTAGATTACTGTAGCTGAGCCTTTGAACTCAGATACAGTAATCTAAAGGGACATACACTCGCGCCAAAGGCGCTAGAGGAATTTTTTTTTTCTGGAAAATTCTCACAGACATGTTTTTTTTATTTCGATCATCATTTCGCTTCAAAAAAATCATGAAAATTTCGCTTGTAACAATATTTCTGTTCCAATTTTGGCTAACTTCCGGAGAGCTCTCATTTTTCGAAGAGCAACAATTATTATCGTGTCAATTGTGTCAAGAACAATTGGTATTTCGAACAGCCGAAATGCAATATTTGAAATTGTTGGAAAGAATTTGTGGGGGACGCGTCACGGAATGTTATGAGAGGGAATTTGCGATTTTTAGGACACAGAAGATGTTGATTGAAAAACATGGATTTACTCCGAAATTGGCTTGTAAAACTGTTGGGGGACATTGTTTATTTGAGGAAATTAAATAGTTAAAAATTAATGAAGATTTTCCTGCTGATCATTTTGATATCTCATAAGCCTATGTTCCTTTAGATTACCGTACTCCTGCTACGGTACTTCAAAGGGACATACAGTACTCCGAGAGACATACACTCGCTCCGCTCGAGCCGCATGCGCGGAAGTTTGATCTACACTCGCGCCAGAGGCGCTCGAAGGAAGTACAGTACCTCGAGCGCCTTTGGCGCGAGTGTAGATCAAAATTCCGCGTAAGCGGTTCGAGCGGAGCGAGTGTGTTTTCCTTTAGATTACAGTAGCTAAGTTCAAAGGCTCATACAGTACTCCGAGAGATATACACTCGCTCCGCTCGAACCGCTCACGCGGAATTTTGATCTACACTCGCGCCACAGGCGCTCGAGGTACTGTACTTCTTCCGAGCGCCTTTGGCGCGAGTGTAGATCAAAATTCCGCGCAAGCGGCTCGAGCGGAGCGAGTGTGTTTTCCTTTAGATTACTGTAGCTAAGTTCAAAGGCTCATACAGTACTCCGAGGGACATACACTCGCTCCGCTCGAGCCGCATGCGCGGAAGTTTGATCTACACTCGCGCCACAGGCGCTCGAGATACTGTATGGTCCTTTAAATGTACAGTAATTCAAAAAAGCAAGTGTATGTCCCTTTAGATTACTGTAGCTATATTTAAAGGCGCATACAGTACCCCCCAACTAAACAATTTTCTTTCTATAAATATAAAGTCATCATAAACCAAACCAGAATTATTTTTTTTATCATTTTCCTTCTTTTTTTCCTCGATTTATTATTGTTCCAACATCCTAAATGGAAATTTTTCGAACAAAAACTTTTTTTTCTTGTCATTATTTTGTGCATTCTGCGATAAGAAAACCCACATTTTGGCAATTTTGAATTCTTTGTTTCTTTGTTCCAAAAAATGTGGCATTTTCTATTTTTTTTTGTCAAAAAATTGAGCTACAGTAGTAGGAAAATAAGGGAGTACTGTAGCTGGATTTATATCTAGAAGCTACAGTAATCTTCTAGAAGGGTACTGTAGCGAACATTTTTTTCAATTGAAAAATTCTGGTCTAGTTAGAATTAAATTACTAAAGTAAGATCTAAAGGTACTGTAGCTAGATTTTTTGTTCCAAAAATTATAGGAATTCAACTAAATCAAAGGTCAGATTGTATCTTATCAATCAATTTTTCCAAAAAAATACATATTTGTCATGATTTTCTTGTTTGTTCTTTGGATTTTCTGTTTTTACCTGGTTTCTTATGAAATTTCAAAGATTCCTTGAATTACAGTAATTTAAAGGAACATCAATAAATATATATTCACGTTTTTGTTCGTTAAAAAATGAATAGATCACGTGATCTTTTTAAATGAATAAATATTTTCAAAAATTTCAATTTTAGTCATTTCTGAATGTTATATAATTGCACCAATGTAGTTCCTAAAATTTTGAGTTATTTCTCAAATATTTTTGAGTATTTGTAAGTTTTTTGGGGTACTGTATGCGCCTCTAAATACGGCTACAGTAATCTAAAGGACCTCGAGCGCCTCTGGCGCGAGTGTAGATCAAGATTCCGCGCACGCGGCTCGAGCGCAGCGAGTGTATGTCCCTAGGAGTACTGTATGAGCCTTTGAACTTAGCTACAGTAATCTAAAGAGACATACACTCGCTCCGCTCGAGCCGCATGCGCGGAATCTTGACCTACACTCGCGCCAGAGGCGCTCGGAAGAAGTACAGTACCCCGAGCGCCTGTGGCGCGAGTGTAGATCAAAATTCCGCGTAAGCGGCTCGAGCGGAGCGAGTGTATGTCCCTTTAGATTACTGTATGAGCCTTTGAACTCAGATACAGTAATCTAAAGGGACATACACTCGCTCCGCTCATTTTTATGATCTACTCAATATTTTTTTGCTCTCCACAAAAATCATTTCCAAAATTTTTCGCAGCTCAAAAATGCCCATCACCACCAAATCCGTATGTGTGATTGGAGCTGGTGCAGCGGGTTTGGCCGCCGCGCGGCACAGTCTGAAAGCCGGTCTGGATGTTCGGATTTTTGAGCAAACTGCACAAATTGGAGGAACTTGGGTTTATTCGGAGGAAAAAGGATGTCATTCGAGTATGTATTATGAGATGAAGTGAGTTGAAGGCACACGAGCGGCTTTAGGGGTACTGTATGCACCTTTTAGAATAGCTACAGCAATTTAAAGGCACATACAGTACCCCAGGGACACACACTCGCTCCGCTCGAACCGCTTCCGCGGAATCTTGACTTACACTCGCGCCTAAAGCGCTCGAGGTACTGTACTTCCTTCGAGCGCCTCTGGCGCGAGTGTAGATCAAGATTCCGCGCAAGCGGTTCGAGCGGAGCGAGTGTATGTCCCTTTAGATTACTGTAGCTAAGTTTAAAGGCTCATACAGTACTCCGAGGGACATACACTCGCTCCGCTCGAACCGCTTGCGCGGAATTTTGATCTACACTCGCGCCACAGGCGCTCGGAAGAAGTACAGTACCCCGAGCGCCTGTGGCGCGAGTGTAGATCAAATTTCCGCGTAAGCGGCTCGAGCGGAGCGAGTGTATGCCCCTTTAGAATACTGTAGTTATATTTAAAGGAACATACAGTACCTCAACTTTCATAATGAGATTCGGTAATTTTTTATGTAATTTTTCAGCAAACTCGCTAATTCAGAACCCAAATTTTTTTCAAAAAATCTCAAAAAAAAAAACTCACATTTCGTCCAGTTTTCCTCTTTGAATCATTTCCGACCAAAATTTTCCTCATTATCTAATTTTTCCGATATTTTCACCATTTCTCTGACGATTTTCCTGTAACCAAATCTATATAAAGTAAACCAAAAGTACATTTTTCCATAAAATAGCTTTTTTAGCAACAAGTTTTTGTATAAAACTATCAAAAATCAACTAAAATTATGTTATTTGTACTAGAAAAAGAGAAAAATATGAATTTAACAACAAGTTTCATTCAAATTCATGAAAAAACAACAAAAAATACGCGAATCAAACATTTTCGAAAAATAAAAACAAGAAAATAAAAGTAGAAATGGAAGTGCGCCCCATTGATAAAAATTGAATTTCGCGCACTCTCGCAAAAATTTGTTTTTTTCTCTGCACTCTCTTCAAATAATACATAGGCGCTGCTCATTTTCAAGTGTCCCTTTTCTTCTTTTCGTATTAAGGTTGTACTCCGAGCGCCGTTGGCGCGAGTTTAGCACAAGAAACCGCGCAAGCGGCTCGAGCGGAGCGAGTGTATGTCCCTTTAAATGCCTAGGGAAGTGCTGTAGCTACATTTAAAGGCACATACAGTACCCCAGGGACATACACTCGCTCCGCTCGAACCGCTTTCGCGGATTCTTGTTCTACACTCGCGCCACAGGCGCTCGAAATCACTGTATGTCCCTTTAAACCCCTCCTGTTTTTCTCTAGAACCAATCTACCAAAAGAAGTGATGGCATACCGTGATTTTCCGTTCGATTCTTCTCTTCCCTCATTTTTGGATCATCGAGATGTTTTGGAATATTTACAAAAATATTCGGATGGATTATCGATTGATTTTAACACAACTGTTGAAAGTGTGACTAGGATTGAGGAAGAGGAGAAGTGGAAGGTGAGGAAAAGGGGCTTAGGGGGCTTGGGGGACCTTTGGGAGGCTTCTGGAGGCTTTTGGAGGCTTCTGGAGGCTTCTGGAGGCTTTAGGAAGCTTCAAAATCCAAAAAAATAACCCCGAAAATTATACGTTTCAAAAAATTCCCATATTTATTTTCTCAGATAATTGTTCAAAATGGTTTGGGAACTTTCGATTATTATTTCGATATTGTTTTTGTTTGCAATGGTCACTACTTCAGGCCCAATAATCCATATGAGAATTCGGAATTTGAAGGTGAGATTTGGGCTCATTTTGTAGAGAATTTCAAGAGCTTCAAAATGAGCTATATTTTGCCTATAAAATTTTGAGAATTGATCAAATGCGCTCCAGTGATAACCCATTTTTCAGGAAATTTAATCCATAGTCATGACTATCGCCACGCGGAAGAGTTCTCGAATCAAAAAGTGATAATAATCGGTGCGGGACCATCAGGAATTGATATTGGACTACAAATCGCAAAAACAGCCAAAGAAATTCATTTGATCTCGAAAAAAGCCGTCTATAATTCACTTCCCGAAAATATTCAACAAACTTCGGAACACGTGGAAAAAGTGACGAAATCAGGAGTGAAAACAGTTTCGGGCCAAGAATTTGAAGCGGATTCGATTATTGTTTGTACAGGTTATCATTATCAGGTAGGAATCGAGGGGATTTTTGGGGATTTGTGTTAAAAATTGAAAATTTTGAATTTTTCTCTGCGTCTCTCAAAATAATGCATAGGCGCTGCTAAGCTCCGCCCCTTTTTGAAAATAAGCAGCGCCTATGTATTATTTTGAGAGAGCGCAGAGAAAAATAAGCAGCGCCTAAATTTCTTCAATGAAAAAGTGGGCGCTGCTTATTTTTCTCTGCGCTCTCTCAAAATAATGCATAGGCGCTGCTAAGCTCCGCCCCTTTTTGAAAATAAGCAGCGCCTATGTATTATTTTGAGAGAGCGCAGAGAAAAATAAGCAGCGCCCACTTTTTCATTGAAGAAATTGGGGCGCGGCTTATTTTTCTCTGCGCTCTCTCAAAATAATGCATAGGCGCTGCTAAGCTCCGCCCACTTTTTGGAAAATAAGCAGCGCCTATGCATTATTTTGAGAGAGCGCAGAGAAAAATAAGCAGCGCCCACTTTTTCATTGAAGAAATTGGGGCGCTGCTTATTTTTCTCTGCGCTCTCTCAAAATAATACATAGGCGCTGCTTATTTTTAGACTTCTCAAAATAATTTCAGAGCCCTTCCAAAGCTTCCTAAAGCTAAAATTTTCCAGTTTCCATTCTTCGACTCTACCGTAGTCCGCCTCTTGGAAGATGCTCACGTAGTTTCGCCAATTTTCGAGCACGTTGTCCATGTGGATTATCCGAAATCACTTTTTTTCATCGGCTTGAATTTAGTGACAATCACTTTTCCCCTTTTTGAATATCAGGTTCAATTAGGATTAGCTTTTGCGCTAGGAAAAAGCTGAAATTCCAGCGAGAGAAGAATTGGAAGGATATGAGGAGAGACAGATGAGGTAAGACTGAACCTTGTTAGATGGCCTAGAAATCCAAATCTATATTTTTGCAGCCATCAATCATCCCGCGGTCTTGCCAAACGTTTTTATCATCTTCTTCAACATGATCAATGGTCATATTTAGATAGAATATCCAAGTTAGGCCAATTCGAATCGTGGAAATATATGAAAACAATTGAAAAAATCACCGAATATTTGCAAGATCGAAGGAAATTGGATGTGAAAAATTATAAGATGATCAATTTTCGATTTTTGGATGAAGAACAATTGGAATATGAGATTATTGAGGAGGAAAATCAATAAATTCTTTATTTTTCTATTAAAATCTAGCAAAAATATATCTAGCGAGATCAAAATACACGTATAAGATAGGGCTTTATTAGGGAGCCTTAAGACCTTAGTTAGGAGCTTTAATTAAACCTAATTAGGAAAAATAAGCAGCGCCTACTTTTTCATTGAAGAAATTTGGGCGCTGCTTATTTTTCTCTGCACTCTCTCAAATTAATACATAGGCGCTGCTAAGCTCCGCCCACTTTTGGAAATAAGCAGCGCCTATGCATTATTTTGAGAGACGCAGAGAAAAATAAGCAGCGCCCACTTTTTCATTGAAGAAAGTTAGGCGCTGCTTATTTTTCTCTGCGCTCTCTCGATTTAATACATAGGCGCTGCTTATTTTTTATATGCTCCGCCCACTTTTGAAAATAAGCAGCGCCTATGCATTATTTTGATAGGCGCAGAGAAAAATAAGCAGCGCCCACATTTGTTGGAGGCGCTGCTTGTTTTAAGAGTTTTATCAGTTAGCCTAATTAAGTTAAAACCTTACTAGAGCCTAAACATAATTAATTAATCCTAAAAAAGCAAAATTCATTATCCCATTTCGTAACAATTGCCTTTTCTCCTCTCAAATTCATCAATTTCGCCTTGAAAAGACCCGGAATCCATTCCTCCTCCTCTTCATTTTCCAAAAAATTCTCCAATCCCGCTCCCGGCCAAATTGGACTTTCCGGTTGCGGGAAATAGTAGGCGGAAAATGGTGAATACGTGGATGCGGAGAGCATCTGAATGTGTTTGTAGTTTGCTCGACCGGTTTTCCACGCGCTGCACATTTGTTCCACGTGGCTTGGCAGGATCTGTATTGTGTCAGAGGATGTGACGAGAGTATCGATTTTTGAGGCAAGAAATTGATCGAGCGAAATTGAAGAGCAATAGAGATGTAGTTTACGGAGATTTGGAAGTTTCTGGAATGAAATTGGGATGGCCTAGAAACTCAAAGCTAGTCCGCCACTCACCTCTAAATCAATCTGCTCTACTCTCTGCTCTCTAACCAATTCACTCCTCCCAAAAATTGTCAAACTTTTTGGCTGTAATCTAATTGCTTGCTCCATAGCTCGAATACTGTCAGAAATTCCAATTTCATCGATTGATTTTCCACAATAATCAGATAATAATGGGATGAATGTGTCCTGTTTTGAATTTTGAAATTTGAAATTTTTTCAAAAAAGTTAGGCTAACTCACAATTCCGATATGTATCCTCTGCAATTTGAAATTCTTCAAAATCTCCCTAAACAATTTAATAACATGGGGCCTTGGTGAAGTATACAGTATTCTCGAAATGGTCTCGACACGATCTACAGTACCACTCCAAACTGTCCGAACTTCTGTTCTTTTTCCACCCAAACACTTGAATTCTCGTCTTACTGTAGTTTCAGTGTCCAATTCGAAATCCAACAAATAGAATTCCACATTTTCACAGCCTTTTATAGATATACTGTGGGCTGAATTGAGAGTTGGCGCGAAAATATTGTGTAGTCTCCAGTTCACAAAAGATAGTGCGTGTCGAGATTTCCACGTGGCAAATTGCCCGATTTTTAGAAGAATTTCCGGGGGAAGATTCGATAGGTAGATTTTTTCTTGTTCATTTTCCATACTTACAGTAGGCCGAAAAATATTGTTGAAAAATGAAGAAAAAAGAGAAAATATGATGATACTAATTATTCTTCATTTCACTTTTCTTCTTCTTCGATGCAAAAAAACCTGAAAATGATCATTTTACATATAAAAATGACGAAAAAAAAAGAAAAATGTGAAAAGTTTGGTGATAAAAGTGTGGTGTTTGCGCGTGCACAGAAGGGCTCTTGAAAAAAGAGATTAGAGAGATAAGAGGAGGAGAGACGCAGAGAAAGATAGGGTGAAAAATTAGCAGCGCCTTGGGAGACGCAGAGAAAAATAAGCAGCGCCTACTCATTAGAAATTTGGAAAAAAAGTGGGCGCTGCTTATTTTTCTCTGCGCTCTCTCAAAATTAAACATAGGCGCTGCTAAGCTCCGCCCACTTTTGAAAATAAGCAGCGCCTAAGCATTATTTTGAAGAGAGCGCAGAGAAAAATAAGCAGCGCCTACTCATTAGAAATTTGGAAAAAAGAGGGCGCTGCTTATTTTTCTCTGCACTCTCTCGAAATAATGCATAGGCGCTGCTTATTTTTTCTTTGCTTTGAAGAAATAAGCAGCGCCTCTGTATTGTTTTGAGAGACGCAGAGAAAAATATTTTCCGATCTTTCTGATCTTTCTGATCTGCCCACTAATTTTTTCCAAAAAAAAAAAAAAACAAAATCAATATTTTTCTGTCAGCTAACATACTTTAAAAAACTGTCAAAAACCAACCAAAAAAAGCTACTGTTTTGTCACTTTTGTTATAATAAATAGATATATTTGTCATTATTATATTATTATAAATATATAGCAAAATGAAAATGTGTCAATATTTGCATTTCTACACATTTTTCGTCTTCTGACTAATTTTTTGATTTTTCATTAGAAAAAAAACGGAAGTCTACTAGAAAACATGAAAAAATGTGTTTTTTTCTAGAAAGCAACAAAAAATCGAAAAACAGCTGAACAAAAAGAAGAAAAAAAACAGAAAAATAAAAAGAGCCGCAAATTTCGAGTGGGAAATAGTATGGAGGATTGAGAGAGTGTTAGAGAGAGAAAGTGGGGAAATGTGTATTTTTAGTTTAAAGAAATGTGGATGAAAAGTGGGTGGATTTTGCATGTGAAAAATATTTGAGAAGGAAATGGAGAATATTGGATTTCAATGAAGTGTACGTGGTAATTTATGAGTGTTTCTCTGCGTCTCTCAAAATAATACATAGGCGCTGCTTATTTCTTCAAAAGAAAATAACATAAGCAGCGTCTATAGTTAATTTTGAGAGACGCAGAGAAAGATAAGCAGCGCCCAAATTTCTTCATTGAAAAAGTGGGCGCTGCTTATTTTTCTCTGCGCTCTCTCAAATTAATCTATAGGCGCTGCTTATTTTTATAAGCTCCACCCACTTTTAAAATTAAGCAGCGCCTATGCATTTATTTGAGAGAGTGCAGAGAAAAATAAGCAGCGCCCACTTTTTCTTTGAAGAAATTTAGGCGCTGCTTATTTTTCTCTGCGTCTCTCAATTTTATACATAGGCGCTGCTTATTTTCCCTAATTTCCTGCGCTCCATTGCAAAACTTTCATTAAAATCTCAAAACTTTATACAAAAAAAACTACAAAAATCTGAAAATTGTGTACCGGTAACAAAATTGTCTGAAAATAAGCAAAAAATAAAAAATTAATAGTTGCAAGTCTCCAATTGTCCATCGACCATTTTCAACGTTCTCGTTCGGCGCACTGCAAAAAATCAATATTTTTAATGAAAAAAAAATACTTTTCTGAAAAGCTCACATGATTTTCTGTTGAATTGCCTGGCTCTTCTCCTTTGATCTCTACCCTCAAAAGTTTGCAACGTGGCAGCTTTCACCAATCCATTCAAAATCTCATCTTCAGGCTCATTATCCACCAAATCCTTCACACTTCCTCCAAAATTCTTGGGCGGTGCTCGTCTTCTTTCAGCATTCGCAACTCCATTCAAAATTCTCGACATTTCATCGTGTCTTTCCAGCGAATTTGTGACAGGTGCTATATTTTTCCTTCGGAAATTCTCTCGTTCCGGTTGTTGTTCCTGTGTCTGATTCTGATTTTCAAGTGCCCATATTTTTCCCCTCGTCTTATTTCCTCTCTCTTTTCTCAGCCATCCGTTTTCTCTGCGCCAAAATCTTATCGCGTGTAGTTCGATATTCGAGCGAAAATTCGGTGACCATTTTAAAAACCTCATTCGGATTCTGATTCGGAATCTCATCCACAGAATAACCAAAATATAATAAAAATGTGTGCCATCGATTCTTGGTTACTGTATAAATCGCTTTCAATTGATGAATTCGTTGTGCCACGTCATTCAAATAATCATTGATTTTTTGTTTCATATTCGAATTGTCGTTTTTCGAAATAATCGCCAAATATTCCCAAGATGTTTTGCATTCTTTTTCGAGTCGCATTAAATTGTCCAACAATTCTTTATAATCAACACGAGCTGTTCTTGCGACAGCTCCAAATTCGCTATATAAATCAGTTCCTTCTGGATAATGTTCAACCATATATTCAGCTAAATGATAAGTTAGAGTATGTTTATAAACTGGATCTTTTACTTCCGACGCTTTTGTGAGATAATCCAGGTAGAATCCTTTGATCTGCAAAAATTTCATTTTTTTTTGGATTCGGAAAATTTGGAAAAAAAATTAGCAGCGCCTATGCATTATTTTGAGAGAGTGCAGAGAAAAAAGTGGGCGCTGCTTATTTTTCTCTGCGCTCTCTCGATTTTAAACATAGGCGCGCCTATGTATTATTTCGAGAGAGCGCAGAGAAAAATAAACAGCGCCCACATTTCTTGAAGAAATTTAGGCGCTGCTTATTTTTCTCTGCGCTCTCTTCAATTAATACATAGGCGCTGCTTATTTTTAAAAGCTCCGCCCACTTTTTGAAAATAAGCAGCGCCTATGCATTATTTTGAGAGACGCAGAGAAAAATGAGCAGCGCCCAAACTTTTCATTGGAAATTTGGCCTCTTATGTTTCTCTGCGTTTCTCAAGTAATTGCTATAAAACTACAGTAATCCAAAAACTTAGGCTAACCTCAGTTCCACTCAACGAATTTCCAATAGCCAACAACATTCCCATCGCAACTTTAAAAGTCTTCGATTCTTCCATTTCTTTCATCGCCAATTGCAAATCCATCAATGGTTCAGCAATATCTTTTTCCGAACTTTTATAATCCAAAGTGAATAACCATAATTTCAGCCGCTCTAATAAACTTGGAATCGCTGATAGTTTCAACAAAAATTGTTCAGCATTTCCCAATGTCATTTCGGGATTTTCAGCAACTTTATTCTCAATTTCCTCAATTTCTTTTGGTGATGGCAACATTTGTTTCAATATTTTCTCGATTCCATCTTTATTCAAAACCATTGAATCGAACTTCATAATTGCTGCCGGAATTACATTTATTGGTGGAAGTTTTGTTAGACCAATATTTATAGCTTGCGATCTTTTAAGCGGTAGAACTGACAAAGTTTGAGATTTTGTTTCAGCAACTTTTTTGACAATTTGTTCTTTGTCTTTTTTGGTTTCGAAGAGTTGTACGATTTTTTTCGCGTCGAATCTTGGCAAAGTTCCATCTACTGTATTCCAGAAGCTTCCCTGGAATGATGAAAAATTGAGAAAATTGGGAAAGCGCGCTCTACCGAACAGGAGAGCGAATAAAAATAATAAGCAGTGCCTATGCATTATTTTGAGAGAGCGCAGAGAAAAATAAGCAGCGCCTAAAATTTCTTCAATGAAAAAGTGGGCGCTGCATATTTTTCTCTGCGCTCTCTTCAAATAATACATAGGCGCTGCTAAGCTCCGCCCACTTTTTGAAAATAAGCAGCGCCTATGCATTATTTTGAGAGAGCGCAGAGAAAAATAAGCAGCGCCTAAAATTTCTTTAATGAAAAAGTGGGCGCTGCTTATTTTTCTCTGCGCTCTCTTCAAACCCACACTATCTCACCTTCTGTTTCAGCGATGGAATTGGCGGCGGTTCAACAGCTGCAGGTTTCCAGTGCATTTTCAGCACTCCTTTATTCGCAGCAGCCGGACTAACATCTCGTGCATCATGAATTCCAGGTAAAAGTGGAGGTGGGGGTGGAATAATTCCCAAAGGTGGTGCAAGCGGAATTCCACCTCCAGTTCCGTTCAAACCTTGTAATCTTGGAGGTAATGGGATTGCAGAAATTGGTGGAGGTGGTGGTGGTGGAACTCCTCCTCCTCCCAAGCCTCCATTCCTAATTGGCCCAGGATTTTCGGCAATTTTCGCGGCTCTTGCAAGTTGCAATGGATCTTGCTCAAATTCCTTAGCATGGAATTCACTAAAATCCAAATCATTGATAATCAAAGGTCGACTACTCAAATTCTCAGCCGCTTTTTTCCACTGAACCTCTCCTTCCGACTCTTTTTTCTCTCCAAATATACCATTTCGATTGGCTTCCGCAGTTCGCTGCGCTCTTTTTTGCAACATTTCAGCGAATCCACCACCTCCACCAGAAGAAGCTTCGATTTTTGGCGCCACTGGTTTTGGTGGCTCTTCCACTTCTTTTGGAATTTCGGAGAAATCCATGGGTTTCGGTTCAGTTGGCGAGAAAATTGTGGGAAATGATGGAGGCGGTGCTTTGACTTGATGAGATTCTGAAGTTGAATTTTCTGCAGATCCAGATTCTTCGATGTTTTCCTTCTGAAGATTCAGAGGTTCTGGAACCTTTTTCGAAGTTGTTGGTTGAATATCATGGTGGATATTATTTGGAGCGATTGGTGAAGAAGAAGAAATGATTTGGTGTTGGTTGGGAGATTGGTGTAGGAGATGGTGTGCTGGAAAAAATCAATTTTTTTTTTGCTATATGAGAGACGCAGAGAAAAATAAGCAGCGCCTACGTTTCATTCACTAAAAAGTAGGCGCTGCTTATTTTTCTCTGCACTCTCTCAAAATAAACCATAGGCGCTGCTTATTTTGAAAAGTGGGCGGAGCTTAGCAGCGCCTATGTATTAAATTGAGAGAGCGCAGAGAAAATAAGCAGCGCCCAGTTTCTTCAAGCAAAATTAAGGCGCTGCTTATTTTTCTCTGCGCTCTCTCAATTTAATACATAGGCGCTGCTTATTTTCAAAAGTGGGCGGAGCTTAGCAGCGCCTATGTATCTATTTGAAGAGAGTGCAGAGAAAAATAAGCAGCGCCTACTTTTCGTTCACTAAAAAGTAGGCGATGCTTATTTTTCTCTGCGCTCTCTTAAAATAATGCATAGGCGCTGCTTATTTTGAAAAGTGGGCGGAGCTTAGAAAAATAAGCAGCGCCCATGTATAAAGGGAAGAGAGCGCAGAGAAAAATAAGCAGTGCCCAAATTTCTTAATTACCTATTGAAAACACTTCGATTCGCCGTGAATTGTTCGTGCTCTGCTTGTCTGCGTCTAGCCTCATCATGTCTGCGTCTCATCAATGTTTTCTTGTCCTCGAATCCATTTCCATTCGATGTTGTTGGCGAAACCATTGTCAAATCGCTTGGTGTTCTTCCAACCCTAAAAAAGAGTCTTATGATCTAAGAAATCTCAATTTCTCTAAATCTCTTTTCACACCATGCTTTATCACTTCAAATCACTCTACCTGTCTGCCTCCTCCTCCTCTCGTTTCCTGCGTCTCTCTTCTTCTCGTCTTTCCTCTGCCTCTCTACGCATCCTTGCAATCTCCTCGTTTTGCTCAATCTCTCGTCGTCTCGTCTCTTCCGCTTTCTGCTTCTCTGCCTCTCGTCTTTGCAATAGAGCACGATTCAATTTTTCCAACGCTGTTTCAATATCTTCAGGCATCTCGTGAGTTATCGAAACTTTTTTGGATTTTTGAGATTTTTCTTCTCGTTCCAAAGTTGAAGTCGGATCTTCATCACTTCCCATTGTAATTGCTGAATCATGCGATCCTTGACTACTTCGACGAGAATTTGAAGATTGAGCAGAATTTCTGAATGAATGGGTTAGTATGAGCAATCCTAGACACACCTAGGCAACAATAAGGTTTTTTGGTGTCAAAAAAATGGTCACACCATGCACTTTTCACTCTAAAGAATCAAAATTCTAAAAAACCCACCTCATTTTAACCACATCATCATTTTCATTTTCACCCCTCTCATCTTCTTCCTTCAATTCTCTTTCATATAATCGACATTGCTCTTCCAGTTCCTTATTGTTAGATCTGAAATTTGAGTTTTTAAACAGAATTCTCTACAAGTTAGTTTCACATCCCCGCGGAAGAAATAAGCGGCGCCTATGCATTGAAATGAGAGACGCAGAGAAAAGGAGAAAAATAAGGAGCGCCCAAAATATGCTTGGAGAAAGTGGGCGCTGCTTATTTTCTCTGCGCTCTCTTTAAATAATGCATAGGCGCTGCTAAGCTCCGCCCACTTTGAAAAATAAGCAGCGCCTATGTATTATCTTGAGAGAGCGCAGAGAAAAATAAGCAGCGCCCAAAATTTGCTTGAAGAAACTGGGCGCTGCTTATTTTTCTCTGCGTCTCTTAAAGGTGCTGCTTATTTGTATTCAATTGAAATTGGAATTGATGTTTTTTATTTGAAAAAAAGGTAAATTTTGATTTTTTTTTAATTCCAACATATCAGAATGAAAAGAACCTCATTTTCTCAATTTTTTCCCAAAATTCCCCCAAAATCCCCTCACCTTGCCATTTGTTTAATAGCTTCTTCCATTCCAAGTTGATCCAAAGTATCAACAGAATCATAATACGTATCTCTATCCGGAATACCGTGTAATGCCTTATTCACAACAGTCATTCCATAAACCAGTGTTTCCGGATCGGGCGAATCTTTTTCCGTCAAAACTTTCATAATTGCACTCCAATCTGCTTGTCCTTTTGATTTATCAACAAATTGAATTGCAGATAATACTAATAATGCATTATTATCATTATATTCAATGAAAACCAGAAGAAGTTTGAGAGCTGTTTTGACAACAAGACGGAACTGTAAAAAAACAACCTTTATTTTGTTTAACAAATGTTTCTGTTAAAGGTACATACAGTAATAATACATACATTCTTAAAGGTTCACACATGCTTCTTCAACACAAATTTTCAATGAAAATGTGGGCGCTGCTTATTTTTTTCTGCACTCTCTTTAAATAATGCATAGGCGCTGCTTATTAATAAGCTCCGCCCCTTTTCACAAAATAAGCAGCGCCTATGTATTAATTGAAGAGAGCGCAGAGAAAAATAAGCAGCGCCCACTTTTTCATTGCAGAAATTTGGGCGCTGCTTATTTTTCTCTGCACTCTCTCAAAATAATGCATAGGCGCTGCTTATTTTTGAGTGAAGAGGAAAACAAGCAGCGCCTATGCATTATTTTGAGAGACACAGACGAATGTAAAATTTTGATTGAAAATTAAATTTTTTTACAAAAAACAAACTTGGATGCATACAGTAAGAAATTCTTAAAGGAACATTCCTACATGCTTTCTTTTCACACAATAATTACCCATTCTAGACGAAACGGAGACATTTCTTTACGCTCTTCTTCCACGTACAACTAAACACAAAAATACACAGAAAAACATATATAATATGAGCAATAAATGTATAATAAACTAACCGGCGAATCCAACAATTCATATAACCATTGAATAGTCGAATTATGAGCAATGATTCCGTTCATTCCATCAACATATAACATGAGTTGACCAAGAGCTCGTAAAATGTAATTTTGATGATTTTGATCGGCAGTTCGACCAAGTCGAATCATACAATCTAATCCTTGATTTTGAACAAAATCATGAACCAAATCTTGATCATCTTGGAAGATTTGTTTGAGTGAGAAAAGAGCGCGACGTTGATCTCTTCCGGAACAATTTAGAAGTTTGTCTGGAAAAAGAGAGGTGAAATAGATTGTGTGAGAATTGAAGAGAGGGTAGAGGAAAAATAAGCAGCGCCCACTTTCTTATTGAAGAAATTCAGGCGCTGCTTATTTTTCTCTGCGTCTCTCAAAATAATATATAGGCGCTGCTTATTTTCCTGGAAAAGGGGGCGAAGCTTATTAAGCAGCGCCTATGCATTATTTCGAGAGACGCAGAGAAAAATCATAGTTTCTTGATTTTTTGAGCGAAAATCGGGATTATTTATTTTAGAGAAGAATTGAAATTATTTGAAAAAAAAACTTTTTCACTGAAAAATGGAACCAAACAAAAAAATCTAAATTTTCACGTATTTTTAGCTAAAAAATCATATTTTTTCAACAAAATTTTAAAACGTGACATATGACGTGGCAATTTAGAAATGTGCATTTTTATTTTAAAAATTTCAAAATTCAAATTTCTAGGGTTATTTTCTCTGCGCTCTCTCAAAATAATGCATTATTAAGCTCCGCCTATTTTGGAAAAAAATAAGCAGCGCCTATGCATTATTTTGAGAGAGCGCAGAGAAAGATAGGCAGCGCCCACTTTTTCTTCAATAAAAATGGGCGCTGCTTATTTTTCTCTGCGCTCTCTCGAAATAATGCATAGGCGCTGCTTATTTTAAAAAGTGGGCGGAGCTTAGCAGCGCCTATGCATTATTTTGAGAGCGCAGAGAAAAATAAGCAGCGCCCACTTTTTCTTCAATAAAAGTGGGCGCTGCTTATTTTTCTCTGCGCTCTCTCAAAATAATGCATAGGCACTGCTTATTTTCAAGAAGTGGGCGGAGCTTAGCAGCGCCTATGCATTATTTTGAGAGAGCGCAGAGAAAAATATGCAGCGCCCAAACTTCAAAACTCACCAATAATGGTCTTGACACGAAGAGAAGTTTGTGTTCGGAGTACCAAACTGCATCGGCGCCTGCAAAAATCAATAATTTTCGAATTTCTCCCGAAATTTTCAGAAAAAATCTACTTTTCCCGCGAATTCAAATATTCATCACCCCAATCAAATGGTTCTTCTTCTTCTTCTTCCTTCTCATTTTTGGAAAGTACTGTAGCTACAGTACTCTTCTCTCTAGGATTATAAGGCTCAAAGTGTACGGGTTTTCTTTTTGGCAAAGTTGACGTGGAAAATGGTACTGTAGTTGGAGATGGGGATACTGTAGGTTGAGCTCGAAAACTAGTGCTTCGTTGGACTGATTTTCGATCGTAGTTCGGATCAAATTTGAAGGCTCGGGTTACTGTAGGTTCGATGGATACTGTAGGTTTTGCGGGTACTGTAGTTGGCTCTCGGGTTACTGTAGGTCTACAGTAAACTGACTCATCGAGTACAGTAGGTTTTGCATAGCTAGGTTGATGGGGTACTGTAGGTCTCGCGTATACTGTAGTTTGGGATACTGTAGGCTTCGCAAATACTGTAGAAGACTCTTGGGGTACTTTAGTTCTCGCATATGAGTCCATAGTCCTTGAATTCACTGGTACTGTATCTGGTTTCCAAGTTGAAGGTACTGTAGGTCTTGCAAATACTGTAGAAGATGATTCTTGGGGTACTGTAGATGAGGGTACTGTAGGTCTCGCGTATACTGTAGCTTGGGGTACTGTAGGCTTTGCAAATACTGTAGAAAATGGTTCCTGAGGTATTGTAGGCTTTGCAAATACCGTAGCCTGTGGTACTGTAGGTTTGGCATAACTCGAATAATCTTGAGATACTGTAGGTCTACAGTACACCGGTTTCTCTTGGGTTACTGTAGGTACAGTAGTCGATGATCTGCCCATCATTTTTTCTCGAAAATAATCATCAAAACTATCCATCGATCGATATCCGCTATCATTTCGACTATGTGAATACGGTGGCTGGATTACTGTAGCCACCTGAGGTACTGCAGGCAAATCTTCATCAATATACGGTATCTCCATATCGATTTGAATTGGCGCCGCCGCGTGGAGTACTGTAGGTGGATGTACTGTAGAAGTGTTGCGCGCCATTTTCCGCAATGGTTTTACGATCAGCGGAAGTTGGTTGGAGCAAGAGGCGGAAGAGAGATTTCGCGCCAAACTCTCGTCAGAAACATGGGTTACTGTAGATTTCGCCGGGGTTTACTACGGTATCCACGTCGATTGCATAGGCGCGAAGCCGCATTTTTTTGAAACTAGAAACAATTTTTTTTTTAAAGGAACATGACCTACAAAGAAATGCAGAAAAAATTATAAATAAAAACAATGAAAAGGTCGAGGCTGGCTGGTACTTGTAATAATGGTATAATGAAGGAAAAAGAGGAAGAAATGTAAATAACACTAGTATACATACATAATAATAATGACAATATCAATATTGAAAATGAAAATGATTTTGAGTTTAATTAAAATCACAAGAGCTTAGAGAGAGAGAGACGCAGAAAAATAAGCAGCGCCCACTTTATCATTGAAGAAATTTGGGCGCTGCTTATTTTTCTCTGCGCTCTCTCAAAATAATGTATAGGCGCTGCTTATTTTGAAAAGTGGGTGGAATTTTTAAAAATAAGCAGCGCCTATGCATTATTTTGAGAGAGCGCAGAGAAAAATAAGCAGCGCCCAAATCTTCTTCAATGAAATAGTGGGCGCTGCTTATTTTTCTCTGCGCTCTCTCAATTTAATGCATAGGCGCTGCTTATTTTGAAAAAGTGGGCGGAGCTTAGCAGCGCCTATGTATTATCTTGAGAGAGTGCAGAGAAAAATAAGCAGCGCCCAAATTTCTTCAATGAAATAGTGGGCGCTGCTCATTTTTCTCTGCGCTCTCTCATTTTAATGCATAGGCGCTGCTTATTTTTTGAATTTTGCAAGTGAAGGAAAATAAGCAGCGCCTTTGTATATGATTGTGAGAGACGCAGAGAAAGAGAGCAGAGCATAGTTTTTCACGTGGAATTTTGAATTTTGAAACATTCTAATTTCATTTTTGTCTACAGTAATCCTATTAAGGAAAAAATTCCAAAAGTCAAATTTTTGCGCAACAAAAACAAGAAAACGCCAGAAAATCCATAAAAATAAAAAAGATAAGAAAAAATGCATAATAATTATATTTTTATGCAATCATCAAGAAAACCAGCTATGAAAAAGAAAATATTTTTGAAGATGTTTGATTTTCCAAAACCCAAACATCTGGAGGAAAAAACTTTGGGAAAAACATTAATTTTTTTCTTCAAAAATTCAAATTCACCCAAAAATCCAGGCCAAAATAGGAAAGTGATAATGTTGCGTTTTCACTTTTCCCAACCAAAACCTAAATTTGGTCAGAAAAATTTCACTTTCGCTTCGTTCTCTCCCGCTGACTGACAGAACAAAATGATGAATAAATTTGAATTTTTCTCGCGGGGGAAAAGTAGAAAAACGGATAAAATTAGGGGGAAAACCTTCGAAAAACATACGTATCAGCTTTCAAAATATCCAATTCTTCTTGTTGTTCAGCCAAAGTTGATTCGTTGTCCAAATATGTGTGCAATTCTCCACCACCACCTTCTAAGCCTCGATAAACTTGAAGAGCTGAATCGCCGATTTTGTGCGGTGCTCGAAGAGTTCGAATTACGTCTTGCAATTGATCGGCTGAAAAAAATGGTTTATTAGAGCGCATTTGCATTTTTTGGAAAATTAGCAGCGCCTATGCATTATTTTAAGAGAGCGCAGAGAAAATAAGCAGCGCCTACAGAATTTTGGGCGCTGCTTATTTTTCTCTGCGTCTCTCAATTCAATACATAGGCGCTGCTAAGCTCCGCCCACTTTTTGAAAATAAGCAGCGCCTATGCATTATTTTGAGAGAGCGCAGAGAAAATAAGCAGCGCCCACTTTTTCATTGAAGAAATTCTGGGCGCTGCTTATTTTTCTCTGCGCTCTCTTCAAATTAATGCATAGGCGCTGCTAAGCTCCGCCCACTTTTGAAAATAAGCAGCGCCTATGCATTATTTTGAGAGAGCGCAGAGAAAAATAAGCAGCGCCCACAGAATTTTGGGCGCTGCTTATTTATCTCTGCGTCTCTGAATTTAATGCATAGGCGCTGCTTATTCTGAAGAGCGAAATAGTGTGCATTTTGGCGAGACGCAGACAATCTAATCCAAAAAAAAAAGAGAACTAACCAATAATTGTGTGTAATTGAAACTTAAAAGTGACCGGTCTCATTGGTTCCAAATAAGAACTTGAAGTGGTTGCAAAAGGATCCGAATCATTAATATACTGTATTCGACAAGTAAAAGTTTCATCATCATCCATTTTTTTTTTGTCTGAAAAATGCGAAATCGTAAAAAATTTGTTTTCCCAAAAAAAAGCAGCCGAAAAAAAAACAAAAAAAAACATCTAGATTATGACACATTTTTTTAAAAGGGGGCAAAAAGTGAAATTTTTTGTTTTGTTTAAAATTTCCAGCCTACTTTTTTTAAGTCAAAAAATAGAAGAAAAGTTGCAACAAGTCAAAAGTAAGTAAGTACAAAGCTAATAATAAAGTTAGTTGGGTAAATAAGAGAAAAAAAAGAAAAAAATTTGGGGGAGGATTTGAGAGATCTAGTCTTCCCCCCTTCAATATTTACTCTGAAAATAGAAAAGTGGTTTTTTTTGGAGAAAAATTTCGAAATTGTCTTTTTTTTCTGTGTGTGGGAAATAATAATAAGTAACAGATGTTTTAGGCGAGGAAAAATGAAAACAGACGAAAAAAATGATAAAAATGTCCTTGATTGATATATTTTTATGTGGTATTTTTTTGAAAAACAAAAAAAAAATCAGAAGTTGCGGAGGAGACGCAGAGAAAGAGACAGCGAGAACTTAGCAGCGCCTATGTATAAATCGAAGAGAGAGCAGAGAAAAATAAGCAGCGCCCACTTTTTCATTGAAAATTTAGGGCGCTGCTTATTTTTCTCTGCGCTCTCTCAATTAATACATAGGCGCTGCTTATTTTCCAAAAGTGGGCGGAGCTTAGCAGCGCCTATGCATTATTTGAAGAGAGCGCAGAGAAAAATAGGCAGCGCCCAAATTGACTCACATGTTTCTTTATGAAAATTTATCAGAAATGAATTTTGGTATTTCGAAATCTCACGTTTTCCAGAAAATATTGTTTGGAAATTTTTAAGGCTAGATTTTAATTTTGAATTTTCGCTATATTTTTTCAATCGGCCGCGGCGCAATTTTAATTTCAAAATGCAAATTTCAAAACTTTCTGGAACACATATAAAAAAAAAATCTATTTAAAACTCGCGAAAAAGAGTGGCGAAAAGCCGAAATGAACCGTCTCTTTTGTTTACCAAAGCAACCCGAAAAAAAAGTGTGTGCAAGAAAAAGAAAAGAATTTTATTATTTATCAGAAAAATGTTCCCCAAAGAATTCCAGCAAAAAAATGAAATTTCAAAAAAAAAGTACATTTTTCCTCTCTCAAAAACAACCAAAACCAAAAAAATCGTAATAATATCGGGATGTCCATTGAGCTCCCTTCAAACACACACACACAAAAACGTTCACTTTGCTCATCTGTCTCTCTCTGCGTCTCTCTTATCTCTACACTCTTTCGCTTTTTAATTTTTGCCTGCGGGAGAGAAAAGAGGAAGAAGAATAAGAAGAAGATCTATATTACAACAAATTTCGAATACTTTACAACTTTTTTGAGCTGATTTATTGATTAGAGTGTCTGCGTCTCATCGAAATGTGCACTATTTCGTTTTTTAGAAGAAAACAAATAAGCAGCGCCTATGAGAGACGCAGAGAAAAATAAGCAGCGCCCAATTTTCCATTGGAAACTATTTTTCTCTGCACTCTCTCGAAATAATGCATAGGCGCTGCTAAGCTCCGCCCACTTTTTGAAAATAAGCAGCGCCTATGTATTATCTCGAGAGAGCGCAGAGAAAAATAAGCAGCGCCTAAAACTCTTCAATGGAAAAGTGGGCGCTGCTTATTTTTCTCTGTGTCTCTCGAAAAATAGAACTATTTTTTACTACTTTTTCCAGACAAAACAGTATTTTGCCTAAAAAAGAAAAAAAAAAGAAAATCGAGATAACAAAAGTAATAGGATTTTTCCTGCAAAAAAAACTACGTTCCACACGAAAAATAGGAATTTTTCTAGAAGAAATCAAACCAACCGCCAAAAAAAAACGAGATAAATAAATTGTAATAATAATCTTTTCGAGGCAAAAAAATTGATTAATTAGATCAATCAACACAGAAATGAAAGTGAAACAAAATGTATATTCTATTCTGAAAAATTCCTCTTTTTACACATAAAAAACGCAAAAAATCCATAATCTTATCAATTTTTGTTTCTCTTAACGCATAATTAGTGACACAAGAAACTGGATTGAGCGAAAAAATGTATATATATTTTTTTTTGGAAAAAAATGATGAAAAAATGTGAGAAAAAAAGTGTCGAATTTCTTATATATAGCTTTTTGCGTCTTTTTTTTGACCACTTAATACGAAAACAAGAAAAAAGGAACACTTGAGGAGGAAAATGACTAGACTAATAATAAATAAGGAATACATATGTATATTAATTTACCTAGGCTTGACTTCAATTGGAAATTTGATATTCTTAGAAGAAAAATGAAGAAAAATAAAACATAAAAACATTATTTGTTTTACATTCAATACAAAAAACGAATGAGGGGAAAAGTTGAAAAACCAATGAATTTATTATTATTTGGAGATTTGATTTTATTTGATCATGTTCCGAAGGTCAAAACGTGTCTTTTTCGAATTTATTAGCCGGAAAATGGGATAAGCAGCGCCTATGTATAAAATTGAGAGAGCGCAGAGAAAAATAAGCAGCGCCCACTTTTTCATTGAAGAGTTTTAGGCGCTGCTTATTTTTCTCTGCGCTCTCTCAAAATAATGCATAGGCGCTGCTTATTTCAAAAAGTGGGCGGAGTTTATCAGCGCCTATGTATAAAATTGAGAGACGCAGAGAAAAATAAGCAGCGCCTAAAATTCTTCAATGAAAAAGTGGGCGCTGCTTATTTTTCTCTGCACTCTCTCAAAATAATGCATAGGCGCTGCTTGTTTTGAAAAGTGGGCGGAGCTTAGCAGCGCCTATGCATTATTTTGAGAGAGCGCAGAGAAAAACATATTTTCAATTTCAGGGAAAACTCAAATTTTTGTAAATTAAAAAGAAGACTCTGGAAAAATCGAATAATTTTCGAAATCAAATTAAATTAAAAAGGAGAGATGACCTAATAAAAGATAAAATCTTGAAATTTCCTACGATGTGGAAAGGAACACACAGAAAATATGTTATTTTATTCCTTGTCCAGCTAGAAAAATGGGCTTTATGAGTATAAACAAACAAAGAAAATTTCCATTAAAGCTCATCATTGTTTTCTCTAAAAACTCTCATTTTTCAACACTATTTTCTGAGCCAGGAAAGGAACAGGTGTGAAAAATCGTATTTTTATTCAATTTTTCTCTCACAATTGAATTTGTTTATTTATTTATCAGTAAAATAAGGAAATTTTACGATTTTTCCTTACAAAAACATTTTTCATAGGAAAACTAAAAAATGCAAAAAAGTCGTATTTCAAGCGAGAAATAATTGAAAAATGACTTTGAATTCGAGAAAATTACACATGAAAGTAAAAACAAAACACGAAAATAAACAAGATTTCGCAGAAAAAAAAGAAAACAAGGTGAGAATAATTATAATAAAATATTATTTGAGCAACGCAACGAAATAAGCGAGAGAGTGAGAGAAAGAGAGAGAGTGGGGAGAGATGCAGAGAAACATGAAATGATATTGGAATTTTAGGGAACAGGTATGTGTATTTGTTAATTAGAAACTAAAGAGAAAAAAAGAAAAATGAGCAGCGCCTATGTATTATTTGAAGAGAGTGCAGAGAAAAATAAAAAATACGAAACACACAAATTTTTGCGAGAGTGCGCGAAATGCGATTATTATCAATGGGGCGCACTTCCATTTCTACTTTTATTTTCTTGTTTTTATTTTTTCGAAAATGTTTGATTCACGTATTTTTTGTTGTTTTTCATGAATTTGAATGAAACCTTGTTGTTACATTCATATTTTTCTCTTTTCCTAGTACAAATAACCTAATTTTAGTTGATTTTTGATACAAAAACTGGTGCTAAAAAAGCTATTTTATGGAAAAATGATTTTTTCTTACTTTTGGTTCACTTTATATAGATTTTGCTTACAGGAAAATCGTCAGAGAAATGGTGTAAATAACGGAACAATTAGATAAATTTTGGTCTGCATTTCGAGGAGGAAAACTGGACGAAATGTGAGTTTTTTTGAGATTTTGAAAAAATTTGAGGGTCTCAGTTAGCGAGCTAATAAATATCCGTTAAAATTTCGTTTTTTTTCAAAAAAAAAATACAGATTAAAAATTTTTAAAAAATTTGAGCTCAAAATCAAAACAAATTTTTTTCTCTAACAGCTTCTCAAATTTTAGGCGCTGCTTTTCGAAAAAGGGGCGGAGCTTAGCAGCGCCTATGCATTATTTGAAGAGAGCGCAGAGAAAAATAAGCAGCGCCCAAATCTTCAATGAAAAAGTGGGCGCTGCTTATTTTTCTCTGCGCTCTCTCAAAATAATGCATAGGCGCTGCTTATTTTCAAAAAGTGGGCGGAGCTTAGCAGCGCCTATGTATTATTTGAAGAGAGTGCAGAGAAAAATAAGCAGCGCCCAAATTTTTCCAACAATAAAGTTGGTGTTGTTTTTTCTCTGCGTCTCTTTTGGGTCTAAAAATTTTTGCAAACAGTTAGGTTTGTGTCAATTATAGGATTATTTACTAAAATTTACAAATGAAATGAACACACATTCAGGTTTTCTATTAGCAAAAAACTGACCTTGAATAAAATTTCGGCACATTAGAGACAAAAAGAAACAGGTGGACTTTTCCCAGCAAAAAATTTGGCGCCAAGAACAACATTGCAAAAATTTATTAGTTAATTTAAAGGAACATGTACATGCAAAAATTTTGTCAGAGGAAAAAAAAGAGATCAATTGTCTAAGCAGGGTGTGAAATACATAATATTTATATTTATCTACATATTTTTTGTTAACCCGTCGGGTTACTGTACATATTATGCGGGACATTTTTAGGGGAGAAAAATTTAGACATCTTGCTGTTCTGGTTCATATTTGGGTGATAGGTCGGCTAAATAGGTTAGGGCGACTTCGTAGAGATTTTTTGGCAGCTCGCGGAGCCGAGAATCGATAATTTGGAGGACTGTTTGAAGATCACCTGAGCCGTGAGCAATTCGAACCTGAAAATTTTTCAAAATTTATTTTTTTTTCTTCCAACGAAATTCTCTTACTCTGTTCGTATCTTCTTCATCCAACAAATTTTTGAAAAGTGGAGGCGGTCGCATTTTTTTCAGCAAATTCTCGATTTTTCGTCTTTCGCCTAGTGGCAAATCTTCACTTTCCACCAATTTATCCTTGACCATTTTCATGATTTCATGATAATTTCCAGTTGCGTGTAAAGAGGAGATTAGATTGAGTTCGTAGTCGCTCCAATTGAGAGACTGCAAAAATTTGAATTTTTTGGGAGAATGAGTTTTTTTCAGTGGAGCGCTCTTTGAATTTCGAAAACAAGCAGCGCCTATGCTTTATTTTGAGAGAGCGCAGAGAAAAACGAGCAGCGCCTAAGATTTCTTCAGTAGGCGCTGCTTATTTTTCTCTGCGCTCTCTCAAGATTATACATAGGCGCTGCTAAGCTCCGCCCACTTTTGGAAAATAAGCAGCGCCTATGCATTATTTTGAGAGACGCAGAGAAAAATAAGCAGCGCCCACTTTTTCATTGAAGAAATTTGGGCGCTGCTTATTTTTCTCTGCGCTCTCTCATGGTTATACATAGGCGCTGCATTTTGTTTGTCACGTCATTTCATTTTTCCCAGATACAATTCTAGAAAAATCTAGTTCCAGCTAAAATTGTAGTTTCCGGAAAATTTGCCACGTCATCACATATTTCTCACCCCATTTTTTTCAGAGTCATATGTCAAGTTTTTTTTCGCTGACAAGTCATAATTAGAAACAAGCAAAAAATCAAAATTGCTCTAAATTTCTTATCACAAAAAATAAAAAAGACAACTTTTCCTTCTCCTTTCACTCTCAACTTTTTCTATCATTTTTTTTCTGGCTCCCTCAAAAATCAAAACCTACCGCAAATGCTCCCATATGTCCTGAAAGACCTTCTCGATTACTGTAGCCTAAAGGAACATCGCATAAAACTAGGCAAAATACGGTGGATGACAGAATTAGCAGTGAATATTGATGCATCATTTTTTTGTTTGGCTGGAAAAAAATGAGTTGGATAAAAAAAGATGATATACATCTAAATCAGAAAAAATCTCTCTTTACTACAAAAAAAAATCTTAAGAGGATTCAATTTCAGGAAAAAAAATGCAAAAAGCAAAAGCAAAAATATATGGAAATTTCTGGTTACTGGGAAAAATTTTCAAAGAAAAAAGATAAGAGTTTGGTTTTTTGGAAAAAATGTTTGATTTATCAGCATTGGGAAAAAGTTATTGGGTCACGAGATGAAGCAGAAAAAAATTCGAGATAATAATAACTGGGGGGTACTGTAGAGGGTGACACATTATTGATTGATTGATTGATTTTGTGCAAGAACGTTTGGATATTTCTCTGCGTCTCTCAAAATAATGCATAGGCGCTGCTAAGCTCCGCCCACTTTTTGAAAATAAGCAGCGCCTATGCATTATTTTGAGAGAGTGCAGAGAAAAATAAGCAGCGCCCACTTTTCAATGGAGAAATTTGGGCGCTGCTTATTTTTCTCTGCGTCTCTCAAAATAATGCATAGGCGCTGCTAAGCTCCGCCCACTTTTTTGAAAATAAGCAGCGCCTATGTATAAAAATGAGAGAGCGCAGAGAAAAATAAGCAGCGCCCACTTTTCAATGGAGAAATTTGGGCGCTGCTTATTTTCTCTGCGCTCTCTCAAAATAATGCATAGGCGCTGCTAAGCTCCGCCCACTTTTTCAAAATAAGCAGCGCCTATGCTTTATTTTGAGAGAGCGCAGAGAAAAATAAGCAGCGCCCACTTTTTCATTGCAGAAATTTGGGCACTGCTTATTTTTCTCTGCGCTCTCTCATTTTTATACATAGGCGCTGCTTATTTTCAAGTGAAGAGGAAAATAAGCAGCGCCTATGCATTGAATATTTTGAGAGACGCAGACGAAAAATAAGCAGCGCCCAAACTTGCTCATTTTGAGCCTATTTTATACCCAGACAAAACTAATAAATATTCTGACATACCTAAACTTATAAAGGACTATCTAGCTAGCTAAAAATAAACTGAAAACTTTATAACCTCATAAATTTTCAGACTTTTGGGAAGTCGCAAAAAAAACGTAATAAACTCGCAATTTTTCCCATCAAAAATGAATTTTTTGGAAGTTTTCTCACAGGATAGAAAATGAGAAAAAACTACTGCAAAATTGGGTGGAAAACTATACGAATTTCAGGAGCAAAGAAATAAAATATTCTGAAAATAGAAATCTAATGTGACGAAATAAATAGGTTAATACTTTTGTACTCCGGCCGAGAAAAAAGAAAAATTGAATTGTACTCTGATCCACGTCATCAAAAATACAAGCAGCTGAGCTACGAGACTAAAAAACCAGAAAACACATTTTTTCTAATAAAACCAGAAGAAAACCGGGAATTTTTGTGTTACCATCAGAATTTGTGATTATTTACACACATTTTCTTATTATGATTATTTTCCTTAAAAAATTCTAGAAAATTAAAAAAACGAAAGAAAACATGAGAAAATTGGAAAAACACGAGAAAACATGAAAAATGATCAGAAAATGTCAGATTTTACTTAATTGTTGGGCTTTTTCTCCTTCTTCACATGACTCGCGAAATTGAAATTTTCGTTTTTTTATTCGCTTCTTTTTTCTCTTTGTTCAAGAAAAGAAAGAAGTCATTTATTTAAAAAATGAAAAGAGAAAAAAAGAAAACGGAGCAAAAATCGGATTTATTAATGGTCTTGGAACGACAATTAATCTTTCCCCACACAAAGAGTACTGTAATGACGTCATTTCAGCGTGGGCGCTGCTTAATTGCATGAAAAAAGCAGCACCTATGTTTTCTCTGCGCTCTCTCAAAATAATGCATAGGCGCTGCTAATTTGCAAAAAGTGGGCGGAGCTTAGCAGCGCCTATGCATTATTTAAAGAGAGTGCAGAGAAAAATAAGCAGCGCCCAAATTTCTTCAACAAGAAGTGGGCGCTGCTTATTTTTCTCTGCACTCTCTTCAAATAATACATAGGCGCTTCTTATTTTCAAAAAGTGGGCGGAGCTTAGCAGCGCCTATGTATTATTTGAAGAGAGCGCAGAGAAAAATAAGCAGCGCCCAAATTTTTGCATTGAAAAAGAGGGCGCTGCTTATTTTTCTCTGCACTCTCTCGAAATAATGCATAGGCGCTGCTATTTTTTCTAGAGAAGAGAAAAGAAGAGAAACAAAGCGCGCTCTTTCGCACAAAAAGCGTTTCCAACAAAAATTCAAAAAAAAAACTACTGTCTACAGTATCTGCGAGTAAAAAAAAGGCGTCATTATTCTCTCTGCAGACACAAAAATAAATATTCTTATCAGTTTTTCGCCTAAAAAAGTGCACACAACTTCTCTTGGACAAAAAAACGTTACCACGAAAAAAAGTGGAAATGAAAATGAAAATGTCAAGTGATTTTTGAACTTCCGCTTTTTTTCTGGGTTTTTTTGCGCGCGCGCGCGTTGCTGCAAGGCTACTGTTTTATTATTTATTAATTTTGGGGCAGCGAAAAGAGAAAATATCATCATTTCTTCTGTCATTACACTTCTTCTTTACTTATGAGAAATTCGGTCATTTTTTTCGCCCTCTTTTTTTTCTCGCAAGCCAGAAGAATCGAGTTTATTGGACAAATCTATTGTCAACATGTTGAATTCTGTTATAAAATGGTTTTTTGGGAAGAGGATAACATTTTTGATGATTATGTGGTGGAAACGAGACCGCATTGCGCCAAAAAATCAATTTTGAATAATCATGTTATCACAGATCATGGTTGGGATGGTTCGGTGAGTTTTCCGGGTTTGCCACGTCATTTTGGGCAAATCTAGAGCAATTTTGCAAAAAAAAAAAAAAAAAATTTTTCAAAAATTTGATTTTGAGCGCAAAAAGAGTTTCATTTTCCAGCTTCATTATGAATTCTATGTGTTCGTCACGCATAATTGCACAGAAAATGGGAAAGAAGTGACATATCGACATAATTTTTCGGCTGTTCCCGCACTCGAATTCGTCTATGTCAGATATCAACTCAATATAACTGATAAATCTTGAAAATTTGTATTTTCTATGGCAAGAAATATATAATAAACTTGTTAAACAACATTTTGTGGCTGGGGATCTGATGAGCTATCAGGTGGCAACATTAATTCTTGCATTAATCGATCGATTGAAGCTAGCCCGAATAATTTACAAAGTTGAACATCTTCAATCAAATCACGTGCAATTGCTAACATTGGTGGAAGAAGTAGCAATAAATTTGCGAATCGACGTGGCATTTCTTTGTAGGCTGAGACTGTTCGAACATGTTGTTCGAATGATTCGAGAACTTTTTGACGGGTTTCTTCCACTTCGTTGTATGAATTTGCATCAACGCCTTTTGCTACTGTAAAAATTAACTATTTGTGTTATTGTAATTTGAATTTTTGAGAGAAAATTGCTTTGTGCGATTGAGCGCGCTTTGATTTTCTAAATACAATAAAATAAGCAGCGCCTATGCATTATCTGAAGAGAGCGCAGAGAAAAATAAGCAGCGCCCACTTTTTATTGAAGAAATTTGGGCGCTGCTTATTTTTCTCTGCGCTCTCTCAAAATAATGCATAGGCGCTGCTTATTTTCGAAAAAGTGGGCGGAGCTTAGCAGCGCCTATGCATTATCTGAAGCGAGCGCAGAGAAAAATAAGCAGCGCCTACGTTTTCTTTAATAAAAGTGGGCGCTGCTTATTTTTCTCTGCGCTCTCTCAAAATAATGCATGGGCGCTCCAATGTTTATTCTAACCAAAATATTTTTGAGCACAAAAAACGACGAATGATTAAAAAAATGTAACCTCAAAAAAAACTTACGTGGATCAAAAAACGCGATAGCTTTCAAAGCCACGTATTCAATTTCATTCATATTCAACTGTCTCATTGGCGTTGTTAAATGATCAACAATTCTTGCCGCAACTCGATTCACATCTGGTACTTTTGGACTGTCTTTATGCAGACATGTTTCATTAGTTAACCAAACTGCGTCGGATAAATGAATACTTCGAAATGCGGCACACATAACTAAATGTTGAGCGGAGAAATGGCGGAGAAGTGAGATTTGGGTGTTCATGTCGAGTCGTTGGAATTGATCCAAGTTTTTTGCCCATTCCACCATTAAAATTAGCTGTTGATTCATACTGTAATTAATTTTGGGATTTTTTGAATGTTTCATAGTTTTCGGGTCATTAAAGAGTACTGTAATGACGTCATTTCAGCGTGGGCGCTGCTTAATTGCAAAAAATAAGCAGCGCCTATGCATTATCTTGAGAGAGCGCAGAGAAAAATGAGCAGCGCCTATGTTTTCTTCAATAAAAGTGGGCGCTGCTTATTTTTCTCTGCGTCTCTCAGAACAATGCATAGGCGCTGCTTATTTTCAACAAGTGGGCGGAGCTTAGCAGCGCCTATGCATTATTTTGAGAGAGCGCAGAGAAAAATAGGCAGCGCCTACGTTTTCTTCAATAAAAGTGGGCGCTGCTTATTTTTCTCTGCGCTCTCTCAAGATAATACATAAGCGCTGCTTAACAAGCTCCGCCCACTTTTTTCGAAAATAAGCAGCGCCTATGCATTATTTTGAGAGAGTGCAGAGAAAAATAGGCAGCGCCCAAGTTTTCTTCAATAAAAGTTTAAAAGATTCATACTGTAGCACTATTTCAGCTGTGTTTCTTTACCCAATAATCAATATTCCTACCTGTCAGTAACATCACAAGTAGTTGCTTGTCTCCTTGCATCCGATGTTTTCGTAATAACTGTACATCTCAATTGTCTCATCGTCGCTTCAACTTTCAATAATTGATCCAAAAGTGGATCGTCAACTGTAGATGTTTCTCTCGAAGATCCACTTCCATTCGAATTTCCGCCGCTCTTCAAATTCGCCGGTCGAATTCGATCTCGTTCAGTTTGTACCGCGTCGCGTCGCATTCCTTTCCGCAGACAAACTTCGAAACGACATTTTCGACATGCGTTTCGTTTGGCTGAAAAATTGTATGAGAATGCAAAACGGAAAAAGGAAACATTTTCGTATAAGAGGATTATTCGGGGGGAAAAAAGATGATGTAGTACTAGAATAACAAACAAAAATCATCGCATCGAGTGGACAAATATCATTTTATTTCATTTTTATACACAAATTTCGAAATTCACCAGGGAAAACGGCGTTTTTTGAGATCTCACAAAATTTCCTTTTTATTATAGTTTCAATTTTTTGATCTACCTCCAAATTTGTGCAAAAATCTCATTTTTTCTGCGTCTCTCAAAAGCGCTGCTTATTTTCCTTCATTTTTCGAAATAAGCAGCGCCTATGCATTATTCTGAGAGAGCGCAGAGAAATATAAGCAGCGCCTACGTTTTCTTCAATGAAAGTGGGCGCTGCTTATTTTTCTCTGCACTCTCTCAAAATAATGCATAGGCGCTGCTAAGCTCCGCCCACTTTTAAAAAAAATAAGCAGCGCCTATGTATTATTTTGAGAGAGTGCAGAGAAAAATAAGCAGCGCCCACCTTCATTGAAAAAAATCCCCAATCATCATATTATTTCTGAATTTTTCCCATTCTTCATAGTTCATACCTTTATCCACTTTACAGTCGCCTCCAAAACGACAAACATAAGAATGCCTTTTTCGTATTGTTCGCCGAAAAAATCCTGAAATTTGATATACTTAGGCTTTTATCCGTTTCCTCTATTCTCAAAAAAAAATACCTTTACATCCATCGCAGCTCATTGCTCCATAATGTTTTCCAGTCGCTTTATCACCGCAAATTGTGCAAATCACATTTTCGAAATTCATTTTCAGTTTAGATTTATTGAAGTAAAAATATACTTTTTTTTCAAATAATATTTTGTTTAAAAATCGATTTCTTATCACCAATTTTTTCTCTGATAGCTAATATTTCACAAATAAGCAGGAAAACGTTCAAACTTTCATAAAAATTTGAAAAATAATAGAAAGTAAAAAAAAAAACAATAAAAACTACAAAATGAAAACAAATGGTATTATCTATCAAGTAGTTGTAAATATCTCTGCGTCTCTTCTAATCGTCATTATCTCTCTCTCTCTCAACACATTATTACTAAACAGTGCGTAAACCCGCACAGTTTATCGATTTTTTCTAGAATTTTGGGAAGTTTTCTCTGCGTCTCTCAAAATAATGCATAGGCGCTGCTTATTTTCAAAAAGTAGGCGGAGCTTAGCAGCGCCTATGCATTATTATGAGAGACGCAGAGAAAAACAAGCAGCGCCTAAAATTTCGTCAATGAAAAAGTTTGGGCGCTGCTTATTTTTCTCTGCGTCTCTCGATTTTCACCATAGGCGCTGCTAATTCTCCAAAGTGCAATAGAGCGCACTTTCTTCGATTTCAATTATTTATGAGTGCATCATCTTCTGCCCTTTCTCTTTCGGTTTCCCGATTCCCTTCAATATTCATAATTGTCTCACCTGTTTCCGTCTCATTTCTCTGCACTCTCTCAATTCCTCATGTTCTCTATTACTATGTCACCTGCCACCCAGAGCTATTATGATGAATGGGAAAAAAGAAGAAGAAAATGAGGCTTTTTGCTAGGATATTTTAATATTTAAATATTCCCTCCAAAAATTCTTTCTTTTCTTTTTTTTGCCCATATGTTTTTCCAGATAGTGCTAATGGGTTTCCCAATTTTTTTCTTGTTCTTCTTCTTCTTCTTTTTTCCCCCTAAAAACATATGGTTTTTTGGAGGGGGAAAACAGAAAATTTCTGGTTTTTTCTTGTTGTATACTTTCAACCAAGCGTAAATTTTGCTTTATTTGCTTTTTTGAAAAGAAAAATTTTTTTGAGAAAATAAAATAACATTTTTGACGCGGCCGGGCGTCAAAACACTTTTTCTTTTTCATTTCTCGAAAAAATGTTGAAGCGGATTATTGTTTTTGTGTACTTTGTGGGAAAAATGATGTGAAAAGGTTTGTTTTTTACAGAAATAATTTGATCTAGCTTATATATTGTGCGCGAAAAAATTATTTTTCTTTAATTTTCTCTGAACTCTCTCAAAATAATACATAGGCGCTGCCTATTTTTATTTTCAAATGAAAAATAGGCAGCGCCTATGTATTAAAATGAGAGACGCAGAGAAAAATTAAGCAGCGCCCAAATGAAAAAGTGGGCGCTGCTTATTTTTCTCTGCATCTTTCGAAATAAAGCATAGGCGCTGCCAATTTTCGTTTTGTCACCCTTTCGCAATAGAGCGCACTTTCCCCCTCTATCATTTTTCCTAAAAATTTCTTCTGTTTTCCTCGCATTTCCTCCCATTAAACTATCTAATGTGTTGTTTTCATTCATCAATACTTTATTTTATGAGAGCCGAACCCTCTCTCAATAGAGCGCATTTCCTTTTCTCTCACTGTCTGCACTCTCTTCTTCTGTTTCTCTCAAGGCTGACTCAATTTCTCTCCATTTCTCTCTTCACTTTTTTTGTTTCCAGCTGAGGGCAAGTATTTTTTCGATTTCGAAATGAACGAAATCGCCAAAGTCAATTGGAATATTCAGAATATTCTGGAAAACTTGGAAATTGAATCGGATTCGGAAGATTCTGGAGCTGAAGCTGAAAAGGCTGATTGTGAGCCTGAAATTGTTATAAAAGGTAGGATTTTTAGAAAGATTTTATTGAACAATGAGAAAAATTGAATTTTGCAGAAGAAGAAGACTCGGAAGATGATTTTGATGATGATGACGTCATCGAATTCGCAGATTGCACTGGAAGTGAGTGTTTTCAAGGGCTAGGACTTGAAAACTTTCAAAATGGAGCAGAAAATCATGAAAATTGAGCCCAGGAGCTTGTAAAATATGAAATTTCGATGAAAATGTGGTTCCGCAGCTCATTTTTGTCTAAATTTCATGATTTGCAAGCTTCAAAGCCTAGTTTTAATGATTTTCTAGCCTGAAAACCTCAAAATTCATGAAAACACATCAAAATCTTCTCCAGATTTCACAAAAAAGCTAAACGCGGCTCGTCACAATGTTGTTGCTCCAAATGCAGTCAAAAATCGACTATTAAATGACGCGGAAAGTCGAGCAGATTCAAATGAAGATCGAAAAAGAAAACGAATCAAAGATCGTGCAGATCGAGCAACTGTTGAACAGGTTTTAGATCCTCGAACTCGTTTAGTGCTATTTCGATTGTTGCAAAAAGGAACTCTATTGAATATTGATGGATGTATTTCGACTGGAAAGGTTGGGAGATTTTTCGGATGGGCAAAAAGGAAGATTTTACCTGAAAATTAGGAAATTTAGTGATTTCTAGATTCAAAATTCATGAAAAATCCCAATTTTTCAATTGAAATACAATCAGAATCCTTAAAAAGTCATCAATTTTCAGGGAAAACCCCAAATTTCATTGCCTAGGCTTGAAAATCCATTTATTGATTAGCAGCGCCTATTTCTAATGAAAGAAAATAAGCAGCGCCTATGTATTATCATGAGAGACGCAGAGAAAAATAAGCAGCGCCCACTTTTTCATTGGAGGAATTTGGGCGCTGCTTATTTTTCTCTGCGTCTCTCGATATAATGCATAGGCGCTGCTTATTTCCATAAGCTCCGCCCACTTTTTGAAAATAAGCAGCGCCTATGTATTATCATGAGAGACGCAGAGAAAAATAAGCAGCGCCCACTTTTCAATTGGAAATTCGGGCGCTGCTTATTTTTCACTGCACTCTCTTCGCATGAGCGCTGCTTTTTTCAAGGAACTAAGCAGCGTCTAGTCAAAAATGCTTCCCAGTTCCCCAATAACTCCAATATTTTCCAGGAAGCCAATGTCTACCACGCTCAAGGTGCCACCAACGATCTAGCCGTAAAAATCTACAAAACCTCAATTCTCACCTTCAAAGATCGCGAAAGATATGTGACTGGAGAATTCCGATATCGCCACGGTTATTGTAAATCGAATCCACGAAAAATGGTTGCAGTTTGGGCCGAAAAAGAGATGCGAAATTTGGCGAGAATGCATGAAATTGGATTGCCTGTGCCAAAACCGCATTTATTAAAAGGACACGTGTTGGTGATGGATTTTATTGGGAAAAATGGATGGCCAGCTCCACTGTTGAAAAATGCGGAATTAAATGAAGTGGAAGCGGAACCAATGTATTGTGGATTAGTTCGAGATATGAGAAGATTATATAGAGAATGTCGATTGGTTCATGCTGATTTGAGTGAATTTAATATGCTAGTTTGGGAAAAGCAGCTATATATTATTGATGTTTCACAATCTGTTGAACAAGATCATCCACATGCATTGGAATTTTTGAGAATGGATTGTAATAATGTGAACAAGTATTTTCGAGAACTTGGAGTTCGAGTTCTTTCAGTTAGAAGACTTTTTGAGATTATTGTGGATCCGCTGATGAGTGTAAAAGAAATGGAGAATATTCTGGAAAATGAGCGATTCGATGAAACAATTAAGCAAGAGGATGATGCGCTTTTTATGAATGCTTTTATTCCGCACAAATTGGAACATGTTTTGCATTTTGAGAGAGATGGAAAATTGGCGAAAGCTGGAGAAGAAGCGAATAATCCGTTTCAGAATATTGTTACCAAGGTTGGTTTGGGAAAAATAAGCAGCGCCTACTTTTTCGTTGAAGAAATTTGGGCGCTGCTTATATTTCTCTGCGCTCTCTCAAAATAATGCATAGGCGCTGCTTAACAAGCTCCGCCCACTTCGCTGAAGAAAATCAGCAGCGCCTATGTATTATTTGAAGAGAGCGCAGAGAAAAATAAGCAGCGCCCAGTTTTTCGTTGAAGAAACTTGGGGCTGCTTATATTTCTCTGCGCTCTCTCGAAATAATGCATAGGCGCTGCTTAACAAGCTCCGCCCACTTTGCTGAAGAAAATAAGCAGCGCCTATGTATTATGTGAAGAGAGCGCAGAGAAAAACGGCCTTTTTTCCAGATCGATTTGAAAGGTGAAGGTTTCGCTGAAAATTCAGATGATGACCAAGAAGAACCGAAAAAGGGTAAAAAATCGCGTGCCGAACCAACTGAAGAAGAATTGGAAGAAAAGGAGAGGAAAATTGCGATGCATACAAGGTAAAAATCCTTTTTTTCACGTTTTTCATCATTTTCATTTCCAGAAATCGTGAGGAAACTGCTGAGGAGCGAAAATTGCGAAAAAACGCAGTGAAAGAGGAAAAACGGGAGAACCGCAAGGAAAAAACGCCGAAACATGTGAAAAAACGAGCACATCGACAACATATGAAATAATTTGCGGGGCTGGCGAGTACTGTAGGTATGTGTACGACGTTTTTTCTTATCTTTTTTTTCATCGAGGTGGATTGGCCGAAAATTGAGATGAGATATGTATAATTATATTATACTACGGTTCCTGTTTCATCTTCTTTTTTTCGACTTTCGTGGGAAAAAGAGGATTTTCACATTTTTTCATCAAAAATTCACCCCCAAACGTCCCTTGAGACGCATTTTTCATGTTCCACCACTTTTTTTGGCCAAAAAATATTTTTTGCGCATTTTTAACAGCTGATTGTGAACAAAAATGGGCGCTGCTTTTTTTTCTCTGCGCTCTCTTCAAATAATACATAGGCGCTGCTTATTTTTAAAAAGTGGGCGGAGCTTAGCAGCGCCTATGTATTATTTTGAGAGAGCGCAGAGAAACATAAGCAGCGCCCACTTGTAGTTGAAGAAATTTAGGCGCTGCTTATTTTTCTCTGCGCTCTCTCTCAAAATAATGCATAGGCGCTGCTAAGCTCCGCCCACTTTTTGAAAATAAGCAGCGCCTATGCATTATTTTGAGAGAGCGCAGAGAAAAACATGCAGTTTTTCTGTTTTTCATTCCCGGACCCCCAAAAGTCTATATTTTCCAGATTTTTCTCTTCTCGGTGGAATTCTGAAGGTCATTTACATTTTTTTTGTTATTTGTTAATTTAATTTAATCAATTTGTTTCTGTTGTTCACTAGTTCTTTTATTTTTTGCCTGTTATTCGTTTTTGTTGAAAAAATTGGATTTTTATTGATTTTTTTATCGTTTTATTTTGAAATTATGCGGTTTTTGACACCGTTTCCATATATATTTTTTGAAATTCTTTGGAATTTAAAAATAATCAAACTTTTCAGATGGATTACGATGAGGAAGTTCGGCGACGAAAAGAGTATGCTGATCGAAAAGTGCGTGAAAGGCACGAGAAAATGAAGAGAGAGATGGAGGAAAAGAGGAAGGGTATAAAGGAGCATCGAGATAGGTAAGAGACGCAGAGGGATATTGGCAGCGCCTATGGTTTATTTGAAAAGAGCGCAGAGAAATATAAGCAGCGCCTAAAATTGAAAAGTGGGCGCTGCTTATTTTTCTCTGCACTCTCTCAAAATAATACATAGGCGCTGCTTGTTTTCAAAAGTGGGCGGAGCATTTAAAAAATAAGCAGCGCCTATGTATTAAATCGAGAGAGCGCAGAGAAAAATGAGAAGCGCCTAAATTTCTTCAATAAGAAGTGGGCGCTGCTTATTTTTCTCTGCACTCTCTCAAAAGAATGCATAGGCGCTGCTAATTTTTCATCATAAGCAGCGCCTAATTCAAAGAGAGTGCAGAGAATGAGACGAAAATTCCAGTTCAACGCATTTTTCTCCCGTTTTTTACCGGAAATTCAATTTTTCTCTTTTTCTCTCTTTCCTCCCAAAAATTTCTCCATTTTTTCTCAAATTCAAATCTGCTTAGAACACAACAACAAAGAACTTTTTTGGGCCTTCTTATCAGCAAAAAATATTTACTATTTTCTAAATTTTTTGCTGGGGGAAAAGGACACATTTGTACATATTTTGAATAGAATAGAAACAGATGTTTTGTAGTTCTTTTTGACACGTTTTGGGGAGAAAAATCCACATTTCTGGCCTATATTACCCCAAAAATCTCTATTCCAAATATATAATATTTTTATTGCAGAGTTCAATCGCAACTTCGCCGCGAACAAGAGTTGATTCAAAAAAGGATGCAACAATTAAACGAAGATGAGGAGCGAAAAAAAGCAACGTTGGCAAAACAACACACAGAAACATCGAGAACTGCGAATTTGTCGAAAAGCCCGAAACAAGCTGGATTTGGGTTCGGATCAGCGACACCGAGAACTTTGACCTATTTGGATAATTTGCCGAAATCTGAGCAATTGTACGATAAAAGATTGAAGCCAAGAGGTGGACCAATTGAAAGTGGATTGACGGTAGGATTTTTGATTTTATTGGAAAATTGTTGAGATTTTGGATTTTTTGTAGGAATCTAGCATAGATATACGAAGAGTTCAGGTAAAATAGTGCATACTAACTTTTTTAATCAATGAAAAATGCATGAAAATAGGATGTAACAAGCAGCGCCTAAAAGTGGGCGCTGCTTATTCTTATCTGCACTCTCTCAAAATAATGCATAGGCGCTGCTAAGCTCCGCCCACTTTTTTCGAAAATAAGCAGCGCCTATGCATTATTTTGAGAGAGCGCAGAGAAAAATAAGCAGCGCCCACTTTTTAATTGAAGAAATTTTAGGCGCTGCTTATTTTTCTCTGCGCTCTCTCAAAATAATGCATAGGCGCTGCTTATTTTCAAAAAAGTGGGCGGAGCTTAGCAGCGCCTTTTATTGAAAAAAGTGGGCGCTGCTTATTTTTCTCTGCGCTCTCTCAAAATAATGCATAGGCGCTGCTAAGCTCCGCCCACTTTTTTCGAGAATAAGCAGCGCCTATGCACTATTTTGAGAGAGCGCAGAGAAACTTACGTTTTTTTCAAAAATCAAAATTCAAAAAAGCCTATTCTGCAGATGGCGCTAACTACAGTAACCCAGATAATCTACAGTAACCCTCTCTGCCCTTCTTTTTCCTTCCTTCAAAAAATCGATAATTTTCCAGACGCCTCAATCTCGCTCAGGCCGAAATTCGGGCTCAGGTCTTGGCCCATCGCCAAATGCTCGTCCACCACCAGCCGCCCGTCGCCCGCCACCAGCAATGAATGCTATGACGTCATCAATGTATGTGGCACCGACCGGAAGACAATTGACACGCGGTGCACCGCCTTTGCTAACAAATGTTCCGCCACGTCCCGCAATTCGCCACACACCGCCACGTCAACAGAATTCGGCTAACTTGATGACACAATCTGTGTATACACCACCAACAAGTCGTGTACGGAGTACTGTAGTTGCACCAATTCCACGTGGCGCGAGAAAAATTGTGGCCAAAGAAACTGTGACACAAGCTGTGAAGGTGAAAAAGACTGTTGTGGAAGTGGCAGCGAAGAAGAAGCCGGCTGAAAAACCGCTGGAAATCCACGTGGAAAAATCGGAGAGTCCAGAAGTCCACGAGGTTGCTGAAAAAGTTCAAGAATCTTCTCCAGCAGCTCCAGAAAAAGCTTTAGAAGCTTCTGAAATTCAAGAACATGCTGAAAATTTGGTTGAAATTGCATATGAGACTCCAGAAGTTCACGAGGTTGCTGAAAAAGTTCAAGAATCTTCTCCAGCTCCAGAACAAGTTCAAGAAGTCGCTGAAAAAGTTCAAGAATCTTCTCCAGCTTCAGAAAAAGCTTTAGAAGCCTCTGAAATTCAAGAAGTTGCTGAAAATTTGGTTGAAATTGCATATGAGACTCCAGAAGTTGCTGCAGCTCCAGAACAAGTTCAAGAAGTCGCTGAAAATGTTACTCCAGCTGCGCAGGAAGCTGAAAAATTGCTGGAAGCTCCAGAAGCTCAAGAATCTTCTCCAGTTGCTGAAAATGTTCATGAAGATGGTGTGAATGCTGAAAAATCTCCAGAAGTCGCTGCTAAAGCTGAGGAAGCTTCACAAGTTTCAGTTGTAGAAGAAGTTGAGGAGATTGCTGAAAATGTTGAAGAAGTTGCTCTAACTCCTGAACCCGCTGCCAGCAGAACTCTAGAATCTTCTCCAGCTCCAGAAGAATCGCCAGTTCCAACTCCTCGAACTATTATTGATTGTCCAGCTGCTGAAGATTTCGAAGAAACGCTGAAAGCGTCAGAAGATGCTGAAGCAACTATCAAAGCTTCAGAATTCGCTGAAGTTGCAGAATCCGCTGCAAGAGCTCAAGAATCTTCACCAGCTCCACAAGATCCAGAAGCTTATGAGCTTAATTATCAATCTCAATCCCCAGCTGAAATTTCGGAACAATCGACGATGAAAATCGATGAAAATGATACATTTTCGAGCGGAAATTTGAGCTCCGAATTGGTCGATGTTTTTGGAAATGATTATATTGGAGAACACGGAAATCGACCGAATTTTGAATTGGAAACTGAAGAAGATGAGGAGGAGGAAACTGATTCCGGAAAAGCATCGCCTTCAGAAGAGGATTCGGGAGCGGGAAGTGAGAATGAGGAAGAGCGAGAGAAGACACCCAGACAACAAGATGTTAGAGAGCAAGAGGAGGAGGTGAGTGCGTAGTTTTCTCTGCGCTCTCTTCAAATAATGCATAGGCGCTGCTTATTTTCGAAAAAGTGGGCGGAGCTTAGCAGCGCCTATGCATTATTTTGAGAGAGCGCAGAGAAAAATAAGCAGCGCCCACTTTTTAATTGAAGAATTTCTTCAATGAAAAAGTGGGCGCTGCTTATTTTCTCTGCGCTCTCTCGAAATAATGCATAGGCGCTGCTAAGCTCCGCCCACTTTTTGAAAATAAGCAGCGCCTATGTATTATTTTGAGAGAGCGCAGAGAAAAATAAGCAGCGCCCACTTTTTGATTGAAGAAATTTTGGGCGCTGCTTTTAACTACAGTATTTTTGGCGCCTAAAAATACAGTAATCCAAATTTGTCAGTCAAATCTTGAAGATAAAAAAGAAAAATCACCTAATTTTGATGAAAATTTCTGAAAATATCTTTTTTTTACCAAAAAATCATGATTTTCCTGAAATTTTCTATGTTTTTTGAGAACTTTTACTGGAAAATAACTGTTTTGCCTGAAAAACTAAATATTTTAAGATTTTTAAAGCCCAGTTGGATTTAGGACCATTTTAGGCCTATATTTTCCCCTCACAAACCTCTGAAATCTCAATTTTCTTTTCCCAGATTCCAACAATCATTCCTTTGGTCAAAAAAGTTCAAACAAAATCGAGCGAAGATTTGGCAAAAGAACAAAAAGAGGCGGACGATCGAAAACGACGATTGGAGGCGATTTTGGCGAAATCGCGAGGAATGGCAATGCCAACTGCTGCACAATTGCCTGGAGCAGTTAGTGAGTGCATTTTTTTGGATTATTTTGAGCTGAAAATTTGGATTCTAGAGCCTAAATATTTAATAGTTTACTTTTTAGCCAGAAAATTGAATTTCGCTCTGAAAAATCAGGATTTTGAGAGGGATTTTGACCATTTTCTTGAGTATTTTTATCTAGAAAAACCTTTTTTCGACATTTTTTCACGCTCAAAAAAAATTACACAGTATTTTGGTTGTAGTGACACATTTTTCTTAACCCTAGTGTTCATTCTTTTTTTTTGCCCCAATTTTGAATTTTTCTGATCTACCATTTGCTTCTTCTTCTCAATCTCCAGCCAAAGTTACTAGTACTGTAGTCAATACAGTACCCCAACAAAAAGAAGCGCAAGAACAAGGTGAGGATTACTGTAGTCTTTGTGTGTGTGTAGTTTGGCATGGTGGTTTTTGTTGGGTTTTTTAAATGCGTGTGACGTGGCTTATTCTAATTTTTGTTACCAGAAGGAACAGTAATCCAAATTGATATTTTTGCATCTAAAATGCTTTTCAACTACCCGCTGCAAGACCTCAAGAATCGTTTTTCTCTGCGTCTCTCAAAATAATGCATAGGCGCTGCTTATTTTCAAAAAGTGGGCGGAGCTTGTTAAGCAGCGCCTATGCATTATTTGAAGAGAGCGCAGAGAAAAATAAGCAGCGCCCACTTTTTGTATTGAAGAAAAATTGGGCGCTGCTTATTTTTCTCTGCGTCTCTCAAAATAATGCATAGGCGCTGCTAAGCTCCGCCCACTTTTTGAAAATAAGCAGCGCCTATGTATTATTTTGAGAGAGCACAGAGAAAAATAAGCAGCGCCCACTCTTTCAATTTAGGCGCTGCTTGTTTTTCTCTGCGTCTCTCTCAAATTAAAATCTATTTTCATGCATTAACTACAGTATTTTTGGCGCCTAAAAATACAGTAATCCAAAAATTTTGTCTTTTCTAACTATATCTATAGCTGTCTCTCACCCCATTTTTAATATATTTGTTTTTCCAAATCATAATGTTCCTTTAATTACAGTACCCCCAACATCTTCATCATCTTCTGATATTTTGTCTCGTTTGGCTTCTCAATCACATCTACCATCACTCCAAAAATTGTTGCAACGAAAAGCGGCGGCGAATTCGAACCCAAGTCTCGAAACACAAGAAACACCATCGGGTGGAGAGATACAGTACCCATAGAGGTGGTACTGTAGGATTACTGTAGTGTATATTTACGGGTTGAATTCAATTCAAACTATTCAATTTTTCATATTTATGTACAAGGTGAGTGGATTTTTTTCCGCGAAATATAGAAAATTCAAATTTTAAACATTTTGCAGTCCAATTTTAGGCTATAAATTTAGGCTTACCTTAATTTAACCGTAAATTTTAAGGCTAAAATTAAAATTCAATTTTTTTCCAGATCTTGCCCCGCATTTTCATCATCATCATCGTTTTTTTTGTGCACACACTAAACTACATATACAAATATTGCTCATATTATATTTCCCCCAAGGAGGAAATTGTTTTATTTTCAGCGATTTCTACTGAAAATCCTTCCCCTATTTTTTATTTTTCTTTTTATTATTTTTCTTTCCCCACATTTTTGTTCTGTAAATAAATATTATGCATGTCTCTGGGAATTTTTAATTGAAATTTTAATTAAAAAAAAAAAAAGAAAATTGAAAATTCAAAGAAAATTGAAAATTTGGATTTTCCCCAAAAAATTCGAGCCGATTTTTTTTTTTTTTTGAAAAATCTCGGGCCGATTTTTTTTTTTGAAAAATCTCGGGCCGATTTTTTTTTTGAAAAATCTCGGGCCGATTTTTTTGAAAAATCTCTGGCCGATTTTTTTTTTTTGAAAAATCTCGGGCCGATTTTTTTTTTTGAAAAATCTCGGGCCGATTTTTTTTTGAAAAATCTCGGGCCGATTTTTTTTTGAAAAATCTCGGGCCGATTTTTTTTTTGAAAAATCTCGGGCCGATTTTTTTTTTTGAAAAATCTCGGGCCGATTTTTTTTTGAAAAATCTCGGGCCGATTTTTTTTTTTGAAAAATCTCGGGCCGATTTTTTAAGTAAAAAGTTTCATATTTGGATTAATCCAAAAATGTAAAAATCTCGGCCCGAGTTTTTCAAAAAAAAAAAATCGGCCCGAGTTTTTCAGTTTTTCAAAAAAAAAATTTAAATTCCCGCCCGAATGAAAATTTCGATTTGGGCGGGTAGCTTTATTTTTTGGAAATTTTTAACAAAAAAATTGATTTTTAATAAAATTTTAGAGAAATTTTGTAAGAATTTTTTTCAAACTCTGAAATTTTATTCCCAATTGATAAGACCGAAATTATTACCGAATGACTGTAATCTTTATTACTTGTCATTTTTATTATCCAATTTTCAGAGCATCGAAATGGTTTTTTTGAAAGACTGATGTTTGATCCTGAATTTTATCGAAACATTTTGACAGTTAATTTTAAGACATTTCAAAAAATGAAATAAAAATGCTTACGTATTTCGATAAGAACCGTATATAAAAGGGTACTATATAAAAGGGTACGAGCTTGATACAAGTCTAATTCTGAAAATGAAAATTTTAAATTCAAATTCATTTTTTGAAAAATCGTCGAATTTTCGCGCCAAAACATAAATTCTAAATGATTATATAAATAAAGTTTATGCACATCACAAAATCTTCAAAAATCTTCAAGCAGCAAATTCAGAAGTTGGTGTATTATTAGAAGTAGAATTGGAAGTTGAAGCAGAACTGTGTGATTTTCCAGCTGGCATAGTTAAAGCTGTTTTAATATGATCATTGTGTGATTCGAGACTTGTATAACTATAATATCTCACAAAATCGCCGATTGTCGTCAAATAAATATTCGAATTTTCGAATCCCCAACCTTGTTCGGTTTGTTCGATCAAACAATGTGAAATACGATCACCGTAGAGAACAGAGAGCACGAGTTTATCGGTCTGAAAATGGAAAAAAAATGAGAAAATTGCGGTGGAATGGGATTGTCCGAGAGAAGTACACAGGAAAATTCAAGAAAAAATTGAGGAATTTCAAAAAATTTGGGTTTTTGTCCGGGAGAAGTACACGGAGATTATTTTTCAAGCTAAAATTTGAAATTTTTCATCAAAATTCAGAGGAATTTCAAAAAATCTTGGGATTCTCTTGTCCGAGAGAAGTACACAGAAAAAATTATAATTTTTTTTATTCAGAGCTTTTTAATCAGAATTTTAATTTTTCAGTTTTTGTCCGAGAGAAGTACACGGAAACTTTTCAAGCTAAAATTTGGAATTTTTTTTTCAATATTTAATTTTTTTTTTTAAATAATTTATTTTTAATTTCAAAAAATGTGGTTTTTTTTTGTTTAGAAATTCAGAAAAACTAAATTTTTGAAAGAATTCACTAAAATTTGAAATTTATTAGAAAAACCAATAGTTTTTCATCAAAATTCAGAGGAATTTCAAAAAATTTGGGTATTTTTTAATTTTTCTGCGACTTTTTTCAGTAAATTTTCAATTTTTGCAATTTTTGTCCGTGAGAAGTACACAGAAAATTCTAGAAATTCAGAAAAACCACATTTTTTAAAGAATTCGGGTTTTCCTACAAAAAAATTTTTTTTTTCAATTTTTAATTTTTTTTAATAATTTATTTTTAATTTTGAAAAATTCAAAAAAATTCGCTAAAATTTGAGAAATTTATTAGAAAAACCAATAGTTTTTCATCAAAATTCAGAGGAATTTCAAAAAAATCGAGATTTTTTTAAAATTTTTCTACCACTTTTTTTTCAATTTTTGCAATTTTTGACCAAATTTTTAGCAAAATTTCAACATATTGTCCAAGAGAAGTACACGATTCCTTCATTTTTTCTTGAAAATTTTTGATTTTTGGGTTATAAACAGCAATTTTTCGTATTTTTTTGTTAAATTTTCTCAATTTTTGTCCGCGAGAAGTACACGAATTGATTTTTCCCTTCAAAAAATTCAAAAATACCTGAGTAGCACTTGGTCTAATCAAAAATACTCCATCAATCGGTGGTCGATATATTCCCATTTTCCGGTCCAATTCGAGCATTTTTTCACGAGCTCCTAATAGCGATTGAGCCGCTTCTTCTTTTGATGAACTGAATACCAAATATCTGGAAAAATTGGCTCCGTATCAACTTTCTATAGAAATTTCGCTGCGTAGCAACTCAAAAACTCTCAAATTGCTCAGATTATAGTGATATTGGGTGTCTAACAAACCGAAATTTCATGAAAAATCCGATTTTAACATTTATAGAATCTGGATCTCGCTCCGTATCAACAATTTCGCTGCGTAGCAACTCAAACTTCAGATTATATTGATGTGGGGTGTCTTTCGAAGCGGAATTTCACACTGATTTCAAAAATCGCATTCTCATCATATGAAATTCACTCCGTATCAACTTTCTATAGAAATTTCGCTGCGTAGCGACTGAAATTGCTCAGATTATAGTCTTGTGGGGTGTCTTTCGAAGCGGAATTTCCCGCCCAAAAACAACTTACTGTGCTGGAACCCATCTCAATGGTAAATCGGCTAATAATTGGCTAACTTGCATCGGTTCATTCACAATCATTTCCATTGTTCCTTCTACCGTAGTCTGCAAAAAATTGGGGAAATTGACTGAAAAGGGGGTATTTTTAGCCAAAAATCATGAAAATTAGGTTAAAATTGGTCAAATTTCATGATTTTTAGCCTAAAATCATGATTTTCGGCTCAAAATAACCCAAATTTCTTGATTTTTAGCTCAAAATAACCCAAATTTCATGGTTTTCGGCTCAAAATCACCCAAATTTCAGCAATTTTCAGCACAAACCTGTATTTGTGCACCAGTCACACCTTTTTGCACCAATTCAGCATACGCTTTATTTCTCAACTCATGATATTTGACCAATCGTTGTTTTGCCGTATTCATATCCTGCCGCATTTCATCCAAAACTTGTCCGATTTTTGTTTTTTGGAGGAGCGACGCGTTTAGCTCGTTTCGTATTCGTTTCATCGAGGAATCGAGCACCTGCAATTAATTTCAGGTGATTTTTTGAATTTTTCATGAAAATTGGAGTTTTTAGACACCCAACAAGCCATAATTTCAGAAATTTTCAGCCAAAAATAACAGATCTTGCATTTTAAATAGCATTTTCAGAACTTTCATGAAATTTGGAGCTTTTAGACACCCAACAAGCCATACATCCAACAACTTTTTCAAAAAATCTGAAATTTTCAGCCAAAAAATTACAGAACCTAATTTTCTAGACACTTTCTAGCATTTTCACTAGAATTTTCGAATTCCCCGTAAAATTTCATGATTTTAGACACCCAACAAGCCATATTTCCAACAACTTTTTCAAAAAATCTGAAATTTTCAGCCAAAAAATTACAGAACCTAATTTTCTAGACACTTTTTAGCATTTTCACTAGAATTTTCGAATTCCCTGTAAAATTTCATGAATTTAGACACCCAACATGACCTACTTTCCATCAAAAATGATTTTCAGCAATTTTTGGAGGCTGAAAATTTCAGAACTGGATTTTCTAGATATTCTCAGACATTTTGAATAAAATTTTCAGATTCCCGTGAAATTTCATGATTTTAGACACCCATATTGCCCTACTTTTGACGATTTTCAAAAAAACCGCGCCGCACTTGGCCAAGTGCGGCGCGGTTTTTCGAAATCGTGGAAAATAAGTCATGTGGGGTGTCTAAAAATCGCAAATTTCATGGGGAATCCGAATTTGAACATAAAAATGTTAGTGGATTTCTAGAAAATCCAGTTCTGAAATTTTCAGCATAGAAAAATTTGCTGAAAATACTTTTTAATGGAAAATAGGTCATGTGGGGTGTCTAAAAACCCCAAATTTCACGGGGAATCCGAATTTGAACATAAAAATGTTAGTGGATTTCTAGAAAATCCAGTTCTCAAATTTTCAGCTTCCAAAAATAATTTTTGATGGAAAGTAGGTCATGTGGGGTGTCTAAAAATCGCAAATTTCACAGGGAATCCAAAAAAATCCCCAAAAATTCCCGTTACCTTAGCATTTCCATCCATCGCCACCTCAAATTGCTCATCACATTCCTCTCTCGTTTTCCGATCCATTTTCATTTTAATATCTCCCTCAATTTCCCACAATTCTTCCAATTTTTCCAATTTCATTTCATAATCTCGACACGAATTTGCCAATGTATTATAGATATTTTCAGCTCGTTCAACTTCCGAATGTGAAACATCAAAAAGTCTGGCCGATCTATCGCAACTCATCTGAATTATTCTCAAATTCTCCAATCCCAATCTTTCGATCCAATCTTCTTCATTTCGACTTAAATACAAATTTTTTTCGGTTGAAATTGGAGAATTCAGAATTTGTGCGGAAGAAGATGGAATTGAATTGAGATTATTCAAAATCGGCCCTTTTTTCGCCAAATTTCGACCATTTTGAGAATTTCGACGAGAACAAACCGGGTATAAAAGGCGAGTGTCCAGATTTTCGTTGTAGACCTGCAAAAATATTTTATCGGGATTTTTTTGAGACTAAATAGGCCTAGGTTTGAAAATTTCGGATTTTTCAGCAATTTTTTTAAAATTTGGGTTCAAAAGACACCCCACAAGCCTAGATTTTCAGAAAAATTTGAATTTTCAGCAATTTTTTTGTGAAAATTCAAATTTTTCATAAAAATTGGGTTCGAAAGAAACCTCATAAGCCTGGATTTTCAGAAATTTTTGAATTTTCAGCAATTTTTATGCCACGTGGAAATTTTGGCGCCAAATTTTAGAAAATTCAAATTTTTCATGAAATTTGGGTTCGAAAGAAACCTCATAAGCCTAGATTTTCAGAAATTTTTGAATTTTCAGCAATTTTTATGCCACGTGGATCTTTTTGGCGCCAAATTCAAATTTTTCATGAAATTTGGGTTCGAAAGAAACCTCATAAGCCTAGATTTTCTGAAAAATTTGAATTTTCAGCAATTTTTCAATGCCACGTGGATCTTTTTGGCGCCAAATTCAAATTTTTCATGAAATTTGGGTTCGAAAGAAACCTCATAAGCCTAGATTTTCTGAAATTTTCGAATTTTTTCGAATTTTTATGGAAATTTTGGCGCCAAATTCAAATTTTTCACGATTCTTGGTCAAAAATCGATCAAAAACACGATTTCCGAGTCAATTTTCCCGCCAAAAATTCAAAAATTCAAATTTCCCGCCAAACCTGCAACGATATTTCCTTGTGAAAATCAATCAGCGAAACGACAGTGTCATGTGTTAAATTATCCGGTGAAAAACCGCATTTTGAGCCGCGCACCACGATTTTGATTAGTTTCACTTGGCCTTGATATCTGTAAAGAAAAATGGGTACTGTTGATCGCTTCAGGACCCGAAGAGCAACATTTTGATATCAAACAAGCCTAGGATTACTGTAGATCGCTTCAGGACCCAAAGATCAACATTTTGATATCAAATAGGATCTAGGATTACTGTAGATCGCTTCAGGACCCAAAGACGAACATTTTGAGTTCAAATGTTCCTTTAAAAACAACTACAGTAATCCTAAGCTGGGTCTCAAAGCGATCTACAGTACTTTAAAGGTATCCTTTAATGTTTAGACTCTTAAGATCCCAAATTCCACGCTGAATTCAAATTTTCAGGTTTCAAAGCCAAGAAACTTCTGGAATTCTGGAATTTTCAGCCAAATTCCGCGCTGAATTCTGGAATTTTCAGGTTTCAAAGTGAAATTTTCCCATATTTATATTCATCCGAACCCAAATTCCACGCTGAATTCAAATTTTCCCATTTCCCGCTCCCAAAATCCCTTACTCACTTAACACTTAGCGTATAATCTCCTTGAGTACTCGCATTTCTAACAATAAATGCACCATCCGGTTGATCGGCCAAAACTCGCGAAATCGTCATTTTATCCACCTCTCCCCAATACCACGATTGCTCTAAAAGTCCAACCAAAGACATGATGCTGAAAATGCTGAAAATGCTCTGAAAATCATGATTTTCAGCTTTTTTTTAGGTACAAAATTCGGATTTTTGACCGAAAAACGCTAAAAAATGTCCAAAAATGTCCAAAAAATCAATAAAAATCTTCATTTTTAACCCGAAAATCCAAAAATTCGCGAATTTTTCATTTTTTCCTATGAAACCACTCTTTTTGGAAACATTTTCATCATAACAACCATTGAGATAAAAGTCCAAAAAATGAAAATCACCAAGAATATTCGCATACAATCGAAACCGCATTTATAAGCATGGTGGGCCAGGCGATCACTTTCGATCTGAAAAAAAACTGAAATTTTGAGATTTGGCTGAAATTTGGAGCATTTTCAGTATAAATATGGGTATTTTCGACCTAAAATTAAATTTTGGAGCATTTTAAGCTGAAATTCGATATATTTGGACTGAAATTCATTTTGAGCCGAAAATGAGGAAATTTGGAGCATTCTGAGCTAAAAATCATGATTTTCAGAGCATTTTTAGCTGAAATTATTGATTTTGGACCATTTTGAGCATATTTTTACATAAAAACATCCAATTTTCATGATTTTTAACCCTGGAACCATAAAAACTTCCTTCTAGAGCATTCTGGGCTGAAAATCATAATTTTGAGATAATTTTGAACAGAAATTATTGAATTTGTAGCATTTTGAGCATATTTTCACCCATTTTTACTTAAAAACATCCAATTTTCATGAAATTTACATGGAAAACTCAAATTTTCATGATTTTCAATCAAATTTTCACAATTTTTAACCCTAGAGCCATAAAAATGTCCAATTATTCTTAAATTTGACTTGAAATTAAATTTTGGAGCTTCTAGAGAATTGAGCTGAAAATCATGATTTTCAGAGCATTTTTTAGCTGAAATTATAGAATTTGGAGCATTTTGGGCATATTTTTACCTATTTTTACTAAAAAACATTCAAATTTCATGAAATTTACATAGAAAACTCAAATTGTCACGATTTTTAAGCCTGGAGCCATAAAAACTCCCTTCTGGAGCATTCTGAGCTAAAAATCATGATTTTCAGAGCATTTTTAGCTGAAATTATTGAATTTGGAGCATTTTGATCATTTTTTTACTTAAAAACATTCAATTTTCACGATTTTTCACCCTGGAGCCATAAAAACTTCCTTCTGGAGCATTCTGAGCTAAAAATTATAATTTTCAGAGCATTTTTTAGCTGAAATTATTGAATTTGGAGCATTTTGAGCATATTTTCACCTAAAAACATCCAAATTTCACGATTTTTAACCCAGGAGCCATAAAAACTTCCTTCTAGAGCATTCTGAGCTAAAAATCATGATTTTCAGAGAATTTTTCGCTGAAATTCTAGAATTTGGAGCATTTTGAGCATATTTTTACCTAAAAACATCCAATTTTCATGAAATTTACATGGAAAACCTAAATTTTCACAATTTTCCACCCTGGAGCCTTCAACTCACCTCCAAATCGCTCTTATTCTTATCCACCTGCTGCTGCATCTTGCTCAATCTCACATTATCCTCTTTGATCACCTCACCCGCCGCACTCATCACACTCTTCAGCGATTTCGTCATTTTCAGCAAATCCTCGGCCAAATTCTCTTCGATTTTCTCGTTTTTCATGAAAATCTCATCAGAATTCCCGAAATTTTCATGATTTTCATGGGTTTTTCGATTTCTCAACAATTCGTGCCGCAAATCTTGGCGATAAATCGATTTTTGAGCCTCTCTTATTCCAGCCGCCGACTCTTTTTGCTCAATTTTTTTCATCTGGATTTTGGTTTGGAAAGGTTCTTGGTATTTTCTCCACAATTTTCAGCGATTCTTCAATTGTCGCCTGTTTTTCAGCCTCGGCCAATAGTCCCAATTGCACAATTTCTCTTCGATATTCTAATATCATATCATTTTCCTCTCCACACTCTTCCAATTGATTCAATTGATTTGTCAACACTTTTATCGCCGCTGTCACTTTCCACACATTTTGCGACAAATTCTCTTTGGTCAATCTTTTTGTCCGCTCCAATAGTCGCAGAAAAACCAATTCGTTTTGCGAAATTCCACCGATTGCCATTGGGAAAACGCGCGAAAAATAAAAAAATCAAAAAATCGAAAAACACGTGGCCGAAAAACACGAGGGACTAGAAAACCAAATCGCGCAAACGCGCTCTGTTGCGAAGATTCTCGGCCATTCTCCGCCCATTTTTGGGATTTTCAGAGTTTTTTGCCTGAAATTTTCAAATTTTGAGGGTTTTCGGGGATGAAAAGCCGAAATTTGGGGTTTAGAAGCTTCTCGGAAGAGGGGGATTTTGATTTTAGGCGAATTTTCAGCTGAAATCGTGGATTTTGAGTTTTTTGGCTGGAAATTTGTGGTTTTTTGGGATTTTCTATGATTTTCAGCTCAAAATTCCATATTTCTACCATTTTCAGCACAAAAAATTTTATCCGAAAATAAAAAAATTGCCGTTTGGGGGATGTTTTTGAAAAATGAACCTATTCGATACAAAAAAAATGAAAAAAGAAATTTGTAACAAAAAATAGGTCGAAATTGGACGAAAAATCTACTAAAATCAATCAATAAAAAAACACTTTTTTAAATAAAAATCAAAATTCACTACATAAAAAAGGGAGAGAAGAACACATCACTTTTTTCTGGATTTATTCATTTATTGGCTGCTCTTTGGTGGTTCTCTTCCTTTGACTGTTTTGAAAATGAATTTCTGCGATTTGGTGAATGACCAAATGTGTCGTTTTCCATAAACCAAAACAACGGCTACGAATGGAATAAGAGCAGCGATCTGAAATCAAATTATTAATTAGGAGAGGTTTAATTAATAAATAATTTGAAATTTTGCTTGAAAATCAAGTTTTTCATAGGAAAATACAGGTTTACTTGCATTTTCACATGAAAAATGGGATTTTCAGGCAAAAATTCAAGTTTTTCATAGGAAAATACAGCATTTTCACACGGAAAATGAGATTTTTGAACAAAATTTCGTTTCCAGTGGATTTTGATCCGCTGATCACAATCCCATTGTCAAAAACTACTTATCTTAACTCTGAATATAAGTTATTGGCAAAATTTGTTGAAATTACAAGACTATAACTAGCTGAAAAAATGGTTTTCACGAAAATTTTCACAAGTTCACCTAACTTTTTCGATATTTTTGTTCTGAATTTGAAACCATACCAAAAATATTGTTGCAAAATCGAAAAAGTTCATGAAAACCATTTTTCAGCTAGTTATAGTCTTGTAATTTCAACAAACTTTGCCAATAACTTATATTCAGAGTTGAGATAAATAGTTTTTGACAATGGGATTGTGATAAGCGGATCAAAACCACTAGAAACGAAATTTTATTCCAAAATCTCATTTTCCATGTGAAAATGCTGTATTTTCCTATAAAAAACTTGAATTTTTGCCTGAAAATCGTTTTTTCATGTGAAAATGCAAGTAAACCTGTATTTTCCTAAGAAAAAACTTGAAAAAGCTCGAATGGCTTTTAAAACAAGTTACCTTAAGAGCCCATTTCTTTCTTGTATCATGGAATGGTTCAGCAGCCCAGTGCATGAAAGTTGAAACATCCTTAGCTTGTTGAGACATTGTGGCTGGTGTTCCGTCCTGAAAAATGGGAATTTCTTCGGTTTTTCACCCAAAATTTCAGCATACCTTGTACTCAATTCCTTCATCGAACAATTGTTGTGGCATAGAGATAATTCCACCTGGGAAATATGGATTGTAGGCCTTTCCATCGTCGACTTTGACTCCAGCTGGAGCCTCCAAATAACCGGTCAAAAGTGAGAATACATAGTCGTCTCCTCCGTGACGAGCCAAAGCCATCAATGACAAATCTGGTGGAGCGGCACCTGGACAAAAAATATTTTTTGGGAAAAATTCAAATTTTAACTGCTTTGTGAATAATTTAAGAATATATATTTTCATGAAGAAAATCTTGAATTTTATCAGAAAACTATAAATTTTGACTCCAAATTTGAAAATTTATAGTTTTCAAGATTTTCTTCATGAAACCTATACATACGTTTTAACTTTCATTTTTAATTTTCAGCCATAAAAACTTGATAATCTACATTTTTGATAAAATTTGAGCTCAAAATTGCTTCATTTCGGCTATTGATACAAATTTTGATTCAAAAATTCGAATTTTTCAAAAACAAAAAAAAATACGTTTCAAAATTTTGATATAATTTATTATCAAATTTTTTTTTCAATTTTTCCCCTGCATTTTCTGGAAGAAAAAAGAAAGAAAATTTCCCGCCCTCCAGATTCAAGGCGCATGCTGAAGTACGGTAGAACATCTATATCTAATCTGAGTTAGATACGCAGGTGGTACGGTTTAATCTGGCAATCTTACTTTGTTTAATTTTGGACAGGAAATGTTATTTTTTTTCATTTTTGGACGCCGCAAAACCAAAATTCTCGAAAATGTTGAAATTATCGATTTTTGGATCAAAATTCGTAGAAATTTTCAGATCCGGCATGAGAAATTCGATTTTTCGAGCGAAGCGAGTGTAAACCGCACGCTTCCGCGTCAGCGGCACTATCTTCCGCTTCAGCGGCCACGTGGATAGCTATGACGTGACCAACTTACAGTATCATAAACCACGTGGCCGCTGACGCGGAAGCTCGCGGTTTACACTCGCTTCGCTCGAAAAATCGATTTTCCTGCGCGGGATCTCAAAATTTCGGTGAAAACTCAAAAAATCTTGGTTTTCACTGAAATTTTCTGATCCGGCATGAGAAATTCGATTTTTCGAGCGAAGCGAGTGTAAACCGCAAGCTTCCGCGTCAGCGGCACTATCTTCCGCTTCAGCGGCCACGTGGATTGCTATGACGTGACGAACTTACAGTATCATAAACCACGTGGCCGCTGACGTGGAAGCTTGCGGTTTACACTCGCTTCGCTCGAAAATCTGAAAATTTCAGTGAAAACCAAGATTTTTTTGAGTTTTCATTGAAATTTTGAGATCCCGCACAGGCAAATCTATCGTCAATTTTTTTTCCGAGCGAAGCGAGTGTAAACCGCAAGCTTCCGCGTCAGCGGCACTATCTTCCGCGTTAGCGGCCACGTGGATAGCTATGACGTGGCCAACTCACAGTATCATAAACCACGTGGCCGCTGACGCGGAAGCTTGCGGTTTTATCGTCAATTTTTTTTCGAGCGAAGCGAGTGTAAACCGCAAGCTTCCGCGTCAGCGGCACTATCTTCCGCGTTAGCGGCCACGTGGGTTATGATACTGTAAATTTGCCACGTGACCGCTGAAGCGGAAGATAGTGCCGCTAACGCGGAAGCTTGCGAGCTAAAAAGCTTACCATTGTTGGCAGCAGCTGCAGCCTTCTTATTTGGATATGGACTCGGCAATTTATCGGTGAGAATTCCTGGTCGTTGAATTGCAGTTCCACGATCATCAACATCGTTGATCAAAGCATCGGCGGCTTCCGCTTTAGCTTCTTCCTCAGTCATAATGGTATCAACAAAGTGACGATAATGCAAGAATTTCATCGAGTGACAAGCGGCGCAAACTTGTTTGTATACCTCATAACCACGTCGGACTCTGCGAAAAAATTGTGAATTTCTTGGGAATTTCAGGTTTTGTGTGTTTTCTAATGGCAAATTTGATCCATTTCTGCTAAATACCTCGGGGAGATGGAAAAATTTACATTTTTAGAGGTCTGAAATCCATCTGAATATCAATTTCATCAAAATCTGACGTTGTTCGGGATAAATTTATAAAAAATTGTGTAATTTCAACGTCAGAATTGATTTTCAGATGAATTTCAGACCTCAAAAATGCAATTTTCCCATTCCCAATTAAATTTTGAGCATCTCTCCGATGTTCACAAAGCAAAAACTGGATTTTTCTCATCTCTCCACTCACGATGCAATATCAAACGACGAGAATGGTCCACTGTGTGGCCATGGAAGGGCATATGGATGAACATTATCACTGCTTGCGTTCACACTGTTCTCCAATGCGTAAACGAGTCCAACACCTGAGGCGGCTGTTACTCCAGCCAAAGTGGCGAGTCCGCGCTGCAAAAATTATTGAGTTTTTCTTTATTTTTCTGAAATTTGCAAAAATTTGATATTTTCAGAACAAATCTCAGATTCCCTATGAAATTCACTTCTTTCTCAAATATTTAAAAATGAAAAATTATCGATAAAAATCAATTTTTGGGCGGGAAACCCAAGTTTCCCTAATTGCCCGCGAAACTTCCCAAAAAATCGATATTTTCCCGAAACCCCTAGTCAAAATCTCACCTTAGATCCTTGAACAACGGCACGCTGCATAACGCACCAGTCGATACCCTGAAATAACATTCAAAATCATGGAAATCCAAAAAAAAACGCGGAAAAATCGATAAATCCCAATTTTCCTCGGAAATTTCGGTGAATTTCAGTGAGATCTAGTAATTTTGCACTTCTGAAAACACTGAAATCCTCAAAATCCGCTGAAAATCACTGAAAACCCGCGAAAAACCCGAAAGACGCCAGCAAAAACGAAAAATGTTTTTGGCACGGTCATCTCAAAACGCGTCAGCACTCAACATTGACGCATTTCGCGTAGCGCTGTGTCTCCTCGTTTTGTGTGCTCTCTCGTCGCCAAATCATTTTTTGGGCGAAAATTTCGAATTTTTGGTGGAATTTTGGAGTTTTGCAGATTCGTGGGGTAAAAACGTTGAAATCCAACAGAGAGACGAATTGAAAAGTGGAAAATTATCTAGGTTTCAAGTTTCGGAGTGAAAAATCAACAAAAAATGTGTTTTTGGGGAATTATTATGGTGAAAATTGGGAAAATCAGTGTATACACTTCTATAGAAGAGTAGACCTTAAATGTATTAAATGTACAAAACTTTAATTTCAAGAAAACCCATTCATTTTCACAATCATATTCTTAGAATGTGTTGTTCATTTCGCTATTTGCCTTTTTTCCTTAGTATGTTTAGCCCAAAAACTTTCGGCTCGGGGATTTTGTACAAAATCACATGTGATCGAATTGTCTAACAAAACCTCTTGATTTCTACAATTTCAAAAAGTTCATATGAAACTAAATGAAGATTTTCTAGTCGGCAAACTGTGCTGAAGAGTTGTGTGAAAATATTAGCTCACAAGGGAAGTGTATAAGGTCCCGGAATAAACTTTTAATGAGACTTGGTACCCATATAGATTCGAACTCGCTGATCTCGAATTCGTTTTCAAAAATTGCCACAATTGCACCCAAAACGAATTTTTCACCATCGAAAATGCGCCATATTTCTCATTGTTTCATATGTCAAACATTTGCGGATAAGAAAAATAAGAGCGGATGGCAGAGTGGTTAGCGAGCTCGTCTTTAAAATTTTAGGTTTCGGGTTCGGTCCCGGCCCGTGGCGAACTTTTTTTTTTCAAATTTTTTAAATTTTCTGTTTCAAATTTTTTTCGAAACCTGTAAAGATGTCTACGTACCGACTATGAATTATAATTTATTTGTCATCATTTTTTTTTCGTTTTTAAAATTCTCGTTCAAAATTTGACTTTCTGAACAAACTTTGCACTTCGTAATGGGTAATTTCAATGACAATTGTACAATCCCAAGAAAGTATATCTCCCGCGAGAACTTCAAAAAGTTCCTAACGGAATTATTAATGTTTTGCGTAGTGTAGACATCAACGAAATTATAGTTGAAAACGATGAAATTCTGGAACGAATTGAAGATGATCCACCGGAAGAAGGTAACTTGGATAGCTATAAATATGAAAGCTATAAATATAAATATGAAAGATCATCTTCAATTTGTTCTTTTTTTTTTGAAAAAAAAATTTAAAAAATTTGAAAAAAAAAAGTTCGCCACGGGCCGGGACCGAACCCGAAACCTAAAATTTTAAAGACGAGCTCGCTAACCACTCTGCCATCCGCTCTTATTTTTCTTATCCGCAAATGTTTGACATATGAAACAATGAGAAATATGGCGCATTTTCGATGGTGAAAAATTCGTTTTGGGTGCAATTGTGGCAATTTTTGAAAACGAATTCGAGATCAGCGAGTTCGAATCTATATGGGTACCAAGTCTCATTAAAAGTTTATTCCGGGACCTTATACACTTCCCTTGTCAGATAAGTTTCCAAGGTATTCTTCACTTACCCATTGTTCCCGCTTTGTATTAATACAATCTAGAGAAATGACCAAATTTATTTTATTTTTTTGCAAAACTAGAACAATCAGATAAGAAACGTGACCTAGCTAGTCAAAAAAAATCAATTACGTGATAATCTACGGATGCGATTAGAAGTCGCCCTTTTTTGTCTGTAACAAAACTTCAAAATTTTGAGTTTTTTTGCTTAGAAGACTAAAAAAATAATTACTTATCTAAAATCAAAATTTTTAGAAGATGTTTCTTTTCAAATATCTCTAGATTCCCAGAAATCATATGAAGTTGAATTTGATATTGATCTTCTAAGTTCATGACAAATACAAATACCCTACAATTAGCAAGTATATTCAAAACCAAATCACATGATAACTTATAATGCATTTTTCTGATTTTGCGCAAAAAACACTTATCAATTACTTATAAACACTGGTGTTTTTGAGTAACTCTGTTTTTTTTCTCGACGGAAGTTCATAATGAATTTATTGATTGAATTTTTTGAATATTACATGAGCATATGTAGTTTGCTCGGAATTCTATTGAACCTTACCCTTTTATTTCTCGCAATTTTCAAATCACCTGAAACAATCAAAGCATATTCGGCGATTCTGATAAATGTATCCGTGTATAATATCATATCATCAATTACACAATTCTTAACCAAAGCCAGATTAATTCGACTTGATAATTATATTGTCGTTGTTTCAAATGGTTTTTGCAATGCATCCGAAACAACAGTTTGCTACACTTTGTACTTGAGAATTCGAGAGAAATAAATAAATAAATAAAAATATTTCTTTCAGATTCGCATTTATGCTTCACGCGTTCAGCCACGTTCAATGGTGTACATTGTTAAGTTTTATATTCAGTTATATTGTTTTGCGAAGTGGGAAAATTGGTTGGAACACAATTTCACTATTATTATTGTTAATTTACACACCATCAGTTATCCAATTTGTAAGTTGAATGAAAAAAAAACGGTTTTTTTTCGTTTACAATTAACAATAACCACAATTTAACGTAAGTATTGTTTCAGATAGCATTTCTTCTTCCTTCAGACCACTTGAGTAATGTTTATTCTACAATTTCATATACCTATCCAGAATATTCATTAGACCCTCATAAAATCATCGGAACAACACCATTGTCTTCATTCGCAATATTTTACACTGTTTTCAATATGTCAGTTACCCCAATTCCAATTATTATAGCTGTTTTTATTATTCGTTTTAAATGCATACAATTTCTTTCCGAAAATAATCAGCATTTGCAAGAAGATACCAGAAAACTGCATAAACAATTCATAAAATCAATCACATTTCAAGCAATCTATCCAACATTATTTGCTGTCAGCGGATTAATCTTTCTTATTCTACAAAGTTATGATCGTTCAGCAATAGTTTTCGAATTTTCAATCTTCATTATTTTTGCATTAATGCCAGTCATATCTCCTCTTGTTTATATTGTCTTCATAGCTCCTTATAGGAAAACAATCTTAACTCTCACTAAATGCCAAAAAACAAAATGAATGGGAATTAGAAATTAATTGTGTTGAATTTTCATAAATAATCAGTTTCCAGGACATTTTTAAATAAAGAAATCCTGAAAAATTAATATTTCCACGTGGCTCAGGTTGGGAAAAGGTCACCAAAATTTAAAACCCCTCATTTCTCAAAAATATTCAATTCCTATTGCCATAGAAATTGTAGGTAAGCAAATTCGCTCCACCGAACAAACTTTTAATTTCAAAAAATATATCCGTTTTGAGCGTTGTTCTAAAGCCAAAAAAAATTGGCAAAAAGTCTAAAAATCATTTAGTCACAAGACAAGACGAGATAATTTTTCTTATCTTTTCGTTTCTCAATTTTTTTCCGAACTTTTTCATATATTATTTTATTTTTTTCATTTTTTCTGGTTGAAAAAACAAAGACTTAGTAAAATTTATCTTCTTTGTTCTTCCAAAAAAAGCGAGAGAGTGTGGGTTTAGAGAGACGCAGAAATAAAGAAGAGAATATCTCATTTGCAAATTTTTTCTTGGCATAGAACACCTGGTTAGTTTAAGCTGGAAATTTAGATTTTCTGCATTTTTATTAGAGAATTTTTAAGTATAAGTTATTTTTAGCCAAAAAAATCTACCCACAAATTCAATTTTATAGGTTAAGTTTGTTTTCTTTGTTCCCCTCTTGATATAAAATGTTATCAGTGAGTCAGAAGAAAAAGGTAGCGAAAATTAGCAAAAAATTATAAAAATGGACAAAATTGATGTGGAAATCGAGAAAATTGGATTGTATAATGTGGAAGTTATTCGAAATGGAGAGAAAAGGTGAGTTTTAAAAGTACGCAGCTAATTAGCCGTTAACTGAGTATCAAATGTTATAGATACGCAGCCAAATGCATTATCTTAGTGTAGCTTAGCTGAGTATCAAACGTCGCAGATGCGCAGCTAAAAAAAATTTCAATGAACATTCAAAAAAATTTTTATTTAAGAAATTTTTTCTAATCAGATTAAAAAAAAATTTAAGGTACGCAGCTAATTAGACGTTAACTGAGTATCAAATGTAATAGATACGCAGCCAAATGCATTATGTAGCTTAGCTGAGTATCAAACGCCGCAGATGCGTAGATAAAAAATTCCAAGAAACATTTACAAAAATTTTATTTAAGAAATTTTTTCTTTAATGTTCAATCAGATTTTTCAAAAAAAAAATTCAAGGTACGCAGCTAATTAGACGTTAACTGAGTACCGAATGTCATGAATACGCAGCCAAATTCATTTTCTAATCATAGCTTTGCTGAGTATCAAACGCCGCAGCTAGAAAAGTTTCAATAAACATTTGAAAAAATTTTTTTAACGAAATTTTTTTTCAAACGAAAATCAGATTTTTCAAAAAAAAAAAATCAAGGTACGCAGCTAATTATGCGTTAACTGAGTATCAAATGTCATGAATACGCAGCCAAATGCTTTATCTTATTGTAACCTACAATTAGCTGAGTATCAAACGCCGCAGATACGCAGCTAAAAATTTTTTTTCTCAAAATTCTTCAATTCAGATTTTCAATCTCCACATCCAATTTCTGGATCCCCACCCTAAAAAACGACCGAATTCCCGTCACAAACTTCACAAGAATTTTGCAAAATCCAATTGATGTCTCATGTTATCCAGATGATATTTTTGAAGATAGCGGAAAAGGTGAAAAACTCGAATCGATACTTCAATATATCATGTATCAAATGAATCCTAACGAGACCAATTTATATGAGAAAATCAAGGCGAGATTTGTGACAAATCGAGGGTTACTCACCAATATTTCGATGAGAAACAAATCAATTCAGTATAAGGTTGTGAGACGGAAAAGTGTATATTTTCTATTTTCAAATGAGCAATCAACCTCACCTTCAACCTCAAGATATCAAAATCTTATAACATCAATAAAACTAGGCAAATATTTAACAGATGATCGAAACCCTCAAATGAACACCGGATTCATGACAAAATCCGTGAATCGCTTGATATTCCCTGCTGGAATAACAATTCTGACATCAGCAGAAATCGATTATCAGCGAGAAAATGGACAGATTGTTGAGGGAAAGTGTCTGTTGAATAAGACACATAATCATTATGAGGAGTATTTTCGAAAATCGGTTTTGCAATCGCATTTTGGGAATGTTGATGAGATATTGGTTGGGAGGAAGAAAGAGGTTGAGACGAATTATTATTCGGGAAAACAATATTTTGTTTATCAGGTGGGGGAGCATACATGAACTGGGACTCCGAATTCCGAGGGAGGGGGGGGTTAACTTTTGGTGGATTTTTAAAGGTAGGGGGCTTAACTTTTGAAAATTTTAGGGTATTTTATGCTTTTTGTGATAAAAAATCAGCAAAAAATGGGTTAGGGGTGTTAACTTTTCGAAAATTTCCCCTGGAAGGGGGGTTAACTCGAGAGTCCCCGGAGCAACTAGTTCATGTATGAGTTAGATTATGAGTTATGATTTTTTTCCAGATCGAATCGACCAGCCGCAAAAAATTCCTGACTTTCCAAACTGCTCCTGATATAATTAATGATGGAAATTTGAGATTATTCAACACCCTCGTTGCAATTCAAAAATATCTCACGAAAGATGACACAGCTCTCGAAATCACCAAACACCATGATGACTCTGTGAATTTCCGTGAAATTTCTCCGGATTTATGTGATTTTGTGCCTTATGATTTTTATTCGCGATTTCAATAAATAGATTTCAATTTAAACGGACAGAACAATGTGATACTTGAATGTTGAAAAACATCAATTTCCTTGTTCTGCAAAATTTTCAACGTTGAGTTAGAATAAGTTGAATACATATTTCCAACTTACGAATATAACTTCATGAAAAACCTCAATTGATTTATTCACTTTTCCATTTGAAATGTAATATTGAAGTTTGAAAGCGAAATCTTGATTTTCTCCGCGGAATTCCAAATTCGATTCAATTCTCCCTGTCTGAAAAATCATTGAAATAATATGTATATTAAAAAAAATAGGATAACTTACAAAATTATAATTATTAACCAATCCAGCAAATCTTTCAATAAATTGAGAATAATCAGGATTTGAAGTATTTGTGAAATCGTATACAACTTGATTATCACAATTCGCGATTTTCGTAAAGTTTTGGATCGATTCAACTTTCCTCATGTGGCTGAAACAAATTAATCAACCATATCAAATTTATAGGAAAAACTTACGAATTCCCAGTTTCTTCAATAAAATGATTTTTTGAATAATTCATGTATTGGATATAATTTACATTATATTCAGGAATTGGACGATTCACAATTATTCGTTCTATTTTCCATTTTGAATCATGCTGCTGAAAAATCAGTATTTGAAAAATTAGAAAGAGAAACTTTTGATGTGCTTACATAAATAATTTTAATATGAAAACTCCTGTCAATTGTAAAATTTTCGATATTTCTATTTGACAAAACAACCGAAATTCGAAAAACAGCATTATGACCATTTTCAAAAAGTGGGAATGATTCAATTGCTTCAGCATTGTATCGATTGAAAAAAATTCTCAAGTATTCAAGAGCATTTTCTGAATAATGTTTTGTTAATAATAGATTAAGTTAAAGGCGGTCAGAAAGCTATTCCGGTTGACGGAGACCACCCACGAAGCCTCTGACTTCAACTTGAACCAAACAAAAGATAGAGATGAAATATTGTGAAAATATGAAACTTCAAATCTTCCTGTGCAAAAGAGCGTCGCGGTGTTTGCACACACACAAATCCGCTGGACGTGGGGGCGATTTGAAATTTTGCAAACACCAGATTTTCTCAGCTCGTATTAACTTTTATGATTTCGGAATTTTTTCACTGGTTCTTTTCATGATAAACTATTTTTGACACTAAGCTTTGAGGAAAACCGGAATAATTGTCTAACTGCCTTTAACAGAAGTAGAACTCACTTCTCCCATGATTCCTCTCGTGACCCGCGACTTGAAGCATAAGATTGAAGTTTTCAGAAAAATATAAATCATCGTATTTTTCATAAGTTTCAGGATCGGAGATTCTGAAAAATAATAATTATTTTTTTTATAAATACATTTTTACGATCAGCGGTTATACCGTCAGAAAAAAAATGTTTTTAACTTTGTGAATGAATCCCAACTCACACAGCTGTAAAATTTTCCATGAACTGTTCAGCAGTATCATTTTGTCCTCTATCAATTATTTCTCTTTCTACCCAAGCACTCAACAAATTCGACGCATTAAATGTTGATTTATCATAACAATCTCCACTAAAATGAATATCAGTCACCAAATATTTGTGAACATGTTCATTCAAAAATAGACGTGGGATATATTCTACGAGAACTTTACGGAATTTGACCAACACTGTTTTTGTCACTCTCCATCCCATTATATGCACCAATTCAATTTTCAAATAAAACACTATTGAGTTGCTTGGCTTTTCAAAATTCATAAAGCTAAATGAATTTTTTAATGTTCCCTGTGATTGCTTCAAATGTTTATAATTCTCAAACTCGATGTAATTCCAAAAACCATCCAAGTTTCCTAATTTTCCTACAAAAAAAACATTTTTCTATAAAGTATCAAAATAAAAAAATCTTGTGAAAAACAAACGGCTTCTGATATTTTCCCCACAGACTGTCAAATTCAATTCAAGCGTCGTCAAATATTTTCCAAGTTTGTCAAACGAATCAGAATATGCAGTGCTAAATAGATTGGTCAACCTGCAAAACTCGATTTTTTGTTGGTACGACACGCAACGTAGACCGCGTCGCGATAGAAAAGGGTTTGTGTGCAGTGGAGGGCAGATACTGAAAGGGATACACTGAATGGGGTGCATTTTCGAAAAAAGGGGTACAAACAGTGATTTCTTTATGGGGTACAAAAGCCAGTCTGAATGGGATACACTGAATGGGGTACATATTTTTCAAAAGTCTGAGAAAACTGAATGGGATACGCTGAATGGGGTACAAAATAAAATGATGTTGAATTAGCTGAAAGGGATACGCTGAATGGGGTACAAAATGAAAATATGCTGAACTATCTGAAAGGGATACGCCGAATGGGGTAAAATATCAAAATTTGTTCTATTATCTTAAAGGGGTACATCTTAATGGGGTAAATTTTGAAATCAAAACTAATTGTCTTAATGGGATACAAAATTCAGAAGGGTTACGGGATTTTATATCTTGAAGCTCAGTGCTTCGTCCGAACTGTAATGTCATCTTTTCATGAAAGACTCTCAATACTATTTTTTAATTAATGTAGTGTGCGCCAGTTCATTATTATGAGTTTTTTTTTGTGAGTTTTCCGATAAGAATAGTCTGACCGGAAGAATTGGAAAAATCCACCAAATCTGACCGACTTGCTGGAATCCCGAGGCGCCTAGTTTTTGTATGCAATTTTTCGGAATTTAAAATTCCTAAAATAAACTTCGGAACGTTTTCATTCCGAAACCTTTAGAAAAATGGTTTTGACAGGACCAATATCAATCAGACCTTCTTTGGATCAAGTTAAAAAGTTCTTCAGCGGCCATAGATTTTCATATTCTCAATGTTTCTTTCAATATAAGGATTTCCCCGTTAAAATCCAACAGAATTCAAAAATTATGAAGAAAAATCATATAAATTTTCACACCTGTCAAAAATTTTCGCACCTCGTCCATAAAATAAACCGCGTCCAACAAGAAATAGTGCGTGTTTTTGGAGAGCGATATTTTGGGAAGTTTTGATCGCTCACGTTTAGTGTTGCTTTAATGTGTTCTTAGATTCTGTTTCCGTCAAACTTTCCGGAAAATATGTATTTATATTTTTCGCACGCTGGCGCAGATCAAAGGCAGACAATTTATGGCAACTCGAGTTGCCAACGTGCTAATAACATGCGACTGGAACTGTCAAGTTGATGCCTGATCTTGCAGACGAGAGAAGAACTAATTTCCCAAGTTGATGCGAATTTTAATTAAAAGTCTTTCATGAAAAGATGACATTACAGTTCGTACGAAGCACTGAGCTTCAAGATATAAAATCCCGTAACCCTTCTGAATTTTGTATCCCATTAAGACAATTAGTTTTGATTTCAAAATGTACCCCATTAAGATGTACCCCTTTAAGATAATAGAACAAATTTTGATATTTTACCCCATTCAGCGTATCCCTTTCAGATAGTTCAGCATATTTTCATTTTGTACCCCATTCAGCGTATCCCTTTCAGCTAATTCAACATCATTTTATTTTGTACCCCATGCAGCGTATCCCATTCAGTTATCTCAGACTTTTTGAAAAATATGTACCCCATTCAGTGTATCCCATTCAGACTGGCTTTTGTACCCCATAAAGAAATCACTGTTTGTACCCCTTTTTTCGAAAATGCACCCCATTCAGTGTATCCCTTTTTGGAGCGCGATAACACCTACATATATGGAACTTCTCGAAGAACCCGTTCAATATGAAATTCGTCCGTTGTATTATCTTTAGCATTTTCTTGATATTCAGGAGTATCGCGTTTAGATATATACACGATCATGGGATCTTCCATTTTATTGTATTCATTATGACCTGCTAAACGACAACTTATTGTAGAAGATAGAAAAAATAATATTATTAACGTATACATCTTATGTATGATGTAGATGTATAATGGGATGGTACAGTTTTGAGTTTAACATTGTCTAGACTAGACTAAATCTTGAGAATTTTCTTTTTGGTTGCATTTCTCAAAAAATCCGTGGGCAGAAATGAGAATTATAATAAAAAATTAATTTAATGGATGGCATTTCAATAATGTATTTATTTAAACGAGTCTTTCCGAAGTTTCTGAATTCAAAATGTTGATTTTTACTATCTTTTTCTTCCTGCCAACATCAGCAGAGGAATACACTGAAGAATTACTGATCCCAGAAGGTCAAACCAAATTCGTGGCCGAATATTCGTATTGCGGAACAGATGACAAGAATAGAAATATGATTTTTGATACAATGTGGAGTGGAACTGAAGAGGCTCTCAGCCATTGTTGCTCAATTCATGATGATTGTTATGGAAATCAATTAGGTAAAAATTATTGTGACCAGACATTCAAGGAATGCGTCAAATCTGCAACAAAATTCATTCGTGCCCAAATATTCTATGAAGCTGTACATCATCTCGGATATCTTGCGTATGAAAATGCTGATCGTAAGGAAGTAACTTAGCGGAAGTGTAAAATTTTTCGATTTTTCAGCTGCGAATGGTCCGATTTATCAATTCACCAATGAATATTTGTATGAAGAATTCAACATGGTTCGAAATGCTTGTCCACAACATAAACATGCATTTTTCCTCGTGTGTTATTCAATTTGAACTTTGCTCAAATCGGGGAAACGATGATTGTGCTGAAAATTTGGCTGAAAATCTTTCAAATCTTCCAAATGACAAACGTTCTGAATGTTTTCAAACAATCACTTCTTTTATCGAAAAAAATCTGGAAATCGAATAATAATTTTTTTCAAAGAATGAAAAATTTAACCTTTTTTTGCTTTGGAAATGCGTTCGTGAAAACAAAAAAAATTAAAATAAAAATAAAAAATACGATTAAAGGCGCAAAGAATTTTGATGTTTGGTCCTGCAGCGATCTCAACTTGTGTGTAGTTCTCCCGGAGGTATTTTTGTTTATATTTCGCCGTCAGGTGTCAAAAAGCTGGCGAGAACTTCAAATCCGGCCGAATGCGAAAATGAATTTTTCGCGTGAAAAAAAAAACAACCCGGCTGGACTACGGTCATCGATGTGTGTTTGCACACACTAACACACAAGTTGACGCACAAATGCACAAGGCCGCTCATTTTTTTTGCGGAACATTTTTTCATTATTTTTTTAGCCTGTTTTTTGTCGGATCAGCGGTTGTGAAATCGCTGAAAATCCTCGAAAAACCTGTGCGTATTGAATTTTCAAGTCAAAAATCATTTCATAGCAAATAATAATAATAATATAAAACAAGTTTGTTAACAAGTAAAAAAGTAAATGCTCTAATTACTCTCATCATTATTGTTATTGTTAAGTTCCTCCTCTTTTTTCTCAAATTCTCTTTCAAATTTCGGTGCTACTGCCTCATCTATTTTCTTTTCACTTCTTTCAAGACTCATTGTTTTTTCAACTGTCAATCCACGTGGTTTTCTTGCTCTTCTACTTCCTCCGTCTGAAAATGCTGGAGACAAGAAGATTGATTCAGCATGTTTCGCTTGTGATTTTTCCTCGAATCTCGAACTTTTGTTTCTGATCTGGAATTTATGTTAGAACACAATCTAAAGTTCTCACGTCGAAAAACTCACCGATTTTTGAGTCTTCTTTTTCTTCCTCTTTTTTCTTCTCCGATCTTTTATCTGATCCATCACTCAATGGAACAATCTTACTATATTTCTCCGCATTTTCATCCGGTGATAACTTTTTCAAAATCTCCCAGAAAGTTGGTCTTTCCTCGGGATTTTTTGCGAAGCATTCAGTCATAATACTATTGATTTTCTTGATAGTTTCAGTATTTGCTGGATTTGTACATGGAACTTCTAAAGGTGGATGTTTTTGTCGAATAATATCTTTTGCTTGACCATTAGTGATTCCAGGAAATGGATCAGTAATACAATTTGTGAATATTTCCCACATTGTAACTGCAAATGACCAAACATCAGTTTTCGTTGTAAAAATTGCAGTGTCAATTGTTTCAGGTGCCAACCATCTAATCGGAACTTTTATTTTCGCAGCTTTCACTTCAGTTTTTCCACTTTCTGATAGACCAAAATCACTAATTTTCACTTCCATATTTGCACCAAGTAATAAATTACGAGCAGCTAAATCACGATGGATAATCATAATTGATGATAAGTAGGCCATTCCACGAGCTGTGTCGACTGCAAATCTTGATAATTTTTCGATTGGGCTAACTTTCTCTTTCCGAAGATGAGTCTGAAAATTGAATTATTGGTGTATTTCTTGAAATTTTTATTGATTGTCAAACCTGCATACATCCATTCTTGGCTAATTCAATAACAATCATCAGAGGTTCATCCATTGGTGCCACTCCAATAACATGAACCATATTCGGATGCGATAAAGTTCTCATCAATTTCGCTTCTTTCACAAATCCCCTCAACATTGATTTCTTCGGATTTCCCTTCATTTTCTTCACCGCCACATCAATCGGCTCCTCCCCCTTTTTCGTCAATTTCCCCTTCCAAACTTCTCCAAATGCTCCGGCTCCCAATTTTCCGCTGAGCTCAATTTCCTCGTGTTGAATATAGTATTTGGCTTGTCGAACGGCACGAACAAGAATCGCTGAAGTTGGGGCCAATCGATATTTTTCGCCAACCATCCAATTCAACAATTCGACCAAGTGCCCGAATTTTTGAGGGTTTTCGAGCTGAAAATTGAGTAATTTTTTATGGGGTGCTTACAGAGTTGGATGAACTTACCCTTTTCAAAGTCCATCCACCATTTTCAAAAAATAATGGGAAATGTCGAGGTTCTTGTTTGTGAAATACTGTGAGACAGAAAAACGGTTTCGATTTTTCCGTTGTTTTTCGAATCAAAAAATCGCCTTCTGTCTGAAAAACACGATTATTTTGGGATCCTCTCTTTGATGGAAGCTTGCTTACATTCAAAAGTGCATTACATTCCTCTCTAGGCATTATTCCGTGATACCAATCACGATCAATCAATTTTTTCGACCAAAATGCCATAGTTTTGTCATCCATAACCGCACTTCTCGTCGAATCATCGATATTTTTCGGCTTTGGTCCTCTTTGAGTTCGTTCACTTGGCTCATCACACCGTGTTCCACTCAATCCACTAAGTTGTTCTTTTTCACGAACTGTTGGAACATTGATATGTTTTCGTTTCGAAGGCACCGGCTGTTTTTTGTTGTTCTGAAAAGGGTTCATCAAATTCAGAAACTTTTCTGATCTAAAGCTTACCACAGCTGTTGTTCTTGATTTGCGCATTGATCCTGCATTTGTATTGTTTGGAGTGACTGTCATGATTAAAACGAAAATATGTAGAAACCACTATTTGTGGGAAAACGTTCAAAAATCGAGGTATTGTGGGATTTTTTGGCTTTTATACGGGGGGAATTTGGGGTGACCACGTGAATTCATGTGAACGTGAGGTTCACCTGAATCAAAGTACACGTGAAAATGGCGGGATTCGCGTGTAATTTATAAAATTTCGAGTGGAGGTTCATTAGAATGAGCGAAAATTTTTGTGTTTATTGATAATTTGAAAATTTTACATCTGGAAAGTACCGGCTGAAAATTACAGCTGATTAATTTCTCTGAAAATCCAGAAATTGGAAATATAAGTTTTCGGCTTCTTTATAAATTCCCAGAGCTTGAAGTACGTACACTATTTATTTGAAATCATGGTTTTTAGGCCAAAATTTGGACCATTTAAGGTTTTCGAGCTGAATAATTACAATTAATTGTCCTGTTCCGCTTTCAAAAAAACATGAAATCAACATTTATTTATTTACTAGTTGATTTTTTACTCAAATCAAAATACGGACTAATATTCGCAATATCAGTTTGACTTTTAGTTGTTATTGATTTTAAATCACTACTAATCGGTTTCTTCTTCCTTTTCGCTCGTTTTTTCACCGGTTTCTTTTTCAATCCCAAATAAATCATAAATATCATCCACCAATCAATAAACCAATAAAACAAACTTCGAATTAATCCATATTTTCTTGTTGTTCTTTTAGCTTTTCCATATCTTTTTCGAATTTCATCCAAACTTCGATTACATTCAATTTGATTTGTATCAATTATATCCATTTGTTCTCGAACTTTTTCGAAGAATTTTTGATTATTTACATGCATTGAATCAGTTCGATTATTGATATTTGTGAGATTTTGAGTCAATTTTTGAAGTCGAAATGAAATAACAACATTTAATTGGGTTATTAATTGTGTCATATTTCTTAGATTTTCTTCCACTTTTGCTTTTTTCGTTTTACATTCTTCAAGTAACTTTTCTGTTTCTTTAACATCTGTTTCAGTTTTCGCTAAAAATTTATTTGTTTTCGAGATTTGAATTGTGAGGGAAAAACTCACCCATTTCGAAAACGAATAAAAAATAAAAATGATCCTAGGATTTGAGAAATTTTTTCAAAAAATAATGTCACGTTTTTTCAACAAAAAAAAGTCCCGAATCTGAAATTTTCCCTAGAGCTTTGTTTTTCTGCTGAAAATCAAAATTTTATGGAAAATTTCAAGATTCCGCACAGGGAAACCTATCGCCAATTTTTTTTCGAGCGAAGCGAGTGTAAACCGCAAGCTTCCGCGTTAGCGGCACTATCTTCCGCTCCAGCGGCCACGTGGTTTATGATACTGTAAGTTTGCCACGTCATAGCCATCCACGTAGCCGCTGACGCGGAAGCTTGCGGACTACACTCGCTCCGCTCGAATGTTCACCTGAAATCGCTTGAAAACCCGCCGAATCTGAAATTTTCCATAAAAATTGGTTGAAAAATCGATGTTTTATGGAAAATTTCAAGATTTCGCACAGGGCAACCTATCGCCAATTTTTTTTAAAAAATTAATTTGCTAGACCTTTTTATTTTCACATAAGAAATCTTTATTTCAATTCAATTCGATTCATTTATTTCTTCTACATTCCATTATTTCCATTCATATTCATATTTTCTTGTCCTCCTCCTCCATCTACTCCAACTCCTCCCATTCCACCTGCTCCAATATTCGCAGCTCCTTGATTCCCATCATCAATCTTCTTCTCAACTTCAGCCGTCTTTTCAACATTGTCAACAGCTAATCCAGGCGGTGCTTTTCCTCTTCTAGTTTTTCTACTTTTCCCATGTTTTTCGGATAAATCAACCAACGGCACAACTTTACTATATTGTTCCGCATTTTCTTCGGGTGCCAATTTCTTCAAAATCTCCCAAAATGTTGGTCTTTGTTCGGGATTTTTTGAAAAACATTCAGTCATTATACTATTGATTTTCTTGATTGCTTCAGTATTTGCTGGATTTGTGCATGGAACTTCTAAAGGTGGATGTTTTTGTCGAATAATATCTTTTGCTTGACCATTAGTGATTCCAGGAAACGGATCAGTGATACAATTTGTAAATATTTCCCACATTGTAACTGCAAATGACCAAACATCAGTTTTCGTTGTGAATATTGCAGTGTCAATTGTTTCAGGTGCCAACCATCTAATTGGAACTTTAATTTTCGCAGCTTTCACTTCAGTTTTTCCACTTTCTGATAAACCAAAATCACTAATTTTCACTTCCATATTTGCACCAAGTAATAAATTACGAGCAGCTAAATCACGATGAATAATCATTGTTGATGATAAATAAGCCATTCCACGAGCGGTGTCAACTGCGAAACCGGTCAATTTTTCGATCGGGCTAACTTTCTCTTTGCGAAGGTGACTCTGAAAATGATTTACTGATTAAATCAATCGAACCTTTTCGATCCACATACCTGCAAACATCCATTCTTGGCTAATTCAATAACAATCATCAGTGGTTCGTCCATTGGTGCCACTCCAATAACTCTAACCATATTCGGATGTGACAGAGTTCTCATTAATTTCGCTTCCTTCACAAATCCCCTCAACATTGATTTCTTTGGATTTCCCTTCATTTTCTTCACCGCCACATCAATTGGCTCCTCCCCTTTTTTCTTCAATTTCCCCCTCCAAACTTGTCCGAATGCACCTTCTCCCAATTTATTGACCAGCTCAATTTCTTCGTGTTGAATATAGAATTTTGCTTGTCGAACAGCTCGAACAAGAATCGCTGTAGTTGGTGCCAATTGATATTTTGTGGAAACCATCCAATTTAATAATTCAACCAAGTGCCCGAATTTTTGAGGGTTTTCGAGCTGAATATTGATTGATTTTTATGGAGTTTTAAAATAGATAACTTACTCTCTTCAAAGTCCATCCTCCATTTTCAAAAAATAATGGAAAATGTCGAGGTTCTTGTTTGAAAAGAACTGTGAGACAAAAGAATGGTTTCGATTTTTCCGTCGTTTTTCGAACCAAAAAATCGCCATCAACCGTCAAAAGTTCATTACATTCCTCTCTTGGCATAACTCCATGATACCATTCTCTTTCAATCAATTTTTTCGACCAAAAACCCATCGTTTTATCCTCCAAAACTGCACTTCTTGCCGAATCATCGATATTTTTCTGTTTTGGTACTCGACTACTTCCATCATCTACCGTATTTGCTCCACTAACTTGCTCTTTTTCACGAACCAATGATGTTGGAGCCTTTCGTTTTGATGCCAAAGTTTGTCGTTTGCTCTGCAAAAATATCCAAATTTTATTAGTTTTTGGAAGCCTGCAAACTCACACTTGTTCTCAATTTTCTCTGTGATCCCGCATTTTCACCGTTTGGAGTGACTGTCATGATTAATATGAAAATATGTAGAAACCACTATTTGTGGGCTGAGAATTCGACAAAAACTGAGATTTTTTGGAGATTTCTAGTTTTTTATAGGCAACTCTGACGTGTTCACGTCATTGACCTAGTTTTATTTTATTTTTGAAAAGAAAACTAGTTTTTTTTATCGAAAAATATCGAAATCTAAAACATAACTTTTCATTTTTCATAATTTCACAATTTCAATTCAACAACAAACTTTTGAGGGGTAAATAAAACATATGCGATATTTTTACCATTAATTCTATTTTCTAATTCAATTTCAAATTTACAGTATAATTCATAATTCCAACCGCCTTGATTATAATTCAATACTTCTAATCCTTCGGTGACTTTTTCTAAATCGATATCATCCCAATCAAGGTTAGTTTTCAAATGCATATAATTCAAATTTCGATGAATTCTTCCATCTTTCAACATTTTCAAATATTCTCTCGCTTTTTCTACATCGAAATCGTTGCATTTTGTCTTACAATAAACACCATTGAATTTGAGAATATCATCAAAATCAAGATTTTCTTCTTTCATTTTCAACCAATTTGCAGAAATAACTTGTGATTTGTCCATTGAACCCTCTTCTATAATATCGTTTACACTTCTTATTTCGATGTCAATGAGATTTTTCAACATTTTGAAGTTAAATTGGTCGAATTTGGAACAGTATCCGTTGAATTCGAATCTAATAATTGATTTGTGATATCTCTCCAGATATTTGTTCAAATACAGACTTTGAACATGATCTGATTTTCCATCAACTTCTTGAACCCATTTTATAACTGTTTTCTTTGTCAGATCCATTGGATGTGTAGTTCTAAACAGATTTTTTTTATGGGACGATGCGCGAAGAAAAAAAACGTCAAAAAACGTGTTTCGAAACATAAAAATACAATGCACGAAATGTCGCAAAACGTCGCGAAACTCGAGTTTTTCGACATTGAAATGTCGCGAAACAAGCATGCTTTTTTGTATCGTACTGTAACCACAGACACTGGAGATCGGTTCTTACAATGTTTTTACTTGTTTAAAACAGTTTTCACCACAATTTTCTTCGGAAACATGAGATGTGGCAAATGCAATTTACAGATAATACTTTTCATTTGACAAAGATTCCTTTTCAGAAGTTTTTATTCCCTATTTTCGTAAATTTATATCCTTTTTCAACTCCTGATATGTTTTTTCTTCAAAAAAAATCCATATTTTTTCCACATTTTGAGAAAAATCATGCTTGTTTCGCGACATTTCAATGTCGAGAAACTCGAGTTTCGCGACGTTTTGCGACATTTCGTGCATTGTATTTTTATGTTTCGAAACACGTTTTTTGACGTTTTTTTCTTCGCGCATCGTCCCATTAAATATCAAAAAATAAAAGTAAAGTTAAATTCTTACGTTTTATAAAAAACATATGTTTTTGGCTCCGATAAATTCGAAATTTCCACAAATTCTAGACAATAATGAAAACCAAAAGCATCGTGTCCAATATAAATTTCTGGACGAAAACCTCTCGTAATTTTGATGCTCTTCAAATAATCCATCGATTTCTTCACCTCATCTTCACATTTTTTCGAACAAATTGTAAATCTACATTTCGAATTCGGATCCATTTCATCAATTACGTTTTCTCGCATCTCTAATGGTAAATCGAACCAAGAAGTTTGATCATTTTCAATGGAAGTGGAAACTATTGGCTGAAAATTATGATTGTTGGAAAGATTTTTGAACCAATAAACTCACATCTTTTTCTTCTTCGATTCGTCGTTTTTTGGAAGTTGATGACATTTTGAAACGAAAAAGTGAGAAAAAAACGAAAAAATCTGGGGAAAAAATAAACCAAAAAATTCCGCGCGCGCGAACTAGATCAAACATTTTTTTAAAAGAAACTTGGGTTTTGATTTTCAAACAGTTAGAAAAGTTTATTGAAAATTTCAAATCAATCAATAAAATTTGGCGGTTTTTCCATAACTTTGTCATAAAACAATGTCTCGATTGAAACAGTGAAATCAAACGAAGAATATCGAACATCACAAAAACATTTCGATTCTCGCTCGTAGTTCAGAAGAAAACGAAATCCGCATCTGCAAAGATATTGATTTTCTCTGACAAAAAATTAATTAAACTCACAAATTATCTTGTTCATAGTAATCAAAAGCTTTCACACTCTTCGCGACTCTTTTAAAATCCACAGGAATATCATAAACATCGCAATCAGCACTAAGATATTTCAAATTTCTCGGAAGTTCTCCATTTTTCCACATCTTTAGATATTCTACAACATTATCATCATCAAAATCATAGGATTTGATTTGATAAAAACCGCCTTGAAATTATAAAACTTCTTCAAAAGTGAATTCAGTTTCTAGCAAAACACAATGATCAGTTCGAATGATAAATGGCAAATCCATTAATCCATATTTTCGAACATCCACCTGAGTTACTTCAATTCTTGTCAAATTTCGCATTTCTTCCATTTTTGGTGACATTTCTACAATAGAAACAAATCGAGCATCCTGAAAATGAAGATTTAGTATATTCCAGATGTTCCTGTGTACTCAACCCACATCAATCTCAATTTTCACAATTCTGTGCTGATATTTCATCGAAATCCCATTCAAATATCTCATCCGAACATTTTTCGCACTTCCTTTTTCGATTTTCATCCATTTCACTTCTAACTTTCGATTCCCGTCATCTTTTTTCGAAGAATGTCGGGAAACTCTGAAAAAAACTAATTTTTCGAAATATTCTAATAGAAAAAACTCACGTTTTATAAACCACGATGGATTGTTTCTCACCCAAATTATCGATTTCATGAAATTCCATACAATAATGCAAATCTGATTTAGAATATCCAATCGATAATTCAGGATATCTATTTCGACCAATCAAAATGTTTATGTAAAACTCCTTCATGTTTTTCACTTCATCTTCACATTGTTTTGAACATTGCCAGAATTTACACCGTGTTTTCACATCCATCTCATTTATCACACTTTCTCTCATCTCCAATGGTAAATCAAACCAGTTAGTTGCCTGAAAATCATTATTTTTTCAGTTTTTCTTTGATTTTAACTCACATTTTCCGAGACTATTTGTCGTTTTCTCGAATTTCGAGCCATTTTCCTCGATTTACAAACTGTCAAATCCGTGAAACGCGTGAACACACGAAAAAAAACAAAAATACCTCCGGGAGAACTACACACAAATTGAGATCGCTGCAGGACCATACATCGAAATTCTTTGCGCCTTTAATCGTATTTTTTTTTAAATTTTTATTGTTTTCACGAACACATTTCCAAAGCAAAAAAAGGTTACATTTTCATTCTTTAATCCTCGAAATTTGGAACTGTCAAAATCCACAATTTTTCAAGATTTTCGAAAAGAAAATCAAGAAAAACAAAAGTTTTGTCAGTTTCAAACTGCAATTTCAGAATTTCTTCTCTTAAAAATCAATAATTATCTTACCAAAATATCCAAAACAATTCGAAATATGCAATTTCGAAAAAAAAACAATTCGAAAAAGTAAATAAATTATTCAATTTTGAAATTAAAAAAATATTTAGGACACGTTTGAAAATAAATGCATTTTTTTTCATTTCCAAAAATCAATACATTTTTCAATCAAATTCAAATTTTCCGTGAATTTATTGTTAGGCAGAAATTGTGATTAAAAATTCTTTTCCAAGAAAATGTTTCAAAAACAGCAAAAATTACATAAAAACTGAATATTTTGAACCAAAATTCTCTGATAAATTCAAACTTTTAGGAAAATTCAGAAAAATATTGATTTTCAAATTGTATCATTTTTTTAATTTCGAAAAAAATGCATAAAATTCTTGAAATTTTGGTCAAAAAGGAGTTCGATCTTCAAAATTCAAAATTCCACGCTTTTAAGCTGCGGACTAGTTTTCCAATTGAAAAATCTCGGCCACAATAAAAGAAATGGCCGAATTTTGGATCGAAATGACATTTTTAGATCAAATTTGGTCTCAAAAATTTCAAAATTTCTGAAATTTTTCAACTTTCTAATAATGAACATCGAATTTGGTTACAAAAAATCGCGAATTCCCCAAAATCTTTCACCTTTTTTTGCTCAAATTGCATCCTGTTAATAAATAATATGTAGCTGTTCAATTTGAATTCCACCGTATTTCAAAGAATTCCAGATTTTAATGATTGAGAAGATCTGAAATTGAATTTAGGTTGAAATTTGGTATAAAAAATAGAGAAATCTGAAATTAATTCCAGGTCAAAAAAAAAGACTCACATTATCTTTCTCCAAATTTCCAGCCAAATTCAATGTCAGCAAGTTACATTTCTCCACTTCAAAAATTAATTTTAGGATGGAAAACTGATTTTCAGCTCAAAATTTCACTGAAAAAATCTCAATTTTAGGTCAAAAATCAAAAATTCGAATTTTGTTTGTTGTGGTTCTTTTTTTTTCGGAATGACAATAAATTTTTGGAATCAATAGAATTTTATGAAATTTCCAGCCATTTTTTCTATAGCTTTACTTCAAAATTGCAAATTTTGCTCGGCTTTCAAAAATCGGGCAATTTCAAAATTATAATATTTTTCATAGAAATGTTTAATTTTCAAACTCACCAAGAAATATTGTAGTAGAAATCGAATCCGAAATCCATTTCCAATCGAATTTTTCGAGTTTCACGAGCTTTTGGCTTTGAGAAATCATAGAAATCGTGCTGATGTGATAGAAAAATCTGAAAAAAATCAAAAAATTATCGCGATTTTTGGGGTATCAAATAAAACTAACCTTATCATTATCAGCATCTAAAACTGCGACGAAAACATAAAAAAAATAAGGGGGGGGGTAGGGTAAGTTAGGTTAAGTAGAAAAAAGAACTAGGTGGAAAATGTGGAGGGAACAAATAAAACCTAAGGGAAAAAATGATAAAAATTGCTTATGGACGCCGTTTTTCAAATAATTCATCAACTCATGAAATGTATGCAGAATCTCGAAGCGAAAGTTTGAATATTGCAGTTCGACAGAGAATTTTGGCGGAAAATTATTTTTTGCTGGAAAATTATCGATCAGATCTCGACGTCTTATCAATGATACTCAGCAAATATAGGTTTTTTGCGAGACTTGCAAAAAAACTATTCATCTAAAAACAAAACAAAAAAAATATATACATTCTTCTTCTTTTTCAAATTTGTCTAATTCTTCTTCTTGTTCTTCGCCTTTTCCGCAACAATTCTCTGAATGATAATAGTTATAAAAAACAGATGGTGTTGTTTCAAACTTACTCTCTTAATATCTTCACTCGTCGTTTTATCATTGAATTGTTTCAACCAATACAATATCTCCTTCTTCTTTCGAGCATTAAACAGAATTGATAATTCTCTACATAAATGAACAGAGATAAAATGTTCGGGTGATAGTTCTATCATAACCTTTTTAAGCTCCTCGTCCTCTTCAATTTTCCACAAGTTACAAACAGTCTGAACAAATAAAATTGATTGGCAATTAAAAAAAACATTTAGCACACTTACGTTATGAAGACTCGATCCCAATTTTTCCTTCAACTTCGTGTCGTTCAAATTTAGAAGCTCCGGATGAGCTTTTTTGAGCTCTGATATGAGGGTAAACTGGAAATGTGTTGATGATTCATTACAAAATCAGTTCAATATCAACTCACTTTCTCTTTTATTGAAGCTTTTGGCATCTTTAAGAATTTTCGAAATTCTTCTTCTTCTTCAGATTTGTCCGCTTCATCATCATCAGTCAATACAATCTGAATTTTGATTTTTTGATCGAGTAATTTAGTCAACTCTAACCCAAGTTTCAATTTTTTAAAGTTCAGAATCAAAAAATTCTCCAAAAAAATTTTTCCCAAAAAACTTCTGTTAGAAATTTTTACTTACAAAATCCCTTTGGACACAATTCCAGACAAATTCTTTTAATTTCTGTCATTTTTGGTTCGAAAAACACAAGAACTCGCAAGAAAAATGCGTTATTTTTTTGATTTTTCGCATTTTTTTCTCACTTTGCACGATGCATTAGAAAGATTTTTTATATAATTGAAATTATTTGTAAAATAATTTTTGGCACTAAAAATTCAGAAAAATTGAGAAATCATCTTACAATTCTATATTTTTGATATTGCATCTTTTTTTCGAAAAAAAATCAGAAAAATAATTTTTGGCACCAAAAATCAAATTTTCGACTTTTCGAAAAAAAATCACTGTTTCAGAAAAGTGAGACTTCATTTTTATCACTATTGTTTTCAATGTCTTACTAACAAGGAATAGATCCCAAATGTGACCCCCTGAAAAAGTTCGGTTGTAAGTTCAAATAGTGTCTTACGGGGAGTTATGAAAAAAAACTCAAAGGGGATTTTGTAAGTAAAAATTTCTTTCATGAGATTTTTTTCCAAAAACTCAAAAAACCTTTTATTTTTGAAAATTCGTATCTCAGCTCAAACTAAACCGCGTTTTTCAGCTTGAATTGTCCTCTTTTCAGTTTTTTTGGAGAACAGTTATCAAACTTTTAATTTGGTACATGAAAGCATAAGATAAAATCATTTTTTTTTATTGAAAAATGGCGCCGGTATGATTCTAGACTAATTTTTTTTGAATTAATTCAACAACTCCCCATAAGACACTATTTGAACATACAACCGAACTTTTTCAGGGGGTTAAATTGGGGGTTAAACTTGTAAATATAATATCAAAATTTTCCCATCCTCTTCCTCCAAAAACCAACCTCATTCATTCCTCCCAATCTCGATCGACTCAATTCTCCAGTTGTCAATTGTGACATAGACTCTTGTTGTGGTGGATTTGGTGAATGTTCTCGTGGCAGTTGATCAATCGGCGCAAGTTTCGATCGATCCATAAAATCGCGATGTTTTGGATGTCCGGAATCAACTGAACCAGGTGCAGGAGGAGCATCCATCTCATTTTGAGCCGTGTGCATTGAACCACCAAAATCTTCTCGTGCTTCTCGTTGTCTTTTTGCCGCGTTCATGCGTTCTTCCATTTCTCGTTTTTCTCTTTCTCCTTTATCGATTTCTGCGTGGACTGGAAAAGAAAAAAATTTTTTGAAAGTTTTCTGGTTTTTCGAAAAAGTATGAATGAGAATCTTAAGGATCACTCAAAATTTGAAAAGTTTTGGATTTTTTTTGGAGTTTTTCAGAATTTTTTGAACTTCTCAACGAATTTCCAAAGTTTTTTTTGGATTTTTTTAAATTCCAAAATTTCATAATTTTTCTGAACAGGAATCGTCTCGAAGAGTTCAATTTTTCCGCCGAATTTTCGGCCAGTTTTCCGGGATAATTTTCTCGGAAAATCCGGAAAGTTATTTCCCTAATTTTGAAATTTTTCAGAATTTTATGATTTTCTCAACAGGAAAAAGACGTGTTGGAAATTTTCCAAAATTTGCGGTTTTAAAAAAAAAGAAGTGCTCCAACAATTTTGGAACTTTTTAAAACTTCATGATTTTCTGAACAAGAAAGAGGCGTGTGTTGGGAAAGTTTCTAATTTTTTTGGTTTTCCGGAAAATGTGCTCGGAAAATTCGGAAATTCATTTTTTTAAAAAGTAAAATCTTCAAGACCGCCCAAATTTTGAAATTTTTCAGAATTTTATGATTTTCTGAACAAGAAAGAGGCGTGTGTTGGGAAAGTTTCTAATTTTTTTGATTTTCCGGAAAATGTGCTCGGAAAATTCGGAAATTCATTTTTTTAAAAAGTAAAATCTTCAAGACCGCCCAAATTTTAGAACTTTTCAAAACTTTATGATTTTTTGGACAGGAAACAGAGCTTTGTTGGAAATTTTCTGAATATTGCGCCTCAAAAAATCCGGAAACCTTCCGCATCTCAACTCACACTCAATTTCAATCGCCTGAATCGAAATACCAATCTGATCACATCTCTCCATCAATTGTCGATAAAACTTCTCGGCATTGTCAACTTTATTCGAAACATCTTTGAAACAATCATAAGCCGTCAACAAAATCATAACGTGTTTGTTGAAATCCTCACGATTCTTATTGATCCTCTCGTCACAAAAATCAACGTTCGCTAACGTATTCAAAATCTTCTCCTGATCCCTCAAATTCATCCGGAAACATTTGATAGTCCCGTCATGTTTTCTCAACTCTTTCTTGAATATTTCTTCATGTGATAAATCTCGCTGATCCAAGAGTTCTTTCGAAATATCATCCTGATTTAGTTCAACTTCCAATTCATCCAACAATTTTGCTCGTTCCTTTCTCATCTCCTCAATTTTCTCAATGATTCTCTTCAAATATTGCTCTTCTTTCGATTTTGTTGCAGTTTCAGATTTTTGCGGCAAAAGTTTTTGGCGAATTTCAGACAGTGGTGAACTCAGAATTTGTAAATTCGATGAATGTGCCGCAATTGCTTTGTTCAACTCAACATTAATGGATTTTTCTTGTGTCAAATGCTCGTGCAATTTATCCAAATCTTTTGATATCAAAATATATTCCTTGTCATTTTTCTAAAAGATTTTTTGAATGTTTTTTTGAATTTTGTTCAAAATCTCACCAATCTTGGCAAATCAATCAATCTCAATTTCCCAATCAGCTCATTCAATTTGGCTTCAGCAACACGAGAAGTATCACAACTTTCTGAAAAAAAGAAAATATGTTTAGCTTTGGTGGCCTATAATTCTTTGAGATGGCCTAGAAACCCAAATATGCCATTTTGGTGGCTTAGACCCCCAAACTTATAAAATACCTCTCAATTTTTTCAGCAATGCTGGAATCGCATCTGGTTGTGCAGTCAATTCAGCATTTCTTTCCAATAACATTTCAGGTAGTTCAAACATTTGCTCACTGTCTTTACCATTTTCAGATAGCATCCAACGAAGATCGGTATATCCAGCATTGTTCAAGAATTTTCTGGAAATCGGTTTTTGAGGGCTTGAAAAAATATCTGAAAATTAGAAGCTTCAAATATGGCCTACATAGAAATCTTTGAAATGGCCTAGAAATCCAAATTCACAATTTTGGTGACCTAGAAATCTTTGAAATGGCCTAGAAATCCAAATTCACAATTTTGGTGACCTAGAAATCTTTGAGATGGCCTAGAAACCCAACTATATTTTTTGGGTGGCCTAGAAAAATCGAGGGTTCTGAAACATCTGAAAATTTGGCGAAAAATAGAAAATTCAGATAATTTTAACGATTTTTCAAGAATTTTTTCTGTTCTATTTCGATATAATGCAATTTTCGCGCCAAAAATTCAAATTTCAAATTTAAGCAACTCACTGCAATTCCTCATTCGCATGATGAACTTCTTGCAAAACTTCTCGCTTCAATTCCGCCTTCTTCTCCTCATACAAATTAACAGAATTCGAAGCGTTTCCAGAAAGAGCCTTTAAAAGACATTATTTGTAAAAACGTAAACTTTTTTTGTCCTCTTTTCAGTTTTTTGGAGAACAGTTATCAAACTTTTAATTTGGTACAGGCCTGTGCCGGAAATTTTCCGAATTTCCGGATTTTCCGGTTTTTTCACGGAAAAATCAATTTTCCGACTTTCCGTTTTCCGGGTTTCGATTTTCCGGCACAGGCCTGATTTGGTACATGAAAGCATAGGATAAAATCATTTTTTTTATTGAAAAATGGCGCCGGTATGATTCTAGACTAATTTTTTTTGAATTAATTCAACAACTCCCCATAAGACACTATTTGAACATACAACCAAACTTTTTCAGGGGGTTAAATTGGGGGTTAAATTTGTAAATATAATATCAAAATTTTCCCATCCTCTTCCTCCAAAAACCAACCTCATTTATTCCTCCCAATCTCGATCGACTCAATTCTCCAATTGTCAATTGTGACATATCCACGCTCATTTCATATCGAGACGGTGAATTGGAAGAAGATGGTTGAATTGGATTTGGAACATGTTGAGATAAGATTGGTGTTTCCTGGAATCTTGCAGCACGACTTCCACGAACGCCTGGAAAAAATTGGATCACATTAGAGTTGGGCCAGAAACTCGAATATTTCCAATTTCAATACAAAAGATACAATACAAAATACAAAACCGCAAAGCCTACTGTATTTTGGTTTTCTCTTCAGCCCAAGTATACAATTTTGGCGGCCTAGAACCCCTCAAAAAGGCCTAGAAACACACATATACTATTTTTGTGGCCTAGAAACACAAATACATTAGTTTGGTGGCCTAGAAACCAAAAATACTTCAGTTTGGTGGCATAGAAACCCTCAAGATGGCCTAGAAACCCAAATATACCATTTTGATGATCTAAAAACTCAAGTATAAAATTTTGGTGGCCTAGAAACCCAAATATACCATTTTGGTGGCCTAGAAACCCAAATATAACATTTTGGTGGCCTAGAAACCCAAATATACCATTTTGATGATCTAAAAACTCAAGTATAAAATTTTGGTGGCCTAGAAACCCAAATATACCATTTTGGTGGCCTAGAAACCCAAATATAACATTTTGGTGGCCTAGAAACCCAAATATACCATTTTGATGATCTAAAAACTCAAGTATAAAATTTTGGTGGCCTAGAAACTTTCGAGATGACCTAGAAACCCAAATATACCATTTTGATGATCTAAAAACCCAAGTATAAAATTTTGGTGGCCTAGAAACTTTCGAGATGACCTAGAAACCCAAATATACCATTTTGGTGGCCTAGAAACCCAAATATAAAATTTTGGTGGCCTAGAAACTTTCTCAAAATTTGAAAAGTTTCGGATTTTTTTTGGAGTTTTTCAGAATTTTTTGAACTTCTCAACGAATTTCCAAAGTTTTTTTTGGATTTTTTTTTAAATTCCAAAATTTCATAATTTTTCTGAACAGGAATCGTCTCAAAGAGTTCAATTTTCCCGCCGAATTTTCGGCCAGTTTTCCGGGATAATTTTCTCGGAAAATCCGGAAAGTTATTTCCCTAATTTTGAAATTTTTCAGAATTTTATGATTTTCTGAACAAGAAAGAGGCGTGTGTTGGGAAAGTTTCTAATTTTTTTGATTTTCCGGAAAATGTGCTCGGAAAATTCGGAAATTCATTTTTTTAAAAAGTAAAATCTTCAAGACCGCCCAAATTTTGAAATTTTTCAGAATTTTATGATTTTCTGAACAAGAAAGAGGCGTGTGTTGGGAAAGCTTCTAATTTTTTTGATTTTCCGGAAAATGTGCTCGGAAAATTCGGAAATTCATTTTTTAAAGTAAAACCTTCAAGACCGCCCAAATTTTGGAACTTTTCAAAACTTTATGATTTTTTGGACAGGAAACAGGGCTTTGTTGGAAATTTTCTGAATATTGCGCCTCAAAAAATCCCGGAAACCTTCCGCATTCCGCATCTCAACTCACACTGATTTTCCATCGCCTGAATCGAAATACCAATCTGATCACATCTCTCCATCAATTGTCGATAAAACTTCTCAGCATTGGCAATTTTATTCGAAACATCTTTGAAACAATCATAAGCCGTCAACAAAATCATAACGTGTTTGTTGAAATCCTCACGATTCTTATTGATCCTCTCGTCACAAAAATCAACGTTCGCTAACGTATTCAAAATCTTCTCCTGATCCCTCAAATTCATCCGGAAACATTTGATAGTCCCGTCATGTTTTCTCAACTCTTTCTTGAATATTTCTTCATGTGATAAACCTCGTTGATCCAAGAGTTTTTTCGAAATATCATCCTGATTTAGTTCAACTTCCAATTCATCCAACAATTTTGCTCGTTCCTTTCTCATCTCCTCAATTTTCTCAATGATTCTCTTCAAATATTGATCTTCTTTCGATTTTGTTGCCGTTTCAGATTTTTGCGGCAAAAGTTTTCGGCGAATTTCAGACAGTGGTGAACTCAGAATTTGTAAATTCGATGAATGTGCCGCAATTGCTTTGTTCAACTCAACATTATTGAATTTTGCATGTGTCAAATGCTCGTGCAATTTATCCAAATCTTTTGATATCAAAATATATTCCTTGTCATTTTTCTAAAAGATTTTTTGAATGTTTTTTGAATTTTGTTCAAAATCTCACCAATCTTGGCAAATCAATCAATCTCAATTTCCCAATCAGCTCATTCAATTTGGCTTCAGCAACACGAGAAGTATCACAACTTTCTGAAAAAAAGAAAATATGTTTAGCTTTGGTGGCCTATAATTCTTTGAGATGGCCTAGAAACCCAAATATGCCATTTTGGTGGCCTAGACCCCCAAACTTATAAAATACCTCTCAATTTTTTCAGCAATGCTGGAATCGCATCTGGTTGTGCAGTCAATTCAGCATTTCTTTCCAATAACATTTCAGGTAGTTCAAACATTTGCTCACTGTCTTTACCATTTTCAGATAGCATCCAACGAAGATCGGTATATCCAGCATTGTTCAAGAATTTTCTGGAAATCGGTTTTTGAGGGCTTGAAAAAATATCTGAAAATTAGAAGCTTCTAATATGGCCTACATAGAAATCTTTGAGATGGCCTAGAACACCAAATTCACAATTTTGGTGACCTAGAAATCCAAATTCACAATTTTGGTGACCTAGAAATCTTTGAGATGGCCTAGAAACCCAACTATATTTTTTGGTGGCCTAGAAAAATCGAGGGTTCTGAAACATCTGAAAATTTGGCGAAAAATAGAAAATTCAGCTAATTTTAACGATTTTTCAAGAATTTTTTCTGTTATATTTCGATATAATGCAATTTTCGCGCCAAAAATTCAAATTTCAAATTTAAGCAACTCACTGCAATTCCTCATTCGCATGATGAACTTCTTGCAAAACTTCTCGCTTCAATTCCGCCTTCTTCTCCTCATACAAATTAACAGAATTCGAAGCGTTTCCAGAAAGAGCCTTTAACTTTGCTTTAAAACTATTCAAATTTCAAGTTAACTTACCAAACTCTTCTCCATCTCTTCCAATTTCATTTGTGTTGATTTGAGCTTTTCTTCCAGTCTCGCTCCATTTTCTTGTGACGATTTCAGCAAACTTCGAAGGTTGTTCAATTCAATTTTCAAAGAGATACTTTCGTTTTTGTGGTATTGTGCCAATTGCTGCAATTCGAACATCTGTTCATCATTTGAACGTGTTCCAGCAACTTGCATTTCCAGTTTCCTTTTTTCTTCTTGATTCAACTATAAAATGAAAACAAATATGTACACTGGATTTTTTGGTAATAATCCAAATATTTCTATTAGAAATATTGAATCTTTTTTTCGAAAAATTTTGATTTTTTAAATTCTTGAAACAGCGAAATGTTATTATATAATTTTTAATATAAAATATAATTATCCCATAATAATGAAATCCCGCCAAATTTTAACTTACTTCAACACAACTCCTCAAATTTCCAACATCTCTCGTTAATTCATCAATTTTTACATCTTTGTTGAATGAAATTGTTTCTAATTTCGAGACTTTATCAATTTGTTTTTTGAGTTCGGTTAGCAAATTGTTGTTTTTTGATCGATATCCATCTATCAATTTTTCTTTCTGAAAACATATATGAAATAGGTTTCCAGAATCGGGTTGAAAGTATTCCAATAATTCATAAGAAATTAAGCCTTATTAGGACATTAAGGACAAAAAACGTTAAAAAATCTAAAGAACACGAGCTAACTTTGCTCTTTTTGGTTTTTTCGGGTCCTATAACTTGTCAATACAAAAAGATAGAAAAATAAGAACTCACTTGATTTTGAATGGTTACAATTCCGAGTTCATATTTTGCAATTTTTTCTTTCAACATCTCATTCTCAAATTTCAAACTTCGATTTTCTCGTCTATCCATATCCATATCCATCTCCAGAATGTTGTTTTCTGACACTTTTCGTCACACGAGTTTCTGTAAATTTTTAATATCTTATCAAAGTTCTCTGTAATTTTCAAAAATTTTAATCGCCACATAGAAAAAATAGAACATATTTTGTTGCAGCGCGGTGTTTGGAAATTCAAATTGTCAAAACACAGAAAAGTCAACCATTTTTCTTATTCACGTGAAATTGCAGACTAATTCTTTTACCGCATGAAGCTATTTGACTCCACCCGCTTTTATTTTAATAATTTGCAATTTTGCGGCGCTCTTTAAAAATTTCTATGGAAAAAAGAACGAAATTTGTTTGACACGTGTTCAAAGTGTTCGTTTTCACCATGTTACCGGGTGAAATATCAAATTTACTAACTTCGATAATGTTGTTCAGCACATTCGAAAACCTACCAGTTTTTAAGATTATCAAAGAAGATCTAATGGCGGCTGAAAAGCGTAATCCTTAAAAATACTAAAACAATCTGTGTGTATTTTTTTGAAATTACGGGTTTCATCTTCTAATTCATACTTTGATAAACTCACATTTTAAGTTTTCGAATGTGATGAACATCATTATTTTTTTAATTCAAAAAAAACTTATTGAAAAAGTATTCAAAGGCAAGAAACCATTTTCAGACACAATAAAGATTAATAAAAATCAACAATTTTATTCAACAAACTCAAATAGCAAAAAAAAAACAAAAATTTACCCTAGAAATAAATATTAGGATTTTTTTCAGTCATTTTTCGAAGAATCTTTGAGATTTCACCATTGATGAGAATTTCTTTGTTTTCTTGATTCAAAAATATTCCAAATGTGCAACTCATATCAGAATATTGTTGATTTCGAGAGGATAATTCTGGAAAAAAAGTGATTATGAAAATATTTTTCATAAAATTTTTGAGAAAATTGAGCAACTTGCGAAAAATTTTGAAAGTTTTCTGAAATTTATAGAAATTTTTCAAAACTTTGAAACAGTAAAATTTATAATATTATCGTAAAAAATTTTGAATGGTTGATAATTTTGAATTTCAAATCGAATTCAGAAAATAAATTCAGACTTGAGAATTTTGTAAAAAATTAAATTTTAATAAAATCCCCCCTAAAACCCACTTGACAATCTTGGCCTTTTTCGTATTTTTCAGTCCCAAATCATCATTTTTCAATGCGAAATCATCCTCGTTTCTTTGCTCCTCCATCACTTGTTCCACTCGCTCCTTCTCAATTTTCATTTGTCTCCATTGCTGATGAAATTCACTCTTTTTTCGGCAAAAATACAATCGAAGTCATGATCTCTTTTATTATCTGCATCAGTAGTGTCATCTCCAGACGAATCACGTTCTTCCACATCCAAATTAGATATCATTGCGGGTTGTTGGATTTTTCACCAATTTTTTTGGCTGAAAATAAATGGGAACATGGGGTGATGCCACAGGCGAAAAAACCAAACAAAAAGGGCACAACAGAGTTAACTCTGCTCACTCCTCGCATTCACATGGTCTCTCGTTTGAGAATCGACAAAAAAAAGTGAAAATGAGAAGAAAAAGCAAATTTTTCGCGCACTCATTTTTAGGTAGATCAAATTTGCAATGAGGAAAAATGTTTGTTTTTTTCGCCTGTGACGTGATGTAGGAATGATTTTTGAGAAAAAAAAACATCTCAACAAAAAATTTGGTTCAGGAAATTTCAATTTCTGTATTGTGAGCTGAGCTTCTGCTCTGTGATTAAAATTGAATATTTTTCTTTCTGAACTTCTCAATCAGATTAGCTTCAGCCTAGCCCCAAAAGTAAAACCTACTCAAATCCTCACGTGTCCTATGACGTGGCAAAATTCAATTTATCTTTGAAACGTGAAATTTTCAATCATTTTTGAATTGATTTATCTTTAAAAATGGTTGTTAGGAAAATTCATGATAGCTTCAAAATGAAATAAAATGTGAGTTTTTTGGGGTTTCACTACGAAAATAGTCTCAATTTTCGAATTTGGAACCGATTTTTAAATATTAAAGGTCCCAGATTTTTGACCTGGAGCTCTATTAAGTTTGCCTGAACTCACTCTGAATCCGATCCAGAATCCGACATATAATCATATTCTCGTTGTCTTTTATTCTTTTTCGTCTTCAAATTCGTCTTCTTTTTCTTATTTGTCTTCTCCGATTCTTCTGCTTCATTATCTTCTTCATCCGAATCTCCAGAACTTACTTCATCTCTCAATTTCAAACTTCTATTCATTTTCTCAATCAGCCGGAATCACCATATATTTTGGATTGCGGCTATCGATGCAAATTGGTTCATAACTTTGTTTCATCTGTAATTTTTATGAAAGTGACAGCTAATTTAGCTTAACTTACTGCAAAAACTTCTCCTCAGCTTGAATAATATCTAAAGTTTTATGAGTGATTGATGGCAAGAACTTGTGCCATTCATCAACTTTATACGCTTGAAATTCACAACTCGAAGTTGGTTTCAAAAACACCCAATAATCCGCATTCCTTCTCGAATTCCTCGCATTTTCCGGTTCTTCCCCCCATCCGGCTCATTAATGCCATGGTTGATTATCGAGTTTAGAAGTTTTCGATTGTCTTCCATATAACGCATCTCATCGCTTCTTCTGAAAATTATTTTGAATTTGAGACTCTGTTCGGAAATTTCAGGTGAAATTTTGCGACTGTAATTTTCACAAGGGAAGTTTATAATGTCCCGGAATAAATGCAATTTAGTGGGTTTTAATAGCTCAATTTCTCTGAAGTTTGGAGCTCCAGAAAAATGCTCAGATCAAGTGTTCACTCCCATCCTTTTGTCAGTAAAAGTCATTTGTTTCTATTCAAAAAAAAAACTCACTTGGCAACCCGAACACTGAAATCACTTTGCACTGGTGCTGACATCTGCAAAAACAATATTTCTAATTAATTTTCATTGCTTTTTTTCAAACCAAAATTCATATTCACAAATATTCATAGCGATAATTAACGCCTTCCAGCTCTTAAAATCCATTTTTTTTTCAAAACAGAATATAATTTATTCAGAAAACCTAACAAAAAACAAACAATCAATCAGAACAACTAAACTAGAAAATATTCAACAAAGACTTTCGATTTTGTGCCTGATACTTCAAAACCTTCATATCAAATTGATATTATCAATAATATTTGCAATTTCTTCAGCTTTGCGATTTTGTCCATAATAATCGTGGAAATTACCATCTGGATCAATCAAATACATGATAACTGTATGATCAACAATGTAATCATCTTGTTGTTTTGTTGTTCTTGGTCCTTGACTGTGATAAACTCGGGAAGTTTTCGCAACTTTGATCACTTTTTCAATTATTTTATTGACCATCAATTTTCATGCGCTGGAAGCTGAGAACCGGCTCTGGACACACTATTTTTGAAAAAGCATGTTTTGAACGAGCATAAGTGTTTCCAAAACACCTTCTTCAATATCATCAAATCCTTTTGAATAACAAAGATCTGTTGTAACTTGTTCAAGAACATTATGATAAGCTTCGTTAATAATCGAGGGAAGACAATCAGCACCAACTTGTTTTGAAGCTTTAGATGTCAATGATGGTGTATCTCCACGTTTTAAAACTCGAGATCTAAATTCGAATGATGTTTTGAAAAAAAAGAGAAACTAAAAAAGAAACTAAAAACTCACGGAGGTTGAGCTTGTTGTTGAGATGAATTGTGTATCCATCACGCATCATAAGCCGTTGAATTGGAATTGGTTGCTTATAAATTGACCCGGTCGATTATGGGAATTAATACTGAAAAGATAATATCAGAAGTGAAGTATCAAAGCTTTGATCAAAGTAATTACTACTTACGTAAGTAGACAAAAAACGAGATAGAGAATAATTTATAACGAAATGAGCAATTTCGAAAACTATACCCGTAAATATGATCGTAATGGATTGAAAATAAATCACTTGGGACTTTCCTCTTCACTACTTGAACTAACAAAACTCGCAGAAAACCGCCAGAATGAAAGAAAAATCGATTGGATTACTGTAGCTCACAGGAAATGTGTGCGAACACCGACAGGTTTACGGATGATTTATTTTATTTGACGCGCACATATTTTTTTTTCGCATCCGGCCGGATTTGAAGTTCTCGCCACACGCCTTTTTAGCTTCTGAATATTTTGCAAATCGAGAAAGATTTGAATTTTTAGCGCCGAAAAACCGCGAAAAAAATTGTAAGGTTAACTTTTGAGTCAAAAATTCAAGACACTTTATTCAAATTTTAAACCAAAAAAGTGAACGGAAATCTAATCGCGTCGAGACTCAAAGCTATCAATCTATAAAATGTCATATATCGTTTTCGGTTCTTCCATTTGCACAATCTTATAATTCCCCTTCATTTTCTTGGCTGTAAATGTAGTATTCCCAACTCGATAAACCAATACATTTTCTCCGCTCTCAAAATGTGCTTCTTCCACAGCCATCTTATATTTTCCCACTTCCCTCAAATATCCACCAACTGTAAAATATTCATCAATCGGTTTCTTTGCCGTATAACAATTTCTACGCGTATATGGTATGAGATACGAAGTGCGGAAGCTGCCTCTTTCCGCGTATCGATATTTGGCTAAGAGTGACGCGGTCTTCATCGCCTCTTGGTCGAATTTTGTGGCGTTCAGTGACAAAACTAGAATTAAAATGAGATATATCAACATTTTCGATGATTTTCTTCTTATTTTGCTTTTATAGTAAGGATTCTGGGAATTTCCCAGGTTTAATATCATAATAAAAATTTCGAAACTCCCACGGTTTCGCTTCTTATAAGCCATTTTATCTTGCAATATATATTCAAAATGAAAAAAAACATTTTTCTCTTAATATTGATCCTCTCTGTATATTCCTCCGACTCATCGAAAGCTTTCGAAGCCGCTACCAAATTGAACAATGCCTATACATCGCTCAAAACTCGCGAAGAATACAAAAAACTGGTGCACAGTCGGTTGATGGCGGTTGAGACGATCAAAGCGCATAATATGTCGGATCTACAGATTTTGTTGTTTTCGAAACGTACACCGGGTTTTCGAGCAACTAATGTGACAAGTGCGGTTTTTAGCGATGCAAAAATGACATTGACTTATCGGGTTAGAAATGGAGATGTGGAAATTATTGCGAAAAAGATTGATGGACAATGGATGTTTGTGTCGGAGAAGAATTTTTTGTGAAATTATTGAAAATTTCTGTTTGCTAGGCATAAAGGTTGAACAGAAATTTGACAAAATCCATGTTTTTAGTGGTCAAAGGCGCATAGAATTAATGGTTTGGGTCTCGGAGCGATGAGATTACCGTGTACTTCTCTCGGACTTTTTTGCATTCTGTTTTTTTTCACAAAAATTGGTCAAAGGCGCATGGAATTGTGTGTTTGGGTCTCGGAGCGATGAGACTACCGTGTACTTCTCTCGGACTTTTTTGCATTTTCTGTTTTTTTACAAAAATTGGTCAAAGACGCATGGAATTGTGGGTTTGGGTCTCAGAGCGACGAGCTCACCGTGTACTTCTCTCGGACTACTCATTTTTTCAACAACAAAAACATGTTCATTCACAAAAAAAGAGTTCGTTCAACTTTCACAAAAAAAAACAAAAAAAAAGTGGGGGAAACCTTAAAGGAACACACAATAAAAACAAGAATGCGGGTTTCGCAGCGAAAAAAATGGGGGCGATATGTTATACACGTATTAGTTGGGTACTTTATGGGTCCAAGAAAAAAGTTCGTTGTGGGAGGGAAACTGCAAAAAAAGGGGGGGGGAGGCGGAGCAATTCGAATTTGGTTTTTTATTTTTGTTGGGGGGTACTGTAGGGTAGATCAAGAAGATGCGGTCTCGCCACGAATTGGTGCATCAATTCGGACGGCTGTCGCTTCGTGTTCGATGAAATTTCGAAGTCTTTCGAGATAGGCAGCGTGGAGTTCAACATCGTTGTGACCGGCTCCTGGAAAATTTTTTTGATTTGCCACGTGGATGTTTTTTGACATACCTGGAACCCAAAGCGGTTCAACCGAGGCGGGACATCGTTCATAAATCGAAACACCGTGCGAAAAATCGATAACCTCGTCGTCGGTTCCATGAATTACCAGTGTTGGACATTTGACACGTGGCACTTTTTCGATTGATGGAAATGCATCACAACACCTACCAAATAGGAAAAATGGGAAATTTTCAAAGGAAAATCGATAATTTCCGATTTAGTTTCAAAAATTATCCATTTTCTGAATTAGAAAATACTAGGTTTTTTGAAATATGTTGAGCAAAACTGATAATTTATATGATTCAAAATGAAAAATTGAATTTTGCAGTGAAAATTCAAGCGTTTTCTGTAAATTGTTGATTTTCCGAGACAAAATCTAAAAAATCTTATTTTTTCTGGCCAGGTTTTATGGGCCTATGCAGAATAATATTTTGTAATAAAAACAAACATATTTTTCCTAGTCTATTATTTTTTGAGTAGAGACAATGTGAAATTGAGAGAGTGCAGACTTGATTTTTCGCACAAAAATACAAAAACTAATTAGTCTGTCTGCACTCTCTCAATTTCACATTGTCTCTACGTTTTTTCTGCATAGGAAAATATGTTTTTTTTTATTACAAGATATTATTAGCCAGAAAAAAATGAGATTTTTCAGATTTTGTCTCGGAAAATCAACAATTTACAGAAAACGCCTGAATTTTTACTGTAAAATTCAATTTTTCATTTTGAATCATATAAATTATCAGTTTTGCTCAACATATTTGAAAAAACCCAGTATTTTCAAATTCAGAAAACTGATAATTTTTGAATTTTAAATCAGAAATTATCGATTTTCAGCCAAAAACATCATCACATCCGCGAAAATTCGAGATTTTCCGCCTCAAAACCATCCCAAAACCTCACCAGGTAGTCTGTGTTCCAGGAAACGCAACTCTCATTCCACTCATCAATGGTGAATGCAAAATTAAAGCAGCCACGTGTTCTCTGCTGGCCAAATCAACACTTGGGACTGTTCCAATTGATTGTCCATATAAAATTACACGATCTGCTGGAACATCTGCAAAAAATGGGGGATTTTTAGCCAAATTTGTGGGAAAATTGGTTTTTTCAGTGATTTTTGACCATTTTTCGTGTAAAAATAATAAATTTAAAGGGAAATTCGAAAATTTTCTAGTCATTTTTGTCAATTTTCAGCGTTTCCCCTCAAAAAACTCACTAAAATCCTTTTTCAGCGTTTCAAAAGCCGTCGAAATATCCGCATACAAATTCTTTTCCGATGGTTTTCCCGTTGAGCAACCGTAACCTGCAAAAATACGAATTTTTGATCAAAAATCGATAATTTGAGGTTGAAAATATTGATTTTCATGTAATTTTCATGAAATTTCAGTCATTTTGATCCAAAAAATCCAATTTTTCCACAATTTTCCTTCCCAAACATACCCGAATAATCATAGCTAAACACATTACATCCTAAATGATATCCCAAACCATATAAAAATGAGCACATTTGTCCCAAATCCACTGCATTTCCGTGCGAGAATAATAGTGTGAATTTGGCGTTTTGAATTGGTCGAATCATTGCACAACTTATTTTATTTCGACGGCGAGTTCTGTAAGGGAAATAGGGTTTTTTTTAAGGGACTTAGAGTAAACATTAAGAATTTAGGGTAAAAATGACCCAAAATTCCTTAAAAATAGCCCGAACTTAATGAAAACTTCCGAAACTTTCATGTAAAATCAAGTTTTAAACCAAAAAATGATCGTTTTTGAAGGAAAATCTCTACTTTTGAGCTTTTTCCCATCAATTTTCAGAACAATTCTAGCAGAAAATCTCAATTTTCCCCTAAAAAACCATACCTAACCAATGTTGTTTCCACACATTCTGATAAATATCGATTTTCATGTGGCCAAGCGGCACGGCCTTCGATTAATTGTAATCTAAAATCATTTTTTTTTAATAACTTTGATTCCAATAAAATTCTAAAGCTCACTTGTTATTTTCAGTTATTGTATAGCTCGATTCTGGCGGCATAAATGCTAATTTTGAGACAATTGCTGATGGAAATGGAGGACAGCAAAATAAACAACAAAGATCCCTAAGAGAAACTCCATTTTGTCCAGCGGCTCTTGGTGGCGGTGAATTTGGTCCCGATGTATCCATTGATGAACCGGAAGTTGGACCAGATGACATATTTGTATTGTATTTATGGATAAATATTAATAATGATAACAAGAATAGCAATAATAATAATGGAATATATGAGTCTGGAAAATGCACTTTTTTGTTTTGTACTTTTATTTATTTGGATGAAAATAAGGGATAAATAATATTGAGAAAATAAAAAAAATTGGCGATAGATTTGCCTGCGCGGGATCTGAAAATTTCAGTGAAAACTCAAAAAAAATCTTGGTTTTCAGTGAAATTTTCAGATCCGGCATGAGAAATTCCGGAAGCTTCCGCGTCAGCGGCCACGTGGATAGCTATGACGTGACCGCTGAAGCGGAAGATAGTGCCGCTGACGCGGAAGCTTGCGGTTTACACTCGCTTCGCTCGAAAAAAAAATTGGCGATAGATTTGCCTGCGCGGGATCTCAAAATTTCAGCAAAAATCCAGAAAATCTGGGTTTTTGCTGAAATTTTCAGAACCGGCATGAGAAAATCGATTTTTCGAGCGAAGCGAGTGTAAACCGGAAGCTTCCGCGTTAGCGGCCACGTGGATGGCTATGACGTGGCGAACTTACAGTATCATAACCCACATGGCCGCTGAAGCGGAAGATTGTGCCGCTAACGCGGAAGCTTGCGGTTTACACTCGCTTCGCTCGGAAAAAAAATTTACGATAGATTTGCCTGCGCGGGATCTGAAAATTTCGGTGAAAATCGAAATTTCATAGATTTTCAGTGAAATTTTCAGATCCGGCGTGGGAAAATCAAAGAAGTTATTGTAACTCTGTCGCTTACGCGAAAGCTTGTGTAAAAAATTTTCGGTCTCAAGAATGACGCATTTTGCCACGTCATAGCTATATTTTGAAAAGATTATCCTTATTATTCAAAAAAATGTAGTTTTTAGAAAAAAAGGAAAAAGATTTGAATAAGGGTTAATTGAATCATATTTGGAATAGCGAAAAAAAATTTCAAAAAAAAATTGGCGATAGATTTCCCTGTGCGGGATCTGAAAATTTCAGCAAAAATCCAGAAAATCTGGGATTTTGCTGAAATTTTCAGATCCAGCTTGATCATTTTGACGATAGTTTTGCCTGCGCGGAATCTGAAAATTTCAGCAAAACTCCGGGTTTCCAGAGATTTTGCTGAAATTTTCAGATCCGACGTGGGAAATTTAATATTTTGCTATAATTTTATCTATCAATTTCGCTCTGAAAATCCCAGAAAAAATGAACTTTTTGGTCTATTTCTATATAGAATAATGCTGAAAAATGCGAAAATTCATCAAATTTCTGTGCTGGTTGCCAGACGAAAAAAAGCGAAATTTTCATTAATGTTGAATATTTTTCTCATTTCTTTCGCGTCGCAGCAAAAAAAAAGTGATTCATAGTTTTTTCGTCGGCGCAAAAAAAGAAGAAGCGAGATTTTTTGTTTATTAAAAAAATGAGAAAACTTTTTCGTCTTCTTCGCCTTTTTTTTCTGGATAATAAGTCTCATTGAACTTTTTCTTGTGAGTGTGAGAAAATGGCGAAAGAAATTGAGCTAATTTTTGCGTGGGGAAAGACAAACTAAAATTTACTTCATCAAAAGCAGCAAGTTTTGGGCGAGAAAGTCCTAAAAAATGAATTTTCAGGAAAAAATATAATATAAAAACTGAGATTATCTCTTTTCATCCATGTATCCATCAAAAATAAAAATAAATATTCTTGAAAATAATACAAACAAATTAAAATCGATGAGAGTTGGGGAGGAAAAAACGAGAAAAAAGAGACGAAGAGATATATATATCTGGGCTCTTTTTGCTCTGTTTCACTAACTCGGGGCTGGTCAGCGGAGAATGACAACCAACCGCAAAACTTTGCTCCGCCTTTATTTTTTCGCTTTTCATGTTTTTATTATGATTATTATTATAATAATAATTATTATTATTATTTGAAAAATATCTTCATTTTGTGACGACACAAGTGTTTTTTTCATAGAAAGAAAACAACACAAAACACACATTTCTGAATTTATCTTAGAAACTAAAATGTGCCTCACAATCTCTAAAACGTTTATAAAACACGAGAAAATTATTAATTATCGATTAGTACCCAAAAAGTAGCAAAAAACAAAGCGAACGCGCGAAAACGAAAAAAAAAGAAATGCAGCCGCCCCCGTAAATCTACTTGGCAGCTGGCCAATTGGCGGAGCGCGTCGAGACCCAACACATTGCGAAATTCCATGTGCCTTGATTTTTTCTTTTTGTTTTCGGGTTCAGCGTGAAATGTGCGTTTTCAGCCCAATTTTATTGATTTTTGCGGGGATTTTTAATGGGGGAGTTGGGATTTTAAGCGGGTCTATGGGGGAGAACCCGATTTTCACAATAAAAATTCTATTATAGGCGAAAATGTCACGTGAAGATTTTTTTCGCATTTCGAAACAAAATAGACCTTAAAGACGAGCGAAATTGATATTGAATCTTTTTTTCATTTTGCCCTATGAAATAGTTGTTAATCTAATTCAAAATTTACATTTGCAGCTCTCAAACTTTCTCTCAAAATGGCTGATCTTGGTTTGGATCTTGGAAAAAGAAGAAAGCAAAGAAAGAGATTAAAATCGAAGATGATGTAAAACCTGAAGAATCTCAAGATGCACCAATTGAAGAATCACTTGGTGAATTGAATTTGGGTGGAAAAGAAGAAGAAAAAGGCGCCAAAAACTGGAGGAGTCGAGGAAATTGTTGAGGAAAAAGCAAAAGGATCGAATTTGGAGATTGGAATTGGCGCGCAGAATTTAATCGATGCCTCAACTCCATGGCCAGATTATAGTTACGAAGAGGCTCTTTCGTTGGTCTTCCAAATTATGCGAGATAAGAATCCTGAATTGACTGGAGAAAAGAAGAAGTTTGCGATCAAATTGCCGGAAGTTGGAAGAGCTGGAAGTAAAAAGACGGCGTTTTCGAATTTCTTGGAGATTTGTCGACTTATGAAACGACACGATAAACATGTTTTGCAATTTCTTTTAGCTGAATTGGGAGCGACGGGTTCGATTGATGGAAATAATTGTTTGATTGTTAAAGGACGATTCCAACAGAAACATTTTGAAAGTGTACTCAAGAAATATATTAGTACGTGGTGCAAAATTGGAGCTATCTATGACGTGGCAAACGATTTTTTTCGCAAAAATAAGCTGAAATTCCCACGCAAATTGTATTCTTTCTGATGCAAATCATGCCGGATTTGAAAATTTCAGCAAAAACCCAGATTTTCTGTATTTTTGCTGAAATTTTGAGATGAAAAATTAAATGAAAATTAATAGATGAAAATAGAGATAAATCTTGAAGTTCTCACGCCGGATCTGAAAATTTCAGCAAAATCTCTGGAAACCCGGAATTTTGCTAAAATTTTCAGATTCCACCCAGCGAAACTATCGTCAAAAATATAAAGAGTTGATTTTCTCATGCCGGTTCTGAAAATTTCAGCAAAAACCCAGATTTTCTGGATTTTTGCTGAAATTTTGAGATCCCGCGCAGGCAAATCTATCGCCAATTTTTTTTCGAGCGAAGCGAGTGTAAACCGCAAGCTTCCGCGTCAGCGGCACTATCTTCCGCTTCAGCGGCCACGTGGTTTATGATACTGTAAATTCGCCACGTCATAGCCATCCAGGTGGCCGCTGACGCGGAAGCTTCCGGTTTACACTCGCTTCGCTCGAAAAATCGATTTTCTCATGCCGGATCTGAAAATTTCAGCAAAATCTCTGGAAACCCGGAGTTTTGCTGAAATTTTGATATTCCACGCAGACAAAACTATCGTCAAAAATATTTCAAATAGTTCATTTTCTCATGCCGGTTCTGAAAATTTCAGCAAAAACCCAGACTTTCTGGATTTTTGCTGAAATTTTGAGTTCCCGCGCAGGGAAATCACAGGGTGTAATTTACTACCTCAAATCGCTAGACCTCAAATTTTTCATTAATTTTTAGGTAGATCAAAAATCATTTTTCTCTAAATCTCTCGTTTTTGCGTTGAATTTTGTCGATTTTAGTCCCACCCCCAAGATCGTGTCAGGTCTCAAAAAATGCGCGAAATTTTTCGGGTAGTAAATTACACTCTGTGAAATCTATCGTCAATTTTTTTCCGAGCGAAGCGAGTGTAAACCGCAAGCTTCCGCGTTAGCGGCACTATCTTCCGCTTCAGCGGCCACGTCATAGCTATCCACGTGGCTGCTAAAGCTGAAGCTTGCGGTTTACACTCGCTTCGCTCGAAAAATCGATTTTCTCATGCCGGTTCTGAAAATTTCAGCAAAAACCCAGATTTTCTGGATTTTTGCTGAAATTTTCAGATCCAGCACAGGGAAATCTATCGCCAATTTTTGAATAAGATTGCCACGTCATAGTAAAAAATGTATTTTCCCCCGTGTAAAAATCCAATATTTTTGCAGAAGAATACGTAATGTGCCACACCTGCAAATCCTCCGACACCCAATTAACAAAAGACACCCGTCTCTTCTTCCTCCAATGTAACGCGTGCGGTTCGCGTTGTTCCGTCACCGCAATCAAATCCGGTTTCTCAGCTGTCGTCGGAAAACGTGCGGCGATTCGACGAGCCGCCGAAGCAACGGCTGGAAAATAATTGTGTGCTCTTTTTTGTGGGGATTTTTGGGCTTTTTCTTTATTTTTTGTGAAAAAGTCCTTTTTTTCGTGTAGTTTTGATTCTATTTGTTGTTAATTAATTTTATTTCGGTGTTTTTTGATGAATTTTCTATTTTTTCTAGCATTTTCTCGCTGAAAATCGGATAATTTCACCCTAAAATTCATATTTTTCACCATTTTCCAACCTGAAACTCAGTCAAATTATAAGTAGATCAAGATGAGAAGCCTTATTCGCTTCTCAAAAGCTTTGGATTCTGGAGATTTGAATGATATTCTGTTGGCTGCGGAAAGCTTGGAAGTCGCTGAAGACTGTGAATGGCAAAACTCGATTCTGGCACTTTTTTATCGATTTTTGCGAATTGGCAAAATGCCGAGATTTGTGGCGGAAAATGTTGGGCAGATTTTGATGGGGTGAGTTTGAAAAATTCTGAATTTTTTGAAACCAAACATGAAAATGTTCAAATTTTGAAGTTTTCAGCACGAAAAAGCTGGAATTTTCTGAAATTTTTGATGCAAAATATAGATTTTTCAGTAAAATCTGAAATTTTCGAATTTCAGCCATCTTCTCCCTTCAAATCGCCTCGAAATTTGCTCAAAAATCCTCCTCCAACAAATTCCATTTTTGACTCAATTATCAGCCGAAAATATTCTAGAATTATCCAAGGAAAATCTGAAATTGTCTGAAAAACAATGTCGCGAAATATGTGAGAAAATTGAGAATCCGGAGAAAGAAGCTGAAAATGCTGAAAATATTGGAGCAACTCTGAAAGTTTTGAGAAATTCGGGATTTATTGAAAGAAGGTTGGGGAAAAGGGAAAATCTGAAATTTTCAGCCAAAAAAATCAATTTTTTTCAGAAAACTGGCAATTTTGCTCCATTCTCATCTCGAATTCTTCTTCCCAATTTTTCGGAAAAATTTCGAAATTCCCGAAATTTTTCTAATCGAGTTAGCTGAATTTGATCCGGCAAATCCGATTTCGGGTGAGTTTTTGTTTTCCGCAAGCTTCCGCGCAGCGGCACGATCTTCCGCGAACGCGGCCACGTGGATTGCTACGACGCGGAAGCCTCAGATGTCTACTGAATTTTTATGTTTCCGCCTATGCGGAAGCTTGCGGAACAATGTTTTTTTTCCAGAAATCTGCTCAAATCAAGAAGCTTCAACTTCTCTAATTCCCCAATGTTTTTCCGCGGAATTCCGCGCGGAAACAGGAATTTTGAGATTTTCCGAATTTCTGAGCTCCTGGAGTTTGTATAGAGATGAAGATGCGCAGAAATATTACACGGTATTTGAGAAATATTGTGGGGATTTGAGGAGAGACGCAGAGATTTTCGAGGAGAAGAAAAAATGGATTGGAATTCTGGCGGTGAGTTTTTATAAGCTTTCCGCGTGGCCGCTGAAGCGGAAGCTTGCGGTAGCGAGCGGAGCGAGTGTAAACCGCAAGCTTCCGCGCTAGCGGCACTATCTTCCGCGTCAGCGGCCACGTGGTTTATGATACTATAAGTTCGCCACGTCATAGCCATACACGTGGCCGCTGACGCGGAAGCTTGCGGTTTACACTCGCTTCGCTCGAAAAATCGATTTTCTCATGCCGGATCTGAAAATTTCAGTGAAAACCAAGATACTTTTGAGATTTTCACTGAAATTTTGAGATTCCGCACAGGAAAATCTATCGCCAATTTGTTTTCCGAGCGGAGCGAGTGTAAACCGCAAGGTTCCGCGCTAGCGGCACTATCTTCCGCGTCAGCGGCCACGTGGTTTATGATACTGTAAGTTCGTCACGTCATAGCCATCCACGTGGCCGCTGACGCGGAAGCTTGCGGTCAACTCCACCCGAAAAATCCAATTTTTTTCAAAGGATTTCTGGTATTCTGGATTTCGTATGAGCAATGGTTTGGATATTCAGAAGACGCAAAAAATGATTGGATTATTCAAAAATACTTGTCAACAATTTTTCGACCTCCAAAATCGACCACTTTTTATTAAGAGGATTTTGAAGAGAATTCAGGAGAAGGTGAGCATTTTGAGCTCAAATTTGGATTTTTTGGAGCATTTTGAGCCCAAAATCGATATTTTCCTTAAAAATCCCACATTTCCCCAAAATTTTCTCCAGAAAACCACTCAAATTGGCTACGAACCTCAAATAGTTGCTGTTCTAATCGACGAATTTCGCAAAAATATTCGAGAAAAAGAATTTGAAAATGAATTGGGCGAATTTTGGCATCAAATCAATTCGATAAAATATGACAATATCTACAATGCCACGTCATTTTATTCAGCACTTTTTATTTTGGCAAAAAGCCAGGCGATTTTTAAGTGAGTTTTTAATTCTTTTAAATCTCCTAACAATAAATTTAATTTTAGGATAAATAAATCGCTTTGCTCAACAGTTCTCAATCAAATAATCGAACCAATTCATCAACAAATTGTCGATTTTAAAAATTTGAAAAAATCGGAAAATGAAAAAGATGAAGCTGATAATTTGGGAGAAGAAATGTTTGAATATTTGATTTTTACATTGAAAGATGCTCAAAATTATATTAGATTGTTTATTGAATGAAAAAATATTGGAAAAAATCAATCAATAATCGGTTGACTCTGAATACAAATACTGAAACTTGTTGAATTCAAAAAAACTTCAAAACAACATTCGAATTCTTTTTCGTAATTTGGAACAAATCGAAATTGACATCTGAAATAAATTTTTGATTCCGAGCGAAGCGAGTGTAAACCGCAAGCTTCCGCTTCAGCGGAAAAAAAGGTTTTGTCAATTTGAATGATTTGAGATTTTTGATTTTTGCCCAATCTAACCATCCTTTTTCTCTCACATCATAAGTATCATTTTCGAAATTTTTCAAATTTGGTAAATGTTTCAAATCTAAGTTTGATCCCATGAATTTGTCATCCTAAATTCAAGATTTTCTAGTGGGCTTTATTAAAAAATAAAACCTTACATCAATTTCAATGTTTTCAATAGATTTCCAACATTTTTCGAGGTATTCTTTCAGATATTTCATTCGAACTTCTTCTGCATTTCCATTTTCCGTTTTCATCCATTTTATTTCTTTTTTCTCATTTCCAATTTCATCATTGTAACCGCAAAATGGAACACTGAATGAAAATATACCATTTATATAATTTTATCAGAAAAAAAGAAGAAAAACCTACGTTTTATAAACAACAATTACTTGGGGTTCTGATAAATTTGAAACATCCATAAATTCCAAACAATAATGACAAATATATGATCTACCAAGTCCAATATGAATTTCTGGATTATTTGATCGGCAGATTTTGATGTTTGCTAGAAATCGCTCCGATATTTTAACTTCCTCTTCACATTTCTTCGAACATTGCATGAATTTGCAACGTGTTTTGATATCCATTTTATTTGTAACCATTTCTCTCATCTCAAGTGGAATATCAAACCACGAAATATCATCATTTTCTTGAGGAGAACTCGACGTCTGCAAAAAACTTCTCGTGAATTTTTGGGAGAAAAAAAACGAACCTCATCTTCCGTCAATTTTCGTTTTCTTGACATTTTCCCAGAATTTCTGTGAGAAAAAACAAAATATTTTTTGATATGAAGAACTTCAAAAAAAAATATAAATAATCGGTTCGAGACCATTTTCATACAAAAAATCATCAATTTCAGAGAATAAAACAACAATTTATTAAAAATCCAAAGGGGTATGATATTCGATAATTCCGTCATAATAATCTGATGAAATTTTAACAACAAAACTGTACTCGTAATGAACAACAAAACAGATCGATTTCGGATAACTTTTTTCGAGAACAAAATTGAATTGGAATCTGAAATAGATAGATAATTATTTTAATATCATAAAAATCTTAACTTACAATTTATCATTTTCCCCAAAAAAGTCAAAGGCATCGAGAGTTTTAGCGAGTTTTTTAGAATTTAAATTGTTTCGCGAAGAAATGTTCGAAGAAACACGAAGATATTTCAAATTTCTGTGCACTTCTCCATTTTTCACCATCTTCAGATACATTTCAAAGTTTTCTTGATTAAAACAATCCGATTTGATTAGATAATCAGTACCTTCAAAATGCAAAACTTCTTCAAATGTGAATTCCGTCGAATTCGTATAACATTCCTTAAGTTTATAGATTTGTGATATATCCATTAATCCATTTTCTCTAACATCATTGCAACTTATCAAACATTTCAGATTCTTCAATTGTTTTATATCAAAATTTGAGTCAAAGCGTCTATCCTGAAATTAAATGTTCTTGTCGTGAAATCTCGAAACACAGGGTGACCCATAATTATTGTCACCACTTTGAACGTCAGTAGATAAAACAAAATTTCGAATTTTGACAAAGTTAAGGTTGGAAAATTTATCAAAATCAAACTTTGTCTAATTGTATCTTGAAAATGAATAACTCTAATGAACGAGTTCAACTCACGCGACAATAATTATGGGTCACCATGTACTATCTTACATGAATTTCGAATCTTTCAATTGTTTTCCAATATTTTTTCATCAATTCTTTCAGATATTTCATTCTAACTTCTTTAGGTTCTCCATATTCCGTTTTCGTCCATTTTACATCTTTTTTGTAAAGTTGATAACTTTCGTCCTCATATTTTTCCAAAACACTGAAATTAGGGAATTTTCAATTTTTGGATAAATTATCATGACACTCACATGTTACAATAATAAACAACATCCGTTCGAGGTTCATCCAATCCAAAAACATGTTTGAATTCCAAACAATAATCATATTTTGGCATATCCTCATCAAGTGGTTCACCAAATCCAATTTTCATTCCTAATAATGGACACGCAAGGATTTTGATGGTTGTCAAGAAATTCTTCGATATTTCCACTTCTTCTTCACATTTTTTCGAACATTGCATGAATTTGCAACGTGTTTTGATATCCATTTTATTAATTACCATTTCTCTCATCTCAAGTGGCAAATCAAACCATCCAATTAATGAATCGTCTTCACGCCAGCTCTGAAAAACATTTTTATTTTTCAAAAAAAACAAAGAAATAAATGGAAACTCACATCATCAGCAACTATTTTTCGTTTTCTTGGCATTTTTCTGCAAAATAATAAACTTGGCAAATGTTCAAAAAGCTTGCGAGAACTTCAAATCCGGCGAAAATGAATTTTTCGCGTGAAAAAAACAAACCGGCTGGACTACGGTCATCGATGTGTGTTTGCACACACTAACACACAAGTTGACGCACAAATGCACAAGACTGGTCATTTTTTTGCGGAAAAAAGAAACCTTTTTTTTCGTTTCACTTGGGATTCTTATGTTTTCTCAACTTTTGCTCATTTTGAGCCAAACACAAAAAAATCCACAGCTAATCTCTTGTAATCTGTCTTCGTTCCAGGACCTCGTTGCCATGACAATTTCCACCTTTGTGCAAAATACGGTCACCGCATTTTTCTTGCATTTCTTTTTTCTTTTCTTTTTTGTTTGTTTTATAGTGCTAGAAAAGATTTTCAGCAAATGTCATCGATTCGTTTCGATTTTCCAAGATCGAAAAAAATCGCGACGAGAAGGATTCTCGAATTATTCAACTTCTGACATTGCATTTTCAAAGTATGGCGAGGAATTATTGAAGAATTTGGAGCAACCCGGAACTTGTCGAGCATTTCAAGGAGAGAACAATTGGGAAAATGATGGGAGGCTGAAATTGAGGTAAAACCCTAAAAATTGCTTCAAATACATATGTATAATTTCTTCCGCCGGATCTGAAAATTTCACTGAAAATCTACTATGAAATCGCGTTTTTCACTGAAATTTTGAGATCCCGCGCAGGCAAATCTATCGGCAATTTTTTTTCGAGCGAAGCGAGTGTAAACCGCAAGCTTCCGCGTTAGCGGCACTGTCTACCGCTTCAGCGGCCACGTGGTTTATGATACTGTAAGTTCGCCATGTCATAGCCATGGCCGCTGACGCGGAAGCTTGCGGTTTACACTCGCTTCGCTCGAAAAATCGATTTTCCCAACCATGATTTTTTTTTGAGTTTTCACTTTTTTTTTCACGTTTCCGCGTTAGCGGCCACTTTGTTTATTTAATGTTTTTCTCATCAACCCCCCCCCCCCCCCCCAACTTTTCTCTTTTTCAGATCAAAAACCCGCCATTTACACATTTTTCGCCAACTTGAAGCCAGAGAAATCGGCCAAAATCTTCATGGTCGTCGCAATTTGTCAAGCACAATTTTGAATTCGGAATGTCGAGAATATCGATTTGATCAAACAATTCGATCAGCTACAAATCAAGATCCAATTCAATGGAAAAATGGAAAATTGATATTGAAAAAATCGCAAAAAATCGTGGATTATGAAGAACCGAGCAAGATTATTGATTTTTCGATTGCTGAAGATGAAATTGTGAATATGAATTTGAGATATTTCGAAAATGAATTTCATGATATTATTTTTGTTGATTACGAGATGGAAAAATATATATTTCTCTTGCGGAAATTCACCTTCCATGTTTTTAATTCGAAAAATATGAGGAAGAAATTCGTTTTGCCTTTTTGGTGGATTTATCAATTGAATCCAGGGTTGGGCGGTCTGTAAGTAGTGGAATTTTGCAACAAAAAAGGCTTTCCATGAAATTGCGATCGAGCGAAGCGAGTGTATGCCGCAAGCTTCCGCGTAGCGGCAAAGTTACCCTATCTTCCTTAGAAGTTAGCTTAACCTTGCCGCTGCGCGGAAGCTTGCGGTCTACCTGAAAATACTTTTAAACCCGCCGAATCTGCAAATTTTCCATAAAAATTGATTGAAAAATCGAGGTTTTATGGAAAATTACCAGATTCCGCACAGGGAAATCTATCGTCAATTTTTTTTCGAGCGAAGCGAGTGTATTCCGCAAGCTTCCGCGTCAGCGGCCACGTGGTTTATGGTACTGTAAGTTTGCCACGTCATAGCCATCCACGTGGCCGCTAAAGCGGAAGATAGTTCCGCTGACGCGGAAGCTTGCGGTTTACACTCGCTTCGCTCGAAAAATCGATTTTCTCATGCCGGATCTCAAAATTTCAGTGAAAACCAAGATACTTTTGAGATTTTCACTGAAATTTCGAGATCCCGCACAGGGGAACCTATCGCCAATTTTTTTTCGAGCGGAGCGAGTGTGTTCCGCAAGCTTCCGCGTCAGCGGCTACGTGGTTTATGATACTGTAAGTTCGCCACGTCATAGCAATCCACGTGGCCGCTGACGCGCGGAAGATTGCGGATTTTCTCATGCCGCATCTGAAAATTTCCATGAAATTGCGATTTTCACTGAAATTTTATCGCCAATTTTTCCAGAAAACTCGATTGGAACACAAAAAACGAGTCACTTTTCATCAAAATCCGCGCAACAAAAAGCACACTTTTTCTACTCTTCGATATTTTTTCGCTCAAATTCGTCACCAGTTTTGTGGTCCAACATGATGTGAGCTTTTTTTCTTTTTTATTTTTTTTTAAATCAATAAATATTCTAATTCCAGGCGCTGCTTCCAACAACGAAGATTCGCAAAATGACACTGAAAAATGACAATTTACAAATCGTCGCCCAAAATGGAGTTTTCATATATTCGTTGTCAAAAATCTGGGAGAAATTCGGAAATTTCAGGAGAATTCCTGAAATTTCAGACGAATCACAACAATTGCCGATTGTTTTTGAGGTTTTGAAATTGGAAGATCGGCCAGATCGATTTTTCGAAGGGTCTTTTAAGGTGAGCAAGATAGCTATGACGTGGAAACCGCTTTTTTTCAGAGCATCCATATTTCTCTAATTCTTCCGGTCATTTTCGGTTTTCCCGAACTCGAAAAACATCCAATATCAATTCAAAACTTCAAAAATCCTCGAATCCCAATAAATCTCGGCGAAAAATGCAAACTTCCTCAAAATGTTCAAGAAATCGGAAAATTCAGCGAATTTCGAATGGCGAATAAAAATCGGAGTTGTCTGATATTTGCCGATGATTCGACGTCGACTTTTTTGGTTTTTGAGAAATGCGATTTGGTCAAATATTATGTGGCAAATTGCCGGAAATTTGAGGAGATTTGGAGAATTTCGATATTTCCGAAAGTTGAGGATCGAAATTTGGAGCGGAGGGTGGAATTTGAAAGAGAGAAGTTGGTGGATGAAATGAGGAATAGGGATGGAAATGAAAATGGAGAAATTGGAACGATTCCGAAGAAGAAGAAGCGGAAATTTATAAAGAAGCATTTGAGAGATCATATTGTAAGGTTTTATTTAAAAAAAAACAGTGCAAAATTGAATGCGTGCGGCTGTGCGTCGCGGTCGGGAAAAATGATTTCTGACCGCGACGCACAGCCGCACGCGATTGAAGAATTTGGTATTTTTCAACTTCGACAATAGAAGATTTATTTAGAGCTTAAAAATGCACCTGGTACAAAATTTCAATTTTTTTCACCGAAAATCCACGTGGAAAAAATTACGGCACATTTCAAAATCGAAGCGTAATTGCGGAATGTCGTTGTACTTTTTTCTGAAATCCGAGATTCCACCGGATTCTAAAAAGCCTAGAAAACTGGCTTTAGGATTTTTTTCGAAAAAAATAAACGGCGGACGTGGCCTAGGCGCCGACTCGGCCAGCTCTATTTTTTTCGGATTTTTTTTTCTTTTTCGAGTCACGAAAACGAAGTTTGCGATTTTTCTGTGTTTCAAAAATGAAAAATTCAATTTTTGCACAGAAAATCCACTCAACACATCTCTCAAACGACGGCCAAAATCTAATCGTGAATCTATCAATATCTTCTCACAATCAACTTCAATCAAATGGATATTTCAAGCAAAAACAGGAAGAAAATCGAGATCTTCTTCAATTTGTTTATATAATTGATGATAAAAATGGAGAAATTTTAAGAATTATTCCAATTTGTATGAGGAATATAGATCTATATGCAGAATTGATAATATATCCGGAATATTGTTATTTTTCGATAGATCAGGATGGTATTTTGGTGATTTCAAGAGGAAATTTGGCAATTTTGGAAATTTGGGAAATTATTGAATCACAGCAGTTTATTGATGTATAAATTCGTTAAAATAATTGTTCATTTTAAAAACAAAAAGAAAAAAATTCGGATATTGACAAGACAAGAAAAAATACAAGTTAAAAATACAAAAAAAAATAATTAGTTATCAGTTTGTTTTTGGAGCATCTCTCATAATTTCATCAATTTCAATTTGCAATTTCATTCTTTTTTCCTCTTTTTCCATTTGCTTTTTTTCCAACAATTTCTTCAATTCTTCGATCATTTTTCGTTTTTCTTCAATTATTTTCTCAAATTCTTTCACTTTTTTCGCTTTTTCACGCTGTTTTTCCCAATCTTTTTTCGATTTCAAAACTCGAAGTCGAATTATTTCAGTTTTGAGTTTGTGAATCGGCATCGCATTTGTCGTCATTTTTTCGAGTTCTGTAACAAAAATTTTTGAAAAATAAATTTTCGCCACGTGGCAGGAGTACTGTAGATCAAACCCTATAATATTTGGGCTCATTTTGAAGCTCTTCAAAATTTCAAAATCCAAAATTTCCGCCACGTGGCTTTCTAGAGCCTAAATTTGAATTTTAAAAAAAAAATGTTGTCGCTTCAACTTTGAAATGCCACGTGGCAGGAGTACTGTTGATCAAACCCTATACTATTTAGGCTCATTTTGAAGCTCTTCAAAATTTTGCCACGTGGCTTAGGCTCCAAAAATTCCACTCACCATCCAGTCGCTCATTTTCCTCTCCTAATGTTCCGAAAATTTCCAAATTCCTCTCATTTTCCTCAATTTCTCCACTCATTTTCTCATTTTCCCGGTGCATTTCAGCCTTTTTTTGAGCCGCAAATTTCAGACGCATTTTCAGCAAATCAATTTCAGCCACAATTCGAGCATCTCGAATCACATCTTTTTCGTCCAATGTGAACTGAAACAGAAAAAACAATTTTGGATTTCGAAATTTTGAAAGAGCTTCAAAATGAGCCCAAACACTATAGTCAAAAAAAATGCCACGTGGCAGGAGTACTGTAGATCAAACCCTAAAGTATTTGGGCTCATTTTTAAGCTTTTTAAAATTTAGGTTCATTTTTCTGAAATTTCACGAATTCCAGCTCAAAAAACTCAATTTTGGGCTCATTTTTTTAGGAAAAAATACACAATTTTGCAAATTTTAAGCTCACCTTTTTCATATTTCCCTTCTCAATTCCTTCAATTTTCGACTTGTCCAATTTCGCCGCTTCTTTTTCAATTGATTCTCGAATTTCAGCCAATTTTTCGCCAGCCAATTGGTTCATTTCAGTGGCGAATTTCGAATTTTCAAGCCAAACAATCTGGAAAATGGGGTTCTAGTCAAATTTTCAGCCAAATTTCAGCCAACCTTCGAAACAGCTTGATCAAAAATTGGCAATTTTGTGATTGGAGAACTTGGAGAATTGACATTTGGAGATGATCGAATTGAGGTATTCTGCAAAAAATTCAAATTTTTGGTCATTTTTTCCAAAGAAAAATGGTTTTTTCATCAATTTTAGGTCAAAAATCATGAATTTTTCACCAAAAATCATCAATTTTCTATCAAAAATACCCAATTTTCGCTCACCAAATAGAAAATATCCTTTCTAATTCCTCCAGTTCCAGTTCCAGCTCCATTAATCGATGAATTCGCCACAAAACTCGAATTCACACAAGTCAAACTTCTTCTAGTTCGATTTCCCCCTGCGCTCAAAATCGATGTCTCATTTTGTATCGATTCTCTGCGTCTCCTCATTTCCTTCAATATTTTCGGCTCTTGTCCGCACAATATTTCAGTCAAACTCTTATTTCCACTAATCAAAGTGGTCTCTTGGATTTCCTGAATTTCTTCGCGCCGATTATTTATCGATTGATTTATTGATCGATTTGTTATCGATTGATTTTCGAGTTCCATCACACAGCTTTTGAAAGATTGTGAGAATGTTGTAGCTGCAACAAAAAATTGCAAAAATTTTGGAAATTTTGGATAAAAACTAGGTTTTCAAGGCGTGGCTACTTGAAAACAGCAATTCCTAGGCGCGACTACTTTAGGACTAGGATCTCAAGGCGTGGCTCCTAGACATTTAGGTTCTTAAGGCGTGGCTACTTGAAAACAGCAATTCCTAGGCGCGGCTACTTTAGGACTAGGCTATCAAGGCGTGGCTCCTACATAGACATTTAGGTTTTCAAGGCGTGGCTACTTTAGGACTAGGTTTTCAAGGCATGCCTCCTAGACATTTAGGTTTTCCAAGGCGTGGCTCCTAGAAATTTAGGTTCTCAAGGCTCGGCTACTTGAAAATAGCACTTTCTAGGCGCGCCACTTTAGGACTAGACTCTCAAGGCGCGGCTCCTAGACATTTAGGTTTCCAAGGCGTGGCTCCTAGACATTTAAGTTCTTAAGGCGTGGCTACTTGAAAACAGCAATTCCTAGGCGCGGCTCCTAGACATTTAGGTTTCCAAGGCGTGGCTCCTAGACATTTAAGTTCTTAAGGCGTGGCTACTTGAAAACAGCAATTCCTAGGCGCGGCTACTTTAGGACTAGGATCTCAAGGCGCGGCTCCTAGACATTTGGGTTTTCAAGGCACGGCTACTTTAGGACTAGGCTCTCAAGACGTGGCTTCTTGTTAGAGTGGATTTCTAGGCGCGGCGCCTAGACAATTTAATATGAGCAATGTTTTGACAAATTTTAGAGAAAAAAATCCTGAAAGTCAAGAATATTGCTCATATTAGAACTTTCAAGGGGTTTTTGAGCTCAAAATTCATGATTTCAGGTCAATTTTAGGTCAAAATTTGCAGTTTTTCACCTGAAATTAATCAAAAAATCATGATTTCAGGTCAAAAATGCACATTTTCAGCTCAAAATGCTCACCTTCTTCTTGTTCTTGTTCCATTTCAACAGTCTTTTCTTTTTCTAACAAAAATCCAACATCATCCGATTGTTTCAAATTCAAAACTGACAAATTTGTTGGCTCAATCATCATTGCTCGAATATTTTCAGCTTCATCTTGTTCTTTTTCAGCATTTTCAGCTTGAATTGTTGATTCTGCAATGAAAGTGGTAAAAATCATGAATTTTGAGCATTTTTTAGAATAAAATTTGTGATTTTCAGCAAATTTTGACCTGAAAATGTCAATTTTCAGTGCATTTTTTGTCTGAAAATCATAAATTTCGGTAATTTTGGGCTAAAAATCCAGAATTTCAGCTCACTCAGCTGGAATTACAGCATTTTCAACTAAAAATTCACGATTTCTAGCTCAAAATTCATCAAAATCATCAATTTTTGGCTTAAAATCCACAATTTCAGCTGAAATTTGTCCAAATCTAACCTCTCAATGTGTCATCTCGTTCCAATTCCACAAAAGATCCTTCTCCACCTCCATTATTCACTTCCAGAATTAATGTTTCAATATCCATTTCATCTGAAATTTCTGGCACAAATTCTCCACCTCCATCTTCTTTTTCGGCTGAAAATTGAGCAGTTTCAGATGGAATTTCAGCTGTAACTTGAGCAGAAATATCCATAGAATCTTCAGATCTTTCTGCAATTTCAGCACGATTTTCAGCCAAATTTCGCTCCAGAATTCCATTGAAAATCGCCATTGTATCATTGAGAATCTCGGGTTTTACTGAAGATTTTTCAGCTTCTTTCGATTCTGTGATATCCATAGTTTGACTCATCAGAATATCTTCAGAATTTGATGGAATTTCAGTTGATTTCTGGAAATTTTCAGATTATTTTTGGTTTTTGATCAAATCTATGTGAAAAATTTGGAATATTTGGGCTGAAATTCATAATTAGGTCAAAATTCACGATTTTTTGACTGAAAATCATAATTTTGGGTTAAAAATTGAAGAAAATCACAATTTTTCACCCAAAATTGATCAAGCTTCATATTTTTCGGTCAAAATTCACAATGTTTGGCCAAAAACAGCATTTTTTGACTGAAAATCATAATTTTGGGCTAAAAATTGCAGAAAATCACCATTTTCCACATAAAATTGATCAAATTTCATATTTTTCATCAGATTTTCCAAGAAATCTTCAAAAACCATGATTCCAGGGTGAATTCAGGTCAAAATTCACGATTTTTGGCCAAAAAAAGCATTTTTTCGACTGAAAATCATAATTTTCATCAGATTTTCCAAGAAATCATCAAAAACCATGATTCCAGGGTGAATTTGGGTCAAAATTCATGATTTTTGTCAAAAACCATGGTTCCAGGGTGAATTTGGGTCAAAATTCACAATTTCCCGCTCAAAAATCCCCCAAAACCCCCCAAACCTGCTCCATTTTCTGCTCAAAACCCTCCAATTCCATATCCATTTCTTCGCGATCCGTCATATTAAAAATGGCCATCGTGTCATCAGCCACAGTAATAGTTTTGCTCATTTTTGGAGCTTCTGACAACTTGGGAATGTTGAAAATCATCATGGTATCTTCTCCAGTTGGAGTTGGGTCAATTGACATATCCAAAGTCTTATTCGGATTCGGAACAGGTTGTTTTGAAGCTTCTGCTGGCAAATTAAAAATCATCATAGTATCTTCTCCTCCAGGATTCATTGATTTATCAATTGACATATCCAAAGTCTGATTTGGATTCGGATTCGAATTCTGAACAGATCTACTGATTGTTCTCTCAACTTCCAATTCAAAAATCGCCATTGTATTATCAGTTTCAGCCACAATTGACATATCAACAGTTTCTCTTCTTGTTGTATTATTTTCTTGGAAAACTTGGATTGTTTCATCTTCGGCTAATTGACGACCGCGGGGACTAAAAATATATTTTTGAATTAATTTTTGGAAAATGATGGAAATATTGATTTGTACAGAGCTTCAGAGCCTATTTAACAATTTTCGACGTTTCCAGCTATAGGAAAGCCAAGTTTTTGCTAATTTTCAGCAAATTTTGACCTTCGCATCGTTTTTCTATTAGAACACGGTGAAAATTAGCAAAACCGTAGCCTTTCTGACAATTTTGGTCATCGACTAAATGAAATTTTCATGTTTTTTAAGCAAATGAGTTGAAATATTGGGTTTTAATGTTATTCATATGATAGAATGGTCTAAGACGAACAGAATGATATAAATGTTGATGACTTTACCTTATCCATAAGTGATTTAGCAACTTATCTACCTAAACATCGCTAAATCACTTATGGATAAGGTAAACTCATCAAAATTTATATCGTTCTGTTCGTCTTAAACCATTCTATCATATGAATAACATTAGAACACAATATTTCAACTCATTTGCTAAAAAAAACATGAAAATTTCATTTAGTCGATGTCAAAAATTCTCAGAAAAGCTCCGGTTTTGCTAATTTTCATCGTGTTCTAATAGAACTTGAAAAAACCATGCTGAAAACGATGCGAAGGTCAAAATTCGGTGAAAATTCGCAAAAACTTGGCCTTGCTGATGTTTCTGACAATTTTTGAATCAGTATTTTCTCACAGCGGATCTGCCTCGAGAGTTTTAATAAAATAAATCATTCCTGGTAGTTTTCAACCTGCTGATCACTTGTCTAAAATTGCGGAACTTGAGTTATGACGTGGCAAACTGATTTTACAAGGCTATAACATATTTCAGCTACCAGATGAAAATAATTTGAAGTAAGCTATAGATTTGTAAAATCAGTTTGCCACGTCATAACTCAAGTTCTGCAATTTAAGCCAAGTGATCAGCGGGTTGCAAAACTACCAGGGAAAATTTATTTTATTAAAACTCTCGAGGCAAATTCCGTGTGAGAAAATACTCAATCAAAAATTGTCAGAAACATCAGCAAGGCCCAGTTTTTGCTAATTTTCACCGAATTTTGACCTTTTTGCGCAAAAACCGTGCTTACGTCAAAATCCCATCCGAATCCATCGTATCCGTAATTTTCTCACGAAGCGGACTTGCGTGAAGAAAATTTCCGCGTTCCTTGTCATAATTCTTGACATGTTTCACATTGTGAAAACTGACTCGTCGCTCTTTTCCAGCTCCTCCAAGCGTTTGCTCCTCATTTTCGTCGAATATATCGGGTTGAGTGCGCGTTTTCAGAATTGATGATCGACGATTTTTACGATCCATCTGCAAAATATTAGAATTTCGATTTTCAGCCAAGAAAAATGAAAAACCGTTTTTTTTTCTGCAAAAAAAAACAAAAACATGTGCGTTGTTTGAAAATCGCAAAACCGCGGGTGTTCGGCAGAGCGCACTTGTGTGTCTCCTCTTCGGTGGCTTTTCGAAAATGTGTTTTTCTTTTGAACCAACCTTTTTCAGTTCGCAAGAAAACAAATACTGCAACGTTTTTTGTGGCACGTTCACGTGAAAACTATTTTTGAATTTTGAAAATCTTCTTATTTTTGTGATTAGCGCGTTTCAAAAGAAAAGAAGTTTTATTATATATCAAGAAAATCTCAATTATAAATTCTCCATCGTTTATTCGACTTCTTTTTTCGTTTCCTCTCCTCTATCTCCAAATAATCGTAGCCACTTTTATTTTCCAAAGATGGATCAACTTCTCTTTGCATTTCCATAATTCTTGAGGGACATGGGCAATATTGAGCATCCAAGCCAGGTTCTCCAGGTATTCCTTGCTAAAAATCAATAATTTTGTAAGGTTTTAACCCTTTTACACCTACCTGCCCATCAAAACCAGCTTCTCCAAGACTTCCAGGCTTGCCAGGTAGCCCGGGCGGCCCATCCGGTCCAATATTCGCTCTCAAAGTCCCACCGGGAATCCCAGGTTGTCCTTGAAGCCCAGCCGGTCCTGAAGGCCCTTTGGGACCTCTATAATTTATAATCCTCATCATATTTTGACCATTAGTCCCAACCATCCCATCCAAACCAATCTCACCATCTTCTCCAAAGTCTCCAGGCTCACCGATTTCTCCAGGAGCTCCAACACGTCCGCGCTCCCCGGGTGGACCTATTGCTCCAGGCGGACCACGAATCCCTTCAGAACCATCAAGCCCATCGGGGCCTGGAGGCCCCGCAGGGCAAAGTGTGCACTTTGGACCATAAATCGCCGAGAAATCCTCCATCACATCATCAAAGTTTCGACCCGGAACACCATCGATTCCCGGTTCGCCTGGTATGCCATTGGAGCCCGCCAAGCCCGGAGGCCCTTGCGGACATTCCTCATCCACCACATCGTATTTCGGGGGAGGCGAGATTGATGGATGCGACGGGGATGGGGAATTTTGACGTTTACGAGGATTTTTGCGGGGCGATCTTCGCTTCTCGCGGGTGTTTAGTGAGATCATCATCGATTGAATTGAATCCCATGTTTGTTTTTCGAGAAGCTGGAAATTAATTTGATTTTTGAAATCAGACAGTGCATATCACGTATTTATATTATCGAAAATCTACCACGCGCTCCACCGAAATAAACACGCAACGCAGACCGCGCCGCGCTATAACACACACACACAAATAAGGGAACGATTCAAATTCCCTCCCTTTTTTGTGTGTGTTGTGGCGCGACGCGACGCGGTCTGCGTTGCGTGTTTATTTCGGTGGAGCGCGTGGTAGATTTTCGATAATATATTGTTGCTGAACAAAAAATCTTGGTTTGCTGTTTAAAGGGACATGCTTTAATTTTCCACCAAAATCTCAAAAACGGCTGCACCAAATGAAAATCTGAGTACACCATCTTTATCGTCGTGAAAAACTGCATGGAAATAAGCGTTTCGGGGTTCGTGGCAAGACCAATTTCGAAAAATAGCGCGCAAAATGGAGAGACGCGAGACATTTTTGTGCATACACGGTGACGCGCAAATGCACAAGTCAATACAGTATAACAACAGCGAACCGAGGAGCACACGTATTTTTTTTTGGCCTGGTGCATTTGCGCGTCACCGTGTATGCACAAATTGTCTCCCGTCTCTCCATTTTGCGCGCTATTTTTCAAAATTGGTCTCGCCACGAACCCCGAAACGCTTATTTCCATGCAGTTTTTCACGGCGATAAAGATGGTGTACTCAGATTTTCATTTGGTGCGGCCGTTTTTGAGATTTTGGTGGAAAATTAAAGCATGTCCCTTTAAACAGCGAAATGGTTTGAAACCTAAATTTGCCACGTCATAGCTGTTGAGCTAATTCACAAGTAGTTATGACGTGGCAAATGCCGTATAGCTATACGGCATTTGCCACGTCATAACTAGGGTTTGGCCTTCTGAATTCGCGAAAAATATGTTATTTTTCAAAAAATTTGCCTCTTACATCAAACTCCTTGATGCCTTCCTCAGTCATCCGTTGAATCTGCCAAATCTCATCGAAAAAAATGGAAAAAACTGAAGGCGATCGGAAAAATCGGCAAAGTCACCAGAGTTAGCAGAACTTTCAGCAGCATTTTCGGTGATTTTTTTCCACCCAACTATTTATTTTTGGGGCGGGGGTTGGAACAAAGAACAAACAACAAGCGCGTCCCGAAAAAAGCCTGGATAATTACAGCCGTGTTTTGCTGGTAAATAGCAAATGCATCATAATTGGCAGCCGCTTCACTGATTTTCTTTCTCGCGCAGGCGCAGCAAAAATTAGTAGTAGTTATGATGTAGGTTTTTTCGTTGTTGGCGCGCGACAAAAACTAGACAAGTGGAAAGTTAGTGGAAGTGTACTTAAAGTTTGCGAAAATCTAGGGATTTCCGGGAGATGGCCTAGTTTTCATTAAAAATGGCCTAGGAAATCAAATTTTCATCAAAAATGGCCTAAAAATTCGAATCCCAAAAATTTAGACAGAACTAAAAAAATAAAAGTGTGTTTGTCAACACCGACTGCCCGCAAACACCAAATCCTACGCGCAACCTTGACGCCAAATACGTGCTAATCTATTTTTTCTGTCAGCAACAAAAAAAATTCAAAAAGTTCATAGAAAAACAAATTTGTTTTTGCGTGAACGTGAAATTTTCGTGGAAAATGCTATTTCAACGATAATTTTTCAGTTCTTTCAAATTTTCGGCGACCAACAAAACGGCAGCAAATAAAGATGAGTTTTTTTTTCTCTGGGAGTTTTCTCGGAATTCCTAACCTTCCGAATAATTTCCACGTGTCTCTCCTGGAGTAAAGTACAGCTCAACTTAGCCGAACTCTGGATAGTGAAGCTTCGTTAAGTTGAGCATTAGCCATTGCAATTGTCAGGAACCTCGACATGAGTTACCTTAACTTATTTTGGTTATACTCTCGACTTTGTCGACTTGATTTGGTTGGAAAAACTGTGAAGGGAGAGATCGAGGTTCGCTTTTCAAGAGTTTGTTTTGAAAAGAAAACGTGGAATTCTTCAAGGAGGAGGGAAATTTTGGTTTTTATGAGGGAAAACACGATTTTTCCACGAAAAATCATAATTTTTCAGAAACAACCTCGAAAACCCTTGCACAAAACAACAAAAACCAAAGATTTTGAAATTTTCGGTGAGTTTTTCTTACCAAACAAGAAGAAGTTCTGGAATTTTGATTGAAAATTGATGGAATGCGGAAGCTATGCTCAAAATTGCATTTTTTTGCACCAGAAACTTGGAACAAAATCGAACATCACAAAAAAGCCGAGGAATTCTAATTTTTCATTTTTTTTTGTTGCCAACTTCTTGCGGAAAAGCCAAGAAGCAGGTTTTGTCTTTAGTTTTGCTCTAAATTCCACGTGGAAGCCGTTGTTTTTTTAGACCCCAGATTCTCGCAGAAAAGCCGAGAAACTGGAGTTTTGTTTTGAATTTCACGTTTATCTCTATGTTGAGTCAAAAAAATCCTCTGTAAAAATCGTTGTTTGTCTCCTTTCAAACGTGATTCGGTGATTTTTCCTCTAAATTGCGAGTTGAAATTCCGCTCAAAATTCCGCGTGTTTATCAAGATGGCCGAGGATTTGGGAAACTCGGCCATCTCAATAGTTCGGCCACGGATGTTTTTTTTTTCTGAAAAAAACTTCATATTTTCAGGTTTCTAGTGTATTTCGATATTTTCCACAATTTGCAGAAAATTCCGGTTTCGTTGAATTAAAATTTCAGATTTTTGGCTGAAAATCTAATCGCAAAAGTTGAAATTTCAGATTTTCAAGAAAAAAAAAACGAAAATTTGATTCCAAGTACCCCCAAAAAATTTGATTTTCACATATTTTTCCGAGTTCCAAACATCGTTCGCTCTCTGCACTCTCCTCATTTCCCACACTCTCTCTCATCTTCCAAAAAAAAACCCGAAAATAGGGGCGTGTCCCCCCAATTTTTCTTTGTCATCTCATTCATAGGCCACGCCCCTTTTCGCGCACCTCTTCTTTTTTTTTCGGTGGTCCGTGCACTTTTTTCGAAACGCAGGAAATCAAAATGATGTTCTTCACCTTTTTCTTTTTCGAAATTGCGATTTTTTTGGCAGGTGAGTGGGAAATTTTGGGCGCCAAAATTTTGAAAAATAAAAAAAAAATATGCGAGGGACCACTGGAATTTTTGATTATTTTTGTTTTTTTGTGAGAACTTTTTGTTTTTTATTATTATTTTTTATTTTTTTGTTGGAATAGAGGGTAAAAATGTCAAGAAAAAACGTATATTTATATATTTTTTTTCGAATTCGAATTCGCTGAAAAATGTCAGTTTCATGTCGAATTGAGGAGAAAAAATGCGAAATATTTATGTTCGCTTGGTTTTTTTTTGAAATGGGAAAAATATCGGGATTTTGAGGAAAAATCGGATTTTTCATCCAAAATTGATTTATTTTATAAAGAAAAAAGTTGATTTCAATTTTTGTTGAATTGAACAAATTTTAAAAATTTCGAATTTTCAATTTCAGATTTTTTTCTGAAACTTTTTCAAAACCAGCTCATTTTTCAAATCGGCTGAATTTCCAGCAGAATTTTAAATTTAAAATCTTCCGAAATTAAATTTTATTTAAATTCTGATTCTGGTGGAAATTCAGAAAAATTCACCAGAATCAGAATTTAAATAAAATTTAATTTCAGAGATTTTAAATTTTTTTTAATTTAAAATTCTGGTGGAAATTCAGCTGATTCGAAAAATGAGCTGGTTTTGAAAAAAGTTTCAGAAAAAAATCGTGAGCAAAAGAATTTTAATCTGAAATTTTCGGTTTCGTTTCCAAAGCTTCCAAGTTTCCTAAAATTTTTGAAAAATTTCAAATTTTTCCCTGAAAAACATCTCCCCTCTACATATTTTTATATATTTTTTTTTTCACAACTTTTTCTATTTAGTAACAAAAAAAATACATGTTATTGAAATATATACAAGCAAAAATGCTGTGTGTGTGTATAATAATTAGATTTCGTTGCGCGCAAAAAATCCACAGGGAATATTATATGCTCTTTTTTGTCCAACAATAAGAGCGTAACTAACCTCGGCAAAAAAAAAGAGTAGCCACGCCCATTTTTGAGATACTACTGATTTTGATTTCATATATTTTTTGAACTCAAAAATGTTGGGATTCACTAATTTTTTGGTGTTTTCTGGGTTGACTTGTTGGTTTTCGGAAGGTTGGTTTATTGGGACCTTAAGGGCTTTAAATTCGATTATTTTAGCCCTAAGAACCTTAAGTTTAAGGTTCCGAAAATTCAGAAAAAATCTATTTTTTTCCACGTACTTGACGCATTTTCCCCAAAATTTTTCAAATTTCAAAAAATTTCAAACGCCGTGTTTTTTGGCGCCAAAAAAGTCTCGAGCAATCAATCATGAGAAGAAGAAAGTGAGTGAGTAGCTATAGTTTCAAATTTCAAAAATATATTTATTTCATATTTTTCTGTCACTTCGAATTTCGTCAAAAAAAAAAATATGTGGAAAAATGGAAGGAAAATAAAAAAGAATAAATTATTCATAAATTTCTTTTTCTTACTTTTTTTCGGGGAAAAAAATGAAAAAAAAACAATTCAAATTTTTTTTGAGCAAAAAATTTGGGATTGCTCAGATTAAGCCGCCAAAATAACATTGCTCAGGTTAAGGGCCGATAATTCAAAACTGAAAATATCCATAAATTTACAGATTGCTCTCGAGCTCCGCCTCCTACAGTACTCCGAACCTCAATGGCTAGTGCAACTGTGCTCCGTGGAGAAGATATGGTTTTCACGTGTATTATCAATCATTTGGGAAGTCATATGGTAGGTCGGATGGCCTAGAAATCCAAAAATACCATTTGGTGGCCTAGAAATCGAAAGCTAGGGTTTGATGGCCCAAAATTGTGACTCGTGTGGCCTAGAAAACCGTATGAGATGCTTTGGTGGCCTAGAAAACTGAAATTAATGGCCTAAGATTCCAATAGGGTAGTTTGGCGGCCTAGAAATCCAAAAATATAATTTGGTGGCCCAGAAATCGAAAACTAGAGTTTGATGGCCTAAACTTGTGACTCTGGTGGCCTAGGATTCCAAATCATGGTCTTGGTGGCCTAGAAAAATGAAATTAACGGCCTAAGATTCCAATAGGGTAGTTTGATGGCCTAGAAATCCAAAAATACAATTTGGTGGCCTAGAAACCAAAAACTAGGGTTTGATGGCCTAAAATTGTGACTCTGATGGCCTAGAAAAATGAAATTGATGGCCTAAGATTCCAATAGGGTATTTTGATGGCCTAGAAACCCAAAAATATAATTTGGTGGCCTAGAAAATCGAATACTAGGGTTTGATGGCCAAAAAATGTGAATCTGGTGGCGTAGAAAACCAGATGAGATGTTTTGGTGGCCTAGGATTCCAAGCCATGGTTTTGGTGGCCTAGAAAACTGAATTTAATGGCCTAAGATTCCAATAGGGTAATTTGATGGCCTAGAAATCCAAAAATATAATTTGGTGGCCTAGAAATCGAAAACTAGGGTTTGATGGCCTAAAATTGTGACTCTGGTGGCCTAGAAAACCAGATGAGATGTTTTGGTGGCCTAGGATTCCAAGCCATGGTCTTGGTGGCCTAGAAAACTGCATTTAATGGCCTAAGATTCCAATAGGGTAGTTTTATGGCCTAGAAATCCAAAGAAACCTTAGCCATGTCACAAATCACGGTCTTTCACCGGGAAAACGAGAAAAATTATTTTTAAAAAAATAAAATTCAAAAAAATTTTTTGATCTATTCGTTACGAAACCAAACGCGGGAAAAGTTTTTGAATTCGAAAAAAAAATGGATTTGGTGTTTCGTCTCTCTCAATTTTTGAAATGCCGTGTAAAAATTCAAAAAAAAATTGCAGGTAGCATTCGTCAAATCCGACACGCCACTTCGTCTAATCTCATTCGACGAGCGAGTTTTTCGCAGTCGCGACAAATACGAAGTTCGCAGTCGCGTTGGCGATTCGCACAACGAATGGACGCTGACGATCAAAAATGTCGACGAAGCGGATCGCGGAAATTATTCGTGTCAAGTCAATACGGATCCACCGCAGATTGTCAGCGGAAATTTGGATGTTAAAGGTGAGAAGAGGCTGTTATGACGTGGCAAAAAACTTCATTCAGAAAATGTCAAAAAACTTTATTATTTTCCTATTTTTTTTAACATTTTTATGTGAAAAAAATGTCAAAAAAGGAAAAAAATAGTTTTTTTCACATTTGCTGAAATGAAATCGAAAAAAATATACAGTTTATTATTTTTGATTGTGAGTAGAGACAACGTAAAATTGAGAGAGTGCAGACAGAAAAATTAGTTTTTCGCACAAAAAACCTAATTTGTCTGTCTGCACTCTCTCTCAATTTCACGTTGTCTCTACTCGAAAATCTCATCGGTACCAAGCGCTCCACCGAAATAAACACGCAACGCAGACCGCGCCGCGCCACAACACACACAAATAAGGAAACGAGTTTGAATTCGTTCCCTTATTTGTATGTGTTGTGGTGCGGCGCGGTTTGCGTTGGCGTGTTTATTTCGGTGGAGCGCGTAAACTCTATAATTTTGTTTTTCGACGTTTTTCTGCATTTTTCAAAAATCCAGAACATTTCTATGGAAATCTTTCCAATTTTTCGTCCAATTCTGAATATTTTTGAAATCCTCCCAAATCTCCACAAAATGCTTTCTAAATGCAAATCAAATGTGTTTTTCTTCCCATTTCTTTTTATTCCTTTGCAAAATACGGCAAAAAGGGAGTAAATTACCTTAAGGATAATTAAAGGGAAAACACAAAAGCTACAGGAAACCCTTTTGTATTTGTAATAATAATTAGAAGAAACAAATATGGGGAAATGAGGTTATCCAAAAAAGTTCAGGGTGGGGATTGATCCCCGCACCTTTTGATTGCTAATTTTCGCAAAACTCTAACCGACTGCGCCAGCGAAAAATGTTTCCTGCCTAATTTTCCACGTAGATTACGCCACGTGATTACGATATTTTGGGTCTCGAAGCCGTTTTTTTACAGTACCTCCCCAAATTGCTCGAAAAAATCCGACAGACTATATCATTCAAGAGGGCGATAATGTGACAATGTTATGCCGTGCGGAAGGAAACCCGAAACCTACAGTAACCTGGAGAAGAGCCGATCGACAAATTATTCGATATAATGGAGCCCAATTCTTATGGATGTTAGTTTTTTTGGGGGGAATTTTTTGGGAGTTTGGGTAAGTTGCACGTCATTTCATTTCATTTTGACCCCAACAAACAAAAATCTGACATGTACTTTTTTGTCATTCGATACTTTTTTCTATCTATTTTGTTTCATTCCACTTCTGCTCGAATATTTTTATTTTTTCCCACGAGTTTTTGGTTTTTCCTGGGGATTTGCTCAAAATTTTTGCTCGAATAATTAAATTTGCTCTCGCTCTCTTTATAACATGACTAATTACTGCTTTTGTGAATAATTATATTTCTCGAGTTTTGACTCGAGAAATATAATTCTTGGAGAAAAAAAAATTTGTTTCCCGGGTGAAAAAAAGCGGGCAGCTGGGATCGAACTGGCGCAGTCGGTTAGAGGTTTGGATGATTAGCAGGTGGAAGGTGCGGGGATCGAACCCTCACCTTGAACGATTTTTGACATTTTTTTCGAAAAAAAAAATTCAAAAAAAAAGTTCAGGGTGAGGTTCGATCCCCTCGCACCTTTAACCTGCTAATTTCTCCACAACTCTAACCGACTGCGCCACCCACACAGCATCTAATTTTTGACGTAGATCACGATTTTTTAGCGAGAAAATCAATTTTCGGGACCTAAAAAGCCCAAAATTTCCGGATGAAAGATCCCATCTGTTAACACACATACACCTTTTACACACCACTCCAAATTAGTGTTTTTTTAGGAGATTGAAATCGAAATTGCGCAATATGTTGTCGGGGCCACAGAGAAAAACGTAATTAAATTGGAGTTTTTTTTTGTCGGGAGAGTGGGCAGAACGTTTATCTTTTTTTTTTGTTGGAAATGGAATTTGAGGGGGCAAAAAACTTTTGAAATATACTAGGCCTCTTTTTAGTTTTTTCGAGTTTTTCAGCCAAAAATGATGACAAATCGATATTTTGTCTTCTTTCGCTTCTGGAGTAATTTCTGATGAAAATTGACCTTGGAATTCACTTTCAAGAAGGTTTTGGTGATTTTTTCGTAAAATAAAAAAATTTAAATTTTAAAGAACTTCGAAAAAATTCATAAAATAAAGCAAAATAGGGCTCTCGAAGCTTTATTTTAATCAGAATGAAAAAAATGTCGAAAAATAAAAAGTAAAGATGCAAGTGCGCTCCAGCGAACTGCGTGCGAAAATTTGAAATTTGAACCTGAATTGTTTTCGAAACACAGAAATTACTCAAGAAGCTTGAAAAATATTGATTTGTCATCATTTTTGGCTGAAAAACTCGAAAAAACCAATTCTGACCTATAATGTTTTTTCGACCAGACCTTTTGACATCCGATTTTTCGGCCTCGTCTAATTTTTCCTCCCCAGAGGCCTTGTGATTTTCGTCCAAAATGTTAGTTTATTTTAATAATTAGTAATTGGAGTGTATCATCTTATTTATTTTTGACTTCTTTTCCTTTTTTTCCACGCATTTTCCTCACACCATATGCTCAATCCCATTAGATATAGAATATAAGAAGAGCATCTACTAAGAAAAATGGGGAGAGCACTTAATTAGATGTGTTAGAATAACATTTTTTTAAGGGGTGAAGTGACCTTTTGGGTATTTTTTGTTACATTTTGGATCAACTTCAAAAATAAGTAATTAAATTTGGTTTTTTAGAAAACCTTTTAAAAAAATATTTAAAACATAAAAACAAACAAAAAAAATTTTTTTTTGAGCAAAAATTCAACAGGTTTAACAGAACAATAACAAAAAGAACAAATAAAATAACAATTAAATTCTGGAATATGTATTTTTGGCCAACTTTTTGGCGATTTTTTGTTTGGTGGAATCTTTGAAATTTTGAAAATCTTCAGATTCTTTCATTTTCTTGATATCTCGTTCGCTCATAAATCCAAGAAATTTATTCTGAAAAAAATTATTTTTTCTTTATTTTTCTATGAAAAAAGCTCACCAAAACTCTTTCGAGATCAAATTCATCAGCTTTTTTGAAAATATAATCCGGATGATTTCTAGCATCATCTCGATTGAACAAATAATTTTCGCATTTCTCAAAAACCATTTTCGAGCCGTATTTTTTGGCGAGAAATAGACACAAATATCCACGTGGCGCATCATTTCGAATTTGAAATCGGCGGATGAGAAAAAGAAGATTGAGAAAAATAGCGGAATTCGTCCGTTTTCGCTTTTTCGATTTCGGAACATTGTTTCGGGGCGTTTTTTGGTGTTGAATAGAGCATTGAAATAGTCGAGGCGGGAGAGAAACTGTAAAAAATGCTGAAATTCAGGTTGCTCAATTGGAGTTTGAAACATTTTTCAGAGTGAAATCTAGTTTTTCAGCGAAATTTGAGTGTTTCCCGAAGATTTTGAGGCTTCAATTTAAAATTTTTCACCAAATCCTGACCCAAAACCCCAAAAAATCGCACCTCCTTATTCAAATAGAACTTCTCGGCTGCAACAATCAATGTAACATCTGTATAATTCGGAATCTCAATCGATAAATCATAATACTTCAAATCAAAAACGAATTCGATTTCCATACTTCCATCTTTCTGAATATAATTTCTTCCGTTTATCATTTGGCTCCGAAAATACTTGAATATCTTTTTGACTTTCGTGAGTTTCGTAAAAATGCTCAAATTCTCTGATATATTCCTCTCGAACTCGATTACTTTTCTTCGAAATTTTCATAGGTTCCTTTTGTTTCGGCAAACCATCTTCCATCTGCCCAATTTTTGTTTTTTTGACTATAATCCAAAGAAACATGATCGATTGGACCCCAATCACCCCAAATGTAGAATTCCCTGTAATTTTTGAGATGTGAGATGATCGCAAGCTTCCGCAAAGTGGCACAGTTACCCTAATTTTCTCTAGAGGGCTGATTCGTGAACGAAAAATTTTTTTTTTTTAACATTGAAAGATCAAATCACAAAGGTGTCAAAAAATGTCGAAAAACATTGTAGGTCAAAATTAGTTTTTCGAGTTTTTCAGCCAAAAATGATGACAAATCGATATTTTCTATGCTTCTGGAGTAATTTCTGATGAAAATTGACCTTGGAATTCACTTTTTGCTGATTTTTTCTGATAAATTTCGAAAAAATTCATAAAATAAAGCAAAATAGGGTTCTCGAAGCTTGTTTTAATCAGAAATTACTCCAGAAGCTTAAAAAATATCGATTTGTCATCATTTTTGGCTGAAAAACTTTGAAAAAACTACTTTGACCTATAATTTTTTTTTCGACATATTTTGACTTTTCGTGAATTCATCTTTCGATGTTAAAAAAAGATTTTTTAACATTTTTTTTCGTTCGTGAATCATCCCTAAAAACAATTTGTTTATTTTTTCGCTTTTAAATTTTTTTTTCTTGCTTTTCATGAATTCCGATTGATAACAAAACTCATTTTCTTTTCATTTCTAGTGGGTTTTGGAATTTAAAGGAACATAGGCAAGATTGGACTCAAAAAAAGCCCTAGTAACTTTTCCGCTTACCATTTGAGCCCTTCGATGTCATAAACATCGCTGTCAAGTGGTTCACTTCCACCAAGATGTTCGACTCCGTGAAAAACATATTTCAGTTTGATATCGTTTTTAACGATGATTGGCTTCATCCTGGAATTAATTTTGAGAATTTTTTTAGGCTGATTTAACAATTGATGAGAATTTTCCAAAAATTCATTTATTGTGGAATTTAAAAAAAATGTGGCAGAGGAAAAAAGAGTCAGCTAGTCCCTCGTAAATATATTTCGAAAATGAATGAATGTCTGTGTGTGCGCGCAGTCGCGGTGCGGTCGAAAAAACAACATTTTGGAAGGAAAAAATGAAAAAAATTGCCGATATTGATTTTATTACGACCGCATCGCTACCTCGCGCGCACACACAGATATTCATTCATGTTTTCGAAATATTTACGAGGGACTAGCTGACTCCTTTTTTTTCCTCTGCCACATTTTTTTAATTCCACAATATCAATTTTTGAATTCAGTAATTTTTAAAATTAAATTTCTATTGCTGTAAATTTCAAAATTTAAAAACAAATTTTCCGAAACCGTTTTTTTTTGAAAATTTCAGGCATTGCTCATGTTATTAAATTTCTGAAAAAATTATTTCGGGTCAAATTTGTCAATTTTTCAAGTTCTGGAATTCGGGCTCATTTTACAAAGGCCTAGAAATTCAGATTCGAAAATCTTCAAAGATAATCTGGGATAAAACCCATCATGAAAAAATTATCCAAAAAAACAATCAACACAACAAATTCTTTAATCAGCATTTACAGTAAATCCAACAATTTGTAGAAAAATCTTCAATTTCGTAATTTCCTTTGAGTTCAACGAACTCCAATTTTCCCTTCAATTCTTTGATTTCCTTGACAAGTTTTGAGTGAATCGATGCATTTTTGCTACAAAAAAAATCAATAATTTTTTGAAATCAAAAAATGGGAAAAAAGTTACCAAAAAGTTCTTGATAATCATTTTCATCAGCCAATTTGATTTTCTCAATAATTTCTAATTTCGGAATTTGAGACCAGAAATTGTTCGCATTTTTGATGAAAAGCTGCAACTCCGTATTTTGGCAGCCATTTCCGATGAATTTTTCGTAGAGAATTTCTGAAAACTTCCCAATTTTTTCCTTTCAAGTTAGAATAACTTTACTGAAATTGGTGTTGAAAAATGGATGAAGAGCGGCGAGGAAAAAACGAAAAATCTTTGACTGAAATTTCGTCCATTTTTATGCGATATCGATTTGCTCGTTTTTGGTCACGATTTTATTGTAGAAATAGGTGGATTTTGAGGAGAGAAACTGCAAAAAATTGAGAATTTTTCAGAATTTTTCATTTAATTTCCCTTTGGATACGCAGGTTTTGAAGATTACTGTAGTAGGGCTGATTCACGAACAAAAAAAATAAGTTTTTTTAACATTGAAAGATCAATTTTCGAAAAAACATTGTAGGTCAAAAATTAGTTTTTCAAGGTTTTTCAGCCAAAAATGATGAAACAAATCGATATTTTAGCTTCTGAGTAATTTCTGATCAAAATTCGACCTTGGAATTCACTTTCCAGAAGGTTTTGCTGATTTTTTGGAAAATAAAAAAATTTTTTAAATTTTAATGAATTTCTGAAAAAAAGCAAAATAGGGTTCTCAAAGCTTATTTTAATCAGAAATTACTCCAAGAAGCTTGAAAAATATTGATTTGTCATCATTTTTGGCTGAAAAACTCGAAAAAACTAATGTTTTTTTGACATTTTTTGACTTTTCGTGAATCAGCCTTTGTAGATCAAAATTTTGGCGCTAAAATAATCAAATTTTCATGCTAGATGTGCAGGCTTTGAAGAATACTGTAGCTATGAAATTCAGGACAAAAAACTCACCCCCTTATTAATATAAAATTCAACTCCCTCAACAAGAATCGTCAAATCCGTAAAATTCTCAATTTTCTTCGAAAAATCATACATTTTATAATTCAAATCGACATCAATAACAATCGAATCATTCTCAGGAAACATGTTAAATATAACCTCATCCCATTGTTCAAAACTCGGAAATTCCAGAATTTTCGCCTTCTCGTGCATACAATATCTCAATTCTCTAGTCACATTTCCACTTCGCAACATTAATTTGATTTTGGCGGACACTTCGCATAACCATCTTTTGTCTTTTTCGGTTTTTGAGGAATATGAGAGGCTGATTGCAAGACTGTTTTGTTTTTGTTCGTCGTTTACACGCACTTTGATGTTCCTGAATTGAAAAATATGATTTTCTAGAGATTTCCGGAAGAATTTTTAGCTGAAAATTTCTTCTGTCAATTTTTGTTGACCCAATTTATCGATTTTTCAATAATATTTTGGAACTGAAAAATCTGAATTTCCATCAAATTTTGCCCCCTCAAAAATATCTAGTTTGCTCACCAATACTCTTCTCCAATATTGAATGTTTTGCTCGAAATTCCAATCGAATTAAGTCTCGAAATATCCTCAAATTTCCATCTCAATCGATTCCCGTTTTTGACAACTGGATTCATCTGAAAATTCTTCCCAAAAATCTCCTTAAAAATAAAATGTACATAGATAAAAATTGGTCATGAAAACCAATAGCAAATTTTAAAAAGCAGCAAAAATTAACAATTTTCAAAATTTCATAAGAAATGACAGAAATGGTTAACAGGGATTAATTTAGTTAGAGAAAAAAATTCAGACAAGTTCGAGAAGACGTGCCAAAATGCGACATTTTGTCGAATCGGTGAATTTGGTGAATTCTGGAGTTTTTTGGAGAGCTTTGAGCTCTTGGCGGCATTTGACGGATTTTAGGGCGTGCGTCTGAAAAAGAGGAATTTTTGAGATCAAAATTTGAAGAAATTCATAATTCCCGGCTAACTTACCATAACTTGTTCCAATCCAAAAGTCTCAGCAATCCACAATTTTCGCTCCAATTTGCATTTAATTTTCGAGTCAATATAATATTTTTCACATTTTAAACGAAGCGAAGAAACACGGTAAAATGATGCCAAATGGATTGTTTCCATTACATCGGCTGCAAAATTAACTTGCTATTCAATTAGTAATTAATTAACTCACTAAAACCATCCAAACTCGAATAGCAAAAAGCCAAAAAATAGGCAATAGATGGCAAAGAAACATCGAAAAACTGATAATTATTCTCCGCCGGATTTTGATTAACAAACATGTCATAGAAAAATTCGGACTTTGCACAAATCACTCCTTTATTCACATGAAATTCGGTATTATCTCTGGCCAATAATTTGAGATCTGTGAAATTGGGAATTTGTTGGGAAAAATCGAAATATTTAAAATGCATCTCGAGGTTAATATAAATTGTGTGATCTCTTTCGAAAAATCCGAGTATTTTGGTGAGTTTTGTTGGAAAATATACATTTCTTGATAAACCGTCGACACCATAGAAACATGTCACCAAATTTTCCGCCATTTTCTGATTTTGCGGGTGTTTTTTTGAGATGGCGATACTTGCGGTGACGTCACAAATCCAGCGAGAATCTTGAGCATTTTCGGAGCAATAAATCAGGCGAACAAATGTTTGTTTTTTACCATTTGTTGTGTCGATTCCGAGGTGGATTTTCCTAGAAAAATTGAAATGTTTTTTTGCATTGCTCAGATTAACGAAAAATAGAAAAATTCCAACTTCGGTAATTTTCCCAGAATTGCTCAGATTAAAATATTCCTTACCATTTCAATTTGTCCGTTTCAAAAGTTCCTGAATATGTTCCTTTGTTTGAAATATCCGAAAGTTTGAATTGATGTGTGATTCCTCTCCGGATTATCGGATTCATTTTCTACATAGTTCATGTCAGATTTTTCATGAATTTTCAATTTTAAAAATTATCAATATTTACGGGTAATCAAACCGTTTTTTTCCTCATAAAAAATTCAAAAAAAGTGAGTTTATTAGAAGAAAAATGTGCATTTTAAAGAAAATCGAAAAGACGATTGATAACAATAATTTTTGAAGATTCTTTGAGATCGCTGAATAATTTTGATTTTTGAAAATTTTCGAGGTCTTCTTTGTCTTCAAAGTTTTGCATACAAGTTCGCTGAAATCATATTTCAATTCCAAATTTTCTGAATTCAAATTCAACTCACCAAAAGTTCCTCATAACCATTCTCATCTCCAATTCTAATCTTCTCAATCAAACTGATTTCCGAAGTTTCACACAGAAATTTCTCGATTTTCCTGTGAAGCGATGAAGATTTGTATTTTTCGGCCATTTCGCACAAAATTTTGAAATTCAAACTATCAACAACACTTGACGTTGGATAAAATGAGGACATGAACAGGCAAAAATTTTCGGCTTTTTCGTGCTTTAAATCCAATGAATTGTCTCTCTGTGATCTTCCATGTTTTTCGAATCACAACTCAAATAAATTGCCAACACGCGTTGTCTTGTGTTAGTATTAGTTTCTTCATTTGAAATCCAGATTTTCCTGACAGTTAAAACTTGTTTCATTAAAAAAAATAGCTTACCATCTATTCTTTGGCAAATGTGAATTTTTGAATTTGACAACGTGTGTTTCTAGAATATTTCTTGAAGTGTATCGAATTGTTGTTTCATCTTTGATGATTGGATTCATGGAAAATCTACACGAATTTTATTTTTTTTGGAAAAAGAAAAGTATTTTGAAAACGGATGAGAACCCGTAAATCATTTGAAAATATGAAAAAAAAAATCTGATTTCAAGCTTGTTTATTTGAGATAAGATATTTTGCAAGAGCTAAAATACTCTTGATCATCATTTAAAAAACAATTTACTAGAATTAATTTTATTTCAAAAAAAGCCTAATAAAAATCCAATAATCTGGCAAGAATTCGGATTTTTGTGGTATCCTTGAAACCATTGAATTCTTCACTTTCCTTGATTTTCTTAACATCTTTCGCTGTTTTTAGACATAATACAAGGCGCTTCTGAAAAAATCACGAAACATTATTTCCTCAACTTCAAAAATATCTAACTAACCATCAAATTCTCATAATCATTTTGCTCGGCCAATTCGATTTTCTGTATCAAACTCATACTATCCTCCTTCTGAGTTATCAAATATTGTTCACATTTATAATGCAAATCCGGCACTCCAAATCGATTCGCCAAATCGACAAGATTGATTTTTGGCCCGGTTTCATCGGCATCGAAAGCCATGTAGAAATTGTCGTCGCAAATTGTGAAACACGAATAAAATGAGGCGAGAATTAGGCGAAATTCACGCGGTGAAATGTCGATTTTGATGTTGGCTTCGACTTTTTTGTTGACTAACATGTCGAAAAAATATTTGGATTTCGCGCAGAGAAACTGCAAAAATTCCGATTTTTCAGAAAACTTTGTGTTTTTTTTTATTACCCCTTTATTGATATAAAAATCAGCATCTTCAACAGAAACAATCAAATCTGTGAATCCTGGAATATGTTTGCCAAATTCAACATATTTAAAATCGAAAAACACTTCAATAACAATAAATTCATCGTCATTTTCAATAAATCCACCCTCCATAAAAGTGTCCAAATCAGTGAATCTCGGAAATCCCCAAAGTGGATGTTTCTGATCGAAACAAAAATTGAACTTTTTGCTTATCGATTTTCCTTGAATTCTATCTTCCTGTTTCACCAAAACGATTTCCGCGTCAATTTCACAAATCCACGTTTTGTTGGCGGAATTTTCAAAGTCTAAACTCATAAAAATCCCGACTCCACCGTAATATTTTGACTCGTCTTTTGTGATTTTGATTTTCCATTCAAATTGATCGATTTTGTGAACATCACTTAATAATCCTTTTTTGTCAATATACGTGATCTCATCGCATTTCCATCGAATTTTATTCCCATTTTTTATCAATGGATTCATCATCCTAAAAATACTGAAATAGTTTTACTAAAATCAAGTTATTATTATCGAAAATCTCATCGGCAACCACGCGCTCCACCGAAATAAACACGCAACGCAGACCGCGCCGCGCCACAACACACACAAACGATTCAAATTCCCTCCCTTATTTGTGTGTGTTGTGGCGCGGCGCGGTCTGCGTTGCGTGTTTATTTCGGTGGAGCGCGTGGTACCGATGAGATTTTCCAAACCTCACCCAAGAACCTGGAGTAGTGCGTGAAAAAATGCCCAGCTGGTTTTTTTCCAAAATTGCCCACCTAGCGCTCGCCATGGCGAGCTTTTTCAAAAAAAAAAATTCGTTTTTTTTTTTCAGTTAAAATAGCAAAAGCTTCCTCAAATCCCTCTCCCTCTATGTCCCCTCCTAATTTCCCTCGCGCCCCTGGTGGGACTCGAACCCACACCCTCCACGCCACGTGCGTTCAAGAGACCACCGACCCTGTTGAGAACGAGGAGGCGAATTTCCAAGACAAGAAACACTTCTGTGCCACCTACTTTTCTTTTTATTTCACATTGTGAAAAAAACTGAATTTCATTTTCAGCTTTTTCAGTATTTAGAGTGAATATTTGCGTGTGGAATTAACTAAGTAGCTTCCTAAGCCTAGTTCCCAGCTACAAATAACAATGGCCAGCTACTTTTTTGTTTAAAGGACGAGAAAACCGATGACCTGATTTCTCTTATAACGTTAGAGCATTTTGGGTGATTTCACACTTCAAACTTTTTGAGCTTTCGGAGTGATTTTGAGCAAAAAGTTTGTTTTGGGACTAACATTATTTTTGCTTGTAGATTCATTTGAGCTTTTCAAAATTTCTGAAAAAATGATTTTGACATGAGTTATCGAAAATGACCAGTATTTTACTCCAGGTGATAGGTTTGCAAAAAATTGAAAAAGTTTGCAGGTGGGAGAAAAGTGAAACTAGCTGGGAATCGACTTACTTTTTAATATTAAGAAACAAAACATCAAACTTTTCCTATGGATCAATTCATCTGAAGAAAAAATGAATTTCGCGACATTTTTTGTCGCGAAATTGCAATTCGCGAAACGACACGAAATTAATAAAATAAAAGAGGAAATTCTTTTTTCGTGTGTTGGGTCTCGCAGGGATTACGTGTCCCTTTAATATTTCTCCTTTATTTTTGTGTTTATTTCGTGTCGTTTCACGAATTGCAATTTCGCGACAAAAAATGTCGCGAAATTCATTTTTTCTTCAGATGAATTGATCCACTAGGAAAAAAGTCAGAAAACCTGAAAAACTGAATTTTTCGTATTTTTTAGATGTTTCCAGCTGGCCATCGGAAAAATAATAGTTGAAATGAATCTAATTTCTGAAAATTTTCAAAGAACATCGTTGGAAGTAACATTTTCTAACCAACAAGAGAAAATTATAGAATTCAGTGAAATTTTTTCGACGAAAAATTCGAAAAAACCTTCGAATTTTTTTTTAATTTTACCCACCTACAAAATTTTTTTTCAGTTGCCCACCTGGGATTCCAGGTATTGGGTGAGGTTTGGAGATTTTCGATATTAGGTATTTTCAGGGAGTTTAAGAACCCCGGCTAATTTCAATGAGAAAAATAACAAGAGTTCATGAATGATTACAAAAAGTTAACAAGTTAGTAAAAATCCAAGAATCGATTCAAAATTCGAAGTTTTGTGGTATCCTTGAAGTTCTCAAATTCAACAGTTTTTCTGATTTTCTTGATTTCTTCGCCGGTTTTCAACTGCGATACACAGTGTTTCTGAAAGATTCGAATTTGCTTGGAAAGTAATATCGAAAATCTCATCGGTACTCCACGCGCTCCACCGAAATAAACACGCAACGCAGACTGCGCCGCGCCACAACACACACAAAAAAGGTTGGGAATTTGAATCGTTCCCTTATTTGTGTGTGTTGTGGCGCGACGCGGTCTGCGTTGTGTGTTTATTTCGGTGGAGCGCGTGGAGTACCGATGAGATTTTCGATAATAATAATAAAAGTAGTTACCATAAGTTTTCCATAATCATTTTTGTCAGCATATTTGAATTTATTGAGAAGATTAGTACTCTCATTTGAGATCAAGAAATTCTCGCATTTTTGATGGATATCTCCGACCTCATATTTTCTTGCTAATTCGATCATTTTTGAGTAGTTGGAGGCTTAAGAAATATTGGGTTTTTTTTTCAAAATCAAATCAACTTACTTTCAACACAATCGAAAACTGGATAGAAAAATGCAATAAACATGCGAAAATCATTCAGTGAAATATCATCAATTTTGTAGATGTTTTGTTCGAAGTTTTCAGTAATGAACAAGTTATAGAAAAACTTTGATTTTGAGCAGAGAACCTGTAAAAAAGTGATATTTCATTTAATTTTCGTTGAAAAAACTCACTCCTTTATTAATTGGAAATTCAGTTTCCGCAACAATTATTGTTAAATCCGTAAAATTCGGGATTTTTTGTGAGAAATCGTATACTTTGATATCAACATCAATATCGATTGTGATCGAATTGTTTTCCATATATTTTGCAGATGAAATAGTTTGCCACGTTTCAAATTTTGACCATCCCCATTGTTGATTTCCGAGAAAACAATGCTTGTAACTTCTTGTTAGAACATCTCCTTCATCAGTTTGTTTCAAAACTTTTAAATCCGCATCAGCTTCAATAAGCCAACTTTTATCATTTGATGAATTCGATGCGAGATGTAGAGAAAGTCCAAAATCAGAGTTCATCCGTTTAATAAAGATTCTCCTAAAAATTATTTAAAGGTGGAGTCCGAGCAAAAAATAAGTTGTGCTCATTTGAAAGAGCATGTTCTAATTAGCACAATCCTCGAAGGATTTTTTCTGGAAGCTTCTCAAACATTGGTTAAAAAATTACAAAATTCGAAAAATAGTGAAACACCGTGTAAAATGGCTTGAGAAAATGCAAAAATGCAAATATGCAAGTAGTTTGGCGCTGTGTTTATCAGTCATTACCGATTTTCATGAAAAATCCTTCGAGGGATGTACTAATTAGAACATGCTCCTTCAAGTGAGCACAACTTATTTTTTTGCTCGGACTCCACCTTTAAACATTTATAAAAGAAAATGTATTTATGATACTAACCATGTTGTTGGTCCAATAACAAAGTCTGTACTATATGTTCCACCCGTGCTTAAAGTGCTCATAGAATCGAATTTCCATCGTAATTTATTCCCATTATAGACAGCCGGGTTCATGTCTGAAAATGTATAATTTTGCAGCAAGCGTCGCACAAGGTCCAAATTTGGAGCTATCAAGAATTAGTCGAGCACATATGAGTGAATATATTTGTGTTGCTAACAATGGAATTCCTCCAGATGATTCGCTAACAGTTAAATTAATGGTATCATGTAAGTCAAAGAACCTAATTATAATGGGCCTATGCAAAATAATATTTTGTAATAAAAAACATATTTTTCCTATGCAGAAAAACGTCGAAAAAACAAAATATACAATTTTTTGAGTAAAGACAGCGTGAAATTGAGAGAGTGCAGACAGACAAATAAGTTTTTCTGTATTTTTTGTGCGAAAAACTAATTTGTCTGTCTGCAGTCTCTCAAATTCACATTGTCTCTACTCTATAATTGTATATTTTGTTTTTCGACGTTTTCTGCAAAGGAAAAATATGTTTTTTATTACAAAATATTATTCTGCATAGGCCCATAACCCTAGACTAACAATTTCAGTCAAACCATTGGCTCAAGCACAATCTCCGCGAGTTCACGCGGGTCTCGGAACAACTGCGAGATTAGTTTGCACATCAGAAGCTTGGCCGAGACCACAAATGAGTTGGGAGAAGGATGGAGAGACGATTTATGAGAATAATAACTTTTCTATGGTAAGCATGCCAGAGATTAGTGTCTTAGTGTCAAAATCTGCTGTAAATTCGATTTTGAACATGGGTTATGACGTGGCAAAATTAGAAAATTTCTGACTTTACAACTCGTAAAGTTAGGAATTTTCTAATTTTGCCACGTCATAACTCATGTTCAAAATTGAATTTAGCAGTCGATATTATCGAAAATCTCATCGGTACCACGCGCTCCACCGAAATAAACACGCAACGCATCAGACCGCGCCGCGCCACAACACACAATAAAAAAGGGAACGATTCAAATTCCTCCCTTTTTTGTTTGTGTTGTGGCGCGACGCGGTCTGCGTTGCGTGTTTATTTCGGTGGAGCGCGTGGTAACCGATGAGATTTTCGATAATATCTACCAAAAAACCATACTCCATACAAAATTTGATGTTTTTAGTCGCACACAACTTCTGGACAATATCACACTGTTCATATTCTCGAAATTCGACATGTTCATCATCATAATTTTGGAAATTATCGATGTGTTGCCAAAAATGATAATGGAATCAGTCATTCAGAAGTTGAACTAATTCGTAAGTCGAATCCCTAACATTTTATAGAGAAATTTAATCAAAATTTGTCTACAGAAAATCATAATCACCACCATCACAAACATCATAATGACAAAACACACTATTTGAACACAAATGTTGTTCCTGAAGGTAATTTTGCTTCTCCACCTACATTTTCCACTTTCTTGCTTGCTGTGCACCTTTTTTTTCACTTTTTTTAAGGATCTGCTACGAATTTTGGGATCACTGTAGATGATGAAGATTCTTTGGGTACTTCTAAGCATGATTAAAGTATTTATTGTGAAAAGCTTTCCTTTTTTGCATGTTAGATAGACCTGTCCGCAAAAACACTGCAACCTCATAACTCAACGTGTTTTTGCAGACGAAGTTCCGCCTCCACCGCCACCGGAATACGATTGGGTGAAGCCGACAAATGCGGCTGGTGGAATTGCACGTAGACATCATGATACGCAACAACACTCTCGTTCAGGCATGATAAAACACTTTCAAAAACATTATATTCAAATTTCCCAACGAAAATCCTAATTTCAGAGCTTCGATCAGTCAATCAATCATCTACTTCATTATCCACAATTTTCACTTTATTCGCCACTTTTGTTTTCTTCTACGGGTTCTAATTTATCAATCTCACTAATTTTTCTCATGTTTCATTCTATAATAAAGCTATTCAACTACAAACAAAAATACAAACAAAAAAAAACAGAAAAAAACGAAAAAAAACAAAAAGAAGTCCGGGAGAAATACACAAAAAGCTGTTCGGCGTGAGACCATTTTCAATAAATAGAAGAGCCTTGAAAACGTTTTTTCATTTTTTTTTTGGTTTTCAAAACGTGTTTTGTTCCAGAAAACGCCCCATTTCTCCCTTTGACAACCTGAAAACTGGTTGTTTTTTCTCTGAAAAAATTCTATTTTTGTTTGAGAACATGAAGTTCTCATATTTCTTCATCTCTTGCCTTTTATTCCTATTCGTACCAGTTTCCACAATTCGAATCACCAAAAGGTATATATTTTCAAAGGAATTATTGGAAAATGTCAAAAATCACTAGTCCCCAAAATTTTTTGAGACTTTTTGGGGTAGATCAAAAAAATTTTTCGAAAAATGCGGGAAAATTTTTTCTTCCACTCAGTTGTTCATTTTTTTGAAGTTTTCCTATTTCTTGTACGCCTTTTACTCATTTTCATTCCTAAATACTATCGATGCCACCAGCTTCTTCAGTTCCAATGGAAAAAAGGTATGAAAATATTCCACGTGAGAAAAATAAATGCGTGAGCCTTTGAAAATGTGTTTTTGGCCTAAAAATCGTCCTATTTCTTTTGTTAACAACCTGAATAAACGATTGCGTTTTTTCAAAAAAACTTTTTTTGGAAACAGTTTTTCAAAGAAAATGAAATTTTCCTATTTTCTATATGCATTCTTCACCTCTTGGTTATTCTTATTCCTATTGTTACCAGTTTTCTCGCAAGTCTCAACACATAAAAGGTGAATGTTTCTCAACGACACTCCGCCTGCTTCTTCTTTAGCAGCCGTTTTTTGTTTGAAAAATGTTCGTTTTTTCTGCATTGTTTGCTTTCCGGAGAGAAGCCAAAGATGACAATTTATCAGTTTTTTATTTGATACGAAACCTTGATTATTTATACATTCTTTTTGATTTTTTCTAGACCAAGAATGGTTGACAAATTGGCAAGTGTTCGGGGATTTTTCAACGCCGAAAATGTGCGGAAAGTTACTAACAATTCGGCGCTAGCCGCTTATTTTTTGCCCAGCACCGATGCACATAATGTAAGTTGCTAAATATTTGCAAGCGAAAGACAAAATGTATAGTTTGAATTGACCAGAAGAAGTCACAAACGGGCTCCAGGAGCTGGTTAAAAATAAAAACAACAGAGGGACTAGATTCACATCCTACATATTTAGTTCCCGTGCTATTTTTCGAGCTTCAATTATAGTTGCACATCGACTAAATGTCATTTTCAAACTTTTTGAGCCAGTGAGCTGAAATATTGGGGTTTAATCCTATTCATAGATGTTCTGTGAATACGATTAAAACCCAATATTTCAGCTCACTGGCTCAAAAAATTGAAAATGTCATTTAGTCGATGTGCAACTATAATTGAAGCTCGAAAAATAGCACGGGGACTAAATATGTAGGATGTGAATCTAGTCCCTCTGTTGTTTTTATTTTTAACCAGCTCCTGGAGCACTTTTGTGACTTCTTCTGGTCAATTCAAACTATTTTACAAGGGAAGTGCATGAGGTCAGGTTCTGAAATTTTGATGAAACATATCGAAATATACTAAATCGACCATGCTGATCACGAATCCGAAATCAAAAATTGCCACAAATCCCTGTGAGCACTTTTCTGGAGCTACTTACAAAGTTGGAATTGAGTTTTGCTTTTTGTCCATTTTCACCATTTTCCCGGTGGAAATTCAACTTTTCTAACTTGGATAGGGTTTTTCACCACATTCGAAAACCTATCAGCTTTTTAGTTTTTCAAAAAATATGAAATACCAGTTGAAAACTGTAATTTTTAAGAAAGTTCCAAAGTTTTTTGTGCATTTTTTAAAATTACAGTTTTCAGCTGGTTTTTCATATTTTTTGAAAAACTAAAAAGCTGATAGGTTTTTGAATGTGGTGAACAATCATTATTCATGTTATAAAAATTGATTTTTTACCCGGGAAAATGGTAAAAATGGACAAAAACCAAAACTCAATTCTAACTTTGGAGCTCAAGAAAAGTGCTCGCATGCATTTGTGGCATTTTTTGACTTCGGATTCGTGATCAGCATGGTCGATTTGGTATATTTCGATACGATTCATCAAAATTTCAGAACCTGACCTTGTTAGCAAAATAATTCAAATATAAATATTGATTTTTCAAAATCTAAATGATTTTCAGAGTGAATACCTTGCCGAATACGATTTCCGTGTCAAATTTCTCTCCAACTTCAGTGGCTCAAACGCGCAAGTTGTTATAACTCCAAAAAAAGCATTGTTATGGACAGATGGTCGATATTATGTGCAAGCAAATAGACAATTGTCAAAAGAATGGGAAATGAAGACGATGAATGAGCCCGATTCGATCACAGTCACCGAATTTCTGATCTCCGAACTTCGAAGAGGCGATTTTGTTGGTTTCGATCCAACATTGTTGAGTTTTGATTCGGCTGAAACGATGAGAAAAAAGCTGAAAGGAGTTGGAATACATCTCGTCGCTGTTGATGGTAATTTAGTTGATCCAATTTGGGCAAATCGACCAAGTTTGGGACATAAAAAGGTGATAATGTTATATTTGTCTTATCACATTTTGAACTTAAAACAAATAATTTGTTGTTTTCAGGTCACGGTTCTAACAAAACAAGAGCATGGAAAGGAGACATCGGTGAAGATCAAGGAATTGCGCGAGAAATTGGTCAAGAAAAAGTGTACCGCTGCGATTTATACAGTTTTAGATGATATTGTTTGTAAGATTTTTTGATTTGCTTTGCTTTGAAAACGTGGCAAATTGGAAAATCTCGAAAATTTGACAATGTTTTTAGCAAAATTAACTTTTGGGGTTAAACTTTAGACTACTTGAAAATTCCAATTCAGTTTGCGAATCTACTACTTCTCGTAACTTCAAAAAAGGTTTCATTATATTATCGAAAATCTCATTGCTCCACCGAAATAAACACGCAACGCAGACCGCGTCGCGCCGCAACCTACACAAATAAGAGAACGATTCAAATTCCCTCCATTTTTTGTGTGTGTTGTGGCGCGACGCGGTCTGCGTTGCGTGTTTATTTCGGTGGAGCGCGTGGTATCGATGAGACTTTCGATAATATAATGAAACCTTTTGAAGTTACGAGAAGTAGGAGATTTGCAACCTGAATTGGAATTTTCAAGTAACCCAAAAAGTTATGTGGTAGAAAAACCTTGATCCTAAAATTTTGCTGAAAATATTTTTTTTCAATTTTGCCACATCATAGCTCATTTTTATCTCTTCTCTTCTAAAAAAATGCTCATTTTGCAGGGCTCTTGAATATACGTGGATTCGATATCACCTACAATCCATTGGTATATTCATATCTTTTAGTGACAGCCGAAAAAGTTGTATTATTTATTGATGAATCGAAATTGGATGAAACTTCGACAAAACATTTGATTGATTCAAAAGTTGATATTCAACCGTATGAAAGTACTTTTGAGTATTTGAAAAATTGGAATAGCACAACACCTGATCAAAGAGTAGGTCTAAAACTTTTGAAAGAAAATTACAATTTCCCTTGTTTTTCAGATCCATCTTTCACCGGCCACAAATTATGCGATCGGATCGATTTTTGGCGTTGATAATATTGTCACCGACACGTCATTTGCCCAGGTCATTTTTACATTTTTTTTTTGAAAAAATTTTCTCAAAAATTGTTTTTTTTTAGATCGCCAAGGCTCAGAAAAACGACATTGAAATGGAGGGAATGCGACAAAGTCATGTAAATTTACCCGGAAAATTTTCTCAGTTTGAAAAAAAAAAATTTTCTGTAGATTCGTGACAGTGCGGCGCTTGTCGAGTTTTTGGTTTGGTTCGAAAATGAAATGTTGGCTGGAAATGAATATTCGGAAATTGAATTGGCCAAACGACTTGATACAATCAGATCGCGACAGGAGAAATATGTGGATTTGAGGTGAGAAAATCTTCATGGCTCCAAATTACACCGTGTTTTTTCGCAGTTTTTCGACAATTTCCGCATTTGGAGACCACGCGGCACTTCCGCATTATCATCCGGAAGGCGAAGATGGACAAAGAAAGGCCAACTCGAAAAATGTGTATTTGGTTGATTCTGGAGCGCATTATAGGTATTGAAATATTGAAAAAGCTTTATTCTGAAATACCTGTCTGAAATTATAAATTCCAGAATTTCTACTAAAATCCTGTTTATTTTCAGCGAGACTGAAAGTAAACGGGATTTCGGCTGGAATTTTGGGATTTATAATTTTTTGCCGGGATTTCAGTGAGATGCGGAAGCTATGCCCAAATTTTGCTTGAAAAGGGGCGTGGCCTAAATTTGGCTCCGCCGATTTCTAGAGATTCTGAAATACCTGTCTGAAATTATAAATTCTACCAAAATCCTCTGTATTTTCAGCTAGACTGGAAGTTCAGAGGGATTTTGTTGGGATTTATAATTTTTTGCCGGGATTTCAGTGAGATGCGGAAGCTATGCTCAAATTTTGCTTGAAAAGGTGTGTGTCCTAAATTTGGCTCGGCCCATTTCTAGAGATTCTGAAATACCTGTCTGAAATTATAAATTCTACCAAAATCCTCTGTATTTTCAGCTAGACTGAAAATAAACAGGATTTCGGCTGGAATTTTGGGATTCATAATTTTTGACAGGATTTCAGTGGGATGCGGAAGCTATGCTCAAATTTTGAAAAACTCAGAAAACTTCAAAAAAATGAGCCAATCTTCTTTTCAAATCTTACTGAAATCCTGAGAAATGATAAATCTCAAACTTTTTGATTCAGAGATGGAACAACTGATGTCACCCGAACTGTTTGGTATACAAATCCATCATCTGAATTTATCAAATCCAATTCTCTTGTCCTCAAAGGCCACATCTCATTGGCTCAAACTGTTTTCCCGAGTGGAATTATGGGCGGAAGATTGGACACGTTATCCAGACACGCATTATGGCAACAAGGATTGGATTTTTCGCACGGAACTGGACACGGTGTTGGACACTTTTTGAATGTTCATGAAGGACCTAGTTAGTTTTTGAATTGAAATTTGAACAAACATTTTTTTGTAGTTTTTTGTCAAAAAACTTGTTGAAATAGTCAAATATTGATGAATGAAACTCAAATTGGATTTATTTTCTTCACAAAAAATTGAAGCTGAACGAAAATTTAAATTTTCGAATTCATGAAAGATTTACGTGGCCGAGAAATGGCGGGAATTCGGCCACATATATCTTTCATTTTTCCAGAAATTTAAGTTCAACTTCAATTTTTTGTGGAGTAAATAGGGCTGATTCACGAACAAAAAGTCAAAAAATGTCGAAAAAACATTGTAGGTCAAAATTAGTTTTTCGAGTTTTTCAGCCAAAAATGATGACAAATCAATAATTTTCAAGCTTCTGGAGTAATTTCTGATGAAAATTGACCTTGGAATTCACTTTCCAGAAGGTTTTGATGATTTTTCATAAAATAAAATTTTAAATTTTGATGAATTTCGAAAAAATTAATAAAATGTGGTAAAATAGGGTTCTCGAAGCTTATTTTCATCAAAAATCACTCCAGAAGCTTAAAAATATTGATTTGTCATCATTTTTGGCTGAAAAACTCGAAAAACTATGTTTTTTCGACATTTTTTGACTTTTCTTGATCTTTCGATGTTAAAAAACACATTTTTTTCGTTCGTGAATGCATTTTGAGTTTGAGTTTCATCAAAATTTGAATATATTTTCCCCATTTTTTTCAATTTTTCAAAATTCCTAATTTTTCCAGTCGGAATCGGAATATCAACAGCAGCCGCTCGTCCTGGCGGAGAATTGAAAGTTGGACAAGTCATCACAATAGAACCCGGTTATTATTTGCCAGGAAGCTATGGAATTCGTATCGAAAATTGTTATGAAACTGTCAAAACTAGTGTACCATCGGGAGCTGACAACTTTTTGGGATTTAAAGTTGGTTTTTTTGAACTCTTTGTCAGAAATTGCAATGAGTTATGACGTGGATTTTAAGCCATGTTTTTTGTTTCAGACTTTGACATTGGTCCCAATCCAAACTTCAATAATTGATAAAAGTATTTTCACTGAATCCGAAATAAATTGGCTCAATGAATATCACTCAGAAGTGCTTGAAAAAACTGGAAAACAATTGTTGAAAAATGGAAAAACTCGTGAATATGAATGGCTCAAAACCGCTTGCAAACATATTTGAAACTATCCCCGATTTTATTTTATTCTTTTTTTTTTGTCTGGAAATGAATTGTATTTTGTATTTTTTATTACTTGTTTTTGTGATAATTTAGGCGTTTTTAAAATGAAATTTCTTTTTTTTGGGAAGTTTTGTGGTTTTTCTTGTGTCAAACCTTTTTGTCACTTTCTTTATTTTGAGGGAAATTTACAGATTTTTCAGAAAATTATATGTTTTTCCAAGAAAGATTTTCAGACAGTTAAAGACACATGAGCACCTAGAAATGAGCAGAAAATGAGTTTGTTATTCTTTCATAACACCTTTCAAGTAATCGAAATTCATGAAAATCAAGAAAAAATTTTGAGTCTAGCAAAAGTGAAAAAATAAAATAATTGTTTTTGAAATCGCTCAGCCGACGGAAATTTCGAAAGTGTTTGCACACAGTGTGTCGATAGAGCGCATATGCTGCTTTTGTCGTTTGAAAATAAATGCGGGAAATCTGTTTTTTCCAGTGTTTCTTGTGTCTTTAAAAAATTTCAAATTTTCTCAGAACACGAATGTCTTGGACGCGTTGCGGTCCAAAAGTTTTTAAAGCACGCGTCGCTTGACCGCAGCGCGCCCAACGACATTTGTGTTCTGTAAACGCATCTCACTTTTCTATAAGTAACAGATCAAAATGGATATTTCTGATGAAGAACTTCGAAAATATTCGCCGAGCCAACTTCTCGAATATACGTTGAAACTTCGTCAAGATGTTCGAAAAAATGGACATGTTTATTCTTATGTGAGTTACTTATTTGAAATAGAATTCCTTATCTCAAAAATTGTATTCTCTTTTTCAGCCATATTCAAAATCATGGTTCGATTTACCATTTGAAATGCGAGAAATAGTGATCGATGAAATGGATGTGAAAACAAGGTGCAAATTCGCAAGATGTTCAAAGTTGTGTGAAACAGAAGCCAAGAGATCAAAGAATTATTTGCATTCAATCGATGTATCGTTTTTTGATAACGTTTTGTCTTTTTCTTTTGATGATCGAAAAAGACATTCAGATTTCACACTGAAATTCGATGAATTTGATGAGCTTAAGACAACTGTTATCTGTCGACCGTGAGAATTTATAATTACATTTATTGACAAAAAAAAATTTTTTCAGTTCCGATAGTAGAAAAAAAAATATGGGATGGAAAACTATTGAAGAAGGAAAACCAAACGATGTTCTAAAGAAGTATTTGAACAATTATCTAGAAATTTATCGAAAAAGTATCAAGAGATTCAGTTTGAGAGTGAGTTTTGTGTGTTTTTAGAGAATTTTCTAGGGTTGGAAAAACAGTGTATTTGCGTACACGGATACACGCGCAGCCAAATACAAGAATACACGGTACACGAATTAGGGCTGTAAAAAAGTGGTGTTGGTGTGCCGAAAAACACAAGGTCTTTCAACACGTTTTGAGCTACAAATTCAAATAGTTATTTTCCAGATTTTTACTAAGCCTCAAAAAAGGAGAAATTTTTTTCAATATTTTGATTGTTCAAGTTCCAACTTTAGGCCTAGGCGTATTTAAATGTGGTTTTGAATGTTTCCTGCACCTTTCTGGGCGTTTAACTAAGCCTAAGCCTAATATCCGAACTTGTATTTATAACCAAACTATCGTCTAAGTTTCTAGGCTTAGGCTTAGTGAACGCCTTGAAAATAATAATTCTCATTGAAAATCAACTTTTTGGCCAAAAATGTGTTGAAAAGTACACCTTGTTCGCGAAGTCATTTTGACATTCTTGAAAGTTTCACCGCGGAGTCATTTAGAATTCGCGGAGGCATTTTGATTTGATAGCGCGGAGTCATTTTGAAGCCCCGGAGGCATTTAGACATTTTTGAAATATCGAGCGCGGAGTCGTTTAGAATTCGCGGAGGCTTTTCGATTTGGCAGCGCGAAGTCATTTTGCGGAGGCATTTCGCGAACCCATCCGGTATTTGCCCTTTTTTTGCATGCGTTTTCAACCAAACACACACAGAAAAAACAGTGTGTTCGTGTGCAGTGTCTTCTATAGTGTATTCGTGGGCAAAAGTTTATCCCATGCGATTTAACCCATTTTCTTAACCCATGTCGAAAAAATTTTCCCATGTTGTGATTAACCCATGTTGATTTAACCCATGTGTTTTTGGTTATCCCATGTTCACATTTAACCCATTTTTTTGCAATTATTCCATGCTCATGCCGTATTCAGAACCTGACATTGGAGGGCAATATTTTTTCGAAGCCCAAGCCTTGAATGACAGATAAGTGCAAACTCGATTCTTGGCCTGTAAAAGTCCGGATTTTAGGCTTAGGCTTCACTGGTCCTGGGAGGTTGACCAAAAATTGACCAACTTTTGGTCAAACTCCCAGCACCAGTGTTAGTAAAACGTCCAGAAAGGTGCCATTTTGAACTGAACTAATCGAAATTTCAGAAAATTGAATACTCATGCTAGGAAAAATTTTTACGCAAACGTCATTAGTTCAAAATTGCACCCTTCTGGGCGTTTTACTAAGCCTAAGCCTAATATCCGTACTAGTACAGCTCAAAAATCGAGTTTGAACTATGCTCCCATTCAAGGATGGATAAAAAAGAATTCCAGAAAAGCATGGGTTAACTGAAAAAATGGGTTAAATGTGAACATGGGATAACCAAAAACACATGGGTTAAATCAACATGGGTTAATCACAACATGGGAAAATTTTTTCGACATGGGTTAAGAAAATGGGTTAAATCGCATGGGATAAACTTTTGCCCTGTATTCGTGTTTGGTGTGAAATTGTGTTCGCTGCTGCCTCGCCGCGTGTGTGGTGTGTTCGTGTGAACTATTTACAGCCCTAACATGAATACACGGTTTTCTTCTCTTCTCAAGCAATTTATAAAAAAGCGTGTATTCGTGTATTTTTTTCCAACCCTAGAATTTTCATATATTATTTCATTTCAGGATGTTGCTGATTTGGAATCAGTAAAAGGTGTCAGTATCAAAAATTTGAGATATTTGAAAGAAGTCTATGTCGATTTTTCGTTTGACAGTCTAGAATCATTGATTGAATGCGGTTTCACCGATTATAAACAAGTTGGTTTTTCATTTTTCTCCAAACTTGTTGACCCTGTCAGGCGTATTCCTAGGAAATTGAATAAATGTGTTTTTTTTTCAGATCCTTCGCATCGAAACTGTCACTTTCATTTCACTCGATAAACTCGAGTTAGAAACAATTCTCAAGTTTCAAGGAAAATATTTAACGGTTGATGTTGCTGATTTTGTCGTGAGAATGAACGAATTCCTTATCAAATGTAAAAATGGAGAAATTCACGATAATGTCGAAATGTTTGATTTTTATTACCCGACTGGATTAGATAACTTTTCAAGTCTGGATCATGAGAGAATTATTCAAGGATTAGATATTTTCAAAAGCGAGATGAATCACTTCAAGCATGAATTAAGTTTTCGGTTTGCAAGTTCAGCAAAGAAGTCTGGAATGATTAATGTTTTATATTATTCGTCTAAAATTAAAGTTGAATTCAAGAAAGAATAATTTGAAATATCCAATAAATTTTATATGATTTTTAAAACAATTTGTCATGATTCCGTCTTCAAATCGGTTCTAAATATTTTTTTTTTTTTTTGAATAGAAATTTATCAAAACAACTTTTTGTCAGGTAAAATGTCTCGAAATTTCAAATGGAATGATTTAGCTTTGAAAATACGAGAAAATGTAATCGATAAAATGGACGCGAAAACTCGCTGCAAATTTGTGCAATGTTCAAAAGAATGTGAAAAACAAGCGAAATCATCGAATAATTATTTATATGCCATCAAAATATTGGAGAAAAACGAGGAAAAGAAGAAAATGTTGGTGATAAAATTTGAGAAAGATGGTGAGGATTCACAAGATTATTCATTGGATTTTCTCAAAGTTCGCGGAGAAGAGAAGATGACGGTTTTGATGTATAGAAAATATAATGATCAAGGTGGTGAGAAAAAATGGATGAAATTGGTTCACGAAAATCCGGAAGTTTTGCGAAGAAAATATTTTATGGAATATTTGGAGACTTACAAAAATAGCATCAAAATGTTGCAAATTCTTGTGAGTTTTTCAAGTTTCATGAAAATTGCGGCAAAGTTGGAAAATTCTGGACTTATCTCATCGGTACCACGCGCTCCACCGAAATAAACACGCAACGCAGACCGCGCCGCGCCACAACACACACAAAAAAGGGAAAGAATTTGAATCGTTCCCTTTTTTGTGTGTGTTGTGGCGCGGCGCGGTCTGCGTTGCGTGTTTATTTCGGTGGGCGCGTATAGATGAATTTTCGATAATATGAAGCTAGTTTTCCATTTTGCCACGTCATAACTCATATTAGAAGTTGAGTTCTGCAATTTTAGATAGCATAATCGTGATCAGCTAGAAAAAATATTTTTTTTGGAAAAAATGTGAATATTTTCTAGGACAAAGATTTTGCAATCAACGATCTCAATATCAAAGACTTGAAAACCTTGGAAATTCTCGATTTCGGTGGTCCAAATCCACGTATAGAAATGGATCAATTGAATGCATTTGTTGATTTTTGAAAAACTGATGAATTTGAAAATTGTGATGATGGCGAATGCGATTTTCAGTTTCGAGCAAATTCTACAATTTCGAGGAAAAGTTCTGACTGTTGCTTCGCAGGATTTTGTTCAAGAAACAGTGGAGAAATATTTGAAAATGCTGGAAAATGACGAAGTTCCATACACGAGTTTGGTGATTAATCGATTGAATGAAAATATTGTTGATTATGCGAAAATGATCGAGGGATTGTTGAATGTTTCGGATTTCAAAAATGATAATGGGTAAGCTTTATTGATGTTTATGTATCTATGATGAAAAAGCAAATGTTTATTTTTCAGAGTTTATTGCACTTTCAACTTTGTTTCAAAAACTGGAAAACAAATTGGAGTTATCATTTCGAATTCTTTCTTCGCTACGACAACACAACATCTCAAATTTTGATTTTTTTTTTTGTTATTTGTTATTTGTTATAAAATGTTTTGTTTTGAATGCGATTTCTCTTTAATTTTAATCGGAAAATTCGAATTTTTGACAAAAAAAAAACTTTGAAAAAAATGAACAACTACTGTAGTTTTGCGAAATGTGTGCAAACACCGCGCGGGCATTTTATTTGACGCGCACGTTTTTTTCTTTTTTTTTCTCTGCTTCGCCGTCAAATTCCCGAGTTCCTTGCCAAAACAAAACTCCAGATGAATCTGCCAATTATAATATCGAAAAACAAATTGAAAGCCAGTTTCGACAAAATTCACGAATGGGATGGAAAAGCGAGAAGTAGCGAAGAATTCGATATCGCAGGTGTCAAATGGATGATTGGCATCGAATTGGAGCCGATCAATTCTGACAAGCGATTGCATGTGTTTTTATGCTGTGAGATGGATGGAGTTTGGATAAGTGCTGTCGATAATTTGCAATTTAAACTTTTAAGTGGGTTTTTAGGGATAAAAACCTATAAAATAACTGTTTTCAGGGTATTTCAATCCAGACATTGTGCAAATAAATACAACAAAATATTTGATGAATTGTGATAGTTTTGTGGGAACTCAAATTTCGAAATTTCAATGGTCAAAAATGTGTCCATCAAACTATGGATATGTAAGAAGTAACTCGATTTCTTTCGAAATCACCTTCGACTTCATTTATCAACATTTCAATAAAATCGAACATTTCACAGATTTTGTGATAAATATTGATCAAATGGAATTGAATGTTAATAAGGGAGTGAGTTTTGAAAAATTTATTTTAAAAATATCAATTTTTTTCAGTTTCTCTGCGCTTCCTCTGAATATTTTTATAATAAAATTGTTGTTGCGCGAGAAAGAAAAGAAGAAATTCGAAAAATCACAATCCCTGACATTGAAGTTGGTCCCTTTATGCTTCTTCTCGCTTTAATGCACCCAAGCCTTGATGTTCCTGCTGAAAAATTGGAGAACTCTTTGGAATTGGCGAATCGCTTCAAAATCAACTCAATTAATCTGAAATATGCTTCGAAAATCCTCGCAGTCATTGAACATCATTCAAAGAATCCGGAATATCAAATGAAGCCAAAATATTTTTTGAAATGTTTACAGTTTGCTGAAAAAGCTGAAATGAATCAGGAATTTATGGTGAGACACAGAATTTTTAAATTATTTGAAATACCTTAACAATTGTTTTAATTTTGAGAGTTTTCTGATGAACACGTTTCAAACTTCGAAGGAAATAAAACAATTCTCGAAAATTTCTGGATTCGAGAATCTCAAAGAATCGACAAAAGCCATGCTTCTTCATCGAGTTTTGGAAACACTTTAATACATTTTCTCACTTTTTTATCTACTTAAATCTAAATAATAAATTTTTCATAATTTTCACTGAGCACTTGCCTACATGAATTTTCACTCTCCACGCGCAATAAAACTTGAAAAATCGATAAAATTCAGGAAAGTATTACTGTAGCTTGCGAAATGTGTGCAAACACCGAATAGGCATTTTAATTGACGCGCACTTATTTTCTTTTTTTTCTTCGCGCGCGCGTTTTTCTCTGCTTTGCCAAAACTCCAGATGAATCTGCCAATTATAAAATCGAAAAACAAACTGAAAGCCAGTTTCGACAAAATTCGCGAATGGGATGGAAAAATGAGACGAAGCGAGGAATTCGATATCGCCGGTGTCAAATGGAGAATTGGAATTCAATTGGAAGCCAAGGATGACAATAACAAGTTGCATGTGTTTTTATGCTGTGAGATGAATGGAGTTTGGATAAGTGCTGTCGATAATTTGCAATTCAAGCTTTTGAGTTGGTTTTTCTTTGAAAACTCCGTGTAACACTTTGATTGCAGGACATTACAATCATGATACAAAGAACTTCAATGCGACACAATATTTAATGACATCGGAAAATAGTGTAGGAGTTTCGATTTCAAGCTATTATTGGTCAACAATTCTATTGTCGAATTATGGATATTTGTCATGTGATACACTTTCTTTTGAAACAACTTTTGACTTTATTTATCAACATTTTAACAACATTGAACATTATACAGATTTTGTAATAAATATTAACAATCTTTTTGAATTGAATGTAAATAAGGGAGTGAGTATGTTTTTGAAAATTTTAATTTTAAAAATATCAATTTTCTTCTCATTTTCAGTTGCTCTGCGCTTCCTCGGAATATTTTTATAATCAAATTGTTGTTGAGCGAAAAGGAGAAGAAGAAATCCGGAAAATCACAATCCCTGACATTGAATTGGGCCCCTTTATGCTTCTTCTCGCTTTAATGCATCCTAGCCTTGATGTTCCTGCTGAAAAATTGGAGAACTCTTTGGAATTGGCGAATCGCTTCAAAATCAACTCAATTAATCTGAAATATGTTGCAAAACTCAAAGCTGTATTCGAATATCATGAAAATGACAAGGAATATCAAATGAAGTCTGAATATTTTTTGAAATGTTTACAGTTTGCTGAAAAATATGAGATGAATCAGGATTTTATGGTGAGATTTTCTTCTCCTAAAAATATTTGAGTTGTTCTATTTTTTTTTTAAAGAATTTCGTCTTGAAGTGCTTCAAAACTTCGAACGAAATCAAAACATTTTCGGAAGTTTCGGGATTCGAAACACTCAAAGAATCAACCAAGGTTTTGATTCTTCAGCGAGTTTTGGAAACAATTGTATAAATTTTATATAGATTTTTTGCAAATTGTGATAATGTGAATAATAATACAAATGTTCTTATTGAAATTAATTTACTTGATTTTTGAGCTGTTTTCAACGGCTACTTATTATTTATTATTGGAGTTTGGAGATGTGTGAAAACACAGTTGTACTTTTGCAGAATGACTAATCGAGTTGTTACTAATAACTATAAAACAGAGACTACTTTCAATGCTTATCTTTGGAATGGAAATTTGGAAGAGATCGAAGAAATTAAAGTCGAAGGATTGAAATGGTGAGGTATTCAATTAATCTATTATTCATAACATTTATTCATTTTAGGAAAATTGGGATAAAGAAAACGAAAATCGGTAGAAATTGGTATCTAACATTTTGCATTTCTTTTCCAAAAACCGAGAAGGAATCAATGGATAATAAAATGTACAATGTACAATTCATGGTGGTTGATCAAAGTGGAAATAACAAAAATTTGATGAGCAATTTGAATTTCTCAAATCAAGATATAATCGAAAATGATGTTAAAGAAGTGACATTTACTACGAAATTGTGGGATACTATTTACAATGAAAGTTACTATGATCAATATCGTGGAACTGTCTACAGATATAGAAAAGGTTCTGATGATATTTCCATCAAAACTGAAGTTTCTGTTACTTCTCATACTTCATTCAACAATATTCCGGATACTTCTCATAATTTCTTCAACAATATTCCTGGTGTCACTGATATTGTTTTGAAAGTAGAAAATACTGAATTCTATATGAACAAAAGAGTGAGTTGATCATATTTTTATTGTTCATATAATGGGGTCATTCAGTTTAGTTTTTCAGCCAAAAAAAGCAGGAGAAATTATGTATGTTCAGAAAACACAAAAAATTGTTGAGAAATTCAGTTTCTCAACCTACTTAAATTTTCATTTAATAAATTAGTGATTCTGGGTGGTTTTGTGCTTCGAATCGCTCCATATTCGTGTATTTTTCGGTTTTAATGTTCTAAAAAACTTTAATTTAAGTAGGTTGAGAAACTCAGTTTCTTCCCCTTTTTTGGTTGAGAATAGAACCTGAATAGCCCCATAAGTGTATTTTCCCAGGATTTGTGTATGAATTCGGAATATTTCTACGAATTGTTCGTTGTTCAAAAATGTGAGGACAAAGTTATCGAAATCCAAGATGTTAGTGTCGATGATTTCACGATGTTTTTAATTGTTCTTGATCATAAAAACATGTTCGGATCGGCAAATATTTTGAGCAGTCTTAGATGTAGGTATTTAAAAATCTCGCCTGTAATCCAATACATATGAAAAAGTGAATTTCAGCTGGTGCATTCGAAAAAAGTCTCGTTTTGGCTGATCGTTTCAAAGCGAATATTATCCATGCGAAAATCGCTCTTACAATGAATGTTATGTTTGAAATTCAGCCAAAATCCACAACCGTTTTTGATTATTCAACAATTCGTTTGAAGTGTTTGAAATTTGCTGACAAATATAATTACACCAACATTTTGGTAAGCTAAGATTTTTGTTATTCAAAAAAAATTCTTTTATTTATTCCAGGAGCATTGTTTGAAATCATTCGGAAGTGCCAAAGAAATCAAAGATGCTTCAAAATCCGAAGATTTTACTGCTTTGAGCGCCGAAACAAAAGCTCGTGTTCTTTATCGTGTTTTGGATTTTGTTTAAAAACTTTGTTTTTATTGTCTGCTTCTGTTAACCCTGTTATAAACTTGTTATTTTTTCAACTTTTCTGTATTATTTTATATTTGGTTTTCAACCAGCTCAACTATTTTTAAAATCGGAAAAATACGAATACTTCTTTCAGAATAATGGATGAATGGTTTATTTTTGCAGCATGACTAACCGTGTTGTGAGTAATAATTACAAATCGGAGTGTTTCCATGTTAATTGGATTGGAAATTTGAAAGAGATCGGAGAAATTGAAGTAGAAGGATTGAAATGGTGAGTTATTCAATTAATCTATTATTCATAACATTTATTAATTACAGGAAAATTGGTATTAAAGAAACGAACATCGATGGAAGTGACTATCTAACATTTTGCTTGCCTGTTCCTAAAATCGAAAACGAAACAAAGGATAATAAAATGTACAATGTACAATTCATGGTGGTTGATCGAACTGGAAATAACAAAAATTTGACGTGCAATTTGAATTTCTCGAATCAAGATATTATCGAAAATGATGTTAAAGAAGTGACATTTAACGAGAAATCGTGGAGAACTATTTACAATGAAACTTGTTCTGATATGAATGGATCCAGTGTCGACAGATATCGAAAAAATGATCATATTTCCATCAAAACTACAGTCTCGGTGACTTCTCATAATTTCTTCAACAATATTCCGGGTGTCACTGATATTGTTTTGAAAGTAGAAAATACCGAATTCTATATGAACAAAAGAGTGGGTTGATCATATTTTTTATTATTTATATGAATTTATTCTTATTTCAGGATTTGTGTATGAATTCGGATTATTTTTATGATTTGTTCGTTGTTCAAAAATGCGAGGACAAAGTTATCGAAATCCAAGATGTTGATGTCGATGATTTTTCGATGTTTTTAATCCTACTTGATCATAGAAGCACGCTCGGATCGCCAAATTTTTCGAGCAGTCTTAGATGTAAGCATTTTGAAATTATATAGACCACAAACATGGTTTTGTGCAGACTATAACCACTATAATTTCAATTAAATTCCAGCCGGTGATTTCGAGAAATATCTCTTTTTGGCTGACCGATTCGAAGCAAAGATTATTCATTCGAAAATCGCGTTTGCGATGAATTTGATGTTCGAAGTTCAGCCAAAATCCACAACCGCTTTTGATTATTCAACAATTCGCTTGAAGTGTTTGAAATTTGCTGATAAATATAATTACACCAACATTTTGGTAAGCTAAGATTTTTTTATTCAAAGAAAAATTAATTATAATATTTTTCCAGGAGCATTGTTTGAATTCGTTTGGAAGTGTAAAAGAAGTCAAGGATATTTCGAAATGTGAAGATTTTATTGGTATGAGTTCGGAAACCAAAGTTCGCGTTCTTTATTGCGTTTTGGAATTTGCTTGAAATGTGCCAACTTTTGTTTATATATTTTTATTTGTGAATCAGTTCAATTATGTGGCAATAAATGTGTGCAAAAACACCAGAATCTGTTGGATTTCTGCTAAAAAAGTGAGTGTTTTTTCGTAGATTGATCTCCAAAAATCTGAATTTTCGGGTCTTGCGACGAATTTTTAGATACAGTACCCTTTGCAGTTCAAAATTAATAAAACCCTGAGAACCTCTCGAAGAAGCTACAGTAAACTTTGTAGTCCGAATTCTAAGCTACAGTAGTTTTGTAGAGTCAAGGAAACCATTGTTGAGTTTAATGATTTATTCTTGTACGAGGAAAAACTCACAAATTTTTGAAACGTAAATAATTCACGTTTCGTAACACACGAATTTTCGGTGTTTTTTCCGAAGAAAAATCAAAATATCTCGCCACGAAAAGTTTTTAATGGAAAAATGAGCCTAGGGTAGGACTGCTGTAAAATTTTCCAAACAATTTTAATTTTGAGAAAAATCATTTTATCAAACTTCAAAATTATCCCGATTTTCGCCCCGAAGAAGAAGAAGGTCCAGCTTCTTGATCAGTATGCACAATTTCTTTCCGCTTCCAAATTCCTCCATGATTTCCCTCAACAAATTTCCATTCACCATTATTTTGCTTTTTCATAATTAAATCAATATGCAATGTAAATTTCGAATTCACAAATTCAAAACTACACATCGTGTAATCATCTTTAACTAATACAACCAATGAATCATAATTGATCAGAAATTGTTTACCCAATACAACACTTTGAAGAAATGCATCAATTGGTGCACTTTTGTTTGGAGTTGAAATCATACAATCATCAATGAACATTGATTTTGCGAGATTGTATTCTTGATTTGGACCATTCATGATTTTGGCATTTTGAAGATGTCCTTCGAGTTTTCTCAATATAGCTGTAGCTTCTTGTTTTCCTTGTTTTTTCAGATTTTTCTGTTCTTTTTTTCTTTTCCACATTCAATTGAAATAATTGAAAGAAAAAGAATGATGAATAGTTTCATTTTTCTTCTGAATCCCAAATCAGAATGTTAGAATTTCTCGATTTTTGATGAATTTATTAGGATGTCTGTGAGAATCTTGTTATGTCTAGCCGAGAAGAGAAATCGATGAAAAAATTTATGATAGATTATGTGAGTGGAAGAAAATCCAAACTCAAAAAAAATTTGAACTGCAAGGGGTACTGTAATTTCCAGTATCAAGAATTACTGTAGATTTCAAAATGAATGCAAAGAAAATTGTAGTTTACAAACTGCAAAATTTACTGTACCCAAGGAGTACTGTGTCTCAGATACTGTAGCTTCAACTACAAAAATTGAAAATATTTGGACAATAAATCTTTGAAAACACAACAACTGGATTTCTTGTTACGAAACGTGATTTTTTTAAGTTTCGAAAATTTGTGATTTATTTTTTGAGTTGCTGATCATTAATTTTGTATTTCCAATAAAAAAATTAAACGATTACCGCAAGTCAATTTTAAAATTTTTATTTACAAGAACTTTATTTTCAAACAATCCAAAAACAAAACGGAATAATTTAAATATTTAAAACATTCCTCAATTGTTTTAAACAAAATCCAAAACCCGATAAAGAACACGAGCTTTTGTTTCGGCGCTCAAAGCAGTAAAATCTTCGGATTTTGAAGCATCTTTGATTTGTTTTGCATTATCAAAAAGAGTTCAGGCAATGATCCTAGAACAAATAAAATAATTTACCCCTCTCGAATAAAAACTCAACCAACCAAAATATTGATATAATTATATTTATCAGCGAATTTCAAACATTTCAAACGAATTGTTGAATAATCAAAAGCGGTTGTGGATTTTGGCTGAATTTCAAACATCAAACACATCGCAAATGCGATTTTCGAATGAATAATCTTGGCTTCGAATCGGTCAGCCAAAATGAGATATTTCTCGAAATCACCGGCTGGAATTAAGAAAAAAAATTAATTCCGTTTTTTGATTGAAAGAGCCTACATTTCAAACTATTCAGGATCTTTTCCGATACAAGCATGTTCTTTGGATCGAGAACAATTAAGAACATCGCAAGTTCATCGAAACTGACATCATTGATTTCGATAACTTTGTCCTCGCATTTTTGAACAACGAACAATTCATAGAAATATTCGGAATTCATACATAATTCCTGAAACACTATTATTTTCATTTTTCATCCCAAAAAAATTGAAATGGACCCACTTTTTTGCTGACGTAGAATTTATTATCTTCAACTTTGAGGGTTAAATCAGTAACACCAGGAATATTGTTAGAGAAAGTATGAGAAGTAACAGCAACTTCAGTTTGGATAATAATACTGTTGCCACCTTTGTTATATCTATAGATATTAGTTCCATTTGGACCAACATACGTCTCACTGTAGATTTTATCCCAAGTTGTTCCAAAAAATGTCACTTCTTTCAATTCGTTTTCAGATTGATTTGAGAAATTCAAATTGGTTGGGAAATGTATGTTGTTTGCACTTTGATCAACCAAAGTGAAATTCACATTGAATTCTTTGTAAATCATTTTTTCGTTTTTGGATTTTGGAAGAGTTAAGCAATATGTAAGATACCAAATTCCACCGATATTTGATTTTTTGACAGCGATTTTCCTGTAATCAAAACTGGTAATCTGACATGAATTAATTGTTGTCCTCACCATTCCGATTCTTGAACTTTGATAGTTCCGATCTCTTTCAAATTTCCATCCCAGTTGCGAGAATTGAAAGTTGACTCAGATTTATATTCATTAGTCATTCTGCAAAAAAAAACGGATTTTTTTCTCAAAAGGTGTTCAAAATATTTTTTATTGAACAAAAAGCAGAAAAAATATCGAAAGAAAAAACATTTGAATGTTTTTACTCTTTTCTTATCGTCTTACCAATTGTTTTGGTGAAAAAATATGTTTTTTTCTAAACTGATAATAAGTTTGTTTATTTTAGAAATATTTCGAAATTCATTTGAAAACATTATTATAGAAAATTTCCTGAAACGCGAGTGACTCTTGCAGTTCAAATTCTAAGATACAGTACTCCTTATGGTTTCAAGTATATTTATTTTAGAAATTTATCTCAAGGCTACAGTAATCCTTGTCAGAATTTTTCAAATGTTTCAGAGATCAATTTTGAAGAAATACTGTAGTCACATACTGTAAACATTTATCTGACATGAATTTCTGATTTTTTTAAATCTGAAGTTTGAAAATCACATTTCGGAGATTGAAATATCGAAATTGTGGAATTTTAATTTTAAAAAATCGTTGAGATTTTACAAAATTACTTCTGTTTTTTCCCAATATTTTTTCTATCGAGAAAAATATTCGGGGCTTTGATTTCGAAAAAAAATGCCGAAAAATATACGTTTCATGAAATTCACATCAAATATTTAAATATTATAAAATATTCCATTTGATGAAGTGTGTCAAAAAATATAATTGTATATATCAGCCAATCAACAACTCAGAAATTATCAAAAAATTTTTTGAAACGTAAGAAATTCACGTTTCGAAAAACACAAAAAAATGATTTTCCTGGAATTTTAAATTTTTTGCGCAAAACTCTGCGCAATCTTCTTAGGCTATATATTTTGCAAAAACTTTATTCACCCAACCAACAACAAGTATCAACCCAAACCTCCTCCCTTTTCCAAAGATTTCAAAAATCCTTCAACATGATCAAGTCTTCCCGAATCTTCTGAATCCGCATTTTGTCTGAGCCGCGCTTCTTTTCTCTCTTTTCTCTCCTTTTTCCGGCGATCATCCAAATATTCAGAAAACTTTTGAGCTTTTGGGTCAAAATCCCAAAATTTACTTCGCCTTCCATCCGAAGTTGAAGGTCCTTCCGATCCACGAACTAATAGATTTGATTTTCTTCCTTGATGATCTGAAATTGAAAATCCCTCCATTCCACGAATCAATGGATTCATCTTTCTATCGGATGTCGAAGGTTCTTGCTCTTCTGTTGTCTCAAAATCATAAGGTTTCTTATCTCTACCAAATGACAACATAGTTCCATCTACAAATACATCTCTATCTCGAGAATCTTTTCGACTATTCAACGTCGAAAAAATTCATTTTTCGGGTTAACACTTTGAAAACCGAATGTCATCGAACCAGAATGTGAAATAGCTAACATATTTGCCATATTTAAACTGTGCGGCCCGGTATTCATCAAAGAATCAACATATTCATGTCGATCCATTGGTAGATCATTTGGTCGATCTTTTTGTTCCATTCGAAAATTTGGGTGAAAATGATCGACTGCACTATATTCATTTCTCATATTTATATCATCCATCATACAATTCACCAACTCTTTAACACCTTGTTGTTTTGCGAAATCTTCGAGAAGTTTTTCATCTTTTTCATTATTCATACATTCAATAATTATTGGGAAGAATAGAAGAATTGTGGCGAGAGAAATTTTGAATATCATTTCTACAATCTCGCTTCTTCTTGATTGAATGTGAAAAAAATTTTTGGTAAAAATAAAACTAAAATGTCTGTGAGAGAATTTTTTAGTATGTCGAGACGCTTCGAAGTTTTTTTTTTTGAATAAAAATTGTAACAAAAATTGAGATAATCTTTTCTATAAATCAATTTCGAAAAATTATTCACAAATCCCATATTTTTGAGGAAATAAAAAGGAATCCCAAACTGCAAGGCATACTGTAGCTTATTCAAAAGTTCCTCTCTAATTATTTAATTATTCAGGACTGCAAAGACTACTGTACTTATTTTTCTAGAAAAAATACCTGTTTTTTAAAGCACAGAAATAATTCTGGATGAAAATCTCTATTTTTCTTGCAAAAAATCAGACTTTTCATCAAAATTCACTTTTTGAAGTGAAAAAAATGCAATTTCTCAATTAAGCCCCGCCCCTTTTACACACAAACAATGGCGACACACACAACCCGCGAAGCGTCGGCCGCACCAGAAATTTATATATTGGTGTGCTTTGTGTGTTTATCGCTTTCGAGCGGTAGCGAAGCTATTGCCAAAAATTTTTTGAATAGGAAATATTTTTTTTTAACAAAGTGACATTTAAGAGCAAACCTTAAAACTACTTATTAAAGATAATTGCTCTCATGTCAAATATGAAAACTTTCTTCATTTTTTTTCCCAAAAATGGGCTTTGCAGTTCCATTCCAAATCGAAAATTTCAAAAATAACTCGATTTATTCGTCATTTTTATACTTGATATATTCCATGGTTATTCCATACATTTATTTATTTCTAACAACTCCAGAAGAAGACAAAAAATCGGCAATTTATCGAATTTATAAATGGATTTTTGTTTATATTCTAATCACCACACTATGCTCTTTGAGTTCCTATGCAATTGCAATTTATTCAGTTTTCTATCCAAATCTATGGGTTTTTCTTGTTTCAATGATTCTTCTCGCGCCAATTTTTTTTCCGAAACCGGATTTTTGGTATTGATTGCGATTCAGAGATTCATTATAATCTCGGATATTCAAATATTGGTCAAATTTGTTCAAGGAAAATGGCTAATTCTTCTTCTTATTCTCAATTATTTTCAAATTGTTTCTCCTGTTATTTCGAGATTGACGGGGATATTCAAGTACTTATTTTCTCAATTCACGTTGACAAGAAAACCGGAGAAAAAACGAGAAAAATATTTTTTTGAAAAAAAATTATATACCGTAGTTCTTTCGTCGCGACGAGACCCTGTGTGTTTCAGTTGTTGCGCCTTTCAAAAACTACGGTATTTTTTGTTTTTTTTTTCCCGGATTTTTGTGGTTTTTGATATTTCACTGTATTTTTTCTTGCAATTCGAGGGAGACGCAGACTTTAACGTGTGCAGACAAATCTCTCGTCGAAAAAGGGAGAGAAATAGTGTGTGGCAGACACACATCGTGTCGAGACCAGCGACTGTCTGCGTCTCCTCGGAATTGCATTTTTCTATTAGAAAAAAACACAGTGATTTCTGCACGAAAAAGGGAGAAATCGATTGGATTTTCACGTTTATGCAAAAACTCCGCCCACTTTTTTTTTGAATTTCCCTAGCTAAATAGTGATTCTCTCAGCCTTTCTGAATAGGTTTTCTCAACGTTTTGAGAAAATAAGCTGAATATCTCCATTATTTAGCTGTGTTCCTGATGTATGCCCAATTTATCAACTAATTACAAATCGTACTTCATCTTGTGATAGTACAGATTATTCATATGACACACTTCTACACTTCTACATTCTTCCTGAACCATTCTGTTTATCAATCGCATTATTATTGTTCATTCTAACACTTCTCAAAATCCATCAAAACCGTCACATTTTATCAGAGACTCGAAAAAAAGCCGAGTTATCGATTATCTATCAGAATTTACCCTTTATCTTCTCTTTCATTTCAAAATATAGTGCCGCTTTGGTGATTTATTTGATTCGCGTTGAAAATGATGGTCGAGATGAGGTTTTCAAGAGTTTTGTGTGCAATGATCTGACAACTATCAATTTTATTTTTCCAATTACATATACAGTTGCCAATTTTCAACGACTTAGGGTGTTATTTGCTAAATGTTGTTGTTGTTTTGGAAGAGGAAATCGAATAAGTGATCATTCTTTGCAATATATGAGTACAACAGGAGAAGCTCCTCTTCATTCTCCAAATAATTAATGTACATGAAGCTTTCGAAAAACAGTTTTATTGATGTCTGAATGTTCTGTCTATGAGAAAATCAAAACAAAAAGCAAGCTAAGACTGCAAAATTTTTTTCAAAAAAATCTGAAGAAATCAGTGTGATCGATCAATAGAAATGATTCCCATTTCTCTCACTATTCTTCTTCTATTTCTTATCCAAATATTCTCCCAATTTATCTGTATGATTATTCGAAGTATCGATAATACTGAAGAAGCTCGAGATGTTCGTAATCTTCTCAATCGATTTCGTCAAAATGTGGAGAGTCGAAACTTGGAGGGAGCAACCAAATTGTTCAGCATAGGTGCTAGAATTCATGACAACGATGGAACCGAAAGATCACCAAGAGATTTTGCACAAGGTTTGATTAGTCAAGGAAATTGGAATATTGATATGAATAATGTAGCGTGTTTTGGAACTGATGATCCAAATGAACGTGGAATTAGTTTTCCAAGTTCGAATAATGAATACAACATGGAAACTGGTTTGTTATCTTTAAGATTGCCTGATGGGCGGCAGAAATATGTTGGTGGGGAGCATCTTATGTATGCTCGTGAGACAACTACAGTAGCACCTGCTCGTGGAGCACCTTCATCTTCTGATAATCAAGATAATTCATATCATTATGATCAAGAGCCTTCAACATCAAGAGGATCGGGGAAATCGAAAAAACGTAGCCATGGTTGAAAAATCCAATAAACTTTTCGTTCATAAACTTAAGCTGAGTAATCTTTTGATTTTCAATGTTTGGGCTCAAAGTGGATGCAGGTTTCATTATTGATTTGAACAAAAAAAACATTCCATAGATGTCTGAAAATTGTCTGTGAGAAAACCAACATCTAACAAAACTCCTCATAGATTATTCTGAGAAAAACTGAAAGAAAACTTGTGATCTTCTAGAATAGATGATCGTCATTCTTCTTCTTTCCCTAATAATCTCCCAATGTTTCTGTTTTCCTCCAACTCCAGAAGAAATCAACATTGTTCTGAACGCAAAAAATGTGCGAAATCAGCTTCTTCGTTTTCAGAAAAATATTGAAAATCGAAATTTGGTGGGAGCAAATAAGTTATTCAGTAATAGTGCAACAATAACAATAACTCTATCATCTGAGCAATCAAAAATTTCATCAACTGAATTCAATCAGAACTTGATGAATCAGGGAAAATGGATTATTGATCTTGATAGTTTTGAATATTTCCGGAACTCATCTTTCAAATGAATATGGTATCAAATTCAAAAGTTCGAATAATGAATATGAAATGGAGACTAGATTGTTGGCCTTGAAGTTGAATGATGGTCGTATGAAGTATATCAGTGGATTTCATAGGGTAACTCCACGTAAGACATCTACAACACCTTCAACATCGGATAATTCATATCATTATGATCAAGAGCCTTCAACATCAAGAGAATCCAAATCTTCTGGCCGTGGTTAGCGTATTTTTTATAAGATAAATTCTTATTTTTGCGAAATTAGTTTGATTTCAATGAGAAAATTCAGAATTTTCTTCAGCTTTATTCGAAAATTGAAAAATGCCAATGTTTTTTCATTTTCATGAAATTTATATTTTTCAAAAAAAAATCAAATATCTCGCCAAAAATATTTTTTCAGGAAACACAGGATCCTTGAATTTTTCAACCGACTTCTCCAAAGTCACTTCTCGAAATATTTCCAATCAAAAAAAATTTTGCGATAGCTTCGCTACCGCCCGAAAGCGATAAACACACAAAGCACACGAATATATAAATTTCTTGTGTGGCCGACGGTTGGCGGGTTGTGCGTATCGTCATTGTTTGTGTGTAAAAGGGGCGGGGCTTAATTAAATGAGCGCGTTTTTTTCGCCTGAAAATCAGGTTTTGAGTGAAAAATGAAGATTTCTAGGTTTTGCAATAACTTTATTTCCCAAACCAATCAATTATTTATCCACCCCAACTTCCTTTTCTCAAGCATTTCTCATAATCTTCACGAGTGGGCTCCACACAATCAGAATTTTGAGCAAGTCGTCGAGCTTCTTCTTCTTCTCTTTCTTTTCTCTGATGTCGTTTTCGAGCTGCCATATAATCGCAAAAATCTTCATTTCCTCTATCAAAATCCCGAAAAGTACATTTTCGAGCATTTGATGTTGAAGGTTGATCGAATGGATTTGGTGTTGTCACCGGCTCAAAATCATAAAATGGTTTTCTGGCTAATGTCTCATATGATCCTTGTGTTAACACATCTGCGCCTATCGAATCTTTTCGAGTCGTAAAATCGAAACGCATTTCACCTCCACTGCTCACACTTTGATGTCCAGCCATCATATCAGATACCGAACCAGACAAAACTCCAGCGGCATTATAATGATGTGGACGTTCCTTCATTAGCTTATCAACAAATTCATGTCGATCCATTTCTTTAATTGATAAACCTCTTTCTTCGATTTGAAATTCTGGAGCAAAATGATCAATTGCACCATGTCGATCATTGGCATTTATTGAATCCAACAAACTTTTCACGATTTTTTTCTGCTTCTCATCTGGTCCATAAAATGTCTTTGGGTCCATACATTGAATAATTTGAGAGAATAGAAGAATTGCGAGAGAAATGTTGAATATCATTTCTATTTTTTGGAAAGATCTCACTTCTTCTTCTTGAAATGAAATGATTAGACAACACGTTTTTAAAAACAAAAAAACTGATAGTCTGGAAAATGTCTGTGAGAGAATTGATGATTTTATAATGTCGAGACGCTTATTATCGAAAATCTTATCGCGCTCCACCGAAATAAACACGCAACGCAGACCGCGCCGCGCCACAACACACACAACAAAAAAAGTGAAATTTTTCAACCGACTTCTACGAAGTCACTTCTCAAAATATATCCTATTCACAAAATTTTTGACGATAGCTTCGCTACCGCCCGAAAGCGATAAACACACAAAACACACGAATATATAAATTTCTTGTGTGGCCGACGGTTGACGGGTTGTGTGTGTCGCCATTGTTTGTGTGCAAAAGGGGCGGGGCTTATTTAAATGAACGCGTTTTTTTCGCTTGAAAATCAGGTTTTCAGGGTTTATGAGTGAATTTTGATGGAAAGACAGTGTTTTTAAGTGAAAATTTCTCAGGCCGAGAAATTTTCAAGGGTTTTTCTCAGAAAAAATGTCCTCAAGGAAACCTGTAATTTAAGAAGCTAACTAAAAAATTTCCCGCTTTTTCAGACACTCTTTAATTCTTATTATTATGATTTTTTTTCTCACCAAAAAAAAAGAAAAAAAACCTAATTTCCTCGCCCAAACATCAAATTCATTATTTTTTTCATCAGATTTTCAGAAAACTTCTATTTTTCAGATTTCCAGCCAACTCAACTCAAATGGAAGTTCTAATTTTTCAAATTATTCAGTTGTCTCACTGCAGTCTTCGGAGTTACCCTAAATAGTTTCCTCCTATATTTGGCAATCACAAAATCTCCGAGTTCTCTCAAATCCTATTCCACACTAATTATAAATTGTGCAATTAATGATATTTTTGCGAGTTTTAGCTCGATTTTTGTGATGGCAAGATTGGTTCCGGTTTCGGCTACAACTGTTCAGGTCTCCTATGGATTTTGTCAATTTTTGGGCCCCACTTTTTGTTTTGTTGGGTAAGATTTTTGGTGTCTGATTCATTAGAATTTTAATTAGTTGTGCAGCTAGAATTCAGAAATTTCACAAAAAATTTTTGCAGATGTGCCCTAATGTTTCACTTCTTCATCTATTCTCAATATTCTCTCCTTCTATCTTTCAGCTACCGTTATTATATTCTCAAAAACCCATCGCCAAAACAAAAATCCCTAATTTTGTTCATGTTTCTCACCTATATTCCAGCCCTTTTACATGTTATTTGTTTTCTTTTCAATCAAGCCGATTCTCAACTTCTTCTTCAATTATATTTATCGATTTATCCGAATGATACAACAATTACTATAAATCAGATAACTGGAAATAATAATACGAGACAATTTACCGGATTATTTCCCAAATTTAATATGTTTTTTTGCCCCGTTCCAGTTGTGTTTTCAGGTAAAAAAAATGAAAAAAAGGGTGGCCGAAGTATTGCGGTGGCCGAGAATTGTCGGGAATTCGGCCACAAATGCGCCGATTTTTTCCTCTTTTTGGTTTTCGAAATTTTTAAATTCAAAATTTTTGCAGTCGTCTTCATTCGTTGGAGAATCGTAAAACTGCTGGAAAAAACCGCACAACACTTGCGAAAAGAAACAAAAGCGCTCCATCGTCAACTTCTAACCGCTCTCACTTTACAAGCTTGTCTTCCAATATTTTTTGTCATCGGTTTATTCATGTTCGGATTGGAAGCATCGGGAAAAAGTGAGAAATGAGGCGTGTGAAAGTATGATTTCGGCTTCCGAAGGTCTTATTCCTGTTCTATCAGCGGTTTTGTATTTGTATTTTATTACACCATTTCGAAGAGGGTTCAAACAGATTTTTGGGTGTCGAATTGAACAAAAAAATGCGGATGATGTTACTTTTACTACTAAAAATCAATCTGTTGTTACTGTAGTTGGTTGAATGAAGAATTATTGATTACAAAATGCAGATATGTACGCAAAAATGCGTCACAGTGTATGGCATAAGCCTGGGGTCATCAAACTGAAACACTTTTGTGACGAAGATTCGTATAAATGAGTGAAAAAGCACCAATCCTTTAAAGTTTGTTAATTATTTCAAATTCATTAAAAAACTACTGCGAGTTCCCGAAAATTCATTCAAAAAAGTCATTCACTTTCATTTTTCTTTCCGACCATTTCCAAATTTTTTGCTATTATCGCCCTAATGAATTGATCGAAAATAGTTTCTTGTGGCATTTCGGCGCTGAAATAATCATATTGTAGAATTCGAAAATATAATTAGTATTATCGAAAATCTCATCGGTACTACTCGCTCCACCGAAATAAACACGCAACGCAGACCGCGCCGCGCCACAAAACACACAAATAAGGGAACGATTCAAATTCCCTCCCTTTTTTGTGTGTGTTGTGGCGCGACGCGGTCTGCGTTGGAGCGCGTGGTAGATTTTCGATAATATTTCATAGAAAGAACTAATTTGGTCTACATAAATTTCCAACCAAAAACTTACGCGATTTCGAAGAAACTCAATTTCTTTCTTAGTTTTTCAATTGTTCCTATTGCGCACTTTGTGTTTGCGTGAATTTGTGCATTATCAAATCTTGAAAAATGAAGTAATCATTTTTGATAATCCAAATGTAACTTACTTTCCAGACAAATACCAAATGATCTTTATTATAGATTCGAATTTCAAATTCGAATTGTCGAATAGTGTTTTCGATCGCGGTGCCAAATGCTTGGAACAACAACGAAACTGAAATTTTTTATAGAGGAACATAACCCTTTATCACTACTTACTGAGAACTTATCTGCCGCTACTTCTGTAATCAGAATAACTTGTCCGCAGATTGGACATTGTCGGCTATTTGGTAACAGATTGATGTCGAAAATTTTCATCTTCAATTCTTTTCCTGATAATTCCAGCAAACTGGAGAATGTGGATCTTTCATTTCGCACTGGAAAAATCAGTCATGAAATTTAATGAATTGATGGAAAAAAATGTTTTTCTTCTTGAAGTATCCCATTATTATTGATTGAACTTACTTCTCTCCTCTCTTTCATATGCTCTCGCCATAACTCCTATATCCTCTTCGACGCTATTAAAAGCAGTTTCGTTGAATCGTATCCATTTGCTTTTTATAAAAAGTTGATTGTTCAAATTATCATTTGCCATTTTAGTTATTATAAAAAATGACCGGAATATTCGTTTCGTTTCACGTAAAATATAGAAGGTCACGGAAAAATGAGCATCGAATTTTCTTCAAATTTTTTCAATTTTTAGCTTGACATTTTTCAGCACCAGCACATTTTTTTGAAGAAAAGAAAATTATTTTTTGAAATGTTTGTTCCGCTCAAAAACATCAGACTTTAAGGTAAAATTTAGAAAACGGGGGACCTAGAATTCAGAAAAAGTCTGAAGCATCTGATTTTTATTGAATTTGTTTTTTTCTAGAGTTTGTGGTATTTAAAAACTTTATTGCAATATTTCAAAAATTCAGGGTTTTTGGTTTATTTTTTGAAAAATGTTGAGTTGCCGTACTCCTTGCAGTTTGTACACAGTTTACCTAGTAGTTCTAAAGTTATATCAACTCCGAAGCTATAGTAATCTTGAAAAACCTATGAAAATGCGCCACAGGCTATTTTTTACTACCGAGTATTAATCACGTACAAAACATTTTATCTGACGACAAATGACCTTCGTTTTGGTTTGCCGCTAGCAGCGCGCTGACTGGCCGGTTTTCGATTTTAGTTTTGAAAAATACTCACAATTAAGTTGAAATATTCAGAAGTTTCGAAAAATGAAGAAAAAATAAATGACTGGCCTGATTTATAGAAAAAAATTGATATCAGGTTATTGCTCAAATGTAATAACAGTTTCTAAAAAACAAGAGAAATATTTCAATCAAAATGTTTTATTTCCAAGCAAAATCGCTATTCCAAAAACTCCCTATATTCCTTATCCATATTTTTCGATAATTTTTTTATGAAGCGTGTTTTGAAAAAATGCATTAAGTTTGCCTTCATTCGATTTCACATATTTTCTGTAAGAAACATATCATATGTAAAAACTTGAATGAACACTCACAAAATTTTCGCTCTTCTAAACATCTGACATACCAGTTTTACATTTGTTTTATTGTAATCACGATCAATAACATATTGTTTTTCGCTGAAATAAGAAATACTGATACATTTTTCTAATCCACCGAACATTCTTTTAACTTTTCGTATTCTAATTCATTTTTCTCGATTCAAAAACTCAATCTACTTACCCATCGCAATAGCGTAAGAGTATTTCGAGAATTTCAGCAATCGGAAAATGTAATCCTTCAAAAATAGTTCCTTCGAGTACATTGATATTATTGTGGTCACAAATCCATTGCTGAAAATGAACATTTTGGTAATATCAAAACGTTTTTGTTGTTGTTGCAAACTCACATTTTGATTATTTATCCGATGCATATTCAGTGGACAACAATTTGGAAGTGAAATAACATCAAATTGTTCCATTTTCCGGAACAAAGCATCCCCCTCTAAGCCTCGAATAATATTGTAATCATATGATTCTACGAATTGAACTGGAAAATATTGTATTGCACAAATAATTTTCAAAGTCGGCGATTTTGAGCAGCCGGCAAACTTACGACGAGTCTTCACATCTTGCTCTTTCAATTGTCTCACTAATTTGATTCTTCGATTTTTTTGTAATTCTAATAACACATCTTGTTTTTCACTGATTTTGGAGAGCACTTGATTTTCAACAACGGCATCCATAATCGAATTATAAAGAAATGGTCGAAAGGTGTGGGGGAATTTCAAAGATGTCTCGTAAAAATAAAAGGTCACGTCATAATCAGTATCGATTTTTTTTCAAATTCAAATTTTGTTTTAATTTTTTGTTGGGAAAATGTGGGACCTAATGCTCTGAAATAGTCCAAACCATAGAACAAGCCCTAGAAATAATGCTTGTGTTCTAGATATATCCAAATTATCCATAAATATTTCAATTTTTATTATCTCGATCACTTTTTCTACTCATTTATTGACTTGTTCAACATCAAAATATTAACTCGAATTATTTTCCATAGAAATGAATTAAAATTGAAATTTTCGAGTTTTTCAATGGTTTTCCTCATCAACTATCCAAATTATCCATAAATATTCCATTTTTTTATTATCTCGATCACTTTTTCTACTCATTTATTGACTTGTTCAACAACAAAATATTAACTCGAATTATTTTCCATAGAAATGAATTAAAATTGAAATTTTCGAGTTTTTCAATGGTTTTTCCTCATAAACTATCCAAATTATCCATAAATATTTCAATTTTTATTATCTCGATCACTTTTTCTACTCATTTATTGACTTGTTCAACAACAAAATATTAACTCGAATTATTTTCCATAGAAATGAATTAAAATTGAAATTTTCGAGTTTTTCAATGGTTTTCCTCATAAACTATCCAAATTATCCATAAATATTTCAATTTTTATTATCTCGATCACTTTTTCTACTCATTTAATGACTTGTTCAACAACAAAATATTAACTCGAATTATTTTCCATAGAAATGAATTAAAATTGAAATTTTCGAGTTTTTCAATGGTTTTCCTCATAAACTATCCAAATTATCCATAAATATTCCATTTTTTATTATCTCGATCACTTTTTCTACTCATTTATTGACTTGTTCAACAACAAAATATTAACTCGAATTATTTTCCATAGAAATGAATTAAAATTGAAATTTTCGAGTTTTTCAATGGTTTTCCTCATAAACTATCCAAATTATCCATAAATATTTCAATTTTTATTATCTCGATCACTTTTTCTACTCATTTATTGACTTGTTCAACATCAAAATATTAACTCGAATTATTTTCCATAGAAATGAATTAAAATTGAAATTTTCGAGTTTTTCAATGGTTTTCCTCATCAACTATCCAAATTATCCATAAATATTCCATTTTTTTATTATCTCGATCACTTTTTCTACTCATTTATTGACTTGTTCAACAACAAAATATTAACTCGAATTATTTTCCATAGAAATGAATTAAAATTGAAATTTTCGAGTTTTTCAATGGTTTTCCTCATAAACTATCCAAATTATCCATAAATATTTCAATTTTTATTATCTCGATCACTTTTTCTACTCATTTATTGACTTGTTCAACATCAAAATATTAACTCGAATTATTTTCCATAGAAATGAATTAAAATTGAAATTTTCGAGTTTTTCAATGGTTTTCCTCATAAACTATCCAAATTATCCATAAATATTCCATTTTTTATTATCTCGATCACCATTTCTACGTTCCATTGGCTCCAAAACAAATAACATCAAAAATTAAAATCAAGAACTATTTTATATACAATTGAAGTTCTACGTTAAAAATATTATAAACATTACAATATAATAAGAAAATGGACATTTGCATTACAATATATATCAACAACAATAAATAAAAATTTTGTAAAAATCTAAGCTAGAAAAATGAAAAATACCAAAACTTTATATAGCATTCAATCCATTCAATCGCTCCACTTTCCTTTTCAAATCATCTCTTTCCATAGTAACAACATTCAAACTTCTTTGTAATCTTCGATTGTTTTTATGATTTTCATATACGAAGATACTTGAGAGTTGAGTTTTGAGACGTTTTCTTCCGTTTCCGGCTGATTTTGATTTTTTCTTATTTCTAAAGCCAGAAAACTGTTGGCGCTTTTAACTGTTCCATTTCTCTCAAATTCAGCTTTCAACCTATTCATCTTTTGTTCGAAGTCGGAAACATTCTCATTCAATTCATCCGTGAGTGCTTGTAATTCACAGGTTCTCTTTTTCCAACGATCCAATTCACTATTTTTCTGCTCGATGTCATCGCGAAAAACAGATAATTGTTGTCGCAGTGATTTTTCGTTGGAAATCTGAAAGAATAATTACTATTTTTTTCTCCAAATCTTCATAGAAATTTAACACTTTAGCATACGTCACAATCGAACCAAAGAGGGGCTTACAAATTCCATGTATTTTTATTCCAAAATCGATAATTTCAGAATTTTCATCCAAATTTTGAGAATTTTTGGTTACTAAAAAATTTGATAATAAATTTTATCAAAATTTTGAAACGTATTTTTTTTTTCGAAAAATTTATCATGAAAAATTTATGGCCAGCGAATCTCTGAGTAACGATTTTGGCTGTGAACCCATCGAAATTCAAAATTTTATTGAAAAATGAATCTGAAAGTGATTCAATTGTTGCTAATTTTAGAAAACAATGTCAATATTCGGTATTGATGAATGTGGAGGCTCAACGAAGTGATGATTCGCCAAAATAATCTTCGAATTCTGCGATTTTCAAGATTTCGCCAATTTTTGAAGTTTCAAAGCCTATTCAAACACTTCTGTGCTCAAATGTTCACCTAAATGTTAAATTACGTGTTTAAGTCACAGTCGTGTGAATAAAATCCTTTTTCAAATAGCCGCGAGTGCACACAAAACGCGCCAACGTCAAAGCACTGACGCGTTTGTGGTGCGCCTCTTCGGTTTTTACTTTCTTTTTCAAGTTTTCGAAGAGAGTTTGGTGTTTTTCCTTGTTTTGTAGGTTTTTATAGTTTGTTTCATCTCGGGACGGTCTTAAACCGTCCCCATCTTGTTATAAAATGAATTGCGATCAATAAATCGATTGTAATTCAAACTCTTGTCTTATTTCTTGTTTGTAAAGAGTGGTTTTATCCACTTGAATCCTTGTCAACCAGCGAAATCCAAGTTCGATTAACTTGGACAACGTAACATTTATTTCAATAAATTTGCTAGATTTTTCCAATTTTTATTCGGTTTCCTTAGGTTTATTGCTTTCGACAAACCAAAAATAAATAAAAGTAAAACAACGAGACTCCGCGTGATACTGCGCTCACACAATCGCGGCAATTTTTTATTTTCAAACGAGGGTTTTTTAATTTTTTTTTTCTTTTGCTTCAAAAAAGGTTCAGAGTAAGTTTTGCAAGTTCTCTCTTTGCACATGTGTTGAAAATAGTATTAAAAAAAATTAATTTTGACCTGTTTTGAATCGTAGCTTAAAAGTTGTATATTTCTTTAAATAAAATTCATGTAAATGAAAGATCTTATATTCTGGAACTAGTACTTACCTGAATAGTTTTTCATAACTCGTTTTAGCAATTGCATTTACTGAAAACTTGGCTTGATTGATTGGCTTGATCAATTCATTTCTATGGAAAATAATTCGAGTTAATATTTTGTTGTTGAACAAGTCAATAAATGAGTAGAAAAAGTGATCGAGATAATAAAAAATGGAATATTTATGGATAATTTGGATAGTTTATGAGGAAAACCATTGAAAAACTCGAAAATTTCAATTTTAATTCATTTCTATGGAAAATAATTCGAGTTAATATTTTGATGTTGAACAAGTCAATAAATGAGTAGAAAAAGTGATCGAGATAATAAAAATTGAAATATTTATGGATAATTTGGATAGTTTATGAGGAAAACCATTGAAAAACTCGAAAATTTCAATTTTAATTCATTTCTATGGAAAATAATTCGAGTTAATATTTTGATGTTGAACAAGTCAATAAATGAGTAGAAAAAGTGATCGAGATAATAAAAATTGAAATATTTATGGATAATTTGGATAGTTTATGAGGAAAACCATTGAAAAACTCGAAAATTTCAATTTTAATTCATTTCTATGGAAAATAATTCGAGTTAATATTTTGTTGTTGAACAAGTCAATAAATGAGTAGAAAAAGTGATCGAGATAATAAAAAATGGAATATTTATGGATAATTTGGATAGTTTATGAGGAAAACCATTGAAAAACTCGAAAATTTCAATTTTAATTCATTTCTATGGAAAATAATTCGAGTTAATATTTTGATGTTGAACAAGTCAATAAATGAGTAGAAAAAGTGATCGAGATAATAAAAAATGGAATATTTATGGATAATTTGGATAGTTTATGAGGAAAACCATTGAAAAAACTCGAAAATTTCAATTTTTAATTCATTTCTATGGAAAATAATTCGAGTTAATATTTTGTTGTTGAACAAGTCAATAAATGAGTAGAAAAAGTGATCGAGATAATAAAAAATGGAATATTTATGGATAATTTGGATAGTTTATGAGGAAAACCATTGAAAAACTCGAAAATTTCAATTTTAATTCATTTCTATGGAAAATAATTCGAGTTAATATTTTGTTGTTGAACAAGTCAATAAATGAGTAGAAAAAGTGATCGAGATAATAAAAAATGGAATATTTATGGATAATTTGGATAGTTGATGAGGAAAACCATTGAAAAACTCGAAAATTTCAATTTTAATTCATTTCTATGGAAAATAATTCGAGTTAATATTTTGATGTTGAACAAGTCAATAAATGAGTAGAAAAAGTGATCGAGATAATAAAAATTGAAATATTTATGGATAATTTGGATAGTTTATGAGGAAAACCATTGAAAAACTCGAAAATTTCAATTTTAATTCATTTCTATGGAAAATAATTCGAGTTAATATTTTGTTGTTGAACAAGTCAATAAATGAGTAGAAAAAGTGATCGAGATAATAAAAAATGGAATATTTATGGATAATTTGGATAGTTTATGAGGAAAACCATTGAAAAACTCGAAAATTTCAATTTTAATTCATTTCTATGGAAAATAATTCGAGTTAATATTTTGATGTTGAACAAGTCAATAAATGAGTAGAAAAAGTGATCGAGATAATAAAAAATGGAATATTTATGGATAATTTGGATAGTTTATGAGGAAAACCATTGAAAAACTCGAAAATTTCAATTTTAATTCATTTCTATGGAAAATAATTCGAGTTAATATTTTGTTGTTGAACAAGTCAATAAATGAGTAGAAAAAGTGATCGAGATAATAAAAAATGGAATATTTATGGATAATTTGGATAGTTTATGAGGAAAACCATTGAAAAACTCGAAAATTTCAATTTTAATTCATTTCTATGGAAAATAATTCGAGTTAATATTTTGTTGTTGAACAAGTCAATAAATGAGTAGAAAAAGTGATCGAGATAATAAAAATTGAAATATTTATGGATAATTTGGATAGTTTATGAGGAAAACCATTGAAAAACTCGAAAATTTCAATTTTAATTCATTTCTATGGAAAATAATTCGAGTTAATATTTTGTTGTTGAACAAGTCAATAAATGAGTAGAAAAAGTGATCGAGATAATAAAAAATGGAATATTTATGGATAATTTGGATAGTTTATGAGGAAAACCATTGAAAAACTCGAAAATTTCAATTTTAATTCATTTCTATGGAAAATAATTCGAGTTAATATTTTGTTGTTGAACAAGTCAATAAATGAGTAGAAAAAGTGATCGAGATAATAAAAAATGGAATATTTATGGATAATTTGGATAGTTGATGAGGAAAACCATTGAAAAACTCGAAAATTTCAATTTTAATTCATTTCTATGGAAAATAATTCGAGTTAATATTTTGATGTTGAACAAGTCAATAAATGAGTAGAAAAAGTGATCGAGATAATAAAAATTGAAATATTTATGGATAATTTGGATAGTTTATGAGGAAAACCATTGAAAAACTCGAAAATTTCAATTTTAATTCATTTCTATGGAAAATAATTCGAGTTAATATTTTGTTGTTGAACAAGTCAATAAATGAGTAGAAAAAGTGATCGAGATAATAAAAAATGGAATATTTATGGATAATTTGGATAGTTTATGAGGAAAACCATTGAAAAACTCGAAAATTTCAATTTTAATTCATTTCTATGGAAAATAATTCGAGTTAATATTTTGATGTTGAACAAGTCAATAAATGAGTAGAAAAAGTGATCGAGATAATAAAAAATGGAATATTTATGGATAATTTGGATAGTTTATGAGGAAAACCATTGAAAAACTCGAAAATTTCAATTTTAATTCATTTCTATGGAAAATAATTCGAGTTAATATTTTGATGTTGAACAAGTCAATAAATGAGTAGAAAAAGTGATCGAGATAATAAAAATTGAAATATTTATGGATAATTTGGATAGTTTATGAGGAAAACCATTGAAAAACTCGAAAATTTCAATTTTAATTCATTTCTATGGAAAATAATTCGAGTTAATATTTTGATGTTGAACAAGTCAATAAATGAGTAGAAAAAGTGATCGAGATAATAAAAAATGAAATATTTATGGATAATTTGGATAGTTTATGAGGAAAACCATTGAAAAACTCGAAAATTTCAATTTTAATTCATTTCTATGGAAAATAATTCGAGTTAATATTTTGTTGTTGAACAAGTCAATAAATGAGTAGAAAAAGTGATCGAGATAATAAAAAATGAAATATTTATGGATAATTTGGATAGTTTATGAGGAAAACCATTGAAAAACTCGAAAATTTCAATTTTAATTCATTTCTATGGAAAATAATTCGAGTTAATATTTTGTTGTTGAACAAGTCAATAAATGAGTAGAAAAAGTGATCGAGATAATAAAAAATGGAATATTTATGGATAATTTGGATAGTTTATGAGGAAAACCATTGAAAAACTCGAAAATTTCAATTTTAATTCATTTCTATGGAAAATAATTCGATTGGTTTTACTTCTTCCTCCCAATCTTTTTCAAACAAATTCATTATGAAATTTTTCCCAAGAAAAAAACTCACATATTCCGATTTCATTTTCATTTTCATATATGGAATAATGTCAGGTTTTTTAAAAAATCCATCGGTCGATTATTGGTCCATGTCTCTTTGAGATGGCTTCGTATTCAACTGAAAATAACGTATTTTTAGATGAAAACAAATGAAAAATAAATAAACTCACTTTCAAATCGTAAACTCCGTCAAAAACTTGTATAAGACCATAATTTCTTGCGATTTTTAACTTTACGGGAAAGTTTCGCGAAAAAAGAAAATAAATAAAAAAAAATTGGCCGAGTCGGTTCCTAGGCCATTTTTCTTCTACCATATGTGTGGGAATTTGAAAACTAAAACTTTTGAGTGCTCCCGAGTGGGATTTTGGACGTTCTTCAGAGAATACTAGAAAAAACCTGTACGAGCTGATAAATTTTGAGAGCTGTTAAAACAATTTATTAAAAAAAAACTTAAAAACGTGAAACAACACAAATTCACACACTTTTTACAAACACACAAATCGTCGCGCAATTGCAGACTCTTTTTGAGGGCCTTCTCGAAGTACACCTTTAAAAAATTTGGAAATCGATATTTTGAACAAGTTTATGAAAATATTTTCTATTCTTCATTTTCCTCTCCGCTTGTTGAATCCAAATCTGTTTCATAATCGAACGATTCCTGTTCAGTTCCTAGCAAATTATTTCGAATATCCTCTAGGTCTCGAATAGTGGTTCTCCAGGATAATTTTTTCAAATTTCTGAAACGAGTCATATTTTTCAAAATAGGACAATCGTGTGTTGTCAAACTCACTTTTAAAAAATCTTCTAATTCTCCCTCAATCGCTTCATTTCTAAATACGTATTCAATACCAATCGAGGAGTTAATTTTTTTGCTCAAGAAGTATTTCAATCGCTCTTCCTTTTCCATACTTTCAAATACCTGAAACCATAACTATAGATTATGTTTTTCTGAATTTTTCGACACATACTTTTGTTCTTTCTGTCATATCTCCTCTTTTCGACATTTTTCCTTCAGCAACATCTTTGATTAATTGTTTCACCATTTCGAATGTATGTTTTGGATTTGAACTGTATGATTTAATGATAGCCTCGATTAACGTGTTTGGCAAATGCTGTTTCAAACCATACAACGTAACCGCAGATATTCGCAAATTTGGTATATCAAATAAACAAAAAACATAGTAGTTGACTGGCTGAAAAATTAAGATTTCTATAAAAAAAGATATTTTTTTCGAGAAACTAACTGTTGAATATGTCCCAAAAATTCCTCGGTATTCTGACTCCGTCAATTTGTAATGAATGTCGTCTTTTGTCATTTTTTTTTTTTGATTTCTTTCAATTTTCGAGCAATATCCTCACAATCCGTTTCCAATATGTGCATTAATAATGCTAACTGCAAAAATTAAATTCAAATATTTCTGATAAAAGTACCGTGCAATGAGATATACAATTTTGGTTTTTTTGTCAATTTTGGCGCCAAAATGGTGAAAATGGTGTAAAACCTTTTTAAACATACTTTGTTGCAAAATGTGCCAGTTGACGCCATTTGATGAAGTATGTCAACTTCTGATACCATCAATTGTTTTGAAACTGGCATAATTCGAGCGGCAAATCTTGATTTCTGAAAAAAAACACATTATTTTTTATATTTTTTGGATGTCTGGAGCATCATATCAGCGTAAATTAGTCCCCCACTTACCAAGATGAAAACAAAAAAATTGAACCGCTTTCAGGTTTATTAGAAAAATAAATGAGTGATATTAAAAAAAAACAAATTTTTTGGCATTCTCGAACACGTCATCTAGAACACGTTAAATATTTAGGGCACGTTCTTTTTTCTAGAATTATAAATTGAGAGAGTTGTGAAAATTAAGCCTGCTTGAGCCTAATAAGAAATATTCAAATTTCCTCCATTCGTTGTGCGTGAGTTCTAGCGCGGCGCGGTCTGCGTTGCGTGTTTACCGATGAGATGATTTTGGATAATATTTGGGCTTATGTTTGATGAAAAAAAGATTTCCAGAGAAAATATATATTAATATTTTTTTGAACCGTACGGGTTGGTGTAAAAATGTAGGACTTAAATTTTTCTTTTTAAAAAGGAGATATGCGGATAATTCCCAGAAAACCCATTTTTAACAAAAAAAAAAAGAAAATTAAAAATTATAATATGACGTGGCTTTGAGACAAATAAATTGAAATGTGTTTGTTTTTTGCTTTAAAAAGAACAAATTTTAAGAGCAAAAGAAGCAGAGTCGAACGAAAGAAAATAAAATGTGTGAGAAAAGAGGTTTTTTTTTCGCGAAAATCAATTTTTAAAAGTACACAATTGTTCTGAAAATAATAACAAAAAATCGATTTTTCCCATAGAAATTGTATAAATTTGCATGTTTTATTTGATTTTGTCGTCGATCTTTTCACCAGCTTCATATAAAAATCAAACATTCATTATCAGAAAAAAAATGTCTGAAAAAACTTCCAGACGTTATCAGTTTTCTGTCAACTACTAACAAAGAATTTTTTTTCGTAGTTTTTTTTGCTGGAAATTTTTAGATAACACTTTTCTATTTAAACAACTTCTATCAATCTATTTTAATTTTTTAAAACAGGTTCTATGGAGACTGAAATTATCATCAATCCATCGCAAGAGGTTTTCGAAGAAATTGTGAAATGGAGTGGTGAAACTGAGGATTGGGCATTTCAATTGGGAGACTATGATTTTTGGAGAAACAATTTCGATCAACTTTGGTTTTTCACGCTTTTTGAAAAAGGTTGGTTTTTTGAAAAAGAAATTTCTAATTCCATGAATTTTAGAATCAAAAAATCTGATCGGCTCGGTTTCTCTCGCAAGATGGGATTCTGATGGTGAAAAACCACTATATTCAATCGCTTGTTATTATATTCTACCAGAATATCGAGGAGGATCCTATGGAAGAATTATCTTCGATAAAGCTATGCAAATTGTTGGAAATGATAATGTCACATTATCAGGAGGTAATTCAAAATTCTGTATTGATTAACAAGCATTAATTAATCCAGTCACAAACATGGTCGAAAAATATTCAAAGTTTTATGGATTCGATAAAATCGCGCCTTATTTCCATGTTTACACAACAATCAAATTGGCCGATTTATCAATTCCAAGTGATTTATCGGATTTGTATGAAACTAAGGTAAGAATATTTGATTGAAAAAAAAGAAACATTAGATTTTGTAGAACTGGAAAAATGTGGATTCAGGATTATTGAATGAATATGATTTGACAATTTGTTCTCGCAAACGACAAAATATTCAAAATGCTTGGTTCAATTTGAAGAACACTTTTACAAAAGTAAGATTTGAAAAACTATTCACAGGACAAATAATCTTTCCTAATTTAAATACAGGTTGCTTTCGAAAAATCAACCGGAAAAATCGTTGGCTACAGTACAATTCGAATTGTCGAACGCAACAAGTTATCCGTCGCTCCACTTTATGCTGACAATCTCAAAGTTGCCAGCCGACTTTTCGCCGATATTCTCAATGAGATTCCAAATTTACAAAATTTCAAATCCGTTTCACTTTTGTACCCGGGAGCAAATCAAGATGGCCTGAAGTTAGTTTCTCCAATTTTTTCAAAAAAAGAAGAAATTTTTTAGATTGGCTCAACTTTTTCTCCAAGAATCAAAGTTCAGAAGACTTTTACAAGTGCCAATTTACTCAAGAATTTCTTCAATCACCAAACCAAAAAGTTTTCTCAGTTTCAGATTGTGCTCATCAATTTGTCTAAACTTTGCAATTAGTGAAATCTTCACATATTCATTAAAAATATTGAATAAATTAAATTATCTACCATGATTCTTCTTCCATCTATTTATGCTGCAGCCTTTTCCAATTCAATCAATTTCTTGACTCCATCATACATTTGTCTAACAGCTTGATATTCAGTGAGTCCAAGACGTTGTTTGTTCGAAACATCATAAATACCATCTTTGGTTTCTGAATGTTCTCCATGAATTCCGCGAATTTGAAGTTTCATCTCATCACAAATCTTCTTAAATTCATCCGCTTTCGCCGAAATCTTTGGAACTTTGATATGAACCGAAGCACGAACTGTTGTTCCCAAATTTGTTGGACAAAATGTCAACCAACCCAATCTCGGATGTCTTGAGAATGGCGCTTTCGCAGCCACCAAATTCAATCCTTTGATAAGACGACCCAAAACTTCGCCAACATTTCCACCATTTTGCATTGAAATGATACGCAAATGATCCTCTTCATTCACCCAAACCAAGAATGTCTTCTTTTCATTGTGGAATATTCCACGACCAGTTGGCCAAAAACGATTGGCATTGGCGGCTTTCAAGAAACGATCACCTTCTTTGAACAAGAAATGATCAGCAATCAATTTCTTTTTCGTTTCTTCATCCATTCCAGTCAATGGATAATATGTTCCCTTTAATTCTGGATCTGTGATTCCGGCAAAGATTTCCTTCATTCTTGATTCCATCATCTTATAATTGGTCTCATTCAAACATGGATTAAAAGGATATCCTTGAAGTGAGCGACCACAACGAATACGTGTTGAAACGATGAATTTGTTTTCGGGGTCCAAATCAGCCAAATCACCAATCTGCAAAAAACAAACAAATATTCATTTTGATTTTGATTCTCTGCAAACAATACATTTTTCTCTCCCAAATCCATTGCTGGTTGAGTATCAGTCGATTTGAAGCCATTGTGATATTCCTCAATGACTGGATTGAACAAATCCGAGAATAGAGTATAGGCTTCAGCATCTGGAGCATAAACTCCAACTCCTGAATCCAAATTCTCGACACCCGATTGAATTACATCCAATAAACTGGCTCCCAAACGTGTCTTCTTTGACTTGTTCTTGTCGACGACTTCCTTCGTCAAGTGTTTTTTGAGGAGCGATTTGCAGTCGGCGGCACCTTGCAATTTTGCGAAACCCTGGAAATTAGACGATTATTTATGGTTGTGTTCTTTATGGCTATGAAGAAGGGGTCTGTAAAGCCCTTTTCTGAAAATCCCTTTTCTGAAAATCCCTGACCAACCAACCTCTTCGATTTTCTTTTGAACGTCAGCTGGAACAGTGTTCGCCATCTCTATAAGCAATTTCTCTTTGATAAGAAGCAATTGTGAAAAAAAGTGAGCGGGAGAGGGCTTTTTATAGGGGAAGAAATCGTGTTGGCAACAAAAAAAATTACACGGTCACGTAAGAAAAAATATTTTTCGCAAAAAAACACATTTTTATTTTCGAAATGAACAAATGTAGCCGAGACAGTTTCTAGGGCAACGGCTCGTTTTTTTTTCATTTTTCGAGAACATACTTCAGATTTTCGACAATTATGAATAGTGTTTTAAAGTCGAAATCACCCAAAAAAGTCGAAAAAAACAAGAAAACAATGTTTTGAGCGGGGAAAAAATGAAAAAATTTCGAAATGAAAAAACGTGGCCGAGTCGGTTTCTAGGCCAAATTTTCTCGGCCAACCGCCCGTTTTCGCGAAAAATTTTCACTCAGCACTTGCAGATGTAGCTAATTCATAGCTCAACCGATCGCAGCCCTTGACACTTGCGTTTTATTTACGAACAGTGTGCGGTTTAGCTACAAACACACACCGAAGTCTGTTTTAGCTACGAAACACACACGCATGTTTTAGCTACGAAAACTGTTTTCCTGTTTATTGCGAAATACTGCTCATGCGGGTTTCTTTCTGTATTTGGCGTAGTTAGAAAACTTGCAAATATAAAACATTTATTCGTATTGAAACATACAATAACATAAGGAAATGAAATTATAGTCAGTTATTCACCAGAAACACTTATTTTTCTCGCAGTTGTTTGATAGCTTCTGGATCCTGGACCGGCCGAATATGGGATAGAAAAGCAGCATTTACAATTTCCCAATAGGGCGGTAGGCTTGCAAAACATGACGATGTGGTGTTTGTGCATATTTGCGACTCCATCTGGCGGTTTAACTTCCCAAAAACCTATTAGGAGCCAAATTGGTCGAAATCCATGACATCCGGCTTTTTTCTTTGTTATTGACATCTGTAAATTGGGAAAAATTGTGAAATATTGAAAATTTTGTTGGAATTACCTAATTTATTGAAGATTTCACCATCACTTTCCACTTTTTCGAGAAACGCAACAAACTGACTGTTTTTCTGCAAAAATTCAACGTAAAACGTAACTTTTAGATGAACTTACTCGTTCTCCATCGATAAAACACTGACGCGTAGACGATATAATATGTAGTCAGCATTTATCTAGGCTTTAGGCCACGAAAATCGTCGAAAAACAAAACAAAACGAAGAAAACATGTTTGCGCGCCAAAAAACAGTAGCTAAAACGTATGTGTGTTTTAGCTGAGAAATCGGTCAGAAACACTGAGCTAAATTTTTGCTTCGATTTAGCTGGAGATTCAAGTTGGTTCTACGATTCAGCTACGAAAACCCTCAAAATATGATTTAGCTACATCTGCAAATGCTGAGCAGTTTTTCGAGTTTTCAGAGAATTCGCAGCCAATTTTGCTGAAAATGGCGCCATCCAGAAAACGAAAAGCTGTGGAATCATCGAGCACTGCTGCAGAAGTGAGTTTTCATTCAAAAGTTTCGATTTACTTAAACAATACATTTTTTCTATAGAAACCAACCGAATGGAAATCGCTTCCAGAAACTGTTCGAAAAAACATTGTCGATTTGATGGATGCAAAAACTCGCTGTTTATTCTCAACTTGCTCGAAATCAAGCACAACTGAAGCTTTGCAATCGAAAAATTATGTTTATGGAATTGAAGTCAATAATAAATATGAAAATGTTATTGGAATTCGTGTTTTTCATGAAGAAGATAAGATTTCATATATGATTTGGTTCAGAAAAATTAGAGAAAATAACACGGAAATCATGTATTTGTAAGTTTTAGATTAGGTTTTCTAAAAAAAAACCGAAAAAATCTCGGGCAGAGATTCGCTGGATTCGCGACATGTTGGCGCAGATCTGCGGCCATTTTCAGCGAATCTGCGACAACGTGTCGCAACGAGTGAGCTAATTTTGCGACCGCGGTCGTGAATCTGCTAATGAGTTGCGACCGTTTTCTCAAATTTCGAGTTTTCGAGAGAGTGTGTCGCAGGTTTTGAAATTGTTAGCGACACTTTTAAGCAGATCTGCGCCAACGACTGCGACCAAAAAGTGTCGCACATTCGCTCAAAACGGTCGCACTTCTGCGCCAACGAAAAATCGAGTCGCAAATTAGCGCCAAGGTTGCGAATGTTTTCCCGAGATGTTTTTTCCAGTGTTAAAACCGACGGAGAAGAAGAAGATGAAAGCGATTCAGATGACGAAGAAGATGATGATGAATTAGAAGATCAAGACAAAGATCTAGGCCTGGTTTGGGTAAAACAAGAAGCAGGAAATTATCAAAAGGTTGCGATCAAGTATTTGAAAGATTTGTTGGACAAATTCAGACCAAGTCTCAAATCTTTCCAAAATCAATGTTATGGAAGAATTCCCATTTTTCGGCGAGTTCAATTTGCTGAACACGAAGAACTTGGAAAAGGTTTCGATTTTATGCGATGAACAAGGAGATGATTTATTATGGCATGAATGTGTCACAGTAGATATGGTTAGATTTTCATTTGAAAGGCTATTCAATAAAAAATCAATATTTTTTCTGCAGCTCTCAAAAATCCCGAAACTCATCGAACTTCATGATGCAAAGCTACGTTTTCATGAACTTCTAAAATTGAAAGCTGACAAAATTGCACTTTATCCTTCTGAATTTTCAACCGAAGATATCAATCAATATTTGAAGAAATGGGTAAACGGAGAGATTCATGAGAATTTGAGAAAATTGCATTTGAAAATTCATCATTTTGTTTTGGATAATAAGAAATTGGTGGATGGTTTGAAGGTTTATAATTTTCATGAATATCCATATGTTATGTGAGTTTTTAGAGCAGAAGCATCTGAAATCCTTCATTTTGTTTCCAGGATGAAATTTGCACTGCGAAGCCCAGCTCGGCCTGGAAAAATCGCCAAAATCCACAACACCCAACACAATTTCTTCATTCATATTTGCGATGATATAAATCCACCAGCAGTCGAAGATTATGGAACTGTTCCTGATGTTTTTGATGAGGATTCAGTTGATCATATTGCAAGAGTTCTGAATAATGCTAGAGGAGATCAAGGAGATTCAGATGAGGATGAAGATGAAGAAGATTTTGAAGAAGAAGATGGACATTGCAAATTGTTGGAATATTTTGAAGATTCTGATGAGGAATTCGATCGATTTGGGGTTAGCTATGTTTGAAATTGGAGAATTTATTGTTTTTATTGAAATGTGTAAGTTTTATACTCGAATATCATGTAAAATGTTCAAAAAACGTACCATAATAATTTATTTATTTTTGATTCAAAACCCCTTCAAATTGCGAAAAATAAATATCAGTTTCCTGTTTATGATTATCATAAATCATTTGTTTTCCAAAAGTATTCTTTGGTACAATCAAATCTCTTTTCCGTTTTCCTCCAATTTTTTTCATCATTCTCAAACTATGTTTTTGCCATTCTGGAATTGAAGAATGTAGAATAATTGGAACAATAATTGCATAAATTGTCAAACAAATATTGAAAAAAACATATGAAAAATATAATAGAATTGGATTGATATGAAAATAATCCATGAGAAGAATTGATGTGCAAATTATGTTGAAGATTAGAATTGAGATTTGCACTTTTTTCAGAATATTTAGCATTTTTATGTTTTCGGCGATTTGAAAACGTTCGCTTAACATGTAATTTTGATGGAATAGTCTGGAAAATTTTCAAAAAGCTTCTCAAAATTAAAAAAATTCAATATTTACTCACTGATGTTTTTTCACATTATATTCGCGCAGCCAATTAATACCCAAATATCCAATCAAATTATTCACCAAAAACCCGAAAATATTGAAAATCAATGAAATCCAACAATTAATATATGAAAGTCCCGAAAAAACACAAAACGGGATGAAAATTAACAAAATTAATATGGAAATATGAAATTTTTTGGATTTCTCATAATTTTTGATCAGAAATGTTGCAATACATCTTTCGACCAAAAATATTGGCAAAATATTGATTGCTATGAAAACACCGATTGTTCTGATGTAATTAGCACCAAAAATTAGGAATTCAAAGTTTTCTGAAAAAAAAATCTTCTCAAAATATTCAATTCAAAAAAAATTGGCGATAGTTTCGCCTCCGCCCGAAAGCGATAAACACACAAAACACACGAATATATAAATTTCTTGCGTGGCCGACGGTTGGCGGGTTGTGTGTGTCGCTATTGTTTGTGTACAAAAGGGGCGGAGCTTATTTGATTAAGCGCGTTTTTTTCGCTTGAAAATCAAGTTTTCAAGGTTTATCTGCCGCGCGGAAGCTTGCGGAAGCATACCGTATCCCAATTGATATAAAATAATAAAAAATCGAGCCAACATTGAGCAAAAATATTGTCCACCGTAAATAATAAAAAGAAAATTCAGATTGAAATGCATTGCACGAATGAATAAAAATAAATAAAAAAGATACAGGAACTCCAGCCAACTTAAATTAATTTCAGGATTCTTTCCGCAAGCTTCCGCGAAGCGGCCGCAACGCGGAAGCTTGCGGTTAACAAAAACTCACTTCAAAAACAGCAATCCAATTTCAATTTTAAATCCGATTTCAAAAATCCGAGTCATATTTTTTTCATCGATTATTGAAGTATTTATAAGAGTCATGAATCGAAGATTTTGAGAATCGAACATTTTTTTGGCTGCAAAAAAATTTTTGAGCAAAAAACAATCATAAAAACCAAAAAAAATTCTAGAATTGTTGTTTTTTCTGTGCTGATATTTTCAGCTTTTCTTTGTGATGTGAGAATTTCTGAAAAACAAATCATTGTTTTGATCCCAAGGGTTCTAATAATTGAGAAAAAGTACACATTCGGGGGAAATCATTTGAAAATTACTGAAAATATGAGAGTTTCTGAAATTTTCAGACAAATTGGCTGCGCATGAGAGCCAATTTTAGAATTGAAGTATATATTTTTCTATCAAAACAAAATTATAGCTTTTTCATTTTTTTAGTACTAGGAAATTAGCACTTCTATTTGGAAAAACATACATTTTCAGACAACATTTTCATTCTGAAAATTGGGAAAAAAGTTAGTAATTTATAATTTTCTGAATCAAACCAAACACAAAGAAAATTGTATTTTCATAGAAAAAATATAAATTTCATTGATCACAAAAACATAAATTTTCTAGTAAAAAAAAATTTTTTTCAGATAAATAAAATGTCTGGAACAGGCAATTTCAAGAAAAATTTGACGATAGCTTCGCCACCGCCCGAGAGCGATAAACACACAAAACACACGAATATATATATTTCTTGTGTGTGCGACGGTTCACGGGTTTTGTTTGTCGCCATTGTTTGTGTGTAAAAGGGGCGGGGCTTAATTAAATGAGCGCGTTTTTTTCGCCTGAAAATCAGGTTTTGAGTGAATTTTGATGAAAAGTCTGATTTTTTGCAAGCTTCTGCGCACCGACAAAGTTAAGCTAAGTCTGAAAATTGTTTACTGAAATCAACGAGTCCGAAAACTTGTTTGAAAATGCACATTTCTCAGAAGACATCTGAAAATAGATTAATTTTATTTATAATTTCCCCCCAAAAAAAATTAGTTCCTTCCACATTTGACAATTATTCGAGTAACATAATAAGTGTCATATTTCGGCTCGTAAATCGCCTCGAAAATTGTCGATTTTTGATGATAAATATGACCGAGTTCAATTTTTTTCGGCATAATTTACGGGAAGTTGAGTCAAAAGGGTCAGTTCGTTGTCGTCCTGGAAAAAATTAGAAATAATTTCTGATAATTATGAAACGTGACCAAACGCAATGCGGCCTCAAAACACCGAGAAATTGTGAGATTCGTTCATTTTTCTAAATTTTCCGTGAGGAAAAATGACCACACCGGTCAGCACAACATCAAAAACAAATGTTGAACCGACTCAAAACACCAAAGTTCCATCGAAATTTAAAAAATCTTTTATGATTTCGATTGTCGTTATTGGATTATTATTAGTTTCAATTGCTGGAATTGTATTCGCATTAATATTTTCACAATCAAAAATTGATGAAAATGGCGAAAAACAAATGATTATTGATCACAAATCAAGTATGTTTCAATTTAAAAAAATATGAAAAAAAAAGAGTATTTTTACAGAAACAACAGGTTCTGTGACAAAAGCAATAAAAGCTGTTCAAACATTTCCGGAAATTGCAAAAAATGTGAAATTCGATGATTTGCCATCTGATTTATCAAATTTTGTTTACGAAAAAATCGATTTTGAGAGTTTGAAAAATGTAAGTTAATGAAAATGAGTTGATTTGAACTGAATCTGAAAAGAAATTTGAAAATTTATGAAATCTTTCAAAATAAATATAATTTATGAAGATATTTCGTGAATTTTGTTCGAATCAGAATAATTCTCGAATTACATATTTCTTTCAAAAAATATGGCGAACAAATTAGTTTTTATTTTAGATTCGAACCAAATGGAAAGACTCGGATTATAAGGCATATGAAGCAATGTTTGAAGCAATTGAAAAATGTAATGTATCAACTGATTTGAAAACGGAAAAAAGCGATTTTTTGGAATTATTGAATAATCCAATTGAACTTCACAAAAATGCAATCAAAAAAATCAAAAAACCAATAGATGAAGCAATATCAATATTTAATGATACTGTAATAAAAGAAGCATCAAAAATTGGAAGATTATCAAAAGGAAATATTGGATTATATTCAAATAATATGACAAATATGTTGAAAAATCATAAAATATCAATTGAAACAAAAGATGAATCATATATAAAATCATATGATGATCGAATTAATTCAAGAAATTCAACTGAATTACAATATTTGATATTTGCAATTGTGGTTTTGGCTATTTGTTTCTTATTATTTATTATTATTACTTGCTCATTTATTTGTTTTCAACTTGATAAATTGTCTCCAAAAGCTTTCGATCGAATTTTGAAAATTATTATGACAATTACAAGTTTAATTATTATTGGATTGATTATTTTTGCAATTTTGGCATCAATTGGAATATCATTGTTCTCATTTGATTGTTCATTGAAATCAGATTATGACATTCCGGATTCAAAATATTACAATTTTGACGGTGAAATGTTCAATATTAAAACAATAACAAGTGATTGCACAAAACAACAAACATTATTTTCAAAGATTTCTCCATTTTTAAATGCCAAAAAAATTGCAAAATATTTGGATATTAGTAAATCGAATGGTGAAAGCATTTCCAATATTCTTCAAAATATCGACATTTCTTTTGATGATGATGGTTCGATTTTAAAATTCAAATACATATTAGAATCTCAACAACACAATCTTGAGAGGAACAGAAAATGTATGGAAAAAGAAAGGAGTTATGTTAATTTCAATGATTATTTCAACGAATTGAAAATGCGCAAAGAAGATTTGAAAAATCTATTGGAAAATGCTCCAATTGTATTAAACAAGTTGAAAAATGTGAAAGCTGATGTTGATGATTTTATACATTCTACTTTTGTAAATATCACAGAGACTTCTGAAAAATGTGGTGAATTCTATAAATGTAAGTGATTTATTTTACAACAAAAATAAGCTTCTAAATTTCTTTTTTCAGGAGTCTTTCAAAATATCTGATTTTTCTTGTCACCAACAATTACCAAATGGATTATGTCATCAACTTGATAAAAACTTGTATAAAATGATTATTTGTAACTGGATTATTATCAGCGGATATGTTGTAATTCTTGTATTTAACATCATGATCAGATGTTTTGCGAACATTCGCAAGGATGCAAATAGAGCCGAGGTAAGTTTTTTTCAAAAAAAAAATGTTCAAAATGAAATTTAAAGATTCTGCAAAACAATTTGAATCAGTTGGACAATGATATTGTTACGAATGCTGAGAAACTTGAAAATTGCAATAAAGAAAAAGAAATTGCGAAGAAGAAGGCGAATGCGAAAACTTGGGAAAGAGTAAATACTCTGGGCAGAAAATGAATAAAGAGAATGAAATTGTACATAGTATTTATTTTTCAATAATTTTTTACCATCACAAAGTAAACTAAAGTTCTAATGGGGCTATTCAGATTAGTTTCTCAACCAAAAAACAGGAGGAGAAAGGAGGAGAAACTCTATTCAGATTGCGGGAAAAAGGAGGAGAAACTGAGTTTCTCAACCTACTTAAATTTAACTTTATAAGAACATAAAATAATAAATTTATATATGAAACTATTGGGAATTGTGCAATTTATTCGAATTTCAAGTTTTAACTGATTTTAAACCAAGTTTTGGTCGTTTTGACACGTGAAAACCGATATGCTTCATCGAAAACCAAAAAATACACGGAAAAATACACAATTGAAGCGATTTGAAGCAAAAATCACTTCAAAACACGCATTCCCCGTTACTCAGTGCGCCAGCAAACTGTTTGTGTGTTTGCTTGTTTTTTCTTTTCTTTTTTTGTGTGTGTTTCATCAAACACACACACATTTTTTGATGAAACACACGCCTTGAAACAATCGCAAAGAATAGCTCTCTCCGGAAGAGTTATGTATAAATGTATATATGAAAATGTAGAGAAAAACACGAGGAATCTAATGGTATAAGTACTTTTATATCAAAAATTGAAATTATCAATGAAAATTGGGGTAAATGAAGTGATTCAGTCGTTTTCTCTGTGAATGCTCAAGTTAAACCATAAATTTTCTCGATGTACACCAAATTTTATGAAATATTCGAACCTAACTTTTGTTCAGAAAGTCTTTGCGCATCTCATGATGTGAATAAATCGTGCTCAAGTCACCGTCTTGGGTACTTCTCTAGATTGGCGTGAAATTGCCTATGGGAAACGGCTGTTTTTTGGCTATTTTCTTCGATTATTTCATATTTTTCTCGAGTAAAAGCCAAAACTTTGATATACCTGATATGAAATGTTGACTAAATAAGTAAATATTGCATTATTCACCAGAAAATGACAAAATATACTTTCACTTGTTAATTTCGAAAAATTTTCAGACGATTTTGCAATTTCAAGCGAAAAAGACGTTTAATGATGAATTTGAGTTGGAATTTTACAAATTAACATGAAATTAGGTTTGTTTAATAACTTTTAAGAGAAAAACATGAGAGAATGCTCGAACTCAGCTCCAAAATAGACCAAAACTTCCAAAAAAACACAGACGATTTCACGAAAATCTACCGCCCGTTTCAGAATCGAAACCAAAATTGGTGATCGTATAACGTTATGTTTTCCGATACAGAAAAACACGCTGAACAAAAGTTAGGTTGCATTTCTCGATTATTTTTGGTTTTGAAGAAGAATAGCACCTGTAAAGTACAGGTTTCGGAGACTTTTTTCTTCAGTGGCCATTTTTTATCGCTACGCTAACTTTTAGACCAGAAATTTTTATATCATTGTATTCCTCGTCATCTGCTCTTTCTTTTCATATATCATTTTTCTTTAAATCCCCGGAAAGATAATGTTTTATCATGTTTTTGTTATGCGAACTCTAAAAAAACGTGAAAGCGAGATAGTGTGTGTGTGAGGGAGGCGCAGACAACAGAGTGAAAACACACACAAATGCGTCAGTGATTATCGCCTATTGGCGCACTGAGTAATGGGGAATGCGTGCAAAATCACTAATTTATCAATAAAACCTAATAGTTATTCTTTTAATTTCATTTTATATGCTGAAAAAATCAAAATTTAGGTAGGTTGAGAAACTCAGTTTCTCCTCCTTTTTTCCCGCAATCTGAATAGAGTTTCTCCTCCTGTTTTTCGGTTGAGAAACTAATCTGAATAGCCCCATAAGAAAGAACGAAAAAAATAAGAGTGTGTGCCAACACCGACTGCCCGCAAACACCAAATCCTACGCGCCACCTTGACACGAAATACGCGCTGAGTTGCACCTCCCGGTTCTCCATTGCTTTATATTTCAAGGAGGTTGACGTCAAAGATGACAGTGGATTTAAACCACTAGCAAGGCAAAACAACAAAAACACGGATTTTAGGCCAAAATTTATGTTTCAGCCAAAATAAACAATGAAAATACAGATACAACTTCACGAGGAAGTGTATCAATAATAACAAAAAGATGAGTTAATGAATTAACACAGAGATTTCCTAGAAATCCCTGTGAAAACAACGAAAAACCCTAGAAAACACAAAAACGAAACTAAATTATTTTGAAATGCACGTGGAGAGCGCACACACACACACACACACACAAAATACGTCAATCTTTTACAAGATGGCGCATTTGTGGTGCACACCCTCTTGAGTATGACTGCTGTGTGTTTTCGCGAAGAAATTTCTAGAGATTTTTGAAAATTGTGAACCCCCCCCTGTGGCTCGTCACGATTGCATGTATTTCGCGACAATTTGTGATTTTGGTGAATAGAAAAATGTTGTTTAAAAAATACATAAAAACGTGACCTATTAATGAGTGACGCAATGCGGCCTCAAAAAATCGAAAAAATTGTGAAATTCGTACATTTTCTGAATTTTCCGTGAGGAAAAATGACCACACCGGTCAGCACAACATCAAAAACAAATGTTGAACCGACTAAAAATATCGAAGTTTCAATGAAAACAAGAAAGTGTCACATATATTCGATTGTCGTTATTGGATTATTATTAGTTGCAATTGCTGGCATTGTTTTAGCACTCATATTTTCACAATCAAAAATTGATGAAAATGGCGAAAAACAAATGATTATTGATCACAAATCAAGTAAGTTATCATAAATCCGTTCGAAAAAATATGAGAAAAAAAAGAGTATTTTTACAGAAACAACAGGCTCTGTGACAAAAGCGATAAAAGCTGTTAAAACATTTCCGGAAATTGCAAAAAATGTGAAATTCGATGATTTGCCATCTGATTTATCAAATTTTGTTTACGAAAAAATCGATTTTGAGAGTTTGAAAAATGTAAGTTAATGAGAATGAGTTGATTTGAACTGAATCTGAAAAGAAATTTGAAAATTTATGAAATCTTTCAAAATAAATATAATTTATGAAGATATTTCGTGAATTTTGTTCGAATCAGAATAATTCTCGAAATTACATATTTCTTTTAAAAATATGGCGAACAAATTAGTTTTTATTTTAGATTCGAACCAAATGGAAAGACTCGGATTATAAGGCATATGAAGCAATGTTTGAAGCAATTGAAAAATGTAATGTATCAACTGATTTGAAAACGGAAAAAAGCGATTTTTTGGAATTATTGAATAATCCAATTGAACTTCACAAAAATGCAATCAAAAAAATCAAAAAACCAATAGATAAAGCAATATCAATATTTAATGATACTGTAATAAAAGAAGCATCAAAAATTGGAAGATTATCAAAAGGAAATATTGGATTATATTCAAATAATATGACAAATATGTTGAAAAATCATAAAATATCAATTGAAAATAAAGATGAATCATATATAAAATCATATGATGATCGAATTAATTCAAGAAATTCAACTGAATTACAATATTTGATATTTGCAATTGTGGTTTTGGCTATTTGTTTCTTATTATTTATTATTATTACTTGCTCATTTATTTGTTTTCAACTTGATAAATTGTCTCCAAAAGCTTTCGATCGAATTTTGAAAATTATTATGACAATTACAAGTTTAATTATTATTGGATTGATTATTTTTGCAATTTTGGCATCAATTGGAATATCATTGTTCTCATTTGATTGTTCATTGAAATCAGATTATGACATTCCGGATTCAAAATATTACAATTTTGACGGTGAAATGTTCAATATTAAAACAATAACAAGTGATTGCACAAAACAACAAACATTATTTTCAAAGATTTCTCCATTTTTAAATGCCAAAAATATTGCAAAATATTTGGATATTAGTAAATCGAAAGGTGAAAGCATTTCCAATAATCTTCAAAATATCCACATTTCTTATGATAGTAAAACGATTTTAAATTTCAAACACATATTAGAATTTCAACAACACAAACTTGAGAGGAACAGAAATTGTATGGAAAAAGAAAGGAGTTATGTTAATTTCAATGATTATTTCAACGAATTGAAAATGCGCAAAGAAGATTTGGAAAAGCTATTGGAAAATGCTCCAATTGTATTAAACAAGTTGAAAAAATGTGAAAGCTGATGTTGATGATTTTATACATTCTACTTTTGTAAATATCACAGAGACTTCTGAAGATGTGGTGAATTCTATAAATGTAAGTGATTTATTTTACAACAAAAATAAGCTTCTAAATTTTTTTCTTCAGGAGTCTTTCAAAATATCTGATTTTTTATGTCACCAACAATTACCAAATGGATTATGTCATCAACTTGATAAATACTTGTATAAAATGAATATTTGTAACTGGATTATTATCAGCGGATATGTTGTAATTCTTGTATTTAACATCATGATCAAATGTTTTGCGGTCATAAATATAGCCGATTACAAAGAAGAAAAAGTGCGTTTTTTTTTTCAAAACAAAAATCAAAAAGAAAATGAGATTTATAGAGATTGCTTCAAGAAATTGGCCAGAAAAAATCAAAAATTGCTAATCAAACAAATCAGATTAACGCCGCCGAAAGAGCTACAGATGAACTACGATACATTGCCAATGACTGAATGTTTTGAAATAAAAAAATTTATTATGAATTAGGTTATTTTTTTTTATTCTCGTCATGAAAAATTTTTAATATTTTCCCAGTTTAAAATATTACGGTAGCTCAAAATTAGTTCCAATTTTTAGCGCTTAAAAATCTCTTGAAAATGAGCTACAGTAACATTAACATGTTCGAATTATAAAAAAAACTCACAATAGTAAAATCCTTGAAGCCATTCAAATCCACTGAAAAGTTACCAGCTGCAAAATTTTTTTCCACACTCCAATTTTCTTTTAAATTTTCAAAAAAAAAAACTCACGAGTTACATCAAGTTCAACTCCACAAAATTCGACTTTTTCCAATTTTTTCGTCATTTCCTTGCTGAATTTCGCCACTTTTTCATTTTCCAATTTTCCAATTTCTCGGTGAATTTTTTTCATCAAAACTTGAATTGGTCGAAAAATCGAGTGATTTGAGTGGATTTTTGAGATTGGACGAACAATTATTTTGTAGATTTTCCACATTTTATCCTTGTCTTTGTTCTGAAATTCAGGCTTTTTAGGTTTGGGCCTAAAATTAGGGCTTTTCAGGCTTAAAAATAGGCCTAACTCACATGAAGAGCTTGAATTTTTGAAATCCCACAAATCCTCATTTTTTTTTCCATTTCCATATTTGAATTTGAAAATTGTCAAAATCCTAAAAACAATCATATCATTTTCCTCGAGAATCACAATTTCTTCAGCTTTTTTGAAATCCGCAGTTTGTTTCGCATTTTTGAGATGTTCGTATCGATCATTGAAGATTTTCATGTAATTCAAGAATTCGGCTGCAAAAATCGATATTTCGGTGGAGCGCATTTGCTCAGAATTTTAAGGGCTTCAAAATGAGCCCTAACTCAACAGGGAAAACGCGAAAAAATAAATATTTCGCTGGAGCGCACTTACTCAAGTTATAACTCTCCTCAACATTCGGATTTGTCTCAATAAAAGCCAATAATTGCTTAGAAAATCGAATCGAAGTTTCATTGAAGGGAAGCCTGCAAGATTTTTTTAATTAGCGTCTAATTAGACGCTAAATTTTTAGCGCTAAAGTTAGCCTAACTCACATATTCTTAACAATTTCAATAAACCCTTTCCCATCTAATTTTTCAACATTTCCTCCACGTCTATAAATATTTGCTGGATTAATTCGATTTGCATCCGAACAAGCTCCGCCCATTTGAATTTTGTAAATCGAATTTCCAGCGGCAAAAATCTCAAAAGTTTTCGTCTCAATGTAGTTCATTTTATTGGTCAAATTGAATTGGATTTCGAAAATCTCGCGAGTCGCGTATTTGATATTAACAATATCCGAAGTCTTGTTGATTTTTTTGAAAATCTTCCGATCGTGTGCCAAATATTCCAGGAATCCCGCTTCATTCATGTCCAATTCATCGCAAATTTTTGCGTTTTCCGAGAAATTCAAGTGTTTTCCGAGTTGTAGGCCGATGTGGATCGAATTTGGATTTTCGACACTTGATTGTGAGAGAAGCCTGGAAAATTGGATCGAAATTTCAAAGTTTACATCAGAATTTTCATTGAAAACTTGATTTTCGCGCGAAAAAAACGCGCTCACTCAAATAAGCTCCGCCCCTTTTACACACAAACAATGGCGACACACACAACCCGCCAATCGTCGGCCACACAAGAAATTTATATATTCGTGTGTTTTGTGTGTTTATCGCTTTCGGGCGGTGGCGAAGCTATCGGCAATTTTTTTTTTTGAAATTCACACAAACTCACATATTTCCGATTTTTTCCGCAAATTTCTTCTGCTCTTGACTTGGAGTAAATTTCGCCAAAACATATCCGTAAATCAAAAACGACACAAGAAATCTCATTTTTCCTTTCTGAATCAGAATAAAAAACATGAAAAATGCTTTCAAAACATATATTTTCCAGACAAATAAAAGCATGTGAAAATGCAAAAAATGTATCTTTTTGAAAATAAATAAAAAGTTTGAAAAAAATAATTTCAAAAAAAATTCTAATTCGAAGCCGCCGTCGAAACAATAATCGAATTGGGTTTTGAAACAATTTCACTTTTCACAATCCAATTTTTAATAATATTTCGATATGGTTTAACCAAATAAATAGATACAATTGGAGTTGTCATTGGCATCAATTCCATAATTCGAAATGGTAAATTCTCATAAAAACTTCCCTCAATAATTCGAAACAACAATAAAAGATAAATCGAAGCAGCGGAAAGCCAAAAAATTGGAATAATTGCTTGAAAAGTCAAAGCTCGAATTAATTGTTTGTGTAATTCTCGAGTTTTTTGTGAAATAAATATTCCTCCCGAAGTCGAAGAATTCAAAATTTTCAGCGTTTTTCGACGAAAATAAATAATGATTGCATAAATTGGAAAACATGGAAAACACATGTAAATAATTGAAATCGCCGTGATTTTTGAGGTAATATTTCGATTTCCGAAATTGTTAAATTTGGCCAAATTATTGGATTATTGTAGAAATATTGAGGATATTTGAGGGCTATTAGGGATTTCAGATAATCTGGATCATCCACTTCCAGCATGTAGAAGGTCTGGAAATTTTTTTAGTTAGAGTTTCCCATCAAAATTCACTCAAAACTTGATTTTCAGGCGAAAAAAACGCGTTCATTTAATTAAGCTCCGCCCCTTTCACACACAAACAATGGCGACACACACAACCCGCCAACCGTCGGCCACACAAGAAATTTATATATTCGTGTGTTTTGTGTGTTTATCGCTTTCGGGCGGTGGCGAAGCTATCGCCAAATTTTTTCATGTTTTGAGCATTTTTCTGAAAATGTGTATTTTTGTGAACCCACCAAAAACAAAAACGAAGGAATATACACCAAAATGCACAATTTAATCAAACTCGAATGTTTGGGTGAAACTTGTTGTAGAATAAAAAATCGATAAATGAATGAAACCATCAAAATCCATTGTGAATGTGCAAAACAATGACAGACAAACGTATGAAGAAAATAACAAAAATATGGAGAAATATAGCCGCAAACACCGTGAAATATATAAGTTAGACTCCAGCCCGAAAATACGGTTCTAGATACAAAAAATGTGGATTTTTTTGGCGGGAAACTTTGAATTTTCAAACTCACTTTTGTAATTGAAGAATTGCACAAAATGAGCTGAAAAAATCGCAAATCGCAAAATTAAACAACAAAATCGAGTAGTTTTTCAGACTCATTGGAGATTTTTTGAGAATTAGAAACATGAATAAGGAATTGGCGAAGATTCCGATTGAATTTACAGAATATCCGAGATTTTTGAAATTTTGATCAATTTGTTTTACACGGCAAATTAGAGCCACTTGAGAGGAGTTCATTTTTAATACAAAAGAGAAGATAATCTTTTGTTTTCGAAGAATATAACGAAAAGCAATCACCGGTTGGAATAACAGGAAAAAGCTTTGAAAGTACTTTTCACAAGTCTTGTTTTGTGATCGAGCAAACGCGCTCCATCGCACTGTTTCTCTGCGAATTGATGATGAACAAAACAAACAAATTTCCCATGCGGTCCTGTGGTGTAGTGGTTATCACGTCTGCTTTACACGCAGAAGATCGCCGGTTCGAACCCGGCCAGGACCTAGTTATTTTATTTTTGCTGAAATTGAAATTCATGCTGAAAAAATATATTTTTTCCAGAACTTTATAAGTTCTTTCCAGATAAAAACCTTGCAAACAAAGAACGCGCTTATCAAAGACATTAATAATTTTTGTATCAAAAAAATAACTATAATAATATTTTTTAACTGAAACTACTATAAAAGCAAATATCTGGAATGATATGATAACAAAATAATAATAATTGCCACCCGAAAATGATAAAATTTCTATATTTTTTGCTATTCTCATTTTTTGAATGTGGATTTGCGAGAAAATTTTTGAATGCGCCAAGTGGAATCATTTCTTCAATGCCACCCTATTTCGATGTTTGGGATAATGTGAATCAATATCGATTTTTGAACAGATACCAGAATTATACACCAAATTATAGTGAGTCAAGCGAATTCTCTCTCCAAAAATTATCATTTTTTCCAGTCAAATTTCTGCCAGGAATGCTGAAATTTGAAAAAGTGTTATTCAAAGATTACGACAATCAAATCTCTCCAATTTGTGATGATTTCACAACAGTAAGTGCAATATATGAGCGAAATACAAATTGGGTTTATTTTATCGATGTTTTTCGTCTCAAATTGTTGAATATAAATGCGCAAGAGGAACAGGTCACTGTTGTTACGGAGATTATTCAAAGTTGGCATGATCCGAGATTAGAATGGAATGTTACACATTGGAATGATCTTAAGAGTTTGCATGTTCGATTGGATAAAGTTTGGTCGCCGCCTATGTTGATTTCTGCTGCGTGAGTTAGTTGAGAGAAAACGAGAGAGAGCGTGGGTGCAGAAGAAGAAGCGAGACGAAAAAGGGATAGAGAAAACGAGAGAGAGAGCGTGCGTGCAGAAGAGAAGCGAGACGAAAAAGGGATAGAGAAAACGAGAGAGAGAGCGTGTGTGCAGAAGAGAAGCGAGACGAAAAAGGGATAGAGAAAACTCGTTTTTAATTATTGTTTTTTTTCACTTGCAGAAGTGAAGTAGTAGAACACCGTGATCAAAATTATCGAATGGCAAAAATCTACTACGACGGCACCGTTTTCTCACATGTCCCTTTAAAACTCACATTTTCGTGTGACTTTGATATGACCGATTTTCCATTCGACACTCAAATTTGCGAAATTCAAATTGCTCTTCCAGTTTTTTCTTTCAGACTTTATGATTTTTGAAATGAAGTTATCAGGTAAAATGGAAAAATGTGGCTGGCGTAAAAACATTACTTCGTCAGTCGCGTGCGGCTGTGCGTCGCGGTCGGTTAATTGTTTCCTGACCGCGACGCACAGCCGCACGCGACTTTGACGAAACTATCCATTTTATTTTTTTAAATAAAAACGAGCACATTTTTCAACTCGATTTCAACAATATTCCCAAAATTCTCTGTTTGCAGGTGATATAGAGTCATGTTTTCTGGGAAATTCAGAATGGGATGTTTTATCAGTGGCAAATGCAACACGTGAAATCGAGGCTTGGCTGTTCAATGAGAAATCCGGTGGAAATAGTAAATACGGAATCATCAAAATGCATCTGAAAAAGAAAACCAATCTATTATTTATACATGATTATTCTACCAACATTCATAATTAATTCAATCAGTTTGGCTGGAGTATTTTTAAGAAATACCAGCAAAATTGATCGATTAACAATTGCTTTGACACATATTATGACAATGACTTTTATTTTGGGAATTGTGGCGGATAATTTACCGAGATCTACGAATGTTCCATTGCTTGGCAAGTTTATTATTTTTAGTTTGTTGAGTATGATGTTTGCGTTGATTGTCTCAACTTATTTGAAAAAGGACTACCAAATATTTCGCATTGAAATTTGAGGATTCAATAGATCAAGGAGAAAAGTGAGTTTTGTATTATGTGTGCAAAAAAAACAAAAATTCAAAAAAAAAAAGTGACCCTAGTTCTGTCCTCCCCCTTCGTTTTTGTCGCGACGAGACACACACCTTCAAAAAATCGATGCGCCTTTAATTTGCATCGAAAAAAGGCCGTCTTTAGGGTGTTTTGGGGCTATTACCGGTCAAAAGAAGGAATTAAAACTTGAGAAACGAGGAGGAAGGGATTTAGAACAAATTCAAAAATGAATTTGCTTCATTTTCGCAATTTTGAAGAGGAGAACGGGGTTTTCTTCTATAAAGTACTTTAAAATCTCCTTTCATAGTATTTTCTGCTTTAAACAGAGTTGAACCTTCTTTATTCTTCATTTTGTTATCAATTTGGTTGATTTTTGCCTTTATTTCATGTAAAAACATCGAAAACCTCGAAGACCCGAAAAAAAAAAAACAAAAAACACCGTAGTTTTTGAAAGGCGCAGCACCCGAAACACACATGGTCTCGTCGCGACGAAAATAAACGAGAGGGGAAGAACTACGGTAGATATTTTTTTCAAAATAATTATTTTTCGTTCTCATTTTTTTTGCACACATAATAAGAAAGCTTCAGAAATGTTTATTTTATTTTCTAGAAATCAAAAACATCACTTGATTCTCAGCCCGAAGATTCGATATATCATCCTTTCCACTTTTCAATTGTTGAACCTTTGCTGCTTTTTTTATTTGTTATATCGAGCTTATACTTTTGATCGAGATTTTGCGTTTCCTTATGATTGTAATCATCTGAAGAAAAATATGGATTCTTCTCATGAACTACGACGGGAAAAAATGTATGGAAATAGTGAATAAAATTTTTTGGTTTTAGTTTTTGTGAAATATATTTTTAAAAAGTTTATTTGGAAAAACTTGTTAATTCAAATTATTCGTTATGAAAGAAGCGATTGTTTGTGAGCATTCAGAAATTCTGTGATTCTGAAGATTTGAAAGATTTTCAGCCAATTTTTCAGCGCAATTTTGAGTTCCACGATTTGAGCAAAGTTCAAATTGTATAACACACGAGGAAAATGCATGTTTATGTTGTGGACAAGAATTTCGAACCATGTTGAATTGTGCATACAATTTTTCATCAGTGAATTGATAAATTGGACCCTCGTTTGCTGAAATACACAAAAATATTTAGTATTATCGAAAATCTCATCGGTACCACGCGCTCCACCGAAATAAACACGCAACGCAGACCGCGCCGCGCTACAACACACACAAAAAGGGAGGAATTTGAATCGTTCCCTTTTTCTGTGTATGTTGTGGCGCGACGCGGTCTGCGTTGCGTGTTTATTTCCGGAGATTTTCGATAATAAAAAAAGTTCAACTAACAATCAGCGTTTTCGTAAGCAGAAAATCCGAGAAAATAAACAGCTCGATAGAAAGCTCCAGCTCGAATAAAGTTTGTCGCAGATTTGACACATGATTTGAATTTCAAATCACAACGATCTTTTCCCAAATGATTGTCATAACAATCATCATGTTTAGCACAACAAAAACTCAAAGATTCTTCAGTTCCACTCCACATTGTTCCAAAAATATAGTTTCTTGTCTTGTCATCAGTTCCACAATACGAATATTCGGCGACGAATTCGGTTTGACCTTTTGCGATCAGAAATTCTTCATTTGATTCGACTGATTTTATCAGGAAAAAAATAAGAAACATTTTTCCCATGATTTAGTTTCGTTAAATTTGCTTTTATACAAATATAAACTTATCATTATTATTGAAATGTTATGAATTAATTCAATTGCCGCCCACGGTTTTCGAAAGTGCGGTGGAGCGCGTTTTCTTGTTTTAAATGTTTTAAATTTCCTGAAAATCTCAATTGATTTTTTTTTTTGACGAACCAAATTTAAGAATATCTGCGGTAGCATTGTATGGTCTCAAAAAAATCAATTGACACATTTTTGAAACGTAAAAAATCATGTAAAAATTTTAGTACAAAAATTGTAGTAAATGGTTTTTTATAGCTTTTTGGCCATAATAACTTCTTAGCCAAGTTTTGGCATTTCAAAAAATCCAATTATCATCCGAAAGTAGGATTTCAATCAAAAAAGTCAATAAAAAATTCATCAGCAACAAAAAATTGTATTAATTTTTAATGGTGAAAAAGGTGGGGCTCAAATAAAAAATCACATCTCCATCACGGAAAATCGATTTGAAGTAAATACAATTTTCCCTGACAAAAACCTCACATTTATCATCTTTTTTCAAATTCTCCGCATAAAAGTCGATATTTTGATTGAGATTCAGTGGTGTTCTCGCCTGAATGAAATCGATATTATTTCCAATCAATTCTCCATTTTTCCACATTTCCAAATATTTTTTAATAGTTTTATCGACGAATTCATCGAGGAAAATCCATTTTTAATTCGAAATTTAACAAAAAACGTTGAACTCACCTCATTTTTCATTTTCTTCTCATAGATTTCTTCTTCCTCTTTTGATTCACATCGTATTTTTCGTTTTCGCAAATTCGTAGCCATATAAAACATGCGATTTCGTTGGGCAAAACAAAAAAAGACAAAAAATGAAAAACTGTCGTAAAATAAAATGTGTGCGACATGTGTGGTGTTTGCAGAAAATGCACACAAAAGAGCGCACAGTACCCCTGAATTGGAAAATTTTTTAATTTATTCAAAAACCAAGAAAATGCGCTTCAAAATTTCATTTCCCAATCAATAAAATTATCTTGGTTTCATACCACACGCATATGCTCGAACATATTGCAACAAATTTCCATCAGTTCTTGCCGTTTCACACGGTATATCATCCATTGAACCGAATTCAACACCGTCACCTGGAGATTGTGTATTTAGAAGGTACATATAGGCACAATATTGATTGCCACTGCAAAAGATTATTGATTTTTTTCAAGTTTAATGGTCATATATTCAAAATTACCCAGCATTATCAGGATTCCAACTGCTCCACGTCATCATATTTGTGTTAAATGTCGATTTATCATACCATTGAAATCCAAGTGATCCATTACATCTTGCTAATTTCGCATCATTTTCATTTCGACATTCGGGTTTTCTTATCAAATTTATCCAAAGTGAACCAGATGGAAGACCTTGGTCTTGGAGAATTTTAACGCCTTCCGCTGGAAAAATTGGAGATTGGGAATGAGCTGACGTGTTTTTAGAAGCTGGAAAGTTTGCTGACGCATTTCTAGAAGCTGGGAAATTTGCTGGTGTATTTCCAAAAGCTCGGAAGTTTGCTGACGTGTTTTTAGAAGCTGGAAAATTTGCTGGCGTATTTCCAGGAGCTCGAAAGTTTGCTGACGCATTTCTAGAAGCCTAAAAACTCACAATTAATAAAACTCTGCTCCTCCAAATTCTCAATTCCACTCAAAACTCCTCCATAGTTTTCGCATCTCGCTTCCGCTTCAAATTTATTCAAAATTCCCGCAAATACCCGAATACACCATCTACCAGAACCTCTTTCGAATTCTCGCCAATTTTTCGGACATTTTTTGCGATTTTCACGAATTTCATATGAATCTTCGGATGTTTCATCACAACTCTCCCAACATTGACCGAAATTGAGCAAAATTAAAATAATCAGGACCGAGTTTTTCATGTTTTTCATGAAATAAGATTCCCTGGATTTTTTTATATGGAAGATTTTTCAATTAAAATTTAATTTGCACATTAAAATTTGGAATTTTTATAGTTTCACAGGCTTTGAGTTTTGATCGGAAGGAAAAAAACAAACAAACATCATCAAAACAAAAATGTGTAGTTTTTGGAACTTTTCTAGTTTTACCGCAAGCTTCCGCGAGCGGAAAACGAGCGTAAAAATTTTTATCAAAAGCTTGTGAGAAAAATAATTCAATTTATTTCTATAAATCTTTAAAAATAGTTGTTTACTGCAATTTTTCTTCTTTTTTTTCTACTCGTCCCAATAATTATGAATAAATAATAACGAGTTTTTTTTCTAAAGCTCAAAACAGAATTTTTATTTTTTTTTATTTCTTTTGATTTTCAAATAAAATAAAAAAGTTCGCAGGCAGTGGGTGTCGAACCCGCGTTCAAAAATATGACGCGCGCGTGTGTTAACCACTCGGCCACCCCGCTTTTTTCGCATTCCAATTTTTCGTGGATAAGAATGATGTTTTTCTTTGTGTGACACATCAGACTACACTATAGTTTACGCTTTTTGGTCAATAAAACATCTAGAACTTATCGGAAAATCCAATTATCTTTGCATTTTTCTCCGAAAAATCATGAATAAACTAGAAAAAGAAAAACATTACGTATTCTTTTTTTCTAGATCGAATGACTTCTGAAACCGATATTTCAATAATTCGAAGTTGTCTTCTATTTTTCGCAATTTTCGGGATTTTCGGCAATTTGAATATCGTAATTGCAACTCGACGCAATAAAAATCTTCAACACAAATGCGGAATTCTTTTGGCGATTTTGGCGATTTGTGATACGATTTGTTTATTGAACGAATTTCAGAGCTTTTTGAGAATGACTTTCGATTTGGGACAAACTACACTGAAGTTGGTTTTTTTTTTCCAAAAAAAAAAAAGAAAAAAAAAATAAAAGAAAAAAAGCTTCGCAGGCGGGAGGAGTCGAACCCGCGTATAAAATTTTACAACGCGCGCGCGCTAACCACTCGGCCACGCAGCTGTTTTTTACTTCAGAGAATTTTTCGTTGATAAGAAAGCCAAATTTTCCAGCAAATGTTTCTACTTCAATCTAACCTATATTTTAATCGAACCTCTCGAAGTCTACATGATTTTCATTCTTGCAATCGATCGATTAATCGCAATCAATTACAGTATTTTTTATCGGAAAATTCCAAAATCCAAATATATTTTATCAATGTTAATACCTGGTTTGATTATAGCTGCAATATTTTTGATTTCGAGTTTTTTGAATTTACCAAATTCAAATTCAAATTCAAATTCAACAATAATAATGGTTGATTCATGTATTCTACCGTATTCCATGCCAGAAAATGTGTCATATTGGTGGAATCAATATAATCTATGGGGCGCAGTTGCAACTCTTTTTATTTATTTTTATACTTATGTTACTGTATATTGTTGTAGTAAGTTTACTGTAATCAGGGAGAAAATTACTGGGGGTACTGTAGCTTTAGGGATTACTGTAGCCTAATTTTATCCCAAACTGACAAAGGGTTACTGTAGACCAAACTACAACGTTTCAAAATCAGAGGGTTTTCCGAACTGCAAGGATTACTGTAGCCTAATTGTATCCCAAACTGACAAAGGGTTACTGTAGCTTCATACTACAATTTCTTTTGTAGTCTCAAAATCAGAACTGCAAAGATTACTGTAGTCAAGAATTTTCAAGAATCGATGTTTCAAACCAGACTGCAAGGTATACTGTAGCCTGAGAATAGAATGTTGCTAGAACTACGGTATATACCGTAATAGAACTGCAAAAGGTACCAGAAAATCAGAAATTTTGTGAATTTTCAGCCTTCAAACAAAAAAACAAGAAAAACTTGCAAATTCAAAAAAAGATCCTAAATACAGTAATCGTGGGCGCCGCGATTTTCTCAATTTCCTCAGTTTTATCCGCAATTCTTATTGTCATTTTCACAAATATGAAAAATGCACCAATTGATCCGGATACTGTATCAACTTATGCTGTTATTCCAGGTAATTTTTTTAAATTTTTTATTATTTTTGAAATATCCTAAATAATTTCTTATAGGTCTAATCTCATATTCTTGCAATTTTTATGTGTATTTTTGGCGGAGTTCTGATTATTATAATGCATTTGTAAAACAACTTTTTTGTGGAAGAAATTTGGGAAATCAAGAAAATTTAGCACCGCCTTCTAAAAAATCGAGTTCAGTTTCAGTTATGGTTAAAAAAGCGCAAGAAACTTGATTTTTTTAAATATTGGTAATAAATTAATTTGAGAAATTTTCACATGTTTTTGTACGTTTCAAAAAATTGTCAAATATAATGTTCACAATCATTCCTGATTGTTTTCTTTAATTTGTGGGCAGGATAAATATTATCGAAAATCTCATCGGTACTCCACGCGCTCCACCGAAATAAACACGCAACGCAGACCGCGTCGCGCCACAACACACACAAAAAAGGGAACGATTCAAATTCCCTCCCTTTTTTGTGTGTGTTGTGGCGTCGCGGTCTGCGTTGCGTGTTTATTTCGGTGGAGCGCGTGGTACCGATGAGATTTTCGATAATAAGTGACAATTTTTTCATAAAATAGAAAAACAACAATTTATATAACAACAAGCAAAAAATTAACAAATCTTAAAAGACAAACCGTTTTTCATCTTTCATCATAAAAATGGGAATCAATCAATTAAAGGCCGACGATTTGCGATAACTTGGTCATAATTATAATCTTCGATTTTAACATTGAAACCACATTTTGAATATAGAAAACAACAATAACATTTTGATTTTCTCTCATAATTTAGGAGAAATCGAAAGTGAGTGCTGTAAAAAGTAAAAATGCAATTTTTTAGTTGTTTTTTTTTTCAAAAAGCAAAACCCACAAATCAACATCATTATCACTGTAATTAAATCCATCGACAAGTTTTGCGATTCTTTTGCAATCCACATAATAATTATCATAAGTAATTGAATCGACACTAAGATTTTCCAGATTTCGATGAATTTCTCCATTTTTCAACATCATCAGATATCTCCCAATATTTTCTTCATCAAAATCATCGGATTTGATTTGATACAAAGATCCTTGAAATTGCAGCACTTCTTCAAATGTGAATTCGGTTTCTTGCAAAATACAAAAATCGATTTTCTTGATTTGTTCTAAATCCATCAATCCTTTTTCTCGAATATCTTCCGAATAACTTTCGATATATTCCAGATTTCGCAATTGTTTCATAACGAATTTCGAATCAATGAATTTGTCGTCCTAGAAACATTTAATTGCAATTTACATATTTTTAGCTTTCAATTCTTACATCAATTTCGAATCTTCTAATTGTTTTCCAATATTTTTCAACGAATTCTGTCAGATATTTCAATCTGACCTCTTCTGCTCTTCCATTTTCAATCTTCATCCATTTTATTTCTTTTTTATCATTTCGATCCTCTTTACTGAAATAAGACAAACGATTAACACTGAAAACAGAATTTTTATCAGAAAAAATTGGCGAAAAAATCTTACGTTTTATAAACAACGATTATTTGAGGTTGCGATAAACTTAAAATATCGATAAATTCCAAGCAATAATGAAAACAACGCAATTTTCCAAGTCCGATATGAATTTCTGGATGATTTGAATTGTTTATTTTGATAGATGTTAGAAAATTCTTCGATTCTTTCACTTCATCTTCACATTTTTTCGAACATTGCAAGAATTTGCATTTTGTTTTCACATCCATTCCATCAATTACCACTTCTCGCATCTCCAATGGTAAATCAAACCACGAAATATCATTTTCTTGGCAGGAACTCTGAAAAAAATATTCTTCGGATCTTTTTTAAAATTCGAATTCAAAACAAACCTTATCTCCAGCTATTTTTCGTTTTCTCGATTTTCTTGGCATTGTTTAAGCAAATTCTTGAGAGCTGAAATGTTTTTCTTTGAATCACAAGCAAGACAATATATTAATACAAGCTGAAAAGTGAGAAAAACACAAGAAATAGGAAACTTCCCAAAAAAAAACAAAAATACATGTGCGTCAAATAAAATGCATTGTGTGCATGTGTTTGCACATTTGTTGCGAACTACAGTACCATTATTTTTTTTTCGTTTTTACCCCAAACTTACCTGATATAATTTAACACAACTCACTGTGTTTTTTCACCCAAAACCCATAAACTAACCTGACATGAGGTCCATTTGTATAAGAATCAAATCCTCAAAATCCATTTTTGTTTTCATCATTGAAATTGGAGTCACGAAATTCCACAAAATGAAATATTTCAAGAAGTGAGCGTCCAACCTGAAAAAAAAGAGATCTAGTGTGATTTTTTCGACAAAATAAAAAATTAATTTCAAAAATGTTCGTGTGGGCTGCCAATCGATATAGAACAACGAAAAATTGTTGAAAAATCCCGCGTGATCTACACTGTGTATTCACATTTGCGGGTCTAGGATTTATGAATAGAGAAACCAACAAAGAAAGTGCGCTCTATCGAACTGTTCGCAGCAGTTTTTTTTTAATTTTCAAAATTCATTTTTTGTTTTTTTTTTCGAAAGGGTTCCCGTTACACTTTTCCCGGGAAGTACTGTAGAGTTTGCGCGTAGTGTTTGCGGATTTTTTCAAGGCATATTTTTTTTTAAGATTTTCATTTTATTTCTTCAAAAAAATTGAAATTAGGTCAATCACGTGAACACGTCCGAGTTGTGTATAAAAAGTGGAATTTTTCAAAAATGTCTCAGTTTTTGTCCATTTTTCACCCATAGTGGTTTCTACATATTTTCATCTTAATCATGACAGGTTTGAGTTAGATGGGGAAAAAATAAAAGTAGAATTTTTGCAGTCAATCCAAACAATGATGCATCACAACGTAAATCGAAAATATCGCCGAGTGTGAGTTTTGAGTAGAATATTATCGAAAATCTCATCGGTACCACGCGCTCCACCGAAATAAATACGCAACGCAGACCGCGCCGCGCCACACACTTCGTTTCAGGGTGAACAAATAGAGACAGAGAGAGCATGCAGAGTGCGAAAGAAACCGCGAAATTTTATAAGGCTGGCAACCAGCCAACTGATGGGTCCTGAAGCGATGGTCCATGTTCCTTTAAACGATTCATATTTACGGGGTTCTTTTTTGTCTGCGCTGCGGTTTCTCTATTTGTTCGTCCCAACACAGGGTTGAAACGAAGTGCACAACACACATAAAAAGGGAGACAATTTGAATCGTTCCCTTATTTGTGTTTTTTGTGGCGCGGCGCGGTCTGGGTTGCATGTTTATTTCGGTGGAGCGCGTGGTACCGATGAGATTTTCGATAATACATTTTTGAAAAGTTCCGATTCTGACACCGAAATGCTCGATTTTTAGAGCAGAAGACAACGAAAACCGGCGGCTGCTCCAACATCTCTAATTCGCGAAAAAGAACAATTGAGCGGAAGAGCACAAGCAACAACAATTGATGATGGAAGTATTCGAACAATAAAAAGGAGCAAAACCCAACAAAAATAATATCGATGATTCGTTGAGAAGTGCAGTTTTAGAAGATAAACCTATGGCTTTTTGGTCGAAAAAACTAATTGAAAGGGAATGGTATCATGGAGTTATGCCAAGAGAAGAATGTAATGCACTTTTGACGGTGAGGCGTTGATGCGTAGTGGAATTATGAAAGGAGGGGATACGGAGTTGATGAAACGCCTGTTTTTCCTGAACAAAATTCGTCGGTACAGTAATAGCATTTGGCGGCGCCCGGTTCTATCTCCTAGGAACCCTAGGAAAATTTCGAAACAATCATACATACGTAATTTCATCTCTTCTCTTCGAATAAGTATAGTAAAAGTCTTAAAAATTCGTTTTTCACGTAGAAAAACGTGAAAAACTGAAATCGCTGCGAGACCTCACTCTTTCAAAAAATGTGTGCGCCTTTGATTTTCTGAGAATTTGATTTTCAGCCTCTAACTACTTTGACAAAGCGTTTTTCAGTACAAAGTAAACAGTTTTCCTTATTCATCTCGACGAGACGAATCAGATGGTATACTCAACTTTTTCTGAAAATGCCTCTAACATGGTGAAAATGCTCTGAAATCACTATCTAGTGTAAACACCGCGACGCACAAATGCACAAATCCTCTATTTTCCAGACCGACGGCGATTTTTTGGTTCGAAAAACGACGGAAAAATCGAAGCCATTCTTCTGTCTCACAGTTCTTTTCAAACAAGAACCTCGACATTTTCCATTATTCTTTGAAAATGGCGGATGGACGTTGAAAAAGGGTGAGTTATTATCGAAAATCTCATCGCGTTCCACCGAAATAAACACGCAACGCAGACCGCGTCGCGCCACAACACACACAAAAAAGGGAGGGAATTTGAATCGTTTCCTTATTTGCGTGTGTTGTGGCGCGTCGCGGTCTGCGTTGCGTGTTTATCTCGGTGGAGCGCGTGGTACCGATGAGATTTTCGATAATATCTATGAAAACCTCCCGTCAAAAATGATTTGCAGCTCGAAAAACCGCAAAAATTCGGACACTTGGTTGAATTGCTCAATTGGTTGGTTACTCAAAAATATCAATTAGCACCAACCACAGCGATTCTTGTTCGAGCTGTTCGACAAGCAAAATACTATATTCAACATGATGAAATTGAGCTGATCGATAAATTGGGAGCCGGTGCATTTGGACAAGTTTGGAGAGGAAAATTGAAGAAAAAAGGGGAGGAGCCGATTGATGTGGCGGTGAAGAAAATGAAGGGAAATCCGAAGAAATCAATGTTGAGGGGATTTGTGAAAGAGGCGAAACTTATGAGAACTTTATCGCATCCGAATATGGTTAGAGTTATTGGAGTTGCGCCAATGGAAGAACCACTGATGATTGTTATAGAACTAGCTAAGAATGGATGTATGCAGGTATGCTGCTCCACCAAAATAAACACGCAACGCAGACCGCGCCGCGCCACAACACACACAAAAAAGGGAGGGAATTTGAATCGTTCCCTTATTTGTGTGTGTTGTGGCGCGACGCGGTCTGCGTTGCGTGTTTATTTCGGTGGAGCGCGTAAATACCGATGAGATTTTCGATAATAAGGTTCGATTGATTTAAAAAAATTATTTTCAGAGCCACCTTCGCAAGGAGAAAGTTAGCCCAATTGAAAAATTGACAGGATTTGCAGTTGACACCGCTCGTGGAATGGCTTATTTATCATCAACAATGATTATTCATCGTGATTTAGCTGCTCGTAATTTATTACTTGGTGCAAATATGGAAGTTAAAATTAGTGATTTTGGTTTATCAGAAAGTGGAAAAACTGAAGTGAAAGCTGCGAAAATTAAAGTTCCGATTAGATGGTTGGCACCTGAAACAATTGACACTGCAATATTCACAACGAAAACTGATGTTTGGTCATTTGCAGTTACAATGTGGGAAATATTCACAAATTGTATCACTGATCCATTTCCTGGACTTACAAATTCTCAAGCAAAAGATATTATTCGACAAAAACATCCACCTTTAGAAGTTCCTTGTGCAAATCCAGCAAACACTGAAGCTATCAAGAAAATTAATAGTATTATGGCTGAATGTTTTGCGAAAAATCCGGAGCTACGACCAACATTTTGGGAGATTTTGAAGAAATTGGCACCCGAAGAAAATGCGGAACAATATAGTAAGATTGAACCGTTGCCAGAGTTATCGGAGAAGAAAATGAGTGGAAGTAGAAGAATGAAAAAAGGTGGAGGAAAGACTGTGCCGACTGGATTGAGTGTTGAAACTGTGACTGAAAAAACGGCGGAAAATGTTGAAGATTTGGAGAAAACTTCGAAAACGGTACGCATTTTTTATCTAAAATCTTGCCAAAAACCTGAAATTCTTTCAGAAAAAATCGAAACGCGCTCCACCGGACCTCAAAAAATGCGATTCAACATTTTTGTCGCCAAGTTTTGCGGATGGCGGAAGTCGAAGAGTGAAAAAGAGCAAAATGACACCGAATTTGTTGACAAATACTGAAACCGAAAAAACATTGGAAAATGAGAAGAAATCTGAAGAAGCGCCAAAAAATGAAGGGGAAGAACAGAAGAAAATTGAAGAAAATGGAGATAATCCGGTTGAAAAATCGAATTGAATAAAGATTTTTACAATTAAAAAGTCTCAAGTGCGCTCTACCGCACTCTTTTTCTGGCGGCGGGGAATTTGTGTAGTTCTCAAGGAGAAGTCGGTACTTATTTGTACCTATTTTCTATTATCATAAATCTCAGTACCACGCGCTCCACCGAAATAAACACGCAACGGTAGAGGCGCCGCGCCACAACACACACACACAAATAAGGGAACGATTCAAATTCCCTCCCTTTTTTGTGTGTGTTGTGGCGCGGCGCGGTCTGCGTTGCGTGTTTATTTCGGTGGAGCGCGTGGAGTACCGCGTATTTTCACCAAAATCTCAAGAACGGCTGCATCATGGTGAGGGGATTTTCTTTAAAAAAAAACCGACATATTTCCTACAAAAACAGTTTTCAGAAAACTTAATGCGTGTAAAATGAGTTAGACAGCACACAAGCTACACTTTTTTTCATGGCGCAGCGGAATTTGCTGTAGTTCTCGAGGAGAAGTGACCGATGAGATTTTTGATATAATACCTACATAAATTTTTGTGTTTTTTTAATTAAAAACTTTATCTATAGATCTCTGAGCCAAGATTTAGCAATATGTCGATATTTTTCAGCTAACTCCGATTCTTCTTCTTCTTTTGCTTTTTCAACATTTTTTCTCTGACAAACATAGACAAAATAATGAAAATGTTCGCCGAATTCAAACATTTTTGAAATTCTCCAATTTTTTTCTCGAAGCAAAGCGGGAATTCGAAAATGTGGTTGAGTGAAAGAAACTGAGATGAATAGACCTGAAAATTAAAGTGGAAGAATTAGAAAATTCTAATGAAACTAAATAACCTCCTGGCTTTAATATCCTACAAATTGAGCTGAAAATGCTCTCAAGACTTCGAAGTGCTGAATCTGACGGTTCCCATGCACTTTTTTCATTCACTAAAATCGCCTCGATTGTGGCTTTCTCGAAAACAATATCAAATTCTTGATCTTCTAGATTTTCCAAACTTGTTATATCATCAGTTATCCATTTCATATGTGGATAATTCTGTTTGCAATTCGATATTAAAACTTCGGAATAATCGATATTTGTGATATTATGATAGCCTAATTCATAAAGTTGCATTGATACTTGACTTGAGCCGCATCCAATGTGCGCTATTCTGAATACAAAATCTTCTTTTTTTTTCAAAAAATTTTCCATTGAACCTAAATACATACTTTGCGTCAAATGGGATGATTGGCTGAAGAATGTGTTGAAAATCTTTGAGCCCACTTAACCACTCGAAATTCTCCTCGGTTTTGAAGCGCTCGTCCCAATAGTCTTTTCTGGCGTATTGCGAATTTGATTCCATTTTTTAAGCGGCTGAAAAATAGCTTTTTTGCGGGAAAAATGAGAAAAAATGAAAAAATAAAATAAAGGCGCATTGATTTATTGGATTGGGTCCTGGCGCGATGTGACTGTTTGTGTATTTCTCCCGGACAATTTTTCGTTTTTTTTCAAAAAATTTTTTTTGGTGGGTTTTCTGGTGGTTTCATGGGCTTTACAGGGAAGATTGGGAAGTTTTAAAGCAATGAAATGAAAAAGTATGAAATTTGGAGGATTTTCATGCAAAAACCTGAGAATTCATAGATTTTTCAAGGAAAATTCTGGGGTTTTTAAAAAATCTTAAATTTTCAGTTTTTATTCAAAAAAAAAATCGCCAAAATTGTTGCTTTTCCTAAAAAAAAAGTTGAATGCAACAAACGCGCTCCACCGCACAATGTTGTTTTTATTATATTCTCCTCTTTTTCGTTGACATTGCATGCAAAGTTTCGAAATTCTTGCCGAACTCGATGAAAATGTGCTGAATTTGCTGAAAATCCTGAAACTCAAACGAGATGTAGTTTTTGAGAATGAGGTGAAAGGAATGGCGAGACGACGAATTGTGATGGGATTTCATGAAATTTTGAAATATTTGAAAAGTGGCCGGATTAAAGCGGTGATTGTTGCGAGAAATATGAATTGGCAGGAGGAAGCGAGAAGAGGTTGGTGAACAATTTTTCTTAGAATTGAACAAAAAATATAAAAAATACATTTTCAGGTCTGAAAAACATGTGTGATGTTGAAAAAATCTGCGTTTCTCAAGGAATCCCCCTAATTTCCGCGTCCACCAAACGAATCTTGGGAAGAATTCTACAAAAACATCCCTATATTTCTGCCATTGGTATTTTCGATATTTCTGGATACGAAGAGGAATTCCAGAAAATTCTAAATCTCTGGAAAATCGATGACGCCTTTAAAATGTATCATTTAGACCAGAATTCGATGTTTGCCTAATAAATTTTTCAAAAAAAGAGAATTTTTAAAAGTTTTTTGGTTGTAAACCATGGAAATACCTGATTTTTTAAAAATAACGTTATTTCTTTTTGAAAATCTATTTTTCTGGTTTTTTGCTCGAAATTGGATGCTTGCCAGAAGTGTTACACGGTGTTTGTTTTTTGCAGGTTTTGTGTGTTTAACAAAAAAATATGAATTTCTCAAGGGAATTTGTGAAAAATGCATGTGTCCCTTTAAACTAACCCGCTTTGTTCTTTAAAAAAACTCTTTCCTTATTAATTTCAGGTTTCCTTAGAGTTATAAGCTCTTCCACTTCTTCTTCTTTTCCAACTTCTTTTTCGTCCCCATCAAGGACATTTTTAGCAGCAATAATAGGTTTGTTTTCTCTTTGTTTTTTATCAAAAAAAAAAAAAAAGTTTCGGCGCGTCAAAAATCAATTTTTTCCCGGACATTTTTTTGTTGCATGTTCTTTGTTTTGTGTTGCAAAAAATGGATTTTTGGCTTGAAAATCCGGTTTTTCATGGGAAAATGCAGGCTTGCTTGTGTTTTCACATGAAAAGTTGGGTTTTCAGGCTGAAAATCAAGATCTACACTGAAAATTTCGAGTTTTCATGGGAAAATGCAGGCTTGCTTGTGTTTTCAGATGAAAAACGGGATATTCGGGCTGAAAATCATGAAAATATTGATTTTTCATGGGAAAATGCAGGTTTACTTGTGTTTTCAGATGAAAAGTTGGGTTTTCAGGCTGAAAATCAAGATCTACACTGAAAATTTCGAGTTTTCATGGGAAAATGCAGGCTTGCTTGTGTTTTCAAATGAAAAACGGGATATTCGGACTAAAAATCATGAAAATATTGATTTTTCATAGGAAAATTCAGGCTTGCTTGTGTTTTCAGATGAAAAGTCGAGTTTTCAGGCTAAAAATCATGAAAATTTCGAGTTTTCATAGGAAAATGCAGGCTTGCTTGTGTTTTCAGATGAAAAGTTGGGTTTTCAGGCTGAAAATCAAGATCTACACTGAAAATTTCGAGTTTTCATAGGAAAATGCAGGTTTACTTGTGTTTTCAGATGAAAAGTTGGGTTTTCAGGCTGAAAATCAAGCTCTACACTGAAAATTTCGAGTTTTCATGGGAAAATGCAGGTTTACTTGTATTTTCAGATGAAAAACGGGATATTCGGGCTAAATATCACGAAAATATTGATTTTTCATGGGAAAATGCAGGTTTACTTGTGTTTTCAGATGAAAAGTTGGGTTTTCAGACTGAAAATCAAGCTCTACACTGAAAATTTCGAGTTTTCAAATTAAAAACGCGATTTTCGGGCTAAAAATCATGATTTTCAGGGGCTTTTCGGTATTAGCCTATGAAAAACTAGATTTTCAGTTCAAAAATTAAATTTTCCAACTCTAAAGCCCCTTGCTCATATTTTTGCAAAATTTGAAAAAAAATTCAAATTTTGAAAAACCAAATCCTAACCCATTTTTCTTCAAATAAAAAGCTTTTTCAAAAAAAAAATGCTCCTCATTTTACATGCTTAACACGAAGGGTTAATGAGATGAGTAAAAAGATGGCAATTTTCTTATTTGCTCATTGAGCACAAAAAAACAACTCAAACGTAGAAAAATCGATTTTGTTGCTTTTTTGCTTGATTTTCTGCTAGCTTCTCGTCTTCTTCTAAAATTTATCAAGCACAAACTAATCCGGATGTTTTTCATTCTTTTTATAATAATACTACTGCTAACCAAAAAATATAGAAAGAAATAGAGTAAAATCAATTTTTTAGATGAAAATAGCTATGACGTGGCAAAAATTCTATTTTATTTGGATTTTTGAGTAAATGGAATAGGGTATCAGGTTTCTAGTTGTTTTTCAAGCTTTTTGAAAAATTCGAAAATAACTGAAAATTCTTCCACGTCATAAATATAAGTATAGCTTTAAAATAAATATTTTTGTAGTTAGAAAGCTTCTCAAAAAATTCTCTCTATATATTTTCCCCATTTTTTCTGTGATTATTAATATTTCATAAGGATTTCCCTTGCCCTTTTTCAGCTTTTCAGTTTATAAGCTGTTTTTCTTCTTCAGGGTCTTCACTTTCATCTCGTTCACTTTGTTTTACAAACAATTCGTCGTCGGACGAGGAAAATTCACAAAGAGTTGGTTTTTTTTTGGGAAATTGGCTCAAAAATTGAAAATTTTGTAATAAAATATATAGAAAAAAGTTTTGCCGGATCTGAAAATTTGAGTAAAAACCCAGATTTTATGGATTTTCACTGAAATTTTGAGATCCCGCGCAGTGAAATCTATCGTCAATTTTTTTTCGAGCAAAGCGAGTGTAAACCGCAAGCTTCCGCGTTAGCGGCACTATCTTCCGCTTCAGCGGCCATGTGGTTTATGATAGTGTAAGTGTCGCCACTTCATAGTCATCCGAAGCGGAACCTTCCGGTTTACACTCGCTCCGCTCGGAAAATCGATTTTCTCATGCCGGATCTGAAAATTTCACTGAAAACCAAGATTTTTTTTTGAGTTTTCACTGAAATTTTGAGATCCCGCGCAGGCAAATCTATCGCCAATTTTTTTCGAGCGAAGCGAGTGTAAACCGCAAGCTTACGCGTTAGCGGCACTATCTTCCGCTTCAGCGGCCATGTGGTTTATGATACTGTAAGTTCGTCACGTCATAGCCATCCACGTGGCCGCTGACGCGGAAGCTTCCGGTTTACACTCGATTTTCCCATGCCGGATCTGAAAATTTCAGTGAAAACCAAGATTTTTTTGAGTTTTCACTGAAATTTTGAGATCCCGCGCAGGCAAATCTATCGCCAATTTTTGAATTTAAATTTAAATATCGATTTTTCAAATTTCAGATGGGCTCAATTTCTCAAGGAACTCCATCAATTGTTCAACCAAAAGGAGAGCACAAAGCTACTGTAAGTTTCTTCCCCTAACTCAAAAAATCTAACCTGAAATTAATTTCAGGTGATTTTCTTGCATGGTTTGGGAGATCAAGGACACGGTTGGGCTGATGCTTTCAAATCGGAAGTTCGATTGGATAACACTAAAGTTATCTGTCCACACAGGTACTTAAAACTGAGAATTTCAGAAAAAATTGAATAGGGGGACTAAAATTCATAGAAAACCCCAAAATTTATCTGAAAATCTCAAATTTTCATAGGAAAATTCAGGTTTACTTGCGTTTTCACATGAAAATTCGAATTTTTCAGATGAATTTTGGCCCAATAAATATCTGAAATTGTCGTTTTCGTGTTGAAAATATGCTGGAATTTCAGCCATCATATTTTCAACAGGAAATCGGCGGAGATGCGGAAGCTATGCCCAAATTTTGGATTTTTCTTGTGTAGTTCTCGAGGAGAACGTAGAGAAATTCGAAGATAAGGTTTTTGTAGTTCTCGAGAACAAGTTCTGAAAAATGTTCCTTCTCGAGAACTACACAAGTTTCCAGATTCCTCAAGTAATGTTTTTTAGCGCTGAACGTTCAGTAACCCTAAACATGGGAATGCGTATGCCAGCCTGGTATGATTTATTCGGTTTGGATGCCGCCGCACGAGAAGATGATTCTGGCATTTCAGCCGCCGCACAATACGTTCATAGTTTGATCGATGCTGAAATTGCAGCCGGTATCCCAGCCAACAAAATTATTGTTGGCGGATTTTCGATGGGTGGAGCATTGGCGATTTATTCCGGATTGACTTATTCGAAGACTTTGGGAGGAATTGTTGGACTCAGTTCGTTCTTTTTGCAAAGAACTAAATTCCCAGGGGTTAGTGAGTTATGACGTGGCAGTTTTTAGAGCTTATTATCTTACAGTCCTACACCGCCAATAATTCCACAAAAATCTTCTTGGGACATGGTGCAGCCGATTTCCTGGTTCCTCTTTCAATTGGTCAATTATCCGAACAATTAATCAAGAAATTCAATCCAAACGTCGAATTGCATATTTATGGATCAATGGCACATTCATCGTGTCCACAAGAAATGCGAGAACTTGCCGAATTTATCAAAAATGCGGTTATTCAATAAATTTGCGTTGTTTTCTTTATTTTTTGTAGGTTTTTTGAAGATTTTTGATAGAAAACTTCCAAAATTCATCTGAAAATCTCAAATTTTCATAGGAAAATTCAGGTTTACTTGCGTTTTCACATGAAAATTCGAAATTTTCAGATGAATTTTGGGCTAAAAAAAAGAGTCCGAAAATGTCGTTTTCGTGTTGAAAATATGCTGGAATTTCAGCCATCATATTTTCAACAGGAAATCGGCGGAGATGCGAGAGCTATGCCCAATTTTTGAATTTTTGGATGAAAATTTGGAACTTTGTTGATATTTAGATCACTAAAATTTATAGAAAATCCCAAAATTCATCTGAAAATTCGAAATTTTGGTCCAAAAAATATCTGAAAATGTCGTTTTCGTGTTGAAAATATGCTGGAATTTTAGCCATCATATTTTCAACAGGAAATCGGCGGAGATGCGGAAGCTATGCCCAAATTTTGAATTTTTGGATGAAAAATTGGAGCTTTGTTGAAATTTAGATCACTAAAATTCATCTGAAAATCTCAAATTTTCATAGGAAAATTCAGGTTTACTTGCGTTTTCACATGAAAATTCGAAATTTTGAGATGAATTTTGGTCCAAAAAAGAATCTGAAAATGTCGTTTTCGTGTTGAAAATATGCTGGAATTTTAGCCATCATATTTTCAACAGGAAATCGGCGGAGATGCGGAAGCTATGCCCAATTTTTGGATTTTTCTTGTGTAGTTCTCGAGGAGAAATTCGAAGATTTTGAATTTTCATCAAAAAATGTCCAAAAAAAATCGATAATTCCCATCAAAATTGAGCAATTTCATGGTGAAAATGTCGAATATTTATTATACAACTCTCAAATTTGTATAATCTTTTTCAGGCATTCGAGCTTCGAGTTCATATAATGTGTCATCTGACTCATTACGATGTTGCATCATGTAAGCACGTCTGCAAAAAAACATTATTTATAAATAGCCATTTATTGATTGATTTTCCATGTAAAAAAGTCGAAATAAATACCTTTCATTTCTTTGTTGAACCGATCTTTTGATATAATCAAGATCTTCTTGAGTCAATTGTGGTCGGTAGATTTTTTGTGTTGTTGTTGGTGCTGAAATTACCAATTCAAATTATTTTTGTCTGAAATTTTTTGAAAAAAACTTGCCGATTGCCACTGTTTTGTTGTCACGAAGATTTAGCACTTCCTAGAAAAAAATCTGAAATTTTTCAGCTTCTGGGGCTTTCAGATTTTTCGCTGAAAATTTGAATTACAGACTCACCTTTCTCTTGCCAACTTTAACCGCTCCCATATTTTCCATAACCTGAGCAATGGGTGCTTTTTTGTTGCGTTCCGGTGAATTTTGTTTGTCGGGGAATGGATAATAGGCGGACGGGGCGTATTTTTGAATTTCCGCCGGTTTTTTTTCAGCCGCAAAATATTGTCCGTTTTGTGTCGCGTCATCGTCTTTTTCCGCGCGTAAATCATCCGGAATTTGCCTGGAAAAATAGAGTTTTCTGCGTCTCTAACTCTGTTCTCTGGTCGTCTGACTCTGACTCGCTCTAGCGTTTTCTGCCTCTCTAACCGTCTAACTTGGAACCTCCTTCGTTCCTCTACGTCTCTAACCTTTCGCACGGACTTTCCTACATTTTATAGTCACTCTGGTTGTCTGACTCTAACCCGTCTAGAGACACTCTGCTTCTCTGACAAATGCCCTGTTGATTTTCCCGGTATTCGTAGTGTCTGATTGTCTGCGTCTCTCATCTCTCTTCCCCTGCGTCTCTAACCTTCAGCATGGTCTTGATTGTTCTTCCCTACATTTTATAGTTACTCTGGTTGTCTGACTCTATCCCGTCTAGAGACACTCTGCTTCTCTGATCATAGTGTCTAACTGTCTGCGACTCTCACTGATCTCTACCCCTCTGCGTCTCTAATATTCATAGTATCTGGTGGTCTGACTCTGTCTGTCGCGATTTCTCTGCGTCTCTAATCTCTCATGCTCGCTAGCTGGCTAATTATGTCATTTTGGATGTCTTTGCGTCCCTAACCTACCCTCGTTTCTCTGCCACCCCCTCCTGCTCTTCCTCTACGTCTCTAACCATCAGCACGGTCTTTCCTACATTTTATAGTTACTCTGGTTGTCTGACTATAGCCATACACTTGTCTAGAGATACTCTGCGTCTCTGACTGAATTTCTCGGTACGCATAATGTCTAACTGTCTGCGTCTCTCATCTCTCAGGCTCTAGCTGTCTGATTCTATCATTTTTTGAATGTGTATGCGTCTCTGCCTTTCCCTATGTCTCTAAACTCTAACATGACCTCTTATAGTCTTTCCTACATTTTATAGTCACTCTGGTTGTCTGACCCTACCATATCTAGAGAGACTCTGCTTCTCTGATCATAGTGTCTAACTGTCTGCGCCTCTCACTGATCTCTACACCTCTGCGCCTGACTCTGTCCGTCGCGATTTCTCTGCGTCTCTCATGCTCTCTAGCTGTATGATTCTGCCTTTTTCTATTTTCACTGCGTCTCCAACCTACCCTCGTTTCTCTGCCACCCCCTCCTCCTCCTCCTCTACGTCTCTATCCCTCTCCTTCTCTATCGCCTCCATTTTCACCGTCTTCAATTGTCTCAATCCACCTTTTCTCTGCGTCTCTCCATGATGATCTATCGAGTTGTTGTTGTTATTGAGTAGAATATTTCGCGACAAACTCGCCTGCGACTGTTTCTGATTCGCCGCGTCAAAATGCGCCACCGTATTCTGCTGCGGTTTTTGATCGCGATTCAGAATAGGCGGCGCCCCGGCGAATTTTTTCGATTTTGAGTTTTTGCTGTGAGTGCATCCCATGATTTCTGCAAAATTTTGGGATTTTCAGCGAAAAATTCGCAAAAATCTGATTTTTCTCGTGAAAATCAGCGATTTTGTCGCTAAAACATGAATTTTCAGCGAAAAATTCGCTATTTTTTGACCTACACATATGATAACTGTTTTTACAAGGTGCTAAGGTGAGAAATGAGCTTTTCACCTTGAAAAATCTTTTTTTTTTCGCAATTTTTTTGTTCTGGTCACGTTTTTAATGCTAAATTTCAAAAAATTTTCCAGCTTTTCCTCAAAATGTCGACAGCAAGTAGTAAAAAGAAGCCGCAAATTGTCGTATGTCAAAAATGCGATATTTTATTGTTGGCCAAAGACACACAAAGGCATCAGGATTTTTGTGGAGTAAAAGCTGAAAATTGTAGAGAATCTGAAAAAGAAATCGCTGAAATTGATGCGAAGCGACAAAAATTGCGAGGATTCAATACGTCGATTGAAAAAGCTTCGACTTTTTTGCCGCCAGATGCTGTTGGATGGGAAAAGGTAGGCTATGACGTGGCGAACTTACAGTATTATGAACCATGTGGCCGCTGAAGCGGAAGATAGTACCGCTGACGCGGAAGCTTGCGGTTTACACTCGCTTCGCTCGAAAAATCGATTTTCTCGTGCCATTTTTCCGAGCGAAGCGAGTGTAAACCGCAAGCTTCCGCGTCAGCGGCACTATCTTCCGCTTCAGCGGCCACGTGGCTTTTGGATACTATACGTGTGCCACGTCATAGCCATCCACGTGGCCGCTGACGCGGAAGCTTGCGGTTTACACTCGCTTCGCTCGAAAAATCGAATTTCTCATGCCGGATCTGAAAATTTCAGTGAAAACCAAGATAATTTTTGAGTTTTCACTGAAATTTTGAGATCCCGCGCAGGAAAATCTATCGCCAATTTTTTTTCGAGCGAAGCGAGTGTAAACCGCAAGCTTCCGCGTTAGCGGCACTATCTTCCGCTTCAGCGGATGGTTTATGACGTGGCGAACTTACAATATCATGAACCACGTGGCCGCTGAAGCGGAAGCTTGCGGTTTACACTCGCTCCGCTCGAAAAATTGATTTTCTCATGCCGGATCTGAAAATTTCAGTTAAAACAAAGAGTACAGAAGTATTATTGAAAAAAATATTCGATAAAAAATTATATCAAAATTTTGAAACGTATTTTTTTTGTTTTTGAAAAATTCGAATTTTTGAATCAAAATTTTACTCAAAAAGCCGAAATGAAGCAATTTTGAGCTCAAATTTTATCAAAAATGTAGATTATCAATTTATTTTCCGAGCGGAGCGAGTGTAAACCGCAAGCTTATCCGCGTTAGCGGCCACGTGGTTTATGATACTGTAAGTTCGCCACGTCATAGCCACCGCTGAAGCGGAAGATAGTGCCGCTAACGCGGAAGCTTGCGGTCTACACTCGCTCCGCTCGAAAAATTGATTTTCTCATGCCGGATCTGAAAATTTCAGTGAAAACCAAGATTTTTTTTGAGTTTTCACTGAAATTTTGAGATCCCGCGCAGGCAAATCTATCGTCAATTTTTTTTCGAGCTTAGCGAGTGTAAACCGCAAGCTTCCGCGTTAGCGGCACTATCTTCCGCTTCAGCGGCCACGTGGTTTATGACACTGTAATTCCGCCACGTCATAGCCATCTACGTGGCCGCTGAAGCGGTGTTCCGCAAGCTTCCGCGTCCACAGTAACCCTCATTTTTAAAGGAACATTCAATTCTTCTCAACCCAACAACCATGGAAAATCTAGAGATTCAGGCGAGAAGCCCAGTTCGAATTTTATATGAGAATTTGAGTTTTATTGGAGTGGTTTGGCCGTGTAAAGAGGTGAGTAATTAGCGAATTTTAATTAATTAATTACCCAATTAATTAAATTCAAGGTTGCTCTTCTCAAAATCCACGTCATAAGCCAAATTATTCCACGTGAACGTATGATTACTGTAGAAAAACTGGAAAACTTGGAAAAATGCCAAAATTTGAGTGTGGAAGTTAGGGGAACTCTGAGATCTTCTGAAGCATTGAGAGAGTTTTTAGAGGTGAGCTGAAAATTTCAAATTTTCGAGCTGAAAAAATTTCAGATGTACTTCTCACATTCATATTTGGCGGCTGAAAATTGGCTGGAAATTCGGTATTTGGGACAGAAATTGGCGGTTTTGCCCAAAATTGGATTCGAGGCTGAAATGAGCAATTTGAGATTGGATGGGGCTCCAAATCCGGCTCAAATTCTAGCGCCAAAAATTGGATATCGATTGGAAATTCTGGAATTTTCGTCCACAGCTTCTCCGTCTGAAAATTTGTCTGAAATTGGAGGAATGTTTGAAGTTTTGCGGATTTTTGACACTTATTTATTAGCGCCTTTGAAGAATTCTGAAATGCCGTGTTCGATTTTGGTTTGGGGATTGGCGGGAAGTGGAAAAACGACGATTTTGAGGAAAATGGCCACGATTTTGAGAGCCACATATGTTAAGGTACTGTAGTTTTTGGCGGGAAATTTTACAGTAATCCTGTTCGTTTTAGGGGCCTTTTGTAGATCAAATTTCTGGCCAAAGAAATCTACAGTAATCCTAGAATTTTGGGGGCGAAAAAGCTACAGTAATCCTAGAATAATTCTAAATTTTGTAGATCAAATTTATGCAGCTGAAAATCTACAGTAATCCTAGAATTTTTTGAGAGAAAAAGCTACAGTAACCCTAGAATAGTTCCACATTTCAGGCCAAAGAAATCTACAGTAATCCTAGAATTTTTGAAGAGAAAAAGCTACAGTAATCCTAGAATAGTTCCAAATTTTGTAGATCAAATTTCAGGCCATAGAAATCTACAGTAATCCTAGAATTTTTGGAGAGAAAAAGCTACAGTAACCCTAGAATAGTTGCAAATTTCAGGCCGAAGAAATCTACAGTAATCCTAGAATTTTTGGAGAGAAAAAGCTACAGTAACCCTAGAATAGTTCCAAATTTTGTAGATCAAATTTCTACAGTAATCCTAGAATTCTTGGAGCCAAAAATTTTAAATTTCAAAATTTAATTTTCAAACGTGACCTTTTTTCTATTTTTTTTCGAAAAATTCAAATTTTCAGAATTGCGAAGAATTGTCTGAAATTGTCGGAAGTCCCTCAATCATTTTTCTGGATTTGAACGAAATTGACAAGGAAAATCAAAAGGCTGTGAAAAATTTGAACGAATTTCTGCAAAATGAAAATGTGAGTCACTTTTTGAAATTTTTTTTTCAATTTTTCAGCAAAAAAATCTGGAAAATTTACAGATTTGCGTGATTTTATCGGTTAGATCTGCTGAAAATTTGGATATTGGAGTGAGAGTCAGATTTCCGGTTGAGGTAGGATTTTTGGGCCTATTTTAGGCCTTTTTATCTGAAAAGGTCTTAATTTTTAGGCCTATTTCAAGCCTAGATCTCAGGCCTTAAAAAACTAGGCCTAAGCCCAAAAAATCCCCAATTTTTCAGGCTGAAATCACAGTTCCAACACAAGAAGAGCGATTTGATATTCTCCAAAAATTGGCGCCAAATTTGAGCCCCGAAATTGCGCGCGAAATCTCAAAAACAACTCACGGATTCACGGGCGGCGACTTGGTTTCTCTATTAAAAACCGCCAAATTCTCGAAGCAAAATAGTGAGATTGGAAGGTTTGAAGAGGCGCGGAAAAGGATTCGACCCACTGGAATTCGACAATTTATTCTGGAGGTGGGAAATTTTTGAAATTTTCGGATTCCCTGTAGAATTTGAGGATTTTAGACACCCCACATGGTATATTTTCCTTCAAAAAAAAAATTATAGTTTTTTTTCGTGGCTGAAAATTTCAGAACTGAGATTTCGAGCTAATTTCAGCTCCTGAGACCTATATTTTCGGATTTCCGGTGAAATTTCGAGTTTTTAGACACCCCACATGATATATTTTTCTGAAACAGTAATTTTCGAGATTTTTTAAAGGCTGAAAATTTCAGAACTGGGATTTCGAGCTAATTTCAGCCGCCAAAACTTTCATTTTCAGATTTCCCACGAAATTTGGGGATTTTAGACACCCCACATGATATATTTTTCTGAAAAAATGATTTTCGGTTTTTTTAGTGACTGAAAATTTCAAAACTGGATTTTCTGTCTAAATTGAGGCCCCAAGACCTTTATTTTTGGATTTCCCGTGAAATTTAAGGATTTTAGACACCCATATTAGCCAGGTTTTCACGATTTTTGAAAACCGCGCCGCAGCCGGCATACGCGGCGCGGTTTTCGAAAATCATGGAAACCACGTCAATATGGGTGTCTAAAAACTCGAAATTGTATGGGGAATCTGAAAATCAGAATGAAATCTCTGGAAAAATTTAGGTTCTGTAATTTTTTGGCTGAAAATTTGCAGGTTCCAAATGTGAGTTGGGCGGATATTGGTGGAATGCACGAATTGAAACTCGAAATTCAACAAGCAGTTATTTGGCCACAAAAACATCCGGAAGCATTTGAGAGATTTGGAATTGATCCACCAGCTGGTTAGTTTTTTGTGAAGGGAAAACAACATTTGCATTAGAGCGCACATGCTTCCTGGTGTTTTTCTGAACATTTTCATATATTTTTCAAGGTCTAAAAGCTATTTTAAAGCTAATTATAGCAAATGCGCTCTATTGAGAATTTTCAAAATATTCAAAAAATTTGAATTCTTATTTTTTTTCTGGGTACAAAAGTCGTGTTCGACAGATTTTTTAAATTTGCATTAGAGCGCACTTGCTTTCTGATGTTTTTCTGAACATTTTCATATATTTTTCAGGCTCTAAAAGTAATTTTAAAGCTAATTATAGCAAATGCGCTCTATTGAGAATTTTGAAAATATTCAAAATTTTTGAAATCTTATTTTTTTTTTGCTTGCGAAAAAAAATCATAAATTTCATTTCAAATACGCACTATTCACAGACAAAAAATTAAATTTTCAATTCAAAAAATCAGATTTCAAAATCTCTTCCGCTTCCGGTCTTTTTTCCGCGTCGAAATTTGTCAAAAAACCAAGAAATTCTGAAATTTCCGCGGGAAATTGTTGAAATAATTCGGGGCATTTTCCATTTTGTAAATCCCTGAAAACTGCCAATTTTTCCATTTGTGTCGGAAAATAAATCAATAATTCGATGGAAATTAGCCCAAGTGAGAAAATATCGATTTTTTGCGAGATTTGACGGTTTTGCAGCTGAAAAATGCGATTTTTCGAGCTAAAATTATTATTTTTCATTTTTTGAATCCAAACCTGTTCAGGAGCCATATAAGTCCGTGTTCCTCCCTGATTTTTGCCGCCAAAATTCTCGAATTTTTTCGTCGCCAAACCCAAATCACCCAATTTCAGTCGTTTTTCCGAGTTTGTTGAAGAAATGGCGAAAAATATGTTGCCAGGCTGGAAAAAATGGAGATTTTTTTGGCGGGAAAATGAGAAATTTGAATTTTTCATGCATTTTCGAGCGAAGCGAGTGTAAACCGCAAGCTTCCGCGTTAGCGGCACTATCTTCCGCGTCAGCGGCCACGTGGTTTATGATAGTGTAAGTTTGCCACGTCATAGCCATCCGCGCGGCCGCTGAAGCGGAAGATAGTGCCGCTAACGCGGAAGCTTGCGGTTTACACTCGGGGCCTAAATTTTCAGATTTTTCCAAATTTCGGGCCTAAAAAGGCCCCCAAAAGCCCCTTTACCTTCAAATCTCGATGAATATACCCATTTGCATGTAAATAACACAGCGCTTCAGTCAATTGTCGAATCCAATTTTTCGCGATTTTCAAATCTCTTTGATTTTCTGAAGTTAGCCAATCTGCCAGTGTTCGACTTTCGCATAATTGCATTACAATGTAGAAATAAACTGGAGAAGAATTGGAAGAATTTTGAAAAATTTCGATTTGCCGGTTGTTTTCGGTGGAGCACGTTTGACTCTGTAAAGAAAAAACCCCGTTTTTTTGTTTTTTTTTGTCATTTTCAGGCTGAAATTTCACAAAAAATCTGAAATTTCTCAAAAATCCTACCTCTTGCTCAATTTCTTCCTCATTTTCTTCATTTTCTTCATTTTCCCGATAAAATTCAATATCCGAATCACTTTCTTCTTCAAAATCTCCTTTTCCAATCGAAAATTGCTCATATTTATTATTTCCATCACTCGAAACCGTACTTTTTCCAATTGTACTCGGTATTTCAATACTACTCGAATTTTCCAAAAACAACATTTGATCTCTCGATTTTTGCCATCCTTTTGGCGGTTTTTCTTCCCACGCGTAGAAATATCGAATTATTCCAGGGTGGTCGAAAATTGCGAGAGTTTGGGCTTCGCGTTTTACACGTGAACGTGATTTTTCGCTGCAAAAATTGGAGGATTTAGCCTAACTTCTCTTTTTTTTTGGTAAAAAAATTAAAATTTCAAAAATTTTGAATATTTTCAAAATTCTCAATGGAGCGCATTTGCTATAATTAGCTTTAAAATTAGTTTTAGAGCTTGAAAAATATATGAAAATGTTCAGAAAAACACCAGGAATCAAATGCGCTCTAATGAGAATTTTAATTTTTTGCCAAAAATTCAAAAAACCCACGTATTCTCGACAGCAATTCGTTTAACAGCATAACTAATATCATCCAATCGATGTTTTGCCTTAAAAACCACACCAAATCCACCAGACCCAATGATTTTCTCAATTTCAAATTCTTTTTCAAATCGGCTCTCAAAAGCGGGGGGTTCTATCGATTTTTGAGAATTTTCGAAAAGCAGAATTTTTGAAGCCGGTTTTGGAATGATAACTGAGAAATTTGGACGATTTTTGATGAAATATAACTTGAGCAATGAGCTGAAAATGTATCTGAAAATTTTTTTTTGAAAATTTTTGAAATCCAAAAAATTGCACCCACTTAAAATAATGTGCAAATTTCGAGCTCAAAACCTTGAAAATCGTGCGGAGCCCCAAAAATCGCTGCTCCAAAACCACCAAATATCCATAATCGCCCGAATTGTGCAAAGATGTTGAGCGAAGATTTTCGGAGCCAATTAGAATCGGAGCACTATTTTTTGAGTTGAAGAAAACAATGGCGAGATTTTTTGTGCGGTGGGGCGCATTTGAGAATTTTGAGCATTTGATGGAGCGGTTGAGAAGGGAGGCTGCAAAATATGCGTCAGCAAATTCCATATAAAATGAGATACAAATCAACGCTGACGCATTTTTGGTAACCTGCAAAATATGCGTCAGCAAATTCCATAAAAAAATCAACTAGAATTCAACGCTGACGCATTTCTGGTAGCCTGCAAAATATGCGTCAGCAAATTCCCTATAAAATTATCTAGAATTCAACGCTGACGCATTTTTGGTAGCCTGCAAAATATGCGTCAGCAAATTCCCTTTAAAATCATCTAGAATTCAACGCTGACGCATTTTTGGTAGCCTGCAAAATATGCGTCAGCAAATTCTCTATAAAATCATCTAGAATTCAACGCTGACGCATTTTTGGTAGCCTGCAAAATATGCGTCAGCAAATTTCCTATGAAATGTTCTAGAATTCAACGCTGACGCATTTTTAGTAGCCTGCAAAATATGCGTCAGCAAATTCCCTATAAAATGAGATAAAAATCAACGCTTACGCATTTCTGGTAGCCTGCAAAATATGCGTCAGCAAATTCCCTATAAAATCATCTAGAATTCAATGCTGACGCATTTTCGGTAGCCTTCATTTTCTGCAAATTTTCAAACTACAAAATTTGCGTCAGCATTGAGCCCGCAAAACTTACTCAAACTATCTTCACATATTCCAATTTCCTCCACATTTTTTTCATTTTTTTCATCCAAAAATTGTTTTTCCACAATTTTCTTGGCTTTTTCACTTTGAATTATAAATGGATAACCATTTGAAGTCCCCATGTATAAAATTGGATTTGAATTTGGATTTTTGGCGGTTGTGAAAATGTTGGATGGGTTGAAGAGGCTGATCTGTAAAATTCAAAAATTTGGCGCGAAATTCAAAAATTTAAATTTTCCCCCCACCTCATTTATATGATTTCCAACCAAATTCCAGCATTTCACAATATGCCCATTTATATCAGTTGTCCAATTTTTGTCCAAATCATTTCGGCTAACTATTCCATCAGGAGGTCGTAATTCGATAGTTTTTTCAATTTTCGAGCCATTTTCTGAGCCCATATTAAATGTGCTGCTCAATTCCAATTCTCCAGTTGATAGACTCCATTTTTCGACGCCAGTTTCAGCCTCAAAAACCGCGATTTTCCGCGAAATCCTCTTCAAAAGCAAGATTTTGCGGCTCTCGTCGAGATTTTCGACGATTTTTCCGGTTTCCGCGTCGATTTTGGTGGTTTTTATCGTTGTTCCGCCGCAAACTGATTCGGAAGCGGAAGATAGGGTTGACTGCAAGAAATTTGGTGAAAAATGAGCCTAGAAACCCGATTTTCAGTGAAAAAAGTAGCGTGGCCGAGAAATCCAAATGCAGTGGCCTAGCAACCGACAGATTTGAATTCCTCGGCCACGTTTTTTCGAAGAACGTTTTTCAGCTGAAAATAGTTGAAAATTTGAGTTTTTGGTGTGAAAATTCCTCAAAATTCACCAAAAACTTGAAAATTCCCCAATTTTCACTGAAAAAATCTTTTTTTTCCTCAAAAAATGACCTAAAATTCGATTTTCCTTCGAAAAAAATAACGTGGCCGAGGAATCCAAATGCAATGGCCTAGCAACCGACATGTTTGAATACCTCGGCCACGTTTTTTTCGAAAAACGTTTTTCAGCCGAAAATCTTTTGAAATTTTGAGTTTTCGGTGTGAAAATTCCTCAAAATTCACCCAAAACTTGAAAATTTCACCAATTTTCACTGAAAAATCTTTTTTTCCTCAAAAAATGACCTAAAATGCACCGAAAAACTCGGAAATTCGATTTTCCTTCCAAAAAAATAACATGGCCGAGAAATCCAAATGCAATGGCCTAGCAACCGACAGATTTGAATTCCTCGGCCACGTTTTTTCGAAAAACGTTTTTCAACTGAAAGTTTGAGTTTTTCGTGTAAAAGTTCACCAAAAACTTGAAAATTCCCCAATTTTCAATGAAAAATATTTTTTTCCTCAAAAAATAACCTAAATTTCAACGAAAAGCTCGAAAATCCGATTTTCCATCGAAAAAAATAATGTGACCGAGAAATCCAAATGCAGTGGCCTAGCAACCGACATATTTGAATTCCTCGGCCACGTTTTCTCGAAAAACGTTTTTCAGCTGAAAATTTGAGTTTTTCGTGTGAAAATCCACCTAAAATTTGAAAATTTCACCAATTTTCTCCCCAAAAATCCATACCTGCAGCAATTTTTCAATAGTAATCGATAATGGTTGAATCAAATTCGATTTATGCGAATAAATATAGATTCTACCATCCAAAGTCGGCATAATTTGAACATTTTCGCCGCCGATTTTAAAAACACCGGCTGAACTTAGGCTTCCGTTCAAAAATGGGCCTTCTTTTTCTTGAAATCTCCACAGGATTTGACCATTTTCACTGTTGATTGCGGTTATTTGACCGGATAATGAGCATGTCTGGAAATAATTGCGTCAGTCGCGTGCGGCTCTGCGTCGCGGTCGCAAAAATCGATTGTTTCTCGACCGCGACGCACAGCCGCACGCGAAAAACTCACAATTAATATGTCCAAATATTTGTCTTTACGAAATGGAACCAACGCCATTTGCTATCTGAAAATTATCGATTTTCAGCTCGAATTTGTTACAGGAATTCTTCTCTATGGACCACCCGGCTGTAGTAAAACTCTAATTGCTCGCGCACTTGCCAACGAGGCAAAAATGAACTTTTTGGCCGTGAAAGGACCCGAATTATTCAGCAAATGGGTCGGAGATTCGGAAAAAGCGATTCGGGATTTGTTTTCGAGGGCGAGACAGGTGAGCAAAATCTGAATTTTGAAGAGAAAAGTGAATTTTGACCCGAAATTGATCTAGAAACTTGAAAATTCTCAATTTTCAGTTAAAAATCCGATTTTGCAGTGAAAAATGACCGAAAATTCGATTTTCCTTCGAAAAAAAAACGTGGCCGAGAAATCCAAATGATGTGGCCTAGCAACCGACAGATTTGAATTCCTCGGCCACGTTTTTTTTTCAGCTGAAAATCTTATTTTTCGATGGAAAAGCTTGAAATTCCCAGCTGAAAATCGAAAAATGATGCAATTTCGCTCTACCGCGAAAAAACCACATTTTCTTCTAGAAAATGCAAATGCGCTCTATTGACAATCGTTCAAAATTTCCCCATTTTTTCAATTTTTTCCTTGTCAGGTCTCCCCAACAATCGTATTTTTCGATGAAATCGATGCAGTTGGCTCATCTCGAGGTTCGGAAAAATCATCAGGAGTTTCGGATCGAGTTTTGGCACAATTATTGACCGAATTGGATGGATTGGAGAAAACGAGTCGAGTGATTTTGTTGGCCGCCACAAATCGACCTGATCAATTGGATAGCGCACTTTTGAGACCTGGTAAGGGAGGATTTTGGAGAAAATATTGATTTTTTCGAGGTCCTGGCCTAGAAAAACAAATCTGTCGGGCCCTAGGCCATATCGTGGATTTTTGCAGGTCGTTTGGATCGCGCAATTCATGTTGGTCTACCGTGTCGCGAAACGCGAAAAGCGATTCTGGAAATGCGAACCAAAAAAAATGGAATTTGAGAATTTCGATGAAACCATCGCCAAACTCATTGATAAAACTGAAGGTATTATCGAAAATCTCCGGAAATAAACACGCAACGCAGACCGCGTCGCGCCACAACACACACAGATAAGGAAACGATTCAAATTCCCTCCTTTTTGTGTGTGTTGTGGCGCGGCTGCGTTGCGTGTTTATTTCGGTGGATCGCGTGGTATCGATGAGATTTTCGAAAATAAAAAATTTTTTGCAGGTTATTCCGGAGCGGAACTAGTTGCGGTATGTCGAACTGCGGCAATGTTTGCGATGCGCGAAAATATCGAGGCGACCAAAGTTGATTGGAGACATTTTGAGCAGGGTAACTTTTTATTCTTCAACTTTTTTTCAAAAAAAATTCCCATTTTTTTGCAGCACTTTTGGCGGTTGTTGCGAGAACTGAAACGTATTTGCTGAAAATTTATGAGGAATTCAAAGCTGGACGATTTTCTTCTTCTTCTTCTTGTTGATTTTTTCATTGTTTAACTGTTGTTGTTGTTTTTTTCGAAATGAAAATGTTGATTAATTCAAAAAAAGTTATTTTCGACGTGTTCCAAATGACGTGTCCCCCAAAAAACAAATTCCACGTGGCAAAAACTCCAATAAAAGCCCAGTTCAACTAGTCAGTCTCCCATTGAAACATGCAGTTTTTAACAAAAAAACCTACTCATCTTTTTATTGGTTTTCACAAAATGCTCACATCAACGAATTCAGGATGCTAGCTTTCATAACTACTGTAATAGATTCGGAGGAAGCCTTAACATCACAATTGATTGAAAAAGATGATAATGGAAATGTGGTGGCGAATCCGGTTGGTGATAAATGCAAAGTGTTTTTGGATTTTTATGCGAAAGATGAGGTAAGTTGCGTCAATCGCGCGTGCGGCTGTGCGACGCGGTCGGAAAACATGAATTATTAATTGTTTTCCGACCGCGCCGCACAGCCGCACGCGACTGACGAAGTCCAGTTGTTTTAAATTTTGACAATAATTTTATAGGGCGAAGCTCAATTGTATTGTGAAAGATGGGGAAGATTTGTATTGTCTGAATGGGGTCGTGATGTTGATAATCGTGTCCATTGCACCTATGAGAATGTCTACGAATGCTCCAACAATTATGAACAAATTCGTGGAATGTGCTATCAACAATTCTATGAACTCAACACTTATGAGGAAGCTGAAAAGACTTGCGAGGATTCGGTTTCGGGAGCCGTGATTTTGAAGATTCAGTCGAAAAATCATGGAGAATTGCTTGAAGCCTATTATCCGGGAGATTTGACAATGTATTTTGTGCAACCCGATAAAACTCTTGAATTATCATCGCTGTTTGTTGGATCGAATTCAACTGAAGCCGAAGATCAAAACAAGAATTATGTGATTCTTTTTAACTATGGTATACATTATGATGTTGGGCCAAATACAATCATCAAATTGGACAAGACAGTCAAAGCATTTGCTATGTGTATGTATCAACCGCCTGAAACAATTCTCAGTTTTGCAGCGAAAGCTAAAAAACTCGGAGTATTGTATCATTCGACACAATTGGTTGGTGCAATGGGAGTTTGGAGAACTGCTTCACATTATACACCATCGTATGTTATTTCTGGAATTCTAAATACAAGTTAAATTTTATATATATATTTATTTCCAGAAATATCCCTGGTTATCCAGACTCGCATAGTGATACTTGCGAAGCTTCGATGAAAGCAATTCTTGGAACCAGTGATGGTACTTTGCTCAATTTGAAACCGGCTAATACCAAATTGTTTAACGAAGAAGTTAAAAAATCATTCAATCGCGCATTCGGACCATTTGCTTATTGTGATTATTGGACTAAACATCGTCAACAGGATTATCTGGTTCGTGAAGTTTACTTCAATAGTAAGGAAACGGTGAGTTTGATGGAATGGTGTCTACTATAGTTGGACATCGACTAAATGACATTTTCATGTTTTTTAGGCAAATTAGTTGAAATATTGGGTTCTAATGTTTTTCATATGATAGAATGGTCTAAGACGAACAGAATCATATAAATTTTGATGACGTTTAGTCGAAGAGCCGCTAAATCACTTATGGATAAGGTAAAGTCATCAAAATTTATATGATTCTGTTCGTCTTAGACCATTTTATCATATGAATAACATTAGAACTCAATATTTCAACTCATTTGCTTAAAAACCATGAAAATGACATTTATTCAATGTCCAACTATATGTAGTCCAACACGGCATTATATAATCGTAATTTGCAGAGAGGAAGATCTTGTCCTGTTCAAGCCAACTTGTTGGAATCGGATTATAATGCGAATTGGAAGCGCAATTTGCGACCATTCAAATATTCCTTTGTCTTTTATCCCCAAAACGTATCGAATAGTTTGAGTTTTGAAGCATTCCCTCATGCTATTCATTCTCCAATGCTTTGTGGATTGCATTATTTGAGAGATGAACATAAAGCGAATCCGATTTGTCCTACTGGATGGTTGACTTATGAACGTACGTATGAAACCATTTGTCACAGAAAATTCGACGTAGTAAGTGAAATCTGATTTTTTTGCGAGGCATAACAAAGATTGTTTTTTCAGAATTTGGATTTTGATAGGGGTTTTCAATGGTGTCGTGATAATGGATATGAAATGTCAAGATGGGACACGTATAACGAGTATTCGCACTTGCTACAATTCCGTATCGACTCAGGTGGTCGCGATCCTTATGTTAAATGTACCAGTGTGTATGGGGTAATATTTTATTTGTTTTTAAACAATTGATTATCATCGAAACGTTTCGGTCAAATTCAGAACAATTATTATCAAAATAAAAAAATTTGGCAAAAAAAAACGGAGCCCAGAAATTCAAATGATACTCTTCCCAAGTACGGTGTTTCTTTCAGTCGCTGCGAGACCCATATGCTCGTCTTTGACTTTGTTTCTCTGCCCAATGGTGTGGTCTCGAAACGGTGCTAGTGACGCAGAGGAATACCGTACTTGGGGAAATTGGGATTTGAATTTCTGGCTTCTCTTTTTTTGGCAAATTTTTTTACTTTGATAATAATCATATTGTCGTTCCGAAAAAAAAAGACCGTTGGAAGAGAACCGAAATGGCCTAGGAAACCAAAATACAGTAGACTTCGCAAAATTTTGGAGTCTTTTGAAAAATAAAATGCGAAATTTACACGTTGGCTATTTGCCAACCAGTTTGATATGCATGTGTCACGTCATTTTTAGTCTACTGTACGTGAGCGCCAATTTAAACAGGGGTTCTTTTATTTTCGGAATGACAATATGTTCAATTTTCAGTGTACCAACGTGCAGTGGAAAGATGGACGTAAAGGCGGAGACTTGCGTTCTGGTGGATTAAGTACTTATTCAAGCCCCCAGGAAGTAATGTGTGAAAAGAGAGCGAGCGAGTTTAATTGAGGGAACACATTCGAAACATCTTCTCATCTTCAATACCAATCATCGCTTTTTTTTTCAATAAAATTTTGAGAAATAATTTTGTAGAGACCAAATCTTGATCAGCAGATTGAACTTTTTTAACCAAAACAAGTTTTGCCAAAGACTACAAAAATTGCGCCAGCACCGAAAATGCGCCAACAGATTTTTATTTTTAGAATTTACAACAGAAAAAAACAAACAGATAAAAGTAAAACAAAAAAAAGTTCAAAATATTCACTTTGGATCAGTTTGAATTGTGATTGAACATTGTTGAAGCAAAACTTCAGTGTTCAATTTTTTTCCCTCTTCATTTTTATAATCCAATTCCATATTATTATAATGTTTTCCATCTCTTTTAACCCATTGATCATAAACATCTAATCCTTCCATCACTTTTCCATCCATCAAACGTCTTTTTCTTTTATCGAAAAGAATACAAACAAATTCCATATTTCGATGAATCTCTCCTTTTTTCAATAATCTCAAATAATCATTCAATTTCTTCTCAGTGAATTCATCCGACATAATTCCATATGATTTTCCTTCTAATTTCTTGAATTGATCAATTGTAAGAGGAGTTCCAGAAATATCAACATCTTTGATGGTTTTAACTTGCTCGAAAGTCATAAAATCGCTTTTGAATACATCTCCGTGTCTTGCGGTGATTTTCTCCAAATTTGTGCAATTTTTGATGTTGAATGAGGAAAGTGAAATACTTTTGTCGTTAATTTCCAATTTTTTCAAAGATTTCTCGTATTTTTGGAAATAATCGAGGAAATACTTGAGTCTAACAGCATCTGGTGTTCCATTTTCGATTTTCTCCCATTTCACAGCTGCCTTGTAAATGTCTCTGAACAAAAATATTTATTACAAAGTTCTAAAATACTAATTGCTTACTTTTTGTAAATAACTTTGGTTTGAGGCCCCAAACTCGGATTCGAATTCGAATCATTCTTTTTCTTCTTCTTATTCTCAACAAACTCCAATTGATAATCACAATTCCATCCAGTTGTCTGATGTTTGATTTTCAATTTCTTCTCTTTTCGCTCTCCCTCAACACTGATCTCATACATGAAATTCACCGACAATTTCGCCTCTTCCTCGCACTTTTTCGAGCAAATTGTGAAAATGCAGCGAGTTTTCGGATGCATCGCGTCAATGATGATTTTTCGCGGTTTTTCTGGCAAATCGAACCAACCAATTGGTTCGTTTTCGAGTTTGCGACGTTTTGCTTCCGGAGAACCCATCTGAAACTTGTGAAATTCGAGGGGAAGCGGGGAATTTCCGGAAAACAAAAACGAAAAAAAAAACGGATTCAAGGCGCACAGATTTATTCAAACGGGTCTCGACGCGCTCCGTATTCTGTGTAGTTCTCCTGGACTTCTTTTTGTTTTTTTTTCGCGAAAAGGCCTATTTTCTTCAAAAAAGCAAAGTTTCAGGATTTCTAGAGCCCAGAAAAACCGAAAAATAAAAACAGGCAAATTTTAGGTACCTAAAAATGTATATGTTCACTAATTTTAACGTTTTTTTTTCGAAAAAAAACTTCATTCACAAACAAATAAATTCAATAAAAATAATTAGAGATCCAAGAATTTCACATTTTTTCAAATTCCTCTTCATAATCACAAGTCTCACACGTTCTTTTCCACAAATCATTTCCAATATGTTTTTCATTTCCAAAAACATGTCTGTGTGGTCCCGAAGCGATTTTCGTCGTGTGACTCGATGCGCCTTTAATTTGCTGGCGCAATGTTTTCAATTTCTTTTCGAATTGTTTTTCCGATCGAACTTCTTTCGCTTGTTCTTTCAACTCTTTTTTGAGCTCGATTTGCTCCAGACTTCCATGAACTTCGATTGCACGGGCTTCAACCTAAAATTAATTTTTTTCTTTTAATTTGTAAATTTATTGGGGGGAGAGGAGAAAAAACCTGTAATTTAAGATACAATTTCATATCTCCATATCTCGGATTATGCGGATTTTTCTTGGCCCAAAATCGTAGAATCGGTTTTCGCAGGTCCAAATCGCAATCCTGAAAAATATCTAGAATTATGGGTTTTTTTTCGAATTTCTTCTCGAGAACTACACAATTTCTTACTAGGGAACAAAAAAAATGTTTAAAAAAATTTTTTAACATCGAAAGATCAATTCACGAAAAGTCAAAAAATTTCGAAAAAACATTAGTTTTTCGAGTTTTTCAGCCAAAAATGATGACAAATCGATATTTTTCAAGCTTCTGGAGTAATTTCTGATTAAAATTGACCTTGGAATTCACTTTCCAGAAGGTTTTGCTGATTTTTTCGCAAAATAAAAAATTTTAAACTTTGATGAATTTCGAAAAAATCCATAAAATAAAGCAAAATAGGCTTTTCGAAGCTTATTTTCAATCAGAAATTAGTCCAGAGATTCTGGAGATTCTGGAAATTCTGGAGTAATTTCTGATGAAAATAAGCTTCGAGAACCCTATTTTGCTTTATTTTATGAATTTTTTCGAAATTCATCAAAATTTAAAATCTTTTATTTTACGAAAAATCAGCAAAACCTTCTGGAAAGTGAACTCCGTGGTCAATTTCAATCAGAAATTACTCCAGAAGCTTGAAAAATATCGATTTGTCATCATTTTTGGCTGAAAAACTCGAAAAACTAATGTTTTTTCGACATTTTTTGATCTTTCGATGTTAAAAAAACTTTTTTTCTGTTCGTGAATCGGCCCATTATAAAAATTGCGATGCTGGAAAAATCCACGTGGCATAAATGTTCGAAAATTTTTCGCGCCAAAAACGGGTATAGTATACCTTGCAGTTCGAGAACTACAGTAACCCTACAACTAAATCTATCTTGTAGTCTGAGATGTTGAACATTGTACAGTAATCCTTGCAGTCTGAGTTTTTCAACTACAGCTCTAGTACGAAATTGTGTGTAGTTCTCGAGGAGAAGAAACTCTCCTCACCTTCAATAAATACAAATTCTTGGCTTCAGTTCTTGCCAACAATTTATGTTCTCCTTTTTCATTTCGACACGAATCACAAATTGCGCACGAATATCTTTGCCATAACCAACTATCCAAAAGTGGATTTTGGCATTTCTCGCAATTTTCCGGTGCCAGTATTTTATTTGCTCTTTCATCTGCTCTTTTTTGTCGCGCTTCTGCAAATTGTTCTCTTTTTTCTTCCACCAAATCATCGTCATCACAAAATCCGCCACCAATGAAATCAGATTCCTGATTTTCTCGATACAATTTTTCGACTATTGGAATCTTGTCCTCTTCACTTGTTGATGGATTATAGCCACGTTTTGGCATCTAAAAATATAGTATTGAGTAGTCCGGGAGAAGTACACAACTTTCGAAAAATTCATAAATCGCTTCGAGACCAAATGCGCCTTGAAAACCGACAATACATTTTTTGAGTCAGAAGTTTTAAAGAGGCATAGAATCGGGTCTCGTAGCGATTTGAAGTACCGTGTACTTCTCTCGGACAAAATTTTTTTGTATTATCGAAAATCTCATCGGTACTACGCGCTCCACCGAAATAAACACGCAACGCAGACCGCGCCGCGCCACAAGACACACAAAAAAGGGAGGGAATTTGAATCGTTCCCTTTTTTCGGTGTGTTGTGGCGCGGCGCGGTCTGCGTTGCGTGTTTATTTCGGTGGAGCGCGTGGTACCGATGAGATTTTCGATAATATTGCCGTTTTTCTGTGTACTTCTCTCGGACTACTAGCAATTCTCTGTCAAATTGTACTTCAGGGTCTTGCCACGATTTCAAAATCCCGTGTACTTCTCTCGGACAACTTTCTCTCAAAATTTCACCGCTCAAAAACGGCCTTTTTCCAAAATTCTTCAAAAAATAAATAAAATTTTCATAACATAAATAACCGCATTAAAATATCCAAAGTGAAAAAAAATAAAAATGCTAAAGCTTGGGGAAAAAAACAAGAAAAATAATACAAGAAACAAAGAGTGTGTGACCTCAAAAAATACATAATTTTCAAAATTTTCTCAAAATTCAGGTTACTTATTGAAAATTCTGGCCATATCAGCCACACTTCTTCGCGAATTCGCATTTTCATCATCCGCTTCTTGATCTACCGTAGTATTTGTAGTTTGGGTGGTTGAGATGAGCATTGGTGAATGGAGTACTGTAGGTGACGATGAGCCACTTCCACTTATGAAATTGCCACGTTGACGGGGTTCGGGTTTTGGTGGAAGAATTGGTGGAGGAGCTCCGCCGGGTCCAATTCTGAAATTGGAGAAAAATGAGGATGCGAGGATTTTTCGAGCGGAGCTATAGCTATGACGTGGAATATCAGTACTGTTCGCTACGTCTAACTATCCACGTGGCCGCTAACGCGGAAGCTTCCGGTTTACACTCGCTTCGCTCGGAAAACCCAACTTCTTGTTGTTGAAAATTCAAGTCCGAGAGAAGTACACGAAAAATATGAATCGCCACGAGACCCAATAGGATTTTCTTACGTAAAGAAGTAGCTTCCTAAAACGTAATAAAATCCTATTGGGTCTCGTAGCGATTCATATTTTTCGTGTACTTCTCTCGGACTTGAATTTTCAACAAGAAAAAGTTTGCTTTTCCGAGCGAAGCGAGTAAACCGGAAGCTTCCGCGTTAGCGGCCACGTGGATGGCTATGACGTGGCGAACTTACAGTACCATAAACCACGTGGCCGCTGAAGCGGAAGATAGTGCCGCTAACGCGGAGAGCTTGCGGTTTACACTCGCTTCGCTCGGAAAAAAATTGGCGATAGATTTGCCTGCGCGGGATCTCAAAATTTCAGTGAAAACTCAAAAAAATCTTGGTTTTCATTGAAATTTTCAGATCCGGCACGAGAAAATCGATTTTTCGAGCGAAGCGAGTGTAAACCGCAAGCTTTTCCGCGTTAGCGGCACTATCTGTAAGTTTGCCGCTTCAGCGGCCACGTGGTTTATGATACTGTACGTTCGCCACGTCATAGCCATCCGCGATGGCTATGCGAGAGCTTGCGGTTTACACTCAAAAAATTTCAACGCAAATTTCAGTGAAAACTCAAAAAATCTTGGTTTTAACTGAAATTTCTTCGATTTTTCGAGCGAAATTCACAGATTTTCCGCTTCAGCGGCCACGTGTTTTTTTTGTCCGACGTGGCCGCTGACGCGGAAGTTTGCGGTTCATCGAAAATTTCATCGAAATTTCAGTGAAAACAAGATAATTTTGGATTTCCACTGAAATTTTTAGATCCCGCGAAGGCAAATCTATCGTCAATTTTTTTTCGAGCGAAGCGAGTGTAGACCGCAAGCTTCCGCGTTAGCGGCCACCTGGAAGTTTTCATATTTTTTGCCACGTCCTAGCTATCCACGTGGCTGCTAAATTTGATAGCTTGCGGTTTACACACTCTTTGCTCGAAAATCTGAAAATTTCAGTGAAAACCAAGATTTTTTGAGTTTTCATGTGAAATTTCGAGATCCCGCGCAGGCAAATCTATCGCCAATTTTTTTCCGAGCGAAGCGAGTGTAAACCGCAAGCTTCCGCGTCAGCGGCACTATCTTCCGCTTCAGCGGCCATGCGGTTTATGATACTATAAGTTCGCCACGTCATAGCAATATGGCCGCTGAAGCGAACTTGCCGCTAACGCGGAAGCAACACTGTTAAACCCGCTTCAGCGGCCACGTGGATGGCTATAAGGTTTCCACGTCATAGTGAGCCACGTGGCCGCCTAAACGCGGAACTTCCCGTTCCCCCCTTACCGATTTCTCTGCGGCAATGGCGGCGGCGGCGAATCCGTCGAATTTGTCGGCGATCCTCAGACCTCGGCGAGATCGCAGGCGGCGACATTCTCTGCGGCAACATCGCCGGCGGCGGCATCCGCACCGCAAAAACCTCCTCCTCCATCAAACTAGTACTAGTACTGCTAATCATCTCCTTCCTCTTCTCGTAATACAGCATTCTGCGATGGTCTTCCGCGTCTTCTCGGTCTAGCTTTCGATAAATGTTGTAGTGCCGATGGTTTTGGTGGTAGATCAAGATTGACTCCAACTTCTATCGAATCCTCTTCCACAATTTTGTTGCACCAAAATACTTCTCGGTCTATGATTTAGTTGTCTTTTTGGAGTAAATGGTGATGAAGTTGATGCAGTTCCGAACTGAAGAATTCCTTCCAATTGAAGATGCTTCCGAATTCTCACAAATTTCTCGCCATTTCCAATCGCTGAATACTTGTTTCGCTTGTTCCAACCAAACTTCTTGTAAGGCGCGAAATTGCAATTTGTTCAGATCTTTTGGTTCCATCGCTGGAAAGAAAATTGAGGATTTTTGGATGAATTTTCAGTTACATTAGAATTTTAATTTTAAACAAATTTTCTCAAAAAAAACTTTCAAAAATTGAATTTTTCAAGAATTTTGAGCTGAGAATCCAAATTTTTAGTTTTTTTTCGCGCCTAAACATCTACAGTAACCCTAGGACGTATTTTGGCCTCAAAAAAATCCCAAATTTCCAGAATTTTCTGAATTTTCTAAAATATCTGGATGTTCAGCTCAAAATTAATCAAAAATTTTGGAATTTTCGAGGTCATTGTACATTTTTAGGCCCAAGAATTTTTTTTGAGCTGAGAATCGAATTTTCCTTGCGCATATTCTCCACAGATTCCTCGACTCTGAAACATCTACAGTAATTCCCTAGACGTATCTGGGCTCTCAAAAAATCCTCCCGAAATTTTTTCCCGCCTAATTCCCACCGCCATTCGATTTCGATATAAACAAGGTCTGAATTTGTTGCTTAAAAATGCCCAAAATTGTTCTCGAATCTTTCCGAAAAAATCGCTGAATTGTCTCAAAAGCATCCAAAACCGGATTAATCAAAATATGTCAGTGTGTGATTGATTTTCATCGATGTTGCCTCAAATCAACAAATCCATCAGTTCCGATATGATTATTATCGATTGTTATTGATCGAAGTGATATATTGACTTGAAGAGCTTTTGATAGAATTCGTGCTCCGAAAATTGCCAAAAATTTCAGGTTTCCTGATATATCAAGTGATTTGAGGGTTGTTGTTGCCGTCCGAGAGTATTTAAAAGAATCCTACTAGGCTCAAAAAATGCACCAAAATTTTGATTCGCGACCTAAATTTACAGTATCCTTCGAAGAACCTGCCAAGGTCTATTTTGTCTTAAAAATCCCAAATTTCCAGGAATATTCTAGAAAAATTGTCATTTTTTCATTCAGATCAAAATCTAGAAATTCTGAACTACAAGAATTTTTACAGTATCCTAAATTTTCCAGAAAACAGTAACCCTAGGCGTATCTGGGACGTCAAAAAATTTCAACCACATTTTCAGATTTCGCCTAAAAATTTTCTACAGTTTTTCCTAACAGTAAGAAGCCAAGGTTATTTTGTCGAAAAGTCCCAAATTTCAGAAATTGTAGGTCCAAATTTTCCGTCTTTTTCAGCCTAAAAATGATGACAAAACGATAATCCTTTAGGCTCAAAAAATTTCTGATGAAAATTTTCGCGCTTAAGATCTACAGGTTTTGCCTACAGTAAAAAATTTAAAATTTGATGACATTTTTCAGGTGCAAAATTCATAAAATTCTCACCAAAATATCTCCTTGCGCATATTTTCCATCAGAAATTACCTCGACAATTTCCTGAATATCGATCTTGTCCCTCCAGAATTGCTCTCAAATCCTCCCGATTTTTAATCTGATTCGCCTCCTCGACATTTTTTACTTTTCGCCATTCGATCTTCGATACAAACAATTTTCTGAATTTGTTCGTGCCAAAATAGTTCTCGATCTTTCGGCTCGAACTGAATTGTCTCAAAAGCATCCAAAACCGGATACGGTAGATATGTCAATGTATGATTGATTTTCATCGATGTTGCCAAATCAAAATACATCCATGCAGTTCCAATGTGATTATTATCGATTGATATTGATACAGTGATATATTGACTTGAAGAGTATACCTTGCAGTTCGAGAACTACAGTAACCCTACAACTGAATCTAAATATCTTGCAGTCTGACTTTTTCAACTACAGTAATCCTTGCACCAAGTTTTGAACTTGAGACAGTTTTATAGTTCTAGGTCGAGAACCTTGCAAAGTTTTCTTTTTCAGCAATTTTTTGAAATTTCAGAGGTTTTCAACCAAATTTTCAGCCTTTTTTTTGTGAAATTCAAATTTTCAGTGAAATTCTTGATTAAAAATTCAGAATCTTCGCCACGAAAATCAATAATTTTTAACCATTTCTCAGCAATTTTTCAATAGATCTTCCACTAGGGAATTTTCTAATAGGGCTGATTCACGAATTTCAAACAAATGTTTTAGCTTCGAGAACCCTACTTACCCCATCCTCACTATGAATTTTATTAGAAATATCATCAAATTTTATTGATAACTTTTGCTGACTGTTTTGTCGTATCTACAAAAAATTCGCGTCAGCACCGGAAATGCGCCAACAAAATTTTTTTGCGAGAAATCAAATTTGAAATTCATATTCTCCATGGGATTCTGATAATTTTGAACACCTTGTAGATCAATTTCCAGATTATTATCTCGAAGTGAAAGACTTTCACAACGAATTCCGCATTTCGATGCAAGCATCTAATACACTTGCTGAACCTTTTTCGCAAGTCGAATCCAAATCCAAGCGAAATGGTATGAAGATCACGAATATTATATAAAAATTTAAATTTTTGCGGTGACACTAAACACGGTAGAATTTCAGAGATTTTTGGTACCAAAATTTTAGCGTCAGCAAGAACGCTGCGGACTAGTTTTCCAATGGTGCATCTCACAAAATTAACCGTGTTTGGTGTCAAAATGCTCGGAATTCTACGAAAAATCAGAAATTCGGTTCTTGAAAAATTCACAATTTTACGAGAGAACTACAGTTTTCCAATTGAAAACCTCGGCCACGGTAAGAAAATGGCCGAATTTTGAATTAAATGTACAGTAATTCTTAGGTAACTACAGTAACGCTGCGGACTAGTTTTCCAATTGAAAAACCTCGGCCACACAATGAAAATTTGGCCGAATTTTGGATTAAAATTACATTTTCAGGTCAAATAGAAATTCGTTCTTGAAAATTTAATTCAATTTCCACTTGAAAATCGGTTTTTTACCAATTGGAAAAATTTCGGCCACAATATGAAAATTTCAAAATGACATTTTTCCCGCTCCCGCGGAAAAGTTTTCCAATTGACCTCGGCCACACTATACAATTTCACACATATCCAACAATAGTTTTATTGATAACTTCACAATGTTTTGCTGCGGACTAGTTTTCCAAATTCGAAAAATTCGGCTCCACCGATATGGCCGAATTTTGAATAAAAATGACATTGTATCATCATAAGTGATTGTAGAACACGCTTGCGGACTAGATCCATTTCCAGATTGAAAACTCTCTCACAGTGAGGAAATGGCTCACAACGACATTTTTAGGTCACCGATTCAAGCAATTCAATACACTTGCTGAACCTAGTTTTCGCAATTGAAAACCTCGGCCACACTAAGCGAAAATGGCTCAAAATGAGATATTTTTAGGTCAAAAATAAATCCGCTCTTGAAAATTCAAAATTTCACGCTGCGGACTAGTTTTCCAATTGAAAAACCTCGGCCACATTGAGAAAATGGCCGAATTTTGGAACAAAATGAAATTTATAGGTAAAAAAGAAGTTCGGTGCGCGGACTAGTTTTCCAATTGCAAAACCTCGGCCACACTGAGAAAATGGCTCAAAAATGAGATATTTGGATCAAAATGAGACATTCGGTCTTGAAAAAAATTTCACGCTGCGGACTAGTTTTCCAATTGAGAAAACCTCGGCCACACTAAGAAAATGACTGAATTTTGAATCAAAATGAGACATTTTTAGGTCAAAAATTCACAATTTCACGCTGCGGACTAGTTTTCCAATTGAAAAACCTCGGCCACAATTGAGAAAATGGCCGAATTTTGGAACAAATGAGACATTTTTTGGTCTTGAAAAACAATTCCACTCTGCGGACTAGTTTTCCAGTTGAAAAACCTCGGCCACAATAAGAAAATGGCCGAATTTTGGATCAAAATGAGACATTTTTAGGTAAAAAAAAAGCTGCGGACTAGTTTTCCAATTGAAAAATCTCGGCCACAGTAAGAAAATGACTGAATGGCTCAAAATGAGACATTTTTAGGTCAAAAAGAACGCTGCGGACTAGTTTTCCAATTGAAAAACCTCGGCCACACTATGAAAATGGTTCAAAATGACATTTTTAGGTCAAATTTGGTCTCAAAAATCGCAAATTCCCTCAAATACCTGTTGATTAGCAGCCAATCCCAATAAAACAGCTTTCAAATATTCACTAGGCATTGATGTATTATTAAATGAAATATGTTGTAAATTCAAAGCCATTGAGAAATATTCTTTTGCCGTTTGAATTCCATCACTTTTTTTGCTCAAATTACATCCGGATAATATGAGTTTTTCAATTTGAATTCCACCGTATTTTAGAGAATTCCAGATTTTATCCAATTGAATTCCAGTTTCAGACAAATCGAGAATTCGAAGGGAAGTGCAAATTGATAGAAGATTTATTATTGAGGAGATCTGAAATTGAATTTCAGGTTGAAATTTTGTGAAATTTGGTATCAAAAAACTCCAAATTTCCTTTAATTTTCAAAAAATAACCTGAAATTAATAAGAAAAAAAGCTTACATCATCTTTCACCAAATTTCCAGCCAAATTCAATTCAGCAAGTTGCATTCCTCCACTTTTGCAAGCTGTCATTCCACTGCAAAAATTAATTTTTTATAAAAAAAAAATTTTTTTTTTGTAAAATTCAAATTTTCAGTGAATTTAGGCTGAAATTGAAATTGTGATTAAAAATTGAGAATCCAAGAAAATCAATAATTTTTCATTTTTACAGCCGAAAATTGGAAAAAGGTTTTTTTTCAGCAATTTTTTTATATAAAAATTTCAGAGGTTTTCAACCAAATTTTCAGCGTGTTTTTTTTGTGAAATTCAAATTTTCAGTGAATTTAGGCTGAAATTGAGAATTCAGAATCTAAGAATTTTTAACAGCCAAAAAAGGTTTTTTCAGCAATTTTTTTAAAATTTAAATTTGAAAAATTCAATTTTTTTGACTTTTCAGCTCTCAAAATTTCACTAAAAATCTCAATTTTAGCTTAAAAAATACTTTTAAGATGAATTTTGGCTAAAAATTCATGATTTTTAGGTCAAAATGCTCTAGAAAACCCATTTTTTCCCCAAAAAAAAAAACTCACTTATACAATCCGGAACACAACAAATTCAAGCATTTATCCGATAATTGGCATTCGGCCAAATTGATCGATTTTAATTGTGTTAATCTTGGCAAAATCGATGAAAATGCGGTGAATCCTTTTTTATCATCTAATGCATTTTTGGATAAATCCAGAATTTCGAGCGAAATATTTGGATTATGATGGATTGAGGAGGAGAGAAGAGTTATGAAATCTCTGGGAAAAAAAATAATTTGGGTAATTTTTTGATACAAAATTTGACTAGAGGGCCATTTTTCATGAAATTTGGGTTAAAAATCTTGAAAATTTCAATTTTCCCACTCAAAATCCCAATTTTCCCACCCAAAAATACTCACTTTGGCAAAGCACATGCTCTCAATTGCAATTTATGTAAATTGTGTGATTTCCGGATGACATTCAGAATAACATCAATAACATCGGAAGGAATTCGAATTGCATCACAAATTAGACCCGTAAAATATGAGGAATATTGCAGAACACCGACTATTGGCAAAAGATCTCTGCAATTTTTTGGATTTTTGGGGAAATTTGGAGCATTTTGAGCCCGAAAATCGTAATTTTTGTGAAATTTGAGGTTAGATTTGACAGAAAATCGATATTGAACTCGCTTCGCTCGAAAAAAATTGGCTATAGATTTTCCTGCGCGGGATCTCAAAATTTCAGTGAAAACTCAAGAATAAATCTTGGTTTTCACTGAAATTTTTAGATCCGGCATGAGAAATTCGATTTTCCGAGCGAAGCGAGTGTAAACCGCAAGCTTCCGCGTTAGCGGCACTATCTTCCGCCTCAGCGGCCACGTGGATGGCTATGACGTGACAAACTTACAGTATCATAAACCACGTGGCCGCTGAAGCGGAAGATAGTGCCGCTAGCGCGAAAGCTTGCGGTTTACACTCGCTTCGCTCGGAAAAAATTGGCGATAGATTTGCCTGCGCGGGATCTCAAAATTTTAGTGAAAACTCAAAAAGATCTTGGTTTTCACTGAAATTTTCAGATTTTCGAGCGAAGCGAGTGTAAACCGCAAGCTTTAGCTTCAGCGGCCACGTGGTAGCTATGACGTGGCCGCTGAAGCGGAAGATAGTGCCGCTGACGCGGAATCTTGCGGTTTACACTCGCTTCGCTCGAAAAAAAATTGGCGATAGATTCCCCTGTGCGGGATCTCAAAATTTCAGTGGAAACTCAAAAACAAATCTTGGTTTTCGCTGAAATTTTCAGATCCGGCGTGAGAAATTCGATTTTCCGAGCGAAGCGAGTGTAAACCGCAAGCTTCCGCGTCAGCGGCACTATCTTCCGCTTCAACGGCCACGTGGTTTACACACCTCGGCCAAAATCGTGGTTTCCACAATAAAAAATTGTACGCTAATTTTTTACAGTACAAAAAATTGTGAATATTCTAATTTTTGTCCTCTAAAAATTGAGATTTTTCAATTTTTGACCTCTAAAAACTGAAATTATGATTTTTCCAAAAATTGTACTCTGGCCAGCCACGGCTTGGCCGAGGTGTGGTGGTTTATGATACTGTAAGTTCGCCACGTCATAGTCATACACGTGGCCGCTGAAGCGGAAGCTTGCGGTTTACACTCGCTTCGCTCGAAAAAAAATTGACGATAGATTTGCCTGCGCGGGATCTCAAAATTTCAGTGAAAACTCAAAAAGTATCTTGGTTTTCACTGAAATTTTCAGATCCGGCATGAGAAAATCGATTTTTCGAGCGAAGCAAGTGTAGCTATGAAGTGGAATTTTAGAGGATCTCCGAGGTTTCCACAACCTCGGAGGTCCTCAGCAATTCCACGTCATAACTATAGTTAGTTATAGCTCTCATTTTTCGTACAAAAACATGGCCAGATTCAAAATTCATGATTTGTTTCAAGTACCTTGGCAATAAATGCGAAAAATCATCAATTTTCAAATCATGCAACCTATTGGCTGTATATATTTTCTCAACATCCCACGATACTTCTTCTCTATACGGTTGTTCATACAAATCACACAATGCGGCATAACTTCTGCGGAAAGAATGACAAGGACGCGGAGAGGCAAGCGGAAGATGCGTGAATTCCGAATATAGAGTTGGAGGGGATAATTCGATGGAATTGGCTAATTGTAGACCGAAATCGGGGAAATAGTGTTTGATGGCGGAAAGAATTTGGCGAGAAATATAGAGACCGTTTTGAGTCGGAGCATTTTATGTTGATTTTACGTTTGTGCACACCGTCATCGATTGAAATTGAAATCTGGAAACAAGAAATTGACGATAGATTTTCCTGCGCGGGATCTCAAAATTTCGGTGAAAACTCAAAGAAATCTTGGTTTTCAGTGAAATTTTCAGATCCGGCATGAGAAAATCGATTTTTCGAGCGTAGCGAGTGTAAACCGCAAGCTTCAGCTTTGGCAGCCACGTGGATAGCTATGACGTGGCCGCTGAAGCGGAAGATAGTGCCGCTGACGCGGAAGCTTGCGGTTTACACTCGCTTCGCTCGATAAAAAATTGGCGATAGATTTCCCTGCGCGGGATCTCAAAATTTCAGTGAAAACTCAAAAAATCTTGGTTTTCACTGAAATTTTCAGATCCGGCACGAGAAAATCGATTTTCGAGCGAAGCGAGTGTAAACCGCAAGCTTCCGCTTCAGCGGCCACGTGGATAGCTATGACGTGGCCGCTGAAGCGGAAGATAGTGCCGCTGACGCGGAAGCTTGCGGTTTACACTCGCTTCGCTCGGAAAAAAATTGGCGATAGATTTGCCTGCGCGGGATCTCAAAATTTCGGTGAAAACTCGAAAAAAATCATGTTTTTCACTGAAATTTTCAGATCCGGCGTGAAAATTCGATTTTTCGAGCGCAGCGAGTGTAAACCGCAAGCTTCAGCTTTGGCAGCCACGTGGATAGCTATGACGTGGCGAACCTTGTCAGTATCATAAACCACGTGGCCGCTGAAGCGGAAGATAGTGCCGCTGACGCGGAAGCTTGCGGTTTACACTCGCTTCGCTCGAAAAAAAATTGGCGATAGATTTGCCTGCGCGGGATCTCAAAATTTCAGTGAAAATCCAAAATTATCTTGGTTTTCACTGAAATTTTCAGATCCGGCATACTTAATTTTTAATAATTTTCGGGGCAAAATTCTTGGATAGCTCTAATTTTACAGATTCCTCACCTCTTTTCATATTGAAAATTTCGAGAAATGAAAAATCTACCACGTTTTTTTGTTTAAAAATTGAAAAATGTCACGCTGCCACGTCATTTTCGTCACGTTTCAAATTCAATCTTGATTTTCAAGTTTCAATTTTCAAATTCCACTATCTTACCTCATCCTCTTTAACCAAATGAATCGATCGAATTGTCAAAACATGAAAAGATTTCTCAATTTTCAGCGATGACGTCGTTTTTCCGATCAAGAAAAATATGCGAAATTTCGAGATGACAAAAATGCGCGGCTCGAATTTGTCAGCTTTGTGAGCAACATCGACTTGTAGAACACAACGAGAATCGAAAAATTTGTTACCCAAAATTATTGAGGGCTTGTCTGAAATTTGACAAAAATAAATTGACGATAGATTTCCCTGCGCGGGATCTGAAACTTTCAGAAAAATTCCGAGATTTTCTGCTGAAAATCTCCAGATTCTTCTGGAATTTTCAGCTCCGGCAATTTTTCAAATAAAAAATTGGCGATAGGTTCCCCTGCGTGGGATCTGAAAATTTCAGAAAATCTGGGGATTTTCAGTAGAACACTGAGTTTCTGCTAAAAATCTCGAGATTTTTCTGAAATTTTCAGATCCGGCAATTTTTATCGATTCATTTTTTCAAATAAAAAATTGACGATAGGTTCCCCTGCGCGGGATCTGAAAATTTCAGGAAAATTCCGGGTTTTTCAGCAGAAAGCTCAGTTTCTGCTGAAAATTCCCAATTTTTCTGAAATTTTCAGACCCGGCATATTTCTCTTAGCAAGTTTATTGGAAAAATCAAGTTTTTGCTCATTTTTTCACCCCAAACCACTCACGTTGCACAAAATCGGACAATTCCCCAATAGTGCTCCGTGTCATGGACATTTTCCTGGTTCTCTATTGATATGTGAATAAGTTAGTATAGTATTTTCATTAGATTAAATATATATATATATATGATTTTGGTTTGTGTTTTTCTCCTCTGAAAAAAAATCAATCTATACATTTTTATTTTTCCCAGCGAACAGGCGATAAAAATGAGTCACAATTTTTGATTGAGGTGATAAGGTCAGCCAAAAAAAGAAAAAAACAAATAGCAAATGAAAAATTTGAGGGATAGAGAGAGCAGAGAGCACAGAGAAAACGAGAAGAGTATTTTTGTTGAAGGACAGCACGAAAACCATCATTTTCTTTGTTTGGTGAGGTCGTTCAAAAACAACAATTAGATATTCGTGTTCGCAAAAATGTTGCTGAAAATCGCGCTGGAATTTCAGTTTTCCTGACAAGTTTTCAGTCACAGTCAAAGATCGTCCAAAAAACTTTATGTGAAAAAAAGCGGAGAAAAATGAAGCCCCGCCCATAAAACTGTGCCTTGGCTTAATTTTATAACGAAATTTCAGCTGGAAAATTAAGCTCCGCCCACAAAACTGTGCCTTGACTCAAATTTCATAAATTTTTCATCAAAACTATAAGCCCCACCTCTAAAACTATGCCGCAAACCGGTTTTATCTCAAAAAATACCAAAACCCTACAATTTTCGAACTATAATGCACTAATATTTCACAATCTTCGACCTGACGAAACGAAAAATTCCTCAAGTACACAGCATTTACCCACAAAAAAACTCGAGTAAACGATACTTACTTATATAACATAACTATCTAGGCAGATGTTCAAAAAGACCTTGAAAACTTTGGTTTTTTTCTGTGCGAACGAGGCAAAAAATATAGTTTTTTTTGGCGCAAAAAAAAACGACAGACAGAGAGAGAGTAAATAAATATAATGATAATTTATGTTTTCTCCCACAGTTTTTGGGGTCGGGATGACTAATTTTGCAAAAAAAATAAAACCAACCAAAATGTATACGTTTTGGTCAGCAAAAAACATAATACCAATGATTGACGGGCCAGTGGCTTATCTATGAAAATTCGGACAAAAAATGAAGAGGAGACAGAGGAAGGGCAGGGTTTTGTGGGCGGAGCTTTCATCGAAAATCTTATCGGTACCATGTGCTCCACCGAAATAAACACGCAACGCAGACCGCGCCGCGCCACAACACACACAAATAAGGGAACAATTCAAATTTCCTCCCTTTTTTGTGTGTTGTGGTGCGGCGCGGTCTGCGTTGCGTGTTTATTTCGGTGGAGCGCATGGTACCGATAAGATTTTCGATAATAGATGCAATTTGGGGCACAGAAATTTTGGTTGATCTTTGGTACGCTTATGGTACACGCACAGTCTTTTTATCCTGGAGTTTTTGAGATTTCCTTTAACCAGAGTAAATAGTACTTTTGTAACTTGCAGGCTTGCGGCACGGTTTTATGGGCGGGGCTAATCATTTTGTAAAATGCGGCAGAGATTTGTGGTTAAAACAAGAAATGATTTTTGATTTGCCACGTCACAGCGTTTCACGTTTTTTCTTTATTCAAAATTTTGTCATTTCTAGAAAAAATCAATGATTTTGTAAGTGGGGCTTTGAAATATTGAATTTTTCACCAAAAACCTCAAAAAATGTTCGATTTTCGGGGGGCCTCTCAAAAATAAATGACCACAACAACAACAAGGTCCAAAACAACCTCTTCTCCATCTTTTTTCTTTTCCTAAATAATTCCCTCTTCTCTGCTTCTCTAATCCTCTCTCTCTCTCTCGCTCTATCCCAATTTCTATGGTCCCTTCTCCTTTTCCATCCATCCATGATAATAATAGCAATAGGCTGCCTGCAAGCTAGAGAGAACTTCAAGGTATCTCTAATTCTCTGCGTCTCTCAGCTCTCTCTAAACTAATTTGAATAAAAAAGAGAGTGACCAGCCAGCCACAGAGCCAGCCAGAAGGAGCACCGAATTAGTCATTTATGGATGGAGATGGGAAAAAACTGGAGAGGGTGGTCAAAATGGGAGAACGGAAGGAAATTATTGGAGGAATTAGTGAAAGAGAATTGGATTTTGGCTCAGGAGAGGTTGAAATTTTCGATTTCGGAGCAAAAATAGGTTTTGGAGCTTACTTATGTAAATTTTAATTTAGACTTCGAGGGTTTTCTGAAATTTTTATGTTGATTTCAATCTATGGAACCTTTTATAAATTACTTAATTCCCTAAATTCAAATTTATCACTGAAAATCCCATTTTTCATGTGAAAACACAGATGAATCTGCATTTTCCTATGAAAACTTGAAATTTTCAGCCATAGCCCAAATTTTTTCCTGAAAATCTCATTCTCCATGTGAAAACACAGATGAATCTGCATTTTCCTATGAAAACTTGAGATTTTCAGCCATAGCTCGAATTTTTTGCTAAAAATCTCATTCTTCATGTGAAAACGCAGATGTATCTGCATTTTCCTATGAAAACTTGAGATTTTCAGCCATGGCTCAAATTTTTGCTAAAAATTCCATTTTTCATGTGAAAACACAGATGACTCTGCATTTTCCTATGAAAACTTGAGATTTTCAACCATGGCTCAAATTTGTCACTGAAAATCCCATTTTTCATGTGAAAACACAGATGACTCTGCATTTTCCTATGAAAACTTGAGATTTTCAGCCATGGCTCAAATTTTTGCTAAAAATTCCATTTTTCATGTGAAAACACAGATAAATCTGGATTTTCCTATGAAAACTTGAAATTTTCCGCCTTAGCTCAAATTTTCACTGAAAATCCCATTTTTCATGTGAAAACACAGATGAATCTGCATTTTCCTATGAAAACTTGAGATTTTCAGCCATAGCTCAAATTTTTGCTAAAAATCCCATTTTCTATGTGAAAACACAGATGAATCTGCATTTTCCTATGAAAACTTGAGATTTTTGGCATATACAACAACAAAAAAAAACAAAATTTAAAACTTTACGAAAAAAATGTTCGAATATACTTATGGAAAGTAAATATCGTGTGTGTGAAAAAAGTAAACATTGATTTAGGACAAGTTGAATTGGGAAATCAGGTCAATATATAAAAATATATGAAGACGAAACGAATTTCAGCCAACAGGCCAGAATTCCGGTTTTTTTTGGGGGGGGGGCACAACAATAGAAAAGAAATGACAAATCGATATTATAGTGAGAAGAAGGGGAGAATCGAATCGGGTGTTCGAATTATACAGTGTTTTCTGTTTACACACTCACTCTTTCCAAATATGAGCAGGGGTAAACAAAAGTTCATTGTTTTGTGAAAAGCAAAAGGATTTTGTGGAGTATAATAGATTTTTATTGTAGAATTACATAGTCAATTACAATGTTCTAATTATACAGTTCCTCTAGAATTTAGAATTTGGGTCAAAAACTGTTTTTTCCTCGACAAAAAAACGAAAAACGCGAAAAACAAAAAACAAACAAAGACTAGGTTTCGCTGGCCGAGAGAAACATTGGTTTCCTAGGCCATGTGTCTGTGCGCTCTCGTTTTCGCACACTCTCTTCACACCGTCCGCTCGAATTTCTTTTCATTTTCGATTTTTCTTGGAATTTCGCAATTTCAGGTGAAAAATGGTGGCTAGAACAATTCTGGCAGCTTCAAAGAACGCATTGGTAAGTTGGGAAATTTGGGGTTTTTTGGAAAAATTGGAATTTTTTGAAGAAAAACTCGGGAACTCAAACCGAAGTAGTTTTGCTGCACATCGGACAACCGTGGACCGATTTCTATGCCAAGGAATTTTTGCTGCAACGATCGCTGAGTTATTATAACTTGCCCGGGTTTGCGAAATGGTGAATATTCAATTTTTCATTGAAAAATATCAAAATTCCCTCCTTTTGCAGCCTAATTCCCTCTCAAATTCTGACAAATTCTCGAATTTCCGATTGTATATCTGAATATGGAAAAGTGCCAAGTATCGAGCAACAAATCCAAAAACTCTCCGAAAATCTCGAAACCTCTTTATCCACTCTGGTTCCTGAATTTGGACCCTTCAAAGTCTCGCAAATTTTCAAATTTGGCCAAAAAAATTTGGATGAAAAGTTTGACGAGATTAAAAAGTAAGAGAAAATGTGTAGTTTTACTCTGGAAATGAAAATTTGACCTATTTTTTGCCAGAAAAAACCGGCCAAATCGCTTCATTTTCTTGCCACTTTACCCGCATTTTTATGGCGCTGAAAGTGGTCAACTTTTGACTGAAATTGCTGAAAATATCCGGAAATCGTCGATTTCCAGTGTTGAAAATAGTAGTAACCGCGAAATTCAAAAATCGCGAATTGAACAGAATTCGGATTATTCGTATGATGTTTCGGCGATTCATAGATGGGCCGAACATCCGATTTTGGCTGAGGTATGCGTGATTTTTGGCTGAAAATTTGATTTTCAGATGAGTTTTGATATAAAAATCATGAAAATTCACCTAGAAATACCCAAAAATCTGGAAAATTCGCTGAAAATCTCTTTTTCCAGTATTGGGCGTCGAAAATTCGAGAAGAAGCTTCGAAATTGGATGGAATTGTGTTTGCGGTGCCAAGAAAGGTGAGAGATTATGAGGTTTTGGGAGGGTGCAGAGAATCAGAGAAATCTAGAGAGTGTAGGGATTTGAGAGACCACAGAAAGTTAGAGAAAGCTAGAGAGTGTAGGGATTTGAGAGAGCGCAGAGAAACAGTGGAGCTAGAGAGTGTAGGGATTTGAGAGAGTATAGAGAGTCAGAGAAATATAGAGATCACATTAGTTTGAGAGAGTCCAGAGAAATCAAGAGAGCAGAAGTGTATGGGGTTTGAGAGAGTGCAGAGAATTGGAGAAATTAGAGAGTGTAGAGATTTGAGAGAGCGCAGAGAAATCAAGAAGCTAGAGAGCACAAAATCTTGAGAGAGTATAGAGAATCAGAGAAATACAGAGATCAAGTTTGTTTGAGAGAGTTCAGAGTAATCAGATAGCTAGAGAGTGTAGGGATTTGAGAGAGCGCAGAGAAACCAAGAAGCTAGAGAGCACAGTATCTTGAGAGACTATAGAGAAACAGAGAGCCAGAGAGTGTAGGAGTTTGAGAGAGTGCAGAGAATCAGATAGCCAGAGAGTGTAGGGATTTGAGAGAGCGCAGAGAAACAAAGAAGCTAGAGAGCACATAATCTTGAGAGAGTATAGAGAATCAGAGAAATATAGAGATCACACTAGTTTGAGAGAGTCTAGAGAAACAAAGAGCTAGAGAGTGTAGGGATTTGAGAGAGGGCAGAGAAACCAAGAAGCTAGAGAACAGAGTATATCGAGAGAGTGCAGAGAATCAGAGAGCCAGAGAGTGTAGGAGTTTGAGAGAGTCCAGAGAATCAGAGAGCTATAGAGTGTAGGGATTTGAGAGAGTCCAGAGAAACCAAGAAGCTAGAGAGCACATAATCTTGAGAGATTATAGAGAATTAGAAAAATATAGAGATCACGTCAGTTCGAGAGAGTCCAGAGAAATCAAGAGAGCACAGTATCTCGAGAGACCACAGAAGATTAGAGAAAGCTAGAGAGTATGAGATATTGAGAGAGTCCAGAGAAGCCAGGGTCCCTAGAGAGCACATAGACTTGAGAGAGTCCAGACATCTCTGCCAAAAATTAGAGAAAACTAGAGAGTACAACATTTTGAGAGAGTCCAGAGAAGCCAGGGTCCTAGAGAGTACATTATCTTCTGAAACCTACAGTATCCCTAGAGACTCCAGACAACCAGACACTCTTCCCCCTTCTTCTCTAACCTACAGTATCCCTTGCAGTTCGGCTACGATCCTCAATCTTTCGATCGTGCAGTTTGGTCAACTTGTGATCGTGTCTCATCTCAACTTTTATCAAATTCCCTACCGTATCGAATTGGATACTATAATTCATGGGATTCTTGGAATCGCCCGATTTTCGGAATCCGAAGCTCCGCCCAAAAAAGTGTGCGACAACAAAGAAATGCGTTTGGAGAACAGGCGAGAATTGGAATTGTACCAATCACTGAAGTCCTGCAGACTTTTGATACTTTGACGATTTTACCCAAATTGGTTGAGGAATTGGTGAGTTCTGATGGTGTTTATTGGATTTTTCACGAAATTTGGCGATTTTTGACACCCATATTGATATGGTTTGGTGAATTTTGAAAAAATGCACCATTTTGACACCAAAATTTTTCAGCCTGAAAGTTCTAGAAGGTTTGATGAGTTCTAGTAGTGTTTTTTGAATTTTTCACGAGATTTGGTGATTTTTGACACCCATATTGATATGGTTTAGTGAATTTTGAATTTTGGCGCCAAAATTGGTGCAATTTTTCAAATTCCACCAAACCATATCAATATGGGTCTCAAAATTCTCAAAAAATCACCAGGAATTCAAAAATCACTATAAAAACTGTGGAAAATCCATAGAACTTTCAGAATTAAAAATAATTTTTTCGAAATTGTCGTTCTGAGAGTTCTGGGAGGTTTTATGAGTTTTAACCTCGGTGTTCGGGTTTTTCATAAAATTTGATGATTTTTGACACCCATATTGATATAGTTTGGTGAATTTTGAAAATTTGCACCATTTTGACACCAAAATTCAAAATTCGCCAAACTATATCAATATGGGTCTCAAAATGCTCAGAAAACCACCAGGAATTCGAAAATCACTATAAAAACTGTGCAAAATCCACAGAACTTTCAGAATGAAAAATAATTTTTTTTTGAAATTTTCGGCCTGAAAGTTCCAGAAGGTTTCATGAGTTCTAGAAGTGTTTTTTGGGTTTTTCATGAAATTTGACGATTTTTTACACCCATATTGATATAGTTTGGTGAATTTTTAAAAGTTGCACCATTTTGACACCAAAATTTAAAAAATTCACCAAACCATATCAATATGGGTCTCAAAAATCGCCAAATTTCATGAAAAATTCGAAAAACACTGTGAGAATTCATGAAATTCTCTAGAACTTTCAGAATGAAAATAATTTTTTTTTGAAATTTTCGGCCTGAAAGTTCCAGAAGTGTTTTTTGGGTTTTCCATGAAATTTGACGATTTTTGACACCCATATTGATATGATTTGGTGAATTTTGAATTTTAACGCCAAAATTGGTGCAACTTTTCAAAATTCACCAAAACATATCAATATGGATCTCAAAATGCTCAGAAAATCACCAGGAATTCGAAAATCCCCATTTGCAGGCTCCAAAAACGCACCTGTTCCATCCCGATCCATCACATCCTCGTCTGGCTCAAGGTCTTTCCGAACTTCTCAAATCTCATTTATTGGGTCGACCGAATCGCCAACTCGAAATCGTCGCAAATCAATCGATTTTTTGGCGAAAAAACGATGAGGCTTTGCGAATTTTTTATCAATAGAGCGCATTTTATCGACGAAATAGTGAGAGACGCAGAGAAACATAAATACAATAAATTTTTATTCGAAGTTTGAGCTATTTGACAACGAAAAAAGGCACTAAAAAATTAGGGGAAAATGCAATAGAAAATGTACAAAAAAGCCTGAAATTAGGCCCTTTTAAGGCCCAAAAATAGGCCTTTTTAGGCCCCTACTTAGGCTTTTCCCTATATGTATTAACCGCATCAATGTCGAATTTGAACATTTCCACTTCGCAAGAATAGGCTTTTGGTGTTAGTTTGATTACGGTATGAAGAGGGACCTGAAAAATCGATAATTTTGAGGGCGAGTACTGTATGTACCTTTAAAATTGGATTTTTTTGTGGAAAAAATGATAAATTTCAAGTAAAAGGATTACTGTATGCCCCTTCAATTTTTCGTGTTTTTTTTTGGTTGAAAAATTAGAGTAATGTATGTCCCTTTAAAATTTGAAAAATATGAAAAATCGATAATTTTGAGGGCGAGTACTGTATGTACCTTTAAAAAAATCAATTTTTTTAGTGAAAAATGATAATTTCAGTTGAGAAGGATTACTGTATGTCCCTTTAAAGACACATCAGCCACTAGAAAAAACAGATTTCCCGCTTTTATTTTCAAATGACAAAAACAGCATGTGCGCTCTATTGCTTCGTTGTGTGCACACACTTTCGAAATTTCCGTCGGCTGAGCGATTTCAAAAACAATTATTTTGTTTTTTTCACTTTTGCCAGACTCAAAATTTTTTCTTGATTTTTATGAATTCCGATTACTTGAAATATGTTATGAAAGAATAACAAACTCAATTTCTGTTCATTTCTAGTGGATTGTGTGTCTTTAATTTTTAGAGAAAAATTTGGGATTTTTTTAAACTACGAATACGGTATGTCCCTTTAATTTTGTGACCAAAAAAAAATGTTTGCAAAAATTTTTTGGTCAGAAAATTTCTGTGACTTTGACAATTGTCTGCGTCTCTTGTCTTATCAGAAAACTATTTCGAATTTGATTTTTGGCGCCAAAAAAATGCCACAACTCACCTTTAAATACGGTAAATCATCTCGATTCTGATTGGTGAAATACGCCAAAATACACCGTAGAACAGCTTGATGTGAAACGACCAAAACATTTGATTGTCGTTCTAATTCCATTATTACAGGTTCAAGTCTGGAAACAAAATGAGGTTAGGGCTGAAAATAGCTGAAAATTTGGATTTTGGGCTGAAAATAAGGTCAAAAACAGTTTTTTTGGCCAAAATTTGGTCGAAAACATGATTTTTAGCCAGAATTAGCTGAAAAACAGGATTTCTGGCCAGAATTTGCTCAAAAACAGATTTCTGGCCAAATTTTTGTCCAAAACATCATTTTTATCCAGAATTTGCCTAAAAACATGATTTATGGCCAAATTTAAGTCGAAAACATGATTTCTGGCCAGAATTTAAGAAGAACCATGATTTTTAGCCAGGATCAGTTGAAAACAAGATTTCTGGCCAAATTTGAAAAAATTCTGTCAGCTGAAAACAGGTTTTCTGGCTAAATTTCTGTCCAAAACATGATTTCTGGTAAAAAATTCTGTCCATAACATGATTTTTAACCAGGATTTACTGGAAAACATGATTTCTGGCCAGAATTTAATAAGAACCATGATATTTGGCCAGAATTTGGTGAAAAACCTGATTTCTGTCCAAAATTAGGTCGAAACCATGATTTTTAGCCAGAATTCGCTGAAGACCATGATTTCTGGCCAGAATTTCTAAAAGGAACCATGATTTTTAGCCAGAATTCGCTAGAAAACCTGATTTCTGGCCAGAATTCAATAAAGACCATGATTTTTAGCCAGAATTCGCTAGAAAACACGATTTCTGGCCAGAAGTTGCCCAAAAATCACGATTTTTAGGTCAAAAACCTTCCCAGACCCATTTTTTCAGCCGCCCAAAACCGCTCACCTGGCCACCAAATCTTCATAACTTTCTCCACTTGGATATCTATAATGATATTTGTCTTTGTCTCTTTCCGCAAATTGTTTTGGATATCGAGATTCGAAATCTTCATACGTTAGACCTTCGCAAATTCCAGCATCGATTTCGTCTGCAAAAATTGAATTTTTCAGTGAATTTTTTGAAAAATTCGTCAAAAATCATCAAAATTTAATGAAAAATCACGAAAATTTCATGAAAAATCCAAAAAATTCCGAACAAAACCCATGAAATCCCCTAAAAATCCCCAAAAACTCACCCAAACACTTCCAAAACTCGGTGTGCTCAGCCAAATCTTTCAAATGCGACGCGGTTTGTGCGGCGCGGATCTTTTGCGATGACCAGATGCGGAAATCATCCAATTTTTCGTTGGCGAAATATTCGAGCAATTTTCCGGCATATTTTAGGCCATTTTCAGATAATGGAGAATCGCCGCCAAGTCTTCCGATTCTATTGTATTCTGATTCGCCGTGCTGCAAAAATAGGGATTTTGGGGTGAAAAAAGAGTTTTTTCAAGATTTCTGATGGAATTTGGTGATTTTTGACACCGATCTGAGAGTTCTGGGAGGTTTCATGAGTTCTAGCAGTGTTTTTCGGATTTTTCATAAAATTTGGTGAATTTTGAGCTCCATATTGATATAGTTTGGTGAATTTTGAAAAGTTGCACCATTTTTTCACCAAAATTTAAAAAATCAAGAAAACCATATCAATATGGGTCTCAAAAATCGCCAAATTTCATGAAAAATTCGAAAAACACCTTTAGCACTCATGAAATCTTCTAGAACTTTCAGAATGAAAACTAATTTTTTTCGAAATATTTGTTCTGAGAGTTCGGGGAGGTTTCATGAATTTTAGAAGTTTTTTTCGGGTTTCTCATAAAATTTGGTGATTTTTGACACCCATATTGATATAGTTTGATGAATTTTTGGAAAATCCACCATTTTGGCACCAAATTTCAAAAATCAAGAAAACCATATCAATATGGGTCTCAAAAATCGCCAAATTTCATGAAAAATTCGAAAAACAGTATGAGAATTCATGAAACCTTCTAGAACTTTCAAAATGACATAAAAAACTAACTCTTGACAAATAAATACTTCTTGGCAATAGATGAATATTCATTAGAAAATAGACGACTCGACTTTGAACGTGACCATTTACATTATGAACATAAAATGATTTGCCGGCATTGATAACCTGAAAAATGGATGGAAATTGATAAGGAAAATATGGAAAATGTTGAAATTTAAAGGGACAAAGGTCAAAAAATGATGAATTTTTGAGTAATTTTCAGGTTTTTTGGTTCATTTTGAAATTTTGCGCGTCAAATTCGGTGTTTTCCCAGAAATTCTGCAATTTTCTCAAGAAAACACCGAATTTGACGCAAAAAATTCAAATTTTCTGCATTTTTGCGTCATTTCTCATGTTCAACCTCAAATTTCCCAAAAAACCACTAAACCTGACGTGAAAATGCAGAAAATTTGAATTTTACATCAAAACACCCTACAGGAACACTAGAAATGACGAAAAATTGCACAAACACCAAATTTGACGCGCAAAATTCGAAATTTTCTGCAATTTTACCTTGATATACGATTTATCTTCATCATATTCCAAATCCAGCGGTTCATATTGCATTCGATAATTTTCGATTCGCTTCAGAAAATCTTCTTTCGCCTCTTCTTCAGTCATATGACCTTTGTAATCCGGCGAATTGATTTTGACTTCCTGGAAATTGAGGATTTATGGGTCCTGGCACGAAATTAAAGGAACATAGTGAAGTTTGGCCGAAAAATTCAGTTATTTTGAGTCCAAACAAGCCTGTGTTCCTTTAAATGGGTCCTGGCACGAAAAATTCAATTATTAAAGGAACATAGGCTTGTTAACCCTTTTTTGAACCCAAATTACACGTGGAATTCAAAATTTTCACGAAATTTCAGTTATTTTGAGCATAAATAAGGTCATGTTCCTTTAAATGGGTCCTGGCACGAAAAATCGGAATTTAAAGGAACATAGTGAAGCTTGGGCTCAAAAAAACCGGATTTCTTTGGACAATTTGAAAATTTCAGTCATTTTGAATCCAAACAAGCCTATGTTCCTTTAAATGGGTCCTGGCACGAAAAATTGGAATTTAAAGGAACATATTCAAGTTTGGGCTCAAAAAAACCGGATTTCTATGGACAATTTGAAATTTTCAGTTATTTTGAATCCAAACAAGCCTATGTTCCTTTAAATGGGTCCTGGCACGAAAAATCGGAATTTAAAGGAACATAGTGAAGCTTCTCTGACTCTAGAACACGCAACGCAGACCGCGTCGCGCCACAACACACACAAAAAAGGGAGGGAATTTGAATCGTTCCATTTTTGTGTGTGTTGTGGCGCGGCGCGGTCTGCGTTGCGTGTTCATTTCGGTGGAGCGCGTGGTACCGATGAGATTTTCGATTCTTTAAAATCAGATTTTTTCTTGAGGTACTGTAGTTTCGTAAGCGCAAAAACACATAAAACATAAAACATTCACGGCAATTTACGGTCCAATAAAACATTATTGTGCCACATCTTTTCCCCGGTGAAAAATGGAATTTTTATGGCAAAACTGGAAATGTCTTGCATAAAAGCCAGGCTCGCTCAATAGATCGGAATCACTTCAGAAAATGATTGTGAAGGTGTTGATGTTCATGTTGATGTTTCTTCAATCGGTGGATTCGTGTCGTGCAAGATGTCGAAACAGAACCCAATGTGAACCAGGATGGAGCTACGTTTCAAGAGAAACTGGTGGATGGTGCTTATTATTTCTTGGCGTTCTTGAAATGAACAAAGCATCGGCAGAAGAAGAATGTTCCTCTTTTGGAGCAGTTCCATCATCAATCGATAATGAAGAAATGAAACAATCATTCATGAGCACATTATCTTACTGGAATCTAGACGGAATGTGGATTGGCGCCTCTCTAAAACCCTCCTGTAATTGTGGAAGTGATTCATGTAAATTGACTGCAGGATGTGGATCACAAGGATATATTTGGACCGATAATTATACTACGTCTCCCAATGATTTGCTTGATTCTGTACAGGGAATCGAGACTACTGTAGAATCGGGTGTCACCTATGTAACACCCTACGATTCAGCATATCTTGCGAGAGATGGAAGTGAGTTAGAACAACATGGTGAAACGTGGATTTGTGTGTTTTTTTTTTTAGCAATTCGTGCCATCTGGAGTTCCAGCACATTGTATGGTGTTATGTGTGGGAAACGAGCGACTTAATTGAAAATTCGAATGTTTTTCAATGAACATGTTATTTGCATACTTTCCAGCTTAAAATTTCGGTTATTTTGAGCATAAACAAGGTCATGTTCCTTTAAATGGGTCTCGCCACGAAAAATTCAATTTTTAAAGGAACATAGGCTTGTTTACCCATAAGGGGGTGAGGTAGCTCAGTGGTACGTGGAATTGGCTGCTGGCGATCTCAGGGTCACGGGTTCGATACCCGGTGCCCGCTCCTCCTCGATCCACCCAGTCGTAAGTGGGTAGTAGTTCGCTACGCAAGGTAAATCGGTCCCCTGCGGCAACAGGGTGACTTCAAATTCCCCAAAATTCGGCCATATAGACGTACACCACCCGTACTCCGTGTCCGAATCGTCTGATCCGGTCAGTGTTCCTTTAAATAGGTCCTGGCTCGAATAATCGGAATCTAAAGGAACCTTTACCTTTACCTTTTACTTTATCTTTCGAACCCAAATTCCACGTGGAATTCAAAATTTCCACGAAAATTCGGTTATTTTGAGCATAAAAATGCTATGTTCCTTTAAATGGGTCCTGGCACGAAAAATCGGAATTTAAAGGAACATAGGCTTGTTTACCCTTTTTCGAACCCAAATTACACGTGGAATTCAAAATTTTCACGAAAATTCGGTTATTTTGAGCATAAAAAATGCTATGTTCCTTTAAATGGGTCTCGAAACGAAATCCTTTGATTTTAAAGGAACATAGCCATATTTACACCTAAAAAATCGCAAATTCCACCCCAAATACTTACCGTAATATTCGAATTAATAATATCCGGATCATCACAAACCGATTCGACATAAAACACACGAAATGGTGGTTGATGCATCATATTTCCGACAATATTCCATCAGGATTTTGCGGCGATCTCGAGTTGTGTTGGTGGCATCCAAAATCTGGAAGAAAATTTGAATTCGGTGAGAAAAATGGAGTAGAATGAGTGTAAACAAGGCTATGTTCCTTTAAATTTAAAGGTTACTTGTCGAGACCCATTTAAAGGAACATCGGCTTGTTTATACTCAAAATAACCGGAATTTCGAGAAAATTTTAGGACTCATCATGAAATTTGAGATTTTTTGAGACTAAATAAGGCTGTGTTCCTTTAAAAATCAACCTTTTCGGTGCGAGACCCATTTAAAGGAACATAGGCTTGTTTATACTCAAAAAATCTCAAATTTCATGAAGATCAAGTATTTTTTATTGAATTCTATTGAAATTTCCAAATTCTTTATGAAATTCCGGTTATTTTGAGTATAATCATGGCTATGTTCCTTTAAATTTGAAGGTCTTCGTGACGAGACCCATTTAAAGGAACATCGACTTTTTTCTATTCAAAATCACCGCATTTTCATGAAGATCAAGAATTTTTTATAGAATTCTATTGAAAATTCCGAATCCCCTATGAAAATTCGAACTTTTTAAGTACAAATAAGGCTATGTTCCTTTAAATGGGTCTCACCACGAAAATCTCAATTTTAAAGGAACATAGCCTTGTTTATACTCTTCCGGACCCAAATTTCAAGCTGAATTTTTTTCAAGACCCTTTAAAGGAACATACCGCAACTTCTCCCTCCTTGTTGTCCAAATATCTTCCCATATCCTCAATGGCCAATCGAGCACATTCACTGTAAAAATCAAAATCATTCTCTCTGCGTCTCTAGCACTCTCTCACTCTCTAATCTTCTGTCCTCTTTCATTATTCGGCGAAAAAAATTCGAATTCTCCTTCTTCGCCCAAATTACACGCTTTCCTACGGTACTCGCCCACATTGAAGGCTGCAAAAAAATTTGAATTTTTTTGGTTCCCGCGCCAAAACTACAGTACCTCTCGTTTTGATGCCAATCCAATTCAGATATCGACAAAGTTTGTGGGAGATGTAGGTTTTTCCGCGAGCCGGAAGGCCGACCAGAGCAATCACATTTGGCACGCGGACTTGCTCATTTGCCGAATTATCTGGAAAATATTGATTTTTCCTGGAATCCACGTGGAATTTGGGTTCGAAAGAGGTTGAACAAGGCCTATGTTCCTTTAAAAATTGAATTTTTCGTGGCGAGACCCATTTAAAGGAACATGAGCTTGTTTATAGTCAAAATAACCGAATTTTCCTGAAAATTTTGAATTCCACGTGGAATTTGGGTTCGAAAGAATACAAACAAGCCTATTTTCCTTTGAAAATTGAATTTTTCGTGGCGAGACCCATTTAAAGGAACATGACTTTGTTTATACTCAAAATAACCGAATTTTTGTGAAAATTTTGAATTCCACGTGGAATTTAGGTTCGAAAGAGGGTAAACAAGCCTATGTTCCTTTAAAAATTGAATTTTTCGTGGTGAGACCCATTTAAAGGAACATGACCTTGTTTATGCTCAAAAAATCCCAAATTTCACAGGGAATCTGAATTTAAAGGCGCATGGCGTCTAAAAGTAGCGAAAACTCGAATTTTCAGCAAAAAACTCACCATTTCTCGAAAATTGTAGCATTTTTCAAATAGAAAACTGCGATTTTCCCAATAAAAAATTGGAAATAAATTGTACTTTGTGTGTTGTCAAATAAAAAAAAATTTTGGGGCGAAAATATAACGAAAATTGTTTGTTTTTCTGTGATTATTGATAAGAAAGTGGGAGAAAATGGGGGAATATTATATCATCTTTGTTTTTATTGGAAAATGATTGATTTTTTGGGATGGGCAAAGGTCAAATGGCCAATTTTGGGGGCAAAATATTGATTTTTAAAGGCGCATAGGCTTGTTTAGAGTCAAATTACCTGATTTTTCATGAAATTTTGGTTATTTTGAGTATAAACAAGGCTATGTCCCTTTAAATTTGAGATTTTCGTGACGAGACTTATTTAAAGGAACATAGGTATATTTTTTATACCCAAAACAACCGATTTTACTCATTTTTCACTGAAGTTCATTCATGTTTCCAAATATTCATGAAATTTCGGATTTTTTGATTATAAACATGGCTATGTTCCTTTAAATGGGTCTCGCCACGAAAAATTCAATTTTTAAAGGAACATAGCCTTGTTTACCCTTTTTCGAACCCAAATTCCACGTGGAATTCAAAATTTTCCAAAAATTTCGGTTATTTTGAGCACAAACAAGGTCATGTTCCTTTAAATTGGAAGTTTTCTTGTCGAGACCTATTTAAAGGAACACAGCCTTGTTTATACTCAAAATAAACGGGAAATTTCACGAAAAATCGATATTTTCGGTATTTTCTCACCAAAACCCCCATTTTCCCGAAAAAAATCAATAATTCTCACCACTTTTCGGCATAAAATATGTCATTTTGCGTTGCGGAACACCAGCCGGGCGAGGCATGCTGAAAAATCGATTTTTTCTGATTTTCAATGAAAAATTGGGGCGATTGTTCAACAAAAAATTCAAAAAACACGTGATTTTCGGTTTTTTAATTCGATTAACAATGAAAATTGGCCGAAAATCGATGAAAATGTCAATTTTCAAGTAAATAAACAAGATAAGTATATTATTTGATGAGAAAAAAAAGAAGAACCCCAATTTCTTCTTTTTTGTTTGTTGTGTTCAAGTAAAACCCGGTGTAATAATGGAAAAATCACGAGAAAATCGAAAAAACGGCGAAAAAAAAAGAAAAACGAGGGAAATGTTGAGCGTGGCCGTGGCCGAGTTTTTTCTGTCTGCGCTCTCTCTAGTCCACACACTCTCTGAAATTTTTTTTTGAAAAATTTTTTAAAAATTGTTATTTTCGCGCCATTTTCATCAATTAACCTCTTTAAAATCCCGTAGGTTCTGATTAGAAATTTTTCGCACATTATTTTACCATTCTTTAGAAATGTCAAGGAGAGAAAAATGTTAATTTTTTAAATTATAAATATCTAAACTTTGCGTGAACCAAATGACGTGGCAAAAACTGCTATAAAAACAAAGTTAAGCCAGTCAGAGCTCATTAAAAATGGATTTTTTTATCAAAAATCTAGTAATATTTGTATTGGTTTTCACAAAATGCTCGATTCAACAAATTCAAGATCAAAGCTTCCAAAAGTTTTGTAGTCGATTCAATCAGGCAATTGTGACACAAACCATCGAAACGGATGATTCTGGAGTTCCAATTCCAAATCCAGTTGGTGACAGATGCACAATTGAGATGGATTTTCCTGCAACTGATACGGTAACCCACAAAAAAACCAACGCTTTAACGATTTTCGTTGTTTTCAGGATCAGGCTAAAATGTATTGTGAAAGATGGGGTTTATTCGCTTTGGCTGAATGGAAAGCTGTCGAAAATCGAGTCTCTTGCACCTATGAAAATGTCTACGAATGCTCTAACAACTATCAGCAAATTCGTGGAATGTGTTATCGCCCATTCTACGATCTCAATACTTATGAGGAAGCTGAAAAGACTTGCGAAGATTCGGTTTCAGGCGCAAAAATTGTACAAATTTCAAAACACCTTGGAGAATTGTTCGAGTTTGCGTTTGGTGATGATTTATCAATGTATTTTGTGCAACCCGATAAAACTCTTGAATTATCATCGATGTTTGTTGGACAAAATTCAACTGAAGCCGAAGATCAAAACAAGAATTATGTGATTCTTTTTAACTATGGTATTCATTATGATGTTGGGCCAAATACAATTATCAAATTGGACAAGACAGTCAAAGCATTCGCAATGTGCATGTATAAACCGCCTGAAACAATTCTCAGTTTTGGCATAAACGCTAAAAAACTTGCAGAATTGTATCATCCAACACAATTGGTTGGTGCAATGGCTGTTTGGAGAAGTGCTTCGCATTATACACCAGCGTATGTTTTTGGCAATTCAATCAGAAAACTTCTTGTTGGACATCGTTTTTTAGCAATTGATTTGAAATATTGGGTTTATTCTTATATTGTCATTCCGAAAAAATAAGAACTTGGAAGAGAACCGAAATGGCCTAGGACACCAAGACTGCAGTAGACTTCGCAAAATTTTGGAGTCTATTTGAAAAAATAAAATGCGAAATTTACACGTTGGCTATTTGCCAACCAGTTTGATGTGCATGTGTCACGTCATTTTTAGTCTACTGTACGTGACCGCCAATTCAAACGGGGGTTCTTTTTATTTTCGGAATGACAATACTCATTTGCTAAAAAAGCTGAAAATTCCGCTGAAAACCAAGATTTTTGAATTTTTGCTGCAATTTTGAGATCGCGCACAAGGAATCGCCATTTTTTAAACATGTGAGAAGAACGCTCGAAAAAGAAAAAAAACGTGCGCGTCAAATAAAATGCCTGCGCGGTGTTTGCACACATTTAGCAAACTACAGTAGTTATTCATTTTTTGAAAGTTTTTTTAGGGCTGATTCACGAACGAAAAAAAAAAGTTTTTTTTTCATCGAAAGATCAATTCACGAAAAGTCAAAAATGTCGAAAAAACTTTAGTTTTTCGAGTTTTTCAGCCAAAAAATGATGACAAATCGATATTTTTCAAGTTTTTGGAGTAATTTCTGATGAAAATAAGCTTTGAGAACCCTATTTTGCTTTATTTTATGAATTTTTTCAAAAATCATCAAAATTTGAATTTTTTTATTTTACGAAAAATCAGCAAAACCTTCTGGAAAGTGAATTCCGAGGTCAATTTTAATCAGAAATTACTCCAGAAGCTTGAAAAAAATATCGATTTGTCATCATTTTTGGTTGAAAAACTCGAAAAACTAATGTTTTTTCGACATTTTTCGACTTTTCGTGAATTGATCTTTCGATGTTAAAAAACACATTTTTTTTCCTTCGTGAATCAGCCCTTATATCTACTCGGGAAACATCCCGCAAGTGCCGGCAAGAATTGCAGTAGAGCTGCAATGCCGGGTGAAGCCGCCGTTGTTGCGGGGGAAAGACAACGGGAATGTGAGAGAGCGCAGACGCTCGCTACTTTTTGTCTGTCTGCCTGTGCTCTCTCACACTTCCCTTTTGTCTTTCCCCCGCAACAACGGCGGCTTCACCCGCAGCCATTGCGGCTCTACTGCAATTTTTTTGCCGGCACTTGCGGGATTTTTCCCGAGTATATTTATCTTGAATCGAATCCCACATTTTAAAAATTTTCTATTTTTTCAGATTAATCCCTGGTTATCCATACTCCCATAAAGATGTTTGCGAAGCTTCGATGAAAGCAATTCTTGGAACCAGTGATGGAACTTTTCTCAATTTGAAACCGGCTAATACCAAGCGGTTGAGTCCGGAAGTCAAAAAAATCATTCAATCGCGCATTTGGACCATTTGCTTATTGCTATTATACTGATTATCACAAGAATTACCGTCGTCAAATATACTTTGTAAACAAAAAAGTTGTAAGTTCATTCAGGATAATAAAAAGAGCAAAAAAATGAATATGTTTTTGTATTTAGATTGGAATTTCTTGTGAGAATCAAGCGAACTTGCGCGATTCGGATTATGATGCGAATTGGCATCGCGAGTTGAACCCTGTTAGATATTCATTTGTTTATTTCCCAGAAAAGAAATCGAATAGTTTGAGTTTCGAAGCATTACCACTTGCTATTCATTCTCCAATGCTTTGTGGATTGCATTATGAAAAAGATGTTAATCGTCAACCTCAAATGTGCAAGAATTACTGGACTCCTTATCATCGTCAAATTGGAACAGTTTGTCATAAATATTTCCAACTTAGCGAATATGGAGATGGAAAAGTAAGTATTATTGGTTATGATTTTTTTTTTGCCACATTTTTTGGGTTTCTGTGTATTATCGAAAATCTCATCGATAATATGACCGCGCTCCACCGAAATAAACGCAACGAATAGCACCGCGTCGCGCCACAACAAACACAAATAAGGTAACGATTCAAATTCCCTCCCTTATTTGTGTGTGTATTGTGGCGCGGCGCGGTCTGCGTTGCGTGTTTATTTCGGTGGAGCGCGTGACCGATGAGATTTCCGATAATATTTGTGTGTCAAAACCACCATTCGAGTTGCTGGAAATACTATTTATGAATAATTTTTATACAGGAAAACCAGAAAAATTGCTTCCCGGCTTATATTGTGGAATTTTGAAAAAATGCGGCAGAGGAAAAAATGGGTCAGCTAACGTAAATATTTCGAAAATCAATGAAGGTCTGTGTAGGCGGCGGTCGCGATGCGGTCGAAGAAAAACAAAGAAAAAAATTGGCGATATTGATTTTATTACGACCGCACCGCGACCGCGCGCGCACACACAGACATTCATTCATTTTCGAAATATTTACGAGGGACTAGCTGACTCTTTTTTCCTCTGCCACATTTTTTTAATCTCTCTGGCACATTTTTCGAGCGGGGGCGAGTGTAAACCGCAAGCTTCCGCGTTAGCGGCACTATCTTCCGCTTCAGCGGCCACGTAACTATGACGTGGCTATGATAGTACATAGCTATGACGTGGCAAACGTACAGTATCATAAACCACGTGGCCGCTGAAGCGGAAGATAGTGCCACTAACGCGGAAGCTTGCGGTCTACACTGCTTCGCTCGAAAAATCGATTTTCTCATGCCGGATCTGAAAATTTCAGTGAAAACCGAGGTTTTTTTGAGATTTTCACTGAAATTTTCAGATCCGGCGTGAGAAAATCGATTTTTCGAGCGGAGCGAGTGTAAACCGCAAGCTTCCGCGTTAGCGGCACTATCTTCCGCTTCAGCGGCCACGTAACTATGACGTGGCTATGATAGTACATAGCTATGACGTGGCAAACGTACAGTATCATAAACCACGTGGCCGCTGAAGCGGAAGATAGTGCCACTAACGCGGAAGCTTGCGGTCTACACTCGCTTTTCGCTCGAAAAATCGATTTTCTCATGCCGGATCTTGAAAATTTCAGTGAAAACCGAGGTTTTTTTGAGATTTTCACTGAAATTTTCAGATCCGGCGTGAGAAAATCGATTTTTCGAGCGGAGCGAGTGTAAACCGCAAGCTTCCGCGTTAGCGGCACTATCTTCCGCGTCAGCGGCCACGTGGGTTATGATACTGTAAATTTGCTACGTCATAGCAGCCATCCACGTGGCCGCTAACGCGGAAGCTTGCGGTTTACGGTTGGGGGCTTTAGGCTCTAAACACTATGAAATGCGCATTTTATTGATTTTCAGTATAAAGGATATAATGATGCTATTACATTTTGCGCTAAGCAAAAAAGGTGATCTGTCAAGATGGGAAAGTTATTCCGAGTATATATTTGTACGTTCTCTTCGAACTGGTTCTTGTGGTGGTTCATGTGATGCCTGGGTAAAATGTTACGATGTGAATGGGGTGAGATTGTTGTGGTGGTTTTTTTCTCAAATCTTGGATGTTTTTACAGTGCCGCACTTATCAAAGCAAAGATGGAGCACGTCCTGATCTTCAAGGAAGCAGCATGAATTGGCTTAGTGCTGATTATGGTCAAAGTGTCATCTGTGAACAACCGGCATACCAAACATACTGAACATTTTTCTGAACAGAAATAAATACGTCGAAAAAATCTAGCATTGTTTGCAAATAGCATGTAGTTGTGGCTGAAAATCGCGGCTAGGATCATATATTTTTTTGTGCAAAAAATGTAGTTTAGAAAGTTTTTTCAAAAAAAGAATAGAAAACAAATAAGAATGCATATAAAAACCAAACAAGAATTAAATTTTCAAAAACAATTCAATAATTTAAAAAAATCAACAAACTAAAACAAAACTAGAATGAAGAATTTTAGAAAAAAAAATGAAAAATTGGGGAATTTGAAGAAGTTTTTAGTGATGTTGACGATTCTGGAAGCATTTTTTGGTCAAAAAATTAGATATTCATGGAATTTTGTATAGAAATAATGGAATTTTCCGATTTTTCTCAAAAAAATAGCGAAAAAAAGTACCTGATATGGTCGAAAATGATGATTTCTTGAACGATGAGAAGAAGAAGATTGGGAAGAAAAAATCGGTAATTTGAAGAGGAAGATGAAGGACGATTTGAAGATGGAGATCTGCAAGAAAATATTGATTTTTCCGTTGGAAATTTGCCAAAATTCGGATTTTTCATTGAAAAATAAAAAATCCGATAAATTTTAGATAAAATCAGCAGAAAAACGTGCGGAACGAAATTGAATTTCTTTTATTTTTTAAAGAGCAATTTTTGAAACGTACAATTTTATGTTTAATTAATTAATTGATATTTTTACACGGGTTTTCAAGGGATTGCTCAGATTATACAAAAAAAATTGTGAAAAATCATGATCTGAGGGGTTTCTAAAATTGATAGATTTTAATAAAAGCCATTGCTCATTTTATAAAAAATATTAGATCTTCTATATTATTGCGGCATTGCTCAGGTTATAAAAAATTCCAGAAAAATCTGGATTTCGGTGAGTTTTGGCTAAAAAACCTCCAATTTTCATGATTTTCATCAAAATTTGCTCATTTTCAGCTCAAAAATATTGAATTTTCACAATCTTCAAAGCATTGCTCAGGTTACAGAAAAATGATTTTTATATCAAATTTGATGCTTTTTAGCTCAAAATCCTTCAATTTTCATGATTTTCATCGAATTTTTCCATAATTTCTAGCAGAAAATCGCGAATTTTCAGAGCATTGCTCAGGTTACAGAAAATTATTTTTTATATCAAATTTGATGCTTTTCAGCTCAAAAACCTCCAATTTTCATGATTTTCATCGAATTTTTCCGAATTTTCTAGCAGAAAATCGCGAATTTTCAGAGCATTGCTCAGGTTACAGAAATTGATTTTTTATATCAAATTTAATGCTTATCAGCTCAAAAAACTCCAATTTTCATGATTTTCATCGAATTTTCCCAGAATTTCTAGCAGAAAATCGCGAATTTTCAGAGCATTGCTCAGGTTACAGAAAATTATTTTTTATAGCTTCAATTTTCATGATTTTCATCGAATTTTCGCTCATTTTTCTCACCTTCTTTCTCCTACTTTCAGAATTCGAGCTCGAAGGTGTTGTCGAATATCTTGATTCGGAATAATTATTATCAAATCTTCCCCGATTTCCAGAATTTCCTCTTCTCCGATAATCTGAGCAATGGTCATAATTCGATGTTCTTCTCTCATTTCTCTGCGTCTCTTCTCCTCTTTCTTTTTCTCTTTCTTGATTGAAGAATTGCGGACGTGGAATTATTGGAGTTTTTTGGGGAGCGGGAAGAAAAGGTGGAGGGGGAAAGGGAAAAGAATCGGGAATTGCAATTGCGGGAAGTGATTTGGCAGGTTGTTGTGGCGGAATTGGCTGAAAAAAGGTGTTAATCTGAGCAATGCTCTAAAAATTCCGAAAAACAGCCATTTTTGAATGAAAATATGGAAAATTTCGGTGAAAATCATGAAAATATGGAAAATTTTGATGAAAATCATGAAAATATGGAAAATTTTGATGAAAATCATGAAAAATTGAAATTTTTGAGCCAAAACTCATCGAATATCGAATTAAAAAAATCATTCACTTTAATCTGAGCAATGCTCTAAAAATTCCAAAAAACAGCCATTTTTGACTGAAAATATGGAAAATTTTGATGAAAATCATGAAAATTGGAAAATTTTGATGAAAATCATGAAAATATGGAAAATTTCGATGAAAATCATGAAAAATTGAAAATTTTGATGAAAATCATGAAAAATTGAAAATTTTGAGCCAAAACTCATCGAATATCGATTTAAAAAAATCATTTACTTAATCTGGAGCAATGCTTTAAAAATTCCGAAAAATCAGCCATTTTTGACTGAAATAATGGAAAATTTTGAAGAAAATCATGAAAATTGGAAAATTTTGATGAAAATCATAAAAAATTGGAAAATTTTGAGCCAAAACTCATCGAATATCGATTAAAAAAAATCATTTACTTAATCTGAGCAATGCTCTGAAAATTGCGAAAGTCAGCCATTTTTGACTGAAAATATGGAAAATTTTGATGAAAATCATGAAAATTGGAAAATTTTGATGAAAATCATAAAAAATATGGAAAATTTTTGAGCCAAAACTCATCGAATATCGATTAAAAAAATCATTTACTTAATCTGAGCAATGCTCTAAAAATTCCGAAAATAGGCCATTTTTTACAAGAAAAATCGCATTTTTCGCAATTTTTCTTGTAAAAAAGTGTTTTTTCAATAAAAATTTCATAAAAAAATTCCAATTTTTCTCACATTTTTCACCCAAATTTTGATAAAAATCCCCAATTTTCGCCCAAAATGCTCACCTCCTCTTCTTCTTTTACAATTTCCGGAATGGTTTCCAAAATAGTTTCCTTATTATCTTCCACTTCTTCTCCAGCCTCTTTTTCAGCTTCTTTTTTCAGCTTCTCCTCCATTTTCAGCTTCATCTCCAACATGTTCAGTTTTGATTCGAATTTGTCGTAATTTGTCTGATAATTGACTATTAAAGTGTTCTCGAATAAAAATCACATCATCTTCTGTCAATTTTTCATTTGTTTCTTCTAAATCACTAATTGTGGAATTCGATTGAGAATTTGTTTTCATTCGATTTTTTCGATGACACGATTCTTCGTCATCTGAAGATGAAGATGAACTAGAAGAAGAACTTGAAGAATTTGAAGGACGATTGTAGATTGCGGCACGACGAGTTTTCTGGAATGGCGAAGGTGGTTAGAGATGGGATTTGGGATCTAGAGAAGGTCACGGGTTCGATGCCCGCTGCTTGCAGATTTGAAAAACGTGGATGGCTATGACGTGGCTCACTTACAGTATCATAAACCACGTGGCCGCTGAAGCGGAAGATAGTGCCGCTAACGCGGAAGCCAGGTTTTACACTCGCTTTGCTCGGAAAAAATTGACGATTGATTTCCCTGCGCGGAATCTCAAAATTTCAGTGAAAACTCAAAAATATCTTGGTTTTCACTGAAATTTTCAGATCCGGCATGAGAAATACAATTTCTCGAGCGAAGCGAGTGTAAACCGCAAGCTTCCGCGTTAGCGGCACTATCTTCCGCTCCAGCGGCCACGTGGAAATTGGACCTCTGAGGGTTGCCACGTCATAGCCATTCCACGCGGCCGCTGAAGCGGAAGATAGTGCCGCTAACGCGGAAGCTTGCGGTCTCTACACTCGCTTCGCTCGAAAAAAATTGGCGATAGATTTGCCTGCGCGGGATCTCAAAATTTCGTGAAAACTCAAAAAAAAATCTTGGTTTTCACTGAAATTTTCAGATCCGGCATGAGAAATTCGATTTTTCGAGCGAAGCGAATGTAAACCGCAAGCTTCCGCGTCAGCGGCACTATCTTCCGCGTCAGCGGCCACGTGGTTCATGATACTGTAAGTTCGCCACGTCATAGCCATTTCCACGTGGCCGCTGAAGCGGAAGCTTGCGGTTTACACTCGCTTCGCTCGGAAAAAAATGGCGATAGATTTGCCTGCGCGGGATCTCAAAATTTCAGTGGAAACTCAAAAAAATCTTGGTTTTCACTGAAATTTTCAGATCCGGCAAGAGAAATTCGATTTTTCGAGCGGAGCGAGTGTAAACCGCAAGCTTCCGCGCGCAGCGGCCACGTGGATAGCTATGACGTGGCGACCCTCAGAGGTCCTCTAAATTTCCACGTGGCCGCTGAAGCAGAAGCCGCAATTTCAGAATATTCATTTAATTTTTTTTGATTACAATTGGTATATCAAAACAAATATTTGATAGTATAGTATATCAAAAATTTGAAACGTATTTTTTTTTGTTAGAATTTTCGATTGACTTAAAACGTGATAAAAATGAAAATTTTCTCCGAAATGAAGCATTTTTGAGCTGAAAAAGGGGTACCCCTTTTTATTCAGCCAGAGAAGTTATTGTAACTTTGCCGCTCATCAAAAATCTCTCACATTCAACTCCTGAATGCGAATATCCTTGGAAAACGCATTATCAATCGCATTCTTCTGCAATTCCTCAGTTTTCTTCAAAATCAAACTGGGATCCGGTCGATTTTTCGCTTCTTCAATCGCCGAATTAAAACTCTTAATCATCGAATTAAATTGTGACATTGGAAAACATTTGTTAATCATTTCCGAAATCATTGCATTTCTTCTCTTTCTTCCATCTTGAAATTCTTTATTTTTATATTTTGATAGATCTTCTTTTGTGAATTTGTCTCAAATGTTGTGACAAATCACATTGTCTTTGATAAAACATTTCGCAATTTGGAATTGGACATTCTAATTGTGAGATTGGTAGTTTCATAAAGTGTTGTTTCTCAATATGTTCTCTTCTATGACTTGTTCTAATATCTAATCCAGTCATACATAATTGACAACAATTATCACTATTTGGTAATTCGGGAAATGCATCATCCATTCGACTTTTTACTATTTTTTCGTATTCTTCTGGTGCAATATCGGCTGATAAATGTTTTGAGCTCACATGATCTTTTCGAATTACTGAAAATCAAAAATTGGCGATAGATTTGCCTGCGCGGGATCTTAAAATTTCAGTGAAAACTCGAAAAAATCTTGGTTTTCAGTGAAATTTTCAGATTTTCGAGCGAAGCGAGTGTAAACCGCAAGCTTTCCGCGTCAGCGGCCACGTGGATGGCTATGACGTGGCCGCTGAAGCGGAAGATAGTGCCGCTAACGCGGAATCTTGCGGTTTACACTCGCTTCGCTCGAAAAAAAATTGGCGATAGATTTGCCTGCGCGGGATCTCAAAATTTCAGTGAAAACTTGCAATCTAGAAGACTAGAATGATTTTTTCAGTGAAATTTTCAGATCCGGCACAAGAAATTTTATTTTTCGCTATATTTTTCTCAGAATTTTACAAAAAAAAAAAATTGGCGATAGATTTGCCTGCGCGGGATCTCAAAATTTCAGTGAAAACTCAAAAAATCTTGGTTCTCACTGAAATTTTCAGATCCGGCGTGAGAAATTCGATTTTTCGAGCGGAGCGAGTGTAAACCGCAAGCTTCCGCGTCAGCGGGGGCTATGACGTGGCGAATTTACAGTAGCATAAACCATGTAGCCGCTGAAGCGGAAGATAGTGCCGCTTACGCGGAAGCTTGCGGTTTACACTCGCTTCGCTCGGAAAAAAGTTGGCGATAGATTTCCCTGCGCGGGAGCTGAAAATTTCAGTGAAAACTTGCAATCTAGAAGACTAGAATGGTTTTTTCATTGAAATTTTCAGATCCGGCGTGAGAAATTCGATTTCTCGAGCGGAGCGAGTGTAAATCGGAAAATTCCGCGTCAGCGGCCACGTGTATGACTATGACGTGGCGAACTTACAGTATCATAAACCACGTGGCCGCTGAAGCGGAAGATAGTGCCGCTAACGCGGAAGCTTGCGGTTTACACTCGCTACGCTCGAAAAAAAATTGACGATAGATTTCCCTGCGCGGGAGCTGAAAATTTCAGCGAAAACTTGCACTCTAGAAGACTAGAGTCATTTTTTCAGTGAAATTTTCAGATCCGGCATAAGAAATTCTTTTTCGAAAAGAGCGAGTGTAAATCGAAAAATTCCGCGTTAGCGGCCACACGAATTACTATGACGTTTGCCATATCATAATAATCCACGTGGCCGCTGACACGGAATTTTCCGATTTACAAGTTGAGATAACTCACTATATTCATAATTAACTTCCTGATTACAAAGCGCACAAGTGATTTTAGTCCAATCAGTTCGATTTGGATCATTTGGATGATAGAAACCAACTCCGATTGGATTGGGTTCATCGGGTTCTGCGATTGGAACATGCTGAAAAATTTAGGCCTCCAAAATCACATTTTTCACAAACTCACAATCTGTAACGCATCTGGTATAGTCATTTTTGCTACACTTGTTGTAACTCGTTTCTCCTTTCGATTTTCCGCCGTCAAATTACTCGAACTAACATTTTCCTCTTGCAAAAGTGTTCGTGATCTTCTCTTCGCAGAACTCGCTTCAGTCGCAGTCGCAACTCGCTTTCGCGAACTTGTCGCAGATGTCGCGGGAACCACGCGATTTTCCAAACTTTGTGTAGTTTGTGAAATTGCGGCGCGTCGTGAATCCACGATTGTTGTGAAATCCAAGTTTTTCAACAATTTCGCGTCTTTTTCCACCATCTCCACTAAAACATCCATATAACTGTTCACCGTGTTTTGAAACGATCTTTTATGTTTTGTTTTGTCGCAATGAGCTTTTCGCTCTTGTTCTGTGTAGAATTGAGCTTCACAATTTACATCTCCACATTGAAACATCCTGCAAAAACTTATTTTTCATCATTCTTCGCGATTTTCAAACTTACTTATACTTGAAATGCCTCAAGAGATGCTCCTTGATCTCTTCTACAGTTTCACTACACATTGGACATGTTGCAGACATTTTCTGCCTGGAAAAAAACAAGGTTTTTCGAAAAAAAAAAAGAAATGTAGGCTTCAACTTTTGAAAAAACGAAAAAGGAAGTCGAAAAAACGATGGAGAATTTATAACTGATTTTTTGATATATAAAACTTATATCTTTCCTTGGAAAATCCCTCTATTTCCTTGGTTTCTGCGAAAAAAAACGAAAAAAAACAAAAATAAATAGTAAAGGCGCATCGATTTTTGTCTGTGTGTCTCGTCGCGAAGAGGACACACGCGAGTGTGTGTGACCGTAACCTTGCTCTGATGAATTTTTTCCATTTTCTTTTTTTCTCCCTTTTTTTGCCGTTTTTTCTCGGTTTTTGCAAGTTTTGGTGAATTTTGATGAAACGTGGTTTTGCTGAATGTTGGCCTACGCGAATTTCTCGTATTTTGGTGTATTTCGTTTTGTTTATCGATTTTTTTCGACGAGATTATTGGATTTTTTTGATTTTCAATTTTTTTGATTTCAGAACTTCGGGAATAATGAGTCGCGTTCGTACCAAGACCGTCAAGAAGGCTTCCCGTGTCCTTATCGAGAAGTACTACACCCGCATGACCAATGACTTCCACAACAACAAGAGAGTTTGTGATGAAGTCGCCATCATCGGATCCAAGCCACTCAGAAACAAGATCGCTGGGTGAGTTTCGATTATTTTTCTGTTGAATATTCTAAATAATGAACTCAAATTAGAAAGCGGAGCGAAATCTATCAGAATCGACGTTTTTGTCTGATTCTATATTTTCGAAAATATACGAAACCTTCTGATATACATTTTTTCGTGGCTTTATTGGACACGTTTTTGATTGACCAATATATAATTTAAAATGTAAAGAATAAAGAATTCTCTATGCCCAAATCAAAACCAAAATAATTTTTTTCGCGAGCAATGGAATTTATCGATTTTTCCTAAAAATTTATAAATTGAAATATAAATCGAGTTCAATAAACTATCTCAACTCTTCAATGAGATTTCAATTTTTCAGATACATCACCCATTTGATGAGACGTATCGAACGAGGACCAGTTAGAGGCATTTCCATCAAATTGCAAGAAGAAGAGCGTGAGCGCAGAGACAACTACATGCCAGAAATCTCCGCTGTCGACCCATCCCAACTCACCACCATCAAGGTCGATCAAGACACCGCCAACATGCTCAAGGCCGCTGTGAGTTTGTTTTTTGGGTGTTTTGAGCTCTGAGAAGAATTCTTCAAAAAAAGTTGTTGAAACAAACAATTTTTTTCGAACAAAGTTTCGGAACATCTGAAAGTGTGTACGTTATTAAAAAGAAAAACCTTGATTTTCCTATAAACAAAACCATACTTTTTCAGGGATTCAACCTCACCAACGTTTCCGTCGACGACCAAAAGACCAAGGGAAAGTAAATTGTATATTTTCTTTTTGTCTCAAATTGGTTATGTTTTCTTGCTTTTGAAGCGAGTTATTGTTATCGTTGAGATGAATTTTTATTTGTCTTTTAAAGGTTTGCGTTTTTTTCTTTCCCTGAACATTTCCAGAACCGTTTTGGAGATTTTCAATTGCTAACTGTTTCCTTGTTCGGCATTTCTTTGAAATGAAAGGAGCCATCCAAATAGAACAATTTTCACTTCAATGTAAAAAAAACGTCAATTTGAAAAGATCAATAATTGTTTATTATTTAAGCATTTAGTTGACAAGTTCCATGAGTTCCATCATCATTATCACAAACAAATCCGACAGGGCAAGGATTTACACTATTGCAAAATTTGTCGAGTTCAGCGTTGACGAGAAAAACTGCAGCAAGCAAGACGAAAATGAAGTTGAGCAACATTTTTATGAAAATTCAACGTGAGAGGTGTTTATATAAATTTTCTGAAAACATTTTGAGACAATTCACACACCGTTAAATGTGCGATTCACACCTGACGAGACGTGTCCAAAATGGACACTGTACATTTTTTTCAAAAGTCACACTGCATTTTTTTCGAAAAAAAACTTTGTTTCCTTTTCATCAACATTTAACTTGGGGAAATAAATGCACATTTAGTTCAGTGGTAGGCCATTTTGCTAGTGTTCAGAAGGCCCAGGTTCGAATCTTCATTCGAGCTAACTTTTTTTTTATTTTTTCCCAACTTCAAAATCAACTTCAGATTGCGAATTTTTCGAAGTTTCTCGGTGAAAATCAACTCAGCAGACTTCGTTTTAGTGTAGTAACACAATGTGCAGTGTGGAATTTACGTGACTGCTTAGCAAACCATAGTGTCACTGAAATTTCAAAAAAATTGACTTTCTATGAAAAAACTTCAAATTCCACACTGCACATGGGTAAATTCAAAAACTACGCTTAAAAATACACCAACTTTCTGAATATACCAACCCTTGATATGTGCTCGAAAAAAAATGCCGTCCGATTCTTTGTAATGTCCATATTTACCATTCACAATATCCACAGGACGACGCGAGGTGTGTGCGCTCTCTCGTTGTCTGCGTCTCTACAGCAAACAACACTCTCTCATTTTTTTTTTCAGTTTTTTTGAATTTTTTCGAAATTCTTCAAAAAATTCGAGAAATTCACGGGGAAAATGGTATATGAGCGAGTAGAGGAGGATGAAAGGAAGGCAGAGAAATAACATTTCGATTCATTTTTGAAATTTTTAAGGCTATAAAATCGAAAGAAAAACTTATGTTTTTTTTAAGAAGTATTTTAGCTGAAATTTCACGAAATTTTTGGTAAATTTACTTGTAAAGGCCAGGAATTACGTGAATCAAAGTACACCAGTTTATTTGATGCTAGGAATGAGAAGTTTCGAACCTAAAAATTCTTGAAATTAACAAAACACGTTTATTTGAGCGTTTTTTTAATTAAAAAATAAGAAATACCTGAATTCAAGTGTGAAAAACTGAAAAATTTGAATGATAAAGTTTTATGTAACAAAAAACGAACTATATAATTAAATCTTTATTAATAAATAATAGGAAGTTATGTCGTACAAAAACATTTTTGAAAACCCGGCTGAAAATTAACATCAGCAGAAAGACCATATAAAAATATACAACAACAAGATTGTCAGGATCCGAATGAACTTCTTAGCTGAGTTATAGACCTCCAAATATCACAAATCGATAATTTTGGCCAATAAGGAACATCATTCTCCGATTCAAACCCAACTTTTCCAGTCAACTTCAGAAAAAATGTCGTCAAATCTCTACCAAGCTCCAAAATTTGAATTTAGCAATTGCTTATTAATAAGAAGAGTCGGATGTTACTGTTGAAATATTAGTTCCTCTCAATTGATAATCTTTTGAGCCATCAAACATATACAACCATCTCCAACGACCGCTATTTTCTTCATAGTACCAACATATACTTTGTCAAGTAGATTTTCATGTGTGTTCTCGATGTTTTTCACTGTTCTCCAGTACTCTGAGTACCACATTTCCTGATGTTGGTGTTTGAAAGCCAGATCCTCCAATGCGAGTTTATCGCAATGTTCCTCATTGAAAAAATGTGTGGTTGATTCGAAATTACGATCAGATACATCCAATGCGATTACGATTTTGTCAAAAATCAAATTTGACGACCAGTTCCATATTTTTTGAACCAGTAAATGTTCATAAGTAGCGATTACCAGCGTGAACCTGCAATAAAGCCTTTATAAATTCCGTTATTATCAAATTTCTGAAGCAAAAAACCTACGAAAAGCTTAATTTTCTTCTCTCCCGTCATATTCGAATCATTTTATATCCAAACAAGCATCAGAAAATAGTTCAACAGCACCACTGGTAACATCCATCGATTCATGTGAAAATAAATCTGTCGTCGTTACAAGCGGTCCAAATATATCCCATTTCATCCCAAATGTGGTCCTTGTATTCCAAAAAAGTTCGAAAAATTAGTATTCTTCACTTTTTGGCGACACCCAAAAAAACCTGAAAAACGAACGAAAATCTTTAAAATTTTTGAACGGCATTATGGCGTTACTTCATGAAACGATCTATACATGAAAATGTTCCCTGATATTCATAGAATGAGAAATCGTTCATGAAATTTTGCAAAAACACCAATGAAAATGAGTAAAAACAAGAAAAAGTTGAAAAATCGACAAAAAAATTCGATTTTTCCATTGAAAAAAGACAAACGAGCAAACGCGCTCTACCGAAACGAGAGATTTTTCGAAAAGAGACGCAGAAACGTCGTTTTGTGGACACTGTGCATTGAAATGGACACTCCAAAATAACAGCGAAATAGGGCATTTCCACACTGCACTCATGGTGTTCCACACTGCCTATGACCTTACCAATCTATTGGAAAAAAATCAACTATATCCGTTAAGCCTAAGCTTAGTTATCCTAACTTCAAATTTTGAGCAACGTTGCAACGCATTCGTTTGAAAACAGTTTCCTTTTCCACCAACATTTTCCCCTCGGGAGAAAAAAAGAGATGTGGCCGAGAGGATAGCATTTTAGACTGGCGAGCATGAGACCAGGGTTCGAATCCTCCTGCCCGCGGACTTTTTTTTTCGAAAAACTTGAAAATTTCACGCTGCACATTTTTTTTTTGAAAAAAATTTTCACACTGCACAAAAAATTTGGGACACTCTCTCGTCAGGTGTGGTGCGATTGTCTGTCTGAAATTCCAAATTTCGAAAATATCACGATTTATTCGAAAAAAGGCAAGAAAACAGAAATATACAAAAAATTTGAAAAAAAAATCACAAAATTTTAAGCCGAAGATGCTCTTCGGGAAACTGCAGCATAGTTGTTAGGCGATGGGTAGTCAGGATCTGAAAAATGTAGTTTTGTTGGCTGGAAATCCACAATTATGTCATATTTGGTATCAAAATCCAGAAAATTTAAAAAAAAAATTTTTTTAACTAACCAATCATTCCAGCCTGAATCAACGAACTTCTGCGCTCTTTCAACCTCGCAAAACTCTGCTCATAATGAATAAGTCGAACCACCAAATAGCAACAATAGAATATCAAAACAGTCAAAAAGAGCAACGCGAAAACGCAAAGAACCAATTTGAACGCGACATTCGGATCTTCGGCCGCCGCGAGCTCGCCTCGCTTCATTTTCGAATTGTGCGCAAAGACGGCGGAGACGCCGAAAACAGCGAGGAAAAGAATGGCGAGACCGCGAGATAATAATGAGGGGTAGATTAATTGGATAGAGTGCTTTTGAATTCCGATTATTAACATGATTGAGGTTATTGTGAAGAATAACATGAGACCGACGAGACACACTTCGGAAGCTGCGATATCCTGAAAAATTATGGGGTTAGAGATGCAGATAAACATAATTCGGTTAGAGATGCAGAGGAATATAATGTTGTTAGAGACGCAGAGAGCTTAGAGATAAATAGAAATATGAGAATTTAAGACATCTAGAGAGTATGGGGTTGGTGAGAGACGCAGAGGAATATAGTTTTGTTAGAGATGCAGAGGAATATATTGTTGTTAGAGACGCAGAGAGGTTAGGGATGCAGAGGAGTGGTTAGATGCGCAGAGAAACATAATTTGGTTAGAGATGCAGAGGAATATAGTGTTGTTAGAGAGGTTAGAGATGCAGAGAAAAATAATTCGGTTAGAGATGCAGGGGACACGACCATTTACTCCAATAGAAAATTGCCCCTCGGGTCAGAAGTTAGAGACGACGAGAGTCATGATGACGTCATCTGAGATGCAGAGAAAGACATCGCTTCGAGATATTTTTGAGAAAATGTGTGTCCCTTTGAAAAAATACCGTATTTTGTTTCAAGGAACACATGTTTTATTGAAAATATCTCGAAGCGAAATTCATTTTCGGGATATTTTTACAAAATACTCTCGTCGTCTCGCGTCTGACTCAACGGGCGCCTTGTATGGTCGTGGGGAATGGAGTATAGTGTTGTTAGAGACGGAGAGAGGTTAGAGATGCAGATAAAATAGAGTGGTTAGATACGCAGAGAGGTTATAGACGCAAAGAAACATAACTTGGTTAGAGATGCAGAGGAATATAGTGTTGTTAAATAGAGACGCAGAGAGGTTAGAGACGCAGAGAAATCCTCACCTGCGGCTGCGCTTTTGTGATATTATACATAGTTATTGAGGCGGTGATGGCGCAGAACGCGAATTCCACAGAAGCCAAAAGTCGCATGCCTGAAATAGGGTACTGTAGATCTACAGTAATCGGGGTACTGTAGCTCACCTGAAGGCAGAGAACAACAACAACACTGCCATTTCACCGAATGCGGGTCGAAATCCATCTGAAAAAAATTTTTGAGCGTGGAATTTTGGGCGCGAAAATTTGAAAACACGTGGAAATTTTTGGGCGCGAAAATTTGAATTTTGAATTTTGAAATTCGCATACCTCAGACGTTTGATACTCAGCCAAATCGTTTTCCATATTTGACTGCGTACGTTTAATACTCAGTCTAGGTTGAAAATAAATGAGATTTTTTGCGCGCGGCTCAGCCTTAGGGCTCAAAAATTAAATGAGAAAAAAAAATTCATAAAAAATGTGAGAGCGTTATTAATTGGCATCGAGTTTCTTTTTTTTTTTGAAAAAAAAATGAAAAAAAATTTTTCACAAAAAAAATGGAAAAATTGAGTTGGGAGAATTCAATTTACTCTTTCTCAAAAAAAAAATTTTTTTTTCAAAATTTTTTTTTCAAAAAAAAAAATAGACATTTTAAAGTAAAGCAATTAATTAGGAATTCCAGACATTTATTTTTTTTTGTTCCAAAAAAAAACAACAAAAAAAGTTAGAGAGTGTGTAAAATTGAGAGAGAGCGCAGAGAAAATGAACTCATTTAGAAAATTCCAAAAAAAGAAAAAGTTGCAGAGCACATTTTGTGCTCGAGAGAGAAGAAGCTGGCGGAATTTTAAATTATTTTGGACGTCATGGGAACTTTTTTTGACACGTGGAAGAATTTTGGGCGCGAAATTTTGAATTTTTAAAATTTGTAGATCAAAAAATTGTCCGATTTTTTGGCGCCAAAAATTGAATGTTCTAAACATCCTACCGGAAATTAGAACATTTCTTTTTTTTGAACAATTTTTGCCCAAAAAAACTTCATCTGATGTAAGCCTAAATAATTAATGCATTTTTTTGCTCTACCGAGAAAAAACATATAGGAAAAACAAAAACAAGTGAGAAAATACATATATATAATTAAGAGAGGAACAAAAATTCTTTATATTTAGCCTAACTCTAAAAAAAATTCTTCGCGCGCCCCTCATTTTATATGCGAAAATTCAGACGGGAGAGAAAAAGACGCGCATGGCCGAGTGGTCTGCATGCGGGAGTTGCATTCGTGGGACCTGGGTTCGATCCCCACCGGGCGCACAACTTTTTTTTATTTTTTTTGTTGAATTTTTGGCGAGCGCTATACAAAAAATAGGGAAAAAGTTGTAAAAAATAAATTTTCTGGAGAGCTTCTCTCACACACTGGAATATAAAAAATGTGTCAGGTGTTGTAGAAACAATGTTAGTCACAAGAAAATCTCACTAACACATAAAAATGTGTCATTTGGCGCCAAAAATCATATCACAAAATTTTGCTGGCACCAATCAATCATAGTGGTCCCGGAACATTGAAAAAAATCTGCAGAGCCCCGGAAAAATCATACATAAATTATGGAAAATCCCCAGGAGAAAATATTTTTTTCCACTTTTTCAGACTGGGAAAAATGAGACAGCTGAAAATGTTTTATGACGAAAAAAAATGAAATTTTCAAAAAAAAAACATTTTTCACGTGACCTATTTTAAACGTGAAAATCTCTGACGTCACAAAAAATCTAGTCATTTCTGATTTTTAATAAAAACCAAAAAAGTGATGCAATTCAAGAGTCTCCTAATTCTTCAATTTTTGGCGGGAATTTTTGGCTCCAAAAAATTGGACACCAATTGGGCGCAATTGGCGATTGATAAGTGAGTTAGGCCCGAAAATTTGCGAAATTTTGATAGTAAATATGCCTTGGATTACTGTAGATCAAAAAATTTTCAGATATTTTCAATCGAAAAATTCGTCGGGCTCAATTCAATTGCCAGAATTTCATTTGACAGAAAGTGAGCGACATTTTTGGCGCCAAAAATTTCGAATTCAAAAAAAAAATTTTTTGCAGAAGACGAAAATTGTATTTTGGCTTCAGCCGACATTTTGCGACAGGCCTACAATTTTTTGACAAAATGCAAAATTGGCGAAAAAGACAAGGATTGTTTGGGTGGGTAAGCTACAGTACTCCTGGGGGTTACTGTAGGGTAGATTTTTTTCGAAAATCTCATCGGTACCACGCGCTCCACCGAAATAAACACGCAACGCAGACCGCGTCGCGCCACAACACATACAAATAAGGGAACGATTCAAATTCCCGCGCGGCGCGGTCTGCGTTGCGTGTTTATTTCGGTGGAGCGCGAGGAGATTTTCGATAATACAGTACCCCTGGGTTACTGTAGGGTAGATCAAATTGGCAATATGACAATTTCCAGATCCCAATTGGGCAGTCCGTCTCCTAGACTCTATTCCGCTCCTCAAACCTGCCGGATTCTTCCGTCGCGGACCCTTCTACTTCCTCGCGGATTACGCAACGTGCCGCAAGCTTCCGCACGACAAAACGCAATATTGCCGCATCAAAGGCGCACTGGAAAATGTCACCACCATGGATCTACCCTTCACAATTGGTCTGTGCCTGCCGAAAGCTTGTGAAGCGGAAACACTCGGCCGCATTGCTCCAGGTTAAGATTATTGGCGATAAAACCAGGGTGGATGAGATGTGGTGCGATGACGTGGCAGAGCCCGATGCCACGTGGCAAATTTATAGCCTTGCTGCAGGTTTTGCACTAGCATCGCTCATATTAATCGCCACTGTTTTGGACAAAAAAAAGAATTTCGAAAAGAATTTGGAGCATGATGATGATGACTCAATTTTTGGAGCAATTGCACCGTCCATCGCGCTGACTTATCGTAAATTCGCAAAATTTTCGAAAAAATCGATAATCACCGCGTTCTCTCTGAAATCATCGCTGAAATTCCTGCAGCGAAATTCGAGCCGTGAAATTCCGATTTTGAATGGATTGAAAGTTTTCACGACGTTTTGGGTCATCTTTTCGCATACTTGCCTTTTTTCGCTGAATTTTTCCGATGTTGTGGCGGATGTTTTGAAAGAGGTGAGGATTTGGCTGCGTACCTAGGACATTTAATACTCAGTGAAGAGGGATTGGGCTATTTTTCAAAAAAACTGACATTTCCTCCAGTTTTCCTCGTATTTCGACCATTTCCCTGACGATTTTCCTGTAATTAGCAAAAAATCTATAAAAAGTGAACATTTTTCCATAAAAAAACCAGTTTTTGTATCAAAAATCAACTAAAATATGTTATTTTTACTTAAAAAAGAGATAAATATGAATTTAACAACAAATTTCATTCAAATTCATGAAAAAACAACAAAAAGAAACATTTTCGAAAAACAAAAAAAAACAAGAAAATAAAAGTAGAAATGGAAGTGCGCTCCATTGATAAACAATTGCATTTCGCGCACTCTCTCAAAAACATTTTGTGTTTTTGTGTTTTAATGTGTTTAGCTGCGTACTTGAGACGTTTGATACTCAGTTAAGGCTGCATTTTAACTGCGTACCCGAGGCATTGAATACACAGTCAACTCACCTAATTTTCAGGCTCGAAACCGTCCAAAATCCATAAAAAGTAAGAAAATCACATTTTTCCATTAAAAAACCAGTTTTTGTATCAAAAATCAACTAAAATTATGTTATTTTCACTTAAAAAAGAGATAAAAATGAATTTAACAACAAATTTCATTCAAATTCATGGAAAACAACAAAAAACGGATTTTCGAAAAACAAAAAAACAAGAAAATAAAAGTAGAAATGGAAGTGCGCTCCATTGATAAACAATTGCATTTCGCGCACTCTCTCAAAAATCTTGTGTGTTTTTGTGTTTTTCCATGTTTTTAGCTGCGTACTTGAGACGTTTGATACTCAGTTAAGGCTGCATTTTAGCTGCGTACCCGAGGCATTGAATACTCAGTCAACCCGTCGCAATTTTCAGGCTCGAAATCGTCCAATTCTCTCCGCATTTTTGCTCAATTCCTCGCTAGCCGTCGACACATTTTTGCTGATTTCCGGAATTGTGGCCGCATATTCGCTGCGTCGAAAATGGCAATTTCGCGGCGGGACCCAACAAATGACCGTGATCCGAAGTTGCACAATGCTCTTGCATCGACTTTTTCGATATCTACCGAGTTTGACGATTTATATGGTGTTTATGGTGTATTTGTACAATCGATTGGGTGATGGTCCGTTTTGGAATGGCGCAGGTGGGTAGAGATGGGAATGGGGAGTGAGTGAGAGATGGGGGTTCGAGGAATGGTGGGCGCGGGAGTCGTGTTTTTTCTTTAGGTTTCTAGGCCACCAACATCGTATTTTTGTGTTTCTAGGCCACTAAAATCGTGTTTTTTGGTTTTCTAGGCCATAAAAATTGCATTTTTGGGTTTCTAGGCCACCAAAATCGTATTTTTGGGTTTCTAGGCCACCAACATCGTGTTTTTGGGTTTCTATGCCACCAAAATGTATGGCTCAAGCGGTTAAGCTTCTGCTTGCCAAGTTTGCAACGCGGGTTCGATCCCCAATGTGCGTTTTTGAGTTTTTTGCCAAGCTTGCTAGAAAAAAAAATGATTTTTTGATTTTTTTATACATAAAATGTCTGTGAGAATCTCTATATAATCTCCTAAACTCATTTTTTCTTTCACAAACATTTTTTCGCTCGAAAATGCTCTCCAACTTGAGTCTTCTATTCGTTTTTGCTCTAATCCTGATTCTCCTGGTTCAAATTTCTGAAACACTTTGTCGCATGGGATATTGCAATAAAGCTACTAATAAGTAAATTTTGTAGGTATTTGGGGGTAATAAATTATTGTAACATCAGTTTTTTCCACGTGGCACATGCCAGTCGCGCCTTGAAAACACTTCTACCAAGCAGCCACTGCTAGAGGGATCTCCTGTCAAGCATCCGTGGCTTCTGGACTTGTCAATAAACCCGCCACTGCTTCTAGTGTCCTCTGTCAAGCAGCAGCGACTTGAGAGCGCTTCTACCAAGCAGCCAATGCTAGAGGGATGTTCTGTCAAGCAGCAGCGACTTGAGAGCACTTCTACCAAGCAGACACAGCTTGAGGGATGTTCTGGCGAGTAGCCGTGGCTCCTGGACTTGTCTATGAACCCGCCACTGCTTTTAGTGTCCTCTGTCAAGCAGCCGCGCCATGAAGTTTTGCAAATTTGTTTGTAGAACAAAAATTTGCAAATTATTCCGATTATCAATCTTGCATAGAACCTTGCAAATTATCCTGCAAATTCTCTAAAACTATTATAAAAGACCGTTCTAAACACATAGCAAAATATCCGAAAAATGCTTCGAGTCTTCCTCATATTCGCTCTATTCTTCTTGGCAATCCCCGTCGCTTCACAACCACCAAATGGTAATTTTGTCCGCTGCACACACGATGGACAATGTCAACAGAACGAATTCTGTGGCAGACGGGTAATCCGAAACCGAGTTCAACGAGTTTGTCTTCCTCGACCAATTGTGGCTGCTCATAGAAAATGCAAAAGGGATTCGGATTGTCCAGAAGGAGAAGTTTGTCGTACATCGATTGGTAAAAATGGAAAACCTTATAGATATTGTGGAACACCTATTACTAGAAAAGGGGTTTGGTATTTTTATTGATTGAACACTTTGGTTTGGATAAACGATACACTTCTTTTTGTTTTTCATGCCGCGTTGCGTGTGCGTCGCGGTTGAACAGTGCAACGTACATTTTTTTTTCACTTGATAACTCAGTACTCGAAGATTTCCAGCCGCGTTGCGTGTGCGTCGCGGTCAAGGTTGCTGCTCTACATAGAATCACATTATTATTATGAGTCAAACTAGATAAGTTATTCCTGAACCGCTACGCATACGCGACGCGTTGTCCACAGTACGCCACGTCACACAGATGTCTATGAAGTGTCTGTGAGAATATGACCGCCTAAATTTGAAATTCCTCCATTTGTTTGTCCTTCCCGGAGCAATGTTTCCGCTGAAAATTGTATTCCTCACATTGTTGCTCCTAATTGATTTGGTTCTAACCCGAAATCACGACTACACACCGTGTACAACGAAACGTAACTGCGCTCCCGACGAATATTGTAGCGGAAAGCGGATGAATGGAAAAATGAGACGTGTTTGTATCAAACAGGTTTTGGTGGAAGCTAGAAGAGCGTGCACAAAGAATAGCCAGTGCACAAAACCGGAAAAGTGTTTGGGGCAACGCCTGCGTGCTGTGAATATGCGATTTTGCGGGATTCCGATGGACTGATTGTTGGAATGAATTTGTCATGCGAAGTTTTAGCCAAGTTTCAGAGAAATTTCCCAGAGCTTCTGATTTTAAGGTGCTATAGAGGCTTCTCTGCGTCTCTGGATTTCCTATGCTCTCTAGCTGTATAGTTTCTCTGCGTCTCTTGCAAAACCAACACTATCTAGCTCTATGACATATCTGTGTCGCCCTCTCATGTTTATGTGCTCTCTAGCTGTATGGCTTCTCTGCGTCTCTCACGTTCGGCTGCGAGACGACGAGAGTATTTTGCAAAAATGAATTTCGCTCCGAGATTTTTTCAATAAAATGTGTGTTCCTTGAAACAAAATACGGTATTTTTTCAAAGGGACACATGATGATTTCTCAAAAATATCTCGAAGCGACCTGTCCTCGATGACGTCATCTCTCGTCTGACCCGAGGGGCAATTGGAGTAAATGGTCGTCTCTCAATTTCCTATGCTCTCTAGCTGTATGGCTTCTCTCTCGTCTCTCGGTTTCCTATTCTCTCTAGTTCTGTGGTATCTTTGTGACTCTCTCGCTTGCTTATGCTCTCTAGCTGTATGACATCTCTGTCGTCTCTCAATTTCCCATGCTGTCTAGTTCTGTGGTTTCTCTGCGTCTCTCTCGGTTGCCTATGCTCTCTAGATGTATGGCTTCTCTCTGTCTCTCTCTCTCTCTCTATCAAAAAATATTTTTGTGCCAAAATTCAAACTTTATTATCATAATTTCTCAAAATTTGTATCTTCTAGGATAAGTACATCTACTGATTTTTTCCTTCTCATAGTAGAAACACTTCTGACCTACATCACATGTTCTTTCGTGCACGCACGGATTGTTATTCCGATATAGACATTGATTGACGGTTCTACGATATACGCACTCTTTTCCATCCTTGCAATCACTACTTGAATTACATCCATAATCGGCACCGCCCAGAGTTATGGAGACGCAGAAGAGAAGGAGAATCAGAAGGGCTTTCATCTGTAGAATTTTGGGACTAGGTTTCGCCTTATGAAGGGGGGTTTTTTGGAATTCACACGGCTGTTAGAATTTGGAGGTCTGCAAAATATAAACGCATGATTTTTTGATCTCCTAGGATCAGGCTTTGGGCTTTTTTGAAGCTTAAAAAGCTTCCGATTAAAAACATGAACTTCTGATACTCTGCGTCTCGAACACTCTCTAGCTGTATGATATCTCTGCGTCTCTCGTCATAGGCCTAGGCCTAAGTTAGCTCATCTTGGAAATACAAAATATTCTCAGCCAATTTTTTGTTCGAATTTCCATGTTCCCAGGACTTTCCTAATTGAATTATACAAGAAATATAAAAACATTGACTTGGCCACCACATTTTTCGAAAACCCCCAAAATGTTTTTGTTCAAAATCCTTCTATGCTCATGTTTTTTGATCTACACGGTGTTTTGCCAACTGGAGACGACAACTTTTGTGAATCCCTGGCTGGTTTCCTGCGGTCCAGGTAGACCATGCCGTGAAGGGTATTTCTGTTTTTACGATGATAAACAACATCGTGGATGGTGTGAAGTTAATGGCGATTAATTTGGGCGCTGTTTTCAAGAAAAATAAACAAGTTTTTGCCACGTCATAACTCATTTATTATCATTATTTTGAACCCTTTTCTCATTTTTGACACTGAAGAATTGAGGCTCGGAAATGTTGCTTGCACTTCTTCCCATCAACACATTCTGAATCGGAAACGCAGGTTTTCTGAGATGAAATCAATGCGACGCAGAAAATCAGGAGTAGGAGAATTGACTTGATCAACATGGTTTTGGAATTTTCGGGAATCGCGGGATTTTTATAGAAGCTTCGGAGTCTCACGGGCTGAAAATAGACTGGAGCTAAAAATAATTCTGAATTTTTGGTCTTCGAAATGTAGAGATTCTTGCCACGTCATAACTCATTTTATATTTCTATTAAGCTGAAGCGTCTTTTCAATTAACTGAAATTTCAAGTTCCATTTTATGTTCTTCATTTTGCCACCTGAATTTCCGGCTGAATCTGAAGATCAAGAAATCAAGACGCTAAAAATAGAAATCAAATTTCTGATCTTCAAATTGTGGCGTGAGAATCTAGAGAATTTTCGAATTTTCTGCCAGTTTTAGAATCTGAAATGCAATTTTTCAGAGCTTTTTGAGAATTCTGAATAATCTGAAATTTTAAAATTCGGAATCCGATGAAGATTTAGATCTTCAAGTTAGCTCAATCAATTTGCTCCCCAAATTCTGTTTCCAAAAATTTTCAGATTTTTAGAAATCTACAAAAAAAATCTGAAAAATTGCATTTCAGATTCTAAAACTGTCAGAAAATTCGAAAAATTCTCTAGATTCTCACGTCACAATTTGAAGATCAGAAATTTGATTTCTATTTTTAGCGTCTTGATTTCTTGATCTTGAAAATCTTGATTCAGCTTAGGATTCTGTCAAGTTATGACGTGGCAACGGAAAATTAAGAATAGGAAAATTCTATTGGATTTAGCCTAAGTCTCGGGTTAATGTGAAGCTTATGCATGCATAAAATTTCATTCAAACATTCTAATTGATTAATATCCCCTCTTCGGTTGACAGAATCCAGGAGGTTCTCCAGTATATCCCATGTCACAGAACCCGAATTTTCCGCAATCGGAGTCTGAATAGCAGTCTGGTAAGACCTGGGCAGCAATCAAGAAGGCGAAGCAGAAGAAAAGGAACATCGGAAGATTCGAGAACATTTTTTGGAAATGTTATGAAATTTTAAAAGCGTGGAACTAGGGTTTTATGGGAAAAAGTTTGATTTGATTTGATTTTGAGATTATTGAAGATCGAATTATTTTGCAAGAAGAAAAAGAATGTATTGTTTTTATGTGAAGAATGTCATGGAACTTCCCAAAAACCTTGAACTTTGAAGCAGTGGTTTCTAAAGATTCAGAAGACCTAATGAGATCCCTGTTTGCCACGTCATAACTATCTACATGACATTCTTCTTGCAAAATAATTCGATCTTCAATAATCTCAAAATCAAATCAAATTTCTTCCCATAAAACCCCTGTTCCACGCTTCCAAAATATTAAAACATTTTTTTTCCAAAAATGTTCTCGATTCTTCCGATTTTCCTCTTCTTCTTCTGCTTTGCCTCCTTGATTTCTGCTTCTCACCAATTCTCACTTGAGTGCTATTCAGACTCGGACTGCGGAAAATACGGATTGTGTTACATGGAATATTTTGGAAATCCTCCTGGATTCTGTCTACCGAATATTGAATAATAATCAATTAAAGTGTTGATTGTTTCAATGAAATTTTATGCATGCATAAATATGCACTCCAAAATGAAAACTACACTTTTTTCATTTGATTTTATCAAAAACTGCATTTTTTTGGGACAAATGTACGAGGTATTCGTTCGAATTTGTGTTGCTCAAAAAATGATGTACATTCAGAAATTCTCCGATTTTTTTTGTCCGATTTCTTTATGGTTTCATCAACCAGATATGGATCCAGTACATTGTCTTCAGACTCACTTGCAATTTTTCTTTTTTCTTGCTCTTTCCCCACCAATCCGATTTATGCTCATCATTTTCATTTATCAATTGACTTTTAAAATAAGTCCGATTCTCCCCGAAAAACATTTAGGTACATTTCTTGTTCAATGAGAAATGTACCAAAACACTTTTGGGGAAAAATAGGACATTTTTCAAAAAATGTCCGATTTTTCCTCAAAAATTTTTTGGAACAAACATAAATGTTCCAAAAAAATTTTCGGGGAAAATCGGACATTTTGATTTTTCGAATAAAACGAGGAATAATTGAATTTCAGCTAATCTACGACAAATTAAAATTCACTCAAAACACTCTAAAATGGTTTTAGAGATGTTTAGTTTAGAAACAAGTCGCTAAAAGTCAAAAATAATGTTTTCTCGAAAAATCAATAACTTTCACATTTAAAAAGAAAACTTTTCAACAAAATAAGAAAATGTATCTATGTCGCTCATTCAATATCAAATTGATAATGTAATTTTCACTTTAAAACGTGCTTTTCGCGTCGAAAATGCGTGAAAAAACAAACAGTTTGAAAAAAATAAAAATTTGCTGACAAATGCGTGGCCGTGGCCGAGAAATCCACAAACCTGTGTAATTCTCTCGGACGAATATTTATTTTTTCTTTTTTTTTCGAGATTTCTTTTTCTGTTTTTTGGCTGAAATTACGTTTTTAGAAATGATTTTTTTTGCAGAATTATTGAAATGGACAATATAATGATTGGAGATGATGGAGAAATGTCGAAAAATAGGTGAGGATTTCTATTTTTCCCAAAAAAATATCTTAAAATATGTTTTGAAAGAATTCTACTTTTGAAAGACTATTTTTCGTACAAAATTGGTGAAATCTAATCAAATATAGCTCATTCAAGTAGTGGAACGAAAAAAATGAATGATACAACTATAGTTGAAGCTTTTGATTTTTTATAACAGTTTGAACGAAGTTTAACGGAGATTTCTATTTGAAATCCGAAAAGCAACGTTAAAACTAGTTAAACCTGATCGGAAATACCAAAAATTCCAAATTTTCAGCATGGAAACACATCAATCACCATCCACGTCACAGCTTCAAAGGAAATGTTATAATTTTTGAATTTTATGTCTTTTTTGGTTCGTTTCTTCCCAATTTTTCTGGTTTCGAAATGTCCTTCCAGGAAAAATTGGAGAATTTTCAAACGGATCAAAAATGTCCGATTTTTCATCGGAATAATTTTTTGTCCTTTTTTCATTTTCAGGGAAACCGGACATTTTTATAATCAAATGAAAAATGTCCGGTTTCTCCCCGAAAGTGTTTTGGTACATTTCTCATTGAACAAGAAATGTACCAAAAAAATTTTCGGGGAAAATCAGACTTTTTCTACTCAAATAACAAATACATTTTTTGGTATTGTTTTTTATGTCATCATGTTTTATTGAATTTTGTCGGACAAAATAAATTATTTGTACCATTTCAACTTGGTATTTTGTTTTGTGTTTCATTTTTTCAAATGTTCCTAAAAATTATTGATCTTCAACTTTTCGTAAGAAAAAAGTGTAGTTTTCGATTTGGAGTGCATATATAAGCTTTTTAATATTCACATTAACCCGAGACTTGGGCTAAATCCAATAGAATTTTCCTATTCTTGATCTTCATTTTGCCACGTCATAACTCGATAGAGCTGAATCTGAAGATCAAAAAATCAAGACGCTAAAAATAGAAATCAAATTTCTGATCTTCAAAATTGTGGCGTGAGAATCTAGAGCATTTTCGAAGCTGAAATGCAATTTTTCAGAACTTTTTGGAGATTTCTGGGATTTCTAAAGTGAAAATTTCAAATTTCCTGATGTTTTGGCCAATTTTTTTCCCAAATTCATAATCGAATCAGAAAAAATTCGTTCAAAAAGCCCCGTTCCCTTCCCTGTTTCTGTTTCCCAAAAAAATGTTGATCAAATTTCTCCCGCTACTAACTATTTTTCTAACAATTTTCCTTTGCCACGCTGATGTTCTTGAACATGTTCGAGAAGGTGGAAGTTGTGATGCTCTTCGAATTTGTGCTCCTGGACTTGTGTGCAAATCCGGATGCAAAAATACGTATTGTCGAAGAATTGGGGATAATTCTCAGCACAAATGTTGATTGGGGAAATAAAGTTTTGCATAGAATTTTTCTTGGCTTACTGTAGAAGAGGTCTTGGCACGAAATTGTTCACAGCTCTCTAAAATATGCCATGTTGAGACCCACTTTCTTACTGTAGAGTCCTGAGAAAATTTCAAATCAATTTTCCCACAGTCTGTTTTTGCTTTAAATTTGGGCTTGACTTGTTCAGTTTCCAAAAAATCATGTTCAAAAATCTTGGTCTCCTTTTTCTCTCCTCGATTTTCTACACGGTCTCCTGTGCTTTAATTCTTTGCAGTGATGACTTAAATTGTGGCGAAGGGTTCAAATGTTTTTACGAAAAACCGAATTATGGGAATTGTGTTGAGGATAAATGAATAAAGGTTCTTGCCACGTCATAATTATTTTCAGAGCTCTGAGATTCGGAAAATATTGATTTTTTTTTGCCCCGAAAAAAATACGTTTCATAATATTTATATGGAAAAATCGATGATCTACACGGTGTTTTCTTGAATCTCACGATACTGTAAGTTTTGCCACGTCATAACTCAATTTTTTCTGATCTCAACTTTGAAGTGTCAAATTCAGAGTCAGGCTAACTTCAATTAGTTTTCTTCACAAAAAAAACAATCAATATTTCATTTTTAAAATCAACGTGGCATTGGCATTTTTGGCAAACATCTACCTAAACCTGTTCCCGTATATCCCTTGTAACAAAACTCTTTGATCGGCTCACAATCCGAATTTTCCAAACATGGATGTGTTTGATGAGAGGTGGTGATGAGAAGCAAGAAGAGGAAGATCGGAGAGAACATCTAGCAATGAGAAAATATCGAGATTTGGTATTGACATCAGAGGTTTTATGCGAAGGGAAGGGCCTAATTTGATTATGAATGGAGGAATTTGCACGTTGTTTTGCAGGCATTTTTTTTTGCAAATAGTTATGACGTGGCAATTCCCATCCCCCTGGAGATCTAGAAAAATCTGACAAAGGCACGGTGTTATCAGTAGAGCGCACTTGCTAGATTTGATTGACATCTTAATTTTTCTGGCTTTTTGGCCAGATTGTTCAGCTTCAGATGTTGAACTTCAAGTTCAGCTCCAGTTTCAGTTTCAGTTCCACTTAAAGATCTTTAGCTTCAGCCTCAGATGTTTAGCTTCAGCTTCAACTTCAATTTCACCATAGCTTCTCGAAAAAAATGATCTTCTTCTTGCAAACTTCCAACACGATCTTCAATAAATAATTCTAATCAAATCACCAATTCTCCCCATAAAACCCCTAGCTCCTCAATTCCGATTCTCAAAAATGTCCCCAATTCTCCTTCTCCTCCTCCTCGTCATCTCCATCCCTGCTTCACACCAGGATCTGATCTACCGCCCGCCAATCGAACGACCAGTCGCCTATCACGGTGCGCTGTGCTCGCAAGAATCACAATGTCCAGAGGGATACTGGTGTGATACGGGATGTTTTGGAAGCAGTGGATATTGTCGAGTTGTTGGAGATCATGGTCCGAGAATCGGATGGGGAAGATGATCATTGATGAATAAATGTTTTTGCAAGTGTGGAGAGCAGGCAGTGGGGATTGATTCCTTGACCTTTAGATTATCAGTTGGTGACACTACCATTGCACCATTTGACTTTCAAGAATCTGGTTTTTGAGCAGGCAGTGGGGATTGATCCCTTGAATTTAGATCGCCAGATTTTAAAACCTGATCTCTAACCTTATCAGAAAGTATCTGAACATTTTTCAATTTGAAAAATATAATGTAGCATTAGTTCAGCTGTGTTTCTATCGTGTGACAGGCTGTGAACATTACAAAACATCGAATAATCAAATCATCGATTTTCCAACACAAAAAATTCCGATTTTCCGATTCACAATATTGTGAATCGGAAAATGCATGTGCTTTCAAAATTCGCGTTTCTCTTCCAATTTCTTGCGTTTTCGCAAGCCTGCTGGTTAATGCAATGCGATTCGTCGCAAAAATGCCCGTCGAATTTTTATTTTTGCGAAAATGGATGTTGTGAAGTTGATCCGTGGGCTGGAACAGATTGATTAATTGATTTCTGATTTTGAACTTTGATAAAATTGTCACGTTGAACTTTTCCACAGTCTAGACATCTAGAGAGCATATGAAATTGAGATACGCAGAGAAACCATAGAGCTAGAGAGCATAGGTAACCGAGAGAGTCACAGAGAAGCCACGTGGAAATTAGCTAGATAGAGAGCAAGAGACCCAGACAACATTTTTCCTTCCCCAGCGTGTGAATTTTTGGATTTCTATAAAACCACCCGTTTTTCCTCATAATCACAGTATGTATTCTATTTCAAAAATGTTCAAGAACCTGGATCCTTCTTCTTACAATCATCTGCGTTCATTTTGGATTCTCTCAGAATCAGAGTTCGTGTAAGTCACACGAGGATTGTGTGAAGCCGTTGGACTGTATGCAATTTGCTGATGGTTCGGGAGGTGTTTGTAGAGAAGCCAGAATGAGGGGTTGAAAATCTAATTTGTGGAATGAAGAATTTACTTGCAAGTAGGTGGTGTAGTGGTAGTGCTAGAGTCTGCCGATCTGAAGGTCAAGGGTTCGAGCCCCACTGTCTGCTCTCTAGAAATTTTTTTCTGCTGATTTGTAGGTTCACATGGCAAGTTCCAAATCATCCAAATTGTGTCTGGGTCTCTCGAGTTCGCATGCTCTCTAGCCAGAATGCTCTCTAGCATCCACGTGGCATTCAAGCAAAATACGGTATTTTTTCAAAGGGACACACATTTTCTCAAAAATATCTCGAAGCGAAGTCTTTCTCTGTCTCAGATGACGTCATTAGACTCTTTGTCGTCTCTCGTCTGACCCTAGCGGCAAATAGAGGATTTTCAAAAAATCCAAGCACCCAGTGTGACTTGAACCTTTGACCTCTAGATTGCCAGCCTCCACTATTTTCAACCACTACACCATGAATGCAAAATGTTCATTAATCAATTAGTTATGATTTGGATAACAAACTCCTGTCGCACCACCTTCAGAATGCCGTGCACAATGTTGATCATCGGGGCAAAACAATAAGGTCCGAGCAGAATTTCACGGGCTCCTGAGCTGAGATGATTGCGATGCAGACAATCAGGAGAAGAAGAAAAATCTTGAAGAGCATTTTTTTCGAATTTCTGGAGGTGGAACATGATTTTATACAGTTCAGACAGGGTTCACACGGCAAGTTCAACAGTTCGAAATTGAAAATTTTCGAAATGCATCAAGCAGGCCTCGAACCCTTGACCTTCAGATCGATATTGAAAAAATCGATTTTTCAAAAATAGCCAAGCGCGCTCTACTGAAATATCGATTTTCCCGTCATAAACTGGCAATCTAGAGGTCAGGGGTTCGAGCCACACTGGGTGCGGGGCTGAACCTGAAGAAAACTGTGCGGTGATTGCATTTAGGCCACGCCCACCAATCAGAGAAATGATTTATTGATTCAATTCAACAAGATCTAGAAGATCTAGAAGCTGTCAGCTTCTGACAAACATTCACCATCCTTCAGTTTTGCATCGTTGAATTTTTTTGCAAATTTGTCCGGCTGGGCAATCCGAATCAGCACCACAGCCAAATTGAAGGGAAACCACGAAGAGAAGGCTCAAAATCAGGAGAAGCTTGATAAACATTTTGGATTTTGTAGAATTTTTGAGAGGCTTCAGGGTTTTTATAGGGAAATCATTTTCTCAGAGACGAAAATCGCACGCCAGGACTGATTTTTTGACATTTAGAAGTTGGTTAGAGAGACGCAGAGAAACTAGAGAGGAAGCTGAGATAGTACAGGATTTAGAGAGAGAGGCAGAGAAGCTAGCACACGTCAAACATGTTGGAAAGCATAGTGTAGTTAGAGACGCAGAGCGCTACTGAACTCTCTAGTTTTCTAATGAAAATTCAAATTTTCATTAGAAAAATGCAAGTGCGCTCTACTGAAATACCTATTTTTCTAATGAAAATTCAAATTTTCAGTACCCCGTGCAGCCTGAAACTAAAAATTTGCAAATGCGCTCCACCGAAATATTGATTTTCTAGAATAACCAAAAATGAAATATTGATTTTTTGAAAAACAAAAAATTCCCGGGCTTCCCAAACGCGCTCCACCGCAAAATTATCGATTTTTTTTGTTTTGCAGGAATGTTTGGCTCAAAATGCGATAGCACATGGTCGATTCTGTCGCATTTCGTATTCGCCTCGAATTTCTTGCCCACACAATGTGTTCCTTGGCTTTGGCACGTGGCTTTGGATTTTCAGCTCTACTTGGTGAGTCTCTGCAAAACATTTGCGGGCAAGAAAAAAAAAATTAAAAAAAAAAGTTTGCCACGGAGCGGGACCGAACCCGAGACCTATAGATTTCAAGGCGAACGCGCTAACCACTCGGCCATCCGCTGTTGTTTTTTCTTGCTCGCAAATGTTTGACATATGAAACAGATCTTCCCACTGCTCGTTTTGCTGCTCATCAAATTTCCCAAATTTGGCTGGCTGCCAATTTTGGGTCTCATCGCGATTTGTCTCATCTACCGTACCCTGGCGTTCACCGTCTTTGATCTACCCATCAATATTTTTACAAAGATGTTGAGCGCTCAAAAATTCGACAGGGTAATCGAGAACACTTATCGATTTGTCTACACAGCGCCGTTTTCACGAGCTCCGCCATTTTTCATCGGAATCCTAACCGGCTGGTGTTTTTTGGCGCAACCCACTGCACTGACAATTTCCGCAACCAAATCCGCGGCTCTTCAATGTCTCGCTCTCACACTTCTTTCCGCGTCGCTCTTCGTTAGCGGAAACATTCCGCATGCCGTGTTGTATCGTTGCGCATGGAGTTGCGGAGTGGCGATTTTGATTACGCTAGCTCCCGGATGGCTGGTTTTTGTGTTGGGAAGTCAGAGATATGTGGTGTTGGCGAGATTGAGTTTTGGTGAGTTATGGGGGGGGGGGGGGGGCAAGTGCGCTCTAATGAAAATTCAAATTTTAAATGCAAGTGCGCTCTACTGAACTCTCTAGTTTTCCAAGGAAAATTCAAATTTTTTCAAAATTCAAATTTTCATTAGAAAAATGTAAGTGCGCTCTACTGAACTCTCTAGTTTTCTAATGAAAATTCAAATTTTCAATGCAAGTGCGCTCTACTGAACTCTCTAGTTTTCTAATGAAAATTCAAATTTTCATTAGAAAAATGCAAGCGCGCTCTACTGAACTTCTAATAAAAATTCAAATTTTAAATGCAAGTGCGTTCTACTGAACTCTCTGGTTTTCCAATGAAAATTCTAATTTTCTAATGAAAATTCAAATATTCACTTGAAAAATGCAAGTGCGCTCTACTGAACTCTTTAGTTTTCTAATGAAAATTCAAATTTTCATTAGAAAAATGCAAGTGCGCTCTACTGAACTTCTAATGAGAATTCAAATTTTAAATGCAAGTGCGCTCTACTGAACTCTCTAGTTTTCTAATGAAAATTCAAATTTTCATTAGAAAAATGCAAGTGCGCTCTACTGAACTCTCTAGTTTTCTAATGAAAATTCAAATATTCACTTAAAAATGCAAGTGCGCTCTACTGAACTCTCTAGTTTTTTAATAAAAATTCAAAAAATTGTCTGATTTTCCAAATTATTGAGTTAAAGTACCACTTTCAGTTAGAGCTACAGTAACCCAGTATATTTTGTAGTTTGGTATCTACAGTACACTTTGCAGCTTTAGGCTGATTTGCAGTTTGAGGTACAGTACCCCGTGCAGTCTGAAACTAAAAATTTGAAAAATTTATAAGTAATTGAGAAATTTTGCAAACGCGCTCCACCGAAATATCGATTTTCCTACAGGCGTCTTCCTGGCTCACGAGCCAATTTTGCTCTACCGCCTCAACACTTTGCACCAGCCAATTTCCGATTTCACCCTCACCAACATCATTTTCCAAAGTCTCGCAATTTATGTGGTTTCTTTGGGTCTCGCCTGGATTTTGGCAATGGTTATAGGTGAGAGAGTGTAGGATTGTGAGAGACGCAGACAATTTTTTTCCAGAAATTCCACTGATCACTCTGGAACGTCGTGTATTCATGGGCCCCCAAAAGTTGGCGGTGCGCCAGAGGCGCGTCTCATTTTCTGAAAATGGTGACACCATCTTTGGTGATGATGAGGAAGAGATGGTAGAGGAGGAGAGAGTGCAGACGACGAGAGATGAGATTTTAGGGTGAGACTCTGCGTCTCTAACCTAACCTTTTCCAACTATTTTTTTTTCAGAGAAAGTGAGATGAAATTTGATGAAAAAGCGAAAAATTGGCTGAAAACTTGTGGAATTTTGGAGGCGGATAGTAAATGTTGAATTTTTTTCTCAGTGTCAAATAAAAAATTATCGATGATGTCTATGTGAAATTTTCAATCATTTTTTCCCCAAATTTTCTAAATGTTCTTCAAATTCTTCATGATATTTAGCCTAACTCCATTTTTAGTTTTCTCACAATTACCGTGTCAAACGCAATTCGATTGTTCAGAGGGAAAATTCTGCGATAAAATGGAGGGAAAAGATTTGTCTGGAACAGGAATGTGTGTGGATAGAATACCGTGTCCAGAAGATTGTCCGGAGAAAATTGAATATGAGTACTGTAATTGAATCGATAAAGTTTTTTTAAAATTTGAAATTACAGTAATCTGCGCTACAAGACCCATTTGGGCGCGAAAAAATCGAATTCGAATTTTTCCCGGTAAATTCACATTTTTGGATATTTTTGACTGAACATTTCCAAAGAAAGTGATAAAATTCGATTTTTTCAAAAATTTTCGGCAAAAATCGAATAATTTTTCCCACGAATAATTAAATCATAAAAATTAGCATAACAAACAAAAAAAAAACCGTTCTTCATAGCAATTTTTTGTAGTTTTTTTCTCAATATTCATTTCTATACAATGAAAATTCCAACTTTTTTCCTAAAAATTTGACAAACAACTCGATCGGAATCTGTTCAATGATGAGTGATATGCAAACACCGAATTCTACGCGCAAAAACCTACAGTACTCCTACTATTTTGATTTTTAATTTTATGTTTTTGAAGAAAATAAATATTTTAATAATTTTTGTGGTGGAAAATATAGTGAGCAGGTTGGTGTAGGCGGTTAGTGCCTACATCGCTATTTTAGAGGTCACGGGTTCGAGTCCGCCCTGCGACTACTCAATTTTTTTTTTTTGAAAAAGTTCGAATTCCGCTGATTTTTAGAGCATTTTGAAGAGCTGTACAAGTTCAAATTTTGCAAAAAAATTCAAAAAATCAAGAAAATAAACCATGTGATTTTCTGTCTCTGAGAAAATCAATTTCAATATAAAAGGGCGATTCAAAAAAATTTTTATTTCATTTTTTTTATTGATTTTTCTCAGAAGGAATGATCCCCGATTTACCCCCCTGGATTTTGATGATTATTTTTTTTAAAAGAAATATATTTGGGAGTTATGAAACCCCATAGTAGCATTTTGCAAACTTTCGGCCTATTTCATGAGTTATGGGAAGTCCGTGATTTTTGAGTTAAAAACTGGTCTTGAAACTTCTCGGGGTCGGAACTTTGTTATTTTTCATCGAAAAACGTCCACCAAAAAATCATTTTGAAGCTAAAAATGCGAAGATTTCAAAATTTTTAGTCCCCGAAATCATTCGATCAAGTTATCATATGATAATTGTGAAATTTCAAAATTCGAAATTTTCAAAAAATCAAAAAATAAAACAAAAAGTATTTAGAGGGCTTGGGGGAGAGTGGACACCAATTGCATCGTGTTCCTCATCAAAAATTAGGTCTACTAGGATGGTCGAAAATATCTGTAATCAGCCTTTTACAAGAAAGAAAAATTGATTTTTACGTTTTTTCACTATTTCAGATGAGCATTTTCACTGTTTATTGACAAAACTACGATTCTATTGTTTGCATAATTTTTTAAACAATGTTTTTTGTTATTAAAACGTTGATTTTTAGCAATTCTATCATTTTCCGATCATTTCCAATTTTTCTCAAAGTCTCCCAACACCCAAACAATCAAATCTCCAAATTAATTTTTTCAAAAATCTTTTGTCAATAGTTTTACCTCGAATTGATCATTTTTGAGTTCTGAAACCTGAATTAGCTTTTTCTACGTCAAAAATTGATCCAGAAAAAATATATGAAAATATCACTATCCGATAAAATAAAAGCAAATCGATATTGAAAATAAAGCTCTCTGATTTCTTGTTTAAAAAAATAGATTTTTTGTTTGATGTGAATAACTCATTTGTAACTCTTTGAATACGCCGGTTCGAAGTATTTTAGAAAATTATTTCTCAATCAGTTTTTGACGTAGAAAAAGCTAATTCAGGTTTCAGAACTCAAAAATGATCAATTCGAGGTAAAACTATTGACAAAAGATTTTTGAAAAAATTAATTTGGAGATTTGATTGTTTGGGTGTTGGGAGACTTTGAGAAAAATTGGAAATGATCGGAAAATGATAGAATTGCTAAAAATCAACGTTTTAATAACAAAAAACATTGTTTAAAAAATTATGCAAACAATAGAATTGTAGTTTTGTCAATAAACAGTGAAAATGCTCATCTGAAATAGTGAAAAAACGTAAAAATCAATTTTTCTTTCTTGTAAAAGGCTGATTACAGATATTTTCGACCATCCTAGTAGACCTAATTTTTGATGAGGAACACGATGCAATTGGTGTCCACTCTCCCCAAGCCCTCTAAATACTTTTTGTTTTATTTTTTGATTTTTTGAAAATTTCGAATTTTTGAAATTTCACAATTATCATATGATAACTTGATCGAATGATTTCGGGGACTAAAAATTTTGAAATCTTCGCATTTTTAGCTTCAAAATGATTTTTTGGTGGACGTTTTTCGATGAAAAATAACAAAGTTCCGACCCCGAGAAGTTTCAAGACCAGTTTTTAACTCAAAAAATCACGGATTTCCCATAACTCATGAAATAGGCCGAAGTTTGCAAAATGCTACTATGGGGTTTCATAACTCCCAAATATATTTCTTTTAAAAAAATAATCATCAAAATCCAGGGGGGTAAATCGGGGATCATTCCTTCTCAGATTTTCAGAATGTTCATCAAGCTTTTCATCCTCTTCACCTTGATTTTGGCCACATTTTGCCACGTGGCTTGTAAAACGCATGCCGATTGTGAAGAAAGCAAATTTTGCGATAAAAAAGCGGGTTCGGATCCGGGAATTGCTGATGGACAATGTGTTGTGACACTTTGATAAGGTTTCAGATTTGAAAATAAAAAATTGAGTTATGACGTGGCATTTTTTATTGATTTTTCAGATTTTTCAGCGCGAAATTTGAGGCTAGAAAATAATTAGAAATATTGCTCATATTAATTTTTTTTTCCTATTTTTTTTCATTTCATTTTTGTGTAGAAAAAAATGTCTAAAAATATGAAAAATAAAGTTTTTAAATATTTTCTGATTCAAATTTTTTGAAAATTATTTTTTTTCAAAAAAATCCCAAATTTAGTCTCAAAAACTAATTTTTTTGAAATTTTCAGATTTATTCATCCAAAAAAGTTTTCCGGCTGAAATTCTACGCTGAAAATCATGAAACTCCTTAAAAACGCTGAAAATGAGGTTTGCCATGATTTTCAGCGCCAAATTCTGATCTAGAAACATATTTTCACCTGAAATTAATTTTTTTTTGAAATTTTTCATCCAAAAAAATTTCCTGGCTGAAATTTTTTGCTGAATCTAGAAAAACAGCTGAAAAATGCTGAAAATCATGATTTCCATGATTTTCAGCACAAAATTTCAGTCAGCAAACATTTTTGTTTGAAAAATCTGAAAATTTTGATCAAAAATTAATTTCGGGTCAAAAACATGGTTCTAGATCAGAATTTTGTGCTGAATCTGGAAAAAGGGCTGAAAATCACTGAAAATGATGAATTCCATGATTTTCAGCGCGAAATTCTAGTCTAGAAAATATTTTTGACCTGAAATTAATACTAGGTCGATTTCAGGTTAATTTTCATCAATTCTAGGTCAAAAATATGTTTCTAGATCAGAATTTTGTGCTGAAACTGGAAAAAAAGGCTGAAAATCACTGAAAATTATGATTTTCATGATTTTCAGCAAAAAATTTCAGTCAGGAAACATTTTTGTTTGAAAAATCTGAAAATTTTGATCAAAAATTAATTTCAGGTCAAAAATATGTTTCTAGATCAGAATTTTGTGCTGAATCTGGAAAAACAGCTGAAAAATGCTGAAAATTATAATTTTCATGATTTTCAGCAGAAAATTTCAGTCAGGAAACATTTTTGTTTGAAAAATCTGAAAATTTTGATCAAAAATTAATTTCAGGTCAAAAACATGTTTCTAGATCAGAATTTTGTGCTGAATCTGGAAAAAAGGCTGAAAATCACTGAAAATGGGGTTTAGAAACATTGCTCATATTAAACATTTTTCAAAAAATCTCAAAAATTGCTCAAATTTAGTCTCAAAATGCTCAGAATTTTCGGGCGGCCCAATAAAAAAACCTTCAAAAAGTAAAATCTTCATATTTGTGCTCATTGTGCTCTCTCAAACTCCAGCTCCTCCAGTCTCATCAGTCACAGTTCCAGTCTCTTTGCTTCCAGTTTCCGGTGTCTTGCTCTTAGTTTTGCTCTTCGATCCTTTTCCTCCTCCTTTTTTTCCCTTTTTTCCTCCCTTTTTGTCATTCTTTCCTTCTTTCTTCTTATCTTTCTCATTTCCTTTTTTATCTTTTCCTTTTCCTTTTTTTCCATCCTTCTTTTTATTCTTCTTTTTCAAATACAACAATACTCCGCCAATTCCGGCGAGTGCAATTATCAAAATCACAATTACCACAATTATGATAATTGTAGTTGTCATTGATTCCTCCTCTTTTTTAGCTGGTTCATTCTGAAAATTGAATTTTAAGAATTTTTTGGCGCGCAAAAGTTTGAGCTACTGTAGCTATTTTTGGCGCCAAAAACCACAGTATCTAGTCTAAAACCTGTTCTTTTATTTGAAATTTCCCGCAAATTGAAACCAGAAATAAATTTCAAGAAAAAATTCATATCAAATTTGTGAAACGTATTTTTACGAGGCATCAGGTTACTGTAGTTTTTGGCGCCAAAATAGGGTGTGTTTGGTGTCATTTTGAAGCCACTCACCAACGGATCCAAATAACAATAGGCTTCAGGATCCTTCGAATTTTCTCTCAAACACAAAATCGAATTATCCGATGAGCAATCTGTATCTTTTTGGCATAATTTCGGAGTTTCCGGTGATTTTTTAAGGGGAATTCCTTTCGGTGATTTCAGGCCAATTATCACAATTTTCTTGGATTTTGGATCACAATATCCGGCTGAAAATTGAGAAGGTAGAGATCCTGGAGTACAAGGTTGAGATGTGATATAACTGAACTCTGGTTTGACCACTTTTCCATTTGCAATCGATGGCTGAAAAATTCTACGATACTCCAGGATTACGTTGATCTTTCTGAGCGGTAAATTACAAAATTTAAATTTTATCGTAGACTCTGAGAGAGCACTACGATACTCCTGAATTACGCTAATCCTTTTACGCGCGAAATTGAAACTTTTGAATATTTTCGGATTTTGCAAAACTATGATACTCCTGAATTACGTCAACTTCTGCGCGGGCGGGAAATCACAAAGCTTGAATTTTATAGGCTTTGCAAAAAATTCTACGATACTCCACTATTACGTTGGTCTTCCTGAGCGGTAAATTACGAAATTTAAATTTTATTGTAGACTCTGAGAGAGCACTACGATACTCCAGAATTACGCTAATCCTTTTACGCGCGAAATTGAAAATTTTGAATGTTTTCGGATTTTGCAAAACTACGATACTCCTGAATTACGTCAACTTCTGCGCGGGCGGGAAATCACAAAGCTTGAAGGTTTTATAGGCTTTTGCAAAAAATTCTACGATACTCCGTAATTACATTAATTCATGTGCGCGCGAAATTAGAAAATTCAAATTTTCCCTCCAAAAATCCAACCATTTGCACAACAATGTCCCAATTTACACACGGCATTCTGTTGTTCACAAATTCCACTTCCAACTTTTGCCACGTCATAACCCTTACATTCCGGTTCCGCATACAATGGAACTTGTGCATCTGGACAAAACGCGTCGGGCGATGAATCTTGACAACATTGATTACTGCGCAAATCACACCATTTGTCGCGTGTTGCGGAAGATGCGGAAAGCAACGCGTCGCGGTCTCCATAACATTCGATAAACGCGTCAATTTTGGCGGCGGTCGATGGGGTTTTTCCGCAACGTTTGTCGGGGAAAATGACTTTTGAGTTTTGTCCGGGACATCGCATTGTTTGACGATAACAGCAAGCGGATAGGGAATTGAAGGGTTTGCTGACCATGCAAACATCTCTGCAAAAAATTATTGATTTTTTTCAAAAAAAACCCCCTACGACACTCCATAATTACACTGATTAGTTCACGCGGGAAATTAGAATATTCAAATTTCGCCCCTACGACACTCCAGCATTCCGCTAAACTCACTCAAAAACCTCCTTCTCATTTTCAGTATCTTTCGTGTTTCCACCATCTTTACATTCCGAATTTTTGGTGCAACTATAAGTTGGCGGAACTCCACCCGATTTCCATTTGAATGTTTCACCAAAACGATTCGGTTGGGCGCAGATTTCACCTGCAAAATTGAATTTTGAATTATTTTTGGGTGAATTCAAATTAAAATTCAAATTTCCAACTTAAACCCGCTCATTTCCGGTGTCAAAAACATTAAATTCAAATTTTTTTTGAAAATTTAAATTTGCCAGAAAAACAACGATACTCCGAATGACGTCACATGTAAGCGGAGTGTCGTTGTTTTTTTCTTCAAGTTATCCCAACTCACCCTCCAAACAAAGTCCTTGATATTGCGTCACTTTTCCATCGGCAAATCTCGGAAATCTCCACTTCTTTTCTCCCAAATCCTGACAAAAGGACAATCCATCAGTTCCATGTTGTCGACAATCAGCAGTCGTATCACACGGCACAAGTCCAACCAAATTCGCGGGAGCTGTGAAATTAATCGGGCTCGTCGCCGCCGTCGGCTGGCCGGGTTTTTTGAAACAAAACTTGTTGTGTTTATCGAATCCGGATTGAGGTGGCTGCTCGTTTGGATGGAAAATATGGTCACAAAATTCGTCGCCACCGCATTCCGAATTCGCGGCGCATTTCTTCATCTCATCTCGATACAGATAATTTTTGGCGGCCCAATCGACGGCCATAAATTTGAGGCCTGCATCGCCCAATTTTTCGGTGTTTGATAGTTTTTGGAATCGTTGATAGAGTGTGAATGAGATTGGCTTGGCTGCAAAAAATTTTGGGATTTTCAAAAAATTCTAGAGAATTTTTGAATTTCATAAATTTTCAATTCAAAAATCCACGTGGCAAAATTTTAAATCTTAAAAATTGGCGCTAAAACCATGAAGCCTTTTTTATATCACACAAAAATTAGACGCGTCGCGGTCACGCGCTGCATGTTTCATTTCAGAATTCCAAGTTTTAGAGCAAAATTTAAAGTCGAGGACTAGTTTTTCCGTTGGTTTTCTAGTCCCCTAAAGAATTGTGTTATTTTTCAAGATTTCAACTTGTTTTCCAAGTGAATTTTCTAGTCCCCAAGCTTTGAACCTGAAAATTCAAACTCAGGGACTAGTTTTCCAAATGTTCCAAATTTGGATTTCTAGTCCGCGAGCTAAAAAAACCAGCAAATCAAGGAGTTCAAGGGCTAAAAATCACGAAAAACACTGAAACACGCAACGCATGACCGCGACGCGTCTGAAAACTTGAAAATACTAATTTTCTGGTTGAAATGATGCAAGTTTCATGAATTTCAAGGCTCAAAATGCTTAAAATTTTCACGATTTTCAGCTCAAAATGCATAGTTTTTTACTAATTTCAATCAAAACTCCTAATTTCAGCTCAAAATTCCACGTGGCAAGCGGTCACGCGATGCGTGCTATATTTTCAAATGTCAAACACGCAGCGCATGACCGCGACGCGCCTGAAAACTTGAAAATACTGATTTTCAGGTTGAAATGATGCAATTTTCATGAATTTCAGAGGAAAATTATTGATTTTTTCTCAATTTTTGACTAATTTTCAGCAAAAACTCAAATTTCAGCTCAAAATTCCACGTGGCAAGTATTTGTAAAGACGCGTCGCGGTCATACGTTGCGTGCTATATTTATAAATGTCAAACACGCAGCGCAGACCGCGACGCGCCTGAAAAACAGAAAATTCTGATTTTCAGGCTCAAAATGCTCCAAATTTAATGATTTTCGGCTCACAAATGCTTAGTTTTTGCTCAATTTTTGACTAATTTTTATCAAAAACTCAAATTTCAGCTCACCTTCCGCACAAACTCCCGATTTATGCACACGAAATCCAGGCTTCTTCTCATTCTTATCCCCATCCTCCTGATATTGCGTCCATTTTTGTCCATTCTGATCCAAATCCCCTTTAAAACAATATCCAATCTCATCTCCCAATTTACAATCCGCGTCCGCGTCACAAATATTGAAACCACTTCCGTGTGCACGAATTTGCAATTGAATATTCGTCATTTTCTCATTGCTCTGCGGTCCGGGCACCGGTTTATAGTAGCAAAATTTGACAGTGGGCTCCACATGGAGCCACTTCTGCTCATCAATTACACACGGATTACTTGCGGTGCACGAGCGAACACCGTGACAATATTTGTTGTCTGTTTGACATTTTCCGGCAAAATTGTGATTTGTGGCGAAATTTGTGGCGTGTCCGCAATATTGTCCTTTTTCGCAATCCCCATTGATCACACACGTCTTGTATTTTCCATCGCTGTTTTTGGTGGGCAAATAAGTGGCGTGAATTGAATCGGCAGGTTTGAAATGTTTGATTTCGTAGTGGAGATAGTTGACGGGTTTGGCTGGAAAATTTGAAGTCAGGGACTAGTTCTCCAAATGCTACAAATTTGGATTTCTAGTCCGCGAGCTAAAAATACCAAATCGAGGTGTTCAAGGGCTAAAAAATCACAATTTTTCAGGGGCACGCAGCGCATGACCGTGACGCGCCTGAAAAACTGAAAATGTTGATTTTCTGGTTGAAATGATGCAAATTTCATGAATTTCGGCTCAAAATGCTCTAAATTTCACGATTTTCAGCTCAAAATGCATAGTTTTCGACTAATTTTGGTCAAAACTCTAATTTACGCTCAAAATTCCACGTGGCAAGTCTTTGCAAAGACGCGTCGCGGTCATGCGATGCGTGCTATATTTTCAAATGTCACACACGCAGCGCATGACCGCGACGCGCCTGAAAAACCGGAAATATTGAATGTCTGGTTGAAATGATGAAATTTTTGACTAATTTTCAGCAAAACATCAATTTCAGCTCAAAATTCCACGTGGCAAGCGGTCATGCGATGCGTGCTATATTTTTAAATGTCAAACACGCATCGCATGACCGCGACGCGTCTGAAAACATGAAAATACTGATTTTCAAGTTGAAATGATGCAATTTTAATGATTTTTGGCTCAAAATCCTCCAAATTTCACGATTTTCAGCTCCAAATACATAATTTTTGACTAATTTTCAGCAAAACATCAATTTCAGCTCAAAATTCCACGTGGCAAGCGGTCATGCGATGCATGCTATATTTTCAAATGTCAAACACGCAGCGCATGACCGCGACGCGCCTGAAAAACCGAAAATGATGATTTTCTGGTTGAAATGATGCAATTTTCATGAATGTTGATGTAGGGGACTAGTTGGTTTTCTAGTCCCTCTCAAGATTTTCAAAAAAATTTTTTAAGGAAAATTCAAGCCAGTTCTCCATGTGATGTTTCTAGTCTACCAGCTTCAAAAAAATTGAAAATTTTGAAGTCGGGGACTAGTTGGTTTTCTAGTCCCCGGCGTAAACGCGTAGCATCGTTGTGTCAACTCACGACAAATAAAAATGCGTCCATCATCTCCAGTCTTCTGCTCCACATATCCTTTAAAATCGTGATTTGGAAGGGCCAATTTGACGTCTTTGATTTTGGTGGCATACAAAATTTCCTCATTTTTCATTTGCGAAAAAAACGTGGCAATCATACCGGTATCAGTGCACGGTGTGTGATTTGCTGGAAACAAAATAGGTGATTTTTTGGCGTCACAAAAAGGGGCGGGGCTTAACTTACGACAACATATGTCTTGTCCTTCACTAAGGTACATCAATTCGTTTTCAGTACATGATGCAGGATTGATATCACCAATTGGGCACATTGGGGCGCTAGACACCACATGATTTTGGATGACTGGAAAAAAAAAATGTTTTTTGATCTCAAGCAGCCGAGCCTAGAGAACCGAATTGTCAAGGAGCCGCGCCTAGAGAACCATATTGTCAAGCAGCCGAGCCTAGAGAACTACATTTTCAAGCAGCCGAGCCTAGAGATCTCTATTTTCAAGCAGCAGTGTCTATAGCTCATAGTTCACAAGCAGCCGAGCCTAGAGAACTCTATTTTCAAGCAGCCGAGCCTAGAGCTCATAGTTCTCAAGCAGCCGAGCCTAGAGAACCATATTGTAAAGGAGCCGAGCCTAGAGAACCTAGATCTCAAGCAGCCGCGCCTAGAGAACCGAATTGTCAAGTAGTCGCGCCTAGAGAACCGAATTGTCAAGGAGCCGCGCCTAGAGAACCTAGATCTCAAGCAGCCGAGCCTAGAGATCATATATCTCAAGCCGCCGAGCCTAGAGATCATAGTTCTCAAGCAGCCACGCCTATAGAACTTCATTTTCAAGCAGCCGAGCCTAGAGATCATATATCTCAAGCCGCCGAGCCTAGAGAACCGAATTGTCAAGGAGCCGCGCCTAGAGAACCTAGATCTCAAGCAGCCGAGCCTAGAGATCATATATCTCAAGCCGCCGAGCCTAGAGATCATAGTTCTCAAGCAGCCACGCCTATAGAACTTCATTTTCAAGCAGCCTAGCCTAGAGAACCATATTGTCAAGGAGCCGAGCCTAGAGAACCTAGATCTCAAGCAGCATCGCCTTGAGATCATATTTCTCAAGCAGCCGAGCCTAGAGAACCTAGATCTCAAGCAGCATCGCCTTGAGATCATATTTCTCAAGCAGCCGAGCCTAGAGATCATAGTTCACAAGTAGTCGAGCCTAGAGAACTCTATTTTCAAGCAGCCGAGCCTAGAGAACCTGGATCTCGAGCAGTCGAGCCTATAGAACTCTAATTTTTCCATTCCGCCTCAAAATTTTGCTCAAAAATCCAAATATTTCCCATTTTCAGCGCGAAATCTTACGTAAAATCACAAAAATTGCCGAAAATCTCAGCATCTCTTCCTGATTCTTCGATGATTATTTTTTTCTTGAATTAGAAGGAAGTAGTAGTGAAAAGAGTTTCGGCGCGGGAGAAAAATTATTCAAAACTGAATTTTTGCGACGAGTTTTGGGGTTTTATAGTGGGGTGGCACAGAGAGGAAAAGTGGAACACGTTTTTTTTTTGGAAAAAAATTTGAATTTTTTTGGGGCATGACGTGGATTTATTGATTTTTGAAATGTTTTTTGGCGGCAAAAATAAATCAGGATTACTGTAGCTTTTGGCGCCAAAACCTCGTCATATCTAGTGTCATTCTGCTCCAAATTCGCTCAAACAAAAACCTTTATGCTCCAAAATCTTGCGAATTTTTGCTCTTCGAGCTCGTTTTGCTCTTCGAAATCGATTTCGGCTTCGATCTAGCCTTATTCACCACAGTTTTCTCCTCCTTTTTCGCAGCTTTTCGTTTTCTTCGCAAATAGTACAATACTCCGCCAATTCCGCCGAGTGCAATCACCAAAATCACACCAATTATAATAATGATAATTGTGATTATCGATTTTTCTCCGTCATCTGGTTCATTCTACAAAAATAGGTCGTGTTTGGTGTCATTTTTGAAGCCACTCACCAATGGATCCAAATAACAATAAGCTTCAGGATCCTTCGAATTTTCTCTCAAACACAAAACTGAATTATCCGATGAGCAATCCGTATCTTTTTGGCATAATTTCGGAGTTTCCGGTGATTTTTTAAGGGGGATTCCTTTTGGTGATTTGAGGCCAATAATCACAATTTTCTTGGATTTTGGATCACAATATCCGGCTGAAAATTGAGAAGGTAGAGATCCTGGAGTACAAGGTTGAGATGTGATATAACTGAATTCTGGCTTCACCACTTTTCCATTTGCAATCGATGCTGCAAAAATTCTACGATGCTCCAGGATTACGTTGGTCTTTCTGAGCGGTAGATTACAAAATTTAAATTTTATAGGCTTTGAAAAAATACTACGATGCTCCAGAATTACGTCAACTTCTGCGCGGGCGGGAAATCACAAAATTTGAATTTTATAGGCTTTGAAAAAATACTACGATGCTCCAAAATTACGCCAACTTTTATGCGCGGGAAATCACAAAATTTGAATTTTATAGGCTTTGAAAAAATACTACGATGCTCCAAAGTTACGTTAATTGGGAAATTTTTCAGGATTTTTCAGGAAATTCATGTGCGCGCGAAATTAGAAAATTCAAATTTTTCTGCTCAAAACCCACCAAAAAACCAACCTTTGGCACAACAATGCCCAAATTTACACACGGCATGTTTTCCGCACGTTCCACTTTCCGCATCCTCACATTCCGCTTCCGCATACAACGGAACTTGTCCATCGGGACAAAACGCATCGGGCGATGCATTTTGACAACATTGATTGCTCGACAAATCGCACCATTTGTCGCGAAGCTTTGCGTCGCGGCTTCCGTAACATTCCGCGTTGTTTCCGCAACGCTTTTCCGGAAATATCACTTTCGAATTGTTTCCCGCGCATTTTTTTGTTTGTCGATAACAACAAGAAGCGAGCAAGTTGAAGGGTTTATTTCGAATGCAAATGTTTCTGAAATAGATACAACGATGCTCCGTGATAACGTTGGCGCGAAAATTGGAAATTTGAATTTTTTCACTCACTCAAAAACCTCTTTGGCATTTTCTCCATCTTTCGTATTTCCACCACCTTCACATTCCGAATTTGTGGTGCATTTTTGATTTTTTGCGATTCCACCAGCTTTCCATTTGAAATTTTCACCAAATTGATTTGGTTTGGTGCAAACCAGCCCTAAAATAGTGGAAAAAGGATAATTTTCTACTACAACACTCCGCTGAATGACGGGGGTGCCCGTGGTTTAGTGGAATGTTGTTTTTGGGCGGTTTGAAGCAAAATTTGCGTGTATCAGCTTAAATTTTGAAAAAAAAATGTGGCGGAAAACAAAAATGTGTGCAACGATACTCCGCTGAATGACGGGAGTGCCCGTAGTTTAGTGGAATATCGTTTTTGGGCGGCTCGAAGCAAAATTTGCGTGTTTCAGCTTAACTTTTGAAATGAAAAATGTGGCGGGAAACAAACATGTGTGCAACGATACTCCGCTGAATGACGGGGGTGCCCGTGGTTTAGTGGAATGTTGTTTTTGGGCGGCTCGAAGCAAAATTTGCGTGTTTCAGCTTAATTTTTGAAAAAAAAATGTGGCGGGTAACAAAAATGTGTGCAACGATACTCCGGGAGCGCCCGTAGTTTAGTGGAATATCGTTTTTTTTATTTTTGGGCGGCTCGAAGCAAAATTTCCTTGTTTCAGCTTAACTTTTGAAAAAAATGTGGTGGGAAACAAACATGTGTGCAACGACACTCCGCTGAATGACGGGGGTGCCCGTAGTTTAGTGGAATGTTGTTTTTTTTTTTGGGCGGCTCGAAGCAAAATTAACGTGTTTCAGCTTAACTTTTGACAAACATGTGTGCAACGATACTCCGCTGAATGACGGGGGTGCCCGTGGTTTAGTGGAATATCGTTTTTTCTTCAAATTTTTGAATTTTCGCGCCTAGCCCCAAAAATCAATACACCAAGTTATCCTAACTCACCCTCCATACAAAGTCCACTAAACATCCTCACAGTCCCATTATCAAATCTCGCATATTTCCATTGATTTCTTCCCAATTGTCGACAAAACGAATTTCCATCAGTTCCATGTTTTCGACAATCGAAAGTCTCATCACAAGCCACAAGGCCCAGCAAAAGCCCGGGGGCCGTAAATTGAACCGGGCTATTTGCATCGGCCGGCACAGCGGGCTTTTTAAAACAATATTTGTTGTTGTCATCAAATCCGAGCTGCGGATGATAAATGCGATCGCAAAATTGGTCTTCGGCGCAATTCCCATTCAACCCGCAGGTTATCATCTCATCTCGATATATATAGTTTTTTCGGCCCCAACCGACGGCCATAAATCTGAGGCCTTTGGAGCCTAGTTGATCAGCATCCGATAGTTTTTTGAATTGTGGATAGAGTGTGAATGAGATTGGCTTGGCTGCAAAAATTCTGGAATTTTGCAAAACCGCAACACAAATTTTTGAAAGAGCGCGCAACATGCAATGGTTTATCAATGGGGCGCACTTCCATTTCTACTTTTATTTTCTTGTTTTTTTGTTTTTCGAAAATGTTTATTTTTGTTTTTTTCATGAATTTGAATGAAATTTGTTGTTAAAACATCTTTTCCTAGTAAAAATAACATAATTTCAGTTGATTTTTGATACGAAAACTGGTTTTTTAATGGAAAAATGTACTTTTCTTTACTTTTTTATATAGATTTTTTGCTAATTACAGGAAAATCGTCAGAGAAATGGTCAAATGATTGTGAATTTCGAGGAAAACTGGAGGAAATGTGAGTTTTTTTGAAAAAAATTGGCTAAATCAAACTAGACAATAGTTTCGCAAGCCGCGTCGCAACCGCACGCTCTTAAAGATGTTCATACTGCCACGTCATAACTCGTTAGCACTTTTAGACAGCAAAATCCCTCACCCTCCATACAAATTCCTGATTTATGTACACGAAATCCAGGTTTTTCCAAGTTCACCGTAGAATTCGGGTCTTTCTGATAAATTGTCCATTTTTTCTTGCCTTGTCCCATATCCCCTTTATAACAATATCCAATATCATCACCCAATTGACAATCCGCGTCCCCGTCACAAATTTTGAAAGCCGTTGATTTGGCGCGAATTTGAATTTGAATATCAGTAATTTTCTCGATAGTCGCAGCTGGTTTCAAATAGCAAAATTGAATTCTAGGTTCCACATGGAGCCAATCAAGATCTCTAATCAAACAATGTTCCTTTTGATTACAATCAGCGATTCCGGAACAATAATTGTCTTGATCATATTCGCAAACCCCGGCGAATTTTCGATTTACAGCAAAATTTATAGCGTGTCCACAGTAGCTTGATTCATCGCAATCCGCATTTTTTGAACATGTTTTGTATTTTTTTCCATCGGAAGTTTTGATGGGCAACAAGTCTGCGTTGATTTTCTCACCAGATTGGAGGTTTTTCGCGTCGTAGTAGAGGTAATTCATAGGAATTGCTGAAAAAAGACGAGTTTTTGAGTGAAATTGGACACAGCTTCAAGAATTTTCACTGAACTACTCTAATATCAAAAGAAAACTCACAATTTTCATCGAATTCAGCATTTTTCGTTTATTTTCGAAAAAAGGAGGACGGAATTGCTGTCCTACTTGTCCTACCCGATGTTTTTAAACAGAAGTTTGATGAGTTCATTTAACTTGATTCCCTCTTAAAAATCAATAATGTGATACCTGACAACAGAGAAAAAGTAGAAAAACTGAAAAAACTTAAAAATGAGCAAAATAGAAAAACAGGCATTTCAGTTTTTCTTCAGCGGGTAGGACAAGTAGGACAGCAATTCCGTCCTCCTTTCGAAAAAGAAAACACTACGGTCAATTTAAAGGCGCGTGTGCAAATTAGTTGCATCGTTGCGAGACCCAAACGCGCTTTTTTTTCAATTTGAAAATATTTTTGTTATTTATTTATTTATTTATTTATTTATTATACGCTATTAACGTGATTAAGTACACAAGAAATAATTAAAGAAAATAGTCACATAATAGAATTAAAAAGAAAAATAGGTGGTAGGAAAAAATAAGTTGAGGGAGAAAAAAAAAATGGTGTGGACGGTGGTAAAAATACGGACCTAGTGATAGGACGCCCGGGGGTTGTTGCTGCGATTTTTCAAATAAATGTGGTCATTGGAAAGAAATAGAACAGAAATTATTATAGAGAGCATGTTCGATGAACAAAAAAGTTTTTTCTAATGTTTGATTTAGGCAATTTGTAGTGATATCTGGTGTTACTTCGAGTGACATTATCGGTAATCAGGGTGAAGAGATCCTCTGTATTCAAGTCAATTTTTTTATTGTTGACTTTTTTCAAGAATAGTTTATCTAAGACAATTCTACGACTTTTTAAACTTACCAATCCAAATTCTTCATTTCTTTTATCAGCATATTTATATTTTTCATGATTTGGAAGTAAAAATTTACCTTCAATTCTGAAAAACAATTTACGCGTGAAATTATTTTGGCTACTTTCTATAAGATTGAGAATGTTTTTCTTATATGGGTTGCTCACAATTGTACCATACTCCAACAACGGTCTAACAAATGTTTTATATAAATGAATCATGAATTTTACATCTCTACTTTCAAAAGTTTTGAATATTTGATAAGTAATGAAATTTGCCTTTGTTGTAGCCTTTTGCCAATGCTCCAAAAAATCTAATTTTTTGGAAATATAGAAACCCAGATCCCGAACAACTTCATCGAATTTTATTGTTTTATTATTAACCACATAATTATATTTTATTTTTTGATTACCTACTGTAGTGACAATAGTTTTTGTTTCATTAAGTGTTAGCTGGTTTTCACTACTCCATAGAATAATTTGATTGATTGCCCTTTGTAGAAGTTCTGAAGATTGTAAATTTTTAATAATAGAATAAATTTTGACATCATCAGCAAACTGTTTAATTTTTATTTCTTGTGGGATATAAGAGGGTAAATCATTAACAAAAATAGCGAAGAGCAAAGGAGATAATACACCTCCTTGTGGTACTCCACTAGAACACAATTTTTTAGTAGAAAAACATTCTCCGATTTTCACCTTAAAATATCGATTATTTAAAAAAATCTTCAACCCATTTAACTAAATTGATATTGAGGCCAACTGAATATAATTTTTGAACAAGTAATCCATGACTAACTTTATCGAAAGCCTTGGAGTAATCGAAATAAATTATATCAACTTGTTCTCTATTTTCCAAACCCAATGTCCAATCATTTAGTGTCCCAATCATTTGTGTTACAGTAGAACGTTTTGGTCTAAACCCATGTTGACTTTCATTCCAAAAGTTAATAGAATCTAGATAATTACAGACAGCAATTCCGTCCTCCTTTCGAAAAAGAAAACACTACGGTCAATTTAAAGGCGCGTGTGCAAATTAGTTGCATCGTTGCGAGACCCAAACGCGCTTTTTTTCAATTTGAAAATATTTTTGTTATTTTTCTTTCGATTTTTTTCTAGTTTTCGCGCGCTGCTGTAAACACGGAGCATCGTCACTGGTCCTGAGAGGGTGACCAAAAATTGACCAAATTTTGGCCAAAAACGAAAATTGGTCGAATTTTGACCAAAAATTGATCAAAAAAATTTATTGGCCAAAATATGGTCAGAAATTGGCCAAAAAATTGGTCGAAATTTGGCCAAAAATCAGTGAAAATTTTAATTGTGAAAAATTTCGAAAATCTTAATGTTGTTGGGCAGACATGTCGTTTTGCGGCTTTTGGTGAAGTTAGGTTGATGAATTTCGTTGTTTTTCTACTGATGAATCAATAAATAGGAGTAAAATACTTCGTTTGGTGAATTTTGGCGCCACTCACACCAATTTCACCATTGGCGCAAATTTCAGCCCAAATCTTCAAATAAAATCAGTTTTGACTTATCTTGGAGCTATTTTTACCAAGCAGAGACCTATCTCGAATCTATCAGTTGTATTGATCGATCCTTGATTTATCAAGAACAAGGGCTCAGAGAAATCAGAAGTATTGTGTTCAGGGGCAATAATTTCCATTATTTTTCGAAAGAATATTGTTGTGATAGCCATCAGCTTCGAAAGAAATAACACCAGTGTTCCAAAAATCGTGCATTTTTTCCCAAAAACGTGAACTCAAAAACTTCCACGCATGGAGATGATTTTTATATCATTTTACTCAGCGTGAAATTCTGAATCGAATGGTGCAAACTATTTATCACCAAACACTACTAATTGGTGCGCGAAAACAATAGATTAAAGGCGCACATATTTATGCAATGTGGTCCTGCAGCGAAATGTGTGTGCGTACTTCTCTCGGACGAAATGCACGCCACCAAATTTTTTCTTTTTTTTTCGTTTTTTTGTGTGTTGCCCTACTTATAGAGAAATTGATTGTTCACGACTGCTAATAAGATATAAAACTTGTTCCCCGACTAGGATCTAGCAGCAAGTTTTACCAGAACTTTGAAATTCACATATTAAACTTGAATTTAGGCCAAAAACAAAAATTGGTTTTTGAGTTTTAGATTTTTATCAGAACGGGGCTGTTTCTCAATTTGACAAGTTTCCAGCAACATTTGCATGAGTTTCTATGTTACAATCAGAAGTGTCTCAACAGCCGGTAGACGGCCGTCGGGGTTTTAAAATTCGATTCTTATCGATCTTATTTCGCAGTATTGATATTTCTGCTGTTTTTAGAAACTACTAACCAAGAAAGAATGACTACTGCTCTTGCTGAGACTACCAACACAATGACCGGAGAAACCACTGTTCCAGTTGAAAATGTCAAGACCACCACTACTGAAGAAGCAACTCGAGTCCAACTACTGATAAAACTTCCACCGCTGCCACCAAAGAGCTCACTGCCGAGGAAAAGTCAGTTTTTTCTTCTGAAGAATTTTAATCAAAGTTGGTTCTTATTTCCAGGACTACATAATTGAAGAACAACTTGACATCTGGAAAGCGATATTTGTTGACAAGCGAATTCAGCATGGCTGCTGATCTCTTGAGTTTGGCTTCTCAACTTGCGTAAGTTTTGAAATTTTCATACATTTTCTATTTCTATGCATTTCAGTGGTAAACTCTTCGGAGACGACAGCGAACAATCATTTGAACCTTACTTCTACTATGGACAAGCCCTTTGGATAACTTGAAGATCAAGTTTTCTCAAATGCAGTGACTAATTGCCAACCGTAGAAGAAGGTGATGCCAACAACGATTCAATCGACGAGGAACAATATGGTAATCCGGATAAATTGTCAGAAAAAGGACGTGAGCAAATCAAGGAACAAGTTGACACTGCTCTTTCTGCTGGTGCAGAGAAAGCAGAAGTATTAGTCGAAACTGATGCAATTTTTATTGTTTGTAAGGTTCACAAACTGTTAGGAGTCTGCGATTGCTCTAAAATTGACTTTCTTAGGGCAAAATTTACATTCTTCCGAGCACAAGCCTCCAACTCTTTTCTCTAATTAGCTAAAAATGTTTTTCAATGAAAATTAAAGTTCATAATATAAGCAGATTCCTAACAGTTAGAACCATTTTTTGTTTCTTTTTTGTTCTTTTCAATAAATTTTTGTGAAAAAATGTGTTTTTGATTTGAAAAAAGTTGGGAAAAATGATCAAAAAATGGTGAAAAATTGGTGGGAAAAAGTTGAAAAATTGACCAAAAAATGGTGAAAATTTTTTTGGTGCATTTTTGGTCAATTTTTGTTCAAAATTTTTTTGACCAAAAATTGACCAATTTTTGGTCAAACTCCCAGGACCAGTGGTCTAACTTACGACAAATAAATTTGCGTCCACCATCTCCAGTTCTATTTTCAACATACAATTTCTTGTCATAATTCCCGTTTCGCATATTAATATCCTCCGGAATTGTTGCATACACAATTCTACCGTCAACATAATCCTTATCAAATGTCGCACTCATTCCAGTGTCCGTGCACGGTGTTTCAGGCGCTTAATTGTGTGTGTGTGTGTGTTTTTTCGCGCTAATGTAAGAAAAATGCGGGACTTACGACAACAAATATATTTCCCTTCGCTATTATACAGCAAATTTTGGGCGGGACAATTTCCAGCCCGAATTTCACCAATCGGACAATTTGGTGTGCCGAACACCAATTTTACGACTAGAATTACTAAAATTGTAAAAAATCTCATGTTATTTTTTAGAAAAATGATTTTTCTTTTAGCCATGGGGCCGGGGAAGAAATTGGGTCACGTTTTGAAATTTTGATTTTTCAAATTTCGCGCCAATAACTAACTTATCCGGGAGAAGTACACAACTTCTTTTTTTTTTTTAATTTTAGCACCTAAAACACTTGTCCGAGAGAACTACACAATTTTTCGTGGCGGGAAAATTTCAACTTTCAAATTCTATTGTGTTCCCCTCAAAAAAATTTCTTTAAAAATCATTTTCAGCGCTCAAAACATGTCTATAGCGAATAAATAAATAAATAAAATTTCGTGTGATTTCTGATTTTTCGAATTTTTCATTCATTTTTCATCCAAAAAATGCATCTTCGCGGAAAATTTGTCATATTTCCTTGTTTTTTTTTGTTGTGTGCATTTACCAAAAAACAATAACAAAAAAATGTTTTTCCCTCATTTTTTTTCGCGCGACTTTGTGTAACTTGATTGGCCAAATCAGCAGCGACGGCGGCTGAAAAAACATAACAAAAATCTGAAATTTCACACTTCTCCGCGAGAAGTACACCGAAATTCTTTCATTAATCAAAAAAAATTTTCTATGAATTTTTGATTTTCTTTCTTTCAAAAAGAAAAATGATTGCTCATGTCAGCTCAGCTCGAAAAAAAAACAAGAAAAACATTTATTTCGTGGTGGGTGGTCTTTTTTTTTGAAAAGCGCATATTAATTAGCTAGAGAGAGAATTAGAGAAACAGGGGGAAGAGAGAAAGAGAGAGAGAGAGAGGGTCCGGTGAGAGACGCAGAGAAACAGAAACATATTTTTTTGGTGTTTGTGTGTAGTTTGATCTTAGATACTGTATTCTTCGTCTTCTGGAGCTGAACGTTTTCCGAATCTCATCCATTTTGCGTTTGGTGATCGTTTTCCGAATCTGGAAGATTTTCAGTATGAAAAAGCGTGGCCTAGAAATCCGGGCTTGGTTTTCTAGGCCATCTGGTTCCTAGAAATCTCAATTTTGGTTTTCTAGGCCACCGATCGCTTTAGCTACACTTTCTAGGGTCAAATCTAACGCGAAAAATTTCTGGATGGCCTAGAAATCTCAATTTTGGATTTCTAGGTCACGGGTCCCTTTAGCTACACTTTCTAGGCTAAAATTTAACGCTAAAACATTCCTGTATGGCCTAGAAATCCCAATATTGGATTTCTAGGCCACCGATCCCTCTGGCTAGGCTAAAAACACTTTCTAGGCTCAAATTTTACGCTAAAAAAATGCCTGGATGGCCTAGAAATCGCAATTTTGGTTTTCTAGGCCACCGATTACTTTAGCTAGCCTGAAAACCCTTTCTATGCTCAAATTTCACGCTGAAAATTCCTGGTTGGCCTAGAAATCTCAAATCTTGGATTTCTAGGCCACGGATCCCTTTGGCTGAGCTAAAAACACATCCAGAACTCAAATTTAACGCTAAAAATTCCCGGCTGGCCTAGAAATCTCAATTTTGGTTTTCTAGGCCACCTGATCCCTTTAGCTACACTTTCTAGGCTTCAAATTTCACGCTAAAAATTCCTGGATGGCCTAGAAATCTCAATTTTGGTTTTCTAGGCCACCGATTCCTTTAGCTAGGCTCAAACATTTTTTGCTGAATATTGCTGGCTAGCCTAGAAATCTCAATTTTGGTTTTCTAGGCCACCAGGCCCCCAAGCAATGCGATAAACATCTCCCGGGCTCAAATTTCACGCTGAAAATTTCCTGGCTGGCCTAGAAACCCGAATCTGTATTCCTAGTCCCCCGTTTCTCACCTCATCCACTTAGCATTTGGCGATCGTTTTCCAAATCTCATCCACTTCGCATTCGGTGATCTTTTGTCTAACTGAAAATAAGAAAACACCTATTTTTCTCTCCCACAAATTATTTTTTTTATTCGAATTTGTATAGAGGAAAGATATAATATTTTCGCTCAAAAAACCAAAAAAAATAATCTATACAACAAAAAACCCGGAGAAAAACAAGATTTCCTAATTTTTTCCCACGCAAAACTTACACTTTCCACTAGATACGCATCTTCGGAGGCTGGTAGATCAAATTGTTGCGCGCTGACAACTGCCAACATACACGCCAAGACCAACGCAATCACGTAACGATGCATTTTTTGTGTGTGTGTACCTTTAAATAAGCTATACTGTAGGTGGGCGGCGTGCACTTTAAAAGGGCAATTCGAACATGGAGGAGCGAGACACACAGATGGCGCAGTGGTAGCGCGATGAGCTTGCGATTGGGGGCTTGTTGGTTCGAGTCCGCGGGCGAAAATTTTTATTTATTTTTTTTTTACTCAAATTTTTTTTTTGAGAAGATGGAAAAAGATCCATCAAAAAAATGTGAGAAATTACGAAAACAAGGAGGAATTTTTTGACATTTTTTTTTCAGCTATGAAAAAAAGAAAGAAAAATATGTATGTTTTTAGAATAAAAGAGAAAAGTGAGCTACAATCGAATTTGTGTTTTTTTTTGCTTTGAAATTTTTGAGTGAATAAAAAATAAGGAAAAGGAGCACTACTGCCCGAAATGAGACAAAAATCCAGATGAAAAATGGGCGGAGCGCTGAAAGGGCGTGGCTTTCCAGAAAAAACGTTTTTTTTTTCATTTTTTTCTGGTTTTGACGCGCATAAAATGGAATTTCACATAAATTAGTCTAACTGACTGAAAAAAATCACAAAGAGATTAAGAAAAAGAAAATTTTTTGAAACAGGAAAGAAGAAAGTCAATTAAATTTTCAGCGCACTTGTGTTTTTTGCTGCAAAATTTTTTTTACACACGGTTTTTTAATTAAAAACCCAAAGAAAAACGGAAGAAAAACGAAAAACAACGAAATTTTTATTTGGGCCATAACATAAAATAGGTTTTCCGCAAGCTTCCGCCTACGCGGAAGCTTGCGGAACAAATTTTTAAAATTAAAAAATAAATAAGTACACACATGTTTCAAGCAAATGACAACATGCTTTTAGATAAATTACCCAGGGGGACTACTGTAGATTTATGAGCACGCCGCCACCTTTTTAAATTATTCATGTTGACTGAGTATCTAATGTTTATTGTGTGCATAGGTAAGTAGTGAAATGAACCAGGAAAGAAATGCGTCATGAAATTTCAGGCGAGGGGTGTTTGGTCAAGTGGTAACGCACGGGTTTAGCGGTCTGAATGAGACAAGGCCAGGGTTCGATTCCTCATGCGACCTACTTTCTTTTTTTTTTTTTTTTTTTTCAAGTTCAACGTCATTTTTGAAAAAAATATTAAATTACATCTACATATGAAATTGAAACTTTTTCACCCAGTTTCAAATTTCTGGCACCCAAAAAACTACAGTACCCGAAGAGAAAACGAAAAAAAATTTAATTTCAGACTCTTGAAGCGTGTGGGATTTTTTGTCGAGTGGTGGTGTAAACGCGCGAAACGTCACGATGAGGAAATTGAATTTTTCTGGAGCTCGGGGGCTTTTTTGTTTGAGCCGAAGGGAAATTTGTGCTCAAACACACGGGGACATTTTTCCCACAATTTTCTATTGATAAAAATTTGGCTGCGTACCTGTTGGCTGAGTATCAAATGTAAAAATTATTAGAAATTTGAATTTCGCGCGAAAAACATATTTAGCTGCGTATTTGTTAACTTGGCTGAGTATTAAATGTAAACACTGATGGAAATGATGGAAAAGAAAAGCAACCGATTTTTGATTTAGCTGCGTACCTATTGCCTTCACTGAGTATTAAATGTATACTGGTTTTGCTATCGAATTCCAATTTGGCTGCGTACCTGCTTCTTTGGCTGAGTATCAAATGTAAAAATTATTAGAAATTTTTCGTTTTTTTCAGTTTCTGATATGTAGCCTTAAAATTTGGCTGCGTACCTGTTGGCTGAGTATCAAATGTAAAAATTATTAGAAATTTTTCGAGTTTCTGATATTTAGCCTAAAAATTTAGCTGCGTACCTGTTGCTTTCGCTGAGTATCAAACGTATACTAGTTTTTCTGTCCAAATCCAATTTGGCTGCGTACCTTCTCCCTTGGCTGAGTATCAAATGAAAAGATTTTGTTACCCGCCAAAAATATTTTTTCAAAAAAAAAAGTGCGCGCATGAGGAATCGAACCTGCCACGCCCACTTCTGCAAGCCTCGCACACTTTTTTCTTGCAAAAAAAGTGCATGTGGGCGTTTTTTCGAAAGAAAATGTTCTTTTCAAAGAAAAATCCGATTAGAAGACACAGAATTTTTTTTTTTTCATTATTAACTCAATTTTTCTCTCGTCACTTGGCTTTCTCAAAAAATTCATTTTTTTTATGTTTTTGGCGCCAAAAAGGACATTGTTGTACAGAAAATTGGAAAAAAATAAAGGAAAAAAATAAAAGAAAAGGAAGAAAAAATAACGACAACACGAAATGTGAAGGATTAATGGGATTTTTTGGTTGGGTGCCAAAAATTGGGTGCCGCAAAATTGCAAAACCCCCGCCCCCCTCTGCAATTAACACGTCAAAACTGGAATGATGGGCTTTTCAATGGGCTCTTTTAATGGTGACACCACAAAATATATTCTTTGGCTGAGTATCTAACGTACGCAGGGAAATTTGGCGGCGCGCGATGATAAAATAGCAATCTTCACTGGCCGGAATAAATGCGCGCATAGCTCTAGTGGCAGTGCGCTGAGTTTGAAAGCGCGGCGTTTTGGACGAGTTGGGTTCGGTTCCTGGTGCGCGCGAAAGTTTTTATTTTTTTTGTTTTGTTTGTTAATTAATAATACGTTTTCTTGAGAAAGTACCCGAGAACTTTGTAAATGGCGGGGGTTTGAGAAAAAATTTGGCTATTTTCCTGGCTAGGAGAGAAAAAACAAAAACAAAACTGAGTGAGAAAATTCGTCTGCTTTTTTGATCTACGCTTCGCTGAACTTTGTGGATTCAATTTCACGGCATCTGATTTTTCTCTGCGAATTTTTGGCCGCGAAAAAAATTCATTTTTTTTCTCCTGCAAAAAATCTACAGTAATTTTCATGAAGCTTTGGAAAGTCATGACAACAAATTAAAAATTCGTAAAATTTTCGCGCGTGGATTTTTCGAAAGTTCTCATAAATACAAACTTTTTGTAGTCAAAAAACAAAAAATTTCCAGAAAAATTTTCGATTTTCAGACAGGAAATTGGTTTTTTTGTTGGGGGCTCGCGGAGCTCGCAGAAAAAGTCGTTAACCTCTTATGACACATTATTTTTTTTTGACCGAAAAAGGGTCGAGAAAGAATACTAATTTGTAAAGTGAAGTCATTTTTTTTGGGAAAAAATAATTAAAGTTTTTTTTTGGCGCCAAAATATTTGACTGCGTACCTGTTGACTTGACTGAGTATCTAATGAAAATTTCACATCTTGAGATTTGGCTGCGTACTTGTGAACTTGACTGAGTATCAAACTACAAAAAAACCACGTGGCATTTTTATTGCAAATGTCGGGTTGACCGGAAATTAATAAAAAAAGGAAGGAAATTTGAGTTCCAAAAAATTTGGCTGCGTACTTGACTGAGTATCAAATTTAAGGAATATCGGCGGGAAACTTCAAAATTCAAATTTTCTTGTCAATGAAAAAGAATTGGCTGCGTACTTGACTGAGTATCAAATTTGAGAAATATCGGCGGGAAACTTCGAAATTCAAATTTTCTTGTCAAAAAAAATTGGCTGCGTACCTCATTTTCTTGACTGAGTATCAAATTTGAAAAAATTCAAATTTTCTTGTCAAAAAAAAATTTGGCTGCGTACTTGACTGAGTATCAAATTTGAAAATATCGGCGGGAAACTTCAAAATTCAAATTTTCTTGTCAAAAAAAAATTGGCTGCGTACTTGACTGAGTATCAAATTCGAGAAATATCGGCGGGAAACTTCAAAATTCAAATTTTCTTGTAAAAAAAATTGGCTGCGTACTTGACTGAGTATCAAACGTTGTTGTTTTTCCCACCAAACAGTTGCTCACAAAAAATTATGTAACTTTTTCCGGAAAAAAAATGATTTATGATTTTTTTTTTGCGAGGAGAATACACCTGTCAAATAATTTATTGCTCATATTAACAAAAATAAAATTCAAAAATAATTCGGAGTACGGTATTTAAAGGAACATTGCTCATATTAAACTTTTTCATTTCAAAAAAATATTAGGCAAGAGATCATAGCTAAAAAAAACAAAATAATTCAACCCGGGGTACGGTATTTAAAGGCACATATCAAATTTATTTCAAAAATTTCAGAATCTCCACTCCTCATCAGAAGACATCAGCGGATTCTGGTAGAATAAATCGGGCGGTGAGCAGCTACCGTATACCGTGTCGACACGTGGCAACGCGGGATACTGTGGCATACTACTGTAGGTCTCGAATTGATTTGGGATAGGAGGGACTACGGTAGTTGAAGGAGAAGAGGTACTGTAGAAAACGTGTGGTGGTTGAGTTTGAGGAGGAAGTAGAGTTGGAGCAGTGGTTTCTGGAAAAAAAATATGATTTTTTTTTTTGAAAATTTGAATTTTGGCGCCAAGTGGCGTGGCGTACTCACCGGAGCATCGTTGTTTTCGCTTCGCCTCGGTTCGCTGCTGAATTCGATGCACAACTTCAATGTCCATCTCGGTTTGTTGAGCGCGCTCCCTGTACGAGTTGCGAACCTGAAAAGATTTTTTGAAAATATATTTGCTGGACTCTACAGTAACCCGGATAGGTTACTGTATCTTGAGAAAACAGGGTTACTGTAGATGCTGAAATTAAATTTTTAAAAAATTTCTCACATTTTTTGAAACCGAATTTGATTGAACTAACTCTACAGTAACCCGGATACTGTAGATTTTGTTGGAATTTTGATTTGAAAAAAGATTACTGTAGCTTGAGAAAAAATTTACAACAAAAAAAGTTTCAAGTTTTGGCAGCTACAGTAACCCACAAAAATCCACAATTTTCGAAAATGAATTTTTGGAGCGCTAAATTTCGATCAAAAAAATCTACAGTAACCCACCCAAACAAGCCACGTGGCAGAAATAAACTTCAAAAATTTGAAACTAATTTTTTGGCGCCAGAAACAGATCTACAGTAACCTGAGAAACAGCTACGAAAATTTTATGCCAAAAAAGCTACAGTAACCTGGAGAATTCCAGGTGACAGAAACATTCAAATCTCTAAAAATTTGAAAAAAAAAACTACAGTAACCCCCAGAAAAATGCACGTGGCACAATTTTCGATTTTTTGGCGCCAAAAAATCCACCGTACCTTGATCTCTCCATCCGCAATATACTTGAAAATCATCGAATTGAAGCGGGCGGGGATTTTCTTGCGAATTTCCCGCAAACGCCCATTGTCCCTCCAAAATTTGCGATAAATGTTGAATGTATTTCATGGCCAAACGCAAAGTTTTGATTTTTGGCATTGTTGGACGTTGAGTTTCGGGAATGTAGGGAATTGATCTGAAAATTGGGTGGATTTTAAGTCGGGTACGGTTTTGGTGCCAAAATTTTTGAATTTGAATTTGGAAACTTATCTACAGTATCCCAAGAGTTTTGATCTACGTACAGTAATCTAGAACTAGAATTCTTTCATAATTTGATCTACAGTATCCCAAAATTCCATAGAGCTACAGTAACCTTGAACTACATCAATTCTACCTTAGTGTGTTTGAACCGATATTTGAACCTACAGCTTTCTATAGCAAAATTACTTTGATCTACAGTATCTGACTATCTACAGTACTCTCTAGATTATTTATACACCGTAGTTTTTGGCGGGGATTCTTGATCTACAGTAAGCCGATCACTTACAGTACTCATTATTTTTTTGGAAATTTTTGAAACCCCATTTCCCTAGGATTTTTAAATGCCACAAAACGCTACCTACAGTAGTCCAGAAAACTACAGTACCCCTACATCCTTCTATAACAAAATTATTTTGATCTACAGTATCTGACTACCTACAGTACTCTCTAGATTATTTATACACCGTAGTTTTTGGCGGGAAATCTTCTTGATCTACAGTAAGCCAATGATTTTTGGAAATTTTTTGAAATCCTGGATTTTTAAATGCCAAAATGCTACCTACAGTAGTCCAGAAAACTACAGTACCCCCCTACAGTACCCCCTACAGTAACCCCCTACAGTACCCCTACAGTACCCAAACTCACTTCAACAACGAATTGAAGGCTCCATTAATCTGCTCGGCACGTCTCGCCTCCTTATTCCGGCATTTCTCACGACGAACTTCTTCGCTGATTTTTCGTGGCGCCATTTTTTTTTCGCTGCTGAAAATAATTTAGTTACAGTACACCTACAGTACTCAAGAATAAATTGAAAAAAAAGCGGAAAATAGGCCAACTTATTGTCAAAAAAATCACAACTGATGACAGGGGGTGCAGAAAAAAAGGGTAGGGCGGAGCGTGGAGCGAAAATAGGCTCCGCCCACTTTTTTTCGGGGGTGGTGCAAGACAAGAGAAAACAGGAAATGAAAAAGGAAGATATGGGGTACAGTAATCTACAAATTAAAGGAACATGGGAGTTTCTGGAAGCAAATTTTGAGATTCTTCAGATCTACAGTAATCCTGGGAACGTAAAAGGAACATGGAATTTTGAAGCTACACTGATTCAAGAAGTTTAAAGGAACATGGGACTTTTTTGAGGCAACCTCTAATTCGAGAAGTTTAAAGGGACATGAGGACTTTTTTGAAGCTACAGTAATCTAGGTAGGCTACAGTAACCTTAAATTTTAAAGGAACATGCTGATTTGTTTTTTTGATAATTAAAAGTTTTAAAAATCATTTTACTAAATGCTACAGTAACCCAGAGAATTTAAAGGAACACGGGACTTTTTCGAAGCTACCCTTAATTCAAGAAGTTTAAAGGAACATGAGGCTTTTTTTGAAGAAAACCAGGAATTTTTTGGGAGCTACAGTAACCTTGAATTTTAAAGGAACATGCTGATTTGTTTTTCTGATAAATAAATCCATAGTTTTAAAAATCATTTTACTTAATTCTACAGTAACCCAGAGATTTTAAAGGAACATGGGACTTTTTTGAAAGTACAGTAATCTAGAGATTTTTTTAAAGAAAACCAGGGATTTTTTGGGAGCTACAGTAACCCAGAGATTTTAAAGGAACATTCTTGTTTTTCAGTTAAATAATAATTTTAAAAATCATTCTACAGTAACCCAGAGATTTTAAAGGAACATGACAAATATATTAAATTTCTAAATCTTTAAAAATACCTTGATCAACAGTAACCCAGAATTCAAAGGAACATAAAAATTTTCAAAAACCCCACAGTAACCCAGGTTTTAAAGGAACATGAACAGTTATATCCGCCAAAAAAAAAACAATGTCTGGTAGCTTTTCAATTTTTTTATGATCATATATAGTTAGCCTAACTAAGTTTATTATATTTTTTTTATAACCCAACGCTGCTCGGAAAAAAAGAAGAAAGGTATCTGTTGATTGGGTCAAATTACACTAAAAAAAAGGTGCGCGGGATAAAAAAAAGAGCACAAAAAAAAGATGAAAAGAAATGGGAGAAGCCTGTTGTGTAATAGGGAGCTCTTCTGGTTTTTGACAAAAAAAAGAAAAAATTTCCCGCCAAAAATGAGCCACGTGGCAAAATTGGAATTTTTAATTTTTCGCGCCAAAATCTACAGTACCAGTATTTGTTTGAAAGCCCGAATTTACGCGCGCGCCAAAATTTTTGAATTCCTAATTTTCCCGCTCGCGCCAAAATCTACAGTACTCTTAAAAAATCCACGTGGCAAACTTCTTCTATGTTTGCACAACTCATCAATTTTTGCCGCAAAAAAAAAGAATCTTGCGCAACTCGTGTAACTTTCAAAGAATCCATCCAGGATTACTGTAGCTACAGTAATCTTGGGGGTACTGTAAGAAAAGTTTAGCCTAACACATCAAGTAAGCACACTTATCACTTGTCCCAAAAAAATGTGCGAAAATCGGTTTTCGCACATTTTTTGGGGAAAATGTGTCAGGGGGAGTACTGTAGGTGAAAAAAAAAAGAATTTTTTAATTTTTAGTTGATTAAAAGGTACTGTATCTACAGTAATCCTAGAACTTTCATGATTTGTGTTGAAAAACAAGAAGATTTGTTTCCAAAATAAAAAATGCAGATGTTCCTTTAAATTGCCAGAGAGTACTGTAGGTGGATTTTCGAGCGGAAAAAACGTGAAAAAATTAAAATACTAGTGAATGGTACTGTATCTACAGTAATCCTACAGTATTTTCAGGGATACTGTAGGTGAAAGTTTGAAGCAAGTAAATTTTTAATTGATTAAAAGGTACTGTATCTACAGTAATCCTAGAACTTTCATAACTTTTCAATGAAACATTTTTTTCCAAAATAAAAAAAATAAAAAATTCAGAATTTTCTTGGTGTTCCTTTAAAGTGCCAGGGAGTACTGTAGGTGAAAATTCAAATTTTTCAATTTTTAGTTGATTAGAAGGTACTTTATCTACAGTAATCCTAGAACTTCCATAATTTTTTAATAAAACATTATGTTCCTTTAAAGTGTCAAAGAGTACTGTAATTGAAATATTAAATTTAAATTTAAAAATTCAAAAGTACTGTATCTACAGTAACTTCCCAAAATCGCCGCGCGAAATTCAAAAATTCAAAAACTTCCCCAAGGCACCGCCTGTTTTATTATAGGGTCCCCGATTTTTTGATGAAAGACTGTGCGGGTTTTATGACACACCGTGTGCGCGTTATGATGTCCAAATTTGACAGATTTATTGACCAGAGGCAGGCATTTGTTTTTGAATTTGAAAAAAAAATAAATAAATACTGGGTACTGTAGGGCTTGGGATACTGTAGGTATTTTTTTTTTGAATTTTATTTGAATTGGGAAAAGGGTTACTGTAGGGCTAGAAGTACTGTGACAATTGAAAAAACATTATTTTTGGCTACAGTACCTTTTGAGACTTTAAAGGAACATGCAAAATGTTATGAGCAAATTAATATTCAGAAATTACTGTAGATCTAAGCTACCGTATATCTTGAGACCTTAAAGGAACATTTCATTTTCAATGTTGAAAAAAAAATTGGAAAATTACTGTAGCCTAATTTTTCGGTGCTAAAAATAAGTGCAAAATTTGAAGGGTACTGTAGATCAGCGGCTACAGTAATCGTTGATTTCGAAAAATCGCAAGTTTTTCGATACAGTACCCCTGGACACTTTAAAGGAACATAAAAAAACTTCCTTAAATATTTTCAGGATTACTGTAGTTACAGTAACTTTGAATAAGCTTTTTCGCTCTAAAATTGCACCTACAGTACCCCTTCAGAGGAACATCAACAAATAGTTTTTGTTTTGCACAGGATTACTGTAGATCCACCTACAGTACCCCCTAATCCAATTATTCTAAAAAAAGTATCAAAGAAAAATATGTTGCGCAACTTTTTTTTTTCGAGGCGGCACACTTTTTTTGGCGCATCGTGTTATATAATTGGTTAAGCAAATACAGTAATCCGCGCGAAGTTCAACCTACAGTACTCCTAAATCATCTACAGTACTCCTTTTCTAATTGTAAACCCATAAAAAGTTCAAGTGGGGCTCATAGAGTTATTGTTGTTGTAAAATAAAAAATAACAAAAATAAATCTCTTCTCGGATTACTGTAGGTGGTGTCGGATTACGGTAGATTATTACGTATAAACAACATATTTTATGAGTTTATGTTTATTTTTTATTTGCGATTTTTTGTTTATTACTCCCAAATTTGGGTGTAAATTGAGCAATTTTGAGCAGAACTTGGGAAAAATGAGAAGGTCAAGGGGGTCAAATTTTTTCTGGGTTTCGGAATTTTTGACACGTGGATTTTGATTCAAAAATCAAAATTTTTGAACTTTTATATTCCAAATTTGGCACCAAAAATATTGAGCTACAGTAATTTTCCAATAATTGAAAATGAAATGTTCCTTTAAGGTCTCATTCTCAAGTATACGGTAGCTTGGGGAATTCTTGGATTTAGGAATACTGTAGCTTAGATCTGCTCAAAACATTTTACATGTTCCTTTAAAGTCTCAAAAGGTACTGTAGCGAAGAACTTTCAGTTTTTGAATTCAAAAATTTTTCCACTTTGATTTGCCTAGATTACTGTAGCCGCTGATCTACAGTACCCCCGAAAATTCCAAATTTTGCACTATTTTTAGCACAAAAAATTGAGCTACAGTAATTTTTCAATTTTTTTTTCAACATTGAAAATGAAATGTTCCTTTAAGGTCACATTCTCAAGTATACGGTAGCTTGGGGAATTCTAGGATTCAGGAATACTGTAGCTTAGATCTGCTCAAAACATTTTGCAGGTTCCTTTAAATTCTCAAAAGGTACTGTAGCGAAAAACGTTCAATTTTTGAATACAAAGATTACTGTAGCCGCTGATCTACAGTACCCCCCGAAAATTCCAAATTTTGCACCAAAAAAATTGAGCTACAGTAATTTTCCAATTTTTTTTTCAACATTGAAAATGAAATGTTCCTTTAAGGTCTCAAGATTTAGGAATACTGTAGCTTAGATCTACAGTACTTTCTGAATAATAATTTGCTCAAAAGCATTTTGCATGTTCCTTTAAAATTACCGCAGCCGCTGATCTACAGCACCCCCTGAAAATTCAAATTCGAAAATTTTTGGCGCCAAAAAATCCCTCAAAGAAAAATCTGACATCACATTTTTTTCGGTCAAAAATCTCGTTTGGAGCACACGAAAAAAAATGCTCCGGAAATTGAAATGCGATAGGCTCAAAAAAAAAAAGAGCGGAAAACGCGCGGGCTCCGGAAATGTTGAAAAAAAAGAGCAATTTTCCCCCCGGTTGTGCTCTTTTTTGTGAGCTGCTCGAAGAAAAAGAGCAAAAAATGCTCTTTTCCACGTGGTTTTGTTAAAAAAGCTATGCTACCGTATTTTTTTTAAAGGAACATACTTGTTTTTTCTCAAAAAAAAATTTATTTTTACCCCAAAAAAATTAATTTCCTGTGTAGAATCAAAAGTACACTGTAAGTTAAAAATATTTTTTTTTCATCGTGAAAATTCTTTTTTTAATCATCTAAAAACTTTGTCACGCACATTTTTTACGCGAAGAAAAAAAAATTAATTTTAAATCGCGTGTCAAAAAATGAGCAAAAAAGTTGATTAACAAAATGTTGGGCTAGAGAATTTTGGGAGAAAAAAATTAATTTTTTTTTTTAATTTTCTGAAATTTTTTTTAAAAAAGTTTCAACTAATTTTAATAAATTTTTTTTGAGAAAAAAAATTTAATTTTTAAATTTCACTTTCAAAATTTCTCAAAAAAATTTAAATTTATTCTAAAAATTTTCAAGATATTCAAAAAAATAAAGTTTTATTTTTTCTTTCTGAAATCCTGGTTCTAGAGAAGATTTTTCATGGCTAAAAATTTCTGAAATTTTTTTTTGAATTTCAGATCAAAAATAAATCCACGTGGCATTTTTTTTTGAGAAAAAAATTTAATTTCAAGTTATCCCAAAATTTCTCTAAAAAATTAATTTTTTTTAAAATTTTCAAGATTTTCTTTCTGAAATTTTTTTGAATTTCAGATCAAATAAATCCACGTGGCAAAACCAATGCACTTTTTTTGAGAAAAAAATTGAATTTTTCTAAAATTTTCAAGATTTTCAAAAAAATAAAGTTTTTCTGTCTTTCTTTCTTGAAATCCTGTCTGAAAATTCCTGAAATTTAAGAAAAAAAGTTTCAGATCAAATAAATCCACGTGGCAAAACTAACTTTTTTTGAGAAAAAATTTAATTTCAAGTTATCCCAAAATTTCTGAAAAAAAATTAATTTTTTAAAAAAATTTTCAAGATTTTCTCTCTTAAATCCTGGTTCCAGAAAATTCAGATCGATTTTTCATGGCTAAAATTTCTGAATTTTTTTTTAAATTTTCAGATCAAATAAATCCACGTGGCAAAACCAATGCACTTTTTTGAGAAAAAAAATTCCAAAATTTCTCAAAAAAATTTAAATTTTTTTTTTAATTTTCAAGATTTTCAAAAAATTCCTGAAATTTTTTTGATTTTCAGATCAAATGAATCCACGTGGCAAAAAAATTTAATTAATTTTTTTTTCTAAAATTTCCAATTTCAAAATTCCACACGCAATTTTTTACACCATCTTTTGTTTTTTTCCTCTTTCTCTCCCATTAATATAAAATTCGCCTCCATCTCAAAAAAAACGAAGAAAAAGAAGAAGATTTGGGCTCCTCCGCGCAGAGCAAAAAAAGGTGCTCTTTTTTGTGTGGTCCGCTAGCATGCATGCTCTCGTCGTCTGATCTCTCTCCTCTCTCTCTCTCTCCCTCCTGGCTGAAAAAATGCGCGACGAGAGAGAGAGAGTGTGGAGAGAGACGGCAGAGAAGCTAGAGACATATACATAAAAGTGTATCGATCCAAGAGAGAAGAAGCCTCGCCTTCTTCTCCTCCCCCTGGCTTTTTTTGCATGTGTGTTTTTTTTGTGAGCTCATTTGAGCTCACATTTTTTTTCGCAACTACAATTTTTTTTGGCGCGCGCTTTTTTGTTGCCATTTTTTGTAATCCCCCTGGCTCCGCCCATTTTAAGAGAAAAACTGTAGCTAGATTTTAGGCCACGCCCATTTTTCAGCAAGAAATTATGAATTCTAGAGAAGATCTTCCAAAAAAACTCACATTTCCTCCAGTTTTCCTCGAAATTCACAATTATTTGACCATTTTTCTGACGATTTTCCTGTAATTTGCAAAAAATCTATATAAGAAAGATACATTTTTCCATAAAAAACCAGTTTTTGTATCAAAAATCAACTAAAATTATGTTATTTATACTAGGAAAATAGATAAATATGAATTTAACAACAAATTTCATTCAAATTCATGAAAAAACAACAGAATGAAAACATTTTCGAAAAACAAAAAAAAAAACAAGAAAATAAATGTAGAAATGGAAGTGCGCCCCATTGATAAACAAATGCATGTTGCGCGCTCTTTCAAAAATTTGTGTGTTTTTTTCTTGTTTTTCTTGTTTCCTTCAATACAAAATACATATTTTCAAAGCCACGCCCACTTTCTGCAAGTCTGGCACAGTTTTTTTCGAGATTTTTTTCACGTGTCCTCCCAATTTTTTTTCGAAAAATCAAAAAAAAAATATTTTTTTTCAAAAAATTTCATTTTTAAAAATTTCAAATTTTCAAAAAGTGAGTTATTTTCTGCAATTTGAAGCTTCGGCACAGTTTTAAGCCACGCCCATTTTCTCTGCAATTTCGCCGCATAGTTTTAGCCCCCCAAAAAGTCATGTTTTTTCTTGCCTCACCAAAAAAAATAATTTTTTTTGCTTTTTCCTTCCGAAAAATTCAATTTTCGCGCATGTTTTTTTGCCTAGCGCGCACCAAACAAAATTACATTATGCTCGTCTGCGTCTCTCTGTTCTCCACACTCTCTCGCCTCTCTCTAAACCCCATTTCTCCTTGTTTTTTTTTTTTTTTTTTTTTGAGCCGCCACTCATTCATACTCATTTTCCAGCCTTTTTTGTTGTGTTTTTGGCGCCAAAAATCAATTTTTTTTCAAAAAGAGCACAAATTTTGCTCAAAATTTTTAATTTTTGCTCAAATATTTGCACAGAACAATTTTCCCTATAGTTTTTTCCCAAAAATTCGTCCAAAAAAATGTTTTTGGCGCCAAAATCATCGAGCTTTTAGGCGAAAATAGATCAAATTTCTGAGAAGCGCGGGAAAATTTGGCGAAATTTGATTTTTCCGGAATAATTTTGAAAAACAGCAAATTTCCCAAGCTCCGCCCCCATTTTTGTATGCAACCCTGGCACACTTTTTTTTGCTCCAAAATTGCACCAAGACCTCAAAATACACAAAATCTCGTCTTGTGACTCGAAAAAACTCACTCAACCGCAAAAAAATCTGATTTTCACACACTTTTTTCTCGAAATTTTCATTTTTTTGGAAATTTTGAATAAAAAATGCAAAAAAAGATTTTGTGTAGTTCTCGAGGAGAAGCGGGAAATTCAAAAATTCAAAAAAAAGATTTTGTGTAGTTCTCGAGGAGAAGCGGGAAACTTCGAAAATTCAAAAAAAAGATTTTGTGTAGTTCTCGAGGAGAAGCGGGAAATTCAAAAATTCAAAAAAAAGATTTTGTGTAGTTCTCGAGGAGAAGCGGGAAATTCAAAAATTCAAAAAAAAGATTTTGTGTAGTTCTCGAGGACAAGCGGGAAATTTGAAAATTCAAAAAAAGATTTTGTGTAGTTCTCGAGGACAAGTGGGAAACTTCAAAAATTCAAAAATTCAAGCCACGCCCCCTTTCTGCAATTTTGCGGCACAGTTTATTTGCACATGTATATTTTCATATTTTTTTGCTATTTTTTATTCTCATATTCTATTTTTTGTGTTGGTTGTGGGGAGCCTTTTTTGTGTCTGCGTTTTTTTTTCTTTTTTTTTTTTTTTTTTTTTTTGGTGGTGAATATATATTTTTTGGATGGAAGAGGAAAAAGGAAATGATCAGAGATGAAATGGGAAAAAATGGGGGAGATGGAGCCAGATTTGGCGCCAAAAATTGGATTTTTTGTTGAGAAATAGAAAAAAGAGCATTGTGTAGTTCTCGAGGAGAAGCGGGAAATTTGAAAAATTCGAAAAATAATGTTTAGCTGTGTAGTTCTCCTCGAGAACTACACAAAATCTTTTTTTTTTGAATTTTCAAATTTCCCGCTTCTCCTCGAGAACTACACAAAATCTTTTTTTCAAATTTCCCGCTTCTCCTCGAGAACTACACAAAATCTTTTTTGCTTTTGAATTTACGAATTTCCCGCTTCTCCTCGAGAACTACACAAAATCTTTTTTATTTTTTGAATTTTCAAATTTCCCGCTTCTCCTCGATAATTACACATTTTTTTTTGAATTTTCAAATTTCCCGCTTCTCCTCGAGAACTACACAAAATCTTTTTTTTTTGAATTTTTGAATTTCCCGCTTCTCCTCGATAATTACACATTTTTTTTTTGAATTTTCAAATTTCCCGCTTCTCCTCGAGAACTACACAAAATCTTTTTTTTTTCGAATTTCCCTCTTCTCCTCGAGAACTACACATTTTTTGAATTTTCGAATTTCCCGCTTTTCCTCGAGAACTACACAGCAAAAACATTTTCCCAAAATAATCCAATTGTTCGCGGTCACGTTTTCTCCTGTTTATTATTATGCTAACAAAAAAGCAAACCCAGAAAAACTTTCCTCTTCTTTCTCTGCGTCTCTCATCTCTCTCTCTCTCTCGCTCGCGATTTTTCTCTGCATCTCTCGTCGCACTCTCTCGCCATCCCACACTCTCTCGCTCTCTCGCTCTCGCACAAAAGGAACTGTTATTTTTTTTTTCGTTTTCTGATTTTGTCGGGAGGAATTTGCTTCTTCGGGATTTTATTGATTTTTTTTTGAATTTGAAAATTTGAACATTTTTGCCGCCAAAAATGCCACGTTTTGGCGCTTTTTCAAAATTTTCGCGTCAAATTTTCCACGTGTCTTCTTTTTTTTGCGATTCAAAATGTTAAATATTTTCAAATTTGAATTTTTCGCGCCAAAAATCAATTTTCAAAATTTTCCCTTATCAAAATTCGAGCAAAAAGCGAAATTTTTTAATCCGTTTTCTCTGGCGCGCTCTCTCATTTCGCCACACTCTCTCACTCTCTCCCCACCATATAATTGTGGGATTATTTTTTTTAAATAATAAATTTTTCCTTGCGGCCGAGAAAAATCTATAATTTTTCAGATTTTTTCCAATGAAACGCGCCTGAAAATCGTATTATGGATCGAGCAAAGAAAAAGTGAGTGTGGCCGTGGCCTAGAAAACCAAACCCCAAACAAACCAAAAACTCTTCCAGATTCGCGTCGGCCATCGATGGGCTTCGATCGTTGCACAATCGAACCGAAATCAATATCGAGGAGAAAGTTCAGCCGGAGCATTGTTGTTTGACTACGGTAGGGTGGTTTTTTGCGCGCGAAAATTTGAATTTTCAAAAAAAAAATTTCAGGTTGTTCGTCACGGGCTTCCAGATGACTCCAGATGTATGGCTTTTGATCCGGTTCAAAGATTGATGGCGATTGGAACTGGCCGAGGACAAGTTCGGATAATTGGTAGGTCAAAAGTGGGCGGGGCTTAGTGGGGGGGTGCAAGCTCCGCATGGTTTTTGGGGCGGGGCTTAGAAACCTGTGAAAAAAGTGTGCGGTGACATTGCAAAACTGCAAGAGCCGCATAGTTTTTCTGCGCCCGCCAAATTCAAAAAATTCGAAAAATTTCAGGTGATGCCGGTGTTGATTATTTGCTACGTCACGAATCCGAGTCCGCCGTCATGCACATGCAATTTTTGATCAACGAAGGCGGTTTGATCACGGCATGTGCCAATGATATGATACATTTGTGGAATTATCGACAAAAAGTGGGTTTCTAGGCCACCAGCATTGTATTTCTGGGTTTCTAGGCCACCAACATCGTATTTTTGGGTTTTCTAGGACACCAAAATCGTGTTTTTGGGTTTCTAGGCCACCAAAATCGTGTTTTTGGGTTTCTAGGCCGTCAACAGCGTGTTTTTGGGTTTCTAGGCCACCAAAATCGTGTTTTTGGGTTTCTAGGCCACCAAAATCGTATTTTCGGGTTTCTAGGCCACCAAGATCGTTTTTTTGGGGTTCTAGGCCATCAACATCGTGTTTGTGGGTTTCTAGGCCACCAAAATCGTATTTTTGGGTTTCTAGGCCATCAACATCGTGTTTTTGGGTTTCTAGGCCATAAACATTGTTTATTTGGGTTTCTAGGCCACCAACATCGTATTTGTGGGTTTCTAGGCCACCGAAATCCTGTTTTTGGGTTTCTAGGCCACCAAAATCGTGTTTTTTGGGTTTCTAGGCCAGCAAAATCGTGTTTCTGGGTTTCTAGACCACCAAAATCGTGTTTTTGGTTTTCTAGGCCACGCCTTGGTTTTCTAGGCCACCAATTTCAAATTTGCAGGTTCCTGAAGTCGTGCATTCAGTTCAACTCAACAAAGAAGCCGTGACAGCAATTCATTTACCAATTTCCGGAAAATGGCTTTACGTGGGAACCGACAAGGTTTGTACTTAATTTGACTGCGTACCTTCTTTGCCTGAGTATCAAACGTCTTTTCCAGGGTAACGTTTATTTCGTCTCGGTCGCCACATTCCAACTCAGCTCCTACGTCATCAATTGGAACAAAGCCATCGATTTGTCGTGTCGAATTCATCCGGGCCCAGTCCGACAATTATCCGTCAGCCCACAAGATCCGACGAAAATTCTCATCGCCTATGATAAAGGCGTTTTGGTGCAATGGAATTTGGCGAATAAGGAGGTGGATAGGTTTCCGTTGGATCCGCCGGTTAAAAGTGTTTGGTGAGTTGGTTTTCTAGGCCACCAAAATCTATTTTTGGTTTTCTAGGCCATCAAAATTATTTTTTCGGTTTTCTAGGCCATCAAAATCATATTTTTGATTTTCTAGGCCATCAAAGTCATATTTTTGGTTTTCTAGGCCATATTTTTTGTATTCTAGGCCATCAAAATCATGTTCTTGGTGTTCTAGGCCAGCAAACTCATATTTTTGGTTTTCTAGGCCATATTTTTTGTATTCTAGGTCATGAAACTAATGTTCGTGGTTTTCTAGGCCATCAAAATCATATTTTTGGTATTCTAGGTCATGAAACTGATGTTCGTGGTTTTCTAGGTCATGAAACTGATGTTCGTGGTTTTCTAGGCCATCAAACTCATATTTTTGGTTTTCTAGGCCATATTTTTTGTATTCTAGGCCATCAAAATCATGTTCTTGGTGTTCTAGGCCAGCAAAATCATATTTTCGGTTTTCTAGGCCATCAAAATCATATTTTTGGTATTCTAGGTCATGAAACTGATGTTCGTGGTTTTCTAGGTCATGAAACTGATGTTCGTGGTTTTCTAGGCCATCAAACTCATATTTTTGGTTTTCTAGGCCATATTTTTTGTATTCTAGGTCATGAAACTAATGTTCGTGGTTTTCTAGGCCATCAAAATCATATTTTCGGTTTTCTAGGCCATCAAAATCATATTTTTGGTATTCTAGGTCATGAAACTGATGTTTTTGGTTTTCTAGGTCATGAAACTGATGTTCGTGGTTTTCTAGGCCATCAAACTCATATTTTTGGTTTTCTAGGCCATATTTTTGGTTTTCTAGGCCACCAAAACTGATGTTCTTGGTTTTCTAGGCCACCAAAATCATTTTTTCGGTTTTTTAGGTCATATTTTTGGTATTCTAGGTCATGAAACTGATGTTCGTGGTTTTCTAGGTCATGAAACTGATGTTCGTGGTTTTCTAGGCCATCAAACTCATATTTTTGGTTTTCTAGGCCATATTTTTTGTATTCTAGGTCATGAAACTAATGTTCGTGGTTTTCTAGGCCATCAAAATCATATTTTCGGTTTTCTAGGCCATCAAAATCATATTTTTGGTATTCTAGGTCATGAAACTGATGTTCGTGGTTTTCTAGGTCATGAAACTGATGTTCGTGGTTTTCTAGGCCATCAAACTCATATTTTTGGTTTTCTAGGCCATATTTTTGGTTTTCTAGGCCACAAAACTGATGTTCTTGGTTTTCTAGGCCACCAAAATCATTTTTTCGGTTTTTTAGGTCATATTTTTGGTATTCTAGGTCATAAAACTGATGTTCTTGGTTTTCTAGGCCATCAAAATCAAATTTCTGGTTTTCTAGGCCATATTTTTGGTATTCTAGGTCATCAAAATCATATTTTTGGTTTTCTAGGCCACCAAAATGATGTTTTTGGTTTTCTAGGCCATATTTTTGGTTTTCTAGGCCATATTTTTGGTATTCTAGGTCATGAAACTGATGTTCGTGGTTTTCTAGGCCATCAAAATCATATTTCTGGTTTTTTAGGCCATATTTTTGGTATTCTAGGTCATGAAACTGATGTTCGTGGTTTTCTAGGCCATCAAAATCATATTTTTGGTTTTCTAGACCACCAGAGCTTTAATTTCAAGTTTTCAAATCAAAAATTCTTTAAAATTTCATTTTCTCATTTACCATTTCACTCAAAATCATTCAAAAATAATCCAAAAGCCGATTCATAATTCTCAACTTTGTCGCATCGCTCAACTCCCCGAATTTCGCTTCTCCTTGCAAATTTTTGATTTGCATTCGAATCAATGCATTTCACCTGAAAAAATCAAGTTTTTCATCGATTTTAGCGGGAATTTCTAACCATCAGAAGTTCATAATCATTATCTTGAGCATATTTGAATTTATCGATTAATTTGACTTGTTGATTTTGAATAAGGAAATGCTCGCAACGTTGATGAAGTGATAAACAATTGAGCTTTTTTGCCAGCTCGATAAATTTAGCATAATCATCATTCTTAATTGTGTTGTACATCGGGCTGAAATTCATCAGAATTTGGCAGAATTCTTCAGCATTTACAGTGTGAAATTCCATACTGGGAGAGTTTTCGAGTAAATTGTTTTCTCGGTTACGACCTTGTTGTGAATATAGCCCACTTTTTTGCATAGAACCTGAAAATATCATATGCATTTAATTGAAAAGATGTTATAAATGTGATTTACCCCTGAATTCGAAAAGAAATAGGTCTTATCTTTATTCACAAACACTGTGAAATCCGTGAATCCCGCTTCTTTTCTCGAAAAATCATAAAATTGAAAGCTGAACTCGACTTCGATTACAATTGCATCATCAGAATTAATATAATAACCTCCTCCAAAAACATCTCTCCAATTCAAAATATCGATTCCTCGAGAAATATGACTATCCTTATGATAAAATCCCTCGATTTCCCTTTTCACATGATTTCCACCTCCGTTTTGCTGAAATATTTTGAATTGCGCCTTCACTTGACAACACCAATTCTTCTCGTTTTTATTCGCACCATCGTATTCTAGATAAACCGCCAGCGTTTTGTCGGAATTCTCCATTTTTTCGCCGCTGATTTTGAGGTTCCAATCGATGTTTTGGAATTTGAAGGTTTCGCTTTTTGCGCCATTTTCTGTTAGGTTTTTGAAGTTGGTGAACTTCCAGCGGATTTTGTTGTAATTACTAATTATCGGGTTCATGCTGGAAAAGCTAGGATTTGCCGACAAAAAACAAAAAAAAAATTTTTTTAATGCATCTATTCATTTGCGAAAAAAACCGAAAAAAATGTATTTTTTTACAATTTTTTTCTATTCACCAAAATGCACGAAATAAATGTCAATCGTGACGAGACCCACACACATTTCAAGGAGAAAAATATGCGAGAAAAAAACAAGAAATGAAATTTTCGAAAGCATGCATTTTTCACACTCGTTGCCTTGAAATGAGTGGGTCTCGTCACGATTGCATGTATTTCGCGACAATTTGTGATTTTGGTGGATAGAAAAATATTGTAAAAAAATACATTTTTTTCGTGTTTTTTTGCAAATGAATAGATGCATAATCGTCCGGGAGAAATACACAAGCTTCTTCGCGCTGCGAGACCTGTTTCCTTGAAAAATCCATGTTCCTTTAATTATTTTTGTTGAAAAATCGTCACGAGACCCAAAAAATTCCCCCGAAAACCCGAATTTTTGCAGCTGGCACTACGATGGTCGCCAATTATTAACCGGAAATGTCGATGGATCGATTTGTGTCTACAATATTCGCAAAACTTCGGAATACGTTCAACGAAATACACCACATGGTGTCGGACCGTGCAGGTAGGTCGAAAAACACCGATTTTTCAAAGAAAATCAAGTTTTTCACCTTTTTTTTCGACGAAAACAACAAAAAGTACACCATAATTTGTCATTCAACAGCAAAAAAAAAACACTTTTTGGGGAAAAAAATGAAAACTTGTTGAAAAATAGATTTTTAAGGGGTAAAAATACCTGAAAAATCCAATTTTTCTACTCAAAATATCTGAAAATCCCGAATTTCAGACCAATTCACTACATCGAATGGAAGCACATTGGAGAGCAAGATCAAGTCATTGTATTTTCTGGCGGTATGCCAACCGATGACGGACTGCCCGTTCCGGCTTTGACGATTTTGCGAGGCGGAAAATCGGCAACGGTTTTGGAGATGGATCATCCGATTATTGCGTTTCAAACGTTGCCGCAGGTGAGATATCGTGGCGAGACCCAGAGAATGTTTAAAGGCGCAGCTGGTTTTTTTTATTTATATTTTTGCGCGCGAAAGAAATTAAATTTAAAAAATTATTCTTCAAATAATTTAAATTTCTCACGCGCGGGACCCAAAATGTGCCTTTGAAATGTAGAAACAATTGAATGTATATTTTTGCGCGCGAAATTCAAATTTTTAAATCTCAATTTTCGTAGCTTCAAATTCATCAATTCACGAAAAATCGAAAAAACATCAATTTTTCGAGTTTTTCAGCCAAAAATGATGATAAATCGATATTTTTCAAGCTTCTGGAGTAATTTCTGATCAAAGTTGACCCTGGAATTCACTTTCCAGAAGGTTTTGCTGATTTTTCGTGATTAATTTCGAAAAAATTCCAAAAATAAAGCAAAATAGGGTTCTCAAAGCTTATTTTAATCAGAAATTACTGCAGAAGCTTGAAAAATATGGATTTGTCATCATTTTTGGCTGAAAAACTCGAAAAACTAATGTTTTTTCGACATTTTTTGACTTTTTGTGAATTTCGATGTTAAAAAAACATTTTTTTCGTTCGTAAATCAGCCCAAGTGCTATTTTTCGCGGCGAGACCCAAAATGTGCCTTTAAAAAGACGAAAGTTGATTTTTAAAGGCGCAGCTTGGGATTTTCATACATTTTTCTCAAAATTCCCTCACATTTTGCAGCTCGCCTACAATTCGTGTCCCCAACAACCGCATTCTGTCGCCGTGTTGCTCAAAAACGATTTCATGGTGCTGGATCTTCAACAACAAGGTCATCCAATGATCGAATCGCCACACGCAATGAATATTCATGAGAGTCCCGTGACGTGTATCCAATATTATTCCGATTGTCCGCTGGATTTGATCGGTGCACTGACTTTGGTTGGAACTAAGCAACGCAAAAAGGATTATAGTCAGAGGGTGGGTTTTATTATCGCAATTCTCATCGGTACCACGCGCTCCACCGAAATAAACACGCAACGCAGACCGCGTCGCGCCACAACACACAAAAAAGGGAGGGAACGATTCAAATTCCCTCCCTTTTTGTGTGTGCTGTGGCGCGGCGCGGTATGCGTTGCGTGTTTATTTCGGTGGAGCGCGTGGTACCGATGAGATTTTCGATAATATTAGAGCACAAATTTGGACTAGACTCTAGTCTAGAGAGAAGAGAAACAAGTAATTTACTTATTAAAGAAGAAAAACAATGTTTGGTGAACAATTAAAAACCGCAAAAAACACATCACATAAAAAAATGGAAATAAATTAAAGGACTATAGAGAGGACATTTTTTTGATTTTCTGGAGAAGATATAATATTTTTCTCACTAAAATCAACCCTTATACAACATTTATTCGCTCTTTGATTTGGAAGCAGCCGCAAGTTGACGTAACACACGATTTCCGGCGACAAAAGTAACAAATCCCAAAATCGCCAAATATTTCAACGTCTCAAACATGTCCAATTGAAGCCAAAACACGAAAAATAGTCCGACGATTCCGGCGAGTCCCGCATGGAAAATTGGCACCCAAATCGAGGCTGGCGCATTGCCAAAATTGATTCCGATCTTGAGCCATGCTCCAACAAGGAAGAGAAGTGGTGTGAGAACTACCAAGGTGAAGAAATCGGAAATCACTGCAGATGGACGTTTTTCTGGTTGACGGAACTCGTGTTGGATTTCGGGAAGTTGAGAATAGTTGATTTGTTGGGATTTTGGTGTGATGATTGGGATAGTTGGAAGAGCAAGTTGGAAATCAGCCTGAAACAAACATTTTTTTTGAAAAAATTAATTAAAAAATCTAGATTTACTCACGAAATACCAGTTGATTGGTGTTTTAATGGTGTTTCCTCCGATGATCAGGCTTCCCTTGAACTTTCCAGCCAAGTTATTGAATTGTTTCGAAGCGACTCGAAGAGTGGCATCGTATAAATATTCGCCACTAGCTTGCGGATTTGCAACCAAAACCGCGTCCTCTCCAGATTCTTGTGCAAAATGTAAAAATACTTGCTGAGCTCCGCTGAATTTGGAATTGTCAGCTTTGTTCAATAAATTAAACGAGATGTATAAACGTTGTCCGGCATCAGATGCGCTGAACAATTCGGATGATTTGGAGAATGCTGGGATTGTCTTGAGATGTTCGTTGGTGGCCTCTTGATCTTTGGCGAGAATTCCGACGCGGAAATTTTGAACGGCGATTTCTTGCGAAGCTGTGGCGATGAACAAAATTGATAGAATTAACAGGCTCATTTTACCTGAAATTTTAAACAACTGAGAAAAAATGCAAAAAAAGAGGGAAAAGAGCAACGTGGCCTAAAGAAGACGAAAATCAATAAACTAGCGAGAGGTGAGAGTGCGCAGACAACAAAGCAAACGCGTTTTTTGGGCGGCGCCTTTATTAAGCCCTGGAAAATGAAAAACACGGAGTTTTTTCACAAGTTCTCATTGGATCTTTGAAATAATGCGAAATGAAAAGAACCACGTCGAATTGTGCGTTCTAGCGGTGTTTGCGGCGGCAAAACATTGCGGAGAACACATTTAAAATGACGCGCAAATGTTTTATTTGTGGGAAAACAACGGGACATTTTTGATGTGAGCAAATACATGGGAATATATGGGAGAAATCGATTTTCAACCGGATTTTCTGGAATTGTCTAATGAGCTCAAGGTTTCCTATGTTCCTAGGATCAATATTAACTGCTCAGAACATTTGAAAACACTGAAAATTCTCTGAAAACCTAGAAAGAACAAAAAAAAACGAGGAAAAAAAAGAAAATGAAAAAATCGATTTTTCTTCCACGTCAGTTTAAATCGCTGCGAGACCACACAAATCTCATCATGCTCCTTTGAGACTACGGTGTGTGTCTCGCAACGATTTCAGCCCGCAGTGTTTGAAAATTTGATTTTTTACTTTCGTTTTTTTTCATTTTCATTTTTCAAAACCAAATTTATTGTTACAGGCTTGGCCAATAAGTGGTGGATTGGGTCGAGAATGCGCAACGGGACATCAAGAATTGGTTATAACTGGACACAAAGATGGAACCGTGCGATTTTGGCAAGAAACTGGCGAGCATTTACAAGTTTTGTATCGATTGAAGAGTTCGTCGCATTTTGAGAGATTGGAAGAAATGGAAGTATCGGATAAGGTTTCACATTCGGTGAAAAGTATCGAAATGTGTCTAGAAGTAAGTATTATCCGGCAAATTTTCCCAATTTATATCTAAAAATCTTATTTTCTCAGAGCCGACAATTGCTTGTCGCCGGTGTTTCGGGTCAAGTCACCCTTTTCCGATTCACCAAAATTGAAAGTATGAATACAATCGCCGTCGTAAATATCCCATTGTTAGGAAACGCTTCAACTTCAACTGCTGGAAATGGCGGCGAATTCGAAAAATCGCCAATGTCAAATGGACCCGGAAAAGAAATGCGAAGACAACGAAAGGTCCGGCCTACTAAGCCTAACACAAATAATAAGCCTAGCCTAGCCCTTGGGCCTTAACTTACTTAAACTGTGGTGTGATGGAAAAACTTCTCAATAGACTCACGCTTCTTGTACTTATTGATTTTTGAGGCTTCTTGTGACCCAAACATCTCAAAAAAAATTTTCAGCGAACAGAAAAAAAGATTTCAGAAATTATATCAAATCGGACGACGGCAATTATCGGTGCAATGTTTGCCCACACAAAAATTGTTGGCAGAGTTATGTAGCATGAGAACTTGAAAACTATTCTAGCTCCGTAAATCTGGTAGCAAACCTTTCAGCACGTTTCTCTTTCATTTTTCTTATAGTTGGACATTGACTTTTTCAGGTTTTTAAGCAAATGAGTTGAAATATTGGGTTTTAATTTTATTCATATGATAGAATGGTCTAAGACGAACAGAATCATATATATGCACTCCAAAATGAAAACTACACTTTTTTCATTTGATTTCATGAAAAACTGCATTTTTTTTGGGACAAATGTACGGCGTATTCGTTTGAATTTGTGTCGCTCAAAAAATGATGTACATTCAGAAATTCTCCGATTTTTTTGTCCGATTTCTTTTTGGTTTGATCATCCACATATGGATCCAGTACATTGTCTTCAGACTCACTTGCAATTTTTCTTTTTTTCTTGCTCTTTCCCCACCAATCCGATTTATGCTCATCATTTTCATTTATCAATTGACTTTTAAAATAAGTCCGATTCTCCCCGAAAAACATTTAGGTACATTTCTTGTTCAATGAGAAATGTACCAAAACACTTTTGGGGAAAAATAGGACATTTTTCAAAAATGTCTGATTTTTCCTCAAAAATTTTTTGGAACAAACATAAATGTTCCAAAAAAATTTTCGGGGAAAATCGGACATTTAGATTTTTCGAATAAAACGAGGAATAATTGAATTTCAGCTAATCTACGACAAATTAAAATTCACTCAAAACACTCTAAAATGGTTTTAGAGATGTTTAGTTTAGAAACAAGTCGCTAAAAGTCAAAAATAATGTTTTCTCGAAAAATCAATAACTTTCACATTTAAAAAGAAAATTTTTCAACAAAATAAGAAAATGTATCTTTGTCGCTCATTCAATATCAAATTGATAATGTAATTTTCACTTTAAAACGTGTTTTTCGCGTCGAAAATGCGTGAAAACACAAACAGTTTGAAAAAAATAAAAATTTGCTGACAAATGTGTGGCCGTGGCCGAGAAAATCACACACTTGTGTACTTCTCTCGGACGAATATTTATTTTTTCTTTTTTTTCGAGATTTCTTTTTTCTGTTTTCTGGCTGAAAAAACGTTATTTTAAATGATTTTGTTTACAGAATGATTGAAATGGACAAAACAATGATTGGAGATGGCGGAAAAATGGCGAAAAATGGTGAGTATTTTCGTTTTTCTCAAAAAATCTCTTAAAGTATTTTCTGAAAGAAATATATTTCGGAAGACTATTTTTCGAACAAAATTGATGAAATCTCATTAAATATAGTTCATTCAAGTAGTGGAACAAACAAAAATTGAATGATGCACTACCTGAGAGAACAAAATAACCAGAGTTGAAGCTTTTGGTTTTTGGTTGCCAATTTGAACCAATTACTTAAGTTAAAGGGATATTTCTATTTGAAATCCGAAAAGCAACGTTAAAACTGGTTAAACTTGATCGGAAATACCAAAAATTCAAAATTTTCAGCATGGAAACACATCAATCACCATCCACGTCACAACTTCAAAGGAAATGTTATAAATTTTGAATTTTATGCCTTTTTTTGGTTCGTTTCTTCCCAATTTTTTCTGGTTTCGAAATTTCCTTCCAGGAAAAATTGGAGAATTTTCAAACGGATCAAAAATGTCCGATTTTTCATCGGAATAATTTTTGTCCGTTCTTCATTCTCAGGGAGAATCGGACATTTTTATAATCAAATGAAAAATGTCCGATTTTTCCCCGAAAGTGTTTTGGTACATTTCTCATTGAACAAGAAATGTACCAAAAAAAATTTCGGGGAAAATCAGACTTTTTCTACTCAGATAGCAAGTACATTTTTTTGGTATTGTATTTTCTGCCATCATGTTTTATTGAATTTTGTCGGACAAAATAAATTATTTGTACCATTTCAACTTGGTATTTTGTTTTGTGTTTCATTTTTTCAAATGTTCCAAAAATTGTTTGATCTTCAACTTTTCGTAAGAAAAAAGTGTAGTTTTCGATTTGGAGTGCATATATATAAATTTTGATGAATTTACACCTTATCCATAAGTGATTTAGCGAGGTTTAGTCGATAAGGTCTCTAAATCACTTAAGGATAACGTAATGTCATCAAAATTTATATCATTTTGTTCGTCTTAGACCATTCTATCATATGAATAACATTAGAACCCAATATTTCAACTCATTTTCTTAAAAAACCTGAAAAAGTCGATTCAGTCGATGTCCAACTATGATTTTTCTCCAAAAGCACCACAGTTTTTAGAACTTCTAACCCTTTTCTACTAGATGTTTATTCGGAATGAGGTTTTAGGAAGTGATTTTTTTTTTTTTGTCGAAAATTATGGATTTGTGGGTGTGAATTTGGAATTTTTAAAAATTACCCGGAAAATTTACGCTTCAAATTTTTGATTAATTTTTGACCGGATTTTTGAAATTTGATACTGCTTTTCTCCATCACAATTTTGAATATTTAAAAACAATTTATCTTAAATTTAGCCATGATATCTTTTATGAAAAATCTAAAATTTCCAAATTTTCAGCTTAAAAATCTGAAAATCCCCTTGATCTATACTAAAATTCTGAAATACCTGTGAAAAATCATAGATCCCGAATTTTCCTACAAAATCCCCATATATTTTCAGCTTAGCTTGAAAATTACAGGATTTTGTCTGAAAATCTAGAAAATCTATGATTTTTCACAGGATTTCAGTGGGACGCGGAAGCTATGCCCAAATTTTGCTTGAAAATGGGCGTGGCTTGATTTTCTGCAATCCTGGCACGGTTTTTTACGTTTTCAAGAAAACATAAGTTATTTTCTATGAAAAATCAATCTGAAATTTTTCAAATTTTCAGCCTAAAAATCTGAAATACCTTTGAAAAATCATAGATTCCAAATTTTCCTACAAAATCCCTATATATTTTCAGCTTAGCTTGAAAATTACAGGATTTTGTCTGAAAATCTGGAACATGTATGATTTTTCACGGGATTTCAGTGAGACGCGGAAGCTATGCCCAAATTTTTCTTGAAAAGGGGCGTGGCTTTATTTTCTGCAAGCCTGGCACGATTTTTTACCCAAGAAAACATGAGTTATGCCCAAATTTCACCCACAAAATCCACAAATCTCTACACATACACCCCAAAAAAATCCCATCATCTGTTCAATTTTCAGATCGTCTCTCGTGAATCCACCAATTCTCTAGACACCAGCGATTCCGGCGACGAACGTATCGTCCCATTCAAAGTGCGTGGAGCGCCCGTAAAAAGGCCCCCGGGCTTTCAGCCCGAATTGGCCTGTTTTGTGCCGTGGCCTTCGCACTCAAAAAGTCGATCAAATTACCGCCATCGCGTTGAACTCGTGTTATGGTGTGATTGCGATTGGTGAGAGCATTTCGCCGCCAAAATTCCGAATTTCAAAAAAAAATTTCTTCAGGTACAACCTGTGGACTCGCATTAGTTGACACAAGTCAATGCGCTTTGATCTACGCGTGGACTTCCAGTGAACTTTATGGCTCCGAGCCAACACCGGCTATTCAATTGAGTAGTATGCAGATTGGCGGCGAACTTACGACAAGTCCTTTGGAGGTATGCAAACGACACTACGCAATTACGCCCCTCCCTCTCTCGTTTCTCTCTTCTCTCTAACAATCTCACGCTCTCTCTGATATTGAAAATGGCTGAAAATTTCTTCGAATTCTATTGAAAATCGAGGTTTCCATGGGAAAATTCGAGAATTTCTTGCGTTTTCAGATGGAAATTTAGATTTTCAATAGAATTTTGAGCTTGAAAATTGTCTGAAATACCTGTGAAAAATCATAGATCCTAAATTTTCCTACAAAATCCCCACATATTTTCAGTTTAGCTTGAAAATTACAGGATTTTGTCTGAAAATCTGGAACATCTATGATTTTTCACGGGATTTCAGTGAGACGCGGAAGCTATGCCCAAATTTTGGTTGAAAAGGGGCGTGGCCTATTTTTATGCAAGTCTGGCACGATTTTTCGGAAGAAAACCTTTGATTTCTTCTATGAAAAAACTGAAATTTCCAAATTTTCAGCCTAAAAATCTGAAAATCCCCTCGGTCCAAATTAAAATTCTGAAATACCTGTGAAAAATCATAAATTCCAAAATTTCTCACAAAATCCCCATATATTTTCAGCTTAGCCTGAAAATTACAGGATTTTGTCTGAAAATCTGGAACATCTATGATTTTTCACGGGATTTCAGTGGGACGCGGAAGCTATGCCCAAATTTTGCTTGAAAAGGGGCGTGGCCTATTTTTCTGCAATCCTGGCTCGATTTTTTTTTCGAGATTTTCAGCCAATTTTCAGCCGAAACTCACAAATTCTGATCTAATCTCGCCGTTTTTTTCTTGCATGTTGTTTCATTTTTGGCTGAAAATTTCAAAATTTCAGTCAAAAATAATTTGTGTCGTGTCATATGTGTTGTGTGTGATTTCAGGAATACGACGAATTCGCCGAGCAAATCATCGAATTATCCGATCCACCGCCGGCGCGGACAATATCCGAAGGCGGAAAATCCGCACATCTCCTCCATCCGCAAAGTTCTTTGAGCGAATTTCCGCGCCCGAAATCCGCATCAGCAGGAAGCGGAAAAGGCGGAATGATGGGAATCCTACGAAGAAATACGGCTGAACTTGCGGCTACGATCAGAGAAAGATATCAAAGATCGGAGACATTGATAGCAGATCGGCCGGATATGGAAACTCCGCCACCATCGCCAACTTTGGACAAAAATCACGCGCCAAATGTTGGAAAAACTGGAAGATCGCATAGTGTTAAAGGAAGTATTATGAGAAGATTCAAAACATCGATAAAAGAGCATCATAAAAAGGAGAAAAAAGAGCATTCATCGGAGCCGGCGACACCAAAAAGTATCACGAGTTTTGGTGGCGAAAATGGATTGGAGAGATCAAAAAGTTTTCATTCGCATATTTCAGAAGAGGGTTGGTGTGATAGAATAGATGTAGAATTTGCTTGGGTGCGGGAGGTTTTGGTGGATTTTTGGTGTGCCTGCGAAAATTCGAGATTTTCTTGCATAAAATTGTCTGAAACATCTGAAATACCTTTGAAAAATCATAGAATCCAAATTTTCCTACAAAATCCCCATATATTTTCAGCTTAGCCTGAAAATAACAGGATTTTGTCTGAAAATCTGGAACATCTATGATTTTTCACGGGATTTCAGTGAGACGCGGAAGCTATGCCCAATTTTTGCTTGAAAAGGGGCGTGGCCTATTTTTCTGCAAGTCTGCCACGGTTTTTACGCAAGAAAACATGATTTCTAGTCTGAAAAATTTGAAATTTCCAAATTTTCAGCCTAAAAACCTGAAAATCCCCTTGGTCTAAATTTCTATTCTGAAATACCTGTGAAAAATCATAGAATCCAAATTTTCCTACAAAATCCCCATAGATTTTCAGCTTAGCCTTGAAAATTACAGGATTTTGTTTGAAAATCTGGAACCCCTATGATTTTTCACGGGATTTCAGTGGGACGCGGAAGCTATGCCCAAATTTTGCTTGAAAAGGGCGTGGCCTATTTTTCTGCAATCCTGGCACACTTTTCCACCAAAACCTTCACCACCAATATTTTTTTTGTTATTTTTATTTGAATTGAAGAAAACAGGCTGGGTTTGCTTTTTTTTATTTGATTGATTCTATCATTTGCTTATGTTTTTCTCTCTGCGTCTCTGATCACTCTGTATGTCTGACTCTCTCGCTCTCTCTCTTTGTGTGTTCCCAGAAGACACTCTCCACCTCATGTTCCTTTAAATTCAGTCGCCGATCAGTTTGGATGCTCCAAAACGAGCCGGCGAAGCTGGAAATGGTGGAAATGGACAGCAGAAACAGCGAAGTTTCGATTCGCGACGACCGCAATTGTTCAAAACACAATCTGTTGTTGAAAATGGATCATTGCAGAGAGGTGGATTAGGATTTTTGCCGGGCTTCAGGCCTGAAAATCTAGGCTTGACCTTTGTTATCCCCGCCGCAAAAATTCGCGAATTTTAGGGTCCTAACGCGAAAATTTATACCTTTGTTTAGTTGAAAAGCTGGATTTTTTCTGAAATACCTGTAAAAAATCATAGATTTTCCGAAATTTCCTACAAAATCCCTATATATTTTCAGCTTAGCCTGGAAATTACAGGATTTTGTCTGAAAATCTGGAAGCTCTATGATTTTTCACGGGATTTCAGTGGGACGCGGAAGCTATGCCCAAATTTTGCTTGAAAAGGGGCGTGGCCTATTTTTCTGCAATCCTGGCACGATTTTTCTGGAAGAAAACATGATTTCTTTTATGAAAAATCTGAAATTTTCAAATTTTCAGCCTAAAAATCTGAAATTCTGAAATACCTTTGAAAAATCATAAATCCCGAAATTTCCTACAAAATCCCCTTTAATTTTCAGCTTAGCTTGAAAATTTCAGGATTTTGTCTGAAAATCTGGAACATCTATGATTTTTCACGGGATTTCAGTGAGACGCGGAAGCTATGCCCAAATTTTGCTTGAAAAATGGGCACAGTCTAATTTTCAGTGAGAAATTCGTTTCCAAGAAATTGTACGTGTCAAATATTTTATATCTTTTGCGGGTCTCGTTAATTTTTGCTAAATTGAATTTTCCCTCTGGTTCGTTTTATCAAATAAAAAACGATTTGGCGCCAATTTTCTACCTACAGTATCATTAGTTTTGGCGCCAACATCTGGGAATTTTTTCTGGCCAAAAATTTGATGAAATATCAAAAGTTTTAAGTCAAAAAATCCTATAAATTTCTGAAATACCTGTGAAAAATCATAGATCTCAAATTTTCCTACAAAATCCTCATATATTTTCAGCTTAGCATGAAAATTACGGGATTTTGTCTGAAAATTTGGAACATCTATGATTTTTCACGGGATTTCAGTGGGACGCGGAAGCTATGCCCAAATTTTTGAATTTTTTTAAACAACAACAAAAAATCAGCCTGTTTTTTCATTCAAAAATAATTTTCAAGCGAGCGACCACTTTTTTTACGCGCGACTTTTTTTTACAGGCGAAACTCGCGACTCGCCGTCGCTCGGCCGACAAATGAATAGCAACGCGTCGCCTTCCACGTCATCACAATCGCTGGAGCGAAGTTTCTCCAACTCGCCGCAAGAAGCCATCACGTCACTTTGTTTTATTCACTCGTTTTCGAAGAGGAATGGTAGGTTTTTGGCTGGAATAGTCAAATTTTAAGCTGAAATTCTGAAATGCCTTTGAACAATCATAGAATCCAAATTTTCCTACAAAATCCTCATATATTTTCAGCTTAGCCTGAAAATTACAGGATTTTGTCTGAAAATCTGGAACATCTATGATTTTTCACGGGATTTCAGTGGGACGCGGAAGCTATGCCTAAATTTTGCTTGAAAAGGGGCGTGGCCTATTTTTCTGCAAGTCTGGCACGAAAAATAGCCGTTTTCCATATGAAACTATAGATTTTCAGCTGAATTTTTCGAATTTTGCAGACCCGAAAACCGCTCCTTGCCTCTGGGTAGGCACAACTGCCGGCACAAGTTTGGCACTTGAATTTGATTCTGCCCGAAGATCGCTTCACATCAACAGTCGTAGTTGCACCATCAGGTATTTTTTTTTGGCTGAAAATTTGACTGAAAATTTAACTGAAAATTTCCACCTGGAAATCCAGCATTTTTCGTGTGACTCTATCATTTTTCTATCACTTTTTTTTTCAATTTTTCACCAAAAATTTTCGAATTTTCAGCACCCGAAGAAAGTAAGTTTTGTATTGTATCAATTATTTCATTTCATTTTTTCCTAAAAAACCTGTTTTTTTTTGAGTTGCTTTAACTCTTTTTTGATGTGTTTTTGCGGGGGCGGGGCTTAATTTTAATGTGGATTTTTTTTTTGAAAATCCGGGTCTTTTTGAGTTTGTCGTTTGCGTGGAAAATATTGCCAGACGGGTAGGTTTTGAAGGAGCATTTACTCATATTAATATTCTCCAGAATCTAATTTTTTTTGCTAGCAAAAATGAATTTTAGACATAGATTTGAAGATTTTAGGGTTCCTTTAGAATTTTTTTTTTGATTTTGCATGGGAAATTTTGAATAGAACTTTAGAAGATTTTGAATTTTCTACATATTTTCAAAGAAAACTTGTTTTTGGCGCCAAAATCACCTGCCACGTGGCATGAATTTTTCAGAAAAATTCAAAAATTATTTTTGAAAATTTTTAAATTCATCATTTTGGCGCCAATTTTTTCCCACGTGGCATACGTTTTTCTGAAATTTCAAAATTTTTGTGCCAAACTTCATGAATGGTTTTCAAAAAATTTGAAAATTCAATTTTTTTGGCGCGAAAACATTTTCAGCACAATTTCAGAGAAAACTTCTAAAATTAGAACATTTTCAGAAAGTCTGAGTTCTGAAACTTAGCCTAACTCCAAAAAAAATTCAAAATTCATAATTCAAGTTCTGAAATACCTGCGAAAAATCATAGAACCCAAATTTTCTTACAAAATCCTCATATATTTTCAGCTTAGCTTGAAAATTACAGGATTTTGTCTGAAAATCTGAAACATCTATGATTTTTCACGGGATTTCAGTGAGACGCGGAAGCTATGCCCAAATTTTGCTTGAAAAGGGGCGTGGCTTGATTTTCGCCCCCTAGGCTCCGCCCACTTTTCCGTGCCCCCCGAATTCCCTGATTTTGCATGGTGTTGTTTTTTTCCCCGATTGTTTTGTGATGTTTTTTCCCCACTTCTGAAAAATTTGGGATTTTGTACAGTAGTTTTTTTTTTGATTTTTGGGGATTTCTTAGGTCTCACAGCGAAAAATTCTACAGTATCTAAGATTGTTTGCAGGTACCGTAGTCAAAATGAAGGGACAAGTTTTGTATCAATGTTTCATGGATTCGGCATTTTGCATTTTGTCGGCTGCTTGCGAGAATTATAAGGAGAGAGAGTCGGCGCAAAGTCCAGAGCGATCGGTTATTAATCGGGTTGGTTTTGGCTGAAAATTTCAGATTTTTGGCTGAAAATTTGATGAAAAATGGTCTAGAACCAAGAATTTCAGAAAATTTCGACTGAAAATTGTTTCCCTATTTTTTTACGTTTCAAAAATTTTACTAAGGCTTTTCAGTTTTTGATCTTTTTTGAGTTTGAACAACATCAATAAATATAAAATTTGGCGCCAAATTTGGACCTACAGTAGTACCTACAGTAGTACAAATTCGAAAATCTTATTGCAGGTTTCAACAAAAGCGAGTCTAGCTCCACAATATTCGAGTTCCATCGACGTAAACGAGGATGTGATGCAAATTCTGATAGTTGTCGCTGAAAATGAGGTAAAAGTGGTGGCGCTACCCACTTTCAGCCAACTTTTCACCCATAAATGTGAGGATATACCGCTAGTTAAGGTAAGTTGGACGAAATTTTTAGGTTTCCATGCGAAAATTTTAAAAATGGTTTTTTTAGGAGGTTTTAGGGAGTGAGTAATTTTTTTTCTTGTCGAAAAAATATGGATTTGTGGGTGTGAATTTGGAATTTTGAAACAAAATTACCCGGAAAAAATACGCTTCAAATTTTTGATTAATTTTTGACCGGATTTTTTGAAATTTGATACTGCTTTTCTCCATCACAATTTTGAATATTTAAAAACAATTTCTTTTAAATTTAGCCTAACTCTGAAATTCTGAAATACCTGCGAAAAATCATAGATTCCAAATTTTCCTACAAAATCCCCATTAATTTTCAGTTTTGCCTGAAAATTACAGGATTTTGTCTGAAAATCTGGAAAATCTATGATTTTTCACGGGATTTCAGTGGGACGCGGAAGCTATGCCCAAATTTTGCTTGAAAATGGGCGTGGCCTATTTTTCTGCAAGTCTGGCACGCTTTTTCTGACAAAGTCAGTTTTTCACGCTGAGAAATATCCTGTTTTTAGTTTTTGATGAACGACTCTCTAAAGAGCTCAAAAATGAGCAATTTTCGAAAAATCGCGTTTTTGAGAGCCCGTAACTCATGTTAAAGATGATTTTATGGTTGATTTACCAAAGTCAAAAGTTTTTACACAAAATTTGTGACGTTTGGTAAATCGACCCTAAAAATCATCTCTAACATGAGTTATGGCATCTCAAAAACGCGAATTTCAGGAAATTCTCAAGTTTTGTGCTCTTTAGAGAGTCGTTCATCAAAAACTCAAGCCAGAATGTTTTTCAGCGTGAAAAACTGACCTTGTCAGAAAAACCGTGCCAGGATTGCAGAAAAATAGGCCACGCCCTTTTCAAGCAAAATTCGGGCATAGCTTCCGCGTCCCACTGAAATCCCGTGAAAAATCATAGATGTTCCAGATTTTCAGACAAAATCCTGTATATTTTCAGGCTAAGCTTGAAAATATATGGGGATTTTGTAGGAAACTTTGGATTCTATAATTTTTCACGGGATTTCAGTGGGACGCGGAAGCTATGCCCAAATTTTGCTTGAAAAGGGGCGTGGCTTCATTTTTATGCAATCCTGGCACGGTTTTTCTGAGCCAAAAATTGATTTTTTTGCAGGCTTACGCCACCCACGTTCGCGGTCATCCAGTTCTAATGTGCCTTTCTGCTGCCGGTCAAATTGTCTGTCTATCATTGCCTTCACTTCGTCCACTTCACACTTCCTCACTTTTACCGCATTCGGTTGAGTTTGATGATCCGTGAGTTTTTTGAGAATGCTGAAAATTTTGACTAAAAATATGGATTTTTCAGTTTTGTGCTGAAAATTCTGGAATTTTACTGGAAATTTTACTGGAATTTTTAGCTCAAAAATCAAAAAAAAATCATTGAAAGATGCAAATTTAACATAGTTTTCAGCTATTCCTAAAGCTTTTCAGATTTTTATCTGAAAATCAGCTTTAACCCTCAATTCCCTTGATTTTCAGCTCGAAAATCGAGATTTTGACTGAAATTCAGGTTTTATTTTGAAAAGCGAAAAATTAAAATTTGCAGTTTTTCAGCCAAAAATTGACTGAAAAACTGAAAACTTGATTAAATTTAAAAAATTTCTGTCGGAAAAAAAATAATTAAAAAAAATTTTTTTTTAATTTTTTTCGACTGGAATTACTTGAAATTTTAGTTCAAAAATAAAAAAAAATAATAAAATCTGAAATTTTTTGTTAAAAATTGTTTTTTAAAATTTTTTTCGACTGGAATTTTTAGCTCAAAAACAAAAAAAAATCATTCCAAGCTGAAATTTTAGTGGAAATTCTGAAAATCTGAAATTTCCTCAATTTTCAGCTCAGAAATCTATATTTTGTCTGAAATTCAGCTAAAAACTAATAAAATTTGAAATTTCTTCCGAAAAAAATGGAATTTTCTCACGTGTCACGTGAAAATTCTAAAAATTTGATCATTTCGAAATTTTCGAAAATGATGAATTTCATCTTTTCCCCATTTATGGATTGTTTGGGTGGTTGTTCCAGAATCGTCCAAAAAACTGCGTTTTCCGATCATGGTTTGGGTGTCTACATGGCGTCGCCAAGTGAGGTACAGTACCTACAGTACCCCGATCTACAGTACTCCATTTCTACCGTATTTTTTTGCAGATGGAAAAATATACAATTTGTCAAGAACTCGCTGACCAAACTCAAGATTCGCTTGGCGAATTATTTGTCCCCTGCGAAATGCCTGAACCACCCAAAAACAACTCGTTTTTTGAAGGGAGTTTCGTCGATTTTCGGTGGCACTCCGAGACAGGATTCGACTGATATTGATGTGATTTGTGAGTTTTTGAGCTGAAAATTAGGAAATTTGGAGCATTTTGAGCTGAAAATCGTGAAATTTGGAGAATTTTGAGCTGAAAATCATGAAATTTGGAGAATTTTGAGCTGAAAATCGTGAAATTTGAAGAATTTTGAGCTGAAAATCGTGAAATTCGGAGCATTTTGAGCTGAAAATCATGAAATTTGGAGCATTTTGAGCTGAAAATCGTGAAATTGAGCTCCGCCCCTTTTTTGCATGTCTGGCACAGTTTTTTTCCTTCAAAAAAAATTTTGAGCTGAACACAAAAACTGTGCCGCAAAATTGCAAAAAAATAAATCATATGAAATCTAGGCTCCGCCCATTTTCGGCAAGCTTGGCACAGTTTTGAGCAGAAACTTTGAGCTCCGCCCCTTTTTTGCAAGTCTGGCACAGTTTTTTCCATCAAAAATAATGTTGAATTACAAAAACTGTGCCGCAAAATTGCAAAAAATGAATCACATTTTTTTTCCAGTATCCGAACCTCCCAAAGATCCCAAAAACCCGTCGGCCTCAAGTTCAACAGTCGGCGGAATGCGAAGTGTCGCACGAACAATTCCGGGACCATCAATGTCGATGGATCGAGCACATGCTGGAAGTATTTCAGCCGGACAGGCAGCTCAAATGGCTATGCAGGTGAGCCGGCGGTTCCAATGAGACCGAATAAGCCTAGTCTTAGATTTTAGGCCAAGCCCGAAAAGCCTAATCCTAATATTTTTGCAGAATCTCAACGAGAGAACTGAAAAATTGAACGCAACCGTGGACGCGACCGAAAATCTCAAAAACTCGGCCATGAATTTGACATCGCGAACCGGAAAATTGGTGGAAAAATATGAGAAGAAGAAGTGGTATAATTTCTAGAGAGATTACTGTATATTTAAAGGGACATGCGCTGTTTTTTACCCTATATTTTTCAATTTCGTCTTTTGTGTCTAGAGAAAATCCAAAAATATTTAAGTAACCGGTAGATGTGTTTTTTTAAATGATAATTCTAATTATATTCGAATTTTATATTTATATTTAATTAATTAATTGATTTTTTATTGTGTGAAGCAAATTTCAGAGTTCTAATGAATTGGAAAAAAGTTTTTCGGGCTCAAAATTGGTTGAAAATTAAGCTATGATGATTTTTCAGCTGAAAATAGATTGAAAATTTGAATTATTGGTCCCGAAAAGATCGAAAGTACAGCTCCGATTTGGCCAAAAAAAAGAAAAAAATCATTTTCGAAATGAAAACACGAAACGCGCCCACAATGCACACGAAACACGTCAATCCCGTAAAGGTTGACGCGTTTTGTGTGCATTCATTTTTTTTTCAATTTTTCAAGTTTCACGACAAGTTTCAGTTGTTTTTTGCATAATTATAGCTAAAATTAATTAATTTTTTTATTTTTTAGTTTGTGAAACAAATTTGAGAATTCTATATATGTAAATTTGAACAGAAAATGAGGTTTTTAGTGACGGCGATGACGTGGATTCTGAGCGGAAGAAGAATCTGCAAAATTTTCAGAGTTTTTGACAGGGAAATTGGGGGATTTTTGAAGGGAAATTTGTGATTTTTCACTTTTTCAGCTCGAAACTTGCAATTTTGAGGGGAGAATTGAGATTTTCGGGGAAAATTAGGTTTTTTCGCGCGAAAAAATTCGCAGGGGCAAATTTCTTGATCTACACTAGGTAAAACGTGGAAAAAGTCATACGCAGACGATTTTTGCAACCTTTACGCTGTCTCTGCGTCTCTCCACCTTGCCGAATCTCTCCTCTCAACTCATTCTCCAAATACTGTCTGCGTCTCTGCGCCTCCAATTGTCTCTCGATGTCTGGCAGAATAGCGTCGGGAAGTTCGACGTTTCGATCGTTTCCCGACTTTGATTCGTAGATATAGGTGATTTTGCCGGTTGTCGGATCGGTCCACGGTCTGTAGGTTCGACCGGCCCGATCGCGGACTATGATTTGAGGCTTGACACGGGCCAAACGGACTGGGCTGCAAATTTGAGAGGCGGTTAGAATGAGCCTAGGTTAGGCCTAAGCCTAGAAAAGCCCGTTACCCGGCCGAATTAATCGGATTCCCGTAAACATCAACATTTCGATATTTTTCATCATCATCATCCGCATTTTTCGGCACAAAAATCTCGCCATCATCCTCGATTTTTGGCACCAAATTTTGAGCTGATTGGTCTGGAAGGGGCCGGGCCGAATCGGGCTTTCGAACTCCAGAAGGCCAGTAATATCCTGGAAAATTAGAGATGTTTTTTTCACTACGGGAAAAAATACCTGGCTGATTTTGTGGATATTGATAGGAACCTTGTCGAAGATCGGATGGTTCAGCTTGACCTTCTGAAGCTCCTGAACTTCCTGGATACACTTGAGATCCATATCTAGGGGTCTGATCTTCCATCTTGACCTTCTGATCCTGGATATCTTGAATCAAGACTTCCAGCTTGACCTTCGGAAGCTCCTGAACTTCCTGGATACACTTGTGATCCATATCTGGGGTCTGATCTTCCAGCTTGACCTTCGGAACCTGGATATCTTGAATCAGAACTTCCATCTTGACCTTCGGAAGTTCCTGGATACACTTGAGATCCATATCTGGGGTCTGATCTTCCAGGTTGACCTTCTGAGCCTGGATATCTTGAATCAGGACTTCCAGCTGAGCCTGGATAGGCCCCAGCTTGACCTTCGGATGCTCCTGATCTTCCTGGGTACACTTGTGATCCATATCTGGGGTCTGATCTTCCATCTTGACCTTCGGAAGCTTCTGAAAATCCTGGATACACCTGAGATCCATATCTGGGGTCTGATCTTCCATCTTGACCTTCGGAACTACCAGCTGAGCCTGGATAGGCCCCAGCTTGACCTTCGGAAGCTCCTGATCTTTCTGGGTATACTTGAGATCCATATCTGGGGTCTGATCTTCCAGCTTGACCTTCTGAACTACCAGCTGAACCTGGATAAGCCCCAGCTTGACCTTCGGAAGCTCCTGATCTTCCAGGGTGAACTTGCGATCCATATCTAGGATCAGAGCTTCCAGCTTGACCTTCGGAAGCTCCTGGATACACTTGAGATCCATATCTGGGGTCTGATTTTCCAGCTTGACCTTCAGAAGCTCCTGATCTTCCAGGGTGAACTTGCGATCCATATCTCGGATCTGATCTTCCACCTTGACCTTCAATTCTCCCTGAACTTCCATCTCGATCTTCTGAACGATATCGTGGATCATAATTTCTTGCTTGATCTTTCGAAACTCGTCGCTGATCTTCAGATTGTCCAGCTTGACCTTCGGAACCTGGATATCTGGAATCTGATCTTCCAGCTTGACCTTCCGACTGATATCCAGGATACGTTCCAGTTTGAACTTCAACTCGTCCTGAAGTTCCATCATCGGAACCATATCTAACCTCAGGAACATCATCTCGATCTTCAGATTGTCCAGCCTGACCTTCAGAGCTAGGATAATATCTTCCAGCCTGACCTTCAGATCTTCCAGGCGCCCAGGAATTCGAATCCGATGCTGGTCCATATCCAACTCCAGGCTGAACATCAGGCCTGGCCCGATTTTGCGAAGCCCGAAGTTCGTACTGTCGTCGCAGCCAATCTGCATAGTCTGGATCGCCACGTGATGGAACTGGATCGTAGGTCTGCAAAAAACTGGGCTTTCAGGGCCGAGCTAAGGCTTTCAGGCTTCTACTGGGCTTTTTCAGGCTTCTTACCTGGAATGGGATGCGTCTACCGTAAGAATCGTAGGCTGGACGTTCGGAATCGAAATGATGACCGGAAGGACGACCGTATTGCTGGAAAATTTTTGAATTCTGCGAATTTTGGCGCGAAAATTTTCAGGCGGGAAATTTGAAAAATTCAAATTTTTAATTTTTTTTCCAGATTTTTTATGATTTTCAGTGTGAAAACTGATTTTTTTCAAATTTTTTCAAATTCCCGCCCAAAAAAATTTTTTGGCGCGAAAACTTTCAGGCGGGAAATGTGAAAAATTCAAATTTTTAATTTTTTTTAGAAGATTTTTCATGATTTTCAGTGGGAAAACTGATTTTTTTCAAAAATTTTGAAATTTTTTGAATTTGCGAATTTTGGCGCGAAAATTTTCAGGCGGGAAATGTGGAAAAATTCAAATTTTTAAGTGTGAAAACCGATTTTTTTTTCAAAATTTTTGAAATTTGTGGCCGAAAATTTCAAATTTTTCAAATTCCCGCCCGCCCGCCCAAAAAAACTCACATCATAATACGGGAAGCTCTTAATATGAGCAATCCGTTGTTGTTCATGTGGATCGTTATAAGTTTGCAAATCGGCATCCTTCAAAAATCAATCGATAATTTTCCACAGCTACAGTAACCCGTCGAAAAAAAAAACGCACAAAGTTGACAAAGTTGAGAGAAAAAGCGTTTATTTTACTTATTAAAAGACAAAAAAGAATTTTGGCGCGAAATTTGAAAATTCAAATTCAAATTTTCTCAAATAGGCATATCTAAATGAAGGACATTTTTAGGCACAACAACATTTAAAATTAAAAATTCGAAATTTTTCGGGGATAAAATGAAATGAATGAAAAACTTGGTAAAATTGCGATAATAATCGATATCTACAAAACTTTGGGGCTTTTGAGGCGGCGGGAAATTTGAAAATTTAAATTTTTCCCTGCGCGAGAACCCCAAATTTTCAGCCAAAATCAGATTTTGTCTGAAATTGACTGAAATTTCGCGGTTCAGGCGGGATTTTCAGATATTATTTTAAAATTTTTCGAAAAAAATTGGCGATAGATTTCGTGCGAGAACCCCAAATTTTCAGCCAAAATCAGATTTTGTCTGAAATTGACTGAAATTTTGCGGTTCAGGCGGGATTATTATTTTGAAATTTGAAAAAAAAATTGACGATAGATTTCCCTGTGCGAGAACCCCAAATTTTCAGCCAAAATCAGATTTTGTCTGAAATTGACTGAAATTTTGCGGTTCAGGCGGGATTTTCAGATATTATTTTGAAATTTTTCGAAAAAAAAATTGGCGATAGATTTCCCTGTGCGAGAACCCCAAATTTTCAGCCAAAATCAGATTTTCTCTGAAATTGACTGAAATTTTGCGGTTCAGGCGTATTTCAGCTGTAATTTTCAGATTTTTCTCAACTTCTCCCAGTCTAGTTTAAGATTAGGAATTATCTGAAAAATTGCACCATTTTTGATGAATTTTCAGATTTTCCAGGCTTGGCTGGAAAAGTTGGGGGAAAATCTGGAATTTTCAGAAAAACTTTAGGATTTTCTAGAAAACTTCAGACTTTTCAGAAAAATCTCTTTTTCTCAAATTTCCCGCTCAAAAAAGCCGCTAAAAACAGGACAATGTGTGGAATTCAGGTCTATTACAAAATTAAAAATTGGAATTTACAGGGAAGGACATTTCAAAAAAGCAGCATTTCGCTCCTAGAAAAAAACAAATATGACAAAATTTCAGGCTAAATAGAAACAAATCCAGATTTTCTCTGGAATTTTCAGACATTTTAAGCTCTTCTATTATTATTTGGCTGGTGCAATGCTAATTTTGGGTGCGTTTGGGTGTGATATTGGTGATAATAGGTGGGTTGATGGTGTGGGGCTTGGCCACCTGGTGCACGTACTTCTCCAGATGGTTGCACCACGTTTTGTGGTCGTTGTTGGTGTTGTTGGGGCAATTGATGCGATCTTTTCTTCAGAAGCCAAACTTTTGATGAAAATTCAGCTGGCTCATTGACCTGGAAATGAGGTTTTTGAAAAAAAAAATGGCGATAGATTTCCCTGTGCGAGAACCCCAAAATTTCAGCCAAAATCAGTTTTTCTCTGAAATTGACTGAAATTTTGCGGTTCAGGCGGGATTTTCAATTGTTTTTTTCGAAAAAAATTGGCGATAGGTTTCCCTGTGCGAGAACCCCAAATTTTCAGTCAAAATCAGAAATTGTCTGAAATTTTGCGGTTCAGGCGGGATTTTCAGATATTATTTTGAAATTTGAAAAAAAAATTGGCGATAGGTTTCCCTGTGCGAGAACCCCAAAATTTCAGTCAAAATCAGCTTTTCTCTGAAATTGACTGAAATTTTGCAGTTCAGGCGGGATTTTCAGATATTATTTTAAAATTTGAAAAAAAAATTGGCGATAGATTTCCCTGTGCGAGAACCCCAAAATTTCAGTCAAAATCAGTTTTTCTCTGAAATTGACTGAAATTTTGCGGTTCAGGCGGGATTTTCAGACTTTCAATGTAGAATTTCAGATATTTCCCAATCTTTTTCGGACAAATTTTAAATTAGCAATTATCTTGAAATTGCACCAGTTCTGGTGCAATTTCAAGATTTACAAACTTGGCCGGAAAACAAATTGGGAAAAATCTGAGATATCGTCTTTTTGGCGCCAAAATTTTGAACTCAAGATTTTGGCGCCAAATTCGGTCTCAAAATGCTCCATTTTTCGCGCCAAAAAACCAACCTCCACAAATTTCTCAGAGTTCGGTGAAATTCCTTGGAATTTCTTGTTTTGAACCTGAGCGTCACCGAAAAACGCGTCTTCCGATGATTGATTGACGAATTTGGCGATTCGATGGTGATGGAATCCCGAGAACATCACGATTACGCCATTGTTCACCTTGAACCCATTCAAATCTGCAAAAATCAGAAGGTTTAGGGTGGAAAATCAGTGGAACATCTGAAAATTTCATGATTTTTTGTCGAAAAACATCATTTTTCAGTCATTTTTTCGCAAAACCCCCACTCACGGAATTGGTTCTTGTGGATTTCTGCGATTTCTGCTCAAAACTCGGAATCCACCGCAAACTTCAATCACTTCGTGATGCAAACCAACGAACCATCCACAAATCTGGAAGAGAAAAAACACGTTTTTGGTGGCCTAGAAAACCAATTCGCACTTACTCTTCCATCCGATTTCACAAAAACGTGTCCAAAAGCCTCGTAGTGTCGAGAATGTCCGTATTTCGACCGGGTGATCCTGAAATTATCGATTTTCAGGGGGGAAAAATCAGTTTTTCAATAGAAAATCATGCATTAGATAGATTAAATCACACATTTTGTTAGATTTTGTGAAAAATTTTCAATCGATAAAATTACCCTGAATCGTCGGATTCGGAAGTTTTTGGTCCTGGACCTTCCCTGCAAATATTTTTTGAAAAAATTGGTTTCGCAAATAAAAATCCCGCTTTTTTTCAAATTTTTGGTGAGAAAACCCATTTTCCCACCAAAAACCCATTATTTTTTCGGATTTTTTTGAATTTGGCTCAAAATGCATCAAATTTCACGAAAAGTCAAAAAATGTCGAAAAAAAATTAGTTTTTCGAGTTTTTCAGCCAAAAATGATGACAAATCGATATTTTTGAAGCTTCTGGAGTGATTTCTGATGAAAATAAGCTTCGAGAATCCTATTTTGCTTTATTTTATGAATTTTTTTCGAAATTCATCAGAAAAATCAGCAAAACCTTCTGGAAAGTGAATTCCAAGGTCAATTTTAATCAGAAATTACTCCAGAAGCTTGAAAAATATCGATTTGTCATCATTTTTGACTGAAAAACTCGAAAAACTAATGTTTTTTCGACATTTTTTTACTTTTTCGTGAATTGATCTTTCGATGTTAAAAAAAACATTTTTTTCGTTCGTGAATCAGCCCTAATTTTCAAAATTTCGCGCCAAAAATCGCCCTACCAATATCCAATAAAAGCATTGTTCAATTGATCTCCTGGGAATCGCAAAAAGTCATCAGTCGTTCGTCCATCTCTCAATTGTCCGTCGAATCCAACAGTCGTCCAATAATCTTCGGCGATTTGTGATTCGGTTTTGCAACCGTATCTTTGTTGAAAGACTTGGGTCGAGTCGCGCTGGAAAAACTCGAGAAATGCGTCAGTGAAGAGTTTGGGTTGGCGTGTTTTTTTTTTTAATGTTCTTGGGACAAGCTTTCGTTGACGTATTTTTGGTAGCTAAAACACTTTCTGTAGCTACGGAAAATGCGTCAACAAGCTTTGCTGACGTGTTTTCTGAAGTGACCGCAAAAAATCTCCCAAATCTAAAATTTCTTGAATTTCCAGACCTGTTCTTATGACGTGCAAATATATTTAGAAATGCCGTTTTTTCAATTTTCTGATAAAATTATTATTATCTACTTAAAAAGTGACCTTTCTATTTCGCCACATTTAATTATGAAATTTATTTCGAAAGCAAACTTTGGAATTAAGGATTTTAATGAAATATATGAGATTTTCCAATAGATTTTGAACTGTAAATCTCAACTTCTAATATATAAGTTATGACGTGGCAAAGTTGGAAAATCGTGACTTTATAAGCTTATAAAAACCTTCAGCTGGTTACATCGAAATTTTCCAACTTTGCCACGTCATAACTTATATTAGGAGTTGATTTCGAGATTTGCAATTTTGAACAATTAGATTCTTTTCTGATCAGTGCTTAAAATTACTAGAAACCCCTAAATTTCAGTCAAAATCAGTTTTTCTCTGAAATTGGCTGAAATTTTGCGGTTCAGGAGGAATTTTCAATTGTTTTTTTTTTCGAAAAAAAATTGGCGATAGATTCCCCTGTGCGAGAACCCCAAAATTTCAGTCAAAATCAGAATTTTTCTGAAATTGGCTGAAATTTTGCGGTTCAGGCGGGATTTTCAGACTTTCAATGTAGAATTTTAGATATTTCCCAATCAGACAAATTTTAAATTAGCAATAATCTTGAAATTGCACCAGTCTCTCTGGCCAGTTGTGGTGCAATTTCAAGATTTACAAAATTAGAAAACTTATTTTATTTTAAAAGTTCCTCCTATTGTGCAGAAAATTTTTGCACTTTTAATCAAATTTTCAATTTCTCCTTGTTTTTTGCTTCCCCAGGAGGTGAAAATTCGATTTTTGAAACAAAACGTGACAAATCAAATTTCCCCCAATGTTTTTTTTTCTTGTGATTTTTCGCCTTGCCCGCCCCAAAAAAACGACTCACCCCACGAGCTTCGGCATATCGATTTTTGCAATTTCTCGCCGCCTCAATTGTGCCTAATATGAGCAATGCTGCCAGTAGAAACCGCATTTTTGTCTGCCGCTAGAAAATGAATAAAAAATGTGTGTGTGTGTGTGTGAGAAAATAGAATAAAACGAAAATTTTTGAAACACCCGAAAAAATGGGCGTGTCTTGGCTCGAAAAGGGGCGGAGCTTGTTGTGAGTGAAAAATTTGAAAATTGTAAAAAATGTGGCGGACCGAAAAAAAACTGATAATTTTTTCCCTCGATTTTTTTATCAGCGAAAAATTGGAAGAAGGGTGTGGTAAAAATAGAATTTTTAATGAATAGGATGTATCTAGTTTGGCGCCAAAAAAATCTACAATTCATTTTTGGCGCCAAATTCTTAAATTCAAAAACTGTATGAACTTTGGAGTTTTAAGCCGATTATTTGTAACAAAAGTGACAGAATTCTTTGATGAAGCTGACAATTTTGATAAGAAAAATATGCGTCAGCAGAACGTATGTTGACGTGTTTTTGGATGAAATTTTCAGACAGCGGTGAATTTGGGCATAGCTTCCGCTTCCTTCTGAAAATGGTTGAAAATTTGAGTTTAGTCGAATTTTCAGACATTCCCAGAGTTTCGGCTCAAAGCTACACGGGGAAACTAAGATTTTGGTTGAAAACCCGAATTTCAGCCAAAATTTGGGCATAGCTTCCGCGTCCTTCTGAAAATGGCTGAAAATTTGAGTTTCGCTCAAGTTTTCAGACATTTTCAGAGTTTCGGCTCAAAGTTACACGGGGAAACTAAGATTTTGGCTGAAAATAAGCTTTTCAGCCAAAATTTGGGCATAGCTTCCGCGTCCTTCTGAAAATGGATGAAAATTTGAGTTTGATTCAAGTTTTCAGATATTTTCAGAGTTTCGGTTCAAAGTTACAAGGGGAAACTAAGATTTCGGTAGAAAATCCGAATTTCAGCCAAAAATTGGGCATAGCTTCCGCATACTTCTCAAAATGGCTGAAAATTTGAATTTCGCTCAAGTTTTCAGACATTTTCAGAGTTTCAGCTCAAAGTTATACGGGGAAACTAAGATTTTCGTTGAAAATCCGATTTTCAGCCAAAATTTGGGCATAGCTTCCGCGTCCTTCTGAAAATGGCTGAAAATTCGAGTTTAGCTCAAGTTTTCAGACATTTTCAGAGTTTCGGCTCAAATTTACACGGAGAAATTAAGATTTTCGTTGAAAATCCGATTTTCAGCCAAAATTTGGGCATAGCTTTCGCGTCCTTCTGAAAATGGCTGAAAATTTGAGTTTGACGCAAGTTTTCAGACATTTTCAGAATTTCGGCTCAAACTTACACAGAGAAACTTAGATTTTGGTTGAAAATCGGAATTTCAGCCAAAATTTGGGCATAGCTTCCGCGTCCTTCTGAAAATGGCTGAAAATTTGAGTTTAGTCGAATTTTCAGACATTTTCAGAGTTTTCGATTGAAACTACAAGGCTCAACCAGATTTTTGGCTGAAAAACTAATTTTCAGCCAAAAATCTGGTTCCCTAGCAAAAAATCCATGAAAATTCAAGAATTTCCCATAGAACATCTGGAATTTTCAAAAAAATCTGGAAATTGTCACGATTTTTAATGTATCCCCCACAAAAATCGCAACAATTTCCAGATGTTTTTCTCCTGCTCATAAATCTTTCCACATCCAAAAGCACTAAATAATGTCGTTTTTCTGCCGTTCGCAATAAAAATAACGGGAAAAAACATCTTCTTTTTTCTCTTTCTTTCTCAAAATTACTCACCAGAAGCTGCTGGGAACCTCGGTTTTTTCTATACATACTTATTGTAAATAAAAAGAAGTACAAATGGGAGCAGCTAATAATCATAAAATGAGCAATTCTCTCAGGTTTTATGAGCGTTTTTTATGGAGATTGTATGAGAAACTGAACAATTTTGTACTTTTTTTTGAATAGGTTTGGGAAAATGGGTTTTTTTGTTGACAATTTCAAAAATTGCCCAGATTTTTAGTTAAAATACAACTTCCCGATGAAAATTCGGGCATAGCTTCAGCGTCCTTCTGAAAATGGCTGAAAATTTGAGCTAAGGTCAGATTTTCAGTCATTTTCAGAGGTACAAGCTTAAGTTTTACAAAAATCATGTATTTTTCCACTGAAAATCAAATTTTAGCTGACTACTGGGTTCGTACTTCTGAAAATGTCTGAAAATTTGAGCTAAGGTCAGATTTTCAGACATTTTCAGGGGCACTAGCTTTAACTTTAGAAAAATCCTATATTTCTCCACTGAAAATCAAATTTCAGCTGAAAACTGAGTTCGTACTTCTAGAAATGTCTGAAAATCTGATTGTTGGTCAGACTTTCAGACATTTTCAAAGGTACAAGCTTAAGTTTTTCAAAAATCTTATATTTTACCACTGAAAACCATATTTTAGCTGGAAGCTGGGTTCGTACTTCTAAAAATGTCTGAAAATTTGAGCTAAGGTCAGATTTTCAGACATTTTCAGGGGCACTAGCTTTAGTTTTACAAAAATCCTATATTTTTGCACTGAAAATCAAATTTCAGCTGAAACTTGGGTTCGTACTTCTAAAAATGTCTGAAAATTTGAGCTAAGCTCAGATTTTCAGACATTTTCAAAGGCACAAGCTTTAGTTTTTCAAAAATCTTATATTTTTCACTGAAAATCAAATTTCAGCTGAAAACTGGGTTCGTACTTCTAAAAATGTCTGAAAATTTGAGCAAAGGTCAGATTTTCAGACATTTTCAGAGGTACAAGCTTTCGTTTTACGAAAATCATGTATTTTTCTACTTGAAATCTTATTTCAGCAGAAAATTGGTTTCAAACTTCTAAAAATGTCTGAAAATTTGAGCTAAGGTCAGATTTTCAGACATTTTCAGAGGCACTAGCTTAAGTTTTACAAAAATCATGTATTTTTGCACTGAAAATGATATTTTAGCTGACTACTGGGTTCGTACTTCTAAAAATGGTTGAAAATCTTGAGCTAAGGTCAGATTTTCAGACATTTTCAAAGGCACAAGCTTAAGTTTTACAAAAATCCTATATTTTTCCACTGAAAATCAAATTTCAGCAGAAAATTGGTTTCAAACTTCTAAAAATGTCTGAAAATTTGAGAAAAGGTCAAATTTTCAGACATTTTCAGAGGAACAAGCTCAAGTTTTACAAAAATCATGTATTTTTCCACTGAAAATCAAATTTCAGCTGAAAACTGGGTTCGTACTTCTGAAAATTTCTGAAAATTTGAGCTAAGGTCAGATTTTCAGACATTTTCAGAGGTACAAGCTTTAAGTTTTACGAAAATCATGTATTTTTCCACTGAAAATCAAATTTCAGCAGAAAATTGGTTTCGAACTTCTAAAAATGTCTGAAAATTTGAGCAAAGGTCAGATTTTCAGACATTTTCAGAGGTACTAGCTTTAGTTTTACAAAAATCCTATATTTTTGCACTGAAAATCAAATTTTAGCTGAAAACTGGGTTCGTACTTCTAAAAATGTCTGAAAATTTGTGCAAAGGTCAGATTTTCAGACATTTTCAGAGGTAAAAGCTTAAGTTTTACAAACATCATGTATTTTTCCACTGAAAATCAAATTTCAGCTGAAAACTGGGTTCGTACTTCTGAAAAATGGCTGAAAATTTGAGCTAAGCTCAGATTTTCAGACATTTTCAGATGTTCTTCAAAAATTTTCAACTGGAAGTCACGTTTCCAGTTGAAAATGCTAAAATTTGATTTTTAGTCAGATTTTCACCAGAACAGCTGAGAAAACGTGAATTTTCAAAAGAAAATATACATTTCTTCAGTAATCCCATGCAAAAATCAAAGTTTCAGCGGCAGAAGCGAAAACTTCCGCATATCGCGAAGCTCAAAAATCTCAAATTTCATGCACAAGTTCATCTCAAGCTGGGAACACTTGTCACCTATCTAATGTCTGACCGGAAATCAATCTATCTGTTTCTGTTGCTGCTCATTATTTTATTCGTGTCTCCAAAAATTATATACGAATTACACAAAGATTTTTCATCTCAAGCACACATGACATGCGAATTTTTCGCTATAATAAAATAATATAAAAACAATTGGGGTCGTTGTTGCACTTTTTTCAAAACAGAAATTGGCTGAAATTTCAGGCCGAACGAACTTGATGAAAAAAAATGTGTGCTAATTGTGTTTAGAGAGCAAAAGAGAATTGAGCACAGCAAAAAAAAAATAATAAAACAAACACAGCAATTTTTGGGCTTCATTTCTCCCCTTACTGATAAAAAATTCGCGAAAAAACTGCGTTTGACAGCGATTTTTATCAGAAGAAATAGAAAACTACAATTCTTAGGCTTACCGCCTTTTATATAGAAAAATGAGTAAGGTGCATTTTACGGGTTGGGAATTTTTGACAATTTAGGCCGATTTTTGAAATTGACTGACAGTTTGGTGATGGTTGAAAAGTGGAAAATGGAAAAAACGAAAAAAAATAAAAATATTTTTTCGACGCGAGGGTACTGTGACGCACAATTGCAGAATCTGTGCAAACACGCGCATGCGGGAATTTGAATTTATTTTATTTATTTTTCATTTTTTGTTTATTTACTAGTTTTCACCAATTAAAAAATGAAGAACAAAGATAGGGAAAACAACGATAAGCAGTAGTCAAATGTACTTGTTAGAACCGAGTGAAAAATGCGAAAAATGGGGCCGTTGGGAGCATTTTTTTGGTGTGTTTTGTTTGAAAAATGATTTATTTCGTGGAACAGAAAGTTTTTTCGCGACCAAAAAACTTTAGTTTTCTGAAACGAAGATTTGCTGGATTTTCCAAATATTGCCGTCCTAAAAAATTCATTTTTTTTCAAAAAAAAACAGGAAAAACTTACAAAAATCGCCTCAACTTGAAAATCCAGCGTTTTCGATAAATTCTCGGCAAAAATTCCAAAAATTCGAAAAACCAAATGGTCCGAAGACTCTGAAATCACCGAAGTTTTCATATTTTCCGGCTTCTTGGGCTGGATTTTTTGCAAAAATTCGAAAAACGTTTGAAAATTCAGAGCTTCTTCGGGAATTTCATCAATGATTGCGGAAAAATTCGGGGAAAAGCGGGATTTCAGGGGATACGCGTGGAAAATTCTGGAAAAAGGGAGATTTTTTTTTCGAAGCCTTCTAGAAGCCTCTCACGTCTCATTTAAAAGCTGCTCAAAAATGTGCTCATCGATTTTGCCATTCCAAAATTGTTCCTGCCACTCACTAACCACCAAATCTCTGGGCAGAAAACGGCGAGGTCGCTACCAAAAATCCACCATTTTCGCTCACGTTTCGGGCGACTGGCCCGAGGTTCTTTGGGCAAGCTTGGGGCGACTCGCCCGAGCGTGATGCAACTCTGCGCGCTTCTCGCCCCGATCCACTCTCTCGGAGGGTGTCCAGAAGCATTTTTCAAAAACTGTATCTATGGAGCAAAAGTAGATCTACTTAAAGCTTTATTACCCTACATTTATATGGGCCATTTAATCAATGGATCACTGTGAAATCCCGAAAAAAAGCATAAAAACCATGATTTTAAAAATGGGCAAAAATTGTAGCGAGTTGCCCGGCACTCGCCACTTTTGAGCGCGTGTTGGGGCAACTCGCTACATTTTCGAGTTTTTCGAAAATTGTGTCAAATTTCTCGTGGCCCCGAGCTATGTCGTTTTTTGGCCGAGCACCAAATCTCTGCGAAAATCCTGAAAATCCGTGCACCCACCACCAAAATCCACCATTTTCAAGCTCAACTTCATCATCGCTGAAAATTTCAGCCAAATCATTTTCAGATTTGCAAAAATCGCAGAGAAAATATGAAAAATATATTTAAAAAAATTTCATCTTTAAAAAAAAGAAAAAACAAAGAAAATCTGGGGGAAAATGTCCCAGACACATAAAAGTTTTGAAAAATTATACAAGAGACGCAGAGAGTGTCGAGACCCATTTAAAGGGAGGTTATTCCTCACGACACAAATAAATATCCGAGCAGATTTTCTCGGCTTCTTCGTGTTGTTTCAACTTGTTGATGATGTCGATCAGATTTTTTTCGATGATTTTTTCGCAAGTGTCGACGAGGAATGACGGAACGTCTTGTTTGCAGAATTTGTCGACGGCCTGGAAAAAAATAATGGGGGGGGGGGGATTGAGTTAGGATAAGTCAAGGAGATAGGCTTAGGCTTAGGCTTTGACTCTGGAAGTTGAGAATTTTTGAATCTAACATTTTTGGAGTCAAAAATAACCTAAAGCTTGTTTGTTGTCAAAAAAAACGCGGTTTTTCTCTGGGTTCTCTGGGTTCTCTAAGCTCTCTATGCTCTCTAACCTCTCTATGCTCTCTATACCCTCTCTAGACTCTCTGACCTCTCTACCCTCTGTGATCTCTCTAACCTCTCTGACCTCTCTCTACCCTCTCTAGCCTCTCTAACCTCCCTGATCTCTCTAACCTCTCTGATCTCTCTAGACTCTCTACCCTTTCTATTATCTCTACCCTCTTTATGCTCTCTAACCTCTCTAGACTCTCTACCCTCCCTGACCTCTCTACCCTCCCTAACCTCTCTACCCTCCCTGACCTCTCTGTTCTCTCTAGACTCTAACCTCTCTATACCCTTTCTGACCTCCCTAGACTCTCTACCCTCTCTGACCTCTCTAGACTCCCTACCCTCTCTGACCTCTCTAGCCTCTCTAACCTCCCTGATCTCTCTAACCTCTCTGATCTCTCTAGACTCTCTACCCTTTCTATTATCTCTACCCTCTTTATGCTCTCTAACCTCTCTAAACTCTCTACCCTCCCTGACCTCTCTACCCTCCCTAACCTCTCTACCCTCCCTGACCTCTCTGTTCTCTCTAGACTCTAACCTCTCTATACCCTTTCTGACCTCCATAGACTCTCTAACCTCCCCTGACCTCTATATTCTCCCTATCCTCTCTCACCTCTCTAGACTCTCTAACCTATCTATGCTGTCTACCCTCCCTACCCTCTCTGACTTCTCTAATCTCTCACCTCTTCAATATCTCCACCATGCTCCAAAACCTCATCCAACTGTTTCACAATATTCACACAAAGTCCACAAAGTGGTTTTGTCAATTTTCGTGGAGTCGACGATTCTTGAGCCTGGCTCAGCGCCAAAAGCACAAAAATGCTCAACAAAACAACCTTGAACATCTTCTGGAAAAGAGGATTGGGCAAAAAAAAGTTGGAGCACACAACAACAAAAAATAAGAATAACAAAAAAAAACTTTTTTGTGCTCTCCTAACACAAGTGTAAAGTGTGACCTGATCGATCGATTTATTATAAAAGCTGGGATGGGACGAGAAAAAAAAATAAAATAAACATTTGACCAAAAAATATTTTATTTCAAAACAACTTGATAAGAGTGTAGTAGTACTTTGATATGACAAATTGAATAAATATTTATTAAAGGAACATGTGAGATCAAATAAGGCACTTAAGGGTATAGGGTTTAAGGCTAGGGCTAGGGTTAAGCCTAGGTTAAGCCTAGAATAAAGGCTAAGGATAGGTTTATGGATAAGCCTATAACCAGAGCTGAGCCTAAGCCAAAGACTAGGCCTAGGTCTATGGTTAAGCCTAGAACTAGAACCAACGCTGAGCTTAGGCTTCGAGCCAAGCCTACATCCAGAGCTAATCCTAACCTAAGCCTAAGTAAAAAAAAACTAAGCCTAAGTCAAGCTCTGTGAATAAGCCTTAGCTTAAGGCTAAGCCTAAGTCTAGCTCTCTAAGTAAGCCTTAGCTTATGGCTAAGCCTAAGCCTAGCTCCAGGCCTTAACATAGCCCTAGTCTCAAGCCTACTAAACCCAATAATGATTAGTGGGCTGTGTTTGAGCGACTTGGTCAAACAGCCTCATAGGAGGCGGCGTGTCGCCAGCATAATCCAGCAGAGCTCCCGAGCCACGTGGCACCACCGCCTCTTTCGGCGGAACAGCCTGCGTCCGCGCCGCAATGCCCTGCGGTCGTATCGTAAAACTCTGCAACACCTGTCGATCCTCGGCCTGCTTGACCGACGCGAAAACCGTGGATCCCAGCAGATCGGGCGGTTTTGCGGCAGAGATCGACGGATGTTCTAGCGAGTCGGTGGGTGACGGTGGAAGACGGGTTGGTGTGTCGAGATGGGTGGAGAGTTTGGCGGAGGTGTTGTGTTTGGGAGAGGTCGAGGAGGAACCGCCGCCGCAGCGACGGCAGACGAGAATGAAGATGGTGGCGGCGAGGATGGCGGCAAGGATCACGATCTGGAAAAAAACACTTGAGGTTAGAGAGTATAGCTATTGCTCATGTTAGTAAACTCAAGCTCACAGGTTCGATTCCCGGTTATTTTGCTTTGAATGATCGGGGAAAATTAACGTTTTTCTTATGAACGAAAGTCTAGCATGCCTCATATTAGGCCCCCAACATATATGAACTAGTCACTCCGAGAACCTTTGAGTTAACCCTCCCTTTCAGGCTGATTTTTGACCCCATAAACCCATAAAACACCCCTAAATTTTCAAAAAGTTAAGGCCCCCACCTTTGAAAAGGCACCTTAAGCTAACCCCCCTTCCTCCAAAGCCAGATCACACGACCAGGGCCCGTGGGGCCAGAGGCGAGACGACGAGAGTAATTTACAAAAACATCCCGAAAATGAATTTCGTGGCAAGATATTTTCAATAAAATGTGTGTTCCTTGAAACAAAATACGGTATTTTTTCAAAGGGACACATATTTTCTCAAAAATATCTCGAAGCGATGTGTTTCTCTGTCTTAGATGACGTCATCAGACTCTCGTCGTCTCGAAAGTCTAGCATTGCTCATTTTAGCCCCCCCCCCAAACCCAATTTTTGACCCCTAAACATAAAACACCCCAAAATTTTCATAAAGTTAAGGCCCCTACCTTCGAAAATGCACCTTAAAGGGTTGATGCTCCGTCAGGGAATGAAACAAGTAAATGCGCTCTAGCGCACACCTTGTTTTCAAATTTTTGTGCGTGTGTTTGCACGCAACTTTGAACATAACACGCCTTTTTGCTGACGATTTTTTCACCAGGAAAACATCAACCCTTTAAGTTAACCCCCCTCCGAAGTGTCAGATCATGTATGCCCCCCCCCCCGAAACTCACCGGCAATCCATTCCCACTAAACCTGCTGCTCGTCCCACTTTTCGTCTCTTCATTCTCCAAAATCTCACCCGCCTCCACAACATTTCCCTCATCCAAAAACTCGGCGCGCAAAATCGTAATAGGCAGGCTAAACCTGGCCGGTTGCACATCATCCGCTCGAATCTCCAATTCAACAATCTCTCGAACTTCCTCATCAGCACTATCCGCTTTATAATACACAATTCCCTTTTGAATGTCTGAGTAGGTGAAGTAGTATGTGGAGTAATTTGTGTTCTGATCGAAGGTCAGCCTTCCGTATTTGAGCGGAGAGGTTAGGAAGAATCTTGGGGAGGATGGGAGTAATGTTGATGCGTTGATCTGACTCGTCGTGAGCGGTGTTGCTGTCTCAGCTTCTACAATCACCGGCTGAACTGCCACCAACGCCTTGACTCTCAAAATCGACGAGTTCCTCACAACATCCCGTGTCTCATTCTCAATTTGAAACTCAAATCGATCTTGATAAGAATGCATGTTCAATTGTGCATACAGAATCCGCTCCTCATCAATATCCTTCTGCGTGAACTCTTTGGCCTCCTTCTCACCAGCCACCCAATAAAACGTGCCATTTTCAGGACCATGAGTCACCCTGTATTTCAACGCACTTCGATTATTGCCATTGGAAAATGCGCCGAGGTGTTGGCTCTTGAGCACAACATAGGTTTTCCCCTGCGGGTATTCGATGACACTATGATTCTTCAGGATCAAATCGATTGGCTTGATCTCCACGACAAGAGTTCGCATATGTCCCTCAATATCAAACACAATCACATCATGCCATCCAGATTCTCCCTGAAAATTCCGGGGTGCAGTGTGCCATATCGAAATCTTCCCATCATTAATATCCTGCTGATTAAAGCTACCAATTTCTTCCTCATTTTTTCGAAGTGTCACCCCATTAGAGCCTCGCTGAATCGTTCGATAAATAATACTCTGCGGTGGAACTGTCCGATGTCTAGTCATAAATAGATCAGGAAGCAGATTTGTCGACCCGGAGTTCAGGACGCTTACGGGATCCTTGGGGAAATTCACAACCTCAACTTTGGCGTCTGGCGGATTCGTGACTAGAATATCGACATCAATTCGAATTCGACTTGTCCTCCTGGTGCTCTCTCGAGCCGCATAGATATGAAAAACTAGACTATCCATAAGAGCATCGCTAGCTTCATGATGATAAATCAAATAGAACGCGCTTCTCAATTCCGTCCAGCTCACTCGCTTCTTCTCATTATCCAACCACTCCAATCTCCCCGATCTTGGCTCAGTTCCAATTTCTATCATGATCACTTCCTTGCCCACGGCTTCAACGAGCGCCAAGACATCGAGATGTGATTGATTGAAGCAAGCACTTCCACCGCGGGAAACCAGGAGGGGGCGGGTTGTGATATATTTTTGAATAACTTTTTCATTGAGCGCCGCGTACGTCGTAGTTAATCCTAAACTTCTCCGAACTTCCAGAATCTTTCACAGGTTTCGATCCTGTTTTGGAGGCAATTTTGAATCCGAAAGAGTCGCGGCGACTCCACTCATTCTGCTCGGGGAATCCCAGAGTTGAATAAACCACTTGTCGTCGATTGATCTGGGTTTGGGTGAAGTGTGTGCCCTTGATTCCATCGATCAAAAGTTCACCGAACTTCGGTGTGCGGGTTACGGTGAAATGAATATCCTCCGGGCGGGTCTGCAAAATTATAATTTATGTATATCTGAAGTGAATCCAGGCCATACATGAAATGGGACTCCGAATTCGGAGGGAGGGGGGTTAACTTTAGGTGGATTTTTGGAGGTGGGGCCCTTCACAAGGAAACCTTTTTTACTCAACACTTCAAATCATGATGAAATTTGGTCCATGGACAGCTTTTGGGGCCATAAGAACACCCTAAAAATTTTAGTCGACCTCTGAGCCAAGTTCTGGACCTCTGAGCCATGTTCTGGGCTCTCAAAAGTTCAAAAATTGCCTAAAATTGGCTCATAAAAGTCATCATAACTCAATTTTCGATCAATTTTTTTTGGGAGAAATAAAGTTTCAGATATTGATCAGCATGGTCGATTACCCAAAAGTACCATCAATAAATCAAATATTTTTTTCGAAAAATTTTGAAGTTTTTTATTTTTCGGCTGAAAATTCATGAAAATTCATATGTGCCCCTGCTCATTCTTTTTTCCAAAATCAAAATTTTTTCTGAAAACTTGATTTATTAATGCTTTTTGGGTAAATCGACCACGCTGATCATCATCTGCTACTCAGTTTTTCATAAAAATGATCGAAAATTGAGTTATGATGTGTTTTATGAGCCAATTTGGGCAATTTTCTAACTTTTGAGAGCCCAGAACTTGGCTCAGAGGTCCTTTGGGAGACTAAAATTTTTTTGGGTGTTCTTATGACCCCAAAAGCTGCTCTGGACAAAATTTCATCAATATTTGAAGTGTTGAATAAAAAAAGGTTCCCTTGTAAGCTTACAGGATTCCTGAAAACCTACCCCAGGCATATTCGCTCTCAACAGCTCTGTCCCAATAATCGTAGCCGACGCCGGCGATGCAATCAATCTTCCATTAGTCTCGACACTCGTTGAAGTTGCAGTCATCTCAATCGAAAACCATTCCGGACCTATGCGATGTTGCCCATCGGAAAGATGAAAACTGAATCCACCCCTTCCAATGAAACTAGAAGAATTGACTTCAACAATGAATTCAACATTCGATTGATCAATATCGAATTGCGTGAAGTTATGCAAAGTCTGTTCGGGTTGATTGGCTCGCACAACTCTTCCGGCACTCGGCTGAGCAATGATGTATAAAATCGAGTTGGGTGGGGTATCCTGATCTTCAACATCAAGATGACTATTGGTGATCAGCGCTCTTCCAGTAGCTCCAATTCTCAAAACCTCATTTCTGGTGATGATTGGTGGCTTCTGATTGACTCGAGGTCACTTGAATAGGCATCAGATGAATTGATGTGCATTGATCTTGCACGCAGGCTCGCAATCCAACACTGTCATTCCCCTGCGTTCCGTCCGACACAAACCAGATGCGTCCGTCTTTGATTTGTGAGGCGGTGAATTGCGAAACACTAGTCGAGCCGGTGGTTGCGTCGGTTGTGATCCATCCAGATGTTGGGGGCGAGATGATGGTGATCAGCGGCGATTCGTCGGCCGGTTCGGAGGTGGTGATGTTGAGGGAAGTGGGAAGGATCGGAGCACGTCCAGAGGAGGGGACTGAGAATGTGGCGGTTTGGATGGTGATCTGGAAAAATGTGTGGTGTGAGGGTGAGAGACTGCAGACAGCTAGAGAAGCTACGTGAATATCTTGTGAACATCGAGAGTGAAGAGAGAAACCAGACAGCTAGAGAGTATAGTGAAGTAAGAGACGCAGAAGAGCTAGACTGTCTAGAGAACATGGTGGCACCGAAAAGAATTAGAGAAGTTAGAAAAACCTTAGAGCGCTAGAGAAAAGCTAGACACGCAAGGATCAGACAGCTAGAGAGTATACAAAAATGAGAGACGCAGGGGAGCTGGACGGCTAGAGAGTATACAAAAATGAGAGGTGCAGGGGAGCTAGATATCTAGAGAACATGGTGACACCAAAGAGAATTAGAGAAGTTAGAAAAACCTTAGAGGCTAGGCAACTAGAGAGTATATAAAAATGAGAGGTGCAGAGAAACCAGAGGGATAAAAACAGCGATGAGTCAAGAGACACGCAAGGATCAGACACCTAGAGAGTATAGAGAAGTAAGAGACGCAGAGGAATTAGAGAAAACAATAGCTAGAAGGCAGAGGGGCGCAGAGAAGCTAGACAGCTATAGAATGCAAGAGACGCAGAGGAATTAGAGAGATGAATAGCTAGACAGCTAGACAACCCCCCCCCCCCGCAAAAAACTCACATTTCTCTCAAAAACCTCCACATCCACCTTCAACATATAATAATAACCCTCATTCGCAGCCAATCCGCTGCCAACCCGAAATTCCATCGAATCATTCGCCGTCGTCGCCGAGCTATGCACAAACTGCACATTTCCCGCTGCAATATCAGCACCGCTGAAACTCGCCACCTTTGCCGAATACGATTTTTCATCATGATCCAATGACAAATAACCGAATTCCGGATGTTTCAAGACCTCGAAAATCGCCGCCGCATCAGTTGTCAGATTTTCGAATTGGAAGAGCACTGCGCCGCCCATCGGAACTCGCAAAACGCGATTTTTCACAGGTTTTTGGGAATTCGAATTTGTCGACTCCTCGTCGCAAGTTATCTTCAAATCAATATCCAAATTGCGATCGGCGACTTTGACGCGTAGACCCACGCTGTCTTGCGCAACAACAATCCGCACACGGTTCCGCATCACATCCGCCTGCGTGAATGTCGCAACCTTTTTCCGATCCAGCGTCGCAGAATCGCAAAAATAAACAATATCTTCAAGGCGAACATCGAGATTCGTGGCAACGCTCAAACTTTGCGCGTTGACCAGGATTTCCTGCGATGCGGAAGAACACAGTGTCACAATTTCCGCATGCTCTATCCAAACATCCGGCTGCGCGGCAATCACATTCATCTTCGCTGGAACTGTATGCACACCATCAGTCACCGAGTAGGAAATCTCGAACTGCGAGTGATGTCCAAGATGACGCAGCATAACCTTCCGCTCCTCGATATCATGTTGAGTGAAGGTAGTTAGCGGAAGATATGGGGATACCTAAAGAAACTTTTTTGGTGCGCCAATAAACTTTGACGTACCGTCGACAAAATCGCCGCATCTTTATTTTGCTGTTGAAAATTGAAGAGGAGCGCTGAGGAATCCACGTCATCATCGATCCAGGGGAAGCAGGAAATCGTGGAGAACTCGTTCGCCACGTTCGACCATCTGACAAAAATTAAGTTAGGGTAAGTTGGGGTTTGGCTAAAGCTTAGGTAAGTTAAGGATTAGGTTCGACACTACAGCTAGAGTTAAGCTTAGGCTTAACTCCTTAGAGTTAAATCCTTAGAGTTTGTCCTTAGAGTTAAGCTTAGGCTTAACTCCTTGTTAGGCTTAGGCTTAAGCTCAATCAAAAAAATAAGGTTATCAATTAGCCTTAGGCTTAGGCTTAGGCTTAGATTAGACTTAGGTTAGGCTTAAACTTACCCTTTAAGGCTTAGGCTTAACCATTCAGTTAGGCTTAGAATTAGGTTTAATCTTAGCTAGAGGTTTAAACTTACCCCTTTAGGCTTAGGCTTAGGCCATTTAGTTAGGCTTAAAAGCTAGAGTTAAGCTTACCCTTAGGCTTAACCATACAGTTAGGCTTAGGTTAGGCTTAACCTGAGCTAGAGTTAAACTTACCCCTTTAGGCTTAGGCTTAACCATTCAGTTAGGCTTAAGCTTAGGCTTAACCATTCAGTTAGGCTTAGGTAAGGCTTAGGCTTAACCTTTTAGTTAGGCTTAAGCTCAGTCTCAATCATACAGTTAGGCTTAGGTTAGGCTTAGGTTAGCCTTAACCTCAGCTAGAGTTAAACTTACCCTTTATGGCTTAGGCTTAATCTTAGCTAGAGTTAAGCTTACTCTTAGGCTTAACCATTCAGTTAGGCCTACATTTAGGGTTAATCTTTGCTAGGGTTTAAACTTACCCCTTTAGGCTTAGGCTTAACCTCAGCTAGAGTTAAACTTAGGCTTAACCTTTCAGTTAGGCTTAGGTAAGGCTTAGGCTTAACTTTTTAGTTAGGCTTAGAATTAGGCTTAACCTCAGCTAGACTTAAATTTACTCCTTTAGGCTTAGGCTTAACCTTTTAGTTAGGCTTAAGCTCTGCCTTAACCATACAGTGGGGTTTAGGCTTAGGCTTACAAGGGCCTAACTCTAAAGTTTTAGAGTTAAATATGCTTATGCTCAACTAAAAAAAATAGGTTAGGCTTAGGTAAAGGTTTAGGCTTAACCCCTCCAAGGTTTAGGCTTAACCCCTCTAAAGTTTAGGCTTAGGTAAAGCTTAGGCTTACTCCCCCCCTCCCCCCCAAACTCACAAAAACCGTCTGATTCCTGGCCAACCTCGGCGCATTATCATTCATCAAAATAATCGAGAAACTCAACATCAACGGCACCATTCTGGCGGGATTTTGGCGCGAGATAGCCAAGAGTCGACACTCGTCGTGCCTCGCCTCATCACCAGAATGCGAGTAGATCAAATTGTGTGTAGCGATGTCGGCGGTGGTGAAGTTGGACTCTTTTTTGAGTTGGAGGTTGGTGGATTTGAGGCGGAGTGTTCCGTGGATTGTGGGGGAAATTAGGCGGAATGTGAAGTGGGTGTCGTCTGGAGTCGAGAGTGACAGGAAATCCGGGGTTATCTGGAAAAAAACTCGGGATTGCTCATGTTAGAGACATTTTTCAGGTTGATGGAATTTTTTAAGAAAAAAAATCCCACAAGTCTAGACACAATTTCAATGATTCTTGAAAACCAAAATTTCATTTTTCCCCCAAAAATGTTGAAAACCCACATATTTTTCCTAATTTTAAGCCTAAAAAATGTGATTCTGGCATATAAATCGGATATTTTACTTCAGGCGGATTATCATCAATTTTTCAGACATGTTGGACAACTGTAAGAAATCCATGGCCTAGAAATTCCAGACCCAAAAAAATTTGCAGACTCATCGATCAAGCGAGCAATCAAAATGGGTTGTACAAGGAGGGCGAGGGCAAATTTCTCGATTTATTGAGCGAAAAAAATGTGGTGGTGAAAAATTGTGGACATATTTTGATGACTAAAGGTGGGGCAGGAAGAAAAAAAAATTACGGAGAGAAAATCTGGAAAATTTCAGCGCATTTGCGGCGATTTTTCGAAATTCAACGACGAAAATTCGAAAAAGAGTTGTCAGGTAAAAGAGGGTCTGAAATTAGGCTTAGACTTAGGATGGGCCTAAGGCCCAGACTCTTATCACGATTAGCCTTAGGCTTAGTATGGGCCATCTTATCATGGTCCATCTTATCACGCTTAGCCTTAGGCTAAGTATGGGCCATCTTATCATGGCCCATCTTATCACGCTTAGCCTTAGACTTAGGATGGGCCTAAGGCCCAGACTCTTATCACGCTTATTAGCCTTAGGCTAAGTATGGGCCATCTTATCACGCTTAGCCTTAGGCTTAGTATGGGCCATCTTATCACGCTTAGCCTTAGGCTTAGTATGGACCATCTTATCACGCTTATTAGCCTTAGGCTTAGTATGGGCCATCTTATCATGGTCCATCTTATCACGCTTAGCCTTAGGCTTAGTATGGGCCATCTTATCATGGTCCATCTTATCACGCTTAGCCTTAGGCTTAGTATGGGCCATCTTATCATGGGCCATCTTATCACGCTTAGCCTTAGGCTTAGTATGGGCCATCTTATCATGGGCCTTCTTATCACGCTTAGCTTTAGGCTTAGTATGGGCCGACCCTGAAGCCTTGTTTTTCCAGTGGCCAAACGTCGTAAAAACCAGCGATTATCCGCTTCTCGAATTCAACGTGAACCTAACGCTAACAAGTCTGATGCATTTCCGAACCGATCAAATCTTCCAAATCGACACCGATCCGCCAAGTGGTAAAAAACCGGAAAAAATCGAATTTTTCGAAATCACCGGCGGATGTTTGGATGCGATAATGGAGTTGAACAAATCGGCGATTCATGACGAGTGGACGCCGAAATACGGTGACGGAAAAATCAGTGAGACCATTTTTCGGGAATTGGTTGAGAACACGATTTTGAGTGCGGAATTTTCGAAGGGTGGTATTGAGGAGAAGTGGTTTACAACGGGTTTCAGTGCACTGATTGATTTGAATACGAATTTGAGGGATGTTTATGATTTCAGTCAGTTTTTTTGATGATCTAGGCTGGAAATCCGGGAAAAAAAAATGATTTTTCAGAAAATTTTGTGCGGTATATGAAACGATTTACGAAGCGATATACTTTGATGAAGGATATTGAGGTGAGATTTTTGAGCTAAAAAAAGCTAACATGAGCAATGCCGTTGGAAATATGGGATTTTTTAATATGAGCAATGTTTTTTTGCCACGTGGAACTTTTTCAGCCCAGAAAGATTATTTTTTTAAATCTAACATGAGCAATGTCTTTTTTTCTAATATGAGCAATGATCAATGAGATTTGAAATTAGTTAAGTTTTTTCTCAACTCAAATATCTGACCATTGCTCATATTGAGATTTTTTTTGCCACATGGATTTTCCCACAGAAAAATATAGGATTGCTCATGTTAAATTTGATTGTTTTCAAAGTTAACATGAGCAATGATACATTTTCAAGGTAATTTGATTTGAAATGAACAATTTTGTCAAATTTTTGGACCATTGCTCATATTAGGCCTAAAATATGTACAATTTCGAGATTTTTTTTGACACGTGGATTTTCCCACAGAAAAATATAGGATTGCTCATGTTAAATGTGATTATTTTCAAAGCTAACATGAGCAATGATACATTTTCAAGGAAATTTGATTTGAATGAACAATTTTGTCAAATTTTCGACCATTGCTCATATTAAGCCTAAAATGCAATTTCGAGATTTGTGATATTTCGAGATTTGTGATATAAATGTGATATTTTGCAAAGCTAACATAGGCAATGAACAATTTTTTGACCATTGCTCATATTAAAAATGTTCAGAATATAAACGATATGTATGACAAAGAAATCGAAGCAAACCTGGTAGTTGTAACCCAATCCGTAGATCATATAGTTTTCCGCAAAACCGCAATCTACCATCATAATTTTCGACAAATTTTTGAATTATGGGATTATCAAGTCGAATTGATCTATGTGAGTTGGAAGATCTAGATCTAGATTATTGAAAGATCTATCTTGATCTGTGTTCTAGAACATTGATGGAAATTCGACATGGCAAGTGAATCAGATTTATCAGACTCCACCGCATGAATATTTGATTTTCGAGAATTTGGCAAGAAATAATTCGTATTCAGAAATTCTAGACCTTTGGGAAACACGCCTCAAGAACTCTTTGAACATCGAAAAATTTGTGAAAAAAGTTCAGAACTTTGAAAACTGCAATGATTCATATCCCGAAACTTTTCAAGATCCAAAAACTGAAGTCAGAGTTCTAGAAAACTCGAAATCTCGCCTCGAATTCGAGATCTTTTTGAGGTACACCAAAGAGGATGGTGTTTTTGAAGTTGGCGCAAAATTTGGTGCAATTTGGAGCCCGAAATTCGCGGAGCATTATTTGAAAAATTTGACAATGACGTGTCCGGTGACGATTGGGAAAAGTGAGTCAGAATTGAAGTCAGGCGGCGAAAAATCTTTTTTTTTTTTTTTTAGAAAATTCAAACGCTGGAAAATTTGTGAGCCAACCTTCGGGAAATGTAGGGCTGATAGGTGAGTTGAAAAGCGGCTTAATATGAGCAATGGTCAAAAATCTGACAAAATTGTTCATTTCAAATCAAATTTCCTTGAAAATGGCTCATTGCTCATGTTAGCTTTGAAAATAGTCACATTTAACATGAGCAATCCTATATTTTTCTGTGGGAAAATCCACGTTGCAAAAAAAATGTCAAAATTTTATTTTAGGCTTAATCTGAGCAATGATCAAAAAAATTTGACAAAATTGTTCATTTCAAATCAAATTTGAAATTTCCTTAAAAATGTATCATTGCTCATGTTAGCTTTGAAAATAATCACATTTAACATGAGCAATCCTATATTTTTCTGTGGGAAAATCCACGTGGCAAAAAAAAATCTCGAAATTGTACATATTTTAGGCTTAATATGAGCAATGGTCAAAAATTTGACAAAATTATTCATTCAAATCAAATTTCCTTGAAAATGTATCATTGCTCATGTTAGCTTTGAAAACAATCACAGTTAACATGAGCAATCCTATATTTTTCTGTGGGAAAATCCACGTGGCAAAAAAAAATCTCAAAATTGTACATATTTTAGGCTTAATCTGAGCAATGGTCAAAAATTCGACAAAATTGTTCATTCAAATCAAATTTCCTTGAAAATGTATCATTGCTCATGTTAGCTTTGAAAATAATCACATTTAACATGAGCAATCCTATATTTTTCTGTGGTGAAATCCACGTGGCAAAAATTGTATTTTAGGCTTAATATGAGCAATGGTCAGATATTTGACTTGAGAAAAACCTTAACTAATTTCAAATCTCAATTGCTCATATTAGAAAACTCGCATATTTTCAACAAAATAAGACATTGCTCATGTTAGTTTTGAAAAATAATCTTTCTGGGCTGAAATTCACGTGAAAACATCTGACAAAAATTCCACGTGGCTTAAAAATGGATCATTGCTCATATTAAAAAAATTCCCATATTTCCAACACGGCTAAAACCATTGCTCATATTAGCTTTTTTTGCTCAAAAACTTCAAACTCACCTCAATATCCTTCAATAGCTAAAGAAGGGCATTGCTCATGTTAGCTAATCTTTATGGGGTGAAAATCACGTGGCAAAACTTCAAATTTTGGGTGAGATCCACGTGTAAACATCTCAAATTTCCCGGATTTTCAGCGATCAATAGTCCAAAAGAGATCGTACATCAAATGATCGACGCCAAAATCAATCTATTCATCAAGCAAATCTACAAAACCCTCGTGCAACAATCAAGTGTCTATAACTCAGATTACGAGAAAGCGGTAGCCGATTTAAAGGCGCATTTCCACAGGTACTGTGATCAATTGGAATGTTTGGTAGCAACACTTTGCGATGGTGAAACATTAAATTATTCCACGTTTTTCAATTGGCTAGCCGTTCAGCGAAGAAAATTCTTGAAACCCGTTTATGAAAATGAGCCGAGATTTGAAGTTACACAAAGTCCCGGAATATCTAAATCACTACAATTTACGATAAGAATTGCTCAAAGGAGTTTGATGAATTTGGAAGATGAACAAATTTTGGAATTCGATACTGTAAAGACTAAAAATAGCAGAAATTGGAGGATCAGAAGTGTGAAATTCGGGGGAGGATGTTCATCGAGCAGAACACATCGCTCGAAATACAATCTGATTCCAATTCTGGAAAATCCGGGGATAAATGGGGATGGAAAAATGGATGATGGGATTTATGACGAGCTTCTAGATTCCACGATTTTCCGCGATGATTTTTCGGAGAATCTGACATTCTTCGAGCAGGATTTGAGAGTTATCATTGATACGAATATTTTCGAAAACTATACTTATAGTTTGGATGAATATGCGAAATATATGACGAGATTTAGTAAGAGATATAAGTTGAGAAGAGATATTATGGTAGGTTAGAGACGCAGAGATGGAAGAGGCGAGACAGCTAGAGATCGTTGGGAAGTGAGAGACTAGTAGAGATTATGGAGAAGAGATATCGCAGGGTTAGAGATAGAAGGGTTATCAGAGAGACGCAGAGATGCGAGACAGCTAGAGACCACGGATAGATTGAGAGACGCAGATATCAGGCTGCTAGACAACTAGAGAAAGTCAGAGATGCGAGACAGCTAGAGACCACGGAGAGACGCAGATATCAGGCTGCTAGACAACTCCAGAAAGTTAGAGATGCGAGACAGCTAGAGACCACGGAGAGACGCAGATGCTAGACAACTCCAGAAAGTTAGAGACGCAGAGATACCAGACATCTAGAGACCACGGATAGATTGAGAGACGCAGATATCAGGCTGCTAGACAACTAGAGAAAGTTAGAGATGCGAGACAGCTAGAGACCACGGATAGACGCAGATACCAGGCTGCTAGACAACTAGAGAAAGTTAGAGACGCAGACATCTTCCAGAAATCCCATCTTCTCTTCGATCAATCAAAAAATCCATCAACTTCAGTTCTGATTCATAACCCGGACCATTTAGTTTTCCGAACCTCAGCGATTTATCAATATTTACCAGATCTCGAGTTAGGCCAAGTCACCACAGAAATTTGGGAATATCAGGTCGAAGCGGTTTTTGTGAGTTTGCAAAATATGTGTACTTCGAGTTTGGCTAACTTTGAAAAACCCTCTAGAATGTGAGCTCGTCGAACACTTGGAAAATTCGTCAAATTTTCATGGAGCCTCCGCAATTTTTCACAGCTTCTTCAAATTTCGCCGAACTTCGTGCGAGAAATGAATTTGTGGCAGAGTGGGAGAAAAAAGTTGGGTTTTTTTTTGAAATTAAATTTTTTTAAGATCAGAAATTCCACGTGGATTTTTAGCGCTAAAATTTCAAAATTTGAAAAAATAATTTTTTAAGATCAGAAATTCCACGTGGATTTTTAGCGGTAAAATTTCAAAATTTGAAAAATAATTTTTTAAGATCAGAAATTCCACGTGGATTTTTAGCGCTAAAATTTCAAAATTTGAAAAAAATAATTTTTTAAGATCAGAAATTCCACGTGGATTTTTAGCGCTAAAATTTTAAAATTTGAAAAAAAAATAATTTTTCAAGATCAGAAATTCCCCGTATTTTTTAGGGAAACCTTATTCGTTAGGGAGGAGAATTTGGACAAATCCTGTAGTGAACTTGAGAAATTCAATGGGAAAAATTATGTGGAAGTTAGCCGAAGTCATGGAGAAACTGTGGTGCGAGTTGTGGGAAAATATGTGAGGCTTAAAAAATTTTTTTTTTGAATTTTGAATTTTTTGAATTTCAGGACTCAAAATTCGATAAGTATGAATATCAAGGGATTTTCAAAAAATGTTGATTTTTAATAAAATTTGAGCTAAAGAGAGAGAGAGTGTGGGAAAATGAGAGACGCAGAGAAAGAAAGAGCAAAAAACTCACCGAAGCCGATTCGCCTTCTTTGACCACAATGGTTTTGTTGACAAGTCTAACCGAAGATGCTTTTGGAACATAGACAATCTGGAAAAAGGCTGAAAATGGCTGGAATTTGAGATTTCTAGACTGAAAAATTGGGTTGAGGCTGAAAATTTGAGCCTGGAAAACATGAGAAATTCCAAAAAAATACGTTTCAGAATTTTCATTAAAAATTTTTTTGAAATTTTTTTGAAATTATTTTTCGTTGATAAGTTCGATAAAAATTCGGGGGATTTTTGGAGAAAAATTTAAGATTTCAAAAAAAAAATTTTTTTTTTCAAAATTTGAAAAAATAATTTTTTAAGATCAGAAATTCCACGTGGATTTTTAGCGCTAAAATTTCAAAATTTGAAAAATAATTTTTTAAAATCAGAAATTCCACGTGGATTTTTAGCGGTAAAATTTTAAAATTTCAAAAAATAATTTTTTTAAGATCAGAAATTCCACGTGGATTTTTAGCGGTAAAATTTCAAAATTTGAAAAAATATTTTTTTTTGGATTAGAAATTCCGCGTGGATTTTTAGCGGTAAAATTTCAAAATTCAAAAAAAAAGAAATTCCACGTGGATTTTTAGCGCTAAAATTTCAAAATTCAAAAAAAAAAGAAATTCCACGTGGATTTTTAGCGCTAAAATTTAAAAATTTGAAAAAATAATTTTTTAAGAACAGAAATTCCACGTGGATTTTTGGCGCTAAAATTTCAAAATTTGAAAAAATAATTTTTTGAAGATCAGAAATTCCACGTGGATTTTTGGAGCAAAATTTGAGATTTCAAAATTTCAAAAAAAAAAACATTTTTGGATTAGAAATTCCACGTGGATTTTTAGCGCTAAAATTTCAAAATTTGAAAAAAATAATTTTTTAAGAACAGAAATTCCACGTGGATTTTTGGCGCTAAAATTTCAAAATTTGAAAAAATAATTTTTTAAGAACAGAAATTCCACGTGGATTTTTAGCGCTAAAATTTCAAAATTTGAAAAAATAATTTTTTAAGAACAGAAATTCCACGTGGATTTTTGGCGCTAAAATTTCAAAATTTGAAAAAAATAATTTTTTTGAAGATCAGAAATTCCACGTGGATTTTTGGAGCAAAATTTGAGATTTCAAAATTTCAAAAAAAAAAAAAAACATTTTTGGATTAGAAATTCCACGTGGATTTTTAGCGCTAAAATTTAAAAATTTGAAAAAATAATTTTTTAAGAACAGAAATTCCACGTGGATTTTTGGCGCTAAAATTTCAAAATTTGAAAAAATAATTTTTTGAAGATCAGAAATTCCACGTGGATTTTTGGAGCAAAATTTGAGATTTCAAAATTTCAAAAAAAAAAAACATTTTTGGATTAGAAATTCCACGTGGATTTTTAGCGCTAAAATTTCAAAATTAAAAAAAATAATATTTTTGGATCAGAAATTCCACGTGGATTTCTGGAGCAAAATTTGAGATTTCAAAAAAATAATTTTCAGAAATTCCACGTGGATTTTTAGCGCTAAAATTTCAAAATTTGAAAAAAATAATTTTTTGAAGATCAGAAATTCCACGTGGATTTTTGGAGCAAAATTTGAGATTTCAAAAAAAAAATTTTGGATCAGAAATTCCACGTGGATTTTTTTTGAGCAAAATTTGAGATTTCAAAAAAAAAATTTTTTGAAGATCAGAAATTCCACGTGGATTTTTAGCGCTAAAATTTCAAAATTTGAAAAAATAATTTTTTTTTTTGGATCACAAATTCCACGTGGATTTTTGGAGCAAAATTTGAGATTTCTAAAAAAAAAACAAAAAATTTGGATTAGAAATTCCACGTGGATTTTTAGCGCTAAAATTTCAAAATTTGAAAAAATAATTTTTTTGGATCACAAATTCCACGTGGATTTTTGGAGCAAAATTTGAGATTTCTAAAAAAAAAAACAAAAAATTTGGATTAGAAATTCCACGTGGATTTTTAGCGCTAAAATTTCAAAATTTGAAAAAATAATTTTTTTTGGATCACAAATTCCACGTGGATTTTTGGAGCAAAATTTGAGATTTCAAAAAAAAACAAAAAATTTGGATTAGAAATTCCACATGGATTTTTAGCGCTAAAATTTCAAAATTTGAAAAAATAATTTTTTTTTTGGATCACAAATTCCACGTGGATTTTTGGAGCAAAATTTGAGATTTCAAAAAAACAAAAAATTTGGATTAGAAATTCCACATGGATTTTTAGCGCTAAAATTTCAAAATTTCAGGAAAAAAATTTTGGATTAGAAATTCCACGTGGATTTTCGCTTTCTAGGGTCAAAAATCTTCAAAATTTCACCAAAATCTTCAAAATTTCACCAAAAACTTCAAAATTTTACCAAAAATTTCAAAATTTCACCAAAAACTTCAAATTTTCACCAAAAACTTCAAAATTTCACCAAAAAACTCACATCAAATCGCATGAGAGCCGAAGAAACCGCAGGCGAAACCACACGAAAAACAAAAAAATCATTAACAATCGAATATTGTTGATAGTGTAACTTATACGAAATCAAATCCTGATCCAAATCTTGTTGCGTGAAATTCGAGCCCACTCCAATTCTCCGCATTTTCCCCGCAATTTTATCGATTTTTCTAGACAGGGTGCCAAGTTTTGGCGGTTCATCGATATGAAAAATCAAATTATGAGCGGAGAAACTTTTGGGAAATGTCCAGGCGAATAAATTCTGTCGGGTTATGATTTGAAGTTCGGTGGCATTAAGAACAAAAGGTTCTCTGGTGAAGACTTTGATGTTCATTGGAATGAAATCGATGCGGAATACGTGCATTGTTGAGGCAAATTCGCCGGCTTCAACTTGGAAACTGAATTGATCGGAGAGAGTTGAAGATGAGCTGGGAGTTGGTGATGTGTGGCGGAAACGGACTTGCTCTTCGGAGATCTGAAATTTCTAGGAGTTAGGGGGAAGTCTGAAGGTTTAAAGAATTTCAGAAACTAGACTCTAGTCTGGAATTCTGCAGCCCGAATTTCGAAAGAAAAATTTGATTTTGCTTTTTTTAATTTTATGAAATAGGGTTTGAAGCCTAGAAAACTAGACTCATTTTTCAATTTTTGAAATTTTGGCGCTAAAAATCCACGTGGAATTTCTGTTCTTAAAATATTTTTTTTTTCAAATTTTGAAATTTTTGCGCTAAAAATCCACGTGGAATTTCTAATCCAAAATTTTTTTTTTGAAATCTCAAATTTTGCTCCAAAAATCCACGTGGAATTTCTGAACTTAAAAAATTATTTTTTCAAATTTTGAAATTTCAGCGCTAAAAATCCACGTGGAATTTCTGATCTTAAAAAATTATTTTTTCAAATTTTGAAATTTTGGCGCTAAAAATCCACGTGGAATTTCTAATCCAAAAATATATTTTTTTTAAATTTTGAAATTTTAGCGCTAAAAATCCACGTGGAATTTCTGAAAATTATTTTTTCAAATTTTGAAATTTTAGCGCTAAAAATCCACGTGGAATTTCTGATCTTAAAAATTATTGATTTCGAATTCTCTGGAATTCTGAAGCCTGGAAAACTAGACTCTAGTGCAAAAAATGCAGAATTTCTCTCAAAAATCGCTGTTCACCTGAATCTGTGTGAACATCGTACACATCGTGAACTCATCGCTATTCGGATCAACACATTCAACAATTCCAGTGTCAGGCAAATCAACAATTCGATAACTGACAGTCATATCTTTGATTGAAGCCTCGAATGAGAGATTTCTGAAAAAAAATTTGAATTTCATATATTCGCGCCAAAAATTTCAAAAAAAAAAGCACCAACCTCGCCGTAATCACCACACTACTATGATGCAATAATCGGACGCCCGTATTCGCCACCAATTTCACATCCACTTTTGTGGATTGTGTTTCGAGCACCACAACTTGACTTCGACTTTCGCCATCTCTGGCGATTAGCCGAACCCGTCCCATGTCCGTCACACCATCGTCTACGATACTCACAACTTCGTCGATGATTTGTTTCCAGGTGAATTCGGAGATTTTTTGCGAGGATTGCTGGAGTTCCAGGTGTACACCGTGCGCCTCAACGACCTGCAGAAATTTTATTTTTGAAATAACTAAATTCCCACGTTTTTTCTTTTTTTTTCGAAAAGCAAAATTTTTTTAAAAAAAAAAAAATAATAAATAAATTAAAAGGTACGGTTGAAACTAAAGGCGCATGTGTAAAAGTGTTGCATCGTTGCGAGACCCAAGCGCGCCAACTTTTTTATTTGAAAACGAGAAATCGATTTTTTATAAAAAACACTTTTTTTTTTCTATTATTTTTCTATTTTGGCTGAATTTTGAGGAAGAAAAGTGAGTTTTTTGTTCAAAAATTAGGAAATTTCAATTGAAAATCAAAAAAGTTCAAAAAATTTCATGAAAATAATTTAAAAATGGAGAAAATTATAAAAAAGACGCCTTGTTTTTTCGAATATCAGCTAGGGGCAGTGAAGAAAAGTGAGAGAGTTAGAGAAAGAGAGAGATAAACAGTTATTATATTGTTTTGCATAAGAGTAAGACTATACTCTAGTTTGACCTTTCACGTTTTTCTCCTTTTTTTTTCAAAAAAATGAAAAAAAAAAGTGTTTTTCTTTTCGAAAAAAAAAGAAAAAATAAAAAAATAGTACGGTGCAAATTAAAGGCGCGTGTGTGTTCGTTGCGAGACCCAAGCGCGCCAACTTTTTTATTTGAAAAAGAATTTTTTTTTTTTGGTTTTTTTATGTTTTTCGTGGATTTTGGGCAGAAATTTCGATTTGAAAGTGAGTTTTTGTTTCAAAAATCTTAAAAATCATCGAAAAATTCCAAATTTCCCACCTGAATTTTAACCCTCTCAGGTCTATCATCCGAATCAGTGACCCTCAAAATGTCCGGTGTCAAAATTCTCGCACCCTTCGACGCAATCAACAATTTCTCCTCGCCAACTCGCTGTAAACGCGGAGCATCGTTGACGCCATTGATCTTGATCTTCAGCGTGTACGATTTGGGTTGCTCCGATGTCCCAAGCTCACAAAGAACGCCGAGCCGATCTTCACGAGTTTCCGAACCGTCATGCCGATAAATTACACGTCTCGCTAAAAGTTGAGCGTACGTAAATGATGAGGTGATGACGTCATCAACCCGAATTTCACCGTGACGCGCCGATTCTGTGATCTACAACGGAAATTTTCGATGTTTTCCCGCGAAAAATCCCAACTTACCGTGAAAAATATCCTGTCATGCGATAGTTTTTGCTCCATTTCCGAGCTCGCCATAAAATACACATTTTTCCACTGAATCGGAATCGACCCACCTTCGTTAAGCTGAAAAATTTCCAGATTTTCAGAGGATTTTCTGGAAAAATCTCACTTCTAGGGGTTCTGCCACGTAGATTGGTCCTTTTTCGGCGTTTTTGGTGGCGTTTTTCGAGTCGTGGCTGGAAAAATGGTGGCCTAGAAAACCCCTAGTCCCTCAATTTTGTGTCACCGCAAATTTTTCCCACATGTCACAAAACCACATTGTAATAATATATATACTTTTTGATATCATAAATAAAATACATAAAAATAACACTTTTTCCAGGAGCTACTGCTAGAGAGCACGGAGAAATGAGAGAGTGCAGATGGGGAAAAAGTGACCGCTAATTGGCTCATAAATAAGATGAAGAGACACTTACCCGCAAACTCTTTCGGCGAGAATTTTCGCATTTTGCGACACGTCGAAAATGCAACCGTGGATTTGAGAGTCGTCGATGGAGAGCGCTGCAAAAATTTAAAAAAAATTTCGAATATAAAAGTGCAATTCAAGCGCAGCGACCCGCGTGCACGCGTGTGCGAGTGGTTAGCGCGTTGAATTTGCAGACAGCAGGTCGCTGGTTCAATCCCCCATGGGGTCGAGAAAATTTGTTTTATTTTTTTTTTTTTTGAATTTGAATTTGATTTGTTATTTTTTGCTCCTTCCATCGTAATAATAATATGTGTATTTTTTGGTGGAGCAAAAAGTTGGCCATTTTTGGACGACTTTCACAAGTGAACATAAACAATTGATGGATAGAGCGAAGCGAAAAAAAAAAGAGCATAAAAGACGAGAAGAAAAATTCGCGGGGCAAAAAATAAGTATGTATATTTATAGAGTTTTTTGGAAGATGATGATGGAAAATATGTGGATTATTTGTTGTTTTGGGAAAAAAATGGTAGAAAATATGGTTTTGGTGGCCTAGAAGCCCAAAAATATGGTTTTGGTGGCCTAGAAACCCAAAAATGTTCTAGAAATCGAAGAATGAACTTTTGGTGGCCTAGAAACACAAAAAAACAGCTTTGGTGGCCTAGAAAACCAAAAATATGGTTTTGGTGGCCTAGGAATCCAAAAACATGGCCTAGGAATCGAAAAATGCACTTTCGGTGGCCTATAAACCCAAGAAAACGCCTAAAAACCCAAAATTATAGTTTTGGTGGCCTAGAAATCCCAGACATGGCCTAGAAAACCACAAATATGATTCTGGTGGCCTAGAAACCCAAAAAAAACAGCTTTGATGGCCTAGAAACCCAAAAATGAGCTCTTGATGGCCTAGAAAACCAAGAAGAAGTTTCTGGTGGCCTAGAAAACCAACAATATGGTTCTGGTGGCCTAGAAAGCCAAGAAGACGATTCTGGTGGCCTAGAAACCCAAAAATCAAATCTTGGTGGCCTAGGAAACCAAAAATTGCTTAAAAACGACAAAAAGACGATTCTGGTGGCCTAGAAATCCAAGATATGGCCTAGAAAACCAAAATAATAGTTTTGGTGGCCTAGAAATCCAAGAGATGGCCTAGAAAACCAAAAATATGGTTTTGATGGCCTAGAAAACCAAAAATGAGCTCTTGGTGGCCTAGGAAACCAAAACATGACGCTGGAAGCTCTAAATGATATAGAAACCCAGAAAGACGATTCTGGTGGCCTAGAAATCCAAGAAGACGATTCTGGTGGCCTAGAAACCCGAGAAAAATCAAAAACTCGGCCAGCACCTTCATTTTTAGCGCAAAAAAATCCCCGAAAAAACGCACCCAAATTGCCAGCCTGGCACAACGTCGGCGAATACACCAACGAATTGGCGTAGGGTGTGGCAAAGTGTAACGAGACGGGCGACACACACTTCATCGACACCGTCATCATCTCGTTGACCACCGATTTCGAGACGGGAATCGCGTCGGCGTAAAGGAAACCATCGCGAAATTGTAGGCTGAGATTTTTGGCGGCGGAAGTTAGGTGAAGTTGGGTGACGTGTTGTGGTGTGGGAAGGTAGTCGAATTGAAGAGGTGAGGTGGTGAGAGCGATCAGGGATAGAAGCACTGACATTTATGACGCATTCTGGAAGACGGGGAAGAGTTTGCGGTGGCCTAGAAATCCCAGAGATGACCTAGAAAACCAAGAACATGATTCTGGTGGCCTAGAAAACCAATAACATGATTCTGGTGGCCTAGAAACCCAAATGTATGTTTTTGGTGGCCTAGAAATCGGGGGTATGGCCTAGAAACCCAAATGTATGTTTGGATTATTTGTTGTTTTGGGAAAAAATGGTAGAAAATCGGATCTGGTGGCCTAGAAACCCAAATGTATGTTTTTGGTGGCCTAGAAAACCAAAAATATGATTTTGGTGGCCTAGAAATCCTAGAGATGACCTAGAAAATCAATAACATGAATCTGGTGGCCTAGAAAACCAAGAACATGATTCTGGTGGTCTAGAAATCCTAGAGATGACCTAGAAAACCAAGAAAATGATTCTGGTGGTCTAGAAAACCAACAATGTTGTTTTGGTGGCCTAGAAATCAATCTAAATCTTATTAGTGACCTAGAAACCCAAGAACATGATTCTGGTGGCCTAGAAAACCAATAACATGATTCTGGTGGCCTAGAAAACCAATAATGTTGTTTTGGTGGCCTAGAAATCCGTCTAAATGTTATTAGTGACCTAGAAAACCAAGAACATGATTCTGGTGGCCTAGAAAACCAAATTTTTGTTCGAATCTGAACTTCTGCTGGAATTTTTCATTTTTTTTGAAAATCTAAAGTTTTGGCGCCAAATTTTTGAATTCAAAATTTGAGATTTTTTTTTCAGATTTTCGAAATTTGAACATTTTTGCACTTTTCCGAATTTTCAGGGGATTTTCTAAAAAAAATTCTAAATTTTCCGAAAAAAAAAATCAAATTTGGCGCGAAAATTTTCAAATTAAAATTTTTGATAATATTTCTGAAATTCCTGGTGAAAAAAAACTTTCGAACTGTTTTTTGTGTGGAAAAATTCTGAAATTTTTCGGAAATTCAAAAATCCAGATTTCCAATTTTCCGAAATGTTCCCAAGCTCCCAAGTTCCCGTAACTCACCCAAAATCCCTCAAATTTTCAAAAAATTCCACTAATAATAATAATAATAAATAATAAATTCTGGTGTAAGAAATATGAAGAACAAGAATAAGAAGAAGAGAAGAACTTTTGGCACAAAAAGCAGCTTTTCCTTCTTCTCAACAAAAAAGTGGGCGGGGCCGAAAAGTGGACAACAACTGACACATATGTATTTTGCTGTGTGAGCGCTAACAAGAAAAAGCTGCGGCTTGGCTTGAAAAAGTTGAAAAACCCAACCACACACAGAGCTGTGTAGTTCTCGAGGAGAAGATTTGAGACATTTTTCCCGCCAAAAATCCACGAAAAAAAAAAAAAAAATTTTGAAAAAAATTTTTTTTCACATTTATCTTTTTGAAGGGATTAATGATTGATTAATCAACACAACAGGTGACTTGATTTATTCGCAAAAATTGTTTGCCGCTCGCAACTTGCGATAACTTTGCCACGTCATAACCAAATTCCCAATATGAACCAATTTATTTTTAAAAAAAAAATCCATACAATTAATGATGTGTGAGTGAAATTGGTTGTTTTCCAGTCCACTGTAAAAATATCAGTTACTTAGCTGAGTATCTAATGTACGCAGCCAATATTCAACTCACTAAACTTCCACCAGCTCTAAGGTTTGGCACTATATGATAAGATTGCTGAAAAAATATTCATGTAGGCTGAGTATCAAATGTGTTTAGATACGCAGCGAATTAAGTATAGATGTGACCTACCTCACTTCCACCACTTCTAAGATTTGGCACTATTTGGGATTGCTGAAAAAGAAAAAAGGTTGGCTGAGTATCAAATGTGTTTAGATACGCAGCCAATTTCAACTTACCACCATTGAGAATGCGAAAATTGCAGCCAAAAGGAAGAAAAGTTGGAAATTCATGATTTTTTTTGTGATGTAGAAGAAGATCTGGGTGGGTTTTTATAGTCTGAAATTTTGCTGAAAATTTGAATTTGAATAGGGAAGCGTGGGAAAATCCAATAAATCAAATTTAAAACCAAAAAATCAGTCGAAATGAAATTGTTTCAGAAAATACTTGAAACAAAAAAATTCCCTGAAAATTTCAAAATTTCGTTCATGAGTCAACCATTTTGTTTGTCTTTTCAAAAAATTTTATATAAAAATTGAATTCTTTTCCAAAAATAATATTTTATCAATAAATAAATGTTCCGATTTTTGCTAATTTTCATTCTTCTTGGCTCAATTTCAAGCATGCCTTATCATCACAAAAACGAACTTCCCGAGGACTATTCTTCGTCTTCAGAATACACTTCAAACAGTATTGAAGCTGTTCCAAGAAGAAAGATAACCACTGGTTATTTTCCTGATTTTCGAGAACATTTTGATTCCGATTTGGATTCGGATTCAAATGAATGGATAAAAGACATTTCGACTACACAATAATTTTTGGTATTTTTTAAATACATAAATTGGTTCATATTGGGATTTGACTTTTCATATTCAAATGTTTTTATTCATCGAAAATAAATCAATGTTATGATAATTCGGTTACAATTTTTGAAGATTTAAGGCTTGTCTCGAAAAGATTCCAAAATCGGTGGATGTGGTATAATAGAAATTGGAATTTTGTTGACTAGAACAATAACATCTTCCAGGATTTTGTAGGATTTTGATAGCTGAAAGTGGTAGATCAGAAAGTGTGATCGAATCCTTTGATAGTTTTAGTTGGATATGGGTTGAATAAGAGAGTTGGCCAACTTGACGCCGCCCCAATTAAAATATAGAATATAACAATCTTTGAATACATTTTTTTCTGATACCTTCAGACCTCTTTTTATACAAAAATTAAGGAATTTGTGTAAAATTCCAAAATAAAATGATGTTCGAAAATAAATTATGTTTATAAATTAAAAAATCGCAAATGATATCATTTTCGCAAAAATTTTCCTGAAATTTTCAAAAAACTCAAATTCCCAATGAACCCATTTATTAAAAAAACTCGAGAAAAATTAATGTTATGCGATTGAAATTGGTTGTTTTCCAGTCCACTGTAAAGATATCAGTTACTTAGATAGCTGAGTATCTAATGTACGCAGCCAATATTCAACTCACTAAACTTCCACCAGCTCTAAGGTTTGGCACTATATGATTAGATTGCTGAAAACAATATGAATGTAGGCTGAGTATCAAACGTACGAAGCGAAATTATACCTCACTTCCACCACTTCTAAGATTTGGCACTATTTGGGATTGCTGAAAAGAAAAAAGTTGACTGAGTATTAAATGTGTTTAGATACGCAGTCAAATTTAACCTACCACCATTGAGAATGCGAAAATTGCAGCCAAAAGGAAGAAAAGTTGGAAATTCATGATTTTCTTTGATGAGGGAAGGTCTGAAGGTTGGGTTTTATAGTCTGATGAAAATTTGAATTTGAATAGAGCCGTGGGAAAACCCAAGAGATCAAAAGTTCTGAAAATTCAGAAAAAATTGGAAAATTTTTATTAATTTATTTTACAAGAAGCATATATTGTCCGTTTGGAAATGAGATTCACCCCGCGAAAAAACAAATTTGAATTTGCTGCAGGAGACGCAGACAGCGAGAGAGTGCGCTGGCAAACAGCCAACGGAGGTTTTGTATGAGAAAGCGACCGCAACGCACACGCATCGCGGGGGTAGGGGGAAATTAGAGATTTTCTCAAATTCAAATTTATTTTTTCGCGGGGTGAATCTCATTTCCAAACGGACAATACAAAAATTTTTTTCAAGAAAATTCTCGATCAATAATTTTAGCGATGGTATTCAATTGAACATTCGATGTTCCCTCATAAATCTCTCCAATCATCGCATCCCGATAAAACTTTTCAGCTGCAAACTCTTTGGTGAATCCCACTCCACCCAACCATTTCACACATTGTGCAGTTGATGACGTGGCGACTTGCGAGGCAAACAATTTCGCCATCGCCGCCTCTTTCACCACAGGTCGATCAGAATGAGCCTTGATTCTTGCGGCATTGTAGACTAGCAATCTGGCCGCCTCGATTTCCGTTGCCACTTGGGCGATTTGATGTTGAAGACCTTGGAAATCGATGAGACGTTTCTTGAATTGTTTGCGTTGGCGTAAATAGGGAACGGTTTGGTCGAAACAGCCTTGAGCTAAGCCGATCATTTGCGCTCCAATCGCAATTCGACCCGAGTTCAGACATTCGATGGCGTATTTGTAGCCTGGAAAATTGTTCTATAGAGCAACTTTGCTACTTGGGTTCAAAAAGATTTGAAAAAAAGTTTTTTGTGCATTTTTACGTCACGGTGTTTGCGGACCCCCAATTTTTTTCAAATTCAAATTTCCTATATGCTAATTTACCTACGAGTTTTCTTCCCACGCTTCCCTATTCAAATTCAAATTTCCAGAAAAATTTCCAGCTATAAAAACCCGCCCAGTTCTTCTTCTACATCACAAAAAAATAATGAATTTCCAACTTTTCTTCCTTTTAGCTACAATTTTCGCATTCTCAATGGTGGTAGGTTGAAATTGCCTGCGTATCTGACTAAACACATTTAATACTCAGTCAACCTTTTTTCTTTTCAGCAATCCCAAATAGTGCCAAATCTTAGAAGTGGTGGAAGTGAGGTAGGTCACATCTATACTTAATTCGCTGCGTACGTTTGATACTCAGCCAATATTTTTTCAGCAATCTAATCATATAGTGCCAAACCTTAGAGCTGGTGGAAGTTTAGTGAGTTGAATTTTGGCTGCGTACATTAGATACTCAGCTAACTGATATTTTTACTTACAGTGGACTGGAAAACAAGACATTTCCTCAATCATCAGCTCACTCACAAGCCTTTTGAAACCAAAACAATAATTATTTTTTTGGGATTTTATTTTTTTTTAAATAAATGGGTTCACAGGGATTTTTTGACTATGACGTAAATGTTTTACTCACCTTTCCCCAACTCTCCCAAAACCTTCGATTCCTCAACTCTCACATTATCAAAATGCACCTGACACGTGGAACTTGCGCGAATTCCCAATTTGTCTTCCTCTTTTCCAACCGACACGCCCTCCTGATTTCGATCAACAATGAAACATGTGATTCCTTTATAGCCGAGAGATGGATCGATATTTGCGAAAACCACGAAAACTCCAGCTTCGGAGGAATTTGTTATCCATGATTTTGAACCTGGAAATATATCATTTTTGATATACGGAACAAAGGGGTCCAAGACCCTCTAGCTAGACAGGGGACCCTTGAGTTAACCCCCCCCCCCTTCCAGGAAATATTTTCAAAAAGTTAACGCCCCCTAACCAACTATTTGTGGGTTTTTGGCCTCTAAAGCCATAAAATTCTTCAAAATTTTCAAAAGTTAAGGGCCCTACCTCCGAATTCAGAGTCCTAGTTCATGTATGGCTAGACAACAAAGTGTGTGCGCCTTTAAAACCCCCTTCACTCACCATTGATTATATAATGATCTCCATCCTTCTTCGCAATAGTTTTCAACGCAAAAGCATCCGATCCAGCTTCAGCTTCAGAGATCGCAAAACTTCCCAAAGTGCCCTGACACAATTTGGGTAAATACTCCAATTTCTGTTCCTCATTACCGTGATCCAAAATCATTGAAACCGGAAGGGTATTGTGAATTGCGACCATCGCACTGACAGCTGGATCGACTTTGGCTAACTCTTCAATTATCAACATTGCGTCGAAGAATGTGGAGCCTGAGCCACCGTAGACTTCAGGCACGTGAACTCCCATTAGCTGGAAGATTTCAGAGATTTTTTCTATAGCTGGAAAATAAGTCTAGTCTTACCCCATTTTCAAATACACCATCAATAACCACTTGACTCATTTTTGAGTTTTTATCCATTTCGCGGATTCTTGGCTGCACCACATTTGACGCAAATTTACGGACTGTCTCTTTGAAAAATGTTTCGCTTTCAGTGAGTTTTGTCAGCGGTTCGGGAGCGCGCTCGATGATTTCGCCAAGTTTTCGAGCGATACGTCGTGTAAGAAACATTTTTGGCCACGTGGGTATTAGGAACAAAAGAAAGAGTCTCACTTTTATACTGTAGACTCCGCCCACTCATCAGTGATCACATTTTGGTCGCATTGTTATACATACAATTTTCGTTATCAGAAGAGGGATCTATTTTTGATCTGTGATGATTTGCATGTTTGGTATCGTTTTGTTGATCTTGAAAAGCGCAACAAAACGTGCTATTTGGTTTTGCATATAGACAAAGGTGGCTGAAATTTTTTTGAAATTCCAGCGAACTGCAGAAAATGCGCAAGAAAACACACAAATGCGCCAGTGTTGTGTGCGCGTTTATTTTCAAAAAAAAAATTTTTTTTTGCTGTTTTTTCTGTTTTTTTGCGCAAACATGAGGTTTTTCAGGTGAAAATGGAAACAATGATGGATATAGATGATGAAAATGAATCGAAGAACCGATTATCTTCGGATTCCACCGCCTACCAGATCCAAGAATGCATTTTATACGGCACAATCCACGGAAAATATCTAGTCGACTTTGGAACGACGTCTCGCAGGGCTTTGCGATCCAGGAAGCGAAGATTTCCACGAGCACGAGATGTCATTCAGTCTCCGAACCGGCGTCAACATGTCGCCCGATGTTTCCATCAAAATCCGCCGTCGCTTCAAACCCGACATTGTTTTCCACAATCAATGGCTGTTTCGCTACATCGGTGTGCCGGAACCCGACGCAAAATGTCCGGTGATTGTGAGAAAAGTGATCAATTCGATTTGCTATTCGCAAGATTGTATGACTTTCGCGAAAACTTTGGGGCTACGTATGGATTATGAATATATGGCGAAGGGAAAATTGTGGACGAAGGGCAATATCAAAATTGCCACGAATATTTTGTCGAGGACTGAAAGACCCGGACAATATGATCCGGCTTCGATTAAACCGGTTTCCGATTCGGTTTTGGTGGAAATTAGTTGTGCGTTGCCAGAAAGTGCTGAATATACTATGGTGGGTGCCTGTTTTTGACAAAAAAAATCCGATTTTTGAGAAAAAATCGATAATAATTCGCCTTTCCAGGCGGCCAAACAAATTCGCGACTTTGCCGATCAATTAATGCCGCTAGTCTGCATGGAAAAAGTGGATTATTGGAGAAAGTGAGTTGGCAAAAATAGGAATTCAATCTGAAATTTCGAAATTTTCAGATATTGTTCAACTGGAACTGTTGCGAGTCAATTGGGACCGATTCCAGTGCCACCAATGTGAAGTTTTGTACAAATTTTCGATGATTTTGCCGGTTTTTTTTTGAATGAAAATTTATCTTTGCCACGTCATAACTATTTTTTTTAAACAAAAATCCCAATGAAGCGATTTATTCAAGCTAAAATAGTTAAAGAAATTTAATCTTATGCAATCGAAATTGGTTGTTTTCCAGTCCACTGTAAAAATATCAGTTACAAAGCTGAGTATCTAATGTACGCAGCCAATATTCAACTCACTAAACTTCCACCAGCTCGAAGGTTTGGCACTACTCAGAGAATAAGAACGGAAGACCAGTGGAGAGTTTTCGGAGTTCCGGCGGAGAGAAACCGGAATTCCATTCTACCACCGCTGGAAGTCCGAAAACTCTCCGCTGGAAGTCCGAAAACTCTCCGCCGGAGCTCCGGGAGGCAAAATTTTCAAAATTAAAAAGGGAAATATGAGGTTGATGGGGGCTTCTATCTGAAGCTGTTTTTATCATCTGGAACATATTTGAAGCATCTGAAACTGATTTATGATAAGTCGGTTTGATTTCGAAGTAGTTTGTTTTGATCTGCCACTAGCGGGGATCGAACCTGGCTATTGAGGGTGGATCAATAGGCAGCCATTCACCCAAATAGACCATCCACGCGCGTAGAAACAGCGGCGGCGATCGGTCTTTATATATTTTGTATCACCCGAATTTGTATATGTTCATACTTTTGACCCACAAATCAGCTATTTAAGGATTAAAATTATTTATTTGAAAGCTGTTTCATATGAGATTTATCTAGTTTTCCAAATATTTCTTGAAAACATACAAAAATGATGTTTTTAACTCCAGAGAGTCAACATTGAACATTTTAATCTTAAGTTTTTTGATTTAAAAATGTTCGTAAAATAGTGCTGAAATTTCAATTTTCGAAACATGTGTTTATAATTTTTACTTGAAAAGTAACGAAAAATTTTCTCAGGCTGATTTAAATTTTCTAATTCATGAATGCTTTAAGAAAAGAGATGATAATACTTCCTGGACCGGTATTCAAATGTTTCTTTGAAATTATATTAGACTTTAACCAGAAAAAATTATAATTTTATTGAATTCAGAATCTAATTTTTATCAATAGCTTTGATATGAGACATTCAAACAATAGAAATTACAGTACAACTTTTTTCTGTAAGAAACGATTAAGTTTAGTTCGTAAAATCAAAATTAGGCAACTGTTTTCCAGTCTTTGAAGTTGGGAGGAACTTCATGAAATTCACGAACTAAAACTTTTCAAATATTCATTTTTCCGTTAACAATTTGGTTGTCTAATTAAAATGTTTGTTCCTCAACGTCTAACCGAAAACCTTATGGAAAAACACATGAATATTGAAGTTTCAACTCAAAAGTCAAAAATTCACTTCTTCTCTCCGCCGTAGTCTTTCTGGACACACTTGGTAACTCCACCGGAGAGAATTCTCCGCTGGAATTCCAAAAGAAAGCCGAAAATCATTTCGGAACTCCAGCGGACAATGTTCTCCACTGGTCTTCCAAGTTTTGGAGTCCGTTTTTGACTTTCTGACAAAAAAACAATTCTGGAAGTCCGCCGGAGAGATCTCTCCGACGGGATTCCGAAATTCGCTGTTTCGGGACTCCAGCGGAGGACTTTGTCCACTGGATTTCCGTTCTTATTCTCTGAGTATATGATTAGATTGCTGAAAAAATATTCATGTAGGCTGAGTATCAAATGTGTTTAGATACGCAGCGAATTGTGACCTACCTCACTTCCACCAGCTCTAAGATTTGGCACTATTTGGGATTGCTGAAAAGAAAAAAAGGTTGACTGAGTATTAAATGTGTTTAGATACGCAGCCAAATTCAACCTACCACCATTGAGAATGCGAAAATTGCAGCCAAAAGGAAGAAAAGTTGGAAATTCATGACTTTTTTGTGATAAGGGAAGGTCTGGAAGAGGCCCTTTTATAGCTGAAAAATTTAAATTTTCCCTAGAAATTTGAATTTGAATAGGAAGCCGTGAGAAATCTCCCATAAAAATTTGCATACCAGACCGGAAAATCGAAGTGTTTGGTATCAATTTGTAGATCTCGAGGAGCCAATCAAGACTATCTCCTTTGTTCATCGGGAAAATCTGGAAATTTCGAAAAAAATCGTCTGAAATTCTAGACTACCAAAAATGCGCCAGCAAACTCTGCAAACGCGTCAGTGTTGTGTGCGCGTTGGGAAATTTTTTTCATTTTTTTTTTCAAAAAACATGTTGCAAAATGGTTTTTTGCTGGGGAAAACAAGGTTTTCGTGATTTTTTTTTGGTTTTTGGGTTTGAAAATGAAGAATTTTTCATAAATATTCAAATTTCCAGCAAATGTCCGCTGAAACTACGCGGAAATATTTGCAAAATCGCAGTCGCTGGTTGTTCGCATGGAGAATTGGAGAAAATCTATGAGGTAAATAAGCTGGAAAATCTCAAAAAACTCAGGAATTTTGCAGGTCGTTCAACTTCTCGAGCAACAAAGCTCAGCCAAAATCGACCTTTTAATTTGTTGCGGTGATTTTCAATCAGTTCGAAATTATGGCGATTTACACCACATGCATGTCAACGAAAAACATCGACATCTAATGACTTTTTACAAATATTATAGTGGCGAATTGGTGTGATTTTTCTTGAATTTGCGACGGAAAATTCAACCAAAAACTTGCAGGTTGCACCATATCTCACCCTTTTCATCGGTGGAAATCACGAAGCTTCTGGTTTTCTCACAGAATTGCCAAATGGTGGATGGGTTGCACCAAATATTTATTACATGGGTTTTGCAAATGTGGTTAGGTAAATTTCAAAAGAATTCTTCATTTTCCCATGAATCATACAAAAAGGCGGGAAATTAGGCAACTTCTTTGCTCGGACACTGTTTCCCCAAGTCTCTGATCAAATTCTTGAGCATTTGTAATGTTTCGCTGTTGGCTGCTCCGCGAGATTTGCAGCGAAGCTGAAAAATTTCAGTTTTTCTATGGAAATTCTGAAATACCTGCCAAAAATCACAAATTTCCCATTTTTAGACAAAACTAGATTCTATTTTTGTCAGAAAATCTGAAAACTTGTGATTTTTGGCGGGATTTCAGCAGAGATGCGTAAGCTATGCCCAAATTTTGACTGGAAATCTCAAAATTATGTCTAATTTCTGAAATACCTGCCAAAAATCACAAATTTCCCATTTTCAGACAAAACTAGATTCTAGTTTTGTCTAAAAATCTGAAAACTTGTGATTTTTGGGGGATTTCAGCAGAGATGTGGAAGCTATGCCCAAATTTTGACTGAAAATCTCAAAATTATGACTAATTTCTGAAATACCTGCCAAAAATCACAAATTTCCCATTTTTAGACAAAACTAGACTCTAGTTTTGTCAGAAAATCTGAAAACTTGTGATTTTTGTCGGGATTTCAGCAGAGATGCGTAAGCTATGCCCAAATTTTGACTGGAAATCTCAAAATTATGTCTAATTTCTGAAATACCTGTCAAAAATCACAAATTTCCCATTTTTAGACAAAACTAGATTCTAGTTTTGTCTAAAAATCCGAAAACTTGTGATTTTTGTCGGGATTTCAGCAGAGATGCGGAAGCTATGCCCAAATTCTGACCCGCCCAAACTCATACATAAACCAAACTCGCAATCGCATAAATCGCAAACGTAAAATGACACGTAAGCTGAAACGCGCCGCCACGTTGTTGTCGAATTTGTCGAAATATCTCATCAATATCCAACGGTTTTCCCTCCAAACAAATCGAACTAATCACATCCGTCAAAAGCAACACGGCACTTCGATTCAACCCATTATCACAATGCAACAAAATCGGTCCCTTCTGTAGTGGATCCGCACCAATCGCTCGCAACATATACAACAAAACCTTGACATTCGGTTTTCTCTTCGCCTTCCATTGCGGATAATTGATAATTCGCACAAATTTACACTCCGAACAACCCTCCGGCAAAACCTCGATTGTATAAATAAATGGGCGGAAAGCCTTTTCGGGAACCTCTACTTTCCTGGTGTGAACAAAGAAGCGACCAATTGTCACAAATTGACCTTCTTTCAGCGGGAAATAGGCGGTGGAATCGGCCAATGCACAGCGTTTTGAAGTCATCGCAATTTCCCGGTGACTTTGCGTCATATTGAATTTCGTCTCGCGAATCGACAACGGACGACATTCGCTAATCTGATTCACCGAACTTTGTTGCATCACCGATCGCTTCTCACTCTTGCTACTTCGCTTATACGAACCCGTCGGCTTGTCCTGAAACTCCTTGATTTCGGGATCACCAAACGGATTGAACACGGCGAGCACCGTCTCCACCTCATTGTCAAATATCATTGCCCAAAAATCCTCCAAAGCGTCCGGCAATGGGTATTGCGCTAAGATGTACTTGCGATTGACGTTGGCAAACGTGATGTGACTCGCGTTGATGTAGTCGGATTTGCGAGTTTCGGTTGGCGCCAGTTTGACACGTGAATGATCGTAGCACGTGACTGCGGTGCGGTTTTTGGTGGGATTCGAATCGGCGGCGGTGGTGGTTGAGGAGGGTGACGTGTAGGCTTTGAGGCGGGTTTCGTAATACGCACCAATTCCACCATACGACACTGAAAAATTGATGACGTCAGTTGCGTGCGGTTGTGCGTCGCGGTCCGGAAACAAGCTTTGTTTCCCGACCGCGATTGAGTTGATATATTGGGTTTTAATGTTATTACAGTACAGTACCTCGAGCGCCTTTGGCGCGAGTGTAGATCAAAATTCCGCGAAAGCGGTTCGAGCGAAGCGAGTGTATGTCCCTTTAGATTACTGTAGGAATGATTAAAGGTGCATATTATCGAAAATCTCATCGGTAACATGTGCTCCACCGAAATAACACGCAACGCAGACGTCGCGCCACAACACACACAAAAAAGGAGGGAATTTGAATCGTTCCCTTTTTGTGTGTGTTGTGGCGCGACGCGGTCTGCGTTGCGTGTTTATTTCGGTTTGATAGAATGGTCTAAGACGAACAGAATGATATAAGTTTTGATGACTTTACCTTATCCATAAGTGATTTAGCGACGTTTAGGTCGATATTTAGTCGATAAGCCGCTAAATCACTTATGGATAACGTAAAGTCATCAAAATTCATATGATTCTGTTCGTCTTAGACCATTCTATCATATGAATAATATGACAAGAGTATGAACCTTTAAAGGACCCTACAGTACCCCCCGTCACTAACTCATTCCTCTAACCGCCTCCTCGAATCTCTTCACCGAAGCACACATATTCGGATCAACACGCACACCCTTCTTCGATTTTCGGCTTCCCGAATTTCTCGACGCCTTCCCAACATTTCCCATCTGCGACGCCTCCTTTTTGGTCTTCGAACCTGCTCCTCTCGAATCGTGGCTGAGCAATTTGTGCGAATTGCGTTTGCGCACCGGTTTTCCGCTTCCGGCTCCGCTTTCATGCGACGATGCTCCGCCGTGTGTTGTTGGCGAATTTGCGCCGCCGAATAGATCGTCGTCGTCTTCGAGTGTGTCCTTCTTTTTCAACGCATACTGTTTTTTTACCGTTTTCTTCGAATTTCTGCAACAAATAAGTGTGATTTGGCGCCATTTTTCATACCGTAATCCTAGGATTACTGTAGCTCATCTTGTATTATCGAAAATTCATCGGTAAATACGCGCTCCACCGAAACACGCAACGCAGACCGCGTCGCGCCACAGCACACACAAAAAAAGGGAACGATTCAAATTCCCTCCCTTTTTGTGTGTGTTGTGGCGCGGCGCGGTCTGCGTTGCGTGTTTATTTCGGTGGAGCGCGTGGTACCGATGAGATTTTTGATAATACAGGAGTTTCTACAGTAACCTATCTATAGTCGTTTGAAGCTCTCAAAGGACTACAGTACCCCCGCCTACAGTACACTTACGATCTGCCTCCTTTTTTGCCTCCCAACATATTTGTTACAACGGTCTTGAATTCCTTTTTTTTTCACGGTAATATCGGTTTGATCCCTCTTCTCACAAAAAATGAGCATTTTCGGGCGCGTCACGTCGTTTTATAGACGATTTTTGCGGTGTTGGCAAGATTTTTATCGATGTAGGGGGACACGTGGAAAATTTATTTTCATTTTTGCAAAACATTGGATTTTTGAAGCCTAGATTTTGGATAAGGCCTAACTAAATAGATTAGCCTAAAGTTTAGGCCTAGTTTTAACCTGAAATTTTCGCAGATGGACTTAGCCTAAATATTAGGCCTATTTTTAAGCTTGAAATTTAGTCTAAAAGCTCAAATTTTCTCCAGAAGTTATCTAAGTTTAGGCTGATTTTAGGCCTATCTGAAAAAGCCTCAATTTTTCGACCGGGCCTAGACTTAGCCTATATCTAAGGCCTAACTAACTAAGTAGCTTAGGTTTAGGCTTATCCTAAAGTTTAGGCCTATTAGTAAGCCTAAGCCTAAACCTGAAATCGCATATTTTTTAAAAAGCCTGGACGTAGCCTAAATATAAGGCCTAACTAAGTGGCTTAGGTTTAGGCCTATTATTAAGCCTAAGCCTAAAAACTTGAAATTTAGTCTAAAAAGCCTTCAAAGCTTCTCCAGAAATTACCTAAATTTAGGCTTTTTAGGCCTATCCATAGGCCCAAAAAGGCCCATTTCCCTCAAAATCCCTTAATTTCTTCCAGTTTCGCCGGTCTTCGAATCGCCGGTCTCTCGGGAATCTACAATCCGAAGGAATTCAATTTCGGTCACTACGAGCGGCCGCCATTTTCGGGTTATGGTGATGTGGTGAGCGCGTATCATGTCAGAAATTTGGATCATTTTCGGCTGCGACAATTGAGACCCAAAGATGACGATAAATCGGGGGTAATTTTTTTTTGATCTACGCAAAATCTGCTTCAAAATGATACCAAATTTGGCGCCAAAACTTTGGAGTACTGTAGGTCAACGTTTCGCGCTCAAAATTGGACATATTTCGGGCTAGATACAGTAACCCTAAATTTTGATCTACAGTAGCTCAAATTTTGGCGCACAATTCTGATATACCGTATCTCTAGCTTAAAAATGATACCGAATTTGGCGCCAAAACTTTGATCTACCCACAGTAATCTAAGGTTTTCGCGCCAAAATTCCACCTACAGTACCCCACTCCCGCATTTGTTTTCAGAATCCAATCGATATAATGATAACTCACGATTGGCCAGGCGGAATTGCGGATTACGGAGATGTCGAGCACCTGTTCCGCATCAAGAAATTTTTAAAGTCGGTGATTTTGGCGCCAAAAAAATGGCCCGCGAAATTCAAAAATTCAAAAAAATCGAATTTTTTTTTGCAGAGACGACATTCAAAGTGGAAAATTGGGAAATCCGGCGGCTGGAAAATTATTGCATGTGAGTTGAGTACTGTAGCTCCCTTTAAATTTGGGATTGGAAAATAGACCGATGTCCCTTTGAAAATTACTGTACCTCCCTTTAAATATGGGCTTGAAAAATAGACCTTTGTCCCTTTGAAAATTACTGTACCTCCCTTTAAATATGGGCTTGAAAAATAGGCCTATGTACCTTTAAAAATTACTGTACCTCCCTTTAAATATGGGTTTGAAAAATAGGCCGATGTACCTTTAAAAATTACTGTACCTCCCTTTAAATATGGGCTTGAAAAATATACCAATGTCCCTTTAAAAATTACTGTAGCTCCCTTTTAAATATAAATAGACCTATGTCCCTTTAAAAATTACTGTAGCTCCCTTTAAATATAGGCTTGAAAAATAGACCTATGTTCCTTTGAAAATTACTGTATCTCCCTTTAAATTTGGGACTCTTCAAAAAGAGTACTGTACCTCCCTTTAAATCCCCCGAGTATTTCCAGGAACTCCGTCCAAAATACTGGCTCGCCGCGCATCTCCACGTGGCATACGCGGCACTCGTTCCGCACAAGGCTAGCGGCGACGCGCCGCGTCCGCAACCCACAAAATTCCTCTCACTCGACAAACCCATTCCGCAACGGCAATTCTTGCAAGTTTTGGATGTGGCGGTCGCGGAAGACGCGGAAAAGCGGCTGAGTTATGATGAGCAATGGTTGGCGATATTGCGGACGACGGATGCGTTTACGAGTGCAGAGCGGAAGGTTTGCGGAAGACGCATTGCCACGTCATAACTAATTTCTCTTGATTTTGCAGTCTGTCTACCTGCCCAACCCTGGCGATAAAGAGGAGGAAAATGGTACGCGGAAAGACTTCCGGCCGACTGCGGAAGACTTAGCGGAACTCCGCGCTCAAATCGGCGCCGAAGCGGAAAATTTGCACATCAAAACCGACACATTTCGACAGACGGCACCACCGCTGAAATTGGTCACAGAACAGGCGAAAATGGTGCCGAGCAGTGCGTATTATCGGTGAGATTTTTGTAGCTACGCTTTTCACGTCAGCAAAAGGCTGTTCCCTATGATTTTTTTAAATCTCCATATCTTTCTGATAATTTTGACACCAAACACGAATATATTTCGAGATGCACCAGAAATGCGCCAGCAAACCCTATAGAGATTGCTGACGCGTTTGTGGTGCATCTTCAAATATACCCGTGTTTGGTGTCAAACCAACCAGAATAATACGGAGAACTGTGAGATGCTATCCAAAACTTCCCAAACCCTTCACTGACGCAAATTCGGTGCTGACGCGATTTTTGTAGCTACGATTTTCACGTCAGCAAAAGGTTATGATTTTCATTATCTCCATGTCTTTCTGATAATTTTGGCACCAAACACGGGTATATTTGAGCTGCACCGCAAATGCGCCAGCAACCCTCTATAGCTATTGCTGACGCATTTCCGGTGCACCTCCAAATATACCCGTGTTTGGTGTCAAAATGATCAGAATCCCATGGAGAATTTACATTTTTCGCCCAAATTGTTTGTTGACGCATTTCCGGTGCTGACGCAAATTTGGTAGCCCAGCTTGTTTGGTGTCAAAAAACGTGGATTTTTTTTCTTCCAGAAACCCACAAACCGCCGAATTTTGCCAGTGGCTTGGAATCGGTGACCTCAACAAAATGCTCATCGAGCTTGATCCGGGAAATGTGGGCACGGCATTTTATTTGAGTGAAGGGGACGCGGAAACTTCGCAAGTCGCCGCAGATTTTGGAGATGATGATTTTGTGGTTGATGATTTTTCGGCGAACGTCGCGGAAGACGCGGAAGCGGAAGCGGAAGAACCGGAAGCGAAAAAGTCGCGCAAAGATTCGCCGGTTTGAAAAAATCTGGAATTTGGAACATTGCTCATATTTGGTTGACACATTTTTGTTATTTATGAAAAATTGCGAATTTTTGAAATTTTAATTCTGAAATACCTTTCAAAAATCACAAATTTCCAGATTTTTAGACAAAACTAGACTCTAGTTTTGTCTAAAAATCTGAAAATTCTGTGATTTTTGGCGGGATTTCAGCGGAGATGCGAAAGCTATGCCCAAATTTTGAAAATTTTCAGTCAAAATTTAGATGAAGCTCTCAAAATCCACGTGGAATTCTGAAATACCTGTCAAAAATCACAAATTTCCAGATTTTTTGACTGAAAATCTGAAAATTCTGTGATTTTTGCAAAATTTTAGCACCAAAAATGTTCCCCGCCTTTTTTGGGTCCAAAAAAAATAAAAGTCCACATTTTTTTATGTTTCTCGATGCATTTCTAATTAGCCGCCATTTTTCATCATTTTTCCCCGAAAACCAAACTTTTTTTTTAGAATTTGGCGCCAAAATTTTCAAATTTTTTAAATTTGGCGCGAAAAAAAATTCAAATTCAAAAAATTTCGCAATTCTCGAGGCTCAGTGACAAAAACAGAAAAGAGAAAATCTATTCTGGGTTTTCTCTCTGCGTCTCTGCGTCTCTCACAAATCCACACTCTCTCGTCGCTCTCTCCTTTTTCGGCCATCTGTCCCCCTAAAGAAGCTTCTTCTGCCTCATTTTTCGACCGAGAAAAATTTTTGGAAGAAAATTTTTTTTTTTTTTTCGTCTGCGTCTCTCACTATCTCTTGCTCTATTTTCAAAAAAATCTGAAATTCCAGCAGCTCAAAATCTTAGATGAATTATGTCGAAAACCGCAAATTCCTATGCGTTTTCGATCAGGGAAAAAGATGTGATTAAGGTGATTTTGGAGTTTTTGGAGTCGCGTGGATTGCACATTGCTCAGGTTAGTTTTTTTCCGATTTTTTATTCCCGTCATTTTGACACCAAACAAGCCTAGCTACAAAAAATGCGCCAGCATAGCGTTTGCTGACGCCTTTTTTGTAGGTTCGCAAAAAGTCGATTATTTTCATGATATCCAGGTGATTCCCGTCATTTTGACACCAAACAAGCCAGATTTCCGCGGTGCACCGAAAATGCGCCAGCAAGCTCTATAGGGTTTGCTTGACGCATTTGCGGTGCAGCTCGAATTATAGTCATGTTTGGTGTCAAAATGATCAGAATGATTTGGAAATAATGAAAATCACAGTGAAAACATCCACATCCTTTGCTGACGCAAAAATCGTAGCTACAAAAATCGCGTCAGCACCGAATTTGCGTCAGTGAAGAGTTGGGAAGTTTTGCATAGCATTTCAAAGCTCTCCGTGCTATTGTGATTATTTTGAGACTAAACATAGATTAGTTTTGAAAGTGCACCAGAAATGCGCCAGCAATCTCTATAGAGGTTTGCTGGCGCATTTTTGGTAGATCTTCAAATATACCCTTGTTTGGTATCAAAATTACCAGGAACCCTTGCCGATCACAAATTTTATAATGAAAATCCCCTTACTGACGCATTTCTGGTGCTGACGCATTTTTTGCAGCTCTCTTTGGAACGTGAAACCGGCGTGATAAATGGCGAGTATTCGGACGATCTACTTTTTTTGCGTCAACTCATTTTGGACGGACAATGGGATAACGCATTGGATTTTGTGGAGCCGTTGAAAAGTTGCAAGGAATTTGATTTTCGCAGCTTTCGGTGAGTGACAAAAATGCGTCAGCACACCGGAAACGCGTCAGTGAAGCTTTCTTCGTGTGATTCTGATCATTTTGACACCAAACACGCCTATTTTTGGTTGTGCACCAAAAATGCGTCAGCAAGGTTTTGCTGGCGCATTTTTAGTACCTCTCTAAATTTCACCTTGTTTGGTGTCAAAATAACCGGTAAGCTCTGGAGATTACGAAATTTCCATAGAAAGTTCGAAAAACTCAAGATTGAAGTCAACTTGGTGCTGAGTTGGTAGCTACGGAAAATGCGTCAGCATAGAGTCTGGTGTTAAAACAAACAGGATTTTTGTGATCCTTGTGAGATTCCGGTCAGTTTGACACAAAATATGACTATATTTGGTTTTGCACCAGAAATGCGTCAGCAAGCCCTATAGGTCTTGCTGACGCATTTCTAGTACCTCGAGAAAACTGGTCATGTTTAGTGTCGAAATACTCAGGAACATGTGAAGATTACAAAAAACTGACTAAAAACCTTTGCTGACGCAAATCTGGTGCTGACGCATTTCTGGTGCATTCTCAAATATAGCTAAATTATATATGATTCTGAAAATCTGAAAAAATAGCATTTTCATGATCTTCATAAGATTCTGGTTGGTTTGACATAAAATATGACTATATTTGGTTTTGCACCAGAAATGCGTCAGCATTGGGTATAGAGGTTGCTGACGCAATTTCGGTACCTCTCTGAATATTGTCTTGTTTGGTGTCAAACGAATCACCATCACCTGGAGATCAAGAAAAACCACGTTTCACTGACGCAAACCCGGTGCTGACGCAAATTTTGTATCTTGTTTGGTACAGCGTTTTTGCAGCTACAACATCACCAAATATAAATTTTTCGAACTACTTTGCGTAAAACTCGAGCCCGGACCATTACACGACAACGATTTCGCAGTAGAAGAGCTCGTCGAATGTCTCAAAGACCTGGAGCACATTTGTCCGACTCCCGAAGATTACCGTCAACTTTGCGCACTTCTAACTCTGCCAAAACTTTCGGATCACGACGACTTCAAATCGTGGAATCCGTCAGCTGCCAGATGCGAATGTTTTCACAAAATCCTAACACTATGCGCTCATTTGCTCCCGCCCACGGCCAAAGAAAAATCGCGCCAAAAAGAGGAGCACAGCCAGAATGACAGGTTGCTCGGATTATTGGCAAAAGGCCAATTTTATGAGGGATGTGTCGATTTTTGTCAGGCTCAAGCTATTGGGGATGTTAAAGGTGAGATTTTCCCACATTTTGAGACCTACAAGTTGTGCGTCAGCACCAGAAATGGGCCAGTGAAGAGATTTTATTCATTTTCGTTGCCGAATCCAGCTTCTCTATGTCTTTCTGATCAGTTTGACACCAAACATGACTATATTTGAAGCTGCACTGAAAATGCGTCAGCAATAGCTATAGAGGTTGCTGGCGCATTTCTGGTGCACTTCCAAATATTTCCATGTTTGGTGTCAAAATAATCACAATAGCACGGAGAGCTTTGAAATGCTATCCAAAACCTTCACTGACGCAAATTTGGTGCTGACGCGATTTTTGTAGCTACGATTTTTGCGTCAGCAAAGGATGTTGAATGTGATTTTTATCATCTCTATAATATTCTGATCATTTTGACATCAAGAATGACTATATTTGAAGCTGCACCGGAAATGCGCCAGCAAACCTTATAGATATTGCTGACGCATTTCTGGTGCACTTCCAAAAATAGCCATGTTTGGTGTCAAAATTCTCCAAATCGTCTGGAGATTCCAAATCTTCACCTCAAAATTATTTTCAGGCATCGAAAACGGCCCGGCCTCAACCGGCCTGCTAAACATCCGGCCGAAACTAGGCTCCACCGATTTATCCCTAATTTGTTGGTTGGAAATTGTGGGAAAAGAGCAATTTGCACAGCCTTTCAAGCAAAAACAACTGGAATTGAGGGTCGAAAATGTGAAGTGAGTTGTTATTTTTTTCGGGCTGTAGCTACAAAAATCGCGCCAGCACCAAATTTGCGTCAGTGAAGGTTTGGGAAGTTTTGAATAGCATTTCAAAGCTCTCCGTACCATTGTGATTTTTTTGAGACCAAACATGGCTATTTTTTGAAGTGCACCACAAATGCGTCAGCAATAGCTATAGAGGTTGCTGGCGCATTTGCGGTACATCTCGAGTTATAGTCATGTTTGGTGTCAAACTGATCAGAAAGATATGGAAATAATGATAATCACAGTGAAAACATCCACATCCTTTGCTGACGCAAAAATCGTAGCTACAAAAATCGCGTCAGCACCAGATTTGCGTCAGTGAAGGTTTGCGAAGTTTTGAATAGCATTTCAAAGCTCTCCGTAATATATTGTGATTATTTTGAGACCAAACATGGCTATTTTTTGAAGTGCACCAGAAATGCGCCAGCAATCTCTATAGCGTTTGTTGACGCATTTGCGGTGCAGCTCGAATTATATTCGTGTTTGGTGTCAAACTGATCAGAAAGATGTGGAGATAATTAAAATCACCGTGAAAACATCCACATCCTTTGCTGACGCAAAAATCGTAGCTACAAAAATCGCGTCAGCACCAAGTTTACTAAAAATTTTCCAGAAAACCTAAATTGGAAGCGCCGTGGACTGAGACAATTATGGCGACACCTATCAAACCTGGCAACAAATTTCCCACACAATCTGGTAAGCCCCGCCCATTTTTCTGTGCTCTGAAAATCGCTAAGCTCCGCCCATTTTCATTACAGGTCCCATCTTCCAAGCCGAAATTCGCTGAAAAAATGTCACAATCAATGACGATGTCGATGCTTCCGGAAGCATCCTTCCGCAAGCTTCCGGAAGCCACTTCCGCGTTCATGTCGCGGTCGACTGCCGCAGGCTTCTGCTTAGGCGGTGCGCAAGCGGCGAATGATGCGGCAATGGTGCAGAGTCAGATTATTGATGAGATGTTGGAGACATCGCACGCGGCAAAGACTTCACGGCCCGACACGTTGCGAACGCAGCAGATGTATGTGGCGCCGCCTGCGATGCCGCAAGCGGCATTTTCCGCGTCGCAGAACCCCGCCATGTTTATGTCAATGATCCCCATGGCGCAAAGTTTGATGACCCCGGATTTTACGCCGGTACGCAGACAATTGGACGAAATGACCAGGCGGTATGTGCATTTTTGAAATCTCCTCGAAAAATCCGACAGAATCATATATAATTTAGCTATATTTGAGAGTGCACCACAAATGCGTCAGCACCAAATTTGCGTCAGCAAAATATTATCTTGTGAAGTTAAGACTATTTTTGAAATCCTCACGTGTTCCTGAGTATTTTGACACCAAACATGACCAGCTTTCTTGAGGTACCAGAAATGCGCCAGCAAGACCTATAGGGCTTGCTGACGCATTTCTGGTGCAACACCAAAAATAGTCGTGTTTGGTGTCAAAATACTCAGGAACATGTGAAGATCACGAAAATGCTATTTGTTGACGTATTTTTGGTATCTACCAAAAATGCGTCAGCACCAAATTGACGTCAATCTTGAGTTTTTCGAAATTTCTATGGAAATTTCGTAATATCCAGAACTTAACGGTTATTTTGACACCAAACACGGTAGAATTTGAGAGATCTACCAAAATTGCGTCAGCAAGACCTATAGGGCTTGCTGACGCATTTCTCGTGCACCTCTAAAAATAGCCGTGTTTGGTGTCAAACAGATTGGAATACCTTGGAGAGCATGAAAATCATACTTATTTTTGCTGACGTATTTCGGGTGCTGGCGCAAATTTTGTACCCCATCATGTTTGGTGTCAAAAAATCCCAAATTTTCTTTCAGCTCCCTTCCACCCTCCCGTCTTCCCACTCTCCCGTCAGTTCCCGAACTCGGCTCGCCAAATTGTCAACACGAGGAAAATCTGATGACTCAAAGTCGACTCTTCCAGCAATTTTCAGCCGGTCAGAAAGGTTGGTATGCACACAATTTTTTCATAGGGGACACCAAAAAATACAAGAATTGCTCATATTAAACAAGAAAAAAATAGAGTTGCTCATATTAAACTGCTTCTGGCGAGGCACGATTCAGGTCTGCGTTCGAGACCGCACAACTTAGCGCAATCACATCTCGATATCCATTCATTGACACGCTGAAATTATTGAGTTTGTGGTGCACCAAAAATGCGTCAGCACGAGATTTGCGTCAGTGAAAAGAATTTTTGATAGCTATTTTCTAATTCCTTTTTTGATTTCAAGCATTTTGACACCAAACATGACTGTATTCTGGGTTGCACCGAAAATGCGTCAACAAAACCCTATGCTGGCGCATTTCTGGTGCACTTCAAAACATAGTCATGTTTGGTGTCAAAATACTCCAAATCACCCAAGCAACTCGAAGCCAAGACTCTTCACTGACGCAAATCCGGTGTTGACGCAAACCCTTACCTCATATGAAATGGTGCTACCGTATTCCTGGCACAAATCAGTGCCTCCTGTATATTCGGGAAGAATTGTGTGCGCGGAATTGTGTTGTAAAAACCCAAATGCTCCATTTGATCGCGGATGAGCGCCGGAACACCGGAAAAGAGGCATTTGATGTTGTCCGCGTTCAAATCACCGTACACCTGTAATATGAGCAATGTATTGCTCATGTTAAAGAAAGGCTTCCCAGGGCTTTTCAGGGCTTTTCAGGGCTTCCCAAGGCTTCTGGAGGCTTCCCAAGGCTTCCCGAGGCTTCCCAAGGCTTCCCAAGGCTTCTCAAGGCTTCCCAAGCACCTCTTTAACCTGAGCAATGCCCAAACACCAACCTGCGACAAACACGTCAGCATATCCTTGTCAATCGCTGTGACACCATTAAAAGTCAACACCAAAAATCGAACGATTGGCGGAACGTCGCCGTTCGGAAGAGCCTGAAATACATGTTAATATGAGCAATGAGAAATGATTGCTCATGTTATTGAAAAAAGTGAACTCACCACCGAATTATCGCACTCCTGAATAATTGTGATGTTTGCCGATAGATTTACCGATTCACGAGCTGTCACACTTTCCTGTAATGAAAACTGAAACGGATTTGTTTTGAGCTTGGGAGAGGGATTTTTGGCAACGAAATTATGGGCTCAGAAATTTTTTTTTTTTAATTTTCATTATTTTTGAGCATGTTTGGACTTTTTGTTTTTTTATTGCCACGTGGATTTTTTTAAATTTCAATTTTTAAAATTAAAATTTGAAATTAAATTAAAAATTTTGAAAAAATTTTTTTTTTTTTTAATTTTTTTAAAATTTTTTTTTCTAAATTTCAGAAGCCTAAGCCTAAGCCTCATCTAGGCTAGACTTACCCCTAACTTAGGCCTAACTCAAGCCTAAGCTAAGGCTAGGCTAAGCCTAAGCTAAGGCTAGGCTAAGCCTAAGCTAGGCTAAGCTAAGCCTAACCTGAGCTAGGCTAAGCCTATTCTAAGCTAGGCTAAGCCTAAGCTAATCTAAGCCTAATCTAGGCTAGGCTAAACCTAAGCCTAACCTAAGCCTAACCTAAGCTAGGCTAAGCCTAAGGCTAATCTAAGCCTAATCTAGGCTAGGCTAAACCTAAGCCTAACCTAAGCCTAACCTAAGCTAGGCTAAGCCTAACTTAAGCTAGGCTAAGCCTAACCTAAGCTAGGCTAAGCCCAACCTAAGCTAGGCTAAGCCTAACCTAAGGCTAACCTAAGCCTAACCTAAGGCTAGGCTAAACCTAAGCCTAACCTAAGCTTAGCCTAAGGCTAGGCTAAGCCTAAGCTAAGCTAGCCCTTAGTATAACCCAGGCTTAACCTAAGCTAGGCCTAGGCCCAAACCGACCCTCTCCTCACCTTGGGTCCAACCGCCGACGGACACTGACTCCTCAAACTCGCCGTCCTCGTGCCAATCCCAATACCAATCAACCCCTTCACAATCACCGCCTGCCTAATCAGCTCATTCCGAATCTGCTCACAATTCACCGAGAGCAACGGACCACCCAAGCGGATGATCCGCATCGGCGTATCCATACAATCTCCCTCATACCGCGTCTCTTCCGCGAAATGCGCATCGCTGAGTTTGGCCAACACTTCGATTTGCGGAAATTGCACGCGCAAACTGACGGCAAAGATTTGACACGCCAACATTGTCAGGAAAACCGGTGCATGTGTTGGGGATGAGGAGAGCCGAGAAGAGAGCCAGAATTGCGAGCGACTAGAAAAATTGGATGGTTATGACGTGGATTTCGAGAATCCTTCTTGGGATTCTGCTTCGAAAGACACCCCACAAGCCTATGCTCAGATTAAGTTCCCTTAACTCACCGCATCCCACGTGGAAGCGTATATAGTTTGATGTATCGATTTGAGGTCGCTGAACCAGCCACTCAGCGAGACAATTACCATAACTCCGATTGCGCACTGGAAAATGTTGTATAATCTGAGCAATGGGTTGGAAAAATCTGGACTTAGGCTTGGTCAAGACCTTAGGCTTAGGCAAGACCTTAGGCTTAGCCAAGACCTTAGGCTTAGTCAAGACCTTAGGCTTATCTAAGGTCCTAGGCTTAGGCAAAGGCTTAGGCTTAGCCAAGACCTTAGGTTTAGCCAAGACCTTAGGCTTAGCCAAGACCTTAGGCTTAGCCAAGGCCTTAGGTTTAGGCAAGACCTTAGGTTTAGGCAAGACCTTAGGCTTAGCCAAGACCTTAGGCTTAGCCAAGACCTTAGGCTAGGCTTAGCCAAGACCTTAGGCTTAGCCAAGACCTTAGGCTTAGCCAAGACCTTAGGCTTAGGCGTAACCTCAGCCTAAAATTCCAGGCTCGAGCTTAGGCTTACCCAAGGCCTTAGGCGTTGGCAAGACCTTAGGCTTAGCCAAGACCTTAGGCTTAGCCAAGACCTTAGGCTTAGCCAAGACCTTAGGCTTAGGCGTAACCTAGACTCAGCCTAAAATTCTAGACTCGAGTTTAGGCCCACCCAAGACTTCAGGCTTAGGCGTTGACTTAGGCTTAGGCAAGACCTTAGGCTTAGGTTTTGACTTAGGCTTAGGCGTAACCTAGACTTAGCCTAAAATTCTAGGCTCGAGCTTAGGCTTAGGCAAGACCTTAGGCTTAACCCAAAGGCTGGACCCAGCCCCTAGGAATCTTCTGGACTTAGCCTAACTCCCTTCCTCCCCTAACTCACCATCGGTAGAACATTAAAAAGGGGCGGTCCGAATTGTATCAAAATGGCCGTCGGAATCAGCGACAAAACATTGGCAACCAGTGAAAACTTCGACGCCTCAATGTTAATCTGACTACTCCCATAACTCGAACTCGGCGGAAGCAGACGGAAAAGTGAACTGATGAACGAGATGATAGAGAAGCAGAGTAGTTCCTGCTTCCTGTGCACCTTGTACATCTTCTCCTCGGCTATGCTTTTTGTGATTGACATATGGGCGCACATGGTGTACATTGAGATGGCGAGGCTGTCGAGAAGGGTTGAGGTGGAGGGCAAGGTCCAGAAGCGGATGGCGGGGAGTGAGAAGTCGAGATGATGATGGGTGGTGGGAAGAATTTGGGTGATGGTGGGAGCGGGTGTGGGTGTGGGTGTGGGAGAAGACGAGGATGGGGAGGTGCCGAACAAGTAGAGCGTGGTTGTGGCTGGAAATTTTCAGAATACCATTGCTCAGGTTAGGTTAGAAATTATGAGAATTCTAATCTGAGAAATAGTTTTTTCGAGGCATTGCTCAGATTAGGCTGAAAATTATGAGAATTCTAATCTGTGAAATAGTTTTTTCGAGGCATTGCTCAGATTAGGCTGAAAATTTGAGGATTTTAATCTGAGTTACGGTTTTCGAGGCATTGCTCAGGTTAGGTTGAAAATTTGAGAATTATAATCTGAGCAATAGTTTTTTCGAGGCATTGCTCAGGTTAGGTTAGAAATTTGAGAATCTTAATATGAGCAATGCCTTTTCAGGTATTGCTCAGGTTAGATTATTAATTTGAGGATTCTAAGCTGAGCAATGTTTATCAGATATTGCTCAGGTTAGATTAGAAATGAGCTATGAAAATTCTAATCTGAGCAATGCTAAGGTTTTTAAGGCATTGCTCAGGTTAGGCTGAAAATTTGAAGATTTTAATATGGGCTACGGTTTTCGAGGCATTGCTCAGGTTAGGCTGAAAATTTGAGAATCTTAAGCTGAGCAATGCTTTTTCAGACATTGCTCAGATTAGGTTGAAAATTTGAGGATTTTAATATGAGCTACGGTTTTCGAGGCATTGCTCAGATTAAAAGTTTGAGAATCTTAATCTGAGCAATAAATTTTTTCAAAATTGCTCAGGTTTAGGTTAAAACAAATTTGGGGATTTTAAGCTGAGCCATGGTTTTTTCGAGATTGCTCAGGTTAGGCTGAAAATTTGAAAATCTTAATCTGAGCTACGGTTCTCGAGGCATTGCTCAGGTTAGGCTGAAAATTTGAGGATTTTAATCTGAGCAATGTTTATTAGATATTGCTCAGGTTAGGCTGAAAATTTTGAGAATCTTAATCTGAGTTACGGTTTTCGAGGCATCGCTCATGTTAGGACGAAAATTTGATGGTATTAATATGAGCAATGCTTTTTCGAAATTGCTCAGCTTAAAAGTTTGATGATTTTAATCTGATTGTGAGTTACGGTTTTCAAGGTATTGCTCAGGTTAGGCTACGAAAATTATAATCTGAGCAATAGTTTTTAGGTATTGCTTACAAGTTAGGTTAGGTCAAAAATTTGAGAATCTTAATATGAGCAATAGTTTTTTCAGACATTGCTCAGGTTAGATTGAAAATTTGAGAATTCTAATCTGAGCTACGGTTTTTTCGAAAGGCATTGCTCAGATTAGAATCTGAAAACTCACCCAAAACGAGGCACAAAAACTCGTGCGGTGCACTAAATCCAAATTTGGCCAACAAAAATCGATTCACCCTCCACTTGAACGCCACAAAAACGACGCAACACGTTGCGGTGACCGCAATCAGAAGCGGATCCGCCGCGCGCAAACACGGCATTGCCGCGTAGAAACATTGAAGAGATCTGCTGCTGGCGGTTGCCGCGAGGGTGGCATTGAGGGGTTGCGGAACGATTGCCGCGTTGGGTTTGCAGTCGTGGCCGCGGAAGATGAGGAATTGCGGAAAGAAGCGCGCGACGATGCGGACGAAAAGGCCCAAGGAAAATCCGGAAAGCGAACTTGTCGAGATGTAGGAGAAGACGAATTCCAGAGGGAGCAGGAATTGGAGGAGCTGCAAATGTTTGGGTTACTGTAATTAGGCTGTTACGAAATTTCAGACTCAAAAAATCCACGTGGAAATTTCTGTAGATCAAAAATTTTCACGTACAAAATTCTCTACGTGGCATATGAGTTAGGCGGCAAATTTTGATCTACAGAATGTTTTGGGTACTGTAGTTTAGGGGTACTGTAATTTGCGGATCCAGGCTGGATTTTTTTTAAATGTCGAAAATTCAGGCCCATGAAAAGCCACGTTCGGGTTACTGTAGCCCTATGTTTTGGCGCGAAAAATTTTCAGGCGCCAAAAAATTTCGAAAATCCACGGGATACTGTAGATCAAATTTTTTGGCGCCAAAAATGTGTGTCTTTTTGATCTACAATAACCTTAGATGCCACGTGGATTCCAGGTTACGGTAGCCTAATTTTTCGCGCCAAATTTTGGAATTTTTGTAGATCAAAATTTCAAAAGCCGATTTTTGGCGCCCAAAATTTGATCTACCTACAGTACTCCTACAGTACCCCCCCCTATTTGATCTACCTGAATAACCGCACAACACAACGAAATGGCGGCCAAACTGCTTGCCGAGTACTGTATCGAGCTATAAATCATAATAGCTGAAAATGAGATTGAGCCCAGACTGGAATGTTGAGCCGATCCGAAAAACGCATAGACAATTTGCGGTAGGAAAAGGCTGAAACACGCCGCGGGAATATTGTCGATGATGGCGCCGAAACCGATTGCTTGTGGAATGAGAAGAGAGGAGAGGAATATGGCACCCAAAATGTCACGCCAAAGGGTGTCCTGAAAGAAAATTTGCGAATTTTTGACACCAAATATGGCAGGGTTACTGTGGATTTTGGTCCCAAAAATTCGGTCTACAGTACTCTAGAGATCCACGTGGATTTTTTGACACCAAACAAGCCTAGGTTACTGTAGATCAAATATAAGTGAAAAAAGGGTGGTCTACAGTACTCTCTAGAGATCCACGTGGATTTTTTGACACCAAACATGATTTGGTTACTGTAGATCAAATTTTAGTGCAAAAAAGATGGTCTACAGTACTCTCTAGAAATCCATGTGGATTTTTTGACACCAAACAAGCCTAGGTTACTGTAGATCAAATTTTAAAGCAAAAAAAAAGGTGGTCTACAGTACTCTCTAGAGATCCACGTGGATTTTTTAAACTAAACTTGATTGGGTTACTGTAGCCCCAGAAATGTTATCTACAGTACTCTATAGAGATCCACGTGGATTTTTTTAACACCAAATTTAATTTGATTACTGTAGATCAAATTTTAAAGCAAAAAAGTTGGTCTACAGTACTCTCTAGAGATCCACGTGGATTTTATTTGCGATTTGGGTTACTGTAGCACAAATTTCAGTGCAAAAAAGTTGGTCTACAGTACTCTCTAGAGATCCATGTGGATTTTTAAACTAAAATTTGCAATTTTTTCAAAAAAAAAATGTTCTCCACCAACTTTTCTATCGCCTCTTCCTCAATTTTTGATCTATTTTTAGCTCCAAAAAATTTTGAGCCCATCAAAAATCGAGCAAATTGAGTTACTCCCCAAATTTTCTGCTTGATTTTCGACTCACTTTCACATGATACTTCTGAATCCACGTGGCAATCGGCAAAATCTGAGCCCACGAATTTGGCGGCTGATAAAGGGCCCAATTTTCGCCGATTGTATATTGACGAAACAGCTCGCCGTTCGTTTTTTTCTTGCGGAATTTGACGAAGTTGTAGCGAGAATCGAAATCGTCTTGAGTCAAAGCACGATTTGCATTTGGAGGCGGACCGACGAGCAGACTTATTGAATCCATTTTTTCTGAAATTTTTCGGATTCAGCGTGAAATTCTGATCTAGAAAACATCTCATATGATATTCCTAGGGAAATTTTGAGATATTGAGTTGCTACGCAGCGAAATTCTATATGTAATAGTGTGGATACGGAGTTTGATCAATTTTTGTGCTAGAAATGTTTTAGAAGGCTGTCCTGAATCAGAATTTCACGCTGATTCTAGAAAACTGCTCATTTTTGGGATATTGAGTTGCTACTCAGCCAATTCACTGTAGTTTGTGATACGGAGTTCGAGAACTAGCCCATCTCATGCTTTGAAACCCAGATTTTCAAATTCACCGTGAAATTCTGATCTAGAAAACATCTCATACGATATTCCTAGGTTAATTTTTGAGATATTGAGTTGCTACGCAGCGAAATCCTATATGTAATAGTGTGGATACGGAGTTTGATCAATTTTTGTGCTAGAAATGTTTTAGAAAGGTGTCCTAGATCAAAATTTCACGCTGATTTCAAAAATCTGGGTCTCGAGGTGTGAAACTTTCTAGTTTTCAGACTCCGTATCCAGTGTACTAAAGATTTCGCTGAGCATCAACCTTCATGGTCAAAATTTCACGCTGATTTCGAAAATCCGGGTCTCTGAGCTTGAAAATAGCATTTTCTCAATGAAAAATTGGAAAAAATAGTGGGGAAATGTGCCAAATGCAACAAAAAATCAATTCCAGGAGCCGAGCAGAGCAGAATAATTAATTGCATTTTTCTCATTAAGCGAAAAAAAAACATTTTTTTTGTTTTGAAAAGTAAATTTCAGTGCTAAATTGATTAGAGTTGCCATGGAAAAATGAAAAAAAAATTCCAAAAAAAAAAAAAAAAAAAAAAAAAATTTTTTTTTTCGTCAAATAATAAAAACATATATTTTTATTTAATCCAGAAGATGGATTAACATGGAAAAATATCAATTTTATTTCGCGCGCCGGAAAAATTGATAAAAGTGCCAGCAAAAAGTGGGCGGAGCTTGCGCGAAGAAGATTAGATTATCTCTGAGAGCTCTCCGCTTTTTTTGAGCTTCAGCTCTAGCTCCAAAGGAAATGAGCTCAAAATGAAAAAATAAAATAAACTCTGCGAGGGGGAAATTATTATGTTATAATTGGTCATGCATAAATTAGCATTTTTTGCATAGAAAAGTGCATTTTCACATCGATTTTTGGTGAAACTCACAGAATTCTCAAGTAAAAGTTGAATTTTTGGAATCAGCGTCGAATTTTGATCTAGAAAACATTTTACACGCTTCAATTCGCTATCATGAGTTGCTACGCAGCGAAATAAGCCTAGAGGGATACGGAGTTTGAAAACCACGTGGATTTTTGAAATCAGCGTGAAATTCTGATCTAGAAAACATCTCAAAGCAATCCCTAGCCTCGAAATTGATCAAACTCCGTATCCACACTATTACATATAGAATTTCGCTGCGTAGCAACTCAATATCACAAATTTAACCTAGCAATATCATATGAGATGTTTTCTAGATCAGAATTTCACGCTGAATTCGAAAATCTGGGTTTGGAAGCATGAAATGGGCTAGTTCTCGAACTCCGTATCACTTAACTATAGTGAATTGGCTGCGTAGCAACTCGGAATCTCAAAATTAACCTAGGAATATCATATGAGTTGTTTTCTAGATCAGAATTTCACGCTGAATCCGAAAATCTAGGCCCCGATCAATAAAAATCTGAAATTTCCAGCTTCCGATGTGATCTACCGTCAGCAACAACAACAACAACAACAACTTCCACGTCCGCAAACAATGATGCATCAACCGCCAGTTCCGCTTCCGCAACAAATTCGGCCAGTTTCGCAGCCTGCGTCAAACGCAAGCATCGCTTTTGTTCCGGTTTGCCGCTATGAAGACGCGCAAGCCATCCGGACGACCGCATTTCATCCGTCCGGAAAGTATTTTGCGTTGGGCACGAATTCCAAACAATTGTTGATTTGTAGATATCCGGACACAAGAACTGCAAGGTATACTGTACCTCCCTTTAAGTACATTTCTGTTTTTATATAGGGTACCTTTAGGTATACTGTACCTCCCTTTAAATAACTATACTTTAGATCCATTTAGATAGAAGCTTAAATAATTATATAGAACTGCAAGGTATACGGTACCTCCCTTTAAAAAATTTAACAGAACTGCAAGGTATACGGTACCTCCCTTTAAATAGTTATACAGAACTGCAAGGTATACTGTACCTCCCTTTAAATCCCATCTTTCCAGACACGGTGAACCTACACGACATGTTGAAATCGCTCTAACCCGCCCAAAACAACATCGCGGCTCGGTTTATTGTTTGGGCTTCAATCCGAATGGAGATTTGATTGCTACCGGCTCAAATGACAAAACTATTCGACTTATGGCTTTTGATGAGGAAAATTGCAGAATTGGTGAGTTTTTTGGCGAATTTTCTAGCCTTCAGAATCACCTGAGCGCTATGAGACCTGGATTTTTGAAATCAGCGTGAAATTTTGGTCTAGAACACATTTTACAATTAGCTTAATCTTGAAAATTGATTAAACTCCGTATCCACACTATTACATATAGGATTTCGCTGCGTAGCAACTCAATATCTCAAAATTAACCCAGGAATATCATATGAGATGTTTTCTAGATCAGAATTTCACGCTGATTTCAAAAATCCACGTCTCGAGACTCGAAATTCAAAAATCAATAAATTCCAGGCGCTGAAATGGAGCTCTCCTGTCACGACGGCACAGTTCGCGATCTAATCTTCCTGGAAAACTCGCACAATCGCTCAACAATTCTAATTTCGGGCGGTGCCGGAAATTGTCATTTGAATGTCACCGATTGCAATTCCGGTCAATTAATTCAGTCGATGAAAGGACATTCGGGTAGGGTTTTTGGGCTTGAAATGATGTTTTTGCTGAAAATAACCTAGATTTTCGAAATCAGCGTGAAATTCTGATCTTGAAGACATTTTCCAGATTCTTCTAGCCTTAAAATTAATCAAACTCCGTATCCACACTATTACATATAGGATTTCGCTGCGTAGCAACTCGGAATCTCAAAAATGAGCTAGGAATATCATATGAGGTGTTTTCTAGATCAGAATTTCACGCTGATTTCAAAAATCTGGGGTTTAAAGCATGAGATGGGCTAGTTCTCGAACTCCGTATCACTTAACTATAGTGAATTCGCTGGGTAGCAACTCAATATCCCAAAATTAACCTAGGAATATCATATGAGATGTTTTCCAGATCGGATTTTCACGCTGATTTCGAAAATCTAGGTCGCAATTTCAATAAAAATCTGCAATTTTCAGCGCCAATTTTGGGATTGTACACTTGGGGACACGCAAATCAACAACAATTTGTGTCGTGTTCGCAGGACAAAACTATACGATTTTGGGATTTGCGGCAGTCGCAAGCTATAAATGTCATTTCGCCAGCTCATAGTAGGTTTCGCCGGGAAATTTGAAAATTTTTGGGATTTTTTGACATTTTTTCACACAGAAATGTCAAAAAATAGGAAAAAATTATAGTTTTTTGTCAAAAAAAAAATTTATTTTTTTTTGAATTTCTGCAGGCGCTCCAGTAACCTCAGTGTGCGTAGATCCATCCGGAAAACTATTAGTTTCCGGACACGAAGATGCCTCTGTCGCCTTGTTTGATGTGACCGGTAATCGAGTTTTGCAAAATTTCCGGCCTCATGGAGACGAAGTGCGAACTGTCAGGTTCAGCAATGCTGCTTATTATTTGCTCACGGCAAGTTATGATAAAAGGTTGGTTTTTGGGGAGTTAGGCTAAGTTATATTGTCGAAAATCTCATCGCTACCACCGAAATAAACACGCAACGCAGACCGCGCCGCGCTATAACACACACACACACAAATAAGGAAACTATTCAAATTCCCTCCCTTTTTTGTGTGTGTTGTGGCGCGACGCGGTCTGCGTTGCGTGTTTATTTCGGTGGAGCGCGTGGAGTACCGATGAGATTTTCGATAACCATCACAAATTTTTCTTCCAGAGTTGTGCTAACTGACATGCGTGGCGATCTGATGGCTCCATTGATGTATCTTCCAGTCGCCGAACATTCCGACAAAGTTGTTCAATGTCGTTGGCATCCACTGGATTTCTCGTTTTTATCAACTTCAGCCGACAGATCTGCTGTTCTTTGGTCACTTCCAGCTGGAGGACACAAACAACGATTTTGAGCAGAATTTGAAGATTTTCTAATTTTAAAACGGGTTTTTTATGAGATTTCAATGAAGCTTTTTTATTTTTGGTCTGAAACTAGAGTGTAGTTTTGAATTCTCTACAAAATGAGCTACATAAATCTATATTTACTGTATTTTTGTATCCTCCCCTTATAAAAAACGAAATCACTGAAAATTTGGCGTCACATTAAATGTTTCCATCAATAATGTGCAAACACCGCTTCGTTTTTTGAAAAATCAACGCGCGTTGCGAGACACGGGAGAAAAATTGTGTGCACCTTTGATGAGGGGTACGGTAAAAGTATTCGTGAATTTTTATTTATTTTTTTCTTTTTTTGAGGGTTTGAGCGCTGCAATTTTTAGAACATCTAACACGCTTATTGTAACTTCAGGGGATTTTTTCTTCAAAACGGGAACCCCCCTCTAACTCTGACTTTGAGAATAGATCACATCAAAAGTATAACAGTTGGGAACCCTGAGATTCTCTCCAACTACACTTCACGAAGAGTATACTAGTTTACCAAAAAAAAAAAACTTTTTTCACCCGCAAAAAAACGTTGTGCGCTAGAGCGCACATTCCTCACATCGCCCCGCGAAAATTGTGTGTTCAAACGCGAGTGTTTTATTATTCCTTGCAAATCAATAATGAACAAGTTTCTCAATCGCCCACTAACACCAAAACGCTCCAAAGTTCAAAGATCAATTGGAGAATCAGAGAAGAATCAGGAAAATGTGATACCTGCGCAGAAATCGAAGAAAATTGATGAAAAATCGAGTAACGAGATTTTGGTTGGTTTTTTTAAAGTTTAAACGCATAAAAACTTTGAGCATTTTCAGCACGAAGCGATTTTCGACAATGAGGCCGAGCTAGTCCATCAGATTCTATCAAAAAATCGACCTTTCGACCAGAATTTCTCGAAAACGATGACAAAAATGCGATTTGCGCCGCAATCCGAAGAATACATGCTGCTCTCGTGCGACGAATCAGTGATTTCACAATTTGTCGAAAATCAGCGATTAACAATTCGCGGCGAGCCGAATGCCGACGCTGTTTTGTGCACCGAAACGCAAAGTTTCCCGCTGAAAATCGTCGAATCCGCCACAACAGTTCTTTTGATGAAAGAGATGCTGAAAGCGCCTGTGGAAGCTGAAAACGAGACGGCGGCGGCGAATTTCGAGTTTCGAAAAATCGACGCAAAGTGCTATGCGTTGGGCGAGATTTGTGCGAAATCGGAGATTTTACACGGCATTTCGAGACTCAAGGATTTGTTGCATGAAAATGAGTTGGAATGGGTCGTGGCGGAAAATTCGAAAAATGGGAAAATTTATGGAATGTCGGATTTATTGAAGTATGTGCAAATGAGCCGGAAGGAGATTGAAATTGCGATTGAGGATTTGCCGGTGGTTAAGATGAGCAATGGTGAGGATTTTTGTGAGAAAATTGAGAAAAATTGAGGATTTTCAACACAAAATTCAAACTTCAGAAGAAAATTGTCGATTTTTTTCTGATTTTTAGCTGAAAATCTAGTTTTTTTTCAAAAAAATCAAGATTTCTTTGCAAAATTTTGCAAAATTCACCTCAAATCCCCAAATTTCCAGGAAAATATCAATATTTATCTCACAAATATCGCGGCGAACTTCAAAGTCTCCTCGTAGAAGCGCTCGACAACGACGAGCTAACCATGGAAAATATGAATTTCGAAAAATTGCGCCAAATTTGGCCGGTTGGCAATGTGCCAAACGAGATTATTCACTGGTTTTTGGAGCGGAAATGTGTGAAGAATTCAGGTTCAGGAGAAAATTTCACAATTGTGGAAGATGAGTTGATTCGAGATTTGATCAAAATTGTGATGTACGCGAAGAATAAAATGGGATTCAGGCATTTTCAGGAGATTATTGAGAAGATTTTGCCATTCGGAATGAAGATTCAGTAAGTTTTCCAGAAGCTGAAAAGCCCCTCCTCACTATTTTTTCTTCAGAGAATCGCATTTCGCTGGGCTCTGCGAATTCGAAGACACTCCCAACGGCGAAAAATCGATAATTTATCTATCACCCGAAGATTTGCCTGATGCGATTTCTGATCGATTCCGCCATCTGTTCACAATTCGAAAATTATGGCAAATGGAAGAATTGCGACCGTATTTTGGTGATTTATTCAAGTCTCGCGTTGCTTTTGATAAATATTTGGTACAACATTTGGAATATACATTGGATCAACAAAATCAGCTTTTCTATTGTGGATTGAAATAATTTTTGAGTTTCTTATAAGAATCTTTGTTGGTGAATAAACCTTTTTTCCTTTGCAAAACAATGAAAATAATTTGAAAATGGTTAAAGGCGCATCGATTTTTGTGTGCGTTGGGTCTTGCGGCGCGTTTGTTTCTCTCACCGCCCTCCTCACTCTCACCACACAAATCGGCGCATTTGTTCGATTTACTCAGCGATTTGGGATGAGAAACCGGCGACGAATTGGCGATGAATCGCCGACGAACAACTGGAAAGTCGCTTGGCAACCGTCGGTTTCTCAGTTGTTCATCGCCAGTTCGTCGCCGGTTTCTCGCATGTGTGTGCGCTAGAGCGAGCTTGCAGTTTCACTTTTTCATCGCGGTTTTTTGCTTTCTACGAATTTATAGATAGGAATCAGTTCATAAAATGCTTTTATTATCATAAAACATAGTGAATAGCAAATGTTCAAAAATAAGAGTACATGTAATGTTTAAAAGTCACCTTATACAGGATTAATTAGTGAAAATTACATTTTATAAGTCCTTGTTCAGCGTTTTCTGGTGAAAATTTCGATTGATATGTTCTCTTTGTTGTGTCATCAGAATGTGCATCAGTTTTGTAGAGAATAATGTGATGATGAAGTTGTTGAACAGTTTCCATAACATCTAGGCACAACCAATTTCTGTAAATTGTATTCATTATAAACTTGATAAATATTATTTTACGGCGTCCAAGTGAAAAAGAAGCGTACGCGAAAACGCATAGAATCGCGTAACTTTTGCAAAACAACGTGTGTTTGGACAAAAAAAGCGTAGGTCTAAGCGATTCTACGTTTTTTCACTTGGACGCCGTATTATCAACATACCTTCGCAGTGATATTTCATTGAACATTCTTGAAGATACAATCGAACATGTTTCGGCGTCGTAGTCTGTAAAATTTGAGTATGGAAGTATCTATTATCATATTGTATTTGGATGTACTTATTCATATTGAGGCCGTGTTCTTGGAATAAGATAAGATGTCATTGAAAGTTTATATCTAGGTTTCACTCTGTACTCAGAAAACGTCTTGTCAACCGTCCGCGAGCCGGCAGACGGCCGTCGAATTCTGATACTAATTTGTCAGTTTTCTAGCTCGCAGACTGCTAGGTTCTGCCAGCTAGCAACCGCGAGCAGTCGAAATGCCTCTGCTAGCTTCGACAGCTCGCAACCTCGCGGACGGCTGACGAGAAGTTTTCTGAGTATACTGTTCCTGTCTATAGTGAGAAAAGATATTCAGACACAATACTTAGTGAATGATCAACTTTTGACGGACATTCTAAGAAATGAGATAATAATTCCAGTGAAGTTCACGTTTCGCAAATTTTCTTAATTAAAGGGTTGGTGCTCCGCCAGGGAATCTTGTTTGGTTTAGATAGGAATAAGGTGCTCCTGGAAGGTTCCAGTTTTAGAAAAAATTATAGTATCAATTCAGCCCATGTTTTTCCTCAAAAACACAAGCGAGTTAAAACCTACGAAATAAAACATGTAAATGCGCGCTAGCGCACAACTTGTTTTTGAATTTTCGTGTGTGTGTTTGCACACAACTTTGAAAAACAACACTGTGACGCCTTTTTGCAGACGATTTTTTCACCAGGAAAGCACCAACCCTTTAATTGTTATTTATATCTGACAGGAAATCATAAACTCTAGCCTCTGTCATGACGGTTTCACAACACTTCATGAGATAAATGAATAAATAACTCACCATTATATCAACTCTGTGCCGCTCCAATCGCAAGGTTTCGCGTTATTCAGCCAAATCTCATAATTTTCAAGTGACATGTCTGTGAGTGTTCTAAAGTGAGTGTTCTAAAGTAGGTTGCATGCTGGACCGTTGGTGATTGAGAATAGCTTACGTGTCACAAGACAGGTTTATTGATATCTATCTAAATTAATCCAGATTTTTACAATCATTTCGAAATGTGAACAATTCATCTCACCTGACTTTTTATTGAAAAATGGTTTTTCCATACAATCTATTTGATATGTTGATTTTGTATGCGCCAACAAGCAGAACTTCATTCACAACATACTGAAAATACTTCGTAAATAGGCTACAACTGAAGGTTGATACGAAAAACAGGCGAAAACAAAAAGAAACTTCAAAAAACATCGCTCATTTTTGAAAAAAACATGTTTTTTCGAGCGCGAAAGCAATGCTAAACAATAGGCATAGTTGTCGGAGTGTTGTCAAACTTTTACGTGATGAACTCGCGAGAAATCGGCGACGAATTAGCGATGAAAACAACCAAGCGCTCGCTATCTTCTTTTCTGAACAATTCGCGATGAATCAGCGACGAATCAGTTTATCGCGTGTTCGTCGCCGGTTTATCGTTTGTTTCTCAGAAGACCATTTTCGTCGCCGGTTTCTCATCCCAAATCGCTGAGTTTGTCATTTTTGTTGTTTTGGTGTGAATTTTGGGCGGTTTTGATGGGATATAGTTATTTTGCTTGGTTCAATCCATAGAAAATGATAGATATTAGGGGGAATCAGTTTTCTGGGAGGTTTTGAGTGAGTTACGAGATCTCTAGGGATTTTGTTGTTTTTCCATTAGAATTTTGTCTTCTAAGTGAGACCATGAGGCATTTTAGGATTGTAATTGCAAGATAAAGCAGCTCACAATTGCTCACAATTGTCAGATTGAGCAGGAGTCAAAAATGATGATTTCATGAGTTATTGGAATCTTGCGCGGTTTCCACGCGTTTCCACGTGGATTTCAGTTGTTTTGATGTGGAAACACTGGTTTTCAGGGGGCTTTGAGGAAGTTGCGAGGAATTTTGCTGTTTTCCTGACATTTTTGCCTTGTTTAACGAATAACATGGAAAGTTTTAGGATTCACTTCAGAGAAATGAAGATTTCTGTGGCTTTCTAGATGATATAAAGCGAATTTCAGCGTTTTGCGCAGCTCAAGCATACGATTTATGACATTTTCAGGTTTTTTAAGCAAATGAGTTGAAATATTGGGTTTTAATGTTATTCATATGATAGAATGGTCTAAGACGAACAGAATCATATAAATTTTGATGAATTTACCTTATCCTTAAGTGATTTAGCGAGGTTTAGGTCGATAAGCCGCTAAACCACTTATGAATAACGTAAAGTCATCAAAATTTATATCATTCTGTTCGTCTTAGACCATTCTATCATAAGAATAACATTAGAACATAATATTTCAACTCATTTGCTTAAAAAACATGAAAATGTCATTTAGTCGATGTCCAGCTATAATTCGAAAAAAGCTAAATATAGAATTATCTTTCACAGCTGGAATTCTTGGCTGTTTAGTATAGTTGGATGATGCAAAACTGAAAAAGGAACATACTTTTTTTTTCAACGATATCACGAAATCTCTCGTATCTATAGTCTATACGCTCTTTTTACTTCTTTCATCTCCTTCACACTTGAAATCTTCAATTTTTCAGATATCCATCGAATTATCTCAAATATTTGGGCAATTGAAAAACTTCGGTGTCTCCCCACAACACCGATTTCCACGAACAAGAACACATTAGCCGGGTTTCCGTTTTTTTGGTTTCTTCAAATCATCTTATTTGTTATTATCAATTGATTGTAATAATTATCAAGAAAATATGAATAGTCAAAGCTACTACGCAAATCAACAACACAATTGGTCGAATGGCGGAGGCGGCGGCGGATTCGGTGCTCCACCACAACAATCTCAAATGAATGGATACAGTGCGCCGCCACCAACATCGCAACCACCCCAACAACAACAACAACAACAACAATACGGGCGGTTCCAAAATGGAGGCGCGTCGCCACCGCAACAAAATGGGTACGCACTTCCACCGCCGCATTTAGCGGCGCAAATGTTCGCCGCTCAACAGGCGGGATTTGTGCCACAGCATTTTTTCCAACCCCCGCCGCCAATTCAGCAAATTGTTGAACAACAAAATGGGTGAGACAGTGTGTCGAATGCTTGCTCGGTTTTTTTTCGTTGTTTTGTTTTTAATAGCATTTTGCATGTGTTCACCTTGTCTTGCTTTTAGCGCAGGTATTGAAATTTTGAAGAAACATATCGAAATATACCAAATCGAACATGCTGATTACGATTCCGAAGTCAAAAATTCCTACAAACTCCTGTGAGCACTTTTCTGGAGTTCCAAATTTAGGAATTGAGTTTTGGTTTCCGTCCAGTTTCACCATGTTCCATGGTGGAAAATCAATTTTTATAACTTGGATAAGGTTGTTTTCGAAATTTGAAAATTCGAAAACCTATTCGCTTTTTAGCTTATCAAAAAATATGAAAAACCAGCCGAAAACTGTAACTTTTAAAAGTTTTGTAAATACACAAAGACACGTAGACACACGACTTTTAAATTACAGTTTTCGGCTGGTTTTTCATATTTTTTGATAAACTAAAAAGCGAATAGGTTTTCGAATTTCGAAAACAACCTTATCCAAGTTATAAAAATTGATTTTCTACTCCTGGAACAAGGACAAAAACCAAAACTCAATTCTAACTTTGGAGCTCTAGAAAAGTGCTCACAGGAGTTTGTGGCAATTTTTGACTTCGGAATCGTAATCAGCATGTTCGATTTGGTATATTTCGATATGTTTCTTCAAAATTTCAACACCTGACCTTATGCACTTCCTTTGTGAAGAAAATGTTGGACGTACCAAAAATCTGTATAATAATTTTTGGTACGATCAAATATTTTTTGGAAAATCCATTGATTTTCTTAACACACTCGCATCTCTAACCACAGCCTCCCTGCATGCTTTAATCCCCGCTTCACACCAAACTCACATCAATCTCTTCCTATAACTCTAAGTCTATCATTTCAGATATTCCAACGGTAACGCCTATCTTCACCAAAACAACAACTTCAGCGGCTACAATCGTGGTGATCAGACTACAAATCCGTACAGCTGGAAGAACCAAAGTATCGCCAGTGATTCGGTCGAAAAAAGTTTGTTCAATCTTGCGAACAGCGGTATCAATTTTGATAACTACGAGAATATTCCGGTTGAAGTCAGCGGTGACGACACTCCGGCTGCTATTGACAATGTGAGTTTTGGAAGAACTATAGTTGGACATCGACTGAATGACATTTTCATTTTTTGAGCAAATGAGAGGAAATATTGGGTTCTAATATTATTCATATGATAAAATGGTCTAACAAGGGAACTGTTTCAACGTGCAATCGAGATTTTTAATGAGATATATGTTTTCTACTAGTTTTCGACCCGCTGATCACGATCCCGCTGTCTAAAACTGCAAAGCTCGACTCCTAACATGAGTTATGACGTGGCAAAGTTGGAAAATTTGGGATTTTGAATGGTCCGAACTCGCCTTTAAAATGATTTTTATGCAAATCTAATAGCACAGGGTTGTTCATGTTTTCAATTTGATCAACTTTGAAATATTAGATTTCCCAAATTTTCCAACTTTGCCACGTCATAACTCATGTTAGGAGACGAGCTTTGCAGTTTTAGACAGCGGGATCGTGATCAGCGGGTCGAAAACTAGTAGAAAACATATATCTCATTTAAAATCTTGATTGTAAGACGAACAGAATCATATAAATTTTGATGACTTTACGTTATCCATAAGTGATTTAGCGACGTTTAGTCGATAAATCACTTATGGATAACGTAAAGTCATCAAAATTTATATCATTCTGTTCGTCTTAGACCATTCTATCATAAGAATAACATTAGAACCCAATATTTCAACTCATTTGCTTAAAAAACCTGAAAATGTCATTTAGTCGATGTCCAAGCGTTTCTGAAAACGTGTAATAATATAGAAAAATGTCACATTTTCAAAATAAGTGTATTTTTTTCAGTTCACCGAGGCGAATTTGCACGAATGGATTCAAGAGAATGTCGCCAAGAGCGGTTACACCAAGCCGACACCAGTGCAAAAACACTCGATTCCAACATTGTTGGCGAATCGCGATTTGATGTCATGCGCTCAAACGGGTTCCGGAAAAACCGCCGCATTCTTGTTGCCAATCATCAATCATATTTTGACCAAAGGTCCAGAAGGCTTGAAACCACCAACCATCAACAACACTGGTCGCAAAACATTCTATCCATCAGCTTTGATTTTGTCGCCAACTCGTGAATTGGCAATTCAAATTCACAAAGAAGCCTCGAAATTCAGCTATCGTACCAATATCATCACATCGATTTTGTATGGTGGAAGAGAGAATTATCGCGATCAGGTGAATCGTCTTCGCAATGGTGTTCATATTTTGATCGCCACTCCTGGAAGATTAATCGATATTATTGATCAAGGATATATTGGACTTCAAGGTTGCCAATATTTTGTTTTGGATGAGGCGGATCGTATGCTTGACATGGGTTTCGAACCGCAAATTCGTAAGATTGTCGGACTTGGTTTGCCACAAAAAGATGGAAGAACCACAGCTATGTTCAGTGCCACTTTCCCCAAAGAGATTCAAATTTTGGCCAAAGATTTTTTGAAGGAAAATTATGTGTTTTTGGCGGTTGGAAGAGTTGGTTCAACTTCGGAAAATATTGAGCAACGTCTTTTGTGGGTTGATGAAATGGATAAGAAGCGCAATTTGATGCAGATTATCTCGCAAGAAGCGCCTGGAAACTTGATGTTGATTTTTGTTGAAACGAAAAAAGGGGCTAATGAGTTGGCGTATTTTCTTGAATCGTCAACAAGTTAGCTCGGTAGCGATTCATGGAGATTTGAAGCAATTGGAAAGAGAGCGAAATTTGGAATGTTTCCGATCGGGAGAATATCCGGTTTTGGTTGCGACTGCTGTTGCGGCACGTGGTTTGGATATTCCGAATGTTCGACACGTTGTTAATTTCGATTTGCCTGGTGATGCTGATGAATATGTGCATCGAATTGGTAGAACTGGAAGATGCGGAAATACTGGAATGGCTACCAGCTTTTTCAATGATAAGGTGAGGATTTGAAAAATTTCTGGGGGTTTTTTTGTGAAAGTCGTAATGGGACCTTTTCAGAATAATATTTTGTAATAAAAACATATTTTTTCCTATGCAGAAAAACGTCGAAAAAACAAAATATGCAGTTTATTATTTTGAGTAGAGACAATGTGAAATTGAGAGAGTGCAGACAGACAAATTGATTTTTCCCACAAAAAACTAATTTTTCTGTCTGCACTCTCTCAATTTCACATTGTCTCTACTCAAAAATAATAAACTGTATATTTTGTTTTTTCGATGTTTTTCTGCATAGGAAAAATATGTTTTTTATTACAAAATATTATTCTGCATAGGCCCATTAGAATTTACTTGAAATTCGAATTTCCGTTTTTTTTTGTTCCAAAATTATCCTAAATTCCAGCTCAAAAATTTTAAATTTTAGAATTGAGCATTTTAAAAATATTCAAAATGAATCCAGTAAATCTAGAATTTTTTTCTGAAAAATTACAAATTCGAGCCTCTCTCAGAAGAAAGTCCAAAAATTTCTTATCTTTTTCAGAACCGTGGAATTGGTCGCGAACTCCTTTCGCTCGTCCAAGAATCGAATCAAGAAATTCCGGATTGGCTTCGTCGCGTCGCTGCCGAAGGTCGTATCGGAGGCGGAAATCAACGCGGTGGTGGCGGAAACCGTCGCTTTGGAGCTGTCGATTATCGACGTGGCGGCGGCGGTTTTGCCGGACACACTGGCGGAAGCTATATGCCACAAAACACATTTATCCCAAGCGGCGGTGGAAACGGTTTTGGAAATGGATTTGGTGGAGGCGCTGGAATGTATGGTGGTGGTGGTGGACCGAGAAGAGCATTCCCGCAAAATGGTGGATTTGGTGCGCATAATGGATTGTCGTCGAATGGATTTGGTGGAGGAAGAGGCGGATCGAGAGGTAATTTATATTCTGAAATATTAAATTATTGAAAAAAGGGCATTTTCTATGCTCTAGACCTGAAATTAGAGCTTCTTTTGAACTCAGTCCTGTGCCGGAAAATTAAAACCTGGAAAACAGAAAGTCGGAAGATTTCCGGATTTTTTGAACCAGAAAATCCGGAAAATTTTTCAAAGTCTGAAATTTCGATTTTCAGCCTTAACAAATACAATTCTTCTATTCACAGATAATTCAGTAACTATTTGAGACGTTTTAGGTTCAAAAAATAGTAAAATTTGAAAAATTGAAAAAAAATGTCCAAAAATTTCATTTTTTCTATCATAAACTGAGAAAATTTCTCAAAATTTAGGCAAAATTGTAAATATTACTACTAAAGGTCATTTTCCGGAAAAAAAAGTAAAAAATTTATTTTTCCGTGAAAAAACCGGAAAATCCGGAAATTTGGAAAAAAATAGGCCTGTTTTGAACCCAGAAAATTTATTTTTGAAATAATAAAAATGCGGGATTTCATGTGGAAAATTTATTTTTCAAAAATTTTCAAAATAAATTTTTTCTCCAGGCGGTTTCTCAAACATGTCATCATCTCGCAGCAACGGAATCTCATCTTCCTACACTCCACAAAATCAAACTCCAATGATGAACTCTGGAAGTATCGATCATTGGCAAAACTGAAAAACCAAACGGAAACTCGGCTTCGTTTTTTGTTTGAAATATCCCAAATTGGGATCCTATACTCGATGTTCTTCCCGTTCTCTTTTTTAATATTTTCTCGTTCATTTTTTGTGTATGATTTTATTCTTCTTTTGAGAGCTTTAAGTGATTATTTGTGAATTTTAGGGGTCCTTTTTCATCCAATCAACCAAGTTTTATCCAATTTTTAGTATTTTTCAAATATGATTTTGAGATTTGAGGAGATTTTGTGTGTGGCCACCGGATGGCACTTTGTTGTTGCTGTTATTATCTACTATTAATTTATTATTATCGTTGTTGTGTTTTTTGATTCGAAATTTGTTATTGTGTATATGTTGTGTTCCTTTCTTCCCTTGTAAATTCCCCAAATATTCTATTTTACGGCTTTTGTTTTTCGGGTCCATTATTTTGATGGAGTTCTGATAATTGATCTCTCCACTTTTTGTTGTTCTCGAAGAATTTTTGCCGTTTTTCTCCTCCAATTTTTGATATTTACAACACATCATAATAATTTTGTCAACTCTCTCAATAATGATAATAACCCTTCCACACTTTCTTTTTCTCCTCCTCGATTTACTATACTATCCTATCCTATCCTTTTTTAGGTCCGAAATCTCATCATTCTTGTCATATTTATATCCATCTTTTTTTCTGATTTTTCAGCGGAATTTCAGAGATTCCCCTTTTTTTCTATATCATATTTTTCCCCACCCCCTTCTATTGGCATCTTTTTCTTGAAGCTCTTCTTTTTTTGTATGAGAAAAATGAAACGAATTTTTTGGTAATTAACATTTATTGTTGGCAAGCGTCTCTTCTGTAGAAAATAGAAGATATTAGGGTAATTTTTGGGGAATTTTCGTGCAAAATATGAGTATCTCTGCAAATTTTTCAATACAGAATGCTTTAGGGGGTTAAACTCGGTTGATTTTTCAAGACTAGACTAGATTTAGACACAAGGACAAAAATACACAGAAATGCAAGAAGGGTTCAAATAATAAATGACAAATTTTCAACGGGAATTAGGCCATTTCGCAGCCGCGTGACGTCATGGGTGATGCGGAAGACGCGCGACATTCCGTGTCGTGTGGAGAGGACGCGGAAGCGTTCGCCGCTCTCAACCGCGAATTGTTCGATGCGGAAGGAGCGGATGGCTTTTGCGATGCGGAATGTTGTTGCGGAGGCGGATGATGCGGAATATGAGGAGGCGGAAGAGATGATTGAGGTTCGGCTGGAAAAGAAAATTTTTTGGTTTTTCGGGTAAAAAATTCACGTGGCAGCTAAAATTCAAGATTTTCTGAAATTTTCAGCCAAAAATCCAAATTTCAGAGAGGCTTGTTGGGTGTCAAAAAATCTGAAATTTCTAGCTGAAAATCCAAAAAAAAAAAGATTTTCTGAAATTTTTAGCCAAAAAAATCCACGTGGCAGCTAAAATTCAAAAAAAAATGTCATTTTTCTGAAATTTTCAGCCAAAAATCCAAAGTTTCAGAGAGCCTATGCTTATTTAGTGTCAAAAAATCTGACATTTCTAGCTCAAAAATCCACGTGGCAGCTAAAATTTTAAAAAAATTAGATTTTCTGAAATTTTCAGCCAAAAATCCAGAAAGCTTGAGCTTATTGGGTATCAAAAAATCTGAAATTTCTAGCTGAAAATCCACGTGGCAGCTAAAATTCAAAAAAAAAATTAGATTTTCTGAAATTTTCAGCCAAGATTCCACGTGGAAACCAAGGCTTTGTGGTCTCAAAAAATCTGAAATTTCTAGCTGAAAATCCACGTGGCAGCTAAAATTTGAAAAAAAAATAATTTTTCTGAAAATTTCGATCTTAAATCCACGTGGCATAATTTCAGATAGACTAGGCTTGTTGGGTGTCAAAAAACCTGGAATTTTTAGCTGAAAATCCACGTGGCTAGAAAAATCTGAAATTTCTAGCTGAAAAAATCCACGTGGCAGCTGAAATTCAAAAAAAATTTTCCAGCTCACCTTGTAGACAACGGGATTCTCGAAGGTTGTCGCGTTTTCGCCACCAATCTCGCCGGAACCGACGAACTTTTCGGAACTCGCGAATCTGCAGCCAATCTCGCAGCTCCGCCCCATTTCTGCCAAACAACAACATCGGATTTCGAGTTCGTCGAAGTTCTCGCTTCAATGACCGGCAAAAGTGCCAAACTATCAACCATTCGCCACAAAAGTGTTCGATATTCGCCACTTGCAGCCACCAAAAAACTATCGCACATGTACAGATTTTTGAGAGCCTTCTCTTTGAGCACAATGTAGCAGAGCCAACAATCGAGCGAATTTTCGCGAATCAATTCCTCGAAGAAGATTTCGACTTTGGCTAAATCGCTTTTTTGACATTCGTCGAGTTGGCGGACAATTGAGTGCACGTCTTTCGTGGCGGGACCTTTTGAGGTTACGGTTTTGATCATTTGCCATGCGGTTGTGGTGGGGAGAAGACCGTCTTCGATGAGACATCGCATTGCGCTGCAAAACATTTGTTGTGTGTACTTCTTTTGGACAAAATCAAAAGTTGTCCAAGAGAACTACACGAGAATTCCAATTTCTTGTAGTTCTCTCGGACTATTTTTTTAATTTATAATGGGGATTTTTCTGTGTAGTTCTTTTGGACAAAAAATCAAAATTGATTGATTTTGCTCAAAACTTGTCCGAGAGAACTACACGGGAATTCAAAAAATGTTACTTGTCCGAGAGAATTTTTTTTAAATGAGGATTTTCCCGTGTGTACTTCTCTCGGACAAGTCGATTATTGATTGATTTTGATCAAAACTTGTCCAAGAGAACTACACGGAAATTCCAAAAAAAATTGGAAATTTTTCTTTCTCTCGACAATTTTTTTTTTGAATTATAATGGGGATTTTTCTGTGTAGTTCTCTCGGACAAGTCGAATATCGATTGATTTTGCTCAAAACTTGTCCGAGAGAAGTACACGGAAATTCCGTGTAGTTCTCTCGGAAAACCTTTGAAATCTTGAATTTAAGCTTCAGCCTCAAGAAAAAGCGCGAATTTCTCGTGTAGTTCTCTCGGACAAGTTGAATATCGATTAATTTTTCAAAACTTGTCCGAGAGAAGTACACAGCTTTTTCCCGTGTGTAGTTCTCTCGGAAAACCTTTAAAATCTTGAATTTAAGCTTCAGCCTCAAGAAAAAGCTGAAATTTCGATTTTCTCCAAATCAATTTCCCGTGTACTTCTCTCGGACAAGTCGAATATCGATTGATTTTGATCAAAACTTGTCCGAGAGAAGTACACAGCTTTTTCCCGTGTGTACTTCTCTCGGACAACTTGAGGATTTCCCACGTATTTGGGCTCAAAATGAGCGGAATTTTCAGCATTTTCAGCACAAAAACTCACATCACCAAATCCTCGCATCCTTCACCTCTCGAAATCGCCGCCACTCCCTCAACAACACTCTCGATCAACTGTCGTTTATGTGAATAGACGGGTAGTCCAACAATCGATAGCTCACGGGCTCTTAATTGATGTCTGGTGGTGGAGGTGGTGGGCGCGAAGCTGAATTGAAGGTGGTCTTGATTGGCGGTGCAATCGCAGAGCACTTGTTTCGAGTTGGCAGTCTGCGCCCAGATTGGCGGATGAATCTTGCGGCGAACGCGGTAACACGTGCGGCAAGCCTCGTTGGCTGACGCGGATATCCGTCGATCGATGCACAGCGAGTTATTTTTGGTTGGCGATTTTTTCGCAGTCGCAGTCGCTGCGGGACCCATTAAAAGTTGGGTGTTGGATTTGAAAAACGAGCAAGCTTCCACCACATTTTTGGGCAGCAGAACTGAAAGTGATTGCCAATCTTCGATGTGACTTGGGCCAAGTCCAGAATCGGCCGCGTCTTCGGAGACATAATAATTGAGTGGGAAATCGTGGGCGGTGAGAGTGGGGAGCGCCTCTTTTTGGGTTTTGAGGATGGCGTCGCGGAAGGAGGCGGTGAATGATTCGCACAGCGAGGGCATCTGCAAAAATGGGGGTTTTTAAAGGGACATGGGATTTCTAGGCGGGATGGTCTTGAAACGAAATCGTAGGTTTTTGAAAAGATTTGGGTCTCGCAACGATGAAATGTGCATTTTCTGGTTTTTAAAGGCACATACTGGGTCCTGAAGCGAAAAGTGACAATTTTAAAGGTGCATAGGCTTTCTACAGAGAGTTGCTGTGTTTTTAAAGGTACATAGTGGGTCCTGCAGCGAAATTCAGCAATTTCAAAGGCACATAGGTTTTCTACAGGGAGTTTCTGTGTTTTTAAAGGCACATACAGGGTCCTGCAGCGAAATTCAGCTATTTTAAAGGCACATAGGCTTTCTACAGGGAGTTGCTGTGTTTTTAAAGGTGCATAAAGGTCTCGCAGCGAAATTTGTGTATTTTTAAAGGCACATAGGTTTTCTACAGTGAGTTGATGTGTTTTTAAAGGTTCATACAGGGTCCTGAAGCGAAATTTGTGTATTTTAAAGGTGCATAAAGGTATCGCAGCGAGATTTGTGTATTTTAAAGGTGCATAAAGGTCTCGCAACGATGAAATTGTACATTTTTAAAGGCGCATAGGCTTCCTAGAGGGAAATGACTATTTTTTGAAGGTGTTTAAAGGCGCACAGGTTTCATCTTTAAGTCTTGAAACGAAAAATGAATTTTTCAAAAGCGAAACTCTTCTAAAATCAATAAAATGTAAAAAAAAAAACAAAGCTGTATCAGCAAAAAATCGCATAAAAACTGATGTGAAAAAGAATGTTATAAAGTTTTTTGTTATCTTTCAGAATTTGCAAAATGAAAACGGGCTTTCTATGATCGTTTCGAGACCCCAAAAAGCGCCTTTAAATCCCCATACCTCATGATGCATTGCCAAAAACTCCAACTTGGGCGCCTTCTCCACCACTGTATTCTCCTCATTTTTCGCCAAAATATCGGCAAAAGTTCGTTTGGCTGGCAAGGTTTGCGACGATTGTCGCGTCAATTCGCGGCGACGCCAGCGATCTTTTCGCAAAACTTCCACTTGACGCTCGTCAATTTCACGAATCTCATTATCGTTCAAATCCACATATTTTGTTGTGTCCACAAAATTGGCGATTAGTGAATTTGGACGTTTTCTGGAAATAAATTGAAACGTGATAACCTTTTCGAAATTTGAATATGTATACGTGGTCTTAAATTCAATTTGCTCATTATTTGAAAATTCAAAAATGCTCCCGGCTTGCCGAATTTCCCGCCTAGCGGTTTTCACCCGCAGAAAATCGACATTCTCGCCGAAACCATCGGAATTGGTGAAGGACATCAAGCCAACAGTTTGGTGAGTGACACGAAAAAAATTTTTCAAAATTTTTGAATGTGCAAAACGCGCGCGCGTAGCGAGACCCTGCAAAGGTTTTGTGTGCGCCTTTGAATGAGGTACGGTAGATGATTTTGCGAATTTTTTTCAGCTCTTTTTCATTTTTCAGGTTTTTGGGTAGGGAGATCGATGTTTTGCAAGGAATTCGATTAGAAATTGAAAATTTAGGCGGGAATTCAGGATTTCCATGAATTTGCCTGGGAAAAATAGTTTTCAGATCATAGAAATCGACATTTTAGCTCATTTTAACATCAGAAATCGACATTTTAGCTCTACAGCAAAGAACGCGACGCACACGCAACGCAACACCTATTATCGAGAATCTCATCAGTACCACGCGCTCCACCGAAATAAACACGCAACGCAGACCGCGTCGCGCCACAACATAAACGAACGATTCAAATTCCCTCCCTTTTTTGTGTGTGTTGTGGCGCGGCGCGGTCTGCGTTGCGTGCTTATTTCGGTGGAGCGAGTCCGCGCGCCAAAATCTAGCAGAAACCGCGACGCACAAGCAGCGCATGATCTTCTCAATCTTCAGGACCGAATTCTCGACTCTAGCCGCTCAAAACCAAGCATGCAACCTAGGCGTCGGCTACGCGGACTCGCCTTCACCAAAAATCCTCGTAGAAGCGCTCAAAAACCTGCCCAACGATTCGCTCAACCACCAATACACTCGCGGTTTCGGACACGCTCAATTGGTGACGATTTTGGCGAAAATGTATGGTGAATTGTATGGGGTGAAGATAAATGCGTTGGATGATGTGATGGTGACGATTGGCGCGTATTTGGCGTTGTATTATTCGATTTTGGGATGGGTTAATAAGGGAGACGAGGTTTTGAGTGAGCAATTTTGATTTTCTAGTTGATTTTGACGAGCTGATCACGATTTCCTCATTAAAAACTGCAAATTTCAATTCTGAATACGAGTTTTGACGTGACAAAGTTTGAATATTTCGAAAAATCAGGAATTAACAAAGCTATAACTAATGATTTTCATGAAAATCACTATCGAAATTGAAAAATGTGGCCGACGTAAAAAAGAAAACAACTGAACTTCGTCAGTGGCGTGCGGCTGTGCGGCGCGGTCGGAAAACAATCAATAGTTCATTGTTTTCCGACCGCGCCGCACAGCCGCACGCGACTGACGAAGTTCAGTTGTTTTTACGTCGGCCACATTTTTCAATTTCGAAAGTGATTTTCATATGAAAATAATTAGTTATAGCTTTGTTAATTCCTGATTTTTCGAACTATTCAAACTTTGTCACGTCAAAACTCGTATTCAGAGTTGAGATTTGCAGTTTTTAAAGACGAAATCGTGATCAGCGCGTCAAAATCTACTAGAACATTATCGAAAATCTCATAAGTATCACGCGCTCCACCGAAATAAACACGCAACGCAGACCGCGCCGCGCCACAACACACACAAAAAAGGGAACGAATTCAAATTCCCTCCCTTATTTGTGCGTGTTGTGGCGCGGCGCGGTCTGCGTTGCGTGTTTATTTCGGTGGAGCGCGTGGTATCGATGAGATTTTCGATAATACCTATTTTGGCCCTTTCCAGTAATGGACCCGGCTTATGATTGCTATCAACCTCAAGTAAAAATGGCTGGAGGAACGCCCATTATAATCCCAATGAATATCCCAAAAAACGCCAAATCCTCCTCGGAATTCTACATCGATTTCGACGAACTCGAGAGCAAAATCACCAACAAAACAAAAATGTTGATTTTGAATAATCCCAACAATCCGACAGGCAAACTTTGGAGCCGAAATGAGCTCGAGAAATTGGCGAAAATTGTGAAAAAGCACAATTTACTAGTGATCGCTGATGAGGTTTATGAATTTCATGTGTATGAAAAAGAGGAAATGATTCGATTTGCGAGTTTGCCTGAAATGTGGCAGCGGACAATTTCGATAGGCAGTGCTGGAAAAGCATTTTCAGCGACTGGCTGGAAATTGGGATGGGTTATTGGGCCCAAGAATTTGTTGGCACCGTTGAAGCAGTTGCATCAGAATTGTATTCATGTTTGTGCGACGCCGTTGCAAAAGGCGGTGGCTGATGCGTTTGAGAAGGAGTGCGTTTTGAGATTATGCGCTCCACCGAAATAAAGACGCAACGCAGACCGCGTCGCGCCACAACACACACAAATAAGTGAACGATTTTGTGTGTGTTGTGGCGCGGCGCGGTCTGCGTTGCGTGTTTATTTCGGTGGAGCGTCGATAATATGTGGCCGAACTATTTTGGTGGCCCGAGAAGTGTCGGGAATTCGGCCAAGAGCGATTTTGTTGCTTTGGCCGAATTCCCGACACTTCTCGGCCACCAAAATTGTTCGGCCACATATATATTTCAATTTTTTGTGAAATAAGTGCATTTTGAGTTTTATTCATCAATATTTGAGCATTTTTAAAAATTGTCTAGCATTGCTCATGTTAAACTCAAGAAAACCCACATTTTGAAGAAAATTCTCAAATATTGGGATTTTTCAAGTTTAGCATGAGCAATGCTTGATATTTTGAGCAAGTTGGACCCGCTGAACAATTTGGTGCATTTGAAAATTTCAGAAAATTTTTCTGAGCCGAGCTATGACGTGGCAAAACTGCCACGTTATATCTCATCTCAGAATATTTTTTCCTGGAATTTTCAGCGGCTCAAAATATCAATTTTCAAAAAAAAATCTGAAATTTTCCAGCATTGCTCATGTTAAACTTGAAAAATCCCAATATTCGAGAATTTTGTTCAAAATGTGGGATTTTTCAAGTTTAACATGAGCAATGCTTGAAAATTTCAGATTTTCAAGTTCCGAGGCACAGAAAACTTTCTCGAAATTTTCTGAATGCCTTAAAACTTGAAAATCTAAAAATTTTCAAGCATTGCTCATGCTAAACTTGAAAAATCCCAATATTCGAGAATTTTCTCAAGTTTAACATGAGCAATGCTTGAAAAAGGCTTATTTGGTCTCAAAAAATGCCAAATTTTCGCGCCAAAATTCTAAAATTCAAAAAAATCTTGCAGTTGGCCGAATTTCTACTCAAATCCCCAACAATCCTTCCTAGCCACCGGGCTTTCTGGAGAGCTCAAAAAGAAACGCGACAGCCTGGCAAAATCGCTCGAAGCGGCAAATTTCAAGCCAATTTTGCCGCAAGCCGGATATTTCATGTTGGCCGATTTTTCGGAGCATTTGGCGAATTTTGAAAAGGGAAAAAGTGGCGAAAAAAAGATGCACGGGATTTTGAGTTTTCGAGATGGCTTTGTAAAGAGAAGAAATTGGCTGTAATTCCACCGTCCGCTTTTTGTTTTGAAGAGAAAACGAAGAAAAGTATGGAGAATTTGATACGATTGTGCTTTTTTAAAAAAGAGGAGACTTTGAAGAAGGCTGAAGAGATTTTGAGTGAAATTGCGAAGAAATGAATAAAGTTTTGGTGGAAATATGTGCTTAAAATTGCTGAAAATCTGACTGAAAATCCAAATTTTCATCGGAAATTTGGATTTTTAGATAGATTTTTAGCTGAAATGCCCAAATTTGACTGCAAATCCGATTTTCATCGGATTTTCAGTCAAATTTCAAGTCTAGAATCTACAATTGCTGAAAATCTGACTGAAAATCCATATTTTCGTCTGAAAATATGGATTTCTAGACAGATTTTTAGCTGACATGCCCAAATTTAACTGAAAATCCAAGTTTCTATCGAAAATTTGGATTTCCAGGCTCATTTTTAGCTGAGTTGCCCAAATTTGACTGAAAATCCAATTTTCACTGGATTTTCAGTCAAATTTCAAGCATAAAATCTACAATTGCTGAAAATCTGACTGAAAATCCAAGTTTCTATCGAAAATTTGGATTTCCAGGCTCATTTTTAGCTGACATGCCCAAATTTGACTGAAAATCCATATTTTCACTGGATTTTCAGTCAAATTTCAAGTATAAAATCTACAATTGCTGAAAATCTGTCTGAAAATCCACAGTTTCGTACAGAAAATTTGGATTTCCAGACAGATTTTTAGCAGAGATGCGGAAGCTATGCTCAAAATTTGAATTTTGGCTGAAAATCCAATTTTCACTGGATTTTCAGTCAAATTTCAAGCATAAAATCTACAATTGCTGAAAATCTGACTGAAAATCCAAGTTTCTATCGAAAATTTGGACTTTTAGATAGATTTTCAGCAGAGATGCCCAAATTTGACTGAAAATCCAATTTTAATTGGATTTTCAGTCAAATTTCGAGCCTAGAATCTACAATTGCTGAAAATTTGTCTGAAAATCCATATTTTCATCGAAAATTTGGATTTTTAGATAGATTTTTAGCAGAGATGCGGAAGCTATGCTCAAAATTTGAATTAATATGAGCAATGCTTGAAAATATCGAAGAATTTGAAATTTTTGAGCATTGCTCATGTTAACCTAGAAAATCTGGGATTTGTCAAAATCTGCGATTTTTCAATTATAACATGAGCAATGCTTGAAAACTTCAAATTCAGTATTGCTCATATTAAACTTCAAAAAATCCTGAACATTTGGAGAAAATAGGAAATCGTACTTAATATTTTCAAGTTCAACATGAGCAATGAGTAGATAATTACGAAATCAGTATTGCTCATGTTAAATCTCGAATATCACAGAATTGGTACAAAAAAATACGAAATGGTGAAAAATTTCAAGTTTAACATGAGCAATTCTTGAGATATCCAGGATTTCAGACAAAATCTAGGATAAGCAATGAGCAATAGAAGCAAACCCGGGAGCAGTTTTTTGAAAATATTATCGAAAATCTCACGCGCTCCACCGAAATAAACACGCACGTAGACCGCGCCGCGCCACAACACACACAAAAAAGGGAGGGAATTTGAATCGTTCCCTTATTTGTGTGTGTGTTGTGACGCGACGCGGTCTGCGTTGCGTGTTTATTTCGGTGGAGCGCATGGTGAGATTTTCGATAATACCCAAGTACCCCTGAAACTTACGAATTCGTTGCATTGCTCATCTTAGTCAAAACATTGGGTGCACTAGCCGTTCGCTCATCAAGAGGTTCTGAACTTCGTATTCGTCCCCACGTCGTCAGAGTCTCGTGAATTCCACTCTGCCAATGTCCCGAATCAGCGAACGCTAATTGAAAATCATCCTTCTTGACTTGACTCAACTCGCGAAATTTTTCCGAATCGAGAGAATCGGTGGAGACTGTGGAGGGATCGATGAATGATTCGAAGAGCACTGAGTCGCCGCCGAAGTTGAGAGCAGCGATTCGCGAATCGATGTCATCTGGCCATTGATCGTCGTCGGGAATTATGTGCAATTCGCAAAGTTCCACCATTTAGGTGGAGGCGTTACCTGTAATTAAATAATTAATTAATTAATTAATTAATTAATCCTGAAGGATGAGGGGAGCGAGAGAGCGGGAGGGGGTAGAGACGCAGAGAAAACACAGAAAAATTTCTATAGAACTTTAAAACTTCCAAAAGATTCTAGAAATCGAGAAAATTCACGAAATCTTGGATTTTTTGACAAAAAATTTCGTCAAAAAACTATATTTTTTTCCTATTTTTTGACATTTTTTTCATTTTTGTGTGGAAAAAATGTCAAAAAATAGACATTTTCTGAATTCGAATTTTCTAAAAATTCATCTGGAAATCTAGAATCACCCCATGAAATTTCCAAAAGATTCTAGAAATATTGATTTTTCTAAAAATTCATCTGAAAATCTAAGATTTTCTTGAATTTTAAGCCTGGAACTGCATTCTAGAAATTTTTCTGATAATTTTCTGTATTAGGAAAATTTTCTGAATTTTTTGGACCACAAAATTTTGAATTCAATTTTTCTAAAAATTCATTTGTGAAAATCTAGAAAATTCACGAAATCTAGGATGTTTTATGAAAAATTTGAATTTTCATCAGATAAATTTTGAAAAAAAAAATCAATAAAAATTTCCTCAGCTTCTTCTCAAAAATCTAAATTCGAAATTGAAATTCAAGATTTTCAAAAAAAAAAGAAAGAGTATCAGGTTTCCAAAAACAATTTAAATAAAATTCAGGAAAAAATCTTTTTTCAAAGGTTCCAGAAATGTTTGTCAAAAAATTGAACAAAGAAAATTTCAGCCAATTAAAAATTGACCAAAAACAAAAAAGTTTTACTGTACGAATTTTAAAAGAAGACAGAAAAATCGATAATTTTAGCTTTAAAAAATTGAGCACGAAACTTCAGCTTTCACTATACGATTTTCAAAAGACAACCAAAAAATCAATAAAAAAATTAACAGCTTTTTAACAATCTCCAATAAAAAATCAATGAAATTTCCCAGGAAAACCAAAAAATCTGAAAAAGACTAGTTTTCTTCCATCAGGGAGCGACAAAAAGAAAGAAAGAGAAGAGCGCCAGCGAAAAATCGATCGTGTCTCGCACTCTCTCACCCCGACACACTCTCTCGTTGTCTAGCCGCATGTCTGCGTCTCTCCGTTTTGCGCGCTATTTCGGGGCGAGTCGTCGAAAATTCAATACTTTTTCTGTGTGTTGTTATTATGAAAGAGGAGACGAAAGAAGACAGGAGGACAAAAAAGATGGAGAAATTTTCCAGGGAGGCGAAAATTGTGTGTTGAATGAAAAATAGAAAAAACAAAAGACACGTGGATTTCTTGATGACGTCATCAGTATTTTTTGGCGGGAAAATTCAAACCACGTGGAATTTCTTGATGACGTCATATAGTATTTTTTGGCGGGAAAATTTCAAATTTGAAAATTTTCATAGGAAAATTCAAACCACGTGGAATTTCTTGATGACGTCATATAGTATTTTTTGGCGGGAAAATTTCAAATTTCAAAATTTTCATACGAAAATTCAAACCACGTGGAATTTCTTGATGACGTCATATAGTATTTTTTGGCGGGAAAATTTCAAAAAATTTGAAAATTTTCTAGGCTAAAAATTGCTGAAAAATCCAATTTTTTCAGTTAGAAATTGAGAATTTTCCGATTTTATTTATTTTTTCGCCGCGACAATTGTTGGGTGAAAATTGAGAGTGCAAACAAATAAAATGCGAAAAAAGTGTAAAAAAAATATTTTTGAAAAAAAAGGAACCCTGGGGATTAGGAAAAGGAAAAATTCAAAATTTTTCCGAAAAACTTTTTTTTTGTGTAACAAAAATTACACATTGCTCATCTTTGTTGAGCAGAAAACGAGTTAAGGTAACTTGAACACATGTGATTTTTGAGATTTCGAAAATCTAGAAAAATTTTCATTTTTCTGGGCTAAAAAATCATGAAAAATTCAAATTTCACAAAATAAACTTCATTTTTTCAGCGGATTTCTTTCTATACAAGTTCTTTTTCGGGGCATTGTTTCCCTAAATCTTTGAGCAATTGTTTCATCATTGCCACAATTTCCAGGCTGGCATTTCCACGATTTTTGCAGCGGAGCTGAAAAAAATCGAAATTTTTAGGTTCGGAACCAAAAAAATCGATTTTTTGATCTCAAAAATCATGTCAGAACCCTAATTTTCATTAAAAATCGAAATTTTCATGTCCAGAAGCAGAAAAGCTTCAAAAAAAATCGATTTTTGAGGCAGAAAATCGTTTCAGGACCCAAAATTCGAAATTTTCAGGTTCGGAACCAAAAAAATCGATTTTTGAGGCAGAAAATCGAGTGAGAACCCAAATTTTCATGAAAAATTCAAAATTTTCAATTTTTTATCTCAAAAAATCATGTCAGAACCCAAATTTTCATGAAAAATCCAAATTTTTCAATTTTTTATCTCAAAAATTGAGTCAGGGCCCAAATTTTCATGAAAAATCGAAAATTTTCAATTTTTGATCTCAAAAATCATGTCAGAACCCAAATTTTCATGAAAAATCCAAATTTTTCAATTTTTTTATCTCAAAAATTATGTCAGAACCCAAATTTTCCTGAAAAAATTCAAATTTTTCAATTTTTTAATCTCAAAAATCATGTCAGAACCCAAATTTTCATGAAAAATTGAAATTTTTCAATTTTTCATCTCAAAAATTGAGTCAGGGCCCAAATTTTCATGAAAAATCGAAAATTTTCAATTTTTGATCTCAAAAATCATGTCAGAACCCAAATTTTCATGAAAAATCCAAATTTTTCAATTTTTTTTTTATCTCAAAAAATTATGTCAGAACCCAAATTTTCATGAAAAATCCAAATTTTTCAATTTTTTTTATCTCAAAAATTATGTCAGAACCCAAATTTTCATGAAAAATCCAAATTTTTCAATTTTTTTATCTCAAAAATTATGTCAGAACCCAAATTTTCATGAAAAATCCAAATTTTTCAATTTTTTTATCTCAAAAATTATGTCAGAACCCAAATTTTCATGAAAAATCCAAATTTTTCAATTTTTTTATCTCAAAAAATTATGTCAGAACCCAAATTTTCATGAAAAATCCAAATTTTTCAATTTTTTTATCTCAAAAATTATGTCAGAACCCAAATTTTCATGAAAAATCCAAATTTTTCAATTTTTTTATCTCAAAAATTATGTCAGAACCCAAATTTTCATGAAAAATCCAAATTTTTCAATTTTTTTATCTCAAAAATTATGTCAGAACCCAAATTTTCATGAAAAATCCAAATTTTTCAATTTTTTTATCTCAAAAATTATGTCAGAACCCAAATTTTCATGAAAAATCCAAATTTTTCAATTTTTTTATCTCAAAAATTATGTCAGAACCCAAATTTTCATGAAAAATCCAAATTTTTCAATTTTTTTATCTCAAAAATTATGTCAGAACCCAAATTTTCATGAAAAATCCAAATTTTTCAATTTTTTTTATCTCAAAAATTATGTCAGAACCCAAATTTTCATGAAAAATCCAAATTTTTCAATTTTTTTATCTCAAAAATTATGTCAGAACCCAAATTTTCATGAGAAATCCAAATTTTTCAATTTTTTTATCTCAAAAATTATGTCAGAACCCAAATTTTCCTGAAAAATTCAAATTTTTCAATTTTTTAATCTCAAAAATCATGTCAGAACCCAAATTTTCATGAAAAATTGAAATTTTTCAATTTTTCATCTCAAAAATTGAGTCAGGGCCCAAATTTTCATGAAAAATCGAAAATTTTCAATTTTTGATCTCAAAAATCATGTCAGAACCCAAATTTTCATGAAAAATCCAAATTTTTTCAATTTTTTTATCTCAAAAATTATGTCAGAACCCAAATTTTCCTGAAAAATTCAAATTTTTCAATTTTTTAATCTCAAAAATCATGTCAGAACCCAAATTTTCATGAAAAATTGAAATTTTTCAATTTTTCATCTCAAAAATTGAGTCAGGGCCCAAATTTTCATGAAAAATCCAAATTTTTCAATTTTTTTATCTCAAAAATTATGTCAGAACCCAAATTTTCATGAAAAATCCAAATTTTTCAATTTTTTTATCTCAAAAATTATGTCAGAACCCAAATTTTCATGAAAAATCCAAATTTTTCAATTTTTTTATCTCAAAAATTATGTCAGAACCCAAATTTTCATGAAAAATCCAAATTTTTCAATTTTTTTATCTCAAAAATTATGTCAGAACCCAAATTTTCCTGAAAAATTCAAATTTTTCAATTTTTTAATCTCAAAAATCATGTCAGAACCCAAATTTTCATGAAAAATTGAAATTTTTCAATTTTTCATCTCAAAAATTGAGTCAGGGCCCAAATTTTCATGAAAAATCCAAATTTTTCAATTTTTTATCTCAAAAATTATGTCAGAACCCAAATTTTCATGAAAAATCCAAATTTTTCAATTTTTTTATCTCAAAAATTATGTCAGAACCCAAATTTTCATGAAAAATCCAAATTTTTCAATTTTTTTATCTCAAAAATTATGTCAGAACCCAAATTTTCATGAAAAATCCAAATTTTTCAATTTTTTTATCTCAAAAATTATGTCAGAACCCAAATTTTCATGAAAAATCCAAATTTTTCAATTTTTTTATCTCAAAAATTATGTCAGAACCCAAATTTTCCTGAAAAATTCAAATTTTTCAATTTTTTAATCTCAAAAATCATGTCAGAACCCAAATTTTCATGAAAAATTGAAATTTTTCAATTTTTCATCTCAAAAATTGAGTCAGGGCCCAAATTTTCATGAAAAATCCAAATTTTTCAATTTTTTTATCTCAAAAATTATGTCAGAACCCAAATTTTCATGAAAAATCCAAATTTTTCAATTTTTTTATCTCAAAAATTATGTCAGAACCCAAATTTTCATGAAAAATCCAAATTTTTCAATTTTTTTATCTCAAAAATTATGTCAGAACCCAAATTTTCATGAAAAATCCAAATTTTTCAATTTTTTTATCTCAAAAATTATGTCAGAACCCAAATTTTCCTGAAAAATTCAAATTTTTCAATTTTTTAATCTCAAAAATCATGTCAGAACCCAAATTTTCATGAAAAATTGAAATTTTTCAATTTTTCATCTCAAAAAATGAGTCAGGGCCCAAATTTTCATGAAAAATCCAAATTTTTCAATTTTTTTATCTCAAAAATTATGTCAGAACCCAAATTTTCATGAAAAATCCAAATTTTTCAATTTTTTTATCTCAAAAATTATGTCAGAACCCAAATTTTCATGAAAAATCCAAATTTTTCAATTTTTTTATCTCAAAAATTATGTCAGAACCCAAATTTTCATGAAAAATCCAAATTTTTCAATTTTTTTATCTCAAAAATTATGTCAGAACCCAAATTTTCATGAAAAATCCAAATTTTTCAATTTTTTTATCTCAAAAATTATGTCAGAACCCAAATTTTCATGAAAAATCCAAATTTTTCAATTTTTTATCTCAAAAATTATGTCAGAACCCAAATTTTCATGAAAAATCCAAATTTTTCAATTTTTTATCTCAAAAATTATGTCAGAACCCAAATTTTCATGAAAAATCCAAATTTTTCAATTTTTTATCTCAAAAATTATGTCAGAACCCAAATTTTCATGAAAAATCAAAATTTTTCAATTTTTTTATCTCAAAAATCATGTCAGAACCCAAATTTTCATGAAAAATCGAATTTTTCAGGTCCAGAAGCAGAAAAAGCTTCAAAAAAATCGATTTTTGAGGCAGAAAATCGTGTCAGGACCCAAAATTCGAAATTTTCAGGTCCAGAACCAAAAAAAGCGCGAAAAATCCTGTCAAAACCCAAATTTTCATGAAAAATTGATATTTTTCAATTTTTGATCTCAAAAATCGTGTCATAACCCAAATTTTCATGAAAAATCCAAATTTTTCAATTTTTGAACTCAAAAATCCTGTCATAACCCAAATTTTCATGAAAAATCGAAATTTTTCAATTTTTTATCTCAAAAATCGTGTCAGAACCCTAATTTTCATGAAAAATCCAAATTTTTCAATTTTTGATCTCAAAAATCATGTCAGAACCCTAATTTTCATGAAAAATCCAAATTTTTCAATTTTTTATCTCAAAAATTATGTCAGAACCCAAATTTTCATGAAAAATCCAAATTTTTCAATTTTTTTATCTCAAAAAATTATGTCAGAACCCAAATTTTCATGAAAAATCCAAATTTTTCAATTTTTTTATCTCAAAAATTATGTCAGAACCCAAATTTTCATGAAAAATCCAAATTTTTCAATTTTTTTATCTCAAAAATCATGTCAGAACCCAAATTTTCATGAAAAATCGAATTTTTTCAGGTCCAGAAGCAGAAAAGCTTCAAAAAAATCGATTTTTGAGGCAGAAAATCGTGTCAGGACCCAAAATTCGAAATTTTCAGGTCCAGAACCAAAAAAAGCGCGAAAAATCCTGTCAAAACCCAAATTTTCATGAAAAATTGATATTTTTCAATTTTTGATCTCAAAAATCGTGTCATAACCCAAATTTTCATGAAAAATCCAAATTTTTCAATTTTTGAACTCAAAAATCCTGTCATAACCCAAATTTTCATGAAAAATCGAAATTTTTCAATTTTTTATCTCAAAAATCGTGTCAGAACCCTAATTTTCATGAAAAATCCAAATTTTTCAATTTTTGATCTCAAAAATCATGTCAGAACCCTAATTTTCATGAAAAAATCCAAATTTTTCAATTTTTTATCTCAAAAATCATGTCAGAACCCTAATTTTCATGAAAAATCCAAATTTTTCAATTTTTTATCTCAAAAATCGTGTCAGAACCCTAATTTTCATGAAAAATCCAAATTTTTCAATTTTTTATCTCAAAAATCGTGTCAGAACCCTAATTTTCATAAAAAATCGAAATTTTCAGGTCCAGAACCAAAAAAAGCGCGAAAAATTGAGTCAGGACCCAAATTTTCATGTCACAACCCAAATTTTCATGAAAAATCCAAATTTTTCAATTTTTTATCTCAAAAATCATGTCAGGTTTCAAATTTTCATGAAAAATCTGAATTTCGATTTTTTGATCTCAAAAATCATGTCAGAACCCAGAATTTCATGGAAAATGGAAATTTTTCAATTTTTGAGGCAGAAAATCGTGTCAGGACCCAAAATTCGAAATTTTCAGGTCCAGAACCAAAAAAAGCGCGAAAAATCCTGTCAAAACCCAAATTTTCATGAAAAATTGATATTTTTCAATTTTTGATCTCAAAAATCGTGTCATAACCCAAATTTTCATGAAAAATCCAAATTTTTCAATTTTTGAACTCAAAAATCCTGTCATAACCCAAATTTTCATAAAAAATCGAAATTTTTCAATTTTTTATCTCAAAAATCGTGTCATAACCCAAATTTTCATGAAAAATCCAAATTTTTCAATTTTTTTATCTCAAAAATCGTGTCATAACCCAAATTTTCATGAAAAATCCAAATTTTTCAATTTTTTATCTCAAAAAATCGTGTCAGAACCCTAATTTTCATAAAAAATCGAAATTTTCAGGTCCAGAACCAAAAAAAGCGCGAAAAATCGAGTTAGAACCCAAATTTTCATGAAAAATCGAAATTTTTCAATTTTTGATATCAAAAATCGTGTCAGGACCCAAATTTTCATGAAAAATCGAAATTTTCTAATTTTTTTATCTCAAAAATCGTGTCATAACCCAAATTTTCATGAAAAATCAAAATTTTTCAATTTTTGATCTCAAAAAATCATGTCAGAACTCAAATTTTCATAAAAAATCCAAATTTTTCAATTTTTGATCTCAAAAATCATGTCAGAACCCAAATTTTCATGAAAAATCAAAATTTTTCAATTTTTTTTTTCTTAAAAATCGTGTCAGAACCCAAAATTCGAAATTTTCAGGTCTAGAAGCAAAAAAGCGCGAAAAATCCTGTCATAACCCAAATTTTCATGAAAAATCCAAATTTTTCAATTTTTTTATCTCAAAAATCGTGTCAAGAACCCCAAAAAACTCACACAAATATAAGTGGTAATCGAGTAGATCGCATGAACAAAATAGAAGGAATTTTGAAATGCTCCACATCTTTGTTGGCGAATTTGTCGAAATTTCTCATCAATATCAAACGGTTTTCCATCCAGAACCAAATTTGTGATGACGTCAGTCAAAAGCAAAAGAGCACTACGATTGAGCCCATTATCACAGTGAAATACAATTGGTCCTTTTTGAAGCGGGTCCAGGCCAACAGATTTCAGCATAGCTAAGGCGGCTGGAAAATTTCAGACATGTTTTGAGGGCGGACTAGGTTTGGAATTCTAGTCCTCCGATTTTTTGCGGGAAAATCGTGTTTTTGAATTTTACTCTCTGAAAACGCCGGGGGACTAGGTTTTGCAAAATTGAAATTCTAGTCCCTCAATTTGTTTTTTCAGCCAAAAATTCAAAATTTTTTCAAAATTCTCATTTTCCCACAAAAAAATACGTTTCAAAATTTTGATATTAAAAATTTCAGAAATTCTGTTTGTTACAATTTCTTCAAAACATTTGGAAACATCTGAAAATGCTGAAAATTTCAAATTTTCGCGCACAATTTTAGATAGCGTTGCGTAATTGCGGAGTATCGTAGTTTTTTTTACAAATTCAGGAATGAAGCCTAAATTTAAATGGGCGGAGCTTAAAAATGCAAGCCTGGCACAGTTTTTCTGGAAATTCAGTTCAAAAATATGAAAATATCTTGAATTTTGTGAAAATTTGAAATTTCCAATTTTCCCGCACAATTTTAGCGTTGTGTAATTGCGGAGTATCGTAGCTTCCCACCTTTAACATTCGGTTTTCCCTTGGCTCTCCACTTCTCAAAATTAATAACCCGCACAAATCGACATTCGGAACAACCTTCGGGCAAAACTTCAACCGTATAGATTGTGGGGCGATTCGGTTTGTCGGCCGGCTCAATTTTTCGGGTGTGCACAAAATATTTGCCAATCGTCACAAATTGTCCCTCTTTGAGCGGAAAATAGCAGGTAGCGTTGGTGATTGCACAACGTTTCGATGTGGCCGCAATGTCGCGATGCGTTTTCGTCATATTGAAGTGGGTTTCGCGTTGCGTTAGCGCTTCCGGAGCGGCGGTTTCCGCATCGTCCACGTGGCACGAGGCTTCCATTTCGGTGGTGGGTTCGGGGGCCATTTTTGATCGCTGATCTTTCATCATCGATTTACGAATCTCTTGGAATTCGGCCATATCCTGGAAAAATCCTTCATTTGGGGTTGTTTGGAGGAGAAAATGCGCTCTAATGATAACTATATAACCCCGGATTACTGTAGTTGGTTTTGTAGGAAATTTTGACTAGAGAAAATGCGCAAATTTCACTACAGTAATCCAGGATTAATCCAGGATTACTGTAGCTGGTTTTGAAGGAAATTTTGGCTAGAGAAAATGCGCAAATTTCACTACAGTAACCCAGGCTTACTGTAGCTGGTTTTAAAGGAAATTTTGACTAGAGAAAATGCGCTCTAATACAAATTTCCACTACAGTAACCCAGGATTACTGTATCTCATTTTGAAGCGAATTTCAAGGGCTACAAAATTAGCCAAATATGGTCTAGAGAAAATGCGCTCTAATGCAAATTTCCGCTACAGTAATCCAGGATTACTGTAGTTGGTTTTGTAGCCAATTTAAAGAGCAACGAAATGGTATAATTTTGACTAGAGAAAATGCGCTCTAATGAAAATTCCTGCTACAGTAATCCAGGATTACTGTAGTTGGTGTTGTAGCCAATTTCAAGGGCTTCACAATGGCATAACTTTTATCAGAGGAAAATTTGGTGATTTTGTGCAAATACGCTCCACTGATAAATTATCCTTGGCGCGCAATTTCACCCTAAAATTCTACAGTAACCCTGGGCTTACTGTACCTCATTTTGAAGCGAATTTCAAGGGCTTCAAATGCGCTCCAATGACAATTTTTCTACAGTAACCTCAGGCTTATTTTGAAGCGAATTCCAACTTACAACATCTCCATGTGGATCAAAAATCGACAAAATCGTCTCAACATCATTCTCAAACACCATCGACCAAAAATCTTCCAACGCGTCCGGAAGCGGATATTGTGTCAAGATATATTTACGTGAAACATCTGGGAATTTAACGTGACTCGCATTGATATAATCATTTTTTCGATCTCCTTCCAACGCCAATTTCACACGTGATTGATCGTAGCACGAAATGTTGGCACGATTTTTTTTCGCGTTTGCGTCAGAGGCTATTGTTGTTTGACCGGCCGGATGGTAGGATTGCAGATTTTCTTCGTAGTAGCGAGTTAGTCCACGATTTGCCACTGGAAAATTGGGAGAATGTGCGCTCTATTGATAATTTTGAATTTTTTATTTTGAAAAATTACAAGAAATTTTATCCTTGGAGCGCATTTTCACAGTAACCCTAGGCTTACTGTATCTCATTTTGTAGCGAATTCCAAGAGCTTCAAATGCGCTCCATTGACAATTTTGCTACAGTAATCCTAGGCTTACTGTACCTCATTTTGTAGCGAATTTCAAGAGCTTCAAATACACTCCAATGCGAAATTTTTCTAGGCTTACTGTATCTCATTTTGTAGCGAATTCCAAGAGCTTCAAATGCGCTCCATTGACAATTTTGCTACAGTAATCCTAGGCTTACTGTACCTCATTTTGTAGCGAATTTCAAGAGCTTCAAATACACTCCAATGCGAAATTTTTCTAGGCTTACTGTATCTCATTTTGTAGCGAATTTCAAGGGCTTCAAATGCGCTCCATTGACAATTTTTCTACAGTAACCCTAGGCTTACTGTACCTCAGCGAATTTCAAGAGCTTCAAATGCGCTCCAATGCGAACTTTTTCTACAGTAATCCTAGGCTTACTGTACCTCATTTTGTAGCGAATTTCAGGAGCTTCAAATACGCTCCAATGCGAAATTTTTCTACAGTAACCCTAGGCATATTGTATCTCATTTTGTAGCGAATTCCAAGAGCTTCAAATGCGCTCCAATGCGAACTTTTTCTACAGTAACCCTAGGCATATTGTATCTCATTTTGTAGCGAATTTCAAGAGCTTCAAATACACTCCAATGCGAAATTTTTCTAGGCTTACTGTATCTCATTTTGTAGCGAATTCCAAGAGCTTCAAATGCGCTCCATTGACAATTTTGCTACAGTAATCCTAGGCTTACTGTACCTCATTTTGTAGCGAATTTCAAGAGCTTCAAATACACTCCAATGCGAAATTTTTCTAGGCTTACTGTATCTCATTTTGTAGCGAATTTCAAGATCTTCAAATACGCTCCATTGACAATTTTTCTACAGTAACCCTAGGCTTACTGTACCTCAGCGAATTTCAAGAGCTTCAAATGCGCTCCAATGCGAACTTTTTCTACAGTAATCCTAGGCTTACTGTACCTCATTTTGTAGCGAATTTCAGGAGCTTCAAATACGCTCCAATGCGAAATTTTTCTACAGTAACCCTAGGCATATTGTATCTCATTTTGTAGCGAATTCCAAGAGCTTCAAATGCGCTCCAATGCGAACTTTTTCTACAGTAACCCTAGGCATATTGTATCTCATTTTGTAGCGAATTCCAAGAGCTTCAAATACGCTCCAATGCGAAATTTTTCTACAGTAATCCTAGGCTTACCGTACCTCATTTTGTAGCGAATTTCAGGAGCTTCAAATACGCTCCAATGCGAACTTTTTCTACAGTAATCCTAGGCTTACCGTACCTCATTTTGTAGCGAATTTCAGGAGCTTCAAATACGCTCCAATGCGAAATTTTTCTACAGTAACCCTAGGCATATTGTATCTCATTTTGTAGCGAATTCCAAGAGCTTCAAATACGCTCCAATGCGAAATTTTTCTACAGTAATCCTAGGCTTACTGTACCTCATTTTGTAGCGAATTTCAGGAGCTTCAAATACGCTCCAATGCGAACTTTTTCTACAGTAATCCTAGGCTTACTGTACCTCATTTTGTAGCGAATTTCAGGAGCTTCAAATACGCTCCAATGCGAACTTTTTCTACAGTAATCCTAGGCTTACTGTACCTCATTTTGTAGCGAATTTCAGGAGCTTCAAATACGCTCCAATGCGAAATTTTTCTACAGTAATCCTAGGCTTACTGTACCTTCATTTTGTAGCGAATTTCAAGGGCTTCAAATGCGCTCCAATGCGAACTTTTTCTACAGTAATCCTAGGCTTACTGTACCTCATTTTGTAGCGAATTTCAGGAGCTTCAAATACGCTCCAATGCGAAATTTTTCTACAGTAATCCTAGGCTTACTGTACCTCATTTTGTAGCGAATTTCAAGGGCTTCAAATGCGCTCCACTGACAATTTTTCTACAGTAATCCTAGGCTTACTGTACCTCAGCGAATTTCCAAAAAACTCACTCATTCCCCGAATCGTCTTCTCAAACTTCTTCAAATTCGCACAAAACGCCTGATCGGCACATTTTGCGTCCGCACTCGACCGCTTGTTGGTTCGATCTTTTCCGGACGCGGGAACACGTTGCGGCGACGTATCATCATCGTCGTCTTGCGTCGGTTTTTTGTTGTTAAAAAGTTGGCTCCATCGCTGCCATGCTCGGCTCTTTTTCGATAATCTCTTGCGATCGAACGTCGCACTTCGCCGAATAGTGTTTTCATCGCGGGAACCGTTTCCGGGTTGATGGTTCCGCGATTTTTGCAGCGAAGCTGGAAAATTTTGAAGGTTTTTTCGGGGTTTTGGACAATTTTTTTGCTCCAAAAATGTTTCTGGAGCCGAAATTTCAAAAAAAAATGTTTTTCGAGTTGATTTTCAGCTCCAGGAGCCTGAAAATCACCAAAAATTCGAATTTTTCAAGACTTATAGCTATTTTTTCGCTCCAGGAGCCAGAAAATCCGAAATTTTCATTAGAAAATCATTCTAGAGCTCAAAAAATCACCAAAAATTCGAATTTTTCAAGACTTATAGCTATTTTTTCGCTTCAGGACCCAGAAAATTCAAATTTTCATTAGAAAATCATTCTAGAGCTCAAAATTTGATGAAAAATAATATTTTCCAGGTAGCTGGAGCTCCAGGACCCAGAAAATTCAAATTTTCATTAGAAAATCATTCTAGAGCTCAAAAAATCACTGAAAATTCGGATTTTTCAAGACTTATAGCTATTTTTTCGCTCCAGGACCCAGAAAATTCAAATTTTCATCAAAAAAATCATTCTAGAGCTCAAAAATCACCGAAAAGTCAAATTTTTCAAGACTTATAGCTATTTTTTCGCTCCAGGACCCAGAAAATTCAAATTTTCATTAGAAAATCATTCTTGAGCTCAAAATTTGATGAAAAATAATATTTTTCAGGTTCCTGGAGCTCCAGGACCCAGAAAATTCAAATTTTCATCAGAAAATCATTCTAGAGCTCAAAAAATCACCAAAAAAACGTACATAAATATAGCTAGTAATCGATAAAATCGAATATGTAAACGACAATCCATTGGGAAATGCTCCACATCTTTGTTGTCGAATTTCGCGAAACTTTTTATCAATATCAAACGATTTTCCCTCAATCACCAAATTCGTAATAACATCAGTCAACAAAAGCAGCGAACTTCGATTAACTCCATCATCACACTGCAAAACAACCGGACCTTTTTGAAGCGGGTCCAATGAGATGGTTTTGAGCATATTCATCACAACTTTGCAGCTTGGTCTTCCGCGAGCACGCCATTTTGGATAGTTGACGACGCGCACGAAACGACACTCCGAACAACCTTCGGGCAAAACTTCGATCGTGTAAATGTGCGGTTTTTGACTTTTTGTCCGGTATTTCCACTTTTCGAGTGTGAACAAAGAATTTGCCAATGGTGACGAATTGACCTTCCTGGAAGATGAAGAATTTGCGTCAGTGTGAACAAGGCTGGCGCATTTTTCGCATGTTTTTGGATCAAAAAACGGCAAATTTGCCTGAAAAATGTGGTTTCCGGGCGAAAATTTCGAAAAATATCGATTTTCTAGGTCTTGTAGCGATGATATTTACCCCGAACCTTGGAAAATTCAAGAAATTCCCTTAAAAACACTCAATTTACCCCCAAAACCCGGAAAATCTCGTTTTTTCGCAAAAAAAAAATTCAAAAAAAAAGAAAACAACGACACTCCGCGCTTACACACAACTCGCGCACACCGTCCAATAGAGCGCATTTTCTCTTTTCGCCACACAAACCTTCAACAAAAAGAAGCATTTGGAGGTGGCAAGTGCACGGCGTTTCGCAGTCGACGCAATATCCTTGTGCCCTTTGCTCATTTCGAAAAGCGTCTCGCGAACCGATAGACCTTCGGGTTTTTGGCATTTATCCGAATTTGTTGAGACGCTCGGCTGTTGCGATTTTTCGCTTTTTTCGGCTCGCGGTGTTGTTGTTGGCGTTTTTTTGTGGAATTCTTTGAGATCCTGGAAATTGAAAGAGATTTTTATTGTTGAAATTGAAAAAACAACTGAACTTCGTCAGTCGCGTGCGGCTGTGCGTCGCGGTCGGAAAAGAAAGGATTGTTTTCCGACCGCGTCGCACAGCCGCACGCGACTGACAAACTCCAGTCGCGTGCGGCTGTGCGGCGCGGTCGGAAAAGAAAGGATTATTGATTGTTTTGCGACCGCATCGCACAGCCGCACGCGACTGACAAACGTGCGGCGCGGTCGGAAAAATGAATTATTGATTGTTTTGCGACCGCGTTGCACAGCCGCACGCGACTGACAAACTTCAGTCGCGTGCGGCTGTGCTCTAATTATCATTAGAGCGCATTTTCTGCTTACAACATCCCCATTCGGATCAAAAATCGACAAAATCGTCTCCACATCATTCTCATAAATCATCGACCAAAAATCCTCAAAACATTCCTGCGGTGGGAATTGTGTCAAGATATATTTACGTGAAACATCGGGGAATTTAACGTGACTCGCATTGATATAGTCATTTTTGCGATCTCCTTCCAACGCTAGTTTCACACGTGATTGATCGTAGCACGAAATGTTGGCACGATTTTTCTTCGCGTTTGCGTCTGACGCAACAGTGGTTACACCGGCTGGTTTATAGGATTGCAGATGTTGATTGTAGTAGTTGCAAAGACCTTTGGACACTGCAAAAATATGTGATTAGATGGTTTTTGAAGTTAGAATGAGCAATTTATTGTTGCACATTATCGAAAATCTCATCGGTAGCACGCGCTCCACCGAAATAAACACGCAACGCAGACCGCGCCGCGCCACAAAACACACAAAAAGGGAGGGAACTTGAATCGTTCCCTTATTTGTGTGTTGTGGCGCAACGCGGTCTGCGTTGCGTGTTTATTTCGGTGGAGCGCGAAAGCGCCCAACTCACTCATTCCCCTTATCGTTTCCTCATACTTTTTCACAACCGCACAACTTGCCGCATCGAATTTCGGCCCATGATCCTTCTCGTCCTTCTTCTGCACCTTCTCCAAACTTCCGGCCGGCGAAGTTGCGAGTTGAAGTGGCGGTGTGTTCTCCTCGTCCTCGTCAAATGTGTCTTTTTTCGGCTTTTTGTCACGCGTTTTTCGAGAGATTCTGGAACAAGTGCGCTCTAATGCGAACGTTTTTAGAAAAGTCGTTTAGAAAAATTCGAGGAGTTCAAAATGATATACTTTTCATATAGGTAAATTTTCGAAAACCTCCTTAAAAATGCTAATTTCACAAGAAAATCATTCTAGAGCTCAAAAAATCACCGAAAATTCGAATTTTTCAAGACTTATAGCTATTTTTTCGCTCCAATACCCAGAAAATTCAAATTTTCATTAGAAAATCATTCTAGAGCTCAAAAAATCACCGAAAATTCGAATTTTTCAAGACTTGGAGCTATTTTTCCGCTCCAGGACCCCGAAAATTCAAATTTTCATTAGAAAATCATTCTAGAGCTCAAAATTTGATGAAAAATAATATTATCCAGGTTGCTGGAGCTCCGGTTTACCTAAAAATGCTAATTTTCACTAGAAAATCGTGTCAGGACCCAAAAAATCACAGAAAATTCGAAGTTTTCAAGACTTGGAGCTATTTTTTCGCTCCAGCACCCAAAAAATTCAAATTTTCATCAGAAAATCATTCCCAAAAAATTTTGTGTGTGTTGTGGCGCGACGCGGTCTGCGTTGCGTGTTTATTTCGCTGGAGCGCGTGGTAAATTTTCGAAAACCCCCCAGAAACCTGTGTGCAAATGCGCTCTACTGATAAATTCTCATTGGAGCGCATTTCCACAGTAACCCATATCATACTGTACATCATTTTGTACCAAATTTCGCTTCACTACCGTACCTGGATCCAGCTGCTCTTCTCACAACACTCATTGTTACTTCGTTCTTGATTTCACCTTTTTGCTAATATTCAATTTACACGTTTTCAAACAAAACAGAAAAATGGCGAGTTCGCCCGAAATCTCGCATTTTATAGTGGTCTTTTCGACCGAAATTGGGTCACGTGGAAATTATTTTGGTGCGGTGTGAAGGAAAAAACAATTTTAAAAAAACAATGGCCGAATTTTGTGCGTGGCCTAGGCGCCGACAACTGTGTGTACTTCTCTCGGAGAACATTGAAAAATTTTTTTTTTTCATTTTTTCTCGTTAAAACTTCATTTCGCGATTTCAAAAACTAGACAAAATTCCTTAAACATTCTTGTGTTTGTACTCATTATCGATTAATTTTGCGATGGTATTCAATTGAATATTGGATGTTCCCTCGTAGATTGTTCCGATTTTCGCGTCGCGATAAAACTTCTCGACGGGAAACTCTTTGGTGAATCCCACTCCACCCAACCATTCGACACATCGTGAAGTTGTCGTGGTGGCCACCTAGAATATGTGTTTTTTTTGTTTTTGGGGTGAAAAGTCGTGATTTTCCCACCTGTGAAGCATACAATTTCGCCATCGCCGCTTCTTTCACAAAATTAATACCATTTTCCTTCATTCGGGCGGCGTTGTAGACCAAAAAGACGGGCGGCTTCGATTTCGGTTCCGACTTGCGCGATTTGATGTTGCATTCCCTAGAAAATATTGATTTTTGGCTCAAAAAACGTGGAATTTTCGTGCCAAAACCACTTTTTTGTGCAAAATCTCACCTGAAAATCAATAAGTCTCGATCCGAATTGTTCTCTTTGTTGCAAATAGGGAATAGTTTGATCGAAACAACCTTGAGCCAAACCAATCATTTGTGCTCCGATTCCAATTCGACCAGCGTTGAGGCATTCAATGGCGTATTTGTAGCCTAGAGAGGAGTTAGGATAACTTTTAGTGGTTTTAAGGTTGATTTTAAGCGATTTTTCAGGATTTTAGGTCAAAAATGAGCTATTTGTTGCTCAAAAGCCAAAAATTGGCCAAATTCTCAATAGAGCGCATTTGAATAATTTTGCGGGCTCAATTTTGGCGGGAAATTTGAATTTTAATGTTTTTTAGGTCAAAAATTAATGAAAAATCTGATTTTCAACATGAGCAATGCTTAAAAAATCAAGTTTTCACTCAAAAATCACAGGATTGCTCATTCTAAACTATTTTTGAGATCAAATCCTCAATAGAGCGCATTTGAATAATTTTGCTTGAGAAATTTGAATTTTTCAAGCTCCCGGGGTCAATTTTGGCGGGAAATTTGAATTTTAAAGTTTTTTAGGTCAAAAATTCATGAAAAATCTGATTTTTAACATGAGCAATTCAAAATTTCACTCAAAATCACAGGATTGCTCATCTTAAACCCTCTAAAGTTCGGAAAATCAATGCAATTCTCAATAGAGCGCACGTGAACTTTCCGGCGTCAATTTTGGCGGGAATTTGAATTTTTATGGTTTTATAGGTCAAAAATCAAGATTTTTGCACTTTCCAGACCAAATTTTTGTCAAAAATCACATTTTTTCGTCAAATTTTCAAGATTTTCCTGAATTTCCCAAATTTTCAGCCCAAAAACCATGGGAATAACGGGACTATGGAAAATTGTGGAACCAACGAGTTGCGAGATTCCGCTCGAATGTTTGGAGGGCAAAAAGCTGGCGGTGGATGTTTCGATTTGGATTTATCAGGCTCAAATGGCCTATCCGGCCGATTCACCGTATCCACATTTGAGATTATTGATTAACAGACTGTGCAAGTTGCTGTTCTATAAAATTCGTCCGGTTTTCGTTTTTGATGGGCCAAATGTGCCGGATTTGAAGAAACAGGTTTTGGTGAGTTCTTTTTTAAAGCTCCGAATTTTGGCCTAAGCCTAGGCCTAAGAGATTAGCTAAGCTCATTCGGACTCAAAAAATCCGGAATTTTTAGGCTTCGGCTTACTCGGGCTCGAAAAATTCGGAAATTTTGAGCCTAAGATTATCTAGACGCAAAAAAATCGGAAATTTTGAGCCTAGGCTTATCTGGACTCAAAAAATCCGGACACTGAAGCCTAGGCTTATCTAGACTCAAAAAATCCGGAATTTTTTAGCCTAAGCTTATCTAGACTCGAAAAATCTGGAAATTTTGAGCCTAAGATTATCCAGACTCAAAAAATCCCGAATTTTTGAGCCTAGGCTTATTCAGACTCGAAAAATTCGGAAATTTTGAGCCTAACATTATCCGGGCCCTAAAAATCCCGGATTCTCAAGCCCAGACTCATTTATACTCCCAAAATCGGGAATTTTTCGAGACTAGGCTCATTCGGACTCAAAAAATCCGGAAATTTTGTGCCTAGGCTTATCTGGATTCGAAAAATCTGGAATTTTTAGGCTTCGGCTTACTCGGGCTCAAAATTCAGGCTTTTTCGAGCATAAGATTATCTAGACTCAAAAAATCCCGAATTTTTGAGGCTAGGCTCATTCAGGCTCGAAAAATCCGGAAATTTTGAGACTAGGCTTATCTAGACTCAAAAAATCCCGAATTTTTTGAGCCTAAGACTATCTAGACTCGAAAAATCCCGAATTTTTGAGCCTAGGCTTATCTAGACTCAAAAAAATCCCGAATTTTTGAGCCTAGGCTTATCTAGACTCAAAAAAATCCCGAATTTTTGAGCCTAGGCTTATCTAGACTCAAAAAATCCCGAATTTTTGAGCCTAGGCTTATCTAGACTCTAGCTAAGCCTAAGAGATTAGCTAAACCTAAGCCTAGGCCTAAGGGTTCAATAAGCCCAAGCCTAAGGAACTAGACTAAGCCTAACCTAATTCCAGGATTCGCGGCGCGCGAAAAAACTCGCCGACGACTCGATTCTTCAAAATCCGAAAAAACTTCAACATCTCAAACAAATCGCCTCGGGTCAACTCGATGATCAACAATTGGCCAAAAGTATTGAGACTGTGATAAGTCCGACGAAACGCGTTTTGCTGAATGATGTCTATTCAAAAGAGGCAGCGTCAACGAGTAGTGTCGTTGTGAATTTGGAGGAGAAGGAGCGTGTAGATCAAATTTATGTGGATTCCGGATCGGATTTTTCGGACGGCGAGGGACCGATTGATGAAAAATCGCATTATGATAAAATTGTAGAGGATTTAAAGGTGAGTTTAATATGAGCAATGTATTGATTTTCCGGGCTAACATGAGCAATGTTGCTTGCAGATTCCGGAAAATGCGACAAGAAGACAGACAATTGATACATTGGTTGAGAGGAGAGAAACTATGCGAAAAAGTCGTCTGAATCCGTCAATGGTGAGGCCTGAATAAGCCTAGCCTCGAAAAATTCCGGATTCTGAGAGTCTAGATAAGCCTAGGCTCAAAAAATTCCGGATTTTGGAGCCCGAGTAAGCCGAAGCCTAAAAATTCCGGATTTTATGAGCCCGGATAATCTTAGGCTAAAAAATTCCGGATTTTTTGAGTCTGGATAATCTTAGGCTAAAAAATTTCGGGATTTTTAGAGCCCGGATGAGCCTAGGCTCAAAATTTCCGGATTTTTCGAATCCAGATAAGCCTGGGCTCAAAATTTCCAGATTCTGGGAGTCTAGATAAGCCTGGGCTCGAGAATCCGGGAATTTTGAGCTCGTAGAAGCCAGGGTTCAAAATTTTCAGATTTTTTGAGCCCGGATAATCTTAGGCTCAAAATTTCCGGATTTTTCGAGCCCGAAGCCTACAGATTCCGGCCAAATGTCAAATTTCCACAGATTCCCACCGACTCTCAAGACTTTTCCAACTTTCAAATGCAACGCGTGTTGCGTCGCGGTCGCCTCAACGCTCAAATCGATCAAATCGCCAAAAATCCGACGGGTCAAGGTGAAAACAGCAGCAAAATCCACGTGTTGGGTCCCGATGGAACTCAACACATTTTGAAATATTCACACAGTGATGAAGTTCAGCAGATTTTTCCGGGCAGGAAATTGGAGAGAGATCTTGGCGAGATTTTTTAAAGGCGCAGGTTCGAAAAAAGAAGAAGCTTCGAATTTGAGTTTGGCTATATTCACTGAAGCGTGCGATTTTCAAAAACCCACAAAATCTCGCGAAATCACACCGGAACATCAGGAAATCGTGGAGAATTTCAAATTTCAAAGCAAATCCGGAATGTTGGAGGCTATAGCTAGGAAAAGAGTTCGAAATCATTATCGAAAATGTGAGGAAGAAAGTTCGGATGATGAATTTGTGGATGTTTTGGAGGAGGAGGTGGGAACTTCGACTGAAGTTCGAGTTGGAGACGAAAAAAATGCGAATGAGGTCGAATGGGATCCGGAGGTAAAACTTGAGAATTCGGCATGGAAAAATTGAATTTTTCGGGAAATTTCAACTGGAGTTAGGGTAACTTATAGTTTTTCTGTTGAACAATTGTAAGATATCCTAACTTCAGAGAATAAAAGCTCAAGAATTCCAGGAAAAATGTAGAAGTTGGCCTAACTTTCAAACGGAAAAATTCAGAATTTCAGAAGATAGCCTAACTTGGAAGGGAAGAATCTCAAGAGGTCCAGAAATCCCATAAAAAATTGAATTTTTCGGGAATTTTCGAATCTAGAAGGAGCCTGTGAGCCAAAATTTCCAGAAATTTCAACTGGAGTTAGGGTAACTCATAGTTTTTGTAAGATGAAAAATGTGAAAACTTTCAAAAGTTCAATATTTCAGGCTGCAAACAGTCTCAGCCAAAAATTCACAAAACTTCAGAAATTCCAGAAATGTTCGAATGAGTTAGGCTAACTTCAGAATTTCAGAGTCCAGAAATCCCAAATTCTCAAAATTAATTGAAAATTTCATTCAAGTTAGCCTAACTTCCAGAAAAATTCAGAATTTCAGAAGATAGCCTAACTTGGAAGGAAAAAGATCAGGAGGTCCTGAAATTCCAAATTTTCAAAATTAATTGAAAATTCCAGAATTTCCGTTTCAGAAACCGGATCGTTTGGAAAAATCGTGGCAAAATTCCGAAATTCTCGACGACGATTGGCTCAAAATGAACTACGAAGATGATGACAAAACTCCCGAAATGTATCGAGACTTACAGGAATTTCTGACAAATTGCGGAATTCCGTGGCTCGAAGCTCCAGGCGAAGCGGAAGCACAGTGTGTTGAATTGGAACGATTGGGTTTGGTGGATGTAAGTGAGATTTACTTACTTATGACGTGGCAAATCATCACCCTGTATATTCCAGGGTGTCATCAGTGATGACAGCGATGTTTGGCCGTTTGGCGTCAAGAATGTCTATCGTCACATGTTCGCCAAAAACAAACGGGTACAACGATACTCCGCGATTCCGCCGCCGGCATCAAATGACAATATCTATTGCCTAGAACGTGAAGACTACATTTCAATCGGAATTCTGGCGGGTGGCGATTATTCGAGTGGTCTGAACAAGGTTGGAGCAATCGGAGCGCTAGAATTGGTGGCCGAGTTTGTGGAAGTCGATCGGAATCTAGATTCAGACAATGTGGAGAATCGGATTTTCAAACTTCTACAAATCATTGAGGAGCTGTTTTTGAATAGATCGGTGGATGATTTGCCGTCGAAATCGCGGCAGGCTTTGTTTTATCGGCGACATGTTGTGGAGGCGAATGAGGCGACGAAAATTCGACAGATTTGTGAGAATCGAGAGGCTGTTAGGGGTATGTACCTTGGGGCACAGAAAAGTGGGCGGAGTCTGGGGGAAAAATGCAAGCCTCGCATAGTTTTTATACGAAAAAATGGGCGGAGCTTGCAACCTAGACTCGAAAAACGGCAAATTTTCAACCAAAGCACAGAAAAATGGGCGGAGCCTAGAAAAATGCAATCCTGGCATAGTTTTGTTTCTAGATAATGTTTAGACTCAAAAAACGTCAAATTTTCAACCAAGGCACAGAAAAATGGGCGGAGCCTAATCTGCAAGCCTGGCACATTTACACTCAAAAAACGGCAAATTTTCAACCAAGGCACCGGAAAGTGGGCGGAGTCTGGCGGAAAAATGCAAGCCTGGCACAGTTTTATAGAAAAAAGTGGGCGGAGCTTGCAACCTGCGGCACAGTTTTCGTTCTAGATAATGTTTAGACTCAAAGAACGGCAAATTATCAACCAAGGCACAGAAAAATGGGCGGAGCCTAGAAAAATGCAAGTCTGGCATAGTTTTTATAGGAAAAAGTGGGCGGAGCTTGCAAGATAATGTTTAGACTCAAAAAACGGCAAATTTTCAACAAAGGCACAGAGAAATGGGCGGAGCCTAGAAAAATGCAATCCTGGCACAGTTTTTATAGGAAAAAGTGGGCGGAGCTTGCAAGATAATGTTTAGACTCAAAAAACGGCAAATTTTCAAGCAAGGCACAGAAAAATGGGCGGAGCCTAGAAAAATACAAGCCTGGCATAGTCATAGGTGTTTTTCCCATTAAATTACCCTCGAGGTTAAAGACCTATGACGAACTCGAATCAAAAAGTTAAAGGGTTGGTGCTCCGCCAGGGAATCTTGCTTGGTTTAGATAGGAATAAGGTGCTCCTGGAAGGTTCCAGTTTTAGAAAAAATTAGAGTATCAATTCAGCCCATGTTTTTCCTCAAAAACACAAGCGAGTTAAAACCTACGAAATAAAACATGTAAATGCGCTCTAGCGCACAACTTGTTTTTGAATTTTCGTGCGTGTGTTTGCACACAACACTGTGACGCCTTTTTGCAGACGATTGTTTCACCAGGAAAGCACCAACCCTTTAAAGACCTATTTTACACTGAAAAAAAAACCTTTTTTGCTAAAAATTTATTTTCCAGCATGCTTTCCAGAAGGAAGGAAAAATCTCTGAATTCACTTTTTTTCAAAGATGCGCAGAGTTTCCTCAACAAATTCAAAACTCAATGCGTTTTCCATCACGTGAAATATATAAACAACTCTCATCGCCGACAACTCGCTGGTACGACCACACGCGATCCTCCTCATTGCACCTGGCTCCGCCCACTTTGTTTTTTCTTTTCTTTTTCTTTATTTTCACAGAAAATTCGAATCAAAACCAAAACTAATATTCTTGTAGGCAACCAAATGAGCTAAAAATTTTCACAGCCCTTCTACAGGTAATTTCGCATAGTTTCAATCCAGTACATTTCATCATAAAGACCTCCAAAAGATTTAGGAGACCTCAGCAGCAAAGTTTAGCGTTTCACTAAACTTTGCTGCTGAGGTCTCCTAAATCTTTTGGAGGTCTTTATATTAAGCCGGTGGGTCTTCTAAACAAGCTAAATATCTTGAAGAATACCTGTGAAAATTTTCATCTCATTTGGTTGCCTACAACAATATAAGTTTTGATTTTGATTTGAATTTCCTGTGAAAAACAAACGAAAAAAAAAGAAAAAAAAGTGGGCGGAGTCACTGAAATGAGAGAGATAGCGTGTGGCGCTACCAGCGAACTGTCGGCGATGAGAGATATTGAAATATTTCGCGTGATGCAGAATGAAACACGGCGAAATTTTTGTGGAAACCCTGCTCCTCTTTGAAAGAAGAAGTTGATGCAGAGGTAATTTTGATGACTTGAGAAATTAATAATAATTTTTTCATAAAAGTTAAGGACCTATTTTTCATGAAAAATGAAAAGGTTAACGACCCTATTTTATACTTTTCCGGACCAAAAACATGTATGGGCATAGTTTTTATAGGAAAAAGTGGGCGGAGCTTGCAGCCTGCGGCACAATTTTTGTTCTAGATAATGTTCAGACTCAAAAAACGGCAAATTTTCAATCAAGGCACAGAAAAATGGGCGGAGCCTAATTTTCTGCAAGCCTGGCACATTTACACTCAAAAAACACCAAATTTTCAGCCTATCTTCATCCAAACGTCGATTCATCTTCGGAAAAATTCCGATGGCGAAAAATGAACATCGAATTGATTCGAAACATTATGCAAAAACGATTCGACGACTCGAATTTCCTTCAAAACGAGTTGAAAAACTCAATTTCGGCTTTTGAAAGATGGAACACGTTTTTGGAAGGCGGAGGAATCGCGCAAATGCGATTGGATCGATTTTTTATGGCCGGCGGAGTTGCGGCTGGAAAACCAGCGCTTATTTGGTCGAAAAAAGTGACTGATGCGTTGATGAGGATTTCGAGAAGATCTAGGGGTAATTCGGGTGAAAAATGGCCAAATTTAGGTGAAAAATCACTAGAAACCCACCATTTTTGGCCAGAAATCATTGTTTTCTGCTTCAAAATCACCTTTTTTCAGGAATTCCGGAAGAAATCATTGTGGAAAGTGTCAAAAAGAGAAATACCAAGAAAACCACCAAAAAACCGGTGAAAAAGATGAAAAGAGTGGAGAAGGAAGAGGAAAAGCTGAATTTATCCGAAGAAAGTTCGGATGACTCATTTTAAGCTGATTTATTGATTTGTGAATGAAAATATTGGATTTAGAGCATTTTCAGGTGAAAAATCGGCTAAAATTTGGGATTTTTATAGATTTTCAGCTCAAAACGTCTGAAAATTTGGGATTTTTAGCTGGAAGTTCAGAGTTTCAGACAAAAATTCATGAAAATCAGCAAAAAAAAATTCTGAAAGTGATTTTTCAAATTCCGAAGAGTTTTCAGACAAAAATCTAGCTGAAAATTCAATTTTCATCAAATTTAAGCTTGAAAACCTTGACTTTCAAGATTTTTAGACTAAAATTTGTGATTTTTCATGATTTTCAGCTGATCAAACCAAATTTTCACAAATTTTCTAGCTGAAAAATTCTGAAAGTGATTTTTTGAATTTAAATTCAAAAATTGACAATTTTCATCAATTCTAATTCAAATTTTATGATTTTTTATGATTTTCAGCTCAAAAACGCCTGAAAATTTGGGATTTTTAGCTAAAAATCTGAAATTCAAATTTTCAGACAAAAAAAATTCTGAAAGTGATTTTTCAAATTCCGAAGGGCTTTTAGCCAAAAATCTAGCTGAAAATTCAATTTTTATCAAGCTTTAGCTTGATTTTCACAATTTTTTGACTAAAATTTGTGATTTTTCATGATTTTTCCAAATTTTCCCACCGCAAAACCCCTCACCTTTTCCATATTCTCCCAAAATCGCCGATTTATGCACTCGAACATTGTCGAAATGAATCGAACACGTCGAACTGGCTCGAATTCCCAATTTATCCTCTTTTTTGCCAACTTGAACACCTTCTTGACTGCGATCCACTAAAAAGCAAGTGATTCCTTTGTAGCCTTTTGCTGGCTCGGCGTTGGCGAAGACTAGGAAGAATTGAGCATGGCCGGCGTTGGTGATCCACATTTTTGAGCCGTTGATGATGAAGTCGTCGCCATCTTTTTTGGCGGTGGTTTTGAGGGCGAATGCGTCGGAGCCACTGCTTACTTCTGGAAAAATATCGAGTAGCGAAGCCAGAACAACCTTATTGTCTAGGAGATGCGCCTTGAGAGCTTCTACGTCAAGAAGCTAAGCCTAGAGAGCCTAGTTTTCAAGCAGCTGAGCCTAGAGAGCCTAGTTTTCAAGCAGCTGAGCCTAGAGACCCTAATTGTCTAGGAGATGCGCCTTGAGAGCTTCTACCTCAAGTAGCTAAGCCTAGAGAGCCTAGTTTTCAAGCAGTTGAGCCTAGAGAGCTCAATTCTCAAGGAGCTGAACCTTGTGAGCTTCTAACGCAAGCAGCTGAGCCTAGAGAGCCTAGTTTTCAAGCAGCTGAGCCTAGAGACCCTAATTGTCTAGGAGATGCGCCTTGAGAGCTTCTACCTCAAGTAGCTAAGCCTAGAGAGCCTAGTTTTCAAGCGGTTGAGCCTAGAGAGCCTAGTTTTCAAGCAGCTAAGCCTAGAGAGCCTAGTTTTCAAAGGGCCGCTCCTAGAGGGGCTTTACAGCAAAAATCGCGTTTTTTATTCAAAAAATGCCAATTTTTTGGCCTTGGAGCATTATTTTTAGGTTCCCGAGTTGGAAAATCGATATTTCGATATAGATTTTGGGTCAAAAATCGAATTTTTGCTATTTTATAGGAAATGTAGACTTCAAAAAAGTGAAATTTTTTGAATTTACACTCAAAAAATCAGAAAATTCTTCGTTTTTCATCAAATTTGATATCAAACAGTAGCATTTTCCATTTTTTCCCAAAATTTCGCCCAAAATCCTCACCAGACAACGCAAAACTTCCAATCGATTCGCTGACAATTTTCGGCAAATACTTTTGTTTTTGTTCTTCGGTTCCCAATTGAATAATCAAAGGCGCAACCAAAGTATTCTGAACATCGACAAAAACCGAAACCGACGGATCGATTTTGGCCAACTCTTCGATGACCAAAACGGCGTCGAAGAACGAGGAACCGGTTCCGCCGTATTTTTCCGCGATTTCGACGCCCATCAACTGAAAAATTGGGATTTTCAGGAGTTTTTCAGTCTAGAATCGTCTTTTTTGGGCGAAATTCAAGTTTTTCACGGATTTCTAGTCTAGAAACCAATTTTTCAGGTCAAAAATAGGGTTTCCAACAAAATTTGATTGGAACTCAGGTTTTAGGTGAATTTTCAGTCATTTTCTATCTGAAATTGGGTTTTTCTGTGAATTTCTAATCAAAAATCATAGATTTTCTGTAATTTTTGTGTTTTTCAGACAAAATTTCAGATGAAAATCGTTTTTTCTCAATTTTCCCAGCTAATTTAGGCGTTTTCTACTTAAAAATGTGATTTTCAGACAATTTTTGAGTTGAAAATCGATTTTTCTCAATTTTCCAGCTCATTTTAAGTTTTTTCAGGTCAAAAATCTGATTTTCAGACAAGTTTTCAGCTGAAAATCGATTTTTCTCAATTTTCCAGCTCATTTCAAGTTTTTCAGGTCAAAAATCTGATTTTCAGACAACATTTTTAGGCTGAAAATCGTTTTTTCTCTATTTTCCAGCTCATTTTAAGGTTTTCAGGTCAAAAATCTGATTTTCAGACAAATTTTTAGGCTGAAAATCGATGTTTTGAACATTTTTAGGCTTTAAATTCAAATTTTCCACAATTTTCTCCTCGAAAAATTCAAATCCTCCAAATTTGGCGCCAACAAATCCAACTCACGCCATTCTCAAAAGCGCCAGTGATGACCGATTGGTGCATTTGTGATTTGTCGTCCATTTCGCGCACCAATGGTTTGATGACATTTTGAGCAAAGCGACGGACTGCAAAACATTTTTGAATTTGTAAGTTTTGGCGGGGAAAACATGCGTCACGCGCTCCACCGAAATAAACACGCAACGCAGACCGCGTCGCGCCACAACACACACGAACGATTCAAATTCCCTCCCTTTTTTGTGTTTGTTGTGGCGCGACGCGGTCTGCGTTGCGTGTTTATTTCGGTGGAGCGCGTGGTTTCTTACTTACCTGTATCCACAATCGAATTCTCCTCCTCGGATAATTGATTGATTGGTGGTGGGGCCGGGCCGTCGGCCCGTGGTTTGGCCGAAATTTGACGGCCCGATTGGAAGATTTTGGCGGATCGCGCCAAAATTGAAGATGGGCGGCTCAAAGATTGCATTTTGTGTTTTCTGAAGCCGAAAAAATTGAGGAAATGATTGGTTTTTTGATCGAGCAAAGTGATAAGAGTTCTTTTTTTTTTTTTTTTGATAAAAAGTGTAGGGGTCACGGGGAAATTTTTCCAGTTTTTGGCGGGAAAATTGGGTCTTGACACGATTTTTTGCGTCTTGAAGCGAAAAAACTGGGTTTTGACGCGATATTTAGTGAATAATTGGGGGATCAAGACGAATTTTTGATAAAAATGGGTCTTGCCACGATTTTCGGGGTCCTGAAAGATATCAAAAACTCAAACTAAACTATAATCTAGTTTCAACCTAACAAACAACAGAAAAATAAAAAAGATAAAGAAAGGGTCGAGCAAAGAATCGCAATTATTTATATAGTTTCCCCCTAACTGAACTGTGATCTTGGGACAATGATGTTTCGGTCCGCTCAAATAGCCTGTTCCGATTAGAAAAAAAGTTTTTGAGAAGAAAAAAAAGATAGGCAAAAAATAGTGGGCGGAGATGAGAGAGCAGAGAGATGCAGAGGGTTTTTCTCCTCGTGGCCGTTTTTTTCTCGTTATTTGTAACTTTTTACAACAAATGGGAACGTGGCAAAACTCAGAGAAACAGGCTGGAGAACCGGCGGAGAAAACGACATGCCGGCGAACTCTCGGACAACCGGCGGAGTGTCTGACCAACACTATTTCGTCGAAACTTTTGTCCGCTGGTTATCCGAAAGTTCGCCGACAGGTCGTTTTCTCCGCCGGTTCTCCAGCCTGTTTCTCTGAGAAACATGGAAAAGTTTTTGAAAAAAATAAAAAAAAGGCGCGGGGATTTATTTGAAGGTTGGGTCTCGAAGCGCACACGAAGAATTTTGCGTGCGTCTTTGACTTTTGTAGTTTGTTTTTTTTTCTTTTTTTTTCTTTTTGGGGAATTTTTAGCACTAAAAATAGATACAGTGCTTGGTAAAATTATTTATTTCAAAATTTGGCGTCACATTGAAAGTGAAAAAAAAAACCGGTTGTCAATGAAATCTCACAAAAAACTAAAAAAATTAAATTAACATGAGCAATTCTAGTCCAATTCTTCGATTTCCACAACTTCGAATTGCAAAAAATCATCTTTACGATAGGTGATTTTGCCATTTCCACGGATATAAAGTTGATGACTGCAAAAATTGTTGTTTTTTGTAATTTAAAATTAATTACAAATCAGCAGAAGAAAAAACTTACAAATCAGCAGAATATTGCATTTTAGATCCGAAACATCGGAAAAATGTGTCAGCCAAGTTATGGAAATGCGAGCCTTTCAAATTCCAAACACATTTCTCCAAAATCCGATTTCCATTCATCCAAGTTTGAATAAATCTGAAAATCGATTGTGGTCGCAAATTTCCAATGCGCATCTCGATTCGTCTCGCCGATAATCTCCTCAACTGCGATTCTCTCAAACCGAAATCAATCGCCACAAATTCAGAAACTTCGTAGATTTTCGCGATTTGCGCATACATTCTATGCTGGCTGATATGCACATCTCGAATTGTTAAGGATTTCAAAGAATCGCCAGTCTTCAATAAAATCTCATGACAATTTTCCAAATTGTCTCTTCCGCTTAGAACAACATTGCGAAGTTGTGGAAAGTGTTCAACTCCTCGCAAATTGATTGGACATGTCCCTTTAATTGTCAAAGATTTGACCACCATTTGATTTCTTTCCAGTCTTGCTTGAAACATATTTCGAGCATGTTCAAAGTATGTTCTACTTCTTGGGATTTCTAGACACTCTATTTCTTGACTGCCAATTTGTCCGCTAGAAATTTGTAAACATTGAAACAACAACATTATAATGAATATTCCCTCAAACTCACATTTTAAATGTGTTGTCGTGCTCATTATCAAATTCGGCAAAATACAAATTGCCCAAAATAATCTTGATTTTCGGAAAATCATAATCCCAAGTGATCGAATCGTTCCAACATTTCGGATATTTCCAAATTCGACGGCTTTGGTCGCAGAGAGCTCGAAAATTGTTTCTGAATTCAAATGGGGGGATTTCAGAACACTATTCAAACTTACTTATCATCTTGATCTTCCATGTTCTCGAAAATTTTCAAAAGCATATCATCTGGCAAAATAAAAGTTCTCTCTACTTCTTCTTTTTCCTGCTCCATTGTTCGTCTCTGAAGTTAAAGCTTCGTGGGTGGTCTCGCGATCAATCAATAGCTGTTTAATTTAAGGACCCTTCAAGGAGAGGGGGGACCCATATCTTAAAATTTTTTGATACTTCATCTCCTCAAGATTAAAATCCCCATGGGATAGTTTTCCGGGAAAAATTAGGGTAACTAACTAAGCCTAATATTTTTAAAGGTCTGCCCCCCCCCCTAATTTACAGGGGGGGGGAGAACCTTACCTTACCTTAAAGCTACATAGGATAGTCTGTGAATATTAAAGCTACCCTACCCAGGGCTATTTTTCCGGAAAAAAAACTTGGGGTATCCAATTTTTTCCGGGGGGGTGTCTTTCAAAATGAAAAAAAATAGACAAAACGGCCACTGGCTGTTCTGTATGGATCACAAATGATTCCTTCCTTCCTTCTTTTTTCTCAACACACACATGTACTACAGAAATCAGAGAGAAAGAGAGACGCAGACGGCTAGAGAATATGTATGCCATTGGCAATGCGCCAATTTTCGACGGGGCGCACACGATGACTAATATGAGTGATTTTTTTTATCATTTTTTTGAGAAAAAAGTGGTCGTTTTTTTAAACAAAAAATGATTCGTTTTTTTTTCACAAAAAAATTGCCGGTTGTATAAAAAATCCCTTTTTCTTCCTCATTCTTTATTTAAACTTCAAAAAGTGAAAAAAAACATTGAAAAATAAAATTTTCCCTAAATATATTCAGTCTTCTATCTTTCCTATCGTCAATAACATTTTTGTAATTTGATTTTCCGGTACAATATAAAACCAATATCTTTTTTAATAAAATCCATCTGATAATCTGCGCTTATACAAAACACACACTCTCTCACTTCCTTCCTCCATGACGATGTTGTTGTTGTTTTATAAAATCAACAGTATATAAACCGTCACCGAGAATCAAAGGTGTCGTCGTAAGCCGTCACCCCATCAATTAATTTATTTTAATTTCTTTGTTATATCTTTCCTCGAGTTTCATAAACTCTTTTGTTCTAGAAACGCGTACTTGGTTATTCTGTGAAATTATCTTAAATTTACTATACATAACTGTAGTTTTTCGAAAAATTTCTCAAAAAAAAATTGAAAACGTGACACGTTTTTGCCAACTCAAAAAAGGTAATTTCAACTTTGATAATGAAAAAGCGCACTTTTTTCCCATCTGATGGTAAAGAGGATTCTTATCCTTTGCTGATCAAGCGCAGAAAACTCGAAGCGAGTAGGAAACGCGCTCTACAGTTCAAAGATGGATATCCATTCCAAATAAAAAGACAAAAAATCGACAGCAGTCGCAAGGAAATATTGGATCGAATGCGCATGATTCATGAAAAAATGGAAAGAATTGAAAGAATCAATATGAATTGGATGCTGAAAAATGCGGAAAGAAGGAGATTAGCTGAAAATGATGAAGCTCAAATCATTATTGATGTTATTAATGGAATGATAATGGATGTGATTGAAGCCGAAATTTTGAATAATCTAAATGATAATGTGATGGTGGCTGATCCGATTGATATTCCGGATGAAGAAGATCGAAAGCAACAACAAGAACAAGTTAATGTAAGTTACTGGAATTATAATTTGACCATACATCATGATGTATGGTTTCTCCCGGTCAGGGCCTCAAAATTAGCCACCCCCGTAATGTGAAAATTCAAAAATTAGCCAGACCCCCTCAAAAAAAAAAATAGAAAAACTTGGTTTTTGGGCTGTAAATTGTTATTTTTTCAAAAAGTTAGCCGGTCCCCACGTCTTTTTTCCAAAATAGCCAGACCCCCTCCGGACGAAAATCCGGGGATACTGATGTATGAATTTGACAATTTTTCGGTGGTTTCAAGGAGGAAAAACGGAGATTTTCAAGGAGAAAAATTTTTTAGGATCAACCTGAAGCCCCGGCGATGGAACCAGCTCCAATTGTTGCAAATATTGTCCATCTCGAACCCCAGAAGTCTATTCAACATCTCAATCCTCAACCACGGAATACGGCGGTGCAAATTGATTTTGGAAACGAGATTGAGATTGAGGTATTGCCAGCTATTCGCATGGAAGCAGAAATTGTCGAATTGGAGCCAGAAATCACAATTCGAATCATGCAAGCGCCACCACCAATTATTGCTCAACAACAAGCTCCACCAGCGCCAATTATTGCACAAGCTGTCAACTTTCCGCAACCAGCTCAACTGATTCCTCCACCAGCAGTTGTAGCTCCGGCACCGGCAGTCGCAGTTCCAGCGGTAGTAGCTCCTCCACCTGCCGCTGGACTTCAACCTGCAGCTCCAGCACCTGCAGTTCAAGCTTCACCTCCTATTCCACATACACCTGTCGCTGCTCAACGAGTGGGGCGCACTTACATACTCGCCTTGCGGTTTTTTCAATTTTAATCAATTTTTTTAATTTCAATCTAGGCCAAAAATTCAGTTTTTCTACTATTTATGCAAAAAACAAGAGATTCCATAAGTTTTTTTTTTTGAAAAATTGATCGATGACGTCATCCATGGCAAAATTAGAAACCGTTCCTGATTTCGCCACGAGTCATTTTTTGAATAACAGAAACAAGTGTCCCTTGCCTTTTCAAAAAACAAAATCCCCAATATGAGCGCAAAGTACGTTGGGGCGCACTTTCTTGTTTTCCGGCGAAAAAATTCGGCCATTTTTGGTTTTTTGTTCTCAGCTACTTCAAAAAATGTATTCAGTAGATCTTGAAACGGGATCATTTATTCAAATTTTCGTTAAAAACATTGTCATCTATAAAATGTCATTTTTCGTTTTCGGTTCTTCCATTTGCACAATCTTATAATTCCCCTTCATTTTCTTGGCTGTAAATGTCGTATTCCCAACTCGATAAACCAATAAATTTTCTCCGCTCTCAAAATTCTTCCACAGCCATCTTATATTTTCCCACTTCCTCAAATATCCACCAATTGTAAAATATTCATCAATCGGTTTCTTTGCCGCATAACAATTTCTACGCGTATATGGTATGAGATACGAAGTGCGGAAGCTGCCTCTTACCGCGTATCGATATTTGGCCAAGAGTGACGCGGTTTTCATCGCCTCTTGGTCATCGAATTCTTTATGTTTGTTTTTAGATGCCAGCTGCTAGCAAAAGGTGTCTGCCAGCACCAAAAGGAAGAACGAAGACATTAACCCTGGAAGAGCTGGAAGAAGAACTGGCGGGGACAGGAAACACAAAGACTGATGTTTCTGGTGGAAATGTCAACGCCAAGGCGAAGAATTCGAGAATATTGGAAAGTTCTTCGAACGATCTAAACCCGAAAAGAGCACCAACTGATGCATCAAAAAAATGCGAATGTGCTAAAAATTTCACAGGAGTTCAGAGGTATGTAGACCATTTTTAGGGCAGCCAGGAAAAAACCAGCTCTACGTTTCCGTGGCTGAAATTTTTTAATTGCACTCCACAATCAAAACATTTTCCTGGCTGACCTAACTCGTAATTTGTCATCTTCACCTAACCCGTAATTTCCAGGCAACTAACCATCGTTGCATGTCGTCTAGATGCTCTTGGTCGAATGGTGCATTCTCGTAAGTATACGAGTCTCTTCCAAAAAAATGCCGCAATTCGTGAAGGGAAATTGACTGCTGAAATTGAAAGGCTCAAATTGATATTGTATGACAATCAAATTTTTTTTAAAGTTTTTATCGTTTAATTTTGTATTACATTAACTGCTTTAAAAATATGACTTGTATTGATGTGATTGAAAATGAGGTTCATGATAGACCTTGATATATTTGGTTTTGTTTTAATGAGGAGTTGAATTGGATTCTAATTATTTATGTCTGTTCTTAGATGCCACCCGCGAAAAGGAAGTCACAATGTTTGCCAGCGCCAAAAGAAAGAATGAAAACAATCACCTTGAAAGAGCTCGACGAAGAACTGGAGGAGAGAATCAGCGGAGGAACGAGTGATGGGATTTCGATTGCTCTCACTGAAAAGGAGAAAAATTCGATCGGTAGGTCATTTACTCTAAACTAATTGGGAACATATTTTTGATGATAAGAGTGTGTCCGAGACACAATTTCAATACTCATCTAAAAATATAATCAACAAAAAGTAAGTCTGTTGATAATTTATTCCAACCAGGAAGACGTCTTCCTGGCTGGAATAAATCCTCATAGTCTAAACCACCTGGCTCCTGAAATTATTAGAGACAGTTACTGTTTTTCAGCAAAAACTGAACAATTGATCAAAGGAAAAGCCATCAGTGCGAAATTTGAAAGTCAGTTGTTAGCCGATTTGGACGATTTATTGCTCACTGCACAACAACTCGACACTGAGAGGATGTGTATTAGATGTTTCCGGATGGACTGTGGCGAAAATTGCAACGTCTATGATGGAAGCGACGCAATGGTCCGTGTCCGAAATGTAATTGAATATACGTGTATCATCAATGATGGCCGATATCCACGAAAATTGCAAGGAAAACAATTAAAAATGCTCAGAGAATTGGTGATCGGTGCAAGATTTTCATCTTCAGCAATCTCCAACGCACATCTCACGATCTCTCAAAAAAAGGCGTGCGAAGACATCATGGAAAAACAGTTGGAAATAATCAGAACCCTTCCAGAAGCTTATGACTATTACAGCCTAAAGAAACACAGGCGAACAACGTCAAATGCATCGCTGGTCTTGAATTCGATGCCGACAGCAATCGAAATTGTAAATGGATCTGTGGATGTTTCGAAACCTTCGTTCAATATGTCTGACAGAGTTGCAGGCCTCGTCAGCACTCTTGCCAAGATTGAAAACTCCAATAATTCAAGTGCAGAAAAGCTGTTGAGAATGTGTAAATTGAGGAAAAATAAAAGGAGGGATAAACTGAAGGAGGAGAAAGATAGGTTTGTAGATGAAAATCTGAAATCATTCGCAACGGAATATTTGAAATACCCAAAACAATGTCAACAAGCTCTGGAGAATCTTCAAATATTGCTCGAAGATGTTTGCAAAGGATCCGACATAAGTAAAATATTCGAAAACCCATCACACCAACATCAGAGGCTATTCGAAATCATTTTCTTTGCTCTCAATATCTATCCAGTTGTTACAGTGAGTTTTTCCTATTGTAAAAATTGGTATCCTAATATCAATAAGTGATTAAAAAAATGAGAAGGCCAATGTTCAGTGCAGCCAAGAACACGTTTCCCTGGCTGAAAAGAAATTTTTTGTCTAAATCACTTCAGATAATGTAGAAGGTAAACATTAAAAATAAACAATATCCAAAATAAATAATATCCAAACAAATATCCTAAAAAGTGAGCTAGACAATGAGGAGTCCAATTTTCACTATAGTCAGGGGAACGGTTTCCTGGCTGCACGAAACATTGGCCCTTTAAAACAATAAAATTTACAGATCGGATTTAGAACCAATACCAACCAACAAATTCACTTCGATTCACGACTGAAGTCAGCCTGCGGGAATTATCTCGACATCGAAAATTCGAAGAAGCTGCTCACAAATGAAAATAAAGTGACGGTGTTTGATGGAGAAAACAACAAATGGGACACGGGTCGACCAATTTTCACGTATTTCGATAAAATCGAGAAAAGCAAGAATGGCACCCGCCTTTGTGTGCCTTTTCCACCGAACACTGTTTACTTCGTATCTTTCTTACGGTATGTTTTCATGCAACTGATGCAACAAAAATTTATTATTATTTTAGTCAATACGAATTATATGGCGGAAAAAGGAATTTGATTGAACTTTGGAGAAGAAATGCAACGGAAATTCGGAAGCTGGGGATCTCATTATTCCGAACACGCATGTTTCTACAATTTCTCGATGTCAATCAATTCGGAAAATTGAAGAATTTGAGGTAACTGACAATGAGCCAGGAAAACGTTTTCCTGGTTAGACCTAGGGCTAGGGCTAGGCTTAGGCTCCCCCTTTTTATTTGAACCAGGAACACATTTTTCTGTCTCAAATGAAAAAGGGGGAGCGTAAGCCTAAGCATAGGACTAGGTCTAGGTCTAACCAAGACCAGGCCAGGAAAACGTTTACCTGGTTCACATGAAAATTGCCCTCATTGTCTAACCCACTTCATATAACAGAACTTTGGTTTGCACCGCTTTCGCGAACGCGGGAGGTTCGCCATTGGTTTTGGAAGACGATCCGCAAATCCGCGGCCATTCCGCTAAGACAGTCAAACGAAACTATTTGAATGGCGATGGGCGCCAGCTGTTTCTCCGTGTCAGGCAACAATTCAATAACTATTTGGTTGCTTTCAAACGGCTCACAAATAGCATAATAAAAATTCGAAACTCCCACGGTTTCGCTTCTTATAAGCCATTTTATCTTGCAATATATATTCAAAATGAAAAATCACATTTTTCTCTTAATATTGATCCTCTCTGTATATTCCTCCGACTCATCAAAAGCTCTCGAAGCTGCTACCAAATTGAACAACGCCTATACATCGCTCAAAACTCGCGAAGAATACAAAAAACTGGTGGACAGTCGGTTGATGGCGGTTGAGACGATCAAAGCGCATAATATGTCGGATCTACAGATTTTGTTGTTTTCGAAACGTACACCGGGTTTTCGAGCAACTGATGTGACAAGTGCGGTTTTTAGCGATGCAAAATGACATTGACTTATCGAGTTCGAAATGGAGATGTGGAAATTGTTGCGAAAAAGGTTGATGGACAATGGATGTTTGTGTCGGAGAAGAATTTTTTGTGAAATTATTGAAATTTTCTGTTTGTTATAGGTATAAAGGTTGAACAGAAATTTGACAAAATCCATATTTTTAGTGGTCAAAGGCGCATAGAATTAATGGTTTGGGTCTCGGAGCGATGAGATTACCGTGTACTTCTCTCGGACTTCTTTTCATTTTCTGTTTTTTTCACAAAAACTGGTCAAAAGCGCTTGAAATTGTGTCTTTGGGTCTCGAAGCGATGAGATTACCGTGTACTTCTCTCGGACTACTCATTTTTCCAACAACAAAAAACATGTTCATTCACAAAAAGAGTTCGTTCAACTTTCACAAAAAAAACAAAAAAAGTGGGGGACACCTTAAAGGGACACACAATAAAAACAAGAATGCGGGTTTCGCAGCGAAAAAAAATGGGATATGTTATACACGTATTAGTTGGGTACTTTATGGGGGAAAAAAGTTCGTTGTGGGAGGGAAACTGCAAAAAAAGGGGGGGGGAGGCGGAGCAATTCGAATTTGGTTTTTCTATTTTTGGGGTGGTACTGTAGGGGGTACTGTAGGGTAGATCAAGAAGATGCGGTCTCGCCACGAATTGGTGCATCAATTCGGACGGCTGTCGCTTCGTGTTCGATGAAATTTCGAAGTCTTTCGAGGTAGGCAGCGTGGAGTTCAACATCGTTGTGACCGGCTCCTGGAAAATTTTTTTGAATTTTTCGATTTGCCACGTGGATGTTTTTTAGCATACCTGGAACCCAAAGCGGTTCAACCGAGGCGGGACATCGTTCATAAATCGAAACACCGTGCGAAAAATCGATAACCTCGTCGTCGGTTCCATGAATTACTAGAGTTGGACATTTGACACGTGGCACTTTTTCGATTGATGGAAATGCATCACAACACCTATGAAATAGGAAAATTGGGTAATTTTCATGAAAAATCGATAATTTCCGATTTAGTTTCAAAAATTATTCATTTTCTGATTTAGAAAATACTAGGTTTTTTTAAAATATGTTGAGCAAAACTGATAATTTAAATATATGATTCAAAAATGAAAAATTGAATTTTACAGTAAAAGTTCAAGCGTTTTGATGATTTTCCGAGACAAAATCTGAAAAATCTTATTTTTTTTGGCTAGGTTTTATGCAGAATAATATCTTTTAATAAAAAAATATATTATTTTTGAGTAGAGACAATGTAAAATAGAGAGAGTGCAGACAGAAAAATTAGTTTTTTCGCACAAAAAATACGAGAAACTGTCTGCACTCTCTCAATTTCACATTGTCTCTATTCAAAAATTGTATATTTTGTTTTTCGACGTTTTTCTGCATAGGAAAAATATGTTTTTTATTACAAAATATTATTAGCCAGAAAAAATAAGATTTTTTCAAATTTTGTCTCTGAAAATCATCAAAACGCTTGAATTTTCACTGTAAAATTCAATTTTTCATTTTGAATCATATAAATTATCAGTTTTGCTCAACATATTTGAAAAAACCTAGTATTTTCTAATCCAGAAAACTGATAATTTTCGAATTTTAAACATAGAAACTAAATCAGAAATTATTGGATTTTCAGTTTAACAGGGAAAAATAACCAAAAATTTGAATTATCAAAGATTTTCCGCCTCAAAACCATCCCAAAACCTCACCAGGTAGTCTGTGTTCCAGGAAATGCAACTCTCATTCCACTCATCAATGGTGAATGTAAAATCAAAGCTGCCACGTGTTCTCTGCTGGCCAAATCAACACTTGGAACTGTTCCAATTGATTGTCCATATAAAATTACACGATCTGCTGGAACATCTGCAAAAAAAGTTCATAATTTGTGGGAAAATTGGTTTTTTCAGTGATTTTTGACCAAAATTCAGTAAATTTCTTGATTTTTCAGGTATTTTCAGCTTTTCCCCTCAAAAAACTCACTAAAATCCTTTTTCAGCGTTTCAAAAGCCGTCGAAATATCCGCATACAAATTCTTTTCCGATGGTTTTCCCGTTGAGCAACCGTAACCTGCAAAAATCGATAATTTGAGGTTGAAAATATTGATTTTCATGTAATTTCCATCAAAATTCATTAATTTTGATCCAAAAAATTCCAACATACCCGAATAATCATAGCTAAACACATTACATCCTAAATGATAACCCAAACCATATAAAAATGAGCACATTTGTCCCAAATCCACTGCATTTCCGTGTGAGAATAATAGTGTGAATTTGGCGTTTTGAATTGGTCGAATCATTGCACAACTTATTTTATTTCGACGTCGAGTTCTGCAAAAAAAATGGGGGGTTTTTTAAGGGACTTAGGGTAAAATTAAGAATTTAACTCAGAACTTCCTCAAAAATAGCCCAAATTTGATGAAATCATTCGAAACTTTTCAAGTTTTGAACCAAAAAATGATCTGAATTTCAAAAATTACGGTTTTTAAATGAAAAACCTTTACTTTTGAGCTTTTTCACATCAATTTTCAGAACATTTCTAGCAAAAAATCCCAATTTCTCCCCTGAAAAACCATACCTAACCAATGTCGTTTCCACACATTCCGATAAATATCGATTTTCATGTGGCCAAGCAGCACGGCCTTCGATTAATTGTAATCTGCAATTAGTTTTTTTTCAAAGATATCTTCGAATTCTAAAGCTCACTTGTTATTTTCAGTTATTGTATAGCTCGATTCTGGCGGCATAAAAGCTAATTTTGAGACAATTGCTGATGGAAATGGAGGACAGCAAAATAAGCAACAAAGATCCCTAAGAGAAACTCCATTTTGTCCGGCGGCTCTTGGTGGCGGTGAATTTGGTCCCGATGTATCCATTGATGAACCGGAAGTTGGACCAGATGACATATTTGTATTGTATTTATGAATAAATATTAATAATGATAACAAGAATAGCAATAATAATAATGGAATATATGAGTCTGGAAAATGCACTTTTTGTTTTGTACTTTTATTTATTTGGATGAAAGGGATAATATTTTGAATATGAAGGGAAAATAAAAAAAAAAATTGGCGATAGATTTGCCTGCGCGGGATCTTAAAATTTCAGCAAAAATCCAGAAAATCTGGGTTTTTGCTGAAATTTTCAGATCCGGCATGAGAAATTCCGGAAGCTTCCGCGTCAGCGGCCACGTGGATGACTATGACGTGGCAAATTTACAGTATCATAAACCACGTGGCCGCTGAAGCGGAAAATAGTGCCGCTGACGCGGAAGCTTGCGGTTTACACTCGCTTCGCTCGAAAAAAATTGGCGATAGATTTGCCTGCGCGGGAACTCAAAATTTCAGTGAAAATCGAAATTTCATAGATTTTCAGTGAAATTTTCAGATCCGGCATGAGAAAATCGATTTTTCGAGCGAAGCGAGTGTAAACCGCAAGCTTCCGCGTCAGCGGGGGCTATGACGTGGCGAACTTACAGTATCATAAACCACGTGGCCGCTGAAGCGGAAGATAGTGCCGCTGACGCGGAAGCTTGCGGTTTACACTCGCTTCGCTCGGAAAAAAATAGGCGATAGTTTTGCCTGCGCGGGATCTCAAAATTTCAGCAAAATTCCAGAAAATCTGGGTTTTGCTGAAATTTTCAGATCCGGCATGAGAAATTCCGGAAGCTTCCGCGTCAGCGGCCACGTGGATGGCTATGACGTGGCCGCTGAAGCGGAAGATAGTGCCGCTGACGCGGAAGCTTGCGGTTTACACTCGCTTCGCTCGGAAAAAATTGGCGATAGATTTGCCTGCGCGGGATCTCAAAATTTCAATGAAAATCGAAACTTCATAGATTTTCAGTGAAATTTTCAGATCCGGCGTGGGAAAATGAATTTTCAAATTTCAAAGGTCTCAAGAATGACGCACTTTGCCACGTCATAGCTATATATTTTGAAAAGATTATCCTTATTATTCAAAAAAATGTAGTTTTTAGAAAAAGCAAATAGATTTGAATAAGGGTTAATTGAATCATATTTGGAATAGCAAAAAGAAATTTTTCAAAAAAAAATTGGCGATAGATTTGCCTGTGCGGGATCTGAAAATTTCAGCAAAAATCTGGGTTTTACTGAAATTTTCAGATCCAGCGGGGAAATTTGAACATTTTGACGATAGTTTTGCCTCTGAAAATTTCAGCAAAATTCCGGGTTTCCAGAGATTTTGCTGAAATTTTCAGATTCGGCGTGGGAAATTTAATATTTAGCTATAATTTTATCTATCAATTTTTCTCTGAAAATCCCAGAAAAATTTAACTTTTTGGTCAATTTCTATGGAAAAATGCAAAATTCATTCTGCTGGTTGCCAGACGAAAAAAAGCGAAATTTTCATTAATGTTGAATATTTTTCTCATTTCATTCGCGTCGCAGCAAAAAAAGTGATTCATAGTTTTTTCGTCGGCGCAAAAAAAGAAGAAGCGAGATTTTTTGTTTATTAAAAAAATGAGAAAACTTTTTCGTCTTCTTCGCCTTTTTTTCTGGATAATAAGTCTCATTGAACTTTTTCTTGTGAGTGTGAGAAAATGGCGAAAGAAATTGAGCTAATTTTTGCGTGGGGGAAGACAAACTAAAATGTACTTTATCAAAAGCAGCAAGTTTTGGGCGAGAAAGTCCTAAAAAATGAATTTTCAGGCAAAAATAAAATATAAAAACTGAGATTATCTCTCTCTCTTCATCCATGTATCCATCAAAAATAAAAATAAATATTCTTGAAAATAATACAAACAAATTAAAATCGATGAGAGTTGGGGAGGGAAAAAACGAGAAAAAGAGACGAAGAGATATATATATCTGGGCTCTTTTTGCTCTGTTTCACTAACTCGGGGCTGGTCAGCGAAGAATGACAACCAACCGCAAAACTTTGCTCCGCCTTTATTTTTTCGCATTTCATGTTTTTATTATGATTATTATTTTCATAATAATTATTATTATTTGAAAAAAATATCTTCATTTTGTGACGACACAAGTTTTTTTTTTCATCGAAAGAAAACAACACAAAACACACATTTTTGAATTATTTTCAGTAATTAAAATATGCCTCAAAATCTCTAAAACAATCATGAAATAAGGGAAAATCATTAATTATCGATTAGCGCCCAAAAAAGTAGCGAAAAACAAAGCGAACGCGCGAAAACCGAAAAAAAAAGAAATGCAGCCGCCCCCGTAAATCTACTTGGCAGCTGGCCAATTGGCGGAGCGCGTCGAGACCCAACACATTGCGAAATTCCATGTGCCTTGATTTTTTCTTTTTGTTTTCGGGTTCCGCTTGAAATGTGCGTTTTCAGCCCAATTTTATTGATTTTTGCGGGGATTTTTAATGGGGGAGTTTGGATTTTAAGCGGGCCTATAGGGTTTCAAAAATAAAAATTAAATTATAGGGTTTTTGAGGCGAAAATGTCACGTGAAGATTTTTTCGCATTTCGAAACAAAATAGACCTTAAAAACAAGCGAAATTGATAGTAAATCTTTTTTTTCATTTTCTTCCTTGAAATTGTTTATCTAATTTAAAATGTACATTTGCAGCTCTCAAACTTTCTCTCAAAATGGCAGATCTTGGTTTGGACCTTGGAAAAAAGAAGAAAGCAAAGAAAGAGATTAAAATCGAAGATGACGTAAAACCTGAAGAATCTCAAGATGCACCAATTGAAGAATCACTTGGTGAATTGAATTTGGGTGGAAAAAAGAAGAAAAAGGCGCCAAAAACTGGAGGAGTCGAGGAAATTGTTGAGGAAAAAGCAAAAGGATCGAATTTGGAGATTGGAATTGGCGCGCAGAATTTAATCGATGCTTCAACTCCATGGCCAGATTACAGCTACGAAGAGGCTCTTTCGTTGGTCTTCCAAATTATGCGAGATAAGAATCCTGAATTGACTGGAGAAAAGAAGAAGTTTGCGATCAAATTGCCGGAAGTTGGAAGAGCTGGAAGTAAAAAGACGGCGTTTTCGAATTTCTTAGAGATTTGTCGACTTATGAAACGACACGATAAACATGTTTTGCAATTCCTTTTAGCTGAATTGGGAGCGACGGGTTCGATTGATGGAAATAATTGTTTGATTGTTAAAGGACGATTCCAACAGAAACATTTTGAAAGTGTACTCAAGAAATATATTAGTACGTGGTGCAAAATTGGGAGCTTACTATGACGTGGCAAACGATTTTTTTTGTTGCAAAAATAATCTGAAATTCCCACGCAAATTGTATTCTTTCTTATGCAAATCATGCCGGATCTGAAAATTTCGGGGAAAACCTAGGTTTCTGCCGAAATTTTGAGATCCTGCGCAGGCAATTCGATATGGATCTGAAAATTTCAGCAAAATCTCTGGAAACCCCGGAATTTTGCTGAAATTTTCAGAGGCGCTATCGTCAAAAATATCCCAAAAAGTTCATTTTCTCATGCCGGTTCTGAAAATTTCACTGAAAATCTGAAATTTCGATTTTCACTGAAATTTTGAGATCCCGCGCAGGGAAATCTATCGCCAATTTTTGAATAGGATTGCCACGTCATAGTTTAAAAAAAATGTATTTTTCCCCCGGTAAAAATCCCAATATTTTTTTTGCAGAAGAATACGTAATGTGCCACACATGCAAATCCTCCGACACTCAATTGACAAAAGACACCCGTCTCTTCTTCCTCCAATGTAACGCGTGCGGTTCGCGTTGTTCCGTCACCGCAATCAAATCCGGTTTCTCAGCTGTCGTCGGAAAACGTGCGGCGATTCGACGAGCCGCCGAAGCAACGGCTGGAAAATAATTGTGTGCTCTTTTTTTGTGGTGGTTTTTGGGCTTTTTCTTTATTTTTGTGAGAAAAAGTCATTTTTTCGTGTAGTTTTGATTCTATTTGTTGTTAATTAATTTTATTTCGGTGTTTTTTGATGAATTTTCTTCTTTTTTTCTAGTATTTTCTCGCTGAAAATCGGATAATTTCACCCTAAAGTTCATATTTTTCACCTTTTTTCGACCTGAAACTCAGTAAAATTTTAAGTAGATCAAGATGAAAAGCCTTATTCGCTTCTCAAAGGCTTTGGATTCTGGAGATTTGAATGATATTCTGTTGGCTGCGGAAAGCTTGGAAATCGCTGAACATTGTGAATGGCAAAACTCGATGTTGGCACTTTTTTATCGATTTTTGCGAATTGGCAAAATGCCGAGAATTGTGGCGGAAAATGTTGGGCAGATTTTGATGGGGTACGTGGAATTTTGGGCGGGGAATTTGAAAAATTCGGAATTTTTTGAAACCAAACATGAAAATTTTTGAAATTTGTGAACAAATTAGAGAATTTCAGCCAAAGAAAACTGAAAATATTTAAAATTCTGAATGTTTTGAAACCAAACATGAAAATGTTCAAATTTTGGAGTTTTCAGCACTAAAAAGCTGGAATTTCTGAAATTTTTGATACAAAATATAGATTTTTCAGTAAAAGCTGAAATTTTCTGAATTTTCAGCCAAAAAATTCTGAAATTTTCGAATTTTCAGCCATCTTCTGCCTTCAAATCGCCTCGAAATTTGCTCAAAAATCCTCCTCCAACAAATTCCATTTTTTGACTCAATTATCAGCCGAAAATATTCTAGAATTATCCAAGAAAAATCTGAAATTATCTGAAAAACAATGTCGCGAAATATGTGAGAAAATTAAGAATCCGAATCGAGCTGAAAATGCTGAAAATATTGGAGCAACTCTGCGAGTTTTGAGAAATTCGGGATTTATTGAAAGAAGGTTGGGGAAAAGGGAAAATCTGAAATTTTCAGCAAAAAATCCTATTTTTTTTCCAGAAAACTCTCGATTTTGCTGCAATCTCATCTGGAATTTCTCTTCCCAATTTTTCGGAAAAATTTCGAAATTCCCGAAATTTTTCTAATCGAGTTAGCCGAATTTGATCCAGCAAATCCGATTTTGGGTGAGTTTTTGTTTTCCGCGGACTTTCCGCATATGCGGAAGCTTGCGGAACAATGCATTTTTCCAGAAATCTGCTCAAATCAAGAACCTTCAACTTCCCTAATTCCCCAATGTTTTTCCGCGGAATTCCGCGCGGAAACAGGAATTTTGAGATTCTCCGAGTTTCTGAGCTCCTGGAATTTGTATAGAGATGAAGATGCGCAGAAATATTACACGGTATTTGAGAAATATTGTAGAGATTTGAGAGACGCAGAGATTTTCGAGGACAAGAAAAAATGGATTGGAATTCTGGCGGTGAGTTTTTGTATAAGCTCCGCGTGGCCGCTGAAGCGGAAGCTTGCGGTAGTAAGTGTAGATCGCAAGCTTCCGCGTATCGACCACGCGGAAGCTTGCGGTATAAAAAAATCCACGTGAAACCCGCCGAATCTGAAATTTTCCCTAAAAATTGATTGAAAAATCAAGATTTTATGGAAAATTTTCAGATTCCGCACAGGGGAACCTATCGCCAATTTTTTTTCGAGCGTAGTGAGTGTAAACCGCAAGCTTCCGCGTCAGCGGCACTATCTTCCGCTTCAGCGGCCACGTCATAGCCACCCACGTGGCCGCTAACGCGGAAGCTTGCGGTTTACACTCGCTTCGCTCGAAAAATCGATTTTCTCATGCCGAATCTGAAAATTTCAGCAAAAACCCAGATTTTCTGGATTTTTTCTGAAATTTCCAGATTCCGCACAGGGGAACCTATCGCCAATTTTTTTTTTTCGAGCGTAGCGAGTGTAAACCGCAAGCTTCCGCGTTAGCGGCACTATCTTCCGCTTCAGCGGCCACGTCATAGCCATCCGCGTGGCCGCTGACGCGGAAGCTTGCGATCTACACTCGCTCCGCTCGAAAAATCCAATTTTTTCCCAGGATTTCTGGTATTCTGGATTTCGTATGAGCAATGGTTTGGATATTCAGAAGACGCAAAAAATGATTGGATTATTCAAAAATACTTGTCAACAATTTTTCGACATCGAAAATCGACCACTTTTTATCAAGAGGATTTTGAAGAGAATTCAGGAGAAGGTGAGCATTTTGAGCACAAAAATGGGATTTTTTCTGGAATTTATCGTGAAATTTGGAGCATTTTGAGCTCAAATTTGAAATAATTCCAACAAATTTTGAAATTTTAAATGTTTGGGCTCAAAATTCTTCATTTTCCCTAATTTTAAGCAAAAAAACCATTTAAAATTCAAATTTTTGGAGCATTTTGAGCCCAAAATCGATATTTTCCTTAAAAATCCCACATTTCCCATTTTTCTCAGAAAACCACTCAAATTGGCTACGAACCTCAAATAGTTGCTGTTCTAATCGACGAATTTCGCAAAAATATTCGAGAAAAAGAATTTGAAAATGAATTGGGCGAATTTTGGCATCAAATCAATTCGATAAAATATGACAATATCTACAATGCCACGTCATTTTATTCAGCACTTTTTATTTTGGCAAAAAGCCAAGCGATTTTTAAGTGAGTTTTTAATTCTTTTAAATCTCCTGACAATAAATTTAATTTTAGGATAAATAAATCGCTTTGCTCAACAGTTCTCAATCAAATAATCGAACCAATTCATCAACAAATTGTCGATTTTAAAAATTTGAAAAAAACGGAAAAAGAAAAAGATGAAGCTGATAATTTGGGAGAAGAAATGTTTGAATATTTGATTTTTACATTGAAAGATGCTCAAAATTATATTCGATTGTTTATTGAATGAAAAATATTGGATTTATTTGGGAAAATCAATCAATAATTGGTTGACTCTGGATACAAATACTGAAACTTGTTGAGTTCAAAAAAACTTCAAAACAACATTCGAATCCTTTTTCGTAATTTGGAACAAATCGAAATTGACATCTGAAAGAAATGTTTGATTCCGAGCAAAGCGAGTGTAGACCGCAAGCTTCCGCGTTAGCGGCACTATCTTCCGCTTCAGCGGAAAAAACCCACGAATCAAAATTTTGCGACGAGAAATCAATTGCATCGAGATTTTCAGCAATTCTTTTACAATTCACAGCATTTGGCGAGAATTTGCCAGAGGCACGCAAAAAATTCAAGTTTCTGTGACATTCTCCATTTTTCAACATTTTCAAATATTTTTCAAATTCTTCTTCATTCAAATCATCCATTTTGATAGAATAAGAAGAACCTTCTAATTGTTGGAAATGATTTTCGAAATGTTTCAAATTTGCTAATTCTTTTATACCACAGTTTTTTGATTCCATGAATTTTTCATCCTAAAAATGTTCTAGTACAAACAAAGTTTTTTTTTCAAAAAACTCACATAAATTTCGATGTTTCCAATTGTTTTCGAATATTTTCCAATAAATTCTCTCAAATATTTCGATCTTATTTCTTCCGCTTTTCCATTTTCAGTTTTCATCCATTTTATTTCTTTTTTCTCATTTCCAGGTTCATCTTTAGATTGAGAAAATCGAACACTGAAAAAAATATACCATTTTTTATTTATTTATATAATTTTTTTAGAAAAACCTACGTTTTATATAAAACAATTACTTGAGGTTCTGATAAATTTGAAACATCAATGAATTCCAAACAATAATGAGAAATATATGATCTACCAAGTCCAATATGAATTTCTGGATTATTTGATCGACTGATTTTGATGTTTGCTAGAAAACGTTCCGATATTTTCACTTCCTCTTCACATTTCTTCGAACATTGCAATAATTTACATCTTGTTCTAATATCCATTTTATTTGTAACCATTTCTCTCATCTCAAATGGAATATCGAACCATGAAATATCAGAACTCGAGTTCTGAAAAAAACAAAGAATTTCTCATGAATTTTTGGGAGAAAAAACAAACCTCCGATATTTTTCGTCTTCTCGACATCTTCCCAGAATTTCTGTGAGAAAAAACTATTTTTTGATATGAAGAACTTCAAAAATATAAATAATCGGTGCGAGACCATTTTTTTCTGTAGAAAACCATGAAATTCAGAGCTTTTATGATAATAACAACAAGAAAAAAAGGTTAACAAATTTGTGGAAATTAATAGATCAAAGGTTGACGATTTCTTATAACTTCATCATAACGAAATGATGAAATATAGACATTGAAACGGAATGATGACAATTGAACATTACAATAATATTTCGATTCTCTTTCATAATTCAGAAGAAATCGAAATGTACTGAAAAATCACTATTGAAATTTTGTTAGATTCTAATAAAACCCACCAATTATGAATATTTTGAAAATAATCAAAACCATCAACACTTTTTGCCAGATTTCTACAATCTCCATGATTTCGATACAATCTTCGAAAAGAAACCCCAAGGCATTTCAGATTTCTGTGTAATTCGCCATTTTTCCACATCTTCAAATATTTCTCGATATGTTCTTTATCAAAATCATCCGAACTGATTTGATAAAATGAGCCTTCGAATTGCAAAACTTCTTTGAATTTGAATTTTGTGTCTCCCAAATAACATTTGTCAATTTGACTGATTTGTGATAAATCCATCAATCCTTGCGATCTAACATCAATTCTATAATGATTTGCAAACGATTTCAAATTTTTCAATTGCTTCATAAATCCCTTTTTGTAATAGAATCCATCCTGAAATTAAATAATTGACAAATGAAACTTCAAGATTAACAATCTTACCCGAATTTCAAACCTGTCGATAGTTTTCCAATGTTTTTTGATGAATTCATCCAAATATTTGAATCTAACTTCTTCTACTTTCCCATTTTCTGTTTTCACCCATTTGATATTTGTTTTCTCACTTCCATCATTTTCTTTTTTAACAGAAACTTGAGCAACACTGAACAATATCATTTTTTTAAAAGTACTACTGAAAAGGCTTACGTTTTATAAACAACGATTACTTGTGGTTCAGTTATATCCAAAACTTCGATGAATTCCAAACAATAATGATAATCACATCGCTTTCCAAGTCCAATGCGAATTTCTGGATGTTTCGATCGACTTATTTTGATTCCTGTTCGAAACTGTTTCGATATTTTCACTTCATCTTCACATTTTTTCGAACATTGCATGAATTTACAGCGTGTTTTGATATCCATTTTATTTGTGACCATTTCTCTCATCTCAAGTGGAATATCAAACCATCCAATTGACGAGTCATCTTGACTACGCCAGCTCTGAAAAACGTTTTTATCATTTTTCAAAAAAAAAACAAAGAAATAAATGGAAACTCACTTCATTTGAAACTATTTTTCGTTTTCTTGTTGTTCTTGGCATTTTTCTGCAAAATAATAAATTTGGCAAATGTTCTGGGGTGATTCAGATAGGAAAAACCATGTTAAAGAACATTTTTTCGACCTGAATCACCCTATTCAAAAAGGGCTGATTCACGAACGAAAAAATGTTTTTTTAACATCGAAAAGTCAAAAAATGTCGAAAAATCTTAGTTTTTCAGCCAAAAATGATGACAAATCGATATTTTTTAAGCTTCTGGAGTAATTTCTGATGACAATTGACCTTGGAATTCACTTTTCAGAAGGTTTTGCTGATTTTTCGGAAAAAAATTAAATTTTGACGAATTTCGAAAAAATTCATAAAATAAAGCAAAAAAGGGTTCTCAAAGCTTATTTTCATCAGAAATTACTCCAGAAGCTTGAAAAATATTGATTTGTCATCATTTTTGGCTGAAAAACTCGAAAAACTAATTTTGATCTACAATGTTTTTCGACATTTGTTGACTTTTCATGAATTGATCTTTCGATATTAAAAATATTTTTTAAAACATTTTTTTCGTCCGTGAATCAGCCTTAAAAGCTGGCGAGAACTTCAAATTTGGCCGGATGCGAAAATTAATTTTTCGCGTGAAAAAAAAAACAAACCGGCTGGACTACGGTCATTGATGTGTGTTTGCACATACTAACACACAAGTTGACGCACAAATGCACAAGGCAGGCCATTTTTTGCGAAAAATTGTTTCATTCTTTTTTAGCCTGTTTTTGTCGGATCAGCGGTTATCCAATATCAGAGAAAATCAAAAACAAATAACAAAACATGCGAAATCGCTGAAAATCCTCGAGAAACCTGTGCGTATTGAATTTTCGAGTCAAAAATCACTTCATAGCAAATAATAATAATAATATAAAACAAGTTCGTTAACATGTAAAGAAGTAAATGCTCTAATCTTTTTTAACTGTTTGAAATTCAGAATAATTGGCGATTTTTTTTTCATAAAAAAAATGTTTGATCTGGTTCCCGCGCGCGGAATTTTTTGGTTTATTTTTCCCCCGATTTTTTAGGGCTGATTCACGAACGAAAAAAAATGTTAAAAAATGTTTTTTTAACATCGAAAGAGCAATTCACGAAAAGTCAAAAAATGTCGAAAAAACATTGTACTCAGGGAATCACGGGCGAGATCTACGCGATTCGCGGGCGTCCAGCGTTTTGCGGAAACTCAGCGGTGGACATTTGCGAATTGCGCAAATTTAGCGAAGTGACTCGGTCGAAAATATTTTGTCGCGAGATTTCCGCAAAACGCAGAAAAGTTTGCGTTTCGCGTGAATTTCGCGGGCTGTCACGACAAGAGTGCAGAGATATGAAACACGTTTCAGCGATATGAGTCGTGCGCGTGGATGGTCAAGTGGGTAAGAGGAATGTGTGCGAGGCGGAGAGTGTCGGATCGAGGCCGGCCGAGTGAGTATGATTAAAAGCGATTAGTTGTGTCTCGCGGCGCCTCTACTTTTTGATTTTTGAGAGAGAACCGCGAGATTTCCGCGATTCGCAGACAGAAAACCGCGAAATCGCGGCGTGTTCGCGGCGATTTCGCGGATTTCTGGGTCCCGCGAATCGCGGAGATCTCGCCCGTGATTCCCTGAGTAGGTCAAAATTAGTTTTTCCAGTTTTTTAGTCAAAAATGATGACAAATCGAAATTTTTGAAGTTTCTGGAGTGATTTCTGATGAAAATAAGCTTCGAGAACCCTATTTTGCTTTATTTTATGATTTTTTTCGAAATTCATCAAAATTTAAAATTTTTTTATTTTCCGAAAAATCAGCAAAACCTTCTGGGAAGTGAATTCCAAAGTCAATTTTATCAGAAATTACTCCAGAAGCTTGAAAAAAAAATCGATTTGTCATCATTTTTGGCTGAAAAACTCGTAAAACTAATTTTGACCTACAATGTTTTTTCGACATTTTTTGACTTTTCGTGAATTGATCTTTCGATATTAAAAACATTTTTTTCGTCCGTGAATCAGCCGCCAGCGCTGTCCAGAACTGCAAATTCGGCCGGATGCGAAAATTAATTTTTCGCGTGAAAAAAAAACAAACCGGCTGGACTACGGTCATTGATGTGTGTTTGCACATACTAACACACAAGTTGACGCACAAATGCACAAGGCTGGCCATTTTTTTCAGACACGCCTGTTTTTTTGCGACGCTGAAAAATTTTACTACGGTACGCTATTTGTGCATTTGTGCGTCGCGGTGTTTACACACTAGAGAGTGATTTCAGAGCATTTTCAGCATGTTAGAGGCATTTTGAGAAAACTCTGAATATACCATCTGATTCGTCTCGTCGAGATGAGCCAGGAAAACTATTTACCTTTTTGCTTGTTTCTGAAACACATTCTCAAAAAAGTTATGGCCTGAAAATCAAATTCTGAGCAAATCAAAGACGCACACATTTTTCGAAAGAGTGAGGTCTCGCAGCGATTCCAGTTTTTCACGTTTTTCTACGTGAAAACACCATTTTTAAGGCTTCTACTATGCTTATTCGAAGAGAAGAGATGAAATTGCGTATGTATGAATGTTTTGAAATTTTTCTAGGGCCCCCAGGAGATAGAACGCGGCGCCGCCAAATGGAGACCTATTTTTTGGCGTCACTGTACCGACGAAATTTGTTCAGGCAAAACAGTCGTGGTTAAAAGTTCGTTAGAACTACAAAATATAAATAAATAATCGGTGCGAGACCATTTCAAGAAAAAATCAATACATTTCAAAAAATAAACAGAATAAATTTATAATCAAGAGATCAAAGGCTGACGATTTTTGATAACTTCGTCATAATCATCTGATTTGATATGAAAATAAAAAGCGGATCGAGAATGTCTAACAAAACAATAAGATTTGTGTTCTCTTTGATAATTTAGAAGAAAACGGAACCAGCAGCTGAAAATTTTTAAATTAATTTTTTCGTGAAATTCAAAATTTCGCAACTCACTCTTCATTATTCCCATGAAAATCAAAACCATCAACATTTTCGACAAGTTTCCTACAATCCACATCATTTCTCAATTTATCGGAAGAAACACAAATATATCGCATATTCCAATTAACTTCTCCATTTTTCCACATCTTCAAATAACTCTCAAAATTCTCTTTATCAAAATCATCCGATTTGATTTGATAAAACGATCCTTCGAATTGCAAAACCTCTTCGAATTTGAATTTTGTGGTTGAAAGAACACACATGTCAATGTTATTGATTTGTGATAAATCCAAAAATCCTTTTTCTCGCACATCTTCGTGTCTATTTTTGAAATAATTCAAATTTTTCAATTTCCGTAAATCAATAGAATTGTGGAATTCCTGATCCTGAATAATTTGTGTTTTTTTTTGTTGAAAAATCAAAGATCGCTCACATGAATTTCAACAATTTCAATTGTTTTCGAATATTTTGTGATAAATGCTTTCAAATATTTCATTCTAATTTCTTCAGCTTTTCCATTTTCATCCATTTTACATCGAGCTTTATGTTCATTTTCTTATTATTACTCGGCAGAACACTGGAAATATTTAAAAATCAAAAATTATTGATCAGAATCAGGAATATCTAGTTACGTTTTATAAATAACAATTGCTCGAGGTTCATCCAAATCCAGAACATCAATGAATTCCAAACAATAAAGATAATATAAATGCTCAAGTGAAATATGTATTTGATTTTTAGTGATTTTGATGCCAGTCAGGAAATATTTCGATATTTTCACTTCGTCTTCACATTTCTTCGAACATTGCGCGAATTTGCACCGTGTTTTGATATCCATTTCATCTATGATTAATTGTCTCATTTCTAATGGTAAATCAAACCATCCAATTGAGAAGTCATCTTGTCGCACGAATTTTTTGATACCTGAAAGATTCTGGGATTTTTTTGTCAGCAAAAAAAAAACAAAAAAAAAAGCAGAGAGAAAAAAAAAATAATATTTTTTGCGTGAACGTGAAATTTGTCGTGGCAAATGCTATTTCAACAATAATTTTTCATTAATTTTTTCGGCGAGCAACAAAATGGCAGCAAACAAAGATGAGTTTTTTCTCTCTTACAAGGAGTCCCCAAATCTCTTTCCCTCTTCGAACAAATCCACGTGTCTCTCCTGGAGTAAAGTACAGCTCAACTTAGCCTAACTCTGGATAGTGAAGCTTCTTGTGTTGAGCATTAGCCATTGCAATTGTCAGGAACCTCGACATGAGTTACCTTAACTTGTTTTTTGGTTATACTCTCGACTTTGTCGACTTGATTTGGTTGGAAAAACTGTGAAGGGAAAGATCGAGGTTCGCTTTTCAAGAGTTTGTTTTGAAAAGAAAACGTGGAATTCTTCAAGGAAGAGGGAAATTTCGGAGTTTTTATGAGGGAATATACGGTTTTCCCATGAAAAACCATAATTTTTCAGAAAAAACTCGAGGTCTGGAAACAAAAAAACAACAGAAATCGGGGAATTCGAAATTTTCGGTGAGTTTTTCTATCCAAAAAAGAAGAAGTACTGGAAATTTAATTGAAAATTGATAGAATTAAAATTTTATCAGATTTCAATTGAAATTTCAGATGGAATGCGGAAGCTATGCTCAAAATTCCTTTTTTTCACCAGAAGCTTGGAATTTTCAGAAATTCTGGAAGCCATCGATTTTTTTCAGAGCAAAATTGGGAGCCGTCATCGAACATCGAGAATTTCTAATTTTTTTGATTATTTTATGTTGCCAACTTCTTGCGGAAAAGCCAAGAAGTAGGTTTTGCCTTTAGTTTTGTTCTAAATTCCACGTGGAAGCCGTTGTTTTTTTTTGACCCCAGATTCTTGCAGAAAAGCCAAGAAACTGGAGTTTTGTTTTAAATTCCACGTGAATATCTTGTTGAGTCAAAAAATCCTCGTTTGAATTTAATGATTTTTCCGCGAATTGAAATTCCGCACATTTTGGCTAAAAATGCCACGTGGCAATTCCGTATTTCTGCTCATATTTGAAAATATACTTTTTATTAAAAAACCTACCCCGAAAAGTTTTGAGGCCTAATGATTTGAGGTAGGAAAATACATATTGTGGGCGCCAGGTCTAAATTTTCAAAACTTATTTTAATGATCTAAAAACAAAACTCACTTCATCTTCGGATATTTTTTCGTTTTCTAGACATTTTCTATGAGAAAAAATAGTCGTTCGAAATTCGTGTGAACTACAAAATATAAATAATCGGTGCGAGACCATTTTCATACAAAAAATCATCAATTTCAGAGCATAAAACAAAAATTTTATTAAAAATCCAACGGTCTACGATTTTCGATAATTCCTTCATAATAATCTGATGAAATTTTAACAACAAAACTGTACTCGAAATGAGAAACGAAACAAATCGATTTCGGATAACTTTTTTCGAGAACAAAATTGAATTGGAATCTGAAATAGATAGATAATAATTTTGAAATCATAAAAATCCAAACTTACGATTTATCATTTTCCCCAAAAAAGTCAAAGGCATCGAGAATTTTAGCGAGTTTTTTAGAATTTAAATTGTTTCGCGAAGAAATTTTCGAAGAAACACGAAGATTTTTCAAATTTCTGTGCACTTCTCCATTTTTCAGCATTTTCAGATACATTTCAAAGTTTTCTTGATTAAAACCATCCGATTTGATTATATAATCAGCACCTTCAAAATGCAGAACTTCCTCAAATGTGAATTCCGTCATATTCGTATAACATTGCTTAAGTTTATAGATTTGCGATAAATCGATTAATCCATTTTCTTTAACATCTTTGCAACTTGTCAAACATTTCAGATTCTTCAATTCTTTGATATCGAAATGTAAGTCTAGAAATATGTCCTGAAATTGAAATGTTTTTGTGGAATCTTTGGGCTCAAAATCTTACCTTCAGTTCGAATGATTCAATTGTTTTCGAATATTTTTGAATGAATTCTTTCAGATATCTCATTCGAACTTCTTTTGCACCTCCATTTTCAGTTTTCATCCATTTCATTTCTTTTTTTCAAATCTTCATAGTAATCATCTACAACCCATTCTCGCTGTACACTGAAATTTGAGCATTTTTCTAAAAAATAATCAAAAAAATTACACTCACGTGTGATAAACAACTTTCGTTTGAGGTTCTGATGATTTCAAATCATTAATAAATTCCAAACAATAATGATAATGTGGTGTATCTTCATCAAATCGTTCACCAAGTCCTATCCAAATTTCTCGATGTAGATACCGACGGATTTTGATGTTTGCTAGAAAAACGCTTCGATATTTTCACTTCCTCTTCACATTTTGTCGAACATTGCATGAATTTACATCGTGTTTTCACATCCATCTCATTAATTACCATTTCTCTCATCTCAAGTGGAATATCAAACCATCCAATTGAAAGGTCATCTTGTCGCCAGTTCTGAAAAACGTTTTTATTTTTCAAAAAAACAAAGAAATAAATGGAAACTCACATCATCAGCAACTATTTTTTGTTTTCTTGGCATTTTTCTGCAAAATAACAAACTTGGCAAATGTTCAAAAAGCTGGCGAGAACTTCAAATCCGGCCGGATGCGAAAATGAATTTTTCGCGTGAAAAAAAACAAACCGGCTGAACTACGGTCATCGATGTGTGTTTGCACACACTAACACACAAGTCGACGCACAAATGCACAAGGCAGGCCGTTTTTTTGCGAAAAATTGTTTCATTCTTTTTTAGCCTGTTTTTGTCGGATCAGCGGTTATCCAATATCAGAGAAAATCAAAAACAAATAAAATCCTGGAAAAACCTGTGCGTATTGAATTTTTAAGTCAAAAATCACTTCATAGCGAATAATAATAATATAAAACAAGTTTGTTAACAAGTAAAAAAGTAAATGCTCTAATTACTCTCATCATTATTGTTATTGTTCAGTTCCTCCTCTTTTTTCTCAAATTCTCTTTCAAATTTCGGTGCTACTGCCTCATCTGTTTTCTTTTCACTTTTTTCAAGACTCATTGTTTTTTTCAACTGTCAATCCACGTGGTTTTCTTGCTCTTCTACTTCCTCCGTCTGAAAATGCTGGAGACAAAAAGATTGATTCAGCATGTTTCGCTTGTGATTTTTCTTCGAATCTCGAACTTTTGTTTCTGATCTGCAATTTAGAACATTGAAGTCTAAAGTTCTCACGGCGAAAAACTCACCGATTTTTGAGTCTTCTTTTCTTCCTCTTTTTTCTTCTCCGATCTTTTATCCGATCCTTCACTCAACGGAACAATCTTACTATATTTCTCCGCATTTTCATCCGGTGATAACTTTTTCAAAATCTCCCAAAATGTTGGTCTTTCATCGGGATTTTTCGCGAAGCATTCAGCCATTATACTATTGATTTTCTTGATAGTTTCAGTGTTTGCTGGATTTGCACAAGGAACTTCTAAAGGTGGATGTTTTTGTCGAATAATATAGGTAGTTCCACATCTTGAAATATTCGTTCGGCAACATTCCGGTTCGAAAAAAATCGGGAATTTCGAAGAATGTTCAATTTACAGAATTAGCTCGAGAAATTTTAAAAATAAGCAAAAAAGTGTGAAATGGAACAAACAAATCACTTTTACTCAAGTTAGCCCGTTTTATTTTTTAAATGACTTACCAAACGAATTTTGAGCGAGGATGATACAAATTCTAGGAGGAAGCGATTTTTTTTCTCACGAGGATTTCTACGGTAAGAATCTGATGTCGAATGAAAAAAAGTAAGTCGATTTTCAATTTTAAAAGCTTCTGCCAATACAGTTTGATGTACATTATCAAATTCAAAAAAACTTCTCAGACCCCCCCTTTTCTCTGAAATCCAAAATAATATGTCAAAAGTTGTAAGCCGAAATAAATTGTCAAAAACTTAATGGTTAAAAAACATTAAAAAATAGAAAATTCAAAAAAGTTCATTGAACAAAAAATTAAAACTTCAGTGTTGATTGCTTGCGGGACCACGACGATCGATTGAAAAGCACTTGATCTGAAAACAGTTTGTATATCAAAGTGAAGGTGGACCAATCTTTATAATTTCGAAAAAAAATAGGACTTTTTACTTGGAAAAAATGTCGGTCCGGTATTTTTGCGAACGAAAAAATGTCGGTCCGGTATTTTTGCGAACGAAAAAATGCCGACCCGGTATTTTTTCAATCAATTTTAAAAAGATACTCCGTAAGCACCCCATAAAAATTTTAATTTTCAGCTCGAAAACCCTCAAAAATTCGGGCACTTGGTCGAATTATTGAATTGGATGGTTGGCGAAAAATATCGATTAGCGCCAACTTCAGCAATTCTTGTTCGAGCTGTTCGACAAGCAAAATACTATATTCAACACGATGAAGTTGAGCTCAGCGGAAAATTGGGAGCCGGAGCATTTGGAGAAGTTTGGAAGGGGAAATTGAAGAAAAAGGGGGAGGAGCCGATTGATGTGGCGGTGAAGAAAATGAAGGGAAATCCGAAGAAATCAATGTTGAGGGGATTTGTGAAAGAGGCGAAACTTATGAGAACTCTGTCGCATCCGAATATGGTTCATGTTATTGGAGTTGCACCAATGGACGAACCACTGATGATTGTTATCGAATTAGCCAAGAATGGATGTATGCAGGTATGACAATCAATAAAAACTCGGTCAGAAAACGGCGAGGTCGCTACACGTTTTGGGAAACTAAAAACGTGTAGCGACTCGAGCTGATCAGCTCCGATCGGTAGCGACCTCGACGTTTTCTGACCGAGAATTTCAAGAAATACACCAATAATTCAATTTTCAGACTCATCTTCGGAAAGAAAAAGTTAGCCCAATCGAAAAATTATCAAGATTTGCAGTTGACACCGCTCGTGGAATGGCCTACTTATCATCAATTATGATTATCCATCGTGATTTAGCTGCTCGTAATTTATTACTTGGTGCAAATATGGAAGTGAAAATCAGTGATTTCGGTTTATCAGAAAGTGGAAAAACTGAAGTGAAAGCTGCGAAAATTAAAGTTCCGATTAGATGGTTGGCACCTGAAACAATTGACACTGCAATTTTTACAACTAAAACTGATGTTTGGTCATTTGCTGTTACAATGTGGGAAATATTCACAAATTGTATTACTGATCCATTTCCTGGACTTACTAATTCTCAAGCAAAAGATATAGGTAGTTCCACATCTTGAAATATTCGTTCGGCAACATTCCGGTTCGAAAAAAATCGGGAATTTCGAAGAATGTTCAATTTACAGAATTAGCTCGAGAAATTTTAAAAATAAGCAAAAAAGTGTGAAATGGAACAAACAAATCACTTTTACTCAAGTTAGCCCGTTTTATTTTTTAAATGACTTACCAAACGAATTTTGAGCGAGGATGATACAAATTCTAGGAGGAAGCGATTTTTTTTTCTCACGAGGATTTCTACGGTAAGAATCTGATGTCGAATGAAAAAAAGTAAGTCGATTTTCAATTTTAAAAGCTTCTGCCAATACAGTTTGATGTACATTATCAAATTCAAAAAAAACTTCTCAGACCCCCCCCCCTTTTTCTCTGAAATCCAAAATAATATGTCAAAAGTTGTAAGCCGAAATAAATTGTCAAAAACTTAATGGTTAAAAAACATTAAAAAATAGAAAATTCAAAAAAGTTCATTGAACAAAAAATTAAAACTTCAGTGTTGATTGCTTGCGGGACCACGACGATCGATTGAAAAGCACTTGATCTGAAAACAGTTTGTATATCAAAGTGAAGGTGGACCAATCTTTATAATTTCGAAAAAAAATAGGACTTTTTACTTGGAAAAAATGTCGGTCCGGTATTTTTGCGAACGAAAAAATGTCGGTCCGGTATTTTTGCGAACGAAAAAATGCCGACCCGGTATTTTTTCAATCAATTTTAAAAAGATGATGCAAAAAAATAATCGAAACGTGACCCAAATACGTGTACACATTTCGAATATTTTTGGATTTTGGAAAAAAATGTCGGTCCGGTATTTTTGCGAACGAAAAAATGCCGACCCGGTATTTTTTCAATCAATTTTAAAAAGATGATGCAAAAAAATAATCGAAACGTGACCCAAATACGTGTACACATTTCGAATATTTTTGGATTTTGGAAAAAATGTCGGTCCGGTATTTTTGCAAGAGATGAGACGAAATTTTTCATTTTCTTAGGAAATATTGCCAATTCGGGAAGAAGTACATACTGTAGTTTGGATGCCTCTTCTATGGCTCTATTTTAAAATCGAATATGAGAGTTCAGAGGCTCATCTCAGCAAGTTTAGCAAAAAATCAGAGTTCATTCTGTAGAATTTTCTACCAATCTTTAGGTTCTCGCTATATCCACCTAAACTGTGCTCTAAACTTACTTGAAATACAATTCAAATTGACTCGCCATCCAATTTTGCTTATCATACGTCATCATTTGTTCAATTGGCCAACATCTCTCTTATCATACGTCATCCTTCCATTCCTTGGTTCCATCATTTATCATCACGAGCAGTTCGAGTTGTGAGAGTCTGATAAACTTGTGATCGTCAAATAACCAAAGGTTTATCGCAAACTTACTTATTCAGTGCTGCTTGACAGACGAGGTGATTCCGGCAACCCATTTCTTCCTGGTTTCGAAACAAATAATGAACGAAAATGATGTGTCTGCCAACATTGACGTGACACGTTGCAAAAAAAACGTGTTTTTCCACATCGTCAATTTTTCAGTTTTGGAGAAAAATTCCAAAGAAATGGTTGCATCATGGTGGCCTCTTGAACTATTCGCTCTTCTTTTGAGCTTCTGCGCTGTTGTGAGTTTGACGGAACACAGAAAAGTAATTATAGAACTAATTTCAGATGAGTTCAGCAACAATTACGACCAAATTATGTTGGAAAAATGAAAAACAGTTGTGATGACGTGTGATTAGGAATGTGTAAAATGGGACAGCAAATCGAATAGGAATTTGAATTTTGGATCATGTTCAACGTTTTCGATGGAGATGATGGAATCATCGCGACAAAGATGACGTATGATAAGAGAGATGTTGGCCAATTGAACAAATGATGACGTATGATAAGCAAAACTGGATGGCGAGTCAATTTGAGTTGTATTTCAAGTAAGTTTAGAGCAAAGTTTAGGTAGATATAGCGAGAACCTAAAGATTGGTAGAAAATTCTACAGAATGAACTCTGATTTTTTGCTAAACTTGCTGAGATGAGCCTCTGAACTCTCATATTCGATTTTAAAATAGAGCCATAGAAGAGGCATTCAAACTACAGTATGTACTTCTTCCCGAATTGGCAATATTTCCTAAGAAAATGAAAAATTTCGTCTCATCTCTTGCAAAAAATACCGGACCGACATTTTTTCCAAAATCCAAAAATATTCGAAATGTGTACACGTATTTGGGTCACGTTTCGATTATTTTTTGCATCATCTTTTTAAAATTGATTGAAAAAATACCGGGTCGGCATTTTTTCGTTCGCAAAAATACCGGACCGACATTTTTTCCAAAATCCAAAAATATTCGAAATGTGTACACGTATTTGGGTCACGTTTCGATTATTTTTTGCATCATCTTTTAAAATTGATTGAAAAAATACCGGGTCGGCATTTTTTCGTTCGCAAAAATACCGGACCGACATTTTTTCCAAAATCCAAAAATATTCGAAATGTGTACACGTATTTGGGTCACGTTTCGATTATTTTTTTGCATCATCTTTTTAAAATTGATTGAAAAAATACCGGGTCGGCATTTTTTCGTTCGCAAAAATACCGGACCGACATTTTTTCCAAAATCCAAAAATATTCGAAATGTGTACACGTATTTGGGTCACGTTTCGATTATTTTTTTGCATCATCTTTTTAAAATTGATTGAAAAAATACCGGGTCGGCATTTTTTCGTTCGCAAAAATACCGGACCGACATTTTTTCCAAGTAAAAAGTCCTATTTTTTTTCGAAATTATAAAGATTGGTCCACCTTCACTTTGATATACAAACTGTTTTCAGATCAAGTGCTTTTCAATCGATCGTCGTGGTCCCGCAAGCAATCAACACTGAAGTTTTAATTTTTTGTTCAATGAACTTTTTGAATTTTCTATTTTTTAATGTTTTTTAACCATTAAGTTTTTGACAATTTATTTCGGCTTACAACTTTTGACATATTATTTTGGATTTCAGAGAAAAGGGGGGGGGTCTGAGAAGTTTTTTTGAATTTGATAATGTACATCAAACTGTATTGGCAGAAGCTTTTAAAATTGAAAATCGACTTACTTTTTTTCATTCGACATCAGATTCTTACCGTAGAAATCCTCGTGAGAAAAAAAATCGCTTCCTCCTAGAATTTGTATCATCCTCGCTCAAAATTCGTTTGGTAAGTCATTTTAAAAATAAAACGTGCTAACTTGAGTAAAAGTGATTTGTTTGTTCCATTTCACACTTTTTTGCTTATTTTTAAAATTTCTCGAACTAATTCTGTAAATTGAACATTCTTCGAAATTCCCGATTTTTTCGAACCGGAATGTTGCCGAACGAATATTTCAAGATGTGGAACTACCTATATCTTTTGCTTGAGAATTAGTAAGTCCAGGAAATGGATCAGTAATACAATTTGTGAATATTTCCCACATTGTAACAGCAAATGACCAAACATCAGTTTTAGTTGTAAAAATTGCAGTGTCAATTGTTTCAGGTGCCAACCATCTAATCGGAACTTTAATTTTCGCAGCTTTCACTTCAGTTTTTCCACTTTCTGATAAACCGAAATCACTGATTTTCACTTCCATATTTGCACCAAGTAATAAATTACGAGCAGCTAAATCACGATGGATAATCATAATTGATGATAAGTAGGCCATTCCACGAGCGGTGTCAACTGCAAATCTTGATAATTTTTCGATTGGGCTAACTTTTTCTTTCCGAAGATGAGTCTGAAAATTGAATTATTGGTGTATTTCTTGAAATTCTCGGTCAGAAAACGTCGAGGTCGCTACCGATCGGAGCTGATCAGCTCGAGTCGCTACACGTTTTTAGTTTCCCAAAACGTGTAGCGACCTCGCCGTTTTCTGACCGAGTTTTTATTGATTGTCATACCTGCATACATCCATTCTTGGCTAATTCGATAACAATCATCAGTGGTTCGTCCATTGGTGCAACTCCAATAACATGAACCATATTCGGATGCGACAGAGTTCTCATAAGTTTCGCCTCTTTCACAAATCCCCTCAACATTGATTTCTTCGGATTTCCCTTCATTTTCTTCACCGCCACATCAATCGGCTCCTCCCCTTTTTCTTCAATTTCCCCTTCCAAACTTCTCCAAATGCTCCGGCTCCCAATTTTCCGCTGAGCTCAACTTCATCGTGTTGAATATAGTATTTTGCTTGTCGAACAGCTCGAACAAGAATTGCTGAAGTTGGCGCTAATCGATATTTTTCGCCAACCATCCAATTCAATAATTCGACCAAGTGCCCGAATTTTTGAGGGTTTTCGAGCTGAAAATTAAAATTTTTATGGGGTGCTTACGGAGTTTGATGAACTCACCCTTTTCAAAGTCCATCCACCATTTTCAAAAAATAATGGGAAATGTCGAGGTTCTTGTTTGTGAAATACTGTGAGACAGAAAAACGGTTTCGATTTTTCTGTTGTTTTTCGTATCAAAAAATCGCCTTCTGTCTGAAAAACCATATTGTTTTGGGACTCTGATGGAAGCATTCTTACATTCAAAAGTGCATTACATTCCTCTCTAGGCATTATTCCGTGATACCAATCACGATCAATCAATTTTTTCGACCAAAAACCCATAGTTTTGTCATCCATAACCGCACTTCTCGTCGAATCATCGATATTTTTCGGCTTTGGTCCTCTTTGAGTTCGTTCACTTGGCTCATCACATCGTGTTCCACTCAATCCACTAAGTTGCTCTTTTTCACGAACTGTTGGAACATTGATATGCTTTCGTTTCGAAGGCACCGGCTGTTTTTTGTTGTTCTGAAAAGGGTTCATCAAATTTAGAAGTTTTTCTGATCTAAAGCTTACCACAGCTGTTGTTCTTGATTTGCGCATTGATCCTGCATTTGTATTGTTTGGAGTGACTGTCATGATTAAAACGAAAATATGTAGAAACCACTATTTGTGGGAAAACGTTCAAAAATCGAGGTATTGTGGGATTTTTTCGGCTTTTATACGGGGGGAATTTGGGGTGACCACGTGAATTCAGGTGAACGTGAGGTTCACCTGAAATGAAGTACACGTGAAAAATTAACATAGCGGGACTCACGCGTGTGATTTTCGAATTTTCGAATGAAGCTTCAGAAGATCAGGGGAAAAATATTATCAAAAAGTTCCCCTGAAGTTTTTCGTCACAAAACTCTTTAATTACAGCCGATTATTTTCTCTAAAAGATTTCTCCCTTTTTGGAAATGCCGCAGTTTCGTACTCACAGGTTTTTTCAAAGAATGGATAAGCTTCAATTTTCAGCTTATTTCTTCTGATGTAAAATGTTCATAAAGTTGTTCCAAAAAGGGTTTTGAACCAAAAAAAAACGTCACTGGAACTATTTTTTTCATTTTTTTTAGAAAACAACTATTCAAAAAACATTTATTTATTAACTAGTTTATTTTTTACTCAAATCAAAATACGGACTAATAGTCGCAATATCAGTTTGACTTTTAGTTGTTATTGATTTCAAATCACTACTAATTGGTTTCTTCTTCCTTTTTGCTCGTTTTTTCACCGGTTTCTTTTTCAATCCCAAATAAATCATAAATATCATCCACCAATCAAGAAACCAATAAAACAAACTTCGAATCAATCCATATTTTCTTGTTGTTCTTTTAGCTTTTCCATATCTTTTTCGAATTTCATCCAAACTTCGATTACATTCAATTTGATTTGTATCAATTATATCCATTTGTTCTCGAACTTTTTCAAAAGAATTTTTGATTATTTACATGCATTGAATCAGTTCGATTATTGATATTTGTGAGATTTTGAGTCAATTTTTGAAGTCGGAATGAAATAACAACATTTAATTGGGTTATTAATTGTGTCATATTTCTTAGATTTTCTTCCACTTTTGCTTTTTTCGTTTTACATTCTTCAAGTAACTTTTCTGTTTCTTTTACATCTGTTTCAGTTTTCGCTGAAAATTGATTTGTTTTTGAGATTTGAATTGTGAGGGAAAAACTCACCCATTTCGAAAATGAATAAAAAATAAAAATGATCCTAGGATTTGAGAAATTTTTTCAAAAAATAAGGTCACGTAAGAAATGCTTTTTGGCTGAAAATTCTGTAATATTTTTTGAACAAAAAAGTCTTTCATCAGAAAGTACAATTCGAAAACCGGCCGAATCTGAAATTTTCCCTAGAGCTTTGTTTTTCTGCTGAAAATCAAAATTTTATGGAAAATTTCAAGATTCCGCACAGGGGAACCTATCGTCAATTTTTTTTTGAAATTAATTTGCTAGGCCTTTTTATTTTCACATAAGAAATCTTTATTTCAATTCAATTCGATTCATTTATTTCTTCTACATTCCATTATTTCCATTCATATTCATATTTTCTTGTCCACCTCCTCCTCCATCTACTCCAACTCCAATATTCCCAACTCCTTGATTTCCATCATCAATCTTCTTTTCAACTTCAGCCGTTTTTTCAACATTTTCAACAGCCAATCCAGGTGGTGCTTTTCCTCTTCTAGTTTTTCTACTTTTACCATGTTTTTCGGATAAATCAACCAACGGCACAACTTTACTATATTGTTCCGCATTTTCTTCCGGTGCCAATTTCTTCAAAATCTCCCAAAATGTTGGTCTTTGTTCGGGATTTTTTGAAAAACATTCAGTCATGATACTATTGATTTTCTTGATAGCTTCAGTATTTGCTGGATTTGTGCATGGAACTTCCAAGGGTGGATGTTTTTGTCGAATAATATCTTTTGCTTGACCATTAGTGATTCCAGGAAATGGATCAGTGATACAATTTGTGAATATTTCCCACATTGTAACAGCAAATGACCAAACATCAGTTTTAGTTGTAAAAATTGCAGTGTCAATTGTTTCAGGTGCCAACCATCTAATTGGAACTTTAATTTTCGCAGCTTTCACTTCAGTTTTTCCACTTTCTGATAAACCAAAATCACTAATTTTCACTTCCATATTTGCACCAAGTAATAAATTACGAGCAGCTAAATCACGATGGATAATCATTGTTGATGATAAATAAGCCATTCCACGAGCGGTGTCGACTGCGAAACCGGTCAATTTTTCAATTGGGCTAACTTTCTCCTTACGAAGGTGGCTCTGAAAATGTTTGATTCTTGATTATATGTCGAAGTTAAAAAATGTGGCCGCCTTAAAAATAAAAACCAGTGCAGAGCTGAATGAATGACAAACTCGTTACTTCGTCAGTCGCGAGCGGCTCTGCGCTGCGGTCGAAAAACAATCAATAATCCATTTTTTCCTTTGTTTCCCGACCGCGACGCACAGCCGCACGCGACTGACGAAATAATGAATTTTTCATTCATTCAGCTCTGCACAGGGTTTTATTTTTCACGGCTGCCACATTTTTAAATTTCGACAATATCATACCTGCAAGCATCCATTTTTGGCTAATTCGATAACAATCATCAGAGGTTCGTCCATTGGTGCAACTCCAATAACTCTAACCATATTCGGATGCGACAGAGTTCTCATTAATTTCGCCTCTTTCACAAATCCCCTCAACATTGATTTCTTCGGATTTCCCTTCATTTTCTTCACCGCCACATCAATCGGCTCCTCCCCCTTCTTCTTCAATTTTCCTCTCCAAACTTGTCCGAATGCACCTTCTCCCAATTTATTGACCAGCTCAATTTCCTCGTGTTGAATGTAGAATTTTGCTTGTCGAACAGCTCGAACAAGAATTGCTGTAGTTGGTGCCAATTGATATTTTGTTGAAACCATCCAATTCAACAATTCGACCAAGTGCCCGAATTTTTGAGGGTTTTCGAGCTGAAAATTTTGATTTTTATGGAGTTTTTAAATAGATAACTTACTCTCTTCAAAGTCCATCCACCATTTTCAAAAAATAATGGAAAATGTCGAGGTTCTTGTTTGAAAAGAACTGTGAGACAAAAGAATGGTTTCGATTTTTCCGTCGTTTTTCGAACCAAAAAATCGCCATCAACCGTCAAAAGTTCATTACATTCCTCTCTTGGCATAACTCCATGATACCATTCTCTTTCAATCAATTTTTTCGACCAAAAACCCATCGTTTTATCCTCCAAAACTGCACTTCTTGCCGAATCATCGATATTTTTCTGTTTTGGCACTCGACTACTTCCATCATCTACCGTATTTGCTCCACTAACTTGCTCTTTTTCACGAACCAATGATGTTGGAGCCTTTCGTTTTGATGCCAAAGTTTGTCGTTTGCTCTGCAAAAATATTCAAATTTTATTAGTTTTTGGAAGCCTACTTCAACTCACACTTGTTCTCAATTTTCTCTGTGATCCCGCATTTTCACCGTTTGGAGTGACTGTCATGATTAATATGAAAATATGTAGAAACCACTATTTGTGGGCTGAGAATTCGACAAAAACTGAGACTTTTTCGAGATTTCTAGTTTTTTATAGGCAACTCTGACGTGTTCACGTCATTGACCTAGTTTTATTTATTTTTTTTTTTGAAAACAAAACTATAGTTTTTTTTCAAAGGTGTTTGCAGATTTTTCGTGAGATACAGTAATAAATATCGAAATTTTCATTTTTCATAATTTCAATTCAACAACAAATTTTTGAGGGGTAAATAAAACATATGCGATATTTTTACCATTAATTCTATTTTCTAATCATACATGTTTTTGGTCCGGAAAAGTATGAAATAGGGTCGTTAACTTTTTTATTTTTCATGAAAAATAGGTCCTTAACTTTTATGAAAAAAATTATTATTAATTTCTCAACTCATGAAAATTACCTCTGCATCAACTTCTTGTTTCAAAGAGGAGCAGGGTTTCCACAAAAATTTCGCCTTGTTTCATTCTGCATCACGCGAAATATTTCAATATCTCTCATCGCCGACAGTTCGCTGGTAGCGCCACACACCATATCTCTCATTGCAGCTGGCTCCGCCCACATCGTTTTTTATTTTTTTTTTCGTTTTTTCACAGACATCTCAAATCAAAAGCAAAACTTAACAGCTTAACGGCAACCAAATGAGCTAAAAATTTTCACAGCTCTACTTGAAGATATTTCGCAGGGTTCGAAAACCTAAAACTTTCAAATAAAGACCGTTTTAAGGGAAATAAAGACCTATCCGGAAAAGTATAGTGTCAACCTATACTTTTCCGGATAGGTCTTTATTTCCCTTAAAACGGTCTTTATTGGAGGCTTTTAGGTCTTCGAACCCTGCAAAATATCTTGAAGTAGAGCTGTGAAAATTTTTAGCTCATTTGGTTGCCGTTAAGCTGTTAAGTTTTGCTTTTGATTTGAATTGTCTGTGAAAAAAACGAAAAAAAAAGAAAAAGATGAGTGCGTGTGTTGCATAACAAGGGAAAACAAAAGAGGGGAAAACAACGAGTGCATAGAGCAGGCGGTTAGCGTCGCGATTTCTAATCCAGCTACGAAGGTTCGGTTTTTGGCTAGAGCTTTTACTTCAATTTTTGGCATTATTTTGGCGATTTCTAATCCAGCTACGAAGGTTCGGTTTTTTGGCTAGAGCTTTTACTTCAATTTTTGGCATTATTTTTGTTCTTCATTTTTCCGGTGGAGGGTCTTTAACTTTTTCATTTTTGACAAAAAGGGGTCTTTAACCCGAAGGGCCCTCCGGATAGAAAAACATGTATGTTTCTAATTCAATTTCAAATTTACAATATAAATCATAATCCCAACCGCCTTGATTATAATTCAATACTTCTAATCCTTCGGTAACTTTTTCTAAATCGATATCATTCCAATCAAGGTTAGTTTTCAAATGCATATAATTCAAATTTCGATGAATTCTTCCATCTTTCAACATTTTCAAATATTCTCTCGCTTTTTCTACATCGAAATCGTTGCATTTTGTCTTACAATATAAACCATTGAATTTGAGAATATCATCAAAATCAAGAGTTTCTTCTTTCATTTTCAACCAATTTGCAGAAATCACTTGTGATTTGTCCATTGAACCCTCTTTTATAATATCGTTCACACTTCTTATTTCAATGTCAATGAGATTTTTCAACATTTTGAAGTTAAATTGGTCGAATTTGGAACAGTATCCGTTGAATTCGAATCTTATAATTGATTTGTGATATCTCTCCAGATATTTGTTCAAATACAGACTTTGAACATGATCTGCTTTTCCATCAACTTCTTGAACCCATTTTATAACTGTTTTCTTTGTCAGATCCATTGGATGTGTTGTTCTAAACAGATTTTTTTTAATATCAAAAAATAAAAGTAAAGTTCAATTCTTACGTTTTATAAAAAACATATGTTTTTGGCTCCGATAAATTCGAAATTTCCACAAAATCAAGACAATAATGAAAACCAAGAGCATCGTGTCCAATATAAATTTCTGGACGAAAACCTCTCGTAATTTTGATACTCTTCAAATAATCCATCGATTTCTTCACCTCATCTTCACATTTTTTCGAACAAATTGTAAATCTACATTTCGAATTCGGATCCATTTCATCAATTACGTTTTCTCGCATCTCTAATGGTAAATCGAACCAAGAAGTTTGATCATTTTCAATGGAAATGGAAACTATTGGCTGAAAATTATGATTGTTGGAAAGATTTTTGAACCAATAAACTCACATCTTCTTCGATTCGTCGTTTTTTGGAAGTTGATGACATTTTGAAACGAAAAAGTGAGATAATGAAAAAAACACGAAAAAATCTGGGGGAAAAATAAATCAAAAAATTTCGCGCGCGCGAACTAGATCAAACATTTTTTAAAAGAAAACTAAATTGTAAAACTTCTTCAAAAGTGAATTCAGTTTCTAGCAAAACACAATGATCAGTTCGAATGATAAATGGCAAATCCATTAATCCATATTTTCGAACATCCACCTGAGTTACTTCAATTCTTGTCAAATTTCTCATTTCTTCCAATTTTGGTAACATTTCTACAATAGAAATGAATCGATGATCCTGAAAATGAAGATTTAGTATATTTCAGATGTCTCAACCCACATCAATCTCGATTTTCCCAATTCTATGCTGATATATTTTTTAGTGGTTGCTGGTTCAATTTCGATGTTTGTTACGATGATAAGAAGTTCAAGGCAAAATTCAGTTCGCATGGTGATCATTTCGAAATTCGTGTTGAGCAAAGTTGAAATGTTGTTTTCTTGAGAATAAAGATTTATTATTTACATATTTTTTGAAACAAATTCGCTCATAGCAACAGTGATGTTGAGAAGAAGTTGGTCGAAATTTTCCAATCTGAAAATGATAAAGTTATTCAAGATTTTCAGAAAAGAATATTCACCCACCAATAATTTTTGAAGCAATCCTTTTCAAAGCAACAGTGTGAACGATCTGAAAAAACATAAATCTATAAATACCAATTTTTCAACAAAAAAAATAATCCACTCACCTTTTAAAATCAAATGATTGCAAGCCTTCTGTGCTCATGCTAGGTAGAGTATGAACTTTTTAAAAGTTTAAAAATAATACATAGATTTCGACAGTTTAGATGCCGATTCGTCAAAAACTGACTGATTTTCTTGACTGCCCGGCCGGCCGAAAAACGTTGAATTTCAGAAATTCAAAACTTTGATCTCGCGGCTGGTTCAAAATCATTTTTTCTCGAAAAGTTTCAATTTTTGAAAAAAATCGATTAAAGGCACACACCTTTTCCGTGAAATATCTCGACGCGACGAAGCGATTTGTGTACTTCTCCCGGACTTCTTTTTGTTTTTTTTCGCGAAAAATGTCGGCGGAGCCCAAAAAACGACGATTAGACGATGAAAATGTGAGTTTTCTTTAGTAATTTTCAATTAAAATTGATGGTTTCAGGTTTCCCTTGAAGAAAATAATGCAGAAACAACCGGTTGGTTCGATATTTCATATGAAATGAGGAAAATTCTGATCGATGAAATGGATGTTGAAACTCGAAGCGAAAGTTTGAATATTGCAATTCGACAGAGAATTTCGGCGGAAAAAAATGTAGGTTTTTTGCGAGACTTGTACAAAAAACAACTTCATTAAAAAAAAACACAAAAAAATAGATTCTCTTTCTCAAAGTTTTCTAATTCTTCTTCTTCTTGTTTTTCGCCTTCTCCGCAACAATCATCTGAATGATAATAGTTATAAAAAACAGATGGTGTTATTTCAAACTTACTCTCTTTATATCTTCACTCTTTGTTTCATCATCAAATTTATTGATCCAATACAAGATATCCTTCTTTTTTCGAGCATTATACATAATTGAGAATTCGCGAGACAAATGGACACTGATAAAATGTTCTGGCGGTAGTTCTGTCATAACCTTCTTAAGCTCCTCGTCCTCTTCAATTTTCCACAAGTTACAAACAGTCTGAACAAATAAAATTGACTGACAATTAAAGAAAACATTTAGCACACTTACATTGTGAAGAGACGATCCCAATTTTTTCTTCAATTTCGTGTCGTTTAAATACACAAGATTCGGGTTTGCCTTCTTGAGTTCTGATATGACAGCAAACTGGAAATGTGTTGATGATTCATTACAAAATCAGTTCAATATCAACTCACTTTCTGTTCAATTGTTGCTTTTGGCATCTTCAAGAATTTTCGAAATTCTTCGACCATTGCAGGCTCTTTGTGTTTTTCGATGAACATTGTTTCGACATTTTTCTCAGAATGCATCAAATCATTATAAAACCTTGGTTGATCAATGTTTTCCTCAACTTCCGCATCTTCTTCCTCATCTTCAGTCAATAATATCAATTCTTCATCTAATGTTATAGTTTTTGGTTCAATTTCTTCATGTGTTTTGAATGAAATTGAATTGAGTTGTAATTCCAGCTCATCCAATTTATGACCATCATTTTTCGAAGTATTGTTCAAAGAACAACTTGACGAAGATGAATATGAATGTTGTCGTTTTCCTCTTACTGTTGCGGAAATATCAGCTAACTGCAATAATATTCCAAAATTATTTACATATGTTGATATATAACTTACAGTTTCTGGCACAAATGTTTCATTATCATTTTTGTTCGACATGAATGATAATGATGTTGTTGTATCATCAATTGATTCAAACAATTCAGAATGTAGTTGATATCTTTTTATAATAATTTGACACAAATCATGAAATTGTGCTTTTTTTGTGAAAAGGACTTGTTGTCCCAACTGAAAAAAAAATCAATTTTTTGAAATAATAAAAATAGAAATTATGATACTCACCCATATAATACCCATCAAACTTTGTGAATTCTCTGAAGAATTATATGGTGTTATAAACAAAGTGAGATGGCTTGGACAACATTCAGCTTTGATATCTTCTTGAAATCCGAGTTTTTCGAATGTGATTGATCCGTTCTCAACCATATTCCACTTTCCCCTTAAAAATCAATTCATTTGTACTTAGAATTATCATTATTTTTTCTCAAACTAACCAACATTTTCCAGATTGAAATATTAAATCCATATAGTTTTCTAATTCTTTAAAATTGAAATCAATATTCGTCATCTTCTTTGAATTATGAATTGTAATAATGAGAGGTTTTGATGATTTTATTATATCTTCGTGTCACAAACCACGTCAAATGTTCACGTGAAATTATTATTTTATAAGGAAAAAGTCAATTCTTTTTTCCTCTTTTATTTTTATCCCACCGTCGGCAGATTTTCAGCTATCAAAAAATCCACCGTCGGCAGATTTTCAGCTATGAAAAAATCCACCGTCGGCAGATTTTCAGCTATCAAAAAATCCACCGTCGGCAGATTTTCAGCTATCAAAAAATCCACCGTCGGCAGATTTTCAGCTATCAAAAAATCCACCGTCGGCAGATTTTCAGCTATCAAAAAATCCACCGTCGGCAGATTTTCAGCTATGAAAAAATCCACCGTCGGCAGAATTTCAGCCATGAAAAAATCCACCGTCGGCAGAATTTCAGCCATGAAAAAATCCACCGTCGGCAGAATTTCAGCTATCAAAAAATCCACCGTCGGCAGATTTTCAGCTATCAAAAAATCCACCGTCGGCAGATTTTCAGCTATCAAAAAATCCACCGTCGGCAGATTTTTAGCTATCAAAAAATCCACCGTCGGCAGATTTTCAGCTATCAAAAAATCCACCGTCGGCAGATTTTCAGCTATCAAAAAATCCACCGTCGGCAGATTTTCAGCTATCAAAAAATCCACCGTCGGCAGATTTTCAGCTATCAAAAAAATCCACCGTCGGCAGATTTTCAGCTATGAAAAAATCCACCGTCGGCAGATTTTCAGCTATCAAAAAATCCACCGTCGGCAGATTTTTAGCTATCAAAAAATCCACCGTCGGCAGATTTTCAGCTATCAAAAAATCCACCGTCGGCAGATTTTCAGCTATCAAAAAATCCACCGTCGGCAGATTTTCAGCTATGAATATTTTCTTTAATGGATAAACTTCAAAATCTCGTGGCATGGGATCTTCATTTCCTTGGGAAAGTTCGAAAATTTCATTTTTTCATTAAGTTGAGGTAATAAAATTATCGATTTTTTCACAATTTTCACTGATTTCTGGAAGGAAAATTGTCAATGAAGTTCAGAAAACCTACATTTAACCTTTTTTTGGCGAATTAGTCGACAGAATCTGGAAATGTTTCAAACTTTGCTAGATTTTGGCACTCTGAAAAACGTTTCCCTGATTTGGTCCTTTTTGGACCTCGTGACTTAGCTAGGCGTGCTAATTTTTACACAGAACTTCTAAAATCACCAAAATTCACCATTTCAGCCTTAATCACATTGAAATTCAATCAAAAAATTGGAAAATTAAAGAAAAATGATGGTTGACCGTATCATTTTGTAGATTGGATAAAACTCAAAAAATGAGATTTTTCGATTTTCTCATTTTTTCACCAGGAATTTCAATTTTGTTTTTGGATCAATAATTGAATTTTTTGAGCCCATTTAAGCCCCATGAACATGAAAATTTAATGCTTTCCGGATTTTCGATTTTTTGGAATTTTTCATGTTGACCGTATCATTTTGTGGAGCACTGTATTTTATTCGTTAAAAAAATTGCGTCAGAAATTTTCAAAAATTCATTCAAAATCAATAGGATCTGTACAATTATTTACACCGTAATTCGAAACATGATGGCCGAAATAGAAAAGATGGTCGAAAATGTCATAATATCGATCGGAATTGCTGAAAAATGCTCAAAAAGAAACCTCTACAAATTTGATAAGTGTCATCAGATGTCATATTTTGGGAAAACCAGATTTCGGTTCCATGATGATATGAGCAATGATTGTTGAATGGAATGATGGTCGTGGACAATCAGCATTGTCTTTAATCTATATATAAACTTTCTGAAATCCAATCCACTATTTCGGTGTTCCTCGAACAATTCCGATTCTGTCTGTAAATGTTGGAATTGAATTTCGAAGCTTTGGATTGATTTATTCTCAAACATACCAAATTGCCAATTCCAAGTTTTTCACGAATCAATTTGAACAATTTGGGTGATAGTTGTTCCGGAATAAAATCATCCAAAAGTCTCGGAAAACCTTCAACAACTTTGATTTCTTCATCGATAGCAGAAATTGTGTCTGTAAAAAATATTTGATTGAAAATGTGTTATTTTTTATATTATCCTTACCCGATTTTTGCTTTTCGATACTATTTTTTGGACCTTCGTCGATTTTCGATTGTGTAAAGATAATTGCAAACATTGCAGCACTAGCAATAACCATCAAGACTATAACAATGATTCCAACAATAATAAATTGCTTTCCGCCAGTTGGTTCCTCTTTTTTCGCATTTTCAACCTCTGTTTTTGATGTTGCCGTTGTAATTGTTGACATCACACAATAAATAAGACCAGATTCTTTTCGAATATTTTCTAAAACTGACGAGCACATTGCGGAGTCCGTTTATATACCATTTTTCAAGGGGCCGCCACGTATCACGTATGCATTTTCTTATCGAACAAAATGTAATTTTTTTGAAAAAAAAATAAAATGTGTGGCCGTGACCGAGTTTTCCAAATATTCTTGTTCGTGTATTTCGGGCGGACAAGATGTTTCCAAATTACTTTTATGGAAGAATCGAGAGACTTAGAGATGGAAAAGAAGCTAGAAACACAGCTGAAATAGCTGAAATTCTCAAACTTAATTGATAAACCCTTTTCAAAATTGCAAGTGTTTTATGGTATGGAATTCAATGAAAATTATAATGAACACAAAAACTCACAAGCATGCACCTTCAGAATTTATAACAGAAACAGATGTTTTGTAGTTCGTTTTGACACGTTTTTTGGGTAGAAAAATCTACATTTTTTCGGCCTATATCACCCCTATTCCAATTATATATTTTTATTATTGCAGAGTTCAATCGCAACTTCGCCGCGAACAAGAGTTGATTCAAAAAAGGATGCAACAATTAAACGAAGATGAGGAGCGAAAAAAAGCCACGTTGGCAAAACAACACACAGAAACATCGAGAACTGCGAATTTGTCAAAAAACCCGAAACAAGATGGATTTGGATTTGGATCAGCGACACCGAGAACTTTGACTTATTTGGATAATTTGCAAAAATCTGAGCAATTATATGATAAAAGATTGAAGCTAAGAAGTGGACCAATTGAAAGTGGATTGACGGTAGGATTTTTGATTTTAAATATTGGAAAATTGTTGAGATTTTGGATTTTTTGTAGAAATCTAGCATAGATATACGAAGAATTCAGGTAAAATATAGTGCATACTAACTTTTAACCAATAAAAAATGCATGAAAATAGGATGTTAATTTGAGAGAGACGCAGAGAAAAACAAGCAGCGCATAGAATTTGTTCAAGAAAAGTAGGCGCTGCCTATTTTTCTCTGCACTCTCTCAAAATAATGCATAATACAACCGAAATCCTCTTAAGACCCAAAAATCAAAAAAAAAAAAAAGAAAACTTTTAAAAAAATATTGAATGTGGTGGAATTAGTTGGCCATTCTTTGTGGTGAATAAAATACACTGAGGATTATTTTAACAAAACATGATTCAAAAAAAAAAAGTTTATTCATCAAAAAATTTCACATGAAAAAATTTGGATTTTATTCTGGACTACTAATATTATTGCTACCATTTTCAGCCATAATAGCAACAGATTTAACTGAAACAGTTCCAATAATTGATAATTCAGCAGTTTCCCAATCCCATTTCATTTCAGCTTCATCACAATTATCATTTATTCTTATTTTTTCAACCAATTTCTTCAATTTAGGATAATTAGGGCAGCTTTCGAAATCATAATTATCAATTATATCCATAATTTCCTGAAATTGTTTTGGCAAATTTGAGAAGAAATTAGCACGATCTGTTCTAATAATCATTTTGCTATTTCCAACTTGATTCCTTTCTCGTAAAAAACACCATGGAAGCGAACCAAGTTTCATCTCAATTAACATATATAACCAACTTTCAATGTCGTCGCGTCGTGAGAGATCTAATTGTTTATGTGCATTCAAACTCGCATATCTAACAGTTCCGCGCCATCCAACATTTTTTCGTGGACTCAATTTCATATTTGATCCATCAACAAATCGCCTTGATAAGCCGAAATCGAAGATAAAAATAGTTGAACAGCGACCGCGACCTGGTGCAAAATTGCTTGATTTTATATCTCGATGAATATATCCAATTGAATGTAATTCTTCCATTGCTTTCAAAGATTGAATTGCAATTTGTGTTGTTGTATTCATTGAAAATATTCGATTTGGACATTCCATTCGGAGTTGATATAAATCCGAATTCAAAAGAGACATTATCATGAAATTATATGCCTTTGAAACTTTGCCCTAAAAATAAGTTTTTTTAATGAATTGAATTGAAAATAGAAAAAAATAAACTAACATATCCATAGATTGTGCAAAAATGATTGAAATTCTCTCTTTTCGCTGTCAAAAGCAATTTGACTTCCAATGGAATTAATCCGAGGGCTTTTTTTTCAGTTTTGACCGCAAAATTTCTGAAAAAAATTATTTTAAAAATAATAATTGTATAGATTACGGTACCTTTCGTTCAATTTGCCCAAGAATACTTGACCCATCGCTCCATTTCCTAATTTTTGATGAATAATAATTGATTCTCCCGTATGTGTTGTTAGAATATCTCCTTCAATTGGAAGTCTTACATCATCTTTGTTTTCTGCATTCATAATATTCAATCCAAATTTTTCTTCAAAGATCAAATATGTGAAGTGAAATCTCGAAATACCGCCTATTTTTTCGATTTTTCGCGTTGTCAAAAATGATGTCAGGTACACGTTTCAATTAATTTTTGTTTTTCGAAAAACAAGATTTTTCAATGGTTTTTAAAATGTTACGTGGATTAATTTCGAAACAGAATAAAATTAATATTTTAGAAAAAGGACCTTTTTTTATAAAAATCTGAACTCAGCTCAAACTTCATGTTTTTTTATGATCAAAAAAGGATTTTGTAGCTCTTGAGACGCTCTTTACTCTTGAATTTATTAGAATTGCCGAATTCCCACTAATAAATTTTAAAAATTGATGGAAAAACTTTGACGCTCATTTCCCTCCCATAAACGCAATTTCCGCAATTTCTAACTCGATCCATTATATTCGCCTTGCAATTTTTCGGCGGATTAGTCGAAAAAAACGGAAAAAAAAAGAAAATTCAAAAAGTTTCGGGCCAAAAATCAGGAAATCTTGAAAAATCAAACTTCATTTTCAATTTTTAGGTTATTTTTTGATTTAATTTTTTTGCCAAATTTCAGACATTCTCGTTGTGTTGTTCTACAAGTCAATGTTGCTCTTCTCACAAAACTGACAAATTTGTGACGTCATCAATTCGATCGATTCTATTGGTTTTAAAGAAGGAAATAACTGAAAATAACAAGTGAGTGAATTGATTTTTGTGGAAAAAATATAGGTTTTTTTTAGTAGATTTTGAGCCAAAATAATATCATTTTTGTGAGTGCCAAATTAGAAAAATATAAGATTTTATATGGTTATATAATTAATTAAATTCAAAAGGTTCGATTTGAATTAATTTGTTTGAGGCTCAAAATTTACTAAAAATTACTTTTTTCTCAAAGTTATCTTTAAATATTTTGTAGATTACAATTAATCGAAGGTCGTGCTGCTTGGTCACATGAAAATCGATATTTATCAGAAAGTGTGGAAACGACATTGGTTAGGTACGGTTTTGCAGGGGAGAAATTGAGATTTTTTGCTAGCAATGTTCAGTAAAACCTTGTGAGAGTCTCAAAAACAGAAATTGTTCATTAAAAGATCCTAAAGTCTTTAAAAATTATCAGGAAAGCCTGAACAGTTTAAAATTTTATAATTTTTCATGAGAATTTGAGTTTTCTAGATTAAAATTGATGAAATTTCGAATTTTTAACTCCAAATCTCATTTTCTCTCCTAAAAATGCTCATTTTTTGCAGGTTACGGTTGCTCAACGGGAAAACCATCGGAAAACAATTTGTATGCAAATATTTCGACGGCTTTTGAAACGCTAAAAAAGGATTACAGTGAGTTTTTTGAGGGGAAACGCTGAAAATTCACAAAAATGACTGGAAAGTTTGAATTTCCCTTCAAAAAATCAAGAAATTTACAGAAATTTTGTTTGAAAATAACTAAAAATGATGAAAACTTTTTTTTGAGCAAAAATTCATTTTTGGCTGAAATTTAGTTAGAAATTTCACAATTTATGAGAAAAATTCCAAATTTTTGGTCAAAATCAAATATTTCTAAATAATTTTCAATGTTTTGATTCAATAACTCCCCATTTTTTGCAGATGTTCCAGCAGATCGTGTAATTTTATATGGACAATCAATTGGAACAGTTCCAAGTGTTGATTTGGCCAGCAGAAAACACGTGGCAGCTTTGATTTTACATTCACCATTGATAAGTGGAATGAGAGTTGCATTTCCTGGAACACAGACTATCTGGTCAGTTATTTTTGAGCGGCAAAAACTGAAAATTTTGAATGAAGAGACTTTTCAACCAAAAAGCAATATTAATATTTAAAATAACTTCATCAAAACATTTTTATTTTTGTTGAAAAATTTATAAGGGAACCATTTCAAACGAGTTTTGAGCTCAAATTTTTGAACATATAAAATCTCCTGCTATAAAATTTTGATAAAAATGCTTGTCTATATTTTTATTACGACGGGAAATTCCACGATTTTTCATACCAAATAAGGTTTGAAGTCGGGAATTACAGTATCCCTTGCAGTCCAGGTGATCTTTATACTTTTCAGCCCGGAATACAGTATTCAAGAATTACTGTACCTCGAACTGCAAGAGATACTGTAGCTTCAATTTCAGAATTTTTTATCGGACTGCCAAACCGACAGTACCCTAAAATTATCTAAAACTTTCAAAAAAAATTTGAAAATTTGCAGTCCAAGCCCCAAAAAAACCTTACCCAGCAACATCTGGTGATAAAAATGATTAGAACAATTTCGAGCTCAAAACTCGACTGTAGTTTGAAAAAGGTTTTCTTGTAAAAATTCGATATGAACTCAGATCTGAAGCCAAAAATTTGATGAAAAATTCTGTTCAAAAGATTTTTTCCACAAAATTCGGATTTTCAGTGAAAAATCAATAATTGCAGATTTTTATTAGAAATTTTATTCTCAAAATTGAGGCTGAAAATGTGTTTAAAAAAAATAATATTTAGTTTCAAAATATTCGATTTTTGCTAGAAAATAAGAATTTAAAAAAAAACTGAGAAAAATTGATATTTTCGATGAGCCGATGTTTGATTAGAAATTGATAGTTAGTTCTTGTTCAGTTTCAATAAAATTTCTAACAAAAAATCAAAAATTAGCGATTTATCACTGAGAATAAGAGTTTTGTGGCAAAAATCTTTTTCATCAAGTCTTTGGGTTCATATAAGAAAATATCGAATTTCAGCTGAAATTTTGGAATTTCTGAGTTTTTCAACATTTTTTTTTGAGATTTAAAATCATCAAATTATTGATTTTCTTTTCAAAAATTCCCTATTTTCCAAATAATTTCCACCATTTTTTGTAGGTGTTGTGATGCATTTCAATCAATCGAAAAAGTGCCACGTGTCAAATGTCCAACTCTAGTAATTCATGGAACCGACGACGAGGTTATCGATTTTTTGCACGGTGTTTCGATTTATGAACGATGTCCCGCCTCGGTTGAATCACTTTGGGTTCTAGATATGCTGCAATTTTGAGGCACCAAAAATCCACGTATCAAATAAAATCAAATAATTGGAAATTGCCCAATTTTTGAAAGCCGAGCTAAATTTGCAATTTTGAATAAAAGCTATCGAAAAAATGGCTGGAAATTTCATAAAATTCTATTGATTCCAAAAATCTTACGATTTAGTGGCCACGTGGATTACTATGATGTTGAAATCCACGTCATAGCAACCCCATGTGGCTGCTAAATCAGTAGATAGTACCGCTGACGTGGAATTTTCCATGCCGGATCTGAAAATTTCACTGAAAACCCAGATTTTTCGAGATTTTTACTGAAATTTTGAGATCCCGCGCAGGCAAATCTATCGCCAATTTTTTTCTCGAGTGGAGCCAGTTCAGACTGCACCTGGAATTTGAGAAAAAACTCAGATTTCAAGAATGAAATTCCCGAGTGCATATAAAGATAGAATGAAATTGAAAAGTCGACGTTTTTGAAGCGAAACCCCAATTTTTAGGAATATTCATTACTTTTCCCTATGTTTTGTAATGGTTTTATAAAATTAGGAAAACATATATGAGAAAACAGTACAAAACTATGTTTTTCCAAAAATATGTAATGAAATTTATGAATTAGAATAATATTTGCAGTTCATTATACATTTCTACTGATTCTGTCTTTTGTAGCGAATTGAGCCGAGGCGAAAATTGTTACATTCTATTTTTTTTTTACAAAAAACGTGAAAATTTTTATTGAAAAAATTAAAAATGTAATGAATTTAGCTCGAGTCGAAATCGTTACAATCCATATTTCCTTGTTATAGTTGAGTTTATTAACGGCAGAGTAGAGATCGATTTGAGAATCTTCATAAAAGCCGTTTTGGAGACGGATTGTAAATTTCATTGCCGATCGATCTATGGCTATTTTTTCTAAACGGAAGTTGATGAATTTCCTCGAACAACTGCGAAAACTGAAATTATACTGTGTTAATCTTTGTTTCATAAAATGGAACTCACCGATGTGCCTTTTTGTAACCGTACTCCGAAAGATTACCGAAGTGAAATTTTTACAGAACACCATTCCCTTTTTCGGTTGGAATAAAAAATTTGAAATGAGAAATTCCACATTTCACGTTAAAATAATTTATGTTTGTTTTTATTATTTATTTTTACGTGTCTCGTTGGAATTTTGTCATTTCTCGTTTCAGAAAACGTACCAAATGGATCAGTTTTTGGTGAGTTTTATCAAACCACATCTTGAAGGTGAATTCATCCTGTTTACTTCAGAAATATGGGATAAGATGATGTGATAACATGTGGAATCATGTTCAGTGCTGCCTCAATCATCAAATATTCAACAAGTTTCCAAATCGAAAATGATGGATTTCGATAACATTGATTGTATAATTCTCTTCCCAATAAAAATATTCTATGTTCTTTTCTTTGTGTACAATTGTTGCGATTAATTCACAATTGCGGTTTTTTCAATTTTTGTGAAAAAATCAGACAAAAAACAAGAAAAAACAAAAAAAAATAAAAATGTAACGATTTTCGCCTCGGACAAAATTGTTACATTTTATATTTTGGGAATTAATGAAACAAAAATAAACAAAATTGTAACGAATTTCGCTCTGGATGAAATCGTTACAACCTGAAACGGCAATTTTTAATTTGATGCAGATTTGTAGAGAAAATAATAACATCAGCCATTTTTTTGCGAAAAATGTTTGCATTTATTTGGAGAAATTTTGCATTAAAATTATCTTGAACATTGTGAATATTGTTGCAAGTTTCTTTCGTTTTTGTAAAATCAATTCAAAAACGTCGACTTTTCAATTTTGTTATATCTTATATATATATAATTCGGAATATATTTATGCGATTTTTGCATGATTTCAGTAAAAAATTCCACACAGAACCCTAAATTTCCAGGTCAAAAGTTGATTTTCATGAAATTCAAACAAATCGATTAAAGGCGCACACATTTTCCACCATGAAATATCTCGCGGCGACGCAGCGATTTGTGTACTTCTCCCGGACTTCTTTTTTGTTTTTTTCGCGAAAAATGTCGGCAGAGCCCAAAAAACCACGATTAGACGATGAAAATGTGAGTTTTCTTTAGTAATTTTCAAATAAAATTGAAGTTTTCAGGTTTCCCTTGAAGAAAATAATGCAGAAACTACTGGTTGGTTCGATATTCCCTATGAAATGAGGAAAATTGTGATCGATGAAATGGATATTGAAACTCGATGTAGATTTGCCATTTGCTCCAAAAAATGTGAAGAAGAGGCGAAAATGTCGCAAGAGTACTTGAAAAGTTTGAAAATCTGTCGAGGGCCTCATCCGGAATTATATATTGGACATGAAACATCTGGTTATCATTTTTGTATGGAATTTTTGGCTGTCAGTAAATTGACTGAGAATACGACTATTGTAATTTATAAAACGTATGTTTAAATACTAAATAACATAATTTTCTATATAAAATTTTGCAGCACCGGCAACAGATTGAATGCAGAAAAAGATAAGAAAAAAGAGTTATGAAGTGGTCAAAAATCTATGAAAATGAGAAAGCGGAAGATGTTAGAAATCGATATTTGCATGAAATATTGGAAAAACATCACAAATCTATTGTCAAACTTTCAATCGATGACACAAAATTTGTTTTAAAAGAAGAAATAAATTTGAAAATGTTGAAAAACCTGCGAAAAATCTTTGATAGAACTGGAAGAGATCTAATAGAATATGAAATATTGGATGTATCACAAATTCTTCGAGCAAATATTGTGCGAGTTCAACGAACTAATTTGACAAGAAAAGATTTGATGGGATTTGAAGGAACTTTGTGTGAAATTCGTGTTTATAATATGAGTCTGAAGAGTCTTGCGGAATTTGTGAAATCGTTGAAAACTGGAAAATCTCACAGGAATTTGAGACATCTTAAAGTCTATTTGAAAGAACATATTTGTGCAGAAGAATTGGCAGATGAATTGAATATTCCCTATTTTTCAGAAGGTCAAGATAATAATGATGATGATGATGAAAAGTGAGTAATTTGTTAACTATATCTCGAATCACATTTTTGTCATATTTCAGTGGTTGCTGGTTCAATTTCGATATTTGTAACGATGATAAGAAGTTCAAGGCAAAATTCAGTTCGCATGGTGATCATTTCGAAATTCGTGTTGAGCAAAGTTGAAATGTTGTTTTCTTGAGAATAAAGATTTATTATTTACATATTTTTTGAAACAAATTCGCTCATAGCAACAGTGATGTTGAGAATAAGTTGGTCGAAATTTTCCAATCTGAAAATGATAAAGTTATTCAAGATTTTCAGAAAAGAATATTCACCCACCTTTTAAAATCAATAATAATTCACAATCAGATGAGCCAACTCCCACAAAACACTTTAATAAACTTTAGGTGTTCTTTTTGAAAAACACTCCTAAAAATTGATAGGGAATTTCATAAAGAACACCAATAATTCAAATGAGCCATCTTCCACAAAACACTTTAATAAACATCTATTTAGGTTGCGTTTTCTTTCGAAATTTCAAATTAAAATTGATGGTTTCAGGTTTCTCTTGAAGAAAATAATGCAGAAACAACTGGTTGGTTCGATATTTCATATGAAATGAGGAAAATTGTGATCGATGAAATGGATGTTGAAACTCGATGTAGATTTGAAATTTGTTCAAGAAAATGTGAAGATGAAACAAAAATGTCGAAAAAACTTTTGACAAGTATTGCAATTCGACAGAGAATTTCGGCGGAAAATTATTTTTTGCTGGAAAATTATCGATCAAAATTCGACGTCTTATCAATGATGAGATTATCAGTTCTTTCAATAATTAAGATGTTATAATTACTCCAAACTACAGTAACCAAGACATGAAAGACCAACTCAGCAAATGTAGGTTTTTTGCGAGACTTGTAAAAAAAACAATTCATTTGAAAACAAAACACATTTATAAAATAGATATATTCTTCTTCAAATTTCGCTAATTCTTATTCTTTTTCTTCTCCGCCTTTTTGGCAACAATCCTCTAAATGATAATAGTTATAAAAAACAGATGGTGTTGTTTCAAACTTACTTTCTTAATGTCTTCGCTCGTTGTTTTATCATTGAATTGTTTGAGCCAATACAAGATATCCTTCTTTTTTCGAGCATTAAACAGAATTGAGAATTCGCGACATAAATGAACACTGATGAAGTGTTCGGGCGGTAGTTCTATCATGACCTTTTTGAGTTCCGCGTCGCCTTCAATTTTCCACAAATTGCAAACAGTCTGAACAAATGAAATTGACTGACAATTAAAGAAAACATTTAGCACACTTACATTGTGTAAATTCGACCCTAATTTTTTATTCAATTTCGTGTCATTCAAATTTAGAAGATCCGGATTTGCCTTTTTCAGCTCTGATATGGCATTGAACTGGAAATGTGTTGATAATTCATTACAAAATCAGTTCAATATCAACTCACTTTCTCTTTAATTGTAGCTTTTGGCATTTTTAGGAATTTTCGAAATTCTTCTACATTTTCAGATTTTTCCGCTTCACCATCATCAGTCAATACATACAATCTTAATTTTGATATTTTGATCGAGTAATTTAGTCAACTCTAACCCAAGTTTCAATTTTTTAAAGTTCAGAATCAAAAAATTCTCCAAAAAATTTTTTTAACTTCTGTTAGAAATTTTTACTTACAAAATCCCTTTGGGGTTTTTCAAGCCCATATCCGCATAGTGGAGAGGAACATTGTGGAACATTCGTTGTGAGTGCAAAAAATTTGGTTTTCTAGCGTACAACTCGTTTTTGAATTTTTGTGCGTGTGTTTGCACACAACTTTGAAAAAACACGGTGACGCCTTTTGCAGACGATTTTTTCACCAGGAAAACACCAACCCTTCAACTCAATTTAAACGAAAAAACTCAATCGAAACCGCGTTTTTGAGCTTGAATTGTCCTCTTTTTCAGTTTTTTGGAGAACAGTTATCAAACTTTTAATTTGGTACATGAAAACATAGGATAAACATTAAAATCATTTTTTTAATGAAAAATGGCGCCGGTATGATTCTAGACTAAGTTTTTTGAATTAATTCAACAACTCCCCATAAGACACTATTTGAACATACAACCGAACTTTTTCAGGGGGTTAAATTGGAGGTTAAACTTTAAATTTCAGGGGGTTAAACTTGTAAATATATTATCAAAATTTTCCCATCCTCTTCCTCCAAAAACCAACCTCATTCAATCCTCCCAATCTCGATCGAGCCAATTCTCCAATTGTCAATTGTGACATATCCACGCTCATCTCCTCATATCGAGACACTTGTTGTGGTGGAATGTATTGTGGTGGATTTGGTGAATGTTCTCGTGGCAGTTGATGAATTGGCGGAAGTTTCGATCGATCCATAAAATCGCGATGTTTTGGATGTCCGGAATCAACTGAACCAGGTGTAGGAGGAGCATCCATCTCATTTTGAGCCGTGTGCATTGGACCACCAAAATCTTCTCGTGCTTCTCGTTGTCTTTTTGCCGCGTTCATGCGTTCTTCCATTTCTCGTTTTTCTCTTTTTCTTTTATCGATTTCTGCGTGGACTGGAAAAGAAAAAAATTTTTCCTCATATCGTGACGCTGAATTGGGAGAAGATGGTATTGAAATAGGTTTGCAGAATCGGGCTGAAAGTATTCCAATAATTCATAAGAAATTAAGCCTTATTAGGACATTAAGGACAAAAAACGTTTAAAAATCTAACGTATAAAATCATATTTACGCGTATAGCTATACGTGGTACTTAGTTTATGGAACATTTTTTCTGGGAGTTTCCAGAAAAAATACCTTGAAGGTTTTACTACTTTTGGGGAGCCTTTAACTTTGCGACAAAAAAAATTCGTCGTCTTACCCCCCCCTTTAATTCTATCATTTTACTGTCTTTTTTGTGCTACTATTCAATAAATCATATTTCTATACAATTCCTTAGAAAAATTCAGAAATTGGTGCATTCGATATGCAATATTGATAATAAACCTAAAATTCAGACCCAATCAAGCAAGCAAATAAGAAAAAAATTCGAATTGAAAATAAAAAAAAAAGCGTAGCTAAGATTTACACCTCAGCGTAGTCTAAAGCGTACAAGCGAGCGTAGCTAAGGGGGTGTATGACGTGTCAACCGCTCGCTTGTACGCTAAGACTACGCCAGCGGATCCAAAACCTAAAGAAAGAACGAAAAAAATGCTGAAAAATGTCTCGAAACAAAAAAAATATGTGCGCGTCGAATAAAATAAATCATCCGTAAACCTGTCGGTGTTCGCACACATTTCCTGTGAGCTACAGTAATCCAATCGATTTTTCTTTTATTCTGGCGGTTTTCTGCGAATTTTGTTTGAAAGTAGTTCAAGTAGTGAAGAGGAAAGTCCTAAATGATTCATTTTCAATCCATTACGATCATATTTACGAGTATAGTTTTCGAAATTGCTCATTTCGTTATAAATTATTCTCTATCTCGTTTTTTGTCTACTTACGTAAGTAGTAATTACTTTCATACTTCACTTTTGATATTATCTTTTAGTATTAATCCCCATAATCGACCGGGTCAATTTATAAGCAACCAATTCCAATTCAACGGCTTATTATGCGTGATGGATACACAATTCCATCTCAACAACAAGCTCAACCTCCGTAAGTTTAATTTTTTCAAGTTTCTCTTTTTTTATTTCAAAACATCTTTCGAATTTAGATCTGCAGAATTTCAGCTATGAATACTTTCGTTATCAAAAAATCCGCCGTCGGCAGAATTTCAGCTATGAATTCTTTCGTTATCAAAAAATCCACCGTCGGCAGATTTTCAACAGTGAATATTTTATTCGTTAAAAAATTGCGTCAGAAATTTTCAAAAATTCATTCAAAATCAACGGTATCTGTACAATTATTTACACCGTAATCCGAAACATGATGGCCAAAATAGAAAAGATGGTCGAAAATGTCATAATATCGATCGGAATTGCTGGAAAAATCTCAATTTCAAACTATTCTTTCAAATAGAAGTAAAGAAACCTGCACTGTATATCCTCATTTTTGGGGAAACCTCTACAATTCATCATGTTTTTGTGCATATTCCAAATTTCCAACTCTTGGTTGTCCAAAAGTGATCAAACTCGTTCGATTTCCAATTTCGGGATGATTTCGAACGAAAGCCGTGGAAGCTATTGAAGCAATTGCTCCGCCCAACGAATGTCCAGTGAATATTAGCTCGTGGGTTGGATATTTCTGGAAAATGGGAGGTTTTTAGAGTTGTCCTAACTTCATTAGCAAATTAAATACGCCTACTTATGTATTCACTATAACATCTAGAAAGTTAGCCTAACCTTGCCGCTGCGCGGAAGCTTGCGGTCTACCTGAAAATGCTTTGGAACCCGCCGCATCTGAAATTTTCCCTAAAAATTCGTTTTTCACTGAAAAATCGAGGTTTTATGGAACATTTCAAGATTCCTCACAGGGGAACCTATCGTCAATTTTTTTCGAGCGGAGCGAGTGTAGACCGCAAGCTTCCGCGCAGCGGCCACGTGGATTACTATGATATGGTAAACGTCATAGCAATCCGCGTGGGTGCTAAAGAGGAAGCTTGCGGTCTAAAATGTAGACCGCAACCTACCGCACAGTACATATTTAGTATCAAAATGAAGCCCTTAAAAAACTCACCTTAATAGCTTCCCTCAATAATCTATGCATCGGATTCCACATCGATTTGAGAGCCGCGAAAAAATAATAATGAACTGAGCCAGCATTGTGCAATTTGTGCTTCGGTTTTCCGATGCTCTCGATTAACTCAGTCACTAATTGCTCTTTTGATTTTGTGCCAGAAAATGCGACGAAAATGTGAGAGGAAAATATTTGTTTCTAAATAAAAATATTGAAAATGAAAGCCTCTTATATATAATTCGGAATATATTTATGCGATTTTTGCATGATTTCAGTAAAAAATTCCACACAGAACCCTAAATTTCCAGGTCAAAAGTTGATTTTCATGAAATTCAAACAAATCGATTAAAGGCGCACACATTTTCCACCATGAAATATCTCGCGGCGACACAGCGATTTGTGTACTTCTCCCGGACTTCTTTTTGTTTTTCGCGAAAAATGTCGGCAGAGCCCAAAAAACCACGATTAGACGATGAAAATGTGAGTTTTCTTTAGTAATTTTCAAATAAAATTGAAGTTTTCAGGTTTCCCTTGAAGAAAATAATGCAGAAACTACTGGTTGGTTCGATATTCCCTATGAAATGAGGAAAATTGTGATCGATGAAATGGATATTGAAACTCGCTGTAGATTTGCAATTTGCTCCAAAAAATGTGAAGAAGAGGCGAAAATGTCGCAAGAGTACTTAAAAAGTTTGAAAATCTGTCGAGGAACTCATCCGGAATTATATATTGGACATGAAACATCTGGTTATCATTATTGTATGGAATTTTTGGCTGTCAGTAAATTGACTGAGAATACGACTATTGTAATTTATAAAACGTATGTTTAAATACTAAATAACATAATTTTCTATATAAAATTTTGCAGCACCGGCAACAGATTGAATGCAGAAAAAGATAAGCGAAAAAGAGTTATGAAGTGGTCAAAAATCTATGAAAATGAGAAAGCGGAAGATGTTAGAAATCGATATTTGCATGAAATATTGGAAAAACATCACAAATCTATTGTCAAACTTTCAATCGATGACACAAAATTTGTTTTGAAAGAAGAAATAAATTTGAAAATGTTGAAAAACCTGCGAAAAATCTTTGATAGAACTGGAAGAGATCTAATAGAATATGAAATATTGGATGTATCACAAATTCTTCGAGCAAATATTGTGCGAGCTCAACGAACTAATTTGACAAGAAAAGATTTGATGGGATTTGAAGGAACTTTGTGTGAAATTCGAGTTTATAATATGAGTCTGAAGAGTCTTGCGGAATTTGTGAAATCGTTGAAAACTGGAAAATCTCACAGGAATTTAAGACATCTTAAAGTCTATTGGAAAGAACATATTTGTGCAGAAGAAGTGGCAGATGAATTGAATATTCCCTATTTTTCAGAAGGTCAAGATAATGATGATGATGATGAAAAGTGAGTAATTTGTTAACTATATTTCGAATCACATTTTTGTCATTTTTCAGGGGTTGCTGGTTCAATTTCGATATTTGTTACGATGATAAGAAGTTCAAGGCAAAATTCAGTTCGCATGGTGATCATTTTCGAAATTCGTGTTGAGCAAAGTTGAAATGTTGTTTTCTTGAGAATAAAGATTTATTTTTTACATATTTTTTGAAACAAATTCGCTCATAGCAACAGTGATGTTGAGAATAAGTTGGTCGAAATTTTTCCAATTTGAAAATGATAAAGTTATTCAAGATTTTCAGAAAAGAATATTCACCCACCTTTTAAAATCAAATCAGACCTGTCATTTTGCGGCTATTTGCGGCCCTCGGGCCAGCCATTTGAAGGGCCGGCCTAGCCAGCCCAAAGATGGAAAATGGGCTGGCTCAGCCCGGCCTTTCAAACAAATTTCATTGTGTAAATCCACTATTTTTCAATGGTGTTTCTTTCGAATTTTTGCATTTTGGCGGAAGAATATTTCCGTATTTCGTGTTTCTAATGGTGGATTGATAATAAAAGTAAAATTTATTGAAATTCATGTGTTTCCGGCCGTTTTCAACACTGGTCCAAAGCGTACAAGTTTCGGACCGTTTTTCAATTTTTGGCAAGTATTCGGTCAGTTTGCATTTGCCTGTGTTTGAAGGGCTGGCCCGGGCCGGCCGCCCAAAAACGACAGGTCTGACGGAGCCGAAAAAACGACGATTAGAGGATGAAAATGTGCGTTTTCTTTCGAAATTTCAAATTAAAATTGATGGTTTCAGGTTTCTCTTGAAGAAAATGCACCAAAAACAACTGGTTGGTTCGATATTCCCTATGAAATGAGGAAAATTGTGATCGATGAAATGGATGTTGAAACTCGATGTAGATTTGAAATTTGTTCAAGAAAATGTAAAGATGAAGCAAAAATGTCGAAAAAACTTTTGACAAGAATTGCAATTCGACAGAGAATTTCGGCGGAAAATTATTTTTTGCTGGAAAATTATCGATCAAAATTCGACGTCTTATCAATGATGAGATTATCAGTTCTTTCAATAATTAAGATGTTATAATTACTCCAAACTACAGTAACCAAGACATGAAAGACCAACTCAGCAAATGTAGGTTTTTTGCGAGACTTGTAAAAAAAACAATTCATTTGAAAACAAAACACATTTATAAAATAGATATATTCTTCTTCAAATTTCGCTAATTCTTCTTTTTCTTCTCCGCCTTTTTGGCAACAATCCTCTAAATGATAATAGTTATAAAAAAAGGTGGTTTTGTTTCAAACTTACTTTCTTAATGTCTTCGTTGTATCATCATCAAATTGTTTGAGCCAATACAAGATCTCCTTGTTTCTGCCATCATTGAAAAGTATAGAGAATTCTCTACACAAATGAACACTGATGAAGTGTTTGGTCGACAGTTCGAGCTTAAAACTTTTGAGTTCCGCATCGCCTTCGATTTTCCACAAATTGCAAACAGTCTGAATAAATGAAATTGACTGGCAATTACAGGGTGCGTAAAAATTACCCGGACAACTTTAAAATCGTGATATTCCCAGAAGAGAATGAGTTTTCTCAATATCACTCGATAATTAGTTCATTTGTTCCCTAACTAGAATATAAAAACTGATCTCCCTTGATCTGGTCGATTTTCTGAGCAATGCCAACGTGGAAACGTTCGGAGGCTACCTCTGTCGCTGCACGCGGGTCATTTTCGGACAAATCGTCCCAGTTTTTCAGAATATCCTTATCTAGGCCTTCAAAATTGATTTGAGGGTTTCGCCAGAACCTTTTTCTACCCCATTTGAAAATGGACTAGTCTATTCGGTTCGAACTTGACTAATACTATCTCAATTCTTACACCTCATCATATCGAAAAAATTGCTTTTTGAATGTGATTTTTTCAAATTTTGACCTGTGTTTGGTCAAAAGGACTTGGGAAAGCTTTGAATGATTGTTTTCTAAGCTGAAAACAGTTTTTAATGACAATTTGAATTCACGGACTCCGTTTATGTAAATTTTATTCTTGGTTTGGGGTCCTGGAACATCGAAAACCACTGACAGTTTCCAGCCAAGGACGAAATTTCAAAATCACCATCAGAGCTGGGTGTGAGTCATGGTGAACAGGTAGACTTCTGTCCTTGCCATCTAGGATGTCTCTAATGAGCCCCCAATCAATTTCTAACTTGAATAAACCTTCCATGATGAAAAAAATGACATCCGAAAACGCTGTTACCGAATCGCGTGTCAGTGAGCACAATTTCTACTAGTTTCTAGGATGTGTAATCCAGCTCAGAATTAGTCGATTGACTTGAAACTTCGCACAGCTTTTCGAAATACCCTAATAAAACAAATAAAAAATACAATCTATCAAATGTTCGTCAATTTTCGCTTGGGCTGGCGCTAAACCTCTGTCCGGGTAATTATTACGCACCCTGTAAAGAAAACATTTAGCAAACTTACATTGTGCAAATTCGACCCTAATTTTTTATTCAACTTCGTATTATTCAAAATCTGAAGCTCCGGATGAGCTTTTTTGAGCTCTGATATGACATTGAACTGCAAACTAACAGATTTCGAAACAGTCCGTGGGAGAAGTGTTCCAAATATATCATCGCCACAAACAGATCGATCTAATGGATTAAATGATAGCAATTTCGTTTTACACATTCCTCCATCTTTTTTCATTTCTTCAATCAATTCGTCTTCTGTCGGAACTCTTTCATGGTACATGAAAATGTTCTTTTTCTCCGCATTCGATTGTCTGAAAATTTTTCATTTTTTTGTACAGCCACTACAAAAATTGAGCATTCAGAAAACATTAAAACGTTTTCAAATTTTGATCTATATCCACAGTTACTCAAATGATAATTTCTCGATTTTCTCCCCCCTCCCTTCCCCAAAACCAACTTTGCTGTAATAATATCATTCCAAAATGTAATAATCGGCAAAAATTCGGGATGATATTCCATCAATCCCTCAATGTTCAACACATTATTCATATATTTCAACAAAATATTATAATATTTCAATCGATATCCCATTTTTTTCGTCTCATTTGCCGCATTATCGTCCATCGTTAAAAAGGCAAAGGGTGCATATAGATCCATTTTGATTCGACAAATTCCAATATAAACTCGCTGAATTCTTTCGGCAATGTTCACATTCCAATCTTCACAAATAGTTAGCATTTCCTCATAAGTCTGATGAAGGCAATAGTAGAGTTTGCAAATTACAATTGGTGAACTTCTATCGAGAAATGATTTTTGAATCAAACATTCTTGTGCTTGAGCCTGCAAAATTATTTAGATTTTTAATTTGATAATAAGCTTTCTAGAAGTTTTCAACACGCTGGTCACGATTGAAATTGCAGAACTCAACTCCTAACATGAGTTATGACGTGGAAAATTTGAAAAATCGATATTTTAGGGGCTGGAAGCCAGTTTCAAAAAATGATTTTTATGCAAATCTATCTAATAATAAGAAATTATCAAAGTTCTCTGTAATTTTCAAAAATTTTAATCGCCACATAGAAAAAATAGATAATATTTTGTTGCAGCGCGGTGTTTGGAAATTCAAATTGTCAAAACACAGAAAAGTCAAACATTTTTCTTATTCACGTGAAATTGCAGACTAATTTTTTACCGCATGAAGCTATTTGACTCCGCCCGCTGTTATTTTAATAATTTGCAATTTTGCGGCGCTCTTTAAAAATTTCTATGGAAAAAAGCACGAAATTTGTTTGACACGTGTTCAAAGTGTTCGTTTTGTGATGCCTCCTAGAGAGACGCAGAGACTCGTGCACTCTCGTGCATCCATGTGTCTCTCCCTCTCTCTAGAGACATTCATTCTTTATGTTGTGGCCATAGACTTCAGCCCTTTGGCATATTTATGTACAATAAAGATCTTACATGTACAAATGTCTACCTATGAATGAGTCTGGGTGAAGATGATGATTGGGAGATCATCTACCTTCACAGTTTTCACCATGTCACCGGGTGAAATATCAAATTTACTAACTTCGATAATGTTGTTCAGCACATTCGAAAACCTACCAGTTTTTAAGATTATCAAAAGAAGATCAAATGGCGGCTGAAAGCCGTAATCCTTAAAAATACCAACACAATCTATGTATGAAAATGTGTGTATTTTTTTGACGTGGTACCTAGTTTATGGAACATTTTTTCTGGGAGTTTCCAGAAAAAATCCCTTGGAGGTTTTACTACTTTTGGGGAGCCTTCAACTTTGCGACAAAAAAATTTTGTCGTCTTACCCCCCTTTAATTCTATCATTTTACTGTCTTTTTTGTGCTACTATTCAATAAATTATATTTATATACAATTCCTTAGAAAAATTCAGAAATTAGTGCATTCGATATGCAATATTGATAATAAACCTAAAATTCAGACCCAATCAAGCAAGCAAATGAGAAAAAAATTCGAATTGAAAATAAAAAAAAGCGTAGCTAAGATTTACACCTCAGCGTAGTCTAAAGCGTACAAGCGAGCGTAGCTAAGGGGGTGTATGACGTGTCAACCGCTCGCTTGTACGCTAAGACGACGCCAGTGGATCCAAAACCTAAAGAAAGAACGAAAAAATGCTGAAAAATGTCTCAAAACAAAAAAAAATATGTGCGCGTCAAATAAAATAAATCATCCGTAAACCTGTCGGTGTTCGCACACATTTCCTGTGAGCTACAGTAATCCAATCGATTTTTTTTTATTCTGGCGGTTTTCTGCGAATTTTGTTTGAAAGTAGTTCAAGTAGTGAAGAGGAAAGTCCTAAATGATTTATTTTCAATCCATTACGATCATATTTACGGGTATAGTTTTCGAAATTGCTCATTTCGTTATAAATTATTCTCTATCTCGTTTTTTGTCTACTTACGTAAGTAGTAATTACTTTCATACTTCACTTTTGATATTATCTTTTTAGTATTAATCCCCATAATCGACCGGGTCAATTTATAAGCAACCAATTCCAATTCAACGGCTTATTATGCGTGATGGATACACAATTCCATCTCAACAACAAGCTCAACCTCCGTGAGATTAATTTTTTCAAGTTTCTCTTTTTTTTCAAAACATCTTTCGAATTTAGATCTCGAGTTTTAAAACGTGGAGATACACCATCATTGACATCCGTCGGCAGAATTTCAGCTATGAATACTCTTCTCAAAATTGATAGGGAATTTCATAAAGAACACCAATAATTCAAATGAGCCATCTCCCACAAAACACTTTAATAAACATCTATTAAGGTTGCGTTTTCTTTCGAAATTTCAAATTAAAATTGATGGTTTCAGGTTTCTCTTGAAGAAAATGCACCAGAAACAACTGGCTGGTTTGATATTCCCTATGAAATGAGGAAAATTGTGATCGATGAAATGGATGTTGAAACTCGATGTAGATTTGAAATTTGTTCAAGAAAATGTGAAGATGAAACAAAAATGTCGAAAAAACTTTTGACAAGAATTGCAATTCGACAGAGAATTTCGGCGGAAAATATTTTTTGCTGGAAAATTATCGATCAAAATTCGACGTCTTATCAATGATGAGATTATCAGTTCTTTCAATAATTAAGATGTTATAATTACTCCAAACTACAGTAACCAAGACATGAAAGACCAACTCAGCAAATGTAGGTTTTTTGCGAGACTTGTAAAAAAAACAATTCATTTGAAAACAAAACACATTTATAAAATAGATATATTCTTCCTCAAATTTCGCTAATTCTTCTTTTTGTTCTTTGCCTTTTCCGCAACAATTCTCTGAATGATAATAGTTATAAAAAACAGATGGTGTTGTTTCAAACTTACTCTCTTAATATCTTCACTCGTCGTTTTATCATTGAATTGTTTCAACCAATACAATATCTCCTTCTTCTTTCGAGCATTAAACAGAATTGAGAATTCGCGACATAAATGAACACTGATGAAGTGTTCGGGCGGTAGTTCTATCATGACCTTTTTGAGTTCCGCGTCGCCTTCAATTTTCCACAAATTGCAAACAGTCTGAACAAATGAAATTGACTGGCAATTAAAGAAAACATTTAGCACACTTACATTGTGTAAAATCGGTCCTAATCTTTTATTCAATTTCGTGTCATTCAAATTCTTAAGATCCGGATTCGCTTTTTTGAGCTCTGATATGACAGTAAACTGGAAATGTGTTGATGATTCATTACAAAATCAGTTCAATATCAACTCACTTTCTCTTTAATTGTAGCTTTTGGCATTTTTAAGAATTTTCGAAATTCTTCTTCTTTTTCAGATTTGTCCGCTTCATCATCATCAGTCAATACAATCTTAATTTTGATATTTTGATCGAGTAATTTAGTCAACTCTAACCCAAGTTTCAATTTTTTAAAGTTCAGAATCAAAAAATTCTCCAAAAAAATTTTTTTAACTTCTGTTAGAAATTTTTACTTACAAAATCCCTTGGGGGTTTTCAAGCTCATATCCGCATAGTGGAGAGGAACATTGTGGAACATTCGTTGTGAGTGCAAAAAATTTGATTTAAAAAAATTAAATGCGAAAAATTTCAAAAATCAAAAATTCAAATTGTCGAAAAATTTCACTGTTTCAGAAAAATTGAGAAATCATCTTACAATTTTATATTTTTGATATTGCATCTTTTTTCGGAAACAATAAGAAAAATAATTTTTGCACCAAAAATCAAATTTTCGACTTTTCGAAAAAATTCACTGTTTCAGAAAAGTGAGACTTCATTTTTATCACTATTGTTTTCAATGTCTTACTAACAAGGAATAGATCCCAAATGTGACCCCTTGAAAAATTTCGGTTGTAAGTTCAAATATAGTCTTATGGGGAGTTATGAAAAACCCAAAGGGGATTTTATAAGTAAAAATTTCTTTCATGAGAATGCGGAGGTCGAAATTCTGAATAATTTCCAAAAAGTCAAAAAACCTTTTATTTTTGAAAATTCGTATCTCAACTCAATTTAAACGAAAAAATTCAATCAAAACGCGTTTTTTGAGCTTGAATTGTCCTCTTTTTCAGTTTTTTGGAGAACAGTTATCAAACTTTTAATTTGATACATGAAAACATAGGATAAACATTAAAATCATTTTTTTAATGAAAAATGGCGCCGGTATGATTCTAGACTAAGTTTTTTGAATTAATTCAACAACTCCCCATAAGACACTATTTGAACATACAACCGAACTTTTTCAGGGGGATTGGAGGTTAAACTTTAAATTTCAGGGGGTTAAACTTGTAAATATATTATCAAAATTTTCCCATCCTCTTCCTCCAAAAACCAACCTCATTAAATCCTCCCAATCTTGATCGAGCCAGTTCTCCAGTCAATTGTGTCATATCCTTGCTCATCTCCTCATATCGTGACGCTGAATTGGGAGAAGATGGTTGAATTGGATTTGGAACATGTTGAGATAAGATTGGTGTTTCCTGGATTCTTGCAGCACGACTTCCACGAACGCCTGGAAAAAATTGGATCACATTAGAGTTGGGCCAGAAACTCGCATATTTCCCTATTTCAATACAAAAGATACAATACAAAATACAAAACCGCAAAGCCTACTGTATGTTGGTTTTCTCTTCAGCCCAAGTAAACAATTTTGGTGGCTTAGAAACCCAAATGCATTAGCTTGGCGGCCTAGAAACCCTCAAAAAGGCCTAGAAACACAAATACATTAGTTTGGGTTTGGGGTGTCAAGCTTCACTCAAAATACAAGTATTCTTCGATTTTCTATGTTAATTCTATCATTTTACTGTCTTTTTTGTGCTACTATTCAATAAATCATATTTATATACAATTCCTTAGAAAAATTCAGAAATTGGTGCATTCGATATGCAATATTGATAGTAAACCTAAAATTCAGACCGAATCAAGCAAGCAAATGAGAAAAAAATTCGAATTGAAAACAAAAAACAAGCGTAGCTAAGATTTACACCTCAGCGTAGTCTAAAGCGTACAAGCGAGCGTAGCTAAGGGGGTGTATGACGTGTCAACCGCTCGCTTCTACGCTAAGACTACGCCAGCGGATCCAAAACCTAAAGAAAGAACGAAAAAATGCTGAAAAATGTCTCGAAACAAAAAAAATATGTGCGCGTCAAATAAAATAAATCATCCGTAAACCTGTCGGTGTTCGCACACATTTCCTGTGAGCTACAGTAATCCAATCGATTTTTTTTTATTCTGGCGGTTTTCTGCGAATTTTGTTTGAAAGTAGTTCAAGCAACCAATTCCAATTCAACGGCTTATATTCATAGCTGAAATTCTGCCGACGGTGGATTTTTTGATAAAGAAAGAATTCATAGCTGAAATTCTGAATATTCATAGCAAAAAATCCACCGTCGGCAGAATTTCAGCTATGAATTCTTTCTTTATCAAAAAATCCACCGTCGGCAGAATTTCAGCTATGAAAAAATCCACCGTCGGCAGATTTTCAGCTATGAAAAAATCCACCGTCGGCAGAATTTCAGCTATCAAAAAATCCACCGTCGGCAGATTTTCAGCTATGAAAAAATCCACCGTCGGCAGAATTTCAGCTATGAAAAAATCCACCGTCGGCAGAATTTCAGCTATCAAAAAATCCACCGTCGGCAGAATTTCAGCTATGAATATTTTATTCGTAAAAAAATGCGTCAGAAATTTCCAATAATTCATTCAAAATCAAAGGGATCTGTACAATTATTTACACCGTAATCCGAAACATGATGGCCAAAATAGAAAAGATGGTCGAAAATGTCATAATATCGATCGGAATTGCTGGAAAAATCTCAATTTCAAACTATTCTTTCAAATAGAAGTAAACTAACCTGCACTGTATATCCTCATTTTTGGGAAAACCTCTACAAATTTGATAAGTGTCATCAGATGTCATATTTTGGGGAAACCAGATTTCGGTTCCATGATGATATGAGCCATGATTGTAGAATGGAATACAGGTGATTGGACGATGAACACTTTCAACACAAATTGGAATATGAGCAACCTAAAGAGAGAGAGAAGGGGAATATGAGAGAGTGCAGAGAAAAACAGCAGCAAAGTTACTCTAACTTATTTAGAAAATCCTAACTTTCCGTAACTCACAATATCCCTCGCATGTATAATTCTCCAACTATTTCCCTTCAATAATTCATCATGTTTTTGTGCATATTCCAAATTTCCAACTCTTGGCTGTCCAAAAGTGATCAAACTCGTTCGATTTCCAATTTCGGGATGATTTCGAACGAAAGCCGTGGAAGCTATTGAAGCAATTGCTCCGCCCAACGAATGTCCAGTGAATATTAGCTCGTGGGTTGGATATTTCTGGAAAATGGGAGGTTTTTTAGAGTTGTCCTAACTTCATTAGCAAATTAAATACGCCTACTTATGTATTCACTATAACATCTAGAAAGTTAGCCTAACCTTGCCGCTGCGCGGAAGCTTGCGGTCTACCTGAAAATGCTTTGGAACCCGCCGCATCTGAAATTTTCCCTAAAAATTCGTTTTTCACTGAAAAATCGAGGTTTTAGGGAACATTTCAAGATTCCGCACAGGGAAACCTATCGTCAATTTTGTTTTCGAGCGGAGCGAGTGTAGACCGCAAGCTTCCGCGTAAGCGGTACTATCTTCCGCGCAGCGGCCACGTGGATTACTATGATATGGTAAACGTCATAGCAATCCGCGTGGATGCTAAAGAGGAAGCTTGCGGTCTAAAAATGTAGACCGCAAGCTTCCGCGCAGTGCATATTTAGTATCAAAATGAAGCCCCTAAAAACTCACCTTAATAGCTTCCCTCAATAATCTGTGCATCGGATTCCACATCGATTTGAGAGCTGCGAAAAAATAATAATGAACTGAGCCAGCATTGTGCAATTTGTGTTTCGGTTTTCCGATGCTCTCAATTAATTCAGTCACTAATTGCTCTTTTGATTTTGTGCCAGAAAATGCGACGAAAATGTGCGAGGAATCGACGGCGATTATACTGAGACACTGTGAGAAAGAAATATGGGTATTCCGGAAGCTTCCGCGCAGCGGCAGGTTTAGCTAACTTTATGGATTTTCTATAAAGTTGCCCTATCCTCGCCGCTACGCGGAAGCTTCCGGAAGCCTACCTCATCTCTAATATAATCACATGGCACAATATTTGCATAGAAAAGGCTTCCATTATTTTTCAAAACACATGGATTTGGAGTGGGTGAATATGAAGCGGCTGGAAATTTCAGAATTTTGGCTGAAAATCTGAAAATTAACATACATACCAGCATATTCCAGGGCAAGTTTGGCTTTTTCGAAACCGAATTCAAAGCTGAAAATGGGCGTGGCTAAGAAAAGCAAAAAATACCCGTACATCTAAAAATATCAAATTTCGAGTTATAATTAAAATTTTATTCAAAAATATCAGGATTCAGACCTTTTTCAGGGAAAACATACAAAACTACATATGAAGAACCCGTTTATAGGCTGAAAATCTCAAATTTTCAGCCAGATTTTCAGCAACTTCAAAGGGTCATTCGATCAATATTGACAAAACTTCCGGAAGATGAGAAATAATTCGAAGATGTTCCTGGTTGATCTTTTGATTCTCTTGCTGATGGGTTCACAATTTCTAGACCTTGAATTGGAGTGAAATTGACTGAGGAAGCTGTTCCAGCAATCTGCAAAATTGGAATTTTAAGCAAATCTGGGAAGTTAGCCTAAGTCTACATTTGCGTCTTAAAAAATTGGCGATAGATTTCCCTGTGCGGAATCTTGAAATTTTCCATAAAACCTCGAATTTTCGTTGAAAAATCAATTTTAATACGGAAAATTTCAGATCCGGCAGGTTTTCAAGCGATTTCTGGTGAATCCGCAAGCTTCCGCGTTAGCAACCACGCGGTTTATTATGACGTTTGCCATATCATAGTAATCCACGTGGCTGCCGCGCGGGGGCGTGCGGTCTACACTCGCTCCGCTCGAAAAAATCAAGCGAAAGCTCATGTTTTCATAAAAAACTCTGGATTTTCACAATTTTCAGTGGAATTTTCAGCCAGAAAATTCCAGATTTTTCCAGCCAAAACCTACCTTAGTTCTCAAACTAGTCATTCCACCAGCCGCTTTTTGTTTTTCCAATTGTCTCTGCATTTTTTGCGACATTCGGGCTCGCGTTTTTTGATCAATTACTGCTTGACGAATTCGACCACCTGACACATTTCCACTCTTGTTCTGAAAAAATTGGAAAAATAGTGGGGGGAAAAGCTAAAAATCGGGAAATTTTCGAGTTTGGAAGGCTATTTTTGGGTCCAAAAAATCGAATTTTCACGATTTCTGGTCCATTTTCGATGAATTTTACACCAAATTCCCAACCTGTCCAACATCCATTCCCATATGTTCTTGCATAACATCTTCTTGTAATTCTCCAAAATTCATACGATTTTGTGCTTTTCTCAAATCCGTCATTCCAAGTCTTTCTTTCATTTTTCGCATTCTTCGACCTCCTCGTTTTTTGCTTGCCTGAAATTGAGAAAAAAGTGAATTTTCAGCCAAAAAACCTCCCGCCTACCTTATCCAATGGTTTTGGCAATGCTTTATTCGCTTTAACCGGTGGCGGTTCCAACATTTTCTCCATTTTCCGTCTTACATCTTCCAATAAATCTTTTCCCAAATCTCCAGTTGGTGATTCGTGTTGAGCATCGATTCGAGCAGCTAAAGTTGCTTTGGCTGCTAGGATTTTGGCAGTTTTTCTAGGAAAAGATGAAAAATTGACGATAGATTTCCCTGTGCGGAATCTAGAAATTTTCCATAAAACCTCGATTTTCCGATAGAAAACCCAGGGCTGCCGTTGATATCTGGGTATACCCGGGCACCACCCGGGTAAATCGAAAAATACCCGGGTATTGAGGCCCATCGACCTGAGTGTCAAATACCCGGGTTGGGTGTGGGCACCCTTAGGGCACCCTTGGGTATGATGCAAATTTTTGATTTTTTTGTTCTGTTTAGCTATTATCCATGTTATTGGACGAATTTAGCTAAAACATGAGTGATTTTTGATTGAAAAACTAATATGCAACAAAAACGATCGATAAAGTTCTATTTTATCGATTTGGTTGACTTCTAAAATAACTTAAAATGCATTATATTTTAGAAAAAAGAAAGAATATGTTTTTCTTCGACACCAAATTACATAAAAATGAAAGAGTTCGTGATAAAATCAACCTTTGAGAGAATATGTGCTCATACTCAACTTATAGAAAGTCTTTTGTGTGTTTACAACACGAAAAATAGTAAAATTTCGAGAAAAAAAGCTGATTTTTTTGAAAGTTTTCTACAGATTAGACCAATTTTTCATGTTACTGACCACTTTTCATGAAAAAAACACAATTTCCAAAAAAAATTCGAAAATAAATTAGTACGAAAAATCAAATACGAAGGCCCATTTTGGGTATCTGGGTGTGCCCGGGTATACCCACCCGTTCTGTCATTTTTCAATGAAAATACCCACCCGGGTGTACCCGCCGAACTGTGGGTATTAGGGTGCCCTGTGGGTGCCCAAACGGCACCCCTGGAAAACCAATTTTTTAGAGAAAATTTGCAGATTCGGCGGGTTTTTAAGCATTTTCAGGTGACAATTCGAGGGAAGCGAGTGTAATCCACAAGCTCACGTGAAGTGGCCACGCGGTTTATTATGACGTTTGCCATATCATAGTAATCCACGTGTCCGCTGCGCGGAAGATAGTACCGCCTACGCGGAAGCTTGCGGTCTACACTCGCTCCGCTCGATAAAAATTAGCGATAGGTTACCCTGTGCGGAATCTTGAAATTTTTCATAAAACCTCGATTTTTCATAGAAAAACCAATTTTTAGGGAAAATTTCAGATTCGGCGGGTTTTTAAGTGATTTCTGGTGAAAAATCCAATGGGAAATTCTATCACTTTCATGGGAAAAATCGATATTTTCAGTCTAAAAATGGTTCCTCTAGGGTGAAAATATCGATTTTTGAATTCTGACCTATTGAAAATTCAAATTGCCACGTCATTTCACAACCTAAAAACTTACGATTTCCAATCTGGCGGCATCGATTGAACCAACGGATGAAAATAAACAAAACCATGATGTGGATTAACAGAAACACTCGAAAATCCCACCAAATTCCTCTTTTGCTTCCCCAATACTTGTACATTACAAGCAGGCATTCTAGAAAGCGGTGCTAATCCACCAGCTTGTGAAACCAAAAGAGCTGTAGTTGAAGCACCCAAAAGATTCACCAAATTCGGAGCAATCAATGACATTCGAATCTCAACCAATCTATGCATACACAACCTATCCATATGCAATTTTTCAGCCAAATTACACGCCTCCATTACAGTATCCAACTCTTCTTGCTCTAATTTTGTACCTTGGGTTGTTGAAACAGTTACACTAACTACAATACAAGTTGCTGGTGCTAATATTCGCCCCAAAAGCTCTTTATTTTGCCCTTTTGTATTGATATCGTTTCCCAATAATTGGACAGTTGCCAGGTAATCAAGAGCATTTGGGACAAGGGTTTCGAGCTCGGGAAAACGTTTTTCGTATTTGTCGCGCACGAATTTGTGAATCACATTGATTTCGTTATCGATATCTGCGGCTATCTGCAAAAATATTGAATTTTTGACTGAAAACAAATGCTCACTCACATGCGACAATCGAACAATCAATTTATATTGTGGATCTGCTTCCAACGGCGCCGTTAAAATAACATCTTCATTGGGTCGTTCTAATTCAGTTGTCAATTGTTCAACAAGTCTCACATATTCCTCTCCTTTTGCCAATTTCGCCACGTCAAAAACTGATTGATATTTTCCAACATCCATCGCTTCTTCCGTCGCTTCTTCAATTCCATCATCTTCTTCAATTATCTCCTCTTTTTTCGGTATTTTAAATTCATTTTGTTGCTCAAGAAGTTCGTCTAACTCGTCATCATCATCATCATCGTCAAAATCAGCCATAAGTTCTTCAGCCAACGACATCTTTGGGTTTTATATCCGCGCGAAAACGAAAAAAAGGAATAAAAATTTTTTAAATGTATTTTCGAAAATTAATGGTATACGGTGGCCGGCGTTATGTGCAAACACTTGCACACATCTTGCATTTTAATCGACGCGCGCTTTTTTTCATTTCTCTCGCCTCTCACCTGTCATTTTATTGATTTGTTTTAAGATTTCAGCAGTTTCCCGAAATTTTTGATATTTTCAGAGTATTCTTGAGTGATGACATGTATAATCAATGAAAAAACGGGTCGAAAACGGTTGAGGACGAGATAAACTCGTTGTTGAAGTTCTACGCCTACGATGACGCGATTTTTCTAGCCGAATTGAATTTCGAGAAAGGTTGGGGCTTTTAGAAGGTTCCTAGGAGAAAAATCAATATTTTTTGCAGAAAATTCGGATGAATCGCTTTATCTATTTGCTGATTGTCTAATCCGAAGCAACAAAAAAGAGGAATGTTACGGTCTGCTGAAAACTCGTGTAGAAATGCCGCCAAAACTTCGCTACATTTTCGCCAAATGCTGTTTTGATTTGTCGAAAATGGAGGATTGTCAAAATGCACTTTTTGAACAAGAATCTGGTGAAATTCGCGCGGAACTATTGGAAGACGAGGAAGTTGCACCACATGCTCGTTTTTTGTATTCTGCGTTGCTATGGTGAGACTGAAAGTGCTGACAAATTGTAGTTTTATTGAGAAAATGATGATTTTTTGGGATTTTTGTTCAAAGTTCATCCCAAAACCCTAAATTTTTGCAGCGAAGAAGCTCATCCAGAAGATGCGGTGTCAGAATGCGAAACAATTCTACAAAATCGTATTTTGATGTGGAGTGTGATTAGTAGTTATGTCAAATATGGCGGGAAGAATCTGGAATCTTTTATAAGTGAACATCGAAAGAAGATTTATGAGAATTCGAAGATTTTGGTGACAAATGAAGAGGAATTGGTGAATAGTGAGTTTTTTTTTGAATTGACACCTCGAAATTCAGAATCCTCATGAAATTTCGCTTTGAAAGACACCCAACATGAATATAATCTGAGGAATTTGAAAATTATGGGTTGCTGCGCAGCTTATAGAGTAGTGGATACGGAGTTTCCTCATTTTCTCTGAAATTACAGCTCCTATCGTAATTTTTTGCGCCGAAAACGATGAAAATATAGGTTTTCCTCAATTTTCCCTTTCAGAACCATCTGCATCTTCTTCTTCAACTTCTCAAACAACAACTCTAACACCAAGAAAAAGTTCGCGAATTTCTGAGCAAAATTCGAAAAAAGTATCGGCTAGACAAGCTGCGACTCCAGCGAAAACAGTTTCGACAAATGTCACTAGAACTACACAAAGTTCAAGAAATCGAAGGTGAGAGAGTGATTTTGGGATGAAAAATGGGAGAAGTCTGGAATTTTGAGCTATGGAGCTCCAGAAACTGATTTTTAGCTCGAAAATTGGTCCCAGCGGTCATTTTTGACATAAAATTCGAATTTGGGGTCAAAATTGAGCTCAGGAGCTCCTGAAAACGATTTTTTGCTCGAAAATTGACCTCAGAGCTCATTTTCAACCTCAAATTCAAATTTTCGCTCATAATCAAGCTCAGGAGCTCCTGAAACTCAATTTTATTGTTAGCTTGAAAATTGGTCCCAGGGGTCATTTTTGACATAAAATTCAGAGTTTGGCTCAAAATTGAACTCATTGGCTCCTGAAATCGATTTTTAGCTCCAAAATTGGTCCCAGGATCAAGGTTTGATATAAAATTCGAATTTGGGGCTCAAAATCAAGCTCCAAAACTACTTGAATTGATTTTTAGCTTAAAACTTGACCCAAGAACTCATTTTGAGCCTGTTATTCAAATTTTTGCTCAAAATCTAGCTCCAAAACTTCTGAAATTGATTTTTAGCTCGAAAATTGGCCCCATGGGTCATTTTTGACATAAAATTCAGAGTTTGGCTCAAAATTGAACTCATTGGCTCCTGAAATCGATTTTTAGCTCCAAAATTGGTCCCAGGATCAAGGTTTGATATAAAATTCGAATTTGGGGCTCAAAATCAAGCTCCAAAACTACTGGAATTGATTTTTAGCTTAAAACTTGACCCAAGAACTCATTTTGAGCCTGTTATTCAAATTTTTGCTCAAAATCTAGCTCCAAAACTTCTGAAATTGATTTTTAGCTCGAAAATTGGTCCCGCAGGTCATTTTTGACATAAAATTCAGAGTTTGGCTCAAAATTAAGCTCATTGGCTCCTGAAATCGATTTTTAGCTTAAAAATTGACCTCAGAGCTCATTTTTGACAGAAAACTTGACTTTTGCTCAAAATCAAGCTTGAAAGCTAGAAAAATCCCAAAATTCTGACCTAAAATGTCAATTTTTCCAGCAATGTTCTATCAAGTGATACTGAAAATGTGCACATGCCCAGAACTCGAGGATCCACAATTTCTTCAACAAATCGAGCAGCTGGAGCTATTCCAAAGGTGAGATTTTTGCTGAAAATCGGCTGAAAATCAGTTTTCTGATGATTTTTAGCCAAAAAAAAACCCTATTTTTCAGACACATCCAACTCGTTCTTCAACCCGAAATTCTGACGTGGCAAAAATGCTGAAATCTCCATCGCTGAGAAAAAGAGATGTTATCAAACAACCGCTGAGTTCGCGCAACTCGAATTTGGTTCGAAGTTTGTCCGGATCGACGAATTCGGTAAGGAATTCTGATCATTTTGAGACTAAATTCGATCTGGGATACTGTAGATTGAATTCTGCACATTTTGAATATAAATATGGCTGGTATACTGTAGATTTTGGGTAATTTCAACTAGACTGTAGTTTTAGGAATTCATTTCAGCCGGATTTTAAGCCCAAAACCCATATTTTTCCAGATTTCCTCGATTTCCGATGAAAAACAGGAAAGTCTTGAAATTCTTCAATTCTGCTCTTCGTCTTCAAGTTCTTCAACATCACAAAATCCATCAGAATCTGCTGAAAATGCTGCTGAAAATCCCATGGATCCATCTCAAAATTCAGCTTCTTCTTCATCTTCTTCCCCATCAAATTCCGCATCTTCTTCAGAATATTCCAAAGAATATCGACAATTTTTCGAAATGTTTGCAAATTTGGCGTTGATCGAAGAATCTGTGGGACATTTCAATTGGAAAAAAACCGATAAACTTTTTCTCGAAAATGGATCGAAAAGTGATTGCGAATTCGTCGATGGCTAGATTATTATTGGGACGAACTTGTTTTGAACAAGGAGAATATGGAGAGTGTCGGACGATTTTAGATGAATTGCATAAGAGAAGGCCGTGGAGAGTTGAGGTAACTTTGAGGGTGAAAATGGGTGAAAAATGAAGGATTTTAGGCGAAAAATCATGGAAAAATTGAAATTTTCAAGTTTTTAACCTGAAATCCATGGTTCCAAGGTAGAAATCGATGAAAATTGACCTGGAAATGATTAAAATGAAGGTTTTCATGCTAAAAATCATCAAAAATGATGGGGATTTTTGGTCTTCTGAAAAAAAATCAGCTAAAATTTAGAGTAACCTAAAAATTTGAGAAAAATCGATATTTTCACCCTAAGGGAACCATTTTTAGGCTGAAAATATTGATTTTTTTTTCATAAAATGCTGAAAATTTGGAATTTCTATCTGGATTTTCCAAATTTTCACCAGAAATTGCTCTGAAAATCGCCGAATCTGAAATTTCCCATAAAAATTGATTGAAAATCGAGGTTTTATGGAAAATTTCAAGATTCCGCACAGGGGAACCTATCGCCAATTTTTTTCGAGCAAAGCGAGTGTAGACCGCAAGATTCCGCGTAAACGGTACTATCTTCCGCGCAGCGGCCACGTGGATTACTATGGTATGGTAAACGTCATAGAAATCCGCGTGGGTGCTAAAGAGGAAGTTTCCGGTCTACACTCGCTCCGCTCGAATTTTCACCAGAAATTGCTCTGAAAATCGCCGGATCTGAAATTTCCCATAAAAATTGATTGAAAATCGAGGTTTTATGGAAAATTTCAAGATTCCGCACAGGGGAACCTATCGCCAATTTTTTTTCGAGTGTAAACCGCAAGCTTCCGCGAAGCGGCCAAGTTATCCTATCTTCCCCAAAACCTTGCCCATAATCCCTAATTTTGCAGGGAACCGAACTGCTCTCAACATCATTATGGCATTTACAAGATACACATGGTCTATCAGCTTTGGCTCAAACTCTAACTTCTGAAAATCGAGAACGAGCTGAAAGTTGGTGTGCAGCTGGTAATTGTTTTTCTCTCCAAAGACAACATTCTCAAGCAATTGAATGTATGGAAAGAGCTATACAATTAGATAAAAGATTTGCGTATGCTTATACATTATTAGCACATGAATTGATTGTACAAGATGAGCTGGATAAAGCTGCGGGAGCTTTTAAGTGAGTTTTTCGGGAAAATCCGATTTTCCATGAGATTTTTCATGAAAAATGGACTTAGGAGGTTTTTTTCCACACGTTTTTAGGTTCTGAATGAGCTTTTTGAACAAAAAACTTGATTTTTAGTCTATGAAGACATTTTTATTTGAAAAAAAAGTGATTTTTAACTTCAAAGAATAAGTAAAATTCAATTTTTTTGCTCAATATTGTGAAAAAAGTTTGAAAATCTTAAGTTTTTGATGAAAAAATTGGATTTCCCCCGAATTTTTCATAAAAAATCCCAAATTTTCGCTCTTCCAAAAGAAATTGCTCAAAAAATTATTTGAAAAAAAGAGAAAAATCGATATTTTCACCCTAGAGGAACCATTTTTAGGCTGAAAATATTGATTTTTAAAATAAAATGCTGAAAATTTGGAATTTCTATCTGGATTTACCAAATTTTCACCAGAATTTGCTCTGAAACCCGCCGAATCTGAAATTTTCCATAAAAATTGATTGAAAAATCGAGGTTTTATGGAAAATTTCAGATTCCGCACAGGGGAACCTATCGCCAATTTTTTAATTCGAGCTGGAGCGAGCTTCCAAAATTCGAATTAACATGAGCAATGTTTTCCAAAGAAAACATCTAGATTTTCAAAGGAAATCCAGATTCAAAAAAATGCAGTAAAAATTTTCAAAAACCCTTTTTCCTCTCTCTCCAAAATTCCGATTTTTCTTTTCAAAAAATAATTTTTTAAAAAGAAAAATCGATTTTTTACTGAATAAAGACTGAAAATGCAAGATTTTCCATATCATATTTTGTCTGTTTCAGATCAGCTCTCCTTCTATCACCCCGTGATTATCGTGCTTGGTATGGTTTGGGCTTGGTTCATCTGAAAAAAGAGCAAAATAGTGTGGCTCAAACGAATATCCAAAAAGCGATATCAATAAATCCAACAAATCGAGCAATGCTATGCACATTATCAAATTTGGAACAACAACGTGGAAAATCTGAAAAAGCGCTGAAATTAATCGATAAAGCGCTGGAATTGAATCCGACTGATTTGGCGTGTCGATTTAATCGAGCAAGATTATTATATGAAGCGAAAAGGAATGATGAATGTTTGGTTGAATTGAATCGATTGAAAGCTAGTTCGCCTGATGAAGCGGTGGTTTTCCATTTTGTTGGGTAAGGGATTTTAGGGGAGAAAATTTGGGTCATTTTGAATATAAATATGATAAGATTCTGAAAAATGTGAATGTTTTGACCTAGAATTGATGAAAATCAATAATTTTTCAAAAATTTGGGTCATTTTGAACCTAAACATGATAGAGGATATAAAAAATTGAAAATTGTCGATTTTCAAGCCTGAATTTGGCTGAAATTCTGAGATCATTGAAATTCAGAATTTTTTAAACCTAAATTTCATACGAAAATTGTGAATTTGCAATTTTTGAACCTAAATTTGGCTGAAATTCGAATTTTCTCAGGAAATTTGATAAAATTTGAATTTATCGATTTTTTGAATCTAAATATGATAAAATTGGAGATTTGTAGAAATAATTGAAAATTTTCATGAAAAATTCGAAATTTCATAATTCCGGCAAAAAAAAAGAGAAAATTCAGTTTTTCAAGCTTCCTAGTCAATTTTGACCGAAAAATTTGATTTTCCAGCTTAGAAACCATGCCGCAAAATTGCATAAAATATAAGCCACGCCTACTTTTTCATATTTAAAATTAGTAGAAAAACTATGCGGCAAAATTGCAACAGGCTACGCCCCCTTTTCAACCTCTCCCAAAAAATCAATCAATATTCTATATCCCCTTCCAAATTCCTCTATTTTTGCAGCCCGTGTTCATCGCCGTATGGGAAGTTCTCATTTATCCCTACTAAACTATAGTTGGGCAGCTGAATTGGATCCGCGAAGTGATCAGAATTTGGGTGGAGGATCAAATGGTGGTGGAAATGGAAGTGGAACTGGTGGATCAGGTGCTGCAACATCTTCGGGAATCGGAAATTTTGGAGGATTGAGTCGAGATGATGAAGATGATGAAGAATATGACGATGATGATGATGATGGTCAATATAGCGCGTAGAATTATTTGGTTTTTGATTTGATCTCAATTTTGGGGGGAGACGGGAGGTTTTTGGAAGGAAAAATGATGAATTTTTGACCCAAAATTCAGTAGAAATCATGAAAAAAATGAATTTTTTGACCTGAAATACACTAGAAATTTCAAAAATAGGATTTTTTACCTAAAATTACCTAGAACCCTTGAGAATAGGATTTCTAGTGAATTTTAAGCTGAAATTCCAATTTTTTGCTCCAAAAATGCTCAATTTTCTCCCAAAACCCTCCCCGTTTCCCTAGCTAAATCAAAATTTTCTCTAACTTTTTTTTTCAAAATTTCTCCCCTTTTCAAATTTCCAAAAAAATCTAAATTTTTACCGAATCTTCCCCCTTTTTAGTATTATTTTCCTATATCATTTCATTTTCAAATCATATTTTTGTGTGTATTTATGAATATTTTTGGCTTGAAGAAGGTTTTTTTGAAATTAGCGTAATTTCAAGCATAATTAGCCTATAATTAATTAGGACGATTAATTAATTAATTATTTATAATTTAAAATCACAGTATTCCAATTAAAATTGACTAGGGTGTATTGGAAGTTGATGTTCTCAAAATCAACCTCGCTAATTGTGCATCAAAATGGCTGACTGATTCAACAACATCGGGAAAATTGGATCTGGCAGCATCGGCTTGGATTCGAAGTTGAGATGAGGGATTCGATTCGGCCAGAATGTTGTATCCATTTTGATTCGATTTCCGAAGGATCGGATAGACCCATCTGGAAATATATTTATTTTATTCTAGTTTTATTTGTCAAATGATCATTGCTCACCTTAGCATAAACAATACTTTTCATCCACATTTTTTGTGATTGCAAATATTTACAAGCATCATTTCCGGCGCCAACCAAAAATAATAATTCGACACCATCTTCAATCAAATCCGATGCGATTAGATTTGTGGCAATTAATTTGATGAGTGATTTTGATTTTTCATCGTTTTGGGAGGAAACCAGGAGGGCAGCTGCAAAACAGGAGAATTTTTGGAAAGGAAAAAAAAATCTGGAATTTCTATATCCGTGTTTTCACTGTTTCAAATTTTATTTCTAGAAAATCCTGAAATCGACAGCTAGAATTTCAGTAGAATTGAGATTTTCCCCACTTTTCAGTTTTTTTTTCAAAAATTTAGAGGTTTTCAACTGTAAATTCAAAAAAAAAGTGCAAATTCTTGAAATGTAAATGGTTTTAGTTTCATTTTTTATGGGGTGATTCAAGTCGAAAAAAAATAATAAAAAACATTTTTTTTACAAAAAATTTCAATTCAGCAAATGTCAAAAAAATTATATTTTTTTCAATTTTTTCATTGAAACATTTTCGCTGCGAGATATTTTTCATTTTAGGAAAAAATATAGTTTTTTGACATTTGCTAAATCGAAATTTTTTGCAAAAAAACGTTTTTTTTTTTAATTTTTTCGTTTTGAATCACACCGTAAAATCGACAGAAAAAATAGATTAAGCTAGAATTTCAGTAGAATTTTACTTTTCAGTTTCAACTCGAAAATTCAAGGAGGTTTTCAGCTGTAAATTCGTGAAAATCCTTGAAAATTCACAGAAGTGGTATACCAAAAATTGCTGAAGAAAAAATTTTGTTCAGCTATTTTTGGTATGCCACTTCTGTGAATTCGGCTCCAGGTTTCATCACAAAATTCTCCCAATTTCCGCCCAAAAATTCCCCTGACCTTTAATCGATGAATATCTCAAATCCGGCGACACAATCAATCGATCAATAACACGATCTTTTGCCAATCCTCCTAATACAACACCTTGTTCAACTAATCGACGATCAATCACTGATTCATCTGATTTCGAGGCTATTGATATCACACGAGATTCACGGAGCTGCAAAAATATACTCTGTGATCTCTAGCTCCTCTGCGTCTCTAGCTTTTCAGGTATTTTTAGATCATCTTCTTCTCTAACCTCTTCGAGAGTCTAGCTGTCTAACCTCTATATTTCTCCAACTTCTACATGCTCTCTAACTCCTCTGCGTCTCTCATCTCTAGTTTCTCTAGCTCCGCTGCGTCTCTAACCCACCCTAAACTCCTCATTTCTCCAAAACATTTGCAAATTCGGTGCCAACTGATTCTTTTCATTCTCCTGTGTATTTTCCCAAATCCGATCAATACAAATATCCAATAAATCCGCTTCAAAATGTTCTCCTCTCATTCTTCTTCGCATTTTTTCCAATTTCATGTCATTTTCCTTCTCATTTTCCTCATTTTTATACAAAACAGGCCATTCTTTTTCGGAAATTCCAATATTTTTCGAATTCGACACCACAAATCGTAATTGATTATCATTTGATAGAACAAGCGGGCTTAGGCCACACAAATCGGCATCCAAAAAAAGACGAGTTGAATCGGAGCGAATTGTTTGGATGCGAGACATGGCTTCGGTGTCCCATAGGGTTACTTCTCTGCAAAAAAGAGAAAAAGGTATTTGAGCAGGGCTTGCGGAGCACGCCCTGTACATAGCTGAAGTTTGGGTAACTGCCGCTTCGCGGAAGCTTGCGATCAACATTTGCTCCTTCAAAATTCGCTATGACGTTTACCATATCAAAGTAATCCACGTGGCCGCTGCGCGGAAGATAGTACCGCTTACGCGGAAGCTTGCGGTCTACACTCGCTTTCGCTCGAAAAAAATTGGCGATAGATTTCCCTGTGCGGAATCTTGAAATTTTCCATAAAACCTCAATTTTTCAATCAATTTTTATAGAAAATTTCAGATTCGGCGGGTTTTAAGCATTTTCAGGTGTAAATTGAGTGTAGACCGCAAGCTCACGTGAAGTGACCACGCGGTTTATTATGACGTTTGCCATATCATAGTAATCCGCGTGGCCGCTGCGCGGAAGCTTGCGGTTACCTTGAATGTAGTACAGCCATAGTATGATCTCCAGCCAATCTCGAGAAAAGCATTCGATGAACTCTTGAATGACTAATATCCCTCACTTGTCTCGATTGTCGTTTTCCCAAATCCCAAACAACAAGACTTCCTTCAACATCTCCAACTGCTAACATATCGTCTTTCCAGGCCATTGCACATATTTGGGCACTTGCACTTTTCCACTGCAAGAAAAACTTTACACTCGCTTCACTCGAAAAGAGACCGCAAGCTTCCGCGTTAGCAACCACGCGGATTGCTATGATGTTTACCATATCATAGTGATCCACGTGGCCGCTACGCGGAAGATAGTGCCGCTTACGCGGAAGCTTGCGGTCTACACTCGCTTCGCTCGAAAAAAATTGACGATAGGTTCCCCTGTGCGGAATCTGGAAATTTTCCATAAAATCTCGATTTTTCAATCAATTTTTAGGGAAAATTTCAGATTCGGCGGGTTTTCAAGCATTTTCAGGTGAAAAATCGAGCAGAGCAACTGTAGTCCGCAAGCTTCCGCGTTAGCAACCACGCGGATTGCTATGACGTTTACCATATCATAGTGATCCACGTGGCCGCTAGGCGGAAGATAGTGCCGCTTACGCGGAAGCTTGCGGTCTACACTCGCTTCGCTCGAAAAAATTGACGATAGGTTCCCCTGTGCGGAATCTGGAAATTTTCCATAAAAAATCGATTTTTCAATCAATTTTTATGGAAAATTTGCAGATTCGGCGGGTTTTCAAGCATTTTCAGGTGAAAAATCGAGCAGAGCAACTGTAGTCCGCAAGCTTCCGCGTTAGCACCCACGCGGATTGCTATGACGTTTACCATATCATAGTGATCCAGGTGGCCGCTACGCGGAAGCTTGCGGTCTACACTCGTTCCGCTCGATAAAAAATTGACGATAGGTTCCCTGTGCGGAATCTGGAAATTTTCCATAAAATCTCGATTTTTCAATCAATTTTTAGGGAAAATTTGCAGATTCGGCGATTTTTAGAGAAATTTCTGGTGAAAATTTGGAAAATCCAGATAGAAATTCCAAATTTTCAGCATTTTTTGGAATAAAAATCAATATTTTCAGCCTAAAAATGGTTCCCTTAGGGTGAAAATATCGATTTTTCTCAAATGATCTTTCGAGCGAAGCGAGTGTAAACCGGAAGCTTCCGCGAAGCGGCAAGGTTAGGATAACTTCTTCGGATAATCCAGAAAGTTAGCCTAACTTTGCCGCTGCGCGGAAGCTTGCGGTCTAGACTCGCTCCGCTCGAATTCCGCTTTCCTGTCTGTTTCAAGTACCTGTGTATTAACCATTTTTCCATCTCTAACATGTAATCCTCTCAAAGTGATATGATAAATTCGATTTTCGGCATCTAATAATACCAAATTTTCCCGATAAACCGATTGTTGAGTAGATTCAGTTTGTTTGATGCTATGATGTTTATTTGACCATGCCATATCAACTATTAATGGACAACTTCGAGACATTCGACGGAGAAGTCGAAGACCTTTTAGGTCCCAAATTTCGAGGGGTTCACGTTGGAAAGCAAGGGCCAAGTAGCAGCTGGAAACATATAGGAATTTGAGCAGGGCTTGCGGAGCACGCCCTGTAAACTCAGGACTTTTAAATTTAATTTAGCTTCTGACTAAGTTGGGATAACTTTTCCGGTTCATGGAAAAATTTCCACGTGTCAAAAGATTTCTTATATTAATTTTTCAGCTGGGTTTCGCGTTAAAGATTGCTCATGTCAATATTTCGAGATTTTTTTCGCTACAACAATTAATATTCAAAAATATTGCTCATATTAAACTGAACATTTATTGGATCCACAAAATTCTAAATTTTCAAAATTTGAAAATTCACGCAAAAAGGAATTTTTAAAAGATTGCTCATATTAATTTTAAATTTTTGGCACCAAAAATCCACGTGTCAAAAATATATATTGCTCATATTATATTTTCCCAAAAATCTGAAAAAAAAATTTTTTTGGCTTGTTTTAACAAATTTCTCAAGAAATTCTGAAATGCGAGGAGAAAATGCAGAATTTTCTGAAATTTTCAGAAAATAATTTGGCATCAAAAATCCACGTGTCAAAAACATTGCTCATATTATATTTTCCCAAATTTTTTGAAAAAATCAGAAAAAAATATTTTTTGGTCTCTAAATCATGGCAGGAAATTGGAAAATTCAGAATTTTCTGGAATTTTCAGGTTTCAAAGTAGTTTTGGTCGAATTTTATGTGTTTTTTTCCCAAAATTCAAAAACCTACTGATAATAGCTGACTCTCAAAATGGAAATGGGTGATTCATCAACTTCTGGTCGAATTCTTCTCGCTAATCCAGTTCGAATATCTGTGATAAATATCTCATTTCGTACAATTTGAGAGGCACTCAAAGAATGATTGAAACCAGCTGTGACTAGAGAATATACACCACCCCATTCAAGACATCTGAAAAAAAACAATCAGGAATTTGGCTGGGCGAGCGCTGAAACGCGAGTGTAAACCCGCAAGCTTCCGCGTTAGCGGCACTATCTACCGCTTTAGCGGCCACGCGGATTGCTATGACGTGACAACACCACAGTTCTATTATCCGCGTGGCCGCTGACGCGGAAGCTAGCGGTTTACACTCGCTCCGCTCGAGCTCAAAACCTACTTAATCGGGCTTGCTTGAACTGAAATATCTCTGTAGATTTGCGAAGTGAAAACATCAATCAAATGAACAGTTCCGGAATTTGTTCCAACTGCTGCTAAATGAAGACTTCAAGAGATGTGTTGGCTGAAAATTTGAGATTTCCAGAAGAAAAGGTGAGAGATTTTAAGCTCTAAATTGGCTTTCGGAGCTTAAAAATGAGCTCTGGAGCTCAATTCTGACTTCTGGGGTTCAAATTTGACTTCTAGAGCTCAAAAATGAGTCTCAGAGCTCATAATCTTCCCAGTTTCCCTTCAAAAATCCTCACCAAACGGATCATTCTCGACTTTGGCTAACTCATCCATTGGTCTCATTCGAACACAAGTCACTCCAGCTGCCAAACTTCCAATAGTTTCCAATTGATAAATGCTCAAATCTCCAATCTTCTTCGTTTCCAAATTCGGCCTTTCAAAACTCCAAAAAAATCTTCAATCAGCGATTTTCGATAACTCAATTCAGTTTGTTCATTTTTCAGCTGCCAAAAATGCCAATTTTCCATTTTGATAAATGACACAAATTGTAGATTGTGTAGTTGGGCAAATTGAACAACACATTATTTTTTGAGACGATCCGTGGCGGATACATTCAGTTTGACAGATCTGGAATTAGGAGAATTTGAGCATACGAGGAAGTTAGCTTAACTTCGCCGCTGCGCGGAAGATAGTTCCGCTCACGCGGAAGCTTGCGGTCTACACTCGCTTCGCTCGGAAAACTAACTTGGCGATAGGGTTCCTTGCAGTGGAATCTTGAAATTTTCCATAAACCTCGATTTTTCAATCAAATTTTTATGGAAAATTTCAGATTCGGCGGGTTCCAAAACATTTTCAGGTGAAAATTCGAGCGGAGCGTGTAGATCAGAACGCCTGCGCAGTGGCCACGCGGATTGCTATGACGTTTACCATATCATAGTAATTCACGATTGCCAAAAGCGGAAGATAGTGCGCCGCATACGCGGAAGCCAGGTTTACACTCGCTTGCTCGAAAAAAATTGGCGATAGGTTCCCTGTAATCTGGAAATTTTCCATAAAACCCTGATTTTTCGTTGAAAATTGAATTTTAAGGAAAATTTCAGATTCGGCGAGCAAATTTGCGGAAAATTTGGAAAATCCAGATAGAAATTCCATATTTTCAGCATTTTATGAAAAAAATCAATATTTTCAGCCTAAAAATGGTTCCCCTAGGGGCAAAATATCGATTTTCTCAAATTTGCAGGTCTTAGTTTTTGGTCGACACCATTTTTAACTGAAATTCGAGCGGAACGAGTGTAGACCGCAAGCTGCCGCGCAGCGGCCACGCGGATTGCTATGACGTTTGCCACGTGGCCGCTGCGCGGAAGCTTGCGGTCTACAACTCTCAAGAATTTTGCTACCTTTTCCAATCCAAAACTCGATTTTTCCTTTTCTTTATTCTCATATGTTCCAATTCTCAATGTAACAGCTCCATTCGAATGAATTCCAAATATCGAATCTCTTCTTTGAACACGGTAAAATATCCAAAATATTCGACTCGACTCCAATTTTCGACAAACAACACATTAATTCGGGATTTACCAAGGTAGATCTGCGAAAAATATAGAAGGTTTTTGAGGTGAAAAATCCTGTTTTTAGGGTTAGAATTCACCAAATTTCATCAATTTTCACCCCCAAAAAACTCACAAAATTCTGGATTCCAACAAAAACCACATTTCGATAGGCTTTGTGATATTTTAGAATATGAATATTTGTCGAATTAGTCGAAGTTGTCGAATTTTCGGATAAAACTTGAAAAATATGACCAGAAGATTGAGGTTCTGACAAATTGAAACATCACAAGTTACCAGAACTTTAATTGCCGGATGAGCTGACTGCAAAAAATAACAGGGATTTTGGGGTGAAAGTGTGGTTTTCTAGGCCACCAGAAGCATATTTTTTTGGGTTTCAAGGCCACCAGAAGCACATTTTTGGGTTTCTAAGGCTTCGCTTGGTTTTTCTAGGCCATCTGGAGCAAATGTTTGGTTTTCTAGGCCACCAGAAGCACAATTTTTGGGTTTCTAGGCCATCTGGAGCAAATGTTTGGTTTTCTAGGCCACCAGAAGTACAATTTTGGGTTTTCTAGGCCACTCAGAAGCACAATTTCGGGTTTCTAGGCCACCAGAAGCACCTTTTTGGGTTTCTAGGCCACCAAAAAACTTACACAAATTAGATTTTTCGGAGCAAAACGGGTCCAGCGAAAAATCAAAGAGCGAAAAAATGCGAAAATTGATGTGACCAGACTTTTTCGCCCGTCAAAACATTCCACAAAATCAGACAATTTTGGGAGTGTAAAACCAGAATGAAATCCCGTGCAATGTCTTTCCAAGGATACCAATACATTTCGGAAATACATAGAGTATAATATGAGCAATGCCCGCTTCGCTCCTAACTTACGTTGAACTGCACTATTTCCATTGTGAAATTGATTGAGTTTTTGAGCTGTCAACGGGTCGCTAATGATTATTTGCCCAGAAATATCCGAAGACGCCAATTTTTTAGGCTCCGGACTCCATCTTATAATATTTATAGCTGCCGAATGCATATCCAATGCTTGAATTCTTTGCATTTTCGTCACATCAACCAGGAAAATCACATTATGTGCACTGTACGCGAGCAAACCTCATGTCGTCCCTGAAAAAACTTTCAAATTTCCCAGGGTTTCTATGATATTTCGCTTACCAATCGACAGAATCCTTTGCATTGCTCGGATGCACACATCCCGGGATGGTATGTGGCATTTAAATATCGATTTTTCGACGGTTTGTTTGCTCGAGAAAAAAAATCGAAAAAAAATAAAATAAATTTGGGATGGCTGGGGGACTAGCGATTCCTCGGCCATGCGATGCAATTGCGCTCCAGCCGACGAAATAATTTCTTTTTTTTTTCACTTTCGTTTCATGTGATGTTGTTTTGAAGGCGAAAAGCGGTTTCTTAGGCGGTGTTTAAAGTAGAAATGCGAAAAAATGAAAAGAAAAATGTGTGTTGCGTAA